TATCATTACAAAGCACTGCTTTGAAAGCAGATTTATCCAAGCGTTGGGATGAATCATATTGATTCGAGTAATCTCGGGTAAACGGCTAAAGTAACTATGACTCTCTCAAGGTGGCCAAATGCCTCATTATCGTATTTTTAATACCGTTTATCATTTAATCTCGGCACTTGCTATCATTACAAAGCACTGCTTTGAAAGCAGATTTATCCAAGCGTTGGGATGAATCATATTGATTCGAGTAATCTCGGGTAAACGGCTAAAGTAACTATGACTCTCTCAAGGTGGCCAAATGCCTCATTATCGTATTTTTAATACCGTTTATCATTTAATCTCGGCACTTGCTATCATTACAAAGCACTGCTTTGAAAGCAGATTTATCCAAGCGTTGGGATGAATCATATTGATTCGAGTAATCTCGGGTAAACGGCTAAAAGTAACTATGACTCTCTCAAGGTGGCCAAATGCCTCATTATCGTATTTTTAATACCGTTTATCATTTAATCTCGGCACTTGCTATCATTACAAAGCACTGCTTTGAAAGCAGATTTATCCAAGCGTTGGGATGAATCATATTGATTCGAGTAATCTCGGGTAAACGGCTAAAGTAACTATGACTCTCTCAAGGTGGCCAAATGCCTCATTATCGTATTTTTAATACCGTTTATCATTTAATCTCGGCACTTGCTATCATTACAAAGCACTGCTTTGAAAGCAGATTTATCCAAGCGTTGGGATGAATCATATTGATTCGAGTAATCTCGGGTAAACGGCTAAAGTAACTATGACTCTCTCAAGGTGGCCAAATGCCTCATTATCGTATTTTTAATACCGTTTATCATTTAATCTCGGCACTTGCTATCATTACAAAGCACTGCTTTGAAAGCAGATTTATCCAAGCGTTGGGATTAATCATATTGATTCGAGTAATCTCGGGTAAACGGCTAAAAGTAACTATGACTCTCTCAAGGTGGCCAAATGCCTCATTATCGTATTTTTAATACCGTTTATCATTTAATCTCGGCACTTGCTATCATTACAAAGTACTGCTTTGAAAGCAGATTTATCCAAGCGTTGGGATGAATCATATTGATTCGAGTAATCTCGGGTAAACGGCTAAAGTAACTATGACTCTCTCAAGGTGGCCAAATGCCTCATTATCGTATTTTTAATACCGTTTATCATTTAATCTCGGCACTTGCTATCATTACAAAGTACTGCTTTGAAAGCAGATTTATCCAAGCGTTGGGATGAATCATATTGATTCGAGTAATCTCGGGTAAACGGCTAAAGTAACTATGACTCTCTCAAGGTGGCCAAATGCCTCATTATCGTATTTTTAATACCGTTTATCATTTAATCTCGGCACTTGCTATCATTACAAAGTACTGCTTTGAAAGCAGATTTATCCAAGCGTTGGGATGAATCATATTGATTCGAGTAATCTCGGGTAAACGGCTAAAGTAACTATGACTCTCTCAAGGTGGCCAAATGCCTCATTATCGTATTTTTAATACCGTTTATCATTTAATCTCGGCACTTGCTATCATTACAAAGCACTGCTTTGAAATCAGATTTATCCAAGCGTTGGGATGAATCATATTGATTCGAGTAATCTCGGGTAAACGGCTAAAGTAACTATGACTCTCTCAAGGTGGCCAAATGCCTCATTATCGTATTTTTAATACCGTTTATCATTTAATCTCGGCACTTGCTATCATTACAAAGTACTGCTTTGAAAGCAGATTTATCCAAGCGTTGGGATGAATCATATTGATTCGAGTAATCTCGGGTAAACGGCTAAAAGTAACTATGACTCTCTCAAGGTGGCCAAATGCCTCATTATCGTATTTTTAATACCGTTTATCATTTAATCTCGGCACTTGCTATCATTACAAAGCACTGCTTTGAAAGCAGATTTATCCAAGCGTTGGGATGAATCATATTGATTCGAGTAATCTCGGGTAAACGGCTAAAGTAACTATGACTCTCTCAAGGTGGCCAAATGCCTCATTATCGTATTTTTAATACCGTTTATCATTTAATCTCGGCACTTGCTATCATTACAAAGCACTGCTTTGAAAGCAGATTTATCCAAGCGTTGGGATGAATCATATTGATTCGAGTAATCTCGGGTAAACGGCTAAAGTAACTATGACTCTCTCAAGGTGGCCAAATGCCTCATTATCGTATTTTTAATACCGTTTATCATTTGATCTCGGCACTTGCTCTCACTACAAAGTACTGCTTTGAAAGCAGATTTATCCAAGCGTTGGGATTAATCATATTGATTCGAGTAATCTCGGGTAAACGGCTAAAGTAACTATGACTCTCTCAAGGTGGCCAAATGCCTCATTATCGTATTTTTAATACCGTTTATCATTTAATCTCGGCACTTGCTATCATTACAAAGCACTGCTTTGAAAGCAGATTTATCCAAGCGTTGGGATGAATCATATTGATTCGAGTAATCTCGGGTAAACGGCTAAAGTAACTATGACTCTCTCAAGGTGGCCAAATGCCTCATTATCGTATTTTTAATACCGTTTATCATTTGATCTCGGCACTTGCTATCATTACAAAGTACTGCTTTGAAAGCAGATTTATCCAAGCGTTGGGATGAATCATATTGATTCGAGTAATCTCGGGTAAACGGCTAAAGTAACTATGACTCTCTCAAGGTGGCCAAATGCCTCATTATCGTATTTTTAATACCGTTTATCATTTAATCTCGGCACTTGCTATCATTACAAAGCACTGCTTTGAAAGCAGATTTATCCAAGCGTTGGGATGAATCATATTGATTCGAGTAATCTCGGGTAAACGGCTAAAGTAACTATGACTCTCTCAAGGTGGCCAAATGCCTCATTATCGTATTTTTAATACCGTTTATCATTTAATCTCGGCACTTGCTATCATTACAAAGTACTGCTTTGAAAGCAGATTTATCCAAGCGTTGGGATGAATCATATTGATTCGAGTAATCTCGGGTAAACGGCTAAAGTAACTATGACTCTCTCAAGGTGGCCAAATGCCTCATTATCGTATTTTTAATACCGTTTATCATTTGATCTCGGCACTTGCTCTCACTACAAAGTACTGCTTTGAAAGCAGATTTATCCAAGCGTTGGGATTAATCATATTGATTCGAGTAATCTCGGGTAAACGGCTAAAGTAACTATGACTCTCTCAAGGTGGCCAAATGCCTCATTATCGTATTTTTAATACCGTTTATCATTTAATCTCGGCACTTGCTATCATTACAAAGCACTGCTTTGAAAGCAGATTTATCCAAGCGTTGGGATGAATCATATTGATTCGAGTAATCTCGGGTAAACGGCTAAAGTAACTATGACTCTCTCAAGGTGGCCAAATGCCTCATTATCGTATTTTTAATACCGTTTATCATTTAATCTCGGCACTTGCTATCATTACAAAGCACTGCTTTGAAAGCAGATTTATCCAAGCGTTGGGATGAATCATATTGATTCGAGTAATCTCGGGTAAACGGCTAAAAGTAACTATGACTCTCTCAAGGTGGCCAAATGCCTCATTATCGTATTTTTAATACCGTTTATCATTTAATCTCGGCACTTGCTATCATTACAAAGCACTGCTTTGAAAGCAGATTTATCCAAGCGTTGGGATGAATCATATTGATTCGAGTAATCTCGGGTAAACGGCTAAAGTAACTATGACTCTCTCAAGGTGGCCAAATGCCTCATTATCGTATTTTTAATACCGTTTATCATTTAATCTCGGCACTTGCTATCATTACAAAGCACTGCTTTGAAAGCAGATTTATCCAAGCGTTGGGATGAATCATATTGATTCGAGTAATCTCGGGTAAACGGCTAAAGTAACTATGACTCTCTCAAGGTGGCCAAATGCCTCATTATCGTATTTTTAATACCGTTTATCATTTAATCTCGGCACTTGCTATCATTACAAAGCACTGCTTTTGAAAGCAGATTTATCCAAGCGTTGGGATGAATCATATTGATTCGAGTAATCTCGGGTAAACGGCTAAAGTAACTATGACTCTCTCAAGGTGGCCAAATGCCTCATTATCGTATTTTTAATACCGTTTATCATTTAATCTCGGCACTTGCTATCATTACAAAGCACTGCTTTGAAAGCAGATTTATCCAAGCGTTGGGATGAATCATATTGATTCGAGTAATCTCGGGTAAACGGCTAAAGTAACTATGACTCTCTCAAGGTGGCCAAATGCCTCATTATCGTATTTTTAATACCGTTTATCATTTAATCTCGGCACTTGCTATCATTACAAAGCACTGCTTTGAAAGCAGATTTATCCAAGCGTTGGGATTAATCATATTGATTCGAGTAATCTCGGGTAAACGGCTAAAAGTAACTATGACTCTCTCAAGGTGGCCAAATGCCTCATTATCGTATTTTTAATACCGTTTATCATTTAATCTCGGCACTTGCTATCATTACAAAGCACTGCTTTGAAAGCAGATTTATCCAAGCGTTGGGATGAATCATATTGATTCGAGTAATCTCGGGTAAACGGCTAAAGTAACTATGACTCTCTCAAGGTGGCCAAATGCCTCATTATCGTATTTTTAATACCGTTTATCATTTGATCTCGGCACTTGCTCTCACTACAAAGTACTGCTTTGAAAGCAGATTTATCCAAGCGTTGGGATTAATCATATTGATTCGAGTAATCTTTCACCCTACTTTTGATCGGATCGGTAGACATCCACATCTCGTGCAAACAACTTTAATTCTAATTTCAGAGTACTCTGGTTCAATTGGCACTTCCCGCTGCGTGCAATCCGTTGAGACTATCCTATTGGGTGAGTTTTTTGTTCCAATTTTTCCCAAAAATCAACAAAGAGCAGATTAGTGCGCAGGCCAAAGTTAGGCACCGATTCACAGTTTCAGACAGATGTTACAAGTTACAAGAATAGAGATTCACAATTCAAACCTTTTCATTTATTCGTTCACAAAACTACTTATTCCTGTGGGTTTTAGTGCCATTTCAAGTCATCAAACCTTGGGCTACAAATTGCCGGTCCGGAATGCGGCACGATGCACAACTCTCCTTTATTGTTCATGTACGTAGTGTGTTGCAGCTCGTCGTCGGCGTTCGGAGCACTCGGAGTCTTCTTCTTCATCTTCTCTTGCGCGACGACGGCCATCTTCTGCAGTCCCTTTCCGATGTGGGCGATCTTCTTGAACGGAAGATCGATGTGCATTGTGCCGAACGGAGTGTCGACGACCCCTTCAAAAAAAGAAAAGGGGGCGGTATTATTATGGATCCACAGGTACTCACAGTCTCTGGTGTGCTTCAAGTCATTCATCTGCTCGAGTTTCAGACGTTCTTCCTTCAGAGACTCTTCCACTTTCTTGAGCATATCGGCGACTTTGCGGACGTCCACCGGGGAAAGAGGGGGTGGCAATGCGTGGGTGTAGGTCGAGAGGAGACCGATGGAAAGCAGGGAAAGTCCCAGGAGGAGGCGATGCATTGCGATCAATGATGGGCAAACGTTTGAGCAGAACCGTTTTATAGAAAAACTTATCTTTAATTGATTAGATTTGACCTCAGGATAAGTTTATCAGTAACTGATTACCTGCTATAAATAGTGATGAACCCCTTATGCACATTAGAAATGAAAATGAGCATGCGCCTGGGAGTGTCCATCGTCTGCTTGCTCGTCCTGAGCATCAACGCATCGCCTGCCGAGCAGCCCCAAGTCCCGGATGCACAAGTCATCCGCCAGTATGCCAACAGCCTCTACAAAGTGGAGCTGATGCTGAAGGACAGTCGCGTGAAACTGCAAAACGCGCTCGACAACAACTCACTCGAGCACACCGGCGTCTTTGATGACATCAGAGCTTTCTTCCAAGGTGAGAGAGAAATAACAAACTAGTCGATAATTGAAATGAGACTATTCCAGCAATTTTGAATCATCGCAACTACATCAAATACATTGGAAAAGGACTCGGAAAGTCTGCCCAATTGGGCAAGCAGATTGCCAAGAAAGGATCGGATCTGGAGCACACGTCGAGCGCATTTTGGTGATGCCGCCATGGCAGCGGCCGAAGTTGTCTTGCCTGCCTGGCCTGCCTTGCCTTTCATTGTCCTTGGATAGATTTGCATTAATAAATGACTGAGGGAAAAATTCAAGAAAAAGCCCCCCACGTTATAAACAACCATTAAAAAGACGACGGGGGGTCATACTTGAACGCTTCTGTTCAACAAACGCCCCTTTCACGGTCTCCCAGGGGGGCGCTAATGCTAAACACAGTGCGCTCGTAAATTGCGGAGTGTCGTTGTAACTTTTGAAAATTTGCAGGTCTGAAAATGCAGTTCAATTCGAGTTTACGACCTTTATTTCTTTCTTTTTGACTTGAAAAACGTCTAGAAAACAATATTTTACTGATTGGAAACCGTTCTCTACAGAATTTAGAGTTTTTCATGTTTTTAGCGTCTTTTTCGCATTTCGTCAAAACTTCAAACCTTTATATTTCAGCTCATTTTGCATTTCATGAGCCCAACGAACGATAAAAATGTTCGCTGAATCTTTCTTCACAAAATTCAGGTTCCGGCGGTTAGTTTTCTTGAGCAGTTTTCGAAAACTATTTGAAAAACATCAAAATCCAGGCCAAAACCTTCAAATCGAAATAACTCGGCTAATTCTCAACGATATGTGACATTTCTGTTACCAAAACGTATCTAGTGCTCTAATTATTCGGATCGAGGTTCCAGGCGCTCAAAAAAATAGGTGTATTGTATAGAAAACATGGAAAGAACGCGAACTCCCGTTGAAAATTAATTAATCGACCGCCGCGTAAATCGACACAGCCCGCCTGTTGCAAGTGCGCCCCATTGAAGACATTCCCGCTGTGGGAGACCGTGCCCCCCCCCCCCGGCAGTGCAAAAAAAAGGGGGGGCTGTTCTTTAAAAACTAGGTATTCTTAAAGGAAGGGGAACTTTTTGCCATCTGCCGTATGCGAAAAATTTCGATTTCGTCGAAAAAAAATTGTTTGCTCAATTTGCTCTAGAATTCTTCTACTCTGTCTGCTGTAGATTTTGCTTTTCGAGAAAATTTCGAGAAAGTAGTCGCAACAACACTTTGAGTCGAGTTTTCTCGAAAATTAGGAAGTTCCAGTGGGTCCCATTATGTTTTTTGGCATCTACAGTAGAAGCGTTTTGGAGCAAATTGAGCATTTTTAAAAAATTTTTTGCTCAATTTGCTCTAGAATGCTTCTACTGTGTCTGTAGATGCAAAAAAAAACACACTTTAAGGTTCTCTCTCAGGTCATTTTCAGTATATTTTGGCAGAAACAGACACTCGAGAATCGGGCAGACTTCTGACGGTGGTTTTTTTAAAGTTTTTTTGTGATAAAAGTGCTTTTTCTCGAATCTATTACTTTTGCACTATTTGTTTAAAATCAGAAATGCCTGATTTGATCACTTGCATAGAAATAATGTCGGAGAGAGGAAGGAGAGACATTGTTCATAGTTAGGGCCAGATTGAAGGCCTCAAACTTCTGTGGCCCGTATCTCAAAAACCGTTTGTCGTTTTGGAATGTGGTCATTGACCACATTTTTTGTTCCGTATTCCGTCTGCCGTCTTCCGTGAGAAAAATGTTCTTCCGTCTTCCGTTTTCCGTGTTCCGTAAGAAAAATTTTCTTCCGTCTTCCGTTTTCCGTGTTCCGTAAGAAAAATTTTCTTCCGTCTTCCGTTTTCCGTGTTCCGTAAGAAAAATTTTCTTCCGTCTGCCGTCTGCCGTCTTCCGTATTTCAAAATTCCATTTCCGCTCAACTCTGGTGGTCAACTGAAGAGTTGTTGTATATCATCTGCTGACCAACTTTCCAGTTGACCACTTTCTTCCGAAATGACTTATTTTCGAGTTATGAGCATCTTTTTGATCTGAATACAAGAAGAAGGTGTGAAACTTGCACAGCAGCGAGAAGGAATGATGATGATGATGATTTCAAAAGTTCAAGAAGTGGGTCAGATGAAAAATGAGTAGAAATTCGACTTTTGAAGCGAGACCGATAGAATTCGAAATGCAATCACATTCCTTCGTCCACCCTCTCAACTTCCGGTCCCCTCGATCACATCACTTTTAATAATAATAATAAAAGAGCCTTGGCTATGTGTTTTTCCAACGGAAAAATAAAAGAAATATGAAACATCTGTGCGCTCGCTCGCTCATAAATTCCGCCCCGGAAAACTTTAGTGTCCGCCACCACTCAGACTGGTCCATTCGGCTCCATATTATTCTCATTAGTTACTCGCCACGACACTGATACCCAAAAGGATGTTTGGTCCGGCTCCGTGGTCCCAGGCTCGATCAACGCCATTCGATTCCTCGAAGCTTTTCAAATATTTTTCATTTTGAGACCAAAAAGTTAACACCTCTCCTGCATATGGAAAAACTCGTTTAATGAGCTTTTTTTATCATCATAATAAACCAGACTTGCAACGGGCCGGGCCGGGCCAAAATTGGAAATTTTCCGGCCCGGCCCGGCCCGGTCGGCCCGGGAGGATGCACCTAAAAATTCAAAGCGAACTAGAACTTCGAAACGAACATAATTTTATAGACTTAAAATTTTATGGACTTAAAAAGGCAATGTTATAGCATAAAAACCTGTTAAAAAATAGAAATTGCTGTTTAAAGTCGCAAAATTTTCACAAAAATTACGAAAATTTTCTCAAGAGTGGGCGGAGCGATTGATTGCAACTCTGGCACGCCATTTTAGCAATTTTGCCGCACGCGTTTTCCTCTTCCTTCATATTTTTTTTGCATATTTTTTTTGAGGTCTAACTTCCGGGCCGACCGGGCCGGGCTGGGCCGACGATTTGCTGGCCCGGCCCGGGATTTGGCAAGTCTGTAATAAACTTCATGTCTAGTATTTCTCAATTGTCCGGAAAAAACGGTGCAAAAAACGGCCGGAAGTGCTCAAAAACGCCCCCATATTATTAGAGTGTGTCTGCCATCAATTTCTTATCATTTCCACCCTCAATCACTAAAAAGACGACAGTCTTAAGACTACAAATATACGCCCACGCACCTCAAAAATACTATTTTAGTTGCTTTGTTTTTATGATTAAGATTTTGTTTTGTTCCAACACACGCGCAATTCCAGATTGTTCTCGAATTCATTTTTGTTCACCAAAACAATTTATACGGTTGTCAGCGCTACTGCAGTGTAAAAATTTGTTCAGCGAGCACAGACTTTGTCACCTACAGTACCCCTCTAAATCACAAATGATACGAACCGATCGACTGGTCGTTTTCTCCGTCTCCGCCCCCAAAAATGACGGCGCCTCTCGTTTCTCCGCACTTTTTCCTCTTAAAACTGATAAAACATGCGGCGGTCTCGTTTTGAGAGCTCCATTTCCGGAAATTCGACGCTACGAGCACACGCCCCAACACTCTTTTTATGCTTATCGAAAAATTTCCAGCCGCTTTTCTTCTCCTCTTGAACAAATCGGTTTCGAGACGTTGTATCCATTGTTGACATGTTTTTTCTGCTTTGTCGCCGTCCGCAAATTCTGCAAAATTTGGGCCCGATCGGATTATTTATAGAAAACAGTACTTGCTTCAGTGTTTTCTGAATAACCGTTCTTTATTATTTCGCCCTTTTCTCCCGTCATTTCCCGCTAATTTTCCCCGATTTTTCAGCCAATCTCGCAAAAACTCAAAATTCGGTCCGCAAACATTCGACGCACAAATGCAGAGCCCAGAATGCGGCGAAGGCGTCGCTGCGCCCACAATTCCGCCACGAACACATCCGATCCATTTGAGGAACCGATTGAAACTGCAACTATTCGAAGCGAATTTGACGGCCAGCACGGTGAGCATTTTCGGTCTGTAATGCATAGAGGGACGCCCCGAAAGTCGTCAATTCAAAACTTTCTGTATCTCGGCTGTCGGTGGTGATATCAAAATTCTGTCAACTGACAAATTGCTCAGGAAGACATTTTGCTCATTTTATCAGTTGCCGACTTTTTTATTTCTCTACCGCCGGCCGAGATACGCTGCATTGAATAATCCGTGTCCACTTCCTTTTACGCTAACTGTTCGCGTATGAATCATCGCGCCGAAAAGTGCCATTCGACGTCATTTTTATCGAAAATTGTTTGATAAAAATCAAAAATTGATCAATTTTCGTGCTCGGCTGGGCGATGAATCACTTATTTTTTAAGGGAAATTAGTCATCGGAAGAAAAAATGTTTAAAAAATCATTGTTCAGGAAGTCCAAAACGACGAGTGTCACAGCCGAAAAGCCTCTTCGGTGGGATTTGTGGATATTGACGATTTGCTGAAATTTCAGGTGATTTTAGATACATTTATTAGACTTTTTTGTTCAGCGGGCCAGGCCTGAACTTTTGGCCCACTTGCAATTATCCGATCGGGCCCAAACTTTGCAGGTTTCTTGGGGTCCTCTCAGATTTATTACAAGTGGGTCAAAAGTCCAGGCCTAGGTCTGGGCCTTTTGCCGAGCCCTGGAAAATTCAGCACAACGTTTCAAACGAAAAAACATTGTTTGCAGGAAGAGTACAAAACGCGCTCGTCCTCCCGCCTGTGCTCCTCGCTCCGTCACCTCTTCTCGACGGGAAATTCTGCGAGTTCAGCGACGTCATCAATTCCTGAATCCCATATAAATCCCATGTTTTCCGGTCACAAATGCTCGATTTCCCGTAGTTACACCCATTTGCCGTACCCGCCGAAAAAAAAGCGAAAAAGTCATTTGAGACGTGTCTTTTCTTGTTTTTCCATTTTTAAGAATCACTAACTAATTGCATAATTGTCGGAAAATTCGTTTTCGTTCATAATCTGTGTCTGCCGCCTTTAATCTCTGTGAATTGTTGAAAGTGCATAATTATTGAGCGATTGAAAATGATGAAGTTTTTTTTTGCATTTGTAAAATGTTCGTTTCCGCTTTTTTGTCGCCTTCCTTTAAAAAAACGTTTGCCTCTGAAAAATTCTGAAAAAGAAGTGAAAAATTAAGAAATGGACTTTTCAACGGTTATGAGACAGGGCCCATTTTCAAAAAATCTTTTTTCATTATAATTCAAATTGCACACACATAAACTCAAAAACGTACATAAACTTGTTAGAAATTTGCGGATAAAATAAAGCTTTCTCAATTTTCTCGAGCACCATAGCATTGTCAAAAAAATCGATAATTGTCCGGTTAGTTCTGTGGAATTCCCTTCCGCGACACCTTCTTCTCCTTGTTGCGTTTCGGCGGCACCGGCGTCGAAGAGGGCTCCTGACGGCCGAACCAGTAACGGTAATCGTCGGTTCTGATGTGAGCCCACACTCCGGCCGCTCCGTTCGCCTCGAATTGTTCCTGCAAATATTGCGATTTTTCACAGTTTTTGGGATTCTTGGGGTTTTAATTGATTGAGACCTCTTCGTTTCGCGACTAAAACAGTTTTGGCAACTATCAAGTTTCGCAACTAAGGCTATTTCAAAGCAGTTTCTGGGTGCTCTTCGATTGTATTCATCAGCTTCGTGGCGTTGAGCACCCTGAAGCTCCCACAATTCTTCTGCAATTGTTCTAGCCTCTAAACTGTAGCCGATGAAAGCACAGGGTAAACACACACAAAAACCCGGAAAGCGGGGCTTATCAGTCATCAAAAAAGGTGCTATTTATCATTGACTAGATTATTTTTCAGTGAGAAAGTGAAAAACGAGTTGCGAACCTGAAGACGTGGAATCCATGGATTGTGCTCGATCCGGAGCACTTGTTTCGAGCCGACGAGCTCCAGGTTCCCGAGCTCTGGCGGAATCATGGCGAGACGGTTTCCTGGAAGAACATTTAGTGTTTCCACATTCGAACACGGCTCGGAAATCAAAAATTCCAACATCTGCCGCTCATTTCTCATGAATTTCTGATCGATTTCTCAATCTTCGAAATTCAATGCATAGAAAATGTGCATAGAATGTCAATAACATTCACGGCTACTAGAAAAAAAAAACCAAAAATTGTGCTCACCTTGAATGTGAAGTTCGCGAAGACGGGTGAGCTTTCCGAGTTCTCTGGGCAGCGTGAGCAGGTCGTTTTCGCGGAGAACGAGAATTTGCAGATTCTGCAGATTTTCCACGTCTCCGGGCAGCATTTCAAAGTCATTGTCGCCCAAATACAGAGCGCGCAACGTTTCTGCAAACATTCTCTTTCATTTTCAATCGAACGCGTGACTTACGCATGAAGAAAAAGTTGCCGGGAAGCGAGCGTTCGCTCAAATTGTTGTAGGTCAAATCGAGAATTTCGAGTTCCGGAAACGAGCCGAATCCACGCGGTAAAATCGATAGTTTGTTCATGCCGACGTTGAGAATTCGCAGTTTCGGAAGCGAGGAAATTGATGGCGGCAGCTCTTCGATCTGGTTATTCCACAGGTTCAGCGACTGAAAGGAAATTGTTCGTTTTTTGTGTTACGGCTGCGTAGAGTACTATTCCTTGCTGGTAACTCTTACGCTTTAGAAACAAGACAATAACTTGAGAATCAAGGATTTTGGGCTAAAATGACCAACTACAAAATTGTTCAGCACAAAATTTGCAACAACTTTTCAGTTGACCACTTTTCAAAATAACCATTGGATCTCGAGGTGCTCATAAATAAATCTTACCTGCAAACTGACCAAATCCGCAATGTTTGGCGGCACCGAAGTGAGCTTATTATGGCTCAAAGTGAGGCGAGTGATGATTTCGGCGTCGACTGCAAAACGTACATTTTTACAATTTAAAAAAAAACGCCCAAAATGTTCCCATAGACCACGACGCCCCCCGTTTTCCAATGCGCAAGCGAATTTTACTGCGACTCGGAATCAACTTTTTGAACTGAAAATCGTTTCTTTCTCAATTTTCTCGGGACAACTCGCACCTTCAAAATTAGCACTGAAAAACAAGATTTTCGATGCGCACGGACAGCATCGATTTCGGTGAATTCCTTTGCAAAAGAGCCGGCACGAGAAAGAGCGTTTCATTGCACGGTCTCCCAGGGGGCGCTAATGCTAAACACAGTGCGCTCGTAAATTGCGGAGTGTCGTTGTAACTTTTGAAAATTTGCAGGTCTAAAAATGCAGTTCAATTCGAGTTTACGACCTTTATTTCTTTCTTTTTGACTTGAAAAACGTCTAGAAAACAATATTTTACTGATTGAAAACCGTTCTTTACAGAATTTAGAGTTTTTCATGTTTTTAGCGTCTTTCACATTTCGTCAAAACTTCAAACCTTTATATTTCAGCTCATTTTGCATTTCATGAGCCCAACGAAAAATAAAAATGTTCGCTGCATTTTTCTTCACAAAATTCAGGTTACGGCGGTTAGTTTTCTTGAGCAGTTTTCGAAAACTATTCGAAAAACATCAAAATCCAGGCCAAAACCTTCAAATCGAAATAACTCGGCTAATTCTCAACGATATGTGAGATTTCTGTTACCAAAACGTAGCTAGTGCTCTAATTATTCGAATCCAGGCTCCAAGCGTACAAAAAATAGGTGTATTGTACAGAAAACATGGAAAGAACGCGAACTCCCGTTGAAAATTAATTAATCGGCCGCCGCGTAAATCGACACAGCCCGCCTGTTGCAAGTGCGCCCCATTGAAATCATTCGCGCCGTGCGAGACCGTGCGAACGTTAAAAAAATTGCGAAATTGACAAATTACATGCACTTTTAAGGGAATCGGAGAGATTCCATTCGAAATGAAAAAAAAGACGGTGTGTTTGTTGTTTGATAAACAACTTTTCATCAAAAAATATAATAGACCCACTCAAATGTGAAATTTGCGAAAACGAGGAAATGTTGCGGTCGACGTGCTCCACCTCGGTCGCTTCCTCCTTCTTCTTGTCCTTTGGCATTGCCTTTTCGGGATTTTTACCTGAAAATTGACGATAAATTGCAAACACCGAATGATTGTTGCTGAGCACGAAGAAAACATTGAAAATTCGCAAAAAAGGTATCGGAAAAGGCTCATTTTGACTGAAAGTAGGAGGAAAAGTGTAGGAGATTGGAAAAAGAGACTTTGCAACCGAAAAACGAAAAAACCGCTTTCCCCCCGAAAAAAAAACTGGATCAATTATCCGAAAAATCGCACTAATATGGTATAATTTTAAAAGAGAACGCAAGAGAAGAAGTGAGAAATAGTATTGGACAGAAAGCCGGGAGAAAAGTGTGTTTGTGAGGGGAGAAATTGAGGCGAGCGGGTGCGTAGGCGGCCGAGTGTACAGCGAGAGAGAATATTACACTTTTAGGAGACACAGACACACAGACGGCCGTGTCTTACAATCCAAACGGCAACAACCGACCCCACCCCGGCAACAGCCGTCCCTCCAACTTTCCAGCGCTTTTCTTTTATCGATTTTTCAGTTTTTCCCCCTACTTCTGTTGATCTTTCCGAGTTCTGACCTTGTTTTACAGAAAAACTAGCTGAAAATCGAGTTTTCACTAAAAATTTATGTCGTTTTTTGCACTGCGCCATGCGGCACTAATCTGTTGGCGCGGGTTCGAAACCCGTTGGGCCCAAAACTGATCAATTCGATTTTTGCCTAGTTTTAGCGAGGTTTAGAGATGGGTTTGAAGCGTTTCGAGAATTTTTTGCAGAATGTGATGTTTTCTATATCTTGCAACCCCTAAAAACAGTCAGAAACTACATAGCACTCTTCCGCCTCTCGACGAGAGAGAGAAAAGTAAACATTTTCCCTCTTTTTCTCTAACATCTCTCATTTTCCCCACTATTTCCATGTTTTAAACATTATTGAGTACTCTTTTTTTCATTCATTTCCTCACAAATAGACAGAAAATAGACAGTTGTTGAAGAGCTGAGCGTTTCTGGCCTAAGAATTTGGCATTTTCCAATTTTCTGTTGCTATTCAAAGGGAAAATAGTTTGTTTTTAATGTATTCTGTTGGTTTTCGAGTGGACTAACACTTTTTCAGACTGAAAATCGTCTTTTTTGTTTTAGAAAGTTATATTTCAAAAAAAACCGTAAAATCCAAAAGTGTCGTGAAATCTTGCGCATGCGGAATTACGCATGCGCCAGAGCCTACGCGAGCCATTTCTCCCTGTTTTCCCCGAAAAATGTCGTTTTTCCCCTTTCCCACATCAAAAATGCCACGTTTTTCGCTCATTGTTCCCTCTTTGCTCTGCGTTTCCTCATTTTTCTCACTCCTTCTTTACTATTTTCAAATAAACAGAAAAAGCGGTGGTCGCCGCCGGCACACAGATGTCCTCTTATTGCATCAGCCGAATTGAGCTATTATTATTCTTCCACTTTTTAGGGAATTTTTACGGAAATCGGAAAACAACTGAAAATCGCAGTAAACCGCGGTAATTTTCCGGTTTCTAATCGATTTCCCATTAGTTCCACCCTCACATTCATTCCAGTACCGAAACAGACCCAAGAAGGTATTCGAACCGGTTTTCTCGGCCGTTCAATGACCTCCAGATGATCATTTAATGTGCGTTTTGTCGAGAAAATTAGGCTAGACAAGTAGAAATTCTTTGAATCAATTTTTCAAGCAATGAATATGATTCCCGGGCCGGATCGAGATTTTTCAAGTTTCTAGTCAAAGTTCGCATACATCAAGCCCAAAAAGCCAGTTTTCATATATTTTCAGTTCCCCATAAAAGAGCGACATGTGAGCCGTCTCTCAGTCTCTCAGCTGTTATTTTCCCCTCCGATTTCCCACTCTCTCCCACTTTTCAGCACTATTTCTTTTAGGCGACGTTGCATTCGCTTTTTTCTGTTTATATATTGTGCCCGTCTATTTTCCGCCGCATTTTGTTCGTTTCCGGCATGGAAACGATGCGTTTTTTCGAAATCACTGCGACTTTTGCTTGATATCATCGTGTTTGCCTCTTAATTTTTTTCAACTTCTTCAATTTTTCAGAAGAATGAGCGACCCGTGCGAGTGCTTCTTCGACCACGAAACCGCCATGCAGAGACTTCTCGCCATGGTATTGCAAAATCTGTTTTGACGCACTTGCACGAATCCGATTGGATCGTAACTTTGCAGGCTTTTTGGAATTGGATGGAAGTATTCTGGGTCCAAGTTTCAAACCGATTGGATCGTCTCGACTCGAGATACGCAATTTTCGCGAAAACTCGGCCTTTTCGGCCTCTGCTCCACATATCTCGAGACCAAATGATCCGATCGGTCTGAAACTTGGGCCCAATATACTTCAACCCGCGTCCTAAAAGCCTGCAAAGTTTGGCCTCGATCAGATTACTGCAAGTGGGTAAAAACTCCACCGAAACTTGCCCAGCCCTGCCTAGAAGACAATGAATTCCAAAAAAATAACCCTCTATTTTTTCAGCTGCGAAACTCGCAGGCGGACTGCACAGACACGGGATGCGACACGGACAACCTGAGCCGCGAGGGCGGATCCGCGATGTTCCTGTGGAGCCTTTTGTGGACGTTCATGGCGATGGCCCTCTACGTGATGCGCCCCAATTCGATGCGGTCCGGCACGCGCAACGCCGAGACGGCCAGCGAGAAACCGATCGGCGGAGCCAGCGGAGGAGGAGCCGACAATGTGAGCGAAATTTTCATAAATTTTTCAATTCTCCCAATTTTCTCTCGAAATTCCACAGTCTGACCGGTCAATTTCATCCCGAATACACTTTTCTTATCGGAAAAAAAGACAAGTCAGCAAAAACGGTTACATTGCAATCATTCTCTCGATTTTGCTCGTAAAATCCGCCTGGAACACGGACTTTTATGATTTGTGAATGAATTTGCGATAAAAATGTGTGGTGCTGATTTTTGAGCTCTAAAAATTGGGAAAATGGGTGAGAGGGGTTTGAAAATCGAAAACAGTTCAAAACTTACAGGACGACACTCCGCCGCCGCCGCCACCGCCTTCCGCCTTTTGAGTCGCCACCGGAAACCCACTGGAAACCGTCCCGATCATTCCGCAAATATATATTTTCATTTTTTTCAATGTAATTCACTCCCTAACCCGCTAAAAAATGTGTAAAATTCAAAAGTCACTGTAGCATTTGATGTAAAACATTTTCCGAATTTCTGCTATGTTTTCCACGCAAAAACACTGTGTACATTATTCTTGTCTTCTGGGAAATCGAATGAAAAATTGGCCTTAAAATGCAAATTTCGTGATAGAGTGGTAGCAGAACAGGAAGTGAAAAATACATTGAGGATCGAGTTAGGAGCCCGAAAAACTGAACATTTCAGAATTTTTCTAGGCTTTACAAAAGAATATAAACGGAAATAATTGAGGGGGAAAAGAAGTGAAACCACAAATATTATTATGTATAGAGCGGGAAAATGTTCAGGCATTTTTCAGAGGAAATACGGGGCGACGACTCTTTCGGGCTTCTCGCGGTTACCGTCAGGCACCGCGTTGAAATATTTCGTCGTCCACTCGTTACCGCTGATTTCGAACACGGCCGCCGCGTTTCCGCATCGGTAGCAGTAGTTGGGCGCTGCAAAAATCGACATTAGCAAGATTCACAAGTTTGTGGAGCTGAGAATATGAACATTTGAAGGATGTATCCGGGAGAGAAAATTGAAAAATAATTCTTGAGAGATGATCAGAAGAAGAATAGGGAATCAACAAGGAAACAAGATCGGGAACCAAAAAGGAAAAAGATCAGAAGTAGAAAGAAGGAACGGCTCGTGAAAAAGAAGAGGTTGAAGAAAATGACTGGGCAGGTAAAGTGACAAATGTCTAGATTTCGGCGCCATAAGGGCACTCCGGCAATCAAAAAAGGACATTAGTGATTCTAGTGCTCGTATAAGGTAGTCTAGTGGGTTCAAATGAGTGGAAACTGTGCGAATATGACACATAGAAGTTATTTAGACAGTTAGATCAACTTGCCTCATGGCTGCCAAATTTGTTTTCCGAATTATGACCCTTTCACTCGCCTGCCGGCGCTCAACTCAAAACACCTATGGAAAAAACGAAAACGTACCAGACCAGACGGTGGCGAGATTCTCGTTGAACATGTACTTGAATCCCTCGTCGACGAGCTGGTGGGACCGGCACAAAAGGGACAGATTGTTGCCCACGAGGAACTCCTCCGTCACCCGCGCGCCGAACACCTGAAAATGGTTCAGTTTTTAAAGTGTCTGAAAAAATATGATGGTTTCAATTTTGTGACCGCGTCAAGTAGAAAAACAATAGAAAAAGATGGAAAAAGTAGGGAAAACTGACAAATCCGGCTCCTCGCTGACTTATCACCCAGTCGTCGACATCGTCGTCCGGATCCGACCACATTATGTCACACAGAGGGCCCTGAATAATGTTTTCTCGGTCAAAACTACTCGAACATTTCAACAATTCACCTTATTCGGCACCTCCTGAGCTCTGTCGAGCAGCATGAGCGAATCGACGGTCCGTATGTCCGGGGAAAGGCCGCCGTGAACACAGAGGACCGAATCGTCGATGAGCGCGCCGATTGGAAGCACGTCGAACACCTGAAAATGGTAAATTTAGGAAAAATGAGGAAATGTCTTCGCTAAAATTAGTTTGACGCAGGAAACCGAGCGCCGGGATCTGTCAGGTTCGGTGATGTCGTCCCTCTTCTCTTAGTTCCTGTCTCTTCTTATTCTTTTCCCCATTCATCTTATACTTCTCGTTTGTTTCTATGCAATCCTTATTCATTTATTGTACTCTATATCATCTTGTTATCCATTCTCAATAAACTTTTAAAACGTAAGCACCCATCTTTGTTGTGCCTGAACAAGAATAGAAGGAAACCCGCTAAGGGCTGTGAAACAAAAAACTGTTTTACAACAGTTAGCACGATTTCTGCTCTACCGCACTCGTGGAACTGCGAATCTCTTTACACGTTTTCTATAAATGAATCACTAGAAAAGTTACTCCGGTTTGAAGAAAGACAAATCTCTCTCACTATTCAATCACAAATTTGTCTAGTAAAGCTCAACGTACCCGACAAAACCATTTGTGCACATTTCCGTGTCCGTACTTGTTCTGACACTCGTCGTAGAAGCCGTAGACGTTCGAAATGCGACGGGACTCGTGGTTTCCGCGCAAAAGGGTAATGTGGTGAGGGTATCTGCAAAAATATTGACTCTGAACTAAAAATTACAGAAAAGCATTGAACATGGAATGAAATTTTATGGCATGAAAAATTCAGAAAAATTCTAGTAATTGTAGACATGACTGACTTGAGCAGGAGGCAGAAGAGAAGAGTGACCGTTTCCAGGCTGTAATGTCCTCGATCCACGTAATCGCCCATAAACACGTACTTTGTGTTCGGAACTGTGCCGCCTGCAATTTTTTTGAAACTTTCCAGATTCTCAGCTAAAAAATGGGCTAACCAGTCCGGAACAGCTCGAGAAGATCGTAAAATTGTCCGTGGATATCTCCGCAAACGGTGACCGGTGACGTCACCGGGACCACGTTCGATTCCAGCGAGAGACGGTCGATTAGTCTGCAAAAAGGTTATTGAAATTCATTTTGAAGTTTCCTGCAGCAAGGCTTCCTGCAGAAAATAAGGGTGCAGCAAATAAGGGAAAATAGTAGAAAGAAAAATTCAGAAAAACCGACGTGGCACAAAGCGCGACGGCGTCGGATTCGGGCAGATATTTGCACTCGCACGCCCACGCGATCCATTGTTCCGGATCGATTTTTCGGGTTCTGCAAGGAAAAAATGAGACACAAAATAGCAAAAAAGAATAGTCTTACCCAATATTATGAGCCGTGCTCTTTTGGAGCTCTCCATCATCGCAAACCGACACTCGCAGCAGGTCTTGAGACGCCGTATCGATCATGCTGAACGTTTTGCATTCAAAAGTGATATTCGAAAAAAAAAACAGAAAATAGGTAGAAAAGGGGGCAAGATACCAATAAAATCGCACCAAAAATCGAAAGATTTCCATTTTATATGGGAAACGAGCGAAAGAATCCTACAATTGATTTCTTTCAATTATTCAAAGAAAATTACTAAAAACAAGGGGGAGTGACAGAAAAAATCGGGAAAAAAAACAACAAAAATCTCTGCTAAAAAAGGCACTAAACAATGGAATTTATTGGGACACGACGCCGACTTGAGCCGGACGAATTGGGCGGTCTTTGAGCGAGTAGCCGATTTTAGTGCAGACTTCAATGTGTCCCACCGGTTGTTTCGCCTGAAAATTGCACAATTTCTGGTGAAACATCGTACAATCATCAAAAAGGCTCACATTGGCGGCAGGAATCTGAAAAACGGCCTCGTGAAGGTTGGGGTTGAACTTTTCGTTGGTCGGATCGACGGAAACGAGTCCGTGCTTCGAAAACGTCTTTGCCAGCACCGACCGGGTCATCGAAACGCCCTCGAAAAGGTCTTTGAACGCTTTTGAGCCCGATTCGAGCTCTTCCGGCTTAACCGACTTGACCGCAATGTCGAGAATGTCAGAAACCTGCAAAAATTGAATTGTTTGGGCTAAAATTCGAAAAAAAGCGCAACCTCGAGCAAATCCTTGCAAAACGACTGAATCGCAAACGCTTTCGCGTCTTCCGTCTGCTTCACGCCCCGACGACGCACATTTTCCGTCTCCGCCAGAGATCGCTGATATTTGTCCTGAAAAATGCGATTTTTTCCAGATTTTTCCGAAACTCCGCTCAAAAAGTGTACTTTGAAGTCGCTGCTCTCCGCCTGCACCTCGTCGTACTCCTTCAGAAGCACATCGAACGCCGATTTTGGAATTTGCGTCTTATCTTCGCCGGAAATCGAAGAGACCACAATTTCCTCGTAGTCGGCACCTAAAAATTGTGAAAATTAGGTTATCCCCTCGAAAATTGCAGCTTTTCTCACCTTTTAACCGTTTTCCTCCCTTCTTAATTTCATAGTTCACCTCTTCGGCAGATTGTGAGGCGGTCGCACTGAATCCCTGCGTGCGCACGTATTTCTGGCTTTTTCTGCAAATTTTCAAATTTTTTCATCAAAATTGGATGGAAGGAGGTGATTGGACTCACAAAGTTTGCTGAACAGTCTGCCCGACGAGCGCCACTCCTCTTTTCAGCATGTTTCTGAAGAAAATAGATTTTAGACTGTTTTCTGGTGAGAATAGCTGAACATTGACAAATTTCTGAAGAGAAACAGGTTTTAAAGAAGAAACTCAGAAAAAAACGCCGACATCCGAGCTGGAGAACCGACCGAGAAATCTGTCAAAAAGAAATAAATTTCATCATGTCGAGAATTGCGTCAACTCCGGCGCCAAACGCGTCAGTAGCCTACTTCTCTGCTAAACTCGTCTTTCTCTGCGTCTCTCCACTTCACACATTGTCTCTTCGGACTTTTCACGCGAAAATTTAAAATTGAGGACACATGCGGAAAAATGGAGCAGAAATAGGCTGGAAAATTATTTCTCAAGAAAAAAATGACGAAAACTGAGAAGGTAGACAGGTTAACGTAAGAAATTGCTAGAAAATTGGAAAAACCTTTTCTCGCAATTTTCAGAATGGTCAAAGAAAATCTGGCAAAATACAAGATGTATGATGGGGTAAAATATGGACATTTTTAATGTTTAATTTGAAATTCAATGCAGGATCACGAAGAAGGTTACGATGGGCATCAGGAATGGAATGGCGAGGATGACTTGGTAAAGAATAGATTTTTCCCCAAAAAAATTCAGAAAGTTTCAGCTCCTCGAGGCGATCGCCTTCTTCTACAAAGCCGTCAAAAAACGCTATTTTCTGGAAGTCCGCTCATTTTTGGCAATTTTGATGCCAAACGGAGCCGACGACGGACGGCTTCCGGCCATTCAGCACCTGTTGACCAACACCACGTCGGAGGAGGCTCTCAAGGTTCGGGTCGTATACGAAACGCGTTTGAGGAATTTTTAAAGATCAGAGTTTTCTCAGGAGGCCCTTCTTTGCTCAATTGCGACCGGAAGTCGTCCGCTCGTCGAGTTCGTCTTGGCCCTCTTCGTCGATTGTCCGTTTCTGGAGAGAAGTGGTGAATCTCAACAAAAAATCGTTGCGAGACCATCGCTTGATGCGCCTTCAAACGTTTTTTGTTTGAAAAAATACTAAAAAGCGAAAAACGACAATTTTCCGTGCTGCCAGACATTTTTTCACAAAAAATTTCAACAATTTCAATTCAGTGCACGATTTTTTCGTTTTTACATCAAAAAACGATGTGAAAAACTAGCAAAATCAAGGAAAAAACATCCTAATTCCAGCAATAAATGCGCGCACATCTCGAGACAAATACGAGCAAAACAGCCATTTCGCGCTACACGCGATAGATCAGAATTTGTCTCGTTTTTTTTTTCAGCCTCAGGCGCGCTCCGCCAATTTTTAAAAATTGCCGCGTACCCGTGACCGTCAAGGGTCCATGCCAATTTTTAAAAATTGCCGCGGACCCGTGACCGTCAAGGGGATCGCATCGCGTTTTATCTGTTTTTTCTAGAAATCTCGTTTTGCGCGGCCGCTAAACGTGCTCGCGCCATAATGAATTATAGATTGTAAAATACTGGATTTACTGAAACTGAAATTTGCAGGATGTGCGAACTCTGCCAGTTTTCCGCCGCACATGACTCCGTTGATGCTCGCGTGCATTCTCAACAACTTTTCGATCGTCCAATGCCTGCTACTCCGTGGACATACCATCCAAACGCCGCACTTTTTGACTTGTGAATTGTGAAAAACAACGTTTTCCAGAACATTGCTAGAATTGCAGGCGAGTGCTCAACGTGCAAGCGCGAGACGGTGTCGACGGGCCGCAACTCTCGGATCGTGGACGTGATGCGCGCGCTCTCCTCGGAATCGTTCCTCTGGTTGGCCACCGATGACGTGTTCGCCGCCGCGTGCTCCGTTGCTCAGGATCTGCAGAAAATGATGGACGAGGACGAGCTGGAGCACGTCGAAATCTACCGGAGTCTGGAGGCGAACGTGCAGAGATTCACCGCGCGACTGTCGGATCAGGCGTGGCGCACCGACGAGTTTAGCGTGCTCGTTGGCAATGTTAGTTGGATGGTTGTCAAATGTTGTCAAATGCTTTACGCCGTAGCTCACTTTAGTTGACAAAAACGGAAAAAGAACGAGATTTCTCCTTTTTCTGTATTTCAGCATCTTAGGTGGTACCCAAGTGCTACAAAGGAGATCTCGTAAGAATGAGAACTGATACATGTTCTCATTCCGACAGTTTGCATTTTTTGTACCACCGTAGTTTGGCAACTTTTGTCTGACCACGTCTAGATGAGAGACTGTAGTTTAAAGGACCAGGGAACCCAAAATTTTTTTGATTTTTTTGTGAAATGTTTTTGTGACTGTTTGAATTGTCTCTTATTGCCTCATACACTCGTGAAATGCTGCCTCTCAAAAATGCCAATGAACGAAACGGCATGCAGTTGAAGTTGTGGCCGTGGCCTAGCGCCAATGGCCGAAACATATATAAAAATATATGCGCTTCTCGGCCATTTTATTTTTTCCGCTTTTTTACCGGTTTTTCTCCAAAAATTCACGGTTTCTCCCATTTTGGCACTTCATATCAACTGAATGAAAACAATTTTTTAGCAGTGAAAAAATAAGTAAGTGCCGAACTAATGTCAATCAACTGAAAAATGACAGAAACCGTGAATTTTTGGAAAAAAACCGGTAAAAAAGCGGAAAAAATAAAATGGCCGAGAAGCGCATATAATTTTATATATTTTTCGGCCATTGGCGCTAGGCCACGGCCACAACTTCAACTTTTGCGAGGCAGCATTTCACCAGTGTATGAGGCAATAAGAGACAATTCAAACAGTCACAAAAACATTTCACAAAAAAATCAAAAAATTTTTGGGTTCCCTGGTCCTTTAAGGGTATATGATATCTGCAAAAAATCACTGAAAAACGCTGCTGTCGATTCAGAAGAACCATTGCCCACGTCGGAACACGGAAATCTCGTCGCCGCGCCTCCAGATGGCGATGGATTCGCACATGCGTCAGTTCACGTGCACCACGAACAGCCAGTCGGCCGTCAAATCCGTATTCAGATCCGGTTAGTCAGAAACTCGTCAAAAGTATCATCAATATAACAAAACTTTGCAGACTGGTTCAACTTTGGCAACAAACTGAAGCGAGACACGTGGCGCGTGCTCCGCGTCACCCTACTCATGCCGTTCCTTTGCCTTTTGCACGCCGTGTGTCCGCATCGAGGCACCACAATGTCGATTCCGTACGCTCGATTCATGGCGCACATTTGTGCCTACGTCTTGTTTCTGGCCACCACCATTCTTCGCTTGTGTACGCTTTTTTCGAAGGCCCATTTTGTCAGACTGTTTCTGGACTGAAATGTTTTGGGCTCAAGTTTCTGCTGGCCGATCCGTTAATTTACTCTGCTACAGACTTTTCGACCCCCATTCACATTTTTCTATAGTAAATGGAAATTTGGAAGCCGATGCACCGTTTGTGAAAATGAGCATTTTTGCAGTCAATTGGAATTCGCTAGTTTTCGAAGGATACATGTACGCGTACATATTCGGTTTGGCACTCGAACGCGCACTTTTGTACTATCGTGTCGGAGCCGACGTCTTTTTTGCGTTTTGGTGGAGATGGTGAGCACTTTTTGTATACGGAAATCCATTGAAGATAGTAGACCGCGCCACGGTCTCAAGAGCTGACAATATGGGCGTGGCTTTCGCGCCAAATGGAGTTTTCATGAATTGAGCACTTTGCCTCGGATTCTTGTTTGTCAAGAATGATGAAAAATGATATTTTCACATGCAAACATAACAATTCGTCGGAACAATGACGGCGCGGTCTCCCACGGCGCGAATGATTTCAATGGGGCGCACTTGCAACAGGCGGGCTGTGTCGATTTACGCGGCGGCCGATTAATTAGTTTTCTGTACAATACACCTATTTTTTGTACGCCTAGAACCTGGATTCGAGCATTTAGAGCACTAGCTACGTTTTGGTAACAGAAATTTCGCATATCGTTGAGAATTAGCCGAGTTATTTCGATTTGAAGGTTTTAGCCTGGATTTTGATGTTTTTCGAATAGTTTTCGAAAACTGCTCAAGAAGACTAACCGCCGGAACCTGAATTTTGTGAAGAAAGATTCAGCGAACATTTTGGGCTCATGAAATGCTCATGAAATGCAAAATGAGCTGAAATATAAAGGTTTGAAGTTTTGACGAAATGCGAAAAAGACGCTAAAAACATGAAAAACTCTAAATTCTGTAAAGAACGGTTTCCAATCAGTAAAATATTGTTTTCTAGACGTTTTTCAAGTCAAAAAAAAAAGAAATAAAGGCGCCCCCTGGGAGACCGTGGAAGGTATGGTTCATTTTCCGCGAATTTCGCTCTTTCCTTTGCCGCCGATCGCCGCCGAAAACCCAAACTTCTAATTGCGCATTCTTCATAGTTTTCAGACAAATCACGCAAATACAAGCATTTTGAGTGCTTGAAGAGTTGAAGTACGAAAATTTAAAAAAAAGCAACTGAAATTCGCGCAGTTTTGGCGGAAAAAAAGAAAAAATCACCGTGCGCTTTATTTGGCGGGGCACCCATTCTCGTTAATTGTAATCTTCTTTTTTTGTCAGGTTTGACACGTTTCTGATCTCGGCCTTCCTCCTCTCCTGCCTCTTTTTAATCTATTCGAAAACCGGATTCGAGCCCGTCGACGCTTCGAAAGTGGACAGAGTACACTGGGTAAAAATGTCGCCTAAAAAATGTTCAAAAATTTCAATTGCAGCCGTCTGCCGAATACGACCTTTTCCACGAGATTTTCCTATCGATCGCCTGCGTTTTGGGCATTTCCAAATGCTTTTACTATTTGCAAATTGTCAAGGGAATCGGCGGATCTGTGGTACGAATTGAACGAAATTTCGAGAGTGTGTCGTACTGGGAAGATTTTCAGATTTCGGTGGGAAAATGCGTCGGAAAAGTGTACACGTACATTATTATTATGATTTTGCTCATTTTCTCGTTTTCCGTCGGATTAAACGTATTGGTGGGACCGTATTTGAATCGGGAATCGATTAAAAAGGACGGAAGTGTCGACGAGAGCACCACAAAGTCCTACGGAAAGTGAGTGGGGGGCGGATGCACAAGCGAGTTCTAAACAAAGCGGATTTGCATCATCTAGCTAACTGAAAATCGCCATTTCAGACTCATTAGTTTAAAAAGTACGGTAGTTTTTTTTAAAAGGCGTAGCACGAACTTTTCGCACGCGAATTGGAAGGCGGCGTTTGTGTGTGAAATTTTCGAGAAAAAAAGTGTTTTCCAGCCTGGCGATGTCGACGAAGAACCTGTTCTGGTCGATCTTTGGCTACCTGGGACCGTCGACGTACGTGACGGCGGTCGGGAACGCCGGAAGGGACCTGGAGCCGGCCGGCCACCCGTTCAACTCGGCCACTCTCGAGATTTTGGGCGGTCTCTTCCACGGAATCATCATAATCACCATTCTGAATCTGATGATCTCGCTGCTCGTCAAGAAAGCGGACGAAGTGCTGGACAACGAGGAGATGGAGTTCAAGTACACGCGGGCGGCCATTTACGCCGAGTTTCTGTCGTGGGAGATGGCCGCACCGCCCCCGTTTAACCTGTTTTTGGTGCCGATGCACCTCGTGCACAGGACTTTTGTACGTTTGTTTTGTTTGCGTCAGTTTCAGGCGAAAATTGCTATTTCATTTTCCAGTTGCATCGCCTGTACGAATCGCCGAGTTGGGGTCAAAAACCGGTGGAGGATAAGGACGAAGAGCGAGCGCAACAGGAGCAGTACATGGTAAAACGATGTTTGTAAACCTGATAATTTGCGACCATTTTTTCGCAGAAAGTCCTTTTGACAATTTTCAAACGATTCGTGGCGGCGAAAGAGTGCAAATACAAGTCGATTTGGAGATCCGAATTTGATGTAAGTTGGCAAAACGGAAGTTTGCGAAAGAGAGAAAAAAAACAAGAGTTTTGTCAAAAGCTGACACGAAAAACATTGGTTGCGTGTCCTATTGCTGCTTGTTTGAAGAAATCGAGTGATTCACGGTCTCCCAGGGCGCTAATGCTAAACACAGTGCGCTCGTAAATTGCGGAGTGTCGTTGTAACTTTTGAAAATTTGCAGGTCTAAAAATGCAGTTCAATTCGAGTTTACGACCTTTATTTCTTTCTTTTTGACTTGAAAAACGTCTAGAAAACAATATTTTACTGATTGGAAACCGTTCTTTACAGAATTTATAGTTTTTCATGTTTTTAGAGTCTTTTTCGCATTTCGTCAAAACTTCAAACCTTTACATTTCAGCTCATTTTGAATTTCATGAGCCCAACGAACAATAAAAATGTTCGCTGAATCTTTCTTCACAAAATTCAGGTTCCGGCGGTTAGTTTTCTTGAGCAGTTTTCGAAAAATATTCGAAAAACATCAAAATCCAGGCTAAAACCTTCAAATCGAAATAACTCGGCTAATTCTCAACGATATGTGAGATTTCTGTTACCAAAACGTAGATAGTGCTCTAATTATTCGAATCCGGGTTCCAGGCGTACAAAAAATAGGTGTATTGTACAGAAAACTAATTAATCGGCCGCCGCGTAAATCGACACATCCCGCCTGTTGCAAGTGCGCCCCATTGAAATCATTCGCGCCGTGGGAGACCGTGTGATTTTCGAAAGTTCAAGCTGAAAATCGATAATTCTGTTTTCAACGTTTATTTTTCATAGCAAACGACGATGGAGAGCATTAAATAGGAAGAGAGAGAGCTCTCGTTGCGAAAAAAATTATCAATTTGCAGAAGGAGGAGAAGCAGGCGTGCCGCGTGGCGTACCTCTCGTCGGGCACCCGTCCTGCCTCGTTGGACAACACTTTCGAGGGCGTCCGCTGGCGGAATCGACGGAAGATGGAGCGCGAGGCGAACGAGCCGAACTTCCACGTGGACGAATACTATACGCATCCGGGGAAGGGCATGGCGCGCGAGAAGGCGATGAGCAAGCAGATGCCGATAGAGAAGACGGAGCCGCCGACCGGGACCAAGTTGGAACCGTTGCCCGTGGTGGTGCAGACGCCCGCGCAGCCCGTTTGAACAAGATTCGACAATGATAATAAAGATTGTAAGTACGGCAACCGTTCCGTTTCGCTTTTTTTGGTCATTGCTGAAAAGATGATAAGTATGCGTGATCACAGATCACTTTACACCTCGTAAAAGAAGAAAAACGCCCACGCGTTTTGCGATTTCCAGTTCCGAAACCGCGATTCGCTTTTTTCGCTGATTCATTTCGTATCAATCAATAATTATGATCGTAAACGGATAATATCGAAAAGAAGAAGAAGAGAGAGAAAGAGAAAGAGAGAATGATAATATGATAACGACCAGCTAAATGAAGAAGAAGTGTGGACGATACATTCGGTTTCATCTTCTTCTTCTTCTCCTCCTCGCTACTCTTGTTGTTGTTGCTGTTCGTTTGAAATTTGATATTGTAGTGTTCTAGAAGTTTTTTGAAAGGATTATTTTGGGGTGAACTGACCGCAAGTTTTGAACGATTAGTTTCAAATCGATTCCGATCTGGAGAGATAGTGAGCAAGACTTTCAGGCCCTACATCAGTACATGCCCAAACTTGGACCCAAGCCTGAAATAGGGACCGCTTCGAAACTCCCCGAATGATATTCTGTCGGTTCTTTTGCTCAACACAAGCTCTACGCTTTCACTCGCGTCACGGACTTTCCGATCCAACTCAAAGAACTGCAGTACACATTCAAAGTGCTCACCGGGGCGAAGGGCATGCAGACGTCCGGCGAGTTCTCGGCACCTTCTCGGATTCGATGAACTCTCTGCAGAGCTATGATCTTCTTGTTTTGTCTCAATTGGATACACGAGAACAGTTGGGACGAGCACAAGAGTCTTCTTTCGATCCCGATCAGATTCGAGCATGTTTGGTCCAAGTTTTGGAAGCTATCAATACCAGAACGTCTCCGGTTCCCGTTCCCATTCCCATGTGCATTCCCATCATCTGTGTCTGATCGTTGACCCTCACCCTCTCGCTTCCAAGAGACCCCCTTCTTCTTCTTCTTCTTCTTCTTCTTCTTTCGGTCCCACTCACCACTCCCTCTCTTTTTCTTTCCATTTCCATCCCTCTAATCCATGTCCATCAATTTCCGATGACGTGTCTCTTCTCACTATTCCCAATGGGAAACCGCGCCGACCGAAAAAAAGTGGGATTTGGGAGAAGAAGAAGAAGAAGCGCGCCGAGAAATGCGCCGATTGTAACTCGGTAAACCTCTGCAACTTCTCAGTAAACGTTTGGGATGATCGCAGCTTTTTTTTTAACTTTTAGCCATCAGAAGTTGGGTAAAAGTTGCAGAGATTTGCCGAAAAGCTCTGGAGACCGTCTAGCATTTGTGTGCCAGGAAGACTCGTCAAAATAATTCGGTCGAGAAGTGCTGCCAAAACTGTGAACTGTACACATGTTTTCGGTCGATTTCATCTCAAATGTTTCTCTCTCTCTCTCTCTCTCTCTTTCTCTCTTTTTTGCCACTAATAAGATCAACATTCCACACTCTCATAATGGGGAATTACCCCCTGACAATTGTGGAAAAAAAAAAGTTTTCCCATATTCTTCACTAGTTTCTCGCTATGTCTTCCCCAGATCCATTCAATTTTGTGTAGAACACACACACACACGTACATTTCCTCCATTTCTTCCCCAAACTCTCTTATTTTTGCCCACTATTTCTGTGGGAAGGTCCTCCTCCACATGTGTTTGTGATTCCATTTTATTTATTCCTATTTTTTGACCCCACTTTCCTCCTTGCTCTCACAACGCTTGCCTTTAGACGGAGAAGAGTTTGCTTCTTCTTCTTCTTCTTCTTCTTCTTCTTCTTCTTCCCCTTCCCCTTCTCGTTCCCCTTCTTCCTTCTTCGACCTTATCATATCAGTGTTGAAACGAAAAATAAAACAATAGCGAGATGGGTGGGGTCTCCTAGTTTGAGAACTGGACAATATCTCTGGTCTTGAGAAATGAAAAGAAAAGGGCCCTTTGTTTACTCAATGTCCCTCCTCATCACCACTAATTTTGCGGGTTACTGTAGAAATTTTGAACTAATTCCAGACCACTGTGGCGCCGATTTGTGATCTTCGAATATTGTACTTTTCCGAAAGATTTGTGTCATTTTTGATTATCATTAGTCAAAAGTAGTTCCTGACGAACTGGTTTTGATTTTAGTTTGAACCAGGGCTGGGCAATGAACTTTTGACCCACATGCAATGATCCGATTGGGTCCAAACTCAGCAGGATTTTTGAACTTGGATTGAGGGCCATTGGGACCAAGTTTCAGACCGATCGGACCATCCGGTCCCGAGATATGTGGATCATGGCCGCAAGTTTTGCAAAAACCCGGGATTTTCGGCCAATGGCCCACATATCTCGGGACCAGATGATCCGATCGGTCTGAAACTTGGTCCCAATAGCCCTCAATCCACGTTCAACAATCCTGCTAAGTTTGGACCCAATCGGATCACTGCAAGTGGGTCAAAAGTCTAGGCCAAAGACCGGTCATAGTTTGAACTTTTGCCCCCTCATCTTTTTCCGTAAAAAACAAATATTGTAAATCAATTTTTTCTTTCTCCATTCGGAACTGTTTAGTTGACGTGGCAAAGGAATGTTTGTCCTCAGGCTGCGCCCATTTTTCACTCGAATTGAAACCAGTTTCAAAAGAAATTAAGAGACGATCGGAAAGCGATCGGAAATTCAGAAAAGGACAGTATTCATTAAAGATGGACTCAACCTCATCTCATAAGCACTTTCTTCTCGGCCTCTGGTCCGCAAATCTCGGGACCAGATGATCGGATCGGTCTGCAACTCGGACCCATTTCACTTCAATCCAATAGTCCACGCCTCACCAAAGTTCCAAAGATCCACAATATTTGCGCAAAAGTGTCAAAAATCGTTTTTTTTTCTCTCGCCCAAATTCTTTTGTTTGCTCCAGTTTGCTCGTGCTCTTTGGCAACACGGAGCAGCCCAGCAAAAAAATCTGATGCTTGAAAAATGTCTCATTGCCACGTCATCTCGACGACTTCCGCCCCCCAATCCATCCATCCTTCTTTCCATTTTTCTTCTCTTTCCCCTCGTCTCCATGTCTCATCTCATCCCATTTCTGTACAGTTTTCCCACTATTATCGCATGCGCCATACACATTTCCAACAATGTTCTTCTGTAACATTTCACAATTTCCTCAAACGATTACTGTAGCTTTAAAAGACCACAAATCTCACTGAAATCTGTGTGTCCGTTTTTTTTTCCCCGTCTAAATTCGATAGAAAACGTGTGGTGCGTCGTTTCGGCCGTAATCGTTCGCTATGTTGTTTCTAACCGAATTATGTGAAGCGAAAGCTTTTTTTTTGCACCCCAAAAAGTGGAAGACCACTTTCGCGATTCACTTTCACATTCACAACTGCAAAGTTATTGTCGGTTTGCGATTCGATTCTCTGGAATGATTCTGGAATGTTTTTGAACTTTTGACCCACTTGCAATGATCCGATTGGGACCACACTTTGCAGGCTTCTAGGGCTTGGGTGTATGGATATTGGGGCCAAGTTTCAGACCGATCGGACTATCTGATCCCGAGATATGTAGATTGGAGCCCGATAAGACCGTGCTTACGCCAAAATTGCGCGGCCTTTTCGGCCTCTGGTCCACATATTTCGGGACCAGACTCCCCTAGAAGCGTGCAAAGTTCGAACCCGATTGGATCATTGCAAGTGGGTCAAAAGTCCAGGCGTCTTTTTTCTCAATCTCTTTCTCATTTTTCGCAATAATCTCAACAAATCCCCCCATCTTTTCTAGGTACCGTAATCGGGTGCTCTGCCCCAAATGTGTGGTTGAGAGTGCGTGTCTGTCGGCTGAATCCCTCTCCCGTTATCGCAAATGTTCTATGAAGGTCCTCCTGCTGCTCATCATGTCCCTCTCCGCCCTCGTTTACACATATCCCTACAGTAAGACTCGCTCTTGTCGGATTTGTTCTATATTTGAGGTCTGAGTGCCCCGGGAAACGATTTTTGTCAATATTGGGTCCCAACGGATATTGGGTCCCAATATTGTGGATATGGGTCTAGCTAATGTACAGTCCCTAGGGTAGTACCAGGGGTGTGCGGAAAATATTTCGATTTTCCGAAATTTTCCGATTTTCCGAAAATGTTCGGCAAAATTTTCGGAAAATTAGTGTGGATTCAAGGTCAATTTGTCCGAAACCACCGTATGCTTTTTAAAGGCGCATCACAAAATTTCGGAAAAAAAAACTGACAATCGGAAAACACTGGACCCGGAGAGCTTCTCTCGGCTAATTTTTTTGCAAAAAAATATTCCATTGCTTGGCTTCCGCCCACTCAAGTGATTTCAAATCATAATAAGCATTTTTTTGTATTAGAACGTTGTTTAAACACTTTATTGAACCAATGAACAAGTGAGTTTTCCGATTTTTCCGATTTTTCCGAAATTTTCCGAAAAAAAAAATTCGGAAAAACCGATTTTCCGAAATTTTCCGAAAAAAAAAATTCGGAATAACCGATTTTCCGAAATTTTCCGAAAAAAATTTTCCGCACACCCCTGGGTAGTACCAGAGTTGAGCGGAAGAACTCAACGGAAAAACACGGAAGAATTTTTATCTTTTTTAGAAAATTTTTTCATGAAATGTGATCAACTGAGGAAATGTATAGAAAAGTGAACTCTGCTCAAAAAAAAATATTTGTAAATTTAGCTTTTCATACAAAGAAGTTATTCGAGTTGTTGTCCTTCCGTCTTCGGTTAGCCCTTTTTCACGGAACAACTCGAATAACTTTTTTGTATGAAAAGTTAAATTTACAATTATTTTTTTATGAGCAGAATTCACTTTGCTATACATTTCGTCAGTTGATCACATTCCATGAAAAAATTTTCTAAAAAAGATAAAAATTCTTCCGTGCTCTTCCGTTGAGTTCTTCCGCTCAACTCTGGGTAGTACCCACACAGAGTGGGTTATGCCAAAAAAAAAGCAATTTATCTTCAAATTCCAGAAAGATCGTCCGGATTCGAGCGCCTACGCGATCGAATTCATCGTAAAAGACATCGACATCAAAAGGTGAATTCCTCATTTGCACCCACTAAACCATTCAATTTCTGCGGTTTATTTGCATAAAGAGAAGCGAGGAATCCGATTAGAATTCTCCTTTTTTCTTCCTCTTCTTCTTATCCAAACACATTCATTTCTCTCACTCGGCAGGAGGTCTCTGTGAATAAGATTTATCGATGACAGAAAGAGCGGTGGAGACGGACAATAGCGGATGGTCGTCGGAGGAGGAGGAGGGGATCGAAAATGCATTCTAGCAACATTTTCAATGTTTCAGTCGTCGGTGCTCAACGAGACGGACGAGTTGTTTGAGATGTCGCTGCTTTCGGCGATTGACAATGCGAAGGAGAATGAGAATGATGACGTGGCATCTCGGATTCGATCCGAAAAATCGATACCGACGACGGCGGCGACAGTATCCCATCACCGACATCATCATCATCATCACAAAAAGGTATTATAAATGATTTAAAATCTCATTTTAAAATCGAGACGTTCAGAACCGTCGCGAGAAAAACGAGGATCTTTGTCAAAGCCAACGAAAGACGGTAGAGCTGAATACGCAAAGGTGAGCGAGAGTGGTCGGTACTGTAGTTTCCGAAATCCCTTTTGCAGTCACGAGTTCGATCCTCCGTTCGTTGTGGAAGTACGGTGTCTGAACACGCCCACCACCGCGCTCGGAGGCATTTTTTCCTCCGGCGGTCAAGAGCAGACGTGCTTTAAAGGAATGCTCCGATGCGTTCAACAGTACGCCGATGTGAGTTGTAATCCCTGTTCATCTTGGCACTTTTCTTAGTGACGCTCTGAGTCAGAAGCCCTTTTTTCACGGAACAACTCGAATAACGTTTTTGTATGAAAAGTTAAATTTACAATTATTTTTCTACGAGCAGAGTTCACTTTGCTCTACATTTCGTCAGTTGATCACATTCCATGAAAAAATTTTCTAAAAAAGATAAAAATTCTTCTGTGTTCTTCCGTTGAGTTCTTCGTTTTGGCGCAATTTCCGCAGAACTCGTTCTTTCGCTTTCGACGCCGAAAAACCGCGCATCTCACTTTGTGTGTCGTCTGTTTTCTGACAAATCACGTAAGAATAAGCATTTTTGAGCGGCGCTCGAGCAACTGAAATTCACGCAGTTTTAGCCAAAACCCTATAAACGGATAAATCTTAATGGCTACTCGACCAAATTTGGTCGGACTTTGAAATAGAACTTGTCTCGGAATGAATCTGTTTCGGAATACGCCAAAAACTCAAAACTCGACGAGAATTGTTCCATTTCGGAACAGTTCTTATGGGGTTATTCAGGCTGTGAAAAAAATGATTGTTTTCCGTTTTTTTTACGTCAAAAAATCCAATTCAGCGATGTAAAAAAACGAAAAAAAAACGGAAAACAAACATACGCTGAATAGCCCCATTACTTATTTGAATACCTGGATGTGAATTTTAAAATCAATACATTTGTGTTGATTTGTGCTCTAGCTCTAGCCGGCCATCGTTTTTTTTTCCGTTTTTCGAAGCAGTTCAACAACGAAATTTGTATTTCGAAACAATTTCATTTCAAGACAAGTTCCCGCTCTTGCGCCTAAACAATTCCTTTCAGCCTTTTCAATTGTTCTATCGCTAACACGAAAAGTGCTTTTAAATTTTGAATTTTGCGCCAAAATCTGGTTTTTTTGGCGGGGCGCCCATTGTAAGCTGTGGAGAAAATGAATCGAATAATCTTACAGGTGCACGTGACTCGCCGCGGCGTCGGTTCGATGCACTGGCACCCGTACACGGTGCCCGACGTGCCCGTTTCGTGCCAATGCATGTGGCCCGTGGATCGATACGGTCATCAAGAGTTCTAGTCGTCGCACAAACAATTCTAGTACAAAAATCGTCGTCACACGTTTCGCTTTTTCTCCCGCATTTTTTTTTTACAATTCTAACGGGTTCCAATGGATTCTTCTAATCGGAGAACGAAAATAAAATGCATGTTTTGGACAACAGACAACGAGAAAACAAGGAAAAATTATCAAAAAATTCAAATTCTTCTGCGGAGCTCCACAATCCTCCTCGGCACCGATGCGGCGATGATTTTGACGACGGCAGCCGTCAAAATCCTTTTTTTGTTCACAAAATCGCAGAAAGCCGGCACATTTCCGCCGACGCCAAACAAGAAGAACTTGGCGGCGAAGTATATGCAAAAATATTAATTTCTTTTAACTTTTACATTTTTTTAGGGTTAAATTGAGCTATGTCGGCCGGTGGCCGAGGGGTCGCGGCCTAGAAAGCGCCTGGTTGTAAATTTACGGCGGCCGTGTACTTCAAACTCTTTTGCTGCATTTTTTCTGAAATTGAAGTGAAATTCATGAAATTTTAGGTCAATTTATATTACATAACGTTCTTCAGGTGCTTTTTCACTTAGGGTTTCGAATAATTATCTAAACTTTAAGGAAAATTGCCGAAAAACCAAAAACTAACGCAATTCCGTCGTCTTTTAGCGTTGCGGTGACGGCGTCATGAAGCGCCGGGTAGTCGTCCTCGTTGTAGATGGTTTCCGACGAGATAATATAGTCGAATCTGCAAAAAATTTGAAAATTTTCATCCAAAAAACCGTTTTTAAGCTCATTGTTTTTCTTGCAACTTCGCGGGCACCTCATCCCATCCCATCGCTTCGCCGCTAATTTTCGCCGAATGTTCGTTCACCTCGAAATTGGGCAAGAGAAAAAAAAACTCGATGACGGAGGCGCTGTGATAGGTTGCACGCAGGGGTGTGCGGAAAATTTTTTTCGGAAAATTTCGGAAAATCGGTTTTTCCGAATTTTTTTTTTCGGAAAATTTTGGAAAAATCGGAAAAATCGGAAAACTCACTTGTTCATTGGTTCAATAAAGTGTTTAAACAGCGTTCTAATACAAAAAAATGCTTATTATGATTTGAAATCACTTGAGTGGGCGGAAGCCAAGCAATGGAATATTTTTTTGCAAAAATTAGCCGAGAGAAGCTCTCCGGGTCCAGTGTTTTCCGATTGTCAGTGAGAATCAGGGGTGTGCGGAAAATATTTCGATTTTTCCGAAATTTTTCCGATTTTCCGAGAAATTTTCGGAAAATCGGAAAAATTTCGGAAAAATCGAAATATTTTCCGCACACCCCTGGTTGCACGCGTGCGGCACGTGTCTCATGAAGTTCCAATCGGTACGTGCAGGAAAAAAACATTTGTTTTTCTCATCTAAAGTTATGTGTTGCAGGATCTGTTTCTGGCGGACCATTTGCTGAACGTGCACTCAGTGCAACTCTTCTTTCGGATGTTTCTAGAGCCGGCCTGCGGCCTTCAATCGGCACCTCACTGTTTTTTCACGAAAATGCGCTTCCACACGTGTCTCAGTACGTTTTTGGCACAAAACTGACCTGAAACTCGTTGCTTATTTCATATGCTGCGAAACGCGTTTTACGACGACCGAACTGTGTGAAAGGCATGAGCAGGAGCACTTTAAGTATTCAGAGTATGTGCAGAAAAACATTTCAAGCTAGAAAAATTGTTTTCAGATTGAATGGAACCGACGCCCAGTGCTGCCCAATCTGTGGAACGATGGAAATGTGGTCGCTGCCCAAAGATGTACGCAATTTTCAATCTAAAGAAACCCGGAAAATCGCCCCGATTTTCGGCACTTTTCAATGCGTTTTGTTTCAGCGCTCGACCGATTCGCTGCAATCGCATCTCGTCCGCCACGAACTCGATTTTCGCGTCGCGTGAACAATGTGTGTTTACAGTTCAACATCCTCCTCAAATCGCACCTTTCGACACGCGGCGAGCTCGTCGTCACAACGGGCGCCGAATATCAGAACTATGTGGGACTGAAGGTGGCCGGACGGACCCAATCGACCGTGAGACGGACAATATTGCCGTCGACAGGCCCCTCCACTTGCACCTGCACTTCTTCTTCTTCGGCTCAACCGACGGGACCGCCGACACGAAATCCGATCACGGTCTCGCTCGCGGACCGCGGAAATGCGGCACTTTTATCGATTGCCGTCTCAATTGTTGGAGACCAATAAAAAGAATATTCAGGTTTTTTCATCGACCCTTTTGTAACATTTCCTCCGTTCGTTTGCCATGTTTCCTTACGGATTTGCAGGTTTTCCAACTTTTTCCTCATTCCCACTCGTTTCTTGAGCCAACATCCCGGAGATTTATCACTTTTTATGCAATTATTTCATCGCTGAGCTTTCCTTTTCCACTGCCAACCCCGCACTTTTTCGGTCCCATTTTGTTATGATTGTGATGAATAGCAATTTTTCGAATAATTTTTGACAATTTCCGTGTTTTCAATGATTTTTGCAGTTTGAAGTCTCAAATTATTGTATTTACATTTTCTTATCATTTCCGACGGTCGGAAAACTGTTTGAGAACGTCCAAAGCAACGATTTCTTTCGAAAATGTCGTTGCTTATCGATCTCAAGGCGCCGCGCCGCGCATTTTTGCTCATTCAGAGACGGAGCTCAAGCTCACACGCACACACACACGCATAATCGACATTCGAAAACACGACGACGACGAAGAAGAAGAAGAAGAAGAGACACGGGAGAGAGAGTGCTCGAAATGTGCTCCGTCGCGGTGTTATTGGTGGTGGTGGCGCCCGAAACGGGAGAGCGACAAAAAGAAGGGGAAGAAGAAGAAGAAGAAGAGGGGGGCCAATCGTTGTCGAAAAATGAGACACACACTTGCCGTCGTCGAGCCGAGCCGAGCCGAGCCGCGAAGAAGAGCTCACAAAGAGGAGACACTCGGCCGTTTTCGTTTTTCTTCCGTTTTTGTCGGTCGTTCTCGTTTCGGCCACCCCGTAGTCACTCGGTTTTTCAATGCTCTTTTGGCCTTTTCAGGCCCAGAAATAGGAGGCGCACGGCCGCTTTGGTTTACGGTAGGTCCCCTGAAACCCAAGGGCTCGCCACGAAAAGAAATTTGCCTCCTTGACTCGATTTGCTCAAAATTGAGGCACTTTTGTTGATCTATCCAATGGTATAGGTAGCTTCAGAATTAATTTTTAGCCTTTGGGCCTATAATCTTCTTTTCGAGCATTGTCACCTACAGAAAAACCAAAAATCAGAAAGTGTATCCTAAAAACAGAAGAAGAATGTTTACTGGATTCCCACGACTCAGTTACCCATAGAAACACGTGAGCTTTCTCTGATAAACTCTTCTTCTTTTTGCTACTGAACTTTGCTGCTGCCTCGGCTTGGACTTTTAGGCCACTTGTGGTGATCCGACCGGCACCAGGCTTTTTGGGGTCCAGTCCGATCCGATCATCTGGTTCACAGATTTATTTACCAATTCATGTGCATCTCCCGGACACTCACCTGGCTATTAGCACAACGAGCTAGTTGTCATGGCGATAGGTTTCTAAAATATAATCCCGGGGTCCCTACTAGTCCATCTCTATTGTTTGTTTCCTTCGAATGCATAGCTAACCAGTGGGACCAGTCAGCAGTCACGCGAGCATTCAATGTGTTTGATATTATTATGAAAAGTCAAACAATTACTTTCGACACGCAATCCAACCGGGACCACGAAGCGTTGTGCTGACTTTTGGGCTAGATCTAGTGATTTGAGCTTTCAACTTTTTGGCATAGTTGCCACGGGCCGGGCCGGGCCGAAATTTCCAAAACTCCGGCCCGGTTCAAAAAGCGGGAATTCAAAATTTGAATTATTGATCGCATGAAGCCATTTTTTGTAGAATTAGGGGTTTTTTGCAAGCATCGAACATTGAAAAACAAATGTATTTCTCATAAAAAATTCATAATAGCAAAAAAACAAAGAAGAAACACTAAAATTTTAGTTCGAAAATTTTTTTTGTAATAACGAAAAAAAAATTTCCGCGAAAATTTGAATTCCCGCCTTTTGAACCGGGCCGACCGGGCCGGGCCGGCACTTCACCGGCCCGGCCCGGCCCGCATGGCCGGCCCGAAATCTGGCAAGTCTGCTTTTTCGGACCGACCTGGTTCCCACTGGTTGAACCCAGCACGACATTTTTGGATGCTTTTTCTATTCAACATTTCCTTTCTCGTCGCATAACTTTCCGCTCGTTTTTCGGACGGTCCCAGTCGATCGACGATCGTGTCGGGCTCATCGCGGCGCGTCGAACGAGTGCGAAACGAGCGACGAGAGAAGACCACCAAAAACGACGGGACGGCCCCGGCCGACCGACCGGCAGGACTCTCCCTCTTTTTCTTTTAACGTCTGGACCCGGCGGATAGAGAGAGAGAGAGGAAGAGAAAGTGAGAGACGCAGACGAAGAGAGAACAAACGACCTAGACGCGCCGCAGAGACATCAAAAAGTGAGGAGAGGGGTGAGCGAGTGGGACCGCCGACGGGAGAGCACTATTTAGCCGGTGTTCTGCCCGCGGAGAGCGAGAGAAAATGTCATCGAGATGCGGCGGCGGCGGCGGTCCCCCATCGACCAGCCCGCCGTCGCCGCCAGCACACCCAACACCACACCGTCGTTTCTCCACACGTTTCCGTGCCGTTTTCCTCGTTTCAGTTGGTGCATGGTCCCGAGCGATCGGACACTGTTTTTCTTCGTTTTTGGAACCTTTTTGATCTCTGGAACTTCTCGAATCTTCCGGCTGAACGCTTTTTTGGCCTTTTTGATTCTTGTTTTTTTTTTCTAATAAAAGTCCAACAGTTGGAGACCCGAACCGGCAGGATTCGTTTGTCATCCTTCTTCTTCTTCTTCTGTCTCTCTCCCTTTCTTTCTTCGTCTCCATTCGGGCGGTCCCCGCAAAACGGAGCCGTGCGCGCAGCCATTCATCGCTTATTCGCCCCGCGGTCCCGCTCGTCCGGATGAGATCCTGGAAGAAGGGCAAAAGAGTTGGCTATTTTTGTCCGAGTCGGTCCCCGGCAGATTTTGTATGTCTCTTTCTTAATCCGAATCTATCTTCTCAACTCCTTGTCTCGTGCTCTTGTTTGCAAGTCTATAACATCTTTTCTAAATGCTTCTAGACAATTTAACTGTATCTCAGTTGCCTGTAGAGATATCGAAAAGTGATGAACTGACAATATATGCACAATTTTATTTAGAACATTTTATCAGTTGAAAACTTTTCGAAATCTCCACCGCCAACAGAGATATATCGTTTCGAGTGAACAAGACGCTAAACCCCCATAAATTGGCGGTGTACAGTCCATCCGCTCCCACTTTTTCTATTCGTTCGGTCATTCAACCAAAGTGCGTGCTTTCTTTCTGTTATCTGTGTCTCCGCATCGGTTTCTCGTCGCGAATGTACGTGCGCGCACACTAATTCGCTTCGCCAAAGGCCATTTTTGCGGTGGACATTCCATCGGGCGACTGTTCGCTTCTTTCTTTTTGTTAAAGTTCCAACACCAAGAAATTTTCAATGGCAATGAGTTTCAAGCTTTAGTTCGGGCTTAGGCTCCACCTGCAGCTGTCCCCGATTCATAATTTTCTATTGACATTGGTCCCTACTAGCTCTCAACCCGTGCAGATGTTTAACATAATAGAAAGTGGTTTGGAGTGGATTATAATGTTCTCAGCTACCGATGGAGATACCAAAACGCGGTCAACTGATAATATATTCATTTACAAATTGTACACATTTTATAAGTTGACAACTTTTTGATATCTCTATCGCCAACAGAGATATATCGTTTTAAAGGAACAGTATCTTACAGTAAGGGGCCTCGAAGCGATATTGTTCATTCAAAGCGATATATCTTTGTTGGTGTTAAAGATATAAAAAAATTGTCAACTAATAAATTGTTTACCATGAAATGATGCACATTTTATCAGTTGATTACTTTTTGATATCACTTACGGCAACTGTGACACATTGAGTTGAACGCACTGTAAGTCTAGGCCGGTTGTTTGCCAGAATTCTATGTTGCAAGTACGTCCAAACAGTGTCAAACAGCGCCCTCACTATTGGTGTGCCACCAGCCACCACCTCCGCCGACACATCTGTCCTTTTTTCGTTCGCTCGCTCGCTCATGTCACCCTCGCTCCGTCCCTCCGTTGTGTGTGTGTGTGTGTGTGTGTATTCCCTTTTCTTTTCGAGGTCTCCTCATTCATTCACTACTGTCCTTCTCTTCCTCTTCCATACTCCTTCTCCCTCTCCCTCTTCTTCTTCTTCTTCTTCTCCTCGTCCACTTTTTCCCCCCATTTTTCGTGTCGTCCCGATCGGTTAGTCCTCGGCGGTTCGGTTCGGTTTCCGCGTCGGCGGCGGCGGCGTCGTTTTCGTACTCGTCCTTTGGTTTCACTTACACATTTATCGATTTCTGTCTGATAACTCAAACGGACCGAACTTGACGGTTTTGCACGAAATCCAGACGATTTTATCAGATTTCTTGCGAGTGAATGCCTGTAGCAATAAAAAATCATAACTTTCTTCAAAAAAAATGCTAGAGGCTCCAGTTTTAGCTTAAAATGCTCTTAATCATCACAAGAATACCATCAAAATACTGCCCGCTATGCAAAAAAAATCATATCTCACTTCTTATCCGTATTTTTCAAATCTTGTCAATTTTCACTCGATTAGCTAAAATCTTCATTTTTTTTCAGAATCAAGACTACCCCAACTACATGTGAACATCATCTGAGACATCATCATCATCATCATCATCAACATTATCCAACAAAAAAAAAGATGAGCGACACAAACAATCAACTGCTGCTCTTGCTCGCCGCCGCCCAACAACAGCAACAACAACAGCAACAACAACAACAGGCGGCCGCCACGTTTCAACAACAATTGGCCCGATTTCAAAACGCCACGTCATCTTCTGGATCCGCGAATGTCACGTCATCATCAGACGCCAAAAGTCCGGCGCAACAGCAAAATGTTGTGGCGCAACAAATTGCACAACTCGCGCAAGTGGGACTGTTGGCGGCGGCCCAGAAAAAATCGACGCCTACACAATCGACGTCGTCTGGAGCCAGTGCCATGTCATCAAGCGTCGTGCCGGGCATCTCTCCCGAATTGATGATGATGTGGCAACAGGCGGTGCAAATTCAGGCCCTTCAACAAATGATGATGACGCCGCCGCCGCCAAAGTCGCAGATGGAGGAGGCGATCAAAAAAATGATGGAGATGGCGAAGAAGCCGAAAAATGCGACGCCATCGTCGACACCGAATCCGAATGCCACGTCGTCTGACGGAAATAACGTGATGAATTCGGTAATGTGGAACCTCGTGGCCGCGCAAATGCAACAACAGAAAACGCAACAGCAGAAGGAGAATCAGAGGAAAGCGGTTGGTCGTTTTGGAGAATTTTCTGGAAAAAAACGTTATTTATTATTTTTAGGCAAATTATCCTTTTTGTGGTTGTGAAAAACCGAAAAGAACGAAAAAGAACTGTAATTTAAAGCCGCAGGACTCTAATTTTGTCAAAACTTTCGGTTGTTTGGCTAAAATTGTGTTTGTTTAATTTTTTGCAAACCAATTTGCCGCTTTTGAGTAAAAATGCGACAAAAGTTCGATTCTCCGCAACGGAAGATGACCCCTTTTTCTTACAGGAACAAATTCGAAAAGCGCGCGAAGAGGCGAAGAAGCAGCAGAAGGAGCAAGAGATGAAAACGAAGCAACAAGAGGAAATTGTGAAGTTTCTGATGGCGCAACATCAAGTCGGTCAGCAGAAGAAGCAGCAGAAGAAGCAGGAAGAGGCGGCGGCGCTGGCGGCGGTGTTGACGGCGCGCGCGAAGGCCGCCGTGGCCGCGGCGAGCGGTGCGGACCACGCGGAAGAGACGCGGAAGCTCGCGGAGGCGATGATTCGGCTGCCGCTCCAGTTGGGATGGCGGCGGCAGACGTGCGTGCGGAGTCTGACCGCGAACAGCGTCAAAGGAGACGTCTCCTACTTTGCGCCGTGCGGAAAGAAGTTGGGCACCTACTCGGAAGTGGTTAGGGTGAGTAAAAGCGCTCACGATTTTATAAAAACCAAGTTTACAGTACCTCTCGAAGAACGGCATCAACTACATGACGCGCGAGAATTTTGCGTTCACCACCAAAACACTCATCGGCGAATTCATCGTGCCAAAGAGTTCGGAAGCCGACGAGACACGTCAGGAACGCGAGTTCGTGCTCATGACCGAAGAGGAGATGGCCAAGGAGATGACCCGAATGAAAGAGGCGCCCAAGATTACGGTAGCCGCCGCGCTCGCCGCACTCAAAGCCAACTCCGCGGATCTTGACGACGATTCGAAGCTCAAAATGCATTCCTCGGAGGCCACGTCCACGACAGTTGCCCATCGGCATACTGTAATTGAGGAGCCCGAAGAGCCCCTCGACCCCCTGGAGCTCAACGATGAATTTTTGGATGAACCGCATGGGACCGGCGCGCAAAATGGTGGAGTGGTGGTCGCGGAAGAGTGCAAAGCACGGGAACGCGAGACCGACGATCTTTTGGTGAATGCAAGCGATATTCGGCACTTTCCCGAATTTTCTCGAATCCAAAACCAGAATCTGAGCTCGCAGGGATTCGCCGACGCGCTTCAAGTACACGAGTTTGTGCAAAACTTTGGACATGTTCTAGGAATTGGTGAGTATTTTTTGCTAACTATGCAAACGTGCTCCACCGTACTCTACACTCTGCTTGTGAAAAACGTGTGAACAACGAGCAATTCTGATAAAATTTCAATAAAAATGCATAAGTGGAGCGCATCCAACTAGAATTCCATTCGCAAAATCATTTTATCAATATTGTAGATCTGGAAAAAGCGCCGAAACTCGAAGCGCTCTGTTGTGGATTGGCCGGCGACGCCGAGAAAGCCGACTCGATTTTGCAGCTGACTAGGCAATTATTACGGTTGGCTCTCGAATTTCCGGGAATGGGAAACGAGAAGAGGTACGGTAGATTACTGTAGTTTTGCTCTTCTCAAAACCAGTTTTTTTTCCATTCAGATTCGGTCAAGGCGGCGGCGAAATGGGCCTGGATCGCGAGAATTTCAGCGAAGTTATGCGACTCTTCCTCGTCGACAAGGGAAAACGCGGCGAAGAGGTGAGCTGTAATTTTTTTTTTTAGGATTGGCTAATATTTTTTACAAACTGCCAAGATGATTTGCGTCGTTTTCAGCCAAAACAGGAGTATGTAGCATTTTTTTGAACAAAGCTGTGATTTTTCAAAATTGCACCAAATTTTTCTAACTCGCTCAACTTTGAAAAATCATAACTTTGTTCAAAAAAATGCTGCACACTCCCGCTTTGGCTTAAAATGACGGAAATCATCTGGAGACGAACACTTTCCAAAAGATCTCAACCTCCTTATTTTCCAGATTTCCCGCCCACTCCTCAACTCGAATTTCGTGGCGATCAGCGGCGAGGAGAAGGCCGCAATCCTGGCGTTTCTGTGCGATGAGCTCGTGTGCTCACGGAATGTGGTCACCGAAATCGATCGGAATCTCGACGAGATTTCACGTCTACGCGGCGAGAAATGGATGCGCGAGGGCAAGGCGCGCGCGCTCAAAGCCGCCGTGAAAACGAAGAATTTGACCGTTGCTGTGGCTCAAGAAAATCATCAGGAAAGTGACTCGGAACCGCCGACCCGTCCAGTCACACCCAAAAAACCGACAACAACTGTGCCGAACACGACGTCGCCACCAGTGGTCCCTCGAAAGTTCACGCCCGGTCTCGGCCAATGCGAAGTGCTCACCGAGCACGAAGAATCGATGAGCCAGCCGGAAATGGACGCGCTCATCGGCCGTCTTCACGTCGAGGCGCACGAGATCAACGAGAAAATCCACGCGGCGCACCACAAAATTCGCACTTTCCCGTTCGGCACCGATCGTTTTCACCGCAACTATTGGCTGCTCGCGCACACGGACGCGGTGCTCGTCGAGTCGGTCAGCACCGCCGGCGCCCACAATCCGGCGTGCAATGTGCAAGAAATTGCGGCCCGAGATCCGCCGCTTTTGGAGAAACGACTGACCGGATTTGGCGCCGAGTTTTTCGAAAAAATCGATGACGACGTGATCGGCATCGTCGAGGATTTGATCGATGAGGTCGTGTTGCAGCGGGCGCGAGCGGATAAAAAGATGCGAAAACGGTATCGACGCGTCGAGAATCAGATGAAGAGAGGATGGTGGACACTGCCCAATCGGTAAGCCAAATTTTCGGTTTTTTGCTCCGCTGCACTTTGCTTTTCTCATTTTATTGCAGCAAAGCGCGTGAAACTTGAAACTGCTTAAAACAACACTATTTTGACGAAAACTATACTTTCAGAGACTGTATCGAACCGCTGCGAACGGCGCTTCTCGGCCGCGGGATTCGCGAGCGTGCCCTCCACCGACTACTCACCAAGCCGTGGTTCCTCAACGATCTCAAGTTCGGCACCATTTCGCTGGAGCCGCTCGGCGAGCTCACCGACGTGGCACTCGTCGAAGGTCAGGGATGGGTGCGGCTCAACGAGGCGGTCGAAAAATTGCGGATCCATCTGAAGATGTCGGATGTGGCGAGGCCGGAGTACGCGCAGACGGAGCAGAAACCGACGGTTGTTCCGACGACGATGGCGCTGGCGCAAGTGGTGAAGGACGATACGGAGTGGAAGATTTTGGAGGCCACGAACCCGCTGGATCATTTAGATCCGACCGAAGTTCGAAAGAAAATCATCGAAACGGCGGAGATGGTTGATCCGAAATACTGGCGGCCTCGTTTCCGAGCCCCAGAAGATTCCGATGACGTGTGCCAACTGTTCGAAGACTGGAAACAGTACGTACTTGACGAAGCCGAAACCAGCAGCCAACTCATGGTCGCCCTACAAGCGCTCGAAGGAATGATCATGTGGGAGCGTGCGTCGCGAGAGGCGCTTTGTCAAATTTGCAAGAGTATGGACGGAGACGAGATGTTGGTGTGCGATGGATGTGAAAGCGGATGTCATATGGAGTGCTTTCGAGTGAGTTTTGACATACATCCATGTGAATAGCAGAGTTGAGCGGAAGAATTTTTATCTTTTTTAGAAAATTTTTTCATGAAATGTGATTAACTGACGAAATGTATAGCAAAGTGAACTCTGCTCATAGAAAAATAATTGTGAATTTAGCTTTTCCTACAAAAAAGTTATTCGAGTTGTTCCGTGAAAAAAAGGCTAACCGAAGACGGAAGGACATTTTCACGGAACCAATCGAATAAGTCTTTTGTATGAAAAGTTAAATTTACAATTATTTTTCTATGCGCAGGGTTCACTTTGCTATACATTTCGTCAGTTGATCACATTCCATGAAAAAATTTTTTTAAAAAGAGACAAATTCTTCTGTGTTCTTCCGTTGAGTTCTTCCGCTTAACTCTGGCTCTCACCCATAAGGCTGGAGTTCCATTCCTCGCACAGGAAAATGTCTTTTGCTTTCTTTTTTGCTTTGCTTCTCTAAACTGAAAATGTGTCAAATTTGCAGCCCCGAATGACAAAAGTGCCCGACGGCGACTGGTTCTGTCAGCGGTGTCGCGAGGAGAAGTCAGGCCGGCCGATGTGCATGTTCTGCAGCCGCGAGAGTGGAGTGTTGTACCGCTGCCAACGGTGCGCCTACCACGTGCATCAGGAGTGCGCCCAACAAGACGGACCGAAGGAGCCTATCCACGCGGAGACGTTCATTTGTACGCATTGTCAAGAGATGAAACAGATGCGATTCGTGAAAAGACTCATGCTGCGAGGCGAGTCGGAAGAACGAGAGAACGAGGAAGGCGAGCAGGAGCACGAGCCAAAGAATGGTAGTGCGAACGGTGTCGGAGCCAACGGGACCGCACATCATCAGAACGGTGGCGCCAAAGTGGGTCTGAAGCGGAAATTGGAGCCGCAGAGCGTCGGCGGACTTCCGCAGAACATGAACAAGGAGTTGTGTCAGTTGATGCTCGATGAGCTGATGGCGCAGACGAACGCCATTCCGTTTTTGCAACCGGTCAATCCGAAACTCGTGCCCGGCTATAAAATGGTCATTGTGAAGCCGATGGATTTCGGGACGATCAAGACGAAGAACGCGAAGAATTTGTGAGTTTTTGTTGAGCGGCTAAACCTGAAGTATAAACGTTTGCAACTTGATTTCAAAAGTTAACAATATCCGGATCGTGTTAAGTGCAAACTGGAGTATTTGACTCAATTTTTAAGAAAGTTATGGGTCATCAAAGTTGAGCCCGCTCTGATCTGGACTTTAAAAAGTGTTTTAAGCTTTCTTCGAGTTTTGACCTGAAAAATGGGTTAAGCATGTACTAGACAACATGTTTCACAAATTAAATTACAGGTACGAGACCCCGGAAGACTTTGCCGCCGATGTGGAGCTCATCTTCGCGAACTGCCGTCAATTCAACATTGATCACTCGGAAATCGGGCGGGCCGGCATGAATTTGAACAAGTTTTTCCTGAAACGATGGAAACAATTGAAGTACAATTTCACGAAGCGACTACGCAGACTTCATCGTCATTGATTGAAATTATCGATGATTTTTTAATCACTTTTCCCTGTTCTCAATCACATCTCTTCCGGGTTTTTCGACTGTCATTTGTTTTTATGTGAATACTCTCCATTATTATGTACTTATCCTCGTGTACACGTGTACATTTTCAAGCCCCCCCCCCCCTCCTTTTTTTCGTGCAAATACATTTCCCGAACTCAAGTGTGTGTTTCCTATGATGATGATCTTGTATAACTGTTTGATTGATCTTACTTTTATCCGTTTTTTCTCATGCAATGAATTAATGCGGAAGTCGGAAGAATAAATGGAAAAATGAAGACTGAAATACTTAGTTACTTTGTTTATTCATCGCGAAAGACCGGTAAAAGAAGAGGGGATAGGGAGGTATTACTGTGAGTAAAAAAAACATAAACAAAAAACAAAAAACAAAAAGAAACACAAAAACAAAAAAGTTCAAACTCCTTGAAAAACGTTTTTGCTCAATGTGCTCTAGAATGCTTCTACTGTGTCTGTAGAAGGCAAAAAAAACACAATGGGACACTCTGAAACCTCCTATCTTCAAGAAAACTGACAATCTCGAATGCCTCTTCACGGTCTCCAGAGCTTACAATGGGCGCAAGTGCGCCCCGCCCAATAGAGCGATCCATTGGCGCGAAATTCAAATTTTAACAGAAAAAATTGTGTTTTTTGGCAGATTAGCCACGAAAAACCGATAATTTTTCATTTGTCTCTCGATAATCCAATTGTATAGGCTATTACGAATTTTTTTAAGCGCAAGAGCGTTAAATTTGGTCAAGTCGCAAATCACATTTATCCGTTTGAAGGTTTTTGGCTAAAACTGCCTGAATTTCAGTTGTTTTTCGGTAGTTTTCGCGGTTCGAGCGCTCAAAATACTTGTATTTACGTGATTTATCATTCTCAAAACCAATTCTGTCTGAAAACGGTCAAGAAAGCGCAAAATGAGAAGTGCGGTTTTGAGGCGGCGAAGGCGAAAAAGCAAAGTCCGCGAAAAATGCGCCAAAACGTCATTAATTCTGAGAATTAGTGTGTTTTCATGTCGAACAATCATTTTTCATCGCCGTTGACCACAAAAATCAGAGAAAACCTGCTCAATTCATGAAAACGCCATTTGGCCGAGGCCACGCCCATATTGTCAGCTCTGGAGACCGTGTCTTGTTTTTTTTGTTTCCCTTTTCTACCTTTTCTTGAATTACTTTTCAGAACCCAATTCCAATGTTTGTGTCGCCCAAAAACTTGCATTCAACCAACGCGCGTACATTTGATTAATGTCTCCCTCACGCGGAAAGTTACAAATGTTATTCTAGTAGTAAATCTGAAGATTTTCCGCATTGATATCAAAGGTATGTGTAAAGAGAAAGAAGAAGAAATGAATGATACATCTTCTTCGTTTCCCCCTTTTACATGGTCTTCACATTTTCTGATTCCTTTCAACGAAACTTTTGTAGGCCAGGCAGCTCTTTTCGATAAAAACATTACCGATGATCTTTCGATTTTTGATTTTTTTTTTGCCCGAAGAGATGTACGTCACACGACTACTGTAGACCAACTTTTTTTCTTTCCGAGACGCACACGTGCTGTCTAGAAACATTCTTGTGTCGGCAATGATAATGGCAAAAAGTATTTGTCATTAAAATAATGCAATATAATGTTCCGGCGCAGTTTTTCCCGAAAAACGTAAATTTTTGATTTTTTACTTGCAATGTCCGTGTTTGTCGCTAATTTTACGCTTCAAACTAACAAGACAATCGCGCCCTGTCGCTCATTTTCAATTTTTATCGAAAAATCGGAGGAAACCCGCTTCTGTTCACTTTTTCGTTTAAATTTCGACAAGATTAGCGAAAACCCGAAAAACTCGGAGAAGAACGGCTTTTCCCACTTTTTTGACGAAAATTCACTCAATTTCCTCCATTTTCATTTCCACTGTTCGTTCATTTTTAATTATTGACCAAGAAAAGTGTCACGTGGCGGAATGTCAACACGAATAGATCAAATATTTTGTTAGAGGCGCGAGAATCCGCAAAATCAAATAGAAATGTGCGTCATTCGCTTCTGTTTGGCCACGTTTCTTCCCTTCTTTTCTCGACAAATTCGACCTAGGCAATTTTCCACCTTTTCCCCCCAATGTTCTGCGGCCACGTGGGCACAAAAAGAGGCGGAGGCGGAAGTCTGTGTCTGAAAAAAAGACTGCTAATCTTGTGATTTGCCTCATTTTTCTCATATATCTCAATCTTTTCCATGTTTCCGCAGTGCCACGAGACCTAAATTGGATTTGCGAGCTCCGCATCGCTTCTCTCCGTCTCTTTTTCTTTCCAGCTTTCTCGTCCCTCCACTTTTTCTCTCTCTTATGGGAAAATGGGAAACGCCACGAGGCGCGTGCCCTTTTTTTGTACTTTTTCTGGGAATTATTGCAAAAAAAAAGCGTGCGTTTTCCCGCATTTTTCGCCGTTTTGCAGACAAAAAATCGACGGAACGATGGCGGCGACGAACGGAAATGTGGAGAAGCCAAACAAGTATTTTGACAAAAAGGACAAACGCGACTTTCTTTATCACTTTGGATTCGGCGTCGACACGATCGATATTCCGGCGGTTTTCGGCGATACCAAGGTAGTATGCACCTTTTCCCTCTAAACGTTTTCTGTAATTTGCATTGAGCGTCATCTTTTTCTACCAACAATGCTTAGAAAAATTCTCGATCACATGCTTTTCTCACCTTCTACTTCTGTATTCTGTGAATACGAAATTAGGAGCCACGTGTCGAATTTCCGAGCTAAAATTACATTTCGAAGGCAAAAACAAAAACACATAGCTCACAGGGTCACTTTTTTTTTGTTTTGACCTGAAAATGCAATTTTCTTTTGCAGTTTGTGTGCACGGGCGGCTCGCCGGGACGTTTCAAGCTCTACGCCGAGTGGTTCGCCAAAGAGACGAACATCAAATGCTCGGAGAATTTGTCGCGTTCCGACCGTTTTGTGATCTACAAAACCGGACCGGTGTGCTGGATCAATGTACGGTGTTTGCGCAATGTTTGAACCTCAAAATTTTATTATTTTTTTCAGCACGGAATGGGCACTCCGTCCCTGAGCATAATGCTCGTCGAATCGTTCAAATTGATGCACCATGCGGGTGTCAAAAATCCGACGTAAGGGATTTTCACTAAACACCGTCAAAAATGAGTTTTTGTCAGGTTCATCCGTCTGGGAACGTCGGGCGGAGTGGGCGTACCGCCCGGAACCGTCGTCGTCTCGACCGCAGCTATGAACGCGGAGCTCGGCGACACTTATGTGCAGGTCATTGCCGGAAAAAGGGTACGCTTTGTGTAGAAGTGAATTTTAGCAATTTGTTTCTGCAAAATAAAAGTTTCAGATCGAGCGCCCGACGCAACTGGACGGAACCCTTCGCGAGGCGCTTTGCGACGTCGCAAAACAGAAGAATATTCCGGTGGAGACGGGAAAAACGTTGTGCGCCGACGATTTTTATGAGGGTGAGAGCGCTTTGTTTTTTCAGGGTTTTCATACACATAGTTGTAGGCCAAATGCGTCTGGACGGCTACTTTTGCGACTACGAGGAAGAGGACAAGTACGCGTTTCTGCGCAAACTGAACGAGTTGGGCGTGCGCAACATCGAGATGGAATCCACGTGTTTCGCGTCGTTCACGTGCCGCGCCGGCTTCTCGTCGGCCATCGTCTGCGTCACTCTTCTCAACCGCATGGACGGCGATCAGGTAACGAATTTGTTTTAGAATGCGACAAGTCGGTTGACGTGTTTCGCGTGAAGCGACCTTCAAAGTGTCTCAACTTTCTCAATTTTGCACATTTTTGACGGTTGAGCGCTCAAATCGAAGTTTACCACTCAGACAATCAGTCCATCAAAACGAAATTTAAAGGCGCACGCACAAATGTGCTCATTTTTCCGCATTTTCAGGTGCAAATCGCGAAGGAGCAGTACGTCGAGTACGAGGAACGCCCATTCCGGCTCGTGACCGCCTACATTCGCAAAACAACCGGAATCTAGAACCTTTTTGCCTCCCGATAAATCGGATTTTTCCCATTTCTACCCGCCCCCCCCCCCTTCCATTTTTCCATAGATTTTTTGTCTCGAACTTTTTTCATTTTTCCTTAAACTTCGACTAGAAGATAGGCCTGAAAAATCTCTATACTGCATTATTTCTCCTTTTCCCTCTCCTGATCCATGATATTTTTGTGATTGTGCATCCCCCGAAAAATCTCGAAAAACAACTGTAAATATTGAAGCTTTACCATCAATTTTTCTGTAAATGTTATAAAATTGTATGTACACAACAATTGGGCGAAAAATTAGTTTTTTACGGCCACCAGAGCCTCGTTTTCTAGCACAGTTGCAAGCGATTCGGCGACTTTTTCGCTAAATAAAATGATTTTTGAATGAACAGATCTGAAAAACGAACGCAGTTTCGACGTCACATTTTCGGAGAATATTGGCGATGGCGGCCGAGAATCCGACATATTCGTCCGTCCATTTATCCGGTTTTTTCAGTTTCTCAATCGCCTCTTTCAGTGGCATTTCACGAGGGGGTATCTCAAAAAGGTTTCGAAAATTAGGCATTTCACGGTCAATAACTTTTCATGATTTTGCGGGGCTGGGCAAAAAACCGGTCCAGGCTTTTTGAAGGCTCTTTGAGGCCTTGACATTTGGCCCGTTTGAAACATTTCGATAGACTCTAGACCATTCTCACCTCGGTTTTGACGACTCCTTTTCGAATCGGCGCCAAACCAAGCGGGTTGAAGTGCTGGACGCCGTGAGCCAGCAGATATCCCAATTGTCCTTCGTGCAGACTATCGATCGAATAATTCGACGCTTCGATTTGGACGATTTCCGATGGAAGCGGACACAGACCCGCCGATTGGGGACTGAAAATGTGGGGAATTTATTGTTTTTTTTTAAACTAAATTACTGGATAACTCCATTTCAGAGTGCATTGCACTCACCAACAGACTAGAATTGGCTTAGTTTTCGACTCTGGTTGCGAAATGCCGTAAAATGTCTAAAAAGGCCATTTTGAACATAATACGTCAATTTTTAACAATCAAATAAAACAAAATGCAATAAATTAACCGACCAATCGATATGAAGCGTAATTCTTCCCGGAGTGTCCTGTATTTCATCCAACATTTCTCCGGCCGCTTTTTTCGCAATTTCATCGGTGACTGCAGAAATTTTCGATTAGAAACAACACTATCGGCCGAAAACTCACTCGTCTCATCGTCTCTCGTCCATTTCGCGCGTTTCTTCGTCAAAACCGACACTGTTTTGCGGCGTTTTTGAGTCGGATTCTGCTGAGCGTCCCAGTCGCCTAAAAATTGTTTTTTTGTCTTATTTTTAGTATTATCCAACTTCTACTCATCCTTTCCGTCGGTTTTATTTCTTCGAATAGTACCTCGTAGGGTACTGGCTCAAATCCACCGGCGAAACTCATCGATTTTCTGTAAAACGCAAATTTTTAATGGTTTCTTGGCAAACGTTCTTCAAATTGTCATCATTCAACAATTCAGCTGAAAAGTGAGCTGAAAACGGCTGAAAATTACATTTTTTAGCCGAAAAATGGAAAATGTCGAAGTGTAGATTTACGATAAACACCGCGTCGTCGCGTCATTTCGGAGTGTCGGACCCGATAGGAGTGCTAGAAATGGACAGTCGTAAAGAAAACTGGAGGCTACACTTGATAAAATCGAACAGGCAAAAAAGGAAAAGAAAACAATATTTTTTGACATTCGCAGAAAAAACTGCAAGCCTCTTCATTTTTTCCGTTAGAAATAGAGAGAGAGAGTATATTTGACATGAGCGAGGAAGTGCGCGATAAAATGAATAAATAGTCTGATAAAGAAATGGCACACGAATAAAAGGGGGGGCAAAAAGGGGACAAAAAAGTGAGGCGAATCACAATTTGGGGTGGAAAGTGCGTGGGCGGGGTCTGAAATGCCTAAAATGTCTCCGTATCGTCGAGATTGGCGACGAGCGCTTGGTCCAGAGTAGAATCAGCCGCGTTTCCGTTCTCCGATCCCTCTAATTTCTCGTTCTTCTCCTCGCTTACCGATTCTTCGTTTCCCTGAAACTTTTCCGAATTGTTCTTATGGTCGCTTTTCTTCCTTCTCACCTCGTAGAGCACTTTTCTGAGTGCCTCCACGTCGATCGTCGTCGTCTTGTTCTCTTCGGCCAAGTGCAGCAGTCCTTCCACTTTTTGGAGCATCGCAAAATAGAACTCGCGCTCCGTCTCCATCTCCTTTGCCATAGTTTCCCATTCCGCCGCCAGCGATTTGTGCTCCTCGATTTCTTAAAAATCCGGTTTTTAAACCTTTTTTTACCCGACTTAATGAACCAATGATACTATTTACAAACCTTTGACAAGAGCGTCACGGCTTGGCGAGGGCGCGGACTTGCGGGTTCCGGCAGAGGTGGCGGGCGCCTGTCGGGATCCGTTCCGAACTGGGGGCGTCGTCTGGGCGACCGATGGCGTGGCAGTCTTGGCCGGAGGCAACGGGCGGGCAACCGGTGGGACCGAGCGCACGGGCGGTGCGGCCGGGCGCGCCGCTCCCTTCAGAGCGGGTAGATCTTCTCCGAATCGGGCGCTCACGGCGTCGTACGCATCCGGATCGCTCGGCAGGTTCGCGTTGAAAAACTACAAGCGATTTTAACTGTTTCAGAAATTTCTCACTTTTGAAAGAGGCATCCGGGGAGAGAATGAAAATGAATTTGACACTGCAGAAACGTACCTCGACGATGTTCCGTATCAACCTCAAATTCACAGATATTCACCTTTTTGCTCGAATTTGCTCGAATTCGCCCGACTTTTCAGCAGTATGTTTTTTCCTGATTTAAAAGGTCAAAAATATGCTTCGCGCTGGGCAGACTTGCAAAATCTGAGCACGGCCCGGTTTAAGTTCGAAATTCCTTACTTTTCCGGAATTTCGGGTTGTGCCTGGCCGGGCTTGTCAACCCAAAAAGCCTTTCCAACGGGTATTGGATGTGATTGTAAAAACAGTCAAACGTTTTTGTAGAGTTCAAGCGCGTCCAATGACCGGTGGATCGTTTCCTTATACTAAGAAATACGAAGGGAAAACATTGTCGACAGTGTGAATTTTGTGAATAAAAGAATAGATGAACAGCAGTTTGCTGCTGCAAAATCAAGGAAAAATTGCAGAAATCTGTGCTTTTGGGGTTGATACGGCACAACGTCGAGGTACATTTCTGCAATGTCAAATCATTTTTCAATTTTCTCTCCAAATGTCTCCTTGAATTAAAAATGCCTAAAGTAAGGAGGCGCGAACCTTGTAGAACCACTGGAGAAACTCCATGTTATCCTGAAATTTGCCCTTCTTCATCCGCTCCACGTCGACCGGTTTGTCCACTCCGAGATCCTTCCAGGCGGTCGTCAGCACCTTCCAGTTGTTGAGAACGTCCGGTTCGTTTCGCGGGTTGAACTTCACCTTCCGCAGATTTATCGCGTTGAACAGAAGATGCGTCAGTTGGCAGTACGCCGCGCCCGACGACATCTCCTCCACTTTCGTGAAGTGACTCTGCACAAAAATACGTCGTTTCGCCAAGAATTTAAAAATAGGTAGAAAGCAAGCCAATACCTTTAGCATGTTGTTGACCCACGCGACCGCCTCCTTCCGGCTCAAAGTGTCCGTGGTCACCGCAGAAATGAACACGTTGTTCACCATTTTTTATCCTACAAAAAGCATTATTCAATCTCAAGCATTCGTGAAAATTGCGGTGCAAATTAGACATAAGCTCGGTAATTCTTTAAAAGGAACCCTGCGAGTTTGTGTGTCTATCTGAATTGCCTCTTATTGCCACATACACTGTCCGAGTCCCGCGCACAGTTAAAGTTGTGGCCTAGAAAACTTAGGTGTGAAAACTTTCACTGAAAAATCTTCCCTGCTATGATGGTCAATGAAAATCCTGGAATTCAAAAGCGAATGCTGTCGCAGATGCGCTCAGTATGGGAGGATGTCCGGTCGAGCTAACTGAGATGCACGACAAAGAAAGCGCGGAGCTACCAAATGTCATCAAAGAAATTCATATCACCGAAGAGAGCGAGGAGTTTTCGTACCCGGATTGTTGGTTTAGATGGTTGAAAGAGGAAGAAGAAGGTTGGGGGAGAGGGGAAGTGAAAGGAAAAAAAAATTTCGGGCATTTCTGAGAGTTGGAACTCGGACAGTGACGGTGGTAGTCTAAAATTATCAAAAATCTGCCAAGAAATCGATAAATAGCTCTTTGAAATCGGCCACCAAAAAATGGCGCCGCCGCGCGAGAGACGGATAATATTGACCAGCTACTGCCGCTGCGCCACGTCGGAAAGAGAAGAAAGAACACGGGAAGACGCAGAGAAACGAGAGGGAACGCAGAAAAATTGAGGGAGGAAAAGCTGAAGTACAAAATGAAATTGAGGGGTTTCACGCAATTTTGAGGGCGTTTGATCGGAATGGCAGAGAAGGTAACGTTTTTTTTAAGGAAAAGTGATAATTTTTGATTTTCGGTTCAACTTTGCTCTAAATCATCACTTTTCTTTTGAAAAAGCGCCGAAAATGGGCAAAAATGAATTTCTGAAAGCGCGTAAGGATACAGTCGTTTAAAGGGACAGCGTTGGATTTTTGGATCGGGTTTCGCCACGAAATGAAAATTTCACAGCTTTTCTCTGCTTTATTCCAGGGAAAATGTCAAAAACTAAAGAACTTGAACGGAAAAATAGAAGAAGACAGTGAAACAGCTGTGAAAATGATCTAAAACGGAAACGTTTTAATTTTCAACGCAAAAATCGAAAAAGTAGAGTTTGGCGCCGAAAACGATTCTAAAAGTTTCAAAAGTTGATGGCAATTTTTTACGATCGTAAAGTTGCGGGTCTGGGCAAACAAATAAGCCGTCGGCGGGCGGAAAACGGAAATTTGACGGTTCGGACAGGAGAATGAACAGAAGAGGAAAAAGCAGTAGCGAACGAGTAATTGGGAACGAGGAGAACCTACTTCGAATGCAAATACGCGCAGAGAAGAGGAAACAAAGAAGAGAAGAGGCGAGAGAGGCGAAAGAGGGCAACATTTGGACGGACGGGGCAGATGGAATCGGTCCGCCGCCAGGCGCTTGACCGGTCAATCCGCGCACCACTGACCGATCAGACGAGGAAAATGATGGAAAATGAGAAAGGAACGACCTGGATTTGCTGGTTTTTTTTAATGTAATACCGAACAACTCAGAAAAACATGCGAATATTTGGCGCCGCTTTAAATTTCCGAAAAAATGTCGTAAAATTTGGTGTTTTGCTGGAAAAACTTGATTTCAGAAGAGTTTTCTGGAATTGTACCTTTCAAAATTCATTTTTATCAAATATAAAACATCAACACACGTGTGTTCACAAAAACCATTTGAAAATTGAGTAAATTTCCAGATAAAACTGAAAAATCGGTGAAATGCACTGGATCTGACGCGCATTTGCATACCACCACATTTCGGAATTTTCTATGCTTTTTCCCCAGCGAAAAAAGCGACTTTCGGGTGAGAAATCAATTCATTCACATGAAAATTGCAATAGAAAGGCACATAAAATGCAAATTGCTCGAGTACCAGCACAGAAAAATGAGCAGGCAAGTAAATACACGAATTTTAAGTACAAATCTACAACCTAGCGAGAAAAATCTAGAAACTTTAATTTTCACTCGAAAATCTTCAGCACTTGTTCGCCAATCGCCATTTCTTTGCGTTCTGTGTACGCCGCCGAGTTTTCGTGCACTTTTTCGAGGTCGTACCTAAAAATATGGTAATAAATGGTTTAAATCTGCAAAGACGTACCTATAATTGACCATTATCCCAAAACTGTTGTTGATTCCGCGGTGGCTCGTGTCGCCGCTCCAATTCAATCGATAAAGTTCGGCGCCGTTACGAATATGGAAATTTGCTGTAAATTACCGATTTTTGGGCTTAAAAATTGCAATTTCTCACCGACAGAATTGATGGCCATTCCGTTCCGTTTGGCTTTGCACAAATAGTGCGCACACGCGTACATCAAAATCCGGCGAATCGAGTTCAGTTGCTCTTTTTTCGTTTTTTCGTTGCTCACCACTTGCAGCAGGTGCTCCGTCGCTTTTTCCGGGCTCAGAGGTTGCTCGGCGAGCTCCGACACCCATTTCGTCACTTTTGCGTCCATAATTGAAGCTGAAAAACGTTTTTTAAATATTAATTTTGTTTGCAAAAGAATTTCCCTACGATACTCGGAATTTCCCTTCAAATTCCTAATCAACCAGGGCCGGAATCCCGGCACCGGCGATAAAGTCGAGTGGATTTTCACCGAAGGAACGTCTTTTTGCAATTGAATCGCCACTTTTTTGATGAGCATGTTGCCGAGGTCGATTCCCGAGAGGCCAGGTTGCGTGGAAGTGATCGAGTAATAGATGGCGGTCGTCTGATCCTCTTCTCGGCCCATCGGCTCGCCTCTCTTCGTTATCTCCTGCACACTGTCCGCAATTTCGCCCACCAACGCCACGTGGACCATGACGAGCGGATTGCGTGGCAGCGCTTCGTGCGAGAAATAGAAACATCTGAAATTCTATTTGATTTTTAAACGTTTTTTTGGCTTATTCAAAAACATGAGGAAAGACTTTTGACCCACTTGCTCGTGATTCGATCGGGCGCAAACTTTTCAGGCTTCTTGGACTTGGCTGGAAGTATATTGGGTCCAAGTTTCAAACCGATCCGATCATTATGAACTTCAATACAAGTTTAAGAAGAGTTCAAAGTTTGAGTTTGATCGGATTATTGCAAGTGGGTCAAAAGTTCAGGCCTCGGCAGGCGTTTTCGCATTTTCACCTCCTCAACGGTCCCAATCTCTTGCGAAAGTCCGTTAAACCTCTCACGGGATGGACTGCCTCGTACTCGGCCACTTTTTGGAGAATATCTCCCGGCGACGCCCACGTTAATCTCTCCAATTTGAGATTTCCGAGGCAGAACCACGAGGTGAGCACTTCCCGGCACGCAATTTCGATGTGCCGCAGCTGGGCGGTCGTCGGTTTGTCCGTTTCTCGTTTCAGAAGCGCCTAGAATGGTCGTTGCGGATTTTTCGGGTTTTTAGGCCCACATTCTCACCAAAATATTGGCTCTCATTTCGCAAACTTGACTAACGCCCCCGGGTAAATTTCCGATCGATTTTATCAAATTCACATAAGTTGCCGTGGCGGCCGTCCTCACTTCCGGGTACATTTGATCGTTCTGAACTTTACAATATTTACAAATTTCAGCATTTTTCTGTGTGTAAACCTTTGTGTACAACGAGACCGCATGATTGAGGGCGTCCTTGTTGACGCCGAAATTCGTGACGAGACCCAAAAACAGCGATTTTCGGGTTTCGGGCGGCGATGAGGCGTACAATTTCGAGAATTTCTCACTGTATGTCTGTAAGATGATAGTTTTCGGTCAAAAAACAATCTTTCGAAAATTACAGTAACTCACAAGTAGCTTATCGCCGGTTGTGCGATTTGTGAGCCCGTCTAGTGTTGATAATAGACTCGACGAGGCTCTGACCGAGTAAATGTGTGAAAATTTGCGAAGCATTGCATAGAATCTGCAAAAAATGACATGTTTTCGCGTAAAAGCGCATAGAAGTTTAAAGGCACAGCACGGAATGGGCGTCGAAGGGAAATTAAAAAGTTACTATAGTTTCTGTGAAATTTTGCGCGGTTTTTCGCATTCTTCAGGGAAACGAAGGAATATATCAAAAGTTACAGGTTTTAATTAAAAACAAAGCAGAAAAGAGGGTTAAAGCAAAAGCAAAGATGAAGATGTGCGCAAAATTTCGCATCCTCCGATTAATAGACGTTTACCGAGTGATTTTTGATGCAAAATCGCGTAAAAGGGTCAAAAAACGTTGGAAATCTGGCAAAAGGCCAACGAGATCATTTGATAAGCGCACAAGAAAACAAGAAAGAAGAAAATAACGATAAAAAGAAGAGACTCGAAAGCAAGAATTTATTGCGACAGCTGACGTCGGAGCAGTCGTTATCGGTTGCAAAAAAGCCAAAAGAACGCTCAAATCAAAAACAAACGAAAAGAAGATAGAAAATTGGAGCAGAAATGGGTAAACAATGCGGAAAAGTGCAAAAATAGCGAAAAAGGGAAAGCGCGCGGAGCGTTTGCAAATTCGCGCGCGGCACTTGCAAATCAATCGGCGCGGCGCGGACCGCCTACTTTTTTGTGCATTTTTTTGCTTTTCGGCTGCGAAATTGCACTTTGCTCGCACTTTTATGTATTTGCTTGGATAGATAATGATTTGCGAGTGATTTTTCTCCATTTTTGCAGGTAACCTGTCATGTCCAGCAACGTTCTCGGTCAAACGCTTCGCTCCTCGAAGAACGCTGTCCAAAAGGCGTTCGTGGCGACGGCGCCGAGCTCGGATATGCTGCGCTTCCGTTCGCCGGTTCTCCAGACCAATACGGTACGGTTTTTGTGAAAATTACGCTATTCTTGACTCAAAATCTGTAGAAATAGAAACACATTTTCAGACCAAATTGGCTCGTTACGGAGGTCGTCACAATGTAACCGTGCTGCCGGGCGACGGAATTGGACCCGAGATGATCCACCACGTCGAGAGAATCCTCACCGCCGTTCAGGTACGGAAAAACACGAAAAAACCTGTGAAAGACAGCAAAAAATTAGATTTCAACGAAAAAGTCAGTAAATTGATTTCAGGCCCCAGTTGACTTTGAAATTGTGAAGCTTTCATCGAAAGAAGACGCTTCGGAGGATCTTGCCGAGGCCATCACCGCGATTCAGAGAAATGGAGTCGCTTTGAAGGTAAAACTGACAAAGTACATTGAGAACCGAGAAAATTGAGCGGAAGACGTTCAAAACTCGCTGAAAACCTAGAAAATTCTACAACAGTTTTATTTACAGGGAAACATCGAGACAAAGTTCGACAATCCGTCGTTCGTCTCCCGCAACATGGAGCTGCGTCGTCATCTGAATCTGTACGCCAACGTGCTCCACTGCTCCACGATTCCGACCATTCCGAGCAGACATACAGTACGTTTTTAGCTCAAAATCCACGTTTTCGGCCCAAAAATAAAATTGCATTTTTCTTTCAGGGCATTGACATGGTGATCATCCGCGAGAACACTGAAGGCGAGTACTCGGGAAATGAGCACGAGGCCGTCACCACTCCGAATCTTCGTGTCGTCGAATCGTTGAAGGTCATTTTCTGAGAAATTATCCAATAAAACCCCTAATTTTTGCAGGTTGTGACTCGCGAAAAGTCGGAGCAAATCACGCGTTTCGCGTTCCAATTCGCCAAAAAGTACGGGCGTAAACGGGTGACCGCCGTCCATAAGGCCAATATTCAAAAGTTGGGAGACGGACTTTTCCTCAAGGTGGCCGGAGAAATCGCGGCGAAAGAGTACCCGGACATTGAGTTCAACGCCATGATCGTCGACAACGCTTCCATGCAACTGGTGAGAAAATCCCGCGATTTAATCTGGATTATTAGCTACAAATGCTTATTCTTCAGGTCTCGCGCCCACAACAATTCGACGTGATGCTCATGCCGAATCTGTACGGAAACATCATTTCAAACATTGCGTGCGGACTCGTCGGAGGACCGGGACTCGTGTCCGGAATGAACATTGGAGACGATTACGCCGTTTTTGAGACTGTAAGTTTGAAAACATGGAATTTTCCTGATTTCTCTGGTAATTGCAGGGAACGCGCAACACGGGAACGTCTCTGGCCGGAACGGACCGCGCGAATCCGACGGCGTTCATCCGAGCGTCGGTCGATATGCTCCGCTTTTTGGGACTCCAATTGCACGCCGACATCATCTCCGACTCGCTTTTCCGCACCCTCGTCGACAAGAGAATCCACACTGCTGATATTGGAGGCACTGCCAAGGTTTGCAACTTTTTTCAGGGCTTTCTTAAAATTCTCTATTTCAGTCCTCCGAACTCGTCCAATCAGTCATCGAATTCATCGAGAAGGAGATTGAAGATCGCAGCTATCGCGTCTAAATATCCCCATTTTTGCGAACTCTACCCCTCATAAAAATGCTGTTTGTCCGTCCCAGTCTATTATAGTGGCTAGCTTTACCCCCCTCTTTCTCTCCCTCCCTTTTCTGCACCTTTTCGTCTATTAATCCCGAAAACTCTGGCATAATGTGCTCATTGTGCTCTTTTTTCCGTCCGATGTCTCTTATTCTCTGTACCCATTCATTCTTTGGATTTTTTAGTGGTACAAGCGATAAAATCGATCTAGTTAATGATATTTGATATTGTTAATCAAATATTTATTGATTTTACTCATTAGGCACCCGTGTCAAATACCTGAGCACCTCTTGATTAGGCCGTACTTGAGAAATCCTTCAAAACAGGCGGAGCTTGCCAAGGTTGCTGTCGACTAACCAATTTTTAGTTCTACAACATTTCCCCAACTGATATTATACATTTTCCCATCAGATTATCCGCTTTATATTGAACTTTTTCACTTTGTTTTTAGTTCAATATACCGGATAATCGGATGGGATAAAAACGGGTAAGTTTATCGATAATTTACTTATGGATGATAAGAAAAACGAAGAAATTCATCAAAAATATGCAAATTCTGGGCGGGCAGGTATCTATCACAACTATAGAAATGTACAGCGAAAAAATAACTTAGAAATGTGCAAATGTTCTTTACAGATTAGTATGAGCGTCCGGATCTTCCGGTTGAAACGATGTATTCACAAACGAGGCGTTGAGCACATTTCCTACACTCGATTTTTTTACAGCCGCTTTTTTGTCTTCTGCAAAATGTTGGAATTTTTTTTGGGAAAATGTTTCTTAAAAAAATGGAACGTACTAGACGATCTTTTGGCCACCGTCGCCACAAACGGAAGGTCGTTGGCGCCGATTGAGGGGTGCGAGGAGCGGAGTCCGAATGTGCTCTTCTGCAAAAAAACAATCGAAAATCACGAAAATTATCGTCACAATTCTTGGCCCACTCACTTTTTTCCGTTTCGAAAGCGTTCCTCCGTCGGCGGCCCACATTTCCGCCTCGGAGCCGTCCGTCTCCAATTCCGACGATCCTTTCTCCTTCTCTTTGCCCTTTTTGTGCTCTTTTTTCTCCTTTTTCTTCTCTTTTTTTGCCAATTTTTCCGGTTTTTTGTGATTTTTTGGCGGCGATTCGAGTCGAATCGATTTCGGTGGGTCTGTGGGTGCTCCCACTGATATTAGGGTTCCGATTATGGGCTCACATGGCGCCGAGTCTGGAAATACAATTTGTTGAAAAAAAATTGAGGTAAACTGTTGAATTTCGTCTCGCAACCAATTCCGTAACCGGCAGATATTTCATGCGGAAAGACGCCAATCGCTGATTTTTGGGCCATGCTGAGCCGGGACGGTTGCGAAACGGCAAGTTGCGAAAACTTTTTTTTTAGAAAACCAACTTTCTGAAACGCGGACCGCTTCCGGAAACGACGTCGTCGACATTGAGGGAATTATTGAGACGGGCGCCGCGGTGGGAAGGTCCGGCTGAAATGAGAACAATTAATTTTGATTTTACCGTAATCTCTGATCGTGGCGAGACCCGAAGTAGCATTTTGGCCTAGAAAACTCCATCGGATTCTAGCCCAAATGTTTCAAAATCAGGGTGAGGCTTCTCCGAGTATTTAAAAAATGTTTTATAAAGCCTAACCTTCAATTTACAAACCGCCGCCAGGGGGGTGACTTGTCGTGGAAGTGTGGCGGGTGCAAATGCGCTCTGCTGCGCCGGTCTCTCGAATACCGTATCCCTCCGGTCTGTCCATCGATCGCCCAGATCCCAATCGTCGTCGACTGACGAAGAGTCGCGAACGTTCGCCGTCGGCCTCGGAGAAATCATTTTCGGAGTGAGCTCGTCTCGTAGAAACGGATTCGTCGTCGGATTCTGAAGAAGTGGCGACGAGGTGCCGATGAAGAGCGGCGGGAAAGTGTGCGAGGAGGAGGAGAACGAGGAGATCAACTCGTGCTGCAAAACCGAAACCATTTGAACACACTGAGAAAAGTCAACTAACATCGTCGTCGTCCTCGAGTCCGTCGTCTTCCAAAAGTGGCCGACTTCCGCCCTCGCCGTCCTCACTTCCTACCGTATTCTGAGAGTCTTCGTCGAGAGACGTGTCGTCGCCGCGCTGCAAAAATGAAAAAAACCTTGAATCTATGTATCTAGCTTTCGTCATAAAGTGGGAGAGAAAGTGTCACCAGACTTTATAGAATCAAGTCCGATACAAGGGACTTCGAACTTGAACCAAAGTTACATTCTCGGTAAAACTCTGCAACTTTTGCGCAAAAAAAAAATTTGCTTTGCTACCAACCTTACGCAAACTTTGCGCAACTAGGTTTGCGCTAAAGTTGCGGTGTTTTACCGAGTTCAAATATTCGGAAGAACGTCTACCGTACCCTGCTGTCGGCGTCGCCCTCCTCCTCCTCCTCCTCTTCTTCCGAATCGTCTCGATCGGTGCGTCCGCGGCTGTCGCTGCTCGCGTCGTCGCCCACTCCGTCAATATTCTCGTACGAGTATCGACGACGGTCGTTCATCCGTTGCTCGTCTATTTCACTGTCTTCCTCGGTCTGCAATACAAAAACTCCAATAATGTTAGAGACCGCGCTCATTTGGCCCTGAATTTCGAGGGCTTGCCTAGCTTTTTGTAGTCCCATCGCGTTTCCTTAAAAATGTTGGCGCACCGAAATTTAAAGCAACAATTGTTTATATACTGCAAAAAAGTGCGTTCACAGTGATAAAAACCAGAGTTGCCACGGGCCGGGCCGGGCCGAAATTTTCAAAACTCCGGCTCGGTTCAAAAAGCGGGAATCCAAATTTTGAACTATTGATTTAAAAAAATGTTTGCTTTTCGTAGAACTAACAAATTTTGCAAGTATCGAGCATAAAAAAGCAAAAATTGAACGACTTTCCACTTCTCAGACAGAACTTCGCAGTTGCATCCGTGATTTTCGCAACTTGATTGCTGGAGAGCTTTTTTTCGTTGAACTGAGTGATCTTTTTTTGCTTCAATTTTGAATTATCCTCTTCAGCATTTTTTTTTTTAATTTTGATCTCCGCAAGAAAAAACGAAATAATAGATTTCCCCCAAAAATTTGAATTCGCGCCTTTTGAGCCGGGCCGGGCCGGGCCGGGCCGGCCCGTAATTTGGCAAGTCTGATAGAAACTACTGAACAATTGCATTGGGGGACTAGAAAAAGCTAGGCCAGCCCTCGATACCACTAATAAAAAAAAAACGATGTTGTATTTAAGCTAGGACACCTTTTTTCCACTCACATTCGTCTCTTTCGCTGTCTGCGTCTCGATTTCCACCTCCTCTCTCGCCTCCTCTTCATTTTCGCTTTCGCTGAGTAATTGCCGTTCGTCGTCCTCAGAATTGGCTGAAAATCTTTCATTCAAAACATTTCCCAGCCAAAAAAGAACCAATTTATATGTACACAACGAATTTACATTCCACACACACACACGCATACATGCAAATGTTCAGCAGAGAGAATGAGAAGAAAAAACTAAAATCTCATTGGGATGGAGGGGGAAAAAGGAGCGGAACTACAGTAATTTTCTCGTAAAAATTGGGTAAAGCAAGGCACAAATGCTGGGGTTTCGTCTACAAAAATCCGCGCGAAGTGGTGCGTTGCGGCACGGGCGGTGCTTTTGTTAGTACGTGCCTAAGGAGAGGAGATTGTGGAGCGGGAGCCAAAAGTGCGCGGGGCTTACTACCTGGGGGAATGGAAATTGGCGGAGCCGACGAGGAGCACGTCGACACCGTCAGCTGATCGAACGGCGCCGCGCCGAACGGGTCCCGCGAGTCGATCGACGAAGTGTCCGAGTCCAGAGGGTCCGTCGTCGGAGGTACGCCTTACAAACATACATTTTTAACAGAAGAAGGAGGGCTGGGCAAAAGGCGTGGACTTTTGCAGACTTACAATGATCCGATCGGACCGAAATATTGCAGGCTTCTTGGACTTGGGCCCAAGTTTTAGATCAATGGGATCATCTGGTCCCGATGCCGGAAATTGCGGCCTTTTCGGCCAATATCTCGGGACCGGATGATCGGATCGGTCTGAAACTTGGACCCAATATACTTCCATCCAACCCCAAGAAGCCTGCAGAGTCTGGACCCGATCGGATCATTGAAAGTGGGTCAAATCCAGGCCTTTAAAAGCCTGGACCGAATTTGTACCTTTCCTTCGAATTTCATCGAAAACCATTCCGAAATGCGAGTCGTCCATTGTCAATTTCGACAATTGCTTCTGTTGTGAATTCGTCGAAAAGGGCGCCTCTAAAAACGGATTCCATTCTCCGGATCCTCTGTTTTTCGCGCGATTCGACATATCCTCCACACTTCGCACTTGCGACGAACACGCTTTCGATTGCTGACTACTGTACGGCCTGAAAAATTTGAAAATAGACGCATTATAGGCCTAGAAAAGGGTGTCGACGAACTTGAAGGCGCTTCTCGAAATCTGACTCGTATCGCTGACATTTCGACGGTGTTGCTGCTGGAAAATCGCCTCGGCTTCCGGCGGAATTCGTCGTTTTCCATCGGTTTGAGCACGGTCACGTGGTAGCGCCGGCTTGTCTGAAAATGAAATTTATTATTGGCATGTTCATTGATAAATCTCGCGAAAATCGTTTTGTTCTCAATACTTACCCAAATCGGTGAATCCCAAGTCGGCGGGTTTGATCAACGGACACGAAAGTGGCCCCCCGCCGGCCCCTTCCACGGCTTTCAATCGATTATCCTCTCCGGAAAACGATTGTCTGTGCACCAGATCGGCCGGTTTCTTGAATTGTCCGTTGTCGGTCTCGTCCTTACCCAGCTGCAAACTTATATTTATCCAAACAACTATATATAAATTATTTATCCAAAAAGTAATTACCTTCAATGCACTGGGCACCGGTGAAATACTGGGCACCATCGGCACGGCGCTTCCTTTCGGCCGAAGACGTGGCGCCACCGACGTCTCGCCGGTTACTGTAGACGTGGTCGGCGGGGCCAAAGGGGGGACTGTAGATGACGTGGATGCGGATGACGTGACAATTGCGGACGGCGCCAACGGAGTCATCGAAAGGGGCGGGGCTACGGCACGTGACGGCGGCGGCGAGACGTCCTTCTGATTGCGCGGTTTTCCGCCGTCACGCATCAATCGGAGACAGGCGTCAAGGCTCGGACACACTTCGGTCGACTGCAAATAATTATGTGAAATGACAATACTTTAGGAATTCAAGAGTAAAACCAAACATCAAAAATTCGAGAAATTCTTCGATTGAGAAAACACGATTTTAGGGTATAACTATGTGAACTTTTCCAAAAAATTTCCTGAAACTGCCAATTTTATCGAATTTTCTGCGTGAAAATGCTTATTTTGTGTTGCCTATATTATTAGTAGTATTGCCAGCGAGGTCTGCAAGTGCGCTCTACTGCACTTTTCATGAGAAATGTGGAATTTAGCCATGTTTTCCGGTTTTTTCTTTTTTTCTTTTTTTGAGCATAAAAAGTGATAGCGTGATGAGTATTCGTGTGAAAATGCTTCGATTTCTTCAGTCATTGTCAATGTGAAGACGTCAAAAATTGGGTTTTTTTTTGAAAAATGTCGAAAACAACAGTTCAACACCATTTCTCGTCGTAAAACAGTCAAAACGTGCGCTTTTTCTCGGAAATTGTGCAAAGATAACGCTTTGGCGCTGGAAAAACACAAATCGCTCGCTGAAAATGGCAAAAACCAACTTTTCTCTCTTCCATTTCCCTCGGCATCGCTTTTCGATGCGCCTCGAAGGCCAGCGAAGAAGTTTGAAGAATTGTCGGACGACGGTTCACATCAATATCGAGGATCATGTCTGTAAATGCGAAAAAATCGATAATTGTTCGTTAGCACCTTTTTTTTGAAAACCTACATCTGAAATACGATTTTCTCTCCACTTCCACTTCCATTTTATAAGAGTGAAGACGATTCAAATAACAGAAAAAATGAAGTGCTTTGGGATGTGAAAATGGCAAAAAAAAAGTGTTATGGGATTATGTTATTAGTATTATCATTTGACAAAGACTTTTTTTTTCGCTGACTAACAATATAATCTCCGAGAGGATTTAGGATAATCTGGTCGGAAATTGGACTTGGCAAACCAATTTTTTTGTTGCAAAAGTTTTTCAGTGGGTTTTATCGATAAACTTATCCAATAATTGTATACACTTTTTAATATAAAAACATAGAATACTCACAAATGAGCACTTTGATCTCGTCGGGAACATTCGGAAAACTCGGAAATTGGTAGTTGCCCGATTGAATTGCCAACGGAGATTCGTCGAATGGAACACTAAAAAAGCAGAGGCGGTAGAGGAGCACGCCCATCGCCCAAATGTCTCCTTTTAGGCCTGAAATTGGTGAATTTGGAATTTCTTTGAATTTTTCGAGTGAAAAGTTACCCAACACTTGTCCACTATAAAAATCGATCATTTCGGGCGAGCGGTAGCACATTGTCGTGTTTCTCTCCACTTCGGATTTCACGTATTCCACACCGAATTTGTCAACGGACAAAATCTGCAAAATTTTTTTCATAAGAGTGAGGACGATTCAAATATAGTTTTTATGTTTTTTTATAAGAGGGTCTGGACTTTTGACCCACTTTCAATGTTCCTATCGGGCCCGAACTTTGCAGCCTTTTTGGACTGGGATTGAAGTATATTGGGTCCAAGTTTCAGACCGATCGGATCATCCGGTCCCGAGATATGTGGATCAGAGGGCCAACAGGTAGCAACTTTCGATAAAACCCGGTATATCTCGGGACCGGATGATCGGATGGGTCTGAAACTTGGGCCCAACACACTTCAATCCAAGTCCAAAAAGTCTGCAAATTTTGGGCTCGATCGGATCATGGAAAGTGGGTCAAAAGTAAAGACCTCGGTAGGCCTTATCGACTTTTTAAATTTTACCTGCGTCGTCGCACTTCCAAAATCGCACAGCACATAATTCGGAGGTTTGTGCGACGAAATAAGCACATTTTCAACCTGAAAATCAATGAAATTTTTGATTTCTTCAAAACAATTCCGTACCTTCAAATCTCTGTGAACTATCGGTGGCGGCCTGTGATGAATGAAAAAGACCGCTTCGCACAAATCACAAAAAATCGATAAAATCTCTTCGCTGCTCAAATACTGATTTTGTGAAATGCGCTCGTTCATCAGTTGCAGCACGTTTTCTGAAAAGTGTAAGCATGTTTTTCAGTTTTAGTTTGAAGCTTCTCACATTCGATTTCTGTTCTTTAGTTAATCAAAATTTGAAATAAAAAACGTACTATGATGATATTCGGTGAGCAGCATACACTCCCATATTCCGTTTCCCAAACAATTTACATAGCTGTCGACGAACTCGACAATGTTTTTGTGGCCGACACATTGCTTCTGAAAAAATGCTCATGTAGAGTTTGACACACAAGAACTATCGATAAATTGTGTTTCGATAGGGCATTATAGTTTAACGTTCGAACTATCAACATTGCACTTTTACAGAAAATCTTCGATGTATTTATTACTCAGGCAAATCGTTTCTAATCAAGCTAGCTAATTCGCGTTTCTAACCGGACCTAGTTAGTTTGAACATGTATTTTTCTGACAGGGTACTTTTGGAAAGACTTGATAAAATTCTGAATAAATTATCAGGATGATGCAGTAGACTGTGCCGAATCGAAACCTGTTCTCAAAAGTTGCAAAATAGTGACACTGGAATGTATACGCGGAAATTATTACTGCAGGATTTGACTTTTAAAAATCATATAAAATCAGGTGACACTATTTTCCAACTTTCGGTCTTTCGTCTTCCGTCTTCCGTGGTTTTTTTTGTTCCGTTTTCCGTCTGCCGTCTTCCGGGAAAAAGGTTTTCTTCCGTCTTCCGTAAAAAATTTTTTCTTTCGTCTGCCGTCTGCCGTCTTCCGGATTTTAAAATTCTATTTCCGCTTAACTCTGTCGTCCACCCAAAAGACCACAACGCGCGCGCGCACTCACTTCTAGACGCATCCGCAATTCTGTCACAGAGCCGTTCGACCTACCGCGCTCACCGCCAAACTATTCATTTACGAGCGTTCTCCTCGTTATTGTTGTCTTTTTTTGTTTCGATGCGACACGGCACGACGGTTTTTCTGTCCGATTTGTTTTTTTAAATGAGCGAAAGCTTCCCGAATAACCTCACTAGCCGGGCCGTTGAAATCTGATTTTCTACTCGATTTCTTAGACGGCAACTCTAGTACAAAATCGTACTTTCAAACGTTTTTTTGTTCGTTTTTAAATCATGTTGGCAAAACCCTACCAAAAAGCTGTGTTCTCTGCAGCACGCGTCCAATTGCTTCTGATTTTCCTTGGTAAATTGACGTTTCAGTGCGAACTTGTTGTTTTTGCGATCGCTCGCAATGTACACGATTGCAAAGCCGCCTAGATTAGTAATTGATTGAGAAATGTTGATAGAGCGAAATACCTTCAGCAATTTGTTTTTCGATAGTCACTCGGGTGTGGTCCAATTTGAGTGTTACGCCTAGAAAACGTGGTTTTTTGTGTGGGAAACCAATAGGAAAAGTGCTCACCTTTACACTTATTCTCGCTCAACTGCTTCGGCTCTTTTTTCTTGCTCCCCGCCGGTTTTTCGTCGCTGAGCACTTGTGCTTTTCCGGAACTGAAAAGCCCCAGCGGCATTGGACGGATCCCTAACTGAAAAATATCGATTTTTGCATCGATTTTGAAACGGAAAATATCATAAATCATTTAAAAAAACGAATTCAAAACTTTGAAAACCGAAACCGAATTTTGCAGTCGAAAAACTGGATTCTCTCGCGGGAACGCATTGATCGAGGAGAAAAGTGGGCGGAGGCCCGCGGAAAAGGGGCAGGGCTTGTCTTGCAAGTCCGCCGCACGCATTATTATTCTTGTTTTAAAGATAAATAACAACAATACCGTTCTTCCTCTAGTTTACTGCATTTTGGCTTTTAATCAGTTTTTTTTTTTAGAAAATGCACAACATTTTACCCTGACAATTGTAATCAAGTTTGAATTTCATGCTTAAATCGATTTTCTGCTTTTTTCAACCGAAAATTTAGAAGTTCCTTATAATTTAAAATTACAAAACTAAATTTCGTGTTGAGACCCGCCAGAGTTTGCAACGGTATGCGCCTTTAAATACCGTACCACTCCGGCGCGTTTGCCACGTTTTTAGCCGCTCTAAAAAGCGCATTTTCAGCCGAAAAATAGTTTTTTGCAGATCTCATCCGATAAAATGTGCTCGTCGATGAATATGACCGCTAGCCAGACGGGGCCCAAACGAAAAGTTAGTTTTTGTGAAAATTCATTGAAAAGTCGGAAAAATCACCGATTTGTGTGTAAAAGTGACAGAACACGTTGAAAAACGTTTGAGAACATCAAAACCGCAGCAAGTACAGACAAATTTGTGTGAAAAACGAAAAATCGATGTTTCTCCTTTTTTTCTGAAACAGCTCGAGCAAAGCAACAGTGTAAAAATGCCGAAAATTCAAAAATTGTCATTTTTCAGCTCTCTTTCATAGTACGCGACGAGCAAGAGCCCTTCCACCGATCCTCAGTGAGCTCCCTCCAATTCGACCCCATCCACAATCGATTATTCACCGGCGGAAGTGACACGATCATCCGTACATGGTCTGTTCCACAGCACAAGGTTCGTTTTTGAACTGTTCAAAAAATTGCCTCGGAATATGGCAATTTTTTATTTTTAGGACGCATTTTCGGCGCGTGGCGGTATCCGATCGCCCGGAAAAATCTCGCCGGTCCAATATCAGAGTTCGATGGAATTGCACACGGATTGGGTCAACGATTTGATCATTTGCGCGCAAGGACGCATTTGTAAACGATTCCTGCCTATATTTCTGTGAAAAAACGATTTTCAATGTTTTCAGTAATGTCCGCCTCGAATGATATGACTGTAAAAGCGTGGAATATCGAACGAGACAACAAACACACACTTATGACGGATATTCGACATCATAAGGTTTTTTTCAAATAAAAAGTGAAAAAGCTGTAAAATTTGAAAACAATTATGTTACAGGACTATGTGAGCTGTCTCGGCTACGCGCCCGCAGTTGAAAGAGCCGTCAGTGCGGGATTCGACCGCAATGTGTTTGTATACGATATTCAGACGAATTATAGACAAAGTGAGCAGATTTCGCTGTCAATTTTTCCCTAATAAAGAAGCACGCATAATGGTTTGGGAAAGTATTTTCAGCGAATATTCTAACCGGCTGCAAAAACAGCATCTACTCACTCGCCACCACGCCCACTTGTGGAATTGTTCTCGCCGGAGGAACCGAAAAGGTGCGCTTCCCCAAGTTTTCACTGAAATTTGTGATTTTCATACGGAAAATGCACTATCAGAAAAACCAGGAGTGGGCAACAGGTCGGCCCACGCATTTTGAAGCCGTGCCGAGGCCTGCACTTTTGACCCATTTACAATTGCCCGATCGGGTCAAGACTTTGCAGGCTTCTAGGACTTGGATTGAAGTATACTGGGCCCGAGTTTCAGATCGATCGGATCATCCGGTCCAGAGATATGTGGATCATTGGCCGAAACCCCGAGATCTTCGGGCCCTGATCCACGTATCTCGGGACCAGATGATCGGATCGATTTGAAACTCGGGCCCAATGTTCTAAAATCCAAGTCCTAGAAGCCTGCAAAGTTTGGGCGTGATCGGATAATTAAAAGTTGGTCAAAAGCCCAGACTTTTGCCCACCCCTGAATGCATTTTAAAATGAATAATTCATTTTTCAGTGCATCCGACTATTCGACCCGCGAACTAACGAAAAAATAATGAAATTGCGTGGTCACACTGACAACGTGCGTGCACTGGTGGTAAACGACGACGGAACTCGCGCCGTCTCGGCCGGATCCGACGCGACGATCCGATTGTGGGACATCGGGCAGCAGAGGTGCATTGCTACGTGTATTGCGCACGAGGAAGGCGTCTGGACCCTTCAGGTGGGCGTCAGAATTTTTCTGCAATTTGGCCGATGTTTTATTTTTTTTTTGCAGGTCGATTCGACATTCTCGACAGTGTACAGTTCGGGAAAAGACAAAATGGTGATTCGGACGCCGTTGTACGACTTCACAAAAAGTCAATTGCTGTTCAAAGAGGAGGCGGCGGTCAAGAAATTGTTGTTGAGCGAGCGGGAGAATCCAGTCTCCGTGTGGGTCGGCACCTGGAAATCTGACATCAAACGGTACATTTTTTGTTAAGTCACACCTTTTTTGTAGTAGGACGATCTGAAAAAGTGTAATTATACTTACTTACTTGATACTTGATGTCCGTTGGTTCAATTCTCTCCATTTCGATCGGCCCTTTCTTGCGGCAGTAGACTTTCTCTGTAATCGCGCTCTGTCTGCAGTCTGGCCGAGTTTCAGTTGTTTCTCACTGAAACCGTGGCTTAACTTTTGAAACTCGGCCCAGAGAGGGCAATTTTCACAAAAATGTTTTTCCAGTTGGTCGATCCGTCCGACGGCGCAATTATCGATTGGCGGCGACGAAGAAGGACCGTCGACGTCTTCGGGCGCCCATTGCAGTACTTCCACGTCATCATCGCCTCCATCCACTTACAAACATTCGGTTTTTCTAAAAGCCAAAGACCAGAAACCGCAACAAACCGCGCCGGAACTCGTTATTCCTGGTAAGACTGTTTTTTTATTTTAAACAACTTCATTTTTATTATATTCTAGGCCTTCCCTCGATAAAATTCGTGCACGTGCTCAACGATAAACGCCACGTTCTGGCGAGAGATTCCGAGGACGGAGTCGCACTTTACGACGTTTTGGCGGCCAAAAAAGTTGGATTTCCGCGTTTTTTTAAACAACAATTTATTCAATTTTTAGGTAAAAGACTATGGAAGCGAGCGCTCATTTGAGGATGTTCTCGCGGAGAATAACAAGAAAATGTTTGTGCCCACCTGGTTCAATTGCGACTTTAAAAGTGGTGTAAGTTTTCTGAAAATGAACCCAATTTTTTCGAATTTATCACACACCAGATGCTGCAAATAACGCTCGAAGAGCTGGACGTGTTCGCCGCGTGGCTCTCCTCAAAAGACGCCGGGTTCGAGGATAACGACCGCGAGACGAAGGGTATTTTCAGCCGATTTCAGATGTTCTCATCGCCCGGAAAGCGTTCATTGCAGTCAATTACGGCGGAATGATGCTGAGAGCGTTGTTCGAACGGTGGCCGCACTGCGATATGGCGAACGTGGAGGGCGAGGGAATGGACGACACAGCCAAGGCGACCGCACACTATTCGCACCTTCCCGACCACACTCCCTTCATCATTTGGTCAGTTTTGAGCCAGACATGGTGAAAAATGAGCCAGATTTCAAGACCAGAATGCAAAATATTTGGGGGAGGAGGGTCGTAAGAGGAATAGAGCCTCAGCGAAAGCCGTTGTACGCATTTCATTTGCTAATAGAAAGTGTCGCGTTCTAGTCCATTTTCTCGCTGGAGAATGGCTCCACACTCCCCAGATTCCTTCACTCGCCTCTTCATTCGATATGAAACACGTTTGCACTCTGGGTGGCGCGTCCATTCAGTTAACTTGCGTACATCTCCTGTCCGTAACCACACGACATTCTTGCTCCCCCTCCTCCTCCTCATTCCTGATCTTGTCCAGTCGTGTGACTCCCAACCATGACAGTTTCCATTCTTCTCTGGTAGTGAGCCACGTCCGGCTTGCTCTGCTCTTAAATCAGGTATCCAAAGAGTTCGGACGCGGGCGAACGTAGCCATGAGACAAGGAAATGCCTGTACTGGGTACCATGAGACAGGATCAATAAATTCTCCCTGTAATATGCAACATACTTCTTGGTACCACGAGGCGGGACCATCCAGTTCCAGGCCATTTGGATACCTGTTCTTCAATCTTTAGCGCCCACGTTGTACTCATATTAGTTTGGCGACAAGTTAGTATGAAGGAAACTTTTAGACGGCGGTATATTTGAACGTGTAGGTAAAGAAAAATGGCATTCTTTAGTTACGATTTTGTGATAAGTGCACAAAATTGAATCGTGCTTTCAGCAAGTCTATCGCTGTAGATTGAAAAAAAAGGTATTTGCAGTGAAGGAAATGGCCGGCCGCTGCTGCGATTGGCGGTGTCCGACGCGAGCAAACCGGAAGAGGCGAGACAATTGTCGCAAGTGGTGCCTCCGTGGGTGACGGACGTCGTCGAACGCAGACAATTGCCCAAGTTCAGCAAAATGCCGTTTTATCTGCTGCCGCACCCGTCGATGAGCGTCAAACAGCCCAAAAAGTGAGCCAGGGGGCGATTTTTTGATACTATTGTTGTTTTCCCAATCTAATTGGTTCTTCTGTTGTTGAGTGACCTTTTTCGGATGACCTATGCGTAAATTAACTTTTTATTTGAGGGGGGTTTGATACCTTGGCATTTTTTCACTCAAAAATAAATTCAGAGACCGTTTGTCGGCGACGGAAATGTTGCAAGTGAAAAAAGTGATGGAGCACGTGTACGAGAAGATTTTGAACGCTGCCGAACGTACGTTCTTTGCATTTTTTCCAAAAAATTTCATTTTTTGAAGTTGCAGCTTCAACTGTCCCACTAAACCAAATTCACACCAAAATGGAAATGTATTGTATGGATCAGGTAATGTTTGAAATTTTTTGAATATCGAAAAACAGTGGTCGGTGCTCTGTAATAAGCGAAATTTGCATTTGAACGGTGTTTAAATGTAAACGGCGAGAGAGTGCGATACCACGGTGATTCTTTGCGCGGGCGCAGTGGAGAGAGGAAGAAATTCCGGCCCTCGTCCCGTGAACAATCGGCTGCTTATTTCGCCGGCCGGCTACACGCTCCCCAATCTCTTTTTCCACGCGCCAAACCTTCAGATGCGTGCTGTTCGAAGAATACTCATTCGTTTCACTTGCTTTTTTGGGAATAAGTTCATTATGATTGAAACTCGCAAAATTTTCAAGCTGTCACTGTCAAAATAGTTGTTTTTTTCGAAAAATGGCAGCTCATGCGTCCCCTTTGTGTCTCTTTGTTATTTTACATCATAACGAACTCATTCCCAAAAAATCAAGTGAAATGAATCGGTATCCTTCCGACGGAACGTCTCGGAACGGCCAAGGAGAACGGTCGCTACAAAGCAGCCGATGGTTCACGGGTTTGTGTCTGCGTATCGCTATATCTAACACTCTTGCTTTTTGCATATTAACACTGTTGAAATACAAACGAGATTGCGAACTCAATCTCACCCAGGCCTGTTGAAAAAAACCAAATTTTTTTGCAGAAATTGGAGCCCGACATGGATTTGCGATCTGTGAAGCATTTTATCTGGAAACAAGGCGGCGAACTACTACTTCATTATAAACCAGTCAAAAATTGATCTCGCGAAAAAAATGTGAATATTTGTTGTAATTCCCTATTTTTGTTGATATTTCTTGTGTATGTGCAATTTTATGTAAAAAGAAAAGTGATACGGGTAACTAACCGAAACAATTCAATAAAATTGACCTCGAACTATATTTTTTCGCTTTTTATTGTAATTTTCGAAAGTCGTTTTACCCACTCTAATACCTTCTTTTTGTATTGTTCGATTTTAAAAAAATTTTGAACATTTTAGATGGATACTCTTGACGAATACGAGCAAAGTATTGAGGTTGGTAGGACGGTTTGTGAATTGCGAAAAATTAAAAATCACTTTTTAGGCCCTTCGAAACGAGTACATTTCGGAGAGAAACGCGAAAAAAGGATGGGAAATTTTGGAGAAATTGGCGAAAATGCAAATGGAAAATGAACCGGAATCGACGTGTGTTTTTGGGGGGAAATTTTGTAATTACTTAAAGGCCTGCACTTTCGACCCATTTACAATTATCCGATCGGGTCCAGACTTTGCAGGTTTTTTGGACTTGGATTAAAGTATACTGGGCCCGAGTTTCAGATCGATCCGATCATTCGGTTACGAGATATGTGGATCATTTACCGAAAGCCCGAGCTTTTCGGCCTCTGATCCACATATCTCGAGACCGGATGATCCGATCGATTTGAAACTTGGACCCAATACACTTCTATCCAAGTCCAAAAAGCCTGCAAAGCCTGGGCCCGATCGGATCAGTACAAGTGGTCCAAAAGTCTAAGCCCTGCATTTTTCAACAAATTGGTTTTTAATTCGACTCTAATGCTATCCCTTGTAGGCCTCCTTCGAAAAAGAGCAAAAATGAGGAGATGTCGGCGGATTTCGACGATTTCAGCACGAGCAAGCTGATCACCCTCATTATGGGCGACATTTCCACTCAGGACCTTCTCGTCGATCATCAGGTGAATTTTCTGATCTCCATGTAAAAGTGTCCAAAAATTGAGAGTTTCCTCCAATTCTTCCTAGAATTTTAAAGTTTCAGATTCTACTGCTCGAGTTTATTCCATCGGCGCATCCGAACATTCTCCGCCACGTCGTCCGTTTGATTAGCGAGAAAGAGGGCGCAATTTCGCTGCTCAAATCGTCCGCTCTGGCGGTCGGAATCGCATTTGCGAGAAGAGTGACTGAGGCAGAAATCGGCGAGGAACTCACGAAATTGATGGCTTTTTTAGTGGAAGACGAGTCGATTTGTGAGGAATTGCGGGCCGAATTGGCGAAGACGAAGAGTCGCGACGGATCCGTCGCCCGCAGCCGCATTTATTCGGTTTGGAGCATTTTTCTTGTTAATGAGTTTTTGATGAAAGCCAGGGCTCGGCAAATTTCGGCCCAGGCTTTTTGAGGCCTACATTTTTAACCCACTTGTAATGATCCTATCGGACCCGAACGTAGCAGACTTCTTGGACTTGGATGGAAGTAAATTGGGTCCAAGTTTCGGATCGATTTGATAATCCCGTCTCGAGATATGTGGACCAGAGGCCGAAAAAAAACCGCAATTCTCGCAAAAACCCGGGCTTGTCGGCCTCAAACCAGTACATCTCAGGACAGGTATCCAAACAGCTGGGGACGCGGGCGAAGGAAACCACGAGACGGCGGGGAAATGTTGCACTGGGTACTATGAGTCAGGAAAAATAAATGGTCCCCGTTCCTCGCAAAACTTCCTTTGGTGCCACGAGAGGGGACCCCCCCCCCCTAGTAAGTGGGTGAAAAGTCCAGGCCCTCAAAAAGCCTGTGCTGAAATTTTCCTACAAAGAATACAAAGTCAATGCGCTCTTCAAGTGCTGGCGCACTGGGGATCTCGGTTTTTCTGTATACTACTAGGTATAACTGGTGGTGAACCGGCTAAGGCCTGATTTTAATATACGTCCGTCCGGGCAAGGGAATTTAACCGAGTAACAGCGTTTTTATTCTCGAATTGTATTCATTTTTGCGACGTTTCAGATCGCTTCTGCTCGTGCGCACGCCGCCACCGATCTTTCGTGCATCCACTGGCTCCTCGAGGCCCTAATGGCGACTGTTCTGGATCATTCGGACGTTTTGGCCCAATTGGACGCCCTCGATACACTCGTCGACGTCGTTTTGAGCGGAAAAGAGAATGCGAAGGCGATTTACGAGCTCGGATACGTCAAAAAGGTACTGATGGAGTTTTCGGAACTAATTTTGTCCAAAAATATGGCAAAACTCGGCGAGTTTTGCGAAAAAAAACCACCTTTTTTTGCAGATTTACGATCTCATGGAGTGGTCGAAAAACATGCCGGATAGTGGAGAAATCTACTTTTGTACGTCACGATCAGAGATGGGCATTTCTGCACAAAATGTTTCGCGCCCGCAAAACTGCGTTATCGCTATTCCGCGAACATTACTTCTATGGATCATATTCCTTTAATTTCCACTCATTTTAACCCACTAGACTACCTGATACGAGCACTAGAATCACTAATGTCTAGTTTTTAGTAGTGCCCTTATGGCGCCGCAATCTAGACATTTCTGACTTTACCCGGACTGTAATAGGTTGTCAAGGTGTTCTAGCTGTCTAAATCACTTCTATGTGTCATATTTGTTCAGTTTCTACTCATTTGCCAGCCCTGACACAAAATTGCGGATCTCAAAACGCGTTCGAAACTTTTTGTCCGGCCGCCGCCCATCTCTGGTCACGATTTAATTTTTTTACAGACGGAACCCGTTTTCTGTGCTACACGGCCCGTTCGTTCCCGCAAATCCTGGCCGATTTTCCCGAATTTTTGAGCAGACTGTTTTTGGAGGTAAATTGGAAAAATTGAATAATTTACTGTAAATTACGTGATTTTTAGCTGATTTTTCCGGAATTTTTGTGCGCTTCCTAGTGATTTTCAGCAATCTCCAGTCGAAATTCGAATTTTCAGATCCGAATGTTCGACCAGCTGGGAATTAGCTCTCGAATCGGCGCTTTCGATCACTTCGCCAGTCTCTGCTTCTCGTTGGAGGCGAAAATGACGTTGGAGAACTTGTACAAAGGTTTTTTTTCAGATTTTTAGCGACAGAACTGTTGAATTGAAATTGCTGAAAGAAAGGAGTATTTTGACTTTTGAAATTCAATTTTCAGATTCGAAAGAGCTTGAAAACACTCTGGGAGCAGCCGGAGCCGCATCGGCAATGGGATCGATGGAAATGAAGTGCCGCACGCTCCAGGCGCTCACTCTTGTCTTTCAGAATTGTAAGGGCCTAACTTTCCCCCGGCCCTGGCCTATAGACTTTTCAAAGCTTCCAGAAGTTTCGACTTCTACAGAAAACTCGTCTTATTCCTATTTCTTCAATAATTTTTCGATTTTCAGTCAACGACGAGCTGGCTGCCACGTGGTACGTCCGTCTCGGCGGAACCGCCCTGACGCACGTGACGATCGGCGCCGTCAAAAAGCCGTTTCCGGAGCTCAAAACGGCGATCTACGATTTTTGGCAGCAAATATTCGCCTATCCGCGCATCGTGAAACTGTTTATCGAATACCGACAGTATGTTTCATTTCAGGGAAAACGTTGCAAATTGAATGTTCCAGATTCGTCGACTGGATTCTCGACGAAAAGACGGAAAATATGCCGGAATTCGAGTTGCGCAAACGTCAAATCGTGCGCAGAATCATCGCAGTTTCGGAGCAAACGGAGGACGTGATCAACTTGGAAATTGTCGAACAACTCCGAAAATATCTGCAACCGACGTCCGCCGCGGTCCCACGCGTCGAGGAAATGGCTCTTTGAGCTCACGGAACTTTCTGCAATTTTTAAATCTCCTATTCTTGCTTGGTCTGCATTGTTTCCCACCTAAATAATTTGTTCTTTTATTGTATCGATGTTCTCTTGTTTTTTAGAGCATTTTTTCAACGAACTTATGTCTATTGCATTATGTAAAATAACCGTTTAATTTGGGCATTGACAGTGCAGAAATGTACCTCGACGTTGTTCCGTATCAACCCCAAAAGCATCTCTCGATTTTTTCAGCAGCAAATTGCTGTTCATCGATTATTTCAATTTTCCGAAACAAATCATGTTTTCCTCAAAAACGTTTTCCCTCTGGGCTCATAACTTATTTTAAGGCGCCTTTCTACCGGTCACTGGATATGCTTCAACTCGACAGACGACAACAGATAACGGTCGATTAATGTAGAAAACAGAAAGTATGTTTTTGACGAGTTGAAGCGTAGCCAGTGACCGATGGAGAGAACTCTTAAAACAAGTAATGTGCCTGGAGGGAAAACATGTTTGGACGTGTTAATCTGAAGAAAATATGAGTTGTTTCGGAGAAGTGGGAAAATCGATAAACAGCAATTTTGCGGCTGGAAAAATCGAGAAAAAAGTGTACGACACAACGTCGAGGTACATTTCTGCAGTGTCCACAGATTGTCTCCTTTAGTGCGATTTTAAATATGATAATACATGTTTTTCATAGGACTTAAAACATTTGCGAGAATTCATTGGTTGCATGTTCTGCGTTCTTTATTTCTGGTTTTCCGCATAATTTAACGTGACATTCTCTTCTTCGCGGTTTCTTGTGTATTCTTTATTTCCGAGTGAAAAATGATATTATTGCAGAAGAGAATGGCCATGGAAAGACGGAATGATCAAATGGATCAGACGGAAGTGTATAGAAAAAATTTAGTGAGTTAAAGTTCAAAATGTCAATCCCAATGTATCCTAAAAATGTTTGCAGTTCCTGATGAGAGTCAAAACGGTTTTGGAGGAGTTGGCACCTGAGCAAAGAGTCACTTTTCACCAGTTTGACTCTTTGTTTCATTCAAAAGTGAAAAAGCGATTTGAGGTTTCATTGCGCTATGTTTTTTGCTCAACAAGCGTATTGTTTAGGACTTTTTCGATGAATGCCGGCAATTTTCGAGCGGTGACATGACGATCGAATCGATTGTGGCGGAAATTCGATTTTTCAAGCATTCGTGTAAAATAGAATACGGTAGGAGCATTTTGGCTCCCCTCGTTTTCGCAACTCTTACGCTTCGCATGGCTCTGGCATCCCAGTTTGGCCCGGAAAGTCCTGACGGCTCAGCCGTGATGCTATTGCTCTGCATGGCCCTGTCAGCCCGGTTTGAACAGTTGCGAAAACGAGGGAAGTCATTTTTTTCGATCACTCTGCGATTACTCTAGTATTGCCGAAGCTCGTCGCCTTGTCCACACTCTCCACATTTTCTCTTGACATTTTCAGACGAAGTCGGTCAACCAGTGTTCATCATCAAAACAGTTTTGCCGAAAAATGTGGCACACAAATCGAATTACGCGGAAATTGCGGCAGAAATTGAGAAGAGAGCGCCGAATGGAAATGAGCAGAGAATTGCAATGAATTTCGAGAATTCGATCGATTTGGGAAGCGGAAGCGGAAGCAGAAGCTCTGGATCCGGGGGCGGAGCCTCGGAGAGTGGAACAGAAGCGAGGTATGCTTTTTGAAGGACTTTTGACCTATTTGCAACGATCCGATCGGACCCAAACTTTGCACAAAAGCTGTCAGGTGTTTAGGGACCGCGACCGACAGAGTTGGATTGAAGGTTCAGACCGATCCGGATCATCTGGTCCCGAGATATGTAGATCAGAGGCCGAAAAGGCCGCAATTCTCGCAAAACCCCGCACATCTCGGTACCGGATAATCCGATCGGTTTGAAACTAGAACACAATGTACTTCAATCCAAGTCCAAGAAGCCTGCAAAGTTTGATCTCCATCAGATCATTGCAAGTGGGTAAACAGTCTAGGCCTCAAAAAGCCTGGCCTTTTTTCCAAAATTTCGTTTCAGAGCCGAACAAAAAGAGCAAAGTGCGCAGAGAGCTGAAAATGATGTGTCGGCGACGCCGCCGCGGAATGTTGTAGGCTTTTTTTTTAATGATTCCTAGATATGTTTATATTCAGGGACAATGGCAAGAATGCGAGAAAATGTTTGCGGAGCCGTATTGGCCAGGAGCCGACGACAATTTTCGCTGCGAAAATCGCGAAAAATATCGTAATTTTGTGGAGTTCGCCGCCGCTGCACCGCCCGGAGACAAGGGATACTGTAGAGAAGTGCAGAGGTACGGTTTTTGATTTCCTCAAAAATTTCCTTGCGACCAACTTGAAATCATTTTGCAGAAGAGCGAAAGATTTGGCGGTGCAGTGGTTTAGCCCGTACCTCAAATGGTTCGCCCACACACTTTACGTGCTCCGCGAGCTCGCCAAACGCAGTCCCGACGGATTTTCGATTGACGATATTGAGCGGCTTGTGGATGTAGGTTTTTCCAGACTTTTAAAAACAGTATTCTCGCTCAGACGTTGATCATTCAACGTGTTTTTAACGAAAACTCTCTTGCAGCAAGTGTTCCCTGTGCATTGGGTCGACGCGCACGCATTGGAATTCGGCACGCTCGAAACGTTTTTGACGGACGCGGAGACGTTGATCGAGAGACAAATGCTCGTGAAATGCAAACGATCGAATGTGGTAGGTGGAGGCTGAATACACAAAACCCTCGAATTGTCTAAAATATTTCTGTGCCTGTCTGAATTGCGGAACACCGCGCAGTTAAAGGCGTGGCCTAGGAACGTCGGGTGTGAAAGCTCTTCCCTGCTGATAATATGACACCCTGGCACATTTTGAAAATCTATTAATTTCTATGGAAAGATCCCGTGGCCTAGGATTTCTCTAGGCCACGGCCATAACTTTAACTGCGCGAGTTGGTACTCCGGAAAGTGAATGTGGCAATAAGAGGCGATTTTTGGGTGGAAAATGCACCTAAAATGTTTGAATTGTTTGCAGTACAAAGTGAACAAAGTCATCGAACTCGTCGGATTTCATTTGTTTCGCGAAAAAGAGCTCTCGTACATTTATCAATACACCAGTCATACGGGAGTGGGCGGAGCCGCAACGGAAAGTGTACACGATGTGGGTTTCTCTTTTTTTTTTTTGGAATTTTCTCCGCAAAAGCCTCGGTCGACAGTGTTTTGGGGAATGCAGGAAAGAGTCATTGGGGTAGGCCTGGGTAACGGAGAGAGGTTTGAGAAACACATTTAAAGGACCAGGGAACCCAAAAATTTTTTGATTTTTTTGTGAAATGTTTTTGTGACTGTTTGAATTGTCTCTTATTGCCTCATACACTGGCGAAATTCTGCCTCTCAAAAATGCCAATGGACGAAACGGCGTGCAGTTGAAGTTGTGGCCGTGGCCTAGCGCCAATGGCCGAAAAATATATAAAAATATATGCGCTTCTCGGCCATTTTATTTTTTCCGTTTTTTTACCGGTTTTTTTTCCAAAAATTCACGGTTTCTCCCATTTTTCAGTTGATTGACATTTGTTCGGCACTTACTTATTTTTTCACTGCTAAAAATTGTTTTCATTCAGTCGATATGAAGTGCCAAAATGGGAGAAACCGTTAATTTTTGGAAAAAAAACCGGTAAAAAAGCGGAAAAAATAAAATGGCCGAGAAGCGCATATTTCTAGGCCATTGGCGCTAGGCCACGGCCACAACTTCAACTGCATGCCGTTTCGTTCATTGGCATTTTTGAGAGGCAGCATTTCACCAGTGTATGAGGCAATAAGAGACAATTCAAACAGTCACAAAAACATTTCACAAAAAAATCAAAAAAATTTTGGGTTCCCTGGTCCTTTAATATGGCATTTGTGCGAAATTGTATGTTGTGAGGATAAGAAGTAACCGTCTATGGAGGTCGCTAACAAGGGAACCTTTTAAGTGGGTGTTATCTCCAGCACAAACGAACGACACAGTTCGAAAAAGGGACTTTCAAAACCTATATTCCAGTTTTCAAAAGCTGCTTACGAGACCTCTGAGATGCTGAAATTCCAGTCCGAAGTTTGACATTTCTTAACCATAGATTTTGCATTTTGGTGGCGCGGCGACCCACCCTCACACCCTCGCCATGCGCCACGATTGTCACCGCCCGCAACACCCTACGAAAATGTCGTCGAGTGGCGCAGGAGTTAACGGTGGGGATGAGGGCAGTGTGGTCACGGGCTCGACTCCCTCGTTTCTCTTTTTCTTTTTTCTTTATTTTTTCATGCATTTTTGACGAAATTGTTTTGAAATGTTGATTTTTGAAGAGATTAAAGTTGCCAACTGAAGTTCCTCATAGTGTATGCGGAAATTCTTCATCAACACATGAATCTTTTTTGCGATGGTTTTTTTCAGAACAGCGTTTGAGTGCAGTTGATTCTTTGATCCATAACTCGAAGGGGAATTTTTGTAGAGAATAATGATCAACTACAAAGTTGATCAGCATGACATTTACTACAACTTTCCAGTTGACCACTTCTTTCTAAAAAATTGTCTTCTTGAGATACAGGCTGTTAAAAATAGTGGTGCAAACTCTTGCTGTATCTCGCGAATTGAATGAGATATTGTCGGGATTCTTCTGCTGAGAACCCGATTTATCAGAGAAGGAAGAAGAGAGTGGAGAGGAAGGGCTCCAAAACCCAATAATTGGGCCAATAAATCCGCCGTAAATTTGATTCCTTTTTTCTATATTTACGACATACTTTATTCCCTTCCTCGTTTTTTATGTCCTTCGACCCCTCTCCCTATGTCAACAGTCCTCCCTCTTTCTGATGGCGCCACTCGCGCCTCCCCCTCACCGCACCCTCCTATAAAAGGAGGTCGCTGGCTCACTTTAACCATTCTTTGTCTCGATAGACCTCCAACATCATCCGCCACCCCTTTCTTCTCCCATATTCTTTTCCTGAGCAATAAACTAGTAACGGAACGAATCCTGTCCTGAATTACTACATGGTGACCCAGGGCTCCGTTACAAGTGGACCGCTAAGGAGGAGTATCGGAAAAAGAAAACAACTCCTGAATGAGTTGCTCAGCGAGGAATCCACCACTTCATCTGAACTGATCCCACGATATGACGCTATCGAGTTAGAGAAGGCGGTGCTCGGCCTCTTCGACGAATTCGAGAGGTGCGAACGGAATCTGAGTGCTCTCGCCGATGCCGAGAACAAATGGGCTGCCCTCCGACGCAGCAATCCCCCGGAACAAAAAGAGCACGACTCTTATGTAGCGAACTACGGACCCTACATGGAGACGTATCGAGAAGGAGAGTTACGACTCCAGGAGATCGTGGAACTCTATCGAGCTGGCTACACCCGACTCGAGTCATTGGACAAGACTCGTGTGGAGAATCTAACTCAACCCAATGAGCTGATACTCACAACGCCACTGCTCACGGACTTGACGGATTTGAAATCTGGTCATACAACGCCGAATCCGCGCCCCGACGCAATACAAACATTGCCGACGGCGGACGAGAAGAAGCAAAGGACGCCGACAACGATCGCGTCATCAAAGGAAATGGCGCCGCCAACACCGCAAATGGCACCCATTCAAACGACATCTACTCATATGTCACCAACAAGAACACCACCGTTCGACCCGACGAGAAGAGGAATGGACGCTCAGACCATCGACTCCAACATGCAAGGAGTGATTGTCGTGGAACCAAACGTGACCGTGAAGACTAGCAACCCCTGGAACGCTGGGGCTGCTGCTTCACACCCACAAATGGTTCTAGGACACAACCTACAGATGCAGCTCCAACTACCAGCAGTGCAACTACCAGTCTTCAATGGAGACTCATTGAAATATTTCGAATTCCGTCAACTATTCGACGCTCTGGTCACCGGACAAGCTGAAGCCGCGAAGATGCATTTTCTGCGATCGTCTCTCACCGGAGAAGCCGCGGAACTAGTGCGAACACTACCGGTCACGCACGCCAGCTATGAAATAGCGATCGACATTCTCGATCAAAACTACGGCGGAAAACTGAGGCAGAAGACTCTCCTACTGCAGAAGATGCGCAACCTGCCGGACATCACCCACACCACGGATCCCAAGAGCCTGAAGATGTTCCTCACGCAAGCAACGATTACCTTCAACCTACTTATGACTCTGGGGGGCGACGCAGACAACTCAACAACCGCTGATATTATAATGTGCAAGCTGCCAATGAGGATCCAGATCAAACTGTACGGCAACTCGAACGGAGAGAACACCTACTTGGCCGGAGACCTTCTCCATCGAGCAGGAGAGATCTCAAGGAACGAGAATCTGATTGCCGATCTCTGCAACAGGCATCAGGACAACCGGAATGTGACGACGATGGCTGCCATCAACCACATCAACAACAATCGTCAGCGACATCAACCATGTGGTGGAAGATCCACTCCTCATCAACAACACCAGCAGCGTCCACAGAAACCATGTGCCTTCTGTGTCGAAGTACGAATGGTACACCTACCAGAGGAATGCCGAAAACATCCAACCGTGACCATTCGGAAACAACGTGCAAAGGACCTCCGTCTGTGCTTCCGCTGCCTCGAACAAGGACATGGTTCGAAGCAATGCTCTGCATCCTGCCAAGGCTGCCAAGGACATCATCATGCCGCCATCTGCCCGAAACGTGAGCCTGCTGCAGCCAATCAAGCAAGAAGGAACGACTACCAGTCACCAAGGAATGGACCACCTGGATCTGGAGGATCCGGCGGATATGCCGCTCCAACTGGACAGTCACCACGAGGATGGAATCAACGTTCGACTTGGCCGCAACCATCCAACCAAACGACTCAACAACCTGCATCGCAAGATCCGCGTCGTCAAGGGCACTGGAATGGCCCGGTGAACTTCAATCAAAGACCACAAGCTCAGACACACTGCGTCGAAGCAATGGAGAACCCGACCAGCGCCACCTTTACGACGCAAACGGAAATCACTACCGCTCCAACTACTGAAGCCGTGGAAGCCGAACTGTCAGACAAGGAGCCGGAGAACGTCGACTACGACAACGAGGAAGGAGCTGGAGAACGTCACCCGATCGACGCCACTCCAACGAAGCAGCAGATCATCATGCAAGTCTTTGACATCAACATTCTGGACGGAGATGGACAGGAGCATACGGCTACTGTATTCCTAGACGAAGGCTCCAACACCAGCTACATCACCAAGGACCTTGTGCAGAAGCTGAACATCAATTCAACCGGAACGAAACATTTGAATCTGACTACGTTCCAGTCCAAGAAGAAGAACATGAAGCTGCGGACATTCGACGTTGCGTTCAGGACGGAAACCACCACTAAGGTCATCCAACTCTTCGAGATCGACACCCTGCCGAACAACGTCTGCTCAACCGTCATCTCCACCAATTTGGTCAATCAACTACTGAAGGACCCAAATATTCGACTTCCAAGGATTGCCAAGGACATTGACATCTTAATTGGATTGGACACCAGCATCAGTCTCTTGGGAGAGAAGAAATCCTTCATTTTTGGCGATCTCGAGCTCCGTGTCACCGAATGTGGACCAATAATCTCTGGACGAGAACCAGCAAGGGAGCCCGAACCAGCAATGACCTTCACCACGATGAACGAGACTACTGCAATCGACGAGATCCCTGAGATGGAAGAGATCCGCACCGTCATCTCCCGAATGTCAACACTGGAAGGAATCGGCATCACGGATACAACTGCACCGGCCACATCGAAAGATGAAGAAAGTTGTCAACGAAAGAAACATTACTGAAGACATTTTGCATACTTTTTTAGTTGACAACATTTTTGAAAACTTGCTGATTTTTGTGATACGACCCACTTTTAATCAACAGCTTCTATCTCAAGAAGAAAATTTTTTAGAAAGAAGTGGTTAACTGAAAAGTTGTAGTAAATGTCATGCTGATCAACTTTGCAGTTGATCATTATTCTCTACAAAAATTCCCCTTCGAGTTATGGATCAAAGAATCAACTGCACTCAAACGCTGTTCTGAAAAAAACCATCGCAAAAAAGATTCATGTGTTGATGAAGAATTTCCGCATACACTATGAGGAACTTCAGTTGGCAACTTTAATCTCTTCAAAAATCAACATTTCAAAACAATTTCGTCAAAAATGCATGAAAAAATAAAGAAAAAAGAAAAAGAGAAACGAGGGAGTCGAGCCCGTGACCACACTGCCCTCATCCCCACCGTTAACTCCTGCGCCACTCGACGACATTTTCGTAGGGTGTTGCGGGCGGTGACAATCGTGGCGCATGGCGAGGGTGTGAGGGTGGGTCGCCGCGCCACCAAAATGCAAAATCTATGGTTAAGAAATGTCAAACTTCGGACTGGAATTTCAGCATCTCAGAGGTCTCGTAAGCAGCTTTTGAAAACTGGAATATAGGTTTTGAAAGTCCCTTTTTCGAACTGTGTCGTTCGTTTGTGCTGGAGATAACACCCACTTAAAAGGTTCCCTTGTAAGAGGAGAAACGCGTTTTGCGGAAAAGAGCGACTAGTGCGACAACACTCTGCTGTTTTCCGGCACGCAACCCGTTACTGAAATTGGCCGGTGTAGATTTACGCCGGCACGCTTAACCTTATTGGCTGCCCATCTCTGGTTTGATAGAAAGATCGGTTGTTGAGGGATGAAAGAGTTTGCATGCGTATTCGAGAGGCTAGGGTTCCAAACAACATATCCAAACGGCTTGGGACAGGGGTGGTGGTCCCGTCTCCTTGTACCAATGAAAGTGTTGCAATCATGGTACCAAGTGCAGCGTCTCCCCCGCCGTCTCGTGGTTCCCTTCGTCCGCGTCCCCAACTGTTTGGATACCTGAGAGCGGCAGTATTGCTACCTGTTGTAGTTTGTTTCTCGAATTTGAGCCAGAGATTGTCGGCTATCCAAATGCCGAGGTCCTTCAACAGAATCGTTCGATTCGATTTCGATGCCATTCAGGAAATGGGGTCTTAGTCTTAGAGTTGTTTGTTTCCAAAGCGAACAACTGCGTGGGGCGACAAATGATTTTTTCAGTATCTGTGCAAAGTGTGCGACGGATGGGCTGAAGAGCACACGCGAAAAACCGGAACGGACTATATTTGGGAATTGTGTCTGACCGAGTACAGAGTGAACGGAGAAACTGGACGAGTGTCCAAGGTATGCACTTTTTTTGTTGTTGATTTTGTCAGTCCTGGTTGATTTTTTGCGAATTTTACTCATCTTTGCAGATGTTCGGATACGACTACAATTACGTTCACACGCGCGATCACGGCTACAAAATTCCACTGCCGTACTGGTTTTCGTTCGAGATTGAACAAGAGTTTCCGGAATTTTACTGATTTTTCTTGTGTTTGTACTGAATTTTCCTGTTTTTTTTCATCCCACCAATACCAGTTTTAACCCGACATTCTGTGTTTTATTCGTCTGCAATTATTTTCGTATCATTCGCTTCATGACACACAATTTCAATGAATTTTGCATGCTTTTATTCGTTATTCATTCTGTAGACGCTGTCGACTCGTTGAGCCATTTTCCGAAATCGTCGCTGATTTTATCGATTGCCAAAGTGAAAAAGCATGGAGTTTCGGCCGGATGCAGGCTTTTGACGCGCTGAAAAAATTGCGATTTATGCGAAAAATCCATTTTCGTAGACATTTACACGCTCTGTGCGTCTCTTTCAAAACAAAAAATATTATGATTTTCGAAGTGTTCTTGGAATAACGGCCGTTTTATTGTTTTTCGCGGCCCATTTCCCCGCAAAAACACATTTTTTAGCTACAAAAATTAAAAAATTACCGTTTCAAGCTCTGAAATTCGGCTTTCTTGTGTTTTCAAAATTACAACATGCTCCTGATCCTCCTCGATTTTTCCCTGCCATTTATATCTGCAAAAAAGAGTTTTTTGTACAAAATTTGAAAAAAACACCTACACAGACGTGACTCCCGGAATCACATTTGCACACGCCGCCAGCGATTCTGATACTGTCGTTCTGCAAAAAAAAAAGTTTTTTTTAAAAATTCTCTCTGAAAAATCGATAGATACCGGGCCAAGAGCATTGCCACATCACGACTCGGAGCCGTCACATACGCCACGACCATTTTCACGGCCGGCGTCGTCATCGTACGCCTTCAGAATGCGTCGAAACGACGATATTCAGAATTTGTCGTAAAATCGCGCACACGGTCGAGTGGAATCGTGCGTGACGGTGTTTGCGTACCGGCCGAAAGCGCGCCAAATTTCGGTTCGAATTTCGGCGGCAACTGCTGTTAATTATTCGGAGAGGGTTAATCGAGCGATTTTCCGGTTTTTTCGATGATTTTCTCAAAATTTCCGTTACATTCTTGTCGATTTTGTGTATTTATCGCCTAAAATCAGTCAATTTCCCGTATTTTAGACGCAAATGGCTCCAAAAAAGGCGCCCCCGCCGCCTGCCTCCGACGAATCCTCGTCCGAATCGGATTACGACGATTTGAAGCCGAAAAAGCCGTCAAAAAAATCAAAAACGACAAAGGATGAGCCGAGAAAAGAGCAGAAAACGCGTGACCAAGTACTGGAGGCGAGTATTGATTTTTTGGGCGAATTTTAAAATTTCCCACCGAAAGTTGGCTCAAAAAATCTACAAAATCAGGGGGGAAATAGTGAAAACAGAAAAAAGTCCAAGTTTTGCAGGAGGCCGCCGCCGCAGTTTACGACCAAAACGATTCGTACGTCGACGACCCGAGTGTGGACCTTTTTTCCATTGTAATAAATTGTTTTTTGTGTTCATCTTCCTGGTTTTGACGCCTAAAACGTTTGCAGAAACTGCCGGCACGTCCCGAATTTCTGACGAAGCCGAATCGCGAGAATCGGCTCATGATTTCCGATGTGGAGGTCGAGAACTTCAAGAGTTATCACGGAAAAGCCAACATCGGACCGTTTCACAAGGTTTGCGATGGCAAATTTTTTTTTTAAAACAGCAAAGAAAAAATGAAAAATTCCCTGAAAACAGTCTAATTCTATTCGAAAATACTTCCAAAAAAATTCTTTTTTTTTTGCAGAGTTTCACGTCGATCATCGGTCCGAACGGTTCGGGAAAATCCAATCTGATCGACTCGTTGCTGTTCGTTTTCGGCTTTCGCGCCTCGAAAATCCGTTCGACCAAAGTGTCGAATTTGATTCACAAATCAAAAGGCCGCGATCCGACGTCGTGCACAGTCACCATCCATTTTCAGCGAATTGTCGATATTGTGAGATTTTTTGACATTTCTGGATTATTTAGTGAGAATTCGAATGTTTGCAGAACGAAACGTCATTCAGCATTATCGAAAAGTCGAATTTTTCAATTTCCCGTACCGCGTATCGCAACAACTCCAGCTCGTACGCCATCAACGGAAGGGTTTGTCTTTCTTCCCAAATATCTGAAAATTTGAGCTCTTTTCCAGGTCGCCTCAAAAAATGAAGTCGAAGCGAAATTGCGTTCTGTTGACATTGACATCGAACACAATCGATTCTTGATTCTTCAGGTAACTGAAGCAAATTCTCCCTATTTTCTCCACGTTTTTCTCTCTTTTTCAGGGCGAAGTGGAGCAAATTGCGATGATGAAGCCGGTGAAGCAGTCGCGAACAGAGACGGGAATGGTCGAGTACCTCGAGGATATTATCGGATCAAATCGTCTCGAGAAGTACGTGAAAATGTTCCAGAAGCGAGCGAATCGGCTGCTCGTTGAGCAATCACAGCAGCGAATAGTGCGGGAGCACGCGCGGAGCAGCAAAGTTGGCATGGAGAAGCAGGTGCGCACGGCCGTCGAGTTTCTGAGCAAGGAGAACGAGGCGACCGCGTTCGAGATGAAGTTGGAGCAACGACGCAGGTTAGCATTAATTTGTATAAAAGACACCTATAAAATTGTCATTTTAAGACTGAAATTCATGGATAAGCTAGCTCCGATGGAGGCGGAAATTGCGGAAAAAGAGGCGCAAATGAAAGAAATTGCTGTAAAGCTGGAGGCGAACAGAGAAGAGTACAAAGAGGCAGAGGAGCTGGACCAAAAGTTAAGTAAAGAGAGAGCGGTGCTGGATAGGGAAATCGACAAATTGACGAGAGAGATGACGGATTTAACGGCCGAAGAAAAGCGCCGAAAGGACACTTTGAAGCGCTACGAGGCGGATATTCGAAAAAATGAGTTGGAAAAGGAGAAAGAGGAGAAAAGACGAGCGCTTTTGGAGGCGGCGCCCGCGAAAGCCGAGAAAAAGATTGAGAAATTGAGTGCCGAGGTGGAGGTGCTCATGAGAACCGAACAGGCGGCCCAGGAGATCGCCGACCGAAATCTGCCGGAATTCGGCGAGAAAACGAAAGAATTCGAGGGCGAGCGCGACGAAATTCAACAAGAATGGGCGCGCCTGAACACGGAATTCAACAAAATACGGGCGGAGCATCAGGTCGCGCGCGACGAGTTGGAGGACATGCGAAAGTTGGCGAATTCGGGCACGAAGAAACTCGACGAGCTGCGCGCACGACTGCAGACGGCCGAGGAGCGGATCGAGCGGGAACGGGCCGAGCTGGAGGAGATTGAGCCCAAGTACGAGGAGGCGGTGCAACGGATGAAGTTTACCGAACAGATGTTGCCGCAATTGAAGGCCGAGTCCAGACAGAAGCAGCACGAGGTTTCATTTTTTTGCAGACATTTTAGACTTTCAACATTCCCAATCGTTCAGATGGCTCGAATGCGTGATCGTCTGGACGAGCTCCAACATCAGAACAATTCGTGTGCGTCGGGATCGCAAACGATTCAAGCACTGAATAAAATGAAGGCCGAGGGCAAGATTCCGACGTTCTACGGCCGACTCGGCGATTTGGGCGTCGTGGATCCAAAGTACGACGGCGCCATTTCGACCAATTTCGGCGCGCGGCTCAACTATCTCATCACGAGGACCGAAAAGGACGCCGCCGCTATCATTAGCTTCTTGACTGAGGTTTGCGCGCATTTTTCGAAGATTATAGGAGAAGCCGGGAATTTTAGCGCTAATTTTGCTGTTTTTCACAAAAAAAAACGATTACTGAAGCCCAATACATTTTGTCGGAATTGGAGCGAAAGTAGCGCTAAAATAAAGATTTGTCAGCCGTATCGGCGACTTTGCGAACCGGAGGGGCGGATGTTGGATTTTTAATTGAAAAGTTCAACAAAAACAAATGGATTGCAGAAACAAATGCCGCGTCACACGGTGCAACCTATCGAAAAGATCATATACGACGCGCGTTCGCTGGTGCCAGTGGCGCCGAACACGTTCCCAGGACCACGGGCGATCGACCTAATCGAGTGCGACGACGAGCTGCGGCCGGCGTTCTGGGACATGCTCGGCACGACGATCGTGGCCGAGACCGTGCCGGAAGCCCTGAGGTTCAACAAACATCCGGCGTGTCGCCACTCGCGCATCATCACTCTGGAGGGCTCGCTCGTCGCGCCGAATGGAAACGTGACGGGCGGCGGACGGACGCATCGCGGCGCCATCCTCACCGACCGGAACAAGAAGCCGAAGCAAGTGAGCGACCGGGACCGCATTGCCGAACGACAGCTCCGCGAGAGGCTCGAGGTGACCACTATGGAGGCGAGGGGCCTTCGCGATAGGGAGATGCAGGTTTGTCGACTAGAAAAATCCTGAAAATATTGAGAGAAGTGTAGGATTTTTCGAATAAAAACAATTCGACACGTTTCGACATAAATCGTTTATTATAGACGGACAAGGACAATTTCGACTCTCGTCGCTTAGTAGCCGACCTCGGAAACCGTATGCAACTGCTGAAATCGTCGGTGCAATCGGAGGAATCGTCAATTTCGACGCTCAAAAAGACGATTCAGGCGCAGGAGAAGGAAGCGGAAAAGGAGAAGGTGGATGCGAACGAATTGGACGCAAAACAGAAGCTCGTCGACGAGCTGGAACAGAGTAAGTGGGCGTTAAAAACAGAAACACCCTACTTTGACCATTTTGCAATATTCCGATCAAGCCCAAACTTTGCAGGCTTCTCGGACTTGGATTGAAGTATCTTGGGCCCAATATTCAGACCGATCGGATCATCCGGTCCCGAAATATTTTGAGACCGAAAAGACCTGGTTTTTGCGAAACTTACGGCCTTTTTGATCTCTGATCTACAAATCTCGAGACCGGATGATCGAACTGAAACTTGGACCCAATATACTTCAGACCAAGTCTAAAGTATTGCAAGTGGGCCAAAAGTCCAGGCCTTAAAAAGCCTTAGAAAAGCCTGGACCTGAGTAAAATTAGCAAAAACAAATTTCTTCAGAGCGCAACAAGCTGGGCGAGAAGAACGAGCGAGCAAAGTCGCGTCAGGACGAGATGCAGAGTAAACTGGACGATTTGTTCCGCGAGATGGTGCAACGGCACAAGGACGAGGCGAAGGAGGCGCAACAGAAGCGCATAAATATGGAAAAGGAGATGGCGAAGGAGAGGGGCTCGATCGCCAATTCCGACCAGAACATTGCCAAGTGCGACGCGAATCTGGCGAGATTCGAGAAGGAAATTGCGAAAAAGCAGAAAATGTGCGACGAGTTGGCCGAAAAAGCGGTCGACGAGGAGGCAGTGGCCGAGAAACGCGCGAAAATCGAGGAGAAGGAGGCGAAACGGACGGAAATGGAGAAGGAATATGCGGAAGTGGCCAAGAGACAGTCGGAACTGACGGGCGCCGAGACAAAGTTCGAGGCGGAGCACAAGAAAGCGGGCGAGCACATCGAGGAAGTGCGCGGCAAAATGCACGGATTCGATGTGCGATGCAAGGAGATTCACAAAAAGGTCAGCGCGTTTTTGAAGTTTGTTGCCCTTTTTCAAAAAGATTTTCGATGAGTAACACTTCTTACAACTAAAAACCGTAATTTCAGTTGCGCTCGATGACGATCAACCGCATTCCGGTCTTTCAATTTCTGACCAAGTCGGAGCGTCCGGAAGAAATGGAAATGCAGTTGGAGGAGCAGGAGATGCCGGCGGCCGGCAACGAGAATCTCAGTCCGGAGGAGGCGGAGAAACAGAAGAAGCACATGGCGGCGGTGCTTTCGGACGCCGCATACGCGATGGAGTTTGAGATCCGGCAGCGAGTGCTTCAGAACACGGAAATGGTCGAAAACATTGACGGAGACAAACAGATGCACGTCGAGTTGCTGCCCGACGAGGAGGTACTCCTTTGTTGCAGGAAACTCAAAGTTTGAGAGGATTTTGCTTCTTTCTGGCACTCTCGAATTTCTTTATTTACTGGAATATCAACGAGAGAATTGCAGATCCGCGCGTTGACGGACCGTGACGTCGAGGACCTCAAATTCAAGTTGGCGACGGCGCAGGAGCAGTTGGACGTGCTGAAACAGAAGGTGGACGTCTCGTCGATCGATGCGTACATCTCGAAAGTGAAGGTTTTCAACGAGGAAACTGTCAAATTGGCGATGATCACTAACGATTACCGCAAACATCATCTCGAGTTGCAACGCATCAAAAAGATGCGATTGGAAGAGTTCCATGTGCGTTTCTTCTAGATTTTTACCAAGTTTTCAATCTAATAGAAGACACGCTTTTTGAATTTGCAGTCGGCGTTCGAGTTCATCGGCAAACATCTGGTGGCCGTCTACAAAATGCTCACCGACGGAGGAGACGCCAAACTCGAATACATTGACAAGGACGATCCGTTTACGCAGGGAATCAGCTTCATGTTCGTACATTTTTTCGGAAATTTCGCCATTGGAAGTCCTTTTAGAAAGAGCTTTGAAAATCAGGGTGGTACGATGGACTATGTAACGCCAAAGATTTTCTCGAGATTCTTCAAACAAATGTTTGCAGGGTTCGACCGGCGAAAAAGGCGTGGAAGCAGATTCAGTACCTTTCAGGCGGTGAGAAAACGCTCTCCTCGCTGGCGCTCATTTTCGCTCTTCACATGTTCAGGTATATATTTTTCACTGATTTGTTTGACTAAATAGACATCAATTTATCAATAAAACATGTGTCAACCTGAAATTTTTCAATTTGCAGACCGACACCGTTCTACGTGATGGACGAAATCGACGCGGCGCTCGACTACCGCAACGTGTCGATCATTGCGCAGTACGTGAAGCAAAAGACGGAAAACGCGCAGTTTATCATCATTTCGCTGCGAAACAACATGTTCGAACTGGCGAATCGGCTTGTCGGCATCTACAAAGTGGACGGATGCACGCACAACGTGGCCATCGATCCGTTGGCGGTCGCCGAGCACGCAAAGACCATCTCCATCAGTTTGGGACAGGTAACGCTCGCTTTGCAGAATTTTTCAGAAGCCTTTTCCCGAAAAGTCAGAGAGTTGTCTAAAAATCGCTAAAAATTTGCAGGAAGCGTACACGATGCCGGACGAGGTGACGACGCGGTTCCGCGAGTCGCAAAACCGTCAGAACAAGGAGATGACGGCGCAGGAGAAGCAGTATCCGAACTTCCCGTCCTCGTCGGAAATCACGAAAGCGGAGAAGATTGTGAGCGTGGAGGGACGCGTCCGCAAACAGCTGAACGACAATAACACGATCGCCGGAGCTTCTTCTTCTTATTCCCATTCCCGTCCCGTTTCGAAGGCCACCACGGCCCGTGGAGACAGCGAACGGCCCGGAACTTCTAACACCAACCGACCAGAGTCTCGCGCCAATCGTACGTTTTTTGCAGGCGTTTTTTTTTCTGGGAATTCTCTGGATAAACAGTTGTTATTATAGAAATGCGAATTCCGGCTCCACGACTCGTGCCAAGGGCTATCAGTGATCCGACCGCCGCCACGTCACCTAGAACCGGAAGACGGACGCCGAGAAAAGAGAGAAATGTCGAGGACGACGATGTAAACGATTTTCCAATTTTTGGAAGGCTCCCTCGTTTTCTCAACTCGATGTTTCGCAACCGGGCATTTTGCAACTCACGTTTCGCAATCGTCCCGGCTCAGCATGGTTCTGACATCCCAGTCTGGCCCGTAAAGTGACCAGCGATTTGAGCCTGTCTGCATTCTTCGTTTCATGAATTTCGCATGAAATATCCGCAACACGCTGGTTGCGGAGTTGCGAAACGCAGCAGTTGCAAAACGATAATTTTCGAAACATCACGTTGCGAAACGTAAGAGTTGCGAAAACGAAGGAAGTCTTTTTGAAAATAAACAAATGTGATGTTACTTTAGCTCAACAATGTTCACATTCTGTTCAAAATTTGCAGACAACTCCGCCGGCGAAACGCTCGAATTCGACGTCTCAAAATCGAAAATCGCCGCGAAGTGCGAAGAAAACGGCGCAGAAAAAGCGGAAACCGACCGATTCCGAAGAGGATTCCGACTGAATTTATTCCCGATTTATCCCCCTTTCAAATGCCTTAACAAATTCGATGCCTTTTATGAAACCCCCCTCACACTTTTTTGTTGCTTTTTGTACGGGTTTTCCGAGCGCAAAACGCACTTTTTGATCCTCATTTGTCCTCCCGTTTTAGCCCCATCGTATATTTCTGTGTGTGTGTGGAAAATTATTGGAATTTTTAGGCTATTATTTGATTATCCGTGTGTCAACTGAAAAGAATGGTGAAATTGGAATAGATTTTATTAAGGTTCCAAATGAAAAACAGACCCAGGCTTTTTGAGGCCTGCCTTTTGACTCACTTGCACTATTCCGATCAGGCCCGAACTATACTGGTTTGAGGTCGAAACGTTTTCCCCCGAAGTTTCTAGTTTTTCGTCGCTAAAAAAGCATTCTTACATGCAATTTCTTGATCTTAATATTCATCCGCGTCTTCGACTTCAAAACGATTCCCGGATGCGGTTTTCTCTCTCTCTCGTGCGGTGAAAACCCCGAAAACTCCATAAAATTGCAGAGAAAGACAGAAAAACAGTGATAAAATCAACGATTCATGATCAACGACTTTTCTTTCATTTTTTCACGGCGAAAGTCAATCATTAAACGACACGAAAAGAGCGGGGAAAATGGGAGAAAATGAGATCCTCAGACGGCGATTCCCGTGAGCTGTTGGATGGCGTTCTGCAGGAATTTCTCCTGGAAATCATTCTGAAAAACCTGCTTCTCGACGCTCTCGCTGATCAGTTTCAGCAGCTGATCCTGCTCGAATCTCGCCTCCTCACTCCGTGTCCTCTTCCCTCCCTTCTTTGGGATCGATAAAGAATGACCTGTTCGAAAGAACGTTCAACGTCGGAAATGATAAGAAAATGTATTTATTTTTTGCTCAAGAAATGAGGGGAATGAAGAAAAAGTTGGAAAAAGTGCAAATCCGTAAGGGGAAATGGCAAAAGAACGGGGAAATGTTACAATTTAAAAAAAAAAGGATCGATGAAAAAAACCTGAATATTCTTTTTATTGGTCTCCAACAATTGAGGCGGCAATCGATAAAAGCGCAGCATTTCCGCCGTCCGCAAGCGAGACCGTGATCGGATTTCGTGTCGGCGGTCCCGTCGGTTGAGCCGAAGAAGAAGAAGTGGAAGTGGAAGTGGAGGGGGCCGAGCTTGTCGACGGCAATATTGTCCGTTTCACGGTCGATTGGGTCCGTCCGGCCACCTTCAGTCCCACATAGTTCTGGTATTCGGCGCCCGTCGTGACGACGAGCTCGCCGCGTGTCGAAAGGTGCGATTTGAGGAGGATGTTGAACTGTAAACACACATTGTTGATAAGCAATTTGTGAATTCTTTCTGCGGTCTCCAGAGCTTATTATGAGTGCATTTCACTGCAATCGCGCGCTCTGTTGAGGCATCCGGATTAGGAACAGAGCGTGAATGCAGAGAAATGCTGCGATAATACAATATGAGCGTGGCCTCCGCCAAATGGCGTTTTCATCGACTGACAATGAGCACTGAACAAAATCCCACAAAATCCAATTTTTCCCCGATAAGCCTACCAAATGCGCGTCTTTGCAGTGCCTCGCAAACTGCTCGTCGTTCATTCCCATCTCGCCGCAAATCTGACACGTGCGTTTTCCGTCCGCCTGACTCGTCGTGCAATGCTTCTCGTGCATGTGCTCCATCGCTGCGGATCGCTGCAAAACTCGGAAATGAATCGAAGGTTTTTGAAAACGAAATTCGCTCACATAAACGTCGGCCGAAAATTGTTGCATACATCCTCGGCACGCGACGCGAAAATCGAGTCCGTGGCGGACGAGATGCGATTGCAGCGAATCGGTCGAGCGCTGAAACAAAACGCATTGAAAAGTGCCAAAAATAGAGGCGATTTTCCAATTTCTTTAGATTGAAAATTGCGTACATCTTTGGGCAGCGACCACATTTCCATCGTTCCACAGATTGGGCAGCACTGGGCGTCGGTTCCATTCAATCTGAAAACAATTTTTCTAGCTTGAAATGTTTCCCTGCACATACTCTGAATACTTAAAGTGCTCCTGCTCGTGCCTTTCACACAGTTCGGTCGTCGTAAAACGCGTTTCGCAGCATCTGAAATAAGCAACGAGTTTCAGGTCAGTTTTGTGCCAAAAACGTACTGAGACACGTGTGGAAGTACACTTTCGTGAAAAACAGTGAGGTGCCGATTGAAGGCCGCTGGCGACGAGAAAACCTGATGTTTGCAGTTCGGAAACGCACAAGTCAGTTGGAAAATGTTCGATTTGAAGCCTTCGTCTTCTGAAATTGCGAAAAATGATTGGATTTTTTGTCGTTCTTCTTGTCAGCTTCTTCCTCTACGTACTGTATTTTTTGAACGCCGGCGTCAGGTGCTCTTGCAAATAGTGCTGGAAGAGGTCGATTTCCGAGGTGCGCGAAAATCCGCACCATCGGCAGAGCCACGTGTCCGTCGAGTTGTGCATTCGGTGCAGGAACGCGTCGAATTCAGTTGTTATCAAACCGTCGCATTCCTGGAATTCACATAGGTGTTTTTCAAAGAACAACTGTACAAATCAGATTGGTACCATGCATTTATGCGGATTCTTGGTCGCCACAGCCTTGACTGCTTGTTGTTGTTGTTGGTCCGTCGAGGCGTGCCCGGCTGCCAGGAGCGGCCGTTGCGGAGGCGCCGCCGATTGGACGGTCCTTCTTTGCGGCGGCGTCGGCACCGAACGATTCGTCGTTATCCCCGTCAGTCTGGAAAGAGAGAGAGAGAGAGTGAGCATTTTAGCGGAAAATATCGGGCTCACCTGTGCGGTGGAATGGCGCTGCTGGTCGTCGGCTGATCGGCCGGAACCGTGGTGATCGGCAACAGTATCCTCGCTCCCTTCGGCGCTTTCGTTCCGACAGGCGGTACCGGCGCCACGACTCGCCGTGCGGTTCGCGGCGTGCGCGTCGAGTGCTGCTGGGCTGCTGGGCGGCCGGGGAAGGTGCGCGCGGTGCCGTGCTTCCGCATCTGTGCCTCATTCGCGTTGCTCAGGTGGTGGATGAGCGGGAAGAGACGGCGTGCGTCGGCCGGCACATCCATGACGCGGAACTGCGGGAAACCCGTCTCTTCCGAGTAGCCGTTGAACGCCAGGAAACTGAACCACGTTTGCTGTAAGCAACAATTCCGCTAAATTCGTGATTCCGGTGAAACTTACAGTGCAGAAGCACGTCTTGCACGCCACCAACACCTCACTATTCAGCAGCATCGATCGATGAGAGCAGTCCGACGGCGTGTGCAGCTGAATGAGAAAAATAATAATAAAAGGCCGGCTAGAAACACCCGAAAAATCTCACCCTAATCAGATTTTTAGCCACATTCGCCCTAAACTCCTCCTCATTTCTCGGTTGATAATTGAACAATTGAACGGGCGAAGCGCCGATTCGTTGGGCAAGGGCCTGAAATACAGAATTAAAATATTAGGTCTAAAAACATATTTAAAAAAGGGCGTACATAAGAATGTCCGTCGTGGAACGTCGTACAGTGCTCGAAGACGGCGTTGAGGTCGGTGGCTCCGAATGCGCAAACTTTGCAAAAATAGAAGTGTTGCACTGAGTGCACGTTCAGCAAATGGTCCGCCAGAAACAGATCCTCAAATACATCACTTTATATGAGAAAAAAAAGAAGTTTTTCCTGCACTTACCGATTGGAACTTCATGAGACACGTGCCGCACGCGTACAACGCCGCCTTCTTCTGATGTGCCTGCGCGTGATTGTGGCTTGTATTGCCGTTGAACGAGATGCCCGAACACATGTGACACGGGTGGATTGTGTCGCCGTGGATGGCCTGAAATATAGAGAAAGTGCGTACAAAAAAATGATTAAAAATCGATTCAAACTCACAATATGTTTGTCAAAAGTGAGCCGGTCCTCGAAGGCCAGTGAACAATTGCGGCAGATCCATGCGCGCGCGTCCACTGGAAGTCCGTACGTCTGCAAAATGCGATTATTAAATTTTTAAGCAATCCCAAAAATACCTCTTGACAAATCTGCGCTCCGGCGTCCATTTTGTGTCCTTCCGCGTGCGATTTGAGTGCCCGACTCGTGTAAAATGTCGACGAGCACTGCGTACATTTTAACGTCTTCTCGCGTGCGGCAGCCACTCCTGACGGCAGTGTTCCAGATGGGCTAAAAATTTTGGAAAATGGAACATGCTAATTTACCCAGGTTCGGGCGAGCGATTTGCTGCTCGTTGCCTGAGAATTTGTTTAGCGAAAAAACGCGGGGCGGAAGAAATACCGCTTGCGCGGTAGAAGAGAGAGAGAACCTCAAACATAACAAAGAAAAGGAAACGTACTGCTCGACCTCTGCGACGACAGCCAACTCCTCGTCGCCCAGCTCGTCCTGCACCACCTTCAGGACGGGCGTGTCCGTGTGCGTCGGCGTCGTCTGCCCCGTCACTTCCAAATCATTGTCCTCTACGACGTATCCCGGCTGCTCGGTCCCTCCGTACCCGTCGCGGTGTTCTTCTTCCACACGAACTGAAACTTTCGCACTCTTTAGTTCAGCTCGTGAATTTTTTTCGAATTTTCTCCACCTGGCTGCCTTCTAAACGCTCTAGTATTACTGGAAATTCGCCGAAAAAGCTCTCGAGTCGATTTGAACATATTCTTGTTCGATGAGAAAGTATAAAATTTCGAGAAAATGATATTTTAAGAACAAAATTCCCAAAAAAAAAGTTCACGCTTACTCTGACTGCTAATTTGATTTTCCAGCGTCGGGACGGTTGCTCTCTTCGCCGGCGGCTCTCCCGAATTGTCATTGTGCACTGCATTTTCTGAGATTGATTTCATTGTTAGGGTTAAATTCTCTAGAAAAAAGCTCACCAGCATTCGTATCTTTCACAATAACAATATCGTCATCGTCTTCTTCGTCGTCATCCGACAGTTCGATGACTTCTGTCGGAAGGATTGGCTTCACGACGGCAGGCTGCAATTTTTTGAATTTTTGAACCAGTTGCAATAATGCGATCGGGCCCAAACTCCCCACGCTTTTGGGACTTGGATTGAAGTATATTGGGACCAAGTTTCAGCCCGATCGGATCATCCGGTCCCGATATATGTGGATCATTGGCCGATGATCCGAAAACTTGGACCCATTATACTTTTATCCAATCCCATTTCCATTACTAACTCTAACATGTTTCTGAGGTGGCGGTGGAATTCTCGGCTGAGTCAATGGAAGTCTCTGTGTCTGTGGGGGCTTGTGCTGAACGGTCCTTTGCGACGGGACCACCGGTCTCGGAATGGAGCCCTTCGAGGCGAAATACTCGCTCGCACGGACCACGTTCTCCGGACGTGGCGGTCGTGGAAGGGCCGCTAGGGTGTGCGCAGGCTCGTCGATCGGGAGGTCGCCCGTCTCGCCCATCAGGTAGTCCATCTCGGATCGGTCCTTCCGCATGTACGACGGCGGCGCCCGACCGCCCTCCACGTATCGGATGTAGCCGCTGTCTCGCTGCAAACATACACACAATCAACGAAACATTTGAATAAGGAAAAAATCGAAGCGAACCTTGGGGAAGAAGCTCTCCATGGTGATGAACACCTTCCTCCAGTTGTGCTTCGGTATCTCGCTCTTCTTGTGCGTATTGCGATGGCGGGCGAGCAGTTCTTGTGAGCCGAACGAGCACTGGCACATGTCGCACGTGTTCGTGTTGCCGCCGGACACGTGGCACGAGTCAAAGTGGTCGAGAAAGTTGGCGACCGTCTTGAAATAACGCTCGTCGTCGCAGTCGCACTTGAACATTCGCAACGGACTCGCCGAGCACGCATGCTCGTAGTATTCGCCCATGCTGATAAAGTTCTCCATGCAATGTCCGCACTTGAAACGGAATATGCTCGATCCGTGCTGCCGCTGCATGTGCTGCCACACCGTCGACGGATCCAGCGACTTTTGGCCGCAGATCGTGCAAATCGGACGGTACTGGCAGCGGAACAGCATATGCGAGTAGATGTACCGGTTTTGCGGCTCGTGGCACCACTGGCAGCACTGCAAAAAAAAATGTCATTTTAACCGATTTCTGTGTGGGAGAACCCGTACATTTTGCGTTCCGTAGGGTCCCATCTGGACGTGCTGTTCCCGCATGTGCTGTTGCATGTGGAAATGCGATGCGATTTTGATTCCGCAAAACGGACAACTCGAAAACTTTTCCACGTGCTCGCCGAGGTGCTCCGTCAGCTCGGCCACACTGTCGAACGTCAGTTCGCACAAATAACACATTAGGCGGGGGTCCAACTGAAAGAAAAATTGAAGTCATTTTTAAAAATTAAAAACCTACCGATTTGGGGTCGGGCGGTACGAGCGGGAACGCGCCGATCGGAGTGGACCGCATGTAGACCTGTTTGTAGGTGAGTCCGTGCACCGGTTCCAGATCCATTCGGATGCATTTTTCGCGGTACTCCGAACGGAAATCGTCGATTCGAGGGTCGACGGGCAGCGGGTGAAACTGCAATCAAAAATCGTCTTTTTACAGAACATTTCATAGTTGTCACGCGTCGGACCGGAATTTACACGAAAATACTTGTTTATTTGCTGAAAAGATTAAAAAAAAACGTTTCTATTCTTCAAGTCAATTTTTCTTTTAAATTTAAAAACGGTTTACCTCTCCGGTGGTGACGACGTATTTGCACTCGTCAAAGTGATTGCGGAGCAAGTGCTCGTAGAGCTTCTCGATCGCAAACCGTCCGGTGCAAAACGGGCACTGTCCCGACAGGTTGCTGCCCATCTTTCCGCGTCCGACGTCCGCAAACTTTTTCGAGCAATAGTGCGTCCGTTTGAATGCCGGATTCGCGTAGCCGTGCGCGCAGGCCGGGCACAGAGCGAGATGGGCTCGAAGGAGGTGCTCGACGAACTTTTCGCCGTGCTCGCACTCCACTTCGCAGAACGAGCACGAGAACCAGCGGTTCTGGAATTGAACATGTGTGAGTTGGTGTGAAATCTATCTAATTTACACGCCACCCCAGTCAAACTTCTAACTGACTCCAATTAGATTTCTAATTGATAACACTACTATTCTCCTGTTGAGCCCCGATTTTGCCCCCATTTACTAACAGTTTTGGGAGTCTTGAACGGCCAGATGAAATTTCCGGGTTTCCGTGTGGGCGCCGGAACTTGCGGCCGTTGATGTTGGACGAATCCGTTGTTCGGCTGCACGTGTTGCTTTGTCTGCACCGGGAACCGCGTCGGCATCACTCGCACGTCGCTTTTCGCCCTCAGCACCAGTCGGCCCATCGGCGGCAAACGACAGTCCAAATCGGTCATTTTGGCGACCGGCGTACGTGGGTCGACCACGAAATCGTTGAAATATTTGGCGAGCGCCATCAGCGAGCGATCGTATCGATTGTAGAAGTTCGGATCGCGCGGATTCTCGACGTAGTGTGGCGGCGGCTCCATTATGACTGAAATGCCGTGCACGAGTTGGCAGTGGATGCGGAGCGAGGCGACCGAGCAGATGTGCAGGTCGCACGACGGGTCCAGGCAGCGGACGCCCGCGTGCGGGCTCGACGCGCCGTGGAACAGGATTTCTATGTCGTCCTGCAAATTTTGTTTGAGAATCGTCGTATGTCTAACAAAAAAAATACCTCGTCAGTTCCACAGTGTGCGCCGTGCATTTTCGGATCCGAACAGCCCACAAGTACACATTTGGGACAATAGAAAAACACTCTGTTGAGGGGCAGTTGATCTTTGAGCGGATCGATGCAATTCGAGGCCGGCAAAGTCACCGTCCGCACCACTTTCAACGCCAATTCGTCGGCGAACGGACATTGGAGGGCCGGCAGTTTCGGAGGCTGAAAATATTGAGAATTGGTTTTCTTTCAACCTAAAAAACGAGAAAATTCCTACTTTTTCTGCAGCTTCCGCGAGCACGGCCAGCGCCTCTTCGGGCTCCAATAGTCGGTCGGCGGCGGTGAAAATGCGATCGTTCATCATTGTTTGCAGTTTCTCCATCGCCTCCTGCTCCTTCTCGTCCCTTCCGAACAGCGTTTTCCGATCGATATGCTCGTAGCCGAGGTCCGGCCGCACTTTCGACGCCTTTGCCGTTTTCGTCCGTCTTTTCGGACGTGCCTGCGCCGATTCCTCTCCATTCTCGTCGGCAGAAGTGGAAGAGGAAGAGGAAAAGTGTTCGGATGCCTCGTTTTCCCCATTTTTGCGCCGTGACGCCTTCTTTTTCGCGATCGCCGCCTCGTTTTTCCAACGCAACAACTTTTTGCGCATCGTGTTCTCGTGGGGCTGGAATGATTTTTATTTTCGAAAAAGAAAATCGAGTTTTAGAAAAAAGGAAGGTCTACTTTGTTTCTAACTTTTCAGTTACCTGCACAAATTCGCGTTCACAATCGACGGCCTCCAGCGCGGCGACTTGGTTGGCCTCGAATCCGCCGACCGCCGGAATGTCGGTCAGAAATCCGACGTGCGGGCGGCGTCCCGAATTCGGCGGTGGTTGGTACGTGGCCGAGTACATCAGGTAGTTCGAGAATTGCGCCGATTGGGCTATGTGGTCGTGTAGATGGTGTCTGAATATATAAAATGATTATCTCTTATAAAACATTTCCGATTTTTTCCGATTTCTCTGAAAACTCTCAAGAATCAGGTTCCCAGATTAGAATCGTGCAAAAAATTGTACGAGTGTCAAAGACCAAAAATCGAGGAAATTCGAAATTTCTGGAAAGTTACACTCTGCTCTTTTGTCGCTTCGCATCTAATTTTCCACGATTCCGGTTGAAATTTTTGTCGCATTTCACGGGTTCGGAATTGTGGTATTTTTTGGAAGAAAAAATCCACACAAATCCGCAAATTTACCTGTATGAAAATTCAGTGCCGAAAACTTTGGGACACTTGTTGCACGCGAGTTTCCGATGCTGCATGTAGTGCTCTTCGGCCTCTTTGACCGATTTGAACGGCTCCGGATCGTGGCAAATGTCGCACTTGAGCGGGAAGCCAATATCCACGTGGCTGAGCATTTGGAACGTCATTCGCGTGTTCTCGTCGGGCAACGGTTTTCGGAAGAACACGAGGATGCACACCATCGGTTGGCACGAGTGATTCATCTGAATTATTGCAAAAAAAAGGGTAAAAACAGTACAGTTTTCTCGACAAACCATGCTGGTGGCAAAGTAGGGCCATCCCTTGTGCTCGGCGGCGTACAACTTGACGGGCAGCCAGAGTCCGCACTGCGTACAGCACAAATATAGATGGGCGGCCTCGAAAGTAAGTTGTTTTCCGTCCATCATCAGACTGAGGAGATGAGTGCGGAACGCGTCGCAGTCGTGCCGCGTCAATTCGTACTTTGACGAGAAGAGCTTCGTGCACGCGTCGCAGCCGAACAGATGCACCGTGTCGTGGTGCTGCAGGTAGTGCTCCGCCGCCTCCAGCATCGACGACCACGTCGGACGCATCGAGCAGCAGTTCGCCTCGAATGCGCCTCGCGGAATCTGCTTCGTCTGCAAATAATTATTAAAAATGGGCAACTTTGAAGTAACGCTTAATTTTTCTCGCTCAACTTCAAACGGGACATTAATTAGAGCTGTTTCGTGGAAAAAAAAACATCAAGCAGCGCAAAGGCTCGCAAAAAATGTTCTCAGACTTCATTTCCTACCTGTACATTGGCGGGAACGAGTGGAATCTCGGAGAAGGGCATGGGGACGCCGGGCGCGAACGATCTCGACTCGAAAATGTCCATTTTGGCGGCGAACTCCCAGTTGCGTTTGTAGGAGAGCGGCATCGAATTGTACACGTGGCGGAGCGATTTCAGAACTCGCAACTCGTCGTCTTCCGATATCAAATAGCGCGCTTTGACCGTTTCGCTGAAAAATTTATATTGAAAAGCATTTCCTTAAGCAAGAATAGAGCTACTAACAAAATTCTGATGAGTCGCTCGTCGGAAATCCACGCGATAAATCGTCGGAAACCGCCGGAACTCCTGCGCACCGCCTGTGTCGCATCCAACCCTTTGCCGACGGTTCGGTGTTCTGCGGGCGGACGTTCCTCGTCGACTTGTGGAGTGACATTCGCGAATTCCATCTGCGCCCGACTTTCTTCCCATGCACTTAGAGCAGTCGGAGTGAGAAACGACGAGGAGGGAGGGGAAGAAGTCGAGGGTCCGATAGGTTTTCCGGGCGGGAGCCACGGGGTCCTTCTGGTTCTCGGATTGATCGCATAGTTCGTCCGCTTTTTCGCAGCCGCCGCCGCCGCGTCGTCGTTCGTCCAATTCTCGTCCATTTCGTCACGCGTCCGCTTGTTTTTGCGTTTCCCGTGCAATTCGGTCACCAACGATTGTGCCTGCGCCTCTTCGCCACGCTCGATACTCGCATAGTTGACGGATCGGCGAGGACGGGACGAGTGTCCGAACGTCGTCAGTGGACCGCGCTCTTTTTCTCTGCAAAAAATTTGAGTACGGTAAATGACTCGGCAAACATCTGTAACTTTTGCGCAAAAGTTACAGAGGTTTGTCGAGGATCGAGTGTTTGCAAAATCGCGCTTTGTCGAACTTGGCCTAGAATTTTCACGGCCAAGTTTATTATTGCTGTATCTGGTGTTTGCAGACTCCTATTGTCAACCGTAACCGCCTCGCCAAAATGCATTTTGTTCATTTCAATGGTTCTCCACTTGTTCTTGATAAAATTGAGGCGACAACAGAAGAACAATAGTTGACAGTTTGTGAAATCTCAGAAAACTCTACCAAGGCCTGAACTTTTTGCCCAGTTGCAATAATCCTATACGACCCGAACATTGTAGGCTTCTTGGACTTGGATTGAAGTAGATTTTGTCCAAGTTTCAGACCGATCGGATCACCTGGTCCGGACCAAGTTTTAGTAGAAACTGCAGACTTTTCGGCCTCTGATCTACATATCGGTCTCAAAGTCGAATTCAAGTCCAAGAAGTGTACAATGTTCGTGGTACGATCGGAACATTACAAGTGGTTTAAAAGTACAAAGTGTCTGTGACCTGTTGCCCAGATCCGGTGCCTTACTTTGCGAGTGTTAACCTCTTCTCGTCCCGGCCCTCGTCCTCCTCACTCCGTGTCCTCTTCCCTCCCTTCTTTGTCCTCTTCGGCGGCGGTTCCTTGAACTGTCCGACCGATGCGGTCCTCGCCTCCTGCACAATTTTCGCGTCCTCCGCCTCTTTCCGCTTCTGCTTCTCGAACTCTTCGCCCATTTTGTCGAGTGCCGACACACTTTCTCCGTCGAAGACGAGGTCTCGCAACTGAAACTGTTTCGGCGTGAAGATTTGTTTCAAATATCGAAAAAATTCAGTTGGAAAATGCTAAAGTTTCGCAAAAAAAAACTAAACGTACATCGTCCTCTTGCAATTCCTCCTTGACCCGTGGAGCTGGCTCATTGAGTTTCCGTAAAAACTCGTCCATTCTTAAGACGGACAAGTTTGAATCTGTAAATAAATACAGTAAGTAAGAAATGGAAACATTAAAAAATCCACGACGTGCTGAAGCGTATGTGTGCGAAACAAGAAAATTCGAATTTCGCGGGAGAAATTGCTCGCAGCGACTCTTTGCGTTGGCTGGCACAGTGCCACGCGATACGCAGTCTATTAAGTATCAATAGAGCGCACTTGCGGCGCATACGCTTCAACTCGCCGTGAAATCAAGAACAAGAGCGAGAAATGGAAAACGTGTATAGCGAGTTTCACGACTTTTAGGCCAAGTTTTTCAGGAACTACATGGATTACCACTACAATTTTGCAAAATCCGCGGACTAGTTTTATCAACCAAAAGTTAGTCCGCGGAATTTATTCCGAAATTCTACGACTTTTCGTTCTACAAATTGCCGAACATTGCCACTTTAACTTGGAGTTCATTTTTCGAGCGAACATAAACAGAGAAGCGCTCTGGGAACTCGATCGCAATCTAATTCGAAAACTTTGCCATCTAATACGAACTCGTTTGAAATAGAATTTGCTTCAATTAGATTGCAAAATCTTCTAATTAAATTACAATCACTGCAATGTTTTCTAATTAGATTGCAATTCAGGAAAAATATATTGTAATCTAATACGATTTTACTGGAACTTCAATAAAATCTGATTAGATTGCGAAATAGAGCTTTTTCTTATTAGATTGCAAACTCTTCTAATTCGATTGCAATCGAATTTCCAGAGCGGTTTCTACGCAAACACAATCGAAAATTCACTAAACGCCATCAAAAACGCGTTGAAACTATTCAAATTTTTGGCGGAAGCCATTTTGCGTTAGAGCGCACTTCTCCGCCGTCTCCGAGTGGCCTTCCGTCGGCTGCCGAGGCGAGAGAGTGCATGAAAGCGAGAGAGAGCGAGGGAAACCGCCACTGAATGCACCTCCAATGCGCTTGACCCAGTGGAGAAGACAGAAAACGGAAAATAGTCGATACCAATAAATCTATCGACAATTGCCAGCATTATAGCACAAAAGAGTGTTTGCAACGAATTTGACGACTAATGTTCTCTTTTCTTCTCGACAGAACGTGTCCTCGAAAGCATTCGACAAAAGCATTGTTCGGCGTGCGTACAGCATTGCGGACTCGGCACCCGAATTGACGACATTTCGCGGAGGGGTCTCGACACGAAAATCTCCGAAGATCGGTTTGCGCCGATTTTTGAGATATCAGTGTCGACTTTCTAGATCGTAAATAAGAAAACCGGCAGGAAATGTATGACTTTCAGATTTTTTCAAGATTTTCTGAAAAACCAACTATTAGTGAGTGCCGAAAATTGCAACATTGCGCATTTTTGCGTTTACAACAACAAACAAACAAACACTTGTTGTTGTTTATTGTGAAAAAAAAAAGCAAAATTTTCAAATTTCGCGCATTTTGGCCTAGAAAATGCGTGACTGGTTTCAATGGAAAGGGAATGCAATGCATCGGCCATCGCGGCGCCATTCGTGTCTGCGTCTCGGCGGTGTCCGATTCTAATGTTCATCGCGACGCGCAACTGCGGACCGCCGCGAAATTGGCCTCGTCCGCCGCTGGTCGTCTCGGCGGAGGGTGTAAATAAAATTTTGGGCCCGCGATAGAAACGTCGAGAAGGACGGAAAATTGTGTGGCGCGTTTTGCGGACTTGGCACCGAATTTGACGAAAAATTCGGGTTTTGCTCATTTCGATTTCGCAATATGGACAAAAAAGTGATGGGAATGTGATTGACTGCATGATTTTTCCGCAACCGAAACACGTTTCGTTGCCGACAAAAACCGGAATATTATCATTCTGCGGGTGCAGAAATGCATTGAGGATTTTGTGAGAATAATTTTTTTTCAAATTTTTCAGAAGAACATGCTGGAATTCCGAAAAACTGAACAAAACAATCGATACTAAATGATTTTTTCGACAATTGTTCTGCCCAAAACAGCTATTTTGCCGGGAAATTTTATTTCGGACAAAAAGGTTTACCGGAATCACAATTTTAGTGAAAATTGGAAGTTTTACGACAACATTACACACGGCGATTCAAAGACTACGTTAGCAGACGCGCTCGCGCAAACACTCAATAAAATGTTCAAATTTGGCGGGAAAAACTACGTAAATATACGAAAACCAGGGGGACCGCGACGCACGGGTCTCAACACGAATTGCAAGTGTACATTGGAGCGCACTTGCTAACCGCTTTCGAAAAAGACTCAGTTCGTGTGTTTCATCGATTGGAAAAGTACGCAAACACCGATGCACAGAATTTTCCGCCGAAATGGAGAGCTTTCGGTTTTTTGGAGAGAAATCCATATTTGTGTGCCACGGTCTCCAGAGCTGACAATATGGGCGTGGCCTCGGCGGCCAAATGGCGTTTTCGTGAATTGAGCAGGTTTTCTCTGATTTTTGTGGTCAACGGCGATGAAAAATGATTGTTCGACATGAAAACACACTAATTCTCAGAATTAATGACGTTTTGGCGCATTTTTCGCGGATTTCGCTCTTTCACCTTCGCCGCCGATAGCCACCGATCACCGCCTAAAAACCGCACTTCTCATTTTGCGTTTTCTTGACCGTTTTCAGACAGAATTGGTTTTGCGAATGATAAATCACATAAATACAAGCATTTTGAGCGGTCGAACCGCGATAACTACCGAAAAGCAACTGAAATTCACGCAGTTTTAGCGAAAAACCTTCAAACGGATAAATGTGATTTGCGACTTGACCAAGTTTAACGCTCTTGCGCTTAAGAAATTCGTAATAGCCTATACAATCGGTCTATCGAGAGACAAATCAGAAATTATCGGTTTTTCGTGGCTAATCTGGCAAAAAACACTGATTTCGCTGTTAAAATTTGAATTTCGCGCCAATGTATCGCTCTATTGGGCGGGGCGCACTTGCGCCCATTGTCAGCTCTGGAGACCGTGGTGTGTGTTTTTGTGAGTAAGATCTCAAAATATAGCATTTTCCACACGAGAAACTGAAAAGAAACACATTACAAATTTGTAAGCCTACATTTACACGCAACTATTGCTTAGAGTTGAAATAATCCGAAATAGTATATTTTTAAAATAAATTTATCGAAAAACTCGCTTTTATCGCAAAACATCGTCAAGAATGTCAACGACAAAAAATGCGCCAGTTCGATTGACAATGTGTGCAAACACGGTGACAGTGATTTGCGGACCTGACACCACAATTGACGAGAATTGCACAAATGATGAATATTTTCGTGGCGAGACCATCCATTATCGATTGAATACGGGAACATTCTGAATGTCTGGAATCTGAAAACTGGAAAATCGATAAAAATCGACTACTATGAATTACAGAAAATTAGTCGAAATTTACACACTCAAAATTGCCAGAAATTCGCGGAAATTCGAGCCAATTTCTGGCGTACAATATAAAAAGGCACCGAGAAGAGCAATAGCGTATTTTCGGGAATCCGACAATATTCAGAAATGTCGCTCGTCGAAAAGTGTGTCGGAATTGACCCGAACGTTCGAAAACCGCTTGAGATTGGATTGATTTGGTGAGTGAGTGAGTACGGTAAGATTAGTGTAGGTACAACAATAAATTTGCGAACACTGAGATTACGGTAGACTGAATTACTGTGGGCTGCCTTTTTTTTTTGAAACGCCTCAAATGGTACTTTTTTCCAGGGAAGGCAACTATTGGGACGATCAGGACGTGCATGATTGCTGCGAACTCGACTGGGAAACCTGCGAAATTTTGGTTCGAAAAATCGCAAAAGCCCTTCTTCAGACCTATTCCCCCGTCGATTTTTCCACTCGAGACCCGGCGGAAAAGGAGAGCGTATTGATTTTTCTCCCTAAAATTATGCAATTGCCGCTCACGATTTTGGCCACGTATCGAGCTGGATTGGTGGCGATCATTCTGGTGAATATTGTAGCTTTCTGAAAAATTGCCGACTCGAACACTTGCTTTTTCTACATTTCCCACACGATTCCCATCATTTTAAGCCAAAGTTTTGATTTTTCAACAAAAAAACTTCGTTGCAGGACCCATTGACCACAAAAACCGAAATTCTGGAGGAAGTGCTCCTGGCCGAGCAGCCGAAACTCGTGATTACGGTCGACGCGTTCTGGCAAGCCCAGGAATTGATCCAAGTGAAAAATAGAGTAGAGGTGTGCTGATTACTGTAGCCGGGTTACTGTACTTTTTTTTCGTTTCAGGACCTTCGAGGAATGGAGGACACTCAATTGTTGGTGATTCGCCACGTGGCGCCCAATAGCGGAGTGCCGCCGCCGCGAAAACATTTTCCGGCGCGGAGACCCTCGTATAAGTGCAGTCTGGATTTGAGAAACGGAAAAGATTTGGAGTGGAGTACGGTAATGTCGGAGACGCAAATCGATGATAGTGGTCGGCCGGAGTTCGAGTGGAAAAAGCAGGATGTCGTCGTGAAATTTTACAATGAAAATGAAGGGTTAGTCGTTTTTATCAGTTCCAAAGCGTCCACTATTTTGAGTGTCCAGACAGCAGTTGGTTGCGAAACGTCCTCTTCTAGCTGCAAAGCAGAAAACCCCTAGATTTCTTCGAGTTTCTCAAAAGTTTGGTTGCCAGTCCCCTACTTTTCCCCTCTTTTTCTCTGCATTCTCTCACTGCTCCACACTATTTCTCCCCGCTTTTTTTGTGCGAACAAACAGTGTGGACCACACACGACGCAAAAAAAAATGCGAACGAACAAATAGCGAGCGTCGTCGCGTTTTTTTTCCAGAAGATGCACATCCGTGAGCAAGAGCCAACTGTTGAGCAGCATGGAAATCAAGCGAATGGGTCTCGACGCGAAAATGCGAGAAACGGACGGAAGTGTGGAGAATTTGATGGTTTTGGATGCGCCGAACGATTTGGAGACACTCGTCCAATTTCTCGTTCCGTGGTATTTGGGGAAGGCGATGACGTTGGTGGGTGTCTTAGAAAATGTATCCAAGCCCTTTTCGTATGACATGCCACCAGTGTTGAGCGGAATTCCGTCTTCCGTCTTCCGTCTTCCGTAGCTTTTTTTGTTCCGTCTTCCGGAATTTTTTCTTCTTACCGTAAAAGAGTAATAGCTTTTCAGAAGCCATTTACTAGTCCCGAAGAACGCGAATTTCCACGGGCAGTGACCCAGATCCAAAATTTTTGTTGCTTTAGTTATTTTTGTCAAAAAAAAAACCGGAGAAAAAGGTTCTGCATTGACGATTTTTTTTGTTCCGTCTTCCGTCTTCCGTCTGCCGTCTTCCGGGAAAAAAATTTTCTTCCGTCTTCCGGATTTCAAAATTCCATTTCCGCTCAACTCTGCATGCCACGTGGCACTCTCCTACCGATGTCGGAGTTCCGCTCAATTCCGCTGCGGGCGGTGGCCGTATAATTTTGCAACGTCACTGTGGATAAAGTCTATGCACACCTTTTATAGATAAACATGTTTATGGATAAACTTTCAGTACGAAGGACCGCTCGACTATCCGGATTCGTCTCGATTGTCTCAAATAATTGCGAAACACTCGGTAAAGTCTATTATGCCGCGTCCAATGTCTCGGGAAAAACCGTAAAAACCGCAGGTTTTTCTGTCCAAAGTCGGCCGAAATTTGTGTGAAAAACGGGGGTGCGCACAGCTCAATGAGTGTAACCGTACCCCTAAAACTACGGTATTTTTTGAAAATTTGCGCAAGAAATTTGAATATTTTCAAATAACCTCAAGAAATTAACAAATTTTCAAAAAATACCGTAGTTTTAGGGGTACGGTTACACTCATTGAGCTGTGCACACCCCCGTTTTTCACGCAAATTTCGACCGACTTTGGACAGAAAAATCTGCGGTTTTTACGGTTTTTCCGAGACATTGGACGCGGCATTATATACAACCCTTTTTTTTTGGATAACTTTTTCATATTTTCAGATAAACGTGCTGCTCGGATCCCGCTCCAACTACCGTATTCCCAATCCGGAATATCTAAAGTTCTTCGCCACGCCCACTCTGAAATTCGTCGATTTTCCCACCCATTTTCCGCATTTTTCCGATTAATCGAGAGAAAAAAAAACAATTTTATTCGTTCTTCTATCCAAAAACTTGTACGATAAACAACAAAAAGAGCTCAATTGTTTGTGCGATGAATTACAAAACATACAAAAAAACTACTATAAAACGTTCAAAAAAAGCGATCAACGCAATTTTCTCTTGGGGCCAAAACAACAATAGCTTTTCAAATTTCTCTCGAATCGATAGTCGGTCTCGCATTTTTGCACATTTTCTGGGGGCGATTTTCTCCAATTTATTCACACTTTCAGATGGTTTCGGGGCGGGGTGCAAAAAAATTCGGGAAAAAATTGGTGATGGTGGTGGTAGGGGCAACATTTTTCACATTTTTTTCACAGTTAGACACTCAAAAAAAAAGAAGAAAAATACAACAAAAAACGACAAAAAAAGCGAGCACGCGTCACAGTGCTTCTTTAAAATGATTTTTCGTCACGTCAGGAACCAGCCTGCGCCCGGAAAAACATACACAACAACAGGGCTGGGCAATTGGCCGGCTATTGACCTGGACTTTTGAACCACTTGCAATGATCCGATCGGACCCAAACTTTGCAGACTTTTTGATCTTGGATTGAAGCATACTGGGATCATGTTTCAGCCCGATCGGATAACCCGGTCCCGAGATATGTGGATAAAAGGCCATAATCAGCCTTCAAGCACTATCTCGGGACTAGATGATCCGATCGGGGTGAAACTTGGTCTCAATGTCCCTCAATCCAAGTCCAATGAGCCTGCAAAGTCTGGACCCAATCAGAATACTGCAAATGGTTCAAAAGTACAGATCAAGGGCCAATTGCCCAGCCTTGCACAACAACAAAAAGTGACGACGAGTGAAACGGGAAATTCAAAAAAAAATTCAGAAAAACCGGTTAAAAAGGGGTAGGGGGGCGGGGAGCGAGTAGTAGGACGGAAAAAAAAGTCGAGTTGACACCAAAATCAACAACAAAAATCGCTATTTTTTTGGGGTTTTCTGAAAAATTGCTCTCAAAGTATACGGGTACGGTAGGGGCGGGGGATACACATAACAAGAAGACAATTGCGGAATATAAATAAGAAATCTACTCGATTCTTACGGAAATTTGGGTTAGCTGGGGCGTTTTTTTAGAAAAAAAGAAAAATTAGAATAAAAAAGAGGATATAACAACATTTTTTTGGTGGGGAGTTTTTTCTCTGTTCGGGTGCTATATAATGCGCTTCCAGGCGCCAATTTTTAAGGAAAAAGGGGCGAGGCTTACCATAAATATAAATATATAATCGTCGTTTCGAGACCAGCTCGAAAAAACTTGCATGCGGGGAGCGGGACAAAAAATTACAAAACGGGGGCGTGGATAATAGAAGAAAAAGGACATTTTACACGAAACGAGCGCCAGGCTCAAAGTGGGGACGAAAGAGCCGAATGGGCCGGAATCAACAATAATAAAAAGGAAAAAAAGACAAAAAAAATAACAGAGCACTGCTCCACAATTAAAAAGAAATACACAAAAATCAGGGAACAACAGGGGGACTTACACAAAAAACGACACTTTAAAAAAAGAAGCTCCTAGAGCTCTGTAAAAACACCTTTAATGGGGGCGGGGCCAGGCAATCACATCACATTTTTAAAGAGGAGGAGAAATAAAGGGAAATCTATGCACATTTACAAGAAGAAAAGAAAACGAGAGAGTATAGAAGAAAGAGAGGCCTGCTCCGTAAAATGTGTGCTCCGCGTGCTTTCCCGGGCTTTTCGGCCTTAAATTTGGCTCGAAGCCGAGGTGGACGGTCCCGAGGCGGGCAGGAAACGGTACAGGTAGAGACGGTAATCCTTCGAGGCGAGCACCACCGAACCATCATCGACAAGCGCCACGTCGAAGCACTGCGCGTGCTTCACTCGCGACTCCAGAGCGCCGATCATCGTGCCGTCCTGCAAATAATTGACACATTATACGAGGGTTGTGGGAAATTCGGTGTTTTTCTTTGAAACTTTTTCGCACCTGAGCAAAGACGGTCAGATTGAAGTTGTTGTGATTGTCGGCGACGACGACCTCTCCGAGCGAGTTGATTCCGACGCCTATCGGATAGTTGGTGACTCCCTCGCCGCCAATCTGCCGCAAATACTGTCCCTCGTACGAGAACACTTTGATGCAGTGCGCCCGGTTATCCGATATGAGAATCTCGTTCTTGTCGTTAGTGCACACACCGTTCGGGAATTCGAGGTAGCGCGAGCACGAGAACTTTTGCAAAATGTTGCCGAACATGTCGAAAATGATGACGCGCATCACTTTGCACTCGACGACGATGATGCGTCCCTTGTTGTCGACGCACACTCCGCGCGGATGTTGCAGAATGTTGGCGCCGAATTTGCGCAGAAACTGTCCGTACTGGTTGTACACCTGGATCTGGTGCGTCGGCGAACGTTCCGTCACCACAAAATCGCCCGTGGTCCTATTCACGGCCACTCGATTCGGATAGAGCAATTGTCCGTCGCGCTTTCCGCACTCGCCAAACTGGAACTTGAAGCGTCCCTCCTTGTCGAACACCTGGATCCGGTGGTTGTTCGTGTCGGCCACCACAATGTCGCCCTGCCCGTTCACGGCGACGCCCGAAGGCTCCGTGAACTGGCCCTCCATCACTCCGAACTCGCCAAACTTGCAGTGGTAGATCATCTTCTGCCGCTTAATTTGCGACCGCGACGGCGGGAACATCGACTGGAACTTCTCTTCGTCAACATTCTGTCCTCCGGCCTCGAGGAGTCCTCCGAGCGCATTGGCTTCCAGCCCGAGATTCCACTTCTCGTACTGAGTCGTGAACGGATCCGAGGCGGCGGCGACGACGACGGTGCTGCCCGCGCTGCCTCCGAATGGTCCCAACGACTGCGACGATCCACCGAAATCCTTGTTCGGACGGAGGAGATTCGAGTCGGAGAACGCGTTGAGCGGCAGGGATCCGGCCATGTGCGGCGGCGAGCGGGCCGCCATCTGATTATCGATCGGAATGTGACGGCTCGGCGGTCGGCCGATCGGCGCCGGCGGCATTCCCGACGGAAGCGCTGGCATGAGGGCTCCAAAGTCGGCGGCCACGTTGCTCGTCGCACATCCACGCACCTGTCCGAGCAGTTGCGAAACGGTGCTGGCGGATTTGCCGAACAGCAGAGACGATCCGCCCGTGTACTCGACTTCGCAGTTCGTGTTCAGCACTCCGGTCATCTAAAAATTTGTAAATTTTCAGTGAAAAATTCTAGACAATTCCTACATCAGGATTGAATCCGAGGAAAAGCTGGAGGCGTGTGTCGAGCAACTGTTTGAAAACCATCACTTCTGCGGGCGACGAGAACGACATCAAACGGCGCGAGAATTCAATCGTTTGCGACAACTTCTCCGCCATCGACTGGATCCGCTTGTCGACCATCGTCAGTTGGATCTGCAAAATTCAACATTTCCTTTTCCTTTCAGAACTCTCCCGGATCAATAATCTCAATTTCAACACCAGATCTCACATAAAAACTCTCAATTTTTCCCTCAAAATGTTTCACTCCCTAGATCCTTTCCGGGTGTATGGTTGATATCAAATCGCGCCGTGGCTGTCAATAGTCATTTGGCTGACAAGCAAAAGATTCTGATGAGCGCACGGATAACGTCATTTTTCACGTCTTCTCTGCCCAATGGCCATCGTATCCGGAATCCCGTAAGAATCTCTAAATCTCATCGGAACGCCAACTTTCACTCATCTGTGGTTAACTTCAGCAAGACCGGCTAAACTACGGCTGCTACGCCGGGTTTCTGGGTCTCGCATGGTCCGCTGGTTGCCGAGTGATAAAACGCGCGGTCGTTGGTTCTGTTTAGTCCGGTCCGTCTTTCTTTCTGCTACCATCAGCGGACATCCAAAAATTCAGACAGACAGACGCCTCTTGTGTTTTATATATAAATATAATACATTACATTAATATTGTCCACCTGCCCTCCGCGTCTCTAATATTTATTACGTCAAGAGAGCGCGCGCACCTTCTCGTGAGTAGGACAAGACCAGCAATAGAAGAAAGAGGCCATCGTCATCGTCAGCGCTAATAATTTCTAGGTTATCTTGCGTCACCATCCATCCCTCATCACTATTCTAGGTAGAAACAATGCGGACCACGGGGTCCTTTTGTTATCGCCTTCACAGTGTCTACAAAACACGCAGCAGGGTGCCAATTTTCTCCATTGTTTTCCACTATTCTTCCACCGGGAACATCATCACTTTGTGAGGTCACAAGAAGACTACAGTAGTTCAAACAGAAGAAGAATAATGTTAACAACAGACACTATTGTTTCAAGTGAAATTACGGGCGACTCGTCTAGGCAAACATGATACTTTGTTACTTTTTGTCATTGAGCTAAAATCTACAACTAACGTCTAAAATCGCCAACTTTTTTAGTGTTTTGCGGCAGAAACAAACACAAAAAAGCATTCAAATCCCCCGGCGGCAAAGCCACAATTTCCTGGTTTTGTCGGGGGCCAAAAACCCGCATAAAAAGCTACGTCCTTGGGCGGCGGTGGCAACATTTGACCTCCATTTACCGCCGCCACCAATTTCCCACTCAAATTTCTCCGTTTCCACGAAAAGACCTAGTTTATCCTCCTCATTAACCCGTCCTAAAACATCTCTCGGCACGACGACTAAAAGAAAAACCACCGCACATGGCTCATAAAATCGGAGGCGGGTAGGAAAAGTAGGTAGTAGGAGTATTACTGAACAATAAGCGCACGCACCGCCTTTCATCTTCACCGCCCCAACCAACCAAGCATCTGTTGAGAAGCGAAAACTGTACCTGTTTGGCCGAAAACGCGGCGTCAATCTCCTTGGCAAGCGTCTTTTTCTGTTCCTGAATCAAATTTATCAGATTCGAGACGGTCTCGTCGAGTTGTGCGTGGGCGGCGTGCAACGAGGCGGTCAGCACTTGTTGCTTCGAGTCAACCTGAAAAATTCACATTTTCCACCCAAACCCGTCACAAACACCATCAAAACAAGCGCGTCCCGGCTAAACACCACTCGAATGGTATTGTTGACCAATGACCATATTTGTCGATAGTATTAGATAGCCGAGAGAGAGAGGTTGAGCCTACACGTCCTCTCAGATTTTTCTCTATCATTTTTACACCTTTCCCGTGTAAATATCACCCGGATTAATAGTCCGAACACCATCTTCTCACCTGCTTAAACATCTCGAGCATGTCCGAGTGCTTGCTGCGCGCGTCCGCAATCAACTGCTCCATTTTGAGCATTTGCTTGTCGGCTACCTGAAATTTTTACATGTGAAATTCGGGAAACTCAGCCTAAAAAATGACATTTTTGTGCATTTTGGCACGTGTCGCCACTTAGCACCTTTCCAATCATTTGTGATTGAGTGTGATTTTGGGGTGCCTAATCTGTTGCCGACAAAAAAATGATGGTGATGATGAGGGGTTTTTTGGAGAGTGCACCTGCTCTGGGGTATTAAAGAATGGACAATACTCCAATTTGTAAGATAGAAATAGCGAAAAATCCCAATTCTTCCGTAGTACTCCGTTCAAAATCGCTCAAATTGGATGAATATGGAAATCCTTCGTGTCCCTCTCTTGTCAAATCGGCACCAAGGACGCATGTATGCAAAAGATATAGAACAGGTGGTAGAATGGTTGAAGAGTGATGACCCGGGCCTGGTTTTGGAGCAGATGTTGCCAAGAATAAAGAAAATAGACAAGGGGGAATTACGCTAGGCGTACCGGCTGGCCATGGTGATGGGCTCGCATAATGGATTGATGGACGTGTAACGGCTTTTTGGGCTACTATACCACATTTTGAAGAGAAACATTGAAAGACGTAGATTCCGAGCTTTTTTCAGTGGTTTTCCGGTAGATAAATGTATCAGACCACCAAAAACAATGATGAGGTCAAAATCATTCTAAAAGACAATTAAAAGCAAAGTCAGAGCTCTTTTGCAGATTTTAACCATGTTTAGGCCAATCTTCTTCAAATTTCCCCAGTTTCTGACCAAACTTTACGAACCTCCGTGATGAGCTCGTACTGATGCTGTCCGGCCGGATGATCGGCTAGTGTGCAGTCGCGGCAAATCGCCAAGTTGCACGTCATACAAAAGAAGACAAGTTCGGAGGTGCGGTGCTGGAGGCAGACGACCGGCCGCTTCAGCATCTGCTGCACGTCGGGCGACTGTTTTCCGCCGAGCGCCGCCACTTGATGCGACGACGAGCTCGAGGAGGAGGATCCGCTCGAGGATCCCGTCGTGGAAGAGGCCGAGGATCCGACTGCGGCCGTGGCGGCCGGTAGCTCAATGACACGGTGCTCGGCGAAACAGTGCATGTACTTGTGCGCCATTGTGCAATTGTCGCAGAGGTTCGCGTTGCAGTCCTGGCAGAATGACGTCGCCTGTAATGGCTTTTAAGGTGTTTAGTGGGTGGTACAAGGATTGACAATTTCTAAAATGAGAACTCGTAAGGATGACAACTGTTAGTGCTATAAATGAGAATTGCTATGAATAAGAACTGGAGGAATGAGAACTTCATTTCATTTACTAGCCAGGGATCAAAGACTGCTCATGATTCGGTTCAGTTCCGTTTTCTTGCTGGTGCCATGATGTTTGCAAACTCCTTCTTGTGAACTCGTGCCATCCGCATCCACGTCACTCCGGGTTGCCCTGCGTCTCAAACTTTGATCTTGAACTCATCCTTCCAGCGCAAATAATGATTTCTGATTTGTACCAGTTCCCATTCCGCCAGTTCTTATTCACAATTACTCTTAATTATATCAGTTCTCATTCTTTATACCATCGTGTTTCTTCAATTTTTCAGTAAAAATCCCTGGAAATCGAATGCTCACCGTTTCGTTGGACTTGCATCCGTTGCAATGAACAGCCGGAACGCCGGCCGGCACCACTTGCGCCGATCCGTTCGCCACCGCCACGTTGTTGTTCATGATGCCGGCCATCATGGCGGCCAACTGCGCGTGCTGCTGCTGCTCCATCGTCGGCGAGTCGCTGAGCGGCGGCGACGAGCTGCTCGACGTTGGCGATCCGAATCCGAATCCGACGACCGGATTCGTCGGATCCGATCCGGCCACCATCGACGGATGTAGATGCGCGCTGGCGATCGGGACCGCCGACGATGACGTGGCGCCGCCGTTGGCTGCCGATCCGTTGAGGGAAAGACTGCCGAACAGCTGCTGCTGCTTGTTCATCACCGATTCGAGTCCGAAATCGGTAAGCAGCGAGTCGAGCCCGAGGTGTACGCTGCAAGAGTTTATTTTTGGGGATTGGAAACAACGGGGAAAACGCTCACCTCAACTGAGTCTCCATGTGGCACTGCGGACAGACGATTCGTTCCGGCTGTTCGAGATGTTTCGCCAGACAACCTTTGCAAAACGAGTGGAAGCACGCGAGAACCTTCGGATCACGGTACGGTTCAAGGCACAGCGTGCACTTCACAATCTGCAAATTTTTTAATTTTTTAAATAGAGAGGATACTCAAAAAATACACAAAGAAGAACGAGAAATTGTCAAAAGTGTCAAAATTCTGGCCTAAAAAGTCTCTCTCTCTCTCTCTCTCTCAATTCTCATCTCATCATCCGCGAAGGTCATTTTGAGGCCGCACGCGCCTTGGTCGCAAAATTTTTAGGCCCAAAAATGGTTCGAATTTCATTGAGGTATCACATTTCCCTTCAACGATTTTTGGGGCCACACACGACGCAAAACATCGCGGAAAATCGGGAAAATCTGGGCAAAATTCTCAGTGAATCACGCGGAAAACCGAACAAAAGTGGGCGGTACAGACACGAAGCGGACGCGGCGGCGGCCACCAATCGATGATGAAATCGGTCGCGCCGCCGCCGCCGCGCGGAACAACAACAACGGAAGAACGAACCGCGAGAGGAATTCGTAACTATGCCCAACTGGATTGCCTCTTTCTCTTCTTCTTCTCCGGATGAGCGGCCTACTCACGCGGAAATCTTGACCCCAAAACTAAACGACCAGGCGACAAGGGGAGAATCGTTGAAAAATAAAGAGACAGAGGAAAGAGACAAACTAGCAAAAAGTAGAAAGCTCTAAAAAGCCCAAAACCTCGACAAAAATGGCGCCGATGCGCGTGACAGGCCCAAAGTGGAGCGAGTGCGTTGGCGGTGCCGGGTCGGACCGCGACAAACAGATGGCACACGTGTGTCAATGTCCTCAAAAGGACGGACGGACGAAGAGGGAGACAAGATGAATGAATGGGAAGAAGAAGAGTGGGCGGAACCTAGAAGACAGTGCCAACAACAGCATACACGCAATATTCGAGACAGCAACATCTAGGAGAGAGGAAAAGCATGGGAATTGCATTTTTCACGCTTCAGAGAATGCTACAAAATCCGACATTTCCGGGGAAAAATTACAGTTCTTCGGTCACTGTTCATGCTTCAGGTTATGCCAAACGACATTTTTTTTAAAGCCAGATTGGCCAAAATTCGCTCAGTTTTCTAGACAAAACTCCCAATGATTCAAATGATTGGGGGCGTGGCCTGATAAAGATGTTTACGACGACGATTGACGCGAAACGCGAAAATTATGGCGCCATGTTCGTCTCGTTTCGTTGTCGTCGCCGTCGCTCGCTCGCTCGGACAATGTCAAAACGTTTCACTCTGCCACAAAATTTGATGAGAAACGAGTGATAAGCCAAGCACTGCGTGTAGCCTTGCTATCATCCGCGTTATCGATTTGTGACGGCGATGCAAAAACGCACAACAATTTCCCTACACACTGTGGCCTAAAAACAGTTTTGAGCTCGCACACGCAAATCAATCGAATATAGCGCCATTCTTATGGGCTTTCCATGAAGAAATGAAAATGTAAAACTCAGTTTTCTCAGAAATCGGGTCAAACTTGTAAACGACGCTCGCTAATCTTAAAATTGCTGTGCAATTAGCCGCGGAATTGCGCAAACGTTTCCAATTCTCAAGTTTAGGGTCAAATCGTGAAAATAGCTCATTTTCCAGGAAAAAAAGGGGGCGGCTTTCCGGAAAACGATCAAACATCTCCTTGTAGGTTGGAATTGAAGCGGAGGGCAAAGCGGGCAGGTGGTGGTGGCTCTCAAGTTACTTTCTGTCCTCCGATCTTACGCAAATACCGAGGTGTACTGGGAGGCGGAAGGACATCCCAATCGGTGCCCACCACCACCATCTGCCAGTTTTGGACTGGACCGCGACAGACACATAATTTATAATGATAGAGCGTTCTGAGAACAAGATCATGATCATCCTGTAAAATACAATTACTTTTTTCTGTTCAAAAGCTTACTACATCCGTTTCCAGTAAAAAATAGAAGAAAAATTTCGAAAAATGTACAGACAAATGATGAAACGACACTGTTTACGAGCGAGAATCGGACGGACGATAGTTGTGGAAACGCGGGAAAGGAGGACGGGACGCTCGCGCACGAACTTCCGTCTCGTTCTCTTTTCTCCCTCCGTCTCCCACCATCTTACCACTATTTCCCGCCGACTTTGAGCAATCGTGGAACGAAAGATGGGCGGTCTCGAGGGAGAGAGAGACGGAAAAAGATGAAAAGATCGGGGGAGTACCAGGCCCCGTCCCTCTCTCTTTCTCAATGCATTCGAGACGAGTGCGCTCTTTTCTTTCTGGAAAAAGAGACACAATTCTCGGCCGCAAGAGAGAGGGCGAGAAAGAAATAATATTGTTGTACAGCAATTTTGCGGGCACGGATGAGCTTCGAAAGAGAATGAGAAAAAGAGAGAGAGAGAGAGAGAGAGAGAGAGACAGATAGAAAGAGAAAAGTGTTCGCTGACCAAAGACCAAAAATAGCGCTATAAATTTTAGGGAAAAGCCACGCTTGCATACTTTTCCGGCAAATTCACGGCAAAATGGGCAAAAATTATCACAGGCTCAAACTGCTTAAAACTCGTTGCAACTGCGGAAAATCAACGACTTTTCATCAAAAAAAGCTATATATAAAGTGCCAAAAAGTGATTCTTCTACGGGGCGAGAGGACCCGATAATCTCACCCATTTATAGGCAGTGGGTCGAGATAAGGTCAATCGGCGCCTAAACGATACATCTCCATTTTCTCTCCCCATTTTTTCATTCAACTGCTCGCGCCAAGGTCCCGAGACTGGCAGTGCCGTGCTGCGGGCGTGCGCGCGCGTCGCAGAGAACGAGACGAACAGAAAAAACGAAACGCAAAACGACAATTCTCCAAATTTATGACCGCCATCCGCAGAGGATGGGTGGCCGTGTCTAGACACTGAACGTCGCGGGCAGAGGCCAAGAACAAAAAAGTGAAGCGGCGCATAGATCGAACGCGGGGCGGGGTTTCGTCGCCGCGACAAAAAAGAAGTGAAGGATGTCTGGCGGATCGGAGATCACACATTGGTCATCTTTCCGATTCCTGGAGGGAGAAGAAATATCCGATGTGATCAAGATCATCGGAGAATTCCGGCATTTTCGTTGCAAAGCGTAGGGGAATTAGGGTAAAAAATTTTTAAGCCGTCTAGAACTGCCTGAGCCTTTGGTGGTTTCTTGGCTTTAAGTCTTTAATAAATTCTAAATCCAATCAAAATTCCGCTTGAAACCTCATTAAAATTGCTCAAAAATCGTTCTGACTCGCAGCTTTTGCACGTGAACGAGCATGACGTCTCCTCGACGTTTGAGCGCACAAAAAGTGCACTTTCAGCACATTTTCGTGGTGGAAACCGGAAATTGAGGGGACAATGATTACATCAGCGAATCGGTTATCAGTCGATCGACCACAAAACTTGAAAACTAATGGGTTTTTCTTTCACCGAATATCATCCGAATGACTGGCCGGGGACTGAAGACTACTGTAGTTAAAAAACAAAAACTACAATATCTGACCGATCATGGCCGCGCCCCTTTTCGTCTGCCAACTGCCGCGCGCGCGCGAAAATAGGCCGACCGAAAAGCGCGAGAGGCGAGAGATTTGGCGCCGCCAAAGAGACGCAGACAGTGCAGACGGGCGAAAAAACTGCAAAAGTGGCCGAGTTGGCGGCGAGAGATTTCACAAGATCGAGAGAAACGGCAGAGAAGGACAGAGAAAAAAGATGGGCGGTTCGCGAAACCGAAATTGGTTTTCTCAAAGGGATGTAACGTTTCTTCTTGCAGTTCGGATGGGAAAAATGTTGGCCTAACGTTTTTTTTTTCATTGCGATCGGGGGAAACTCGAGAAATTGCAAACCGGTCTAAAATTGACCGAGAAAATTCGGCAGAAATATGCGAATCGGTCGGCCGGTCAATGATCTTGAGACTTGCTCTTTCGAAAGAGCTCTCGACTGCTCGGAAAATTCCGGAACACAGTATTAGGGAAATTTTAATCGAAAGGTTACGCAAAAATGCAATTTTAGTGTAAAAAACGCATAAAAATGTAGTGCCTCGGCTCGAGCGCACAATTTTATGCGTTTCCCGTCGACGGAACGTCGGGACCCCAACTTATTATGTTTGTTTGGCCGGCATCTGGTTGGTGTGCGTGTAGTTTGCTATCTGATGCATAAAGCAAACCTTTCCGCTTTCCGCGTGCATTCCGCACGGAAAATTATTTATTCAGGCGGAAATGGGAGGGCGGTGTGTGAAAGTTGGCCGATTTCTGACACCTTCGACAGTTGACCACGATTTTTGGAGGGGGAAAATCGAAAAAATTCAAAATGGCTTCAGCAAACACTTTAGAACATTGTCTAGCTGTTTCTGATCATCTGAAACTTTAAAAACTGATTTTAAAAATTTTCTCACTATTTGACAACATGCACACTCAAAAACGGGGTTTACGTACTTCCTGGATGACGGGTGGTGGTGTTGGTGCCAAGCCAAATGAGCCGCCAAGCATCGGCTGCGAAACGGCTGAAAAACGGCGAGTTTGGACGGAAAATGGGCTGAAGACGTGTAAAGTGCGCTGGAATTTCGTATTGCGCGTCGATTAAAATGCTTTTGTGCGCACACAATGCGCGTGAACAGACGCAAAAATACACAGTGCCGCGAATTTTTGCCTTGTTTTTTTTAACGAAAATTGCATATTTTTAGATCTAAAATTTAGCGTTTTTCAGCGCAAAAAATAGCGGCCGACTCACCGGATCCCCAAGAGTTGGGAACAGCCGCTGCACCGAACGTCGTCAGCGGAATCGGACGTCCGACGTTGGCGAAAATGTGCGACATGGTGTACTCGTCGCTGCCGGCCGTCGTCGACGCACTGCTCCCGCCCAGAGACTCCGATTCGCTCATTTCACGTTCTCTGAAACCGAAAAACTGTAAATTTTCATAGAAATCCAAATAAAAATGGAGTAATTTGAGGTGTGACGCCAGTTTCCAGAGCGGAATCAGAGCGAAATCAGATTTTGGCGCGCGGCGGCCACAAAAACACAAAAATAATTGATCTACGCGCCAGTGACCACTCAAAAAAAGTTGACAGGCATGTTTTATTACACAAAAACTGGGATTATAGGGCTTCTCGAAGGGAAGAATGCACAAAAATCGATCGATGCGCAAACTTGTTTATTTATTTATGGAACACGCGAAGCTCCGCCCGCTTTTCATAAATGTTTATTTGTGGGGGTCCCGCGCAGACGTTTCGGTGGTCTGGTGACCAGCACCACGACTGAATCCGAGCAAATAAACATTTGCGGAGAATGTCAACAAATTTTTTTGCCCCCACGAAAAAAGTTTGTGCTTTTTTGGGAAACATTTCCGAGTTTAGAATATATTAGTAAAAAGGATGGTACCAAGCGGTACGCGTCGACTTTTCGGCCTGACTCACTTTTTTTGCCCACAAAACACGCTGACTAATGTGTACTTTTGCCCTTTTCTCGCTCACGGACCTTTTTGGGGGTGTCTGGGAGGTGACGTGGCAGAGAAATTGTCTAAAAATGTGGAAAACTGGTGATTTTCAACTTTTAGTCGCAAATTGGCAGGTGGAAAGAAAAATAGAAAATATTGTCTATTTCGGAGCTTTTGTGAAAAATGGATTACGGTAGTGGATTATTCAGATATTATGTTATTCGCAAACAAAATGTTAATGGGTATTATGCGTTTCTCCGCCAAAATAGTACAATTCGAGTGCTTTTGAGGGCTTTCCCGAGCTTTGAGGGACTCCAGAAACGGGCGGCACATGAATAAAAGAGGTCCGCGTCGGTCGGTCTCGAGGGGACCGAAAGAGAGAGAGAGAGAGAAAGAGCGAAAGGGAACACGAAATTCCAGGCCACGCCCCCTTTTCTCTCGGCGAAAAAACTCGACAATAGCAACAAAAAAACAACAACAGCGGATTACGGTAGTTTTTGCGGGCTTTACAGCGAATTTGACGGCAATTTGCAGGAGATGGCGGGAATTCAAAAGATCCGCTTGAAAATGACGTTGTTGAGGCGATTCGCTCATAGTCGTTTGCTTCGCATTTTTTGCGTACAATGTAACAAATCTTACGACATTTCGTCAGGAAACGGGTTTTCCAGAGATTAGGGTGTCTAAAGGGGTGGGAGCGACCGGTTCCTCGTTATATATACAATTAATAATTGATTTGTTATTATTATGGATCGAATCCTAATGGATCTTATTATTTTCGCTTTGCGAGATAACCTTCTATAGGAGATCTACAATAACTGAAAACAAATTGTTTTGGTCTAATCTAAAACTAGTGGGACCAAAGTTTTGGCACGGCAATAGCTATACAACACGCGCCAGTGTGAGACCGATGACGACGTCGTCAAAACAGAGTGAACGGCGAGCGAACGAGCGAACGAATAAATATTATGCAATTCTTGGAGGGCGCCGCCCGTCAGACGAACATGGAAAAGGAGGGGCAAAACAAGAAGAAGAAGAAGAAGAAGCTGTGAGGTCTCCAAAACAAGCAAAAGTAATACTAGTAGTGGTCGTAGTCGTCTCGGAAAATAACGGAAAACAAAAATAGTCGGAAAAGGGGCGGAGCTTGTGCGGATACGGTAGTTTTAGACGGAGAACATTGACAAAATGGTTTGCAGCGTGTGGGATTCGAACCTGCCGCACTCCTCGGATTGACAATCATTGCTCAAAAACGCGATTTCCGACTAAATCCGGGTCGGAGAAGCCGATTTTCGAGTGCTTTTCACCCAAAAACCCAAGGATGTTGGGATTCGCTCAAGTTACATACAAATGCCTGAGGAAACAGGGGAAAGGGGGAGAAAGAGGGAGAAGGAAATGAATGTTTCACACTAATCTTTGATGTCTCCATCTCTCTCTCTCTCTCTCTCTCTCTCTTTCTTTCTTGGACAAAGCCGCCCATCCATTCGGCGCCGCCAAACTTTTTTCTATCTTTTTCCTTCATCTTTCTTCGCTTCCCTCAAGAGATTCCATAAACCTTTGGAACACATGAATCTGGTCAAAAATCAGAAACTCCGTGGGTTTTTTGAGAATTAGATCTCGAAAGGGACATCGGTGCCTTCTTGATTTGGACAGCAAAACTCTGCATAAAGTCGTCAGGTCTGGTGTCGGGTATGCAAACACCAACCTGTGCGAATCTCACCGGAAAAAGTGGAATCTGGGGTAAATTTTTAGGAGATTCAGAATTGGACAATGACTTTTGAATTCGAGGCCGACGCTAGGTGGATATTTGGGTTTTGAGAAGGCGGAACAAAAAAAACGATTGTTTTTCTCCTCGTTCTCTCCAAAGACACTTTGCGTGTGTCGTCGTCGTTTTCCCCCTCGATATTGTTGTTGTTTACACGCCCACTTTTCCCGCTTTCTCTCTAAAATCCCCTACTTTTTCCCACTCTCTCTCTCTCTTTTCGTGTCAAACGAAAAGGAAGGGAAAAACCAAAAATTGTTGGAGAGAAGAAGAGAGAAAAGAGGGAACTCGTTCGGAAACTACTTACTTTTTCCCTTTCGCTTGCCGTCGTCAGCAAATCGGCGCCAAGAAAAATACTGGGAAAAAGCAAGAGAGTCATTTTTTTCCCAAAAAAAAATCTTTTTTTTTTTTGGGATGGGCGCCTCTTTCTCTTTCGATTTTCATGATTATCTTGACGTTGAAAAGGGAAAGTGAAACCGACGGTCATTGAACAGTTGGCGAGGAGTACGGCAGTCTCGATAACGTTGGTGATTGCGGACGTTGCGGATTTTTACGCGGAAAACTAGTGATTGCATCGAATTTGACGACAAGTTACTGGTTTTAATGAGTTAGACTCTTTCCCAACGACGCCTTCACATAATTCTACGAGCTTTGCGGCGCGTTCTTGATGAATTCCCGGCTAATTTGGGTGCGGTTTCCGCGCGGAAACCCTTCCGTACACATTCATTTATGCGGAATTGAATGGAGAGTGTACGAATCGAATTGAAAAGGGCTCGTCCCCGCCCCGTCGTGGAGAAAAGGGGGAAAGAGAGGCTATTTTGATGGACGACGGATGGGGTTTACTTTTAATGCAATTTTTTGGGATTTTGCACATTGTCCAGTAGGTACGGTATCTCCAACCATTTTTTTTTGGCTAAAAGACCAGGGAACAATGTAAGAGGCAATATGACACATTCTAGGAAAAAATGTTGGAGTGACCGGAAAAATAGAAAAATAAGGACCCCCGCGGCTCGTTTTTTTTCTCTGTCGTTTCCGCACGCCTTCAGATGACATCAGATGACGTTTTTCCGCTTTTTTTTTTCGCTATGTCTCCAAAAACTACTGTAGTTGTCGTAAGATGTGGTGCAACGTCCGCAAAAACGAGAGCGCAGACGTTGCATCACATTTGACGACACTCGGCCGGAAACCGAAAGGGAAAACGTGCGGAAACCAGTTTTTGTCACGGAAATTGGGTAATTTGATGGAGAGAAAGTGTAATGGGATACTGTAGCCGAAAAAAAGGAAGAAAAAATTGTTTTTGATTTTTGTACAATAGTCGAATGGCTTTTTGTGATCAAAAATCTATCAAAATCATCGGCAAATATACTCGCCACGAAGTAATAAAAATGAAAATGAAATCGCGAAAATTTACGAGCGAAAAATGTACACATTCGAGAGCGAATATGTACACTTTCGTTTCGATACATGATGGTCTGACCGAATATTTGGAAAAGCCTCTGCTAGCCGAAAGTCCATATGGTTCATTTCTAAAGTACATTTTTTTGGAGTTAGAAGAGAGAATCGGCCGAAATTTGGAAGAAGTCTGGACCCTCAGAACACTTGCAGACACTTTTTTCCGAGAAAAAGCGAGAGTAGACCAAAAACCGGCCGTATTTTCGGTCTTTTCGCTCTCGAAAACGCGCGTTCGCCTGGCCGCGACTAACTATGCGCCGCGCGAAAGAAGAAGTGAACGGGACGAACGGAGGGCGGAATGGCAAATATGCAGGCAAAAAAAAGAGAGGAGAAAGAGACGAGAAATCGCCTTTCTGACCGGTTTTCCAGAAAAAAAAACACTTTTTAGGGGAATGAAATGGGATAGGCTCGACGAGGAGCGGAGAGTGCAAAAGATTGCCAGAACAGTTGGATCGGAACCGGATTTCACCACACTTTTTTGGGAAAAGTAAGACCTCTTCATTTCGCAACCATGAGTTTGGCAGCCCCTTGAAGCTGGAGAATCTCTTTCCAAAAAGTAAGACAAGATTCTGTGCTTCAAAAAGTTGGGGTCTCGCGTTGCCGAGCCCAGCAAAAAACCTTCAAATTGCGAAACACGTGAAAACTTAAAAAAAAGGAATAGAATTTATTGATGGTCCCCACTGGCCGGTCACAAGGCCGTTTGGCCACAAGTGGGCGTCTCTTTTTCTCTCTCTCTCTCTCTCTCTTTCCCTTTTTCCTTCCGCATTTCGCGTTGGTCAGTGTCACATGCCGCTTTGAGAGCAAGAAAAAGAGAAAAAGCGAAAAAAAAGAAGAAGATAGAGGAGGCGAATGTTTTGTGCGATTTCACGTGCACAATTGACGTGTTAAAGTGCTGGGGACCTTCTTGGGGATTTTGGCAAGACCCTATGACCTTATACCCCCTGAAATTGGGCTCATTTTTACTACGAAAATTGCCTCCGATTGTGGCCACCCGCTGCCGCAAATTTCTGCCAATTTTGGCTGGAAATTGGCTGAAATTCCGGCGTTACTGTGGGTCTGAGTAGTGAGAAAAAGACGGCGACTCCGCTATATGGATCGACGCAGAATTTCAGCGAAATCAAAAGAACCTTTTGGGCAATGGTCTGAAAATCACTTTAGAGGCCGCTAGAAGCTAAAAACCGACCGAAACTCGAACTGCATTTGAGTGTCATGGAATCTATGACCCATAACTCGAAGGGGAGTTTTTCTAGACAGTCATCGTCAACTACAAAGTTGATCAGCATAAAATTCGCTTCAACTTTGCAGTTGGCAACCTCTCTCTACAAGTTTTCTTTCTTGAGATACAGGGCGTTGAAAATAGTTGTGCAAAAACGTGCTGTATCTCCAGAACCAATGAAAGTGCCGATAACTTGTCAACTAAAGAAACATTGTTAAAGACATTGCGGACAGTTCTTCAGTTGACAACTTTCTTGTAAATTTGCTCGTTTTCGTAATACGACCCACTTTTTATCAACATCTTGTATCTCAAGAGCGAAAAATGGAAGAGAGAAGTGATCAAAGAAAGGGTCAAAGAATGCATAGCACTGGTTTTCAGTGATGTTTCCAAGTGTCCTTCTCTGGTTGCCAAACGTCTATTTTTCACTAAAAACTAGTTGCGAAACCGTCCTTCTCGAGCAGAGGGAGAAAGTGCGGAAAAATGAGGAACCGCAGAGAAAGAGGGACAAAAAAAGAGAGTACGGACAGAGGAGGGTGCAGAGAAATGATCTCACTTTCAGAAAAAAAGTTCATACCTGCAAATTTCCAGATACGGAATCATTTTGCTGTCTGTGAAGAGGACGAGTTGGAGCGGTTGGATGCGTCTGCAAATTATATATATTTTTCAAGGGAACAGAAGGGCCAGGTAAAAGAGAAGTGAGGAGTTTGGGTCCATAAAGAATCCGAATCTTTTAGGAGCACATTTGCGCTGGCTGATGAACAAAAGCAGTGAGGAAGAAGAAGAAAAAGAAGAAGAAGAAGAAGAAGAGGAAGGATGGAAAAATGTTTGTCACAAAAGTCAAGTGATGGGAAAAAGTGATGATTGGGAGAGAGAGAGAGAGAAAGAGAGAAAGAGGGAACTGTGTGCGCACACACTGAACTTTGATTTGTTAGCACCTGAAACTTTTTTGAATGAAGTACTTGCTTTTTGACAATCTTACTGAAAAATTAAAGAAGAATTTGTTTTCCTATGACAAAACTATCAAAGAGGGACAAAGTTTATCGGGGGAAAACTAGGAAAATCAGAAAAAAAAACACTTTTTTCTTTCGCATCGGACGCCTTGTGACATTTGATCGGTGCGGGTGTGTGAGTGTGCCAAACAACAAAGAGAGAGAGTGCGCCGATCGGAGAGGGTGCACACACACACACACACACACACAAACCGACAATATCGGTGGGAAGAGAAGGGCGGCGCAGAGGCACGCGCGCCACGAGACACGGGCGGTCATTTCGGCGGAACTTTCTGGAATTCCATGCTGAAATTGGTCTGGGAAATCGGGGGGGAAGAATGTGGTCCCTGCTCGGATCACGGTCCCTAGCAGGGGTGTGCGGAAAATTTTTTTCGGAAAATTTCGGAAAATCGGTTTTTCCGAATTTTTTTTTTCGGAAAATTTCGGAAAATCGGGTTTTCCGAATTTTTTTTTTTTCGGAAAATTTTCGGAAAAATCGGAAAAATCGGAAAACTCACTTGTTCATTGGTTCAATAAAGTGTTTAAACAACGTTCTAATACAAAAAAATGCTTATTATGATTTGAAATCACTTGAGTGGGCGGAAGCCAAGCAATGGAATATTTTTTTGTAAAAAAGTTAGCCGAGAGAAGCTCTCCGGGTCCAGTGTTTTCCGATTGTCAGTGAGAATGAGACGCGCGGTTGAAAAGAGTCGCTCCGTTTCTGCAGTCGTTGCGGGAGTACAGAAAAAAAAATTTTGTGATGCGCCTTTAAAAAGCATACGGTGGTTTCGGACAAATTGACCTTGAATCCACACTAATTTTCCGAAAATTTTGCCGAACATTTTCGGAAAATCGGAAAATTTCGGAAAATCGAAATATTTTCCGCACACCCCTGGTCCCTAGTTAAAAATCTCAGAGGAAAGTGATCGGATTGGGACCAAACTTGGACAGGGCGTACTTTGGACCTTTAAGTTTGAGATCCGGAAGTTTGAAGAAGATAGAATGAAAAAGAGGGTCAAGAGAGGGCACAGAAACAGAGGTACTTTGGTTTTGAGATGAGAATGAGCAAAACACGACAAAATGTCACTTTTCGTCTTTCAGGAAACGCTGGCAATCGGATAAAAGCCAGTTCATTGCGGAGCGCCGCCAAAATCCCAACACTCGTCCGGGTTCACTTTTCCGCCTTCGTCGCTATTGTCCATCACGGACCACTCGCTCTTCGTGCCGTCCAGAAACTGTTTGTTGTCGAGAGTACGTCTGTCGAGGTTATCGTCGATGAAGAACAACGGAAGCGTTCCGAGCGTCAGTCCGAGCCACAGACCGCAAAACTGAAAAATGCTCGCTTTGGTTGGCATTTTTACAGAAAATGGTGTTGAAATTGGAATTCAGAGGCCTAAAATTGGCCCTAGCCCTAGTTTTTGGGGTTTTACTGCAAACTTTCGTTACACTTTGCTCACCTTGGCCACAAAAGACGCGTGTTTGAACTCGAGCGTATTCATCTGGTCGACAGACAAAACTGGCCTTCTGTAAAGAAATAAATGTTGATAGGATTGATGTAGGAATACGGTAGCCTACCGTATGCCGAACAAATCGGCGCTGCGATCGGCGGGCAGCTGAAGGATCATATTGCAGAGGAAGTTGGCAAAGGCGGCCGACGCGAGCATTGACATTCCGTTGTACACCGAGAAGATACTGTAGGAATACGGTGGGCTACTGTAGTGTTTTAGTGTCGACTCACTTGTTAATGCTTTCGCCGCCAATGATGAGGAACGCCTGATCGACACAACCGTACACGAACATTGGAATGAAGTTGATGTACCTATAAAATTATTGTTGGAGTACTGTAGCTACAGCAGCTACACGCCTACCAAACTTTGACCAAATCCTCGTGATGAATGCTCACTTCCGTCACCTTTTTGTGCTCATTGTACTGATCGGCGGCTCAAAAATGTTTTGTTATCGAAAAGTTTCAAAACGTGGGGCGGATGTTACGGTACTTATTTTGCGGAGCGCATCGAAAAGAAGCTTGCGCTCGCCGGGCTGAAGCTCTTTCGAGAGTAGTTTCGCGTCGGCGTCCGTCTGAATTCCGTGCGGAAGCACCGAGTGTTTGTTGAAGAACTCACGCATTCTGCAACGCCCGATTTATCGATTTTTCGACGAATTTTCGTGGATTTATCGATTTTTAAAGAAATGCTACAGATTTATTGGCTTTTTGAGGAAAATCCTTGATTTTATCGAGCTTGCGTGTTTTTTGCGCGTTTATTTGTTGTGCGCCTTTAAAAAGTACGGTAGAATGCGAAAATGTTCATTCTACAACATTTAATGGGGCTAATCAGCGTATGTTTGTTTTCCGTTTTTTTACATCGCTGAATTGGTTTTTTTTGACGTAAAAAAAGAAAAAAATCATGTTTTTCACAGCTTTTTTATTAAAAAAAATATTTTTTTAAAAAAATTTTTAAAAGAAAAAGGGACATTTTTTTTAAAGAAAGCAATCACGGGCCGGCAATTCATACATTGGCCGAGAAAATTTTGCGCCTTGCGAAACTTCGGCCACGTGTGTTTTTTCAACACACGAACTGGATTATCTGCTATAAAAGATTCTCTGGCAGTTTTAAGTGATTCATTCGTGTTTTGTCATTGAAGTTAATACACTTCTTTACTTTGACTTCCGTTTTTATTAATTTTCACAGGTTTTCCATCGAAGTTTTTGTAACATTCGCTAAACATTGAGATTTCCGCTCCGTGACGTCTTCAGAAACCTTACATCGATCGGAGTCCTGGCTCAAATTATCGAATACAATAGTGAGAAACTTTTGGCAAAAAATCAGAGCCCTCTGTGATCAAAATCTCAACTTTTTTTATCGAAGTTTTTGTAAAATTCACTAAAAATCGATAATTCAGCTCCGTGACGTCTTCAGAAACCTTACATCGATCGGAGTCCTGGCTCAAATTATCGAATACAATAGTGAGAAACTTTTGGCAAAAAATCAGAGCCCTCTATGATCAAAATCTCAACTTTTTTTTCGGTTTTTCATAAATTTCCCGAGATATAAGGGTGTGAGGCCGAAAAGGCCGCAATGTTCGCAAAATGTCGGCTTTTCCAGCCTCTAAACTTGGATCCAAGATGTTTCAAGCCAAGTCCAAGAAGCCTGCAAGGTATGGACCCGATCCGGTTATTGCGTGAAGTCAACACTCTCATCAACAAGTCAGAACGCTGATTATCGTCAATTCAGAACGCTGGCATGTGAATGCTCTACATCGAAAGGATATGCGCCGGAAACTCTCCTCTCAAATATAATAAAAAAATTGGAAGACACAATTCTCCACAAATTAATAAATTTAGGGCTAATTATGGCTAGGGGCACTCCGTTCATGAATTCGCTTCGAGTTCCGCCAGCGTTTCCAACGAATCTCCGCTAATATTTTTGATGTCATTCGTAGTTTTTCATTCTTTTTATTATATACTTTTTAACATTTTTTTACACATAGAACGTCTAGAGATACCGAAAAATGAATTTTTGCAAGAGTGTAACTGCCGGGAAATGAAAAAATCAATTCTAGTCGAAAATTTCTGCAATTACTGTCAAAATCACGTTTTCTTGTATACTTTCGACGTTTCCCTATACTTTCGATGAGATTAGCACATTTTTCCGTCTTTCTTCGGCTTTTTCTGTACTTTCAATAAATTTTTTTTTAATTAGCCGCATATTTTTGGGTTACGGTATGCAGAATCTGCATACACCGTTGTACGCAAGTCCACAGCAGCGAAATCGCTGGGCTGAGTATTTAATCCACGCATTTTTCTCGGCCACTGTATGAATTGCCGGGCCGTGAGCAAAGCAACGAGCATTTCTGCTACCGTATTTTAAAGGCGCAAGAAGAAAATTGCAAAAATTAGCGAGAAACGCAAGAAATTGCATACTTTTCTTTCGGCACTTTCGCCTTTATCGAATTCGGAACTTGACGACGAAAATCCGCGTGGCAACGACCGAAAAAGCGAATTTGAAGCAGAAAATGTGAACGAGTTGATAACACTTTTGCTATTGATCTAAACCGTTAACTTTTCCAGAAGAATACACTCAATTTGCGAACCGATTCATTTGTTAGACACCTTTGACGAGTTTTGTCGAAAATGGGAATGAATACGTGAAAGTGGAATATTTTTATTGAAAAGAAGAACGCATTCAACAAAAAATCAACAAAACAATTTATTGGTAGCGGCAATTGAAGACATCTGAAAAATTCGATTAAAAACACTTTTTTCTGGTGTTGCTTATTCACGGTTTTTTTTTCAAAAAGGTGCAAGCACTGATGCAGTTCTCGAACTTGATGTCTGAAAATTAAGAATGTTTACTTGCAAACATTCGGAGTCACGTTACTTTCTTTACAAAAAAATGTCGTAAAAATGCAGAGGAATCCGTGTTTTAGAAAATTTAAAGAAAATAGGGGGAAAAGGGGGCGCCCGGGTGAGCGCCAAAGGGAACAACTGAAGGAGACCGGCAGCTTCTGATATTTTATACTAATCCCTTTTTCTCTAATTTCTCCTATACTCCTATGAAGCGAGCCAAGCAGAACGGAAAATATTGTAGGGATTTGAGAGACGTACTGAAAAACGGATGTTATTGTGCTCCGCTGAGCTAGTGATTTTCAGCGGATTATAGGTTGGGAGCTCGGTGAAACGGATTAGTGCATGAGACATTCGGCCCCGAGTTATCTGCCGTGTCTTTAAATATGGCTCACGACCACGAGTCGAATTGCTGAAGAGCGACGAACTGAAAATGATTTTTATCACAAGAGCAAAACGAATTTCGACCACGGCAGGATTCGAACCTGCAATCTTCTGCTCCGTAGGCAGACGCGTTATCCATTGCGCCACGCGGCCACATTTTCATCAGGGTGGGTAGGGCGTATAGCCTATACGCCACGGTATAAGTGCGTGCGCATTTCGGCAGTTGAGCAGGTTTTTGGTACCACAAAAATTTATTTGTCACGGAAAAAACAGGAAAAAACCCAGACATTATCAATTTTGATCAAATTAAAAGGTACAGAAAAAGGGCATCAATTTATTATAGGGGCACCGCACAGAAATGGCGCTCTGTTGAGAAACTCTTTTTGCAGTGCAAATTGAGCGACCTCGGGGCCGAGTTTGAAAATTTAGGCCACGTTTTCAGTGGAAAATTACTTCGCGGCCTAGAAATTCGGCCAGATTGCGAACAGCGCGCCCTTTCTGTTCGGTGCCCCTATAATAGTATGTATAATTAGCATCGTTTGAGCAGGTACTCGTCGGTGTTGTACACCATTTCGAAGGGTTCCGGCTCCGCCGGCTCCACAATTTCCCACTCCTCTTTCTTTTCCTTTTTTTCCGCCGGCTTCTTCTCCGGCTCCGGCTCCACTGGTTCCGCTGGCTGAGGCTCCGCCTCCTTCTTCAGCTTTTCCTCTGCCCATTCGATAAGTTTCTCGACGATTGTGGGCTCTCGCGGCGGCTCCGGCTCCCAGCAGAAGCGATGCGGCGCCGACGGAGTCGTGCTCCACTCGATGGCCGAATTGAGAGCATCGCCGGCCAGCGAGCACGCCGACGAGCACATCGCACTGTACCACGAGGACATTTTCTGGAAACATAGAGGAATTTTGAGGGAAATCCTGTAAATAAATGAATGAATAAACAAAGAGAGACTTTTATTGATCAGAATGATGTTAGACTAAGTTCGAGACATTTAGAAGTGAGAATTATGGGAAAGAGTAGATTTTATTGTATGATATGGAAAAATGAACGTTTTGCACACACACAAAAAACCTACAAACCAGTGTATTGACTGACGTGAGCGTAGTCTCCTTGCTATATCGGCGATCGAACGTCCTCCCCCGTTCTTCCCAAAAAGATAGAATTGACGAAGACAAGACAAACGTCCCCCGATCGTCAAATAAGTGACAGTCCTGTGCGAGCACCTGACCCCTTTCTCTTTTTTTGCACTCTTCGGCCCAATTACTAATGATTGGTGCGAAAATTGTAGAATTCCTAAAAGTGAGGAACAAATGTATTGAAAATGGTCACAGACTTTTGCCAGCCGTGAAAATACATTTCCGTTTCCGTCACAAGACCCAAAAGCCCTCTTTCTTCAGTGAAATCTATTGCAAAAAACCCAGTAAGTTGGCACACACCTATACGCCCTATCCACACCGCTGAAAATGTGGCCGCGTAGCGCAATGGATAACGCGTCTGCCTATACATATACTGAGCAGAAGATTGCAGGTTCGAACCCTGCCGTGGTCGAAATTTGTTTTTGCTTTTGTGTCTTTATCATGTTCAGTTCATTGTCTGTCGCTCTTCAGCAATCCGACTCGGCTTCCAGGCGAATCAGCTCCACATTTTGTCGGGAAATCAGTGGAATCGTCCGAATTTCACGTGCTCTGTGCAGGCGGTAGACACGCATCGGACGGCGTATTTCCATAGTTTCCATCTGAAATTTTTTTAAAGGTTTTATGGATAAAAAAGGGTGAAAAAGGTGAATACCTCAATGTCAAGAGTGCAAATCGAGTAGGCGACCAGGAAAAGAATGCATTGGGCAATGAATCCAGCGATTTTCAGCGATTTCACGTCGTGGACGTCTTCGGAATCTTTCAAAAGGACTTCTGGAACTTCCAGAACGTTCGGGAAGGTCGTCGAGTTGTCGGGGACGTCTTCAGAATCTTCAAAGCCTTCAGAATCTTCAGAGTCCTCAAAAACGACAAAAAACTCGAGCGGAATCGAGAAATTGTCATAGAGCCCCGGCGCCGTGAGCATGTAGACAATCCGAAGGACGTCTTCCGAGTTGGGATCTTCAAATGCCACGTCGACAACGTCTTCTGGAGCCGGAAGCATCAGAATGCCTTCAGAAGGCGTCGGAGCATCCGACACGTGGAAAACTCGTTCGGAATTGGAATCCACGTGGCGAGACGAAGACGTCACGATGGAGCCAGAAGTGGTGGCGAGAAGGAGCGAAAGAGCGACGAGAATGAGTGAGTCTGAAAAAAAAGAAAGTCGGAAATTTTCTCGGGAAATCTTGACAAAAAACTGACGGTTAGTCATGGTTGGTCGAGTCGGACGAGTTGGGCGTTAGTGGTTGGAGAACTGCAGGCGAGGCGAAAAAGTTGGCGAAAACTGAACTTCTCCCCCTTTTATAGACACTTTTCTTATCTATCTGGGGCACTGGTGCCACGTGGCAAACTGAACTTTGGCGGGGGGTCGAAATTCAAAAGAATACTGAAAAGACAGGGGGTAGCACGTGAAACTGCGAGATACAGATTGCAACTTTGAAAGCCTACAGTCCCCCAGGCAGTGGGTCTAGAAAAAATTGGTCAACTACAAAAGTAAAGTTCATAGTCGGCACTCCATGTTCGTAGTTGACCACTTTCTCGTACAATCACTCCCTGGAATAGTGTAGCGCTTTGAAGTTGGGTCCGCCCGAAACTGGTGGAAAAGTACTATTTATTCAAGCGGAGCTAATTTTGCAGAGTCATTTTTCGCGTTCTCCGATTTGAGTCCGATTTGAGGTCGTTGACGCCGGCGGAATTGGTTTGACGCCAATCAATTTATCGATCGAATCCAAGTGATCCGTCATTCGCACAAATTTTCCTTCAAAACAATGTTTGCTGAGCGAAAATTTGAGAAAAAAAAATCAAAAGTAGAGTACCTCCAGCGAAAATGGCAAAAGTGATCCAGCGGTTGAGCAATCTCTTCGACATGGACGAACCGACAAACTCTTTCTCGTTCTGATCAAATCCATGTTGACAAATGTACGTGGTAGTGTAGTTGGCACAAGGCACAACTTCCAATCGGGCAGTCCGTTTTCCTGATCTTATGCCGAACACTTGGAATTGAGCGTGATCGTGCAGGTAAATTGATCCGTAATCTGTAGGTAGATTTGTAGCCGTTAGCCTAGAAAATGATAGTTTGTAAGTACGAACATGGCAGACAAATCGGTGTGATCGGCAAACTTTCATTCAGCTCCATGAGCACCAGACCCTCTCGAGCATCCAACATTGCACAATTGTTCAGGAACCACATCTGCAACTTTTCCTCATTTGTATCAATCACCGAAAGTACACATTTCAGTACTCACTTCTTTACTGGGAGTTGCGACAAAACTTTTGGAAGTTCTATTCAGATACCATCTCACAGTGACTGATGCACTCCTTCCGAGCGCCACAAAGCGTGTGTCATTCGTGCAAACCGACTGATATTTGTCAGATAGCCAGCCGTTCAGAGAGTTCGAATCGAAGATGACGTGACGCCGGGTGATCAGTGTTCCGCCCGCCCGACTTTCCGTGCCATTCAACGCGTAATACACCTCCACAGCCCACACAGCATGCATTTGATCTTCTGAATTGGTTTCTCTTCAGATTTTTTATGTGTCTGTTTGTTTGTTTACTCACCTTTCACGAGCCCACACGTTTTGTACAAATGCTCGTTCTCTTGAACAGACAATTTGTCGCAAAACGTCAATATTGCGATGGCAGAAAGTGAGAGTACGATTACAGAAGAGTGCATACTTTCGGATGAAGAAAATGTGGAAATTTGAGTTGTTCCGTACACACGTGAACCATATACATACAAATGAAACAAATTATCACAAAACGTGATGAATGATGTTCGATTCTACACTTTTTCGGGGCGATACAATACGTGGCATTTCACAATGCCATAAAAAAATCGAGAAACTTATTTGTTTCGCGCCACGGTCTCCAGAGCTGACAATGGGCGGGCAAGTGCGCCCAGCCCAATAGAGCGATACATTGGCGCGAAATTCAAATTTTAACAGCAAAATTAGTGTTTTTTGCCAGATTAGCCACAAAAAACCGATAATTTCTCATTTGTCTCTCGATAGACCGATTGTATAGGCTATTACAAATTTTTTAAGCGCAAGAGCGTTAAATTTGGTCAAGTCGCAAATCACATTTATCCGTTTGAAGGATTTTCGCTAAAACTGCGTGAATTTCAGTTGCTTTTCGGTATTTTTCGCGGTTCGAGCGCTCAAAATGCTTGTATTTACGTGATTTATCATTCTCAAAACCAATTCTGTCTGAAAACGGTCAAGAAAGCGCAAAATGAGAAGTGCGGTTTTTAGGCGGCGATCGGCGGCGAAGGCGAAAAAGCGAAATTCGCGAAAAATGCGCCAAAGCGTCATTAATTCTGAGAATTAATGTGTTTTCATGTCGAACAATCATTTTTCATCGCCTTTGACCACAAAAATCAGAGAAAACCTGCTCAATTCATGAAAACGCCATTTGGCCGAGGCCACGCCCATATATTGTCAGCTCTGGAGACCGTGGTTTCCGATATGAATTACATGCATTTCACATCAAAAAAGCGAAAAGTACAATGAAAGCGAGGCTCGCCTGTTCGACCAGCCTACCGAGATCCGTAGAAATGGACGTGGCCTCTGATAATGGCGGAGCCGATGGTTCTTCAGTGAACCTACAAAATCACCTAGTTCTAGCGACTTTCCCCGATTTTAACTCACTTATCCGACGTGTTCTCCTCTCCATTTTGCCTTGCGATACCTGAAACCCTCAAATTAGCAACAAAGAAACGCCGACACAAAGTCTGGAGATAAAACCAGAATTCGCAAGATAAAATTGAGTGAAAATGACACAAATTCATAGGCAGAGTTAGTTTTACAATTAGATACCGGCAAAAATACAGAACAAAATTGTAAAATGTTTGTTTTCAACAACGATAGACTGAAGTATAAAACGGAAGCGATGCGGCGAGCTGGCGAGCTCTTTCCTCAGCTTTTCGGACATTGAGCACTTGAATGACGAGACGGAGTTGAGTGGCGTGCACTGAAAAAAAAACATAGAATTTATGCGTTTACATCCCAACAAATTCAAATTTCAGGTATGCTTCTCTTTCTCTAATTATTAATAGTTCTATGAGCGTGTTTACACACCGGCTATACAGAAAATGAGCGGAATTTCGAAGACAACCATGTAGAGGAGGGCGTCGGAGGCTGTCAAAATGCGATTCTTGGCGTCTATGAATGAGACGACGACGGGCACGCCACACACCATCATCACTTCGATCATTGTCATCAGCGCCTGAAAAAATAGATTTTTCCAAGCCGAGGCTCAAGAAAACTCACGGCCACGAACTTGACCGTCTGCAGGACGGGAATACTCTTCCACGTGGCGGCGACGAGCAGCAGAACGCAGTAGTTAAACGGAACGACGAGCAGACCGCCCACGGAGCTCGAAGTCACCGTCAGCACCATCACCGGTATCAGAAGCAACGTCGTCACGATCGAATGAACGAGAAAGGCGGTGCGCACGTCCACGTCCACGTGGCAGCATCGGCTATCCAGAATGAGACGCGTGGGCGGCGCCTGCGGATCCGACGGAAGCTGTTCATACGGAGGAGGTGGCGGGATTTGTCTGCGGAATGAAACGTTTCTGCAGAAAAACAATTTTCTCACCTCCGAGTGCTCAAAAAACGTGTGCCGATCTCTTCGTTATTTGTCATTTTGAGCTAAAACTTTTTGTTGTAGAAAAATGGTTGAAATTAGACAAAAATTATAACTTTCGGTCCAGAAACCTATAAAGCTTTAAGAAAAAAGAGATCAACATGTTTTTAACATTTTAACAGGAACATGTAAAACAACAACAATAACAAGAAGAAATGATGAATTCTGACCATCTGCTGCTGACGGTTTTGAGCCTTGAAAAGAGAAATATTTTTGCGGACGAGGAAGAGCTGCGAGGCGATGACTGAAATTTTAGTCATTTTGTTTCATTTAAAAAATACAATTTTCCGTACCCAAAAGGTAGTCGAAAATTTTGAGAGCGTCGTAGAATTTCTCGTCTTCCGCGCGCTTGTTCTGCAGGCAGTGTTGGTTTACAAAAGAGATCAGCGTGCCGTTGGTCTTCAGAACATCTGGAATTGGTTTTTTGAATTAAACTAGCAAATACCTGTTAGTACCGTCCAAACATTCGTTCTGCTGCGCGACACAAAGTCTTCCAGGCTTTTGGGACGGATTTGGCGAATAGTTTTGGCGAAAGGTTATAGAGGTTTGCCGAGTATGAAACGCCCATCATGAACCAATCGCGAAGAAAAATTGCCCTACAATACGTCTATCTCGAATTCGCATATGATAGGTTTGTGGTTCAACCGGAAAAAAACGGAGCGAGTGAGAAGCGATTTGCGTGCGCCACAAGCTTGTACAAGCTTGGGGAGGCGAAAGGAGGCGAATTCTCAATGCAGCGCACTTGCAACATGCGAGCACAATTACGAATTGAAATATTTTTGGCCTCCTGATTTTGAGGTTTGCGTTTTTCGAAATGTAAGTGGCGACGAGAAATTGACGGTTACGGGTTTTCATGAGAATTTTCGCATACATTGGCAAAATGTTCGAAACTTTTTAAATTTTAACTTAAAATCATTTTTGAACTACTTTCAGGGACAATGCTCTCGTTTATTTGGCCGGCGCTGTTCCACTTGCACATCAAGGGAGCCACCCTCAACAATTTGGATAAACGGTTGGCTTTTGCCACGTCACACAAAATACATTATGTTTTTTTGTGCAGTTTCGACCAATTCATCATCATAATGGGCAGCAGTGTGTGCGTTTCGGGCGTCTACTTCTCCTCGATGGAACTTCTCCGAGCCATCAATTCTGCTGATTCTTAGAGGTTTCTCGCTATTATCTTTAATCAAACATTTCCTCGTTTCGCTATGTAGTCTTGTAATGTATCAAAAATAGAAACCGACAATATTAGGTGAAGAATCTTTATTTTTAGAAGCAACAATATAAATATGAATGTATCAACGGCAAGAAGGTAAGAAATGTATGAAAAACACTTTGGCGAAACGGATATTATTGGAAAGTGAAAGAATGTGAGCAAGTATTGGGGTAGGAATCACCGACTTTGAATCAAGGCGGCGCACAAAGAAAATGAACAAAAAATGCATAAAATACGCGTATCTATCTGGGGGGAAAAGGATATACACGTAATGGCGGACAAAACAACATCAAATATGGTAGGATTGTTGGAATATGCTCATTTTTTGGTGACTTGAGTCGAGGTCTTGCTCGTCACCACTTCCGTCTTGTACCGTTCGGCTTCTCCGTGCTCGAACGGCTCGAAGCTGTGCTTTCGGGTGACTATTGTCCGTTTGTCGCCCACACTGTGCTCCACGTCCTCCTCCGACGAGCAGTACTCTTCGATCTCACGGTTCTCGGTGGAGGCGAATGCTCCGCCAACTCCTTGAGACTGTTGATGGCTCGTCATTCCACGGGCTCGACCGATCGAGAACTCTTCGACGCTGTCGCCACGCTCTCTGAAAGTTCCATAGGTTACTCACTTTCTACTTCTACAGTTCCCTACTAACCTCTCGCCGGTCGTATGCCGAATGCTCGCGTATCCTCCGGAATTGAGCTGTGAGCTCTCCATGCCAGAACTCGAGTGTCCTGCCGAAAAGCTGCTCTGCTGTTGCTGAGCGTACGATCGTTCGGCTGCTGCTCCCGAAGAGAACATCGAACTGCTCGACGAGTTTTGCTGCAACTTAGATGTTATTATCGTTGTACATTACATGTTAATACTTACCATATAAGCTCCTCCTGCCGCCGCTGCACTTGCTCCATGACTGATCGTCGTGGCTCCAGGATGAACGGCTTCCGAAGTGGTGACTACCGTATGCCCGGATTCGTCGGTCGTCGTCGTCGTTTTGATCTCTTTCGTCGTCACGTCCGTCGTCACCTTCCGCTCGATCTCCTCTTTGATCGTGTATTCCGAAGAGGCGTCTGACATGCTATCGAACGAGTCTCCGTGCACGTCGACCAGATGAGCGCGAGGGATCCGGACCATGTTGTCTTCCAAATATTGATCGAGCTTCGCTACTTCCAGACTTCTGCTCTCCATGTTCTGTGCTCCGGCGACGACTCCACCAGACTTCAGTTTAGCCCTCGGAATGCCGATATCCGGATAATACTCATTTCCAGCAGCACTCATCGCACTGAACTCTCCAGCTCCGGACTCGGAACTCGACGATCCTTCAAGTGTCGACCACGGCCACGCTCCGCCCCTTCGGAATGCTCCGGCTCCGGCGCCAGCTCCTCCGAACCGGGAGCCCTTGAAGCAGTAGCATTTTGTGCAGAAGTAGAGGAGACAGCAAAGTGTCAGGAGCAAGAAGAGAAGGGCGAGAAGAATCAGAAGGACCAGGGAGGCATTGGACGGAGCAACTTGGCACTGAGCGCCGGACCATCCGTCCGTACAGACACACGTGATATTGTTGGTGGCGGTGTTGTGGACACAGTCTCCATGGGCGTTGCACAAATCGCAAAGCAGCGCTCCGCAAACTCTTCCCGGCTCGTCCGGATTTCCGTCAATGTAGCCGTCGGGACATTTACACGTGTATCCGACTGCGCGATCGATGCAGTGAGCCACTCCCGAGCAGTTGTTGAGGCCCAGGGCGCATTCGTCGACGTCGCGAACGTGCATGCAGAGGGTGTCGTCTCCGAGCATCAGGGCGGTACGCTTTTCGGATTTTCTAATGTCCATAAAGCCAGGATCGCATTTGCACTCGGCCTGTTGCTCCATGTTCTTGCACGTGGTGTTCGTCGGGCAGAAATTGACGTCGCTACAGTAGTCGAGCACGCACAGGGATCCGGGCACGGCGCCAGGCGGCGAGGTGTCATAGTAGCTGGGCAGACATTCACACTTGTACAAATGGTCCAAATCGATGCACCGCGCATTTTCCGAGCACTCATTGTCCTCTTTCCGCTCGCATTCGTTGAAGCCATGCACCGGCAGACACTTTTTGCCCGGTGAACTTGGATTAATATCCCGATAGCCCAGGCCACACTCGCACTTGTATGTGTACTTGGAGGTCTCGATGCACTTTCCATGCGGATCACAATCGTTTTTGAAGCATGGATTGAATGGATCGGGTTGCGTGGGGTTGAGGTAGAGCTCCGAGTCGCCGACCTCGTTGTTGTTCTCCTTGGTGATGTACTTGATGAGTTGGTAGTAGGCGTCCGACGGTACACGGACCATTCCCTTGCGGAAGTGTACGGTTGTGTTGAACAAGAGTCCGGTGTCGTAGGATGCGTTCATCAACACCGGATTCACAATATCGTTGACTTCGGCGGTGACGAAGGCGTTCTTGAGTTCGGTGTGCGGATAGCATCCCTCGATTCCCGTCTCCAGCCGGTTCGAGTAATCCTTATAGACATTCGACTGCGGATTATCGAACGACTCGCTGAACACAATCGGCTTCTCCTTGTCCCTGACGACCCACAACGGCACGTTCCACGATTCGACCACTCGGCACTCGGACTCGGAATTCTTGCGCTTCATTCCGTCGGGACATCCGCACACGTGTCCGGCAATGCACACTTCTCCGAGGTTCTCTTTGCAGCTGAGTCCGCCACAATTGCCCCACTCTTCTTGTTGTTTGCACGGGTTGAGGAGGTCGGTGTCGGAAGCCACGCGTAAAGATCCACCGCCTGAAAATAGGAATTAGATTTGAAAATCTAAGAGAAAAAAAACAGACCAATAGCTCCATTTGTTCTGTCCAATGACGCTTGCATCTGCTTCCACAGCTCACACTCATCGATCGGTTGGTTTTGAACTTTCGTCGTTTGCACTTCGTATTTGAACAACAGTCCCTGGTCCCAGGAGCTGTTCTTCGTCTTCGGATGGGTAATATAGTTGACCTTGGTGTTGACGTATCGTGGCGCCAACGAAGTTCCTCCGAACGTTCTCGCCATATTCTTCTCGAACAACTCGACAATCTCGACGTAGGATGGGTTCTTCTGCGATCCGAATTCTGTCGAGTACATGAGCGGTCTCTGATCTCGGGTCACAACTCTGATCTCGAGAGGCGTCTCTTGGACCGGCTGACACCTTCCACTGCTTGAGGACCGTCCTTCTCCGGGTTTGCAGCCACAGTACTCGCCGCTAATGCACACCTCTCCACGCGCCTTCACACAATTGTCGCGTCCACATGGGAACTCGTTGGTCGGCTGGGACTGGACTGTGCTCACAGTGACACGTTCGATGTGCTGCTCTTGCTGGAACTCGATACAGATGCGTCCGGGCTCCTGCGGGTTCGGCGACTGATCGTAGAAACCGTGACGGCAAGTGCACGTGTATCCGTAGTCCAGGTCGCGGCAGTCGGCGTTGCTGTCGCAGGTGTTCATTTGTGGATGGAGGCATTCGTTCAGTCGGCAGATTCTTCCCGGCTGCTGACGTGGTCCCTCATCACGGAACGGCGGTCGGCACGCGCATTCGTAACCTCCGGGCGTGTCCAAACAATTGGCGTTCTTATCGCAATCATTGAGATTGGAGCTGTCGCATTCGTTGATCACTGAAAAACAATTGATTGTGAATCCCTACACAGTCGCTGGTGGGCTTACTGAAAGAGCATCGATGTCCCGGATGGCTCGGATCATCATCGTGGTATCCGTGTCGGCACCTGCACCTGTAGCCGTTCTCCTCGTCGACACAATCCGCGAACGCCGAGCAACTATTCAACGACGGGTTCGCGCACTCGTTCACCGCCAAAGTACACATTCTGCCGGGGCGTCGCGGGTCCGGCGACTGATCCTTCGCATTAATCGGGCACTGACACGTGTATCCGTTCGGAAGATCCTTGCAAATGGCGAGAGAGTGACAGTCGTTCAACGAGCGATCCAAGCACTCGTTCACGATTCCCTTACACACTCTTCCGGGACGTCTCAGCGCATCGGGCGACTCGTCCGTATACCCATCCCTGCATTTGCACGTGTACTTCTCCGGCCCATTCACTTCGCTGCAAATCGCCGCCGCGTGACAATCATTCTGCTCGGGATCCAGACAAATCGGCTCGGTGAGCACACACAGCCTTCCGGGCTTTTGCAGCGGGTTCGGAGATCGATCCGCGTATCCGGCCAAACATTCGCACGTGTAATCCTGGGCGCCGATGGCTCTGCAAGTTCCTGCCGGATGACAGTCATTGCGATCCGGGTCCTGGCACGGATGACGTGGCGGCGGGGACGGTGGTGGCGGCGGTTCACAGACTCGGCCACGTTGCATCGGATCCGGCGAACGGTCGAGGAAGCCACGTTTGCATTCGCATCGGTAGCCACGCGACTCGTCGTAGCAGATTGCGTTGCGCGAGCACGTGTTCAGCTTCGGGTCGTGGCAAGCGTTGTCTGTAAAATGTGTAAATGTGCTTCACCGTACCATCATCAAAAACTCACTTCTAACACAAACTCTTCCCTTTTGTCCGGACGGCGACTGATCCACGTATCCTTGAATACAGATGCACTGGTACTTCATTCCGCCCAACGGCTCGCAAACCGCAGCCGACGAGCAATCATGGTTTGGCGGGCAGACTTCAGGCGCCGAGCACACTCTTCCCGGCTGGCTGGCGAGGTTCGGCGAGCGATCCACGTATCCGTCGCGGCATTCGCAAGTGTATCCTTCCTCGAGGTCGCGGCAGTCCGCATGGGCACTGCATGTATGACGTCCTTCGCGACACTCGTCGACGAGTTTCACACAGACTCTTCCGGGCCGCGCGAGCTTGTTCGGCGACCGATCCACAAATCCGGCGGGACATTCGCAAGTGAACGATTGTTCGTTGTCACGACACGTGGCAAGTGGGTCACAATCATGCACTCCCGTCTCGCATTCGTTGATGACTGAAATTATATAGATATTGGATCAAAAACATGTTTACACAAAACTCTACTTACACATGAGACAAACTCTTCCCGGGAACGATGGGCTCGGCGAAATGTCCTTCGAGTTGACGGGACATTCGCACTCGTACGAGTCCAGTGTATCCTTGCACCGCGCGTTTTTGTCGCAATCATTGAGTTTCGTGTTCGCGCACTCGTTGATCAGCTCACGACACGCGCGTCCTTGGAGCGTCGGTGACGGAGAGACATCGATGAATCCGTCGCGGCACTCGCAATTGTACCCCTCCTCCTTGTCAATGCACCTCGCGTTGCGGTCGCACGTGTTCAGCGATGGCCGAGAGCATTCGTTGATGAGTTGGCGGCAGATTCGACCGGGCCGTCCTTGCGAAAGATCCATGAATCCCTGGTTGCACTTGCACTCGTACCCTTCGTCCAGGTCTATGCACGAGGCGTGTTGATGACAGTCATTGAGGTGCGGGTACTGGCACTCGTTCACCAGTGGTTTACAATTTCTGCCCGGTCTTCTCTTGTCCGTTCCGATGTCTCTGAATCCGTCACGACACTGACACGTGTATCCCTGCACCTGATCGATGCACTCGGCCGCCGTATGACAGTCATTGAGCTGTGGGAATTGACACTCGTTGATCACCGAACAAGATCCCGAAGAGTCTCGCTGGTAGTTGGCCGGACACGAGCACTTGGGCTCGCCGAGTACAAGCCGACACACCTCGTTGAGATGCACCTTGCACTGATTCGAGCCGTCGAGTTGACATTCTGGCGGCGGCGGCGTCGGACGAGTTTGGCACAAGCGTCCCGGATGAGTGGTGCGGTGCGGGGAGACATCGAGGAAATCGGGAAGGCACTGGCAAGTGTAGCCCTGCGGAAGATCCTGGCAGACGGCGTTCACGTGGCAATCGTGCTTCTGCGCGCGGCATTCGTCGATGAGCGCCGGACGACAGATGCGTCCCGGACGACGGGATTGATCCGGCGATTCGTCGACAAAGTCGTCTCGGCATCGGCATTTGAACGATTCGGAAGTGTCGATGCAATCGGCGTTCGGCGAGCAGTCGTGGCGATTTGACGTGCATTCGTTGATTCCTAAAATTATTGAGATAAGATATTTTAGAACTCTTTTGGTTTGGCCACACTCACTCAACAAACAGCGCCGTCCCGGTCGGTTCGTGGTGTCCGGAGACAGGTCGATGTGGCTCGATGGACAAGCACAGATGTAGCTGTCCTCGGTGTCGGTACACGTGGCTTCTTCCGAACAATCGTTCTGTCCGGTCTGACACTCGTTGATGAGCCGCTTGCACTTCCGTCCGGGTCGGGTGACTCGGTCGAACGAGACGTCGAGGTAGTTCATGGCGCATCGGCAGGTAAACGAGTCGGGCGTGTCCTCGCAGATTCCTCCATCACGGGCACAATCGTCAGTTCCCAGCGCGCACTCGTTTTGGACTAAAAAAAAATGCAAATATGGTCTATGATGCATTGTTAATCAAACTTACGTGGCTTGCAGAGACGTCCTGGCTTTGAGGAGATGCTCGGTGAAATGTCCAGGAATCCCTGTCGACATCTGCACATGTAGCCGTCGTCGGTATCCGTACAAATCGCCCGGTCCGGCGAGTCACAATCGTTGAGCGTCGGGTTGTCGCACTCAGGAATCACCGGAATACAAAGTCTCCCGGGCCGCGAAGCCGACGGCGACTTGTCCTTGAATCCTGGAGGGCACGCGCAAGAGTAGTCGTCGTCGCCGATTTGAATGCACCGCGCGTTGCGGTCACAGTCGTTGTTGCCAACTGAGCACTTTTCGTTGGTTTTGACTGCAAGGTTACTTTGGTTTTCAACAGTTCAAGTGAATAAAAAGACATACTCTGCTGGCAATGTCTTCCCGGGTTTCCAAACTCGTCCATGTCGACGAAGCCAGGTTTGCAGATGCACGTGTAACTTTCAATGGTGTCAATGCAATGCGCATTGCGATCGCATTGATTGAGTCCCGGCGACAGGCACTCATTCACCAGTTCGCGACAAACCATTCCCGGGAACGTTTGCGGGTTGGGCGAGTAGTCGACGAATCCGGATTTGCACCGGCACACGTATCCTTCTTCCGTGTCCGTGCACAGTGCGTTCGGCGAGCATCTGGAATCGGGTTTTTGAAAAGAGTTTTTTTTTGGATTCAATTAGCAAATACCTGTTCGTACCGTCCAAACACTCGTTCTGCTGCGCGACACAAAGTCTTCCGGGCTTTTGGGACGGATTCGGCGAATGATCGATGAATCCGGAGGGACACGCGCAAATGTAGCCTTCGTCGGTGTCGATGCAACGTGCCGAACGGTCACAATCGTGGTCTCCGAGCAGACACTCGTTTTTCACTAAAAAATAGTTTGTTTTTCGTTGACAAACGGAGAAAAAGGTCGCGCGCGCGGTGAGCGAACTTTCAAGGCGCAGCTACTTTTAGGAGGGGCGGGTCTCGAAGCGAATTGAGAGAATGGCCATTCTACGGAATTAATGGGGTTATTCAGGCTGTGAAAAAAATGATTGTTTTCCGTTTTTTTACGTCAAAAAATCCAATTCAGCGATGTAAAAAAACGGAAAACAAACATACGCTGAATAGCCCCATAACGAGTATTCTCTCGAAATTCAGCGGCAAGAAAAAGAGCTAGAACTAACGGCAAATGTCAGTGATCGGATGTCTTCGTTCATTTCTCGCGCACTGGCATGTGAAAATGTTGCCATGTGGCAGACACTGTTGCCGTTTTCGGATGTCACACGACATTGGATCATTCGGATTGCACGATCCCGGATAGGCGCATTGCCCGTTTCGAATCCTCTCAAATCCGGGCAAACATTCGCAGAACCAATCGGAGCCGCCGTCGTTCGCGCATCGCTCGTTTTCCGCGCATCGAACTCCGCCGTTGTGGCAGTTGGCGTCGTGCTGCGGCGAGATTTGGATCTCTTTGACCGACACTGAAACAAATTATCATCATCATATTCATCGGCTATTCCATCGAAAAACCAACCACAAAATCCGCTGCGATAATCGCGATTATATCCTTCGGGGCAGGAGCATCTAAAGTTCTTGTAGGGCGTAATCTGGCATTCTTCGGGGAATATGCACGAAGTGATGAGTTGCGGATTGCACAAGTCTCCTCCGCACACTCTTGTCAGAGGATGTCTCGTGAATCCGACGGGACAGACACATCTCGGACGGGCTCCGTCGATGGCGCAGTGCTCATTGAGACTTCTGTCACATCCGGTTTGGGTGCGCGGGTTGCATCCCTCCTCCAGCGGCGTCTCCTGCTTCACCGGGCTCGGACACGCCGCCTTCTGGATCATGGACCGTAGTCGGGTGTCGAGGTCCTTGAACTTGTCGACGTAGAACCAACGATTCGGCGATCCGGCGATGGACTCGAGTTCACTCGCCAGCACGTGATCCGTCACTCCGATGGCAAACGTGTTGATGGCGAGTTTGCGCGCCGAATCCGCCGGTCCGGTCACATTGTCCTGCGAGCGTCCGTCCGTGAGAATAATGGCGACACGGGCGATGTCGTCTTGCTGGGGACGTGCTCCTCGTCTCTCGCTGAAGCCTTCCTGGACGAGATGTTGAATGGCCGCTCCGGTTCGTGTGAGACCCGTCAGGTACTGCGTTTCCGAGATTCCCTTGAGTAGGCTGTGCCGGTCTCCGTACTGATCCAGGTCGAACTCGTGACGGATTTGATCGGAATATTGGATCAGGCCAACTCGGGTCTTGCTTCTACCGATCTGAAATAGCTTTCTTTTAGTGTGGTAGGCTTAAGTTTCAAAATAGTTGCAAAATATCCTAATCCTAGGGTTCCTATACACAAATCGTACCTCAAAAAGCTCGACAAACTCGCTGACGAAGCGCAGAACCTCATTCTTGAAGACATACGATCCAATCGAACCGGATCCGTCGATCAAGAACACCAAATCGGTCTTCTGCTTCGGACACGTCGTCTGAACCGTACAAACTCGTCCGGGCGGCAGATTCGCGTTCGAGGAGACGTCGACGAAGCCGGCGTAGCACTGACACGTGTATCCGTCGGGTGTGTCGACACAGTCCGCGTTGTCGTCGCACGTGTTCAACGACTTCTCCGAGCACTCGTTGTTGGCGTTCGAGCAGTGACGGCCCGGCGGTTTGTTGTAGCGACTCGAGACGTCGATGTATCCGTCGAGACACTGGCACGCGTAGCTGAAAGAATCGCAAAATCGGTGCCACGTTTGCACGTCTGTTTCTCGGCCATTTTCGCAGATTTTCAGATGGTTCAAAAACGATTTGATAGATAATGTTATGCTCTACATTTTTGCAGTTGACGACATCTTCCGATCATGTCTCTACATTGAGATATTGTTCTTTTAGAGTGACCTACCCGTTGGTGGCGTCAATGCATCGCGCATACGGCGAACATTCGTTGTCCGAAGTTGCACACTCGTTGATCACTGCAATTCAATTACAATCAGACCCCGCCCCTTCGACGAATTCTTTCTCACATTCTTTACAAATCCGTCCTGGCGCGTTATTCAGGTCAATGGACAGGTCGATGAAGCCGGGACGGCATTGACACGTGTACGAGTCGAACCGGTTAAGGCATATGGCGTTTTTGTCGCATGTGTTGCGTTTCGAGCACGCCGAATAGACTGGAACGATAAATTTGTTAACGGACCAGGGAACCCAAAAATTTTTTGATTTTTTTGTGACTGTTTGAATTGTCTCTTATTGCCTCATACACTGGTGAAATGCTGTCTCTCAAAAATGCCAATGAACGAAACGGCATGCAGTTGAAGTTGTGGCCGTGGCCTAGCGCCAATGGCCTAGAAATATGCGCTTCTCGGCCATTTTATTTTTTCCGCTTTTTTACCGGTTTTTTTTCCAAAAATTCACGGTTTCTCCCATTTTTCAGTTAATTGACATTTGTTCGGCACTTACTTATTTTTTCACTGCTAAAAAATTGCTTTCATTCAGTCGATACGAAGTGCCAGATGAGTGGTTTCCGTGGAACAAGGGTGATTTTATCGCGAAAAAAGCGGAAAAAATAAAATGGACGAGAAGCGCATATTTCTAGGCCATTGGCGCTAGGCCACGGCCACAACTTCAACTGCATGCCGTTTCGTTCATTGGCATTTTTGAGAGGCAGCATTTCACCAGTGTATGAGGAAATAAGAGACAATTCAAACAGTCACAAAAAAATTTCACAAAAAAATTTCACAAAATTTTTGGGTTCCCTGGTCCTTTAAACAGTGGGACACTTTGCCAACCGATCGATCGATCGATCACTCACCTCGACAGCTTCCGTCCGTGTAGCGGAAGGCAGTGTCGACGCACTCGCAACTGTAATGTCCCTGAGCGTTTCTGTCCGCCGCGCAAACTTCATTGGCTCCACACTTTGAATGTCTCGGATCGCATTGGTCCGTCGAGAAAGACGTGTCTTTGAGGTCGGTGACGTGGACCTTCTCCACCGGTTTCGTGCACACTTTGCCCGGATAATGTGTGGCGTTGGGTGAGGTGTCGACGTATCCGGGACGGCAACTGCACACGAATCCCTCCTTGGCGTCCTCGCAGAACGCGTTCTTCGAGCAATCGTTGAGGTTCGGCGACGCGCACTCGTTGATCGCCTCGATGCACCGACGGCCGGGCAGACGGTTGAACGAGGCGGAGACGTCGGCGAATCCGGGACGGCAGCGGCACGAGTAGCCGTTTTCCGTGTCGATGCAGATCGCGTTCTCCGAGCAGTCCACAGTGTACTTCTCTCTGAAAACGGTGGATTATACAAAATCTTCCCATTTGGTACTATTTTTTTCTAGTTGGCCACTTTTTTCTAGTTTGCTAGTGCTACAGTACTCTAGGGAGTGGTCGGATCGAAAAGTTGTCAACTTCAAAAACACAGTACAAGAGATGATCTTTAATTTTGTTGTTGAAAACTTTTTGATTTGATCACTCCTTAGAGTACTGCAGCTCTTGAAAGTGGAGACTGAAATCAAAGTGCTTCAAACTAGTCTTCACTTTCAAGGGACCACAGTACTCCAGGGAGTGGTCGTACGAAAAAGTGACCAACTACAAAAACCAAGTACCAGGCGTGTAGATTACATTTAAACACATTTCGGAAGCACAGCACAACTTCTAAACTCACTTGTTGCTGCACTCGTTCACTCGTGCTCTGCAAATTCGTCCCGGCTGTCCTGCCGGCGAGATATCGGCGTAACCGCTTCTGCACTGACACGTGTACCCTTCGGCCTGAAAAAATATTCTAAAATAGATGCTAGACTTCAGTCTCGCTCACCAAATCGATACATTCGGCGTTGTTTCCGCACGAATTGAGCTTCGGCTGAGCACATTCATTAATAACCACACATCTTCCATCCGGAAGTCGCGAGTATCCGTTTGCACACCGACATTTATACGTGTTCTCCACAAATATGCACACTTCTCGCTTCCGCTGATCACAACTCATCGGATCGCTCACTTCGCACTCGGGCGGATCGGGAAGGACCGCTGAAATCGGTTTCGATTAGCGCGCACCGTTTTTTTCGTGTTCCCCCCCCTCAAAAGTCTCTCTCGCTCACTCACTTCTGACACAAACTTTTCCGGGTTGACGGAGCGTGTCGGGTGACTCATCGCGGAAGCTGTCCTTGCACCGACACGTGTACCCGTCGGCCGTGTCGATGCACGTCGCGTGCGCCGAACAGTCGTGTCTCGCCTCGGCGCACTCGTTCACCACCGCCCGACACACCCGTCCGGCGGGCCGTCCGTGTTGGCGTGACACGTCGACGAAGCCGCTCACGCACTGACACATCGGTCCGATCGGCGTCTCGCGGCATTCCGCCTCGGCCGCACAGTCAATGTTTGAGCACATGTCAGCTGAAATCGAATTGAATTGAGTTGACGTTTTGAAACTGCGACGTTTTGCAACTAATGTTACTATGCAATATTCAGCAGAAATCGATTGGCGCTTGTGGTTGGACATTTCGCAACCAACACGTTGTAGTCGGTTTGCAAAATGTCCCTAACAGAGTTGAGCGGAAGAACACGGAAGAATTTTTTTTTAATCTTTTTTAGAAAATTTTTTCATAGAATGTGATCAACTGACGAAATGTAAAGCAAAGTGAACTGTGCTCATAGAAAAATAATTGTAAATTTAGCTTTTCATACAAAAAAATTATTCGAGTTGTTCCGTTAGCCCCTTGTTCACGGAACAACTCGAATAACTTTTTTTTTCTATGAAAAGCTAAATTTACAATTATTTTTCTATGAGCAGAGTTCACTTTGCTATACATTTCGTCAGTTGATCAAATTTCATGAAAAAATTTTCTAAAAAAGATAAAAAAAAATTCTTCCGCTCAACTCTGGTCCCTACTAGTCATATTTTGTGTTCACAAATCATATTCATGTTCATGTTCTTTTCGTAACCCCCTTCTCTGTGTGTCAACTATTGTCCCCTTCACACAAATCCTTCAGGCTTCTTCTTCTTCTTCTTCTTCTTCTTCCTCTTCTTCTTCTCATCCCTCGCTATACCTTCGGAAAGTGATCTGGCGAGAGGAAACGGCAGATGTACCGTCTATTGGAAAGGATTTACTCGCGCGGGCAGCATGCCTAATAAAACTGGTATTCATTCCCTATTCACTTTTTATATGGTTGAGAAGAATTGGCAGATTCGGGTGTCTTGAGAAACAAAGGATATCGAGGAGGAGGGAAAAAGTTTCCTCAACTTTTTCACTTAAATTCTACACAGTTTAAGATTAGGATTGCTGATTTATGAAGTTTTGCTATGCCAATCCTTCAGGACCATTTATCTCAGGCGATGATAAAGATATCGAAAAGTGATCAACTGATAAAATGTACACAATTTCCTAATGAGCATTCTACTAGTTGATCACTTTTTGATATCTTTACCGACAGTTGAGATACATCGTCTTGAAAAGCGTCAAACCTAGCGCAGGGCAAAATGGCCTAAGACTACTTTCGGATTATTATACCTTTTTTGCAAATGCGTCCAGGATTCCGGAGAGAATCCGAAGAGGCGTCCGAGTATCCGCTTCTGCACTTGCACGTGTATCCCTGATGGGTGTCGATGCAGTCGGCATGTGGATCACAAGTATGTCGGCCCAATGCGCATTCGTCCACAGCTGTAAATGGTTTGAGGAATTTATTTTCAAGGGTGTGGCTTAACTCAACGTTTTTTGAGCCGTTCAAGATCGCCTTCAGAATGCTTTTAAGCTCAAGTTACCCTTTGGCTCCCCTCAAAATCATAGTTTGAAGAAATGGCCCCCTGACTGAAAAATGCCTCCTCCGGGTGTCAATGCGGATCGCCGTCTTTTGTGTGTGTGTGAAATTCAAGGTGAACCCCGAAATGTGTGGGAGGAGAAGGAGGAGGCTATCATAGTGCAATTACAAATGGCGAGACGCAAAATGGATTCGTTCTCGAAGAAAAGAAAAATGAGGGGAGGGGGGGAATTGAATCGGCATTGCTCAGAAAAAGAAGAGAGACAAGGTCGCGTCTATCACTTTTTGATTCATTTCACCCCCCTTCCTTTTATAGGATTATTGTTCTCGAAAAACCTTGAAATACATTGGTGATTTATATGAATATGGTATGCGCCTTTTTAAAAGTTTCGCATATGCCACACCGTCACTTCAACACCTTTTATTCAAAACTTGATATCTTGGCTGTCGATAGAGATACGAGAAAGTTGCCAACTGATAAAATGCTCGGCTAAACTTTGTGCACATTTTTCTAGTTGACAGTTTTGTCATAACTGCGCAGACAAACGAGATACATAGTCTCAAATGAACAATATTGAATTTCCCGGCTATCTCACCACTGTAAACTTCTGAAAACCCACACAAAAAGTTGTATTCACCTCACCAATATCACGCCTTCAAGGATCATAGCCCATGGTCATCGTGGGTTGTATATGACATGTTTGCCTAGTTCTTCGTTCTCAGTTCCGATCCCTCTGAGACGACGACATTACACGAAAAAGTGTTTTCATGTTTTCTCGCCCAAAATTATCCACACAAATCAGTTGCAGGGTACGTACGCGCACATAAAAATGATACAAAGTGGATGGATGGACGGTGGTGGTCACTCAGTCATCGTCATCATTTCTTCTCTCTGACTAATTGATGTGGGAGACACACGTCCTTGACCCACAAGCTGCAGTAGCCAGTTTCTTCTTATCCCCCGATTCTCGCTTAACTTCTGATTTGTCCGCCCTCCTTATCTATCTGATCAACTATCCCCGCCGCTTTTCCTAGGAATCGAATCACAAACGCCCCCCAAAAAAAACAAGAACATACCTCTCACACATTTTCTGCCCGGGAATCGTTTGTCGGCGGACGCATCACTGAATCCGCGCGGGCATTGACACTGAAAATAGCCGGGCTGTTCGGAGAAGCATTCGGCCACCGGATCGCAGTCGTGCAGCGAGTAGTCTTGGCACGGATTCGCTCCTGCAAATTTGCTTTCCACACGTGGAACTTGGAGCATTATTGGAGGGTGTCAAATTGAAGAGTTTGAAAAAGAAAAAAAAGTGCAACGCTAACTGGGATTCTATGGAATTTCGAAACGATGGACGTTCTGCAACCGAGTGGACTTTTGCGAAACTACAATACTGTAATAGAAGAAGCACCTCAATACCGTTTATTTAGGATGGAATAGCTTAGCCGCCGGTTGAGATACAAAAAAGTTGTCAACTAATAAAATGTAGAGAATTTATTAATAAACATTTTTGCAATTGACAACTTTTTAATATCTCAATTGGCAGCCGAGATAAATCGTTTTGAATTGACAATAATTGGAGATGCCCTTCTTTTACAGTACGGTAGTTCGTTGTGAAATGTTCCGTTTGGACGCTTCGCAACCGCTGTGAACGTTTTGCAACTACAACTACAAATTAGGCTGTGCTGGTTGCAAAGCGTCTAAGCAATTTTTTGTTGAATTTCAATGTGCGTGAAACTTGAAAAGCCTCGAAAAACCTGTCGTTGTTTCGAAATGTCCACACTTGTTTGGAGAAAAGAGGTACAAAAAAAAAACTTGAATTTGACCCAAAAATCGTCCTAATTTCCGTCTCCCTGCCCCGTTTCGGTGAACAATGTGCCCACACGAAAGTTTACAAGTACATTGGCGCGTGTCAAAATTAAATTGACTCTCTTTTCCACCACTTCTTATTACCCCCCACGTCTCCTCTTTTTCGTGTCATTTGTCTACTGGCTTATTTTGTGTCTGTGTGCGTGTGAGTGGTTTTGCGACACGAAGAAGAAGAAGAAGAAGAAGTAGATACAGGTAGAGAGAGAGAGAGAGAGAGAGAGAGAGAGAAAAAGTTGCGCCGTCTTTTCAGTGTTGAGGGGGGAACGAGGTCAATGTGATGCGCCAAAAGTTCCGGAGAAATAACAAATGGCCAATCGGGCACCTCCAGCTGTGTTATTTGATTGGTTCATCTCAGACAATTGCATTGCGAGTTAGCCGCTTTCAAAACGACATTTTTTCAAAATTTTGAACATGGCCCGCAAACGGTTCAATTTTTTTCCACAAAATTGCAGTGTGTGCTCTAAAAACTAAAACCAAAAGAGAGAAAGTGAGTGTTGCAACTAAAAGTGTGCGTGGGCGTGCGCGTTAGAGCTTCTTCTTCTTCTTCTTCTTCTCACCCAATCGTGCACTTCCTCCACTTCCACCACACGAATTATCTGCACATCGTGACACTTTTAACACTTGCGTTTCGTCATCATTTTCTACAACAAACAAAGAAACGATCACTTACCCGATGCGACATTGGTGGTACAGGACAGGAGGAATAGAAGGCTCAGACTTAGGCCTCGCAGGCCCAAGCCTTTCGAAAATGGTCCCATCGGTTTGAGGCACTTTTCCAGGCGAGGGGAGGGGGGGGACTAGGAGCAAAAAGAGGAGCGTGGGTAAACTATGGGTGATATTGTCCTTCTTCTGGTCTGGCTGGCTTCTTTTCGCGGCCGGTCGAGACGCCGAACAAAAGTGGGTGGGGCTTGGGGCAAAGGGAGGGGCTGGGCCCCGAGAAAGAATCGTCTCGGCGCACGCATCGATGAGAAGTGGAGAGGAGAAATGTGTGTGTGTGTGTGTGTGTACGTGGGACAAAAACTAGCTAATCTGACTGGATATACATGTGTTCCCGACCACTGTCCGAACGAGCGAAAAGCGAGGCAAAAGTCGCCAAGTCATTCAGAGACGGTTTTTTTTTTGTTGAGATATACAATAGACGCATTTCTCTCAGCGTTGGCAAATGTCGTGTGGCTTTGTACACTTTTTTCGCAAAAACTTGACATCGGGTACTTGGTTTTTGTAGTTGACGCTTTTTTCCTAAGACCACTTCCTGGGGTACGGTAGTTAGAGCCTATGCCAACTTTCAAGAGCTACAGTACCCTGGAGAACAGTTGTAGAGCAAAGTTGTCAACTAGTAAAGTAAAGTTTAGAATGTAAACTGTATTTTGTTAGTTGACAACTTTTTTGTACAAACACTCCCTGGGATACTGTAGCTCTTGCAACTCTACAATGTCTATTCAAAGTTGGCCACAAGTGACGCACTTTTGGCATCCTTATTCTTCAGTAATTGACACTTGAGAGGGGATTCCGGATCGCGACGAACGTCCACGTATCCCGAAAGGCATGCACAATTGGCTCCGTCCTCCGTGTGCAGACATCTGGCGCCAGGAATCAGAGAACACGTCGAGCAGTCGTCGTCGGCTGAAATTTCGAGTGGTGTCATATTTTCCAAGTGCAATTGTACTTCGAGAAGTGGTTGTAGACAAAAGTTGTCAACTACAAAAATGAAGCTCATGTCGAGTACTGTATTTTTGTAGTTGACATCTTATTCGTACAAACACTCCCTGCAGTACTGTAGCTCTTAAAAGTTACCATGGGCTCTGAACTAGTCCTAACTTCCAAGGGGAAAGTGATAGTAGAAAAAACTCTACAATATCCACAGTTTCCGTTCCGTTACCCACGTTTTCCTTTTTCCGCCGTACAAAGTGATGTGATTAGCATCTTTAGCCGTCCGATTCTCGTACGAGACCAAAGTGAAAATGGGCAAAAAGATACTCATCTTAAAGTGAAATTCGAGTGAAATTTCGGGATCGACTGCAGACAAAGAAGACAGTGAAATACACCGGAAAACGGGGGGATATGTACTATTGCCAGGAAAAAGGTCACAAAGAGGGGAAAAAAAAGATGATAGCAGCAATGTTACACTAATGGGTCAAGGATGTTTCGCGATCATCATCGGAAGAGGAAGTAAAAGTTTCTTTTTCGGGTTCGTTGTGATGGTGATAACTGTTTACTGTCCGTTTTCTGGTTTCAGTGTAATATCATAGGGTTCCGCAACTTGTACCAATGACTCGAGACATACAGTAATCCCACAGGATGAATTTTAAACAACTATTTTCAAGTTTCTCAGTGAAAAGGCGTAATTGCCGCACAACTATTACCTATAACACACTTTCTGCCCTGCTCCTCCAAAGTCGGACTCATATCGATGAAACCGAATGGGCACCTGCAAATTTTGGTGCATTTCCTGTGTACTGTCTGCAAAATTTTCCGCCAACCTGCACGAGTATCCAATCGGCAAATCGTGACAAATTGCGCGATGATCGCAGTTGTGCACGTTCGTCGCGCATTCGTTGACGGCTGCACAGACAAAAAGGTGCGGAATGAATGAGGGTGAATCGAGGGAAAACACCAGACTTGCCAAATTACGGGCCGAAAATTTGCTGGCCCGGCTCAAAAGGCGCGAATTCAAATTTTTGGGGGAAATCGATTTTTTCGTTTTTTTTTTGCGGGGATCAAAATTTAGAAAAAAAACTACGACACTCCGACATTACGGTCGCGCGCGCTCTTTAGCCATTTTTTTTTCCAACTTTCGGATTGTGGCGCGTGTAAAACATTGATTTGTTCGCCAATAAAAACAATTTTTGAGAACTACATTTCTTTTTTATGCTCGATACTTGCAAAATTCGTTAGTTCTACGAAAAACAAACATTTTATTTAATCAATAGTTCAAAATTTGGTTTCCCGCTTTTTGAACCGGGCCGACCGGGCCGGGCCGGGCCGGAGTTTTGAAAATTTCGGCCCGGCCCGGCCCGGCCCGGCCCGTGGCAACTCTGGAAAACACTAACCTTTTGTACAGTTGCGACCCGGTTTTCTGGCTCCCAGCGACGAAATGTCCACGTAGTCATCTTGACATCTGAAAAAACACATATTGTTGACTGGAACATGATGAAATGTATATGAGGATCCAAAATCAGAGCCCATAATCTCGTACAATGGCCTAGGATTCCTAATCATGACTAGGGCTCGCCAAAATTGGGTCTAAAGTCACAAGCCATAGCATAGGCTTCCGAAAAACATGGCCTAAGATGCTAGCTGCTCTAATTGTTGCTCAGGATTTCAAATTTTCTCAAATGTGCGCAAAATATTTCAAAAACGAGGCCTAGATTTGTTCTAGAATTTAGGGTGCAGAATGCGACAAACCTGCACGTGTAACCAATCGGCTTGTCCAAACACTTGGCGTCGGGTGCACAATCGTTGAGAGAAGCGCTCAGACACTCATTCACCACTGCAAATTGTCAACGTCTTCCTTTGTTTCAATGAAACACACAAATATTGTCGCCCTTACACTTTCTGCAACTCCTTCCCGGCCGTGCTTTCGGCTCTCGCGACGTGTCCAGATACCCTTCGCGACACAGACATTCGTAGCCGACGAGGGCGTCGACGCAACGGGCGTCCGAGTGACAATCGTGCTGGCCACGCAAACATTCGTCGATTAGTTCTGAAAGCAGAAGATATTGGCGGTACTGTAGCTTTATACACTAGTCCCTAGCGGTACTCTAGCGGATCTGCAGAACAAAAACTACAGTACCAACCTATACAAGTCCCGTTGACACTGAAAAAACCGTTACGGCACAGACATCCAAAAGTTCCATCCGATTTCAGTTGGCACGATTCGTAGTGGCCTGAAAATTTGCAATTGTTGACTTCTACTGGATGACTGTAGTTCTTTGGAGTCTACAGTAAGTAGCCGAAACAAAATCTGACCACAAGAGGCGTTTCCGGTGCACGGCGGCTCGTCGCGACTGAATTCGAGGTGTGTTGGCGTCGTGATCGTCCCGTAGCTGTCGATGATTTCGTCGGGAATCGCACTGACATAGTCGACCTCTTTTTGCTCCTCCAGAAACATGAACGGCACCCTTTCCGACTCGTTCTCCAGAAATCCGTCGATTCCGTTGGGCTGAAATTAGTTTTTTTTGAAAAAACATAAAAAGTTCAAACTTACAGTGCTTCCAGAAATGATAACTTTCCTCGGTTTCGGTCTGGGCGCTCTCCGAATGTTCATCCATCGATTTTCGGGTTTCTTCAGTGCTTCCGGGTCCTCGAACACTTTTGGGGATGCTTGAAGAAGTCCAAAAAGATTCTCATTCGATTCGGAGCAATTTCCATAGGAACTGCTTCGAAAGCGGGCGAGCAACTCCATGGGAATGCATTTTTCGGAGCCCGGCGGACGGACGGTCCCCAGTTTGCAAACGCATCGCCACGTTCCGCCAATCACCTGGAATAGTGTGTGATGACGTGGCACCTGCGTGTCGGAGGGTCTTACCACACAAACTTGTCCGAGTTCCGGTTTACACGGGTTCAGGCCCGAGCAGATCTTGATTTTTCCAAGGGAAAATGAGTTGATGCCAGTGTTTTTGTGGTGTTTTCCGGTGCAGTTGACTGAAAATTGATATTGATCTACCTTTTGAGGAAAACTGTAGATCAAATGTTTTCTGTAGATAGAAACGGTTTCGCTTTGACTTTTCTGGGCACTGTTCTCAAAGAAAAATTGGAAAGTTTGAGTTTCCACGTAATTTTTTTCAAAACTTCAAAATCCTCAGCTCTACAGTACTCACTTTTCTGACTGACAAACTCGTCGGAGCCGTCTTCGCAATCCCAACTTCCGTCCATCACAAACTGCTCGGCGACGCATCTCACGGCTCCGCACTGGCACGCAAACTGCGAAGTCGTGCACTCCTCGTCCGATCCGTCCGCGCAATCCTCTTTTCCGTCCTGGAATTGGGCTCTCGGGATGCATTTCGAACCGTCCGAGCATTGAAATTCATTCTGGACACACGCTGCAAAAATAGGGCATTACAACTCGGTATTTTATCGAAAGTCACGCATAAAAAATGTAAAGAATGCCCGGTGCTGCGTAACTTTGGCGTTGCTTATAATTTAGTGCTGCGTAAATTTCAGTGCTGCTTAACTTTTGGTGCTGCTTAAATTTTAGTGCTGCGTAAATTTTAGTGATGCTTTACTTTTGGTGCTGCCTGAATTTTTGTGCTGCGTAACTTTTAGTGCTGCTTAACTTTTGGTGCTGCGTAAATTTTAGTGCTGCTTAAATTTTAGTGATGCTTTACTTTTGGTGCTGCATAAATATTAGTCCTGCGTAAATTTTAGTGCTGCGTAACTTTGGCGTTGCTTGTAGTTTAGTGCTGCGTAAATTTTAGTGCTGCGTAACTTTGGGGTTGCTTATAGTTTAGTGCTGCGTAAGTTTCAGTGCTGCGTAACTTTGGCGTTGCTTGTAGTTTAGTGCTGCGTAAATTTCAGTGCTGCGTAACTTTGGCGTTGCTTATAGTTTAGTGCTGCGTAAATTTCAGTGCTGCTTAACTTTTGGTGCTGCCTGAATTTTAGTGCTGCGTAAATTTCAGTGCTGCGTAACTTTGGCGTTGCTTAAATTTTAGTGCTGCCTAAATTTTAGTGCTGCGTAACTTTGGAGTTGCTTATAGTTTAGTGCTGCGTAAATTTCAGTGCTGCTTAACTTTTGGTGCTGCTTAAATTTTAGTGCTGCTTAAATTTTAGTGATGCTTTACTTTTGGCGCTGCTTATAGTTTAGTGCTGCGTAAATTTTAGTGCTGCGTAAATTTTAGTGCTGCGTAAATTTCAGCGCTGCGTAAATTTGGCGTTGCTTATAGTTTAGTGCTGCGTAAATTTCAGTGCTGCTTAACTTTTGGTGCTGCCTGAATTTTAGTGCTGCGTAAATTTCAGTGCTGCGTAACTTTGGCGTTGCTTAAATTTTAGTGCTGCCTAAATTTTAGTGCTGCGTAACTTTGGCGTTGCTTATAGTTTAGTGCTGCGTAAATTTCAGTGCTGCTTAACTTTTGGTGCTGCGTAAATCTTAGTGCTGCTTAAATTTTAGTGATGCTTTACTTTTGGTGCTGCTTATAGTTTAGTGCTGCGTAAATTTTAGTGCTGCGTAACTTTGGGCTTCCTTAAAGTTTAGTGCTGCGTAACTTTTAGTGCAGCTTAATTTTTGGTGCTGCTTAAATTTTAGTACTGTTTAAATTTTAGTAATACTTTACTTTTGGTGCTGCTTAAATTTTAGTGCTGCGTAAATTTCAGTGCTGCTTAGCTTTTGGTGCTGCTTGTAGTTTAGTGCTGCGTAACTTTGGGCTTCCTTAAAGGTTAGTGCTGCGTAAATTTCAGTGCTGCTTAACTTATGGTACTACGTAAATTTTAGTGCTGCGTAAATTTTAGTGATGCTTTACATTTGGTACTGCCTGAATTTTAGTGCTGCGTAAATTTCAGTGCTGCTTAACTTTTGGTGCTGCGTAAATTTTAGTGCTGCGTAATATCTAGTGATGCTTTGCTGTTGGTGCTGCCTAAAGGTTAGTGCTGCGTAAATTTCAGTGCTGCGTAACTTTGGCGTTGCTTATAGTTTAGTGCTGCGTAAATTTCAGTGCTGCTTAACTTTTGGTGCTGCCTGAATTTTAGTGCTGCGTAACTTTTAGTGCTGCTTAACTTTGGGGTTGCTTGTAGTTTTTTGAAAAGGCGGAAAGCGGAGGCGGATTAAAAAATTTTTTGGCGGAAGGTGGAAAGCGAAGGCGGAATTTCAATTTTTTTTTTTGGCGGAAGGCGGAAAGCGGAGGCGGAATGAAAAAAGCGGCGGAAAGCGGAAGGCGGAAGGCGGAATTAAGCTCATTTTTTGAAGTTTTGACGAAACGCGAAAAACATGAAAAACTCTTAATTCTGTGAAGAACGGTTTTCAATCAGCAAAATATTGTTTTCTAGGCGGTTTTCAAGTCAAAAAGCATGAGTTTTCGGCATAAAATGGGACATTTCGTTCGTTGTAACGACACTCCGAAATTTACGTGCACACTGTGTTTAGCATTAGCGCCCTGGGAGACCGTGCCACGCAGCAATTTTCGCGGGCTCTGTACCGTATACTTTGTTTTCTCAACGACACTCTGTTCTAACGCGGCGCACTAGCCTTTGGAAAGACAGTGACTGGGGAAGGAAAGAAAATGAAAGAAGATCTCGGCAAACGAATGGCCAGAACAGTGTGGCGTTGCGGTATTCGCGAGAGCATTTGTGGCCGGGCCAGCTACCGTTCGCAAGTTTACTACAGTCGCTCGATAGGCTGACCGTCCATTCGACTCGATAGTTTTTTGTTTAACCCAATTGCTGATGCTTCTTAACTTTTTAGTTCAAAATCATAGTACTCCTTACGCTCATCACTGCGATCCTTGCAATCGGGCCGTCCGTCCAGGTACTTTTCCGGCGGAATACACGTGCTTTTGTCCTTGCAAACGTAAAAGTGGGCGGGGCATCCTTCGTCGAAACCCGAATAACAGTCGATTTTCAAATCGTTCAACTTGTTTTTGGAGACACAACGCGGCGATCCGAATTGACAGTCGAATTGCCACGGCAGGCACACTGAAATCACGAATTGAAGGTCTTTCGGATTACTGTAGTTTTTGTTTTTTTTTAAATCCGGCCATACAGTAATGTCACCCCATTTTTTCGGTTTTTGTCTTTCTTTTCCACTTCAAATTCGAAAAGTGTTCTCCTCGTCCAATTTTCTCCCAAATTACGTCGTCCCAGCTGTGTCAGGACAAGGAAGGACAAATCTCTAGACCCCCCTCCTCACCGGACATGGTGCAATTTACCCGTTAACTAGGTTCTGTTGGGTACAAGAAGAAGAAGAAGAAGAAGAAGACAAGCAATTAAATATCCTCCGGTTTCATGACCTTTTTGGGTATTGAAAGTCAGTTGCATACGCATTTTCGTGAAGGCCAACCCAATTATAACAGGTGTAGAATAGCCGTTTCGAATTTAATATTATACATTTAACATTTTTCCGTTGCTGTTTCTCTCTCGAACTTTGTCCCAGTTTCCATTTTTTCAGGCAAAAAGGTATCTATTATAGGCTCAATGACTTGGAAAAGGAAAAAAGGAGGAACGCGTCTAATTGGGACCTAATTACGGTGCGGAAAATGTGTATGAGACGCACAAAAGTGGCCCACAAGTCAAGTGCATTCTGAGGAGGCCGCAAGTGGTTACCGATCATCACCTACCTACCCACACCCCCCAAAAAACATCTCTTTTTGTTGCCAACGCATGCGGATATTGTGAATTTCTCGTAATGGGCTTATGCGGTCGGGTGAAAACTGGTTGGAAAGAAAAATATAGTAGAAAGCACAGTAGTTGATTCCAAAAGTTAAGCAACACTGAAATTTAGGCAGCACTAAACTATAAGCAGCACCAAAAGTTAAGCAGCACTAAAAGTTAAGCAGCACTAAAAGTTAAGCAGCACCAAAAGTTAAGCAGCACGGAAATTTACGCAGCACTAGACTATAAGCAACGCCAAAGTTACGCAGCACTAAAATTTATGCAGCACTAAAATTTACGCAGCACTAAAATTTACGCAGCACTTTTTTCCTGGAGAAAACTTCTAGAAATGTTCTAGAAATCATCAAGGACCTAGATTTTCAAGAGAAACAAATCGTATCTTTTTCAGTTTCATATGAGTCGTACAGATCAAACCGGTTGACCAATTTTCCAAAAAAATATGCCTTTGTTGGGTTCAATTTTTGAGTACATCTGTGGCCAAAACAGTACTCATCTTTTTCTACATTCTCTTGTTTAGTGGAAACTTTGAACGCATATTTCTGCGTTGGTAGACGTCGTACAGCTCCCAAATTTTTTGTGATATGTCTTGGCGCCTAGTACTTCATTTTTGTAGTTGACAACTTTTTTGTACGACCACTTCCTGGGGTACTGTAGCTCTTGGAAGTTAGCACTGAAATTTCTAGGCGCTAACTCATCCCAACTTCAAGGAACTACCGTACTCCAGAAAGTGGTCCTAGAGAAAAGTGATCAACTACAAAAACCAAGTACAAGGTGTCCAGATACTGGGCAAACGTTCTATGGAACTATACATTATCTGGCAACGCTAAAAAATGCGTTCAAAACCTAGTATTTCCCAAAAAAAGTGAAATCTCACCCTCATCGGAAGCATCGTAACAATCCTGCACTCCATCCTGCCATTTGATCATCGAAATGCACGTGCCATCGATTTTGCACCGAAACTCCTCGCGCGCCACACACTCACTTCGGGCTCCGGGCAAAAAGAGCACAAAAAGGAGGGAGGAAAGTGAGAATAATAGTAATCTGGTGCCGGCCGCCATGATGATGATTTATGTCGTCGATGGCAACATCAACGTGTACACAGTAATCTCATAAATACAATGATATTGTATAAATCAGAGGGAAAAACAACAAAGTATATAGTAAAAGACAGGCGGCGCCGACCGAAGGCTGGCAGTAGTCAGTCCCCCGTCCGACCAGTCCCTTTCCGTCTCTCTTGAGCGTGGGCGGGACCTTGGAAAGGAAGAGAACGAGAGAGAGAAAGAGAGAGAGAGAGAGTGGGTAGAGGTGTTCATTCATTCCGCGGAAGAAAAGGGACTTGAGGAATGCGTTCGCACAGAATATATTACCTTTTATTGCGGAACAAGGATATTGTCCATTCGCGATCTGTCCGGATCCTATGATTTACATTTTCTTCATCATTTGCATAAGGTTCTTGTTTCTCGGATCTTCAGGTTCAAGCTTCTACAAACTGAAGTCTCCGAGTTCAAAATCATTATTCTTCCAGGCGTCTCCACTTGAAAATTCGAACACATGTTCTACAATATATGTAGATCTCGTATTTCTGACCCTGTTTGTAGGTAGCCCCTTCTAAGGAACACATGATATTATTCTTTTGTAATACAAACCATATCCCGTGGCGGTAAAAAGGGGGGGGGGAGACATTATACTGTAGATTGTATTACACCCCCCCGGGAGTGCTATTGTCTTTTTCTTATTCCTCCTCTCACCAAAAGTATCCATTGCTTCCGGTCAAATGAATGCGTTCCGTTTTTGTTTTTTTTTCCATCTCGTCCACATAACCTTGCGTAAAACCGTACACTTTTCTTGTGAGTAATTAGATTAGACCCCCCCCCCTAAAACGAGGAGGTTCCACTTACTATTCCGGGGGGAAGGTCAAATATTAATAAAAGCGAGAAGAAGAAGAAGAAGAAGAAGAAGAAGAAGAAGAACCGATTTATTAAGTGCATCGAGATGTTTTGAGGGCATTAATCACCAGGAAATGTATGCGATGGATTGAGGAAGCGACGAGCACGATGCGTGCACATTCATAATAGCTATTCGTGGAATTTTGATCGAAATCTGACTGAAAGTTGAGAAAAACATGCTTCAAACCGTTTTTGTCTCAAAAAACAAGGTTCCGACACACAAATTTGCCCTAAAACATGTTTCAGAGCAGAGAAGTGTCTTAACTGTCATTTTGAAGCTTCAAATCGGGCGTACATCGGGCAGACATCATAAAATTCCAGCTAAAGCAACAAAAAAAGCGAGTAGATCTGTTTAATTACTTTCCGAACAAAACGGCGACTCCCGTAGACAAACGAACAATGACTATGTCATGACAAATACCTAAAAAAGTACAGCACAAAGAAAAAAACTGAAAAAGTACCCAGTGATGACAATGAATTCCTAAGGAATGTGAACATGAATTGAGGAGGAGGAGAGGCGAGCAAAGCTCAAATAAAAGGGGCAAAAGTCTAGGCAACTGGTATTGTAGAGTTGTCGAGAATCGCCCACGCGGGGAAATCGAGCAGCGGCAGGGTGAGGTAGGCGATGCTGTTCATGTAGAAGACGGTGAGTACGAGCAGTTCCATCGAGATGATTCCGCCAACGAACGCCTGGAAAATGATGTGAAACATGTGCTTTCCTAGTAAAATTACTCCAATAAAGTTTCAGAGCACTTTTCTATTGCCCCAAACAGTTTACGTCTTCAAGCCTACGGTAATCTTCTGGGTACTGTACTGTTAAAGGCGCATACTAAACATTTCTGAAAAATGTTTTGCAAAACCGCCACGGTCTCCAGAGCTGACAATAGGGGCGTGGCCTCGGCGGCCAAAAGGCGTTTTCATGAATTGAGCAGGTTTTCTCTGATTTTTGTGGTCAACGGCGATGAAAAATGATTGTTCGCCATGAAGACACACTAATTCTCAGAATTAATGACGTTTTGGCGCTTTTTTCGCGAACTTTGCTTTTTCGCCTTCGCCGCCGATCGCCGCCTAAAAAGCGCACTTCTCATTTTGCGCTTTCTTGACCGTTTTCAGACAGAATTGGTTTTGCGAATGATAAATCACGTAAATACAAGCATTTTGAGCGCTCGAACCGCGAAAACTACCGAAAAGCAACTGAAATTCAGGAAATTTTAGCCAAAAACCTTCAAACGGATAAATGTGATTTGCGACTTGACCAAAATTAACGCTCTTGCGCTTAAAAAATTCGTAATAGCCTATACAATCGGTCTATCGAGAGACAAATGAGAAATTATCGGTTTTTGGTGGCTAATCTGGCAAAAAACACAAATTTTGCTGTTAAAATTTGAATTTCGCGCCAATCTATCGCTCTATTGGGCGGGGCGCACTTGCACCCATTGAATAAATGGACGTACCATATCGGAAACCTTGACCATTCCACTTCCGAACACGATGGCATTCGGCGGCGTGCCGACGGGGAAAATAAAGGCGAACGAAGAGGCGAGCGTGGTGGGGAGCATCAAAGTGAACGGATGATATCCGGCCCTCTGAGCCAACGTGGCGACAATCGGCACGAAAATCGAGGCGGTGACGGTGTTGGAGCAAATGTTCGTGATGAGCATCGCGATGAACATTGTCAAAAGTTGGAGCATCCACAGCGGCAGGTGCTCGATCGACGACAGTTCGTTTCCGATCAGAAGCGACAGTCCGGACTCTTTAACTCCGGCGGCCAACGCGAATCCTCCGCCGAGAAGCAGTACGACACTCCACGGAAACGTCTCCTGCATCGTCTTCCAATCCATCAGACACCCCCTCTTTTTCAGCTCCTCTTTCTTGATGTAATTCGACAAATCCGGCTTCTCGGAGGGCAGAACGAACAGCAAAAAGGCGACGATCATTGCGGACGTCGCATCGGTGTAGGCGCCTTTTTTGAAGAAGGAGCCGAATCCGGGCACGATGCCCGGATTGCGGAAGATCCAGAGCGAGAGGAGCACCGAGAAGCAGACGAACACCGATTTCTCGGCGTACGTCATACGCGGCAACTCGTCGTACCGCGTTTTGAGCATCTCCGTCACCGCTTCGTCCTTCTCCGGCGCGTCTCTGAAACAAAAATTGATATTGATTCGAAGATTGTGAATTGCCAACTTCAAAAAGAACCAGACAAGGGTCATCCACGCGACTGCCAAACACAAAATCATGAGCGGATAGGCGAAGAAGATCCACGTCACGTAGTTCAAAGATCCGTCGACTTTCGGGAAAAGTCTGGAATAGTGTTACTTTGAGATTTGCAACAAAAAAAAAGAAAGTTGAGGTCAAACTGACGCATTCAATTGTCCCAACATGACGAGGTTACTCGGAGTGCCTGTCGCCGTGCCAGTGCCGCCAATGTTGGCGGCGAAACAGATGGAGAGCACGAGTCCGGTCGCCATTTTTTTGCAGCCTTGACGTCCACGCTCTCTGAAAACATGTGCATTTTGATTACAAACAGAGCAGCAAATTTTTCTGACTTCTGAAGACATTTAAAGGTGGTGTCCAACGTGACATACAACATATTTTTAAAATAAACTTCGAAGTGGGGCATTCACTTTCCCAAAGTCCCGAATTACGAAAAAAAATTCCCAGATTTTTAAGATTTTTTTCAAAAAAGTTAATGGTACCGAGAGAAGTACACGGCGAAATGGAAGAGCTGGCCTAGATTTTTCTAGTCCCCGGATGGAATTCCCCTTTCTTCCGAATTTTTCCGTTATCGTGCAATTTTCTTAAATTTTCAATCGTTTTTTCACTGAACACATTTATTTGCAATATTAAAAAAAATTTATGATTTTTTCTGTGCCGTGACGCCAAAAAAATCGATTATCTGAAACTTTTTTTTTGTTTTTCCGGGTTTTTCGCTCAATCTTCGGTTTGCGCGCTGAAAAATAAATAGAAAGAGATCGCTCAATCATTTCCTGAGTCTAAATTAAAGTTTGCGAGTTACAGAGTTATATTTTTCAAAGTAAGGAAAAAATCCAAAACTTCCTATTTTCAGTTTTACAAAAAGTGGCTGAATTTCTGAATTTTGCTGAATTTTGAAAGTTTCAGATTATCGATTTTTTTGGCGTCACGGCACAGAAAAAATCAAAAGGTTTTTTAAATATTGCAAATAAATGTGTTCAGTGAAAAAACGATTGAAAATTTAAGAAAATTGCACGAAAACGGAAAAAAATCGGAAGAAAGGGGAATTCCATCCGGGGACTAGAAAAATCTAGGCCAGCTCTTCCATTTCGCCGCCTACTTCTCTCGGTACCATTAACTTTTTTGAAAAAAATCTTAACAATCTGGGAATTTTTTTCGTAATTCGGGACTTTGGGAAAGTGAATGCCCCACTTCGAAGTTTATTTTAAAAACATGTTGTATGTCACGTTGGACACCACCTTTAAAAAGGCTAGAAGACGTTCATGTTCTCTTCTTACCCGTTGGTCGGATGATGTTGAAAGGAGGAGATGAGCTGAGAGACGACCGACTGTCCAATCGGGACCATCATTGCTGTCGTGGCGGTGTTGGAGATGAAACTGCTGAGGAGAGCGGTCACCGTCATAAAACCCAACATTATCCTGCAGAAAAGTGGGTCAGTTATGTAAAATTTTTTCATGAAATGTGATCAACTGACGAAATGTATAGCAAAGTGAACTGTGCTCATAAAAAAATAATTGTAAATTTGTAAATTTAAATCTTCCGTCTTCCCCGTTCGCCCTCGAATAACTTTTTTGTATGAAACGCTAAATTTACAATTATTTTTCTATGCGCAGAGTTCACTTTGCTCTACATTTCGTCAGTTGATCACATTTCATGAAAAAATTTTCTAAAAAAGATAAAAAAAAATTCTTCCGTGTTCTTCCGCTCAACTCTGATCCGTACCATTTCGGTTCACTTCCGACGCATCTGAGCACTGACAACGCGACCCGCTCGTGCAGATCACACTTCTCGACTGCCGCCGCCATAATGAGACCACCGATGAACAGAAAATTCGTATCGTTCATGTACTCTTTGGCGGTCGTATTCGCATCGAGCACGCCGACCAACGGGAAAAGAACGACGGGGAGCATTGCGGTGACGGCGAGCGGCATCACTTCCGACATCCAATAGACAGCTATCACGCACACACAGTAGGCACACCTCCATTCCTGCAATTAAATTGATTGGATTATTGGGTAGAGCAGCAAATTCGGAGTTTTTGTGAATCTTCGGCGCTTCAGAAGACGTACAGCTTTCAAAATGTCAAACTTATAGCAAGATGGGTGTTATTCCGATGGAAGTTTCGTTCCCTCTTCCTCCCTCACATATGATGTTTGCATTTGAAGTCAGTCACAAAGATCCAAATGGAAGCCATAAAGCTTCGGGTGCTCGAGAGCTCACCGAGCACGCCGAGCACAAAGAGCCATTGGCCAACAACGTCATCGTGCCGCAAGCTTCTTGTGACCACTTTTCTTTGTTTTCTCCCCCCACTTTTTTTTTTGCACCAAAACTCAAATGTGATCCATTCATTTTTCACCCCCGAATAATCCCTCCGCTTCTAATTTTTCTTTAAAATTCTTCTGGAGCCTCTTTCCGCTTCTAGACCGCAAAAAGACAGAGAGAGAGAGAAAGAGAGAGGGGAGTGAGAGTGGGAGAAAAAGAGAGAGAGAGAGAGATGAAAGTGAGCTCAAGGGCGGCTGGTGTGACGTAGCGAGAACAGAAGAGAACGAAAAGAGCGGAGGGGGAAATTGTCATGTCAGGAATTGCGAAAAAAAAGAGCACGCACGAGAGAGCTCAGCGAAGGCGAACCGCGCAAAAGAAATGAGGAAATGAGAAGGCGTCATGGATGGATATCGTTTTTAGTAGTTTTTGGCATCTATTCTCGATTTTTTGGAGGTCCTGACTTCAAATTTTGAGTTTAAAGTGTACGATCATTGAGTCCAAATGGCTCAAATTGTTCAAGTTGGGGCTATCGAAATGTTTCTCGTGACATTTTTTCCATTCTAGTAGCAAAATGTTCGTCTCAACATTCCAATTCATTTGTCCACATTTCAAAACTGACCGGTGTTCCCTGTCGGATCAGTGGCCAAAAGATGAGGGGCGTCAACGCCAGCACGAGCCCATTCTTCGACCTTCGGAACAAGCAGAGCAGCTTTTCGGTGGTGGAAACCTCAAGGAAATTGAGTTGAGACTAAAAAAAAAACAGTGGAAAACTGAATTAGGTACCTCTCTCGAGACGAAGTGCTGCACAAAATTGGAGCTCGACGAGCTCTCGAGCATTCGCTGCCGGCTCTCGCTGTTCTCCGGCCATCCGGATAGGTGCAGCGAAAGGGACATGGGCCTGGCTGCAAATATTGCGCATTTTGATCGGAAATGCGTCTTAAAAGGACACAAATGTATGCAGGGTCCTTTCAAAATAGTAAAGTTTTAGAAACAAGTGACGTGAGAGCACAGATCTCTGGAGCCGAAAGAACGGAGAAACGAGAGAAATGAAAAACCACATTACACTTTTTTGCAATTCGAATTTTATCACACACAATTCTCGCCATTTCCCATTTCCCATGAGAAAAAGTCAAAAGATGAAAGGATAATGCAAAAAATTGACGAGTTTCGAATGGTTTTACAGGCCGAGTCGATGGAGATTCGAGACAAGAAATTGACGAGAAATGGACACAAACGGGGCGCGGGGGAGGCGCAGAGGGTGAAAGTAGTTGGAGCGGAGGGAAAATGGGCGGAGCTTATTCGTCTGGTCCCCCCTCCCCCCGCGGGTGCGCCGTACACCCAAAGCATTACTAGTCTCGGAGAGGAGAGGCCGCGCGGAAAGAGAAAAACGGGGGGAGAAGAAGAGGAAGTAGGAGAAGAAGAAGGAGCGAGAAACGACTAATGTAAAGCTTTTTTTCAGTTTTTTCCAGGTGGACACTTTGCAACCGAACCTAACCGAATGTATTTCGGTCTTTCAGGGTTTTAGTGTTTACGGATTCAGCATGGACACTTGGCAACCAGGCTTGGACGTTTTGCAACCAAATTCGAGCAACTAGAAACGAATATCCTAGAAAACGATGACTAAGAGCTCTATTTTTCTATTTTTCTGGCCAACGCCCTCCGAAGATCCAAAAAAAGGGGGGAGAGATATCAGAGAATATTCGAGAAGATGAGGGGGTTGTTATGGGTAACCGCCACCCAAATCCGTTTTCGCAAAGCCTCCGCGGAGAGCGGATACTCCGATTTCTACACGTCTGAGAAACACCACGACATTTTAGCGATGACGAAAAAAATGACAAAGTTTGCGCGGATATTGCGGCCTTCTAAGAGATGCTATCAGTCTCAAAATTGTTTTGTGAAAACTTGACACCTAGTACGTGGTTTTTGTAGTTCAAACTTTTGCCCTACGACCTCTTCCTGGGGTACTGTAGCTGTTGGAAGTTGGCATAGGCTCAGAACTACTCCCCAACTTCTAGGAGCTACAGTACCGCGGAGAGTGGTCCTAGGAAGAAAGTGTCAACTACAAAAACCAAGTACTAGGTGTCAAGAGTTCCGAAAAAAAGTCGTGGGGCTTATAGGACTTTTCGTAGAGCTACAATACTCGTTCAAAGTTGGTCAACTCTCAGAATGCACTAAAACGAGTGGTGTGCAATGAAATCTGAGCCGGACTCCCGGCACAGCAACGGCTTTAAATGCTCGTTTTTTCTCGTGTGAGCAGCGGAAGTCACGTGGGACGAGGGGGGTCTGGGCATCATCATAAAACTGCTTGCATGCGTCAAGAGTCTAGAGTTCACGAGGAGAACACAAAGGAAAACAATGGGAAAGACCATTTTTGTGCTTTGGAAATGACGAATTTTCCGCACCGGAACACTCGGCAAACAATAATGGCGTTTTGTTTTGCAGACAAAAAAAAAACGCATGTTTCGACTATTGTATAACTTTGAAAAATCATAACTTCTATCCAGAAAATGCTACAGGCCCCGTCTTTGGCTCAAAATGACTAGAATCGTCTGGAGAATCATGGAAAACTAAGAAGAGGGGTAAGAAGAAAATTTTGGAAAGTGTAAAAGCACATAAATATCATAGAACCGGCAAAAAATCGCCCAAAGAACAATTTCTGTCCCGAATTGTCCAGTGACCTTGAGAAAGTTCTTGAGAAATGTTTTGTCTAGACGAATATAATCTAATTTTCCAGACTCTTTTTCACTTGGTGTCCTAGGAAGCCCAATTCTTCCGAATTTGCTCTAAGGCGAATACCGTAGGACAACATGGTGGCCTAGAAATCTGATTAGGTGGCCTAGAAACCCGAGTGTTCTTCAAAAATCGAAGAAAAGTTGCGTTTTTTTGCAGAAAGCGGCAAAAAACAACATTTGTCTCTCCGCAAAAGACACAACTGTTTCAAAGAGTGTGGGAGGTGGTCGGTCGACACACAGAAACGGATGATATCATGGGCTCAGTGCTCGGGGATCGGATCAAATATCAGTTATCACTCACGAGCGGACGGTGAGAAATTTGGGGGATCGTTGGAGAAAAGGTTTTCGAGCAAAAAAATGGGTGAAATTGTCAATAGAGAGTAAGTGAAAATGGGACGAAATGAGAAGAGGGGGATGGGAATCCGTGGAGCAAACACTTTCTTTTTTTACCCGATTGATTCGGACGGCTCATTCGCCAACTCATCTATTATCAAATCACACACATTGAGAGCAAAGGAATTGTCGAAAATAGATGAAGAGGGACTCGTTTTTGTAGATTTTCGGGGTCTAATACGACGGCCTAGAATCAGAATTGAGCGGAAATGGAATTTTGAAATCCGGAAGACGGCAGACGGCAGACGGAAGAAAAATTTTTTTACGGAACACGGAAAACGGAAGACGGAAGAAAATTTTTCTCACGGAAGACGGCAGACGGAAGACGGAAGAAAACTTTTTTCGCGGAAGACGGCAGACGGAAGACGGAACAAAAAAATCGTCAATGCAGAACCGTTTTTTTCCGGTTTTTTTAAAATAAATAACTAAAGCAACAAAAATTTTGGATCTGGGTCACTGCCCGTGGAAATTCGCGTTCTTCGGGGTTAGTAAATGGCTTCTGAAAAGCTATTACTTTTTTACGGTAAGAAGAAAAAATTCCGGAAGACGGCAGACGGCAGACGGAACAAAATTTTTTTTACGGAAGCCGGCAGACGGAAGACGGAAGAAAACTTTTTTCCCGGAAGACGGCAGACGGAAGACGGAACAAAAAAATCTACGGAAGACGGAAGACGGAAGACGGCAGACGGAATTCCGCTCAACTCTGCCTAGAATGCCAGAATCACAAAAATTGACATCGGAATACATTTATCGAATTTGTATATAAATCACAGGCGGGCGGGGTAAGTCTCCGGGGCGTAAAAATGAAAAAGTTTAAAGTGGTCCTAGACGGTCGAAATGACGCTTCCCGCTCTGCCCGTAGTCTTCTGATAGGCTGCCGGGCGGTGCGTGGAGATGCTCGTCTCGCGCCATCCTTTTCGAGAGCCCTCAAAGTACGGTTTTTATAGGGAATGGGTGCAAAACCCAATTTCAAAAACTTACGTTGATAACAAGCACTCCCGCGTTGGTCAGATGGCTTCGGATCGTGTCGAGATGCACGTCTTCCGGAATCGAGTACTTTCTGCAAAAGACGATAATAGTGGGGGTGTATTTGCTGGCCTAGAAACCCAAACAGACTTTATAATTAAGCTACAAATCCTTAGATTCGCTCCAATTCTCAGCTACATTTTGTGGAGGCTCATGAAAATCGGTATGATGGTCTAGAATTCCAACTAAACTTTGGCATGTCACAACTCGCTTTAAAATTCACCTACAGACCCCTGGTTTCGATAAAAATGATCCGAATCTTGAGGAAAATATCGTAGAAACCGATATTTTCTCAGTGCTGGCCTAGAATTGTCACCTCTCAAAGCTGCGTCGGAGCGTCTGTCCGTCGCCGGTGTACTCGAAGCGTTCGCCGGAAATGCTGAGCATATCGTCGGTCAGCACAATCTTGATCTCTTCCGCAGCGAACTGAAACACGTCCAACTCGATTGTGAAGCCGTGCGCGGTGTTTGTGATCTCTCCGGCTCCGGCCACCGGTCCCGGCGATTTCGGACGACGCGACGCCTGCAAAAACGATGATTTTTTGAATCGCCGACTCTCGGTTCTCAAGTTTTTGCCGCCCTACAGCCACACCCTGAAACCCAAAAAGAGCCGATTGAAAAGTGCAACCTACCGTAATCCCCCCATTCTCCCATTCTGCCCATTTTTATGAGTCAAAAGTGCGTGTGAAAGGTCGCGTAGTACGTGCATTGCCGGACAACACACTTTTTTGAATTTATTTGTCTAGTCCAGCCGTTTGGGGGAGACAACCGGTATTGTCCACAACTCGAATGGGGACCGAGAGTCGGAAGAAGAGAAAAGAGAGGGAAAGTTCTAGGTCGAGGCCTAGAAATTCGATAAAATCCAACCTAGAATGATCAGGACGAGGTTGTACAATTTTATTTGTCAAGTGGTGGCCTAGAATTTCCTCTAGATGGCCTAGAAATCCAATTGAACTTTTACAGGTCATAATTCGCTTCAAAATTGAATTATAGAGCATAGGTCAGGCTTAAAATGGCGAAAATCAACTTTACAAGTGGTAAATAGCGTGGCAACCGGTATTTGTCAAGTGGTGGCCTAGAATTCTCAATTTATGGCCTAAAAGCCCTAACAGAGCAAAGAATGTACCTTGGAAAAGAGAAACGGATCGAGAGTAGACACTACACCATAACTTCTGAAACGGCAATCATCAAATTGTGAGATGCGCGGGCGCAAACTACGGAAAGACAGTCTCGCGCGTGTTGGCCGGATATCCGAGCGCCATATTCGTGTGCGACGCACTGGGAAACACGCTGATCGGCTCGGGAGGGCCCGTCGAAAAGTGCATCTCTTTCGCCGACGGTTTCTCCGACCAAACCGATCCTTCCAAATAGCTCTCCAGATCGGAATCGTCGTTGAACTCCGCGCTTTTCATCTTTTTCTAGGAATACTACAATAGTTGGGGGAAAAGTCGAGAGTTGTCTAGATTAGTTGTAGTAGTAGTAGTAAGTTGTTTGGTTGGCAAGGAAAAAGAAGAAGAAGAGAGAGAGAGAGAGAGAGAGAGTAGGAAACGGAAGGAAGTGAGAGAACAAGCGAAATTCGGAGAGGAAAATGCGCGGAAAAACGAAAAAGTCTGTGTGTTCTTTTTATGTTCTCCCCCCGAAGCATGGCGGGATGTATACATTTCAAAGTATATATTATGCACTCGCTTTTTTTTGACACACGCCTTGGCCGCGCGCGCGCGCAAAAAAATGATGGAGAGGAAGAGGAAGTGCGGCATTTTTGGACACTATTTTTTTTTTCCCCCGATTTTTTTCCCAACACACAAATTCGTTTTCCCCGACAAACCTGAGGCGAGTGGAAAGTCGACGAGCTTCTGCTTACGTGATCGTACCTTCCGTTCATTTTCTGAAAAAAAAATTGTGCATTGAAATTCAGAAGAGACCAGTTTGGAATGGAAATCGTTTAAAAGTTTGAAAAGTATTTCCCGGACGGTGTGAAGGAAGACGAAAAAGAAGAAGAAGAAGAAGAAGAAGAAAGACGGTTAACCTTATTAGAAAAAAGAATATAAATTACACCCCCAACTATTGTCTTCTTCTTCTTTTTCTTCTTCTTCTCCTCATGTTTCGTCTCATTCACCAAAAAAAAGTAAGTAGGACATGATTGGGTCTGCTGAAATTTGAAGAAAAGTTTCAAAGCGCCCAGAAGCCTATATTTATTATTTGCCGAGTGGAGCGAAAGAGTAAATACAAATTGAGAAAATTTGGAGCAAAAGTTGGCAGTATTTACTCAAACTAGACACCGGTTCTCTGCGAGTTTTGACCCTTAATTTCATTTTAATCGACATGTTTTCAATGTTGGGCATCATGTTTACAACGAAATTTCCAGAAAACTCTACAAAAAAGGTGTTATCAGTCAATCATCAAAAAAATGATTCGAATTCCGATGAGGCCGAAAAGGGAGTGGTGAGTGGGTCAGCCATAAAACTTTCTCTCTCCTCCTCTTCCTCTTCTTCTTCTTCCAATTGTGTGAGTGCACAATATACAAATAATACAGAGAGATGCACTGCGGACGCACGACCAAAAAAAAACTCTTTTCACATGGTGCATCAAAGGAAAAAGAAGATGAGGAAGAAGAGGAAATGATGATATATTTGTGCTACTACTGTACATTTGCAAAAGTATTTAGAAATTGGCAAAAAAATTCGAAGGACTTTTGACCCACATGCAATTATCCGATCGGGCCCAAACTTTGCAGGCTTCTTGAACTTGGATTGAAGTATATTGGGACCGAGTTTCAGATCGATCGGACCAACCGGTCCCGAGATATACTGAGGCCGAAAAGGCCTGGTTTTTCGGCCTCAAACCGATATAAATCCGGACTAAATGGTCGGTCTGAAGCTTGGGCCCAGTTTACTTCAATCCAAGTCCAATAAGCCTGTAATTCGGCTTTAGATGGGTCAAAAGTCCGGGCTTCTAAAGCCCTTTCAATCGAGAAAAAGACTACAAGCAAGAAAAAGAGGACGAAAAAGCGAAAAGTCGGTTTTCCGATTAAAGTTTCGTCGGTTTTGCGCCTTCCGATCGTCGTCATTTGATAAGAAGACGCAGCGAAAAGGCGAAAAAGATGGTGATGATATAATATCGCGACGCAAGAATTGCTTCTCTCGATTTTACACTGAAACTTGGCGAGAAAAACATTTTCGCCCTTTTTTTTCTCGTCGGGGCGGACGGCGGCGGACGTAAACAATGCGCAGGTGACACATTTTTTGTATAAAAGAGCGTAGTATAGTACAAAAAGAAGGAGATGACGTAGCATTTTTAATAAAAGACAACGTTTTTTGTTTCTTTTCCTTTTTCCCGCCGGAAACTTTACTGTTTGCACAAAAAGACCGCCCATATTGGTCGCTGATATGGATATGATGCAAACGCGCTCTAAAAAATATGTTTTTCTGTTGAAAATTCAAAAATGAAATGCGAGATAGAAAAATTCGGAAACAAGCAACATGAAAGGCACGATATAGAAAGATAAGGGGAAAATTTTACAGAAAAACGTTTCGAAAAAACCCGCGATTATATTCAAAACATCTTTTTTTCGTCGGCGTCGCTCTTCATGTGATTCTGACGGCACAACTGCTCGAGCTTCTGAATTCCGGCCGTGCGGTCGTGCTGTTGCGCCATTTGCCACTGTTGCAGCAGGATGTTCATGTACAGCGGCTCCGCAAAGTACCTGCAATTTAACTGATAATTCGCCTCGTATTGCCACATTCACTGCCCGCGTCGCAATTATCAGAAATGCCAATGAACGGAACAGCGCGCAGTTGTGGCCGTGGTCTAGAAAACTCCCAGGCCACGGGATCTTTTCCGGATTTTTTTGCATTCGGCACAATCCTCAGGAATTAACCGACTGTCAAAGTGCAAGGGCATCATATTATCAGCGGGGAAGAGTTTTCACACCAGAGTTTTCTAGGCCACAACTTTAACTGCGCGCTGTTCCGTTTTTATTACTCAGACATTGAAATGAATAAAAATTACTTTTGATAATGTGACGTTTCGGCGGTCGGGAAGACGAGTTTAAAGTCGCCGGCCCTCGTGAGTTCGTCCTCGAACTCGACAAGTGCGCGGGTGTCCTCCGGAGTCAGTCGCTTGAAAATTCGATTGTCGATCACTCCGTACTGGTCTTTGTAGGCGGCCACCCACGAAGCTTCTGCAACAAAAAACTAGGAATTTGCCTCAAAATAGAGGTGTGAGAGCTTAAAAAAAGCACCTTTAATCATCTGCTCCCTGCTTTTGGGTCCATTGCGCGGGCGCGCACTATAATCGCCCTGTTCGAGTCGGTCCGGCATGGGCGGCACATAAATGCCCGTCAGATTGAGCACATCCTTTGCCAGCGGCGCCTTCACGGCCACATCCAACGGAGTTCCCGAGTGAAGCGACGGCGAAATATTCACTTCCAGCAGCCACGGCTTCAGATTCTCGTCGAGCAGAATGTCGATGCCGAACAGTTCGTAACAGATGAATTCCTGGCTCAAAAAGCGCGTCATGTGGTCGCGTATCGGTTTTTCGCACGAAATGAACGCCTTCACGATGACGTCCTCAATCTGCCGCTGGATTTCGCCGCGCGCGATGCCCTGCTCGTCGAAATAGTCCCACAGGTGGGTCAGGGACCACTTCGGCACCGGCTTGTTCGCCACTCCGTCCTGCTCGGCCAGCTTGTTGATGCTAAACACTTTTTTGGCATTGATTGGGGAAAATAATGAAATAATCCGACTTTTTCAGTAGGGGTCGTAAACTAATTTCAAAAATGTCAACGTTTCTACATGAATCGACACAGAATCCGACCGGAAAGACAAATCCCTCTTGGACATGGGTCTAAAAGTCGATGCGAACGCCGCTAGAGCCGTGCTAGTTACCTGTAATTCGTCAAATGCATGTACTTGTTGGAAATGTTCGAGACACAATGCGTGTACCTGAAAAAATTGGTTCAAATCGGTTTTTCCTCAAAGTAATTCATTTTAAATTTAAAAAAAACTCACGGAACACTGGCGAAACGGACCAATCCCTGCTCGTAAATGTACACTCGCAACGGCTCAAAAGTGGGCACGTAGGCGTACAGACGAAGATCGAATTTGGCACGGTTTATGGTGAGTGGCCGTTCGACGTAACTGCACAAGACAAGACTATTTTTTGCAATTGCAACAAACGAACTGTTGAGCGACGAGCGTGGCGGTCGTGGGGAAGTCCTTGGGCTTTCGGGTCACTTGAATTCCAGTTCCACGAGCTGATGCCGGCTGAAAAAAATTGCTATTAGAAGAATTGAAGTTTTCCGAATTCTTAACTGAAAATTCAGAGAATTCGTTCAAATTTAAAGAACTAGAGAAGCCTCCGAGTTTATGTGTCTGTCCGAATCGCAACTCTCAGCTAGGCCGTGGGATCTGTTTTGCATTCGGCACAATCTTCAGAAATTAACAGATTGCCGAAGTGCAAGGGTGTCATATTATCAGCAGCGAAGAGTTTTCGCAAGTGAGTTTTCTAGGCCACAACTTTAACTGCGCACTGTTCCGTTTTCATGCATTTCTGAGAATTGCGACTCGAACAGTGTAAGAGACAATTCAGACAGACACAAAAAGATTTCAACATATTTGACGGTTCCCTGGTCGTTTAAGGAAAGCCCTTTTTAAAAACAGTACCGGTTTGACGATGACGTGTCGCGTGGCGTCCTCCTCCAAATACCGCAACAGTTCGGCGCGATCGTTGGGCAGAATGTACGTGAAGGGCATAATATCAAAGTCCTGTGCGAATCGCTGCTGCTGCTGCTGGATGTGCATCCAGAGACGGTCCTTGCGGCCAATGTGGAACGCGCCCGGGAAGTGATTCACTTTTTGATGCGGCTGGAGAGTACGGTACTGCGCAGACTTCAGGTGACGGCCCCAGTAGCCCACGTGGAACAGCGATTCGTCCACTACCTGCAGTGCATTGTATTTTTCTTCTTTTTTTTCCGAATATTATCGGCTCACCGTAAAGTGGCTTGCCGAGAGGGTCTGTCGCATGACAATCGGCAGAAGACTATTGTGGCACCACGTCAATCGGTTCGTTATCCGTCGGTTCGGCTTTGTGACCTAAAACAACTTATTCGACCCGGCTCTAGGACTATCATTTTTGGCGTTTCTATCGATTTTCATTGTTAATAGTTAGAAAAATGGGCAATCAGTCTAGAATACTGTTAAAAACTTGAAAATGCGCCAAGCACCTTGGTGCCTTTGGTGTAGAAGCGTATCGTGGGCGGCACATTCGTAAACTGGCTCGTGCGGAGGAACGGCTGAATATTGTCGTTGCGTTTCGACGAGCACAGTCCCCTTGGTCCCTTCTTGCTCGCGATCGGCGACTCCTCGCTCTCCTCCTGCTCCTCCTCCTCGTCGCGCGACGATTTTGACGACAGGCACGACGTCACGAGCTCTGTCAGACCGCACATTCGCTGCTCATCTGCAAATGACACTTTTGCGATAGTTGAGCTGCGTTTCATGAAGATAAGTGTAAAAATAACATTTTTCGCGATTTCGCACACGATCGGATATCATCCCACAACGAGAGAATTTGTGCAGAAATGCACAAATTCTTGTCAAACTAATGGCTCAATTTCTCATAGTCTATGTCTTTTTGCGGCGCAAAATTTTCGATGTTGGACTCTAGACGGGATGTTTTACGAAAATTCACTGGTTTAAAACTAAAAATAGGGTTAAAACACATACCTAATGCTCGCCCAAAAGCACTTTGAAATGACGCACTTATATTGATAAGCTCTCTCTCTCTCACACGTTTTCTTTGAAAACTATAGTTAGAGCTTCAAGTTTTTCAGCGCCGAAATAATAATAATCGTCAATTCCTTTGGGGTCTAATTAAGGATCTAGCCGCGCGTGGGAAAACAGGTAAACAGTAGCGATTATAGATTTTGATGCACACTTGCAACGGGCCGGCCTGACAATCATGAAATTTGACTGAAAGTAAGCCTCTGCAACTTCTCAAATGATATCAGCTTTGGAACAAAAGTTCAGCAACTTCTACGCATAACATTAGCCGCTTTTGAGCAGAAATTAGGTAAAAGTTTCTGAAGTTCTGCCAGGCCTGGACGGATTAGCGCTTGAGGCAACGGGGAGCAGATTGCTCGCCCAGGCCTGAGTTCTGCTGAAAAGTTGCAAAAGTTCGCCGAGGTATAAATAAGGACCTATTTGTTAGCTTCCTAATACTGGAACCAATGAAGCTTCAGGGAGTCTCGAATAAAAACGTTTCATACTTAATCGCCACCCTGTAGAGCTTCACAAACACTTTCTCAACACAGCATTGTCAACTTGAAAAACAAGAAAAAAAAAAGCGAAAAATCTTCTCGTGGTGTCTGTTTGTGTGTGTGAGACCGAAAATCATTGCAGTTGGCAAAAAAAAATGTGTGTGTGTGTGTGTGAGAAGTGAGCTGCCAAGCGCCCCTTTTCGCTCTTTCCTCTTCTTCTCTTTCACTCCGTCGTGCTCATGACGAAAAAGAAGAAGAAGAAGTATAAGAAGAAGAAGAAGATTAGTGTTCGGCAGGCGAAAAGCGTTTATCTCTACTCAAAATCGCTTCAAAAGCCGGGTTTTACTCTTTCTTTTTGGCGCGGCGAGAATTTTTGCAGGAAAAAAGAAGAGAATTGCTGAAAGTTGAGAAGCCTTTTGCCGTTTACTTTCTGGAGAAAAGATCATGTTTACTATGCAAATTTCGAGAAAATCGAATAAAAGTTCGATGTTGAGGTACGAGAAAGTCTTCAATATTTGGCAGAAATGAGTTCTAACCGAGAAGAACTAGAATAATTTTTCATTTTTTATCATGCCGCCGAAAGAAACACGACGATGTAATATTGAATTTACATTTTCGATTAGCGAAAGCGGCAGAGCCAACGCCGTCGTTTTTCGCACATAATCTAGTATTTGCATTCGGTCCCTTCTTTTTTTAATTAGCTCGTGTTTCTACTCACGTTTTGAGCTCTAAATGGACGGACTGGGCAAATGACCGACTCAGGCTTTTTGAGGCCTGGACTTTTGAATCAATTGCAATGATCTGATCGGGTCCAGACTTTGCAGTCCTCTTGGACTTGGATTGAAGTGTATTGGGTCCAAGTTTCCGACCTATCGGATTATCCGGTCTCGAAATATACTGGTTTCACGAAAATTGCAGCCTTTTCGGTCTCCGATCCACATATCTCGGGACCAGATGATCCGATCAGTCTGAAACTTGGTCCCAACATACTTCAATCCAAGTCCAAGAATCCTGCAAAGTTTGGGCCCGATTGGATCATTGCAAGTAGGTCAAAAGTACAGGCCCCGGGAAAAGCCTGGACCGAAATTTGCCCAGGGCAGCTAAAAGGGGACTAGAAGCAAATGTTTCCAGGAAAAAGCACGAACATTGCAATTTTTGCCTACCAGTCATTTCCTCAACAACATTTTCTTCGTCGAGACTATTATCGATTTGCCGCAAATCGATTTCACTCGAGTTGAATGAACCACTGGGGGCTGACGAATACCCGCTACTCATCTGTAAAAAAATATCGAGATTTCCGCTGAAAAATATCGAAAAATTGATTGCTAGTGGTAAAAATTCGTAAATTTATTGGTGGACAAGAGGAATAAATGAAAGAGGCGAAAAGAGTGTTTGCCGAGAAAATTTGTGTAATATCGGAGCATCGGAGCACACAAACCGAGCTGATCGGACAATTTTGTGAGAACGCGCTAATTTGGAAGGTTACAATTGCTAAATATATAATAAAAGATGCGCGAAAACATCACAAAACATTATACGAAAGCGGAGAGTAAATTGGATTTATTTGATAAAATTTTTCGAAAGAGAATCAATTAAAAAAAAACGGAAAAAAAGTGTGGTCTCCTGTCCCTAGACCATATTTGTGCGATAGAGCACGTTTACACAGACGGACATTCGATTTTTGATAGACAAAAAGTCGAGAAAATGAGATTTTTAGAGTTAAAATTTACGAGAAATGTGTGAAAGATAATAAATGAGAAAAAAAGAAAAATGCCGAGAATAATAGTTTCAAATATCAATAAATATACTTTTTATGATGGATTTGATTTTTTCAAAGAGTGGCAGGGATGATTTTAAGTGGGAACGACTATGGTGATGAGGTCAATTTTTGTGTTAATTAGAAATTAAAATCAATAAATTAATTGTTGCGAACGCCCAGACTCTGCTCCAGCTCCGATCGTTTTTGTTGGATTTTCTGGTACATGTATCTGCAAAAAAATTATTTGACACTGCTTAAAAGTACCTCGACGTTGTTCCGAATTAACCTCAAAAGTACAGATTGTTACAATTCTTCCTCAATTTTTTCAGCAGCAAACTGCTGTTTATCGATTTTTCCAATTTTCCGAAACAAATAATTTTTTCTCCAGATTCGCACGCTTAAGAATGTTTCTCCCTTAGACACATTACTTTGAATAAGTACTTTTTAAAGGCATGTACAAACCTGGAAACTCCCTCGTCGGCCTCGTTGGTGACGTAGGCGTGGGCATACCGCTCGGCCTCTCCGTCTCCGGACGACTCCGTTAACGTCTTCAGGTCCGTATTCTGGCTGACAACCCATTTTTTGATGAAAGTGTTCGGCTCGTTCGAGAATCGCACGAAAAAGTCGCGCCGCAGCTTCATCTCGTTGATCTGGTCGACCAAATCGTAAATCTTCTGATCGAGCAGCTGAATGTCGTTCGCGTTGCTCTGATTGTGCACAAAACTCGCCATTTGCTGCTTCACCGGGTCCTCCAGCTCCACATCTGAACATTCGATTGATATAGTTTTAGAAACACTTGAATTTATCGCCTCACCAATATCATAACAAGCGGAAGTCTTCTCCTGCCCGTCCTCGGGTCTCTGGATCAGATGATTGAGTACGAGAGGGTCCGGCTGCTGCAGCAACTGGTGCAATCTCTGCGGAATCTCCATGAATCGCATCTTGCTCACTCCGAAGCACTGCTCCAGAAACAGATCGTTGTTGATCGTGTCGCGTTCCTGCGGATCCTGCAGTTTGTGCGTTTTTATGTACTGCCACAGGGCCTCGATGATGCGTGGCCGGGTTTCGGCCGCAATTCCTAGCACTTTGGCGAGCCGCGGATGCAATTTGAACTTCATCGGCTGATAGTCGAGCAGCAGTAATATTGTGCACTTGACGGGACGGTCCCCGGGACGCTTCACTTGAAATCCGTCCGTTTCGTTCGTCTGCGGGGTCCGGTGCCACTCGACGAGGTGGTTGTCGGGACCGTAAATGTCCTTGTCCAACTCGATCACAAGCGATTTGAAGAACGAACTGAACTTGCGCTTCGGCAACGGACGAGGGTTCACTCCCGGCGCCGGCGGTTGCTGAAATTTTTTGTGAAAAGCATACTTGCAATGGAGACTAAACAATTTGCAACTTTTCGGTATTTTCCCTCAAAAAACAGTGCTTCGCTGCTTACCATATCGTCGAGAAGACGTCCTTCGACGCGGAGTTCCCACATCGGAACGGCCGCCTCGTCCGTCTCCTTCTCCGGCTCTTTTCCGGCGATAAAAGTGTGCGAAATGTAGATTCTTAGTCGCTTTTTGATCTTTTGCGGCCGCTTCAGAGCCTCCTGTACGTCCATCTTCTTACGCGTTATTGTCGAATCCAATTTTTGTTCGAACGCCAAAAGGTCCATGTATGCCTGCGATTCCGGCACCAATTCACGTACCTAAAGTGAGAATTTTAAAAATTTCCGGAAGATGGCGGCCTACCTTTGGCTGAATGAGCTTGTCCGCATATCTCTTTTTCTTTTTCGGCGGCTGCTGGGCCCGATTCGGCTGCATTTGAGCCGACTGGCCCGGCAAAGGCACGTTGATCGGCCGACGCATCTGTTGCGGAGTTCCCGCCTGCTGAACATTGAATTTTTTTCAATTTTTAGAATAAAACAAGCATATTAACAAACCTGGTGTTGTTGGTACCTCGCCACTTGCGGTACAGGCGGTCTTTGTTGAGATTGCATGGCTGAAAAGTCAAAATTCACGAAAAATCGATTAAAATTCAAAATTCCGAGTTGACATTGAAAATTTTGATTTTCACATTCAAAAATACGCTATTTCATTAAAAATACAGAAGAAGCGCGACATTCAAAGGAAATTGACTTTATTTCAAATTTTTCGAGATAAAATTCAGACAGTTTCACTAACCAATTATCGAGTTTAATCAATTTTTTATAATTGAAAAAACTAGAAACATATTCAAAAACGTTAAAAATTATAGATTCGAAGAAAGAAGATCGAAAATCGGTTGAAAAAGAGCCAAAGAGCAGCGATTTCGAAGCCGGAGCCGCACGGTCTCCTGCACGAGAAAAGCGCAAGCAATTACGCGTGCTCTCTGCGTCGCCGGCAGCATTCTCCTTGTCTCGCACTCTCTCGCTTGCCTACTGTCGCTCGAGAAGCGAAATGAGAGTTGGCGTGGCGCTCGGAACGCCGCCGGAAGAATACTGATTTACCTTTCCGTTTTTCTTCATGAACGTGTTTATCATGAGCAAAACTTGCAAAGAGCAACAAAAAATTCTGAAAAACATGCCGGCGTCAGTACGAAATTTGCATTTTTCGTGTTGCGGTTGATTATGCGTGCTACAAGTGAGAATCAAAATCATCTTCCGTTATTTCGTGATGAAAACGTTGCCCGATGGTTTTTCATGACCACATCATCAAAAATTTAACGGAATTAATCGTGTAAGCCACACTGGGAGCACCGATTTCACACTTCGGTGGCCAACGAAGTTTCATCGGAGACTTCAGATGCGTGCTCTCGGAAGAGTACTGATTCATTTTTCCCGCTTTCTACGGGAATATGTTGAATATGATCAGTACTTCGAAGCAGCAACAAGAAACTTGAAAAAATATTCTGGAGTGTCCACGGAGACGTCTTCTGAAAGAGCGACAGTTTTTCTGCTGACTTCAGATGCGTGCTCTCGGAAGAGTACTGATTCATTTTTTTCCCGCTTTCTACGGGAATATGTTGAATATGATCAGTACTTCGAAGCAGCAACAAAAAAACTAGAAAAAAAATATTCTGGAGTGTCCACGGAGACGTCTTCTGAAAGAGCGACAGTTTTTCTGCTGACTTCAGATGCGTGCTCTCGGAAGAGTACTGATTCATTTTTTTCCCGCTTTCTACGGGAATATGTTGAATATGATCAGTACTTCGAAGCAGCAACAAGAAACTTGAAAAAATATTCTGGAGTGTCCACGGAGACGTCTTCTGAAAGAGCGACAGTTTTTCTGCTGACTTCAGGTGCGTGCTCTCGGAAGAGTACTGATTCATCTTCTCATTTTTCTTTATGAACGTGTTCATTAAGACCGCTACTTACAAACAGCAACAAAAAAACTTGAAAAAATTCGAAGTGACTACGAATACGTCGACGGGAATAACTACAGTCTTCCGTCGGCTTCTTTAGAAGCGTGCTGTCGGAGAACGAAAAACGATTTTCTACTTATTTCAACTTCAATGTGTTCTATATGCGTTCTTAAAACAAACAGCAATCAAAAATCTGGACATTTCGCGATTCTGGAGTACGGAATTATGATGCTATATTCACAACGTCTTCTACCAGACGGAAGAGTCAGAACACACCAGTTCTTTGAAATATATGTCAGAAAAGTCATAAAGACTGGTAAAATTACAAGTTAAATGATAGTCGAGTGAGAATGAACGTTGCCGCCGTCGGTGGGCCTGTGAGAATCTGATCTACCGTAAGCTTAGCTCGAGTCGGTCTACTTCAAATCTACGTTTCTCGCTTCAATCTCAACCAATCTGCTCGTTAGAGGTCGCAAAAGAAAGCTTATGAAATTTGGAATCGCTTGTAGGCGTTCGTTTTTTGAGAATTTCTGTCTAGCTCTCGATTTTTCGAGAAAACACAAAAAACCACTACTTTTACAACTGAAAACTTGAAATGTACGTATCTCCGTTCAAAGTGCATATTTTTTCTTGGTCAAAATCGCAAATTGTAGTCCTTCCCGATGTCTAAAACTTGTAGGTCTCACATTTTTCGAAAAAACATTTTCTGATTTTTTAAGTGACCGAAACGTTTTTCTTCTGTAGTTTACTTGATCCCATTTAGTCAACCCGCTTTTATTATACAGATTTCTTGTGTCCAATAGTTAAATCTAATCGTGTATTAACAAAAAGTATCAAAATGGTTGAGAAAGCTGGGTTGTACCTGCCCCTTGACAATTTTTAAACCCACGTTTCGAGAAAACTGGCTCTCTTCAACACGCACGAATTTTTTGATCAGCTAATTGCAGAAAAATGTTCCTAATTTTTGTCCTTGCTTGTTCTGATTTTTTGAAATTTTATTTTTTGTGTTAACCATGTCGCCGACAGCTTCTTTTGTTTTCATCAAGAAATTTTTCGATTGATAATGCAAGCGCGCTCTACGGTCACGCGTTAGAGATAAGAGACGGCTGAGTATGCGCATTTCGCGATCTAGCTGGCACATTTTTCGATCAGGAGACCGTGGCCGAGGTATCGATTATGGCCGAAATGGTTGTGGCCTAACTTTCTCCGGCGGAATTCTAGGCTGTTTGCGAGAATTGCGGGAGACACCTGGAGCTGGATTTTGTCGGTTTTCGGAGCTAAAAAATACCTTTATTGAAGGATTTGCAAAGAAAGTATGTAGAATAAATGTTAGAGAGCATCAATGTGTTTTAACCGAAAATATTAAATTTTGCTAGAAAAATTATGTTTCGCTTTATTTCGGATTTCAAAGCCAACATTTGCAGAGAAATTACAGATGAGCACCCTATCAGTACTAATCGAAACCTCGTCGTGTTCCTGGGGCAAACTCGCGGCGGAGAACGGCAACCGGACTATCGGAATCCTTCTCCGCGCCCTCGTCTCATTTTGCAACGCCCATCTCGCCCAGTCCGCTTCGAATCAACTGCTCATTTTTGCTTTCGGACGGAATATCGACAAGAAAATGATTTACTCGTCGGCGCGGTCCGAAGATCGCGACTGTTCTTCGATTGTGGTCCAGAGAGTCCGCGACATTCTCAACACAGACGCCCTGAACAAAGAGGACCGCATCGGGGTGCCATTGGGACCAGCCATGGCTCACGCTTTTTGTCGTAAGTTTTTTATGCATGCTGAATAACCCATAAAAATTAAAATTTTTCAGACATGAAAAAGTTCAGTAAAGTGTCGTCGACGGAGCAATGCGCCGATTCTCTGGGTCCGCAGGCGACGTCTTCTGCCGAAAATACGGAAACGACGACGGAAAAAGTGACGACGCGCGCGGTCATCATTTCGATGACTCCGATTATCGGAAGAGAACATGGTATGTTTTTTTTGTTTTTTAACGTCAGAAAACGCAATTCACTTTTTCTACAGGATCTCTAATGAATCTGTTCTTCTCGGCGGCGAAACAGTCGATCTGCGTGGACGTCATCTCGATGGGCGAAGACGTGACCGGCGGAGTGCTCCAACAGGCGGCCGACATCACCGGCGGCCTTTTTGTGCACGTTAAGAAGCCGCAGGCCCTTCTCAAGACCTTGATGACCAACATGCTCACGGATCCGCAATATCGCGACGCTTTTTCCCATCTTTCTCTCAATGTCAGCACTGTTTTCGGTCGTTTTTTGAATTTGAGACGATTCGTCGTCTCAGACGAAAAAGTTTCCAAACACTTCTATTTTCCTAAACTCTTTCAGTCAGTCGATTACCGTGCGTCGTGCGCGTGCCACCAGCAACTGGTCTCCTCCGGCTGGGTATGCTCCGTGTGTCTTTCGGTGCTCTGCCAGTACACTCCGATATGCAAAGTGTGTAAGGCGGCCTTCACCATCGCCAATCTGCCGAGAACGACGGCCCGCCGAAAAAGAACTCATCCATAATGATAATTGTGATTTACACGCATTTTTTCGCAAATTTTATAAACTCGTGAAACTCACTTGACCCTTTTTTTTTTGATTTGTGCAACAAAAACAAGCCTAGAATCCACGTTGAGGAATTCTGATGGAAATTACTTTATTTCGCAATGGAAGGAACGGAGGAAACAAAAAAAGCGAAAATTGTCAAATGTTGCGGATTTGACGACATTGACGACGATTTGGAGGTACACAAATTTCAGATTGATTTTTGAATTGCCTTTTTTCAGCCGTCGGACGCCGTCTTTTTGCCCGGCCTGAAACCGGTGGTGCCGACGACGGATCGCAAGCGGAAACGTGGCGGAAAGAAGCGGAACAGACGGCACAAAGTGGGCGGCCATTCAAAAAGCGTTGAAAAATTGTTTATTTTCGCTTTTCAGAGACATTTCCAAATGGATCTGAACGCCGACGAACTGTTGCAAGCGGAGCTCGAGTTCGGGCAACGAACGAGTCAAATCAAGAGCTCCCGGCTCATTCAGGTATCGATTTTATTTTTTATTTTCGACCGCCAAAACTGTCTTTTTTAGGAACTGCACGACCGCGAGCGGATCCATGGAATGGGGCGACAGGAAGCGCGCCAGCTGCTCGAGGACAAACTCCTTTTTCTCGACGACTCGGCGCTCAAAAACGTGCGTTTCCGTCGTTTCTGCATCGTAATGACTTCGGAAGAGACGTTCGACCTCGGAAACGGATCCAGCATCCCGTCGGAAATTGTGTCCGTCTCGATGGACAACGGAAAGATCAACTCGATCCTCCGCTTCTTTCCCACCTACACAAAGACTTTCGAGATGGAAAATGTCCAGGAACACGGTACGTTTTTTGTCAATTTTGCAACGTCGACGAGACTTTTGCAGAAAAGTGTCGAATGAAGCGCGTGTACTGGAACCCGTCGATCGCCCGAGACTCGAATCAAATGTGCCGCACGTGGAGCCACTTCCTCGACCGATGCCTCCACTCGCTGCTGCTGGTCCCGCTCGCCCACCAGACGGCCCTTCTCGACTTTCTGCGCAAAATCAACGAGATCCGATCGGTGCTCAACCACCGGAGCACCGTCTCCATTTGTCTCTCGCGCGTCGTTTCCGTCGAGGATCTCCTCATCGCCGTCCAAAATGTCATCGGAACGCATATTGTGAGCCTAGTTTTGAAGATTTATCCAGAAATTTAAAAAAAAACAACCTTTTTTTAAGACTCCCGACGCGACGCCGACTACAGAATCACTGGGAACCATGGAACACGCCCTCGAATATTGGTAGGCTTCAAATTTATTTAATTTTTCGCCTAAAATTGCATTTAAGCCGTTTCTACCTCCGATCGATGAACAAGATTTTCATGTCGGCGACGATGAGCGGAAATGCGATCATGTCGGCCAAGTACGCATTATTTTTTAGATGTACAAATGTTCAGACAGATTTTCTGAGAAATTGAAAATAGTTTAAAGGACCAGGGAACCCAAAAATTTTTTTATGTTTTTGTGAAATGTTTTTGTGACTGTTTGAATTGTCTCTTATTGCCTCATACACTGGTGAAATGCTGCCTCTCAAAAATGCCAATGAACGAAACGGCATGCAGTTGAAGTTGTGGCCGTGGCCTAGCGCCAATGGCCGAAAAAAATATAAAAAAATAAATGCGCTTCTCGGCCATTTTATTTTTTTCCGCTTTTTACCGGTTTTTTTCCAAAAAAATTCACGGTTTCTCCCATTTTGGCACTTCATATCGACTGAATGAAAACAATTTTTTTAGCAGTGAAAAAAATAAGTAAGTGCCGAACAAATGTCAATCAACTGAAAAAAATGGGAGAAACCGTGAATTTTTTTGGAAAAACCGTTAAAAAGCGGAAAAAATAAAATGGCCGAGAAGCGCATTTATTTTTATATATTTTTCGGCCATTGGCGCTAGGCCACGGCCACAACTTCAACTGCATGCCGTTTCGTTCATTGGCATTTTTGAGAGGCAGCATTTCACCAGTGTATGAGGCAATAAGAGACAATTCAAACAGTCACAAAAACATTTCACAAAAACATAAAAAAATTTTTGGGTTCCCTGGTCCTTTAAAGCATTGAGGTCGTGGACTAGAAATTTGTGCATTTTCAGCAATTTGCAGACCGCCCACGCAAAGCTCGTACTTCCGACCGAACGCGATCGGACAAAAAGTCAATTATAATTGGGTGGCGCCACGTGGATTAGTCCGTCTTCCGGACGCGGCCGATCCGATTGGCGGATTCGGTTCTTGTGATTCACGTGGTTCGTATCGGAAGCGTACTTGCATTTCCATTGGCTTCTTTTTGATTTTCAGACTTCGATCGAGTGCTCGAATGGGTGTCGGCGATCGATTTGGACGAAATGAGCACTTCGGATGAGCTCGAGCAAAAATACGATAATGAACATGAAAAGGAAGAGGAAGAGGAAGAGGGAGAAAGTTCGACTGGGTCATTGGATGAGACTCTCGTTTGATTGCCTAATTTCTTTTAAAGACATTATAAATTTTCTCCGATGTTTCCCTCTTTCCTTACATTTTTTGAAATGTCTGCATAAAAATGGGTAAACACAATAAATATGCATATTTGTCAGAGCTCATCTGAATTATGCGCGCATAAGTGAAAAACGTGGGCGGAGTCGGAGTGGGGGAGAAGAAAAAGCAAAATCAAAGTGTTAGTCAATTTTGAGGAACTACAATACCCGCTCCAAAAAGTGGGGGAAAAAACAGAGAATCGGAATCTACGGGGGTAAATACGGGGAAAATATCGAGGGAGAGAAAGAGGGAAATACAAAAGAATTGGGTCGCATAAAAAACGAGCTCAAGGGGGAAAATTTATTTGAAAAATGGGCGGTCAAACGTGCGAATGCGCACTGGATGACATGGCCCGATTCACATAGACTTGGATCAAATCGAGTTTTCCCTTCGAGAGCAACTGCAAATGGGACTCCATTCGCCGCATTCCCAACTTGTTCACCATCGCCACGAGGCAGTAGACGGCCGATTTGCGGACCGTCGACGATTTCGAGTCGTACGCCTGGAAACGGGAATTTTGAAAACAATTTTCTAAGAAAATTTTTACCCTTATGGCGCACGGAGCGAGTTCATCGACGACGGGATCGAGCTCGTCGGACTGCAGATTATCGAACAGCTTCATGACCATTTTGAGGACCAACGAGGCACGCGCGTCCTCCAGTCCCTCTTCGTTCAGAATCGTCTTCGAAACGTTGACAATTTTGGCGAGCGGCAAGTGCGTGGCCAATGTTTTGAGGCAGTCGTCGGCCGAGACGGTAACCGTGCCGTCCTGCGAGTTGACGGCCGCGTCCAGCACCTTCCAGATGGCCATCTCGCTTGAATCGAACAGCCGCGCGGCCTGGCAAGTGCACATTTTTGTGAGCACCCGTAGCGCCGTCTTTTTGTTCGCGTCCGCGTCGCTCTTCGAGAGCACGTCGAACACCGAGATGAGCAGTTTGTTGAAATTGTGCTCCCACAGAGTGAACGAGCCTTCCGAGAGCATCATTTGGATCGCCTGTAGGCCTTCGAACTGCTCCGTCGACGAGCCTGACGTTATTTGGGCCAGCTTTGCCGACACGTACTTTTTCTGCTCCGAATGATCGTCGATCAGATGCGTCGTTGAGTTTAGCTGCAAAAAGGCAATTTCTAGATTGGAAATCGCTAATATTTCGATTAAATGTGGATGAAAAATGCCAAAAATATTGGTTTTGAGTGTTCCGACTTTAAAATTTAGGTAAATCGCTAACGCTAAAAATGCCAGAATGTCGTACCTTGAGCCGATCGAACGAATCGTTCAAATTCATCTCATCCTCGCGATTCAGCTCGTTCGCCAACGGTCTCAACGGTCCCAAATCCACGCGTCTGTTGGCCGAAAGCCCCGCAAGTCCTCCGGTAAGCGACGCCGGCGATTTCTCCGAGTCGTAATGATGACGGGCGGTCACAAAGTCCTCGATTTGTGCGGCCGTCGCCCGCATCTCGTCGGCCACCTCCTGCTGATCCGGCTGATTGTGTCCGTGCGTCTGCAGGACCCGGTAGGCCCAATCACGGTAGTCCGGGTTGAAATCATTAAAAAGTGCGGAAAAATCGGCGGAATTGAGTGCGAACAGCGAGCATAGCACTTTCTCGCCGACCGGAGTGATTAGTTGGCCGACGCGCGAATCCGTCATCCACGAGAACATTTTCATGATCGTCGCGCGGACCTCTTTCGAATTGAACGGCGCGCCCCGCTCCATCCGCTTTTCGAGTAGCTCATTGAGGTATTCGAGCAATGCCTGACGCGCTTTCGGATTCAACAAATGAATCGGATCGCACATGAGCTCGCACGTCGACCGCAGCTGTAGTGACGGCTCGAACGACTTTAAAACTGTGTCAATTGTGGCCGAAATCGGCTTTTTCATAGTCGGCATCATCTCCGCACCCTTTTTCGTGAACAGTTTGCCGAGACCGAGTTTGAGCCAGTCGCCGAGCCGCGAATGATGGGTTTGGACGAACGAGGAGACCGCCTCCAGCACACTCTGCAAAATTTCAACGTTTTCACATGAAAACTTTATAAAACGAAGAAATACCGGATTGGTGACGTCGGCGAGCAAACGATTCAGCGTGGATCCCATATTTCTGACCTCGATATCGCTGAGCGTTGGATCGGAAACGACAGTCGCGAGACTCTTGATTCCCTCCTTTTTCTCGTTCGAAGACGTCGAACAGCACGCTCGGATCACCTGCTCGACGCGCGAAACGTCCAACGCGCTCTTCTGCGGTGTCTTCGGTTTTCCAGCGGCCGGCCTTTTCGGCAGCAAAAATTCGTCTTCGTCGGTGCGCGACGGCTGTCCGAGACTCTCCTTGGCGCTGTCCAACGCCTTCTGCAGCTTCCGCGCCTCTTCCGTCGACAAGGAGCTCACGAACGAGCCGGTGCCGAGATTCGATTTGACGCGCTGAATGTCCGATGAAAAAGAGGGTCCGCCCGAGCGGCGAGGCGGCGAAGTGTTGCGAGATCCGGCTGAAATGGAGAAAATTTGAAGGGCTTTTGTAAAAACATGAACTTTTGGACCACTGGCAATATTCCGTCTCCATCCGAAATTTGCAAGTGGTCCAAAAGTCGAAACGACCCGATTGCTCACGTTGTGAAGTGGGAACCGATCCGCGCGCTCTCAAATTCGACGTGGTCCGTGGTCCAAACGTTCCGATCGTCGGACGAGTGAATTTCGATCCGCCCGGCGACGTGTCCACTTTCGCGGATCTCGCGGCGGCGATGGGAACACGCGCGGCGACCGGAGTCCTCGAAACGGACGTCGTCATTCTCGTCATCTGCTTGGGCTCGATCGCAGAAGCGCTTCGACGCGCCAGAAATTCTGAAAACAACGCTTTTTGAGAAGCGAAAGGTCGTAAATAGCTTGAACTCACGCGACGAGATATTGGGAACGTTTCTGAGGGCGCCAACAGTTCCGCCGGACAATTTCGATCTGAGCGGCACGGATCCTCGTTCCGAATTGATCGAATTGCTCGAAGATCCGGCGTCGGCGGCCCGCAACATCTTCTGTTTCGACGCGTCGACCGACTGGAACAGTTTTTCCGCGTCTTCCGGATGCACCTCGTCCAATTTGTTAAACGCGCGCCGTCCGTTCGTGCGCGTCTCCGGATCCGCGTCGCAAATCGCCGCCTTCACCAGCTCGCAAACCTGTCCCATCACCATCTTCTTCATCTTTTCGTTCCAGTGCTCGATGACGACCTCCAGAAGCGTCGCCAGGTGACGTCGTTGATTTTTGTCTTTCGAAGTCGCGTACGAGATAATTGTTGTGAAAATTTGTTTCGTTTGGACGTACTGAAAGCAATTTTAGTCTTTCTTCGAACATATTAGGCTAAAAAATGAGCACCTGAACGATAAACTGTGTAAGTGTGCTCGCAGAAGTGGCCATAACTTTTGTGCTCGACGACACCTGCGTGAAGGCCGTCGGAAGGCACCGATCAGCGATTTGATGAACCTCTGAGCCGTAGTGCTCGACGAGGAAACTGAAAAATTGAGATTTTATTGCAAAAAAGCTCAAAGAGCAAACCTGCATGTGACTGCCGCTTCTCTGAGAATTTGTGAGCGTAAATCTTTTACGGAAAGATCCAGACAGTCGGTGAGACGAACGAGCTGTCCAAGAAGCTGATCCTTCCCGACAACGTCTTCTCCGTACAAAACTATCGATCGCACTGCTTTTAGCTGCAAATTTTCAGTGATGATTTACGAAACAATTATATTTCTAACCTGATTCATTCGTTTCGTCCAATCTTCTTGAGATTTTGACAAAATTCCGATCGCCCCATCGATATTCGCTTTCACATCGGCCAGCGAGGTGATGGTCTGCACAAAAATTGACTTTTTTCGATGCTTTCTCTACAAACCCACAATTTTCGGTACATCTCTGAAGGATTTCACAAAGTCGTCTCGGTTGACAACGCAAACTCCACCGGGAGCCGATCTGCTGACGAGGCGGCTCATTCGGACGGAATCGGTGCGGTTTTCGACGGCAAATTGCGATTTTCAGCGTCTGGAATGGAAAATCGGGAGGCTTTTTGGGGTCTAATTACGAAATAGCACGGCTAAGACGACAGTTCGCTGGGGCGCAATTGCAGTTAGTCGTCGCGCAGTTCAAATACAGCGGATTAGCGCAAAAAACAACGCGGAACGAGTTTCACGTGGAAAATGCTGGTTTTCGAAAACTTCTGGTACAATTTCTGTTCGAAATGAGTCATGAGAGCAATTTCGTAACGGTGTAAATCGAAATGAGTCAGAAACAAAGAAATATCGGGTTTACAAAGGTTTTGAAGGATTTTGAGTGGTTCTTTTCGGAAATTCGGCATCAAAGCACATTTCAAGTATTTATGAGCAGGAATGAACACTGAGAAGCTGGAGAAACAACTAGAAACGGGCCATGAGCAAAAATTGTGAGAAAACGACGAGCATTAGCCGATCTTTGAAGAGGTTTCGCAGAAAATGAAGCGACACAATTGTTTGTGTTTATTTTTCAACTGTTTTCTGAGCAAATGACCAAAAACGCGCCGAAATGAGATAAAAATTTGGCGGAAGACACACAATCGAAATTCAAATTTCGGATAAAGTGCGGTGGAGCGCATTTGCAACATTCAACTGATGGGCTTCAAAGCTTTGTATGAATGCAATGTGTAATTCTGAATTGAACTTCATTTTTTACAGTTTACCGTTACAGTTCTATGTTTCACCCGACTGTGTTTCATCTGTAGTCTCATTCGGCGATCCTCCAATCAAATCAGAGTATTCCAATCGGGACGTCTCGTCTAGTGTTTTCTTCTTCTTCTCTGAACAAAAAGTTTGTCAATGAGGTGTTGCTCGCTTCGTTACTAATTTCCTCTTCGAATTCTTCGGCACTGTTCACGAGCGTAGAAACTGACTCTTCCACCATGGAAAGCGTCGATCTTTCGTAGTTGATGACCGCTTTCATGAACACTTTTTTATGAAACTGAAAGAATTTTTTCAAAACGTTAGACGAGGTTGAGGAAAACTCTGAATATGGAAAACTTGAGAGTCGACGTCGAAATCAAGTAGTTATGAAACATCGATGTTGATTTGTTCTCATCTTCTATCTTATTGCTTATTCGCTTCTAAACAACATATATTCACTCTTCACGTTTTGGCTTTTACATACATTTTCGTACTGGAAGATTGTGATACCATGTTCGTTTGCGTAATGAATTTTGAAAAATTCGTGATGATGCGACAAACGTTCCGAAAATGCGTTTCCCAGCATTATTTTCCGTTTCGCCGCTTCACGAATCGATCGCATTCCGTACAGGCGAATCAGAATCCACAAGCGAATCGAATTCTCACCGTTTTGGTGTTCTCCTGAAAACGGTGGTTTTCCTCGAATGTAAATGCGCATTCACTGACTTTGTTCGAAGTCCAACTTCATTCCACTCCACAGAATCGTCAAGTGTCCCGAGAAAGGAAACAGCGAAGAGAATGTGACGTGGATAGAATTGGCTTCAGATATGAGCGCACTATAATATTTTGTTAAAGTGTAGATAGGACTCCAGAATACTCTAAAACCTACTGAACATTGTTTCGACTGTTCACGTCGAGCCATTCGCAACCAGCGTATGCGGCATCCAAATGAAGCCAAATACCCATTCTAACAATTATTAACACACTCAAGAAAACGGTATTAACTCGTCAACCCACTGTCTGGAAAGTTTGACAAAATCCCAAATTTCGTCGTTCGCCGCAACGTTTGAAGATCCATAATTGGCAATGACTACCAGTGGTGTGAAACCTCTGGCAACGTCTTTATCGATCTGCTTCTTCAAATTTTGCACAGTCATCGCGGCCGAGTCTTTCTCGGATGTTATAACTTTCCGGAGTTTAACTTGGGCAATCTTGCACGCTTCTTCAAGAGACAAATGTGCATCATCACTCGAATAAACGACAAACGCATTTTGTTTCTTCTGCGGCTTGTACTTCGAATACGCGTTTTGAATGACCGCCAAGTACGTGTCGCGCGGGGAGTACAGTACGATTCCAGTCGGATCTTGAAGGATAACTGTCTGGTTTTCTACAAATTCTTTTCTCATTTGAGGAAGTCCCAGAGCAGTCCTCATCCATTCACACAACAACCGCTCTATAACGCCAATAACCGGTGAAGGCTTCTGGAAGAACTAATGTGAGAGTAAATTGCAACGTGAAGTGTTCACGTCATGACCGAGAGCCGAGGAAATGGCACTTCCAATAACATCAGCCAGCGATTTTCCGAAGAACTGCGCGTGATATCGTGGGTGTTGAGTGTGGCAAATCTTCAAAACAGTTTTGCATAGAGCACGGTCTCCAGAGCTGACAATATGGGCGTGGCCTCGGCCAAATGGCGTTTTCATGAACTGAGCAGGTTTTTTCTAATTTTTGTGGTCAAAGGCGATGAAAAATGATTGTTCGACATTAAAACACACTAATTCTCAGAATTAATGACATTTTGGCGCATTTTTCGCGGACTTTGCTTTTTCGCCTTCGCCGCCTCAAAACCGCACTTCTCATTTTGCACTTTCTTGACCGTTTTCAGACAGAATTGGTTTTGAGAATGATAAATCACGTAAATACAAGCATTTTGAGCGCTCGAACCGCGAAAACTACCGAAAAGCAACTGAAATTCACGCAGTTTTAGCCAAAAACCTTCAAACGGATAAATGTGATTTGCGACTTGACCAAATTTAACGCTCTTGCGCTTAAAAAATTTGTAATAGCCTATACAATCGGTCTATCGAGAGACAAATGAGAAATTATCGGTTTTTCGTGGCTAATCTGGCAAAAAACACAAATTTCGCTGTTAAAATTTGAATTCCACGCCAATGTATCGCTCTATTGGGCTTTTGTCAGCTCTGGAGACCGTGATAGAGTTACTTTACGATTCTATTTAGTTTTGTTAGGTCATTGTATCACTCGGATACCTCGAGTACCAGGATTATTGGAAGTTTTTCCAGCTTCGCAAACGTTTTTTGATAGAGCGTACATTTGGAACAATAACTTCTTTCACGTCTTTCAAAATCTCTGAACATTCCTCGGGCTTCTCCGGAATCCTCACTTGAAGTCGTGATGTTGAAACGTCATTTTCTGTAAAAAGCAGAGAGGAGAGACGGATAAGATCAATGAACGTCAAATAACCTGGGACCACCGGCTGTTTATGGGATTCGTCGAAATACTCGTTGATGAAGAGAATCACCGCACTCATGTATTTCATAAACTCAACGCCACTAACAGGTTCTTGAAGGCGTTGACGATCGCTGCGTTGCTGTGTCTCGTGAGTCACCTAAACATTATTTTTGTGGAAAATGCAAGTATTTGATCAGTGTACAAACTCCGTGTTCCGAGCGGAGATCATGCTCTTCAGATCGCTGAACCTTTGGTTCGGCTGCATCGAGTTTTTCTTTGCTCCGACTGCCTAAATTGTTCGGATTGACAGTATTGTTTGACGCGACAACATCATGATTCTCAGAGGATTTTTGTTGATTTTTGAGAAGACTTTCCGCATTCGGATTGTCCACTTTAGTGTACTGTGACGACGAGCTTTTGTTTTTACGCCCGAGAAGCATGTATCCGATAAATCCAATGTTCAGGAGAAATGAAATTGCAAGAAGAACGATCAGAGCTGGAACTTCTGCTCCCATTTTCTGGAAACTCGTTCTCAGTTTTCAGCGCACTTCCCCACTTCGACTCACCCTCGACCAAAAATGACAGAAATAAGTTGGAGTTGAAGGGACATAGAAGGGATACGTTGGAATCACACGAGTTCACGAAGAAATACAAAAACGTAAAATTTTGGCGGAAACATCACGGGTGGATTTGAGAATAGTTTGCAAATTTGTAACTTTTTCCGGAAAAAAAAGGAAAAACGAAGAATCAGAATATTTTTAGGCCAAAAATAAATAGACAAATAAATATGCACACAAATGGGAAGAATCGGGCAGACTTTCACAGAAAGGAACAAAATTAGCTTATGGATCGGTCATTGGCGGCGGACAGTGCTCTTCCGGATGCTTCTGCTCGTGGAGACGTCGTAAATCACCGGATTCCACGACGCTCGCTGTTCGGACTGTCGACGCGTTGGCCACGGAAGGAATCTGCAGCAAGAATTGATATTTTTTTCTAATTTTTAGCTAATTTTTAGTACCTGGAAAGCGAACATTCCGTGTTGGCCGGGCGCTCTCGTCGGCATCTGACACATTGTCGGAATTCCGACGTCTTCGGCGGCCATCTGCGGCTCCTCCTTCTCCGTTTCGCTGCGATCGAACGAGAAAAGGCTGCCGAAGAGCATGTGCTGGACGACGGGAAACTTTTTGAGCACCTCGCCCTCGTACATTTTGAACATGCCGCTGTTCACCTTTTTCCAGTGCTGCACCGCAGAAATATTCCATAATTGGTTCGAGTGCTCGTGGAATGGGCCCGTTTTCGTCTGAAGATCTATTGCTAAGACTATCTTTCTGTTTTTCGTACCTGATTGATGAAATTGACGGAATCCAAAAAGAGAGAAATGTGCGCGTTGGCCTCGACGACCGATTTCTTCAGATAACTGTCCGGTACGATGCTCCGCGAGCCGATGAGCTGCGCGGAGCCGAAAATGAACGGCGCGAACTGAAAATCGTCGATGGCGTGCACTCCGCGGCTTCCGGCCGGCTCCATCTTGAATTTCATTTGCAAATGACGACAAACTCGCAGATATTTGTTGAAAATGCGAAGAACGAGCACCTGGTCTTCGTGCTCCGAGAAAACGCCGAGTTTTTGGAGGCAAAAGAGCAAAATCAGAAAATTCGCCTCGTGCCCTGAGCCGTAGTCGATTCTCGTAGAATTTCCGAACGATTCTGTGAAATAAGGCACCAGCTCGACGAGTGCCTCGTGGAATTGCTCGGGGAGCACGGCGGCGAGCAGCTCCTTGGCTTCTTTGCACAATTTTTCGTAAAAATGTCGAAAGGCCTTGTTTCCGAAGCGCTGCTCGGCCGCATCTTCGAGCGGAATTTCGTCGATCCATTTGTCGACTTTTTCGAGCATTTCGATAAAATTGATGACGAGATCCGTGCAGCGCAAATCGGCCGTCGTGTGCACACCGATCACCGAGTCGTTGAGACGGTGCAGAAACGCCAGATATTCTTCGTACGCCTGAAAATTTCCGATTTTCCCAGATTGTTTGTGTATTTTTCTGTTACCTTGGAAAAGTACCATGGATTTAAGTCGAACACGTTTTTGATTTTCTTCTCCGGCACCACAAACGCCATTTTTGACCGGTTTTTAGTTTTGTCTGCTGAAAATCGGAATTTAAGTTATTTTGCAATTGTTCGATAAAAAGAGCGTGCAATTGTGTGGTTTTGGTAAGAATCACAAAAATTGAGTTGTTACTGGCTGAGAATCTTAAACTCTTGTTTTTTGTTTGTTTTTTCCGCAAACAAACAATTTCAGAATCTGAAAAATAATGCAAACGCGCTCCAGCGAGCTAGCCGCATTTAGGAGCGTTTTGTGCGTCGCAAAGTGTACTCGGAGTGTACGGCGTCCAGGCGCTTCACTTTTCCACTGATTATCGATTTTGAAAAATCGCGATATCAACCAATCTTGAAACGTCAATTTTTAGATTTTTGGTACTTAAATTACTCGTTTTCATAATTTTTTCTGTTTTTCAGTAATGCCAGTTCAAGTTGAGGTCCCCCCAACCACCTACGAGAGACTGAAGCAGTATCAGGTAAATTTAGTTTTTAAATTGTTTTTCTTTGTGATTTTAGCCATTCAAAACGTTATTTTCTTGCAGGAGAAGTTCTCCGATGCTCTCCGCAACCCGGAATCGCCGGATTGGTACAAGAAGGAGACCCACGAGTCTGTGAAGAAGGATCTCCTCTGGGCCGCCCCGTACGACGCGAGATTCCCGCAGGTTTGCCGGTTTTCTTCCGAATTTTTTCAAAAAAGCAATCTTTCAGGTCCGTAAGCAGCGTCAGTGCTTCGCCTACTACGTTGACTTCCACCGCTGCAATGAGCTGATGGGACAGGACTACAAGCCGTGCAAGTTCTTCCAAAACGTGTACAAGGACTTCTGCCCTGGATTCTGGGTTGAGAAATGGGACGAGCTTCTGTCCGAGGGACGCTTCCCAGCCAAATTCGATCGCTAAATCAGTCTTATCGATTGTAAATCAAGCAGAAGTTTTATTAGTGCTGATATTCGATAAAAATGTCACTTGTAAATGAAACGATAAGCTAACACGATCGATCGCCTTTGCGTTATGGGACGCTTATTGAAATATCTCACCACTTTTCTCCGATTTCCTGTGTAATAAACCATTTTCAAGTCAAAACCGACAAAATGGCGGATTCTACTCGCGTCAGCGAGCAAGAAATCGAGCGCCGCGAAGGGTACATCCGTGCCGGACACAGAGAACGCCACATCATCGATCCGTTCACCTGGAGCTATCCGTGGAAGGGCGCCGGTGTGATGTTCGGCCTCTCGATCGCGTCCGGCTATCTTCAGAACAGATGGAACAAGAAACCATACTATTACGGTGAGTTGAATTGAAAAACATTGTCGGTTTTGATGCCTCGTCGCGTTTTTAACATTCTCGCCGAAAGTTACCTGTAAATTTATAGTTTTTCCTAAAGTTAGCACAATTTTTCAAAATTTCGCATTTTCACATTTTATCCAAAAAAGACAAGATTTATCAATGCTTCAGCAATCGTGCCACGTCTCCTGCTCGTCGGAGCCGTCACGGCGATCGGATACGGTGCCGGAGCCCTCCGCGAGCGTCACTATCAGACGAGAGACGCCGTCATCGAGCACTACATGAAACTGCACCCGGAAGACTTTGACCACTTTAATGAGCGTCAGTTTTCATAGAATTTTGCTCAATTTCATGGAAAAATTCTTCCGAAAGTCGATTTTCTATGATTTTTGTACAGTTTCTGCAATTTTCCTCGAAATACACGTTTTTATTACAGGCAGTGGCCGTTCGTTCTCTCAAGTCCTTTTGCCGTGGTATCCTCGCAGAACGCAGTACACCAAGTACGATTGAACGAAAACTGGAGAGGAGAATAACGTTTTTGTCTAGTTTTTATGTAAAATTAAGTTTTGAATAAAGATTCAGTGCGATTCGATTCAAAATCGCTCTTTTCTCGTCTATTCTTTTTGTGAATTCACTTTGAACAGGTTTCTAGCCTATTTGTCTAACTTTTTGTGTTGTTTTACTAATTTTTTGTAGCAACCAGTGTGTGATTTCGAAAATTTAACGATATTCTTTCCACAAAGGCGGTTCTTTTGAGAAGAAGGAAAGATTGTGTTCGTTGTCTTAAAGATTATAAGAGGCGATTTCTGAGAGACCCGACATAGGAATTACGCGGCCCCCAGTTTAGCGATTTCGTATAGGCCTTTCGATATTTACCTAAAATTCGATTTGCTTTCGAAAACTTTACTAATTGTTTGTAGTAACATAAGTTAAGAGGCAAATTTCAGAGAATGAGCGAAAAGTCAGAAAAGGTACGCATTCTGGAAGACCGAAGAGAGCGCCTATTGGCCAAATTGGAGCAGCGGAACGTAGAGAGGAAGGTCGGCGCGGAAGGAGCGAATTCGAAGGTGGAAAACGAAAAACTGGACATTTTGATGAGTGAAATCAGAAAAGAATTGGACGAGAAACACGTGGATCCGCAGAAAATCGACCATTTACGTAAGGCAAAATCGAAATCATTTTTTGTAATTTATCTAGAAAAAATTGCACATCTTCCCATGTTTCAGAGGAATTTCTGGCGTTCTCCTCGAGTAATCGTCAAACGAAAGCGATTCAGAATGTACTGGAAGACGTGCGCAAATTCAAATTGACACTGAAACCTGCGTCCAAATTTACAGGATTTGCGTTTGCGGTAATCATTGATTTTCTCCGAATTTGTGCGGATTTTTCAAACGAATAATACATTTTAGAAGCCAAAATCGACTCAAATTGCCCAACAACCAGCAGAAAATGCGGCGGAAGCCTCAAGTTCGGCGGGACTCTCAATTTCGGCGGAAATTCCATCTTCGTCTGAAAATGTCATTGAAGAGCTGAAAAACGCGAAAAAATGTGTGAAAGGACGAAACGGAGAGGATATCAGCCTTAAAAATGTCGAAAATTGCCGTCTTCAGTTCGATTTCGAGCCGTCAGTCGTTTATTTGAGGGTAAGGAATCTTTTTAAAGGTATTTTTAGGCCAATTTGCATTTCAGAACATCAAAAACAGCACTCTCATCTTTCTGCGCTGCGATCGATCGGTACTGATGTACGATTGTGAAAAGTGAGGCTCCGCCCCCTTTCTTTAAATAAAATGTATATTGTAGTGTTCACATTTTTGTGGCCGCCCAACAAGTACGCATTCACACCTCGCAAAGCGTGCATTTACACGTGGCAACTCGCGGAGCCGTCATTTTGGAGGACTCGAACGCCATTTTCATGTATCCGTACAGGTACGAATTTTTTGAAACGTTTTTTGTCCACTTCAAATCATCATTTTGCAGATTGAAAAGCGCAAAATCGGGCGTGTATTTCGAGGCGGAGGATAATGGCGAGTGGAAATCTCCGCGAGATTTCAACTGGCTCGCCAAAACGCCCAGTCCGAATTGGCATTTGGTCCCGGAAGATCAGTGGACTGAAGAGATTTTTGAATGATAATGTTTGAATACAGCGTTGGAGTTTTAACATCTACCCATATATATTTATATTTATTTGTTCCGAGCTCTGAAAGGTTCACACACAAACGCGACAAAAAATATTACCTGATGAGTCTCCTGATGACGCAAGAGATACAAAAAGAGTCGGTTTGGGGGTCGTCAGTCCGTTCATCCCTCGCCTCCGCCGGCCTTCTCGCACTTCTCCACGGCCCGTCGTACTCCTTCGAGAACTTTGCGAATTCGTTCTCTTGAATTCGTTCTCTGCACCGCGTACTTTTGTAGCATCAAGTACTCTAGAATACATCGATGAACATGTCGGTATCACTTATGGTTCAGGAGACTAACGCAAAAAAAAGGGTGGCTTTATAATTATGTTTAAGAGTGTATCTGGTACGCTATAGACAAGCTAAATTTCGGGGAGAACATCAATAATTTAGGTGGCTTTTTACACAATAAAATTACAGTGAATCAAGTGAAAATGGCGGAACGAATAATAAATATTTTTCAGGAAGACGATAATTGAATTCAGTTGAGAAGTGACTGGAAGATCTCGTTGATGTTCGCTATCGCCATCAGATTTTTCGATTTGAGCGAGAGCTGAAAAAAATGGCAATTTTGTCTTGACAATTACGAGAAAACAATTTAAAGGCGCATACCGTAATCGTGGTCGTTTGCGAGTTGACCTTCAGCTCCGAGAGCACATTCAAATTGTTCGTGTACTTGACGGAATGGTACAATAGTTGCTGGTTGTCCACTTGTCGCCGCGCCACCGTATGAATATTGTTCTGTTGCAGTCTTGTGCAGATTGCATCTGAAATTCCTTCTTTTATTCGAATTTTCCGCTGATTTCCTTATTCACCAGCATTCATATTCTGCGTATTTTGCAGCGTGAACTGCTGCTCGTTGGCCTCCGGAATGCTCTTCCACTCTTCCAGAAACTCGCGCTTTTCCATCTACAATTTTGGGTTTTTCAACAAACGATGAGAAAAACCGCACCTGTCCATCCTCTCGAAAGTAGACAATCAACGGAACGGTGGTGGCAAAATAGAAGACGTTCACGTCGTTTTTGATGGCAACCTGCAACGAATTCACTCATTTTTCATATAACTAAAAGCTTTTTAATGCCCTGACTTTTGACCCACTTGAAATGATTCGATCGAGCCTAAACTGGACATGGATTGAAGTATATTGGGTCCACGTTTCAGATCGATCGGAGTTGATCGAAAGCCCGGGCTACTCTGCCTTCGATCCATATATCTCGGGACTGGATAATCCGATCGTTCTCAAACTTGGACCCAATATACTTCAATCCAAGTCCAACAATCCTGTAAAGTTTGGGTCCGTTCCGAATATTGTAAGTGGGTCAAAAATGCAGAAGGGCCGGCCAAAAAGCATTTTTATTCGCCTTTTTCTAGTTCCCATCCAGTTTTCTTTCAATTCAATGCAAAAACCTTGTACATCCAAATGTTTCTATCAAATTTTCAGAATCCACGCTTCCTCATCATTCCACTGTTTGTGGCGGCCCAGAACACAGGAGAACAAGAAAAAGCGTACACACATACACGTACGTACATTTTATGTTTGTGTGCCATCGCTCTTATGATAACAAATCACATAATGCCCATATCTGTACGCGCTCTTCTCACCTCCTCTTTCCTTTTTTGATATCAATCGATTCGACACTTTTCCCCCGTCTTTTTACGCGAAAAAAAAAGAGGAAATGGGCTCTTTGTGCTCACGAGAAGACGGCGGAGAAGAGGATCCGGATGCTCAGCGACAAGTCGTCAAGAGCAAAAAGGTACAGTTTTTGGCTAAAGAAAACCCCCAATTTTTAACCAACTCTTTTCCAGCTAGGCGAAATCATCCACTTCTTCATGTTGGGCATCGAGGGAGCCGGCAAGACGACTATCATCAGACAGCTCAAGTGTCTTTGCATGCAGAAACCACAAAGCTATCAAGTGACTAACTAGCCCATTTCACACCAGCAAATTTGACCTTTTGGGGGAATTGTATGGGGGAAAATGAGTCATTTTTTGGAAAATTTGAAGAGAAAATAGCGAAAAATGTGTGCCTATTGGGAATTTTCGATCGATCAGGTTTCAAGACCACAAAAATAGAGCGAAACGGTTGCAGATGTACGATGAGAGCTGGAATCTGATCAATCGCGAGAAAATCTTCGACGAGCACGAGTTGAGCGGCCTCAAAAACGTGGTGCGCATTAATTTGCTCACCGCGGCGGCGGCGCTGATCCGAAAGACGCGCGACAAGGACGAGGAGTCTTTGCGGAATTCGGAGCCGGCTGCGGCGATTCTCCGAAAATGCACGCAGCTCTACGAGGGCGACGTCGACATTTACGATCATTCGAATCAGATTGAGGACGAGTACGGCGCGTCGATCATCGAAATTCTGACGGATCCGAAAGTTTTCCGATGGTTGGAACCGGGGACCGCAGTGTCCGGACTCAAGATCGAGGACGGAACTCGGTACTTTTTGAAGGACGAAGGACGCATCCGGAACATTTTCTCCGATTCGTATCAGTTGACCAACGACGATATTGTGCACGTGCGCAAGCCGACAGTCTCGTTCAAAAGTTACAGATTTCGGATCAAGCAGCTGCGCGTCGAGATTCACGATATGGGCGGACAGAAGAGCGAATTGGTGAGTCGAAAATCTCAGTTTTTTACTAGGAAAACAAAATTCCAGGTGAAAATCCCGCAATTCATGCGCCAATTCCTAACGACCAGCGGCTACTGTTTCCTGCTCTACGTCTCCTCGCTGGCCGCATTCCAGGAGCCCGACAAGGACGCCAAAGGCCGAACGGTTCTCGACAAGAGTGCCGCCATTTTCCGGGTATGCACAATGTAAAATTCTTCTCAAAAAGCCAAATTTCCTCTTGTAGAATGTGCTAAATTTGGACGGAGTGGACGAGTGTACGCCCATGATATTCTTCAACAAACAAGATCGATTCGAGGAGATTTGCCGCGAAATGTTGTTGAATGACGACGGCGAGAAGAAGCGGCAACTCGAAAAGTTGCTGGGAGTGCAGCCGAAAACGCAGAAAGAAGGCGAGCAAAAAAAGCTCGTAAATCCTGTTCGTTGCTTTGGCGGGCACTCAAATTATTTAAATGTTTAAGACGGGTCTTGCAACGAACATGATTTACCAGCTGGAAACATTCCAGTTTCTTTGATTGATTTTTGAGGAAATTGAGAACTTTTCCAAAAAAACTCTCTGAAAACACCATTCTTTCCAGCGAAAAAGGGCAAAAAGAGCAAACCGGAAAACTACGACTATTTGAAAGACTCGATTCGTAATCGATTCGAAGAGATTCTGAAGAATCGCAACGACAAAAAAAGCTATTATATGAAGTACACGCAGGCCACCGACGCCCAGCTGATGAGCACCATTTTCTCCGCCGTCGAACACGAAATTATTTCCGTATTTTTCACTCAAGCTCGCTATATCTAATGTTTCTTGCTCCAAATTGATAATATTTTATGATTATTTGGTTTCAATAAAAACTTTGAAAAAAGTTTTACACGAACCTGAAGGTTGGTCAGCGGCGTCGTCACTTGAACCGGTCCGCTTGTGTCGCAAAGGAGGGTGTGCTGAAATGTGTTTTTTAAAAATCAGAAAAAATTGCAAAAAAAAAGCGCTTACACTCTGCGATTGATTCGGGAGCAACGGCGTGGGATTCGGCTGCTCAGCGGGCACCAATCCGAACGAATTCCGATTGAATTGGACGGCAAACCCGGAAATCGCCTGCATTGCCTTGTTCGTTATCGTCAACTCCATGTAGATTTTTCCGCCGCGACGCGCGAATGTTCCTTCCACTTGCATTCCCTGCAAAATGAATCTAGTCTTCTGCTCATTTTCTCTCATTTCTCCGAGCTTACCATAGCTCTCGAAGCGTCGAGCCACAATTCTTTGGGGTAGGTGAGTCCGGTCGAGTGCGTGAAGCCTCCGGATCCGAAAATTTCGGCGAGTCCGCCAATCGAAGCCGGCTGGGCGGCCGGAGCTGCTCCTAATCCGAGTCCGAGCACGTCGAACGGATTGTGCGACGGCGCCGTCATTCCGCCGACAGGATGCGTGGGCGGAAGCGGATCGGCGCCGAGGCCGAGCAGATCGTCGAGGCCGCCGGAAGACGTTGTTCCGCTCATCGTCGGCGCTCCGCCAAAGCCAGAGGCTGCTCCGGACGCCGGAGCACTCAAATCCAGGGAGAGGAGGTCGGCGATGACCTGGTCTTGCGACGGAATGACCGTCGGCGCAGAGGAAGATCCGTTGCGAGAAGCGGCCGAGGTGGAGGAGGTGTCCAGCAGGTTCGCGCCGCCGCTGCAAACAGTTTTCATGGAATCAATACATTTTCTGAATTTTGATACGGGAAATTTGAATATTAGCGACTTTTTTTTCATTTCACACATAACAGTCATAAAAATTGCTCAATTGTGATCAAGCTACGCGTTTTGGCTTCCCCTCGGAAACTCACAATTTCGCGGTCGGCACCGGGTTGATTTGTCTCAACGGAGCTTTAGCCGGATCGATGAACGCGGACGGCGGTTTGTGGTAGACCGACGCGAGGGTTCCAATGTGACAGACGAGTTGCTCCAGAAGTGACGGCTCGAGGAGATCAGTCTCTTCCGAAATGAGCGGCTTTTCGGTGAGCACCACGTTTTTCGCGGCGGCCGGATCGGCGGAAAGGAGGCGCCAGTAGATGAATCCGCGGTCGCGAAGATCCGGATTGTCGCTGTCCTGCGTGGCGAGTGACAGGACACGCTGAACGAGAGCTTGCGCGTTCGCCGGACGCTTCAGGAACAGTTTTACGACTGCGGTGAGCAATTGTAGTTGGACCTGAGTGTTCTCGTCGTGGAATCCTTCCACAAAACTCTCGAGCAACTCGTCGGCATTGTCGATTCTCTCCGCGTACTCACCAATAATCCAAATCATCGAGGCGCGCGCTTCCGGCTCGTCAAGAGTGTCCAGATTCTCACAGAGCGCCGAAATGATGCTCTCGTAGCGATTCGGATACTTTCGGAAGATGTCCTTGATGACCACGACGGCTTCCTGCACTACATAGTTGACTTTTGTCTGGATGAGTTCCAAAAGTGTCTGTACGCATCGTTCGCTGCTCGCCTCCACTTTGATCGCACATCTTCCGATGGCTCTCACCGATTTCCGCACAAAATCCACGTCGACCTCGGTGGCGTACTCTTTGAGCTCGCTGAGCACTTGCGAGATGTTGTTCTGCTGCGCCAGACGGATCATAATGTCCAATTTCTCCATTTTCACATAGATCGGATCGTTGTACTTGACAAAGAACACTTTCATCTCTTGCTTCAGAATGTCCGGCCGTTTTTGCACAATCAGGTTGATGTTTCGCAGAGCGACATATTGAATCTCGGGCTCGGCGGACAAGAGGGTCACCATTGGTGGGGCCAATTTTTTGGTCAGCTGGGCTATGAAATCCGAGTCGGCCGGCATCATATCGATCAATTTCATGAGCACTTTGACGGTGCTCAGTACTACAGCGGCGTTGGCGTGGGCGAGACGTGGCGAGATTCGCTCGCAAATGTTCTGGGCCTCGCGCTCATCTTTGGGCGAGTAGCCGGCCAGGGCGTCCAAAATGAAGACCTGTCCCCACTCGGTGCACTCGTTCAACGCAGTCAGCAGCTTGTTGACCATCTGGCTGTTCACCTCGATCACCGTCTTTTGCTCGTTGATCTCCGTGAGCGCCGCCACCGCATTCGCCACCACCATCGGATTCGCATCGGAGAGCAGGTCGTTGAGGAGCTCCACGAATCCCTGATCCTTCACCAGCGATGGGTTCATGTCGTGCAGTTTGGCGACGCAGACCGCGGCCGTCTTCCGCACGTACGGATCCTCGTCCTTCATGCATTTCCGCAGCGGATCGCATAGGTATTCGGTGATTTTTTCGACGCGGATGCATCCCATTGTGCGGACGGCCAGGGCGCGTATCAGCGGGTTCGGGTCCTCGCAATCCTGCAAACTTGAGTTTATTTTGAGCTATGACGCCACGCACAGCGGTCAAACGCTCAAAAAAGGACGTTGCCTGCACTGAGACGTGTTTTTGGGAAATTTCCACAATTTTATTTTGTTATTACAAGGATTTTGAGAGAACTAACGCAGAATTGATAGAGAGATGTCAAAAAATGAAAGATGTGGGACGGAATTCAAAGAGAAATCACAAAAATCAAACCTTGACGAAGGTGTTAACGGCCATAATGGCCAGATCGGGTTGCGACTTTGCGTAGTTCATCAGGTACAGGTAGACGAGTTTTTTCAGCTCGACATTGTCCGTCTGCATGCAATTGACGACGTCAGGGAACAGGGCGCTCACGTCCTTTCCGACCGTCATACTCGCGATCACTTTCTTTACCGCCTCCTTCTTCTTCTCCTTCTTGTCCGAGTTCAACTCATTTTTCAGCTCGAATATTTCACCTGCAAACATTTTTTAATGGAAAATTGTTTAAATGAAGACAATTAAGTTTTTTTACACATAAAACTGTTGAGACAACTCCAATAAATTTACCTTTTTTGGTGGTTGTGAAATACTTCGAATCGGTCATCGTTCGGGCCGCTTTACCACTTTTCTGCAACGTGGAATTAAAAATTGCACAGCGATTTTGTTTTAAAGAAAAATTGTGGGAAGAGACGGCGGGAAGTACAATTTCGACGGAAATCGATACGGAGAAGACGTGCGTTTCTGCGCGGAGGGCAGAAATTCGTGAAAACCAAGATTTGGGGCGTATTCATTCTTTTTAGTACGCAAAAAGGACGGGGTGCGCAGAGAAAGAGAGCGCAGTTGGAGGGCACCGGTAACGCGCCCGCAAAATTTGCTGGCGTGTTTTCGTTTTTCGGATGGATAGTGGGCAATTTGAAGGCCTACATTTTAGCGGAAAACGTAGAAAATAATAGTTTTTTGATAAGAGTCAATAAAAACACGCTCAAGCAATCAGACGATTTTTTTTAGATGCACGGTATCACGTTTTCGTGGTTTTCGTGAAATTTGAAAACTGATCCAAAATGTGGCTTTGTGCGACGGTCTGCCTATTTTAGGCTCTGAAAAATTACAAAATATTGTATTTTTAATGTTTGCGTTAACATTTTTGGCGTCAAAATATCGCAGAACAAAAATTTTGCAAAACAAAAGGCCAAGTATTGAGTCCAAAGGACCCTCAGCCTATCCAGCAAGCGGGGCGAAAAAGATCAAGTGAAAAAGAACGGCATTCCGTTCAAACGCAGTGCCCGTTATAGCATTGCACGGTCTCCTAGGGCGCGAATGCTAAACATGTTTGTGTTTAAACACAGTGCGCTCGTAAATTGCGGAGTGTCGTTGTAACTTTTGAAAATTTGCAGGTCTAAAAATGCAGTTCAATTCGAGTTGACGACCTTTATTTTTTTCTTTTTGACTTGAAAAACGTCTAGAAAACAATATTTTACTGATTGGAAACCGTTATTTACAGAATTGAGAGTTTTCATGTTTTTAGCGTCTTTTTCGCATTTCGTCAAAACTTCCAACCTTTATATTTTAGCTCATTTTGCATTTAATGAGCCCAACGAACGATAAAAATGTTCGCTGAATCTTTCTTCACAAAATTCAGGTTCCGGCGGTTAGTTTTCTTGAGCAGTTTTCGAAAACTATTCGAAAAACATCAAAATCCAGGCCAAAACCTTCAAATCGAAATAACTCGGCTAATTCTCAACGATATGTGAGATTTCTGTTATCGAAACGTAGCTAGTGCTCTAATTATTCGAATCCAGGTTCCAGGCGTACAAAAATAGGTGTATTGTACAGAAAACATGGAAAGAACGCCCGTTGAAATTTAATTAATCGACCGCCGCGTAAATCGACACAGCCCGCCTGTTGCAGGTGCGCCCCATTGAAATCATTCGCGCCGTGGGAGACCGTGCAGTGCCCTCTGGGAAGGCAGTCGCTGCTGGGGGAGGAAGAAAAAAGACTCGGCGGACGAGTGGACGGCCCGTCGAGCGGAAAGACCGCAGAACGCGACACCAGACTACGAAGATGTGTTCCGATTGTCTGCTTACGCGGAGATGTGTCATTCAAACGCTCATAAACTCCTTTACAGATCAATTGTCCCTCATTGTTTGCAGATTCAAACCAACATTTTTAATGGAGTTTTTCAGCGATGTCAAAAAACATTTTTCCATTTTTCGACATTTTTGACATCTCTGAATTAAATCCATAAAATTAGGCGTGAGTAACCAAACACCTTCAATTTTTAAGAACATTTTTCACGCAGCTGCAAGAGATAATCAATTATTCAATTTAGTTGAATCCAGTTCATTCCAAATCCGTTCCTGTGGTGTCTTCAATTGCTTTTGACCATTTTTGTCTAGTTTATCGTATATCAATTCAATTTTATTGCTTCTAGTGGCGACGTCCCGACGTCGAAAGAGTGTGAGTGGCCGGGGGACTAGGAAACTCAACCTCGGCCATCTCGGCCAACATCTTCTTTCTGATTCAGATCTGAATTTACTATGTTTTGGAGGCCGTTTTTTATAGTTTGCGATTGAATTTCTCTCTATTTTTTTCATAAATTCGAAAAACCGATTTAGAATAATGCATAACTATTTTATTTGTCGCTTCTCATCGCTTTTCACCCAAAATACTGAGATCTTTCGTAGAAATATATTTCTGTACAAATTCTTGATTGCCTCGCTAAATAACGAAAAACCGCATAAAAAATAGCATTTTCTTGCAGGAATGAGCGAAATGCCTGGCCCCAGTGGCCCCGGAGGCATTCTCCGAACGAAGATTTCGCTGAAAAGTGGCACCGTCGTTCCGCCGTTTCACACCTTCAAAATGACACTTCCACGTGAGATTTCTTGAAAATTCTGCAAAAAATTCAAATTTCCCATTGCAGCGTACTCGGAAATCCAAGGAAATCACGACCTGCTCACCTCGTACGGCCTCGGTCCGATCGAGGCGATCTTCGCGGGATCGCGGCGTGTCAAAGAGCCGCTCTCGACGTTTCTGCCGCATATCATCGGAAAATTCAACTTTGACCACACGCGGGAGGCGAGTTCCCTGCAGGCATTGATAGCCAAACCGCCCATTCACAAGGAGATAACGAATCTGAACAGCTCCTCCATGCAGGGCTTCAAACTCACCGCCGGACCCGTCGACGAGAGGTTCGCATTGAGTTTTTGAGGGAAAATCCGAAAAATCGTAAAAAATTACAGGTACAAAGACTATTTCGAGCGGCGAAAAGACGGCGCGGTAATGTTGTACAGCGAGAAAATGAACGTGGTGCGGCCGAAGCCGAGTTATGACATTTACGGAATCGACGGCGACGAAACGGAGAAACCGTTTCCGCGGAAGCACAAGAAGAAGAAGAAGGACAAAAAGAGAAAAAAGGACAGGGAGGGCGTTGCGGAGCCGTCGGAACGGAAGAAGAAGAAGGAGGAGGCGAAGGGCACGCCCATGGAGTTTTGATGTACGCATTTATTGGAAAATTTTGTACAAATTAACCAAATTACTTCCGCTTTTCCACTTTTCCATCTCAAATCACAGTCATTCTTGCCCTGATGGCCATCGCAATGTCCTGACGGCATGAGGACATGAGCGCGTTGTGCAGTTGGCGCCTGCGCTTCTGGCTGAGCTGTCGCTCCACAGAATGACGGTGTTCGACCATGCAGATGTGCGTCGTGAGGCCCACTGCAGGAAAAAGAGTGATTTTTGTGAAATTCCTTGGCGTTTGACCCATTTGCAATACTCCTATTGGGACCAAACTTTGCAGGCCTTCTGGACTTGGATTGAATTTGTTTCGGTCCAAGTTTCAGATCGATCGGAATGTCTGGTCCCGAGGTACAGCGAATCAGGCCCAAAAGTCCGGATTTTCGCGAAAATGTCAGACTTCTTTTCGACCTAAAATCACTATATATATTTGAATCCTAGACCAAAGAGCCTTCAAAGTTTGTGCCAGATCGGATTATAGCAAGTGGGCCAAAGATCAGTGAGATTGAAACTCACTCAAAAAGCATCCCATAGCGGCGCAAAGAAGGCTCCAATCAGATTCGGTGTAGTACAACACCTGATACTCGTTTTTGGGCGGTTCCTGCGTATTCGTCGAGTGAATAATGAACATTGTCGTGAGAATCGGCACGAAAGAGGCGAACGTCGAGACGGACAGCGCACGAATCACCCCCTTGGCGGTTTTAGAGAAAAAGTAGCCGATGAGCGCGTAAATCGGAGCAATCAGCGAGATTAGCAGAGAGATTAGATCTGGAAAAGTGGGATATATGAAAAATGTCATCAACGTTAAGGAAAATTGCAATAAAATGTGATTTTTTCAGAAAACCACCGGACCGAGCACGAAATTCGACTGCATCACACTTTTTCGGTACTTTTGATCGACGAGAAACCAATGACAGTTGTCGGAATACAAAGAGCCACTTCTCGATAAATTTCGGCGGTATCCTTCTGAATTATTTATTTTATCATAAACTAATGCATTTTTCACAGCTTCTCCTTTTTTTTGTAATTGTTTGTTGAAACCCTCACCCGAAATATCGTTGCATTGACGGAAAAGGTTGGAATGTTGGTGGACGAGCGTGAAAGAGACATTTCCACAGTCCAAATGGGCCAATTGATGGGAAATGTGCATTTGACAGTTTGGAGGCGACTTCTGGAAACGTTTAGTTCAGAAAACGTAACAGAATGACATCTTACACTCCGAAATTTGATCGAAATCCAATAATCGGAGAAAATCGAAATGAATTGTATGGCCACAACATTCAGAAGCAATATTGTCTTTTGCTCCATCCCGACAAGCGAAGAAAATGCCTTTCCCGACTTTTCGCCCTCTAATTCACTTACTCCATATCTTTTCCCCTTATTTACTCGCTATTCAGACTCGAGAAAGGGATAGAAATGGGCACGCGGCGATTCGGAGAGAAAATTCCGGAAATTCTCGAGAATTCCTATGAAAACGCGGACGGAAACGACGAAATTGTCGAATGGATGCGTGGCGACGAAATCGGAAACGATGCGGTCATGAACGGACCGTTTGGACTGAGAAAAGGTTGGAAAATTGAGCGGAAATCAGCAGCTTGGGACAGGCGAGTGGGAGGGGCCTTACCTGGACTGTAACAGGTTGTCAAGTTGCTTGAACTGTCTAAATTACTTCTATGGGTCATAAGTTCCGACAACACATCCCTGAATTTGCAGTGATCTACTGCGACTACACGGCAAGCGCCCGGTCCTTCGGCTCGATCGAGGCGTACATCCGAACCGAGGTGCTGCCGTTCTACGGAAACACGCACAGTTCGGTGACGGTGACCGCCGAACAGACGACGCTTTTCATGCACGAGGCACGCCAGGAAATCCGGGCGATGAGCGGCTGCGGAGATCTCGATTCGGTCATATTCACGGGAAGCGGAGCCACGTGCGCTGTCGACCTCCTCGTACATCTCATGCGAATCGACGAGGAGGAGTCCGAACTGATAGTCGTTCACTCGTCGCACGAACACCACAGTAATCTGCTGCCGTGGCGCCACGTGGCAAAAGCGTGCATCCGGGTGGAGGAACTCGAAAACGGACACGTGGATTTGGGGCATTTGCGGAAAGTGCTCGAAGAAGCGAGAAAGGAGTACGGAGCAGGCGTGAAAATCGTCGGAGCGTTCAGTGCATGCTCGAATCTCACCGGAATTGTGATCGATGTGCAGGCGGTGACGAAAGTGCTCAAAAGGTAGATTAGGCTCTCATAGGCTTCTGTTAGTATTGCATCAAGTTTCTAACCGATCGGAATATCGCTGATGCCGATCAATCCAAGTAGAAGGAGCGTTCAAAGTTCTAGCTTCGTTGCAGCTTCAACGCGCTCTCAATCTGGGACTTTGCCTCGGCGGCGCCGTACATTCCGATCCAAGTGAACGGTTCTCAGCCGCTCGACGCCCTCTTCTTCTCCGGACACAAATTTCCGGGCGGTGTGAGCTCCCCCGGCGTGCTCATCGTCAAAAAGACACTAATCAGAGCGACTCGACCAAAAAGACTCGGCGGCGGAACCGTGTTCTTCGTCAACGAACTCGATGAGTGGTATCTGAAAGAGGTTAGGAACAATAAATGAAATTATTCACTTAAAACATTTTGTATTTTCAGGTGGAACATCGAGAAGAAGGCGGAACTGCGGACGCAATCGGAGCCGTCCGTTTGGCGATGGCCGTGAAGATGAAAAGATCGGTCGGAGAGCCGAAGATTAGAGATCTGGAAGCGGGAATTACGCGATTCGTGCTGAAACAATTGAAAGAAATCCCGAATTTAGAGCTCCTGGGGCCTAAAACCACGCTTCCCGAGAGACTTCCGGTCTTTTCATTTCTCATCCGAAACCCGGACACCAATCTTTTCTACCATCACAACTACATTTCCGTCCTTCTCAATGATCTTTTCGGCATTCAAACGCGTGCCGGATGCATGTGTGCCGGGCCGTATGCTCATAAACTACTAGGTATCGATGAGCAGGTCCGGAATTTGAATAAAAAAGTAAAAGTACACGTAGACGTTTCAGTTGTCGCTCAAATTCGTCGAAGCGATCCGTGAGACGCCGCAGCTGGACCGAACGCACCTTCGGAGACAAAACGAATATTCGCAACGTGAATTCTTGCGCCCCGGCTTCACGCGCATCTCTTTTCCGTACTTTTTCACTCTGCAACACGTGGATGCGATCGTCTCGGCGCTTCGGTTCATTTCCGAACGCGCGGCCGATTTTCTGCACCTGGTACGGAAAAACTTGGAAATTCGCTACTAACTCGAAAATTTATTGAACTTTCACAATTACCGCAGAAATTTCATTGTAGCTTTGTCGATAATTTCAGTACCAAGTGAACTGCGAGACGGGCGAATGGCACCACCACAATCAGCGAGTATTTCACGGGCGCCGATGGCTCGGCCACGTTCAATTCACGGGAAACGGCCTGAAAAAAAGTCAAAACCCTCTGGAATTTCCGGAAGTGCCGGACCTTCAAAAATTCCTGAAAATGGCTGAAAGCGAGGCGGAAAACGCTAGAAGTTCAAGGATTTTGACAAAAATCCCCGATGGACGGAACGCAATCGAACAGGAATTTCACGAGCTCCGCTGGTTTGTGCTGCCCATCGAAATTGCGGAAATTTGCGAAAAACGGAGAATTTCCGTGCCCGCATGTGTGATAAAACCGAGAGAATACGCGGAAGACGTCGACAATATTCGGGAGAAATTCGATGGTTTTCAAGTGGAAATTGATGGACAAATTGAAGGTAAAAACCGAACATTTGTGACAAATTGATAAACTGATGTGTAGAAGACGTTCCAGAAGGAGCAGAAGCATTCAAAAATTGTGAAATCGAGTGCGACGACGTCATTTGTCTTCTGAAATGCGACGAAAACGACACAAGAGCGACGGAGCCGGAAAATGTGGGAATGGACGAATCGGAAGCGAAAGAGGCGAAGAAACTGGACGACTGGAATAAAAGAGTGATTGTGCGGCCGGTGGAGCTCACGAAAGAGCAGGAGAACCGATTGGAATGGCACGTTCCGCCGCTCGACATGTACAAAAAAGTGACGGATATGGTGCATCAGCTGAAAATGATTCGAGTAGGTTTGCTGTGAGAATTTTGGGTGAAAATTGGCTACCTGTTTGGCTAAGCAAATGCGCTCTTCCGTCAAACAAAGTGTAGATTGAGATTTTCTAGAAGTTTCGCTGTAAAATGCCATTGCAGGAGGGCGACAAAGTGCTGGTGTGCCTGTCGGGCGGAAAGGACTCGCTCTCGCTGCTCCACATCCTCCGCTACTATCAGATTCGATGCAAAAAGGCGCGGAGCACCTCGTTCCGGCTCGGCGCGATCACCGTCGATCCTGGCTCGGCGGAGTTTAACCCGCGGCCGCTCATCGAATATTGTCGGCGGCTGAATATTGATTACTTCTACGAGGAGCAGGACATCATCGGCGCGGCGAAGAGTACGCCCGGATTACGGTCGATCTGCGCGTTTTGCAGTCGGATGAAGCGGGGACGGTTGGCGGCGGCGGCGCAGTTTCACGGATGGAATGTGCTCGCGATGGGACAGCATTTGGACGATCTCGCCGAGAGCTTCTTCATCGCCGCGTTCCAGAACGGCAATTTGAGTACGATGAAGGCGCAGTACACCACGAAGTGAGCCGGAAAACCGATTTTTCCAGATTTTTCCGGCCTCGACTTATGGTAGGCTTCTCGGACTTTAATTTAAGTATACTGGGACCAAGTTTCAGACCGATTGAATTATCCGGTCCCGAGATAAAGTGGTTTGAGGCTAAAACGACTGGGTTTTAGCGAAACCTAACTCTGGAACAGATGATTTGAACGGTCTGTAACGTGGTCCCAGGATACATTAATCCAAGTCCAACAAGTCTGCAAAGACCTAGTTTTGCCCAAACCTGAATCGGCTTTTAAAGTTCGACACTCCTAGAATTTTCCAGAGACGGAGCACTTCGAGTAATCCGACCATTGGTTATGGTTCGAGAAAAGGCACTGCGAAACTTTGCAGAGGAGAAAAGTAGGGAAATTTCCGGAAAGATCAACAGATCGCATACAATATCACAACTTTCAGACCTTCCGATCGTGGCGGAAAACTGTCCGGCGTGCTTCAACCAGGCGACCGAACGGCATCGAGTCAAGCAGATGCTCGCCCAGCAGGAACTGATCTTTCCCGACTTGTTCCACTCGCTCCGCTCCGCCCTCCGACCCCTTCTGCTCGTCGATTCGGCGGTGACGAGTGAAATGCGCGCGCAGGCCGTTCAGAATATTGTTAATGCTTAAAATTACTGAATTTGATGTTACTCTTGTTGTTGTTGCCCATCGCTTGTTTTGTTCCTTTAACCGTTGTTTTTTACTATTTTGTTGATTAATATTACATTTTTAGTGGGCCAAAGCCCATATTTCTTCCGGAAACAAGAAAGACAACTGGCTCGCGGGGCAGCTGTTCTTTTTTTCTTCTTCGTTTTCAAAAAATATTTCGAGCTTGCCAGTTTGTGGCACAAACAAAACAAGAAAATGCGCGTTTTTCTGGTCTTCCTGCTCATTTTCGTCGGAATTTCCGCCGGATGCTCCAACTTTGACAAGTATTTGAACCTTTTCTGCAAGTACGGATCCGAAACGAAGCCGTGCACTATCGAAAATTGTGGGTTAACTTTTTTGTTGTTGAATTTTTAAGGGAAAATACTTAATTTTTTGCAGACAACGCCTTCAAATCGGCGTGTTGTGGCCTTCCCGGATCGTGCAGCTTCTCCGAGTTTCCAAAAGACAATGTGTGCTGCTTTTCCCAGAAATGTCTCGCCCGTTGCTTCCCGGACAAGAAGTACCAGCTGGGAACCGTTTATTAACTGAAAAATCGGATTTTTTTTTACCGAAAAACGCTTTTTTACACATTTGAAATAAAGACTTTTTGCATGTTTCTTTCGTATTTCGAAAACCGCGGTTTCGTTAATTTCTGTGCATTTGCGCGTCGCGGTGTTTGCGGAAGTTGTCGTCAAATACGAAAAATATTTTCATTTCCGCCGATTTCTCCCGATTTTCTCGGCGATTCTGCGCATTTTTTACTTGAATTTTTTGCAGAAAATGTCCGAATTGTCCGAAGATGAACAATCGCTGCAGGCGCTCTTCGATCCGGCCAAAAGAGTGGCGTCCGACATTGAGGAAAACCGATTTGAGCTGCGAAAATTGCAGCCGCGTCTCCAAACGGCTATCGCGAACCTGCATCAAGTCACTGTCAATGTGAATAAGCTTGGATTGTTCTCCTCCAACGAACAGGTCCGGGAAAATATCGACTTCAAAATCCGATTTTTGCAGATCGAAGACATTCCGACGAGCTCTCTTCCGTTTCTAATGGTTCCCTGCTTTCTCGGGCTCTTCCACACCAACCTGATCGTAGATTCCACGGAAAAATTGGAGGAATTGCGAAAAGCGAAAGTTTACTTTCGAAATTACCTGGAACGTCTTCGCAATGTGGGCCTAATCACGTCCAGACTTCCCTGGGATGATGATGTCGCGAAGGAAGACGCGGAAAAATTAAAAGCACCGAAACCGTCACATGAAGAGATTCGCAAGCAAAAATTGGATCGGCATAGGCGGAAAAAAGAGCTAAAAGCGACAGAATTGAGCATTGAACGGCAATTAGAGGCGGTTACGGTGGACGAGCAGAATCTTCGGGAGCTCTTCGTCACTCAGCTGCTCTTCTGGAGCGAGCGGGCCTACGAAGAGCTGCAATCAATCGAGGAAGAGCTGCCGATCCTCCGAATGATGGCCGAGAGATCCGGCGGCCACGCCCCGCCCCTTCCGCCGCCCACGCACAAAGTTCCGAGCCTCAAACCGTTCGTGATCACTCGCGACGCGCAGCAGAAGAAGGTGTTCGGCGCCGGATACCCGGGCATTCCGACCGTGAGCGTCGACGAGTGGTTCCATCAAAAGTTCGGGTGCGGCGGAGCCAATGTGCCACCGCAGAGCTCCGCGCCTCCGCCCACGCAGCAGATTCAGTCAGTTTTTTGAATATTCCAGAATTTATTTGTAATTTTTGTGAATTTTCAGAGAAGGTGGTGGTGCGGGAGAATCGGTTGAAGAAGAAGAAGAAGAGGACGAAGATGTGGCGAGAGCGGCTGCGATGCGTTGGGACGAATATAAGGACGATCACCGGCGGGGATGGGGAAATACTCACAATAAAGGCTAGAAAACTGTATTGTAGATCTCGAGATGTGGCCCCACTTTTTTTGTGAATTTGACTGAAATATCAACGAAAATGCTCCGATTTGTTCGTGTTCTTTATTGCCATGCATTTTTATCAATTTTGTCTGCGAATGTTCAAGGTTCCTGAAGCCTTCTTCCTATTTTTTCTCTATACTCCTTTGAATTTCGTTTAGAAAATTTTTGAAAGGTGAAATGGCATTCCGTAAACGAAGACACGATTCCGGAGGCGATTCTGATGAGGAACGGCTGCCGATCAATCGCGACGACGACGATGAGCAACTGAAAGCGGTTTGTCAGAAAAATTTGTGTTTAACCAAAAAACCGCATATTCTACAGGATCCGGCGAAAAAGTCGCGAAACCTGTGGTCGGACATGCTGCTCGAGGAGCAACTTCAGGAGCAGGGCCAGAAGATCAACCTGGACAAGTCGGCGAAGAAACAGCCGACGTTCTCGCGCGGTCCCGAGTCGTACGTGATGCCGCAGGAGGAGTTTCAACGCAAAAATCAGAAAAACGCGAAGAAAGCGGAGCGTGACGGGCCGCCGATCGTGATGGTCACTCCGGCGGCCGACGATCCGTTCGCCGATGCGCCGGAAGCGCCGACCGAGGAGTTTGGAGTGAAAAAGAACGAAATTAAGAGGAACTCGGTGGAGATTGAGCAGGAAAAGGGTTGGTGGGCGAAGAAGGGCGCCAACAAACGGTTCGCCGAGAGAGGCGGTCATTTTGACAGGGAGAAGAGACATCCCGCACCCGTTAAGGTCAGTTTGGGCCGAGAAAAGGGGAACTGCATGCTTTTAGCTAAGCTAAAAAAGAACGAAAGAGGGGCAATTTCAACCAATTGTCCCCTTGAAATACGCGTGAACATTGCAGAAAACGTGTCAACTGATGGCCGAGGAGTTCTCATTGGCGGCAATGTTGGAGGCGAAATTCGAAGAAGACATTGGATTGGAGCAGTTGGGCACGGAAATGGCGACCGCGATGGGCGAGAAGGATCCGGGCACGATCGTGAAGATTGTAAATGCGATCGGAAGGGACCCTTCCGTCAAACTGTTCGAGGAGACCAAGGAAATTGAGAAGAACGGGGGCATGAAGGTGAGTTGTAGATTTAATGCAGGGCTCGGCAAAAGGCCGGCCCAGGCTTTTTGAGACCTGGACTTTTGACCCACTTGGAATGAGCCGATCGGACCCAAACTTTGCAGACTTCTTGGACTTGGATTAAAGTATATTGGTCCGAGTTTGCAAATGGGTCAAAAGTTCAGGTCTCAAAAAGCCTGGGCCTAAATTTGCCCAGCCCTGCATAAAATAAAAAATCTGTTCTTTTAAGTTATAAATTATTCTTTGCAGACAGCGGACGGAAGTCGTCGTCGTACTCCGGGTGGTGTGTTTATAACGCTCTTCAAAATGGATCCGACCGTGTCGCGTGACGTCAAAAACGCCATTTTCGGCGATATGCGCAACGCGGACAAGCAACGCTCCAAGACCAAGAAAAAGGGACAACAGTTCACGCGACAACTCGAAGAGGTAGACGATTTTTACAATTCTTCTTACAACTTTTTTTAAATTGCAGATGAAAAAGACGATGGAGCTGGCGGAAAAAGCGGAAAACGATTTGGCGAACGAGGAGTTGGGAATGGGTGCCTTCGACGAGGAAGTGGCCAACATCATCTGAAAAAATTTTATCATGTTCCCTATTTTAATTTCAATTTTTCTGTTCTCACGGTATCTTTGCCGACCCGATTGGCCATTCTAGGCTGTTTGTTTGGATATCTTGTAAATTTTCCCCTATGAATTTGGTAGATTGGCCAAAAAATTCCCCCACCCTTTGAGTTGTTACTAGATTTTAGTCGGATAATATCGAAACATTCGATCACCTTTTCCTTTCCCTATTCGATGAATATTATCTGGCCGAAAATCTCGACACGTCCTCTTTTCAAGGGCACTTTTCTATCCGATCTTCTGACCAAAGTTTTGTGACGACGCAAACGGCCGATTCTTTGGTTTCTCTCTTGACTTTTCCGGGTTACAATTAGCCGTAATTCCACCGAAAAACATTTCTTTTGCGAGAAATTGTCTCAAGACATGTTTTAAAACAGAAATTAGTCCTGAAACATGTTTCGGAAGAGTTTTTGGTTCAAATAACATCAAATTTATCCATTCGAGCTCAAAATGACAATACGCTGTCCATTTTAAAGTGAACCGATAATATTTTTACAGAAATTTTCGATTTCCCCGCCTCCTACTGACCATTTCGAAAATTATGAATGTACCTAAATGTGTCGTGTGCCAGAAACCAACGAATCTGTTTAATTATGGGGTGAGTTGTACGAAAAATGGGGGAAAAAACGATTCGCTCTTATTTTATCGATAAATTACGGATAAATTACGGATAAGTGTGTTCAATGAATCAAAGACGTTTCCGAAAAATCCCAGACTCCAAAAAATGTAGGCGCCGTCCTGCAACGCGTGCAAAATGTTCTTCCGTCGTGCGATCCTCGGAAAACGTGTGGAAACGTGCAAAAAAGAGGGCGGAAAGTGTGCGGAACGACGCTCGAAATGCCGAAAATGTCGATTCGAGCAGTGCGTACAGGCCGGAATGATGTACACGCCCACGCAAAGCGCCGGAACACCGCCGACATTGACCGTCTTGCTCTCCCGACTGACGTACTTGAACTCGAGAAGAAATCAACTGTTCGTCGACTACATCGCCCCCGATTTGGACCATACGATGATCGAAAAACTCTATCATAAACCGATTGTGTTCGCGCGAAAAGCCGAACAATTTCCGATGAACTTCCAGAAATGGTCGTTCCACTGTGCCGTCGTCGCGTTGGATTTCATGAAAAAACTGGATGTCGTGCGGAATTTGGAGCCCGAAGACCGCGAGCTCCTTCTGATTCCGTCGTTCCTCAAAAACGCGCTACTCGAAAACGCGATGAGGGCGAAGCGGCTAAAAGTGGAAGAGGCACGGTTTCCGGACGGATCCGACGTGCTGCCCGTCGATGCGCCATGCTTTCCCGCCTATTTTCTGAATCGGATTCGCTGCCGACTGGTTGGAAGGCTCATTGAGCTGAAAGTGACAACGGAGGAGTTCCTGCTCGTCAGCGTCATTCTGTTGTGCAATCCAAGTGAGCAAACTATATGATTTTTGGACGACAAAAACACCTGTTTTGCCACAATTTATTGTGTTCTTGCAGCACTCTCCTCGCTCTCCGCTCACGCAATCACCGTCATCGAAGCGTATCAGAAGGTGTACACGAACGCGCTGCTCCAACACTGCCTGCTCACTCATCAACAGTTCGGTCCGTCCCGATGCCAAGACCTTCTATCGCTGTGTCACGTCATCGAAAAGACATTGGAGGATTGTACACATTACTGGATGCTTTTCTTCCTTGAAAAAGAGAAAAATGGGACGGCATTCGTTTGTGACCGATAATATTTGTATAATAACGATAGGAAATGAAGTCATCGTAGTCTCAAATACCTTTTTACACCTAGCCGACGAATGCCAACCTCAATCAATCAGAACATCACAGATTCCTCCGATCCTTATGCTAATCGTGTTGAGGGCTTCCATGAGTACATTTTCTGAAAAAAAATAGACAAATTTGCAATACTTTTCAGGTTTTCAATCCACTTTTTTTGCACTTTTGTTTGCCATTCCTTCAATACGGCCGACTTTGTCCCCTTTAAAGCCGGACTCAATTTTGAAATGATAAATCGTTATATGCTCTGAAATATGTTGACAATCGATCAAAATTCCCTCTTGTGAAAATTCGAAAGCAAGCGCCTCGATATGGATTTTGACAGAAATGGCCGTGGCCTAAGTGGAAACCAGAGTTGGGCGGAAATGGAATTTTGAAATCCGGAAGACGGAAGAAAACCTTTTTTCCCGGAAGGCGGAAGACGGAAGACGGAACAAAAAAACCACGGAAGACGGAAGACGGAAGAAAAATTTTTACGGAAGACGGAAGAAAACCTTTTTTCCCGGAAGGCGGAAGACGGAAGACGGAACAAAAAACCACGGAAGACGGAAGACGGAAGAAAAATTTTTACGGAAGACGGAAGAAAACCTTTTTTCCCGAAAGACGGAAGACGGAAGACGGAACAAAAAACCGCGGAAGACGGAAGACGGAAGACGGAATTCCGCTCAACACTGGTGGAATCCTAGGCCATCCGAGTCAATTTTTTTTGTTGCGTTTTTCACTCGTCTTCACAATGGAAAATACTTATTCGCCCTCCATTCGCCGCCGGTACCGAGAAGCGTGCAAGAATGGAAAGGCGGTTAGTCGCAAGGGTTCACTTCGAAGCGATCAGACGGTCAAATTAGCAATTCTCATGTCCCAAAGGGATAATCACACCCTTCACGCTAATTTCGGGGCTCGTGAAGGCACAAAATCACAAGTTTTCGGTATTTTTTCTTCACCTAATTCATACTTTTTCTTTCGCAGAATCAGAATCAGCATTTCTTCCCATTTCTGCTGCTTTGGCGCTTCTGGCCGATGCACCATCTTTTCACTCGTTTTGCACATCCACCGATGCACCATGCGACGCTTGAAAGCTTCCCAATGTGCTTTTCACTCCTGTTGGACATGCTATTGCCCGATGCACCATGTGAAGTATCCTTTTCCTGTATTTCTACAAGCTACCTAATTGGTCGATTTTCTGGGTCGATGCACCCTCCTTTGGCGTAACATTTGGCCGATGCACCATGGCTTCTAGCCTAATGCACCATAACTTCCTTAAAGTATTGCAGATGGACGCGGCGCTTCTCTCCACACCGCCTGTTCCGCTCGTTCCCCAACCGCCGGAACCGCCCGTCATTAAACTTTTCAAAGCGGTTCTTGCCCGATTCTCCGATGGTCCCAACTTTTTCGCCGTCTACTGTATCCTGTTCCCAATCTTCGCCGTCGCCTGGCTCATCACTCTTTTCCGCTTCGTCAACACGTTTTTGGCGCCGAAAAAGTTGAGTCCGAAGGGCTTGAAGAACGCGTGGATCGCCACATGCATCAGCGTCATCTTTCTGCATCTGACGGTCGTCTGGACTGCCACAAAATTGATGTTTTCTACGGTTTCCGTCACTTTTGAGGTCGGTTGTGCGCAAAAAGTTAACACTCTTCAGAAATGTGCTTATAACTTTGGAATTACACTTTTTTACAAGAAATGAGCTATTACAAAGTTGATCAGCAGAAAATTTCCTACATTTTTCAAGTTTACCACTTTTCAAAACAACCACAGATTTTTGAGAAAAAGTTTGTGGAGTAGCTGAGCGCGCACTTTAGAAAACTTTAAATATCTCGATTCAGGTGCATCGGTTCAACAAAGTGTCAATTGCAAAGTTATAGAGCGTAAAATTATCTATAAATTTGTTTTTTAACTTTTGAAAAATCGCCGCAATTGACCAAGATACAAAGGATTAAAGTAAACTGTTTCGCTTGAGTCAAATAATAGTTTGCAGTTCGCCGCCCTGATCATCATATTCATCTTCTGCCACGTCTACATCTGCTCAATGGCGATCCTCTGGCAAAACGACGAGTACACTCTCGACATAGATCATTACATTTGTGTGAACCTGATCGTCCACTCCCTCTTCCTCCTCATCTCGATCCTCCACGTCATTATTCTCCTTTGCACCGTTTCCGATTACTTTCTCATCTTCATCGTCGTACTTTTGGCCACCGAATTGGTCTTCGGAAGATGCACCGCTCACGCATGCGTCTGTGCGTACCATCTCGTCAAAAACCGCAATTTGCTCGTGTGGGAGAACGGAAAAATGACGGGAATGCTGTACTTTGTGCGTGGCGAGTGGGCGTTTATCGACAAGAGCGTCACGGATTTCGTCGAGTGTCACACCAGAGACTGGTTCTACTATAGCAGGAATTCGGGCGGTGCGCTGCCGTGAGCACTTCTGTCTAGTATGGTCGATGCACCATGTTCCCTCACTATTTTTTGAGAAAATTGGCCGATGCACCATGCTTTTGCACTATTATTTGGCTTCTCTAACCCATAATTTGGATGTTTGCGTTGTTTTCATGTTTTCACTCCTACTTTCATATTTGGGCCGATGCACCATGTGTCACCACTACTTTCTGGTCTCTCTAACCCATGGCCGATGCACCATGTGACTTCTAGATTTGTTCGACTTCTCCCAACTCACTCCCTTGAAATTCCTTGGTGAACATCAATTTTTGGGCCGATACTTTGGGCCTATTCATATTTTTTAAACGTCCTCTTATTTTGTACCTCATTTATTCTCTTTTTACCACACGAACTTTACTTATCCAAATGAATCGTTTTATTTTTGGCCGACGCGTCGTCATGTGAATCATACGTTTCATGAAAGTCTAGACACCTCTCAATTAGTCCTCCCTCCGACTTGTTGTTTTTGTGGTCGGCCGATGCACCATGTGGTGAGCGGTCCCTGGAGGTTAATCACACCTTTCTTCTTCTTCTTCTTCCTCTTCTACTGACTCATTTTCACAACTTTTCCGGTTTGGTTCCTAATCAGTTGGACTCTGCTTCTTTTTTTTTTCAGAAAATGCTACTGATCCAGTGGATTCACTCGAAACTTGTTGAGATCTTCTACTTGCTGGTGGCACTCGTCTACTCCTACTTGTTGTTCCAATTGTGTTCCCGTCTGAACCTAGAAGACGACAATATCAACGGCTACGTTTTCGTCGTGTTGCTCTAATAAACGTTTTTTTTTCGATGAACGCTGTCCCGGGTGCGTTAGAACAGACGCACCGGGTATGTGGGACATTTGACAATCCCGGCCGATGCACCATGTTCCAGTTGGTTCCAGTGTTGAGCGGAATTCCGTCTTCCGTCTTCCGTCTTCCGTCTTCCGTCTTCCGTCTTCCGTCTTCCGTCATCCGTCTTCCGTCTTCCGTCTTCCGCCTTCCGTCATCCGTGGTCTTTTTGTTCCGTCTTCCGTCTTCCGTCTTCCGGGAAAAAGGTTTTTTTCCGTCTTCCGTCTTCCGGATTTCAAAATTCTATTTCCGCTCAACTCTGGTTGGTTCCTAGGTTCAACAGTCACATCTTCGGAACTTATTGCGCTTCTCATAGTCAGAGAGTGCAAGTTTTCAGCTTTTCGAGTAGGCTCATTACGGATGCACTACTAACCTATCCGATAAAAGTGCACACGTCCATCGTCCAGCCGCGTGACTTCTAATTCCCTGATTACTCGCATCTTCATGAAGGCAATTAAGCTCCGCCCCTTTTTTCTTCGTATATAGCTGAAGCTGATCGCCGCGCCGTCCCATTCTCGACGTGCTGCTTCCGATGGATTCACTGTTCAAACTGGTTTGTGAGCGGAGGAAACCGGATCCGTGCGCTCAACTCGAGAGGACCGTGCAACTCGTGCTCGTATTCGTGCTCCTCATAATCCTCTGCACGATTGTCTGTGCTGCTTGCTATTTCTTGAAGATGATCACAACTCGAGCGGTTCGAATAGGCGTTGAGTACATGATAAAACGAGAAAAAAACTCGGAAATATCTGATTCATGAAAATGTGGCGTACTTGATTCATTTTGTTGCTAATAAACAGTTTACGAACAATATGTGTTGAAGACTTTGCTGGCCGATGCACCATGTTCTTGTCGGATCCTCGGCCAGCTCCTCAAAACGTCAAGTTCTTTTCAGAATCCTCAAATAGGCTCGTACATCCAAATGTTCAGTTGGCCGAACTTTGTCGGATCCTAGGCCAGCTCCTCAAAACGACAAGTTCTTTTCAGAATCCTCAAATAGGCTCGTACATCCAAATGTTCAGTTGGCCGAACTTTGTCGGATCCTAGGCCAGCTCCTCAAAACGTCAAGTTCTTTTCAGAATCCTCAAATAGGCTCGTACATCCAAGTGTTCAGTTGGCCGAACTTTGTCGGATTCTAGGCCATCCATCTTTGGACCCAGTGATCTTCTCAGAAAGGGCAAACTCGCCGCCGATGCACCATACGAACCTATCCGATAAAAGTGCACAAAACCACACTTTGTTGTCTCTATCCTTGAGCCTCGTGGCTTCCAACTTATTACTCACATCCTAATGCAGGAAAATAGGCGCCGCCCCTTTTCGTAGGTATAATAGGTGGCTCCGAATCACTTCTTCTCACATTTTCTTCTTTTCCTTTTCTCGAAAACACTCTCTAAATGTCTGTTTTTTCAGTGAAAAATGGTCGCACTTCTGCTGGCAGTCGTCGGCACAGTCGGACTCTTCGTCTCGTGGTTTTTTGGCTTCCTCCACTTCTCCGACCGATTTATGATGCCGAAGAAAATGACGCCGAAGAAACTGATCAAAGGAACGATTGCCGAACTCGTCAGCTTCGTTTTGATGTACTTGACCTTCTGTTGGGGCGTCAAAATGCAAAGTGTGAGTTTCTAGGACCCATATCTTGGCAACCAGTGATTTTATCGAAAATTTGTAAACTGAGAAAATGTGGCAAATTTTGTGCTGAACAATTTTTGTGTTGAACATTCTACTCCAAAATTTTTTATTCTTGAGTTAAGAGCCCAACACTCTACGGCTCCACAAAATAGAAGCAAGTTCGGAAAAACACTCATAACTCAAAAACCCAACGTTTTAGAACAAAATGCTCAACTAGAATGTTGTAGAGCATAAAATTTCCTACATCTTTTTAGTTGACCGCTTTGCAAAACAACAATTAGTACTCAAGATACAAGCTACTAAACTTTCAGCTCTTCCTGTTCATCGCCTTCTTCATCTTCCTGCACTTCTACATATTCTTTCTGAAATTCAGCAATCAACGCAAGGAATACCGATTGAGACTTCCGTTATCATCGACTCCTCTTCGACTCTACAGAATTTCCATCAGTTTTTTCCTTTCCCTAATCCATTTCCTTCTACTTTTCCACCCATTTCAACTCACAACTATTGTCGGTCACATCTTCTTGTCCACCTTTTTTATTCCATTTTTTTCAGTCCTCCACATTTACGCTCATTTCCTAATCTCCAATGTTTGGCGGCTCTCAAAAGCGTACCGTTTAGAGATTTGGGCGGATTCTAAGCACGTTGGCGACCTTTTGTACCTTAATCAGGAATGGATCGCGTTTAGTATTGGAGCGGAGGCCAATTTCAGTAGACTTGGGGAGAGCGGGCGAGAGCCGGAACCAGTCGTTCAGCTGGAACTCGCCGAGGATCCAATCGTCCGATACTTTGCGAACCCCACACATCAACTCGAGGTTTAAACGAATATTGTAGAGTTCTATTCTTTATCGTGGTCTATATTGTCTTCGTATTATTGTATTTCCTCATTTATCGCCCTCTCGTCTATTCCTCAATTATTGTAGTTTTTTTTGTGAATTCCCAGTAATAAACTATTGTAAGACATGTACTGAGACTTGAATAACCGAAAACCTGAAGAAAAGACTAGAAAGTCGTCGAAAAGTGCAATCGTTCAGAGCAAACACCGGCGGACGTCAAGAGCAGGAGTCAGACGGCGGAAGAGGTTCATTAGCAACTCCCCAATTCCCAATTGTTATCGAAAAAGCGAGAAACGGATAATGTCACGTGCCTTCTGATCAGTTGACCGGCTCATTCGGTGTGCTCTTTCTGGGAGCGTGCGGTCGTATCCGGTTGAGCTCTCAAAGCTCTTCTAGAGTGGCTCGAACATTGCGTTGGCCAATGCACCATGTCTCATTGTGCACCACATAGTTTTTCCTCATCCGCTCCTCAATTTTCTGCTCATCTCCTCATCAGTTCCGTTCCGTTTCTCCTTCCAACCCGTCTGGCCGATGCACCATACCTCTTCCTTCCAGAACATGGACTACCAGTCCGTCTTCTTGCTCCCAGACAGCCCGTTCTTCGATGAACTCGAATTCGTCGTCGGCCTCGTCGCCGATCACAAAGCGGCCGCGTTTCTGTGCTTCCTCGGAGCTCTCACATTCATTTTTCTGTACGCGAAGTGCTTCAAACGCTTCGCCCACGCGTGGTTCATCCCGAAACAAGCGACCATCGACTCTCACATGATCACCCTCATCAACCTCTTCATCACCATCGTAATGCACCATTACGCCGGCGTTTGGCTCATCCGTCTCGGAGATCTGGTTAGTTGCACTTCTTTGCCACGTATCTCGGGTGGTTTTGAGGATTTTTTCAATGTTAAAAAACAAATCGACAGATAATTTCATGCTCTACAACTTTCTAGTTGACCATTTTTCAAGAGCGTAAACCTGCGCTGAGATATTTTAGTTTTTCTAAAGTGACTCACTCCTACACCTTTAGAAAAGTGAACTTTAGTAAGCGTGAGTAAGCTCAAGCTTCATTAGGAAAAGTTCACAACTACAAAGTTGTAGCCTAGAAAATTAGCCGTCGACTCACTGTATAATCATCAAAAATCATTCACTTTTGATGATTTTGATGTTGATTGATGAGAGAGAGATACAAAGTACATTGAGTCTTTTCAGTTCAACTACCTCCCGATCGTGCTGCTCATCGCCGTTCATCTTTCCTACATCTGTCACATCCGCTTCGTCCACTTCTACAAAATGACGTCGAACCCCCAGACGTTCCCGAAACACGTGCGCGTCAGCCCGATTGCCATCTGGATCTTCGTGCTCATCGCCACCGCCATCCACATCGCCATCCTGTACCCGGCCGCCGGCTCCGACGACGCCCAATATATCCTGTTCAACTGCTCCGTCGCCTACGAACTCGTGCTTCAGCTCATCACCGGATTGGTCCTCGGTCCCCTGCTGACCACCATCAAGGTCTGCCTCAACACCCCCCTCGTCAGTGGACAACGAGACGACTCGTACGCGGAGAGCATCCTCGAGCTCAGCGTCGTCAGCGTGCAGAATCTGTCGAGCGCCACGGTCCCTGGCGCAGCCCAAAGACCGTCTCCGATCGAGCTGAACACCCTCAACCTCATGGACGTTATTTGAGATACCTGGAAATGTAGACAAACTTTTAACGTTACTGACAGCGTTCCGACACTTTCCATACTCTTCAAAATGTTTTACTGTACTTTTCCTGTTGATAACGCTTTTCTAGAATCTCTTCCTGGAGTACTGTAGTCCTTTGAATTTGGTGGTTTGCATTTCAACGCCAACTTCGGTGAGCTACAGTACCCCGGGAAGTGGTTGTAGGAAGAAGTGATCAACAGGAAAAATAATGTGCTAGACGTCATTATCCTACACAAAATGTTTCGAACCACTACTACTTTCTCTAATCGTACAGTATCCCCGTCAAAGTTTGTCGTTTCAAGTTTCTCCGTTGACCGAACGTTTATTCAATAAATCCACACATATACCATATCATTTCTCTGAGAAGACATCCATGACGTCTTGGTTTTGAAGTGTCAAGTTTTGGACTTCAGATGACACTTCAGACGACGTCAAATTCTTGGAATCGTGTTCACCGAAAGAACATTTCATTCTGAAACTGGTTAACGACGTGGTTTTTCTTCATTGTTGCCGATTTAAAAGACGACAAATACATGGATAAAGGAGGAGAAAAAGACATTGTGTCCAAATCAGGCCGAAAAAGTTCAGGCAAAAAGGGCTTGGGTCTCGTGGGAAACCGGATAGACCTTGTGTTGAATGGGCTTCTCCACCGGCTTTGGCTCTTCATAAATGACCCGCGCCCACTGTCCACCCTCATTTCTCGTCCATTCGCCAGTGATTTTGGCGTCGACGACAATCAAAAGTTGCTCGGAACGCACAAAACGACGAAGACGGCGGCACAAACAGAAGGTCATGTTGAGGTAAGCGACGAAAGCGAAAAAGTTGACGAGGAAGTCAGAATCACACTTTTCGGGGAGGGCGTCGGGGAAACTGTGGGTGGCGAGCGTGAGAAGGAGGACAGAGGCGGTGAAAAAGAGGAGATTCTGGAGGAAATTATGAGGTTGCGGGCCGGGCACTTTCAGTTTGGAACGATAATAGATGACGAGGCACCAGACGAGCACGTGACAGTTGAACATGACGATCATCGCCGCGAGAGTCTGGAAAAGTACGCTTTTTGTACAGAGCGGCAAATTCTGACGTTTCTATCGAGATGATTAGTGTTATTTCATGTAGAAGTTTGAGCTGATCACGGTTAACAATCTAGCACGGAACCCCAGCCTTCCCAATAAAAAATTCCCTTGGCGCAATTCACGTGCGCTAAACAAGGCGCGTAACGCGTAATTCCGGAGCGTCGTTGTAGAGTTTCTCATTTCAATTTTCCCTTTTTTTTGCATTATCCCCATCTTTTCAGAAGCAATCAGTGTCAAAACTTATGATAATGATTAGAAATGAATAAAATATGAAATGTTAACTGCTTTGTCATCAATTTCGAAACGTTTTATGTGAAAATTACGGAATTTTTTCCAAATTTGCCTCAATTATCTAAAAAAAATTTGCCTCAATTATCTCAATTCTGTATATTTTTCGACAGTTGAGCGCTTAAAAGATGCGCAATAAACTCCTTGTTGACTGGACGGTTCGAATGCCAGTGTCCGAACTCGATTCGGCAAATAATTGTTAAAACTCTGTTTTTTTTTCAGTAGTTTTCGACAAAATCCCTCAATTTGGTCAATTCTGAACGAATCTGCTCCGTTTCGCGCTTAAATGCGCGCTGCGCATTTTTTTTATGCTTTTAACTCAGAAAATCGCCCCTACGGTTCGGAAAGAACAAAATTTGAGTGCTTATTAAGAGAAAAACCAAAGAATTCTAGTTTTCAATTGAAAAAAGAAACTCCGAGTGGATGCAAGCGCGCCCCATTGACAACTCGCTTGCGCATTGGAATGCTGCCACGGTCTCCAGAGCTGACAATGAGCGCAAGTGCGCCCCGCCCAGTAGAGCGATACATTGGCGCGAAATTCAAATTTTAACAGCAAAATTTGTGTTTTTTGGCAGATTTGCCACGAAAAACCGATAATTTTTCATTTGTCTCTCGATAGACCAATTGTATAGGCTATTACAATTTTTTTAAGCGCAAGAGCGTTAAATTTGGTCAATTCGCAAATCACATTGATCCGTTTGAAGGTTTTTGGCTAAAACTGCGTGAATTTCAGTTGCTTTTTGGTAGTTTTCGCGGTTCGAGCGCTCAAAATGCTTATATTTACGTGATTTATTGTTCTCAAACCCAATTCTGTCTGAAAACGGCCAAGAAAGCGCAAAATGAGAAGTGCGGTTTTTAGGCGGCGATCGGCGGCGAAGACGAAAAAGCAAAGTCCGCGAAAAATGCGCCAAAACGTCATTAATTCTGAGAATTAGTGTGTTTTCATGTCGAACAATCATTTTTCATCGCCTTTGACCACAAAAATCAGAGAAAACCTGCTCAATTCATGAAAACGCCATTTGGCCGCCGAGGCCACGCCCATATTGTCAGCTCTGGAGACTGTGTGCTGGGGTTCCGTGTCTAGTTTTAATGAAATTTGACAAATTTCACCTGAGGTTTTGTGAACATGCACAATCCGAGGAAGATCTCGAATCCGACAGTGCAAACGATGAGCCCGACTCGTGCGGCGATCATCATGTGACGCGAGATTGTGCGTGGAACACAGCACCAGAAGAAGAGGACGACGAACGAGATGTAGGCGAGGATCATGAGAAGAATGATGGAAATACAGATGGCAAAGAGCACTTTGTTGGCCGGCATTTCAAAGTTTTCGAGGAGCGACGGTGTCTCGACGTACGTCGAACTTCCGTGAACGGTTTGACAGATTTTCGAGAGGAATGTTTCAGGATCTCCCGAAGAAATGTTCATGTTAGAGTAGTGGAAGTCTGGCGAACCGAACAAGAATAAAAGAAGGAGAAGAAGAAGAAGAAGAAGAAGTTTGGCGCGGCTCGACGGAGCCTATCGATTTCTCTGCGTCTTTCTCTGAGAAAAGCGCAGATGATGTAGGCGCCCGACACCTCCAATTAAATCAAAATAATAATAATAACCTACTTCTCTTGCACATGTGAGCTTTGGCTTCACTCTTTTTTTTTTTTGCGCTTGACGCACAAAGTTTGAGCCGATCATCTGGAGACTGCGAATTTCGGAATCATGTCATCGAATCATTTTTTTGTGACGTCTTCGGCCTTCACAAGACGATTAATAAGGGCGCGAATTGTGTGAAATCGGATACTCGTACGCCACAATGAGTATCAAATGTCGTGTATTCGATCGGAGAAGTTCGCTGGAAATTCAGATTTTGAGTCCATGATCAGAATAAACAGAACTTTGCTCAAATTTAATCAAAAGCCACCTGAAATGGAGCTTTCCCACTTGGAGATTGTTAAACTCGAGTTTAGGATGGAAAAACAAAAAGTTTTGAGATAGATCATGTCATACTTTTATCAACTTTGATGTTTCACGTCATTCCGACGTCTTCCGAAGACGTTCAGAAGACATGAAGAACTTGGAAATTTACATGAAATCTTTACGCATTATATTTCTTCTTAAACTCGCCAATAACACATCACGATTTTTGTCAATTATATTCAGGGTTTGGGGGCGTACACTACAGTTGTCAAACTTTGAACAAACAACTGCCACGAATAGCAGAAGTACAGAATGAGACAGAAAAGATGACAGAAAAGACGGATTTTCAGTGTTTTTGGGGGCAAATTGCGAGAAGGACGATGGCAATGTTGATGGAAATTATGATGAGGTAGAGAAGGTTCTCGATTGGGCCCGGACGAGTCGACGCGATTGTCTGCAATTGCATTTATAAAACAAGAGAGTCTAAAAAATGCGCTCTGCTCACCGTATCGCCTCTCCAAAACAGTTCACAAGCCAGGCTCCAAAGTTGCCCACATTCATTCCGATTTCACATGCGATGAGCCGACGTCGCGACACGTTTGTGGGCACACAAAGCTGCAGAATCTTCCAGAGGATCCAGTAGAATGCGAAAATGACGAAAATGTCGATAGATTCGGCGTCTCCGTGTACGTGGCATTTCCGTGCACAATTTGAACGCACGAAAAAGAGCGAAACGAAGAAGAAGAAGAGGAGGCGAGCTCGAGGAGGGTGACAGTTTCTTCTAGACGATGTATATCAGTTGCCGGGTGAGCTATCAAAAAGTGTTCAACTACAAACTTGTTCAAAAAGACATTTTCTTCATTTTATCAGTTGACCACATTTTGATATCTTTAGCGGCAGCGGAGATACAACGCGTTTTACCTAGTGACCGCTCTTTGATCCCTTGAAACTCGTTCCGTCCGGCTCCACAACTTCCGTCAGCTTCTCCTCAAATCCCCAACCGTTCCTAACCACTGCGCCAATAACTTGCCCGTTCTCGACTATTGGAAAATCGCCAATAATCGCGACAAACACGATGACGGCCAACGAGAATGCCTCGAAAAGACACATGTGAGTGATGTAGGCGAAGAGCACGCCGATCGGCACCGTCCAGGCCGTCAATCCGGGCACACAGGCGGGGAAAAGACGGGCGGCCGCACGGAACGGAGCCGCGAAATCCAGCCAGAACGTCGTGTGGAAGAAGATTGAGGAGTGCGCGAAGAGGCCCGGGCAAAGCGTCGACGGAAGACGAATGTGCAGGACGACGGAACGGTGGGCCAGGCAGGCGAGGTGCATGTGCAGGCCGAGCACAATGAGCAAGACGGACAGGGCCATGTGGTACTGTAACACTTGCACAGTGATTTCCAGCAATTTTGACGACGAAATATTGAGCAAGTTTATCTAATTTCCGGGAAGTTTGACCCAATTTTTTTGAAACTCACCACATTTTGTGGATGATCGTCCGGTAGACACGGAAAACTGATCGGATGGGTGCAAATGATGAGTCCGACGCACGAGAATAGGTGGCTTGACACGAGGATCCGAACGGACCGACGTTCCCGCGGCGAATCCGTCCGTCTCATCAACGTTTTCATGAAAATGTGATAGTATCCGATGAGGATCGGAATGACGGCGACCGTCAAAATCAGGGCTTCGACGGGAAAGCGGTGGGAGTCCATTTTCAAAGTGATTTGATAAGTATAGGAATGAAAACTTTGTGTAAAGGTGGGCCACGCCCACTTCAAATGCTCAGATATAATCGCTGGCCTCGACAATCAATCTTTATTCACTCAAACTCGGATGTTTTCGAGTAACTATCCTTATTCGGCATTTCCAACATGCCTTTCAATTTCTTCAGAATCATCAGCATACAAACAAAGTTGCGGACGGAGAAGAAAGTGTAGTAGGAGAGGCAGAGAAAGTAGGCGAATAGGCGATAGACAATATCAATGTCACAGTAGGAAACGGGCATTTTCTTCGTGATTCGGAGCGAGAGAAGGACGAGCGAAATGAGCAGACTGATGATATTTGTGGTGCGGGCGGGGGAGCTGGGAGCCACGTCGCTTTTGTTGACGGCAATGAAGCATTGCGTGGGCACGTGCATGACGAGGCAGAGGCCGCCGCAGAGCATTCCGGCCAGTCGACCGTACTGGAACAGTTTTAGTTTTTGGGATTCGACCGACATTTAAGTACCGATCCTTCTAGATGATATATCTCGGCTGCTGGTAGAGATATAAAAAAGAAGTCAATTAGAAAATTGTTTAGAAAGATATCGACAACATTTTATTAGTTGGCCACTTTTTGATATCTCGAAACACAGCTGAGATATATTGCTTTAAAGAAAGGGCAGCGGGTTGTGACCCCTTCTCGGCTCCACCACTATTGTAAACTCACCGGAAAGCCGTCCGGATCCGAGACGTGCCTCGAAATAAAAATGAACGTTGTAAGTTGGGCGGTCGAAAGCACGTAGGACAATAAAATCGCTTTCCAACCGCTTTTCACCTCCCATTGCGTGAAAATCCACGAGATTCCCGAATAGGAGAATATCAGAAGGGAAACGACCAGAAAGATGGAGAAGAAGAAGAAGTACGGAGTGGGAAACAGACCCGATTCGGCGGCGACGAACGGCGAATCGCCGGCGATCATTTGACAAATCGCCTCCGCCGCCATTTCGGTTTTCCGGGCCACAATGACCGTTTTCGGCTGAAACTCGTTTTCAGAGAAAATGGAGCCACACCCCCCTCCCTACCGTAATCCTTGTCAAACGTGCAATTTAGGCACCAATTTTGACAAACTTTAGAGAGAGAGAGAAATGTGAAATGTAATTGCGGAGCGTCAAAGTTTGCATAATTGCTCGAAAATTTGGTTCAGCTGTTTTGGAGCAGACTTGCCAAATCCCGGGCCGGGCCAGCAAATCGTAGGCCCGGCCCGGCCCGGTCGGCCCGGAAGTTAGACCTCAAAAAAATATGCAAAAAAAATATGAAGGAAGAGGAAAACGCGTGCGGCGAAATTGCTAAAATGGCGTGCCAGAGTTGCAATCAATCGCTCCGCCCACTCTTGAGAAAATTTTCGTAATTTTTGTGAACATTTTGCGACTTTAAACAGCAATTTCTATTTTTTAACAGGTTTTTATGCTATAACATTGCCTTTTTCGTCTTTTTTTCCATTTCTGCTGGTTTTTACAATGAAAATTATGTTCGTTTCGAAGTTCTAGTTCGCTTTGAATTTTTAGGTGCATCCTCCCGGGCTGGGCCGGGCCGGGCCGGAAAATTTCCAATTTTGGCCCGGCCCGGCCCGTTGCAAGTCTGTTTTGGAGAATGGTGAATCATTGCGAACTTGTACGGGTGGATGGAGACCTGGAACGTGGCTGTTTTTTGCTGTTTTCGCCCAACTTTACCCGCTTTTGAAACACTTTCCCTCAAAAAATTGTTGACCGTTTGCAGCTCAAAGCCGAGGCCTGAATTGAAGGCTCATGACTTGCTTCTAGAAGTCATGACCCCGGAATACAGGCCTCGAACATTTTTGAGTTTTGGTCACCTACCGAATCCTGGCCGAAATATGCAAAAAGGCGCAGTGTCGATGCACAGACACCCGCCGAGATTGCTTGCAAACAATGAATGACACGTGGCAAGTGCGGAACGTGACACGAATTTGGGAAAGCATCGGCAAATGAGTCGTTTGAAAAGGCAATAGTAGTAGAAAAAAAATCGGAGGGGTCCGGCTGATATTGTGCCTTTTCGGCCAGGTTTTGAGAGGAAAATGGACTCATTTTAGACGGGCTTTCGAAGTATTTTAGTACACTGCCGGTCATAATTATAGGTTCACTTCAATTTTTCAAATATTTCGAAAACTAGGCACTGTATTCAAAAAAGTTCTTAAAGGGATTTTCGGTCACCCAAGGTACCACAAATGTACAAACTAAACCATTCGACTTCAGTGAGAAATTTTCCAAAAATCGTGATTTCTCGAAAAAGTGACTTTAGCGGTTGGTCATAATTATAGGTTCACCACTGAAATTAACCAGAGGGTCAACTGAATAATTTTTAATTTTAGCCATAACGTCTTCTAAGACTGATTATGACCGTTTTACATCGATTTCCGACAAGCTTCTCGGTTCCCTGATTTTTTGAACCAACTTTCATTGAGTTTTGGGTCAATCATAACTTTTCGTCTTAAAATCGAACCTAACTTCGGTTTTTGGCCGGACGACAACAGGATCATTCTGGAATGAGTATTTAGTGAGGTTTTGTGAAGTTTCATTGAGAACTTACGAGAATTTGATATCTTTTTCTAATGTTGAAGTGCTTTGGTCGACTAGTCCCAAGTAAGTTTACATCTGGTTTTTGCTCAAATTTGGAGCAATCTCTGAGAGACTCGACGGCAACATGAAGGACCCAACCAACAATGCACTTGCCAAGTTTGGTACGAATCCGATCATTCTGACCAAACTTCGGAGACGGTTGTCAGTTTCGATCCCTCAAAAAATGCAGAAAAATTTCATGCTCTGGATTTGCTCGGGACTAGGGGGGAATGAAAGGCCCTATAAAGGGTAAAAAACGCAAAAAAGGTTTCATCTCTGTTTTGGTGTTTAGCCGAGATATGATCAAAAGTATGAAAAAACGGTACATCTTTTCCGAAAAGCCGCATCTCCGTCAATTTTTGAGTAAAACACTCGGTAAAAAAAGGAAAATGTAGCTAATGAGATGGTCTTTAAGCATACAATTGATTATCTTTGACGAAACAAATTCTTAAAAGAGATATTCAACAAAATATGAAAACGTTTGTACTTATGTACACTATTTTGCGAATACAGTTTGACGGGACTATCACCATTAGATCCAGCGTCCAAAATAAGGGCCGTATGCAAACATTTTGCCTTGGGAAATCGCTTTGACGGAAAAAAAGTTATCGACAATATGCTTTGCCCCTGTTTTCTTGTGGTTCTGTCTGTTTGCTAGCCTGTATCTCCTCAACCGGTAGAGATATCAACACGTTGTCAACTGTAAAGTTAAAGGTACATGTCCAAGCTATAAAACTTTAGTTGAACGCTTTTTGATATCTCTACTCGTTCACAAGTTATGGCCGTTTCCGAGTGATCACTCTAAAACTGATATTATCGAATTCAAGGAGTGGTCCTACAATTTTGGTCTCAACATAAAAAATGCTCAATAAGAGGCTAGACATCAAATGTCGTTTAGCCTGTGTTGATCCGATCTCTTTCGAAATATTTTATGACTCATGCTTGTTTCGAACACCCTTCTCTACTTGACGGTAGGAGAGTCACACTTCGAAAGAGATCGGATGAACACAGGCTGAACGACATTTGATGTCTAGCCTCTTATTGAGCATTTTTTATGTTGAGACCAAAATTGTAGGACCACTCCTTGAATTCGATAATATCAGTTTTAGAGTGATCACTCGGAAACGGCCATAACTTGTGAACGAGTAGAGATATCAAAAAGCGTTCAACTAAAGTTTTATAGCTTGGACATGTACCTTTAACTTTACAGTTGACAACGTGTTGATATCTCTACCGGTTGAGGAGATACAGGCTAGCAAACAGACAGAACCACAAGAAAACAGGGGCAAAGCATATTGTCGATAACTTTTTTTCCGTCAAAGCGATTTCCCAAGGCAAAATGTTTGCATACGGCCCTTATTTTGGACGCTGGATCTAATGGTGATAGTCCCGTCAAACTGTATTCGCAAAATAGTGTACATAAGTACAAACGTTTTCATATTTTGTTGAATATCTCTTTTAAGAATTTGTTTCGTCAAAGATAATCAATTGTATGCTTAAAGACCATCTCATTAGCTACATTTTCCTTTTTTTACCGAGTGTTTTACTCAAAAATTGACGGAGATGCGGCTTTTTCGGAAAAAGATGTACCGTTTTTTCATACTTTTGATCATATCTCGGCTAAACACCAAAACAGAGATGAAACCTTTTTGCGTTTTTTTACCCTTTATAGGGCCTTTCATTCCCCCCTAGTCCCGAGCAAATCCAGAGCATGAAATTTTTCTGCATTTTTTGAAGGATCGAAACTGACAACCGTCTCCGAAGTTTGGTCAGAATGATCGGATTCGTACCAAACTTGGCAAGTGCATTGTTGGTTGGGTCCTTCATGTTGCCGTCAAGTCTCTCAGAGATTGCTCCAAATTTGAGCAAAAACCAGATGTAAACTTACTTGGGACTAGTCGACCAAAGCACTTCAACATTAGAAAAAGATATCAAATTCTCGTAAGTTCTCAATGAAACTTCACAAAACCTCACTAAATACTCATTCCAGAATGATCCTGTTGTCGTCCGGCCAAAAAACCGAAGTTAGGTTCGATTTTAAGACGAAAAGTTATGATTGACCCAAAACTCAATGAAAGTTGGTTCAAAAAATCAGGGAACCGAGAAGCTTGTCGGAAATCGATGTAAAACGGTCATAATCAGTCTTAGAAGACGTTATGGCTAAAATTAAAAATTATTCAGTTGACCCTCTGGTTAATTTCAGTGGTGAACCTATAATTATGACCAACCGCTAAAGTCACTTTTTCGAGAAATCACGATTTTTGGAAAATTTCTCACTGAAGTCGAATGGTTTAGTTTGTACATTTGTGGTACCTTGGGTGACCGAAAATCCCTTTAAGAACTTTTTTGAATACAGTGCCTAGTTTTCGAAATATTTGAAAAATTGAAGTGAACCTATAATTATGACCGGCAGTGTATAAAGCTCTTTTTATACGCGACCAGAGCTCACGCCCACAAAAATTTGAAAGGGGAAGTGTGGGCGTCGTCATGGAAATCCATTTTGTTTTCCGGTTGATATCATATGCGTGTTACGAATTTGTGCAAAAGTTCATTGAGCCATGTTCCTCGGGCTTAATGATATATACGTAGCAGAGATGTTGGGAATAAACATTTTACTCTACGGAACACGGAACACGGAAAACGGAAATTTTTTTTTACGGAACACTGAACACGGAACACGGAAATTTTTTTTTTACGAAACACGGAACACGGAAAATTTTTTTTTTACGGAACACGGAAAAAAGCGTTTTCAAGAGAATTCCAGTGATTTTTTTTAAAAATAATGTTTTGTTTAATTCGATTATCTGACTGACAAGGCAGCTGTTTGACTCATGTGAAAGTTTTACTGAAAATTTCATAAAAATAACAAAACCAACAACACAACAGTAAACAACTACAGTAAAAAACGACTGAAAATGGAATCCACTTTTCACGAATATGGTCCGAATCCGAAAATTTTCAAATTTTGACCACAAAACGTCAATTGTCCTAATCTTTCCGGAGATAAATTTGTGATCGAATTTTTCCGCGGAAAATATAGTTTATACGGAACACGGAACACGGAAAACGGAAAAAAAAACTTATTTCTACGGAACACGGAACACGGAACACGGAATTTTTTTTTACGGAACACAGAACACGGAAAAAATATTGAAAAAAACGCGGAACACGGAACACGGAGTTCCCAACATCTCTGATCCGTAGGACATGTTTCAAACGATTCATTCAAGAATTATCCACAAAAATATCAATATTTCTCGCGATGTCTCTCCTCGTACATCTCGATTTGTCGATCGACAATCACCCAGGCGCCGTTCCGTTTGATCAAAACTTTCGGATTCCGAATCATACTTTTCTGCTCCTTGATTTCCTCCAATCGTTCCGCCCAAAGCACGTCCCAAAAGTCGGCGAACCAGAAGAATCCGGAGAAGAAGAATGCGGTGGAGAGGAGGGCGAACAGGAGGAATTTGAGAAGGAAAGAGTAGTTGCAGACGACGGCGGGGGGTTTGGGGATGAAAAAGAGGATGAGAGTCTGGATGACAAAGATGGAGAACATGTTGGCCATCCACTGGCAACATCCTTTGCAACTCGGAATCAGAATGATGTCGTGCGGCACGCGGAGCTTCGTTTTTCGCGCGATGATGCGGCAGTAGACGGCCATTTGGACGGTGAAAAAGGCGAATGTCATGAAGAGGAAGAACTGCAAAAGTGGGATTTGAGCCGAGTTACAGAAACGCTCAAAAACTATGTTACCCAGCGCACGGCGCTCAAAAGTGTAGAAAGGGGCGTGGCCTAATCTGAGACGCGTTTTCTGAAAATTGCCGCAATTCCAGCACACTTTTCCGATATTTTTGTGTTTGATAGCGACAAAAGAAGAGCACATTAAAGAGAGAAAACATCGAAATTTTCGTGAAAACGCCGCGTTTGAGACGTTTTTGGCATATTTCGCAATACGCTCTCCGCCGCAATTTCGGAATTTTCATACCGGCCGATCTGGATAGTTTTGAGAAAGAAGTGAGTGTCGAAAGTGATTAAGCACTGGTAACACAAGTATTTTAAACGTTCAAACGGCAAAAAGTATCGGCGAATGACTGAAATTCGCGCATTTTCAGCACAAAACTTGAAAATCGATTTAATTGATTCATTCTCTGAATGAAACCTGCTCGTTTTAAGGTCTCAAAAAGTGCGCGATGATTAGCTTAACAAAGTTATGCAATCGCATCGTCGAAATCGTACAAAATTCGGGTAATTTTCGACGAAAAACATGAAAAATAGGGTTAAATTTCGAATTTCGCGCCAAAATGGTGATAAACCGTGTACGCGCTAGGCCCCACGCCCCTTTCTACGTTTTTGGTCGCCGTGCCCAGGTCATATTCCTCAAAATATTTCCTCAAAAAACTCCTAGAAATTAGGTCAGGTTTCTTAAAAGTACGTCGAATTCGCGTTAAATTTGACCAATTTTCCGCGCTGAAACTCACATTGGAATCGTCGAAAATGGCCAAATCGATGAGGAGCGAAGTGGAGAACGCGGCCAAAAAAGCGCCGACCAAATGTCCGATCAGATATTTTCTCGATCGTTCCTCGGGTCCGAAACATTTGACAAGACACAGAAAGACGACGGAGTAGAGGTAAAACGAGAGCGCTCCGCCGACGATCGTCGCATTTCCGACGGCAATTCCGCCCAAAGACAGGGTGTCGGGCGGCTCGGGAACGCGCGAGAAATTGTTGCCCGGCACCAGAAGCCGACAGTATTTGTCCTCTTGCGAGTAGTCGATCGATGAGTTTGAGGAGCTCATTTTTCGGATGGAAAGTGGAAAAATGGAAAGAAGGAATGAGGGCAGAAATCGGATTAGAAAGGGGCGGGGGGGATTTGTTGTCCTGGAAACGTATTTGTGAGAAAACAGAAGGATTTCGGGGGACATTCTCCCATCGCATTACTCATTTTTACGTGATTTCCGGGCGAAAGTGTGATGCGGAACCCTGTGGGAATCTGATTTTTTGACTTTTGAGCATGTGGAGACTTTGCAACCAAACGTCGTTTCGCAACTGATTTCTTCCTTTTGAAACATTTGAACGCTCTCCAGATTCGGAGAGTGATGGACGTTTTGCAACTGATAGACATTCCAGAGCTACTCGACACTTTGTAACCAGCTGGACATTTTGCAACTGACAATTTCAAAAGCAAAGCAAATTTATTCTCGAAAAATCAAGCGGTTATGCAGTGAATATTGTAATAAAAACCTTTGCGACGACGTCACTGAGTAGTATATGTATAAAATGTTGACGCTGGGACAGCTTTTTGCCCAAACTTGATTTTCTGCAGTTTTTAATCATTTTTCAACATTTACAACTCCATTTTATGTCTTAACTACCAGAAAATGCATCATTTTCGAAAAATGTCATTTTTAGGTCGAAAAGCCCTTAGACCATTTTGCCCATTTTTCATTTTTCAACATTTTTCGAATATTTTTCATGTTATAAATGACAACTATTAGTCTCCGAAAAGATATGAAGCCATTGACAAATCTTGACCTCGAAGAGCTCGTGAAGGAGTTGAAAATAAAACTAGGGGGCGCAAAGGAGGGGGCGTGGCCTGACGAATTTTCTCTTGATTTCCGCGCGCGCATGTTTGAGGACCTGTACCGAGGTCCCCAGACCAAGTACCATACTCGTAATGTTTTACTTTATGTAATCGACCATGCTGAATCTAATGAACAACTCCGTTTCCCACGAAAACGCACCATTTTCTCAAAAAAAGGCGAAAACGAGAATGGAAGTCAGTCTGAGAGCCCGTGTGGCCACATTTATGGCTACACGCGCCTACTTTCAAGTGATTCTAACAGTTTAAGGGATGGGGAATCCGTTTTTTAAGTCAGAATCAGACAATCTAGTTTCCGATTTTTTTTACAGGTCCTCAAACTGGCACAAAAAATTGTGAAAAAATTTCAGCGATGACCATACTTTTTTATGTTTGGAATCCATAGATAAACTCTCTGAGAACCCAAATACAAATTTTCAGAGCTCTAGACAGTCTAGGACCAGATTTGTGTTCATTTTAGTAGAGCCAGTTTGGCCGAAATTGTAGTTTTTGGGGGTTTTGAGGGCCACAGGTACCTTACACGCGGCTAATTTTCCCAAAATCGGATTCAGCATCAAATTTCCGACCGATCCATGTCAAACTTTTCCATCTATCTAGTTTCCGTTTTTTGAAAAGTGACTGTAAAGTGTAACAGTTTTGGATTTGAGCACGCAAAAACACTAATTTGACACCTAGAAGTGGACCGCGCGCAGCCAGCTTTTCTATGACATTGGCGGCCGGCGCGCCTTCGCCCGGCTGGCGCAGTGGGAAAGTGCTCACTCGGCAATCTAAAGGTGCCGGGTTCGAAAATTTTGACCTCGAAAGTTATTTTGCTTTCTTAGAACATCATTTCTGTTCATTCAAAATGTTGACTCTTTGGTTTGGTCCACCAGACAAGGATAAAAAACGCGTGCGGCAAACTTGCTAGTGAGACTCCGCCCCCTCCTCGGCCGCCGACCTGAGAGAAAACAGGGCGACTTTGGCGTGGTGTAACTCGGGATGTACCGAAAATTTTCGAAAAAAAAATTGGGAGCGTACTCATATAGAGTAGGGGAACACATTCCAACAAGAATTTTATAGAAATTCCGAGTTTCGTGAAACCCGTTGCGGTACCTAAATAAAACATTTCCGCGGTGTTTTCATGAGAGACGCTCTCCCAGATGAAATACATTCCCAGGAATTACTTAAGTCGGAATTGTGAATCTCGATTCTTCGAATAATAAGGGTACTCATTGGGTTTGCTATAAAAAGATGAAAGAAAAAAGTTATTACTTCGATTCCTTTAAATTAGATCCACCTCATGAAGTTATCAAATATCTAAAAAAATAATGGTAACGAAAAATAAGTAATTGAATGCTTCACATTTCAAATACAAGAATTTGGTACACATTTCATATGCAATGCTTCAATCATGTTCTTTATCAGCCGCAAATTCTGGACTTGGACTTTGTTCGCTACAAACTAAAAGCACACAAAGTGAAGCAGCACCACTCTCTTCAAGAATAGATAAGAAGTAGATGGTTCATGAATCTGCCAACAAAATGTGGGCACGAAATAAAATAGCAAAATGAAAAGGGAAGAATATAAAAATAAGAAAAAGCCTTATGACTGGAAGAAGAAGAGAAACGAGTACGCAACATTATACGTCGGGTACCTTTTGGATAAAAGACGGACACGGCTTCATTGCGAAAGAGCGGAGCTTGTAGTGCTTGGAGCTCAAATCGCTTCGAAATATCCAAATTGGATGGAGGAAAATTCTACTAGTGCTCAATAAAAATAGTTTTTATTTTCTTCTTTTTTAATTGTTACTTTTGCTTTGATGCCTGCCAATAAAAACTATTTTTGAGAACTAAATTTCTTTTTTATGCTCGATACTTGCAAAATTCGTTAGTTCTACGAAAAACGAACATTTTATTTAATCAATAGTTCAAAATTTGGATTCCCGCTTTTTGAAGCGGCCCGGCCCGGCGCGGCCCGTGGCAACTCTGAATGATACCAATACGATACTTTTCCACAATTTGTGCAACATAGATTTCAAAGAACGTTCACTGGATTGTACGCCCTCGTCAAATCATTTTTGTTTTGAAGAATAAGGTCTGAATCATTTTATTGACAATATATACACAGCGCTTGCCTTTTTCTCACTTTTCTTTCGCCTCTTTGCTTTTGTAAAAAGATGAATGGTAAGTGGATTTTTTAGTGAACGTCTCAAAAACTTTGCAATTTTTCCAGACGCTCCAGTCCCGGAGACACTTGAAGAGTTGTCGGCGTGGCAGACACGACTCGTGGCTCACGTTTACCGAAAAATCAATGAAACGGCGGATCCGACACCGTTGGACGCCGCCGAATTGGACAATCTTCAGACGAACATCATGATGATTCACTTTCAAAAAGAGGCCCTCAAATTCAAGAAAGCCTACCGCGAAACGATGGAGGATTGCGTCGAAAAAGAGGAGAAACTGCGCGAGAGACAGGAAAAAGTGGGCGAAGTGAAGGAACGTCTTCAGAAGGTCACCAAACTGATGGTCCAGATGCGGACGGTGTGGATGAAGAATGAGAAAAAGTTGGAGGAGGCGGAGAAGAAAATGCGGAAGATGACCGCCGAGATGGAGAAGTTGGAGACCAATTTTCAGAGAGGTACGTTTAGTATTCTGGAAAGTTGTCAAGAGCAAAAATAAAGTTCAAAATGAGCGCTACATTTTTGCAGTTGACAACTTTTTGATTAGACTAATCCTAAGAGTACTGTAGCTCTTGGAAGTTAGCATGGACTTATAGCTTCTATAAACAAACTTCCAAGAGCTACAGTATCCGGAGGAGCAGTCGTAGCAAAAAGTTGTTGTGAACAAAAATAAAGTGCGTCTTATAAACTTTATTTTTGTAGTTGACTTTTTTCCTTTACCTACACTCCCAAGGCTACTGTAGCAGAGAATATACCGCGCATTCAAAATTGTTAATTTTTCAGTGTCCCGCGAGCTGGCGCTTTCCAATCAAAAACTGGAGGCTCAAAATGGAGAAAGTATGTTTTTGGCTTTTGGCCACGTCACTTCTCAATTCAAACTCACAGATATTGTACACTTTTCAGTGTGTCAACAAGCTGAAGGCGACAATATCGATGGATTGGAGCAGTGAAGTAGTATATAAAAGGTTGACGCTGGGACAGCTTTTTGCCCAAACTTGATTTTCTGCAGTTTTTAATCATTTTTGAACATTTACAACTCCATTTTTGTCTAAACTACCAGAAAATGCATCATTTTCGAAAAATGTCATTTTTAGGTTGAAAAGCCCTTAGACCATTTTTGCCCATTTTTCATTTTTCAACATTTTTCGAATATTTTTCATGTTATAAATGACAACTATTAGTTTCTTTATCACGATTATGAATGTGTAATGAAATATTAGATTTTAACTGTCTTTTCGTCAGCTTGTGAAACGGGGGACGTTCAGTGAAAATGATTGTCTTCACTAGAGAGTGAATGCATTTCTCAAAGTACTAAATGTTATTGCCTGATTCTTTCAGAGAATGTAGTTGAAGTCAAGGATAATAGAGTTAAAGGATCAGGGAACCCAAAAATTTTTTGATTTTTTTGTGAAATTTTTTTTGTCTGTTTGAATTGTCTCTTATTGCCTCATACACTCGTGAAATGCTGCCTCTCAAAAATGCCAATGAACGAAACGGCGTGCAGTTGAAGTTGTGGCCGTGGCCTAGCGCCAATGGCCTAGAAATATGCGCTTCTCGGCCATTTTATTTTTTCTGCTTTTTTACCGGTTTTTTCGCGGTAAAATCGAAAAACTTGCGACTTCGTATCGACTGAATGAAAACAATTTTTTAGCAGTGAAAAAATAAGTAAGTGCCGAACAAATGTCAATCAACTGGAAAATGGGAGAAACCGTTAATTTTTGGAAAAAAAACCGGTAAAAAAGCGGAAAAAATAAAATGGCCGAGAAGCGCATATTTCTAGGCCACGGCCACAACTTCAACTGCACGCCGTTTCGTTCATTGGCATTTTTGAGAGGCAGCATTTCACCAGTGTATGAGGCAATAAGAGACAATTCAAACAGACACAAAAAAATTTCACAAAAAAATCAAAAAATTTTTGGGTTCCCTGGTCCTTTAAATAGGGAAAAGGGGGAATCGAATAGGGGGGAAGAGAGGAAAAACGGAACCGTCCCGTACGCACTGATGTACGGGTGTTTTCCGCACTCTCTCTCTCTCTCTCTCTATCAACGAGAGAGAGAGAGAGAGGAGAGGATGAGAGACGGGTGGTTGCAATAGGAAGATTGACCCCCCGATCTGTCACAACCAGATTTGCAACGGGCCGGGCCAAAATTGGAAATTTTCCGGCCCGGCTCGGCCCGGTCGGCCCGGGAGGATGCACCTAAAAATTCAAAGCGAACTAGAACTTCGAAACGAACATAATTTTATAGACTTAAAATTTTATAGACTTAAAAAAGCAATGTTATAGCATAAAAACCTGTTAAAAAATAGAAATTGCTGTTTAAAGTCGCAAAATTTTCACAAAAATTACGAAAATTTTCTCAAGAGTGGGCGGAGCGATTGATTGCAACTCTGGCACGCCATTTTAGCAATTTTGCCGCACGCGTTTTCCTCTTCCTTCATATTTTTTTTGCATATTTTTTTTGAGGTCTAACTTCCGGGCCAAAACCGGGCCGGGCCGGCCCGGGATTTGGCAAGTCTGGTCACAACAGTCGTGTCAGTGAATGCATAAATGAGGAGGTGTAGCAACTTTTGAAACTTAAAAAAAACGTGTGAATACTCATTTAATTTTATTGTGAACAAGAAAAGGAATGGAAGGAAGAAAGACGATCAAAACAAAAAGTAAAGGCCTGCAGTGATGATGAGTGAGGGAGGATACACATGAAAAAGACCAGCTAAAGAGTTAAAGCATCTTGTCAGGAGACGTTTCGCAACCGATCCGTCTAGTCGCTCGTCACATCAATGAACGGCTCCTCGAGTTTGACATTCACACTCAGCAGGGCCAACGGATCCATAATCTTCTGATCGTCATTCGAATTTGGCTCCAACCCGAGTACCCGTCCGTCTTCCCCGATCCTCAGCCGATGATGGCATGCCCGATGGACACTCAGCGTCCTCTGCTGACAGAATCCTTTGCCGCACACGTCGCACTTGTGCGGCTTCTCCTTCGCGTGAATGTAGCGGTGGTCCCGAAGGTGATCCTGTCGGCGGAAGGCCTTCGAGCAAATGTCGCACTGGTAGGGCCGTTCGTTCGTGTGCGTTCGCTCGTGTATCATCAGGTTGTAGGATTTGGTGAAGTGGCGATCACAGTACTTGCAGATGAACTCCTTCTTCGCTCGTTTCGTACGGTTTCCGGCGTGCGTACGGTGATCCGGGTTCAGAAACCTGCAAGTTGATGATGTTGCTTTTCTTTTCAAATAAAAGTCTCCTCCCGCTCACTAACCACGGCTGTTGTTGTCCAAAAGAAGCGAAAAACGGGTTGACGGTCTGTTGTGGCTGAAATTGAATCGGCAACACGTTGTTCTCGGCTCCAGCTCCGGCCATTTGAGTCGACGTTTGAAGGGTTTGGGCAAAAGTGGTGGGATCAGGTGAGCAAGAGGGACTGGCGGCCGAGAGAAGGTTCCGCAGGTTTTCTTGAAGCGTTGGCTGTTGACGAAGACATTTCTGCTGTTCGGCGAGCAACATTCGGAAGATTTCATCGCCAGAAGACGCCGAGTTTGCCGGGAAATGCCACGGAATCATCATTCTGATATTGTAGTTTATTAAGTTACGACGTATCTCAGCTGCCGGTGGAGATATCAAAATGTTGGCAACTAGCAAAATGTGTAGAATTTCTTAACGAACATTTTATCAATTGACAACTTTTTGATATCTCCATTGGCAGATGAGAAACATAGCTTTGAATGAACGGTATTCGGATGATATTGTAAGTTATATGCAAATGAACAGCTAGGAGGTCAGAAAGGAAGAAAGAGAGAGAGAAGGAGTGGTGGGTACGAATGATGATAACAGGAAGCTCTTCTGATAACGGAAGGAACTTGTGGAAGAGAAAGAGAGAGAGAGAGAGAAAGAGAGAGAGAGAGGGAAGGTGCGAGACTGTGCCACTTGCCTGACGATTTATTGGGGGGAAAGAGAGGAAACGGCGACGAAATGAATGCAATGGGAGCAAACGTTTTTGAAGTTTGGCCCAAATAAAGATGTGATTGTTTACGGTAGTACTGTAGCCAAGCCACTTTCGATTACTGTAAGGAGTTTGTCTAATTTAATGGTTTTACTGTAGCTCTGTTGTAGCCTATGGTTACTGTAGACAAATTTCGTGAGGTTTCTGTAGCCGAGCCATGTGGGGTTGACACAAAAGAGCTAGCAGACCTCAACTGCTCAAAAGATGCACAATGGGAGCCGGCTGGTGGCACCAGGTGGCTAAGCCCCGCCCACATTTCCCTCTGTGTCGGGGCGCGGCTCCCCTCCAAAACGAAGCCGCTCCTGAGGCTCCCCAGGCAATAAAGATAAGGAAGGTCGGGCAAAATCGTTCCGACAAAAAAGTCGTAAAAGTAGTCGCTTTTGTGTGCATAGCGCTATTGTCGGTCCACTTTTTTTTTTTGGAATTTGGACTTACCGTAATCCTTTGCCTCCTCACGGAAAAGTCGATGAAGAAAAGTGATGAAATTTCAATGACACACTACATAAAGTTGATAAGAATTGATTTCAAAATCGGAAAGATGCCTCTGAAGTAGCATCGCCGCCGGTTGTTTGCTCAACTACAGTAATCACTGGCGCGTCATCATGCCATACAATTCGCTGATTATCAGTTTTAAGCCTTCTGAATTTGAGCTTTTAATCCGATTATTATCTCGGCCGTTGTTCTGCACTTTCTTCGGCTTATTTTCACTTAAATTCGAGAAAACGTCCAATATCAAAAAATTAGGTTGGTAGATCAATTGGTCAAGTCGTTTTCTGTTCAGATCGTCAACTTTTAAAAGTAGTCCGGCCAGTAGGCCCATGACCAGACAAGGCCAGGAACTTTTTGTTGCTCAACTTCTAGGATGCTCAAAATCATAAAGTAGGCCACTAGGTCAGCAGTCCAAACGGTCAAAATGTTTGGAACAAAAAGGGAAGCCAGCGGGAGCCGGACAAAGACTCACTGATAAGCGTTCCTCAATGATAAGCGGGCCCGAAAATATATCGATTGACGTGCGGAAAAGTAGCAAATAAATGGGAAAAGACGAGAGCACGCGGGCGAGAACATAAAAACGGTTCCCGGTTCCCACCAGACGCCTCGTTTTCTCGTAAAAAGTGAGAGCACCTGTTATGGGGGCGAATAGTTTCTGCGTCTCCTCTCTCTCGATTTTGTTGCCCAATCGGAAAAGGGTGCGCGGGTTTTATTATGATTTAGAAATTGTGTGTTTGAAATTATTTAATGTATACTTTTCCACAAAGAGAATCCTGAATATCTGCAAATCTCCTGCTATATGCCCCAGCCGATCAAACATTTCCGTGACATGGTGCATCGACGGGCGGGCGGCGGTGCTGCCTCGGTAGTTGACAACTTTCCGCCTGATAACAGTCGAAGAACACGTGATTAGGAGGTGTGTACCTTGTAGTCTCTCCATCATGAGAGTTTATGGTGCTTTTTTCATTTTCGCGAAACCGACAACGTTTGTGGGCACGAAAAGAGGTAGCAAAATTGATAATGCCGCGTCCAAAGTCTCGGAAAACCCGCAAATCTCGCGGATTTTGCAGTCCAAAGTCGGCAGAAATTTTCGAGAAATCCGGAGTGCGCACAGCTGAACGAGTGTTACCGTACACTATAAAACTACGGTATTTTTTGAAAAAATTCAAATTTCTCGAGAATATTTGAAATTTTTAATAAAACTATGGTATTTTTTTCAAAAAAATTTAAATTTCTCGAGAATATTTGAAATTTTTTTAATAAAACTACGGTAATTTTTTTGAAAAAAATTTAAATTTCTCGAGAATATTTGACATTTTTTTAATAAAACTACGGTATTTTTTTGAAAAAAATTCAAATTTCTCGAGAATATTTGAAATTTTTTTGATAAAACTACGGTATTTTTTTGAAAAAAAATTCAAATTTCTCGATAATATTTGAAATTTTTTTAATAAAACTACGGTATTTTTTTGAAAAAAATTAAAATTTCTCGAGAATATTTGAAATTTTTTTAATAAAACTACGGTATTTTTTTGAAAAAAAATTTAAATTTCTCGAGAATATTTGAAAAATTTTTCAAATTTCTTGGGTAAATTTTCAAAAAAACTACCGTAGTTTTACGGTGTACGGTAGCACTCGTTCAGCTGTGCGCACCCCGGATTTCTCGCGAATTTCTGCCGTCTTTGGACTGCAAAATCGGCGAGATTCGCGGGTTTCCCGAGAAGAAACGTCTGATTTTTTGATATCCGGTTGAAATTCGATTGAATCTCGATAAAGTGGGTCAAAATGCAAAATCCAAAAAAATATTTATATATTTATTGAAAAACAAATTCATACAGTTTCAACAAAGTTCCTCTCGTCCTCCGCGCCTTGAATAATATCGTGAAATGTGTCGTAGGTGTCTTCGACAACGCATCGCGACACGTGGAGAATGAGAATGAGGGAGAAAGCGAGGTAGAGAACGCCTCCTGGAATCGAATTTAAACGTTTTGAGCAAAATGTTGCTCTCAGCGCTCAGCTCGAGATGTGCGCTCAAAACGCAGCCAGTATCGGGTATCAAAACTTTGCAAATCACGTGCACACTTCAAAAATCCTACCGTAGACGTAAAATTTTGCGTGTTGCACGTCGAGCCGAGCCAAAAAGAGTAGGACGTCGGCGGCGAGTATGAAGAAGCAGGCGGCGGTGAGTATGGCGAAGAGAAGAAGGGTTAGCAGGTAGCTCATTCTCATTTTCACATTCATTTTAGGCGTTTTGCGGGGAAAATCGAGTAGATGAATCCGTCGGCACCATGACAATTCCATGGAAATTGTGCTCGGCGAGCGCTGAGAGCCCATGAACGATGTGTGTAGTTTTTTGTCTTTTTATGAATGACAGATAGTGAAATACAAGGGTTAAATATGTTATACATTTTGAAAACGTTCAAATTTTCGGCTTCTTCTCGCAGTCGCATGCACCGTAGGCCTCCTCGAAGTAGCCGTCCGAATCCTGGAACAGTTGTCCGGTCCAATCGCGAGATTCCTGAGACGCCACCTCATTCGTCGGTTGAATCGCGTCGGATTTGTCGGAGAAGTAGATGTGGAAGGCCTGGATCATGAAGAGGAGGCAGGCCAGGAAGCTCACTGGAAAAATACGCAATACGTCGGTGGTTTTTTTGAGGAGTTCTCCAGACGATTTGGAAAGTTTCGATAGCCATTGGAGCTCCGCGAGCCTTTCAAATCATATGTATGTACCAGAGATGTTGGGAATAAAAATGTTACTCTACGGAACACGGAACACGGAAAACGGAATTTTTTTTTTACGGAACACGGAACACGGAAAACGAAAAAACTTATTTCTACGGAACACGGAACACGGAACACGGAAATTTTTTTTTTTACGGAACACGGAACACGGAAAACGGAAAAAAACTTATTTCTACGGAACACGGAACACGGAAATTTTTACGGAACACGGAAAACGGAAAAAAACTTATTTTTACGGAACACGGAAAAAAGCGTTTTCAAGAGAATTCCAGTGATTTTTTTTTTAAATAATGTTTTGTTTAATTCGATTATCTGACTGACAAGGCAGCTGTTTGACTCATGTGAAAGTTTTACTGAAAATTTCATAAAAATAACAAAACCAACAACACAACAGTAAACAACTACAGTAAAAAACGACTGAAAATGGAATCCACTTTTCACGAATATGGTCCGAATCCGAAAATTTTCAAATTTTGACCACAAAACGTCAATTGTCCTAATCTTTCCGGAGATAAATTTGATCTACGAGGCGATCGAATTTTTCCGCGCAAAATATAGTTTATACGGAACACGGAACACGGAAAACGGAAAAAAACTTATTTCTACGGAACACGGAACACGGAACACGGAAATTTTTTTTACGGAACACGGAACACGGAAAAAATATTGAAAAAAACGCGGAACACGGTACACGGAATTCCCAACATCTCTGATATGTACAACTCACAAAGGACATCGAGTTTGATAAGAGTTGCATTTCCTTCCGGATGGGGGCCGTTTCCGAATTGCACGCTGAGAGCGAGTTCCATTCGAACGAATCCAGTGTAGATCCAGCAGTCTATAAAAAAAACCCCCAAAAATAGTTGATGATTACGGTAGGCGCCTTTAAAAACGTACTTTCGTTGGCTCCGACGATCCAGACCCAGAGTTGGAACGAGTAGAGTTCGAAAAGGGCGACGACGGCGGCGCAGACCGGCCAGAACACGTTTTTGTAGTGAATGAGGACCAGAATCAGTTGTGCGAGGGCACAGAAAACGGCGAAGAGTGTGGAGTAGTGCATGAAGTAGACGGGAAGAATGAAGACGTGGAAGATGGTTTGAACGGCGAACGAGATGCGGAGGATTCGGATCCAAGTGGTGAGCGATGCTAGCATCCTAAAATTGTGGATAAATTGGAATTTTCAAGGCGATTTGAAGAGTCATTATGATTTTCAATTTGGAGCTTTGTGAGGTCAGCGAGTCGGGTTCACGGAGCACAAAAAGTGAAAACTAGCAAAACTGTCCGATCTGCGAGGAGTTGCCAAATGAGCTCTGAGGATCCGGATCCGGTGCGATCACATTGTTCCGCCTATTCCAGCTGCAAAACGAGAAACAAGCTCATCCCGCCCAAATTCCGCTTTTTTCGGGGACCAGGTGCCGGACACCCGTTAAACGAGCCGGGCACGGACGCTTCCCCACCACAGATGGAGTGGAAATTAAATTTATCGACTGATTTTGAGTGTCAGGGAAGTGGCACGGCTTCTGGAACGGGAATATGAGTCGTGAATTGAGTTTACAGTCTTTCTGAGCCTCTCGGGGGCTTTATTTGAGTGTAAATTATCAGTGAGACTTGGAAAACCGTCAAATAACACTCACCAACCCTCAGATCCGTCCGTCCATTTTCAACAGCCAGATCCATCAGCTTCCAGAGTTGAGCGGAAATGGAATTTTGAAATCCGGAAGACGGCAGACGGCAGACGGAAGAAAATTTTTTTTACGGAACACGGAAAACGGAAGACGGAAGAAAATTTTTCTCACGGAAGACGGCAGACGGAAGACGGAAGAAAACTTTTTTCCCGGAAGACGGCAGACGGAAGACGGAACAAAAAAATCGTCAATGCAGAACCTTTTTTTCCGGATTTTTTTTTTAAATAACTAAAGCAACAAAAAATTTGGATCTGGGTCACTGCCCGTGGAATTTCGCGTTCTTCGGGGCTAGTAAATGGCTTCTGAAAAGCTATTACTCTTTTACGGTAAGAAGAAAAAATTCCGGAAGACGGCAGACGGCAGACGGAAAAAAAGTTTTTTTACGGAAAACGGCAGACGGAAGACGGAACAAAACTTTTTTCCCGGAAGACGGCAGACGGAAGACGGAACAAAAAAATCCACGGAAGACGGCAGACGGAATTCCGCTCAACTCTGTCAGCTTCCCTGCATTCTTCCAGTGCTCCTGAGCCTCCCTTTCCGTTTTCGATTCGTCCGATTTATTCTCTTTTGCATCGTCCCGTTATTGTACAAATATTGTCGATCTCTGGCTCTTCTCTTTCTTCCCATTTTCCCATCCATTACCATATTCGTTTTTATCGCCCCGTGGCGCCATTATTTCGGTGCACTTTGCAAATGTGTTTACACTTGCCAATTGTGTGGGCGTACGCTCAAATCATCGGATGCGGTCATTTTGAAACAACCGGGACATTCCGCAACTGAGACACGTTTTCTTCTTGTTTGCAGGCTTCTCGAGGAAAATTCTGAAAGATTCTTCATTTTATTATTCGTTTTCAAGGTTCTTGGACAATTTGGAACGGAGACTGAATGGATGCGCGAGGTGTTTGCCGAGCCAGGGACCGTCCGAGGATGTCGTCATACCTGTCACAGAGATCTTTAGGGTTTAAGAGGGTCTGATTGACACATCCGCACGTCGACGGACCATCGGAACACGTGTGTGTAGCAGAGATGTTGGGAATAAAAAAAATTTTGAAAAAAACTTATTTCTACGGAACACGGAACACGGAACACGGAATTTTTTTTACGGAACACGGAACACGGAAAAAATATTGAAAAAAACGCGGAACACGGAACACGGAACACGGAACACGGAACACGGAATTCCCAACATCTCTGGTGTGTAGTCCTGGTTGCGAAATGTCTTGGTATCGGTTGCAAAGTGTCCTCAAAACGTTTTGTGTTGTCCAAGAACAGTACAATAGTACAAAACCAGGTGCCTGGCAGGTGTTCCCTCGAAAAAAAAGAAAAAAGTCGAGTCCCCCGTCGCCATGTGCTGTCCCGTGAAACACAACAATATTTGTGAAGTGGAAAGTGTGCCTGTTCGCTTCAACAACAATATAGTTCATTTTTTCACGTGTCAACAGTTTTGGGAGAAGAGAAACAAGTGAAAACGAGTGTTACAGTACTCCTAGCCACTCTTTCGCCACGGTCCCGGAATCAGTTTGTCGACGTAGTCGATGTAGAGGAGGCACGCGTTGTAGGCGATCCACGGGACGAGGTAGCGGAGCAGAAACTGAAAAATGTTGCGATTTTTGGATTCCCGAGCCAATTTGCTTCGATTTGACACCCATCATGCGCCAGAGATGTTGGGAATAAAAATTTTACTCTACGGAACACGGAACACGGAAGACGGAAAATTTTTTTTTACGGAACACGGAACACGGAAAACGGAAAAAACTTATTTCTACGGAACACGGAAATTTTTTTTTTTACGGAACACGGAACACGGAAAATTTTTTTTTAACGGAACACGGAAAAAAGCGTTTTCAAGAGAATTCCAGTGATTTTTTTAAAAATAATGTTTATATTTTTTTATTATCTGACTGACAAGGCAGCTGTTTGACTCATGTGAAAGTTTTACTGAAAATTTCATAAAAATAACAAAACCAACAACACAACAGTAAACAACTACAGTAAAAAACGACTGAAAATGGAATCCACTTGTGATCGAATTTTTCCGCGGAAAATATAGTTTATACGGAGCACGGAACACGGAACACGGAATTTTTTTTTACGGAACACGGAACACGGAAAAAAATATTGAAAAAAACACGGAACACGGAACACGGAACACGGAATTCCCAACATCTCTGTCATGCGCTACTTTGAAAAACGAGCCGTCGGCTTTTTTTAAAATTTTTTAAAAATTGTTTCGATTCAAACCAGGACAATACGAGTGTCCAGCCTCGTCATTTTGTCGGAAAATCTCAAAAATCGTCGCAAAAACGTACGGCCGACGTCGGGAACGTGCGATCTTTGCAGTGATGATGGATCGTTTTGAGGAAATTCTTGTTTGTGATCGTGACGATTGCGACCAGGTAGACTTTCACATAATTGTTGATGCACACGAAGATGAGGAGGCACCAGACGATGTCGATGGCTTTGAATGTCTGAAAATGGTCAGGCCCACCACTAGATTTCTGATATTGTCCGTCCACTCACTCTTCCGACCAACCGGCGCCGCTCCTGCTCTTCGAGCACCACTCGACCGGCCTCCATTTCATAGTCACGGTCGCGTGGCTTACGCGAATATCGATTTTTCGACATTTTTCGAGTAGTGTCGACCGTCTCTCGGGCGCCGGGCCTGTCCGCCAGGCTCCGCCCCTTTTTCTCTGGCGCCGCCCACTACGACGCTTCAGTTTTGTTTGGCTTTTCTGTCGAAAATGATGGCGCCGGGGAGACGTCACGTCCCACTCGGAACTGGTCAATTGCTGTTCGTTTACGCGTTTCTCGCGGTGGGTTTTCAAGGTTTCGCTCAAATAAAAAAAAAACATTTTTCAGTTTCGTGTCACGACAGCCGCCGGAATCGTGTTCTATTTCGTCAAAGAATTCGACATAACCCCCATCTCGTTGCTTTTCGGAATCTTCACCGCATTCGCCATCTGTCTCTCGCATGACGTCGTTCCGGAGACTGCCGCCCAGAAACTCGTACTTTTGAATATTGCAAATGTAAGATTTTGGGAATTCCTCAGTCACATTCACCCAAAACCAGGGCAAATCTCATGAAATGAGGCCGCGAATCTAAAAACAAAGTGATTCAGATTCTCAACAGAACACACGCATTGGCCTGGTCAATCTCGGCGATGCAGGCTTTGTTCCGCGAGTCTCCGGACTTTACGAAGCACTCCATCGTTGCTGGCCTCGCAGCTATTTGCCTATTTTGTAGGTGAACGGTTGAATATTGAAACAAATTGAAGGTTTTCAGTCACCAACAAAGAGATCAATCGTCTGGAAGCTTTGGATCGTCACGAGGATTGAGGCGGTTTCTTTATTTGAAAATGTTAAAAGATTTGTCATTTTCTCAATAAAAAAGCGATGCAAAAAGGGGATTTTTGATTTCTCGAAAATAATCATGGAAATCGTGAGAAGAGAATTAGAAAACGAAGCGAATGTTTCGGAGGGCCGCAATACTGTCCTCGATGTTTGGAACGGTTGCGAACGCTCGTTCGGCTCTCTCCATTTCCGATTCGATCTTTTCCGTTTCAATGCGCGCCTGCACGACCATCGTAAGCACGAGGTACACTGAAATTTTTGAGGTGTCCCCCCAGTGGCAAAGTGTCCCAAAACGTACCGAAAAACTGCGTGGCAATGAGCAGAGTGTCGGCTGCGTTGACGGGCTTCAAATAGAGAACGAGAGCGGCGGTTCGGACGGTCATAACGGCGAGTCCCGTCAGTTTTGCCACGTCACTTTTACAGATGAAGACGAGGACGATTGCGTAGGCGGCAAGGAAGAGAGCGACGAAAACGGAGCACGTGGCGTCGAGTTTGAGGTTGTGGATTTCGAGGGCCGCGAAAAGAAGGCCCAAAATGCCGATCGACAGGTTCAGGAGCAGTTTTAGCGACATCTGAAATGGGGAAAAACCCTTTTTTGATTTGGAAACGGTGCCATTTCGGAGAGGGGAATCATAAAAACGGAAGAGCGGAAGGGGGGCATAAAACAAAGAATTAGAAGGGGGAAGGGGGAGGAGAAGAAGGAAAAGGACAAAAAGAAGAAGAAGAAGAGGAAGGTGGTCTGTTTGCTTTGATTAAATGAGTCATGATGACTACTGATGTTCACATTTTCCCCTAGTCAACTATTGTGCATCCATCTGTGTTCAATCGTTGAACGACACTTTGCAACTAGCGAACTCGTTCACTTCAACAATGTATTCTTTGAAAATCGGAAAAGTTACAAAACTCATCAGTTGTTGATAAAATATTGGGGGGAAAGGGGGCTAAATGAAAATGTTCAAAGCATGATTTGGATTTCGAGACGGCTCTGGTGCGTGGGCGCGGAACGGCTTTGGGCGAGGTCCTCGAGACGTTCCTTGATGTTCTCAGTGACGCGGAGCGCCTCGATTACGGCGAAGAAGATGAGGAACACTGCAAAAAGATGGTCATTTTGCAATTCTGTCCTCTCGTTGCAAAATCCAAAAACATCCAAAAAAAACTCACGCCAGAATCCGCTGAGAATGAGCAGAATATCAGTGACGTGGCGCGGATTCAGAAGCCAGAAGAGTCCGATGGTTTTTCCGAGTTGAATGCAAACCGCAAGCGCTCTCTTCTCGAAGTGCATAATAGCGAGTGAGAGCAGGAAGAGAGAGAGAGAGGGCAGGAGCCGCCAGTTGAACTGCAGTCCCAGCTCGATCAGCATCTGGAGGGGAACGAGCAGGACGATCGTCAGGCACAGAAGTTTGCGCAGCTTCATTCCTGCAAAAATACGTTTTTTAAGGAGACACTTTGCAACCAGAGTGTTAAAAATTGAAAACCGGAAGAAAAACGTGAAGAAAGAGGATATCAGTGTGTGCTGACTAATCTGTTTTTCGGCCGAATAGTCTTTGGCCGCAGGGCTGGACGCTTTTCGTGGCGGGACCCGAATTACGAAAGAGTTGCGGTGAAATTGAGAAAATGAGAGATTGCATTATTCTCCAGTCGTATTCATAAAATCGTAGCGAAGTGGTCGGCCCAACAGAAAAGTGAGTGGCCAGAAAAATTGATTTATCAGTTGGAAGATGTCTTTTCGCAGTTGCGCGTGGAACTCTTGCGCGTTCCGCTCCCGAAACATTGGTCCTTCCAGCAAATAATCGATTCGGTAGAAAGTGAGGAAGGCGAGGAGGACGAGCAGAATTAAGTAGAGGATCCGGATGACTGTCTGACAAAAAATTTGGATTTTTTTGCAGGGCTGGGCAATAGACGTTTTGAGGCCCAGGCGGGCCCAAACTTTGCAGGCTTATTGGACTTGGATGAAGGTATATTGGGCCCAAGTTTCAGCCTGATCGGATCATTTACTCTCGAGAACTCGTGCTTGAAGGCCGAGTTTGGCCGAACAGGCCAATGATCCACATATCTCGGGAGCGGATGATCCGATCGGTCTGAAACTTGGACCCAATATACTTCAATCCAAGTCCAAGAAGCCTGCAAAACGTGGGTCCAATCGGAATATTGCAAGTGAGTCAAAAGTCCAGGACAATGTTGTACTACACACAACTTTATTTTTCAAGCGTTTACAGCAAAAAAGCTAACCTTTGCCATCGGAAAAGTGAGGTCGCGACAGTCGTGCCGAACGGCCCGGAAGACCCGGCGATGGAAGACCAGGAGTCCGACGATCAGTGCATTTTTGAAGAATGGAAACAGTTCCTTCGCGCGAATTTTTGTGGTCAAAAGCGACAAACGTTTAGAGCGCTCGAACAACACAAATTCGCGCAGTTTTAGCGGAAAAACTTCAAATGGACCAAATTTGACGCGTTCTATCGAGGCACAAATGAGAAATTATCGAATTTTCGCGACGAATTTGGCAAAAAAAAACACGAAATGTAATTTGAAATTTGAATTTCGCTCCAAAACCGTGTCGCCGTGTTTTCCAGACTTTTATTGAAGTTGTGTGCAAGCGTACCCATGCCAAAACGGTCTCCGCATGTCTCTCCTTCTCCGTCCGTCTCTGCCTCTTTTCCGGCGGTCTCGCGTACTCGAATGGATCCCCGCCCGCCGGTTTCTTCATGTAATACTTTGGAAATCCGTCTGCGGCGAGCAATTGTGCCTCTTCGTCCTCCGAATCGCTCATTGTATCTGGAAGAGGTTAAATATAATATAATATAGAATTAGCGCTTTTCGAACAGAAATCCTGAACAATCCGGTCAAGAATTGCAGTTTTTAGGCCGTGAAACTCAAGAATTGTGAGCTACACAATGATTGAAATCGAAAAAAAAAACAGTGGATTGTGTGATGAATGCGCTGTTTCGAAAGGAAATTGACAGTGTACAGTGAGGAGAAGACACGCAGAAAGAAGAAGAGAAAGCCCGAGTGGGCGGCACTTTAGATTGTTCAAATCACGTGATTTCTCTATTTTTACTCTGAAAACCGCCTAAGATGTTGTTTTTGAGCAGAGAGTCCGTGTGACAATCGAGTGATCCAACTTTGGACAGATATTGTAATTTTGCAAAAAATTTCCAGGCATTTATATCATTTTTCTCGTACTTCCCAGATGATTTCCGGTATTTTAAGCCTAAGCTGGAGTCTGTAGCATTTTTTTGAAAAATGTTATGATTTTTCGAGAAAAAAAAACAATTTTTGTTTGCTTTCGGATAAAAGCGACCTTGGCACGCAATTTTTGTCAAAACATTCACAAGGCCCTAATTTTTTCAATTTTCCGATCCCGTCCTTCCTCGAAAATCCCCACTTTTTTGCATCTCGCGGTGCGGCGCCCTAGTGTGCAAGTGCGCTCCACCGAAAAGCAGAATGTGTTGCGTGCTCGTCAGAGGTTCGCGATTGCCACGTCGTTTGCATTGATTTTGCGTGCGCGCACAAGCTTCTCTCCAATTTTTGTTCAATTTTCAGTCGCAATGACTCGAATCAAAGTCGGAAATCTCGAAAAGAAGGCGCCACAAGCTTCTGGAGATCCAGACGCTTTCAAAATCGAAAAGAAGCGCTACAACTCGGTGCGCGACTTTATTTCCTCGCTGGACGTGCGCGAATGCCTCTTCTTCGTGACGCTCATCGACGCGTTCTACGATTTTATGATGGGAATCGTGCTGTGCGTGCTCGTCAGTCAGCGAAAATGGCTCGTCGGCGTCGGCACCGCGTGCTACCCCGGCTTGCCCACAATCGGCCTGCTCATAGTGAACCTGTTCGTCGTGCTCACAGTCACCGGCAATCGTGTTTGGATCCTTCGTGTCAATCAGATTATTGGGGTAAGATGTCTTACAACAACACGTTTTTTTCAAACGTATTCCTTGATTTCTATAGTAAAGCATTTTTCTAGCATTTTTTCGTCTAATCCAAATTTTGTCGAATGAGGAGAGAAAAGCTTTGCGCACACACACACACACACAAAAAGACAAATGTTCTTGACCCTCAGCCGATGATTTTATTACACACAAATGCGTCGTTTCAGGGTCTCAAACTGATTGCTAGTTTTCTGCTGCTCAACATTTGGATGACGACCACTTCTCAATTCGTCATCGACAATATCAACAGTTCGAACCTCGAGCAAGTGTTGATGGCTGTCTGGAGCTTCTTTCCCGTCACCATTTGTCTCAGCTTCCATTTCTGCTGTAAGTTTCGGATATTAACGTATGGGTCAACGATAATGCCGCGTTCAAAGTCTCGGAAAAACCGGAAAAACCGCAGGTTTTTCTGTCCAAAGTCGGCCGAAATTTGCGCGAAAAACGGGGGTGCGCACAGCTCAATGAATGTAGCCGTACCCCTAAAACTACGGTATTTTTTGAAAATTTTCGCAAGAAATTTGAATATTTTCAAATATCCTCAAGAAATTAACAAATTTTCAAAAAATACATTCATTGAGCTGTGCGCACCCCCGTTTTTCACGCAAATTTTGGCCGACTTTGGACAGAAAAACCTGCGGTTTTTCCGGTTTTTCCGAGACATTGGACGCGGCATAACTTTATAAACTCTTCTCTCGATCCCTTAGATACTATTTCTATTAGTTTCAACTCTATTAGGTCAGAATCTTACGGATATTCAAGAAATTTACTCTTTCAAATTCGGAATCACTCACTATTAGACATCCTTCTTTTTCAAACCCATTTTCAAATTATATAGGTTCTCTTTGACCCTTCAACAAATCGACTAGAATGTTCCATTTGCAGGGTCGATTGTCCGTTTCGGACTCCTCTGCTCCACTGTCATCCTGGTCATTGAAGAAAATAAGGAATCGCGACACGACGATCGTCTTCTGGAAACCGTCTGAACTGCCTTTACCGAACTTTATGTACATTTCGGATAATTTGTAAACATTGCCAACGTTCCAAAGTTCATTCTAACCACAATTGGTACACGACAGCAGACTCATAAAACGATTATCAGACATTTCACATTTTTGTGCTATAACTTTAACGATCGAATCAGTTCTTGATGTTTCTGAACACAACTACTACAAACTTCGAACCTGGGCTCACTGCGCGGTCCGAGCTAACGCTTGGAAGCGGCTTCCGAAAGCCCAAGGTAAGTTTGGACCATGCCCTAGTTAGGTACCTAAAAAAAATTGCTACAGTAGCCCTCTCCGATGCCGAATAAAGATAATTTCGTGTTCGCTTTCACTTTTCCAATAAATCCTTCAATGGTCTCGAGACGAAAGTGGCAATTTCTCATTTCGCGCGGCTGTCCTTCTTCCAATTTATTTTCTTCGCGACGTTCCGCACACCCACCCATTATTTTATTTGAAGAAGAAGAAGGAGAAGGAGAAGAGCTCTTTTTCTGAGCCGCTCCCAAATTTCTTGTTGTACAGCAATTATACAGCGTGGTGAGGCGGTTGTAAAAAACGTACTTAAGAGGGAGAGGGAGGGGGTAGTGTAGATGTCCCCACACTTTCTTTGAACGGTTTTTTGTCTTCCAAGTATAGTTTTCTGAATCATTTCAACCCAATTCAGTCAAAATACAGCTTCGATGCCTCTCATTTCTCGCTCGGATGACAGATGTCCGTGTCGATGTCTGTGTACAGACCCCAGCTGTTTTACTTGACCCTTTCCCTTTCCCCTCACTTTTTTGTTTGCTATACAACTCGACTTGTTTAAAAATCTATTCAATCTAAAGCTTTTATAGTGTTCCTCGAGGATGTGCAGTTCCAAACGTTTCTACACTCCACCAGAGGGACCGTCCGGCGATGAAGAGCCAAAGTTTCGAGTCTTCTGGGAGTACATTAATGAGTAAGTGTTTTATTACAATTTTTGAACGCATTACCTTAATTTATGGGATGCATGCTACTAAAACTGGTGCTCAAGCTACTTAAACCACTAAATAGAGCGCCAAACCTGACATTAGGTAGTAGTCAGTGTTGAGCTCAACACTGATTGTGAGTACTGCCCCGAATCAGAACTCTTCAAGCTAGAACAGAACTGATACTAATCAGAACTGATCAAATTAATTCCACCTTGACAATATTAATTTCAAAAAAATAACCGAAAATGAATAGGAAAGCTTCAGATCCAGAATCTCTGGGATATTGTAGCTGGCCGCGGACTAACTTTCTCACTGCGTTTTACGCTGAGCAATGAAGTTTTAAAGGACCAGGGAACCCAAATTTTTTTTAATTTTTTTGTGTCTGTTTGAATTGTCTCTTATTGCCTCATACACTGGTGAAATGCTGCCTCTCAAAAATGCCAATGAACGAAACGGAAAATGGGAGAAACCGTTAATTTTTGGAAAAAAAACCGGTAAAAAAGCGAAAAAAATAAAATGGCCGAGAAGCGCATATTTCTAGGCCATTGACGCTAGGCCACGGCCTTCAACTGCACGCCGTTTTGTTCATTGGCATTTTTTAGAGGCAGCATTTCACCAGTGTTTGAGGCAATAAGAGGCAATTCAAACAGACACAAAAAAATTTCACAAAAAAATAATAATCAAAAAATTTTTGGGTTCCCTGGTCCTTTAATACAAGAACACGGGTTTATATTTTATTTTCAATAGTTTTATTATATTTTGCGCGTAGTGCTTTTGCGAATACCTGAAATATAACTGGTTCGTTGCAGAATTGTGTCGAATTACAGAGTTAGGCATGCCAAAAGGACAGGCAAACGCCACAGAAGTGATTGGTGGTTGGCCAATGAAAAAAAAAGAAGGAGTTCTGATTTAGGAAGTATTGCCATAAGGAGTTCTGATTCGGGGCAGCACCGTTGAGCGGAATTCCGTCTTCCGTCTTCCGTGGATTTTTTTGTTCCGTCTGCCGTCTTCCGGGATTTTTTCTTTTTACCGTAAAAGAATAATAGCTTTTCAGAAGCCATTTACTAGTCCCGAAGAACGCGAATTTCCACGGGCAATTTCCACGGGCCCAGATCCAAAAATTTTTTTGTTGTTTAGTTATTTTTTTCAACCGGAGAAAAAGGCTCTACATTGACGATTTTTTGTTCCGTATTCCGTCTGCCGTCTTCCGGGAAAAAATTTTTTCTTCCGTCTTCCGTTTTCCGTGTTCCGGATTTCAAAATTCCATTTCCGCTCAACTCTGGTAGTAGTACATCATTTTTCTCAAACATTGCTGTCAGGGCCACTTTCTTTCACTATATCTCAAGATCCAATGATTATTTCAAAAAGTGGTCAACTGAAAAGTTGTTGCAAATTTTGTCCTCTACAACTTTGTAGTTGAACATTTTATTCCAAAACTTGTCATTCTTGAGTTATGGTCTTGGTTCTAACCAGTATATCCACTAGAGGCTAAGGAAAGTTCTTTGAGGCCCTAAATTGGATTTTAGAGAAAAATGATATAACTTTTTGCGCTCTATTCAATTGTATAAGTAGCTTAAAGACTTCAAATAGTAACAAGCCTCCTTAAGACTCATTTTCAGTTTCTTCTCGACCGAAGACGTGTCCGTCGTCACGCAACTTCCGTTGATCCATCACCAAGGGACCAGTGTGACGGTAATTTGGTCCCCGGACGTTCCGCAACCGGTTTCAAAGTGTCTCAGACCGCTCACATCGTCGTGGCGTTCGCTTTATACGCACTTCAGCTCCATTACAGTCTACTGGGCATGGACAAAGTCCAAAATATTTCGTTTTGGCTTCTGGTGACCGCCAATGCGATGGCGTGCGTTTTCGGAAGTTGTCGTGGATTCGATCGTGTCACTCTTGTGGTAAACGGACAATATTCATAGACTACAGTAACCCATTTCACTTTAGGAATTGTTTCTCGCCGCCTTCTTCTCCTTCTTCTTCCGTCTCCACTACGCGATTCCGGTCATTGCCATTATGAGTTCGTTTTTTGTGCATTTCAAGCGAAAACCATCCAGTTTTGACATACAATATTTAAAAAAATTGAATTCAAAACTGAGCTAAAGCGTATATATCAATTTTCAGCCTATCAAGTCTACATTCGCTACGAGTACAGCTACTTGGACTCGGAATTCGATGAAAACGGACAATATCGATATAGGGACCAGCCGTACGATTCCAATTAATAATTCGATTTGCCCACTCATTTTTCTTTGAGCTTTTCCCTCCCCAAACAAGCCATTTTTCAAAAAAAAATGTTTTTTCAAGCTTTTCTATGCTTTTCCCAATTATTGTATTGTATTGAGTATTGTAGACTTCTAAAAAGCCCTATGACTCTGAAATTGTTTAAGTGATATCTTGAGACCTAGTACTTCTTTTTTGTAGTTGATCGCTTTTTTCTATATCCACTTTCTGGGGCACTGTAGCGCTTTGAAGTTAGGGCTAGTTGAAAACCTATGCTAACTTCCAAGACCTACAGTAACCCAGGGAGTGATTTTATGTAAAAGCTGTCAACAGAAAATTTATAGTACTAATTGTGAACTTTAATTTTGTAGTTGACAGTTTTCCCGTAAAACCGGTCCTAAGAGTACTGTAGCTCGTAGAAAACAGCGGTAAATGTATGGGTGCTGAACTAGTCCTAACTTCCAAGAGCTACAGTAACCCAGGTAGTGGTCCTAGAAAAAAATTCTCAACTACAAAAATGTAGTACTAGATGTCAAGATTTCACAAAAAACGTTTCACACCCATGACACCTCTAGGAACTCTACAATACTCGTTCAAAGTTGCTATTGCATGACACCATTCTTTCATTTGTGCACTTCCCCTCACTCCCCCCAAAACATCCTTGCTTGCCCTACTAAAACACAATCTTCTTTGACAAGAAAAGAAATGAATGATCGAGATTGAAAGGCATTTTATTGCCGTTACACCCCCCCTCTTTCTTTTTTCGGGAAAAACGGACTGACCGCATTCTTCCATATCAGTTGGCTAATACGCGCCGTCGTCGCCGCAAAAGGAAAAACACAAGTTTGCATCACAAAAGAGACGCCGTTTCAGGAGAGACAGACACGGATTTTAGGTCAAGGACTGTACTGGTACGCACACAGAAAAGATATCGAGCGAGGTGCACTTTTAGTTAGTTGCTTTGCTTAACAACAGAGAACTTTACAATAGAGGAGAGAAGAACACGACTCAAATTACGGTAGTTTCAAAGCAAAATACCGTGCCCTGTGCCTCGAAAACTTGCACATCATCCACATTTTTCCATAAATCTTCCACAGGTTCACAAACTTTTTTCTCTCTCTTTCTCTCTCTCTCGCTCTCGTGCGGTAATCCGACTAATTGACGATTTCAATCTCTTCGTTTTCCGATAAATAACCGTTCGGTAATAGGTCAACTGCCGCGCGGAAGAAGACGAGAACAAAAACATTTGTGATTTATCGGAACAACACCCACTTTTTTCGCGAGATTTTGAGGTTGGGAAATGACCACAGAATCCTACAGTATCCGATTGAGAATTTCACGACAGAAACCATACTTCCAGTTTTAAAATCATAACTAATTTCAAAAAAATCGTACGGACTTGGTTCAAAGCTCAAATTGTTGGTATTTGGATTGTTCGTCAGGGAAAAATAGTTAGAAAATTCGGAAAATTTCAGTAGGCCTTGAAAAAGTAGCCGGGCCGGGCTGAGAGCACTTTTTGCCGGCCCGGGGCCCTTCTGAAATTTTCCGAATTTTCTAATTATTTTTCCCTGATGAACAATCCAAATACCTACAATTTGAGCTTTGAACCAAGTCAGTACGATTTTTTTGAAATTAGTTATGATTTTAAAACTGGAAGTATGGTTTCTGTCGTGAAATTCTCAATCGGATACTGTAGGATTCTGGTCGTGGGCCCGGCGACAAGTATGACAGAAACGTGCTTTGAGCCAAGCGCCTAATAACGTACCTCTACAGTATTCCCTGCCGCCCCGCTATTATGTAGGTACGAACCTTCACACCCACCGTCTGCCACGTCATAATCCGCGCGTCCTTCGTTCGTTCGTTCCTTCCGTCCCCACGCGGCCACCTCAAAAGAGGTCGCGACCATCATCTTTTCTTGTCATAAACCCTCGCTCAAATAGACGGGTCTCTTCCCCAACAAAATGACCTTTCTCGGGTTCAAGGCGGCCTGATCGAGCGTGTCGTTCCCGCCGCCGCTCCCGCAATCCAATTATCTTTCACTTTTTCCTCGCTTTTTTCCTCGGAACGTTTGTGAAACGAACGAGGCAGCGGAGGAACGACAAAAAAGTGCCACTTTCCGCCAATCAAAAGAGTTATGCAATTCCCCGCAAGGGGATTTATTATGCGCGCGCATCCGAGACGCTAACCTACTAACAGACTTTGACGTGGCACTACGGAAATGTGTGCTGGCAAGGAGTTTTGGCAATCCTCGAACCGAATTCATTCATTCATTCATTCCTTCCGGATGACGTGGCTGGTAGCTGTGGCCGCGATGAGTCAGAGAGGATTAGTGGACCGTAGACTAGGTTCAAGGACTCGTTATGAAACAGTTTGGAGGCGGCTAACCGCCCTTAACACACACGTTCGCGGCTTGGTCAAGTGTGACGTGGCAACGGGAACGCTGGCAATTTTGAAACAAACAAAACGTTCAGAATATATCAACTCCCGACCAGAGTTGAGCGGAAGAACTCAACGGAAGAGCACGGAAGAATTTTTATCTTTTTTAGAAAATTTTTTCATGGAATGTGATCAACTGACGAAATGTATAGCAAAGTGAATTCTGCTCATAAAAAAATAATTGTAAATTTAGCTTTTCATACAAAAAAGTTATTCGAGTTGTTCCGTGAAAAAGGGCAAACGGAAGACGGAAGGACAACAACTCGAATAATTTCTTTGTATGAAAAGCTATATTTACAATTATTTTTTTGTTGAGCAGAGTTCACTTTGCTATACATTTCGTCAGTTGATCACATTCCATGAAAAAATTTTCTAAAAAAGATAAAAATTCTTCCGTGTTCTTCCGTTGAGTTCTTCCGTTCAACTCTGCTCCCGACACTATTAGATCAAAGGATGTTCAGCCGCCGCTACCATAATCTTTCCAACTACCCTCGACTATTCTGGAACATGTTCTGAAGCGTAATTTTTCAAATGTTGACCAATTTCACCCGAATTCAGTACAATTTCAATGTCAAAAGTCATGTAGTGTTTCTGTGCACAGATGTCGGATTTCGGTCGCAGTCACCTTGTCGCCACTCGGTTTTTCCAACCTCATTTACATGTCAGCTATGCCATCCCCGAACGGTCCGTTCTTCCTTTCAGATGCCTATCTCGCCACTTTCCCTCCTTCCCTCCTTCCTTTCACTCCTCAATCGTTTGGGTTGACGTGGCAACTCGATTTCAGGCGCTCAAGGTTATCGCTTCGTCCACTGTTTGTCATTTATGCGAGCGAGATACGACACCGAACGCAATAGATATTACCGGTGATGGAGGGCCAAAAAAAGAGAGGAATGGGGGGAGATGTTTTCCGGAGATATCGCCGATTGACGATGACGACGACGACGGTGACGGTCCACAGATATCTGGAGGCGAAAAAAACAGGAAAAATTGGGTGTTTTTGGGTGACGAGCGAGTTCTGAAGCATTTTTTTGGAACAAAGAAGGGCTCTGAAACTTGTCTTTGCACAAATTTAGACGCTACAAGAGTGTTAGTACAAACTTGGGCTCTGACATGAGTCCTAGAACGATCATCAAGACAAATTTCTGTCCCAGAACATGCCACGGTCTCCCACGGCGCGAATGATTTCAATGGGGCGCACTTGCAACAGGCGGGTTGTGTCGATTTACGCGGCGGCCGATTAATTAATTTTCAACGGGAGTTCCCGTTCTTTCCATGTTTTCTGTACACTATCCGCCGGAACCTGAATTTTGTGAAGAAAGATTCAGCGAACATTTTTATCGTCGGTTGGGCTCATGAAATGCAAAATGAGCTGAAATATAAAGGTTTGAAGTTTTGACGAAATGCGAAAAAGACGCTAAAAACATGGAAAACTCTTTCAATCAGTAAAATATTGGTTTCCAGACGTTTTTCAAGTCAAAAAGAAAGAAATAAAGGTCGTAAACTCGAATTGAACTGCATTTTTAGACATGCAAACAAATTTTCAAAAGTTACAACGACACTCCGCAAATTACGAGCACACTGTGTTTAGCATTAGCGCCCTGGGAACAAAAATTTGTCTAAAAACATGCTTCACCACTGTCATTTTCGTCCTAAATCACGTTTCTGTCTTGAAAGCCTGAAATGGATGGCTACTGTGTAGAATTATGGTCATTTATGATACTTTCTCAATACCATCTCAAAACGGGTTTCTGTCCCCAAATCATGTGCCAAAACCAACATTTTTCACAGAACGTACCAAAGTACCGTATCCAAAAACAAGCTCCTCCGATCACTCGAGGTAGTTTTCTGATCGCTCACCTACTTTTTCGCGTCGTCCACCCTGAATTCATCATCAACACGACGAGGAAAAGAAACCGTATCTAATCTAACCTAACCTACTTTCGAAATTAACCTAGACCTACTAAATGTTGCCCGTTTCCTCTTTTTTTCCGTTTTTCTCGGGGGGAGGGGGGGCGCCCGTCTCACAATGATCTAGTGCATCCTTCTCTCTCTCTCTCTCTCCCTCCCTCTGTTGGTATAGAGAGAAGAAGAAGAAGAAGAAGAAGAAGAAGAAGAAGAAGAAGAAGAAGAGGGCGGGGACCGTCCTTGACCAGCTAAGTATTGCGCATGTTCCCCCTGGAGCGGGGCCGTTTAGCCTCCCCCCTCCTACTATCTTTTTCTGATTCTCTGAGATGGTACCTAGTAGTAACCCAGATTCCTTTCCATCCCTCACAATCGCTCAAAAAGTTTTAGCGAAATTAAATTCCTTCGAAACTCCACGCCCCCCGCGCCTTTGACGCCTTCTAAGGAACGGAACGGAGCGAGCGAGCGGAGGGGGGGTCACAGTTTAATTGAGGATCGACACTCTCGATTCTTCCTCCCCGAGGTTTCATTCATTATTCTCATTCTTTCTCCCATTCTTCTTCCTCTTCCGTGTCACTCTTCCTTCGTGAACTTTATTAGAAAGTTACTCAACAATGTATGTAGGTATCTAGGCCGACGATGCACCATGTAGCATTGACTCCTAGCACTTTGGCGATGGAGCTCTATGCACCATAGGGCCACAGATTCAGTGGGGAGGGGAATGCACCATAGGCGCTACAGTTTTACTCAAAGTCTGGCCGATGCATCATGTGATAAGAATCAAAAAACTCTAGCCATCCGGCTGGCACCATGTACACTTTACAACCAGCCAGGTGACAGATGCACCATAGGCCCAACAGGCCAAATTAGCCGATGCACCATGTAGCGCTAAACTCAACTAGCCCCGTTTTCCCCGCATAATCTTCGTGTTTTGCACTCCCCCTCCCCCCCATTCTAACAATATTTGCTCACAACACCTCTTCCGAGACGACACCGTAACCCCATTAAGCGGTGTAGTCCGCGTGGATCAACCTTCTCCACGGATCCGCGCTCTCTCAAGTGTTTTGAACGCCCGGAAGCGCCGCCCTGTTGTACAACGGAAATCTTGTGCGGGCGCGAATAGAACGGGGGATCGTGATGTGATCCTTGTTTTTTTTGGTTGTGTGTGTGTGTGTGTGTGTTCATTCCTTCTTCTTCTTCTTTTTCGTTCTCTCACTTTTCTCGCCGACGGTTCAATTAGTTCATATTGGTCGATGCACCATGCGAAGGGCTTTAGGACGAGTTTTGCCACGTTTTCAACTCCAGACAACTGCCCTAAAGTATATATAAAGTATATATCTATCCGATGCTATCCGTTTGCCCGACGAGTCACACTCCTTTCCATCTTTGCGCCACCGTTTTCCTGATTGATCGCCTCTCCTTGTCGACTCCTTTTTCAACAAGATCACTCGCACTTTTACAAATTGCGCAATCGTTGTGTTTGCAGGAATGTCGACGAGGAGCCGGGGCTCCTATTGCTCCTCATCATGGCTGTTAGCCCCGTTGGTACTGCTTTCCCTGTGCAGAGGTGAGTGCGGCTACAGTAATCGTTTGCAGAGTTGAGCGCGGAAGAACTCAACGGAAGAATTTTTATATTTTTTTGAAAATTGTTTCATGAAATGTGATCAACTGACGAAATGTAGAGCAAAGTGAACTGTGCTCATAGAAAAATAATTGTAAATTTAGCTTTTTATACAAAAAAGTTATTCGAGTTGTTCCGTGAAAAAAGGGGGCCAACGGAACAACTCGAATAACTTTTTTGTATGGAAAGCTAAATTTACAATTATTTTTCTATGAGCAGAGTTCACTTTGCTATACATTTCGTCAGTTGATCACATTTCATGAAAAAATTTTCTAAAAAAAGATAAAAATGCTTCCGTTGAGTTCTTCCGCTCAACTCTGATCGTTAGAGCGCATGCACCATGTGGATCGAACTTTTGCTATAAAACATGTCTTAGATTTCGGTTTGAGTGCCTGACATCACCTCGCACATCTTCTTGTCCGTTTTTGCATTCTAGTTTTACTCGGAAACGCACCAAGGCCATCACTGACCCATTTATGACGGCGGGAAACAACATGTTTGATGATTTGGGGGAATTGCGGTCTTAAGGGCAAAAAAGATGCGAATATTTGTGTTGGGAACCGGCGCGATTTTGTGAAGGCTAACCGCAAAAAATGTTTATTACAGGGACCCATCAGATTGCCAAAAATTTTGTCAACTCCTCAACTCCACATCTACGACCCACGTTCGTCGTCAATTTCGACACCTCGACAGTCGTTTGCCAGCACAGGTGAGAGTTCGTATGGTGCATCGGCCAGTGTTCGAAACATGGTTTCTGGTGTTCCCGACGCGATTTTATCACCCCGTTTCGACCTCAAAATATTATTCAAACGTTCGGCCCGCCAAGTGCCAATTAACAGATATTGTGGCGTCGCAACCACAAAGCGTATCAAGAAGGTGTCATAAAAAGGGTCTTCTCGAAGCCATGTTCGATTGTTTGCCGAATGTTTTAACCTTGGCCAAATGGTACTGGCACACCGAGGCACACGAGAGACAAAAAAGGAACAATTTCATGCGTGATTGCGGTTGAAATGAGACATTTCGCTGCGAAAATTCGTGGTGGTGGCAATTTGAATTTGAATTTGAATTCGAATTCAGTAAGGGGAACATGACCGTGTGCTAGGGGAATGATGCACCATGTTCGGAACATGTTCTAGGACAAAACACATGTTTTCAAACGCATAAACCGCCAACATTTTCAGTTCTGACCCGACAGACTTGCACATCCACAACATGAGCTCACTTTGCGACGGAAAACAAGACTGTTTCGCGAGTCCGGCGATGCACGACGAAGTTTTTCCCTATTGCGGTACTATCGTACTTTTCCGGGAACTCAATACAATATAGCCGTTTTGCAGAGCACAAATGCGAGTGCAACGGAAAAGGCGCGTGTCTGTACGATGGCGCCAAACCGCAGTGTTATTGTGATTCCGGCTTTTCCGGTACGGCGTGTGAACTTCAAGACAAGAATGAGTGTCTGGAGCATCCGTGTCACTTGATGGCTCAATGCCAGAACACCCTGGGCTCCTACGAATGTCGCTGTCTGCCCGGATATCAGGGGAATGGGCACGAGTGCGCTGACATCGACGAGTGCTCCGAGAAAACGATCGCTTTTTCGCAGTGTCCAGAACATTCAACGTGTATCAATCTGCCGGGGACCTATTATTGCAATTGTACTCAAGGATTTAGCCCGAAGGTACGTAAAGTTTTCAAAAAAAGGGCGTTATTCCGTTGCGGGGAATCGAACCCCGGCCTTATGGGTGAGAGCCATAAATCCTAACCACTAGACCACAACGGACTGGCGGAACAGAGGCGGCGAGGGTAATGCTATTACTGCGTCGCGGCGGCTGCCCGCCGGCCGGAATATCATCGCCCTCAGCGACCCATTTCTCTCACACATATCATGAGTCATATGTCAGTCCGGGGTTCGATTCCCCGCAACGGAATATTTATTTTACAAAGTTTGATTATGTTGTGTGGTGTTATTCTACACACACAAAGATATTGTCGTTATCATACACGGTCTCCAGAGCTGACAATATGGGCGTGGCCTCGGCGGCCAAATGGCGTTTTTATGAATTGAGCAGGTTTTCTCTGATTTTTGTGGTCAACGGCGATGAAAAATGATTGTTCGACATGAAAACACACTAATTCTCAGAATTAATGACATTTTGGCGCTTTTTTCGCGGACTTTGCTTTTTCGCCTTCGCCGCCGATCGCCGCCTCAAAACCGCACTTCCCATTTTGCGTTTTCTTGACCGTTTTCAGACAGAATTGGTTTTGCGAATGATAAATCACGTAAATACAAGCATTTTGAGCGCTCGAACCGCGAAAACTACCGAAAAGCAACTGAAATTCACGCAGTTTTAGCCAAAAACCTTCAAACGGATAAATGTGATTTGCGACTAGACCAAATTTAACGCTCTTGCGCTTAAAAAATTCGTAATAGCCTATATAATCGGTCTATCGAGAGACAAATGAGAGATTATCGGTTTTTCGTGGCTAATCTGGCAAAAAAACACAAATTTTGCTGTTAAAATTTGAATTTCGCGCCAATGTATCGCTCTATTAGGCGGGCATTGTCAGCTCTGGAGACCGTGATATCATAATTTTGACCTAGAGAAGTATTTGATCTTCGTGGCGGCAAGCAAGCCACTCGATTGCCATCAGGACATCACAGATTCACTCGGAAATTGCAGGGAAACCAGGGATCCGGCCTGGACAAGTGTGTGGACATCAACGAATGCGAGACCGATGCGCACAATTGCGAGAAAAACGAAATTTGCGAGAATACCGTCGGCTCGTTCAAATGCGTCACAAAATGCTCGCCCGGATACGAGCTGATCGACGCAAAGTGTGAGGATGTGAACGAATGCGCTTCGGATGCGCTTCACAAGTGCGACGTCAGAGCCGAGTGCATAAATACTGTGGGCGGGTACGAATGCGAGTGCGACGACGGTTTCGATGGCGACGGAAAAAACTGTCAACGTTAGTTTTCTCACGGCGACCAAAAATGTAGAAAGGGGCGTGTCCTAGCGTTTATCACCATTTTGGCGCGAAATTCGAAATTTAACCCCATTTTTCACGTTTTTCGTCAAAAATTATCCAAATTTTGTACGATTTCGACGATACGATTGCATAACTTTGTTAAACTAATCATCGCGCACTTTTTGAGCTTAAAACGAGCAGGTTTCATTCAGAAATGAATCAATTGAATCGATTTTCAAGTTTTGTGCTGAAAATGCGCGAATTTCAGTCATTCGCCGATACTTTTTGCCGTTTGAACGCTTAAAATACTTGTATTACCAGCGCTTAATCACTTTCGACACTCACTTCGTCTCAAAACTGATCCAGATCGGCCGCTATGAAAATTCCGAAATTGCGGCGGAGAGCGTATTGCGAAATATGCCAAAAACGTCTCAAACGCGGCGTTTTCACGAAAATTTCGATGTTTTCTCTCTTTAATGTCTCCTCTTTCGTCGCTATCAAACACAAAAATATCGGAAAAGTGCTGAAATTGCGGCAATTTTCAGAAAACGCGTCTCAGATTAGGCCACGCCCCTTTCTACACTTTTGGTCGCCGTGATTTCTTAACATTTTCGGTCCTAAGCCCTATTTTTAAACGTTTAGCGAAAGCCTCGTGTCGAAAGAACTCTGGAATTTGTGATCGCCACGCGTCGTGCCACATCGTGCTGGACATTTGTGATTGTAAGACCGGATACACGGGCGACGGAATCACTTGTCACGATGTGAACGAGTGTGACGCCAAGGAGAAGCCGTGCGCCGACGGAGGACGCTGTCTCAACCTCGACGGTGGATATGTGTGCTGTGAAGAGGGTCAGGACGATGGAGAGTGCATTAGAGGTGAGCGGAGTGCTGGATTCGGGTTCTGGGCGCGTTGGGGAACCCTCGAATTTTCCAGATCAAGGCGCATTCTGCTCCGGCGGTTGCGGCGACAACGCAGTTTGCTCCAACGCCACGTGCGCCTGCATCGACGGCTTCCGAGGCGATCCACAAAAGAAATGTGCGGATGTGAACGAGTGCGTGGAAAATGATCAAGTTTGCGGCGGCGTCGGCGACCGGTGCGTCAACCTTTTCGGCGGTTTCAAGTGCTGCCAACATGGATCCACGGACGCGGAGTGCTCGGATTCGGCCTTCTCCTCGGACTCCTCCACCATTTCGAGCCATGGCGCGGATTTCACGACGACCGGCGAGCAGCTCATCCAAAACGCCGGCTCAATCCAGACATCCTCGGGCGGCACAATCACCGTAACCCGCGGTGTCATCCCGAAAAACGTTGAACTGACGACTTCCGGAAAACTCGCTTGCACCTCGTATTGTCCGGCCAACTCGGAGTGTTTGGACGGCTTCTGCGAGTGCGTCAAGGGTTACGGTGGAAATGCGTTGGTCGGGTGTGAGGATGTGGACGAGTGCATCACCGAAACGTGCAATACCGACGAGAACGAGTGGTGCGTCAATTTGGACGGCGGCTTCGTGTGCTGCAATCCGAGCAATGCTACTCATGACGATTGTTTGGGTGAGTTTCAGGCAATCAACATTTTCTGGAACACGTTTTTCAAATTGTCCAATTCCAGGCCTCGAAATCACCCGCGAAAAGGGTCTGCAGGTGATCGGCGTGAACGAGGAAGGCACGATCGTGGCGACGCGTTCGAACGACTCGACAATCGACGAACTCATCACCGAAACCACGACAACTTCGCGGAACCATTCGTCCGGCCAGATCATCTACACACGTGGCAAAGTTTCGCAGGGCGAGGCCGTCACTCAGGCCATCCGTCCGACCGATTCCGATCAATTCGGGCTCGAGATCTCGGCCGCCGATTTGGCTGGAAGTGGTTCCGGAATTCTACTGTTGACGACGCCGACGACGATCAAATTGGAAGGATCCGGCAGAAAGGACATGGGCGTTTGGACGGAGGAGGACGATGGAGAGGATGAGGACCTGATGGAGGAGGGATCCGGCGGCTCGTGGAGCACCACACTCAACGGAACCGGATTTACGGGCGCGCCGAGGTCGGAGGGCACGATCCGGGTGAGAATTACCACGTTGGGCGAGGATTCCGAGGTGGAGACGGCCACGAAGGCCGGAGTTACGGCTCCTGCAAACGGATCTGGATCTTCTGGAGCCACTAAGACATCTGGAGAGTCTTCCACGTCTTCTGGAAGTTCTTCTGGATCCTCAGGATCTTCAACATCTTCTGGAACATCAGCCACCTCATCAGGCAAAGAATCTGGAGTGTCCGGAAATTCCACGTCTTCTGGAGAAGGATCAGGATCTTCCGGAGTGTCTGCCACGTCATCTGTGAAAGAATCTGGATCTTCTGGATCTTCGACGTCATCTGGAGAAGGGTCTGGAACCACCACGACTACTGGAGAGTCTGGATCTTCGGGATCGTCTTCTGGAAGTTCTTCTGGATCTGCCACATCATCTGGAGAGGGTTCTGGAAGCATAACGACATCTGAAGAGTCAGTCACAAAAGAATTGGGATCTTCTGGATCCGTGACGTCTTCTGGAAAAGCAGCTGGAGCCACGTCATCTGTTAAAGAGTCTGGATCTTCCGGATCAACTTCTGGAGGCTCATCCGGATCTGCCACGTCATCTGGTGAGGGATCAGGATCTTCTGGAGCCACCAAGACATCTGGAGAATCGCCCACGTCTTCTGGAAGTTCTTCTGGAGCATCGGGAAGATCCACATCGTCCGGGGAAGGTTCAGTTCCTTCTGGAGTCACGACGACTTCTGGAAAGGATTCTGAAGAATCTACCACGTCATCTGGCAAAGAATCTGGATCTTCTGAAACCTCCAAACCATCTGGAAACGACGAGAAACTTGGCGTCTCGAAAGAAGGACAAGAATCGACGTCTTCTGGAGCGAGTGCCACGTCATCAGGCGTTCCAGAAGGATCTGGCGACGGCGAGTGGTTTGAAACTGGCTCCAAGGGACATTTCGAATCGGGATCCAAGGTTACGGTCACTTCTGGAAAGGGAACGAATCCTGAGCCGACGGGAACGTCTCCAACTTCTGGGACCATCATCAAAACTCCAGAGGACAAGCCTCAGATCACCACCGACGACGAGGATTCATCGTCGACGACTTCTGGCGGCGAGAAAAGTCCGAAGAGCGATTCGAAGGGTGAGAAGCCGAAAACGAATGAGAAAGATGCGGAAATCGATGGATCCGGAGAGCCGACGTCTTCTGAAAAGCCTTCTGAAGGCGCGCAAACCTCGGAGAAGCCGTCAGGACCTTCGGAACAGCCGGAAGAAGGATCGGGCATTCTTACGATCAATTCTGGTGGCAAGAACACCACTTTCGAGCGGGGAACCAAACTGGACAAGGTTGAACCGGAGGGAAAAGATGGGAATAAGTCGGGCGAAGAAGATTCTGGAGTCGGATTGGAAATCAGTGCTGGAGAGAAGAAGGAGCCGGGTTCCTCGAAAGAAGTCGGATTGGAAATTGTGTGGGAGTCTACCACGACCGCCGCCACACCGGATTCTGAAATTGTAGGTCATCGGACGGCTTTTTCGAACAGAAACATGCCTCAAAACATGTTCAGCAATCCGATAATCCTCTAAATTTCAGGTTGGCCTCGAAATTTCCGGAACCGACCTCACGAAAAGCACGAAACTGCCAATTGAGGGCTCCGGAACTGGCGACGAGGAAATCAGTGAGTTCCGCCTGAATATTCACCCGGTCGATGCACCATGTTACAGCTGCCACGACTCGGGACGTCTCGAAGAGCACGAAGAAGCCGCCACGTGTCGAGATTGACGGAGGGGACAACGGAGAGACGGAAGGCGTCGACGGAAAAGCCACGTCACCGGCGCCGGTCTCTCCGGAAGGTGGATCCGGGTCCGGAGAGCTTCCAGATGCTTCTGAAGGTTCTGGAGAGTCTACCGTGGCTCCGACCACGTCTACAGAGTCTTCGGAATCCTCAACGACAACTTCAGAAGGCGTTTCATCAACGTCTTCTGCTCCTGCTCCCGTTTCCACGTCATCTGCTTCTGCTACAACAACTTCTGAAGTCGAAGGGTCTGGAACGTCATCATTGGCTCCAGAAGTCCCGGAATCTTCTACCGAAGCGCCTACATCTTCAGAATCGCCCGAGGAAGGCTCTGCAACTTCTCCTGCAGTCTCCGAGGCTCCAGAATCCACGACAACCACTCCGACTGTGGCGCCGGCCACAATTCAGCACCGCGAAGAGCCCACGCCGACCAAAGACACGTTTGCTCTTCCGACGACGACGACCGCGGCGCCGAGCAACGAGACTATGTGAGTTTGCGATCGAAAATGAAGAAAAGTGTTTTGTTTTTGTGTTTTTGCAGTGAAAACACAAAGTGTACGAGCAGCGACGAGTGCGGAATGGATGCTCTATGCGAGAGAAGAACCGGAGTGTGTCGATGCGAACCCGGATTCGAAGGAGCTCCGCCCAAGAAGGCTTGTGTCGGTGAGTTGGGGGGGGGGGGACGAAAACATGCTGAAGAGTTAACTGTTGTCACCACCGTAATCCTTTGCAGACGTGGACGAGTGTGCGACGGGTGACCACAAGTGCCACGAGTCGGCGCGTTGCCAGAACTACATTGGCGGCTACTCGTGCTTCTGCCCGACCGGCTTCCGCAAAACCGACGCCGGTTCGTGCGACGACATTGACGAGTGCACCGAGCACAATTCCACGTGTTGCGGCGCCAACGCGCAGTGCGTCAACAAGCCGGGCACGTATTCGTGCGAATGCGAGCACGGATTCCTCGGCGACGGCTATCATTGTGTGGCGAGCACGAAGAAGCCGTGCGACTCGGAGCAAGTGCTCAAGAGCCACTGCGCCGAGAGCAATATGGCGTGTGAAGTGGAGACGTCGACGGGCGCCGTCGAGTGTAGGCAATGTATGAGTGGGTATCGGAAAGTCGGTGCCACGTGTGAAGACGTCAACGAATGCGACGCTTCGCCGGCTCCATGCGCGGCCAACGCGAATTGCGTCAATCTCAACGGAACGTTCTCGTGCTCCTGCAAACCCGGATTCCGGGGCGACGGCTTCCAGTGCCTGGACATCAACGAGTGTGACGAGAAGCATCCGTGCCACCCACACGCGGAATGCACCAACACCGACGGCGCCTTCTCCTGCCAATGCCACGCCGGATTCGAGGGCGACGGCGTCAAAAAGTGCACGAATCCGTTGGAGCGCAGTTGTGAAGACGTCGAAAAGTTCTGCGGACGGACCGAGCACGTCTCCTGTCTCAGCGTCCGCATCTACAACGGATCGCTGTCGTCGGTGTGCGAGTGTGAACCCGGATTCCGGTTTGATAAGACCAAAAATGCGTGTGTGGACGTGGACGAGTGCGACGAGAATCGCAACAATTGCGATCCGGCGTCGGCGGTCTGCGTCAACACCGAAGGATCGTTCAGATGCGAGTGTGCCGAGGGATACGAGGGCGAAGGAGGCGTTTGTACTGGTGAGTCGTCAGAGTTCTCTTTCAAAACATGGTTTTGTTTCGGTTCAGACATTGACGAATGCGATCGTGGAATGGCCGGCTGCGACAGTATGGCAATGTGCATCAACCGAATGGGCTCTTGCGGATGCAAATGCATGGCCGGATACACTGGCGACGGCGCACATTGTACCAGTAAGTACAGCACTAGTTTTTTGTCCAAGAAACATGTTCCAAGACACTTTTTTTCACCCCAAACCATTCCAGAAATCGAGGAAGCGCTCAAATCCGACAAAACCGCGTGCACCGACGAGTGGTCGCGTCTGTGTGAGCTCGAAAAGAAGCAGTGCACGGTGGACGAGGAGGAGGTGCCTCAGTGCGGAGCGTGTCTTCCGGGACACCATCCGATCAACGGAACCTGTCAATCTCTCCAGATTTCCGGTCTTTGCGCCCATAAAAACGACTGTAACCAGCACGCGGAGTGCATTGACATTCTGCCCGATTCGCACTTTTGCAGCTGTCCCGACGGCTTCATCGGCGACGGAATGATGTGTGATGGTAAGAGGAGTATCAAACGAGACCTATAATATCGAAATATTGTAGACGTGGACGAGTGCACGAACGCGGGAATGTGCGAGGACAAGAATTCGCAGTGCGAGAACACGGTCGGCTCGTTCAAATGCGTCTGTAACGACGGATTCAAGAAGGAGGCGGATGTCTGTGTGGCCGAGAAGCCGAATCGGACCAAAATTGAGACGGACGATGAGAACTTCGAATCCATGTCTTCTGGCGCCGAGAAACCGGCGACGAAGAGCGCTTCTGAACCTCCAGAGGCTACTACGGTGTCTTCGACGACATCTGAAGCCACCACCACCTCATCTGGAACCTCTCAAGCTCCAGAAGCCAGCAAAGGTACAAAAACGTCTTCTGCATCCACGTCGTCTGTTCCTATCACGTCTTCTGAAGCACCAGTCACGTCGTCCGAGTCTCCAGAACTCACCACGTCGTCTGTCAAGAGTTCTGAAGCTCCAGAATCCACCACAAGTCTGTCTGAAGTTGTCACGTCATCAGAGTCCACCGTGTCAACGTCCTCGTCTTCTGAAGCTCCAGAAGGTGTCAGCACGTCTTCTGAAGCACCAGCTACATCGTCCGAGTCCTCAGAAGCTCCAGAATCCATCACGCGTCCGTCTGAAGTTGTCACATCATCAGAGTCCACCGTGTCATCGTCCACGTCTTCAGAAGCCCCAGAAGTCACTTCAACGTCTTCTGAATTCACAGTGTCATCGTCCAAAGCTCCAGAAAGTGTCACAACGTCTTCTGAAGCTACCACGTTGTCTTCAAAGGCTCCAGAGGCCTCCACAAAGTCATCTGAAGCACCTCTATCATCGTCCACGTCTTCTGAAGCCCCAGACGTCACTGAGACGTCTTCTGAAGCACCAGCGTCATCGTCCAAAGCTCCAGAAGTTCCTGCCACATCATCTGCAACGCCCACGTCTTCTAAATCATCATCTGAAGGCACTACCGTCTCGTCAGTGGCTCCAGAAGCCACAACATCTTCAACAGAAGCCACGAAAGGTACCACAACGTCTTCTGAATTTGTCACCTCGTCCGGCACGCCTTCTGGTGCTTCTAAAGCGTCAGAAGCCACCACAACTGTATCGTCCAAGGCTCCAGAAGCTTCCACGTCATCCGTCACAGTGTCCACGGCTCCAGAAGCCGTCACAAAGGCTTCTGAAGCACCTGCAACGTCTTCTGAATCTGTCACATCATCTGTCACGTCTTCTAAAGCTCCAGAAGCTTCCACGTCATCTGTCACAGTGTCCACGGCTCCAGAAGCCGTCACAAAGTCTTCTGAAACTCCAGAAACTAGCACTGTGCAGTCGAAATCGTCTTCCGAAGCTCCAGAAGCGTCCACGTCATCTGTCACGTTTTCTGCATCTCCAGAACCTATCACAAAAGCTCCAGAAGCCACGAGCACCACTTCTGAAACTGGTACGTCGTCCGAATCTGTCACCACAACGTCTTCTCAAGCACCTTTGTCATCGTCCGAAGCTCCAGAAGTTTCCACGTCATCTGTCACGTCTTCTCAAGCACCTGTGTTCTTGGTAACGTCTACTGCACCGTCAGAAGCCACTACAACGTCTTCTGTGGCTGAAGTCGCCGCCGAGTCATCTGAATCACCGTTGGAATCCGGAAAAGCGACGACGGAAGATCCACTCACTGTGTCCGTTCGAATTCATGAGCTCACCACGGTTTCTGAAGCCTCAAAGGCTCCAGAATCTACGACGACGTCTTCTGAACAGCCTTCTACACCAAGTACGTCTTCTGTCACCGCTTCTGAAGTTGTGACGTCTTCTAATGTTGTCACAAAGCTTGATAGAGGTCAAAAAGTCAAAACCACCACCTCCCCGAGCATTGTCACGTCGTCTGAAGCACCTTTGTCATCGTCCAAGCGTCCAGAAGTTGAAACTACCGCTTCTTCTGAAAGTGTCACGTCTTCTGAAGGTTCAGTGTCACCGTCTAAGGCTTTAGAAGCTCCCACAAAGACTTCTGGAATTGTCACGTCATCAAAATCATCTGTGTTGTCATCCACGCCTTCAGGAACCACAAAGAAGGCTTCTGAAGCCACCACGCCTTCTGAAGGTGTGTTCACGTCTCCAGAAAGTGCCACGTCTTTTGTCTCGTCCACCAATGGTCTACCAGAACCTTCCAAAGCTTCTGGAACCATTGTCACGTCTTCTGCCATCTCAACTGTACCGTCCAAAACTCCAGAAGCTTCCACAACGTCTTCTGTGTCGTCCACAGCTTCTGAAACTTCCACGTCGTCTGTCACGTCTTCTGGAGCTCCAGATTTGAGCACTGTACAGTCCAGCACATCGAAAGCGCTGTCCAATACAACTTCTGAAACGTCTGAAGCTCCAGAAGTTTTCACGTCATCTGTCAAGTCTTCTAAAGCACCGTCCACGTCTCCAGAAGGTGCCAGGTCTTCTGAAACCACCACGTTGTCTTCGAAGGCTTCAGAAGCCACCACAAGTTCGTCTAAAGTTGTCACGTCATCTGTCACGTCTTCTAAAGCACCAGTGTCATCGTCCAAACCGTCAAAGTCTCCAGAAGTCACCACCACCTCAACTTCTGGATCTGTCACGTCTTCTGGAGCTTCTACCACTGTCAAACCGTCTGAATCCACAGTGTCGGCGTCTAGAGCTTCACCAGGTGTCACGACGTCTTCTGAATTTATCACATCATCTGTCATGTCTTCCGGAGCTCCAAAAGCTTCTCCAGAAACTTCCACGACATCTGTCACTGCGTCCAAAGCACCACAAGCCGTCACAAAGACGTCTGAAGCTCCAGAATCAAACACTGTGCAGTCAAAATCGTCCTCACCGGCTCCAAAAGCGTCCACCTCATCTGTCACGTCTTCTGAAGAACCAGTCTCATTGTCCAAAGCTCCAGAACCGTCCACGACGTCTTCTGGATCTGTCGCGTCATCTGTCACGTCTTCTGAAGCTCCTAAAAGCCCAGAAGCCACCACCACTGTATCGTCCAGAGCTCCAGAAGCTTCCACGTCATCTGTCACAGTGTCCAAGGCCCCAGAAGCCATCACAAAGTCTTCTGAAACTCCAGAAACTAGCACTGTGCAGTCCACGACTTCAAAAACCACCAAAAAGTCGTCCACGTCATCTGTCACAGCTTCTGAAGCATCAGTGCCATTGTCCAAAGTGCCGGAAGCTTCCACCACGTCTTCTGGATCTGTCACATCATCTGTCACGTCTTCTGAACCTTCAGAATCAAGCACAACGTCTTTAGTGTCATCGTCCGCGTCTCCAGATGTCATTGTCACGTCTTCAACGTCTTCTGGAGATGTCACGTCCTCGTCGGCTCCAGAAGCCACCACCACCACGTCTTCTGGAACGCCACGTGTCCGTCTCATCACCGGAACCCCACCGGATGACGTCCTCACCTCGTCCACTCTCACTGTGCCACGTCAGCAACAACATCGTCAAAATGTCACGTCTTCAGAATCCACGTCGACTTCTCCGCATCCGCCGCCGACTACGACGACGACGACGACGTCTTCTTCTCAACAGACCACCACGTCTTCAGGTGAGAATTTTCGAACGTTTTAGCATGGAAAGCATGATTATCGATTGATTTTATTGACTTTCTCGACAAACTGATACGTTTTTTGAATGAAACACTAACCGCTCCGGGTGGCAGGTAACCTCCGAGGACCGCCGAGCATCCAACCGCCACCGGAACTCCGAACGTCGACCACCGAAGCCCCGCCTACGAATAACGGAGGGTACGGCGAGGAGAGTAATCTGGAAGAAGAAGTCGTCCCCACCACCACCACCACAGAAGCTCGTGAGTTGAGGGAATTGGCATGATTTGCATGAAAACTCGAATTTTGATCGATTTGGTTCTGAAATTTGAGTTGCTCACGTCGAAATCTTTCTTCATTCATTTTTGATTTCCGAGCCATCTAACTTGCCAGTTATTCTCGAGATGAAGGAGTGAAAACTGACCAGCGCCGCATGGAGAACACCGAAATGACCACCCCCAAACCGTTCTAAACTTGCATTTTCAGCGGCGTCTCTCTGCGCCAACATCACGTGCCACTCCCTGGCCACTTGTGAACCATCCTCGGGCACGTGCATCTGTCGCGACGGCTTCATCGGCGACGGACTCACGAGTTGCTCCAAAAAGAGCACCGCCGACTGCGTTTCGCTTCCGTCTCTGTGCGCCGAAAACGCCAAGTGCGACAACTCGACGCGGTCGTGCGAATGTGATCCGGGATACATTGGCGACGGATACGTTTGTGGTCCGCATCCGCAAGATTGTGTGCTCCGCGCGAATTTGTGCTCTCCGGAGGCGATTTGTCAGAATCGGAGGTGTCAATGTCTGCCCGGATTCACTGGCGACGGAGTCAAGTGCGTCAGCATCCACGAGCGCGCCAGCAATTGCTCACAATGCGATGCGAATGCGCATTGCGTGGGCGGTGCCACGTGTAAATGCAATGTAAGTTGTGAAATCTGAATCTTGGCATCTAGTTTTTTTCTTTTTTTTCTAGTTTATGATTTTTTTGTACGACCACTCCCTGGAGTACTGTAATTGCTTGAAGTTATGACCAGTTCAACGACCACGCATTTCAATACCAATTTCCAAGCGCTACAGTACTCCAGGAAGTGATCGTAGAGAAAAATGATCAACTACAAAAAAACAGTACACGGTATGAAGATATCCCAAAAAAATTTCTAGAGCTCCCGGACCTCTTTCAAGCTTACACTACACTCTCAAAGTTCGCCATTTTTCTACAACTATTCTATCTTCGCACTTTTCAGCCCGGCTACTTTGGCAACGGTCTCTGCTGCGTGCCGGACCCTCTCGACTGCGTCCACTTCACCGGAATCTGTCATCCGAACGCCGTGTGCAACCAGGATTCGCGCCAATGCGAGTGCTCTTCCGGTTTTTCCGGAAACGGCGTTTCGTGCTTCCCGCAAAAGTCGTGCCGCACTGACAAGTCGGTGTGCGCCAGGAATGCGATTTGTCTGCCGACTGGCAACTGTATCTGCCGTCACGGCTTCAAGGGAGACCCGTTCTACAAGTGCGAGAGTCTCGTCGCCAAAGGTTTGTGGTTTAAGCGCGACCTTTTGTGTCTAACCAATCCACTTTCAGACCCGGGTAACGGTCACGACCTGTCCGACGTCAGCTCGTGCCTCACCCCGTGTGACTCCGCCACGCAACTCTGCATTTCTGGAGAATGCCTCTGCAAACCGGGCTTCCGCTCCAACCAAAACACCACCGAATCCCGGTGCCAGGACGTTGACGAGTGCTTTGAGAAATCGCACAAATGCGATCGGGTGGCCAAGTGTCAGAACACGTTCGGATCGCACGTATGCACGTGTCCCGACGGTCATGTCGGCGATGGAACCACTTGTGTGCCACACGTCAATCAGGGCAAACTTTCGGGTTGGTTATCGAAATCCTTGATTGATTTGACATACATCTGGCCCGCACAAGGGGGATTGAATGCTGAAAGCATCAAATGATGCATGTCAAATGATTCTCTGTAAAAAAAATCACTTTTCAGTGTACTGCGAAGCGGACGGAATGACACTGGTGCTGGGCAACGAGACCGACGATTTCGAGGGCAAGATCTTCGTGAAGGGACAGGCCGAGAATCCGCACTGCTCCAAAACGTTCAGCTCACTGCTCAACTCGCACAAACCCTACGTTTTCAAGGTCGCCTTCCAGCACTGTGATGTTCAACTTTTGGAAAATGTGCGTTTTTCGCGTTCTGCTATTGTTTTTGTTCAACAATCGGCTTGTTTCAGCATACGATGGCGTCGACAGTCGTTGTTCAGAAGCACGCAATGTTCTTGACGAACAAGGCCGATTCCTACGACCTTCGTTGTCAGTATCCGATCGGATCGCGTGCGGTCGAGTCGCACGTGAACGTGTCCGAACTCGCGACCACCTCGACTCTGACGGACAAAAACTCGACGCTCGCGCCGATTTGTCGATTGTCGGTCTCCAATGACAAGCAGTTGTCGATCAGTTCGGCGACCGTCGGAGACACCCTCAAATTGGCGTTGGAAGTGACGCCAGCCGACAACTTTGGCATTTTGCCCCGAAATTGTTTTGCGGTCAACATTGAGAGCGGCGAGCGGTACACTTTGACCGACGAATCCGGATGCGCCATCGACGAATCGTTGTTCCCGCAGTGGTCTGTCGCCACGTCGTCAAAGGTTCAGGCTGTGTTTAGGTACGTTCGGAACGAGTTTTGACTCAAAATGACCTCATAACCGCTTTTTTCTTTTTGCAGAACCTTCAAATGGCCCGACTCGTCGATGATCCGCTTCCAGTGCGACTGTGCTCCGTGCGTCGGACAGTGCTCGACGCCGTCGTGCATTTCGACGGCCAGATTCAGAAGACATCACACGCCGACGGTCGTGATGAACGACGAGATCCGGCAGGAACTCGTGCTGGTGAGTGGGGGCCTAGAACTTGAGGCCTGTGGACTAGCATTCCAAAGATTCCTAGCTTCCGAGAAGTTGGACCTTGGTCTAGAAACTTAGGCCATGGCCTAGAATTCCAAGAATTTTGTTCTAGGCCCAGGCGGCGGCCTAACATCCCAATTTCAACACATTTCTCTTCCAGATGACCGGCGTCGAATCGCTTGCCGTCTCGTCGATCATCAACGTGCACGACTCGGCAGAAATGACGTCTTCAGAAGACCCGGAAGACGTCGGCCTTCAGATGACGTCATCCGAGTCGATTTGCGTCCGAATGGCTCCGTTGCTCGTCGCGCTCGGCTCTTTCGTCGTCTGCTCGGCGGTGCTCCTCTATTTGTGCTCGAAAAAACCGAAAACCGTGGAGACGAGCTCGGAAATTGGATTTTAATCGAGAATTCTCATCACTGCACTGATGAGAATTTTTTGGCGATTTTCGCAACATACTTGTTATACATTCCGCTATTCGTTTTTCTTTTTTTTTTTGCCCCCACACCAAAATCTCCTATCACTAACACAATTGCTCAGGGTTTTATATTGAAGTGAAACCAAATTTCTATCTATTTTCTAATAATTTCCTAATAATTATGATTAATTTCCGCTCCCCCAACCAAAAGCTTTTCTCTACGATTACGTGTGTGCTTTTCCAGAATTTTCTCAACTTTTTCAATAATTTTCTGTGCCTTGTTCCTCTTCTTCTCTTTCCTATTTTTTTTGTTGATAAATTTTTATAATGATTTGCTTTCAACGTCAAGAAACTATTCAAATAGTCTCAGGAACAAGATGGTAGCAAGGTTATGTGCTTAAGAAAATGTTTTTATTGTACTGTACCCGACAAAAAAGGTCAAAAAATTACAAATACCTCTCATAGATCACTCCTTTTTCTTCTTCTCCTCGTCATTTTTGGTTCTACAACAACAGCGCCTCGCAATTGCCTTCAGAATGCGGTATCCGACGTAGAGGACCAGAAGAACTACAGTGAGCAGAAGGGCGACGACGTCCAGAGAGTGATATTGGAGGAAGTTGAGCTTGAGAGCCGCCGGTTCCAGGTTTTCGAGTTGTTTGAATTCTGCCAGAAATTCTGACCATTTCAGAAGACGTTCGGCGGGTTTCGTCGGTTGAGCACGGACCATTGCCGAGAGCCGTTGCGCTCTTTGTTTGTACCTGCAAAACAATGAATATTGCGGGGTCCGGGAAAGTGGTCATGGTCTAGAAATGGTCTTGGGGCATCTTGACATCTAGTACTACAGTTTTTCAGTTGACAACGTTTTTCCAGGACCACTGCCTGGGGTTCTGTAGTCCCTCAAAGTTAGGTCAGCTTGTTAAAACTTCCAAGAGCTACAGCACTCCAAGAATTAGTTGTAGAAGAAAGTTGTCAACTGAAAAAGTCTCTCTGCGCCAACATCACGTGCCACTCCCTGGCCACTTGTGAACCATCCTCGGGCACGTGCATCTGTCGCGACGGCTTCATCGGCGACGGACTCACGAGTTGCTCCAAAAAGAGCACCGCCGACTGCGTTTCGCTTCCGTCTCTGTGCGCCGAAAACGCCAAGTGCGACAACTCGACGCGGTCGTGCGAATGTGATCCGGGATACATTGGCGACGGATACGTTTGTGGTCCGCATCCGCAAGATTGTGTGCTCCGCGCGAATTTGTGCTCTCCGGAGGCGATTTGTCAGAATCGGAGGTGTCAATGTCTGCCCGGATTCACTGGCGACGGAGTCAAGTGCGTCAGCATCCACGAGCGCGCCAGCAATTGCTCACAATGCGATGCGAATGCGCATTGCGTGGGCGGTGCCACGTGTAAATGCAATGTAAGTTGTGAAATCTGAATCTTGGCATCTAGTTTTTTTCTTTTTTTTCTAGTTTATGATTTTTTTGTACGACCACTCCCTGGAGTACTGTAATTGCTTGAAGTTATGACCAGTTCAACGACCACGCATTTCAATACCAATTTCCAAGCGCTACAGTACTCCAGGAAGTGATCGTAGAGAAAAAAATGATCAACTACAAAAAAACAGTACACGGTATGAAGATATCCCAAAAAAATTTCTAGAGCTCCCGGACCTCTTTCAAGCTTACACTACACTCTCAAAGTTCGCCATTTTTCTACAACTATTCTATCTTCGCACTTTTCAGCCCGGCTACTTTGGCAACGGTCTCTGCTGCGTGCCGGACCCTCTCGACTGCGTCCACTTCACCGGAATCTGTCATCCGAACGCCGTGTGCAACCAGGATTCGCGCCAATGCGAGTGCTCTTCCGGTTTTTCCGGAAACGGCGTTTCGTGCTTCCCGCAAAAGTCGTGCCGCACTGACAAGTCGGTGTGCGCCAGGAATGCGATTTGTCTGCCGACTGGCAACTGTATCTGCCGTCACGGCTTCAAAGGGAGACCCGTTCTACAAGTGCGAGAGTCTCGTCGCCAAAGGTTTGTGGTTTAAGCGCGACCTTTTGTGTCTAACCAATCCACTTTCAGACCCGGGTAACGGTCACGACCTGTCCGACGTCAGCTCGTGCCTCACCCCGTGTGACTCCGCCACGCAACTCTGCATTTCTGGAGAATGCCTCTGCAAACCGGGCTTCCGCTCCAACCAAAACACCACCGAATCCCGGTGCCAGGACGTTGACGAGTGCTTTGAGAAATCGCACAAATGCGATCGGGTGGCCAAGTGTCAGAACACGTTCGGATCGCACGTATGCACGTGTCCCGACGGTCATGTCGGCGATGGAACCACTTGTGTGCCACACGTCAATCAGGGCAAACTTTCGGGTTGGTTATCGAAATCCTTGATTGATTTGACATACATCTGGCCCGCACAAGGGGGATTGAATGCTGAAAAGCATCAAATGATGCATGTCAAATGATTCTCTGTAAAAAAAATCACTTTTCAGTGTACTGCGAAGCGGACGGAATGACACTGGTGCTGGGCAACGAGACCGACGATTTCGAGGGCAAGATCTTCGTGAAGGGACAGGCCGAGAATCCGCACTGCTCCAAAACGTTCAGCTCACTGCTCAACTCGCACAAACCCTACGTTTTTCAAGGTCGCCTTCCAGCACTGTGATGTTCAACTTTTGGAAAATGTGCGTTTTTCGCGTTCTGCTATTGTTTTTGTTCAACAATCGGCTTGTTTCAGCATACGATGGCGTCGACAGTCGTTGTTCAGAAGCACGCAATGTTCTTGACGAACAAGGCCGATTCCTACGACCTTCGTTGTCAGTATCCGATCGGATCGCGTGCGGTCGAGTCGCACGTGAACGTGTCCGAACTCGCGACCACCTCGACTCTGACGGACAAAAACTCGACGCTCGCGCCGATTTGTCGATTGTCGGTCTCCAATGACAAGCAGTTGTCGATCAGTTCGGCGACCGTCGGAGACACCCTCAAATTGGCGTTGGAAGTGACGCCAGCCGACAACTTTGGCATTTTTGCCCCGAAATTGTTTTTGCGGTCAACATTGAGAGCGGCGAGCGGTACACTTTGACCGACGAATCCGGATGCGCCATCGACGAATCGTTGTTCCCGCAGTGGTCTGTCGCCACGTCGTCAAAGGTTCAGGCTGTGTTTAGGTACGTTCGGAACGAGTTTTTGACTCAAAATGACCTCATAACCGCTTTTTTTCTTTTTTTGCAGAACCTTCAAATGGCCCGACTCGTCGATGATCCGCTTCCAGTGCGACTGTGCTCCGTGCGTCGGACAGTGCTCGACGCCGTCGTGCATTTCGACGGCCAGATTCAGAAGACATCACACGCCGACGGTCGTGATGAACGACGAGATCCGGCAGGAACTCGTGCTGGTGAGTGGGGGGGCCTAGAACTTGAGGCCTGTGGACTAGCATTCCAAAAGATTCCTAGCTTCCGAGAAGTTGGACCTTGGTCTAGAAACTTAGGCCATGGCCTAGAATTCCAAGAATTTTGTTCTAGGCCCAGGCGGCGGCCTAACATCCCAATTTCAACACATTTCTCTTCCAGATGACCGGCGTCGAATCGCTTGCCGTCTCGTCGATCATCAACGTGCACGACTCGGCAGAAATGACGTCTTCAGAAGACCCGGAAGACGTCGGCCTTCAGATGACGTCATCCGAGTCGATTTGCGTCCGAATGGCTCCGTTGCTCGTCGCGCTCGGCTCTTTCGTCGTCTGCTCGGCGGTGCTCCTCTATTTGTGCTCGAAAAAACCGAAAACCGTGGAGACGAGCTCGGAAATTGGATTTTAATCGAGAATTCTCATCACTGCACTGATGAGAATTTTTTGGCGATTTTCGCAACATACTTGTTATACATTCCGCTATTCGTTTTTCTTTTTTTTTTTGCCCCCACACCAAAAATCTCCTATCACTAACACAATTGCTCAGGGTTTTTATATTGAAGTGAAACCAAATTTCTATCTATTTTTCTAATAATTTCCTAATAATTATGATTAATTTCCGCTCCCCCAACCAAAAAGCTTTTTCTCTACGATTACGTGTGTGCTTTTTCCAGAATTTTCTCAACTTTTTCAATAATTTTCTGTGCCTTGTTCCTCTTCTTCTCTTTCCTATTTTTTTTGTTGATAAATTTTTATAATGATTTGCTTTCAACGTCAAGAAACTATTCAAATAGTCTCAGGAACAAGATGGTAGCAAGGTTATGTGCTTAAGAAAATGTTTTTATTGTACTGTACCCGACAAAAAAGGTCAAAAAATTACAAATACCTCTCATAGATCACTCCTTTTTCTTCTTCTCCTCGTCATTTTTGGTTCTACAACAACAGCGCCTCGCAATTGCCTTCAGAATGCGGTATCCGACGTAGAGGACCAGAAGAACTACAGTGAGCAGAAGGGCGACGACGTCCAGAGAGTGATATTGGAGGAAGTTGAGCTTGAGAGCCGCCGGTTCCAGGTTTTCGAGTTGTTTGAATTCTGCCAGAAATTCTGACCATTTCAGAAGACGTTCGGCGGGTTTCGTCGGTTGAGCACGGACCATTGCCGAGAGCCGTTGCGCTCTTTGTTTGTACCTGCAAAACAATGAATATTGCGGGGTCCGGGAAAGTGGTCATGGTCTAGAAATGGTCTTGGGGCATCTTGACATCTAGTACTACAGTTTTTCAGTTGACAACGTTTTTCCAGGACCACTGCCTGGGGTTCTGTAGTCCCTCAAAGTTAGGTCAGCTTGTTAAAACTTCCAAGAGCTACAGCACTCCAAGAATTAGTTGTAGAAGAAAGTTGTCAACTGAAAAAGTGTAGTACTGGATGTGAACTTCATTCTTTTAGTCGACAATTTTCCTGTAAAACCGATTCTAAGAGTACTGTAGCTCGTCAAGTACTAGAACGTCTTAGAATCCTGCAATACTCGTTCAAAGTTTGAGTAACAAAACCAACCCATCATTGCTCAAAATCTCGTTCAACGCCTCGACAATAGTCTCCTTCGAGATGGTTCCTTTCTGAATGTTCACCGCGAATCCATGTTTCTTCGCAATCTGAGCGTTTTTCGGTTGATCTCCGAAAAGCGCAATAGTGACCAACGGAACTCCGGCCGAAATTGCTTCCTACAAAGAATTCTTGGCTTCAAAAAACATTGTCAATTTCCAATTACCTGCAACGAATTGTATCCTCCGTGCGTGATGAACGCCTTTGTTCTGTTCTGAAGCAGCAAGTCCTTTTGTGGGAGCCATTTGAAGGTGTGCACATTTTTCGGAAGTCGCTCCTTGATATCGTCTGCCACGTAGCGCATCACGAATTGATAGTCGGGGAAGGCGGCGAACGCGTCCAAAAGCGAATTTTTCCACGTTTCCGGCATTTCGTGCGCGGCCGCCACTGATCCGAACGAGAAAACGACGAGTCCTTTGCCGGTTTCCGCAATTTGTTTGAACTCCTTAAAATACGAATTTGAGCGTCAAAAGTATATAGGACATGGTAAAATTTTGGCTGTACAGTCGCCAGACTGACCCGGAAAAGTACCCTTCAAATTTAACCCTCCGCACGGTCTCCAGAGCTGACAATATGGGCGAGCTGACAATAAATGGCGTTTTCATGAATTGAGCAGGTTTTCTCTGATTTTTGTGGTCAACGGCGATGAAAAATGATTGTTCGACATGAAAACACACTAATTCCCAGAATTAATGATGTTTTGGCGCTTTTTTCGCGGACTTTGCTTTTTCGCATTCGCCGCCGATAGCCGTCTAAAAACCGCACTTCTCATTATGCGCTTTCTTGACCGTTTTCCGACAGAATTGGTTTTGAGAATGATAAATCACGTAAATACAAGCATTTTGAGCGCTCGGACCGCGAAAACTACCGAAAAGCAACTGAAATTCAGGCAATTTTAGCCAAATGTGATTTGCGACTTGACCAAATTTAACGCTCTTGCGCTTAAAAAATTCGTAATAGCCTATACAATCGGTCTATCGAGAGACAAATGAGAAATTATCGGTTTTTCGTGGCTAATCTGGCAAAAAAACCCAAACTTTGCTGTTAAAATTTGAATTTCGCGCCAATGTATCGCTCTATTGGGCGGGGCGCACTTGCGCCCATTGTCAGCTCTGGAGACCGTGCTCCGACACAAAAATGTTTGCATGGTGACTCTTGAAGGTATCAGAAACCCTATTTTTATTGAAAAACTGACCCCAGTGAGTTGCTTGGCACTATCGAAACCGACGCCCAGTCCTCCGATGTTCACCACTTTAGCCAGAGTGGCACGTGGCAAGTCGTACAGTTCGTTGGTGTTAACCATGATCTGAAACAAAAAGGCTCTAGTTTTTTAAACGAAGAAACCAGTGGTTACCAGCGGGCACTTTGCTCCAATCTCCATGGTATTCGGGAAGGTTGGATCGTTGAGCTCTTCACGGAAAATTTCGGATTCCTTGTCGGAGGACATTCTGGAAGAATAAAGAAGAATGTATAAAAGTAAAAGTGTGCCAAGACCCCTTCACTTACTTTCTGTGCATGAGCCCGATAAGGAAGTGTCCGATCAAGCTCTTTGTTCTAAAAAAGAAGCCCATTTCATCGGTGGATTCCATCATAACGGGCGGTTGGTAGCTGGGAATAGTGGGCACGCCGACGGTCTGTGCGACGTGATCCATCAAAGGTCCGCTGTTCAGCCACACCCACGACGGGATCTTGGCGGTGTGGATGAGTCCGATCGGGCACGACGAGTAAATGTACGCGTAGGCCACGTCGAACTTCTCCGCCTCGAGCCACTTCAGAAATTCTTTATTGCGAAGAGTTAGACGACATCCCTCCTGGAGCATCGTTCCGAACCGTTTGAACATGTTCATCATGGCCGGCATGTCGCGGAGCCCCGATTCTTTGAAGATCATCGCCGCTTGCTCTTTTTCGATGAACGCTTTCGTTATTCCTTCCACGTAGGCTTCCACGTTATGAGCTGCAAAAAAGATGTGAAAACCGCTTCCGAGCACGTCTTATAGTTCTCAATTTTTTTTTTCAAAATCTTGACATCTAGTACTTCCATTTTGCAGTTGGCAACTTTTTTCCAGGACCACTGCATGGGGTACTGTAGTCTTTCAAAATTATGATCTTCCGAGCGCTACAGCGCCCCCGGGATTGGTTGTAGAAAAAAGTTATCAACTGAAAAATTGTAGTACTAAACGTGAACTTCATTTTTGTAGTTGACCATTTTCCCGTAAAACCTGTCCCAAGAGTACTGTAGCTTGTAAATGTTTCGTTGGCTTTAAACTAGTCCTAACTTTCTGCGGATCTTCAAATACCCATTCTGAACAAAATATCTCACTTTTGACACCCTTCGGAATCTTGACATCATGCTTAAAATCGCTCAAATGGCTAATGAAGAGCATCGTGACATTGTGTCCGCCATTTGCGAGCACTTCGGCGACTCTTGCACAGAATTGCACCTGAAATCGATAAAAAAAATGGGTCAACTATCAAACACTCGTCGAAAAATACCTGTGAATTTGCCATGTTCGGCACAAAAATCACATATTTAAACGGTGACACGGCGCTAAAAAGCAGGAGAAGGAGTATGGAGGCGATTTTCATTTTGCGAGCTGAAACAAATTGTACACTAAGAGACAAAAGTGTTTGGCACCCAGACCTTATATACGCTCACTTTTGCATCACTATCAATATGCCCGAGTTTGATAAGAACTTCTAACGGAGAGCACAAAAAACTTTTGGTCACAAAATGTCCACTGGAAAATAGTGCAGTTCGGCGCGGAGACGCAGCACGAGAAAGCGAGAAAAGTTGGCTTGATAATATTTGTGTGGTTTGTACTCGACTGTGGTCTGGTCTAGAAAAATGGACGGCGAAGTGATGAGATGTGGTTCGTTGAACGAAAATTGGTATTGCGAAACAGAATTGGACAGGTTACAGCATTTTTGGCATTGGTCTAAAATCGAGGACCGACCACAGGACAGTCGCGAAGCCGCCGCGAAAATGTTACAAATTGCTTTTCTCTGCCAGTTTTACAGTTGTTTTACACATACAACTCATATAATTTTTAGGGCATCCAAATCGGGGGCATTTGATAAGAGGGGGGCATTGTCATAGGTGTCTCAGAAGGGTCTTTGCACAAATTTTACTCACGGACAACGAGGAAAAACCCCCTCTTCTCCTCTTCAAGCCTTAAATTTAGCCTGCGCCTCAATCACGGTATAGGTTAATCGAAAAACAGACGTAGGTAAGACATACATATGATTCAATAGCTTATGTTGATCATTTTTGCAAAACGCTTCTAGAATTCTAGAAATTCTGTTTAGAAATGATGGAAGTTCATCATTTGTGACTCTTTTGTGTGTTGAAATGTGCACTTCAGATGCGATTTTCTCAAACTCTAGAAACTCTAGTTTTGCAAAAATGATGAATGTTCGAGAAAATTTTGATCGACCAAACATCGTCAAAAAGTCTAGTAGGACATTTTTCGCGAAAAAATGCGCTGAGAACAAACCATGAGGGCAAATAAATGACAGGAAATTGCATCACTTGGTGGAAGTTGGGATCAAAGGACGGAAAAAGACAATAGTCACCATTTTTCCGAATATTAAAACAAATTTCACCACTTTAAAGATTCAAAAACAACAGAAGAATGAGCAAAAATTCTCTAGAAGCATCTAAGAAACAAATGAGCGAATGGGCAACATTTATATCGATTCTTTATGGTTTTTGGTCCTCGACTCGCATTTTTGTCGCACTGAAACGGGGCTGGAAGCCTGCGGGTCCGGCGTTCCATGCTTCCACCTGAAAAATGAAACATTAGGAAAATTGTTAGAGAAAAAATATGTTTTCTAACCTTGATTGGCAATTCGTTCCCGTACAAATCCAGAAGTGCACTTTTGTCAATTTCCTCGTAAATCGACGTGCTTTTCGTGGTTGGAGCTTCCTGAAATTCACAATTGTATTCACACTAGCAATTTTGTCTGCTCTTTACCTGTTTGATGAAAGGCTTCAAGTGCTCAAACTCTGGATCGAGGCTCAGCGCGAGAGGGGCCCGTCTCGGCACCGTTTTCTCGTCGAATCCGTTCTTTTGGGCGGTTTTCAGCGCAAAATGGACTTGAAGTGGCGGTAGAGGGAACGAATCGGGGACAACGAGCTCTTTCATCGGAGCAGCGGCTGATGTGTAGGATTTTTCGAGGTGCCTGGTATAAAAATGGAATTCTTACAGTTTTCATCGATTAGTCTAAATAATTCGTGTTTTACAATTAATAACGTTCCGGAAAATCTCAAAATGTGCTAAAACAAATTTCTCATGAACAACTCACTTGTGCACCAATTGCCAGTCACTTCTGTTCAAATCTTTGGAAAATTCATAAATTCCTAAATATTTTCCGCGAAAAACCCATTCTGCATACAATTTTCCTTCGAAGAGCCATCGATCCATGCCTGGCTCTGCCTGAAATCGTTGTTTTTCGTCAGGAAACTAATTTCTTCAAACAAACCCTCAAAATTTTCAAATACGACGGGTTGCTCGGCCATTTTCGTGCCCATTCGTTCTTCGTGACGAGGCGGCCGACGCCGAACTGAAAAATACACAGAAATAAGGATATTTTCAGGAGAAAAAAAAAAATTTTCTACAAGCAATTGGATTAAAGCTTACATTTCGGAGTTGGGCGAGAATTTCCCACAAAAATTTGCCTTCCGATGAAATATCGTGGTTTCCAACAAATTTAATTAATTTCGCCGACATTGTTGCCTGAAGATCGCGGAAATTTGGCTTAAAATTGCTTTTCAAAGAAAATAATATGGCCCCGAAAAGCGTCGAAAAACCGTGCGGCGACATTGCGTTTGAACGTGCCGCTTACAAAATAGTCTCCGCCCCTTATGTCTTTTATTTATTTTCCTTCAAATCTTCCAAAAATCGCAGAAAATCGCAGAAAAACGCTAGAATTTTTACGATTTTTGCATTGAAAACGTTAAATTATTGATTCTTCAGAATGCGATTTACCGAGACTGCCCGAATTTGCGCGTCAATGGTGCGGAGCAGCCAAAAAACCGGGTTCGGCCCGAACCGACTTCATAGAAAAGGCACTCACTTTGTGGGCACCGAGCCGCCGGCACTCAAATATCATTTGGTAGGTGATTTACTTTGTTTTTCGGCTTAAAAGCGTTGAAAAATAATTTTTCTAAATTTTTCAGCTGCAAGACAAGAAGCCAACCGATGAGTATGGCCTTCAGGGCACCAATCACAAGTTGCCGGGCACTGGAAAAGTCCACAGTAAATTGCCGACCAAGGTAAACCTTTATTTTTCCGAAAAACAACGAGTTTCTCAATTTTTTCGCTTCAGGTTCACATGAAGAAGGACAAAGTGTACGCGTGGTGCTCGTGCGGCTACAGCGGCTCGCAACCGCTCTGCGACGGATCGCACAACTCGATCCGGATTCCGGACCTTAAATTGAAGCCCGTTCGGTTCATTCCTGACAAAGATATGACGGTGTGGCTGTGCAATTGCAAGCAGAGCAAAAATCGGTAGGGTTTGTGGGAATTCAGTGGAAAAGTTAATTATTTCTTCTTTCAGACCATTCTGCGACGGTTCACACAAGACGATCGCCGAGGAGGACAAAAAAGCGGGACTCTTCGACTAATTGTTATTAGATTTTTCTATGTTTTTTGTTTTCTTCTTGTAGCTTTCAGAATATCTATAGTTTGTCTTTAGGCCGTTTGTACAGGTTTTCCACTGTCTTAATCCGATTTTTTCGCCATGAAATCCTCTTGAAATCGCTAAGAAAGTACGAAAAGCTTATCCGCCCTCCCCCTCGCCCCCACTTATTTTTCATTTTTCTCATTCACTTTTTTGACTTGCGAAACCGTCATTCCGAAACGACACGGGCGGAGTAGTAATTATGGAAAATTGGAAAGCGAAACGAATCTCTTTCGTCTACGGCCGCCGCCGCCGCCGCCACTTGAACGATTCTCCTGAAGAAGAAGGAGAAGAAGACACTTGTATAATTTACATAGGCATCTCCATCTTCCCAATCCGCCCACGATTCTATTTCACTAGTTTCCCACTGAAAATCTTGGCGTTTTCTGGTTTATCTGTGATTTTGTTGTAAAAAAAATGCCAGTTTTTCGGTCCCACCTATTCCTTTCGAGACCCTCTTGTTCCCTGGATCACATGGTTTCCGTGTCCGAGACGGGGGGGCGCGAAAAGGTGTGAATTGAATCGGCCCCTGGCTCACAAATATTTGCACTTGCTCATGCTCGGCAGCACAGTAGCCGCCGCCGCCGCCTCTCTCGTTTTCGTCGAATATTCGATTCATTCGAGTGCCTATTACACCACTTTTCCCCCCTTCTCATAATCAACAAATATTATCCGGTTGTACCCCTCATTCATTCATCCCCCCAAATCCACGTCATCACTCTTTTCGTTTTTCTCGATTTTTCGATAAATTCTGAAAATACAGTGTGCTGCCCAACACGTTAGGGACCCCTTTAACCCACTTTTTTTTAACCCACTTTTAATTGTCCTATCGGGTCCAGACTCTGCAGGCTTCTTGTGTACTTTGATTGAAGTATCATGGGTCCAAGCGTCAGACCGATTTGTGGATCAAAGGCCGAAAAGGCCGCAATTTTCGCAACCAGATGATCCGATCGGTCTGAAACTCGAAATCCTGCAAAGTTTGGGCCCGATCGAGTCATTTCAATTGGGTCAAAAGTCCACGCTTCTAGCCCAGCCGTGGGGTGTCTGTGGTGTTAAAGTCAATTTCGGCATTTTTGTATGGACTTTTTGAGCGGTCGAAAAAACGAGCTCAAAAGCAAGTGCGGCGGTTTTTTCGTATGCCAAATCGAATGACACTCTCCAATTTCCAGAACGTTCTAAAGTTTACACGTTTTCCCTCGAACCAATTCCCATGGCCCAAACTTTTGCTCCAATGACGTAGCACGTACTTTTCGATATTGTCCACTTCATAAAATGCCCGCCAAACCTGCTCGCTTTTTCGCCGCCGCCGCCGCCACCGCATTTTTTGACACTTTGACAGCTCGCCTGGCCCCAAGAGAGGGAGCACATTCCGGAAAGTGCCGATATTGTGCATCCTCCACTTTTTATTCAAGTTATTAAAGTAAAAATCGATATTGTTCAGACGTTTTCCATGATCTGAAAGAGTTTTGAACGTCCGCAAAGCAAAGCACAAAAATGTCTTGGTTTTTTCAATCGAAAATCGCCAAATCCCACTTTTACGTGTGGTATTTGGGCTCAAAAGAGGCCGATGGAGTGCGAGGCAGTGCGGTACGTGGCATTGAAAATCTAAAAGCTGAAATAAGCCATTTTACAGGTGGTCTTACCGGTTATGCGTCAACTTTTGAAGGAGTCCTTTAAGAAAACGCCGAGTAAGGCCACGGTTCAGGTGCGGTGGCCTAGAAACATCCTCTTCCACACTCGTTTCCGATTTCAGATCTCCTCGAAAGGCCTCAAACTCATTCAATCGGTGCCTGCAATGTCGAGAAGCGGAAAAGTGAAAATGCAATTGGTCAAATTTCAAATCGCCGCCAATTGTATCACCTATAGGTTCGTGGCCTTACTTTCCAACGTAGAAATTCTAGGCCACACGGTTTTCTTCAAAATTAGACCTCTAGAAGCGGAATTTGAGCTATCTTATGGGGCTATTCAGCGTATGTTTGTTTTCAGTTTTTTTTTCGTTTTTTTACACCGCTGAATTGGGTTTTTGACGTAAAAAAACGAAAAAAAAAATCAATTTTTAAATTTTCAAATAAAAAATCAATTTTCAAATCAAATTTTTTTCGTTTTTTTACGTCAAAAAATCCAATTCAGCGATGTAAAAAAACGAAAAAAACGGAAAACAAACATAAGCTGAATAGCCCCATTACTCTGAAACGAAGAGAGAAAACACGGTGGCCTAACTTTCCAATTGCAAAAATTCTAGGCCATCGTCACTTATTGACCCGATTTTCTTGAAATTAGAGTTGTAAAACTAAAGAAATTTTACCGCAATAAAGGGACGATGGCCTAATTTTCCCGAACTTACAGTATCACCGGAAAAGCGCCGTTCGACGACGTTGTGGGCGTAGTCATGCTCGTACTGAATCCCGAAATGCAGTCTCCGATGCACGTGCACTGTTATCGATGTGATAGTGCCGAAACGGCGCAGATAATGTTGGCCAATCTACAGGTACAGTTATCTAAAGTAACCCCTCAAAAATTCGGTGAAATTTCATAGCATTTGTGATTTTTTTTAGAGATTTCTCTTGACCACATTAATCCTAGACGTACCACTGTAACCTTTGCAGCTTCTCCTCTCACGTCCCGATGTCCAGCGCTCTATCAACGACCTCGAGCACCGACTCTTTTTGTCCGGACTTTTGGTCCCCAGGTATTAAAATGTGTTTTTTTTTCTAATTTCTGCAGTACCCCTACCCGAACTAAAGTAATCGTTTGAACCTTTTGAGGAGCCATAGCAACAACAACAACAACAATAATAATAATAATAGCGAGGGAAGTTTGAGCCAGAGGCCGCAACGAAGTTGTTCACAATCCAGAAGTGTCAGTCGATCGACGGCCGGCGGGTACGACGAGAGAGCGTCTCCGTTGGAGAGGGAGCAGAGAAGCAGAGAGCCGACGAGTGACAAGGACACGTGGGTGGTTACTGTAGGCGATCGGCAGTAGCTGAAAATGGGAAAATTTGAGCCTTTTTTGAAAGTTAAAAATAGGAAAAAAAAGCGAACAAGTACCCAATTTTGAACGAGTATTGTAGAGTTCCCAGATGTGCTATTCTTTTGAAACATTTTTTGTGGTTTCTTCACATCAAGTACTGTATTTCGTCAGTTGATCGCTTTTTTCTACAGGCACTTTTCGGGGTACTGTAGCTCTCCGAAGTTAATGATATATTTAGGACATTCATGGTAAAGCTCTAACTTCCAAAAGCTACAGTAGGCTTAGATGAGGTTTTACGAAAAAGTTGTCAACTGCAAAAAAAAAGTTTACATCTTGTACTATGTTTTCGTAGTTGACCACTTTCTCGTACAGCCCGTTCTAAGAGTACTGCAGCTCTTGGAAGTTTATGCTCAAATTAAGGCTCTAAAGTGGTTCTGACTTCCAAGAGCTACAGTACTCCATATAAGATGGTTGCAGTCAAAATGCTCGGGTGTAAAATTGAAGTACAATGTGTAAAGATTACACAAAAAAATTTCAGACCCACAATACATCGTTAATAGAATTCAGAACTCCACAATATTGATATAAAGTTAGCGCCTATTTCTGCTTAAATTTTGTTCAAAAGTGTTTCTCATAGCTACTGTAGATTACTGTAGACTCCAATAACTTACCGTACTCCTCTTCAGACCTCCTCGACGACAAGCTCCAACAATCTCGCGACGCGTGGTTGACGAGCTCAAGAATCGAATCATCGGAGAGTCGCGTCTGATGAACTTGGGCCGAAGTCGAGAGGTAAAAAAAAGGATAAAGAATAATGTAGCCGGGATTACCTACCGTACTTCTTCAGAGCTCTCTGACGCGTTACGAGTCTGTAAAACGGGCTTCGCTCTCCGAATTGCCCATCGAATCGGATGTTTCGAGGTACCGAATGTTCGGCGACACGATGCTCAGGGATACAAAAAGCAAATCGAGAAGTTTGGACGATTTGGCGGCAGATCCGCTTGTTTCTACGTACGTTTTTCGCAAAAAATTGAAAAAGCCCTCTTTTGAGCCTAAGCAATTTGTTGTCGTCAAACAAAATGTTTGCAGAAATCTGCGCGGCGGCGTCGGAGCGCCGTCTCCGCCCCGCCGATTCCCGCGTCCCGAGTTCGTCGCCGACCCTTTTGGACACAGTTCGTACGAGCGAACGAACACCTTAGAAGGGTTCTGGAAACAAAAAATGCGGCGCTCCAGCAGCATAAAACTCGATTTTTAGGTCTCTGACCGCCCCGATTTTTCTCACATTTTTTCAATTATTCGCCTCTTTCTGTATATTTATGTATGAATAAACGCGTATTTTTGTTGCTGTTGTTGGTTTCGTTTGGGCTTTATTTTAGGCTGAAAAACAATTGAAAATCCGTTTTCAATTTTTAAAACGGGTACGGTAAGCAATTCCAGCGAACACGTACACCGTCACGTCAGAATGCACACAATTGCGTGTTTTTGTTTACTATTTCTAAATTAACCTATTTTTCTAGGCAATTCTCGAGCGGAAAGTGAGTTTTCATAAAGTTTAAAGCTGAAAAACGACAAAGACATTGATGAAATAGTAAATTTTCTCGAGAAGCGCACAGAAAGTCCTTAAATTTTCATTTTTCCGGGAGACGACTTATTTCACCAATTTCATCGCTTTTCTCTATCGAAAAAATTTGAAAACTCAAGCGAATTTCAAAAGAGCCGAACGGAACCGTGCATTTCGTTATTTTCACGGCAAAAATGTGAGACATTTCGAGGGCAAGTGATTTTTGTTGCAAAAATTAATCAGATGTGTTTTCCCTTCAAAAAGCCTTGCATTTCGGGGTAATTTCCCATTTTTTTCGCCCTGCTTTCCTCGTGTCTATGGTCTGCGTCTAAGTGGCCGTTCTTTGGCCGAAACTCGCTCGGCGCCAATGCAAAAAGAGAGAGAAAGAGATAGAGACAGACGCGGTGAGAGTGAGAGAAAGAGGGAGAAACGGCGTGGCGCCCATCTCTCTCTCGGGCGCTCACACTCACACAAAAAATACGCTCACAGGAGAGAATACTCACAAACACACGCACACAAATACGCGCATGCGTGTTTGTGTGTGTGTGTGTTTTCCTGGCGTTTTTCCATTTTTTTTCCGCGTATTTTTCATCTCCCCCGCGTCCGTCCCCGTCTCCGTTCCCGTTCGAACGACGCTCCAGAACGCGCCGTCCGAAAAGTGACGCTCTTTTCGCACATTTTATTGATTTTTAATCCGCGTTCAGGTGTCTAGCTGGAAAACTGTTTTTGACAAAAAGTGGGTCGTAGCCGAAAAACGATTGAGTTTACAAAGTCAAATGACGAACTAAAAAGTTACAAATGAGTCCAGTACATCATCTTTTCCAAAAAATCTCTGATAGGGCCGAATTTCAGGCCTCAACGTACTTCCTTTCGCTTTTTTCGATGCTCGCACTCGAACTTCTGTGACCCGCATCTCAAAAACCGTTTGTTTTTTTAATGTGGTCAACGGAAGAGTTGTTATAAAGTTGTTGCAAAGCGCCTCCTCGCCCCATTCATGGGATTTCTCCGAGCAGGAACTCAGCGCCCTCGTTGTTGCGCCCCCTGCTCTTTTCATCTCGAGCCTTATCCGTCAGATCTTCATGAGCTCATGATTACTGGCACGATCCGTTAGATCTTCATGGACCCATGATTACTGGCACGATCCAATAGATCTTCATGGACCCATGATACTGGCACGATCCGTTAGATCTTCATGGACCCATGATTACTGGCACGATCCGTTAGATTTTCATGGTCCCCTGATTACTGGCACGATCCGTTAGATCTTCATGGACCCATGATTACTGGCACGATCCATTAGATCTTCATGGACCCATTACTGGCACGATCCGTTAGATCTTCATGGACCCATGATTACTGGCACGGCCGGTTAGACCTTCATGGACCCATGATTACTGGCACGATCCGTTAGATCTTCATGGACCCATGATTACTGGCACGACCGTTAGATCTTCATGGACACATGACTACCGGCTTGAAATGAGCAGTAGACGAAACAACGAGGACTATGAGTTCCTGCTTGGAGCAATCCCCAAGGCGCCCCACCTAAGCAAGGCGAGGGGTCACAGAAGTTTGGGTGCGAACAGCGAAAAAAGCGAAGCGAAGTACGTTGAGGCCTCAAATGTGGCCCTAAAAGGGATCTTAGGGAAAAGCAACATTTTGCAATTTCTGAGCTAAAGCTCCCAGCAAAACCAATCAAAATGTCGCCCTAGCAACGCAGGTTTTTGCATTTTCTAATCAAAGATTGGCGCATTTCTAGGCGCAGACTTAATTTCCGAAAGATTAGCCGACGAATCGGGGCTTCGCTGACCCTCTCGTCTATTATTGATAATATTGCCGTCTTCACAATCAGAGACACGTCCAACCGAATGATCGATGACGGTTTTACGATAGGTATAGGATTTTTGTAGCGAACATTCTAGAAATGTTTTCGAAAAGCTCTCTCTCTCTCTATCAAATGTTGCAATCTTCTTCTTATTCTTGCTCTCGACCTTTTCGCGTCAGTTGTCATGTAGGAAAACCGAAGAAACAATTTTTAGGGGGTTTTTTCCGAGTAGCTTCAATTTTTAACAAAATTCAATGACAACAGCGTCTTTTTCTTGTTTGGCTAAAGTTATTACCGAAACTCTTCACATGTTTACTCGAAAAAATGGTTTTTTTCATCGAGATTCGCTACTAAAAGGCGGACAACGTAAAAATCCATGTTACTTACGTGCAAATGATCGGTCCGGCTCGTCAAATCCTCTGCGAAGCCTGTAAAATTCTTTCTCAAGAAAATTCTCAACAAGAAAGAGTGCGCAAAAGTGAGCGAGTCAGAATAGATAAAAATTACTTGAAAAAATAAAGAAATTCCGTTCAAACGGTCCACTTTTCGAACGTGGTTCTCTCCGGTAAGATTGGCCACAACAGTGAGGCGATGCGGAATTCGCGCGAGCATCTCTGACCGAGCCATAGATCGTTCGCACCTGTCACAGAGATCAAGGGACTTTTATGAGTCTATGATCGACACATCTCCGCGTTAACAGACCATCGGAACACGTATTCGTAGTCTCATGTCGCGTTCTGCGGCCCTTTTCCGCTCGACGGGCTCTCCACCGAGTCCGAGTCTTTTTTCTTCCCTCCCCAGCGACTGCCTTCCCAGAGGGCATTGCTATAACGGGCACTGCGTTCGAACGGAGTGTCGTTGAAAACAATTGCGAGGCACATTTTTGGCAGATTGCGGATGGTTTTTTCGATGAGCAATCCAATTAGTTGTCAGTTTTTCAACACGTTCTTTCTTTTTCCAGAAATTTCCTCCCGATTTCCGACAAGTCTGTCCAGAAGCCTGTGAAAAATGCTTGTGATTGTCTTGCCAGTTCTCTTGCCCATACAAAATGTGTAAAAATAATAATGGCCCGTCGCCGCTCTCCTCAATTATGACACATACTGTCTGCCCCGCCGTCCCTCAAATGCACTTTTCTCTGTGCCGCTCCCGGTGCCGCCACTCTTTTTTTCTCTAATACTCCTCACACACTTCACTTTCTTTTTTTTTCGTAAAAATCGACGCTTTTCGCTTCTTTTTTCCGCTCGAATGGCCTTCTTATCAGACGAGAACTAAGGAATTCGCTCCTCTCTTTTCGCTCATTATCTCTCTTGTTACCGCAAAATTCTCTCACTCTTCATCTCGAATGTGTCGCGTCGATAGCCGATTTTTTTGATAAATTGGATAGAGAAATTGCAGAAAAATGACCTAAAAACCGGCGAAACGTTGGTTTTTGGTTTTTTTTTTGCGTCTTTGGAAAAAAGTGCAATATACAGCTGTATTACTGGAAAACGAACTTTTTTTGACAACTTTGACAAATGTTTCACATCTGGCTTTGATGAATTTATCGGTGTCTGAGTACGCATTGTTTAGACAAGAACATGTGTTCAAGGACACGTACAACGACGTCATTTTTGTCTAAATATATTATCAACCTCTTTTTCATCGCATATTTCGCCTTTTACGTCTTTGAAAAAAATATCCAGGAGACTCCAGAACTGTACCTTGGCGCTGTTCCGTATCAATCCCAAAAGCACAGATTTTTCCCGATTTTTTCAGCGGAAAATTGCTTTTTATCGATTTTTTCAATTCTTTGGAACAAAACATGTTTTCTTTAGATTTTCGGCCCACTTGCAATGCTTTGATCGGACCCAAACTTTGCAGGCTTCTTGAACATGGATTGAAGTATATCGGATTCAAGTTTCAGACCGATCGAATCATCTGGTCCCGAGATATACGAAAAGGCCGCAATTTTCGCAAAAACCTCTCCGATCCTATTATTTCGGGACCGGATAATCGGATCGGTCTGAAACTCGGTCCCAATATACTTCAATACAAGTCCAAGAAGCCTGTAAAGTTTGGGCCTGATCGGTTATTTACAAGTGGGTCAAAAGTCTGGGCATCAGAAAGCCTGGGCCGGTCTTTTGCCCAGCTCTGGAGAAAACACCACTTTCTACTTGCCAATGTTTCTTAGTCAGTTCCGTCGCATTTTTCCCATTTCTTTACCTATTCTCAATGACTATTTGCAGGTAGTCGGTTATAAACACACTCGAAGCAATTAATCAAATTCATCTCGAAAACGCTGAAAACACACAATAAAATGGATTATTTCAATGCGGGAGGAGCCGGAAGCGGAGTCGGCGGAGCGACGTCCGGAGGAGCACCGGTTCCTGGGGCCATCGCGGATCCGTACGCCGTCATTCCGCAACAGTTTGGCAACGGAGGAATGCCCCAGCAGCAGCAGCAGCAACCTGTTGTCAGTTTGAAAACATCGAAAAATTCTACAATTTTTACATTGTTTGCAAACTTTTTGCTTTAAAGGTGTCGTGCACTAAAAAAGTGACATATTTTTGAAGTGAAGTTCGAAGCGGGGCATTTCTGTTCCCGAATAATTCTGTCTGAAATTCGACATTTTTGTGTCTTTGACTTTATTCTAATTTGGCGGCCGGGGGTCTAGAAAACTCCACCCGCCGTGTATTATAGGGGCACCGAACAGAAATGGCGCTCTGTTGAGAAACTCTTTTTGGAGTGCAAATTGAGCGGCCGAGTTTGAAAAATTAGGCCACATTTTCAGTGGAAAATTACTTCGCGGCCTAGAAATTCAGCCAGATTGCGAACAGCGAGCCCTTTCTGTCCGGTGCCCTATAATACTTCGCTTTGTCTCCTTTGCTTTTTTAGACTTCACTTTAAAAAATATGTTAATTTTTTGTGCACGACACCTTAAAGCTAAAAGGTATGATAAAATGGCTCTGAACAAACGCGTTTCACTATTCCTAGCAGTTGTTGTCTACAAAAACGCGACAGTTTCAGTTCGAGTACCAGCAAGAGGCGGACTACGAGACATATCAGCAACAGCAACAGTACCGGGCGGCCCAGCAGCAGCAGCAGCAGTCGCCCTCCATTTATTATCAGAATCCGATGGGCGCGGTCGCCGGCAGCTACTTTCCCATTCATTCCGCCTCCGAACATGGTAGTTTTCACGTTTGTTCCTCGATTTTTTGAGGGGGAGACACGGGTTTTGTGCTCTTACCAACAAATTCTCCCGGTCTCCTCCTCATTTCGCACCCGATTCCCGCCAAATTTGCCGAAAAACCGTTCTCTGGTGAGATTATCTTTCAGATTTTCTGGGGCCTCAACTGACGCCGTCTGGAGCCTCGCCCGGCGGGACCGGCCAAGGAGCGCCCTATCAGACACAGCAGGTTGCTCCCGGAGCAGCTAATAAGGACTTTATGATGCACCATCAGGTGAGAACGGATTTTTATTAGTTCTTTCGAAAGGCCTGGGCGAGCTATTTGGTCGACATTGATTGAGAAATTGGGGAGGGGGACGAGAGAAATACCATTTAGGCGGTAGAAATACATTTCATGCTATGCGCCTTTAACTGCCTAGCGTCTGCGTCTCTCTCTTCAAATGGTATTTCTCTCGCCAACAGATTTTTTTTTTGCGTTGACCAGATTTCTCTCTCTCTCTCTTTCAGATGATTCATTTTTCTGCGAGCATTGGCTATTCAGTTTTCCGGCCGATAATTGAATTTCCTTCCGATCGGTTTTCGCACAATATTCCGCCCTTCTTCCGCTTTTTAATCATCAATCTTCTTGTTTGTAGGCTTTACCGATTTCCGCTCCAACATTTCGAGCGCTTCGAGCAGAAGCATAATAATAATAATCATTTGTGGTTACGCCTCCCCCCACCTGCCCCTTTTCCGACCCGCTGTGTCACCTGCACATTCTAATTCGGCTCCGAAACGGCTGATTTTACGAATTGGAAGAAATACGGCACTTTTCAGTTTTTTCCTCGAAAAATGTCACTGAAAGTTTGGTTTTTGATCTTTGTGAGCACAGAGCTCATTAAAATATTATCGGTTCAGCGGATCGAAAGAAATTTTGGAAATGATCTCATAATACTGGAATTTTGTAGTTTTCAAAGTGGATTCGTCACCAAAAACACGGAAACCATGCTTTTTCATTTTCCACTGAAGATTTTCATTCAAAGTTCGAGCGAAAATGTGTGCCTCTCATACTAGCAAGCAGGCCGGCTGATAACTAGTTTCAAATGCAAAGTTGTGAGGAGAACAACGTACCAGATTGTGGGTCTCGATGAGTTCTACAAATGTGACGTGTAGCGCGGGCTGGCCCAGAATGTGTTCCTTTGCCACTATTTGCCGGCCCGCGCCACAATACCGGGCCGCAAGTTGTCACAATTGTAGAACTCATCGGGACCTACAATCCGATATGTCGTTCTACGCACAACCTTGCATTTGAAGCGAGTTATGAGCCGGCCCGAAATGGGCCCGTTTGCAAGTACGGTGCCTCAGATAGAATTGTGCCAAAAAGCGTTGTCAGAAGTCGACTCCATTTCTCATTAGCACATAATATTCAATTTGCTCTCTCTCTCTCCATATCTCTTTCTCTCTTTCATTTCCCTTCCTTTCGTGCTCCTTAGGCTCATTTGCTCCGTAAATCGACACCCGACGGCTTCTTCTCCCTCTTCTTCTCCTTCTTCTTCTCCTCCGACTTTCTCTCTCTCTCTCACTCACTTTCTCCACCTCCGTTCGAAAAATTCGTTGCCGCAAACTCCAACAATTTCCAATTCGGCGCAAAATAGTTTTTGATCTACTATTTTGTGACCTCCGAATTTTCGAACACAAGTTCTTCGATTTTTCTGCAATTTCGATTTCTTCTTGGTCTCATTCGTCTCAATTATCGCCAAAAAAGGTGACGCTTTGGCGAATTTTCTGTTATTGTCCTCTGTTTCCTTTCTCCTCGACTTCCCCCCGCGACTGTCACTTTCCATCATTTCTCGGCGAAAAATAGGTTGGGATGATGAGCTACATTCCTTTCGTTCTACCGCAAATCTATTACGGACGGAATCATCCGATGGCGGTCCCCGTCCTTCCGGTACCCGTTCCCTTTGCGATCGTACCCACAAAACTGACGAAACGGGGCGGAAAACCAATTGTGAGTTTATGTCGAAAAAATGCGAGGCTGGGCAAATTTCGGCCGAGGCTTATCGCAATTCTCGCAAAAACCCGGCCTCGGCCGCTGATCCACATATCGCAGGACCAGATGATCCGATCGGTCTGAATCTTAGATCCAATATACTTCAATCCAAGTCCAATGAGCCTACAAAGGTTGGGTCTGATCGGATCATTGCAAGTGGATCAAAAGTCCAGACTTCAAAAATCCTGGGCCCGCCTTTTGTCAAGCCCTGAAGAAATGTGAAAAAGTTTCTTTAAAAATAGAAAACGCCATTACAAACATAAAAATTTATGCTATTTCAGCGTCGCAACAACCAATCGGGTCAACAACAGCAGCAACAAGGACAGTCTTCGTCGTCTTCTCAACACTCCCAGCACCGAAACCCTCCTCCGCCACCGCAACAACAACAACAACAAACCCACTTCATGCACCATCAACTGGCCCAACAAGTCCAGCAGCAGGCCGTCCAGCAGCAGATGCACCGCGGAATGCACGGAAATCCCATCAATCCGCAGCAATTTATGGTGCCGCCGCCGAATATTCAACAGATTCAGGCGGCCCAGCAACAGCACGCACAGCAGCAGCAACAGCACCATCATCATCAGCAAATGCAGCAGATTCAGATGCACCATCCCGCGCTTTTGGTTAGGGTTTTTGACGATTTTCGCTATATTTTACAGAACATTTGACTTATAATGAAACCCGGCGTGTTCTAACCAGGGTTAGGCAATTGGCCGGCCCTTGTCCTGCGTTTCAATAATCCGGTTGGGCCCGAACTTTGCAGGGTTCCTGGACTTGGATTGAAGTATATTGGATCCAAGCTTCAGACTCCGATCATGTGGTCCCAAGATATGTGGATCAGAGGCCGAACCAGCCGCAATTTTCGCAAGATCCCGGGCTTTTCGGCCTCAAATCCGCATATCTCGCGATCGGATGATCCGTTCGGTCTGAAACTCGGGACCAATACACTTCAATCCAAGTGCAAGAAGTCTGCAAAGTCTAGACCCGAACGGATCGTTGCAAGTGCGTTAAAAAGCGAGGCGGAGCTTTTACAAAGAAATTCACGATGAAAATCGACTCAAAAATGTAATGATATTTGCAGCAACAAGCAGCGCAAGGAGCGCAACAATTCCAAGCGGCGCAACAGGTGCAACAACATCATCAGAATCAGCACGGAAACGGCGGTGGCGGCGGAGTGGCCGCCCATCAGCAACAACAACAGCATCAGAATCAGAATACTTCACATCATCATCATCCACAACAACATGGACAACATCATCAGAACTCGCAGCAGAATCAACAGCAGCAGCAGCCGCCGAATATTCAGAATCAGCAGACGATTCATCAGAATCAGGTTGGAAAAGTAACACCTTTCATTTTAATTTCTGAAAACATAAACACCTATGATAGGTGTTTTGAGTTGAGCGCCGGCGGTTCGGAAAAAAAATTGGCAGCCCTAAAGCTGCCAAATTTACCCGGACTGTAACAGGTTGTCAAGTTGTTCTAACTGTCTAAGTTACTTCTATGGGTCATATTCGTCCCGCATCTTTTCCCGTACCTATGCCTTAAAATTTGAAACGTCAATTATTGACGATCAATAAAACCTGAAAGAGGTATTCAAATTGCTTCAGAATCCGCACCACCAACAGCAACAGCCACATCATTTGAGTCAACTGGCGGGACCGCCCATCGGGCCACCGATGGGAATGCCGCGAATGCCGATTCGAATGGTAATTCTTCCAATGCTTTAAATCATTGTTTTTTAATTTCTGTAAATATTGCAGCTGAAAGACTGGCCGATCCGGTGCGTGATCGAAGGAAAGTATCAGCCGGTGATAATCGGCCCGCACGGATCCGTGCTCAAGGAGATCGCCCACTCGACCAAGTGCCATGTCATCTTCATGCAGTTGTCTCAGCGGGAACGCTCCGTTCTCGGCCACAACGATCGCATTCTGACTGTGCACGGAAACGCGGAGCACGCGAGCAAGGCCGTCGCTCGCATCCTCGACGTCATTCAGCAGGAGGCGCTCAAGGAGGACGAGAATGTGTATGCGCTTTTCTCGGATCTCTGGGCACTTGGCCGGCTTTTGGTCGGGACTTTTTAATCACTTGCAATAATGCGATCGGACCCAAACTTTGCAGGCTTCTTCGACTTGGATTGAAGTATATTGGGACCAAGTTACAGACCGATCGGATCATCTGTTCCCGAGATATACTGGTTTGAGGCCGAAAAGGCCGGCTTTTGCGAAAATTGCGGCGTTGTCGGCTTCTGATTAACATATCTCGGGACTGGATAATCGGATCGGTCTGAAACTCAGACCCAAACTACTTCAATGCAAGTCCAAGAATCGCGCAAAGTTTGCTCCTTATCGGAATATTGCAAATGGGCCAAAAGTCCAGCCCTGGTTTTCGCTAACAATTTCTTATGTAAAATGTTCAAAAATTAGTCATCCACTTTTTTAACCGAATTTTTGCAGCGGCGCCGACATTGTGCTCCGTTTGCGTGCTCACAATCAGCTGTGCGGACGTCTCATCGGAAAACAGGGTGCCACGATTAAGGAAATTATGCAAAAGACGGGAACTTCGATCACTGTCGCCAAGTACGGTTCAGTTTTCAAAATAAATCTTATTTGAATCCATGGCTATTGCCCGTTCAGATTCGTCGATCCGCCAAACGAGATGGGCGTGCGCCAGGAGGAGATGCTCTGTCTAATGGAAAGGACCATCGTGGTCCGGGGACCGTCAATCGAGGCGGTCGTGCAGGCGGAGGCACTCATTTCGAACAAACTCAAAAAGTGCTATGAAGTTGACTCGCAGCTCAGGGTTGGTTTTTTTTTTCTCTTGAAAAATCTGGAGAAAATCGTACTAACCTTTTTTAAAACTCAATTTCCTAACTAATTTTATGCTAAACGTGCAGTAAGTCCTGAATTCTGAAATGTTCTAAAAACACTCTCAGCAGATGCAAGCGGCCGCACTGAGCCCCGTCCCATTGGGTCTACCGGCTCTTCCACTGATGCCGGGCGGTCCGCCGTCGCTCAACCCGACAATAGTCCATCCGCCGTCGCTGATTCCGACTCCGACGGGGCTGATCCAGGTGCAGCACTTCCCGCCCGCAATAAATGCTCCGTTGACGGCGAGCAACAGCTTTCTGCAACCGGGAGCCCTTCAGATTCAGCCGGGCGTCTCGACGCTCCGAGAAGTTCGAATGTGGGCTCCGGACAGCATGATCGGAGCGCTGATTGGTCCGAAAGGCAACAATATCAGGATGATCATTCGGGAGACTGGCGCGCAGGTGAAAATCGAATCGCCGGAAGAAAAAGCGGCAAGGGAAGCGGAAGAAGAGCACAAAAAGAGAGAGAACGAGCAGAAGGAGGAGACGGAAGCGGGAGAAGGAGCAGGAGATCCTGGAGAGTTTGTCGAGACGGAAACGGTCACTTCTGCCGACGCCATCGAAGAGAAGGTGGGCGTTTTTTGAGGGAAAATTGGTTAAATTGAATTATTTTGCAGCCGAAGCCGGTGCCGGAGCGTCTTGTGACAGTGACGGGAGACGACCTGCAACTGTTAAAGGCGCAGTCGTTCGTCTTCTCGAAGATTGCCGAAACGTCGCCGAGCTCGCCGACGCAGTCGTCGCTTCTGAGTGCGCCGAGCCCGTCGGCGCCTCCGCCTCCGCAAGCGCCGCCCGCCACCGTCGCAGAGTTCGGACGGCTTCTCGCGTCGAGAATTCGGACGGAGGTGTCGGTGCCGACGAGAATAATCGGACGGATCATCGGAAGAGGCGGACAGAATGTGCGCGAGCTGCAGAGAATCACCGGCGCCGTCGTGAAGATTCCCGAGCACGAGCAGAGGGAGGAGACGTTCCGACACGATGATGGTAAGCCCCATCCCCGTTTTTTTTAGATTTTATGGTCGATGTTGAAATTGAAATGAAGAAATGAAGTTCTGTGGCAGTTCCGTTTCGGGATTCTCTCTTCGCTGAAAACGCGTCTCAGCGTAGGCCACGCCACTTTATAAACTTTTGGTCGCCGTGATGAATATATCTATAATTTTTTCGCAAAAGCTGCAGGATTCGAAGAGGAAGTGACGATGATCCGAGTGGTGGGAAACATGCACGCGACGCACAATGTGCAATTCCGTCTCGCGCACCTCGTTGCCGAATACTATCGGACCGGCGAGCATCGGGAGCGGCGAGCCGGACGAGGAACCTCCAGACGGGCTCAGAACGCCCATCCGGCAGCCAACAGGAGAGGTTAGGCACTTTTTTTTGTAAATGTTTTATGATTGAAGAAATAGAAGCGAGTAAAATCGAGTTTTGTGAAATTATGTGGTTTTTTTGCAGGCAGCCCACTGGAAAACGTGGGATCGTTGGGCCACGTGGCGCCGATTGCGAGCACTTCGAGACGGGCTTCGCCCCAATCGTCGGAATCGCCGCAAAAATCGAAATCACCATAGGAAAACGTTGTTTCAATTTTCTTCCATTCTAATGCCCCCAATTCGTTTTTGCATTTTTCCACCGCGCGATTTTGCCTGAAACCCGTTGTCTTTTTTGCCCCCACTTTGACACCAAAAATACATTTTCGCACATATCTCCCCAACCCCCCAAAAAAAGTTGTTGTTCTTTTTAGGAATGTTTTCACGGCCTCGCCGCTGAAAATAATGCTTTCCTCGACGGGTGCGTACTGTATTCACGGTCTCCTCGGCTCGGAAAATTTTAGTGTTTCTGGAATTTTCCGCGCCGACGCCACCAACAAATCCAACCGCCACCACCATCATCGACCGCCTTCTTTTTCCAATGTTTTCCATTTGTTTTTTGGGATTTTTAGACATTTTCTATGCGAATCCCCAAGCCCACCGATTTTTCCATTCTTTTCTTTGATAATTTGAACAATTCTCGCATTGTTGTTTCTCTGAAAATTGTTGGTAAAACAAGACGATTTTGTGCTCAATGATCGGCTTTGTTTGCTGAGAACAAACATGACCTTTGTGGCGAATGGAACAATTTGAGTACCTTATGAGCAGGTTCGCCACCGTCTATTTTTGATGATATCAGAAGAACTAAACAGTTTATCAAAGAACGGTGTTGTCGTTCGCAGCACTTCCACAATTTCAGAACTTTTTTGAGTTGAACGTCGATGAAAGAAATTATTTAACAGAGAAAACATTGGAATTTTCGTGAATACGCACCGTTTGCAACGTTTCGCAACACGGATTGGTCATCTCGGCCGAACTGAACAGTTTTGAGATAAAAAAAATGAGGGTCGGAAGTGATAAAGCACGTAATACGAGCATTTTGAGCGTTCGAACAGCGAAAATGATCGATAAATGACTGAAACTCGAAAATCGATTCAACGTTTTAATTTCTCAATTAAATTTGCTCGTTTTACGCTCAAAATGTGCGAAATAATTACCTTCACAGATTTATGCGAAATCGTGCATAATTTGAGTCATTTTTAGCGATAAACATGAAAAATGGGGTTAACATTTGAAATTTGCACGCCAGACAACGCCCCTTTCTACACTTCTGGTCTTCTGAAGTTTGCGATAAAATATGATCCTTTGAGTCGAGTCGAACTGCTCGGAAAAACAACTTTCTTATCATCGTTTCACTAAAATGACGTCACCGACGTTCCGAGCGAGTCGGTTTCCGCGCAGAACGACGCAACGGCAAGCCATTTTTCCGCCTCCTCCCGGACGTTTATTTCTCGAGAAAAGAGGCGCAAAGATGACCTCGTCGCTGCGCGAGAGAGAGTGCCGGAAGACGAGAGACGGCGGAGAGACGAGGGATGCCAGCCGGTGCCGAGTACCGTTTTCTCTGTGTCTCTCGTCCCTCCTTCTTTTCTCGTATACCGAATGGACCGACATTGCGCGTAGAAATACGAATGCAAAGAGTAACTGCGGAGTTTTTTTTGCTTTTTCTTACTTTGCAAAGCCCTGTTTTGGCGATTTTTTGTGTGCAATTTGTTAGTAGAATAAATGCTTGTCCTTGGGGCCTCAAAATTGTGTAAATTTAACGGAGGGTTTAGGATTTTAGGCCGATGTTTCTATTTTAGTATCTTTGCTGAACGAGACGTTGTTTTTTGTGCGCAATTTTTAATAGAAGTTATGTTTGAATTTATCGATGGGTTTTGGAGATTTTAGGAATTTACGCCTCGAGGTGAAACTATTTTCTTCAGTTTTTTCGCTGAGATTTCAAGTTTGCAATTTCCTGTTCATTTGACTGGTCAATGACCCATTTTATGAAATTTTTTACTTTCTTATCATTCCGCCTTTTCATTCCCCTTTTATTATCAGTTTTGCGTGCCAGACCGTTCCAGTAATAAGGAAGTGATAAAGAAACACTTTCTGATAAAAAAGGTTTTTATTTTTGCTGAAATTGTTCTCATTAGTAATTACACACACACATACAATTTAGTCATTAAATTATTTCGTTTGAGTCCTGCCTCGAGTTGATTTTAATTCTATTCGCCGACGATAATTTACCGTTTCTATTTTTCAATGAACACAAAAAATACTTTTTTGAAATTTTAACATCGACTGACAACGGCTTTAGCTCATTTACTTTATTTTTCTCATTCTATTTCTTCACATACTATTCCAGCCAGTTGTATTGTTAGCTCATCGTCCCATCGTTAAATGTCTTGTAAGAGATTGAAGATTCTTTCGAAATTTAACGACAAACCCGTGCACTTTGCCTTGACACCCTTCCGTTCCCTCGAAAAAGCGCGGCGTACTAGTCGCCCGCCGCAGCTGCCCGTTCCCCGTCCTTGTCCCATTCTGCGCCCCTTTCTCCGTGTGCAGAGTGCCTGGCGCCTCCGCCAGCACCTCCTGGCACCCTTTGCATCTCTCGCACTCTCGCCCGCTCTCACACTCTCCCACTGCTCTCGTTTCTCTATTTTCGTGCGAAAAAAAGAAGTTGTTGGGCGCGGTGCGTTGCGCAATGTGAGCTTGCCTCTTTTCGATAAACATCCGTAGCGTGGCAGTGATTGATATCAAAATGGAAGTTTATTTTGAATCAACTGTTATACAAAAGTAAATGCTCTAATTTAAAAAAGAATCTCGCGAGCAGGCTTTGGTCTAAAACCTTACAGTAGTAAATTTCGACGATTTCTCAAAAGTATAGAACATTAAAAATCGTAAAAATTGACTGACAACTAAACGAACAAATTCGGTAATTTCGTTTCAAAATTTGAGACATATATTTCTATGCAGAAGTTTTACAGTTAATAAATAATTGCCACATTTTTGCATAGTCTATGCAGCTTTTCACAGTAAATGCTTTTGTACTAACTTTTCTCTTTTTCTCTTTTACGTATCCGTTTCAGAACCCTACCTTTTTCCCTATTTTCATCATTAATTTTTTCAGCTCAATCTCTGCCACCAACACACACGATCTCCAGTTTTCCACAAAGAAAATGCAAAGCCCTCTGTGCTTTGTATTACTGCCGATCCTGGCCACGCTGGCCAGGATATCCCATTCGAAAATGGAAAAATGTGAAGAGATCCAACGGAGGTTTACGGACGAAGAGAACCGACAGAAACAGGTGTGTCTGAACTTAACAAAAGGCTTTTTTTTTGGAGTCCTAGGCCTTAGGCTAGAAACTTAATGAACTATGTGATAGGAGGTGAAGTTTGATTATTGATGTTATGCCAATTTTTTTTAATATAAGCCTAGTGTGACCTAGATTTACAAAAAATGTTTTTTGGGGTCCTAGGCCATAATTTAATGAACTAGCAATCAGAAGCTAGCTGAAATGTGTTTATTGTTGATGTTATGTACGGTCTTTTTAAACTGTAAAGCCTAGTGTGACTTGATTGTTTTAAAGATTTAAAATCCTAGGCCTTAGGCGACTAATTTTATTATTATTTCAGTTACAACCAGTCTGCTCCTGCTCGGAAAGCGGTTTCTTCGTGAGCATCAAAGGACCGGCTGTTGAGTAAGTACCACTGTTTTTGTGAATATCACATTTTAAATAACATTTTCTGCAGATGCGAAGCGGCCACGATCACCGCCCTCAACACGAACCTCGCCTCGTTCAATCACACCGAATTGGGAATGATTTTCGTGAAGGAGACCACGATGAACACGATTCCCAACGACTTTTTCGCCAAGGTAAGGGTCTTACAGTGACAAGGGTTAACATGTAGTACCGAAAGTGTCATTTTCAGATGCTTCCAAAGCGCGTGAAGATCGAGAAGTGCGACATTCTGTCGGTGGAGGCGTCGGTGTTCAAACCGGCGGCCGACGTCATCGAAAGCCTTTCGCTGCGTGAGAATCGTATCACAACTCTGATTTCTCGCCAGTTCTGGACCCTCCACAAAATGATCTCTCTTGATGTGTCGCACAATAAAATCGATACAATCGAGGAGGGCGCGTTCGAGGGACTCGAGAACCTGCAGGAGATGATACTCGCCGGCAACGATTTCAGAGAATTGAAGGCCGGATCGTTCGAGGGACTCAGGGGACTCAGGAAGCTGAATTTGGAGAACTGCAATATTCAGAAGATTCAAAAGTGAGTGGGAGCGGATTTTTGGGGCTTTGGGAACATAAATTCCCCACTTTGTACTTTACTTTAAAAAAAATATGTTACGCAAAAAATGATAATTTCTGTGAACATTAACAAAATGAATCTAAATCGACTTCTAAACAAAATAGTGTTTGCAGAGGCGCGTTCCGTGGTCTCGACTCGCTGGAAGTGCTGATAATCTCGGAGAACCTTCTGGAGACCCTCGACGGATCCGTGTTCAATTCGCTGAAAAAGCTGAAAATCCTGGACCTCGGCTCGAACCGACTCCGATCGATGGAGTTGCGCGGTCTGAAGAGTCTCGAGAAGTTGCTGCTCAACAACAATCAAATCGAGACGATGAAGGCGATCAAACTGAAGGACCTGCCGAACCTGATCGTTGCCATGATCGACAGGAACAAGATTCGCACTCTGGGCGACATGGACATGCTCGGATTCAGCCGCTCCGAGCGCATCGAGACGCTCTCGTTCGCCTACAACAACATCAGCACGATCAGTCAGAAGGCATTTCAGCACCTTCCTCATCTGAAGAGCCTCCTCCTGCAGAACAACGATTTAGAGCAGCTCAGCATTAGTTAGTGGCAATTCATACTATGAGAAGTTCATAATATATTTGTTATTTAGACTCCGCCCCCTTCCTGACGAGCTTCAAATCGCTGGTGACCCTCCAAGTATCGGCCAATAACCTGACGGTCATTCGCGCCGGCGAACTCCCGAAAAGCCTGCTGAATCTGGCCCTAGACCACAATATGATCACGAGGGTGAGTGCAGAAATTGTGGTCACTGAAAGTGGAAGGCAAAATTTCAGATCGAACCACGCGCTCTCGAAGGAATGGCCCTGAAGCGCATCTATTTGCATAGCAACAAATTGCAATTCTTGTACCAGGGAGCTTTCGATTCGTTCGCGCCGACCTCTGTCGAAGCCATCGATGTTTCTTGTACGTTTTTTCAAAAACTACACATCTTTTACTATATTTTTGCAGTTGAACACTTTTTTCTACGGTCACTCCCTCGGGTACTATAGCGCTTCAACGTATTCATAGAAATTTTGCTGCTCTTATATTCAAAGCGCTACAGTACCCCAGGGAACAGTTGTAGAGAAAGATGATCAACTACAAAAATGAAGTTCACCTTTTGAACTTTACTTTTGTAGTTGACAACTTTTTGCTGCGATGTCATGATTTCGCAGAAAAGTTTCGAAGCCTACAATATCCATTTGTTTGCAGTGAACAACTGGCAATGCGTGTGCAAAGACCCGAAAGAATGGCTGCCGAGATGGCTGTCCGAGGCGGAAGAGGCCGACGTTTCGGAGGGTCCCGTCGGCTGTCTGGCCATCCCCGGATGCGGTCACGGCGGAGAATCGCAGGAGTTCGAGGAGGAGGAGGAGTCGGTGCGCGCCGGATGGATTACGGTAGCCGCCATCGTGCTCACCATCATCACCATCGTCATTATGATCACCATTGCGATGCTCTACTTCAAGGACTATCGGCATCAGGTAATTTTATCTGAACATTCCGAAAAATCCTCATTTTTGCAGTTCCCGCTGCGTGGCCGTCGTTGCGATTCGGACCTGCACAAGCTGATCGAGAACGATCCGCTGAACATCGCCTCAGATTCGATCCTGGTCGTTCCGACGATGCCGAGACGGAACCCGACGAACGGACCCAAGAAAACCGTCCGATTCCAGAACTTTTAAGCAAGAAATTGATTACACAGGGCTACTGTACCCTACCGTAATCCCCCGGTATCTCAATCCCCGACTCTGTAAATATAATATGAAAACTGAAGACTCTGATAAAATAACCCAAAAATTCCAGTGAAAATCCGCGCCCATCCCTCATTTTTTCATGTTTTTCCTCCATACGTGTCGTCCTTTTTTGTTTAAGCCCCGCCCCTTATTTTTTCCAAATTACTGTAGCCCCACACTTATCAGGTATCAACTCATCCACTGATCTTACAAAAAACCCTCATTTTTTAATCGGAAATGTTGAAAGATTGACTTGTTTTTTGAAAACTTGAAAAGATTGCAATCTTGACATAATAATAAATGCAAATTCTGATGATCTAATTTGTAAAGGAAAAGAATCACAAATTTCAGACCTACTTTTGTTCTCAACGACACTCCGCTCAGACGCTGAGATATGTGTCGATCAACGAAGCAAACGATGGCGCTGTGGGCACTCTGTCTTTCCAACTGGTGAAGACGAAAGAGATCAAAACGACGACGACGACCGACGAATCCGGGCATACGGTAGTCACCACTTCGGAAGCCGTTCATCCTGGAGCCACGACGATCAGTCATGGAGCAAGTGCGGCGGCGGCAGGAGGAGCTTATATGGTAAGTATTAACATGTAATGTACAACGATAATAACGTTTAAGTTGCAGCAAAACTCGTCGAGCAGTTCGATGTTCTCTTCGGGAGCAGCAGCCGAACGATCGTACGCTCAGCAACAGCAGAGCAGCTTTTCGGCAGGACACTCGAGTTCCGGCATGGAGAGCTCACAGCTCAATTCCGGAGGATACGCGAGCATTCGGCATGCGACCGGCGAGAGGTTAGTAGGGAACTGTAGAAGTAGAAAGTGAGTAACCTGTGGAATTTTCAGAGAGCGTGGCGACAGCGTGGAAAAGTTCTATTTTTGATACATTACAAGACTACATAGCGAAACAAGGAAATGCTTGATAAAAGATAATAGCGAGAAACCTCTAAGAATCAGCAGAATTGATGGCTCGGAGAAGTTCCATCGAGGAGAAGTAGACGCCCGAAACGCACACACTGCTGCCCATTATGATGATGAATTGGTCGAAACTGCACAAAAAAACATAATGTATTTTGTGTGACGTGGCAAAAGCTAACCGTTTATCCAAATTGTTGAGGGTGGCTCCCTTGATGTGCAAGTGGAACAGCGCCGGCCAAATAAACGAGAGCATTGTCCCTGAAAGTAGTTCAAAAATGACTTTCAGGTCTATTTGAGTTGGTTTTTCTGGTGGAAGAGCAGAAGCTTCCAGTAGGTCCCATAGTGTTTTTCGGCTTCTATAGCTGTGAAATCATTTTGAAGCAAATTGGGCAAAGTTAAAATTTCAAGAGTTTCGAACATTTTGCCAATGGGTTTATGCCAATTTAAAAAAAATGCCCCTTACCCGTGACCGTCAAGGGTTTATGCCAATTTTTAAAAAATGCCCCTTACCCGTGACCGTCAAGGGTTTATGCCAATTTTAAAAAAATGCCCCGTACCCGTGACCGTCAAGGGTTTATGCCAATTTAAAAAAAATGCCCTGTACCCGTGACCGTCAAGGGTTTATGCCAATTTTAAAAAAATGCCCCTTACCCGTGACCGTCAAGGGTTTATGCCAATTTTTAAAAAATGCCCTGTACCCGACCCGTGACCGTCAAGGGTTTATGCCAATTTTTAAAAAATGCCCCTTACCCGTGACCGTCAAGGGTTTATGCCAATTTTTAAAAAATGCCCCTTACCCGTGACCGTCAAGGGTTTATGCCAATTTTAAAAAAATGCCCCGTACCCGTGACCGTCAAGGGTTTATGCCAATTTAAAAAAAATGCCCTGTACCCGTGACCGTCAAGGGTTTATGCCAATTTTAAAAAAATGCCCCTTACCCGTGACCGTCAAGGGTTTATGCCAATTTTCAAAAAATCGAAAAGTGAGATGATGATTGGGCACGCACTCACCAGTAATATTTCCGACCAACCCCATCAACTCGACCAAATACGGCACCGAAAGAGCGACAAAAAGAGTGAAGAGGACGAGGATGATTCGAAGGGTGACTGCCCATTCCCTCAACGATTTGTCCGGGGAGTAGCAGCTGGTGAAGGGTGTCTGCGGGAAGCCCATGAACAGATTGTTCTTGAGCAATTGGACGGCCGCGTAGAACGGAAGCGGGTACGAAAGAAGCGCCTTGACGACGAGAATCAGGTTGACGAGGATCTTGAACGACTGGTTCGGCAGCGAATTGGAGATCTCCTGCTGAGTAAGCTCGCCGAACGTCAGGAATCCGAGCATGCCGAAGACGACTTTGAAGACGGCGGCGGCGACGTGCGACCACTTGAGCATCATGTTGAACTCGGCCGGTTTCGCCATGTTTCCCTCCAAGTTGGGCAGGAAAATGTGAGAAGTGTAGCCAAAGACAACCATTCCGACGATCGTCGGAAGGGTGTTGATGTTGAGGGCGAACGTGATTGACGAGAAGGACCATTGACTGGAAAGGGGTACGGTAGGCTGGCTGGCGGTACTGTAGGTTGATTACCTGACGAAGGAAAGGCAATAGAGGAGCATAATGAGGTTGACGATGAGATGGGAGATGGCGTTGAAGAACGAGAGCCGGGACACTATTTGGAGGTCGTCGAGGAAGGAGCACGAGAGCAGAGCCGCCGAAACGAGCATCATCCAGCCGGGCTTGTCTCAAATTGATCTTTCTTTGAATGCGCCCGCCACAGCCAAGGGTTGGTGACTCACCGACACTGGGAAAACAGCTCTGCAAAAGATCGGCGGCCAGGACCAGGTAAATAATGCACGTGGAGAGCAGCTCGGTCAGCTGAGCGGCCAGGACCCACTTCCCGAATCCGGGCTTGTAGAAATCCGCAATTTCTCGGTACGACTTGCGTTTTTTCTCGCCGCTCTCGTAGAGACACTCGATGAGCAGCACGCCGGTCCAGTAGCAAATGTAGGCCACTCCGATCATCGCGCCGATCGACCACCAGCCACCGACCGGAAAATGTGAAAGTGAGTTTTCGAAGAAGATCGAAAGGTTCCAGTGTTTTTGGCATCTACAGTAACAGTGAAATCGTTTTGAAGTAAAATTAGCAACAAATTACTTGTCAGAATATAACACTATCAAAGACAAAACTAAACACCTAAATGCTGACGTCATCTGCTCGTTACCTTGACCGCAATCGGCAATCCCACAATGAACATGCCCTGAATCGCATTGGTTACATTCCAGGCGGCCTGAAGAGCCGTGATGGGCTCCGTGGCGGCTCCGTGTCCGTCATCTTCGGGTGGAACTTCGGCCGGGGCTTCCGCTTTCGGCACCTCCGCATTTGGCTCATTTTCCTGAATCGGTTCCAGGTGAGGCGGGCCTAAAACAGTAAAACTTTTGCTATTTTCGAGTGAGAAGAGCTCCAACCTCCTGCCGAATCGGCCGAATTCTGATAGCTCGGCACCTCGTGAAGTTCGTGATTCCAATAGTCCAACGAGGCGCTGAACACGTGTTTGTTCGTCCAATCTTGGAGGTTTTGAAGGCGATTCGACATCTGAAAAACGGGAAAAGACGACGAGAATTTGTCAGAGCAGCAAGATGGCGGGCTCTTCAGAGCAAATAGCGTGTGTGTGTGTCTTTGGCACAATGATTTGAAGGAGAAGAAGGAGAGGAAGAAGAAGAAGAAGCGTTTGGAAGGGATTATTAGATGCTCTCGGTCCCCATTTCCCCCCTCTTTTTGTCGGGTTCCACACTGATGGATGGCCCTGCTCGAAAGAGCGCTCCGACTATAGCAGGCGAAGGAAATTAGGGGACCGAGAGGGGAAGTGACCTGTTTTTTTGGGCACGAGATTGGATGGAATGGGATGGATTGAGCTATGCTATGCTAACGGGAGAAAAAAGAATTGAAAATTCACTTCTAGAAAACTCGAATGATTACTGTAGCTCTGCCACGTAAGTGGAAGTTGCTAATCCTAAATGAGAGATTACCAAGTCGTTTGGCAACTCATGGACACTTTGCAACCGACAACCGAGCATTTTGTAACCATTCTTTGCAAAGTATTTGGAAAATGTGTTAAACTGATGATAGTTGAGTTGAGTTGAGAATACAAAATCTCTTCTAGTTGTCTGTTGACTTGGTTGCAAAGTGTTCCTTACTCGCAAATTGGGTAGACAGTGTTTGTTCTGTTCATCGATGCTTTATTTCTGTTGAAGAGTGTACTCCAGCTGAAAATGTACTGAGGTTGCAAAATGTCCCTCTTCAAGTCATCTTGCCTTGCCAAATCCTTGGCCAAAGTCTTCCATGCGTTTTTCTCTTTTTCTCCAGAGATTTGTCTAGACCACACTACTACCCAATTAGCATCTCCCTTCGGTACCCCATAGCTATACAATAGCAGATTGACAATGAATTTCGCCAATATATTGTAATAGCCTAATCCTATCCAACTTCCAATTTCCATTCAATTTCCTGCGCGAGAGAGCCAAAAAAAGGCAGCGAGCAGACACCCCCACACACACACACACATCCATTTGTTTGCGTGGCGCTCTTCTACGGCTTCTGCTTCCTTCTACTACCCCCTTTTAGGAGATGTTGGGGGGCCTTCTCATAGAAGACAGAGAGAGAGAGAGCGAGAGAAAGAGAGAGTATTTTCGTATTTTTCTTCTTCTCCTTTTTTCCCCGTTTCTCCCGCCCCATGTTTTCTTTTTCTCTCTTCACACCAAAAGTGGCTCGCCGAGCTCTCGGAGCCACGAGAGCACAGAGCAAATGAGAGAGAGAGGGAGAGAGCCAGAGAGACGTGCTCTTCTCATTCATTTTTTATTGCAAATAACACACGCAATTTGGCAGCCATGCAAGCGCCTTCCAGAATCAACCTTCGAATTTCTGTTGCAACATACTTGTTTGCAAGTACTGAACTAGGAAAAGTTTGATTTAAAAAAAGTAAATCCCTAGAATTGTGCCTTAAAGATACTATGTTATTTGGTTTCACCGCAAAAAAAAGGCGGCGACTGGATAATCCCAAAGTGATTCTAATACTCTTTGACATCTCCATCTTTTGCTCCCGTTTTTCTTCATTCATCTTTTCACTATAGTGCCCGCCCACTATTCCCCTTTTTTGCTGGTGAGCCAAATCTGATTTTCGTGCTTTCATTCGCCGCTTTCCGTTTTCGATCCGGCCTTTGATATCCGCGATTTTCCAGGAATGCTCCTCAAACTCTCTCACTTTTTTCCTTCAAATCCAAATTAATATTTCAGAAGATGGAGCGCATGATATCACGAGTTCGCCGACTCTTCCCGCTACACACTTTTTCCGATGCTCTCCTACTTTCGCTGCTCAAAGAATCGGATTGTCAACCGGATGCCATTCAGCAGGGAGTTGTCTGTATGTTTTAGAATAAACCCTACCAAGTCCTATTGCAAACGTTTTCCAGTATTCGAAAAGGACGAACCGACCGCCTACTGGTACCTGCTGCTCAGCGGAGAGGTCCAGTTGTACAGTAAGAGCTATGTAAGTCGTTCATGGCCGAGCGTTTTCTAGGCCATCCATTCATTGTTTTGCAGTCCGGCGATTTCCGACACCTTCAAACGTTGCGAAGCGGCGCGCTTTTCGGCGATCTCTCCACCATGACCCACTCGTGTTCTTGTATAGTTTCACGGCCCGCACAGCTTATAAGGATCGAACAAAACCACTTTCTGTCGATTTATAATGTAAGTTATCGATTGTTTATCGATAATTGTCTAATTTCCAGAAGCACGGCGACCACCTCCAACCGTTCATAGTGATAATGCACGACATTGTGGCGAGCGAAGAGATGACACCCATGGATCCCGTGCCACTCCCAGCTACAGTACCCCCCTCCGGACTGTTCAACGGTCAACGCAGTGTGGATCTGGTGCCAGCGCCGTCACAAAAAGTCAACGCACGGATGCTTCCCTCAATCGCTCCGTTTCTGCAGCAGCAGCAGCAGCAGCAGCAACGCGAGCGGCGGCAGTTGCCGAGTACGAGTACGGTGGCGAAAAACGAGGAGAGGAACTATATCGAGTTCCATAATCCGACTGGGATCGGCACTCAGGTCAAGGAGGCCGGAGAGACGTTGTACAAGAAGATGCTCACGGATAATCATCAAGTTGTTCGCGATATTGTCACCGCGCATACGGTAAGTTAACAAACCTAGTTTCGACTTCTTGACTTTGAAAAGCTGTATTCTAGCGCGTTCAAAACTGTATGATCGGCGCCGAGATGGTCGACTGGCTCCTAACCCTCCTCGTCTCCACTTCCACGACGTCGTCAAGCCTGTCGCGCCTTCAAATGGGTGCCATCTGGCAAGTTCTCATGAATCACGGAGTCATCGCTCACATCGACGGCGAACATTTGTTCCTCGACAAGGCCATATCCTACTACCGATGGGTGCCAGGGCAGAGGGCACAGAGGACGAAGGTACAGTCATTCTGGAGTCTATCAGTGCCCAATTCAAAGCGTTCAGCACACTCCTTCCATCGAAGATCTCTCCAAAGCGGTGTCGCTTCTCTCGACGGTAGCCCCGGAGACTTTGTTCTTGATGATAATTTCTAAACCGTAAGTTCTTACGGTGTGCTCTTCCCTACCCGAACCAATTTTCAGAGGATTCGAGCGAAGCCCCGAGGAGTTGGAAGTGGTCTACGAAGAGATCACCTTCATAAAAGCGCTCTCGCACCTGAGCACGATGGTCAAGCGGCAATTGGCGAATTTTGTGAAAATGGAGCAGTTTGTGCACGCCGGCAGCATCGTATTTCGGCAGGGAGACCCCGGCGCCAACTGGTACATTGTGCTTAAGGGCGCCGTTCAGGTGATCGTCAACGGGAAGGTGATTTGCGAGCTGCATGAGGGCGACGATTTCGGCAAGTTGGCACTGGTGAATGATATGCCGAGGGCGGCCACTATTGTCACTTATGAAGACGATTCGGTGTTTCTCGTGGTTGACAAACACCACTTTAATCAGTGAGTTTCGAAAAGTGGAAAATAGAATCAGATGTATGTATCTCATCTCCGCAGAATCCTTCACCAAGTGGAAGCCAACACAGTGCGTCTCAAGGATTTCGGCGAAGACTGTCTCGTCCTCGAAAAAGTCGATCTGCCACGTGGCGCCGCACTAGAAAACTCCAACTCTGGCTCTTTCAACTGCGGCTACTCGGTGATGGCCGGCAAACCCGAGAAGATTCTCGAGTACGTGCTAGAGACGCGAATCGACGCGTTGACCAACGATATTTTAGGTGAGGTTCTCTCGAAAAGTTGGCTTGTAATATGCAGGCAAAATTTCAGAAGTGGACGTGTTTGTGGAGGATTTCATTCTGACACACGACGCTTTCATGCCGGACAACACTGTGTGCAACTTTTTAAAGTCCTATTACTTTCGGACGCAGTATGTGACAACTCGATCCGGTCTGCTGGACTCTGCGACGTGTTCCGAGGAGATCCGTTCAAAGCGGCGAGTGGTTCAGTTTGTGTACGTCTGGTGCAGCCTCCTACGCATCAACTTCTTCCTCAACCCCGTCACCAACTCGTTTGTGGAGGAACTTTTCTGTCTGGTCATTGAAGATCGCAAAAGAATGGACGGAATGGAAGAGATTGTGGGTCGGATGGCGGCGATCCGGGAGGCCAGGGAAAGTATGCAATTGGTGTTGGCCCGGCATCCGGCCGTCGTGCTCGATTGTGGCGTTTTGAGTGCGCACACGCCGTGTCCCATTCTTCCGTCGGATGTTTGCAATCAAATCATCCATTTGGCCGACACCACGTGCTTCGTTCTGCCCATTCGTGTTGACAAAACCGCCGAGGAGATTTGCGAGCTCTCGCGGAGACGTATGGGCTTCTCCGGCGAGCCGTTGGTGCTCGTCGAGGTCAAATCCAACGGGGATAAACTCAAATTTGCGCCACAAGATCGAGCGATTCCCACTGTTTTGAGCTTGAACTCGAAACTGTATGTTGTCAACCCATTGGAGGTGGATCTGTTGGCGCCGATGGAAGATCAGAACGGACCGACACCACTGTCGCACTCCTCGATCCTCCATCTCATCGATTCGCAGGAGTTGGCTCATCAACTGTTCCTCTTCCATTTACAACTGGTGAGAGCCACCGACGCCAATGAGCTGTTGTATCAGGTGATCGGAAGAGAGAGTTTTCCGATGTCGATGCCTTTCAATTTGGACCTTCTCGTTAGGAGGTTCAATGAGGTCCAGCACTGGGCGACGACGGAGGTCCTGCTGGCGAACGAGGAGAATCGGGTCGAGATTTTGAAGAAGTTCATTGCCGTTGCCACGCAGTAAGTCATAGATTAGTTGCCAAACTGTTTGACAGACCGGCCCAGAAAGGTCCAAGAACGTTTGGCAACTATAAATAGTTGCAAAATGACTTCAAATAACCAATTCACTTTTCAGCGCTCGAGAATACCGAGATTTACTGACCGTATTCGCGATCACATTGGGCCTCAGCCATACTTCAGTGAGCAGACTATCTTTCACTTGGAGTGTAAGCTTTTGTTTAAAAAATCCTTAAAATAGTACTGCACCGTTTCAGAAATTATCACAACTCACCAAAAAAGTGTTCTCAGAGTTCGAAAATCTACTAGACCCTACGAGAAATCATCGAATGTACCGGGTGATGGTGTCCAAGGTAAACAATTAAAAATCCATTTTTTAGGTTTTGACTCTGCTTGACGTTTAGCGCGTTTAAAATTAATTTCCAGATGGCTTCTCCCTACATTCCATTTGTTCCATTAATTCTAAAAGACTTGATGTTCATCCATCAGGGAAACAAATCGTTTTATAATGGATTGGTGAACTTTGAGAAAATGGTAACGTCACACTTTTTGCCATATTTTCTCTAGGGCAATTCAAAACTTTGCAGCACATGTTCGCCAAAATTTTCCGAAGTTTTCGTCATTGCAAAACCGCAATGACGCCGACGTCCGAGCACGAATTTGCGGAGCCGCAGAGCTTGATTCGAAATTTAAGAGTGAGTTTTACCAAAATGTTCTGAAATAAAAAAACGTTTTCCAGGTGATCGATAATCAAAAAAAGTTGATGCAAATGTCCTACGACATTGAGCCAAACTCGGGAACGAGCAGGAATTACAAATGAATCTTAGCCACTTCATAATTTAAATGTTTCATAGAACTGGGTTCTCCTTCTGAAAAAGTGATTTTTGAACTGATATCAAACCGATTGTCTATCTTTTTTCTGTCGATTTTCTAGTTTTTGTAGTGAAATAAAAGTTTTCAAATGATTTGCCGAGTTTTAGCGGCAATATATTTGACTGAAGAGTTATGAGAAAATAAATTAGAATAACATGGGAAGAATAGTACATGAATCACAGATTTAAATAGAAAATTTGTTTGCTCTCATTGCTCTTCTTACTTTTCGTTGGCGACGACGCGTTCGTGTTCACTGATGCGAAGAACCGGCTGACTGACGGCCAATTGGGATATTGGAACTGAAAAAAGGCAGACAAAATGAAAATGAAGAGAAGTTTCGAGTGCTTACCAAAGAAAAAATAGAACACAATCGCAGCGTTCGTCCTCAATCCGCCGAGAAACGTGTTCGCGTAGACGACCCAGTGACGGTCAGGAAAACGCATTTTGATGTAGGTGAAGTTGAAGCCGATCAGGATGACCGACAGCTGGAAAAATAAGGAACGTTATGTCTTTATCTGTTGCCTTCAGAAATTTCTATAAATGTACAGAATGCACACGTTTTGTGCATTTTGTACTTTTATTGAGATTTCTGGTCATCAGAGGTGTTCCAAAAGGCTGTAGTACACGGCTCTCAGAAATTCCATTAAATGTACAGAATGTACACTAAAATGTTGCTCACCGCAATCGCTTGAGTGAGTCTAATGATTTCGGGATGTCTTCTCCAGGCGGCAATCACAAACTGTGCCATGACGATGATCGGCAGGAAGAGCAGGTCGGTTCGGTGCTGGAATGTTCCGTGAATGATCGGCATGTAAACGAGAATCATGAGAATCGTGTGGCATTTGAAGGTGAATCGCGGATCGAGATTGATGGTGTGACCGAAGAGATTCGTCTTGTAAATGTTCGGCGACATGGGATCACTGAAATTATTGCGAAATTGCAACAGAAAAATAGAAGGAAAATTTTTTACATTCTGGGCGCTGTTTTTTTGGGCGTCAGTTTGTGCTGAGCAGGTCTCGTCATTCTGCAATTTATTTGTTTCAATTAATTTGATGAGATTTTTCAGGAAAAATTAGGCGTGTCAACGAACATTTCCAGAAAACAACTCCTAGAATTCAACTTTTCGCGCGCAAGGTCACCAAGTGCGCTCCATCGCTAATCCCTCTATTTCTCTGTACTCTCCTATTTTTGCATTCTCTCTCGCTTGTTTTCTTTTTGAAATGTGGAAATTTTTGAAATGAGTCGTTTTTCCGTTAAAAGATCTTCATTTCTTTCAATTTTTTTTTCAGTTTCAAAAAGTTTAAAAAAACGGAGAAAATTTCAACTTTTGGTCAATTTCGGTCGAAAAATGGTCAACATCGACACGATTCACACGGCGCCGGCCCGTCACTACCGCTCGCTCCGCCCGATTCAATGTGCCGGAATAGACGTTAGAACGTGGTTTCTGCTCTACTCAATCGTCAAAGTTCTGACCGATTTGCCACTTTTCTACACGCTTTTCCATGAGCGAATCCAATTGAAGACCCTTTTTCTCGTCGTGCTCGTCTTCGCCGACATTTTCCTCATTTCGACCGCCTTGGATAACGGAGTGATCAAATTGGCAATTGTCGAAGTGTTTTCGGTAGGATTTTTTAAAGTAATTTCTTTCATAATGATAATTTTTACAGAATTTCATCGCCACGTACTATACGTGCGGCTTCTTTATCATTCTTTTCGGTCTCATGTTTTTCCCTATGCAACTCAACGAAATTCCGCTTCTCTGGCGACAATTGGAAGATTTGTATCCGATTTTCACCGCCTTCCGCGTCGAACAGCCGACATTTCTGGAGGATATGGTTGATTATTGGGTCTCGGCCGGCATTTTCTGCATTATCTACGCTGCTTGTAAGTTGTATGGCCAATTTCAGCTTAAAATCACTGTTTTCTTTCAGCCGCTTCGATCCGCGGTTTTCTGGCCAGCAAATCCCGTCTCCAAGTGATTTCCGAGCGACAAGATGTGACCGAACTGCAAGCGCTCACCGTGACCGTCTAAACTATTTCAATGCGATCGCCAGATCGGAAAAAAAGTTTATATCTATCTCGACTACGAGAAGCAAATAGTAGAACAAGACACCTAAGAATAATTTGCATTCATTCATGTTTTTCGATGAAAATAATCATTCATTCTTTTCTTATTCTAGAATGTGTATTATTCTTGACTCCTTTTCACGTATGTGTCCATCTATTTAATTTGTATATAAAAACTAGACGACAAATTCCGTCGCCTTCTTTTCTTTCCACTCCCGTTCCTCTTGCTGCGCAATGCACGTGGAATGAACGAGGAACAGCTGGACGATCATTCCGATGCCCAAAATGTTGACGATCAGCTCGATGGGCATTCCGGTGTCCGACTCGAGTCCGTTGAAAATGTGCAACTCGAGCTGGAGTCTGCGCATCGAGAACACCAAATCTTTGCAAAATTTCTCCCAGACGGCGACGGACTGCTCGGAAACTTTGTGATTGTAGACGTCGGAGAGGTGGAAGTAGAGGACGAGCATGAAGATTGAGAAGAAGAGCGTCGAGAACAGCAACGAGAAGATTAGAATGCTCTGGAAGGTTTGTATGTTAAAAAATTAGTGTACGAACATTTTTTCTGTCGATAACTGACCAAACCCAGCCGACGGAAAATTTACGAGTATGTGTTCATATGACTTTCAAAAATGTTTGCAAAAAAGATTGACTTTCAGATTATTCAATCGGAACATCGCTTGGTGTTCATTGAAATTTCGACGGCCGAACCCATGATGCTGTAAACTTACAAAGATGAGCCAGGAGACAGCGAGTGTGAAGCGGTCTTGAAACGTGGCCGAGACCAGAAAAATCGCATCGAGCGCCAAAATCGTCAAAACGAAGGGAATCTCGATTGGAGTCCACGGACGATTCACGGCCAGGTAGAGAGTGAAGAGGAATTTCACTAGGGCAAAAAGTTGAAAGGCGAGGCCAGGACCGACTCGAGTTCTAGACATTTTTTAGGGAAAGTCTGCAAACGATTTGAATGGATTCGAGCAAAATAAGTTGGAGCAAAATTGTGAGGGCACAGAATGTAAAAGGATAGAACAAGAAATGATTGAATGAATGGATGACAGGAGGATCTTCCTTTTTTAGGCGAAGAAAAGTGGAGGCGGAGTTGAGAGTATATCTTGTCTTATCGCAACACCTGAAAAAGTACACTATCGGCAAGAACATAGCGATTGTAAAATGAGTACACCAAGAAAAGAACAACGAAAGGAATATTAGAAGCAAAATTTATTAATTTTTAAAGAAGAAATTGTGGACACAACGAATTCATGATTAAAATGCACAATCAACAACGAAAAAATTCAAACAACATAAACGGAATTTCTCTTCTCGGCCACTTGCTTCTTGCGGGTGCACTCTTCGATTTTGGCGTTCAACGTGGCATTCACGAGTCCTAACTGCATTGCGCTCACCGCAATCAACAAGATCAGAAGCATGGCGAACGACATTCCGAACTCGAATCCTTTGAAAAAGTGCATTTCTTTCTGGCGTTGTCGCATTCTATGGAACACATCATGTTCGGATGGAAGCAACACGTGCTCGACGAGAATTGGCCCGAAGATGAGGAGGAGTATGTAGGTGACGAGCAGGAAAAACTGAAAATATATTATTTTAAATCGAATCTATTATACAATGGTTCTAATTTACCGAAATGATCCACGAGACGGCGAGAGTGAAAAAGTCTTGAAACGTGGCAGAAATCAGGAAAATTGCATCGATCGCCAAAAACATCAATGCAATGGGAACTTCGATTGGAGTCCACGGACGGTTCATGATCAGGTACAAAGTGAACAGGAATTTCGGAAGGGCGAAGAATTGAAAGACGAGGCCTGGCCCGAAGCGTTGGAAACGATAGCCGAGCGGTAGGGATCGGCTGTTTCTCGCGGAGTTTCTGACGGTGACATAGGGATCCGCGGATTGGGTCCATTCGTCGGTGGTAGACGGACGGTATTGTTGGGACTTCATCTGAATTTAAACAAAATTTGCGAATTAATTGTGGTGAAAAAGAGCAGAGAGAACAACCATTTTTTCCCTATTGAATGAGTCGAAAAGATGAATAAAAAAATAACGTATTTCTGTGGAAATCAATGGAAGTGAGCAAAAAAAATCGAAGGTGTTGGACACCAAGACTAACCAAGACTGGGAGGAAAGGAGGAGGGGGAGGGGTGTCGTTATTGGCTCGCACAGGGGTCAAATCAGCCACCTGTGCACAGTTCACAGTAACCAACTCCTTTTAGGCATTTTTCGATGTTTCGCCAGAGAATTCAGCCATTCTGACTTCAAAATCGGATTCAGCATCGCAAAAACTATCGGTGACGAACTAGCATTGACCCAAAAAAGTTCATAGAATGAAGATCGTCGGAACGTTTGTCAGTTTTTCTGATTTTTCGGGAAAACCATGAAAGTTATGATGAAATTGATTTGACAAATGGACTCTACGTGGTCAATTACATGAAGTAACTTTGTTGCCACAGTGATCACAGGCTCATGGTCCTATTCAGTCGGGAAAAATAACCTAATTAAAAACAGGAAAAAAATTGTTTTTTCTTCTTTTTTTCCTGATTTGAATAGTTTTTTTGCGGAAAAAAAAACCTCCACTTGTGGCCCCTACCTATAATATAACCAAATCCTTCTTCAAAAATCCAAAGAGTCACATTTTCAAGTCTCCCAGTCTCATTGGTGTTGGAAAAAAGTATCTTACATTACAGTTGGTGTTTCATTTCCATATGAATACAGTACGAACATCAAGCACAATGAGATGATAGAAAAAGTTCCCACGGCTTATTGTCATTTCATATTCGAACAATATTTATGTTTACTGTGTGCAGTCTGTGTCTCTCCTCCTTATTTTTATGCTTTAAAAGGGAGCGGCGGCCGCGTTTCGCCATTTCGAATGGCTTCCCGACCTCCGATCTACCCTGCTCCCTTTTCTCCGTTTCCAATGGACAAGAAGCTTTCGGAGCAAAAAGGCACAGCGTTTGAAGTTGAAAAGTCTAAAAACCGAGACGAACTGCTATCACGAAGAAATCAATACAATCGATTTATAATCAATGCGACCGTATTCTTGTTCGGACTCATTTGCCTTCTGGCATACACCGAAGTCAGCGAGTATATTGTGACCTATGATAGATCCGAGGGTCTGGGACTCTTCTTCGCAATGTCCGTCGGTCTGCACTGTGCCATCGTGAAAGATATCGCCATTGTGGTCATCCTCATTTTCTACAAAACTCCTCGAGCACTGGCCGCTGTTCGAAACGCTTCGGTACTATACTATACACTTTTCTAGGCAATAAAATTGAAATTTCCAGAAATACTCTCCAATAATCGTCGTGATAGTCACAATTATTGTGGCGTGCACCGGCGAGAACGGTACAAATATGGATATCTTAAAATGTGTAGCTCCCATGTTTTTCTTCAGTACGTACACAATTTTAGGTGCCTCGAAAAATATCGTTTCTTTCAGTCACCGTCATCCAGTACCTGTTCGTCGTGGTGTTCTTGAAGAATTCTGAAATCGTCGAAGATCGCGTGAAGCTCGCCAATGACGATGATAATTTTGTCTGACAATTTAGTTGAACTGCTTAATAAATCTTCACATTTCATCGAATTCTCCATGAAATTTATTCAAAGACAAAAAAGTTCCTACTGAAAAAGGAAGCCAAAAAGTTTCAACATACTGCAAACTAAGAGGATATGGATGTCAATCGACTCGGAATTTGCTTCTGAATTCGAATTTAAGCATTTTTTAGGTGACCACCCATGAAAAAATTTGAAAATTGGAACATCAAAGACTCTACATTCTTTAAGATTATGTTGTATTTTATTTTTTGTGAGTTATTTAAGACTGGATTTAAAAGGAAACAAGTGTTTTTCAGCCGGTTGGACCAGTGATTTCATATAGATTTTTCTGCAGTTTCCGACAATTGACTGGCTCCGAACCGTCTGTGTACTATGCATTATTTTTGTTAATTCCAATCTTCTATATTTATCACATTTCTTGTTTAGTTTACTTTTGTTTGTCCTGAATTGACGGCTCGCACTTTGCTTTTAATGATTTCAATGATTTTCTTACTATTAGCTTAAAACTGGTCAATTTTCGACTGAAATTGGTGCCAATCGGTCCCTCACAGATATCGCATTCGCAATTTATGCACATATAAAGCGTGTGAGCACCACGGGACATTAGAAAAAATGTGGTTTTTGAACGATAAATTCTGTCAATTTTATCACCCCGATCAGCGCGACGATTCCGACGGGAAAGGGACCGTTTTGACAAGTGGAAGAAAATGCGAAAAATTATGAAAGAACAGTGCTGAAAAATCGTTGCGAAACTGAAGTTTTCGTTTTCGTGGCGAGACCCACAATGACTCACGGCGTTGGCAAAAAGTTCTGAAATTCGAATTCCGCTCAAAAACTACCATTTTTTGCAGAGGACTTGTAGGGGCAGAGTAAATATTTCTGTTTTTTTCGGAAAAAAACGGTTTCCCTTTGAGGCGAATTCACAATGCAGCGCACTTGCAACATGCGAGCACAATTACGATCGTAAATTCGAATTGAAGTATTTGGTCTCCTGATTTTGAGGTTTGGGATTTTTCGAAATGTAAGTAGCGGCGAGAAAACAGAACTAATCGAGAATAATTGCAGAATACGTGTTTTTCGCAAAACACTTCCAACCGGCGAGTAGGGTTGGCAACGGGGCGCCCCTTCGCCCCCGCCCGCAGCCGGGCCCTTAAGGTGTAATTAAAATTCTGAAAAAAATTTAGTAGATTAAGGAGTTTATTCACTATCGACGTGCGTTGAGAAAATTTTTAAAAAAATTCCTGCTCGGTTTTGGAAAAACCGGTCGGGGGCAAGGGGGCGCCCCGCTGCCAACCCTAAATGCGAGGCGTCCGTTCCCGAACGAAATGCTCGCGGGACTCACCACCTCGTTCCGCATTGCCTTTTCGATCTGTCGTCACTTCGTTTCTCTCCCTTTTCGTTATTATTCTTCATTACATCGCGTCCATTGATGACCTGGAGAACGAGGCGATCGGAGCAATCTTCTTCGTGCTGATTATTTTGAAGCAGTTCGCCGTCGTCGTTGCAATCTGCGAACAAGGGGATAAAACGACGCGAACCATTTGTTTCTTTGTCGTACGTTTTTTAGAATAGAAATTCTGTCAATTTCGACATTTTTTCAGTATGAAAGTGTTCCTCTGTGAAGGATTTTGAGAAATGCTGTAGCTTTCAGTTTGCGGCCATAACCGTCACGATTCTCAAAATCACTGTGGATATCTCAGAAAATTAAGGAAGACAGAAATCGCGTGCACTTCATGTCTTTATAATTATCTGAGAGATTGGTGAGAATTGCGATTTTTAGTTCTAAACATAAGAATCGATTTTTTAGCCAGGGTTGCCGAGAGTTTCGTCCTGGAGGAGATGTACATCGTGATGCGAGAGATGCACCAATTTCAGCGTGAATCTGATGTTTAATCGATTTGTTTCAAAAACTAATGTTCTCTTGTAGTATATTTATAAGCTTGTCAAATAGGTGAGTGCTGGAAAGTTGGTGAAATTATGCGGAAAAAATGATGAGCGGCAAAGTTTTACATTCCTCGACAAAGTGACGAATCGCTCGGATTTGTTGGAAATCAGTTCGTGAGTGAAGAATTGCATAATTGTCACTGCAAATTATCTCCTTTTTTGGTGTGGCCTAAAAAACTATTCTAACCGAATTCCCCGACTGTGAAGCAAATGAGCTGACGGTTCCAATCGAGTTCCCCATCGTAATTCAGCATTTTCAGAACGATTCTCGACAGGAAGAGGCTTGTGAAAAAGAGTGTGACTTGCTGGAATAGGAAAAATATCTTCACTCATGAGTCATGACTCACCACGAAACATTTGATGAATTCAATTTCTTCCTCGACCATTTCATAAAGTCTGGCAATAATTCCAAGTTCCTTGATCATCATCAATGCCAGTATGAGTTCTCCAGATAATTATTCTTTTCCTCACCGAAAAATCGATGATTTTCCAGGTAGAGCATACATTTTCCAATTGCCAACGTGGCAGTGATGACCCAAATGAGAGTGTTCACATAGCCCAAGGTCGACAGATCGTTCAGCATTTGCTTTGGGAACGGTATGTCGCATTGTTTTTTGAGAGCTTTGAAGGATAGGAACTGGAGACGCATTGCCGAATGATCGAATTGGTAGAAAACTGTTGAAAATTGAAGGAAAAGTCATAAACGTCATATGCTTTATTGATAATTGTTAGGTACTGTGTGATGAATTGATGAGCAACAGAGTGAGAAAAATAATGAATAACAGAAGTATAGTATAGTTAAGACTGAGCAACATTTAAAATGGAGACAAAGGGAGGTCAGAACGGATAAGGTATCGGAATTCGCTACAATTTTTTAAAGGGCTTTCTTAGTGTCTAATCAATTTGTGAAGTTTAGGCGACACGCTAATTTTTGTTCTCAAAATATTCAAATTTTAGTTCATTCCCACTACTGATAACTTTAAAGCGATCAGCGGTTAAGAAAGGATCTAGGAGCTCTCACTAGCTTTGTTTCAGTTCAGGGGAAAACAATATTTTTGAACAATTAGAAATTCTTTCACAGTTGGGCCTATGCGTATCGGGCTCTCTGCCGCAACATCCGAATCGCATGCGACAGAGACATTTTGTAGATGGAGCACACTGAAAAATATAAGTTTAATTTAAAAAAAAATCTTCCTCGTCCAATTCATACCATAGCAGTAATAGATTGTGACACAGAATTGCGCGAAATTCATCGGGAAGCCAGTCTCCTCATCTTCGAGCATCGTCATCCAAATGCCGACCATAATAGGCAAGTAGACAGTGTACTGAAATGTAACAAAATTTCTTTGAAAAAATAGAGCTTAGATTTTCCTTACCGGAGCGTAGTAGAGCATTTTGAAGAGGTGCATGTTTCGGGTGTTACGGATCAGAAAGGCAACGAGCATGACACACATTGAAATGATTTGGAAAACTCGGTGGAAGGGCACCGGAGCGGATAGGCAGCAGCCGAGAACGGCGAGAAAATTGAGGGCGCCGGCGAGTTCGGAGCGCTGATCCGCCATTACGAAACTGTAAAATGATAGAGGATGCGAGAGGGTGTCAGGACAGAACACAGAAACAAAACATAAATGTTTTGTTACAATCTCTTTCTGCTCTGTTTATTTATTTACACAGTTAGGGATACGAACAGGAAAAGTTAGCGTATATCATTTCTACTTCAGTTAGCATAGTCTAATGTAACACTGGATATTTTTAGATCTTTCCTAAGTATGTCCATAAGAATTTCTTAATATTTCTAGAAATCTGCTTGTACTGTAAATTTGCCTAGAAAACCTTACTAGAACATAGTCTTGAATAGTGTTGTAAGAAACGTACTCATTTCGAATTTGTTCGATTCTCATTCTTTGTCTCTGCTCCAACGCCTCGATTTTCGCCTTGAGCGCAGAGTTGAGGATGTAGGCTGCTGAACATTTTAATTTAAGGAAATCTAAAAAAGAACCAAAAATCTCTAACCATAAGAATAAATGGTACAAATGATGAGGTGCAAAACTGTGTACGCAAAATGCTTGTCGACGTTTTCGTACTCCGTCTTACGGTACACGTTGAGCAATGCTGGCACGAAGATTAGGCGCTGAAAAAAGTAAATAAAAAAACATTGCTTACTAGGGAAGTGCGTTAAGTAAGACATATCTGCAAAGAATCGGGGTAGTACTGACAACGTCAAACTGATTTTTTTCAGACTTCTCTAGTTAGATAACAAAAAAACTCACTCCAATATCGCGAAACAACGTGAGAAGACGGGCACTTTGCGAGTTGTCGAGGTGGTAGGAAGTGAAGTTGAGGAAGATTCCGATGATGCCCAAGTACAAAGATTCCGGCGAGTATACGGACAGACATATTCCAGTGAGCGCGAGGTAGTGGACCGTTTCGCTGCTCTCCGCGTCCATGATGCGAACCGAATGACGGACTGCGCGGTGGATTGGGAGATGATGGAGAAGACGCAGACATCGGAACGGAAGTGGTAAACAAGCCGCTCCCCCCGCCAGACGGCTTTGGAACTGTGCGACGGCTTCTGGAGCAAGCAAGTCGGTTCGTAAGTCACTGATAGCTTTATGGCTTCTGCGCAAAAGTACAAAGCGAAGGGTGCCATATGTTCTGACTGCGGATCGGGTTTCAGCTTCGAGTTACTGTAGGCGCTCAAATGTACCTTTTGGGCGGATAGAACTCTAATAGTAAGAACAACGATTTATTTATTGACGTGAAAAATAGCGGTGTGAATTCTAATCTCTTCCTTCCGCATCATTCGGCCCCATTATTCGAATTTCCCACTACAGTACCCTCGCAATTCTGGTTTCCCCCACTTTGCACTTTGCTCTCCCAACCCCATTCCATTATGCCCTCGTATCACCCTGCCTAAACACAAAGTGTACTTTATGGGGCTGTGAGGGCGCCGGGCCCGCTCCGAAGGGGAGTACGATTCGAAACCGAAGGACGGCCGGCTTGTCAACATCTCCCGCTTTTCGCTTTTTTGTCTGGCCACGCCCCTGACGTTTCGTGTCACGAGAATGGGAAAAGAAGAAGGCATTCATTCCACACTCTCGCCCTCATTTCTCCCGGTTCCGCTCTTTGCGCCTTGTGGGATAGTCAGGCTACGTACTGAAACAGACACTTTTGGGTTCCTAGGCCGCCACTGGAGAAGCAAGGCCACAGTAGGATGTGGCATGAAATCGCAAAGCCCGGTGTCTAACAGGAAACAGTGCTTGCATTGGTTTCTTCAAGTTCTGAGACATCGTATAGCATTTCTAGACAACCATTCCTATTAGAACCTCGGCCATGCCTTAGAAAAACTAGGCCACATACTGAAAGCATAGTATCTCGAACATTCCGTTCATTTCCAGCTGAGTCAGAAACGCCTCTCCGTCTCTTTGTCCCTCGTCGCATTTTCGATGAAAACAAAACATTTTTCCATTTGCCTCATTCCTTTCATCTCCTCGTGACTGCTCCTGACAACAAACGAAACGTTTCGAACCTGTTTACAGGCTTCTAGGCCACTGGAAATTTCTTTATTTTCATGTTCTCCTTGTTTTTCTTGGGACTATCTTCACACTTTCTCATTCTTTCCATTTTCAGGTAGTTAAATGACAGCTATCAAGACTTCGACTAACGAAAAAGTGCTCCCAAGTCCAAGCCAGCACCCGTACATGGCCGCCTTTGTCACTCCGATGCTCATCTCAATGGACGGGCCGCTGACCGGCGCCGAACTGGACACTCAGCTTGGCGCGCACGGGCTCCTCGACGGCTGCCCGTCCCTTCGCATCACGCCCGTTCCGACCAAGACCTCCGACGGCCGTCAGATCATCTACGACGAGCGCGGCGTGACTGTCGTCTCCAAATTCCGCAAGTTTCTCGGCTCGAGTATCTCTATCGGATCGATGGGCGTGTGCCTGTGGATGATTCTGACGAAGAGAGGACTGCTCATGGATGAACTCGCCATCATCGCCAACGTCTTGATGCTCACCGTCGCGTTCAGTCGCAAACCCTTCTCGCTTCGCATCTTCTCGTTCATTGCGGTTAGTTCCGCGAAAGATCGCAGTCTTTTTTAGAGTGATCACAACCTCATAAAGATAGTGTGAAGCGAAGTTCTCTCATTTTAGTAGGTGGCTGGCCTGATACAGGTTGGGGGTAAATAGCTCAAATGACAGACGGAATGAGTTGAGAATGGGGTACTGTAATCAAAACCGGGGTGCATAAAGTTAGCCTTTCTGCAAAAGTTTGGCGATCTAGGCCATCTAATTTGTTTTGTTTTCAGTTCGTCAACGAGCTGGTCCACGCGATGGAGCTCGTGTTCCAGATCGTCCGTCTCTTCCCGTACGCTTCTGTTCCCGAGAACGTGAGCTACAACGACGAGCTCATCGCGATGATGATCGAGCGAGCCTTCATCTCGTTCGTCCACTTCATCCGTGAGTTTTCCTAGCCTATGCAATTTCTATTCGCTCCCGTTGTTTCAGTGGCCTCCCTGTGCTTCATGCTGATCCTCGACGCCTTCAACAACGTCGTCGACGCCCGCAGCATCGAGCGTCGCATCAAGAACACCGGCAAGAGAGCGCAGATTGTCTAAACTCTGCATTCTTCGAAAAAATAATCGTTGCTCGAGACCCCTTTATGGTCCTTGATGCCTTCTCGTGTTAATAAATAATTGTCTTACTGTGTGTTATGAAATTGTTCTTGAATTTGTATTATTAATCATTTATATCTGCTAATTTACTGATGTTTTCATTAAGTCTAGACATGTTTGAGGTCATTTAGCTTCTAGACCGTCAAGGTGTATTATATGTTTTTTCAGATGTTGATTAATTCAATCAATGATGATTTTCATCTTGAAAAATGCGACAGCGAATTTTCAAAACCCCAAAATACGCGGGTGAAATTTGCAATTCGTAATAGTATTAGGTGGACAGTGGAGTCGCCGATAGGTTTTGTCATCGGTGATGTCAGACTGATAACGGACTGCACGGAAAGTACAGTGGCTCCGAGAGAGCAAACTCAACAATTTCGGGCGGAAATTAGTAGTGGTTGAGCGAAAAAAAAGATAAGAAAAAGGGATTTTATCATCATCTTTCGCCCTCATTCTCTTCTCCCGTTTCTGCCGAAAATGAGGCTCATTTTGGGCCTGTGGGCCTTGGGCCTAAGCCTGAGCCCGAGTTCAGCTGCCCCGGCTCCGAATGCTCTTGGTAGGCTACCGTACTCATGAAGGTGTAAAGCATTTTAGCATTTACAGAGAAAAGTCTAGAACTAGATCTGGAAACTGTGCAATTCAACCATCCAACCATTCTTCCAGAGCATCCGGACAACTTTAGACAGGATAAAATTAAGGCGAGGTGAGTGAGGCCTAGAAATAGGCCAATATTACAAACAGCTTTTTTGTACAGAGCCCGTCAGCAAGAGTACGTGACGAAAGAACGCCTTCCGCCGAATCTGTACGCGCTCTACTACAATCTTTGGTTCAAACCGTACTTTCCGAGTCCCGGAATTCAATATGAACCAGGTAAAATAATCGTAAAAGTTTTTACGATTTCTGACGCAAAACTCTGCGGAAATTACCACAGAAAATTGGCAAAACGTGTTTCAATTGCAGAAAAGAATTTCACGTTCGACGCCAGTGTCAATTTGGAAGTGGAGGCCCTCGTGAACACGGACCGATTCATTTTGAATGCGTACAATTTCAAAATTCAAACTGTTATCGTCACTGATATCAGTTCCAATGTAATTCCCATCATTTCCATGTGTAGGTTAAGTTTTAGGAAAAACGACAATGATTCAAAAAACATTTGCAGCCCAAGACGACGCGAAACAACAACTATCGCTGATCACGAATCCGAATACAATTGTGAGCGGAAACATTTACAATATCGAAATCATCTACAGTGGAATCATAAATCCGTATCAAGATGGAGGTGTTTATTACACTTCCTACAATGATCCGCAAGGCGCCACACAGTGAGATATACTTTTCTCAACAAAAAATACGAAAAAACAAAAAATTTCAGCTATATGATTGCCACGCACATGGAGCCATTTTCGGCCCGAAAAGTGTTCCCTAGCCTTGATGAGCCTTCTTATAAAGCTGTAAATTTGATTTTAAAAAATTCAAATAAACTCTAATAATGTACTTTTTTTTCCAGAGATTCGTTATAACTCTTCAATATCCAACCTCGCAGGTGGCACTTTCCAACATGATGGAGCCGACCGCCACTGATGTCGGGTTAGTTTACACTTGTTAGGCCCCCAAAAAATTGAGGGTAATCTTGATGTCTAGTACTTGCTTTTTTTAGTTGATCACTTTTTTCAAGGGCCACTTCCTGGGGTACTGTAGCTCTTGGAAGTTGGGATTGAAATTGTAAGGCTCTGAACCAATCCCAACTTCCAAGAGCTACAGTACCCCAGGAAGTGATCGTAGAAAAAAGTTGTCAACTACAAAAATCAAGTACTAGACATCAAGAATAGCCTCAAAGTTGTTTAGACCCCTATGATTAGCCTAAAGCTGTACTTTTCAGAGCCGGTTGGAGTGAGCTGAAGTTCGACCAAACTCCTCAAATGTCCACGTATTTGATTGCGTTCGCGGTGGGACCCTACGTCTCCTCAAGCTATATCAATCAACATCAGACTTTGGTAACTTGATATTTTCGAAAATCGTTATAATATCTTCAAATTTCCAGACACGAGCCTGGGGCTGGCCGGGAACCGAACAATATCTGCAATTTGCCGCCGAAAACGCGGGGCAATGTCTTTATCAGCTGGGAGAATATACCGGAATCAAGTTCCCGTTGGCCAAAGCAGGTACATGAATGAACTACAGTATCTGGTGCCTACCGTAAGCCGAGATTGTAGATCAACTTGGAATGCCGGAATTCTTAGCGGGAGCTATGGAAAATTGGGGTCTCATCATCTACAAATATCAGTACATTGCCTATAATCCTACGGTAGCGCAATTAGGTGTGAAAAATGTAAAACAAAATTGTTTCTTTAGACAATGACGACTCGAGACATGGAAGCGGCGGCGAAAGTGATGTGCCATGAGCTCGCGCATCAGGTACAGTAACCCCAAAACATGATTAATTCTTCAAGTTTTTGTTTCCAGTGGTTCGGAGACCTGGTGACCACTGCCTGGTGGGACGATCTCTTCCTGAACGAGGGCTTCGCCGACTACTTCATGACGTTCATCCAAAAGTTTGTGTACACCGAACAGAACACGTATCTGGACACCCTGCAAGTGCTGAACGAACTCCAGACGGGCCTCAACGCGGACGTTCGCTCGGACGCCCATCCGTTGGTTTATCCGGACGGACCGGCCTTCGACGACATCACCTATCAAAAAGGAGCTTCAATGCTCCGAATGTTGTCGGACGTGCTCGGACCTACCGTATTCCAAACTGGCATCAGGAATTATTTGCACAACAAAGAGTACAGCAACGCGCGGGATATCGACTTATTGACCGCGTTGACTGATGTAAGGCAGTGTCTCAGGAGACGTCGGGGGGCGTTTTTTTTTTGAAAACTTGATGCCTAGTACTTCATTTTTGTAGTCGACTACTCTTTTATCATGTACTATCATGTACGTAGCTCTTGGAAATTCAGTACCAACTTGCAAACACTACACTACTCCAAGAAGTACGAAGACCTTGTCCTTACAAAATTACAAAATTTTACAACGTTCAACTTTCAGGTGGCGAAACAGTCGAACGTGTTTGATTGGTGTGGCAACCCGTTGAACGTGACCGACTTTATGCAGCCGTACCTCCATCAGACGAACCATCCACTCATCAGATATACGAATAACCGAAAGATCGGGTCGGTCGCTTCTTTCACACAAGAGCCTTTCGGAAGCACCGACAACCTGAACGCGACCGTCTGGAACTACAAATGGACGATTCCGTTGAGCACTTCGAACCTCCGACACCCCGATCCTTTCCACCAGTGGCTTCCGATTGACGGAGCGAGTTGTCCGAATGCTGATGAGAAAGTGGAGAAACCGAAGGCGAAGGCGATCCAATGGGAGTACACCTCAATTTACTCGGCTACCTATGGAAGGTGAGTTCAGAGGAAAACATTTCCAGGAGGAGAAGATTCTTTGTATTTCAGAATAATCTACGACGACGTTGGCTTTGATCGAATTCTGAAAACCATCAAACAGGATGATATTGCCGACAATCTAAAGTTGACACTTTTGGCCGATGAGTATTATTACTTGAAGTGAGTCAATTAGACCAGCACACTGAAAATTCGTAACCTTTAAAAAAAAAACTTTCAGCCGCGAAAGAAACGCGAATCGTCCGTTCTCCTACGATCGTTTTCTGAATTTGGCCAACGCCATCTTCAACACCCCCTCTTTTACTAATTACCCGAGCTACTCGGTGTTCGCCCAAGCACAACCGGTTTTGGAGGAAATTGCCAAGTACTACCGCGATGGAATCGACGCGGAACTGATTACGGTAGACATTTTGGCTATTCTATGAATGGTCAATATCGAAACCCGATTCAGAGACTCTACAAGCAATTCTTTGGAAACGCCTACGCCCAGTTGCAGTGGCAGAATACCGATTTGTGGAATACTGAGTCAGTTTCAAGTTAGAACAACAACAACAAAAACAGGTCAACGTTTCCTACAGCACATTCGCCGAGGTGTTTCTGCCGTTCGCAGTCCGCTACGATATTGGAGATGTGCAAAATCGTACGCTCACAATGTTTGCAAATGTGAAGTCGGCGTGTGGAGACAGTTTGAACGGAACCGCCTGGTGCAATCCGTGAGTTTGACCTGGAAATGACCTAGATTCTATATTCAACGTTAAATTCGTCCAGATACCCGACGAACGTGCGTAAAGCCATCTACTGTGGAGCGGCAAAATACGCACCCGTAACTTCCGACTTCTTCTTCCAAATGCTGCACTCCTACAACAAGGAAGTGATCACGAATCCGTATTTCTACCAGGAGTACATGTCGCTCCTCGAGGGAATGAGTTGTACTCAGCAGCCGGCCACTTTGAAGACGTTGATCCGACTCTTCACCACTTCCACACTCAATCCGAGCACTCTTTTCGGATTCCTGAAGTACAATCCGGTCGCGTCGGACGCCCTTTACAATTATTTGGTCGCCAATCCTCAGGTACCGTAATACGTGGACACTTTTTTTGAGAAAATAAGTGTTCAGCTGATAAACTCCTCGTCAATCAGCGCTTACCTGGATGCGATGACCTACAATTGGGATAGTTACAATCGTAACGCGCAATTTGCCACGTTGATGAGTGTGCTCAAATTGAACGATGCACAATTTTCCGTTTTCGAGTCTTATATGGAAAGGGTCAACTCGCAGGTGAGTTTGCTACCGTAATCCTTTCTGATTTTGTTTTCAGTGGCAATACCGTAATACGTACGGGATCAAGATTCTTCAATGGTTCTATGATAATTTGGTTGTCATCGGAAAGACTCCATGGGAGAAGGCGTGAGTTTATTTGACCTGGGAGATTTTACTCGTTTTAGACTAAAGGAGACATTAACTATCCGGTGTACCGACTTTCCCTAAACCCGTACATCCCAGGATCCGCCAACTACATCTGGTACCTCAATATGACGTTCGGAGCCGGTCTAGAGGTATTTTATTTAAAAAAATAAAAATAAAAAAAATAAAATAAAAAAATAAGAAAAAAATAAAAAAATATTCCTTTAAAATATTCATAAAAAGTACTCGCCACAGATCGATTTCAATATCATCGTGCCGACGAGCGTCATCACAATCAACGCGCACCGTCTCAGTTTCGACGTGACCGACGTGGTGCTGTGGGCGATGAATGACGACGGATCGCAGACGCCGATCCCGCTGGACGTGGCCAACATCCGAAAGGATTACGATCGAGGACTCGTCTACCTGCCGACCGCCAACAATACGGTTTTGTATCCGAACAAGTACTCGCTTTTCTGGGACTATCAGGGATTCATCTTCCAAAATCCGAGCGACGGAGACTCGTCGAACACGTACTTCGGAGGGTTGAATGGACGGAAAGGGTGAGTGGTGTTTCTCTGCAACTTTTGTGCATTGTGCCAGCTGAAGTTGCGTTTAAAATCCTAGACCACAATTTTCTATATATTTTTCAGCTGGATTTTCACCACGGACTTTGAAGGAGGCCCGGGCGCTCGTTCCCTGCTTCCGTGCTGGGACGAGCCCACATACAAAGGTCAATTCGTTGTCACTGTAACTCATTCTACGGACATGATCGCGCTGTCGAACGCAAAAGAGAAGGAGACGGCGATCTACGATAACGGATGGAGTTACACCACTTTCGACACCACCGAGAGAATGGTACCAAACTTTTTTCGTTTTTTTTTTTGCAAATCCGATTCATTTTCAGTCCACGTACCTGCTCGCCATTTGTGTTGGACATTTCTCGAATCTGGCCAAGGTTTCCAATATGGGAGTGCTCACGAGGCTCTGGACGTGGTCCGGAATGGAACAATACGGAGAGTTGGCGCTGAATGTGACCGTCGGAACGCTGGAGTTTATGAGCACTTATATGAGCTACAATTATCCGCTCCTGAAACTTGGTAAGTAGAGAAACCCAAATAAAGTCTATTTAGGACAACGTATCTCAGCTTTCTGTAGAGATATCAAAACGTGGTCAACTAGTAAATTGTGCACAATGTCTTTCTAAATATTTTATCAGTTGACAACTTTGTGATATCTCTTCAGATGGCTGAAATATATTATCACGTATGAACAATGCTCACGGCCACTTTTCAGACGTGATGGCCCTTCCACAGTACACCCAAAACGCGGGCGCCATGGAGAACTACGGCCTGATCATTGGCGAATACTCGCTCTTCATGTACGACCCCGACTACGCGACCACTTTGGACATTACCGAAGTGGCGGAGACTGCCGCCCACGAGGTCGTCCATCAGTGGTTCGGAGATACTGTAACCCTGGACTGGTGGAACGACATCTTCCTGAACGAGGGATTCGCGCAGTTCTGGTTCGCCAACGGCATCAATTACACATATCCGGAGCAGGAGGGTTACGCTATTGTGAGTTTTTGGAGCAAGAATTGGTCCATTCAAGCCGGTGTATCTCAGCTGCCGGTAGTGATATCAAAAACTACTAAAATGTACGCAATGCCTTTCTGCATATTTTATTAGTCGACAACTTTTTGATATCCCCACAGGCAACTGAGATACACCGTCTTGAATAGACAATGTTCTGAAAAACCCTTATCATGCTCATGTCAAAACTCTCCGAGTTCCCCTTTCAGGACTACAACCGTTTCTACATTAACCACATCGCTCTCCTGTTCGATTGCATCCCCGGATACGCGAAACCAGTCATCTCCGACACACCGCCCGTCTTCGGAGTCGAGCCCTACTACAAGGGAAGTGCTCTTCTGAACCTGCTGAACAACGTGCTCACTCCGCCGGTCTTCCAAGCCGGTCTAATCAACTACCTGACCACTTATGGCTTCGAGAATGCCAGTCCCCAACAGTTGTGGGCTGCTTTGAGTCAGGTAAGTCAAAAAAAAAATTAAGAATTGGCGTGTAAAATATTTATAACATTGGAGAGCGTGAAAAGTTACACAAAAGACTAGTAGATCATTTTTCTCAACAATCACCTTTAAGGCCAGATTTGAGGCCTCAACGTAATTCTCTATTCTAACTAAGTGTTTCGTCGTTTTCTCGTCGCCCTACACATAAAACGCGTGGCATGCATGCATTATGCGAACACCGTGGAGAAACCGTGGAGGTGCATGCATATAGCATCCATTATGGATCCACAGCGCACAGAAACGGGAATATGCTTCGCGCGTGCATGAAATGTGCGTGACTGTCCTCTAATCGCGCGTGGAAGGAATATGCTTTATCAGTTGGAGCGGCTGTCGCTGTTCGCCGTTGGCCGTGGATGCATTATGGAAGCATAATGCCAACCGCGCCAACGGAAACGGCTGATTTGCTGCTATTGCAAGCAAGACGGATTCGTCGCCCGTGGATCGCGCGTAGAGGGAATATGCAAGGGAAGATGAAGAAGAACTCATGCCCCGTCCACATATTCTTGTTTCTAATTTCATCGGGTTTTCACTGTTTTTTCCACATTTTCATCTGCTTTTCTTCGCTTTCAGGTAATTTTTCCTCTAATTGTAATAGTTTTAACTTCAAATTATTAAGAGCGCCACGAAATTCCGTCTGTGAGCCCAGAGAACATGAAGCGACTCAATGAAAAATTCCGGTCGAATGCAACGGCCAATCGGCAAGAGAAGTTGGGAGGACAGGCGGCAAAGTGCAAGAGTAAGTATTTTCGAAGACCATTTCAACACACTTCAATTGCGCTTTTCAGGTGATCGCCGAAAATCAACGGAAACTCGAGAATAGCGAGAGAAACGCCGACATGAACGACGAGCGATGCGCCAACTGGAACACGGAACGGAACATCGACCGGATCGCCGACTGGAGAAACAACTGGAGAACCGAACGGATCGCGGACTGGAGAAATAACTGGAGAACCGAACGGAACGCTAACTGGAGCGTCGACAGGAAGGCTGACCGAAGCGCCAACTGGAGCACCGTGCGGAACGCCGACAAGTGAGGTGATCACTTCTGCTGCTTCCTCAGACAAATCAATTCGAATCTAATTAGAACAAATTTGGTGAAACCACGTCAAATGGGGTTATTCAGGCTGTGAAAAAATGCTTTTTTTTCGTTTTTTCGGTTTTCTTACGTCAAAAAACCAAATTCAGCGGTGTAAAAAAACGAAAAAAAAACGGAAAACAAACATAAGCTGAATAGCCCCATAATTAGATGATTTTAGTTTCTAACGCAATCTCTTTAAATTCGCAAAGTTTATAATTAAATTCGAATTGATTTGTCTGAGTCCGTCGTTCTGATAATTTTTCCTCGCATAACCTATTCTATTCTTTTTTTGATGTAATTTTACATGAAATTGTTCTCTAATCAGTCTTTTTGTGTGGGAAATGAAGGGAAGCGGGGCGAGGAGGGGAGAGGAGCGGAGGGCGAGCGTCGCTCCGCCATGCCTCCACAATGCTTGCACGTGCCACAAACGTGCGTTTGCTGTGCATGCGTTTACCGTACTAATAAGTTGCACTCGCGATCCACATTAATAGGCATAATGCATGCATCGCGTTTCAACTGTGTAGTGAATACTGATTGAACTAGACCTTACCACAAATAGCTCCAAATTGATTTGGAGCTAACACCGCCAGAATTTAGCCATCTATCCAATCAGTTTTAATTGTTTAGTGACAGGCCTCGTTTAAAAACGTTTTCAGTCGGCCGCCTTCTACAATGTGACCGATTGGAACGGTCAGCCAATTGACGTGGCTTCGTTCATGGATCCGTACACTCTGCAGACTTCCTATCCGATCATCACTTTGTCGTTGCGGGGAACTTCCACTGTGCAGGCCGTCCAACAGTCGTGCATGGGAGGAGATACGCTCTGGAATGTGCCGCTGTTCACGCAGACTCAGGACGCAACAAGTACCGATAATTTGGAGAATAGTTTAGGGTAAACGTTTTGTTTAATTGAAGCTTTCAACTGGTTCATCAACTCTACCGGGGGTAATGATGCCACTTGGCTCCGCCCACTTCCGACGCCGTATCGAGTCGACAATACTGGCAGCTCGGTGAGTTCGGACTTCTAAAAAGGCTGGTTAATTTTTTAAACTTTCAGAGCTTTGCCCGTATAAACTACGACGACAAATCGTGGTACAGTATCCAATCGCAACTTCTTAACAACATGAACTCCCTGTCAGCAACCACAAGAGCCATGCTTCTCGACGACGCCAACTTTTTCTACGAGTACGTTTTTTCCTCCAACTTCTTCTGGCGGCTTCATGAACTTCCATTCACAGATACGAAACGTGGAGCCTCACGAAGTACCTCGACCTGACGCTGTACCTGGTGAACGAGGATTCGTTGGCCCCCTGGGAGCAGGCCGTCCAATTCTTCACCGAACTTCTCAATCGCTTCCAATATCAGACCGATCTGGCCACTGTCCAGAACTACGTGATTCAGCTGACGAAGAACGCGTTCAACAAGTTTCAGTTTAACACCAACGGCATCTGGACCAACGAGTGAGTGGGCTTAAGGCTGAAATAGGCTGAAAACTGAATGCTTTCAGTCGAATCGTTCAACTCCTGGTCAATGTGAACCAATTGGCTGCCAATAGACAATCGAGACAAGTCGCGCAGGCTCTCTTCAACAATTTTGTCCTCAAGTGCAAATATTCTCAGTCTGGAACTGGAAAATGTTCAGGGTTCGTTTCACCTAGGTGACCTAGCTTTTACCATTTTCAACTTTTCCTTCCAGAATCCACCCGAACATCCGCTCCTCCACCTACTGTTACGGTCTTCTGCAAAGCCAAGAACTGAATGATTTCCAAACAGTTGACGATCTCTATCAGTGGTCGGCTCAGTATGCGGGAATCCTCCAAACCGACGGTCCCCGACTTCTCAACGCCCTCGGATGCTTCCAGAATTCGACAATACTGAAGCAGTTAGTGGGGAAATCGTTTTGGGCGTCAAAATTTTGCCAAAACTATATTTCTTTGCAGAAAACTCGATCAAGTGATGATCGGCGACTATCCGCCGTCTCTTCTGACCTCAATTGCGCAACGCGATCAGACTGGCCTTTTGCTTTTCCAATATCTCACGGATAACACTCAAAATGTGCGAATCTCTAAAAAATTTAAGGCAAACAACTCTTTTTTTTTTACAGATTCTGTTTGCTCCGTTTGATTTTTCGGTCTACGTCAGAGCTCTCTTCACCAACTGGAGCACTGACATTCAATTGAATATGGTAGAGTTTTGGTGTAACTTTTTGCAAATTTATTATTCAGGCCAACAACTTTACACTCACAACAAACTGGCAAATGTTGAATGAGGCTCAACAGAAGACGTACCAGAGCGGGATGGCCGGAATTCAGAGTAATATAAATTGGATGAAGGCGAATCACGATACGCTCGTCAATTGGATTCAGAACAACTTTGGAGCAGCCAATTGAGAAAAAAAGTAGAGAAATTGAAGGAATTGTTGTGTAATTATGAGCTGATGTTGTTGTAAATTAATAAAAAAGTAAAGGCAGGTACCGTAACCTAAAGCGAAGTCTCTCCGAGCTCCGGATGTTGACGAATCACCGGCACCTCTTCCTCCTCCAACTCGATCTTCAACTCCTTGATTGTCAGGCGCAGGATGTACGATTTGAAGAGGAACACTACAAAAGCATCTTCCGTACGCCGAGCCTACAGTACCACCCACTTACCCCAGAAATAGATGACGGTGAAGGCAAAAATGGTGACAAAGTCTCTGAATGTCAGTGTTCGCGACAGTTTCTCTCGGTTGTACAGTGCGCCGATGATGATCGAGAAGAAGAAGATGACGAAGCCGATCTCAAAAATGAACCTTGATTTGCCCTAGTTTCTCCAATAGCCTTACCGAATTGTACATGGCCATATGGAGCATCGGAACAAAGCGCACGTTTGCGAAAATCGCGGTGCACAACATAATGGCGATTGTGGAGCCGATGACGGCTAGCTTCACTATTTTGAGAAGTTGATCGTCGGGACAGGCGAGCACTCCGATGATCGGTAGAAAGATCGAGATGAAGAAACAGTAGTAGATGAGCAGAGATCGGGGAGAAAATCCGTAGATGGTGGGCAGACGGCGCGGCGGAAGCGGAAGAATCGGATCGTTCGGATGGCGGAAGTAGACGCGGATGGGCTCGTTGGGATTCATAGCTGGTCTGGAAGTTGAACAATGTGTTTATGAAGTGGTAATGGAAAGTAGGAATGCGCTACTACAGTCTATCCTCTTCTTTGTAGTGAAAAAAGTACGTGCACCTGTGCAGTTTCCATTAAAAAATGAAATGAAACTGAATGTAATGGAATGCTAATTGAATTGAAAACGCAATCCCGAAAAAAGAACAGCACCAGCTGCGACGCTCTTTTGGAAAACGACACCTGTCACAGTGATCAACCAGAAAAACTTCAGGGAAATGCATTTCGAAGATTCCGAGGTTCCAGTGGGTTCCATTGTGTTTTTTGGCATCTATAGTATCAGCAGAATCAATTTGAAGCAGAATTGGCCGAAAAAATTTTTCAAGCCATTTTGCCAATGTATGCGAAAAAGTTTAATTTCCCGCAAAAAATGTTTCGCCTACTTTTGCTTCTAAATGATTCTACTGTTACTGTAGATGCCAAAAAACATAATGGGACCCACTAGAACCTCCAAATCTTCGAGAAAATTCATCTCAAATGCTGGAAAACCTAGGGCTGAAACGCACTTTGAGGCGCCCAATCCAAAAAACAAGAATACACAAAACTAACCCCGGACACATTCGAAAAAGTGTTGTCAAGACGAGCACAATGGATTTGTTGCGTCGTCCGGCTCCGCTCCGATCAGCTGGCGTAAACCACGCTCACTTTTCTATTTTTCATCATCTGCCGCACAAACACACACACACTTTTCCCCCCACTAAACTGGGTCGTTTTAGGGAGAGAAAGAAATGAAGAGGGTTACGGTACATACACAGCGGAGTTTGGGGTAAACAAGGGGTTGAGGATTCAGAAAACTATGCACAACTATACATATTTACAAAACGAGGCGATGGGGTTGGTTCAGATATTCCGGTGAGTTTTGACAATGTGATCGAGAAGTTTCAAGTGAATGAGGACCACTGAAACAATTGGCACACTGTGCAACCAATAACCATCGAGAGAACTTACAAAAGTTGTAGGCGATGTAGAAAAAGACGGAAACGAGATTGTTCAGATCGAGTTTGGAGTCCGGGAGGAGGTAGACGAACAAGTTGAGGAAAATTGTGAAGTTGCTCTGAAAATACCACAGTATTCAATGCATCTAGAATCTTGACGCACCAAGCGAATTCTGACACACTCCAGCGCCTGAACGTTTCCGACCTCAACATGATTCAGCGATTCGCGGACAAGACAGACGACCACAAAAATTGCGGAGACGTCGAGGACGGCGGGCAGAAGACCAGAAGCGATCACGAAGAACGGATAGAAGATGTAGAGGAGGAGTGCGGAGATTTGCACCGAAATTCGGTCAAACTCATCCATTCGCTGTTGTTTTTGGAATGAGAGCAGAAGAACAGAGAGGAACTGAGAACTTCTGCGAGTCGGAAAATGCGCCAAGAAGCGCGAGAAATGGGCCAGCGCCGGAGAATAAAGGGTACGGTGGGATCGGAGAATTCATGCGAGTGCTGGAACAATATAAATTCTGAGAATCTGCCTGTAATGTGACTCATCAGTAAACTCATTGAACGGCTTCTGAATCTTTAACTTTATTGCAACACATTCCAAACAGACAGTATTATCAATGATTACACAGTGATTATTAGGTCTAAAACATTGAAAATTGGAAGGCTGCAAAAAAGTGAATTGGCAGGAGAAGAAATGGTTTGGGTAAAGCTTGAAGCGGCAGAGGATAGATAGATGGGGGCAATGGATTGAAATTTCGAGAAGAGGATAGGATACGGACGTTTTAACATCAAAATCTTTAGGAATATAGGTTTTAGAATCACTTCTAAAGCCTGTAGATGGGCTTTTACTTTTTGTGGTCTCTTTGAGTCATCTACAAGCGTTACAGGTGATTTGGAGTCTAGATCAGTGAGCATTTTCGAAATTACTGGCCATCGGTCTCGATTCCTTGGCGCCACATCACGATTCCCTCGATTTGGGCTCCATCGGCTCCATTTCCATTTCCCTGTCTTTTGATCGTCAAGGCGATGAGGCCAACGAGAATGAGCAGTTCTGAAATGCGCTTTTGAGTCATCATATGTAGTTGTGAAAATGTGAAAAAGAAAACCGCCAACAACATAGTGACAGCTTCAGAAAAACTATGCGTTTCTCCCGTGCTTACTGATGAAAATGACGGCGAAAAGGGCAAGAAGTGGAGAAGTGTATTGCAGGTACATTTGGAACGTCTCCTCCTCGTTCTCCGACGGGTCCATGTAGTTTTCAAAGTTCCGGAGCAGGATGATACTGGCGAAGAAGACGATGAAGCCGAGGAACCAGGTCTGTAGAAACCATACGCTTTTTCTAATGATCGGTTGTTTTTTGTTCGGAACTTACAGTCATCCAGAACATGAACTGAAGCATCTGCCGATCCTTCTTGCTGGCGGAGATGCCGGTGAGGGCCATCGTCGCGACGAGAAGAATGATTAGCGAGAAGCGGAAAGAGAAGAGAACAAAGTCGAAGGCGCCGATGATGACGATCGAGAGGAAGGCCATGACCATGCAGTAGCCGATCAGGAGCGCGTCGGCCGTGAGTCCCCAGCAGATCGGAGCCGGTGGCGGAGGAGCCGAGGCGTTGGAGAGCGGAATAGATTGGTCCGGAAGGTTTTGGTCGATGTAGACGAGCGAGTGCGAGAGCGACATTGTGGTCCTGCAAGTTGGAGGTTTTGTGAGAGAGGGGGAGGTTTGAGGAAGAAGATACAGTTGCGAACTAGTCACTGGACACTTTGAAACCAAAGGAAACTGTTTCACAGCTCTACAGATAACGAAAAGTGTCGTTTTCCTAAATGGTATTGTTTTGTTTACGAAAAACAGTGAGCTCCTCCACAAATGCCATTAGAACAACGATAAAACGGAATGGTGATAGGGTTGGGAGAGAATAGAAAAAGGCGATGATACATGCAGATGTACCAGGGAAGCACCAGGAACTGAAAACGCGTCAAGAGGCACGAGAAGCGCGCAAAGGCGCCAAACACAAGCTCGAGAGGAAAAAGTGAGCGCTTTACCGAAAAACAGAGTGATCCGCCGTCTGGCGTACAGGCCGTGCCTACGCGATATTTCATCACCCCGTCACAGACAGAAACATGTGCAAAGCTGTCAACAAGCCCATTTGATCATTCATCGGAAAGTGAGGGTTACGGTAGTGGCTCTAGTGGTAAACAAGTCGAAATGGGATGGGAGAAGAGCCCGAAAAAGTGAGGGTCGGATATCAATGAATAGGTGGAAACCTTTTAGGTAAGACACTGAGTATGTGGAAAAAAAAAAACGAAAAAGAACGTGACTCGCAAGTGCGCTCCATCGCTTCTTTTTTCAGAAACCTGCTTCGGTTTTTTGTCTTTCTCCGATAGTTTCCCACAATCAAAACCAGTACTTTTCACCCCAGAAACCAATCTCATAACCACCATATCACCAAAGTACACTGTTGGCGAATACAAAAAGTGCAACGCACTTTCGAATGGACAGAACGTGCAAATAGCAGAAGCGAAAAGCGAAAGAGGAGGGGGCGACTAAGTGTATTCCTGTGATCAGGCCGTCTTTTTGAATTTGGAGAGAAAAGAGAAAAGTAATGAAAGTGAAGATAAATGTTTGGAAAAACCAATGACTATAGAGCTAAATCAGGGTGATAGAACAACTTTTAGGGGTTATAAAGACAGCTGTTTGGAGAAAGAACTTTAAAAAGTTAATCGAGATCCACAGCTTCTCGCTTCATTTCCTCGACGTTCCCAGTCAATTTCTGTTCAGTCATAGTCAGTAGGTACCTCAAAAATCTTTGGGAGTACGGTAGCGGAGCCAGAAGGCGATTCGGAGGATCTATTGGTGACCTGTAAACAAATATTGTGTTCTGTTAAAAATTAGACGACGAGATGTGTATGTTTAGACGAAAAAGTGAGGAATACTGTAGCGGCGAGAAGGAGCGGCTGGTAAACAATTGACATGGGCGGGCGCCTCGAAAAAGCACATGACACGCAGTCCGCAGATATTGTTGTTTTCCGTGTCACCGATCAATAAAATTGTTGTTTGCACCATTTGTAACTGATTTCCTTGAGCTCTCGGTGCTATTCTCTCGTGCTACCCAAGTTCGGACGGTTGCAACGTGTCCTTGGAATCTATGAGAAGACATTTTGCAACCGGGATACTGTAGGCGCTGGGAAACGTGTCGTAAACTTGAGGAAAGAGGGAAACTGCCAAAAACGAATGGCTGATCGATTAAAAAATGGGAAAACCATAGAGCGAATGGAAATCGTGAGAAATTGCATTATTCCTATTCATATTTCTGCTTGTCACATGACCGATTCACAATGTCGCCGCTTCTTTCCAGCCAGAAATCAAAGTCGAGGATGAAAAAGATGCTGAGCGACTTTGCAACTAATTTTCAAAGTTTACCGTATTCTAAGTGATCACTGATCTTACAAACGCACTTTCTCTCAAGTGATATTGTTCTTTTGATGGGCTCCACTGGCGCACCATCTCCCGTTCCCTTCATCATTTCTGTGCCCGTCCGGCCATAACCACGGCCACAACTTTATCGAGTTCTCATCCTTTTTTTGATTGTACAATAGTGTTTTCCGGGCGAAAAAAGGGAAAACACTCTGACTAGAAGCCTACATTTGTTGAAGTTATGAGAAATGGCAAAAATTTGGTAATCCTCGAAACATTTTTTGGCCAATTCTGCTTTAAATGGATTCTACTGCTGCTATATTATAGGGGCACCGAATAGAAAGGGCGCTCTGTTCGCAATCTGGCCGAATTTCTAGTCCGCGAAGTAATTTTCCACTGAAAACGCGGCCTAACTTTTCAAACTCGGCCCCGAGCTCACTCAATTTGCACTGCAAAAAAGTTTCTCAATAGAGCGCCCTTTCTGTTCGGTGCCCCTATAATAGATGCCAAAAAACACAATGGAACCTCGTAATCTTCGAGTAAATTCAACTCTAACAATGCTGAACACCACTTTGAGATGAATTTTCTCGAAGATTTGGAGGTTCTAGTGGGTCCCATTATGTTTTTTGGTATCTCTACAGTAACAGTAGAATAATTTAGAAGCGAAAGAAGCCAAAAATTCTACCTAAAAGCCACTTTGAGACGTCCCTTCAAATCGAATGCCCATCTCTTTGCTTCCCTGGTCGCACTGGCGCGATTCCGGTGTCTATCGCGCGTGTAATTTCTTGTGCCTCAAAATATTTATTCGTGATAAATTCCCTTTTTGAAGGCATCAATGGATCCGCTCGCCGCTCTTCCTCATGACTCGCCCCCACCGTACTCGCAGATCGATGGTCCGAGTGCGGTCGCCGTCGGATCGCAACTTTTCTCTCGAATCTATTCGGACAGCTCGAAGGTCTGTGGCGCCAAAAGTTTTCTGATGATCTACTCGGGTTTCCTCGCCTTGTTCCTCCCGATGCTCATTCATTTTGCCAACTTTCACGTTGGCTCCCCACACGACTTTTCCTGGCTCAATATCGGAATTGTCGCCCTTCAGTTGATCGTTTTTGTGAACGCCTACCGTCAGAACCGAATCGCGCTCCTACACTTGCAGTGCTTCATTGTGAGCTCATTATTCTCAACGTTTCTGTAATAATTCAATTTTCAGTGCGTTCTCTCGCTCTTCTGCCTCTCCGGACCCGTCGCTTTCCTCTCCATTCTGGCTTCTTTCAAACGTGCCGAGTACCCGCATCTCGCCCGAGAACTCATGTTGGTTATTGTCTCCTCAATTTGTCTCATTCGTGAGTTTTTACTATTTAAGTTCGTTTTTTGGAGTTTTCATTCGGTTTTCAGTTGGCGTCTTCCAAACCATCATCATTGAGTGTCTGTACGTAAAGCTGGAGAGAGCCAGAGAGATCGATGGAATTGTGGCTTGACCTGTTCCGATACTTGTTCTCATAAATCATCATTTACCCCCCAACTCTTTTCTTTCTGTCTTTTCTGATCCTTTCCTTTCCGTTTTCCTTCAGATATGTACTTCTCCTTCCTCTCTTCCTTTCCCAAATTCTTAGTAAACATTTGATTGTTAACAATAATCTTCATTCCCAACAAAAATATTATGGAGTTTTGAAGGTGTCCGTGTTGATGAACAGCTGCTTGTCGACTTCGGCGCGCCAGAATCGCGTGACCAGGACGTACTTGAGCGCTTCCACTGCAAATGGGCTAGTAGTTGGTCTGGGTACAGTAACCCTTCACTAGACTATTAGAACATCAAGCTAGTACTACGGTAGTTTGCCTACAGTACCTACAGAACCTAAAGTACCCGTTCCTCACCGGCAACAAAGACGATCATGGCGATCTCGAGCACGAATCCGCACACACTTCCCCAGTAGAAGCGGCCGTCGGCAGTTTCGTAACTATGCGCGGTACCATTTCCCAACGCGTGCTCAGTGTAATTGTCCACTTTTCCCGAAGCGATGAGGCTCGCGGTGAAGATCGGAACGAAGAGGATCGGAATGGACGAGCCGACAATCAGGAGCACCTGAAGAAGTTTGAATAAGTATTGTAGGACTGGGTCCTCAATTGTATTTCTGATATCTTCGTGTCTAGTAATTCATTTTTGTAGTAGACAACTTTTTTCTAGGATTACTTACTGCCCGGAGTACTGTAGTTCTTGGAAGTTGGCAGTGAAATGCGCCGGTGCTAAAGTGATCCCTAACTTTCAAGAGCTACAGTACTCCAGGGAGCACTTCGACAAGAAAAACTGCTTACCGTAGCTCTCTGCGCCCACTTCAGAGTTCGTTCGTGTTTTCGGAGCACCGCGAAAATCAGAAAAGCGTTGAGAAGCAGGTATGCGACGGGAAGTCCGGCTTGACACGCAGTTCCCGTATAATGTAGCTGGATTCCGGACTGAGAAATGCTCACCAGGGCGAGCAGAATTAGGAGAGGACGGGCAGGAAAACAGCCCAGTTTCATCGCTGAAAATCAGAAATGATTAAGGAGATGAACTGGTTCTTATTTTGGGTGTTTTGGGCCCAGTTTGGTCAAAGGTTTTTTTTTTCTAAGGTAAAAATGAGCGAAAGTTGAGGCTGAAAAAGGCGTGAGAGCAGGTGTAAAACATTTGACTAGATTATGTGTTGTCCTTCGCGGAGAGCGGGTTTCTATGGAAACGTCGGTTTCAATTACCTCTTTTCTGATCGCTGCTTGTTCGAATTGATGGAAGAAGGGAGAAGAAGAACGAAGAGTGGACATTTGCACCTGAAAAACTGGCAACTCACGGTCTCCAGAGCTGACAATGGGCGGGCAAGTGCGCCCCGCCCAATAGAGCGATACATTGGCGCGAAATTCAAATTTTAACAGCAAAATTTGTGTTTTTTGGCAGATTTGCCACGAAAAACCGATAATTTCTCATTTGTCTCTCGATAGACCGATTATATAGGCTATTACAAATTTTTTAAGCGCAAGAGCGTTAAATTTGGTCAAGTCGCAAATCACATTTATCCGTTTGAAGGTTTTTGGCTAAAATTTCCTGAATTTCAGCTGCTTTTCGGTAGTTTTCGCGGTTCGAGTGCTCAAAATGCTTGTATTTACGTGATTTATTATTCACAAAGCCAATTCTGTCTGAAAACGGTCAAGAAAGCGCAAAATAAGAAGTGCGGTTTTAGGCGGCGATCGGCGGCGAAGGCGAAAAAGCGAAATTCGCGAAAAATGCGCCAAAACGTCATTAATTCTGAGAATTAGTCTGTTTTCATGTCGAACAATCATTTTTCATCGCCTTTGACCACAAAAATCATGAAAACGCCATTTGGCCGCCGAGGCCACGCCCATATTGTCAGCTCTGGAGACCGTGCAACTGATCAATTTTAGATTGAGGAGTTTCGCACTGCACTTCACTTCATTGTGAACTTGCGTTGAAAGTTTGCATTTCAAAAAAAGTTGTTGAGTTGCAGTGACATGGCACAATGAGCCACTGTTTGATTGGCTCCACTTTGAGCCCAATGTTCTGCTCCTCCTCCATTTCCTGGCAAAATTGGCTCCACTCTCCTTGCAATTGTGCCTAAATTCGTGGCACTTATGCGCAGTATAAGACGGACGTCCCTTTCTCCTCAGTTCACAGTCATAAATCGTCTCCCGCCGTCCGCCTCGTTAGCCTCGTTCGACCGCCGCTAAACGAACACATTGTCGCGACGGGATGGAAATGGGCGAAAAACGGACGAGACAGGCGAATTCGGCGGCGGCGGCGTGACGCTTATCAATTATCAATTAACTATTTATCCCCGCATATTTCCCCCTTCTTCCTCCTCTTTTTTGTTTGATTTGCTGCCTGTTTTCCTTCCGATGTTTTCCTTTTCCACCCCCTGCCTTGACCCCCCTCCTCCTTCTCTTTTCTAGAGATGAGAGGGGAAGGAGGCTTTCTCGTTTTCCCTGATCAGCTGATTATCTAGGTCAACCCCCCTCCCAATCTGTCTTCTCAATGGACTACGACAATAAGAAACTCGAGGAAGCTAGAAAGCAAACGATTCGGTGAGTGCGGCGATGATTTCTGATATCATATACATATAACTGGTTTCGACCAACACATACGCAGATGAAAAACGAACAATGTTCACTTTTTTTTAGATGGGAATCGTGGAAACGCGAGGAGACCGAGGCCCGGCAGCGGGGTCTCGAGTTCAAAATGTACTGGGAGAAGCGGCATAAGGAGGATCGCGATGCGTGGAGACTCAAGGTACTTCCTGGTCCCTAAATGGATCCTTACTATGAGAAAGATCTCAACACGAGGGTTCCAAACGTATTTTTTGATCTTTCTGCCGCAAAAAATAGTCTGAAATCGCGCTTGAGATGAGTTTTTTTTTTCTCGATTTTCAGAGATCGGCACCAAACTTTAAGAATCCTCACGTTGACATCTGTCGAGACCAACTTTTTACAAAAAGTTCATCCCAATTACTAAATTTTGGATTTTTATTTCTTATCATCCATCCACATCCACATTCTCATCCTATCCATTCGTTGTTTGGCGCCGATCAGGTGGTTACCATACCACACTCCATTTTAAGGTTATCCTAAAATATTTATGATCATATTATATCCATACATTCTTGCCGCAAAACCACCAACCACAAATTAACATGACGTCTTTGTTAGTGTGTGGTATCCGGCCAAAGATCCGAACGCATCAGTTTTTTCATTCAGTGAATAATCTAGAGGAACACAGTTGGTTGACATTTTATTAAAGTTAGTTTAGTGGAGCGCAGTTGCATACCTCGCCACTTTTAGGATTTCGCCAACGCCGTCGACAAGATGAGCCGTGCGGGGTACAAGGGAAAGCACGGCAATTTTGAAGTACCGTCAGAGCGTCTGGAAGAGCTGAACGCTCTGTACATGCAGGCAACTGTCGGCGACTACGGTAGGACCTCTAAATCGCTGACAGTACCCCTCATAGATTCATTTTGTTACAGACGGCAACACGGCTCTGAAATGCAGTCAATACTGGAAGAAGCACAATGGGAAGACGCAAATCGAGGCGATCCGTGAATTCATAAAACTGACCAACACTGTGCTCACCAAGTACGGATGGAATCCGCCGGAGGGATGGGTTTGACACGATACGGACGATATTTTCTGATAAAGAGAAGAAATTAACGTGCCTTTTTTGTTGATTGGAATAAAGTTTTCAAGCATTCGAATGAGTTCAATGAGACCGCCTTTCTTAAACAATCCACGACGATCTCAGAATATTTGTAGAAGTAGGAGCCTTCAAGACTTCAAGATTCTTCATGCGATCTTCAAGACCAAGAAATAGGCCAGCACAGGCATTTATAGGGTCTACCTCAGCTTGGACTCTTGGACCACGCCAGAACTTTGCAGGATTCTTACTCTATATTGGGTTCAAATAACAGACCGGTCCGATTTTCAGGTCTGAAGTTTTACTGGTTTTATATCAAAAGAAGATGCGCTTTTTACAAGAACCAGGGCCTTCAGGACCTCGACTTGATCCCAAGAAACTTCACTCCAAGTGCAATAAACCTGCAAATTGACCTTTTCTCGAAAAGTAGTCACGAGATCAAAAAGGTATCAACCGTGGCTGTCTTATCATCACAAAACTACAATTCTCTCACTATACCACGAAGACTGAAGAATGATCCGGATCGGATCGATTTGGGATTACTGTAAGGCACTATCTCCGGGGGAAAGCAGCGAAACGGCGGGAAACTTTCGACGCAAAACTTGCCTCCTGATACCCTACTTTCACCATCCACATCTTCGGGAATACGCGAAGCCTCCTCGTCGTCGTCCTCGTCGATGGCGTCTTTGATGCGGTAGAGAAGATTCGGAGAAAGATTTCGGCGGCGTCGTCGTCGTTTTCTTCGGCGCCGCGCGCAACAATTTTCGACACAATTGCGTGCACTTTTGCCCTGCAACACCGAGATATTACGCAGGCAAGCGAGGTGGGGGGGATCGGATCGGGCGCCGGAGGAGAAGGAGGAGAAAAGTGTGTGTTTTCTTGACAAGTACACGCCGATTTCTATCTATGAGACTGCCCTGTGGCGAAGGGACAACGACAACGGATAGTAAAATCGGGAGCGGGAGCGGGGGGGGGGGGGCAAAAAAGATGGGCGCCACAGAGGAGGCATGCGTCGAATCACGGGCGGCGGCTCCGCCCCTCTAGGAGTAGGAGCCACGTGGAACAAAAGTTTTGTAGGGACCGCCGGAAAACTTTGCTTTGGGGGAGGAGAGAGGCCTGGCGGGGAAGTAAATAAACGGGTCTCGAAAACAAACGAGCAACCCCAGTGATGAGGATTGATTGAGATCAGTTGTGCATATTTGCCCATTGATGGTGGTGCCAAAGTGGAAAACACTTACGCCTATCAGAAACCCCAGTCAGTACACGACCAAAGATTGTTGATAAGAATTGCGTTTGGGGGGTTACTGTAGATGGGCCTAAAGATGTAGAAACGTGGAAACTCGATGACCTGACCCGGGCGCCTTTCTTTTTCGGAAAAGTGCAACATTGCAACGAAACACTCGCTAAGGAAAATTTGGGAGGGGGGAGGTGACCTTTCCGAATGCGCGCAGAAGGGTACTGTAGGCTGAAGTTTGACATTTGACACATGGCATGACCTCAATTAGTCTTGAACTTTCTAGCTTTATGGCCTTTCCAGGATCATCCTCAAAGTTTCGGATTCTGGGCGAGTACTGTATCTCTAACGATCAAACGGCGTGGGTTTTCATAATCTTCTTGGACCCGTAGAGCAGTTTGAGTTTGAACCAAAGCGAAGTTGGCCTAGTCCGGAGACTGGGTCGTCCATTTTTAATTTTGACAGGGTACAAAAAGAAAATTGCAATTTCTTACACAATTCCGATCGGGAAGAATGTGTGTAGCCCGACCTTTGGCTCCCTGGTACGCCTTCGTACAGTGACACATAGAGGCGCGCGCGCGCGAGCTCTCCCCCACCTCCTCCTCCTCCTCCGTTCCTAAACATGCTTTTGTGACTGACCATGCCGCCCCTCACACATACAGAGGCGCCCCCCGACCCGACGTCGCCGCTCCTCCGATGCATCATCTTTAGGCCACGCCCCATCTGACGGCAGACGGCTGTCCGCTCAACGCACTCGCCCCGTTGCTTTTCGGCTGGTCGACTGCTGCTGCTGTGGGTAAGGGTTGGTTCGTCGTCCGGCGTTTGGTTGGCCCCTCCTTTTCCAAACACGGATTCTTCCCTCGGGATTATCTATATATATATATATATATTTATATTTATATATCATCTATCTATTTATCCGCACTACTATCACCCTGTCGCCACCACTACCACCCCGTACACAGCGTCATGTCAAAATGTTCACCGTCGGGGCACGCCACACACACCCACCTATACTTTATCCTATCCCTATTCACTTTTGCGCACACTGCACCCTACCGGACCTCCTCGATCGGTCTCAATCCGAGCGCGAGCTCCGAACAGCCGTTCGACACCCGGCTGCAAGAAGATGACGGCGATGAGGATTTTCTTTTTATCAAGGCAAGTTTTCCCTTTTTTTTTTTTCGAGAAAAAGTTAGTTAGTGAGAAGAGGGGGGTAGGCAGGCAAAAAAAAAGCGACGACGGCATATAGGGACGACCTATCAACCACCTAGGCGAGAAAGAAATATATGTGCGGTATCGATCTTCTTTTTCCCCATTTTTTTCTTTTCATAACCTACCTAAAACTTTTTTTGTTCCGTCTCGCTGTAGGTCCACACTGATTTTTTCAAAGCACGACTCATTCTGGCGGGGGAAACGTTTTCATCGCTGACCTAGACCAAAAGCTTAGATCATCTAGACCACGAAAAAAAAAGAGTAAAGAAACCAAAGAAAAAGCGGGGCAAACAAACACATTTTTTTTTGACGGATAGACTCTGGCTCCAGACAGTCATTCAAAAGATACGCGCCGCCGCCGTAGACACCATTGACCGTGAGAACGTGTGAAAGTGGAACGACGACCAATGAAAATGGACAGGGGGGAAGAAAAAAACGAAAAGGGCCTTTTCCTTTCTCTCTTTTCCTTTTCTCTCCTTCTGACGTACAATCTTCATGTAACGTGTATGCCCTTCAGCGATGAAATATTAGGTGAAACGGAGAGAGAGTGCGAAAAAGATACCGGGTGGGGGGGTTGCATTTTGCGCCCCCCGTGTGTCTACCGGAAATATCCGTCTCTTTCTCTCTCGATTTCTCGACCATATCGATTCGACATCGAAAAGTGTCTGCTTTATGATGATTAGGTGTCCTTTTGAACTGTTTTTCTCGAAGAACTTCCACCCCACCCCACGATTTCCCAGCCAGCCATTAGATATTATATTCTCGCCAATGATCACACCGCAAAAACGGCCTAGTTTTGAAAGAAGGAGAGGGGAGAAGAAGATCGAATCTCGTATAGAAATGATGATGGATAGCGCAATAACACTGGGCGACACACACGCACAGACAGCCGATACCAATAAGAGTGGGAAACGAAACGAAAAGAAAAGAGCGAAAAAAAACTGCTTAGGCGTCCGTCCCGCCCGTCCCGTCTTTCTAAGGCGCCCCGTTTTTCCTCGAATTCTAGGCGCCCTCGTAGAGATTCGCCATGTAGGTCAATGGCGGGGTGCCGCCGAGATGAGACTCTTCTCCGAAGAAGAGCGAAGAAGTGAATGATTGAGAATTTCAACACATCTACACACACACGTTGACAACTCGCCGCTTTTTTCAGGGTCAGATGGAGAAATACGGTTATCTGAGAGGTCACTCGTCGCCACGTGAATTCCGACAGGCTCTCCAAATGTTCCAAGTGTGACCCATTCGCGCCTGACACCCCGCTAAAAACCGTTACCAGTTTAGGAGGTGCTCGAAGTGGCGCGCACCGGCGTTGTCGACGTGGCCACTGTCGAGGCGGCTGCACAACCCAGATGCGCGCAGATCGACGTTCGACACGTTGGCCGGAGGAATAAGCGATTCTGTGAGCGTTTGGTTTTAAAAAAAAGTGCAAAATTTGGAATTCTTTGCGGCGTATACCCTATGTCTAGGAAGTTCCGCCTGGCCGCTCACCATAGTTGTAACGGTCTGGCCCGGCGCATGGGTTTTGAGCGACATTTTTTTGCTAGCCTAACTATAAGAAATGTCCCGTCATGAAAATCTTCAATTGTTACGGAAACTGTTACTTTTCTGCTCGTCACAGTTCGTCATAGCCGGGCCACTCCGGATTTTGTGGTGTTCACCCTGAGAAACTCCTCAAAAATACCGCTCATTCCATATATGTAGAAGGGAAAATTCGAAGAACACCAAATCCTGAAGCCCCCTCTATTTCAGCCCTCTCGAAACAAGCGAAATGGGACAAGAAGCACTTCACCGGCCCCGGCGATTCGCTAGTCCTCAAATGGTACATCTCGGACTATACGGGCGACATGGATCGGGTGGAGACGCGGCGGGTTGTCAAGAAGGCGTTCGAGTTGTGGAGCTCGCAGAGCTACATTCGTGGCGAAAAGAAGGTGATCGTTTCGTTCATGGAGGCCAACTCGAAAGATGACGCCGACATCAACATACTTTGGGCCGAGGGCGACCATGGCGACGATCATAATGTGAGTTTTTCGAGTTGCGAAAGTGATGCTATCCTAGTTTTGTGTATGGACATGGGCTCTAGTACGGACAATTGTTGTGCGGATGAACAAACTGTATCACGATTTTTGTGGTATTCTTGTTGATCTTCCATTAGACCCTGACAAAAAGAATCGAATTTAAGCGTAATGAATGAACGCTTTCAGTTCGATGGCGTCAACGGAAAGATAGACGAGAAGAACAACCGGAAGGAGAACGTGCTGGCTCACACCTTCTACCCGGGATACGCGACGCCGCTCAACGGCGACATCCACTTTGACGACGCGGAAACGTGGGAGACGAAGGTGGAGCACGTGGAGGGCGGCCGCCGATTCTTCCCCTACGTGCTCGCTCACGAGATCGGACACTCGCTCGGTCTGGGACACTCGCGCAAGTCGGACGCTCTCATGCACCCGTACTACAAGAACGTCCCGCTGGACGAGATCACGTTGGACGTGGACGACAAGTGCGGAGTCATTTGGAATTTTGGTCGGTTTCTATTGTGCCGCCTCAAAAAAGAAACGTTTCTTTTAGATGCACATATTTCAGGCGGGACATCGGACTTTTGTCTGTACGTCTGGCTGATGAGCGAGATTGTCGATGCGCACAATGTGTCGGTCCATAATAATAGTGAGTTAATGATTATTGAAATTTACACATCGTTTGGTCTTCAGTCGGTTCAATCACAACGAGTAGGAGTGGAAATGGCAGAAAGGTTTTGAAAAGTGAGTTTTACAGTAATCCATTTTTGTTCTTACACTTTCACTTTCTTCGATGACGTGCTAGACGTACTGCGCGAACAAGATATCGCGATCCAACCGATACTATCAGTTTCAATGCAATTCTCTACCGTTTTCGACACGCAAAACACCAAAAAACTCACTCGATTTCAGACACGAAGATCCCAAAGTGCTCGTCGAACAACTCGGACATCCGCCGTATTGCCGAGGAGAAATTGCAAAAGAGTTTGCAGTTTTCCGAGTCGCAAGCCAAGAAATACAGTACGTGGCCTAACTTTCGCCGCCCCGAGCGTAGCCTAACTTTCGATTGCAGCCGAGATCGTGTGCAACTTCCTGGCGGGCCTTCACATGTGGCGAGCCGGTCCCCATTATTCGCCGATGGATTCGGCGGAGCGCGAGTTTCGTGGCGTACAGCAGGAAATGAACACGTTCAGCGGAAGCTCCAGGACGTCGGTGAAGCGCATGTTACGGCACGCGGAGCATCTGAAAAAAGAGCATAAACCCAATATGTTCGGTGAGTTGTTTGTTTTTATCGTCAAAACCTGTAATCGAACGGCGCCTCTTCATTCAAGACGCTATATCATGGCTGCCGGAGGAGATATCGAAAAGTTGACAACAAGTATATTGCTCATCAAGAATTTGTGTACAATTTATCAGTTGACAACTTTCTGGTATCTCTAAAGGCAATTGAAATAAATCGCCTCGAATTCAGAATATAGGAAACTCGTCCTATTACAGGTTTTACCCTACTCAAAGTGCCACGTTTCGGCAAAACGATTAATTATCCTAAAATCCTAAAACTTCTTTCTTCTTCTCGGCTATCTGGAACCATAGTTGGCATCGGCTATGACTAATTATACAAAAATTACAAGGCGCCCCCAAACTCTTCAACAACCTTGCCCATTTTGCAGATCCCAACTACTTTGACGACGAGTTTTTCGAAAGCTTTTTCATGGAATATCTCAAGTGAACCCCGTCTCTCCTCGTCGTCTCTTTTCTTCCTTCTTCATGTTCATAGTCGCCTCATTTGCTAGCTGTCTTAGGCCCCCCCTATCTCTCAACACGTTCATCTCATTTCAGCAGAATCAGAATCAGAATCGCTTCGCCCCGCACAATTAGTTGTTAATCACATTCGTTCCATCGATCTTCTGTTCACAACTGCCCTTTCCCCCCAGTGCAATCCGACCCATCCCCCAAAAAGGGCAAAGTGTCCCCCCCTCCCCCAATGTCCCCAGAATGTCCCCGCGCAATCGACAGCGCCTCTCAAAAAGGGGTGCTGCGTCTTCTATGCATATCGGTGTGTGATGATACGAGTCCCGTTTTACCCCCTCCCATTTTTGCTGCTTAACTCTCAAACATATTGGAAACTGTATGCTTGTAATTGTTTACTTCATAACACTAATATTATGTTTTTTTTTCCAAGTTACACTCCTCACATGTTTCTTCATTTTCATACTCTTATTCATGTTTCTACGACAAGAATGGACCATTAATATTATTATTATTATTGTTTTTGCTGCTAATAATCCAACTAAAAAAGAAACCAAGTAGCTCCCCCCTGGTGTGTGTACATTTTCGATCTCTGACTGTCTTTTTTTTCGCATTTTCTGTATATGTGGTGGGATTTTTCAACATCTTAACAATGTTTTCGTGTGCAATACCTAACTTACGGTACTTTTTCCTCTCTCTCTCTCTCTCTCTCTCTCTTCTCCACTCGTCTTTTCACAAATCAACCCATTTGCAATAAAACTTTGGTTTTTCCTTTTCGTTTCCCCTGTGTTTTGTTGTTTGTTTACATGTTTGTTTTCAATTGACCCCGAAAATTGTGTTCTTTGGAGCGCATTACTTTCTGCAAAACCTTTTTGCAGAACACTCTTTCTCGGGTACTGTAGTTTAAAGGCGCATACCTCTATTCCATCCCGAAGCAGCGTCGGCGTGAGAATCCGATGAAAGTTCGATGCAAGCATATTCTACAGAATTTTTTTTTGAAACGATCACGTTAATTTGGGCTACTGTAGTGGTAACCGTGCAATTTTTCAAAAAAAGAACAGTCAAAATAGAATCTGTACCTTAAAAGACAGTTAGTGGCCTGAAAACAACAGTGTCGGTCATTAAAATATGTTCATTTATGGCTTCAGAAGAGAGAAAGAGAGAGAGAAAGATAAACAGCAAAATTGGAAATATTTGGCAGTGACGAAAATCGTTTTTTCTTTGACGAAAAAGAGCAGTTTTAAGTTGGGCTTGGGGCGGTGTCAACTTGAGCATTACGGTTTGTTGAGAGGGATATGAGTAGATTCTAGCACCATATTGAGAAGAAGAAGAAGAAGAAGAAGAAGAAGAACAGAAAAAGAAGTGAATAGATAATATACATTGGTGGTGGTGTGGTGGGTCCACTGCAAAGTGGCCAAAACTAGAAAGGAATAAGTGGGGAAGATGAGTGAGGAGCACCGAATATAAAAATGACATTTTAAAAGCTAAAAGAGGAGGCAGTGTGGGTGTTGCGTGGACGATTCTCAGCGACTCGAGTGTTCCTCTTTATACGTTCTGTGATACTTTTCTTCGACAACGTCTCCGGCCTGACCGCGGTCTGCAACTAAAGCACAATTGTTGAATGGGTTACTGTAGTTTGAAAAGTGTGCAAGTCACTCACCATTCGAAGACGAAGTGTAGTTGTTAATACGGGCAATCGTGGTGTCAAGCGGCTCGGAAACGAGGTCGATCAGTTGTTCGGCCCATTTTCCAGATGATTTATCATCTGAAATTGGTCACTTTTATCATCATTCTGACGACGTTTGAGCCTCTAAAAGTTATCTACGGGGATGCTGTAAAGCACTCCATGCTACTAGAAAATTGAGAAGAGGATCACAAACGTTGGGAGGCAGAAGAGCTGGCTCCGGCTCCGGCTTGGGCTCCAGCAGCTCCGGCAGCGGACTGAGCCTGCGAGCTCTGCTGTTGAGTGGTGACATTTCGCGACGATTGGAAAGTGTCTGAAAACGGGGTGAACATGCAAAAATCGGATGCTTTAGCACAAGAAAAACACACCGTAATCGTAGTTCGAGTATCCACGCGCTCGCGATCGCACCGTATCGTAGGCGTTCGTGTCGGAGCCGTAGCCGGCTGCGCCACGTGGCGTCGTGCCACGCACGTCCGGCGAGCGGCTCAACGTATCCAACTCCTTTTGCAACGTGTGCAGCGCGTCGCGTTTCGCGTGTGGCGTCGATGGGCCGGGTCGTGAGCCGTCAAGCAACGTCTGACTCGCGTACCGACGCGGGCTACCCACATCCGATCGCGATCGGTAGTTGTAGCGTTTCGCGTACGTGTCAGTACCGACTTGCGCGTCCTGGGCGGCTCTGGAAAGGTAGGAGGAGCCGGCATGCGACATGTGGTGACGAGAACGGCTGAGAGTGCCGCCGGTTTGCAGGTAAGACGACGATTGTTGGGATGCTTCTGCAATATTAGGGGGTCTCACTCTCGTCAGTCAGTTTAGTTGGTTGGAGCATTCCTTTCTATTTATGGGGGGGATGCAGCTCAGACTCACCTTTGTTGGCGGCAAGAGCCGAGGCGGACAGCGATCGGCGGTTTCTGCTCAGCGAGTTGTATCCCTCTTCGGCGTCGTACTTAAGGTAGTCTCCCGGTGTGTAGTGTCTTCTGAGCGTGCTTCGTCTCGACGTGCTTCCGATCTCTTCGAGTTCCTGAGCCAGCTGCTGTCCTGTAGAGGTGAACGTCGCGCCTCCTTCCGGCTGCTGGTTGTCTGGAACACAAATTTTTAGTTCAGTAAATCCATAATGGCGACTATAACTTACAGACGTGATAGATCTTGGTCGAGTGGATCTCGTCTCCCTTTGTCTTCTCCAAACTCGTCAATCTTTCGGTGAGCTCCGTGAGCGACTGCTGCAGCCGTCGCGAGTCTTCAAATCTGGATCGCTCTCCGACACGACTTGAAGCGCCCTCCTTGAATCCGTCGACGTAGCCCTGCTTGAAGTCCTCCTGTCCGGCGTACTGCTCGTCGAGCCGCGAAATCAACGACGGCGTGACGCGGTCTCCGAAAATTCCCGAGTTTCCGTCCTTGTATCCCTGTTGGAAGCCGGCCGAGTAACCGCCGCCCGAGCGTTGAGCCAGGTTGTGCATCGAGGTGGTCATTCCGGACATGCCTGCGTCCTTCAATCCCTTCACGTATCCCTCGTGGAAGCGGTCGTCGCGGTTTCCGTAGTCGTCTTCGAGGCGTCTGCGGGCGGCGCCGGCGCTTCCCAGCTTGTTCGCGTCCTTGTATCCCTTCATGTAACCATCCTCAAAGTCGCCGCGGGCTGAAAATTTTAATATTTTTCTCTCATTTTGCCGTACAGAACATTTCTCGAAGTTCATCAGTAAGCCAACTAGGATTCCTTCTAAAAAAAGAAAGAAACTTTAGCTCAGCTTCCGTCTTGACAAAGTTTTTGTGTAGGCGAGTCAAATTAATTCGAATTGATACTTTTTTCCTATACAACTGTCTACAATTCTCACGCAACAAGTTCATTTCAGTCATAAAATTCTTGACCTGTCCGAAGCAGTCCAAAAAAAAGGGCGTGCCCTCTTCTTTTTCGATGCCCACATCATCAGAATCATTTATCAACGAGAAGGAGGGGGGGCCACACCCAAAATAATCAATCACAAATCAAAAGCGCGTACCTCTTCCGTCGATAGCTCCCCGCATCTTGTCGAGTCGCGTCTCCAGTTGTCGCATATTCTCATTCATTCCCGCCTTTTGCTCTTCGAGCAGCGGAGCCCTCTGGCCATTCGTCACGAGGCGACTGTGTTCTTTTCGCGAACGGTACCGGCTGAAGAAAAAAGGCGGTTTTTAGGCGGTCTCAACTTGGAGTTTCAGTTAGAAGGGAGTGGGAAACGTTAAAAAGTTTCAAAGCAAACCGTTGAAGGCACCACGGAATGCAACAGCAGAGAAGAGCGAGTAGGAGGGCGAGGAGGAGCGGCAGAAGGAGCCACCACCACGGCCACGAGGAGGTCAGGTACGGAGAGGCTGAAAATGAGGGGGTTAACTGGTTATTGGGTACATGCTTTAGGGGGGGTTTCAGGGATTGGGAGGTTGGTTTAGGAACACGCTTAGAAGTAGACTTTCGGATGCGCAACTAACTCTTTGCAGCAATAATAGACAAAACAGATGGCAAGTCCGAGAAGGAGAAGCAGGGAAAGTGGGATCAGAATCCACTTGGAGAGGATTCGGTCCGAGAGCCAACTCCATTTGCGTGAATCTGCAGCGTGCTTAGATTTTCATTTCAAAACTGTCTTTTTCTAGTCTCTGACTATATTTTCAGTTTCACAATATATGAAAAGGAGAGAAAGCAAACAAACCATCGCGCCGTCCATTTTATCGAAAACACTTACCATCCGGAAACGCTGCCATAATAACAAGGGGTGGTGGTGGTAATACTAATAATACTAGGAGGGTATTTGTATTTGTATTTGACGATCCAAATGTGACTTCTTCTTATTGATGAAGGCCACCCACCCCAGCAGCAGAAGAAGAGAAAGAAGAAGAAAAAGACAAATATGGGGGGGAAAGAGTGTTAGCATGAACAACCACACCCACTATTTCTCTCTTTTCACGCACGCGCGCACTATCACTCCATTTTCCACCGCCTCTTTTCTAATATCAATCAAAACGCATTCACTCTCTCTCTCTCTCTTTCACTCCTTTTCTTATCAACACGAAACCCTCCGCGAAACCCTTCCCCCCATCTGATCTATTTACAAATGAATTACCTCGAAGACGTCCGACAAGCGGCGCGCCAGTCACATTCCAGATCGTGTACACCTCGTAGTTGTACTTTTTGCCCTTGACGAGCGGATAATTCAGATATCCGCCAATGACCTGACCGTCTCCGATCCGGACCTTTCGCGGTTCGGGCAGAGTTTCGAGGTTGAACGAGCCGGCCACGTAGTACGGGATCTTCATCTTGTTCGCCGTGACCTTGTCGGTGAGCTCTGTCCAGTTCGTGTCGCCGGGTGGGTCACGCTCGTCGACAACGACGTAGTAGCGAGTGACGTTGTTCTCCGTGGCCGCCGGATTCACATCGACCTCCCAGAACGTGCCGGGGGCTCCGATGTTGTCCACAAAGTAGGGTGGCGGAACGATGCAGCAACTGCGACGAATCTGAAAACCAAATGCGATCGTTTTTCCTCCAGAACATTAGATCAGATGGATCTTACATTGATCGGCTCGCTGCTCGTCATCTTCTTCGGCGCCGACTTCCAATGATTCCACTCTCCGTCGACTTTGGCGCGAACCTGAAAAAAAAACGTTATTTTAAAAATAAACTTTACTCCAAAGACAAAAAACGTACCTGGAAGACGTATTCAGATGGGTTGTGCGGGAGGTTGAAGACGAGATAGCAGAGACGTCCGCATCCGTCCTTCGGGCAGAGCAACTCCTTCGCTGGACGGGCTTCCTCTTCAGTCCAGATTCCGTCGTGCTCCTTGAGCCGCAGATATCTGACCTGATAGTCAGAGGCCATGTCCAGCTCGACCGGCTCCCAAGACATGGAGACGGCGAAGTCGGTCTTGTCGCACTGCTTCAGATTCTTGACGACGAACCAGCCGGGCGGCAGGGTGGCATAGGCTCCCCACGCGACTTCGTTATGATCCTTCGGGGTCAGCGTGACATTGTAGACGGTACTCGGATGAAGTCCGCGGATCACAAACTCGGTTTCGGAAGCGTCGACGTCGAACGTCTTGATCTGCTGCAATCGCACACTACCGTACACCGAGTAGAGGGTACGGGCGGTCAGAGTGTATCCGGAATGAGCACGTCCCCAGACTGGCTCCCAGGCGACGTTGAGCGTCGTCGGGGTGCGGTTGAGCAGGCGGAGAATGTGACGTTGTCCTGGCGCCAGAGTACTGTATGTTCCCCACAGAATGTGACCATAGCCAGAGTTGGTGCCGGCTTGCACGGTGATATTGTAGATGGTCTCCGGGCGCAGTCCCTCGAACTTGATCGAGTTTCCTGGATACGGAACCGTGTAGTTCTTGGACGGTCCCGTCTTTCCGGTCGTCGGGTCAAATGGAGCGATGGTGACGCGGTGGTGGGTGATGAGTTCTCTCTGTTCTGGATCGAAGATCTCTGGCGGAACCCAATCCACGTGGAGCATCGTGTCACTCTTCTCGATGAGGTGAAGATCGGTGGGGGCTGGCAGCCAGCTGAGGAGACCCTCGGCGAAATCGGTGGTCGAGAAGACGGAAGAGATGAACCAGAGCTTGTTTCCGGCGGAGGTTCCCTGCACGGTCACGTTGTATTGGGTGACCGAGTCCAAGTTGCGGAAGTGATAGTCGGTTGTCGAACCGCCGACGTCGAACGTTTTCGGATTCTGGTCCAACACCGAGGCGACCGAGATGAACAGATCGTACTTGTCGATCTTCTCTCCGATCACTGCTGGCGGGGTCCACTTGACCTTAAGATTGTCGTGTCCGGCAGAAAGAAGCTTCAGACTTCCGCCGAGAAGTTCGTTGTCGTCGTTGCGAGTCGTCGAGAAGTAGTCGGAAGACCATTCTCCCCAGTTTCCGGACGAAGACTGTCCCTGCACAGCGAATCGGTACGTCGTCGACGGCTGCAGTCCCTTGATCGTGGCGCAGAGGTTCGCGCTGGTGATGATCGGCGATTTGTAGCCAGAGCAGGTGAGCTCATCTCCGGATAGCTCGACTTCCGTTGGATTCGAGTCGTCGGCACGTGGCGAGTAGCGGATACGGTAGGCGGTGACGATGGCCTTCTCGGGGTACGGTGGCAGCCACGTGAGCTGAATCTGCGTGGCCTTGGTCTGAACGGCGGTGAGCTCTCGTGGCGGTCCTAGCTCGGAGCCAGTGGTGCGGATCTCGAGCGAGTCGGACCATGGTCCCGGTCCTTCGGCGGTGTAGGCACGGACCTTGATGCGGTAGAGACTTCCCGGCTGGAGCTGATCGATCAGAGTGTTCTGGCGCGGAGTGACTCCCTCGCGAGTGCCCTCGTTCCACTCGTCCAAACCGACGAGCTCGAACTCGTACTGAGTGATGTTTCCGTTCTGAGAGACGCATTCCGGAGCGTCCCACTTGAATCCGAGCTCGCTGTCCTTGCGAACAGTGGACTGAAGGTTCTGCGGTGGTCCTGTCGGCACATCGTTCTTCGTGCGGAAAGTTCTGACGGTCTTCGGGGTGACGATCGATGAGTGAAGGCTTGGCGGTCTTCGTGGAGTAACCGTGACCTCGTAAAGGGATCCTGGCTGCAAGTTCTCAATTGGAATCTGCTTCTCCTGGACGTTGAGAAGAGTGACCGGCTCCTGAGTGCCAGTCTGCACTTCATTGCATCCTCCGAGTTGCTTGAGACGGTAGGTGATGTCGACTCCGTAGTTCCACTTCTGATCTTTGTCCGGAAGCTCCCATGTGACGAGGGCCTCACGTGGTCCCTTCGGCTCGACAGTGACGAAGATCTCTCCAGGGAGCGATTGAGTTGTGATGCTCACGCGGTCACTCCATCTGCTCACTTGCGGCTTTCCAGTGTCCTCGACAGTCTGGGTGCGAATCTTGACGTCCCACTTGGTTCCCGGTTGAGTTGGCACAATGAGCTCGGACGGAGCATCCGTGCTGACGGTCCAGTTTCCGCGGGAAGTCGTGTTGACGAAGTCGATGAGGAACTCGACGTTGTCGCACTTCCACGAATTCTCCTCCGGCGGTGTCCACGTGATCTTCATGGTCTCAAAGTCGACGCTCTCGAGCTTCAAATTGCCTGGCGGCTCCTCTGGCTTTCCGCACGACGTCGTCTCCTTGGTTTCCGGTCCCGGCGATCCTCTCTTGTCGTTCTTTCCGACGACGCGTAGGCGGAAGAAGTAGAGCGTGGCGGTCTCGAGCTGTTTCACCGTGATCTTGTAGTCGTTGGCTGTCTTTCTGTGCTTCACCACTCCATTGTATTCTTGCCACTCGGCGCCATCGTCTTCCGACTTGAATTCGAGCACGTATCCGACGACATGAGTTGCTTGATCTTGAGGAAGTCCCTCCCATTTGAGCGAGATCGAGTTCGACGTTTTGTCGGTGACTTCCAGTTCTCTCTCCAACACGGGAATGTTCTGCTGCTGAGTTCTCGACGTCAACTCGTCCGACCATTCGGACCAACCGCCTCCTTCAGTGTGAGCCGACACCTGGATATCGTACTCTTGTTCTGGATCCAAGTCGCTGAGTCTGTAGCACAGGCGGTCCTTTTTGTTCGAGTCGGAGCACTCGAGCCGGTCCGTCTCGACGCGGATCTCGCGGTAGTTGGCCTCTCCGGTCGGCGTGTAGCGCACCTTGTAGAAGTCGACGTTTCCGTGCGGTGGAGTCGGCGGAAGCCAGGAGATCTCGATGGCGTGCGGGAACGTGGCTTCTTCTTGAAGATCGGACGGCGCAGGCGGGTTCGTCGCTTGCGTCGTGAATGGAACCCACTCGGAGTACGGTCCTTCGCCCTCCTTGTTGATCGCACGCACTCGGATCTGGTACTGGGTGTACGGCACGAGCTGATCGAGATTGAGACGTTCGGTTGGGTTGTGTCCGGTGCTATTGTCGGCCCACGCGTCCAGACTCCACAGCTCGTACTCGTAGTCGGTGATCTTTCCGTTCCTTTGCTCGCACTCCGGCTGGGCCCAAGTGACGTCGGCTCTCGAGGAGGTGATGGATCCGATGCGAACGTTCTGTGGTGGTCCGGATGGGGCGGCTTCTTCGGTGGTCACAGTGACCACCGAAGACTGCGGTCCGGCGTGGGAAGTGTGCGCGACCACGTGGATCTCGTACGTGGAATCCGGAAGAAGTCCTTCCAGAGTTTGCTCCTCGTTCTTCACGTGCTTCTCAATCGGCGCAGCGCTTCGTGGACCGCATTCTCCAATCGATTTCAGCTTGTAGGTGAGCGTGTATCCGGTGATGACTCCGTTCGGATCACGTGGCGGCTTCCATCTGACGACAATGCTCGTCGGTCCCTTCGGTCGGGCGGTCAGGTCTTCCACAGCTCCTGGAGCACCCTCTCCCGTCGTAACTTCGAGTTCCTTGCTCCATTCAGAAGCTCCAGCGTCGTTCTCCGTTCGGATTCTGACCGTCCACTTCGTGTTGGACTTCGAGTCGAACAGATGCTCGATCGAAGAGCTCGGCAGGTCAATCTGCTTGCGTGGCTCCGTTCCGTTTCTGTACTCGAGCTTGTATCGGATCGCGGAACACTTCCACGAGTTCTGGTTCGGTGCTTGCCAGGAGACGCGGACTTGGACGTTGGATGGAGTGCCCAGGTTCAAATTGGTCGGCGGAGAGATCGGGGCGGCACATCCAGTACGGGCCTGGGCTTCGGGCGACGGGACGCCGACGCGTTGACGATGATCGACGACCTTGATGCGCACAAAGTAGAGGGTGTCGGCGTCGAGTCCGGTGAGCTTCTTGCTGTAGATCGACTTTCCGACGTCGTGGTTCGTGACGCCTCCGATTTCCTGCCAAACTGGCGCATCCGAGTTTCTGATCTCAATAATGTATCCCTTCACTCGGTTCTTCGGGTCCAACACGGCGTTCCATTGAACATCGAGAGCGTTGGCTCCGTCGGCGGTGACAGTTGGCATCGTTCCGACGACTGGGATGTTGAACGGATCCGTCGTGTATCTGGTCCAGATCTCTCTTCCGAATCCTTGCTTCGTTCCCGCAGAGATCGAGATGTTGTAGGAGGTCTCTGGGTTCAGATCTTCGAAGAGATAGGTCAGCGTTGGATGGTTGACGATGTGAGTTCTCTTCTTGTCGTTGACGTCGTCGAGCGAAACAATCGAGACCCGGTACTGGGTGACGTATCCCTTTGGATCAATCGGTGGGATCCAGCGGATGTGCAGCGAGTGGTCGGTCTTCTCGATGAGATGAATGGCTCGCGGAGCATCCGGCAGCACTTGCAGGGTGTTGGCGATGACCAAAGAGCTCCACGGTCCGTAGCTTCCTCCCTCGATTCTCGTGGCCACTTGCACCTTGAACTGTTGTCCCGACTCCAGACCGGTGGCGTTGAAGCAGAAGCGCGGGGACTCTCCCGGGCACTTGAGCAGCGGATCCTTGATGCCCTTCTCCACGTCGACCCAGTTGTCCGACGGGATTTGCTGGTAGCGGATCTTGTAGGCATCGTGAGGTCCGTATGGCGGGTACGGTGGCAGCCAGGAGACCATGAAGAAGTCGGTTCCCTCCTGCGCGACGACGAGATCTTGCGGTGGAAGTGGGGCGTTGGCTTTCGCCGTCATCACCACCAGGTTCTCGGTGTTCGGCCCTCCTCCGATCGAGTTGTACGCCTTCACGCGCATCACGTACTTGGTGTACGGGGTCAGTCCGTCGATGGTCACTCGGAGGTCGGAGGTGTTGGCGATCTGACGTTCCAGCTTGGCCCAATCATCCTGTCCCAGAATCTCGTACTCGTAGTTGACAATGTGTCCGTGGCGTTGAGAGCAATCCACCGGTTCCCATTGGAAGGACAGCGAGCGCTCCAAAGCGTACGTGGATTCCAGGTTCAAAGGCGGCGAGCTCGGCGGTTGCTGCTCCGTGGACACTTCCTTCGTCTCCTCGGGTCCCAGCTCGGTGGTCCTGGCGCGGACTCGCACTTCGTAAAGCGAATAGGGCAAGAGTCCGGTGATGGTGTAGTCTAGATCCTTGTGGTTGTAGACCGTCACAAAATCTCTGCTCACATCGCGCGGCTCCTCTTCCGGACACGCCAAACGATGCTTGAGACGGTAGGAGATGTCGTAGCCGACGATGGTTCCTCTTTGGACGAGCGGCGCCAGCCACTGCACGTGCACCTCGTTCGGAGACAGCGCTTTGACACGAAGGTCTCTCACGGATCCAGGGGCTCCTTGGCGGGTGGTGATTGACTGTTCCGGTGACCATTGGCTCGATCCGACTTGGTTGGTGGCGCGGAGTTTGACGACCCATCTCTGGTTGGGCTCGGCCGGGAACGTGTACTCGGTCTGATCCCCGGGGACGGTCAGCACCTTCTCCGGCTGGTTTCCGACTCGGTAGCTGATTTCGACGTTCATCTGATCGCACATCCACGTGTTCTTGGCCGGGCGGGCCCACGAAACACGCACTTCGTTGGTGGACGGCGCGTCGACTCGGACTCCCTGTGGTGGAGAAGTCGGCGGAGAGCACTTGGTGCGGGCTCGGACTTCGGGCGACGGGGAGCTCTGCTCATTCTGCTGCGACACGACGCGCACTCTCAAATCAACGACGGCGTTGGTCGGAAGTCCGTCGACGGTCGCCGTGTAGGTGGTCTGCGAGGGATGAGCGGGGATGCGACGGTTGTACTGCTGCCACGCGCCTCCTTCAAGTCGGTACTCGACGATGAATCCTCCGGCTTCGCGATTTCGGCTCTCCCATTCGATTGTGATCGAGGTCGGCTCTTCGGCGACGACGCGTGGAGCCACAGAAAGAGCAGTGAGGGCGGCGGCGTCGGTGGTCATCACGGCGCTGGTTCCTCCGCACATTTCCTTATGAGTGGCCGCCGAGACGGTCACGTTGTAGGTGGTGCGTGGGCGGAGATTGTCGACGCGGTACTGATAGGTGGCACGATCCACGTTGAACGTCTGCGATCTCTGCGATCCGTCCTGTGGAGTCACCACAATTCGGAAGGCGGTCACTCTGTTCTTATCGTCAGGACGGACGTCCCAGTTGATGTGGAGCGAGTTCTCGGATCCTCCGATCTTTCTGACGAAGAGCACTTGAACGGCGGTGTCGGTGACCTTCGTCCGGTCCGGTTGCGAATACGGTCCCCATCCGGAGTCCTTGACGTGGGCGGACACTTGGAAGTCGTACGTCTGTTCGGGCTTCAGGTTCTCGATGCGTCCGCAATGAAGTCTGGATCCTGGCGGCGTTGGCGGCAGGTTCTGGCGCTCAATCTGACGTTGTTGGCACGGGGAGACGGCGGGGAATTGACGTTCCTGATATTGTTGGGTTCCGGTCGGCGCGTAACGGCACTTGTACTTGTCGACGTATCCGTTGTTTGGGTACGGAGACTGCCAGACGAGCTGCGCGTTGTCGGCGCCAGTGTGAAGCACCTTGACGAATCCTGGCGCCTGGACGTTCTGCTGTCCGGCCGACGTTTGGAATGGAACTTCAGTGGACCAGGGTCCAGCTCCGCGGGCCGTGTACGCACGAACCTTCACGTTGTAGCGAGTCTGCGGCTGGAGGTTCTCAATTCGGGCACGAGTTCCACGAATGTTCTCGGTGGTCTTCTGGACGGTCTGACGACGATCTCCGGCCGTCACCTCGTACTCGTACTCGGTAATCTCTCCGTTCGTCTGAAGACACGGAGGAGCTTGCCAGGAAATGCTGACGTCCGTCGGGCGGATGTCTTCGGTGCGGAGGTAGAGTGGAGCGCCGGATGGAGCCGCCTGGTCCGTCTGGATCTCGAGAGACACTCGCTCTCCGGCTCCGACGTTGGATTTGGCGGCGACGCCCACGCGGTACTTGGAGTGCGGGTGAAGACCGGTAATTGTGAAGTGGGGTCCGTTGACGGTGATCGTGCGTGGAGCCTCTTGGTTGTTGTCGCAGTTTCCTCTGAAATCAATACTCTTAGAACAGATTGTAAGAGCAAGAAACAAAAAATCATACCTGGAAATGAGTTGGTAGGTGACTTCATACTGCGTAATTCTTCCGTTCGGGTTGACTGGCGGCTGCCAGCTGCACTGAAGCGAGTCCGGTCCGATCGGTTGGACTCTCAGATTGGCGACGGGTCCCGGAGCAACTCCCTGGGTTTGAGCCGACTGGGCTCTTGACCATTGGGACTCTCCGGCCGGATTAGCAGCCTGGACCTCAAAGTTCCATTGGGTGTACGGATCCGAATCGAAGACGACGAAGTTCTCTCCATTCGTCAGATTCTTGAATCCTTGATTCTGTGGAGTCGAGTACTTCACAATGTACCAGAGACGATCGCAATTCCATTCGGACTCGTGCAGTGGGGCCCATTGAACGCGGATTTGCGTGGGTCCGAGTGGCGAGACTTGCACATCGGCCGGCGATCTTCTCGGGGCCTTGCACTGCGATTCGGTTTGGACTTGGACAATCGACGAAGTGTAGGCGGTTCCTCGGTTCGGGTCTTTGGCCACAATTCTGACTTCGTACGTGTGTCCCTGTGGAAGCTCTCCAAGATCCACAGAATACGGACGTTGCCATCCGTTGTACGGGATCGGGTTGCGGTGTTGTCTCCAGTTCGGTTCGGTCGTCGACTTCCACTCAAGCACGAACGACTCGATCAGATCGTTCGTGTTCTCTTTGGATCTCCAGGAGATGATCGGCTTGCCCTGTCGGTAATTGACGTCCGGACCAATAATCAGCTCGCCTCCTGGCGGCGTCTTGGTCTGTGCGGCCGGGGTCCAGGACGAGTGTCCGGCCGAGTTGATGGCGCGGATCTTGACCGACCAGACCTGGTTGGGTGCCGAATTGAAGATGTGAGAAGTTTGATGGCTTCCGAGCACGACGGCCGGCTGTCCACGTGGCTCTTCCGGTTGGATTTCGAACTGAATGTCCGAGCATCCCCACGTGGATTGCGGGGGGAGCGCCCAGGAGACACGAACGTGCGAGGCATCCGGAGAAGCGACTTGCAGGTGGGACGGAGCGTGGGTTGGCTCTGAAAATTGTCAGATTGATGTCAGGGCGATAGAATTCTAGACACTCACGTGTGCAACTGCTCTTGGCGCTCGACTGAGCCGAAGTGTACATGACGTACGAGTTGCGGTCGAGCACTTGGACGTGAATGTGATAGGCGTTTCCGCGTTCGAGTCCCGTCAGCGTCTGCGTGTACTCGAGGTTGTCGCCGGCGTACGGCACCAGCTGTCCGTACGTCTTCCAGCCGGAATTATCGGTTCTAAACTGAACGTGGTATCCGTAGACGCCACGTCCCTCTCCCTCGCTCTTCCACTTCACAATCAGGTCATTATCCTGGGCAAGAACTCGTGGCGTGGAGCACAACGCTGAAAATATGAAGGTTTAGGGGGGGATTTGATTGAAATTCGAGGAGCGGGTTAGTGAAAAAGTTGGGAGAACTCATGCGCTTTTATAAGAGCTAGGGGGGGGGGCTGGAAAATCAGAAAACTCATAATAGTAGTTTCAGCATTCGAAACTCAGACGTTGGTTGGTTGGAATTATTAACTTCAAAAGAGGTTCGGTACGGTTAGGAGACGGATGAGGAGGAGGAGAAAAATAGAGAGTAGAAGTGGAAAAAGAAGAAGTGGCACACGTTTCAGACGGCCAACCTTCGCCAGAATTCGTGTCTCTGAGTGGAGAGTTTGAGAATTGCCCTTGGCACCAGAAATCGGTTCGCGGATCGCAAACACTGCGTTTTGAACGGTGACTTGCTGACATAGATTCAAGTTTTTACAAAGATACAAGTTTGATGGAGCGTATGATAATGTCTGACAGTTCAATGGACTCACATTGTTGAGAAGACGACGCAAAAATGGCATCCCGGGACGGAGTACCCGATCCTGCGGTGTTGACTCCACGGACCTACAATATCAATCATCGAGTTCGAGGAGGACTGTAGGCGACCGTAATTTAAACCTGAACTCTCCAATCGCCCTGCGCGGCTCCCTGAATCTCGACGCTTCGGTCGCTTCCTGGCACACGCTGGTTGATGGATTGTCCGTTTTGTTGGCCGGTGATGAAGTAGTAGGATTGGCAGTCTCCCGAGTCTTGGCTCGCGTCCCACGAGACACGGACCAGCTGGTCAGAGACACGCTCAAGGCGCACGTTTTCCGGTGATTGCGGCACTGAAAAAAAAAGAAGCGAATAAATGGCGGACTAGTGGGACCGGACTAGCCTTGACAAAGCACCGAGAAACTGGCGGATGGTGACGTGGCGACGGCGTTTCGCGAGGCGTCCAACGCGCGAACTCGCACCAAATACGTGTTGGCGACGTTGAGTTGGCCGAGCGGAAGGCGGTAATGAGTCTGTGTGAGCTCGTTCTGAACGGCCGGCTCCACAGCCCGCCAGGATCGTTCGTCGGTGGATCGGATGTCGACCTGGTACTCGACGACACTGGAACGGTCGCCGACGACCGACCAGTAGGCGACGGAGCGCGAGGCCGATTGTTCGATTCGTGGTTGAGTGATGGTCACTCCTTGCGAGGACGGGGCAGCAGCGGCAGAGCCATCTGAAAACGACGACAGTTACCTTGGGACGGGAGGGGATCTTAACAGAAAAGAGAGAGCGGTTGAAAGGTTAGTACCAAGTTGAACCAGAGTGAAGTGCAGTGGGTTACTAGCCGGCAGCTCCTCTCCGCTGGTTAATTGATAGGAGATCTGTTAATGAGAAAGAAATTTGGAAAGTTAAGCGACGAAAATTACACTGCTAAGATAATGAACTCCGAAAAATAGGCCTTTGAGTTGATAGCAATAGTCCTGCGGATCAGCAATGCCTTTCGGACATTGGAAATGTGCGGGTCCGCCGAGCAGTTGGATCCATTTCGACGAGCTGATCTCCTTGTACATCAACCTGCACGTCGGGTTATAGAAAAAACTGTGCGAGCGCCCCGGAAATGTTACTTGAATTTACTTATTTGGTGCGAATGTTGCGTTAGTGGTGTCCAAACGAGAAACGAGCACGGTGGCGAGAGCACGATTCGCAACTTAAAAATGTTGAGCGCATCTGAAATCTTTTTCGGAGTTAGAAATGGTTAAATTTGGGTGGATAAGGGGGAGGGGGACGAACCTTTGATTAGATGTTTAGCCTGTCGTTTCACACGATTATTAGCCAAGTCTGTTGTAAATATTGAAACGTTAGTTGGTTTAGAGTATAGGACAGATTTAGAAGAGAGAGAGAGTACAATAATCGGATATTATCGATCCTAACCTGATTTAACACTTCCAGCGATGGCCGTCTCGATCACGACGTCTTTGCTCCATTGCGAGTGTCCGTTCACAGATCGGGATCTCACTTTGAAAGTGTAATCGACGTTCTGCCGCAGTCCCTTGAGCACGACGGACGGCGATCCGACGTAGGACGCTCCGTCGACGGGCGCACTTTGCGACGCTTCGTAGAAGATGTACTCGTATCCATCGATGGGCGCGATCGATTCGTCGCACTTGGGCACATCCCACTCGAGCTTGAGGCTCGTCGAATCCACGTCGGTGCTTCTGATGTTCGTGGGCACTCCGGCGGCTCCGATGCACGATGTCTCGGTCGCTTCTCCGACTGTCAACTCTTCGGTGCGCGCGACCACCTTGTTCTGATCGTCGATGGCGACAATTCGGACTGTGTAGTACGGAGCGGTCATGTGATCCAGGGCCACCGAGTAGTCTCCCGACCCCTCGGCGACACCCTTCTGCTCCTGCGTTCGCCACGTCGTCTCGTTCGGAAGTCTGTACTCGAGAATGAATTTGCTGACGGTGATCGAGGTGGCGGGAAGCTTCCAGTGCACGGCGAACTGCTTCTTTCCCTGGTCGACCACTTGCGGCTTCTCCTCCCACGATTCAATGCCGCCCGACGTCGTGAACGCCTCGATTTGGTAGACTTGCGTCGGCTCGTGATCCACAAACGCGATCACTCCGATCGTGTACTTGGTGCTCGGACGGAGGCCGGTCAGGGCGAACGAGTTGAGGGCCGGGTCGACGCGACGACGTTCCACGCGTCTCGAATCATCGTCCACTTCAACGGCGGTCACCTGAAACACTTTTGAGAGATGATAAAAGCCTTCGAAAAGCTCGCTCAAAAGGCGCCTACCTCGTAATGTTGAAGGCGTGGATTGGCGAATGGTTGCCAGCTGACGCGAAGTTCAGAATCGGTACGGTAGAGAAGTTGAATGTTGTTGGAAATCGGCAGAGCCTCTCCTTTTGTCTTCGTCTCGAGCACCTCCGAATTCCACGGTCCCACATTGCGATTACGGTCGACGGCGCGCACTTTGACACTGTAGAACGTGCCCGGCAGAAGGTTGGTCACCGAAACATGCGGCTGAGTGACTGTTTGACGGTGGATGTCGAATGGCGCGGAGACGCCGGTCAGTTCGACTTGGTAGTCGCCGACGGAGCCACAGTCCGGAGCGTCCCATTTGATCGCCAGCGAGTATTGGGCCGTCTCCGTGACTTGCGGATAGCGAGGCGCGGTCAGGTCATCTGCAAAATCAGTGGTTTGGTGGGGGATGCTCAATTTGCGAGCACTCACCATTTTCACATTTAATCGACACAATCTCATTGTGAGCCCGAATCTCGGGCGTCTCCACAAGCACCTCGTTGTTCTCGCCGATCACCTTAATCCGCACCAGATAGGAAATACCGGTCGGAAGTTTGGGTATCTGAACGCGATACTGATGGTTGGGTCCCTTGTAGGGTATGATTCCCGGGTGCAGTTGCCATTCTCCGCTTTTCTCCGGACGATATTCCACGAGGAATCCTTTCACTTCCGAATCAGCGTGATCTCCTGAAGGACGACGGCGATTTGATTGGAAAGCGAAAGGAAAGGGGAGAGATGACCCACCAGTTTGTATTCCTTCCCATTCGACTGTGAGAAGACTGTCTGTTCCACTTTGGCGTTTAACTCTGACGTCTGCAAAAAAAAGACGATTCTTTTTTTGGCTGAGCACAAATGCCACTTACTGGAGTTTAATGCTACGGTTGCTGCACTATATAACTGAAGATACCATATCCCGAGGAGAAGGAGACCCCTCGAACGGAGACCCATCCTGCAAACGTTTCAAGTGTACATATATATATTCGTTAATGTAGAGATGAATGTATAATGTCGAAACGAACATGATGACTAGATATAGACACACAACACACTGATTGTTTTTATTCGCTTTTTTGAGGGCAATAGCGGATCGCACACACGCGCATTGTTTATGTTCGGGTACAACAACGGGAGCGGAGAGAGCGGACGTGAAAGGTGCGGTAGTTTGAAGTAATAATTGTGTTTCGCTTTGATCAGAAGTGACACGTTGCACAGAAAAAAAAACAGTTGACAATAGGTTGGTGAAATCCTAGGATCGGGAATGTTTGTACCAGAAATCCCACGTTTTGGGAAAGGGTTCCGAGGTAAATCCTAGGTTCTGAAGTTTCTAAAGTCTAATGTAAGGCTCTAAAGTTATGGTCCCTTGATGAATCTAGAAACACAAGGAACGTTTGTGGTCGGACTCCAAATTCTTGAGATTTTAGAATGTTGAACCTTTCGACTATATGATTTGGGCTCTCAACTATTAGTTTAGAATCTTGGCGGGTGTTTGGACTCTAGCAAATTGCAAAATTAGAGGATAGATTGGCAAGGCTTCAATTTTTGGATATTCTAGGTTGCAAGAGGTCGAACACCCGAAATCCAGAGGTTCTTCCGACGACAACAAAAACCAAAACAATAAGCAACCGGTATGGAAATGATAAGAAAGTGGTAAAAAGAGATAGAGATGCAAAATCAGTTATTCTGATCGCAATCATCCCCTGGAATCAATCACATACAATCGTTTGCCCGCCGCAACAAAAAAAAAAGAGTCGGGCGGCGGCTGCGGCAACTTCTTCTTCTTCTTCTTCTTTTTCGTCTTCTCTCGAAGGAAAAGAATAAGAAGACGTCAAAAGGATTGCCGAAATAGTGTGAAGACGAAGAGACGCAGAGGAAAGAGAGAGAGAATTCGGGTGTGGTTGCGATTGAGAAACCGTTTTCAGTTATGATTTTTGTTTTTATTCTTAACACACCAAAGAGCGGACCGCGTGGGTATGGTAGGATGGATCCGAAAAGTTGGAGCGGGTACAATGAGTCTATAAAAGTTGGAACGTGTATAAATCAAGTGAGTAATACGGGGAGGGGAACTCCCAAATAAAACCAGAATCAGTCGGGCGCCCCGCCCTCCCCACGCACCTGTTTTGTCATTTTCATTTATTTGCCAGACTTTCTGTATGACTAAGAGGTCAATGTTTGCCTTCGAAATCAAAACGACGCGCCAATCTCTTTTGCAGAAGAGAATCTAATTACGTTCCAAACAAAAAACGGACATGAAACTTGGCGGCCTGCTCAAAGCCACGTATCTCAGTTGTCTGTAGAGATATCAAAAACTTGTAAATTGATAAAATGTTCACAATATCTTGCTGAGTATTTCATTAGTTGACCATTTCTTGATATCTCTATGGGCAGCTGAGATATACCGTTTGAAATAGGGGGTATTTACGGTTGCCGGAATTTCGCAAAAAAAGGCCTAGAAAACATAGTATCCGAGCAATTTCGCGAGGCCTAGAAACCAGGGAAAATGTGGCCAATGTGCCATGTGCAAAAGCAAAAATGCGTCGAAATTGGTCCCAACTAGACAAATGGACAACAAAAGTTCATAACCGGAACCCGCCCAACGGAGAATTTTTGTAAAATGGGTGTGGCCGAAACAAGGAGAAAGATACAACAAAAAAAAAAGTTTGGGGAGGAGAAAGTTTGGAGATGAAACTGAGAACGGTGAACATTGGGCAAAAGGCTATGCAAATTTCTCCTCCTCCTCCTCCCAGTCCTCCAAGCGGCCGAGTGATCCAGTGATGCGAAATAGCAAAGGAATGCGCGCGTTTTGCGACGAGAAGGCCCATTATTTGATACAAATGTGCGAAAAGAAGTGGAGGAGGAGGGGAACGAAAACGAAATCCAAATCACAAATCGTATAACATGGAAAGCATTGTAGAGAGCGGGAGGGCGGCAAGTTCAAAATGCTTACAGTCATAAAGTTTTGGAGAGTGAGAGGGGGGAAGAGTTTGATAAATAAATAAATGGAATAGGAATAAGAATCAATTCTTTCTTGATGCTCTTCTTCTCTTTTTCTCTCTCTCTCTCTCTCTTTCTTTCCCAAATGTTTGTAAAAAGTGTGTTGATAAGTGATAAGAGACCGCGCGTAAACCGGGTGGTGTGTAGAAGCGAGTGACACAATTTTTTTTTTGTAAACCCACTGATTTAAGGGTTGATTGATGAAAGCTTGTTTTGGAAAAAAAACAAGAAGATCTCTTCTAGAGACACCCCTAGAGATTTTGTCCAAACACAAAAGTTTTATGAGAATGGTAACTGACCTTGCCCAAAATGAATCATGATGGGTGTGGCAGTTGGGGAAGAAGAACCTCCTGAAGATCTAGGCGACACCCATCTGATTCTAATCATGGATTAATTCATCATCAACAATAGCGCGGGAGCGGGAGCGGGCGCCAACGGGTATCAGTTTTTAGATGAACTTTGATGAGCTATTGTGGGATTCGCAGACGTGTTAGGGTTCTCAAAATTGTTTTGCAAAGACTTCACATCTAGAGGTACAATTTCTCAGTTGACCACTTTTTGCTACGAGCACTTTCTGGACTACTGTGGGCCTAGGAAGCAAAGCGGCAAAGCGGCGATACAGTACTCCAGGGAGGGGTCCTAGAAAAAAGTGGCCAACTACAAAAATAAGGTAAAAATCATCAAGATCTCGAAAAGGTCTACAATAGCCAGGGCAGTGAAGCGATAATATAACAGAAAAAACAGTCATCCATCGGGGGGAGGGGGCCGAGAAAGTCATTCGAGAAATGTGTGAGATAGGGCCAGGGGGGACATCTCTATTCGATCGTTTTGCTATTGCGAAAAAGAAGGGGAGGAAGAAGAAGAAGAAGAAGAAGAAGAAGAAGGGCGTGCCCCTCCTTCTCCTTCTCTCCAAGAGATGTTGTACCTGACGGAAGAAAGCGAGGAGAAGGAGAAGGAGGAGGAAAGGGGGTTTGTATGTGTTTGGGAAGAAGAAGAAGAAGAAGAAGAAGGGGGTGTCCTGTAAACCGTACACACATACAATCACTGACAGCGACGAATAGAGGCAAAGACTTCTTCCATTACGAACTAGTTCCCCCACTTTTTGGGCCGAAAAAGAGAACACCTTTCTTTACTGTTATTGTGATAATCATTAGATTTATCGGAAGTTGGAGGAGGGAGGGCTTCAATGGGTTTTGATAAGAAATGGCACGTGGCAGCAGAGACCAGGACCTGAGAGATAGTGCCAAAAGAGAAGCAGGAGGTTATGGTGGTCTCGGATTTTCAGATTAGGAGCCGGTACCAAAAGTAAAGGAGTTTTGAGGGTTCTAGAAAAAGGAACATGTCAAATTGTAGATTGGAGGGCCTGGATTGAATGGGTTTTGATAAAAAGTGTCATGAGGCCTTGACAGGACATTAAAATTCTAGAGCTAAAAGTGTCAACGCTCGGATTTGCGAGTTAGGAGGGGTTAGGGACCAAGTGAAATTAAATGAGTACCCTAGACATTCCTAGATTGCGCTTGGAGCCAGACTAAGGAGGCTGAGACTTAACGTTAACCGGAGGTTGTTCAAAAAAGACATGGTTTTCCATGAATTTCTTCGAAAGTCCGTGTTTTTCCCCTCCACAAGCAAAAGCGGTACACTAAAGTGGAAGAAAGCAGGAAAAAGCGCAAAACTTTTGTGGGTGTACTTGAGAACACAGTCTTCTCGAGCAATTGCCGGTGCTTACCCCCATTCCGGCGGCTCCTTCTCCCTCTCTCTCTCTCTCTCTTTCTCTCTCTCTCTCTCTCTCTCTCTCTCTCTTTCAAACGACACGATAATTCGATGCGTAAACACTTGTAACACACGATTTTTGCCTGTGGCAAATCCTCCAACTTTAGAAGGGTGCCGCGTCGAAAAGTTTTAGAGCACTTGCAGGACGTTCCGGGGGGTGGTCAGCCGCGGACAAAATGTTCCGAAAATTTTGGGGAAACGGTTCAACTATGCACTCATGTAGAAAACAGTTCCATAAAGTACCACTTGTACAAACTTGGCATGTTTCTAGGCCTCAGTTCTCAGTTACACTCACTTCAAACTTTTGTCTCAAAGTTTCCAACAAGAAAAAGAGGTGCGTGGGCGGTGCACTGTTTGCAGAAAGTTAAAAAGATCGGACGGATTACTAGAGCACCAAAAATCACGGAAAAATTAGCATAGCGGCGAGCGGAGCAACAGAAAACGACGAAAAAAGAAACGAGAATGGTCCAAAGAGACGCAAAAAAGTCAATAAACTCAACGGGTTCGACGTTTTCAAAGATCAGTAGGTCACAAAACTGGGGGTAGATCGAAAATCTCTTTGGGGATATGGGAATCCGAAGGTTCTCAGGCAGAAATCGTAAGTAATCGGGTGCGGAAACGAAACGGAAGGAAAGAAAGAGGGAAGCGGAGGAGAAAAACCAGAAAAAAAGCAACAAAAAAGTGCTTCATATACACTAACGAATATGTGTTTGTTGGTGGTTTCTAGTGAGAGCGGTGCTCGCGCGGAAAAGAGAGACTCAACAAAATGCAACTCAAATGCGACGAAGACGGTGATGAGCAGAAGCCGGCGGTCCTAGCGGCGAGCAAACACAAAATCTTGCTCTCGCCCCGCCAAGAAAAGCTGAAGACCCCCGCGCGGGAAGGCATGCGCGCACTCGAAACGAAGCTCTATTTATTGTACTCCGAAACTGTGGAAGAGAGAGAGAAAGAGAGCGGAACAAAAAGCCGCCCGGGTTTGCCACGTGGGAACAAAAGTGGTAAAGAGTTGGACGGATCGGTCGGCAAGAGACCGGGGGACTTAGGAATCAGTTTTGTACAAAAGGTTCCATATTTCTAGAATTTTCTAGAACCTCAATCCTAATTAAAAGTTTATTTCCACATCTAGGTCGATGCACCTTGGTTGCCCTTCCGTATGGTGCATCAGCCTTCATCTACCGTAAATAGTCGTGTACTGTATATTGTCCATTCAAAATGATGTATCTCAGTTGTCGATGGAGATACAAAAAAGTTGTCAACTACAAAAATGTTCACAAGATCTTTTTGCGCAATTTATCATTTGACAATTTGTTAATATTTCTACGGGCGGCTGAGATATATCATTCTAAAGAACGGTTTTTTGGGTTCTATTACAGTATTTACGGGCCGTGTGTGCTGTACAGAACGGAGAAAGGTCTAAATGTATAGAATGCCTCACAAGAAAAACAGTTCAGAAGCTGGTCACAAAAATGCGACCGCCAGGTCAGAAAAGTGAAGGCGAAAGTGATTGATATCACGCAAAAGGTATGCGGGAACTCAATTTTGTAGAGATACAATATCATTTTCGTTCTGAACTCGACAATTTGAGGTTGATTGACGTAAGAGCTAAAAAAAAACTCTAGAAAACAATCTGAAAGACGCAAAAAAGCCGTTATCAGGAGTGAGGAATGTAGAGAGAAGTAGTAGTACAGTAGCGGTTTCGCTCCCCGCAATCCGACGCATTCTTTCTCTTCTTCTTCTTCTTCCGACCGACCTTAATTGGAGCGATTATCCTTGAAGGGGGGGGGACAGTTATAATACATCAGATTGGCTGGTGATAAGTGATGGGAGAGACCGCCCGGCGCACTGATGAACCAGTACGCAAACTACTATATGTCACCGGAAAAAGATACTAATTTGTTGGGGTTGCAGGGGGCAGATAGCTGGTCAGTTGAGGCTCCATGTCAATAAAGTTCGCTTACTTCAAAAACGTTGATGCCGCGCCAAGTGGAGGCCTCTGCAGACATTCCCTACGGAAGAGGAAAAGCTAGGCCATGTTCTGTAGTTGGCATGGATCTACAAGTGGCATGTGGAGGAGGAAAAGCTAGGCCAGAATTATTTTCGATAACTTGTGGTCTATTCACCATGGGAACATAGATTAAGTCATGAAAGCAGTAAGTGATAAAAGCAAATTTATTGCGTAGTGAAATTTCAAAAAAAGATAAAAGATTTCAAAAAACAAGGCAAGGTATTAAGAAAGGTATTAAGAAGTACGTGTGTGTGTGTGTGTGTGTGTGTGTGTGGGAGAGGGAGAACAAACTTTTGTCCTCCTCCCGCGCAGCAGCAAAAAACTTCGGCGCCGCACTTTTCCTCTTGACTCGAGCATCGGTGTTGCGAGGATTCTTCCATCTCTTCGGAGCTCTGCAAAGTGGAGAAGAATTAGAAAAAAGGGAGAGAGAGAGAGAGAGAGTAAACTTGAACTTTTTGAGGGGGAGAACGTAAGAACTTACTACTATTTGACGCGTTGTGCCACGGATTTTCTCCGATTCCTCTCACCGAGACGCCCAAAATCTCTTTGTTTGTGTTGGCTGGTCGATTTGCGGAACATGGTTGCGAAATGGGGAAGAGGAAGAAATTGGTCTGGAAATGATAAGGGGTAGCGTATTCAAAACAAGGTATTTGAAAGTGAATTTCAGGTATTTTGAACTGAAATTTTTTAAGAGACTGGCAAGACGGTCAGAAAGATTCACCGTTAACAATTTTTTGCGAGGTAAAGTTTAACTCGACGTGCCTCAGGTGCATCCGTCGAAATGACCAGCACAAGGCAGAAAAGTGTTCCTTCGAAAAAAACGTTCCTCACGAATTACTGCAACTTGTCGGTTAGATTAGCGAAACAGCGAAACAAACCGATAAACAGTTTCTGTTCTCTTCTGTTTTCCGTCTGTGTCTCTTTTCTGATCCGCGTCGTCAGTGTTTATTTGCAATGTTACCCCCTTTCCCAGTGATTCACACCGGCCGTCACTTTCGCTCCAATTTTGCCTCCTCGCTTTTATTCAAATCCACCAGCCTTTTCCCATTTTTTGACGCTTTTCATTTCGCAATAATATTACACAGGCTCTATGCGTACCTTGTAGTTGGTCTGAAATTGAAGACAGCAGACTCATAAATTTTTGGTGTGTCTGTTATCATTGACCAACAAAAATGTTATCAGTCTGTCACTCACTCATTACCAGTCTAGTCATTCGTTTGCCTCGCTTACACACACTCCCGAATTAGCATTTCTCTTTTTATAGAATCCTTTAAAAAAAAATGGGAGGAACAATCTCGAAAAGCACTCAAACTTATCCGCCGTCGCGTCAAGTTGTCACCTCTTACGGGCCAATTGAGGGTCGGCGCTTGATTCACGAAGGCGACAAGCAGGTAGCAATTTTTTAGGCCCAAAAGTTAATTTTATTAGTTTATTTACAGGTCGACGCTTTTCAAGGAATCCCCTATGCCGCTCCGCCAGTGGGAAAATTGCGATTTGCGGTTAGTCATGTCAATTTTAAACATTTCGAAATTTGACATCGTTTTTGGGGGGTCACGTGTCCTGAATTTTTGAGCTTCTAGCTAGTGAATCAGCAGAGAGATCTGACCAAAGTTTGCTACAAAGTAGGTCAAAGTATCGTCATCTTTCCAGATGCCTCAACCGCACGAAAAATGGACAAAAGTTCTCGAAACCAAAGCGTTCGGCGCACGTGGCATACAAAAGGACAGCTTGTTCTTGCCCAAGGTTTAAAATATTTTTTAAAAAGCACTTTTTAATTCAACTTTCCAGTCGGCGCCACAATCGGAAGACAATCTGACTCTCAACATTTTCACGCCGGTTTGGACGCCGAAAAACGATCAGGGATTCGCGGTGCTTTTGTACATTCACGGCGGCGGCTTTGTGAGCGATAGCGCGCACAAGTACGGCGATTTGAGCGTCAGCCAGCATCTGGTGACCAAGGACGTCGTGGTCGTGACAATTCAATATCGGCTGGGATTCTTGGGCTTTTGGACGACCGGAGACGGCTCGATTCCGGACAATTTGGCGTTCCATGACATGACGTTCGCGTTGAAATGGGTCAAAGAGAACATTGCGGCGTTCAACGGGAATCCCAATAACATCACTTTGATGGGACAATCGGCCGGCGGCGCTTCTGTCGATTTTTTGAGCATTTCTCCTATTTCCAGAGGTTGGTCTCTGAAAAAACAATTTTTAGATCAACAAAAAACTATCAACAATTTCCAGACCTGTTCCATAAAGTGATTCCGATGGCCGGAAACGCGAGCTGCAACTGGGCCATCCACACGCGGCCACTCAATTCTTGTAGAAATCGTGCTCAAGAAATCGGCGTCACCGATGGAACGAACACTTTGGATTGGGTGGAGAAACTCAGAGAAGTGCCTGCGGACAAGTTCGCCGCCGCGCTGGATGTTAGTGGGATTTCAAAGGGAAAGTTGGGACTTTACCAGTTTTCAGACGGGAAGTGTGGATTCCAAAGAAGAACCGGAGCTTCTGATCGGTCCCAAATACGATACGGTCTTTCTGCCGAAACCAATCATGGAACTGCGGCAGGAGGCGCCGATGAAGCCGAGATTGGTGGGATGTGCGAGGTCCGAGGGCCTGATCATGTGTCGTAAGTTTGACATTTCAGGTCAATTCTACAGTCGTTTTGTTGTAGTGTTCGGCACGAAATCCAAGCACCCGCTGCACATTTGTCAAGACGACGTCTCCGCAATTCTGTCCGAACGCCTTTTTCCGCTAAAAGCTCGGGAATATCAGGAAAAGGCAATGGAGAAGTTGATTGACGTGGAGAAAGAGCACTCGAAAGATCAGTGGCAAAGAGCCATTTGTGAGCTCAAAGGAGACTCCTTTTTGAATGTGGGCGTCCAGCAGAATGTTCTGGACGTGCTCGAGACTCAACCCTCTACACCCGTTTACTTTTATTCCTTCGACTATTTCAATCCGAAGGCCTACGGAATTCTGGGATGGAAGATGCCGTTCAAAGGTAAGCGCGGACTAGAAAGCACAAAGTGTGTGTCAAGCGGATTATTTTCCGTCGAGATTGTACAAAAACATTATCAAACAACTAACGTTTCAAACAATTTTATTCAGCAGGAAGTAAAATTTCCCGATGCTTATGATTTTTGACTTGCCAAACAAAAAATAAAATTCCAGACGCGACACACTGCACTGATATCAGTTATGTGGTCGGAAATCACATTGTGATGTCGCTCGAATTCAACGAGACCGACTACAAAGTGATTGATATCACTACGCGATTGTGGACTAATTTCGCCAAATATGGGTGTGCTCATGGCCACAAGTCACAATTGAGTCAAACAATTGTGTTTTTAGGGATCCGAATGGAGTGGGTGATGACGAGGCGAAGTTGGAGCAGAAATGGGAGCCGGCCACGTTGGAGAACCCGCAAACGCATCTTTCTTTGTCTCCGGAGCCGAAACTACAGCAGGAGTATAAGGTTTGTTCATTTTTTTTTTGATTGCAATTGTAGCTGACAACTTTTTTCTATGACCACCACCTAGAGTACTGTAGCTCTTGCAAGTAAGCCTGATGTCATCTTCCTTTAACTCACAAAACCTACATTATTCCAGAGAGTGGTCATAGAAAAAAGTAGTCAACTACAAAAATTATGTACTAGAAATTGAGATTTCACACAAAAAATGTTAAGGCTCCAAGAGTGTCTCTGAAATTTAAACTTTTTGTTAAAAGTTCGTACATGTTCAACTCTTAATGATAATTTTACAGAACGGTCGCCCGTTGTTCATGGCGCAACTGGTTCGAAAAGCGAGACAAGTGCCAAAATTCTAAAGAACATTGTACGCTCCGGTTTTATTATTATATTGATATGTATGTAAACATTATGAATCATTACCTATTGTATAATCAGAAAATGAATATTACTATTTTGTGTCACAATGCAAAAATGGAAATTGATGCTAAGCTAGCCTTTAAAGGAGGCCTGTCACTAAAAAATTAGTGTGTGCGATAATTATACCATAGGATAGAGCGTAAAACGCTACACATGAGTCCAGTACATTTAGGGCCACATTTGTGGCCTCAAAGTACTTCGCTTCGTTTTTTTCGCTGCACTCAAACTTCTGTTACCCGCATCTCAGAACCGTTTGTTTTTTTTTGAAATGTAGTCAACTGAAAAGTTTTCACGATCCGTTAGAAATTCTTGAGTTCATGACTACTAGAAAAATGATGTACTGGGCTCATGTGTAACTTTTTACGCTTTAAGGCGTTTTTCACAAAAAAAACGGTGCTGTCGATGCCGCGGCGTCCTCCCATAAATATTTGTTTCCATAAACAATTCCTCGACCGTCTTTCTCTTTTCCTTTCCCATTTTCCGTTTCCTTTATCATCATTTTCCCCCTGAACACCTCCACCTGATGGACGCAATCAAAACGGTCAAAGTCGTCGTGGTCGGAGAATCTGGCGGTAAAATGACAACATCTAGAAACTTTTAGTGGAAAATCCAAAATTTCAGCAGGAAAAACGGCGCTACTGACGTCATTTCTCGATAATTCGTTCGATGAAGACCCCCTCACCACTATCGGTATCGATTTTAAGCACAAGATTGTACAGCTGAAAGATGGACAGGTACGGCCGCAAAGAACATACGTGCTCTATGGCACATCATTTTTTCATCAAATTGTGGCAAAACTGTTCGATAATTCAAAATTTTTAGCCGATACGTCTCCAACTCTGGGATACAGCTGGACAGGAACGCTTCCGACAGCTCACTCCTGCTTATATTCGAAGTGCACGAGTGGCGCTTCTAGTAATCGATCTTTCGGGTAAAAACGTCTTAAAAATGTGCTCCACCAAAGAAAAAAGTGCGGTGGGCCGCGTTCGCAACAATTTTACGAAATTTTACACGAAATGTTCAGACGAAAACGCAGTGGAGCATTTGATTCGTTGGAAAGGGATGATTGACCGAAATAAAAGTGATTATACGGCCACATTTATTGTCGGAAACAAGTGTGATTTGGTTGGCGAGTGAGTGACAACAATGACGGAACACTAAAATCAATCATTCTTTCTAGAAAACGACCGCCGCGACTAATGGCCGCTATCAAAGAGACAAAAGACGAATATATCGAAACTTCGGCGAAAACTCGGAAAAATATCAAAGAGCTGTTTTCGATGGTCGCCTGCCGGCCGTTTCCGGAACACGAGGACAGCGAAATTGTTTTGTGTAGGTCAAAAAAGGCATACGCAACCAAATGCAAATTTCAGTGAATCAACCACGTCCTTCGGACCGAAAACTTTGCTGCAATTTTCGCTAACTCGTACTTTTTGACAAAACAAAACACTTGTTGTATTTTTGTGCAAATGGATTTTTCTAAAATTAAGACGGGAATAAATATTCCAGCGTGGAAAAGCATGCGATAAATTACAAGAACTCCTCTACATGTCAACGAAAACGCGCTCGCATTGCAAGAAAAAAGAAGAAAAACTGCTCGGAGAACCGTCTGAAACACTATTGAATTCCGTTCCGCGCACACGTGATAGGTCATAAAAAACCGGGTCTTGCAGCGATGTGACAAAATTAATGGATTAATTGCATTGCATGCGCCTTCAAAGTGCGCGCGCGCGTTGCGGCCTTTTGGGACGATGTGATGGACGAGGATAAAAAAAAGAGAATCTTTTCATGAACGATGGGGCGCGGTGAGGTAAATTCACGCATTCTCTTTTCAATTTTCAAAACCTCCCCAAGAACGGTTTGTGCAAAAATGTCATTTTGTAATACTAAAAGAGAATGAATGTTTGTGTGTGTGTGTGTGAAAAATGCTATAAAATATACAGTAAAAAGTGTGCGCCTCGCTCGTCAGATGTCCACTTCCGAGTACTCCTCTTCCTTTTTCTCCTTTGCCAGTTCGAGTATCGACAATCTCAAAGCGTCCACAAAGTCCGGATCGCATCGCAACAGGCGATTTATCACTTCTGATATCTGCAAAATTTTTCATAAAATTTGTAGAAACATTTTCTCACAATTCTGATGTGTTCGTTGCCGATACTGAGCGTCACGGCAGTCTGAACGGCAGCAGAGGCGAGCAATAGAACATCCCATTTGAATTTCGACAATATTAATCTGAAAAACCTCCAATGTTTCCAATTTTCCCACCATTATACCTTTTTTCGCAATCACTTTCCAACAAATACGGACATTTTCGTAGAAAACTCTCATAAATCTCAGCGTGATTAATGAAGCAAATGTCGAGCACAATGAGCACGTGCTGCCACAGATCCTCGTACTTTTCCTCCTCGATTATTCCTCTCCGATTCATTGTGAACGTCAGCACTTTCATTGTCATTTCGCACGCTTCGAACGGACTGTCGGGGATGCGGAAGCCGATGAATTTAAAGATTCGCTGCTCCGACAGTTCCACAGCCGATATTGTGTACGGGTAGCCGATTTTTCGCAGCGTATTTACCACTTGACGCGAGGATATACTCTGTAATGCTTTTTCGAAACAAGACAATTGTAGAGAAAATGTGTAAAAAATTGTTAAATTTCGAACATCGTGATAGCTGTGAATTTTGCTGCTGATCTGAATGGCGGTGAGGATGCGTAACGGCAATTGTCTCTCCATATTCGTCTCCAAATTCTCCCATTCCCGCTGTTTCAGCAGCGCCGGCATCTCCTTTTTTTCCACGAATTCGTGAAGAGAACAGATTTGTCGGAGTAGGTATCTGCAACGATTTTGAATAATTTTGAAATTTTGAAGAAGAAACTCACAAATTGAGAATGAGAGCCGCTGTGAACCTCACTTCACTGGGTAACCTCAGCCGAACGCATACTGTGAACAGGTACTCGACAATTTCTGGTTTGAGGAACTCGAAATCGCACGCATTTGCCACATTCTGTTTTTCTTAAAATTGATGTGAAATTGACAAAACAATAGTATTTTTCAGACGTTTTTAAGTCAAAAATTGATTTGTTTAAAGAGTTTGTCAGTGAAACTTTAGATTTTTCTGTGATTTTTAAAGTACCTCGAATTTCGACGGCCAATTGTGCGATGCAATCCTGCCAATAGACCATGTGGCACGCGCCCGCCGGGTTCGCGAAGTCCGGTTCCGTTGAAGCCAGCGATCTTCTGCTCCTGTCATTGTTTCTCGGATTCAGGAATGTCTGAAACTTTCTTTTTCGTGGAAAATCTTCTTGTCGTCCTTGTTTGACCTGCTCCAAGAATCCGCCGCTGGGTGTGTCGAGTAGCGGGCTGTCGTTGAAGTCTAGCCTACAAATTCTGGAAAATTTACCACTTTTTCTGCAAATTGTCACCTGGGATCTGTCATTTTTCATCTGCTTTTCCAATTTTTTTCCGTTCGCGGGCGACGTTCGTGTGCATTTTTTCGTGGCGATGAACAGTGAGAAACTGTACGGTGTTTGCGGACTGACGTGGTGTTTTTTTTGTTGTTTATTTTGTTGTCACCTCTTTTTCCTTCCTGAAAATTAAGTCGAAATCATTCTATAGGGAAAATTTTCTTGCAAGAAAAGGAGGGAAAAAGTTTTATCATATAATCTTCTGACAAGCTGCAAATCGGCGGGTGGAGCGAGACAGACTTATCAGAAAGTTTAGTGATAAAATTTTTTCAGAAAAAATCACACTTTCCCCTCCGCCTGTCAAGGTCAAGTGCTGTAATGTCTCTAACGTATTTATTGCGTTTCACTGACCGAAACTGATTTTTTTGCAATTTTTTCGGTATAAAAGACAACACTCAATCAATTTTCATGTTACAGAAATGGTTCTGGATCAAATCGATGCCGTTTTTAAGTAAGAAATTATTCAAATCAGTTTTATTGCAATTTTATCATTTCCAGAGCGATCGATGAACATCAGGAGGAATTTATCGATCTGCTTCGCGAATCGGTGGCCATCCGTTCAGTTTCAGCAGATCCGGCTCGTCGTGACGACTGCATTCGTATGAGTGAATGGGCTCGTGACGTAAGTGAAAAATTTAACAATTTCCGCGAACATGCCCTCATTTTCTTATCAAAATAGCGTATAAAATGCACTTTTTCGCGTTATCATTGTCAGAATGTGTAGTTCTATGATGCGCTGACCGATAGATTTTACAAGAAATAGTCAGAAAGTTCAAAAAATAACGGCACTTTCAGCAATTGCGAACTCTTGGCGTCGAAACATCGTTGTGGGATTTGGGACAGCAAAAGTTGCAGTCCGGACAAGAATTGCCCCTTCCACCGGCAGTTTTCGGTGTTTTTGGTACGTTTTACAGAAAAATCATGAAGGTTTTATCAAACTCCCACAAAGATGGCACTAAAAGCGAAGAGAACTGTAATCCAGTCGATAATTTTCAGCAATTCTGCCTGAGCTTCTTGAAAAAGCATCAGTTTTCTAGCTTTGAACTAGTATGCACTATTTCTACACAGAGTTCGTCTATAATTGCCAACTTCATCTCACATTTTACACAGATCATTCCAAACTCCGGATTTTTGAGTGCTTGAACAATGATCGTCTGATTTTTAGTTAAACCCAACGATGCCTGTCTGATTTTAAGCGCAAGTTCTTAGTGTACTCTGTACCTCCTCTTCCATCGCCTTCTCAACCTTATCATATGCAAATACACGGTCTTACAAAAGGGAATTAAGGTGCGGACAAGTCGAAGAAGACGCTCTTGATCTACGGACATTTGGATGTGCAGCCGGCGGAAAAGGAGGACGGATGGAACACGGATCCGTTCGAACTCACGGAAATCGACGGAAAGCTGTACGGAAGAGGATCGACGGACGACAAAGGACCAGTCATCGCATGGATTGCCGTGCTGAAGGTACTCCAGAGATTGGGCATCGAACTGCCGATCAATATCAAGTTTGTGCTTGAATGCATGGAAGAATCGAGTTCCGAAGGCCTAGATGCGGGTCTCGAGCGCAACATCGACAAGATTTCCGATGTGACGTTCTCCTGCATCTCGGATAATTATTGGCTCGGAAGGAATAAGCCGTGCTTGACATATGGATTGAGGTTTGTTCGAGAAGCTATAATCCCTTCCTAATGCGATCTTATTTTTCTTATTTTTTCAGAGGAATCTGTTACTATTTCGTGGAAATCTCGTGTGCCCGTCAAGACCTTCATTCTGGCATCAACGGCGGATCGGTGCCGGAGGCGCTCAATGATCTGATGTGGATAATGTCGCAGTTGGTGACCGTCGACGGGCAGATCCTAATTCCGGGAATCGCGGAGCTCGTAGCGCCGTTGTCGAAGGACGAGGACGATTTGTACGATAAAATTGATTTTTCGGTGGAGACGTTCCAGAATGAGACCGGATCGCCGGGGCTGATCAGCCACGAGAAAAAGGCTCTGCTCATGAATCGCTGGAGATATCCGTCGCTTTCCCTGCACGGCGTCGAGGGCGCGTTCAGCCAATCCGGCGCCAAGACCGTCATTCCGGCCAAAGTGATCGGCAAATTCTCGCTGCGAATTGTGCCGCACATGACGCCGGAAGCCACGGACAAACTCGTCAACACCTATTTGGAGTCTCTGTGGGCGAAGAGAAAGTCGCCGAACACGTTCAAAGTGACTTCCGGACACGGGGGAATGCCGTGGGTCGCCGACTTCCGTGACGCCAATTTCTCGGCCGGAGCCAGAGCAATTGAGAGAGGTTCTAATAGAAACGGACAGAAATCCTTCAACTTTTCCTAGTTTTTCAGTGTACGGAATGACTCCGGATTTCACGCGCGAAGGAGGAAGTATCCCGGTGACGCTGACGATTCAGGATCTGACAAAGAGCCCGGTGATGCTGCTGCCGATCGGCGCGTCGGATGATATGGCTCATTCGCAGAACGAGAAGATCAATCGGGAGAACTTTGTGAAGGGAATGAAGGTGCTCGCCGCCTACCTGTTCGAGCTGGCCGCCTAATCTGTGATAATTTCCAAAATTGTACTGTTTCGTATAAATAGCATGTATATGACTTTCAAGGCTGTTTTTCATTATCTCAGCTCAGCTCAGCTCATTCTTCTTCTTCTTTTTCTTCGTGACTCGACTCGGAAAAGGGGAAAGCGCCATGCATATGTAGTCGTCGAAGAAGAAGAAGAGGGAGAAGGGGAGGGGTGACCAAAAACGGATGCAGTAGTCGCTCGAATTCTCTGCGCCGCCCGCATTTCGCCCGCTCTTTTCCCCCCTTGCTCTTTTTTCTTCGTTTTCTCCCTCTTCTTCGTCTTGTTGTTCGACGCCTTCGCTTAGGCGCTGTGCGCATTTTTCCCCCTTTTTTTGACCCCCAACGCGCGATCACTTCTCTAAATATTCTCTGGTCGAGCTCAAATGTGAACTTTCAATATCCCGTCCTGGCCTGCAATGTTTCTGTGCATTCTCATTATCTGCATTGTTTTCGGTGAGTCAGGCGGCTCAGAAGGCGTCGGTTTTTGTAAACAACACGTCGAGCCGAGGGAATTGAACCAATTAGTTGGCGAAGTTGGAAAAGGGACTCGTTTTTCAAGAGACGGAAAAATTGAACTAGCTGGAAAAGTCATGTCTAGGATCTTTGGAATAAGAGTTGGCGACCTAATGATTGGTCGAATTGGGCGGAAATTTAAATTTTTTAAATTTCCGATATGCTCTGAGCTTAGTGATTTCCCATTGTTTTCAGTCGGCGCCGACCACATCACGTTCTCGCCGCCCGAGGAAGCCTTTGTTCTCTACCACAGCCATCAGAACACCAACTTCACTTCGGTTTTTGTGCAGGTCAGTCTGAACAACTTTTTGGTTTGTTCTTCGATGAAAACAATGGTCAGAAACCGAAAAAAGACAGGCTTTTGATGCTTACAAATCATAGATTTTAAGTAAAATAGTTTTTTTTTTTTAGGATGGTTGTCCGAACAGTCGGAATCTGCTCGCTACCGTGTACTCTTCGGACGTCTCAACGTCTCGACGAGTATTCGAAGAGGTGCCCCTTCATTGTGCTGTCAAAGTGCGCATTATCACTGAGAAGGTGACTGTGGTAGGCAAAAGCAAACTCGAACGCCAAAAACCCGCATCATTCATAGGTTCGACCGTACGTGGATCTGCTGGCGGTGGTCGACGAGTCGCTGATCAGCCACGTGGGCAGCATCTGTGTGCACGCGCAACTCACGTCGTTCACTTCGGCCACGGAACTCGGGAAGTGCTACCTGAACAGTCATGATCAACGGGACACGTCGAGTTGTGTCATCCGAGTGCCGGTCCCGTTTTCCTGGTTTCCGGAGCACAATCGGACGAGTGTCGTGTCGGTTTCCTACACGATTTCCGAAAAATGCGATCAAAACTTCCACGACTTGCCGCAACATTTGGTAGAGATCAACTCGAAGATGGCGAAACAAAAGATCGATTGGCTCGCGAACGCAACGGACGTCTCCGTGACTCTACGCTCCAGTGCGAGCCAATCGTTTTCGCAGAATTCAATGCAAACCATGTTTCTTCATGTGAACAGCTGGGGAAATGAGACGCAGCCGATGGAGATCCGCTTGTGGGTGGACTCACGGATGAGCATCGAGACTGTCTACCCGACGAGTCCCAACTGGACGATTCGGGTCTCCTCGGCGAGCCGCCCATTCTTCTACACTTCGCTGACGTGCAAACCGCAGGAAGGAATGACCGGATTCAATGATAACATCGTGGCGATCCTCATCAAAATGGTGTCCTCCACAGAAGTAATGAAAGACGACGTCGTTCTTCATTGGCACGTCATTTTCGGCTCTCCGGCAGGGAATAATGCTCCGGATGATCATAAAGTGGCCACCAAGTTCAGTGTGATCTCCGATGAAATCGCAGCGGTCATCATTGTTCCTAGAGTGAGATTTTCCCGGAAAACTAACAAAATTCACTATTTTTGCAGAGAAACGAGTTGATGAACATGGCCGTAATTTCCGGACAACAAGTGACCTCCTCCCTTCGCGTCTTCACCGTTTCTATCGGAGCCAAGCCAGAAGACGTCACTTCGCTGTCCCACTGCATTTCATCGGATGCGAACATTCTCAAAGTCTCGCCCACTTGCTCCTCAGTCTATCTTGACGGGTCCGAAACGAACGGATCCTCGGATGCTCAGATCTACGCCCACTTTCTGAGATACACAACGGCGTTCTCGTTCCGTGTCTGGTACCCGAAGCTCCCTTTGAAAATCTGGACGAGCAGTTCACAGTTATCAGCGATCAAGGACTGGAAGGTCGGGTTTTGGAGAGATTTACCGTCGCTCGGAGGGGTCAAGAGATCGAGAGCGGCCAGGCAATTTGCCTGTGTTAACCGGTTTCAGAATGCTAATGTAAGTTCGACTTCTAGTGAGCTCTAATTTGAACATTTTGAATTAAAGATAAAAGTGCTCGCTTCTCTATGGATCGAGGACATCAAAACTGGCGATCAACTGTATCTGTCCTCTCATAAAAGTATTTTATTCGATGTCACGAATATAGTGCACAACACTCTTCAAATATCGAATCGTTCGGTGGCCAATGTGCAATTTCACGAGGGACGCGCGGTGATGTACGGAGAGAATCCGGGCGTGGCCAAGTAAAGATTTAACACAAAAAATAGTGTGAATTTCTGATGTCCCACTTTTCAGATTGATAGTACGGAACACGAAACGATCGCAAGACCTCGTCAGTGAGAACGTGATGGTTCGGAGTGAAGAAGTGACGACGACCGGTCTCTCGGCCCGTCCGATTTGTGAAACTTCCTTCCGAATTCTGCCTATTCTCTTCTCGGCGGCCTTCTTCAAAATCGAGATAAATCACTCAAAATCGCTGACGAAACTCTATCAGCAATGCTCAATTTCGGCAAGTGTCAGCTACTCGGACGGTACGTGGGAGCCGCTCAACGACGTCGATTCCACGTTTCTCGGCATGACCGCGCATTCGGACAACGAGCGGGTCCTCGCCGTTTCGCATCATGCGTCGAAGGTTCACGTCATCGCAATCGACGACGGTTTCCCGATGCCGTCGGTCGAAATTTCACTACATTCTTCTGCTCAGTGTGCGTCGACGACAAGTGGAGCCGCGCCGGCGTTTCTAGCTGTTACCGTACTTAATGTTCCGATTCGAATCAGCGGGGTAAGACATGCTCCTAATGTTTCTTTTTAAAAAAACCCTGAATTAAAGATGAACGCCTCCGAATTTTCGATGGAATCGGATACTTCCACGCCATCCGGCGACCGCGAAAACCAATCTCTTCCTTCCGTTCCCATGCACGTTTTTGTGCTCACCATCCTCGGAATGATACTTCTTTTCCTGCTCATTTCCTGTATACGCCGGTCCGCCACGTTCAAAGGGTACGTTACAAGCAGGGGTGTGCGGAAAAAAATTCGGCTTTGACTGTGAAACTATGAAATAACTACGAAAATGCCCCGCCCTCTTTAACTCCAAAAATTGCAGATACGAGCAACTGGTAGTCCCATTTTTCTCCCGGTTATCCTCCTCATCGGGAAGCCATTCAAGACAGGAGGAGACTAACGAATGGGTCTGGTTAAGCCAGCCACAGCCGCCCTCTTCTACTATGAGTCAGTTTATCGGCAAAAACATCGAAGGCTCAAATAATGAGCGATTTTTTTTAGGTTCTGGGTATTCTGGGAACAAATCGACAGCGGAACGACAGTCTTCGAATGGAGACGATCCTTCGCGCACCAGTATTTCCTATCATGGCTCCGAGATTTCGGTGTTCATCGCTCCGTCTCAGGCCAATGTTGTGGTGAGTTATTAACAAAAAAATCGTTTTTTTTTCAACCAGAAAAAATTACAGGTCAACCAGTCCCGTCACCCGCGGTACACCCTCGTCGACTCGAATTCCGATCACAATCTGGCGCGAGTCGTTCCAAAAGAGGAAAAATGGACTCACGACCAATTTCACACGTGGACATGGAAACAACGTGGGCGGACGGAGCCGCCCATTCGAGAAAGTATTGCTTGACATTTTTGAACATACATTTCATATACGGAAACTTGTCGGGTCTTTTTCTTTTTTAACTTATTGAATAAAAAATAATGAAGTTAATTCCAGAAAAAATAGTCAATAATAATAATTTGAGCAAGGCACAAGGATACACAAAAATGCAAACAAGAAAGTTTCACCAATTATTGCATGGTTTTTTCGAGAACATCGCAATGGTTTAGGGCTAATTGCAAAATTTGCAACTCGGCCGATTTGAGACGGGCCGTGTCTCCCTCAATTGACATTTTGTCGAGATTCGACGCGTCGAACGCCGTATCGTAGGATCTCCGGAGCAGTGTGAAACGGGTTTTCAGAAACTCCAGGCCTTTTTTGCGCGCTTCTGTCGTCGAAACCAACTTGAAGAAAAACACTCAATTTTCAAGAGATTTCCCTAAAATTGTACCTCTTCCGTCGGCTCCGGAGTGACAAAAATAGCGCCGAAAATTATAAGATCCTCTGGGAATGGATGCTCGACGACCTGAACATGTTCTTGCAATTTTAAACATCAAAATGAGGCCAACCTCGATGAGATCGACATGATAAATGTTGGCAGACGCCTCGACACTGGCGACAAGCTTCCGAATGAGCTCCTGTTTCGTCGCCAACGCCTTGTCCGTCTTCGGAATTCCGAATTTCAGCTTCAGCACGTCGAACTTTCCGTGATGGACGGGCACGAATCCGTTGTGCAGGAGGTGCTCCCCTTTGCTGCGTGCTCCGTAGAAAATGGTCACCTGGCGGCCCGCTTCCATGTCGCAATGACTCGTTATCACCGCGCATTCCTCATCCGGAGCGTAACAGACGAGGTCGTCGATCGGGTTATCCGAGCTTTCGTGGTTGGCCATGTCGAGCACGGGGATCAGGGCGGGAATCTGAACTGGTTATGTAAGGAAAATGAACGAATTTCAAAGCAATGTAGTCTAACTTCTCAAATGTCTGACTCTAGGCACTCACAATAGCCGGTTTTCCGTCTTCTCCTGTGGCAGTCTCACTCGGCACCATATTCACGCGCGTTGTGACTACTCCGACGGCCCAAAAGTAAAGCGTGGGTGTGAAATTCGCAACAGTGAACGAGCTGTTATAGTAGAGCGGCACTTCCGTATTCCGTTGATCCTTCTTCTGCGCCTGATCGTACAACCTATTTTTGGAGATCGCGAGTAAAAAGTAGGCAAATTGTCGTGTAATAGTGCGGAAAAAGTGGATGGCTTCCTCGAAGATCGGCGACGGTTTCAGCTGCAACAACTGCTCTTCCGTGTAGAAAAGTGGAGTGGGGAACGAGTTGGGGAGGATGGAAAGGTAGGAATTCCACTTGGTGTTGGGCTTGTTCAGCCACTGGCCCGCGACGAAAAGGGCCAAGCCGACGTTGTCCATTCCGGAGACCAGAGGATCCCACTCGAACACCTTCCGCAACATCGGCGACTTCCTCGCCATGTCCAAGGTTATCATCGCGTGACGTGGCACTCGAGCCACCACATGTCCGTTTGGTATCGGTCTGAAAAGAGCGAAATTCTGAAGAAAATTATTGTCCATTTAAATTTACCCCGTGGCCTGAAGGGAAAGTCCGGCGAATTCAGTTTCTCCGATCGTCACATTGTTCCGGGCGATTCCGATCGAATCGGACCACGTTAAAAAGGCCTTGATCGTTTCTGCGTCTCTTCTGAAATAGAATTTCAATGAAATCATGTGGTAAAACTGTAAAAAGTTAACTTTTTCAAAAGACAACTTGGGAAAACCAATAAATTGAATAAATTGATAAATTTTGATTTTTTCAATGGGAAATTAACAAACACTTGGCTATTCAACTGCTTATCGGTTTCGCTGATCTGGACCTGAAGACTCGAAACTTCGTTGAGTGTCCGCCGAATTGCCACGTGTTCTTTCCATAATTCGACAATGTTTGAGGGCGGCGGCTTGCTGAACGTCTCCTCGAACAGCACCGATATTTCTGAAACACGTTTTTAAAGAGATTTCCGAAAAAAGACGCACTTTGAAGGATCTGATCCTCAATTTCGGTTTTCGTTGCCGACGATGAGGCCATTTTGAGAGGATACCTGGAAAATAGATTTAAATTAGGTTCAAGGTACGGAACAAAGAAAATAATAAAAAGTCCAGAGTTTTCGAACGAATTTTTCTGGAAGAAAGGTGAAAGCGAGTGACCGGTGCCGGGCGTAAAGTGGGTTGGCTCGTCGAGCACAAAATCCGTCGACGGCCGAGTCTATTACACAGTGAGCGAGCTCGGCGGAGAGCAGCCGAGCAATGAGTTCTCCCCCCACGCACTTATACCAAAGGTTCTCGGAAAGACAATTGATTCGATCGGATCGGAGAGGGTGTAAAAATGTACAAAAAATGCGTGTTGAAAAGTAGGTCAAAACATTTTAGCAACGCGTCGAAGCAGAAAAAGTTGAACGTTCGGTGTAAGAACATCAAGAAAATAGGGAAAAATCTCGAAGCCGTACCGTTTGGGGAGAAACGAGAAAACGAGACAAACGAATGGGGGAAATTTAAAAAGGGGAACCGCGAAAACAGAGGAATATGAACTTCTTAAAAATAAAAATTATGCTAAAAGATTATGTTTATGCATTGTTTGATTAATCGTTGTTCTCCCTATTAACTTTTATAGTTTTAACTTTACATTGCAGAAATGATGTTGTTTCTTGGGGCAACCTGACAACTGATGACTTATGCGACAGATTGCTGCCCCTTAAGGACATCCAGGCAATCTGAACATTTCCGACTCTCGGGCTGGGTACACATAGTGGGTACAGTTGAGTTAAAAGTGAAGGGCAAGGAAAAAAGGAAAGATATTCAGACAGTGAAAAGGAGCTAACAATCTGTTACAGTCGCTAATGGAACAAGCCTGACAGATTGCAACTGCTTTGTGCAAACTGTCAGATTTTTGGAGACGGCGGCCGACGGAGGTTGTCCGAATGGCCCAATTGAATGAAAACTAATGAAACACAACTAGATGAGTATGTTAGCATCACCGGATCCCATTCGGAAGACATGGGATCCTCAGAATTCGCAAAGGCCTACAAAGATTTCTCTTTGCAAGTTCCGCTGATGTCGTCTCAAGCACTGCCATCGTCCCACTCGAGCTTCTCTAGGTCTTCTCTAGGTCCACTCGAGCTTCTAAGGTCTAAATCTCATTTCTACTTGTCAGTCAGCCGATAAAGCGACACTTTTCCCGATTAATTTAGCGCGAGAAAATGGAAAAAAATTAAAAATTAAAATCCTGCAAAATTTTCTAGGCCACGGCCTAACTTGAAAAAACTCGACCACCCCCGGGAATATTTTATTTGCCCTGACAAACAAACAAAAATCGGGCGATTTCTTTGATCAAAACGGCTTCTAATTAATTGTTCGATTGTTCTAGTTAAAATGTACACATTTTCCTTGCAGAATCCGTCAAAAATGATACCAATGTCGTTGTTGGTGTCGAATTTGAACACAGGTCCCGAGAAAATCGCAATACTGTTCTAAACGTTTGTTTTTTTAGTATGGCGTCAAAAAAATCCGGTAATCATGCTCTCAATGGTCCGTTGTCTATCGTCAGAAGTGCCGCCCACACAAGACGACGATTTTCCGCTGTCCAAAAGGAAATTGAAGCGATTGTTCAAGGTTTTCGGATTTTTACCGGAAAAAAAGAAAAGAGATTTTCAGGTGGCACAATTATCCAAAAAGTCTCGTTCCTATGAGAATGACAAAATTGACAAGCTGAGTGCTATGGCCGAGTTTGGGTTGAAGTGAGATTTCGAGAAATCTTGAAAAATGTCGCATTCCCGGGCAAATTTTTAGAGAAACAGACTTGGCGGATCTTCCTTCACAAGTGCGTCCGGTCCTCAGCCATCATCACCACGAAGGGAAGAACAGTCTCCAACTGTACGCGCTCACAGAAGTCTATCACAAAGCGCTCAAGGTGCACGGATCTTCGGAAGCCCTCGAGGCGCACCGCCGTCCGCTCGTCGCGATGCGGAAAGAGCTGACGGACGCGGAACGCATGCGGATGCGGATGCGAGTGGAGACGACGAATCAGCACTTGGGCGCTGATCGCGTCGTCGCCATCGCTTTTACCCTCAATTTCTGTGATATGGCCATGAAATTTACGGGTATGGGTCTTTGAATTAAAACAATTATGAGTAAAAGTGTGATTGCAGCCGCCTACCTAACCGGCTCGAAATCCTTGTTCGCCGAGGCCATTCACAGTCTGATGGACACGTGCAACCAACTGATTCTCCTGCTCGGAATAAGGTACTCGGCCAAAAACCCGGATCTGCTGTTCCCTTACGGTTACGGTAACATGCGATACGTGACGTCGTTGATTTCCGGTTGTGGAATTATGGCGTTCGGTTGCGGACTGTCCATGTACCACGGAATCAGCGGACTGCTCCATCCGGAACCACTCGAGCCGCTCACTTATGCGTATTACGCACTGTTCATGTCGCTTTGCTTCCAAGGAACGTCGGCGATCACCGCCTATCGGGAGGTGTTCGCAAAGGCCAAAAAGGCCAATATCAGCATATGGAATTATGGTAATTTTTGATTTTATCAAAAGAATTCGATTAACTTGGTCATTTTTCAGTGCGCACGTCCGCCGATCCGTCGCTCAACGTCGTTCTTCTTGAGGACACCGCCGCAGTCACAGGAGTACTACTTTTCTTTGCAATGTTTTAGAAAAGTACAATATTTTACCAGGTCGGAGTGGCCCTGGCCGCCATCTCCCTCTCTTCGTTTCTCAATTCGCCGATTCCCGATTGCTGCGGATCAATTGTGATCGGAGGACTTTTGGGTAACATTTTCTACATTTTACGAGAAAAAGTGCAAAAATTCGCAGGCACCGTCGCCTCGTTCATCATCCGAACGAACGCGGCGCACTTAGTCGGACGGAGTCTTCCGCAACGAATAACCGACGACATTGTGGCCAGATTGAACAATGATCCCATGATAAGGTGCGTACTATTTCTTTCATAGGTGCGGGATATTTGAGAAACGCCGAAACACTTTTCCGACCTGGCAGTCGGATTGAAATTCCCGAACCAGCGGCAATCATAACTTTTTTTTTCGAACCAGGTCCCTTCCACTCGCCTGTTCCGAACTGCCGACACTCATCTCAAAACACCTATGATTTCGTTGAATTTTCTACGATTTTTTTCCAAATTTCAGATCGGTTCACGACGTGAAAGCGACTTGTTTGGGCGTTGAGCAGAGCCGTTTCAAAGCGGAGCTCGATTTTGACGGAAGAATGATCACGAGGGCGTATTTGCAGGAGGGAGTCCACATTCCCGTTGTTTTGCAGGTACATTTTGACGTGATTCTTTTCGTTGGAAAAAGCTAATTTTCAAACAAATATATTCGCAGGAAGTGAAAAAGATCGAAACGGAAGACCAGCTGGTCGTATTCATGGAGCATCACGGCGAGAAAATCATCGATCGTTTGGGTGACGAAATCGACCGAATCGAGGGCGAAATCACGAAAAAGCACCCGGACATCCGACACGTCGACCTGGAAGCCCTTTAGGCGAAAAGACAACAATCCCCCTGCTTATAAAGTATTTTTCTGAGCGAAGAAGATAATTTCAATGTGTAAAACCCCTCTGTAACTGGTCTTTATTTTATTTCTCTTACCCTCCTTCCCCCAGTGTCTAGAAAAAATTCTGGAATTCTTTTGTAATTTTATGCCCGATGAGATAATGTTCTAGTGTAGCCCTCTCGCCATATAAATCGCTTGTATTCGACAAAAGTTCAAAAAGCGTGAAATTAGAATAATCTTTATGCGTACGCACCCGTAACGTCCCTGATTTGGTCAGAAAAACAGAACAAAAAAATCGGTCAGACTGTTTCACAAAGTACGGGCGGCGTATTCTTTCGAGCGTTCTCTTCTTCTGCTTTCCGAATCTCTTTGTAGAATTTGTGCATTTTGTACTTGCGGATCGCGCAACGCAGACATCTGAACGCATACTATTAGAAAATTAGTGTTGCAAGTGTGCTCCAATTAGTAAAATGCAGCTTTACGTGTAAAAGAGCTGAAAACTAACCCGTTGATCGTGATTGTGAAAAAGAAAAGAGCTAAAACGGCGGCAGTCCCGATGCCGATCATCGGATCATACTCGCGATAGAAATCGGTGCTGTTCCGCGCCGGATTGTGCTGAAAGTTCAAATTCAAAGCTAAAAGCTCACATTGCGCTATTGCGCTCCACCGTCTAACTACTACACAACTCGGTCGCCAATTTTTTATCATTGAGGTTTTAGAGGTCGAAAAAATAGAAGAAATGACATACTTTGCCCTTTTCTTCCTCTTTTTCTCTATGACCGCCACGTCAAACATCTCGATGATACATCAAAATGCGACGCCGACACTTTCAACTTTTAATTTTCAGTCTCGATTCTGCCGATGCACCATAAAACCCAACACTTGTCGCTCTTATCGCTGGCCAGAGGGCCTCTTTTATCAGTGCGTCGATGCGTGTGCCACATTGCATTCTTTTGAGCCAATTTCCGCTTCATGTACGTGTGCAAAAGCAGCTTCAAAAAAGTTTTGGCATATTTCTCGTCAAAAACCTTTTTTAAGATCATTTTTAGATATTGTACTGCGATTTCTGGATGGAAGTGCTCTCTACTTGATTTGAATGTTTGGAATTCTGGCGCTAGAAATTAATGCTCTTTGCGTAGTAGAGCGCACTTCCAATGGAATTCTTCCATTTTCAGATTTTTTCAATTTACATAAGACAAATCACTGACCTCCATAAAATCCCTTTTTTCGGCGCATAATGGAAAGCAGGGCTGTGGCATTTCTGAAACAAAATTTCCGTTTTTTCAATTCAATCAGAAGCCTTCTTTTCTTCTTCTTTTCTTTAAATTCTCCTTTTTTTCAAGAAGCCATCATTTTCCTGAGAAAAATATTTGTCAAGTATAATCTTACATCGTCTAATCTGCTGAAAATCTTTGTTGATCTGACCGAAATTTTCCGTTTTTTCTTCGATCTTCTCTAACTTTTTCTTCCAGAAATGGGCCAGACTAGCTCTCAAATTCCGGAGCACGAGCTCGAGCAATTGAGCATTGAAAGCGGATGTGAGTTTCTGAAATGCTTGCATTATATTATATTATATAATTTATAAAAATTCACGTTTTTGGTAAAAAAGTAGAACAGTTGCGAGTTTGGTCAGAAAAGCGAACTTCAATTTACTTCTCGGGCTCTTAATTTATTCATGAAAAGCGCCCACTTTTTAGAGCCACGGACTACATTTTCTGTCTGCCCTTTCGAAAAAAGCTCTCAAATTTCTTCAAATATTTTCCGTTCACAATATTTTTGTTCAGTGTCGAGGAAGGGAATTCTCAAGTTGTACAGCCGATTCATCTCGTTGGCCACTCATCGCGACAAGACCACAAATGAGTACTTCTTGACGAAGGGGGACTTCCAGGTAAGATTTTTAGCAAAATCACCACGAACACTTCTGAACATGCTCGGGCTCGTTTTTATCACTCCGTATCGCAAAACGTACCCTTTCAGCACGCAAATGAGGCGCTACGCAGCGACAAAATACTGGCGGGAGCCACAGCGCTTTCATCTAACAGTAAGGATCCAGAAAATTTCACATCCATCTCAGTCGCATTTTTTTCAATTGAAATTTAAAACTTAGCATGGCGCCAACCGCGCGCCTGCGAACGTAGCTATTAGACCGTCGACTGTTTTCTCTAGTCCCCAACTATTTTTTCAAAAATGCGACGTAAAATCAAACATTCGGCTATCATGAGAACTCTGAAAGCTCGTAAGCTATTGTTTTTAAAAAGAGAGACACGAAATTCGGCCTGAGACACAAAAAAGTTGTTTATTCGTTTATGTGGCCGCGCCGTCATCAAAAAATACTTTTAAAAGAGCAGGAAACGCAAAAAGCATACCAAAAACGGGCTGGAAATTCGAACGTTTCAAAATTTGAATCCTTCAATTGCAATTTTTCAGTCAATCGCCGAGCTGAAGCAGAACCCGCTGGGCGACCGGATAATCGACGCTTTCTTCGCCGACGCCGAGTAAGAAATGAGGGGCGACTACAAAAGTTGCAGAGAAGAAAAAAAGATGTGGAAAAAAAAGGGAAAACATGGGGGAATCAGAGAAGAGTGAATGACTGAGTGAATAAATAATAATAATAATAACATAGTAGTGTGAGAGAAATAGGAAGCAGGAGGGAGAACAATCTGGCATAATATGATAGAGCAGAAGAAGAAGAAGAAGAAGCAGAAGAAGAATGAGGCTCTATTCTCAGGAAAAAACGGAGACACGCAAATATTTTTGGCTCTCGGCGACGTGGATGGATGAGCACGGAGGCTCGAGATTATATTCATTTAGGCGTATTCTCCGCTTTGCTCTTTTCTTGCTTTTTCTAGAGCCCGAGCTTTTGATATTCTTGAAAAATGCACATTTTTAGGCCAACGTGCGCTAAACCTTGGTTGTGACGACTGAAGACAGCGTGAATTAATGATATGTTTGGGCGATTATCAGTTAGACAATTTTTCGACATTTTAGTACGAAGAAAAAACTAAGTATTTCAGCTTCCCGCAATTTATGCTCGATTTATGCATCATTTCTCACGTAGGCCCAAAAAATTTCTAGCGGACAAGAATTTAGACGAAAAAAGGAGTAAGAGCAAAATGTTCATGACGGCTCCGAAAAAAGAAGAGTGACCCTTGGGACGAGCTAGTAACTTTTGCTTTTTGGTGGGTGTGGTGCACCAATAATAATGTTCGTAGAGAGAAGAAATTCAGGCGGAAAAATGGAGAATACATAGGAATCAAGAAATCGTTGCCTTTTCTACATTTCCCTTTTTCTGGGAGGGGCTACAAAGAAAAAGAAGGACGAAGAAGCTTTTGTGGCACGAAAAGAGAAAGGGAATAAAAGTAAAAGTAGGGAAAAAAAAAGAATTAGTTTTAGGTTGGCTGACTTTTCCCCCTTTCGAACAATTTCTTTCCGGAACGCTCTAGATTTTTGACATTATCCGTTCATCTTTGCTCACAGAATAAGAAGATTCGGCTCGGGCTGTGCCGAGCAGCTGACGCTCAGCAGCCTCTCAAAAGTGTGCGTTGCCCCACTTCTAGTTACACTTTTCGTGGGAAACACGGAATAAGACATACTTTCGTAGCACATCAGCAGAATACGCCATCAAGTTTAAAAAAACAAAAGAGAGAGCGAGAAACTCCTTGCTCTCGAAAAACTCGCACACACAAAAATGTTGTTAATCTTATTTTGGGTCGCAAGCTCTTTCTTTCTCCCCAAAGAGCCCCTCATTGTCTCGGCGCGGCGTCTAACCAATTAGCGAGTTCTCTGCGAGCTCACAAAGATATAAAATCGCGTGATAGAGAAACAATTCGGGCTGGAACTGGGTTGGCTGGAAGAATTTCTAACTTACTGACAGATTCAACAGATTCAAATGATTCAAAAACATTGGTTACAGAGTGCTCGAGCGTCGTAAGGTGTACTTCAAAGATTTCGTAAAAGTGCTGAGCCACTTCCGTCCGATCAACAAGAACAAGCCGCATCCATGGAACAGCCGGGAAGCCAAGTTGAGATGTATGTGTACGAGTTTCCACAAAAATAGGAATAGAGAGGGGAGGGGATGAAATATGTGTTTTACTAATTTTTCCTCCTTTTTGTTCTTTTCCAGTCGCGTTCACCATGTACGATTTGAACAAAAGCGGCACGATCACTAAGGACGAGTTCCAGGACATTCTTGAGATGATGATCGGAGCGAATGTGCCCAAGGAGCAGGTGAACTCGATCGCCGATCGTACGATGCGTGAAGCCGATCGGGACGGAGACGGATACATCACTTTCCAGGAGTTTTGCAATGTAAAAACTAGAAAAATAGAATGCAATCTAAACATTTTTAATTTCAGGCTATGGAAAAGACCGATATTGAGCAGAAGATGTCGTTCCGCTTCCTCACATAATTCTGTGTATATTTCTGGCATTCCCCTCTGCTGATTTCGTAAAAAATGAAATAGTCTCTTACTCGTTTCTCAAACTTCAAATTAGCCTGCAAAAAATTCAAGATATGTCACCTAAAAGGAAAACAAGTGGAAATCATAAAGATATCGTGTATCGTGCAACTTGATTGGCGCCCCAAATTCGGCTTCCTGACAGATGTCGAGCTCGACGAACGTGTATCGCGGCCATTTGAATAGGTACTCCTTCGGCGGCAAAATCTTCTGGCTCCACATTCCCGAGTCCTTCTGCACGTCTTTTCGGAGCATCTCGAATTGATACAATGCTCCGCGCACCACTTTGTACCTAAAATACGGTAGTTTAAGGGAAATCGAAAAAGAAAATCTTTGTCCAACCTGCAGAACACTTTAATCTTTCCCTTCTTTCCCTCAATCGGATACGTGTTGCCATTGGCGTCGGCGTTCACAAAATCAATCGAATGGATGTAGGATCCCATCTGGCCACGGAGGTACGGGTATTTCATCAAATAGCCGCTGTCGCCGAGCAAATCTTCAGGCGAGAGCTGGAAATGGGCTGTTTTCTAAAGCCTATTTCTCTTGCACTACATTCAACGCCTCTTTCTGTATCTGGCTGAGCTTGTGAGCAGCCTTTCTATGAAAATTCAGCGTTTCATTGCCGCCGAGTGTGAACTCTGCGAGATTCGAAAAGTTTTCATCCCGATACGCCCGTAAAACTTCGGGGAAAACCGGATCGAAATTGTCGAGAAACTCTTGTTTGTCGTCATGAATGCCGATTCCGTGCACAAACGCGTTCCTCTAAAATGTAATCAGATTTTGAAAATTGGACCTTTGCAGGCTTACAAGATATGCGCTAATGTAGGCTTTAGCATCGGCTATCAGACCGTCTTCCATCGGATTCACACAAAGTCGCGGACAACCGTGTTTTGTAGATATCTAAATTAACAACTTTTATTTCAAAAATAATAATAATATTTCAGGCCCAACCCTTGAATAATAGAGGAGTTTCCGCCCATCTCTGCTGCTCTGAACACGGGCCTGCTCAGAATGACTGAATGTTTCTCGACGGTAGGAATACTTGTTCCTGAACAGAATATTCTAGATTCACAAAAAAAACTTGGAAAATTGGTTGAAATGCGCATACATTACGGTAGGCTCTTACCAAATCTGCGTCAGGGCCGCCACTCGGCGGTAATCGCGGGGCGGAGCGGAGCAATACGATCTGTGTACTCGGGTCGCGACGCCGATCATCTGAAATGCTCGAAATGCATAATTTATGAGGCGGGGAAAAGGCACAATCTTGTGATTGTTACCTAAAGAATCTTCTCCGATTTCACTGCCGAATCGAGTCACCCGACACCAGACGTGCCAATTAGAAATTAGCAATTCGGCCCCGATTAGATCAGAGCCGGTAGCATTGACACCTTTTTAGTTCTCTCATGGGTAAGTTTTCCAGCTTTTACCTAGTCTATTCATTTTTTTTTGTAGGCCGAAAAGATACACATTCAGTGATTTGCGAGGTTTGCGGCGATAAGTCTTACGGTAGACACTACGGAGTCTGGGCTTGCGATGGATGCAGTTGTTTCTTCAAAAGAAGTGTTAGGAAAAATATTACCTACACATGCATAGGTATTTGTTTTAAAATACTTATTAATCCAAAAAACAATTCAGCTGGAAATTGGCGATGCGTTGTGGATAAAGGACGGCGAAACTGGTGTCCGGCTTGCCGATTGGCAAAGTGCACAAAGCTGAATATGAATCGACTTGGTACGAAACTATTTTCGAACATCTTCAAAAGCAGGTTTCAGCCGTTCAAAACGAGCGAGGGCCTCGGAAGTTGAGATGTCTGCCGTTTTACCGGATGAACAATTCCACTAATTTTAAATGTAATTTCTCTACATTTCTTGGGCTTCTTCAGTAACTAAAAAAAAACATTTTCAGACGACGTTCTATTCTCAAAAGGTGTCGTTCTGGTATCCGAATGTCTACTGCTCAACTTCATGACCGACCGGGAACGTCGACAAGTTATTGAGGAAAATTGTCAAATTATTTTCGCCTTACTTATTGCCGTCAGCGGAGAGGTGACCACTTTGAGGCGGTTCATGGCGAGATTTAACCAATTATTTTTAAGTTTTAGAACTCACATTTCAGCCTCAGGAAAGCGTTCCACAAAAAGTGAATTATGATACGGAGCAGCTCCGACTCACTATTTGTCTTCTTCTTTCTCAATCGAGTAGGGATTAATTTACCATTTTTACATAATTCAGATGAAAACAACACAGCTAATTTCCAGCTTTTTTTAAAATAGATTTTCTTCAAATTAAGCCTAAAAATGCCAAATTTCAGGTTGTCCCCCTTTAAAATTCGCCACTCCTCTGGAATCCCTCTACAAGTATTGTTTATTCCGTTATTCGGCTCTGAATGAATCACTCGAATCGGCAGTTCAACTTTTGAATATAATAAATTCGCTTTACGAGCACTCGCCCTGGGACCTATCCAGTTTGCTGCGAAACTCGTCGGACAACTTGATAAGCGATGTTTTGGAGGCAAAGGATCAGGAGGAAAATATTTTGGATCGATAATAACCCTTCACAACGTTTTTTTCTTGAATGAAACGTGCATTTATTGTTAAGTTTTACATTTTAATAGAAACAAATCTTCCCAAATTTTCGAATTACATGAGAAAGCTATCTAAAGAGAGAAAAGGATTGGTTCCGAATGGCTTTTTTGATATGAGAACCAAAAAAAAAAGAATGTACTAGAAGTAATTATTCCGAATTCTGCAAAAATACGAGAAGTTGGGTGGTGGGGCTACACTTTTCTCACAACCTATTCGAAAGGAAAATGAGCGGGAACAAGCCCGAGAAAATTCTTGCAGCGAAAAAATGAAAATAAAATGAGTGTGCGATAAAGTTAGAGTGAAAGGAGCAAGACCAAAAAGAGAGCGAACGGGGAAGAGAAGAGCAGCGATGGAAGAGTTCGAGATTTTTCGAGAAAAAGGGGAGGGGAAAATAGTTGTCAGATGGATAATAATGTTTTAGAAAGATTTGCAATAAATATCATAGATTTATCTTATTCTTTTCTCCACGTGTGATCATCCGGACATTCCGCGCACTTGTCCCTGTGCCCGCTGCTCCTCGAGCTCTTTTTGCGCTTTCGCCTCGATTTCCCGGATGTCGACCATCGTGAGGCCGTGCCATTTGTCGATCCAACAGAACACTTCTCGGTGGAATTTCGAGAAGAGGCGTGGGTATTGCTGAAAAAAAACAAAAAAACATCCTGGATTTTAATTCGAAAAAAAATGCAAAATTACCGTGTGGGCGTATCCCTCGACAATCTTCTGGAATCCGAACCATTTGAAGTAGACGGTGACGAGCTTGTAGGCGCACATCACCGGCTGCGACGTTTCTCGCCAATTTCCTGTTAGCGGACCACTGAAATTCAGAATTTTTGCAAATTTAGCTTCAAACCCTTTAAAGCCCATTCAACGATTTTTCTAGAATTTCAAGGTTTGAAGTTCAAGCCGAAAAGCGTACCGTCCGGTTTTGGTGCTGTGAAATTTGGAGGGCGTCGTGTCCGGATGGACATCGCCGGAATTGAGGTGCTCGTGGTCGTTGGCAATGTTGATATTGACAATTTCCCGCTTCGCCAGCTCCTCGCCCTTCAGTCCGTGCGCGTTCTCGGTCGTTCCGTTGTCCGGCAGGTGGATCGTCTCAATTTTCACATAGAAGTTCTCTTTCATATAATCGGGATTCGTGATGACCGTCTTGCAGTACGGATACGCGTTCCACGCCTCCTCGTGGATTGCCAGCGAGCCTTTTGGCGCGATTTTACGGATCAGTGCTGGCACTTTTCTGTAAAAATGGGATGTTTAGGTAAAAAAAGCCTAAAATGATGAAACACTCACGATTGGAGATGGTAGATTTTGTGAGTGTATTGTCCTTTGTTGAACTGTCCGTTCAGCAGCGGAACATTGTCGAACGGCTCGTTCTTGAGCACTTCGACGCCCTCGCCGCCGCCCGTTTCGGCTTTTGACGCCTCCGCGACCGACCACAGCTGCCCCACTTGGTACTCTTCCACCGAAAGCGGCAGAACAACGCGACTGAAAAGAAATGGAGAATTTTGAGACATTTTGAGAAACTTTAAATGTTTTCTGTACACACGATTCTATTCTGTATATTCCTGGCTTAGGGTTACCCACCCTGAATAAATCTTTTGCCTGAATACCTTGTCCTATTTTAGTGGTTCTCACTCGGCCTTGAACTCGCTTCATCTGCTCTTGAGCAACCGAAGAGTCACGAGTTATAATCCATCAAGGAAAAGTGTGAAACTACAACACTGGCCCTTCTTTTGAATTTTAGTTAAAAATCAGGGTAAAACTCACTATTCCTTGATAATCATGGCAACGAAGTCGACAAGTGGGTGCCGCTAGGCCTGAAATGGGCAGAAATGAGTAAAAGAGACGGAAAAGATAAAATTGAATCACCCGAGCGAGTTGCTATGACGACAAGGCGTTCAGGAAAAGAGAAAGGAGGGCGAAAGACGTGGCGAATCCATAATATACAAAAAAAGAAGAAACAGAGAAGGATTCGCGGTTTTCGAACGGAGAAAGAAATAAAATAAAGGAAAAATTTTATTGTCGACGAGGAGCGAGAAAATGGAGAAATAGCGAGCGAACGCGCGCATAGTCATCATTCTTTTGAGAAAGAATTTCGCAATTGGGAAAAAAGCACAAAAAAACCGAAAAAATCGGTTGCGAAATTGCTTTTCGGTGAAAAAATGGAAGAAGAAGAAGAAAAAGAAGTAAATTCAACTATGCTCGTAAATCGACAATTAAAGGCGCATCACGCTTTCAAGAGACGGGTCTTGATGCGATTAAGACATTGTATGGTTGATACATTTACTTTGATGGATTTCAGCTGATTTCGACTGGAATTTTTAACATTTCTAGAGGGGAGAACGGTTTTCTAACAAATTTCGGTGACTCAAATGGCGAAAAGTAATAAAACGTGTACTAAATAGCCGAATAATTCGGCCAAACACTAGAACTCCAGATTTCCAGCCGAATTTTAACGTTTTCAGACGGAAGCTTCAGCCTATTACAGATTTTCCGATGCAAGACAACTGTTTAGATGTGAAAACTAGAAAACTGCAACGCAAAAATCGATAAAACGCTCGAACACTCAGAGAAACGGCGGGAAGAAGAACAAAGAACACGGCAAAAACGGTTAGAATTTGAAGTTTAGACCAAGCAGAAATCGAATTCGAGTCCTTTGTGTGCACGAAAAACGCGCAAGCGCATAATATTCTAGCAGTGTCTGGCACGCTCCACAAACACGCACACTCTTTCGCCCATTAGGAAATTGGCAGAAGGGGGCTCCAAAAAGAAGGGAAAAGGAAGTCTTTCGCGTCCAAAAATGCTCAGTGCACACCCACATTTGGGAGCCAAGCAAGAAAAAAGAAAAAAAAGGAAAAAACATCATTAAAAACGGCTGAGCCCACGTTTTTTTTCTTCTTTTGGGCCCAAAAATCGATACATTATCGCGGGTTGCTGGACGGAAAAGCGGTTGATGGGAAGAAATGCAATATGTCAAGTCTCTTTTTTCACTTTCTCTTTTAGCTCTTCAAAACAATTTTTCGTTTAACAACTTAAGCGCACGTGGTAGCCGTTTGGCAACCACTGGACACTTTGCAACCAGTCTCGTCCGGTTGTAATGTCTGACGCACACACTCGTGACTATTACGATGACTAATGGTGATTGGTAGCTGCGAACTGATTAGAAAGACATTTGGAGAGCGAGACATTTCGCAACTGTTCGCGAAATGTCCATTTGACGCGAAAGAGCTAGAGAATTGTTCTAATAATACCGAGAAGAGAAAAAAGCAATTATATACTAATGGAGCCCAAGGACGTCATCTTCAATAGTTCTTGGATAGGTGCTCAAGAAATTAGCGCGTCAGAAAAGTGTTGGAATTTGAGGTTTCCGGCATTTTTGCTGGGTGAAAACATCGAAATTCATGAGTACTTCCTGCAAGAATTTAAAATTTAAAGCCTCTTGAACTGTCTTTAGAAGAAAAAACTCTTTTTCTGTTCAGACCCATTTCTTCATCGGTCGCTGATCTATTTGGACACTTTTTGATCTGTCCACATGCCGGCGCGGGATATCGGCCGAGGCTCGGCTGAAGAACATCCTTGTTTGTGTTGCTTCGATGCCGTTCTGCCGTGTGTCAACTGGATCTCTCGAACAAGGATGTTGTTAGACGACAATAACAACGCGCTGAAGTCTAAACTGTCTGGGAGATACTGAAAAACGACTCCAAAAATGATGATTTTATCGATTTTGTGGAAAAACTAGTGAAAACGAGGATTCACCCAATTTTCGTTCTCAAAACTAATGTTCCCCTTGTTTTTTTTCGAATTCCAACCAAATGTCTCGATTTTTCCGTTTCTCACACGTTCGATTCGATTGTTCAGTCCTCGTCCTTTTGCTTGAAATTCCCAATTCCGTGAAAACTTTTGTTCTTTCTGTCTTTTCCTTAATCGTCTACAAAACGAAATTGCGCTTGTTTACAGCGAAAGAAGACCGAACAGTTATCGACTTTTGGAGAACAACACATTTTCAAAGCGATAAAGTTGATGAAAAACGGTCAGTTTGGCTGGAACTTGAGATACTCGCCGTAAAACCCTTGTGTTGCAGAAACGACCGATAGCAAGATTGAAGAATACGCGGAAGAACTTGAATTGCAGCTCGAGAGCAACGGAAGCGATCGTTCGAACAAGGGAGAAAAGCAAAAATCGGGGGTCAGTTTGGGTGAACTCCAAATGCTTCCCCGGAACAACGTTGTTCTAGGTATCGCCGGGGACTGGGAAAGAGCAATGTTTCGATCTTTTTGCTCGGAGGGAAAACAGCGTGTGTCAACTGGATCTCTCGAACAAGGATGTCGTTAGACGACAATAACAATGCGCTGAAGTCTAAACTGTCTGCGAGATACTGAAAAACTACTCCAAAAATGATGATTTTATAGATTTCCTAATTGTAGCAAAACCTGTAAAAATCAGAATACAGTGCATGCACTGGTTTTTTCCATTTTTTGACATCGCCGAGTAAAATGTTGCAAGAATTGGCTTGTTTGAGTTTAGACTGAATTTGCCTAAAATGTATGAGAATGTTTCAGGTTTTCAGAAAAAATTCAGAAATCCAGTGGCCTAAAAATAGAAGAATAGAATAGCCCAGAGTAAAATATTCATGAAGAAGCATCGTGAATGCAAAGATGGGGTCCAGCTGTTCCTGCCCTCTTGTGTTGCGGTTTCGGTTGCGAAATGGGAACGCCTTAATTTGTTTCCACGACTGCTCTAGCATCGCTGTTAGCTTGTCAGAGCGATAAGATCAACAAACAACTATTGTACAGTTCCAACAAAAATTTTAACAACCCCTCCCCTTCGTTAGCTTCTTTCTTTCTCATTTTGTTGCGCACACACACACACACACACACACAGCAACAATTCGCGCTTATATTTGCCGACACGCCCGATCCGTTGGCATCACCCACCGGGGGTCTTGAGCAAGCGACGAGCAAACAGTCTCACACCGAGAAGGAGGAGAGGGCGAGCGACTTTTAACATTTGTGCTCACATATTGCTCACTTGTGAAGAATTCGCCAAGAAACATGAGAGACGGTGGTGGTCCTCGAGTCCGAATCGATGTCAACAAGCCGCAAAATAGGTAAGGGGCGAGAAAAAAAGAAAGATTGAGTGCTCTTGACACCAACACATTTGTGCCCTCTCCCCGCTAATCCGTCCAGTCTTTTTGTTCTCCCCCGTCACTCTTTGACTTTTCCGTTTCATCACATACATATTATTATACGAAAACGTCTTGCCATTCAAACGTTCCTCATCATCATTGACTGTCTGGTTCAGAGCTCAACAGTTCGAGACCGAAGAACAACGACTGCAACGTGTGCAGAGCCACGGATCCGACACTGCCACCATGAACTTTGTGACCGATGATCGTATGGAGGTAAGAGTTTGCGCTCATCTTACTATTTTTTCTAGAAAAAAGTGTTTCCCTTAAACTCGCTCAAAGTTAGGCGTCAAAGTGTTCGTGTTCCGATTACTGTAGGAAAAGTTTGGTTTGCGAGAACAAGTATCTAAATCTAGAAGGTCTCGTCGCCAGAGTAAAGGTAGAAATCCAGTTATCCCCTCGCAATAACTACTTGGTAAACTGTGCATAGCTTCATCCAAGAGGGCGCGAGATTCCCTCTCTCTCTCTGTTTTAGAAGAAAGAAAGAGAGAGAGAGAGAGAGAAAGCACTTCACTTTTGTGCTCCTCTCCGCTCTCGTATATACCCCCTTTCATCTCCCACAAAGAAAGAGGAGCGCATTCATTTATTCGTCCTCTCGCTTCCACCAACACCACAGAAAACCACAAAGATTTCATCTCACCTCCTCGTCTTTTTTCCTCCTTTATACCCCTTCCCGTTTCGCTACAAATACGAAATTTGGTCCCCATGAGAATTTTCCTCCGGACGAGACGAGCCCGAAAGACGTCTTCCATACGAAGAAGAGATTAACCCGCAAAAGAACAGAAAAATGTGTGCGGCCGTGGGGATATTCCGATTTTTTCTCACTTTTTCTATTGAATACTTGATGTGCTCTCTCTGAGAAAGCTAGCTCAGAGCTGCTATTATGCTTATAGTTGACGAGTTGAGATTTGCTTCCTAAATTGTCTGTCAATTTTCATTTTTCTAATACGAAAGTTCCAAAAGCTTTTCGGAGGTTCTATGGAAACTAAGAACAATTTTTCGTACGGCGCACTGGTTCTTCTTCGAAATCCTTTCCCATCTTCTTCCGAAAAAAACTTTTATTCTTCTTCTTCCTCCTCGCAGAGCCACATACAAATTCAATTTGCATGTGTGTATTAGGCCCATAATCTTGTGAATACACCGACGTTTTTTCGCCATTCTTTCGTCCATGGACTTTAGGATTTTTCGGCCAAGGTCTACATAGGCCCAACCAAACGCCTAACTACACCAAATTTGGCTCTTTCTGCTCCAACCAATTAATCATCAGTGTGGCGCCCATTTTCCGTCGTCTTCATGTTGCTCCGAGAGCCCCCACGCTCATTTTCTAGTTGCTGGTGGTGCAGCCCCCAGCAAGTTTTATGTGTTTTTGGCACTGGCGCACCCACGCCACACTCCAAATTGCTATATTGTCAATTTTCAATTTTTTCCCCTCACTTTGGCTCGTTTCCAGTCGAGAAATGGGGCCGAAAGGTTGGAACGGCAAAGTGAGTGCGAGAGCTCTGGACGTTTCTCTTTTTTCCAAATTCTTTCCATTACCCTTTGGCCAGTGTATAACTATTTTCTTCGATAAGGACGTTCTGCGACCAAAATTTTTCGGTTGCAAAACGTCCTAGCTCTCCTCCAAGTAGAAAAAGTAAGAAAATATTTGTGATTCTTGAACGTCGAGCGTTTTTTTCTTCAGCTTCTTGTTTGCCGTTTTGATTATTTGCCTTCGTCTTACTCCTGCCGTTTACCCCCACAACAAGTTTCTTCTTCCTTCAACTTTTCCTCTCATTTCCCCCATCCATGTGTAATCTTGTCATTACGGATGACTACGGATGTTTTAGAGAAAAATGAGGAAAAATAAAATATGGAGACATTTGTAATTTGCAGGAGGAGCACGAGGAGTACAGCGCGTTCAAAGAGGCGTACGAGGAGGAGGAGAGCCGCGAATACGTTATTGAAAACGGAGTGAAACGGCTTGTCAATCAGCACTACGACTCGCGCGGATACGCCAAATCAGCCAGAGGTACATCGGCATGAAAAGAAGAAAAAAACTGAGGAACTTTCAGGCCAGAAGGGACAGCGAGAGGAGGAGAGACGCAGGAATATGGCCGTCGACTACTCTTGTACGTTTGTGGGGGACGGTTGCGAAGCGTCTAGGAGACATTTTGCAACCGAAGCAACGTGTTAGCATTTCCAGCGAACGACTTCCGTCAATCCCTGGCCGCCATCGATCAGGCGAGCCGTGATGGAGCCATCTCGCGCGGCGAGGATGGCGTCCGAGTGCGTCACATCGGCGACACGACAATAATGACCGAGCACAGAGACCCGTACTCTTTCTACTGGCAACTGGACCAGGCCCGTCGTGACACAGAATCGCCGCCACGAAGAGCACCGCCCACGGACTACGTGATCGACGAGGAAGAGGTCATGGACACTGTACTCTCTCCAGAATCACACGATAGCGGGATCATGTTCGAGAATCAGTACAGACGACCGCATCGGGGACATCCTCTTCCACCACCGCCACCAATTATGGAGGAGGAGCCGAAGGAGTTACCGCCAGGATGGGAGAAGCATCAAGGTGGCCACAGTAGTCTGTGTTAAAATTATTAAGTATTTACAGACCCCCAAGGATACTCGTACTACTGGCACGTCGACAGCGGAACCATCCAAAGACAGCCACCTCCAGCCGTTGTAAGTTCTTGTGCACTTTTTGTGTGCTCGCCGCCTGCACAACATGTACTTGTTCATGCTCGTCTCCGTTTTTCAGCGTGACGTTACACCTGCTCGAACTCCTTCCCCACCTCCACCACCCGTGTACTCTGTTACAACCGCTGTACGTCTCAGTTCCCGTGCACTATGAATATGCCAACTCGTTCACAAAGAAAAAATGTCCACTTTCAGAACCGCGAGACACAAGCGGACGCGCCGCCAACTCAGATAATTCAATTGCCGCCGCAGCAGCCGGTGATTGAAGAGCACGCATTCAAGCAAACGACCACAAAACGGCGAATTGAGCAGGATGAGCTGAGCGAGGGATTCGCAGAAGACGCGCAGGCGATCGGCGAGGGTGGTGACACCTACCATAAGCCGGTCAGATTTGCCGTGCGCTCGTTGGGATGGATTGAGATTTCCGAGGATGAGCTGACCGCGGAGAAGTCTTCTCGCGCTGTTAATCGGTACGTTTTGCAACTAGTCTTGTTGCTTGAAACTGCGCAGTTTTAGAGCCTAGGGACACTGCGAGGAGTTCAACAACTCCCCCTATAAAACTGTTTTTTTTTTCAGCGCCATCGTGGAATTGACCCAAAAAAGTGACCTGGAACAAGTGCCCAAGTGGGGAGACGGTCGCGAACTGATCATGGAGCTTGATGACAACGAACTGGCACTCATCGACCCGGACTCTATGAATGTGATCCATTCGGAACGCATTCAGGCGATCCGTGTCTGGGGAGTCGGACGCGACAACGGACGCGATTTTGCCTACGTTTCGAGGGACCGCGCGACCCGCAGATTCATGTGCCATGTGTTCCGATGCGACACTTCCGCCAAGACCATCGCCAACACGCTCAGGGACATTTGCAAAAGACTGATGCTCAATCGAAGACCGTCTAGTCTTCATGCAACCGAATCGGGAGAGAAGAGGATCGTCAGAAGCACCGAGGGATTCACGCCCATCGATGAGCCACGCAAGGTGATCAGGTGCCACTTTTTGGGAGTTACCCAAGTGCCCAAAGCCACTGGAATCGAGATTTTGAACGAGGCGGTTGATCGATTGGTTTCACAGGTAAGCATAAAAGTGCGACACATTTTTCTCTAGCCTTGAGCATTTTTAGGTGCGTCCCGAGCGTTGGATCCTCGCCGACGTCTCCATCGCCCCCTCCACCATCGCCATCGTCGAAGTGAACGGACAGCAAATCGCCGAGTGCCGAGTCAGATATCTCAGTTTTCTGGGAATCGGAAGGGATGTCAAGTATGTCCCCCTCAACGTGAATCGTTGAGTCAGCATCAATTTCTCATTATTTCAGGCACTGCGCATTCATAATGCAGACCTCGTCGGAGAACTTCATGTGCTACGTGTTCCACGTGGAACCGAGCGCCGCTGCAATGGCCAAAATGATCGAGGCGGCATGCAAGCTGCGTTATCAGAAAGTTCTCGACGCTCACGCGTCCCGACATCACTCGGGAATGTCTTCGCACGGCGCCCATCCGCCACCGTCCTACCACGGCAAGGTTTTCGATTTTCACACTTTCCCTTGCTCTAACTCGATATTGTACATTCGCAAACGCGCCGTGGACGTGTCGCAACTGGAATTTGGTTGCAAAACGGTTGCGAATGTATAATACAACTGCTTGAACGGTTTTAACATGTTTCCCCCCGGGTGTTTTAACTTTTTCGTTTGATTCTGTTTTCTATGTTGACCGAAAAAATTATCAAAGCTTGTGATTTTCTGGTAATTTCAAAAGCGGCTCTAAATTTTTTTTACAAACAAAATTAACAAGTGTTTGTTGTGCGCAGAACAATTGTTAACAAAAATGTTATGCAAATATTTGCAGGGATGGACTGAGACTTTCCGCGACGCATTTGGATCGGTAACCTCACGAATGGTGCCGTCAAGATCAGCACAAAAATTATAATGTTTCATGTCAAAATGCCTTCTTCTTTCTCTCTCTCTCACTCAATTTTCTACTTCTCCCGTTCCAATTACGCTTTCATTTTTGTTTGCAATATTTTTCGAAACACTTGTACATTTTTACACTTTATCACATTTTGAAAACTTGTAAAATGTCGCTGTAGTCTTGGTTTGAATTTGTGAAAAAACAACAACAGTAGGAATTACGTCTTCGAGTTGCTCGTTTGCCTGTCTATGTAAAGTTTTTTGGTTACTTTACGTTGGATTTGTACAAACACACCTAAATAATTTGCCGAACATTTGTGGATGATTATGATTTGAACTCTCCGTGGATTTTTCAAAGTTTTTTAGAAAATATGTGATTAAAAACGTGGATCGATGGAAAAAAACGCGAAAGTAAATTCATTTCGCAACAATTGATTGCTTATTATTGTCGACATCGAAGTGGACACTGTTAGAATGGCAATTGGAGACTATCTCATCCTCGTTCAGGTACTTTTTCGCAGATTTTCAAAGAAATAATGTGCACAGTTTAAATTCAAGAAAGTGTCTGATTTTACGCGATAATTGCAGAATCTGTTGCTGATCTTCGTGCTGACGTCTTCCACGTGGATTCAGTGCAAGAAAAAGAAGGCGGTGGCGAAGACGAATACGAGCAAACAATCGAAGGAGAAATCGGCTCTCGTTGTGCAGTCGGCGATTGTGAGCGTCTTACGTTTCAGACAAAACATTGCAAATTTTCAAACATTTTGGCGTATGTTCCAAAAGTTGCTTGTTTTGTTTTCAATGTTTTTATGATTATGAATAGGTGTTCGCACAAAATTGTGTGCGACATTTTTGCCAAGAGTAGAAACCGGCAGATAAAACTGAGAAACTGATTTTTAAAACTTACCGGGCCGAGTAGGGTCAAGTCTGAATATTTTGTTAAAATTTTCTGCGAAATTCCTCAGCTGTCTGAGCTCAGACAAGGCAATTCGAATCAAATTAGAACAAATTAGATAAAACCACGTCTAATTAATTAGATGATCTTAGTTTCTAACGCAACCTCTTTAAATTCGAAAATTTTCTAATAAGATTCGAATTGATTTGTCTGAGTCAGTGAATTTCGTGCGAAAAATGGCCAACATTTTCGAAACAACCGGATAATTTTTCAAAAAAGTGATTTTATTTATAGCACCCGCCAGTGACCGATGTGACTCCGAGTGCGATAGAAAAAGTGAAAGAAGAGAAGAAGGAAGAGGCGCCGAAAGAAGAAGTCAAGGAAAAAGAAGGTGAGAAGAAGGACGGCGCCGAGAATCCGGAGAAAAAAGTTGGCAAATCGCAGAAGACGTTCCCGAAATTCGAGGTATTTCACGCGAAAACGCAGAAAGCATCGCACAATTCTTGCAGATGCCAACGGAGAGCAAGAAAAAGATGAAGCTGCAGGAGAACGAGGCGGAGAAAAAGGAGAAAATCAAGAATGGATTCTTCCAGGAGAAATCGGACGAAGATGACACCCTCGAGAAGATCGACAGTCTGAAGGTCGAGCAATCCGATCGCACCAAGAGATCGCAAAAGAAAAAGAAGTGAAGTTCCCTCGAGGCCCTCCGTTTCCCTCACACGCCGATTACTTGTCAAAATTAAAGGAAATAATTTTTTGTATATATTTTCTCTATGCGTTTGTACTTGGAATAATTCGATTTTCAAATTTTCCTATTATAGGGGCACCGCACAGAAATGGCGCTCTGTTGAGAAACTCTTTTTACAGTGCAAATTCAGCGACCTCGGGGTCGAGTTTGAAAAGTTAGGCCACGCATTGCAATAATGTCAGAGGGAGGAACAGCGGAAGTTAATTTTATAGGCTATAAATGGTTGAAAACGTTTCCTGAAAGAAAAGTTTGCGCTCATCGCTCGTTTTTCGGCAAAATGGTTGCAAAGTTGGACACTTCGAGTCGAAAGAGTATTTATTGGATTCGGATAATACTTTATTCACATACTTCCGATCATGCAATATGTTAATGTGTTAGTTATTCAGAGTCGTTTATGACATTCTTGTTATTTTAACTGATGCTCTCGTGAAATACCAGAATGTTACTAATGGAAACTGGTTTTGAACCTTTATTTTTTGAAATAATTCGAATAATTGCTGATTGGTTGATAATAATAAGCTAATGGAGATTTGTTGTCCGTTCTGTACATAACCCCATGATTGTTCTATTCATCATACTTAACGACATGCCTGAAAATAGGCACTTTCAACTTTGAGGTTGTCTAGAACGATCTGGAGACGTCCTATGATTAAACTCTTCGCATATATTTCTCAATTTTAATAGTTGAACAACCACCTCCTGGAGTATTGTAGCTCTTGCAAGTTATCCTGTGATTTTAGTTCCTTCTAACAATACTAGATGTGAAGATTTCTATTAAGATTTATTAGCGAATTCGAAGATCCCAGGTTCAATCAAACTTGACCGAAACGGTCAAAGCGGTGAAACCATTAGAAGTTTCGGGCACTTGAAAGTGCTTATCGAACGGAATACTTGCATCCGGCAACTTTTCCTTCGTTCTCCCCATCCTCCCAATCCGTCAAATCCTTTGCGATGATCGGGCAATAAGTGGCCGTCCTTCCTTTCGGTTTTATAATGGCTGACCTCTTTCGGTCATCATTTCCGTTCTTTTCTTTTCCATTCAAACCCATCGCCCTGATCATTTCCCAATAAATCTTCATGAGACTTCTCCACCTATTCCTCGCTATTTTTCCGGCTTTTGGTAGAGCACTGAAATTGTCAACAGCAACAAGAAAAATGTGTTTCAGTGAGTTGTCAGCTGGCTGCAGTCTATTCGGATGCCTCCCGAAATCCCACGTGTAGCAATTGGAGCAGTTGGGGACCGTGCGTTTGGCCGGATCTCAAAACTGGCGTAAGAAATTGAAGAATAAAAAGGGTCCAGTGGTAATTTTAACAAATTCTGTTCCAGAAGCCGTATCTCGAGCAAATCTCGTCAATCTGCCAACATCACTGGTTCTACGCGTTCATCAAAAGATACGAAAAGGCGCTGAACAGCTTCTACGACTACATGGGGAGCGTGCTAAAATCGAAGAAACCGTGCGGTCTGTGCTCCTACAAACAATCGTGCGGATTCGGCGGAGCGGTCAAGTGCAATCAGAGCCCGTTGGCGTAAGTTATATCGTGACCGTTGCCCAGAATCCGACCGACTTCTCTATTTTCAGAGTAGAAGGCGGCCGCCCATTGATGCCATTCTACGTGGCCGAGCGAGTTTGTAGCGGCCGAGATTTGGGAAAAACCCAAACGGAATCGTGCGTCGTCGACTATGACGCTCTTATGGCAAGTTCATTCATCAATGCAGCGCACTTTCTAAACAGAGAGCATTTTCAGGCAAACGGAGGAGAATGTCAACTGTGGCCGTCGGCGAAAGTGGATCTTTCGGCTGTTGAGCCTGAATTCCGCGAGCACGTCTCCAACTTGAGTTGGTACACTTGTCTGCCGCAGAATCGGTGCGTTTTTTTGTTGAGAAAATTACTGGAAAATTGTCTGTTCTTGCAGAAAACTGCGAAAGGGACGCGGAAAGAACGCCAAGTACCGTTACGAGAAAGTGTGCCGGTGCTGTTGCTTTCCGTTCCGCCCGAATCCGAAGACTTTTAAATGTGAGCACACGCCGGGAACCCCAATCGCTCCCGGAATGGATCTTTTGGAAAGTGAGCTGAAATCGAGCGCAAGGCGAAGAGCTTTACAATAATTTATTTGAAATTCGCTAATTCATCTAGTTCAAAAGTTCAGATTATGCGCAAATTGAACAATATTATGAGTTTGTGAAGGCGAACGAAACTTGTGTGGGTGAGCTAATAATAATAATAAATAGTAAATACATCTTTTCGACTGGTTTTGGAATGCATGGCAGCGGGGGGACGTGACAAAAGTGACAAAATAAAGTGAAACGTTTGGGGCGAAAAAGACACAGGAATGACTAGTTTTTGCAAAATTTCCAAACAAAGTTGAGCAATAATAACATAATTAAAGCGAGAATCGTTGTTCCCTGCCTTCCGGCAGCATCAACGTCAGCGACTTTGCGTTAATCCAGACTAAGCGTGGGCGGAACGATGCTCCGCTCGGCGACGTCGGCACGGAGACGGTGGGCGCCGGCTGCGATTTTGTCAGCTTCATCTGTGTTTGACCCATTCCCTAAGAATACAAAATTTTAGGTTTTGTCACGGTTTTTCACGTACTAAGAAAGTAGAACTAGTTTGGAAGAAGTTAATTTTGCCGTCCTCGGCTCCGTACGTCGCCAAATACTTGCCGTCCTCGTTGAAAGCGACCGCGGCGATCGGGCCGTTGTGAGAGGGAAGCGACTGAAAAAATGGACAATAATCTAATGATTTGAAGGATTTTCCATGTTCAAACGCACATGAGTCTTAGTGGCGCGCAACTCGTGCACCACACAAACGCCGTTCTTTCCTCCGAACGCAATTCGTCGCGTCGACGTACAATATCCGACCATATTGAATTTAGCGATCGGCGGAAACGCCTCCGCAAGCGATTTGTGTTTAAGAATCGAGATGTCCAGACAATGAACGAGAATGTCGCCGACGGGCAGGAGCATTGTGATGATATCATTGTACCGTTTATCGCACAATTCCTCGATTATCCGAAGCACTTCTGAGCGGGATTTCAGCAGGGGACTGACTACGGTATGCTGGATTGTTTGGTGTTGCGCCGCCGAGTTGTATCTGGCCACTTCCATGCTCAACGCGGTCAAAAGCGCCGGCGGACGAGCGAGAGCGATCAGGGAAAGGGACTGACGGGCGGTGCGGGCGGCGTCTTCGATCGCGTTGAGGGGCGCGCCGACTATCTTCCGCGAGTTGCTCCGATCGTTGTTGGAGGCCAGGTCTAGAAGTCCCAGGACTACTTTAGAGATCTCCAGATGAGGTTCCCAGTGGACGAAGCCACGTCCGAGAAGGTCGATCGCTGCTCGGCGCAGGGGAGAATGCACTGGAATTGAACAGTTTCAGTTTTTGTTTTAGAAAAATGTAGAGGCAAGTTTACCTGGTATCAAATTGGAAGGCGCCGCCACCAGCAGTTCCAGCAGAGAAACAGCAGTGGCTCTGGTCAAATCGGCTCGATTCAGTTCATCGCCGAACTCGGCCCCGATCACTCCGAGCAGAATGATCGACGTGGCCTGATTCCGCCGAACTTGCTGGATTCCGGCCTCTCCGCCCTCCGCCGTCGCCGGCTCCGATGCTCGAACGGGCTCAACATCCGGCGGCGCATTTTTTGTGCGCGGTGGTATCGGAGGAGCCGGAGCACTCGGCTGAATTGTCGGAACCGATGATTGGAGCTTGGAGCCGAAAATGGAGAGGGTGTCATCGAGAAGCGGAGGCAGGAACGGCGTCCACGATTCGATTAAGCGACGTCGTCCTTCAGGGCCCAGCCGGGAAAGTTCTCGGATCAGCAGAGCCTGCGCGGCCTCCCGAATCTCCAGACAACTGTCCTGCCACCGTCTCACGAGCATTTCGATGCTCGGAGGAGCATAACTGCTGCGTGGGCGAACATTTTCGGGCAGAAGAACGCAGTGAAGGGCGGCCACAAGACTCCATCCCTGCTTGATTTGCTGACGATCCAGGCTGGCACTGTTTGACGCGTCCAACGAATTTTTACGGGCTTTTGTCAGTTGCAGCGCCGAATTTTTCATAGCCATAAGGGTGTTCGATGTGGAAATGACGGCGAGAAGATGGGATGTGTTCAGGGAATGACTCGCTTGCCATCGCGATTTTTTGCAGAACGACTCGAAATCCGTGGCGAATCGGGTGGGCAGACTCACTAAAGAAGTACGCGTATTTTTCTGATTCTGTTTTAAAACTGACCTGAAAGTTCTCCCTGTCTCGAAACATTCCCGAAATACACTTGATGTCTGGGTCTGTGCAAAGAGAGTCGTTTCTCGCAAACTTCATCCAGATCCTCGTCCAAATTCCAGGCGTGAAGCATCGAGAGCATCAGTCTGGCAACGTCCAGATAGAGATTGGCCTCGAATTGCCACGTAAGCTTGCGAGACAATCCCGTCACCGAATTTGTTTCAGCACTTTCCAACTGCCTTTCCGCATTCGTTTTTCCTTCTGGAGCTTCTGCACTTGAATCCAGATGCAAAATCCCGGCAATCAGAGCCGAAATCTCGAATTGTACAAGATGAGCGCCTTGGATGCAGCCGGGCAGCGGAAGGATCAACATCGGAGAGCCCAGCTGAACAGCCACGCAACTGTTATTGTGAAGATCCGGATGGTTGGAGGGCGTCGCGGATCCGCTCGCAGACCCTCCGCCGACCACCTTCTGCTTCACCGCGTCTATATTCTTGTGTTTCAGCGCTCGAATCAACTGGACAGCGTGATGAGCCGACGTCTCATCGGTTCCCTCCTCGATGCCGATCTGTTCGTCGCACGCCATCATGATGTCCTCAGCCAGAAGGCCCGTCGCGATTCTGTCCAGATTCGCCGTCTCCATCTGCCAGACGTACACGGATCCGTCGGAGAGTTTGACGAGCATGAAGTCGTCGAGGGGCCGCCATTTGATTTGAACAATTGGGTAGGGGTGTCTGGAGGCGAGGAGAACGCACTTGCAGTCGCGGATGTTCAGCAGAGCGACCGTGTGGTCGGTGGCTATCGATGCGATGCATTTTGTCACTTGCTTCTGCAAAAAACGGATATTTTTAGGGTGGATTTATCAGTTGTTACATTTTCAGGAGACTTTAACGGATAAATGGATCATTACCTGCAGGATTTTTTCACTAAATATAGAATTTGGTGCAACTTACACTGCAATTAGACGGCGGGATCATGAAGCTTCTGATAGGACCGCCGTGCACCAGAAACCGATGCACTTTCGATCCGTTGTTGATGTTCCAAATGATGACGGAAAAGTCGTCGGAGCCGGAGACAAAGTACTGCGGATCGTATTTGGTGTCGTGCTCGAACGGATAAAACATGCATCTGACGGCGGCGTCGTGTCCGAACAGCTGCCGCGAGTTCGTCCGTTCGGCGGGCACGCGGAGCCATTGACGTGCCAGGGTTTCGCACGCGTACGTCATTATGATTATTCCGTCGGATCGACCCAAAAAGAGCTTCCCTTGGCTTGTGACGAACAGGGAGCAGCAGACTGCTTCGGAATTCTGAAATTTTCACGTGGAAACCTCGGAATTTTAGCAGAAATTTTATAAATTCTGTGAAAAACTCACCAAAACCGGCATGGATCCGTCCTCGGCGTCGTTCAAAGTTTGCCAAATGCTCGACAGACTTTCCCGGTAGGTTCCGTTGAATTCTGCAAGGAGTGTTAATCGTCGTTGAAGCAAAAATCTCATTAAAACACTTACTAAACGGTAAATTCTTGAGTCCCGGCACTGCTTTCATGAATTGATGGTCGATGAGGGGCATATTCCAGACGAGAACACTTCCGTCCCTTCGCGAACTTCTCACAACCGTCACTTTTCGCTTCTCACCGTTTGATTCAGAAGACGTGGGCGGTGGAATGAATGCAAAATGTGCGTCATTTAGGCACTGGAAACTGGGAAAAGTGCTATTTCTGATGTTTTTTTCATAGTTTTTTTGTTTAATGGTTGCCGCTCGTTCCGAAATTTCACTCCGAGCACCAGGACGGAAAAATGCTTTGGCGTTTCCCAAACATCCCGCACCTATGCTTTTTTTGTTGAAAAAATTACCGTTCGGGGAACATCGCTGACTGCATTGACAGAAGCGACCACAAACGGCTCTTCTTCGTCGAAATAGTTGGTATTAGGCCTATTTGGTCCAATCGGAACCGTCGGATCCTTCTGGAGACTTGTGATCGGCAACTGATAGACATTGATCGATTCGTCCGTATATCCGATTGTCACTTTGTCGCAATCGGTTATAGATCCACTTGTACACCGTTTCGACGTGTTTTTGTTGGTGTGCGAACAGATTGTGGACATGTCGTCGATATCGAGAATCGTCCAAGAGCCAGAAGCCACGATCAGGAGCATCCGACGTGTGGAAACGTAGAAATTCACGGAGCGGATGTGCTGGATTTCCAATCGCTTCGATTCGTCTTCGTACAAACTGTTCGATGGATCTTTTTTCTCCAACTCTTTGAGCGTCCACACTTTCATCATGCCGGACAGTGTCATTCCGATCAGTTGGTCGTCCCTTACCGGGTTACTCGGGTCTCTGACAAATGCGAAACAGCTGATCCAATCGGGTTCGACCCTCGAGGCGATGCTGAAGACGACAGTCAAATCCTGCGGATCCATCACTTGAATATCGCAGTAATCTCCGATGCAAAAGAGGCGAGTTGCGCGCGTGTGTCGCGAGGATTTGTAGGTGTACGGGCACAAATATCTGTGAATTGAAATCGAGGCCGTCGAATCTATGCACCGCCCGTCTTGAATTTCCCATAAGCAAACTCTTCCGTCGGCAGAAGCTGAGATAAAGCGGCTAAAAGTTTGACTTTAGAAATTTATCGATTTTTTGGTTTACTGACGTGTTTGGGATGGAATTGTTAGTCTGAGAGATTGCTGTGATTTTTTGCGAATGCCCAATCATTAACTGCTTTGGAATGAGCCCCTCCGACAATTTCCAAATGACCAGATGACCATTTTCAGCGCCTGTAAGTCAACTGTTTGAATTTTTCCATTTTTTGTCAGGAATTTCGGACCTGTAATGATGGTTTCGCCGTCGGGCAGGACTCGAATTGCGCATATCTGATTCTCCGGAGGTTTGGGTCCCCAAATAACCACCGGAACGGATAGAGCTGGTGATTTTGTGCCGGCAGACACGACCTCCGTCATAGTCGTCTCTCCAGGATCTGTTAGAATTTTTATATTGTGGAGCAGGAAATTATCAATTTTCATTAATCAGATACGAATTGTAAACGACTTTGAGCGATTTCATACAATTTTTCTTTGAGTTTTCAAGAAAAAATCCATGGAAAAAGTCCAAAGGTCGCCGTAAATCGACACCGCACTGGACGGGTTTCGCCACGATTTGTTGTTGGCAAGCGTGCGCCTTTAAACTTGTGTCGATTTACGGCCGAAGCCGCCTCTTGCCATTTCTTGATTGGCAAGAGGCGGCTTCAAATGATTGAAAGACTCCATTTTTGATCATTGCCTTATTAGTTTGTGTTGAATTTCAGCAATTTTAATTCATTCTTACACGAACATTAAAATTCTGCAGGAAAAACAACAAATGCAGGTTTTATAGCAATGTTCTAGCTTCTTTTCTGAAAAATGAATAGTACCGTAACGTGCTTACTTTTCTACTTAGTTTTAATAACTAAATTAGTTAATATTGCAGGGTAGCTTCTCCAAAATGAGTTTGACAAAAGATACGTATTTGCCGAGCGACGAAGAGCTCACCGTTCCGCAGGAGGTCGTGCTCTCGACGCCATGGCTCAAGGCGGTCGCTCCGTACATGGCCAAACAGTGCGAAAAAGAGGCCAATGTCAGTTTTTTTTAAATAAAAATTGGTGAAAGCTGCTTTTCCCTAAAAATCGATACAATTAAGATTTTTCTTTAAAATTTAGAGCAAAAAACTAAACTCTGTCGAGTTTCTGTGCAAAAAGTAACAAATATCCGTTTCTTTAGGAATTTATGCTGCGACGAAAGGAGCTGGAAGATCCGCGGGCCGTTCTGAAGGAAGGAGCCGCTCTCACCGCGTGCGGAGTCAATTTCCTGCAATCACTGAAGCGTTCGTGCCTACCGCAGACGCAAAAGCTGGCTGAATGCGTCGATCAGAGCAGTGCCAAGCTCTATTTGGCCAAGTGAGTCAAAAATTATTGCGAAATTGTTATTCTTCACACTTTGTTTACGCCGACCCGGAAAAATCTATCCTCCTATTCCTCGAGAGAATCTGCTAATTCGATTTAAAAAATAGTATAAAGTCGTGTTTTTTCCCTGCATGTCACCATTTTCCGCATTTTTCTCGGAAAGTCTGTAATTCTGAATAACTGTCGCATTTTTCAGATGCCACGCTGATCAGAAGGAACTGGACGCGTGTGTGGAGGCGAATTTGAACCTGACCCGCCCGAAACTCGGATACTTCAGCAAACTCCACGTTTACGACTCGGAGAAACCGGCGCCAGGTGTGTAAATAGTCGAAATCAGAGAATTCTCACAAGAAATTGACGATTTCTTACAAATGTCTACTGAAAAAGCTGGAAGATGGGTTCTTGCAGAGGCAAAGCTTCGTGACTACAAGGCGGAGGCGGCAAAGGTGCTGAACGAGCTGCCGGCGGACTATCACTTGCGCAAAGACTACCGCAAGTACAACGAGTGGCGCTACAACGTCTCCGAGAGCTAAACTCATAGTTTACTCTCTTAAGATGTTGTTGAGCAAGTACTAGAGTCAAGTTTTTTTTCTCACAATTCCTCCGTTTTTTTTCAATCGAATAAACTGTAGATTTTTTGTAAATTTCTCAGTTTCTTTGCTGGAGCTAGGGTAATAACCCCGTGTAAAGTGTGTATTTTTAACCTATTTGCTGTGTTTATTTCTAATATTGTCTTGTAAAGAAGCCATGGAGGCCGTGACAACTGCCTGGGAATCGATCGATTGGGATGGAATACAGGTAATTTTTAATCGAAAACATTTTCAAACAAATTGAAAATTCATTTTCAGGCCAGAGTAGAAGCAGAATGTGCATCTCTGGGACAACGACAAGATGAGGGCGAAGAACGACGACAGAGACTTCTCGAGGAGAGCAAAGCGTTCAAATCGAGGACGGACAAGGTGATTACCCGGAAATTGCGCGATTTTACTTCAAACCGGAAAAAGCTTAGCCAAATCTCAGGCCTTTACTAGAATAATCCCTTCCATATTTCATTTCCAATTTAGAAAATCCGAGTGCCAAACCCGCTCACAGGGCGAATGACCACTACCTAAATAGCACATTTGTTCGATCCATCATGCCTTTTCCTCTCTTCATTCTTCGTCATTTTCCGTCTCTTTTCCCCCCTCTTCCCCGTCTATATTATCCGTCGACGCGTGTACGCGCAGACAGCTGTCCGATCGCATAATTAGGCCCTTCTGAGCACTCGGATCGAGAAGACTCTGCCATTTCCATTGTTGGTTCATCTGTCACATTTGCAATCAATTTTGTGAAGATTGGAAAGATTGAACCGAGCGGAGATTCGGGTTACATGAAAATGATTTTTCGGGAAATTTGGAAGCTTGACATCGCAAAATTAAAATGTTCCACGTGAATGAGTAGGAAATGTGCCATATATAGCAACTTATGCACTAAAACCATCGAAATGTGCTGAAAGAGATTAGGATTAGACGATTGACTTTCGGTCCTAGATTTTTCTTCTGAAAAATCGGATTTCCATACATTTTTTTGTTGATATCATTGCTTGGAAATTCTAAAAAAACCTGACGAGTGAGAACATCAATATCAGCTTTGCGGTAAAGAACATAACCATTTTCCCAATTTCAGACCTAACTAGTAAGACTGTAGAATTAGTAAGTTCCATGCTTTCAAATAGAATTCCAACGATTCCGAAGCGTAACCGCTTCCCATCAGTCCCATCGGCCCCTCGGTCTCTGCTCAAACTTTGTGAGCTCTTCTCCTCTCCTTCTTCTTCTTCGACGAGAGCACCGAAAATGTAGGCGATGTATCTTCCAATCGCTCTGGCACACGCTCTTTCTCCATCCCTCTTTCACTTTCCGCTCACTCGCCAGACTCACTCAAATCGATTTTCCCCTTCTGCTCCCTTAGATGGGCTCCCTTCTTTCCTCGAGAGAGATCGGCGAGAGAGACTCAGAGAAAAGTGACAGGCAGTGCCCAGATCGATTGGGAATAGCTGCTTAAGGGGGACGTCGGACGGAGACCTCCTTCTGGACACCCATTTCCATTTCCATCCCCATTCACAGCACGGCAGAAGCCGCAGATCTCATCAGACATGTCAGAAAATACTCTTACGCCCACGCCTTCCCTGACTTGCTCTTCTTTCTGACTGTCCTGCTTAGATGTTTATCCACCTCTTCAATAAAAACTTCTTCAGGACGTCCGCAAGCTAACCACCCCTCTGATCAAAGCCTTCCAAGAAGAATTCGACGGACTCTTGGCGAGAATCGCTTCTGCAGAAAAAGCACTCATCGAGATTTGCTCCTCGATTGTCAATATTCCAGGTTCGGTTCACTCTTAAACTTTTCGGCGGGATTTGAAGCAGATTCTGGGAAAACGTGCGAGGGTATAATAGAGGGATTGGTGCACTTTGGATCTGGGTTTCCATGTGATCGCGTAGTGTATATTTTTCTAGAATAATTGAGATTAGAATCTCGTCAAATAAAAGCACAACTTTTATTTAAAGTTGATCGAGATCATCTCGTCAATGTTATCAGCTATTTGAGTTTTCTAACTTTTTCTGATCCACTAGGGATTAATCAGTTCTCACTCCAATTTCCGCTACAATTATGGTCACAAGCCCTTCAATCTCCGCTTCCATCGCCTGATCGGCTAAAGTCGTTCCGCTCGTTCTCGCGCAAATGGTCCGCTTCTTCTTCTTCTTCTTTGTCGTCTCGTCCGTCCCATTCCGCTCTCGGCTCCGTCCGCATTCATCCATTCCCTTTCTCAGGGGGTTTGGGCCGTCCCCTCGCCGCCCGTCCGACGCCCTTTTCGCCCCCTCTTCTTTTCCCTCTGCTTCGTCACGAACTCTGACTCGTCTGGCCGCCCATGAGTGTCTGGCTCTCTGTGCTCGCCATCGCTTTCATGGAGAGAGGGAAAAGAGAGCAGAAGAGGGACGGGCGAGCCCTTCGATTGCCTTTCGCGTCGGCTTCCCGATCGATCTGTTTTCCTCCTCATTGCCTGAAGTCATGCCACTGCGCATCTTCTCTCGCTTGTCGCTCTGCCCCCAGCCAGTACGATGCGGGCGCCGCTCACTTTGAGCCTGTTACGAGACGGAGAAAGCGGAGAGCCGCCGGCGACTCCACCGCTACAGTATCCTCATAGCTCTTTTCACTCGAAAATAGCTACAAACGAAGATGCCAGTTTATTAGCCCTACAGTATCCCTAGAGCCCTAAGGAAGTTCTCATTGTCTTTAGTACTAACAATAGCGAGTATCCCTAGAATGTACTCATATGTAACTGATCTTTCCCTTCACTTCTTCGAGTACTAACAATTCCGTCTAGATTCCAAAAAGATTGTTATTGAAAACCCATCTGTGTGTCGATTTCCAATTTCCAATTTCCGGTCATCCCCCAGAGATCATCATCACATTCGCTGCGTTCCTATCACCAAAATAGGCGAAAAACTATAGTTATTGACTAGAAATCTTATATATTTTTTCTGATTTTCAGACCCGAAATCACTGCTGAAAGGCGCCGAGGCGTGGAAAAACGACGCGGAGAAGTTGCAAAAGACAGTGGAAGAGCTGGAAAATCTGAAACGTCAATTGATCAAAGCAAACTCCGAAGTGGACGAATTCCGTGGAAAAGATGTTAAAGTGCGAAAGCTGAAGGACAAATTGGCCAAGCTGGAATCCGAACAGGACTTTTTGGTAGGTGAAATTGAGAAAGTTCTGTCAAAACTACGATTTTCAGATTGAAAACGCGGTGAGTGAAGCGGAAAAGAGAGCGGAGGTTGAGCTCGAATCCCGATTGGCCGAGGTGCTCGAAGAAAGGGACAAAATGAAAGAGCAGAACGAGATTCTGGAGAAGAATCTGGATACTGTCGAGTCGAAGAACAAGGAAATGCAGCGAAAACTCGAAATCGCCCAGATGACAGTGGACCAGAAAGACGGGCTCGAAAATGAGCAATTGGCTATCACAATGAAAGATTTGGCCGATGCCAACCACAAAATTGTATTTCTCGAAGAAAAAGTCTCGCAGCTGGAGAAAGACGCCGAAAAAGTGAACAATGCCGGGAAAATCGAGGACATCGCCGCGCTGGGATCCGTTTTGGTCCAGAAAGACGAGCTGATTCAGCAGCTGAGCAACGAGATGAAACTCGTCGAAACGGCGCATTCCGAAGAGGTGGCCAAGTGGAAATTGGCCAATTCGCAACTGGAGAGCCAGAATCAAAGCTTGCTTTCCGAGCTCACGGAGATCAAAAATCAACTGGAGAGCAGGAATGATTATGAGGCGATTAAGAATGAATTGAGGTGAGTTTTAGATGAAAATCAGTGTTTTCTTAGTTTCCAGACTCGTTTTTTCATGCTGATGACTCCAATTTCAGACTTTTGCGTGAAATCGAGTTTGGCGCATCGGCAGAAGCCAACGCGGAATCGATTGAACGTCTCGGCGAAACGGTGGAAACTCTGGACCGTCTGCTGGCCGAAAAGAACCGACGTCTTCAGAACGAAAACGCGAGTCTTCGGGTGATGAACGACGGTTTCAAATGTGAGAATTGATAATATTGTACTTTTGCATGAATGTCGTCAATTGAAAATGATATTGATATTGAAATTGCCAAGCAGTTTTGCCAGCAGCACGCGCATGATTGTAGAGCATTTTGTGATTCTGTAGCTCGTTTATTCATTTTTATTTTTATTTCCTTGTTATTGAATTTTCTTCGTTGTACGTGTACCTTGTAAATTTTCGTAAATTTGTTAAAGCTTCTAGTAGAATCTTGCTCATTATCCAGGCGACGAAATAATGACGGCAATCGTCACCGGAAGCCACTCGAAAATTGTGGAAACGGTCGGAAAACGCGTGGGCGTCGAAGAAGCGAACAAGTACCGAAAAAAGAATACGGAGCCGGAACTGCTATACAAAGTACTGCCACATCCCCCACCACCACCGCCCCCGCCTGTGTTCGACAGGAGCTCAATGCAGATTTATAAGCGGAAGAAAGAGGAAAAGGAGTTTCGATTTGATGATCCCAATGTGGATGTGCTCACGTATCTCAAGGTTTGACTGTAGTTTGAGACTCAAAAACGTTTTTTTTTTGCTCAGAAAGTGAAAGAAAAGAAGAATAAGGAGCGAGCAGCAGCCGCTGTGGCCGCCGTCTCAGGAGTTGGAGCACAATGCTCGAGCGGAGCAGTTGCGGGCCTAGGACCGAGACATGTGCAGAAACTGGAAACACACACTATCACTACGACTGCACTGCCATGTCCTCTCCCTCCGATCTTGCAAAACCTAATGAATGCCAAGGAACAGTTCTCACAAGAAGAGGATTTGAAGTTATCCACCGTTTTAAACCTGAAAACTAGATTTTCATCGCCAACTAAACTTTTGGAAGGCAAAACTTCAGAAGAGCAACGGGCCGAACAGGAAATGATTGAGAAGATGCAGGTTTGAATTTTTAAATGAACAGAACCTCAATCTTACAATAATTGCTTCTAGAATCGAATTAAAGAAAATGTTCAAGCCCTCAACGGACGTCCTCTGAATACAACGGAAATTGCATCACACTGCAAACGTCTAATGCTCGCCTACAATATCGGTCAGAGACTTTTTGCGAAACATGTGATGAACCAGGTGGTCAAGGTACTACAATCGGCAGAAACAAAATTATTAATCGATTCTATTTTAGTCCCAAGGATCGCTTTCTGAACTCCTCTCAAAACCCCGGCACTGGAGTAAGCTGACCGATAAAGGGCGAGAAGCATTCCGTCGCATTTACGGCTGGATTAGTGACGATGAGGCGATTGACATGCTCTGCTCACTAAGTCCCAGGAGAGTTTGGCCCGCCGAGCAGAGTATCGAACATCCCTGCCCTGAATCGTTGATTGATAATAGCGTACCAGTTACTGCTACTGTGGAAGTTCGAGAGGAGCCTGATCCGATAGAGCCGGAATCGTCGCCCACTATCGACATGACTCTGATCGAAGTTGTACCGGATTCGAACAAGAGTTCCCCTGCTGTCAAATCCCCTGAACCAACGTCCTCTCAAGCAACCGTCTCAACCGTGCCGCTGAGATCTAGCCGATGGAGACATGACGACATCTCGAAAGAGAAAATCTTGAGCATTTTCCAAACGGAGCTGGCGAAGCTGAAAGAGCAGGAAACTGACAAATCCCCTTTGAAATCCTCCTCTACGCACTCACGACGCTACTCCAACGCCTCTACGCTAGAATCTGTGCTGTCTGGAAAAATCAGAGCTTCGGCTGTAGAAGCAGTACTCAAGGAGCGTATGTCGACTGGATTGCAGCCGTTGACGCAAGCGCAGTACGATACTTATTCAGCTCTGGATACTGATCTACTTGTAAAACAAATCAAGGAGTTCCTGACAGTCAACTCAATTTCCCAACGACAATTTGGAGAATTCGTACTCGGATTGAGTCAAGGAAGTGTTTCGGACCTACTTTCAAGGCCGAAACTGTGGTCCCACCTGACCCAAAAAGGAAGAGAACCGTACATCCGAATGCAGTTATTCATGGATGATGTGGAGACCGCGAATGTCGAAGAAGTGGACGATAAACAGCCGAAGATTACAGTCTGTGATGAGGATTCCGAGCTCGCCAAGACTTTGGCCACAATTTTGGGGACTGCGAAACCGGAAGTTGAGCCTTTCAAAGAGTTTGTACCGATTAAGCTTGATTCGGAGGAACCACTTTCGGAGATTGACTTGGTAATTTAGAAAATATTTAGAAAATCTTGACCAAAAACTTTCAGATTATGCAAAAAGAGAGCGGAAGTGCTTTGAACGATCTAGTGAAGTACGTGGATCCGAACGGAGAAGAGATTTTGGATACATTTGAAATCGTCTATCGCGTCAAAGGAGTTTTAGGAGATCATGGAATTTCACCGAGGGTTAGCACAAAATCACTTCACGATGAAAAGCCTACAACATTCAATTATTTGCAGGTTTTCGGTGATGAATACATGTGCTGCTCTCCGAGTATGTGTGCAGAAGTTATGATGCGTACTAAGCCGTTTGAGAATGCAAAACCGAGCGAGAAGACGATGTACGCAAGGATGAGAAACTTTTTGAGCGACGCTTCTGCTATTCCGAGACTTATTGAAAAAGAGGTCAACAAAGGTACCGAATTGTCACGAAAAACCTTGACGTTTTATTTACTATTTACAGATCCTGGAAAAGATAGGTACGATCGTCTTTTCTCTGAGAATCCGAATCCGAGTCCGAATCCACGTGGAATAAAACGGAAACCATCCTCGGATATCGACGAAATCATCGATGGACCGCCGCCACGTGCGAAACCAGTTCAACGCACAGTCATCACGGATTATCAGAAAGACACTCTTCGATTTGTGTTTGCAAACGAGCAACATCCCTCCAATGACATCTGTGAGCAACTCGCACAAAAAATGGACATGTCCGTCAGAACTGTCCAGAACTGGTTTCACAATCACAGAACACGCAGTAAAGCGCGCGAAAAGGAAGGCAAGATTTACTCGGACGCGCTGCCGAACGGGAAAATCGCCAAGAGCATCACATGGAGAGCGGAACTCGAGAAGATGCTGAACAACGTGCCGGAGAAGTCTGGATCTGTGCGATCTTCCGTTGATTCGCCGACCAACAACAACAACAGTCTGCCAATCTTCAATTTCGGATCAACCGCTCCCGCGATCAAGAAACCGTCCTCTGGAGGACAACTGGATAAACTCGTGGCAAGAATGCGACAGCTCGCTGAAGGAAGAGAAGCCGCCGCTGCGAATGCACATGCGTAATTTATATTTTTCATATTTCAACATTTACTGAACAATAGGTGGCCGGCCCACATTTTCACTGTCATACACCTAATGTCATAATTCCAATAACCTGCTTCAGTCATCTGTATTCCAAAACATTCCAATTTTTATTCCGATCTCCAAATAATTGTTCACTTAACCCCAGATTCTCTTCTCCAACCTTACTTGCATTTCAACCGGTTATGTATGCTCTTTTTCTGAAAGATTCGCTCGATTTTCTGAAGTTTGAACTTTTCAAACGATCTCAATCTGAATTGCACCAATATTTATTTGTCATGTAATAAACATTTAAAGACCCCTGTGTTAATTTCTTGGTTTGAAGAAAAAGGGAGATAAAAAGGGCAACGTCGAAAAAATTGTAGTTTGTAATTGTAATATGTTTTTCAGTCCGAACCGAAGAGCAAGAAGCAGAACTCGTTAATCTGAAGGAAAAGGCGGAAAAACGCGAACGACTTGTAGCTCAACTCGAAAATGACCTGGCGAATGCAGTTCAGGGCACTAATGTAAGCAAAATATACAGATTCTGATCAAATAGAGTAGAAAAAGCTGGCTAAATTATATTTTTTCAGCAAATTGAAAGCATGGACAAACACTCGGAAGCTTCGCTGGTTCCCATCTTGACTTCGCAACGAAATCGGCTTCACGAACGAGTGACAACCCTTGAAGAAACGGTTTCACTCGAAAGAACCAAGCAGCTGGCTGTCCAGAACGAAATTGAGCAAGTTCGCGGCGAAAATGTAAAACTTGCTGAACGCATTCGCTTCCTGCAAAGCCCCAAATCTATGGGAAATGTCGAAGCCGGATTTGCGGCCAATGAGTAGGATTCTTTGAAAATTTTGCAAAAAAGTAAATTTTGTACAAGCTTCAGGCTCTCCAATCGTAACAACGACAACAAGAAATTTTCGATGCACGATAAGACGACTCTGAATATTGGAAAAGCGATTCTGGCGACTCCGAGAAGCCGAACGACCTTCTTTGCCTACCTTCTCATCCTTCACCTTCTTATCATGCTGGTGAGTGGCCCCTCTTTTATTTTTACAATTTCATTTTTTAATTTAAGCATTTTCAGGTCCTCTACAAATTCGCCTTTGATCAATCGGTCGTCCGGGATGCGGAAACGGAATGCGAGTACAAATTCCATCAGCACATGATTGACAATCACAAAACATAGGACATCTCTTCTTCATTTTTGTTCGTCAATATTCATTTTTCTGTACTTTTTTTTGGGTTCTAACTGGGTACACATATTTATCTCCTGCATGCCTTAATTGAGAATTGTTTTAACCGGTATATAGAGTGTATAACAGTCTGGGAGATATTTATTGATTTGATCTTCTTATTGTAAATTTGATGATCATGATTTATTTCCGGCCGCACATATATTTACATAGAACATTATAATTTACTCTCTCGGTCACCTTTCTGTCAATTTCAGATGATCGTCTTGACTTCGATCGAGCTGGAAATAAATTTTTAGTTTTTTTTTAAATTTTTTTAAAGGTTTTTTTTTTGCCAGAGTGGAACCATTTTGAAGCGAATTGCTGTTTAGGCCTATTTGAGTTGCATTTTCTCGAAGATTAGGAGGTTCCAGTTGGTCCCATTGTGTTTTTTAGGTCAGACATGTGGCGAGATTCGACAATGGTAGATGAGAAATCATGGTAGAAAAGTGGAGAAGAAAGCCTGGAAGAGAAAAGGGAATCTGGAAGATTGGTGTTTCTGAAAGACACACGTGAATCGCGGATTACGCATTATGGGCCCATATACAATTCCTATTACTTCCACCCGCGATCCGTGCCCATTTTGGATCCGCGTGGGTGACATTCTCACCGATGTGGGTCCTGTGCCGTCCCCGTCTTATACTCGCAGTCACCGCCTCTATTCCTAACTCGTCTCCTTCGAAAAATCGCTCTTTATTATGCCTTGAAAAAGGATTATTACGAATTATGAGTTTAAAATGTTTGGTTACCATTGGAGAGTCGGAGTGCTCGGTCAATTGCGATAAGACCGTCTTATCAGACAAAATGATAATGATAAGACTGTCTCTTCCCTCATTTGTCAATTCTGCACATTTTTAGGCCAATTTTTCTCTTCTATTTTTTAAGCGAGCATACACAATTAACTCTTTTGCAGAATGAAGAAATTATTCTTCTTTCTTTTCGGGTTGTTAGCAGCCTTGGAGCAAGAGCACTTGCACAATAATGTAAGTGTTTCCTTATATTTTTTCTACCACGAAAAAAAATAAGTTTTTAGCGAGTACCCGTCGAAAAGATCCTCAATGATCACTCGTCGGCCAAATTCCAATACGAATACGTGTCGGTTTGTGTGAACGGAACCGATGAGACTCTTTTGGATGTTGTGTAAGTTTCCTTTTGCTCCCACATAATTTGCACCACAATTTACGACAAATTACAGACACGGAAAAGAGTGCAAGGACGCTAAATCGCGTGTCGCTCTCGGAAAATACTCGAACCAAGTGAACACGACCGGATGGGGAATTCTCGAAATCGAGACGTTCGCCAGCCACTCTTACGATGTTCAAGCCTACGCGGCAGGCGTCGCCGAGGGAGAACTGACCCGTCTTCAGATTTATTATCACTACAGAAACACCATTGAGACGATGTGCACCAACCACACGTAAGTCCGGTAGAGAACAGAAATCCGACAGTATCCATTTGCAGATTGTTCTGCAAACGACTCTACAAACATCTGCAGAAGAACCTGGATTGGATGAGAGAACAAGTGCTCGTGCAGCCTGCTTCCGATCCGTTTTGGCGTCAGGTCAATCTGACTTTTGCGCAGCTCACTGGAGTTTATGACGCTTATAGCAAGAGGAATCTGACGCCCGAGATCGGATTCGACCTGCATCCGATCTAGTAAGTGAAGCTACAGTAAATTCTGAGCTTTTGGTGCTGCGTAATTTTTGGTGTTGCCTAGCTTTTGATGCTTCTTAAAAAACAGTGATCCTAGCAGAGTACTTTAGTCACAAATACTCCCCAATTCCAGTATGCTGCAACTGGCCGGTGACATGTTCGATCTCAACAAATTCCTCAACAAAACTCCGGATCCTTTGGAGTACCCAGAAGGCGGAAGATGTTCCGGATTCATCAAGTTGGCACCAGGAAACAAGGTTCGACACAGTGTTCAGTGCATTATCATCATCAATTTCAGGATCTGTTCATCTCTCACGTCTCCATGTCGTCCTTGAGTTGGATGCAACGAATTCTGAAGATTTACAAGTTCGGATATGATGTGAACGAAGTGCCCGGACACATTGTAACGTTCTCCGGATACCCAGGAGCTCTCATCTCTTCTGATGATTACACCCTTACTTCGGCCGGACTCACTTCTATCGAAACGACAATCGCCATCTTCAACAGCGAACTGTACACGGATAAGTACATGAAAGCGGAGGGACAGGTCCACTGCTGGGTCAGATCCATGATCTCCAACTTATTGGCCAGGTAAGACATCCGGGAAACTTCGACTTAACCTATTTTCATTCCAGAAGCGGAAAGGAATGGGTGGACATTTTTGGCAAGTACAACTCGGGAACATATAATAATCAATGGACAGTTCTCGATTGGAAACTCTTCACACCGGGACAAGAAATCCCGGATAAAGATGTCGTCTGGATTCTGGAGCAGACTCCGTAAAGCTTCATAATTCATTCATTTCTAACTCAAAGTAAAATAAGCATTTTAGTGGATACGCCGAGACACGTGACATGACGTGGTACCTCAAGAAGTTCACCTATTTCCCATCGTACAATATTCCGTTCCTTCCGAAGATCAGCGAGAGATCCGGTTTCGACGGAAAGGCCAAGCAGTTCTCGTGGTTCGAGTGGGGAGGATCGCCAAGAGCCCGCATTTTCGACAGAGATCACAATAAAGTGCATGATATCGACTCTCTGATGGCTCTGATGAGATACAACGATTATACTCATGACGAGTTCGCCCGGTGCAAGTGCACTCCAAACCCCTACACCGGAGAGGTACAGTCTTTGTTCCAAAACGGAACATTGGAGTATGGTACATGAAAAACGTGTGTTTAAAGGGAGGAATCTCGGCGCGTGGAGACCTAAATACCCCCGGAGGAACGTACGAGGTGGAGTCGATGGGATTCAGAGACCACGCCGGCCTCGATTTCAAGGGAACCAACTACGAAATGTTTAAAAAACTGAGATTCCGTGCATGGGGAGGACCCCCGTATGACCCACTTCCGGTCTTTGAGTAAGATTCGATTGCATTTCACCGGAGAACTGTAGCAATTTCCAGCTGGAACACCACAAAATTGAAGAATGTGCGTCATTTCGGTCAGCCGGACGTCTGGAATTTCACCTACGTCGACTTGGAGTGGGAACTCGCCACCCGCGTTCAACTGACTCCTTTCGAATTGGATTCTCATTAGATATTCTACTTTTTAATCACTGATGATTCTTTTTCTCGATAAATTTGAATGAGTGCTCATATCACGGCGATCAAAAGTGTAGAAAGGCGCGTGGCTTAATCTGAGACGCGTTTTCTGAAAATTGTCGCAATTCCAGCACTTTTCCGATATTTGTGTGTTTGATAGCGACGAAAGAAGACATTAAAGAGAGAAAACATCGAAATTTTCGTGAAAACGCCGCGTTTGAGACGTTTTTGGCATATTTCGCAATACGCTCTCCGCCGCAATTTCGGAATTTTCATACCGGCCGATCTGGATAGTTTTGAGACGAAGTGAGTGTCGAAAGTGATTAAGCACTGGTAATACAAGTATTTTAAGCGTTCAAACGGCAAAAAGTATCGGCGAATAACTGAAATACGCGCATTTTCAGCACAAAACTTAAAATCGATTGAATTGATTCATCACCATTTTAGCGCGAAATTTAAAAGTTAACTCCATTTTTTGTGTTTTTCGTCAAAAATTACCCAAACTTTGTACGATTTCGACGATGCGATTGCATAACTTTGTTAAACTAATCATCGCGCACTTTTTGAGCTTTAAACGAGCAGGTTTCATTCAGAAATGAATCAATTGAATCGATTTTAAGTTTTGTGCTGAAAATGCGCGTATTTCAGTTATTCGCCGATACTTTTTGCCGTTTGAACGCTTAAAATACTTGTATTACCAGTGCTTAATCACTTCCGACACTCACTTCGTCTCAAAACTATCCAGATCGGCCGGTATGAAAATTCCGAAATTGCGGCAGCGATTGGCCGCGGAGGGGCGAAATATGCCAAAAACGTCTCAAACGCGGCGTTTTCACGAAAATTTCGATGTTTTCTCTCTTTAATGTCTCTTCTTTCGTCGCTATCAAACACAAAAATATCGGAAAAGTGCTGGAATTGCGGCAATTTTCAGAAAACGCGTCTCAGATTAAGCCACGCCCATTTCTACACTTTTGATCGCCGTGTGGCCGACGAAGAATGATTGAATGGACTATTAGCACAGCCCTATAATAATCGTATAAAAAACCAATTTAAGAAGGTTTGAAAACAAATAACAGTAAAAATCTATTCAACTTTATTCAGAACCACTTGAGAAACGGACCGAATTGATACTGGACGAGAGGATGAACTGACAACTGTGCTTCTGAACTTTTCATATTAATTTTCCAATTAAATTATACTCGTTTCAAACCTTGACGTTTTCTGAACATTTTTTTGATGTTCCGAGTCAAACCCCATATCCAACCGGAGTTGTCGGTTGAAGCAGATTAGGAGGATGGGCGGGAAGAAGTTCAGAGAATCATAGGTCAGCTCGAGAGCACGGAGCAAATAGGGTCTGAGGGGAGAAGTTGGGGAGGAGAGGTAGGCGAAGTAGATCTGCAAATAGGACTTATGGAACTTCTTGTTTAGGATCAGACCTGAAACATGGCCAGAAGACAAAATTCGATGGAAATAGCCATCGTGGCCGTCGTGATCGACTTTTCGGCCGATTTGATTCGAGTTCGAAGCACGAGCAACGCGTAAAGAGTCGCCGACGAAAAGATTATGATTAAGAGCAGAGAACCGATGAAATAGAACAGGTGGAATTGGGAAACACGTGCCTGAATGTCTGTTATTATCGGTGAACCCAGTGAACAACTTCCGTCGTTGCACTATAATTAAACTTGTTTCCTTATTCTTCATTTTTGAATGATATTTTTTTGGTAAAGACTATATAACCTATGACTGTGATCCTAGACCACTTACCCACACCACTTTTCTAATGTAATTGGCGCTAAAACCTCCGGCCGATGGATTAGCATAAACTCTCGAGATCACAATGTTCCAAATGATTCCAATTGGCAAAATGAACATAATAAATATTGTCGGTATGAGAATTCGCTTCCAGATCTTCAATAATTACTATCATTTTCCAAATAACTATGATAACTGGGGCACCTCGTCGTGATTCACAGGAAAAACAACGCACGTCATCCGGTTGAAGCTCAAGAAAACTTGGGAAATGGTCTTGAATCCGTCCGTGTAGTGGATTAGAGTAAAGTAAACTTTGAGAAACACTGATGGACTGTAAAAGTACGGGCTAAGAATGGGACACAGCGCCGGGACATAGGTGAACAGACGGCCGATGAAGATCTCGGAGAAGCACATGTATATTCCCTGCAAAAATGGAAAAAAACTTTGCGAGATTGTTCTGAAACGTTTGAAAGTGTTTTTTAGATGAATCACTGAATAGTTTTTCGATGAAATGTCGGTGCGCAGAGATGCTGCTTTAAAAGGATGTAACAATATTTCTGATAAACTGATAAATTTTCCGTCCCAGCCTACCACAATCAGATCTGATGCGTAGATAAGATAAAAAGGGTTCGAGCGATAAATTTTAGTTTTTGAGAATAGTGTGGCACGAAGAATAATCAAGTTAAGAACGGCGTTGACAAGGAGATAGGAGACTTGAAGGCAATATTTGGCCACTTCCAGAAAGGGGTCATAGTTGGGATCACACTCGAACGGGATCGGCTCGTCTTCGGAGAAGTTGGCAGGTGGTTGGAACGACATCACGTGGCAGCAAGGTGTCTCCAAAAAGTGAGCGGGAACGTTCTGTGTCTGTCGCGAAAATAACAAGTTTGAGCCAAATGCCTGGCTGTAATTGAGTGTTCCCTCCGGCCGATATTGAACTTTTTGCCTTTTGCGAGTAAACTACAGCTTTTGGTTACAGACGGACAGGTGCATAACCAAGTTTGGCGAGGAAAATGAATCCAATCAAGAAAGTTACTCACCCTTTATTATCATCACGTCAACTTCTATTATACTTTCCCCAATCGGTTACTCCTAGACATTTTATAATTCCTTTCAACAATATGAAATCTGGGACCCCAGTGGTATAAGCTTCTACAAACGATAGATAATCCTGCAATAGCGGAAGGTTGTAGCCGACTTTTAATCAAGAAGTGTGTGGCCAGCAAACACCCATGATTGGCAACATTCTTACATATTTGCTCTTTCCTTCTTCTTCTCCGCTCATACATTTCTGAAACTTCTCCTTCTCTTTAGATACCATTTGAACCAATGCGGTTATTATGAATTCCAATCCGATAATAGTTAGTCGGAAAAAATGAGAAAGGGGGGAGGGTTTGGGAGTGGAGAGCTTTCGACTTTTCAGCTGTCAGCAGTCGGCGCGCCTCCAATTCTTTCCGTGTCTTGTTGCGCTGAAGTTCCTCAGCTTTCAATGGCAAAAGGTATACATTTGACAGTACACGTTCGAGTACACGTTCGAAAACGTTTTAACTCTATGATTGCGAGCTTATGAAACTGGTCGTAACTCGTTATGTTATCGATAAAAACTGACAAGTCAGAATTGAAACATGATTTTCTTCGTGGGAACGTGGGAACTACACTAATTTTGAAGTTTTGTCGTAAAATGTCGACTTTGCTATTTTTCCTGTTGCTGCGAGATTATATGAACTAGCAAACTCACTTACAACTTTTCCAAAACAATTGTGTAATCTTTTGACTTGCACAATGCCACAACAGTTTGTCAGCTCGGGGCTGAAAGTGGTGCTTCCCTCTTCTCCTTCTTCTTATCATCACCATCAAGTCTCAAATAGTGTATTGTATATTGGCAATTGATAAATTGTGTCCGTTTAGGGTTTTCCTACTATCAGTTAACACATACATGCCACCCGACTGTTTGATTGTCCATGCATACGTATTCGTACGTTTCCCACTACCAAACCCACCACCACCACAAGTGGCCTATCTATTCGTATTCGGTGATGGTGTGTTGGTGGCCTCGACACCGACACTCACACACATTCACAAGTCATCATCATCCTCGACCACACCGAACTTTCTCTCTCTCTCTCTCTCTCTCTCTCTTCATCTCTTTCCATCCGTCCGCGCTCCTCCACTTCTCCGCGCCGTTACCATGGTCTGAGTATGTTCTCATCTTTATTTCTCTCTCTCTCTCTCTCTCACTCACTCACACTGGTGGCCCAATAACCACCAACACCACCACACACACACTTTTGCAAAACAACCGGCCAAGGGGAGAGGGGGGGAGAGGAAGAAGAAGAAGGAGAGGAGAGAAAAAGAGCGAGCGGAGAGGCGTGGGCTATCCCGTCCGTTCGCGCCGGGTAACCAGGCAGTGTCGAGGCCGTCCTGGCCTCCGTCCGTCCATCCGTCGTACCCGCGATCGCTTCTATTTCTCCGCGTGTCTCGGCCCCCGGTGTGTATCTCCGTGTGTGTGTGCCCCATCGGCATGCATATAGTGGTGGGGTGGGCCAGGAGGCCACCGACATTCGACCATGAGAAGGGGGAAAAGGAGAAGAAGAAGAAGAAGAAGAAGAGACCTCGCCTGCCTCGTCCCACATTATGCGCCGGAGACCACCCCAAACACTCCCTCCCTGGGCATCATCGCTCGTCTCTCTATTAGTTTTGTACAGTCTTCGATACGTTTGTGTGAGTATGTCCTTTTCTGAAGTGCACTGATAAAGTCGGTGTCGGTTTCGGTTTCGGTTTCGGTTTCCACCTCAACTATTCCTATTAACCCTCTTGGTGCCAGCCGGTTGTTTACCTTATCTTGTAAAGCTTCCAATCTTTTTCCTTGACAGTAATCTGACTGAACCTATGATGATAGTGAGTGTTGGAAGAGCGTTTCAACGCCTAGTACTAGGGTGCCTGGAAATTATGAATCTGTAACCTCTATAGAAACATTACATTCTCCTCTAACATTGCACTTTTGTCAAACAAGAAGAAGAAGAAGAGAATTGTGTGCCAGATTTCTGGGATACGTTGAAAGAGCGAACAAACATTGCTGCCCTCGACCCTTCGTTGTCCCAATCCCCCCTTGTGTCCCATTCCCAACAGCCAGCTGTCATACACATTGGTCGTATGTAGCCAGCCAGCCAGCTACCCAAACCCCTTTCCACTTTTACGTTTACTCTTTCTCTTCATCATTCCAAGCTCAGATATTTATATTTGAAATGTGAAATTAAAATGCAATGTCCAATTTCAATTTTCTATCCCTCCACATCCCTTTTCATGTGCTCTGTCCAGCCGAGCTCATCATATTTAGAGCAGGAAATGGATGGGACGGGAAACGCAATCTTTCGCTTCTTTTCATACGTAATTCCCCATCCATCACTCATTTTGATCCGTTTTCAGACCAAAATGTACGTGGTTATAAACATCGATCCGGGTAGTACACTCAACGAGTTGATGGCCTTCATGACTCAGAAGACGATCACGTTCTCAGTCACCGATCAGCTTTCGAGGCTGTGTGATCGAAGTGGTGAGATCATTTTAACATTGAAAAATAATGATTCGAACTTTTGTGGTTGTAAAAAGTTATGCTTTCTCTACGGAAGTTTAACGATGTAGGCCAGCTAAAGGAAAATGATCATAACTCTTTGATTACAAACTGAAATCCTACTAGATTGCTGAAGAAATATCGATTAATTGTGACTTTGGCCCCTTCTCCATTTGAAACACTTAAATCTTAGGAAATAAGAGGGGTGGGGGGAGTACTGTATTGAAAGAAACATTTAGGACATTGAGTGACAAATAAAAGTGCACAAAACAAAACAAAATCGTACAATTTTCTGCTTTACAGTAAACGAAAAGAAGCGCGAGGCGGGCACGCAGACAGAAGACAGCTCTCTGCTCGATGCGCCACCGAGCAAGAAGCCACGGGTGTACAACGGCGAGGATTACGGTTCTCCGTGCTCTTCGGCCACGCCTTCCGAGCCCAACGACCTGGCGATGTTCTCTGTTGCGAAGGTGAACGGAAACGGCTCCAATGGAAGTGGAAATGATGCATCCACCAACGGACACGCTTTGAATTGGGTCGCAGAGCCGGCAGTGCTTCGAGGATTAATCAAGAATGAAATGATGGCGAGTACGGTGAAGGAGGAGCCGGAAGAAGCGTCGGTGGAGGACGAAATGAGCACGGAATATATGCAGAATCAGCTGATCCAAGCGCTTTTTCCGCCGAAAAACGGAGAGACATTCGGGACACTGGAGGACAATGAGAGTTTGGAAGGGGAGAGTGCGGCGGCGAACGGCGATCTTTCTTCGGGAACATTTCCGATGGATGGCTCTCCAGTCTCGGCGATCCGCTACAAACCAGCGTACGCTTCGACGAAACGAGGAGTTTGCCACGTGTGCAATCGCGAAGTTTCGTTGATTACCACACATCGGAGGCGGCACGCAATCACGCATTTGGGATTCAAAACGTAACGGCTTCTTCTATTGGTGTGAAATTCCGAAAATCGAGACTTTTCCAGACTAAAATGCGCCCTCTGCTACAAGTTCTTCAGTCGTCAGGACCTCGCAACGGGCCATTTCAAGAAGGATCATCCGACCGAGGAATTCACTCCGTTCGTCGACACAATGTAGGTTTTGCTAGGGTTTCCCCTCCGAGAAACTAGACAATTTATAAATTGCAGGTCGGCGGAAGACGAGAGACAGCTCGTCATCATGATGGGATTGTGCTTTCCGGAAGAGCACGCGCCCCGAAAACGAGGAAAAGAGGGAGAGGCCGGAGGCGGAGCACCGACGGGAAAGAAGCTGAAGGAGCAGCAGAGGGCCGAGTAGTTCGACTAGACTAGACAATATATCCATTTCATTTCAAACAAAGGAGGAACTTGTGGTTTCTAACTGCACGCTGCCATCTCATTCCCATTGAATATCAAGAAAACTGTGATTGAAACTTTCCACCCCTTTCCCAGAGTCATATCTATTGTTGTTTCTTAACTTATTAATTTTTAAAGTAGGTACATTCGAATTAGAGAACTTCTATTGTGATCGCCCTTTTCGTCGTTTTTGGCTGATGAGACATATTGATGATATCCATAATAATATTACATCCCCACACACACACACACACACACACACATACTCTCTTTTTTTTGTCATTTTAATTTTTGTTGGGTTTACTGGTGATAAATGCAAAGATTCTTTATTTAAAAGTTCAAGAAAAACCGGGGGAATGGGGGGTTGCGCAAAAAGAGGGGAAAACTGGGAACATTCTAGAAGACAATAGCACCAATAGCTGCGGGAAAAGTGCGAGATTCAATGGGATCCGATCAGACAGAGATCTTCGAAAATGAGGGGGCGGGATGAGCACGTAGGTTTTGGTTGGGAACGAGAAGCATTGTAGGAAGAGAGGGAGAAGAAGAAGAAGAAGAAGAAGAAAGAAGCGAAGGGAGAGGACACATTCAAAGTTTCGAGATGGATTGATAGTATCACTCGGAACAATGCTTGAGATCGGTGAACACTTCGGTGAAGTAGGTCGAGGAGGAGTTGAGGAGAAGCATCTTGCGGCTGTGGCTAGTCACCATCGACACGCAACGATTCCAGAATATTCCTCGATCCTGGAATATTGTTGGCACTCTAACAGTTTTTTCAGAAACATGTTCTCAAGAATTTTAAATTGTAAATGAGCCAAAAAAATTTAACCCTCCGCACGGTCTCCAGAGCTGACAATATGGGCGTGGCCTCGGCGACCAAATGGCGTTTTCATGAATTGAGCAGGTTTTCTCTGATTTTTGTGGTCAACGGCGATGAAAAATGATTGTTCGACATGAAAACACACGAATTCTCAGAATTAATGACGTTTTGGCGCATTTTTCGCGAATTTCGCTTTTTCGCCTTCGTCGCCGATCGCCGCCTCAAAACCGCACTTCTCATTTTGCGCTTTCTTGACCGTTTTCAGACAGAATTGGTTGTGAGAATGATAAATCACGTAAATACAAGCATTTTGAGCGCTCGAACCGCGAAAACTACCGAAAAGCAACTGAAATTCAGGCAATTTTAGCCAAAAACCTTCAAACGGATAAATGTGATTTGCGACTTGACCAAATTTAACGCTCTTGCGCTTAAAAAATTTGTAATAGCCTATATAATCGGTCTATCGAGAGACAAATGAGAAATTATCGGTTTTTTGTGGCTAATCTGGCAAAAAACACAAATTTTGCTGTTAAAATTTGAATTTCGCGCCAATGTATCGCTCTATTGGGCGGGGCGCACTTGCGCGCCCATTGTCAGCTCTGGAGACCGTGCGCGCAGAAACATGTTCTCAAGAATTTGAAATTTTAAATGAGCCAGCCAAAAAAAACCGCATTGAGACTCATTGAAACTTCCTAATCTTCGAGACAATCAATCTCAAATGTCTTGAAAATCAGATAGAAAATGAGAGACTTTTCAGAATGCCCACAAACTAAAAACTCACATTTCCAATCAAAAACGGCTTCAACGGATAGGAGATCTCGTTGCCCATGTACGAGTAGGAGACGTACAAACAGCTGAGAATCCAGGCGTGGAGCTCTTCCAACGTGTGAATCAGATGACGTTCTCCTGAAGTGAAAAGTGTGGTTTTGAAGGGCGTTCACGACCTAATTACCTGGTAACACGTCTCGAACCAGCAAGAAAATGAAGACCAGGTTGGCGGGGTTTATGAATGCAATGTCTTGCCATCCCTGGAGAAGAAGTGCCCGATCCACGGAACGAAGCCACGTCACCAAATGGGCGGGTTCGAAGTCGGTGACTCCGCAGTTGTTCGAGATGAAGATGCCGAGCCCGCGGAGGAGTTCGGAGGTTGACGCCTGGATTATAGTCTTCTTGGATCCTCTCGTCTAGAACAGTTCTTGTTATAAAGAACGAAAAAAAGAGAGAAAAGCAGGGGCTCACCTCGGAAAGGACGGCTTCTGGCTCGGCGGGAAGCAGCTCTTCGTTCGCGTTGTCGTCTCGCAAGGATCGGGGCCTAAAAGTACATAAAATGCAATAACAAAGATGGTGAGCTCACCTGGGAACGTGCTTCGGCGAGCTGATAACACTGAGCTCATTGGCCGTCAGGTTATTGTTGGCTAAATCTTGACGGTGATTAATCTGAAGTCCTCTTCGGAACTCTTCTCGAAGACTATAATAGTTGGGAATGATGGTGGTCGTGTCCACGGGTCGCGGAGCTCTAAAATATCTGTTTTGAAGAAATGGTTAATTTGAACAACAACATACGTAGTTTTATAATTCTGATTGCGATCCAGTGATATTGACATTTTCCCGTACTGGCTTGAACTCGAAGACGTCGTGGAGGTTCCAATGTTCCGAGTGAACGACACCAAACTGTCGCTCGACTTTGATGACGTGGCTTCGGAAGAGGATCCGGATTTGGGCAGAGATCTTCTGCTCATCACCGGCTGGATGTTCCGTTTGCTCCAGTTCCATCCCTGCATCAGCACGCTCTCCTTCACCGACGTCCTCGATTCCCTCTGCGGGGCGAATGTGGGACCGCCGTCACCGGGCGAGAAGAGGTGGTTGCAGACTGATGTTTGCGGGCGGTGCGGGAGCGGAGATGTCAGATTGGCACCCATTTTAGATTGGATATTGTGGAATTCTGAAATGTGGACTGTTTGTTTCAAATTTCAGCTTTTTAATTACAGCATCCTACTGTACTCTTCTGAAGTTAGTACGCTTTTCTAGAACGTCTCCTGCGCCCTTTAATCTTCTTCGTTCAAGTGGAAATTAGAAATTAAGCGCTTGTGTTTTGCGAGGAGCACAATTAATTGAAAAAGTTCAACTCACTTTACTCGAACATGAGATCGGTTAATTTTTGAAGGTTCTGGAAGCAGCACCTGAAAACGAGAAGTGTTCGCAGTTTATTTTGAAGAAAAAATAGGCAGAAAGACGTGAGAACAGCTGTCAGAAACGGATAATATAACTCACATCATTACGAATATAACATCATCATTCTCACTTTTTTCTCTATAAATGTTCGATTCTTTTCAATGCGAAGAAACTGATGAAAAGGCTAATTGGCTTCCTCTTTTTTTTTCCTAAACAAATGTTTTCCAGCATATTTTTGTTCCAGCTCCAAAACAAAAAAAGAGAGGAGTGACGTCACGGAGAAATGCGCGTTGCGAAATGTTTTTGGGGGCTCACTTTCAGCTTGGATGAGTTTGAGCCAATTAAGGCGATGAGTCAGGCCGGCAGCGAGCCCAAACACAATAAAGTTTCTCTTTTTTGGCCTGAAATTCGATTTACGGGCAGGAAGAGCGCTCTATTCGCACGCAAGTGTGCCTAGGACATTTCGCAACTGGACACTTTGCAACTGGACTTTTAGAAAGATCATTCGCATCATTTTATCAATTGACAACTTTTGGATATCTGTACAGACAACTCAGATACATGGCTTTGAATGGACGGTAATCGGGGTTCCATTTCATCGAAGCCAAAGTCCGACTTGCTCTTCAAATTGGCTAGTTGCAGAGGTTGCAAAGTGTCATCTAGTTGCAAACTACACATTAAAGGACATTTCGCAACCAAGTCCACTTTCATTTCTCTTCAGAATTGACCTGTTCGAAGTCAGTTGACAGGGAGTAGAGCTCCAGCTGCTCAGCCCAGTTGCGAAATGTCCGTGGGTGTTGAATTGTCTGACAAAATGTCAAAATAAAGAAACTTCCAAATCTTAATCCACTGTCCTCTAATCCCTTCTAAATCTAGTAATGAAAAGAGAGCTGAAAACTAAAAAAAAACATATGAATATCTATACAATATCTATTGGGAGAGGAAGAGGAAGACGTCGTCGTTTTAGCCGAAGAAGAAGAAGAAGAAGAAGAAGAGAAAGCACATTCGTATTTGGAGCGGAGCGGGGCAAAAAGAGATAGAGGAGGAGGCGTTGTGCTCCTTTTCACGAGCCTCCACCCTTTATAGTTTCGGCTTCAGAAGGCTGTCAGGACAGAGACGCAGAGCCCCTCTCGGCGACGACTTCAAATCGATTGAGAGCAGCAGTCCCCCCGCTTTCTCTCTTTCTTCTTCTCCTTCTTCTTTCGCTCCTTTTTAGTTTGGCGGACTCCCTAGTAAGCGGGACGGCTAGAAAGAGAGAAAGAAGAAGAAGAAGCATGTACAACTATTCTCGAGAATCGATAACATCTTCTGGTCCCAACTGGAGACAGAAAGGAGCAAAAGGAAGGGGAGAAGCTTGTGACTTTTGGTTTGGCACCGCGCGATTTTCGGGGGAAACGAGCCAAAGACTGGTTGGTTGTTGACGTCACCGAAGACACGGGAATTCTGATTCGGATCCTGAAATTTTCAAGTTTTTCCTTTGGGAATTTCCTTGAACTTGAAGGAGTCTATCACTGCAAAAAATTAGTAGAAAAATCCTCTCATATTTGGACACGTACATTTCGAGATCCAACTATTTTGTCAGAAAGTAGTCAACTGAAAAGTTGTTAAAGTTTTTGTGCTTTACAACTTTGTAGTTGAGCACATTTCATTCGAAACCCCGTTACTCTTGAGTTATGGTCTAGTTTCTAACGATGGCCAATGTTTTAAGGACAGACCTTCTTTGAACGTAAGGTGCCAAATGCACAGTTTGTGCAGAAACTGGACATTTCGCAACTGTTGCAAAGTGTCCACTTTGCAACCAGCATGACATTATGCATGTCTTTCGAGGCCACAACGTTTTGACGTCAAAATGCTCGAGCCCTCCTCAGCTGTACCCTTGAGAATTGGGCCAACCGGAAAAAAGGTGGCAATCGAAAACATGGACATTTCGCAACTGGGAGGCAAAGTGTCCTGTAGCTGCGAAACGATCCTCAACTGCAACATGAGTTTCAAAGTATCCAATAAAACATACTTTATTCTTTGTGTTCATAGAGAAAAGGGACATTTCATAAAAATCAAACAAGTACAGTCTAATACACAAATCCGCTAAACGTATTTTAAAGACAAAAAAAGTATAATAATAATTTCCAACACACATGACGTCATGAAAACTGTGGGAAAAGAGCGGGAAAAAAATACAAAATAAGCTTTCGACTTTTACAAAAAGAGCATACGAAGTTGAGGGAGATATGCATACAATTTTAGCGAGAAAATAAGAAGAAAACATTTTTTGTGGAAACATTCAGAAAATAAGGGTAACCGGACAAAAATGCTAGAAGAAAGCGAGAAAGAAAAGCAGCACAAAAGATGGAGTTAGTAGATAAATTCAAAAAAAAGAAGTTTGAATTGCAATACTGGAGCATATGGGGAATGGGAGAGGAACTGGGGGTAATTGAGCAATTTGTGCAGCTATTTTTGTTCGCAAATTTTTTTATCTACAAAATTTAAACGGGTCTTGCCACGAAAATCGAAAAAATTCGTGACGAGACTCAGGAAAAAAGGAAAAAAAATTGGGGAGGGGAAAAAATGTGACAAAGAAAGGTTAGGACTATCACAGGAGATAAAATAAGTGTTTTAAAACAAGAAGAAAATTAAAAATCGTTGTTTTCTGCGTAGGAAATTTAAACTTGGAAGTTGGACGGCGCCGGCTCGTTGTCATCGTCCTCGTCTGGCACTACCCGTTCTGGAAACATGTAAAATTAGAAAATTTGGGGAAAAAAATCGGAAAAATCGGTAACCTTCTCTGTGAATAAAGTTGTTTATCACATTCGAAAGATCTTGGTTCGTGGTCTGATTCGAGGACCCGTTATAGGTTGCTCCGTCCTCGTTATTCTTAAAATATTACAAATTTTTTTGTGAAATTAAAAGAATCAACTTTCGCATCTCTGTTAATTTTGTTTTAGGTTAACGAGGTTAGGGGTCAACTTACTTTAAAAAATATACATTTTTAACAACAAGAAGAACTTACCACACCCGTAAAGACTGCCGGTCTGGCGCACTTGGCGAATAGAGTATCTGGAGATTGTCCGTGAAGTAGACCGACGATCACAACCTGCAGGAATAATCACTTTCAGAAAATATAGCAATTTTTAAGTTAAAATTAAATTCACCGTCATGTTATCACATCCAAGACCGCCCATTTGGCTGTCTGGGGCCAGGCAGCGGGTGAGAAGGTCCTCGCAGATCTGCAAAAAATCGTTCACTTTTTTAAACTATTTCTCGCTTTTGCGACGTAAAAAGGTTCAAAGTTTTAGAGAGTTTCCCGATTTTCAGCTCACCGATTGGGGATCTCTCTTCTCGGCGAGCTTCTCTCGCACGACATCGACGACCTCCTGATTGGTCATCACATCCCAGATGCCGTCGCAGGCGAGCACAATGAACTCGTGATCCGCCGACAATGTGTCCGTTGTCACGTCCGGGTAAGCTGCAAATATTCCCAATTTTAGCGGATTTTCGTCTAGTTTTTATCGGAAAAAATGCCCAAATGATTTCCACGCACTGACCGGTGACCATCTGCTCCTCGGCCGACTTCGAATCGTTATCCTTGAATGTGAAATCGCCGAGAGCGCGGGAAAGACCCAAATTTCCTTTGACGCGGTTGAACTCGACCCATCCGCCCGCCGCAATGATCCTTCTCGCCTCGTTCTCGTGCGACGGTTTGTGGTCGAACGAGTAGGGACGCGCCTCGCCGACGACGGAGCACACGACTCGCGAGTCGCCCACGTTTCCTGAAAATAATTAATTGGATGCATTTTATTGGAATAATGAGTAATCAGAATTCTGATGATGATGCTGATGATACAAAATTAATTAGATTCGATCAAAGTGTGTTGAAATGTTGAAAACTAGTTATAATTTTTTCAGCTGTCATGTTTCCGTACCACAGAAAACCTGGTCCTCCTTGATGAGCACGACGACGGCGGTGGTGCCGGAAACGTCGTTCATTACCTCCTCGTCGGCGCGCATGTGCTGGTCGAGGTCCAAGAATCCCTGTTCGATGGCCTCTTTCAGATTTCCCTCGTTGAACTCCTTCCGCGCTACAATCTTTTTGTGCAGGTTGATGCCCGAATACTGCGACGTTTTCGAGCCGCCGTGCCCGTCGTACACGGCAAAAAACGCGCATTTCGGGTCGTCGGGCAGCGAGAGAAGATGTGTGTGCGCGTCTTCCATGTCTGAAAGTAATTATGCGTATTTTTTGAGCCAGAAATAATGTCATTTTTGTCTTTTCCACTCGTTCCCACAACATTTCTGAACATGAGGTACAAAATGACGCTCAAGCATGCGTCAACGCGCCGCCTTATGAAGCTCATAAAGTTGGCTCAAAAGGATGGGCTCGTGTGTGTGTGTGTTTTCGAGTGGAAATAATCATTCGGCACTCACTGGGTCGCCATCCCTGCATGCACGAGCTTCCCACGAGATAGTTCTCGTTCGCACACGACGCCGACTCCTTTTTGGTCACTGGCTCGCTCAATGTTTGTCCCATACTCCTGGAATTTGGGCGAAAATTAGAGAAATTGGGTAAAACGAAGAGAATTGTGACGATGTTTGGTCAGTGATAAAAATGCAGAGAAAAAAGAAGACGAAAGGGAAAGGTCGTAAAAAGTAAAGACTAAAAACTTTTTAGAACAAAAAAAGGAACCAGTCTCCTTCTTCTTTTTCTTCTTTTCAATTCTCCTCTCGAAAGACCACGAGAACACGTGTCACGTGATCAAAAGATAAAGTTTATCAGCCATTCGGAAGTTTTTTTGTTCATTTGAAGACGCAGACAGAGAGAGAGAGAAGAAGAAGGTTGGCAGGAATTCGGGGGATTACCCGAGACACCAACGTGACGCAAAATTAAAAAAAATAGAGTCAAAGAGCGGAGTTTTGAAGAATTCGAAGAATTTCAAAAAATTTTTAGTATGAAAATTTAAAGACACCCTCTTACAATTATATTTCCCATGGCAAGACCGATTTTATCACCATTTTTTTTACATTGCGAAATCAAAGTCAAAATAGCGAAATACAGTGACGCAATATTTTTTCGAAAAGCAAATATTTGACAAGCATAAGTAGGTACCGCAACGGGTTTCGCAAAACTCCGAATTTCCATAAAATTCTTGTTGGAATGTGTTCCCCCACTCTATATTAGTACGCTCCCAATTTTTTTCTCGAAAATGTTCGGTGCATCCCGAGTTACACCCCTTCAAAGTCAAAGAGGCAACATATTAAATGAACAGAAATGATGTCCAAAAAAGGCAAAACAACTTTGAGGTCAAAAGTTTTGAACCCGACACCTCCAGACTGCCGAGTGAGCACTCTGCCACTGCGCCAACCGGGCGGAGGCGCGTGCACCGCCAAGAGAAGCTCGGTGTCTGCCGTTCATTTTGGATGCGACTTTTGTGGAGTTTCAGCACAAACATCTTAAAATGTGAAAATTTATATTTGGGTTCTTAGAGCGTTTATCTAGCCCTCAAACATGCGCGGGCGCGATCGAGGAGAAAATTCGGCAGGCCGCGCCCCCTAAGCATAAGGATGCGATTCAAAAATTACAATTTTCTGGTGGTAAAAATGAGGACGATGGAAGTTGTCTCTCCCGACAATTATAAGATAAAATAAAAATGAGTTCAGCCAACGGGACAATCTATACCATCACAACCACGTGCAAGACGAAATGTGACCAAGTTTCGCATCGCATCGAAACAAACACATACATTGATACCGAGTGAAAAGAGATAGAGAGAGAGAGAGAGTGAGTCTGTTTCTCTTCTCGTCTCGCCTCGCCTCGGATTGGGGCGGCTACACGCGTGCCCCGCACACACAAATCGATCGTGGGTCACGCTCGGGAGACGCAGACACGGCTGTTATGTGACCACTGAGAATCACATGGTCGCGGGGAAACCCCTCGAGCGGTGCAAGTGCGCTCTAATTGCAATTCCTGGCGGGGCACGGAAACGGATGACGAAATGATCATTTATCGGCGGGAAATGAGACTAATGGACGTTTATCACGTGTCATTTCGACGGAAAATGAGAACAACCGATGCGTCTCGATCGGTTTTTTGCGGTGCAACTGGAGACAGACACCTCGTTCATTTTTCTTTCAAAAATTTGGATAAATGATAAAACAGATCATGTGACAAAGTTCTAAATATGAACGGGCCAAAAAGGGAAGAAACGAAACACAATGCACATGCGAAAAAAAGTCGTAAAAATGAAACGGAGTCAATTTTTTCAGAAACAAGAGAGAGAAAATATGGGAAAACTGAAAAATTTTGAGGGAAAAACAGTAGAATCCCAGTGGAACGTGCGACGAAATTGGGACAAATGTGAATGCGGCGAAACTCGATTACCGCAGCTTTGAGGGCGCATCACCGGTTAGATTTTACAACTGTTGCTTGGAATTCGGTAAATAATTCACCAGAAAGCAACAGAACAACGTTGTAAACAAATAATAATTTTTTTTATTAATAAAAACACGCGTGTTGGAGCAAAGTTTTGTAAGTGGATTACTGTAAATTTAAAGGCGCAGCACCTACTCTGCCGCCGATTTCGCGGAAAACTGCGAGATTTTGTGTGAATGAACCGGACAGAATGTATAAATTCGAAATTATTTGGCTAATTTCCGGTGAAACTTTATAAATTGGCGATATTTGTGACTGACGAAGCCTATTTTGTTCTTTTTAATCAAGGCAATATTCAACTGATCGGCAAATGTCTAAAAGTTTTGTTTTTTGTCACGATTTGTTTATGAAATAGATAGAAATGGATAGAATCATACTGCATAAATAAATATTGTTATTTTCTCATTGTTCAGTGTCCTCTTTTTCTTTATTTGAACAATACTTGTTCCTTCCTTCCGTTTCCATCACTTTTTCTTATTCCACATCATCATGAATCATATTGTTCTTCCACTTTTTTGCTTACTCATCTTTTTCAACATTTCCCATGCTGTAAGTTTAGAAAATTGCTTCTTAGACCCAAAAATCCAACATTTTTCAGTGTCCACCAAGTTTGTCCAGTCTGAACCTTCCGCCGCCTGTCATTCACATGGAGTGCTTGAGAAAACAGTATCTGGAAAATCGATTTTGAAGAAATTGAAAAGCAAATTTCCAGAAATCCATGTCAAGCCGGGTACATTTGTAGACGGTACAGATGCGTGAGGAACAGCCGAGTTTTCGCGAGTAAAACTGAAGGTTTTGATGGGGTTGGTTCATTTTAAAAGTGAAAAATATAATAACATAGTTGCTTGCTCTAGATATCATCCAACTTTCAGGACTTTAATTTCTATCTGAAAATGGAAGAATGCTGTGAGTCCAAGTTCCTTGCCAACCGGTGCTTGGCCTTCTGCTCCCTGGCCAGTTACAACGAGTCGACCGTCTTCAGATTGCTGTCGGAACCGAATCGGTGTCCGATGAGTGCGCTGAGGACCATCCACTATTGCGCAAGTCAGAATTTGGACCATCGGGAGTGCTGTCAGAAGGTAAGGTATCAAAAATGTTTCCAGAAAAGCTCGACTGTATTCTCAAGTTGATACAATTTCAGAAACTCATCCCTCCAGACTGTTTGGATCTTTGCCAGCCCTCCGACGATTCCGTCCAGTTCGACGAGTCCAAACTCCACTGTCTGCAGTACATTTCTGTCATGAAAACTTGTTTTTATCCTTTCTCGGAACGGAACATTTTGAAAGTATTGCTCTGAAATCGAAACAAACCATGAGGTACCAATCTAGAGATGCCAAACTTTTTTGTTACAAAGATTTGAGCGTTCTTTTTTCACTTTTATATGTTAAACGTACAAGTTCAGAAATCTGCAAAAAAAAACCATCATATACTTTATATTGTACTTTAAAAGTTCCAAGGTTACCTCAGAATCCACGTTTCGCTGCCCCCAATCCCAATAAACCCAAATGTTGTTCTTGTTGCTAATGTTCATTGAACCTGGCCGCCGCCCGAGTCGGTAGCTGTCAAATCGTTAAACACAAACAAAAATTTGCCGGAAGAGATCCGGGGAGCATGTTGGCACGACTATATAATAGCCAACCGGGTGCCGTTAACACAGATATCACATTTTGATATGAACCTAAACTTTCTCGCATTCTCTTTTACTTTTTTGATTTCGAACGTTTATTCTTCTGAATTGACGACAAGTTCTGTGAAGAATGGTTAGTTTTTGAAGTATTACACTTTGAATAGTAGCAAACTTGACATTTTTGTGAATAACCTTCGGGTTTCTTAAAGGATTTTGAGGGGTTGAGTCACCGTAATCTTCCAGAATCGGTGGTGGACCTCTCGAAAGTGGCGCGTGACCAGGGAGCCATTGTAGTAGCCGCTTTCCCGGCCATCTCGACGATTCGAGCCGCGAAGAACAAGAAGAAGTTGGTGTTATCGGCGTTCGAAAGAAGCCACGCCAACACGGGTGCCACGTTCTCGAGAAGAGGCGCCTCCACCGGAAATCCCTATGCTTCGTATGTTTACTTTTTCGAATTGGCTCTATGCTGTTTATTCAGCGGATATCAAGGTGTTCCGGAGTCGCAGAGCAGCGGAACCGGCGAGCGAATGGGCGGAATGACGAGGAGCGGAAAGAGGACTTTTGGAAGTTACGGTCAGTTTTAGAAGGAAAAGAGTGCGCCGTAAATACTGTAAGAGCAGGAGAACCCAAATACCGTTGATTCAAAACGATGTATTTCAGCAATGGCTGAAGATATCAAAAAATTGTCAACTGATGACATGTTCAGTATGAAATTGTGTACATCTTATCAGTTTACAAGCTTTTGATATCTCTTCAGGCAACTGAGATATATTGTTATGAATGAACGTTATTTACGGTATATTTGTATAGACTTGCTTTCTGTATTTTGACACCGTATGGCGCAGAACAAAATTTTTGTATGTTTCAGGGAGTATAGACAGTGCAAAAGGCCAATCTTCGGCTAGTCGGGCCGGATTCGGATCCGGATGGAGAGGTGGATCTGGAGGAAGAAACGACGGAGAAAACGACGATTGGAATAATAACAACTACAACTCCAACTCGAATCGAAAGATGAACAAGTACAGTGGAAATGGTGGCCGAAACGATAATGGAGATGATTACGGTTATTCTGGAGCTGGATCTGGGTCTGGAAGTGGAAACGGAAACCAAGACAACTGGGGCGAAAATAGCGGAAAAGGAAATTCGTGGTCGAACAATAATAACGGAGACAACGAGGACGGATGGAATAGCTACAAAGGCAACGGAAATTCAAACTCGAACACTAATTACGGAAATGGGAACGGCAACTCAAATGCGTGGGGAAACAACAACGATAACGACAATAACGGCAGCTACAACAGCGGAAATGGCGGAAAATCGTCGTGGCGTGGAAGCGCGGGCGGTTCGGACAATTCCAACAACAATTGGGGCGAGAATAGCGATGGCGGCGGCTCGGGTTACGGTAACGAAGGATCGTGGAAGCCGTCTGGAGGCAACAGCTTCGGAGGAAAGAGCCGCGGCGGAAATGGAGGTGACAATTGGGAGAACAACAATAACGGAGGCGGATTGAGCAACAATTGGAGCGGTGGAAATGGAGGAGGAGGAGGAGGAGACAATGGTGACAGTGGAAACTGGGGAAGTTCTGGAGGATCTGGAGGATCGGGAGGCAACAATTGGAACAACAACAATAACAATGGAGGCGACAACAACTGGGGAACCGATAACAGTAATAATGGAAACTACGGTAGCAGCAGCAGCAGCAACAAGTGGAACGGAAATGGCAACCAGGACAACGACAACAACGACGGAGGCTACTACAGTAAGAATTCGGGATACGGTAGCTCGAACAACAACAACAACAATGGCGACAACTGGAACTCGAACAATAACGATGGAAACGGAGGAGGATACGGTAACAACGGATGGAGTGGCAATGGAGGCGGAGGATGGGGATCCAGTAATAATGGAAATGATAATAGTGATAACAATAATGGTAACAACAACAACAACAACAACTGGGAGAACAACAATAGTAATGGCGGTGGAGGAGGCAGTGATAATTGGAACGGAGGCAACGAGAATCAAGGAGGAAATCAGGGAAATCAGGGAAATGGAGGAAATGGAGGAGATGAGGACTATGGAGATTGGTACAATATGCGCTTGAAAGACCCCCTCCCCCAGAAACCAGCAGCATCGGAAGCCATCGTCAATTCGGAGGTCGAGAAGAAGATTGCCGAACTCACCAATTTGGACACCTACCGACTTTGAATATACTTTGTTATTATTATTATTATTATTATTTATTTATCTAACTTATTTCCATTTCCAATTAAATAAATCTATCAATACAATTGAGTTATGTAAGTGTCATCAAAACATAAAGAAGTTCATTGAGTTCATTTGTAGTATTTGAACAATTCAAAGACCAAACTCATTAGTGAAATAAAAGAAGTCACATACTTGTTAGTTAGTTAGTGAGAAGTCCACAAGAGGTCTTGGATTTGGTACTTCTTAACGAAGTTTTTGTGGCTTTCAAGCTAATAAATAATTTGCGGTGCGATGTGTCGCTCTCCTTTTCTGGACCATTTTTTTTTACTCAAAAATACGATTCCTTTTTCGGCGCCAATCTGTAGGCCTCGGTTCGAACCCCTGGTACAAAGTGTTTGTTTTGGATGTGTTCGTGTTGGGCCCTAAACAATTGCCAATAGTAGTTTTGCCTCTAAATCTTCGGGGGGGTGACGCTTTCAGAAATGGCAAATTGATCGATCCCAAGGGAGCGGCTGCTCTCTGGTGGATCCTTTCGTTTTCGCCCCTCTTTAATCCTCTTTTTGTGACTTTTCGGGGCTCTTCCCGGAGAAATGGAGCTCCCACCGTTTCCGGTCGTGCTCCCGCTCTCTTCCTCTCACAAAAACTTCAAAGAGACGACTTTGGAGCCCCCAAAAAAGCTTGTTTTTTTTGCGTTTATGCCCATCTATTCACCCATTTTCCAGCTCATTTAACTCATGTTTGGGGGTCGTCATGGGTAAACCTTATTATTTTCAGAGATTTACGCTTTATTCTGACTCTCTACTTCCTCTAATTTGGTGGAAAAACACGCGAATTTCTTTTTGTGATCTTTGCAGATGATAACTTTGATACGAAAAGAATATGATCAAAATGAACCTTCTGGATCCGACGGAAAAGGAATTTTCGTGTCAAAATCTGCGCTTTACCTATTTCCTGGTAAAAATGAGGTATTTAAAAACATTTTGTGCTTAAAAATATGAAGACGCGCATGCCGAAAAATGTACCAGACTCACCCTCGCCGACCCGCCGGTTTACCCACGCCGGTTTGCCTGTGTTGGTGGCCGAGTGGCCAAAGGCGTACGCCTGCGGTGCGCGTTCGGTTTTGTCCAGTCCGTCTTTGTTTCTGCTGCTCTCAGCGGACATTCCAAAAAGACAGACAGACGTTTTATGTATAACACAGGTGAATCGCGCACGGTCCATTATGGACGCAACGTGGATGAAACGGAGGTCTGCGCGCAGTCATAATAGATCCATGGCGGAGCGAAAGGGCATCATGCGTCGCGCGTCAGAGTTGAGCGGAATTCCGTCTGCCGTCTTCCGGGAAAAAAGTTTTCTTTCGTCTTCCGTCTTCCGTCTGCCGTCTTCCGTAAAAAATTTGTTCTGCCCCGAAGAACACGAATTTCCACGGGCAGTGACCCAGATCCAAAATTTTTGTTGCTTTAATTATTAAAAAAAAACCGGAAAAAAAGGTTCTGCATTGACGATTTTTTGTTCCGTCTTCCGCCTGCCGTCTTCCGTGAGAAAAATTTTCTTCCGTCTTCCGTTTTCCGTGTTCCGTAAAAAAAATTTTCTTCCGTCTGCCGTCTGCCGTCTTCCGGATTTCAAAATTCCATTTCCGCTCAACTCTGTCGCGCGTGTGTGAGATGTGCCTCTGCTGACCGTGGATCGCGCGTGCCCCACCTAACCAGCGGCTGCCGCTGTGCACGTTTGCCACACGTGCGTCCTTATGGTTCGCATATTTCCTACTAATGAGTTGAATGGATGCCGCTCGTTGCGTCGATAATGGACCGTGCGCGATTCACCTGTGAAGAAAAATTAAGGTAGTGAAAGTTTGGTGGAACATTGACAAGTCAGATAATGGTCTGGATTGGATTGGACTCTTTGATAATAGTGAGGCAACATCTATTTCTTTCGGAACAATTAATTTTTCAGATGATTCCTCCTTTTACCTCGATCAAAAATCTTTGAGACAGAATATTTCACCAGTGATTTTCACCCTGACCGCTAGGAATCTTCTGAACGCTTCTCAAGTTTATTTTGGGTAATTTTCTTTGTTTTTTTAATTGGCAAAACAAATAGTTCTGCAGATTGATCGACGGAATGACAGGAAGAATGTTGGCTCGATCGGAAAATGTTCAAATTTGTAAAAAAGCGGATTTAGTCATACATGGTAAGTCTCACTTCAATACCGACGTAGAACCGAAAGTTGCGCGTCCTCAAAAGTTAAGCACGACCAAAGTTACGCAGCACTAAAAGCTAAGCAGCACCAAAGTTACGCAGCACTAAAAGCTAAGCAGCACCAAAGTTACGCAGCACTAAAAGCTAAGCGGCACCAAAGTTACGCAGCACTAAAAGCTAAGCAGCACCAAAGTTACGCAGCACTAAAAGCTAAGCAGCACCAAAGTTACGCAGCACTAAAAGATAAGCAGCACCAAAGTTACGCAGCACTAAAAGCTAAGCAGCATCGAAGTTACGCAGCACTAAAACTAAGCAGCACTAAAAGCTAAGCAGCACCAAAGTTACGCAGCACTAAAAGCTAAGCAGCATCGAAGTTAAGCACCACCAAAGTTATGCAGTACCAAAAGTTAGGCAGCACTAAAAGCTAAGCAGCATCAAAGTTACGCAGCACTAAAAGCTAAGCAGCATCGAAGTTAAGCACCACCAAAGTTATGCAATACCAAAAGTTAGGCAGCACTAAAAGCTAAGCAGCACCAAAGTTACGCAGCACTAAAAGCTAAGCAGCACTAAAGTTAAGCAGCACCAAAAGCTAAGCAGCACCAAAGTTACGCAGCACTAAAAGCTAAGCAGCATCGAAGTTAAGCACAACCAAAGTTACGCAGCACTAAAAGCTAAGCAGCATCGAAGTTAAGCACAACCAAAGTTACGCAGCACTAAAAGCTAAGCAGCACCAAAGTTACGCAGCACTAAAAGCTAAGCAGCATCGAAGTTAAGCACCACCAAAGTTATACAATACCAAAAGTTAGGCAGCACTAAAAGCTAAGCAGCATCAAAGTTACGCAGCACTAAAAGCTAAGCAGCATAGAAGTTAAGCACCACCAAAGTTATGCAATACCAAAAGTTAGGCAGCACTAAAAGCTAAGCAGCACCAAAGTTACGCAGCACTAAAGTTAAGCAGCACGAAAAGTTACGGATCGCCAAAAGTTCATTTCAAAGAATGTTTATACGGAAAAATGCAGTCAGTTGTTTTTCAGAAATAAAAAAAGAGAAAAACATTCGTCTTTTCATGAACACAAACCATGGACGAGTTGAGCTATCTGGACCGAGGAAAAATTCATCTTTCGCGCCACGTCATAATCATTTTGACTTTGATTTCGATGTCGAGGATCTCCACATTTCGATTGAGCAGAATTCCGGGAGAGAAAAGCTCAATTTCGATCATTTTATATCTTCTAATCAGTGAGTTTTTGAAACATTTCGAAAGTAGTTAATTTGGCTCGAATTGTCTGCAGTCCCCAAATTTCCAAAAAGATCACAAATTCCCCCGAATCCCATTCCACAGATCTTCAAAAGGGGGAGGGGGGGTGGTGGTGTCACATTTCACATTACATTGTCTTTTTCGGGTCTCAATCTTTTTCCATCTCAACTCCATTTCACGTCTGTGAAATGTCAAGATTTGTGCTCACAGATATTCTGGTCCCAAGGGAGCTCCCAGAGAGAATTTTGCCTTTTTTGGGAATGTTCAAAGTCAAAGTCACCCCGCTTTATTTGCAGATTGCAGAACGATTTCATTCAGTCGAAAAGTTTTTCGCATAACCACGTCATCGATATCGTCTTTAGTGTTGAGCCCAAGATCCGTAAGTTCTAGAGAATCTTTCTTCACGACTAAAACCGTTTTCAGAATCCCAAAACATCATGGAAATCGCTTCAACTTCAGCCAGTCAAGTCTCCACGTGGAAAGTGTATTTAGATGGGAAAAAACGAAAATTCTATGTGAATCATGAAACCAAAGAGACCAGATGGACCAAGCCTGAAGCTCAGGAAGTGAACAATAATCCTCCCAAAAACATTTCGGACTCGACGATAGTTTCTCCGTCTCCTAGAAGCAGGTAATATCAAAAATTAGAAAATATTTATCGACATTGAAAAGTTTTGCAGTTTCATAACTCCACGTCGGACAATAACAGTTCGTTCCGATGGCTGTCCAACGTTGGATTTGATTCAATTTTTCCAAAGAGAAGAGTTCAAGACGGCATTGTACGAGAATGAAGAGGCCATGCGAATTTACAATGAGTGCTCTATAGTCAGGCATGCTCTTCATAGGATTCAGAGGGACTCGGACCCTCCCAGCAAGTAGGTTTGAACTTTTGTTTTCCGTCCACAGAATGAAGTACTAAGTGCCCGCTCACCCGTTTTCAGATTCGAGAACCAGCCCCTGTTTGTCCGTTTTGTCAACTCTTTCGCCGACATCACTCAACCACTCCCGTCCGGATGGGAGTGCGTGACCATGAACAACAGGACTGTATTTCTGAATCACTCACGGAAAGCTACCAGTTTCTACGATCCACGCATTCGGAGATTCGAGACGAAAGCGTCGAAAAGAGGAAGGAGCATGCCGTCGAGGAATTCGAATTCGGCACATTCACGGAGCAAAATTGACCATTTGTTAATAAGCAAATGTGAGGATTTGAGGAAGATTGCACAGGACAACTTTCCGCATATTGCTGGTGAGCGGGGCAGAAGTGGGAAAAGTCCAGAAGACCTTAAATTTCCAGAACGAATAAGCCAGAAACTAATGTTAATCGAACGGTTCGGAGGTCTTGCCGTTACTAGTCTGGCCAATGACATTGACATAACATTGGCATTGAGCATGCTGGAAATGAGCAACGAAAACAGAAGACCACCGTCGACGGAAGGCAGACAGACATTTTACGAAGCACTGAAAAGAGAGAAACTAGGAAAAGGTCCGGGCAGACTCTGCTGGAAAGTGTCGAGGGATCGGTTGCTGGAGGATGCGTTCAGGGTCATTCTCCACGTCGATCCGTTTGTGCTCAAGAAGTCCCGATTGCACATTCGATTTGAGGGAGAGCTCGCGTAAGTTTTCTCATATAGGAAATTTGTTTTTCAAAATTAAGTGCTGCTTAACTTTTGGTGCTGCGTAACTTTCGGGCTGCTTAACTTTTGGTGCTGCATAACGTTAGTGCTGCATAACTTTAGGGCTGCTTAACTTCTGGTGCTGCGTAGTGTTAGTGATGCTTAACTTTTGGTGCTGCGTAACTTTAGGGCTGCTTAACTTCTGGTGCTGCGTATTTTTAGTGCTGCGTAGTTTTAGTGATGCTTAACTTTTGGTGCTGCGTAACTTTAGGGCTGCTTAACTTCTGGTGCTGCGTATTTTTAGTGCTGCGTAGTTTTAGTGATGCTTAACTTTTGGTGCTACGTAACTTTAGGGCTGCTTAACTTCTGGTGCTGCGTATTTTTAGTGCTGCGTAGTTTTAGTGATGCTTAACTTTTGGTGCTACGTAACTTTAGGGCTGCTTAACTTTTGGTGCTGCATAACGTTAGTGCTTCGTAACTTTTGGTGCTGCTCAAACTCTGGTGCTGCGTATTTTTAGTGCTGCGTATTTTTAGTGCTGCGTAGTTTTAGTGATGCTTAACTTTTGGTGCTGCGTAACTTTAGGGCTGCTTAACTTCTGGTGCTGCGTATTTTTAGTGCTGCGTAGTTTTAGTGATGCTTAACTTTTGACGCTGCGTAACTTTTAGAGCTACGTTACTTTTAAACTTTCCCTGTTTCATTCAGCCTGGACTACGGTGGTTTGTCACGCGAGTTTTTCATCCTCCTTTCTCGCGAACTTTTCCATCCTAACAACGGATATTTCGAGTACGAGGGCATCGAATACCACCTCCATCTTCGACCAAGATCTTGCGAAAGTGAAAAGGAGAAAAAGTGGTTAGCTCTGTGCGGAAGAGTTCTAGCTTTGGCAATCATTCATCGATGTTATATTGACGTCTTCTTCACCACCATCTTCTACAAGTGTCTTCAGAAAAAGTGAGGATCAATTTTCTACAAGATCAATTTTCTAGAAGTGTTATTCTTCAGGCACATTGAGTTAGCAGACTTTGCGCAAAGTGATGTGGAATTCCACAAAAGTATGACGTGGCTTTTGGAGAATGATGTTGACGACCTCGACATGTCATTTGTGTACAGCAGCATCATCGACGGAAAGGTAACATTTCTGAATCACCCAAAGCTTCCACGTCATTTTTTCTTTGAAGCTAACCGAATTGGAACTGGAACCGGACGGCCAGTCAAAGAAAGTGACGAATTTGAATAAATCGGATTTTGTTCAGCTGATGTGTCAGCGGAAGGCCGTCAAGGGGGTCGAAAAGCCGTTGAAGGTCATGCTGAACTCTTTTCATCAGGTAACCGTTTGGGAAACCTGGTTGCAAAATGTCCAGACAATAATTTCAGGTGCTCCACGTGGATCTCATCAGCCAACTGACCCCGATAGAGCTCAAAACCATTTTGAGCGGCTCGCTGGAATTGGATCTGAACGACTGGAGGACTAACACCGCTTACAAGGTCAAAAGAACAAATATTATCCCTTTCTTCTTCTTTTTTCTCTCTTCTTTTCCGTCGTTTCCTTTTCAAAGTTCACTTTTAGGGCGGCTACTCAGACTGTCACATCGTCATTGAATGGTTCTGGGAAGTGATAGAGACAATGACGAACCAGGAGAGATTCGATCTTTTGCTGGTCAGTGATAAGAAGAGATCTTCGAAAGCCATTCACTATCTTCTATCATCACAAAATCAAGTATTTTGCAGTTTGTCACCGGCAGTTCCTCAGTGCCCTTCGAGGGATTCTCCGCACTTCGTGGCAACGATGAAATCTCCAAATTTTGTGTCGAAAAGTGGGGAGAAGCAGATTCGCTGCCACGTGCTCACACGTGTTTCAACCGTCTCCAACTGCCCTCCTACAATACGAAGCAGAATTTGAAGCTGAAATTGCAGCAAGCAATTGCCAACGGGATGAGCTATTCAATTGAATGATTGTGGCCACACAGAATCTTGATATTTGTCTTTTTGTGACGTGGTTAATGTCCCACGACCTTCTTCTTCTTCTACTTTTTCTCCGCCTCAATCACTGGCTACAACGCCTTGATTTGCTTACGTTTTAATGAAATGATACGAAAACAATGAATGAATTTGACCTTCAACCTTCATTTCTTTTCTTTCTTTGTCAACTGGGGGCTGGGTTTTCAGCAGAAGAAGTCAGTCACCACGCATCGAATCAGAGACTTCTCCATTCATTCTTTCATTCACAAACAGCTTTTCGCTCTCTCTCTCTCTCTCCTTCTCTCTCTCTCTCTCTCTCTCTCTCTCTCTCTCTCTCTCTGTCTTCTTCCCCAACGTTAACCCCTCCAACTGGTTTCTTTTCCTCTGTTTTTCCACTCACGATTTTTCTCGTAAAATGAACTCTCGCGTTATCAGCGAATGCCACCAGTTTGACACTGTGTTTGACACACTCCGAGTGTTTTGTTGATTATTGCTCAACGGAGCTTCTGGCACCGAACGAACGATCCGGTTTTCCACGCACTTCACCCCTTTCCGCGCGCACGTCAAAAAAGTGCGTGTTTGTGCTCGGGCTCCCGCTCCTCCTCTCCTCATTTTCATTGTCTCCGCGCCCCTTTGCCCCCGGTGTCACCTTTCGCCGTCATTTCTTGTCCGTCCTCCTCAAAATTGTCTATCGTCTTCGTCGGCGTCGTCGTCGTCGCCGTGCGTAACCCGTTCTCTTTCCCTACTAATCATTGTCCTCCCTCCTCTTTCTCTGACGCATCATTGATTTCCTAAATCTTTATCCATATCGTACCTTTCCTAGTTGCTTTTTCCTGAAAAACGATTGCGAAATTCGCAAATTAGGAGTCACAAATTCGATTATCCAATCTTCGAATGCCTTGGAATTCACGGCGAAGTCACGCAAGAATGTTTGGCCAGCGGTGAGATTCGAACCCGCGAACTTTTGAGTGAGAGGCTTAATCCACTAGTGCCGGACGCTAGTGATAATGCTGTGTGCTCCCATGGCTTAGAGGGGAATAGAATTCAAAAAGTGATTTCGAACTTTTGAAGATCCAGCCTATCGAAGTTAAGCACCACCAAAGTTAGGCAGCACTAAAAGCTAAGCAGCACCAAAGTTAGGCAGCACTAAAAGCTAAGCAGCACCAAAGTTACGCAGCACTAAAAGCTAAGCAGCACCAAAGTTACGCAGCACTAAAAGCTAGCAGAACCAAAGCTACGCAGCACTAAAAGCTAAGCAGCACCAAAGTTACGCAGCACTAAAAGCTAGCAGAACCAAAGTTACCAGCACTAAACGCTAAGCAGCACTAAAGTTAAGCAGCACTAAACGCTAAGCAGCACCAAAGTTACGCAGCACTAAAAGCTAAGCAGCACCAAAGTTACGCAGCACTAATAGCTAAGCAGCACCAAAGTTAGGCAGCACTAAAAGCTAAGCAGCACTAAAGTTAAGCAGCACTAAAAGCTAAGCAGCACCAAAGTTACGCAGCACTAAAAGCTAAGCAGCACCAAAGTTACGCAGCACTAAAAGCTAAGCAGCATCAAAGTTACCAGCACTAAACGCCACCAGATAGGATTTCAGCAAAATCCTATCTTCCAAGCACCACCCAAAATTCGCAGCTGATCACAATTTAGACAGTCACAACTATCAAAAATATGTTTTTCGTTATTAGTCGTCAACAATTTTGCAAAACACAACCAGAATGTTCGGGACGAGATTGTCGCAATCACCGCTTCGTTCCAGAACACAAATTGCAGCAGAAATGTTGTTGGCAAAGCGAAAAGCGGAGAGAGGAGGACCTTGAGATTTGTGTAACACTTTTGGAATGAATAAACAGTGTCGCCACTTCACTTCTCCGTCGGTTTCGCCCCCTTTTAAGACAATGCTTACTTTCGGTCGAACCAAAAGTCAAGAATTTTCCCATCTGAACTTCAGTGACACACAAATTTTATAGGAATTCGTCCAAAGACATTTACGACCTCATTTCACTCACTTTATTTCTGTTTCCAACATGTAGAACAGACAAACATTTTCTGTATTCCGTTGTCCCGGACACGTAACAATTTCGAAATTCATTTTAGTACTCATCATTCTGAATGTCACGAATATAGTTTGTGATTGGTCGCTTCAGTCTATTTAGACAAAAGTTTCGGCAAAAATGTTCAATTCAGTTTCAAAAGTTAATTTAAAATCAGGAAAGACTGTTTAGCATGTTCTGGCAGCGATACAAACTTATTTGTGGACTATTGTACCATTTTTTGGGTCACAGTACTCAAGTTGCCCTAAATTCAGTTCTCAGTGCAAATAAACTTCAATTCAAAGACCCAAATAGACGCCCCTCTCGTCCAGTTTCACAGCTCAACTCGTCGTACTTGCACTTTTCCCATTTTAGGAATGCGTGGGAGGGTGTCTGAAAGAGTATTATTGTTTTCACTCGGACGCCTCTTCGATTGGCACACTCCATACACACACTTGCAATGATAATTGTTAACTGACCGATCAATGATAACTGATAATTGTGAGAGAGTTTGCCGAGTCTCTCTCTCTCTCTCTCTCTCTCTCTCTCTTTCTTCAGCAGCAACATGTGTTTTTAGCGGGAAGGAAATGGAGGAAGGAAAAGAGAGAGAGAGAGAGAGAGAGAGAGAGAGAGAGAGAGAGAGAGAATAACACCTCTCCAGTGGTCGACTTCCGATTCAGATTCTCATGATCTTTCAGGAAGATCCCTTTCTCGGTCCTTTTTCTCATTTTTTTTGTCCTTGGAAACAAAAATGTACCATCAGAATTTGAAAACTTTCCCTTTTTATCAAGTGTGACAGGTGCTTCTTGGTTCCTCCATCCTCATTCCTTTGCGGTGAGATAAAAGAAAATTGTGACGTAGTTCATTGTAAAATAAAACAAAATAAAATAAATCTTTCGATTTTATTACAAAAGTCATTCTTTCCGTCAAATTACACGAGATCCCGGCCGCATGACTCCTTTCTTTTCCTTTCCGATCTCTTTGGACGTTCTGCGCACCTCTTTCGCAACTACCGTAATCCAAAGAGTCTCTAGAAGCCGGCGCCTCCTTTTATACTCTTTTTTCCGTTGACCGGTGAACTGCCAACTCAGCGCCCACGCTTTTCCATTCCAATCACTTCCTCATTTCAAAACTCGAAGATTTTACACTCATTATGTTATCAGTAACTTCCACGCCTACACTTTCCGGCGGCTTCTTCTTCTCCGACACTCGGTGATCTTTAGCGCACATTGTGCTCCTTTCGTGGTTGAAACTTTTGATCGCGCTAAAATTTCCAAGAGGTTTTATCTTATCAACCGCCGTTATCACTATAAAATAAGTGCCTCAATTCGAGGAAACTTGAGATTGACTTCTCGAACTTTCATTCCACTGATTACGGACGGGTTTAGTGACGTGCTGCCACTTTTTTGGGTTACTGTAGTGACAGAAATCGCATTCTTATCTAATAGGAAACAACATTGTGCTCCAACCATTTTGAACTTTTTCCATGCCAACACTACCGCAACTACAGTATCCCTGGGGGTCATGTAATGAGGAAAAAGTCACGTGGTCGCGTCTATTTCCATGCACATTTCCGTAGGATTCTGCTGAAATGTGACCCCTTGGCTTCTGCAAAACGTCTCCGACGATCTCATGTCGTGCGAGGCCTTCTCAAATGACTCATAAAGTTAGGCAAGACGCAGAAAACGACGTTAATGATATAGTCTCTTTCCTTATACGCTAATGTGAATGTTATTCCCATTCCTGCCTCTTCCTCTTCTTCTTCCTCTTCTTCTTCTTCTTCTTCTTCGTCCTGTTTCAGCTTCTTCTCTCCTTTCTCTCTCTTGTGACGTAATTCAACTTTGACCTCTTCTTCTTCTTCGGCTTCTCCTTCCTTTTTCTTTGATCATCACGATTCCAATGATGAATGTGTAATACGAAGATGGTGTTGGTGACTTGTTGAAAAAGAAGAAGACGTCGGCAGTCATTGTCAAAGAATGTGTGATTCGCCAAAGTTTCGTTCTGGTACTTTCGAGAATGTTCTTGGAACTTGTCGGAACAATAAGAAAGTCCTATTGTGTTGTGTGGCAACTACAGTACCTGTGGAACCATGATCTAGATTACAAAAAGCACGGGAAGCTCCTGCTGATCTTCGAGACAATTATTGTTAAAAGTTAGGATAAATCTCTAAAAATCGTCAAAGCGTTCTTCTCTGAACTTCAAACTTGTTTTCCCATTTCCCCCGGCGTCCCAAAAGTGTTTGCCCGAGCGATTGAAACTCCTCACACCCGCTCCGTCTGGTTTTTGTTTTACTTTCTGCCCTCCTACTCCTCCTCCTCCTTCATTCGTCCTTAAAGTTTTCAGTTCTCCAGGAGGGCTACCAGTTACAAATTCAAATGTTTTCCACCTTTATCTAGAATTATGAGACCTCAGAAGATCAGCAAAGGCACGTGCCCCACCAGCAGACTAAAAAGATATAAATCTTTGCTGCTGTGTACCTGTGTACCCACCCGACGGCCGCACGTCTTCTTTGGAGAATAGGACTTCATCGGAAAACAAATCGTCGATCAACTTTTTTTCCCGTCCATATTCGGTTCTATGTCATTTCCGTACTTCTTATCTCCCTCAATTTTTGTACTCATTTTGTCACACCGCCCCCGCGGTACTCGGTACACAAACATCCTAAATTTAGCTCAAGATTACGCGACAGCCGAGTGGAAGTTCGTCCCCGGACGCCTCCGGAGCCACCACACCAATGACGTTGCCGGTGTTGGCGAAGAAAATGAAAAAACTGGCGTCTCTTCAGTTTTTCAACCTCAAATTGTTGCTCAACGGAGAGTCGAGCCGTGGTTTCTCAAAGTTCAAAAAGAATTACAAACTGAAGGCCGAACTGGGAAGAGGGGGCTTCGGAGTGGTTTACCGCGCCGTCCGCACTTGTGATGACACTTTGGTGGCCGTGAAATTCATCGAGAGAAGCAATGTGAAAGAGTGGGCGAGAGTAAGTAGTGTTGGCTCTCGCTATCTGATCCTCACTCACTCATTTCCAGATCAACGGAGAGCAGGTTCCGATGGAGATCTGTATGCTGGCCAAGTGCTCCAAGATCCGCGGAGTCATCCGGCTCCTCGACTGGTACAGTATCCCCGAAGGCTTTCTGATTGTGATGGAACGACCGTATCCCTGCATTGACATGTTCGATTTCATCAAGGGACAGGGCAAGATCAACGAGGAGATGGCTCGGTTCTTGTTCAGACAAATTGCGATCACAGTTCACGAGTGTCTCCAGAATCGCGTCTTGCACAGAGATCTTAAGGTGAGCAAGACAACCACTGCTTTCATCCATAACCTTTTTAGGATGAGAACGTAGTCATTGACCTGGTCACCGGATCCACGAAACTCATAGACTTTGGCGCGGCGACGGTCCTCCGCAGAAGCCAGTACGCGGACTTCCAAGGGACGCGCCTCTACTGTCCTCCGGAATGGTTCCTTCATTCTCTCTACCTCGGACGAGAAGCCGCCGTCTGGTCGTTGGGCGTACTTTTGTACAATTCGCTCAACGGCCGACTGCCATTCCGCAACGAGAAGGACATCTGCACCGCGCATCTCCTCGGCCCGCTGCCCTTCTTTGTGCCCGTCAGCACCGAAGTGAAGGATCTGATCAGCCGCTGTTTGACTTTTGATCCTTTCCAACGCTGTTCGCTCGAAGCCGTCCTCAACCATCCGTGGGTGAAGCAGAGGTCGCCGAGTTGGGAGCAGTTGACCAAAAACTCGGGGAAGGTGCAGAAGAAGTCGGAGAGTTCCGAGCATCACAGTGAAGTTCTGGGTGAGCGTTCCGAAGATGATCATCTGAATATGGAACGGCATCCGTCCACGACTCTCCAACAACCCGGATCCGCTGATGAAGGTGTTGGTTCTTCTGGTTCTGCGCTAACTTCCGCATCCACGTCAGCACACCCGTCGCAAAAGGTATTGTCGTCTAGCCTCCCCACACCATATCCAGCCATTTTCAGACCAAAAAAGCACCAAGAATGTCGAAAACATCGCTCCTGGCGGCGCCCACTTCGATCGAGATGAAGGCGGCAGTGCAGGCGTCGAAAACGCCGACGCAGTTCAACGTGCACAGTGTTCTGAAGAGTCAAAGACAGCTCCTCAAAAAGCAGCATCACAACCATCACCACGTGGCACCCAACTCGACAGTCTTGACAGCTTTGCGGCGAGCAATGTCGCGAGAGGCTCAAAATCGCATTAGCGGAGTTTCTCAGGACTAGTCCCGACTTTTTTTTAATGTACAAATTACTGATTTTGTGATACAGAGACGATCGGAAAGCGGCCATTGGGGCCGTCTTTTTGAAAATTTATATTGCTTTACCACACATTCTGCCACCCGACTTGCATTCATTTCTTCCTATTCAACTTCTTGACCAAAAAACGTTCATTTGGGTATTTCACTTGCATAACAATAAAGTTATATGACAATATTTATCTCGCAATTTTTTTGGGTTGAGGGGGGGCAAACTGGGAACACAACGGCAGCACGGGAAGAGAAGAACAAATAAATAAAAAGGGGGTAAATGAATAAAATAAACAGAACATGAGGTTGTCGGAAGAGTTGGACGAGCATTGAGCAATTTATCGAAATAACTAGATTCATACGCTATTTACAATATTTGTGTTATATTATCAACCGGCCGGGCGCGCGTTATTCGTTCCCTTTTGACTAGATTTTCAGTGAAGAAAAAAGAGCACATTTTGTTAGCTTTATAATAGTAATAATAATAATAATGATTAGACATTAGTTTCTGGGCCGCCTCTGTCTGGCAAAACGAACGATTGGCGTAGGTGATCCACGTGGCGACACATGGTTGAGCCGAACGATTTGTTGTACCATTGTAAGGAGCGACCCCTGAAAAAAGTTGGGTTTATATAGAGTTTCATACTGCGTTTTCTAACATGAAAACGTAATTTTGTAGCATATTAAAGTCTATTATTTTGGATAAAAACTCACTTGAGATCAACGCGAGCGATATAATTGACCCGTGACATTCCGCCACTGACCGGCTCGATCAGGAACCGTTGGTCGAAGATCGTGGCCGACACGCCGCCCAATAACTGATCCTCGGCGCACTTGACACTCCTCTCCGCAATCGCACAGGCGCCTCGGATCTCCGTGAGCCCAGAGGAGTGGAATCGTGCCACGTGGCAGTCTTTCGTCGGGTGACCGATCGTCTCGTTGATCACGTATTGATGGATGTCAGTGTCCGGCGCGCTGACGTATTCCACGTGGCGCCAGTTGATGACAGACGTGTCCCAGGCGTAGCGTTCCTTGAGAATACGCATCATTACCGATTTGGGCGCCGCGGGGACGTCCATCCAGACACGGAACGTTTTGAGCGGGTGCGAGTCTGTCGGGCGCTTCGAAGTGATCTCGACGCCCCGATGGCTTCCTTCCAGAGTCCAACTCTTCCAGCCGTCCGAGTGATCTCGGATCATGTCGATCACTCGGTCGACGAGGAACGATCGGGGACCCTTGAGACCCAAATCAGTCAAACTGGGAATGTCCTCTTCGGCATCCGAACTGAAAGGCATTTAGTTAGAACCTCAACTTTTTCCGATAACTAACCGCTCATCCACAACGTCTGGCACCATAAAGACAGTCTGAGCATACTCGATGAGCATAGTCAGACACAGTTGGCACGCCCTCGCCTCCTTCATTTCTTTGTCCGTCGGCAGTCCGGTTGCTCCGACTGTTTTGTGGCGACGGCTTCCTGGAGTGAGCTTGTCGAGCCGAGAGGCGCCGAGTTGGAAGAGAGAGGGAGTGAAGCAGACGGACAGATTTTGGGCGGTCATCTGGAAACAAAAGGGTTTGCTGATTTGTGATTCAATTTCTCAACTTACATTGTTCACTTGTGCGTTTCTAGAGACATCCTTCAAAAACAGCAACAGAGTCTTGAGAGCCTCACGATTTTCATCTGGCATCAGAACGATCGCGTACTGAAGAGCTGTCAGTCTGCAATTATTACAATTTTTTCAGTTTCCCATCGTAAATTCTACAACCAAGTAGAAGGAATGAAAGTGTTACGATTTGGAACTCGCAGTTATATTTTACCGTTGCGAGTTCCAAATCGTAACACTTCCCTCGTTGTAGCGCCAATCCTACCTATCCACATCCGGAACACTCGAGCAGATATTGGCGAACACTTCGGACATCTTGACGGTCATGAGCGGTTCGGGCAAGTCTCTGAGGTACTGTTTCAGAAGGTCTGCCACGTCATGCACTTGCGTCGAGTCCAAACTATTTTCGCCGACGAAGACGTCCGAGCTGCCCACCGATTTGTTGTCGATGATGGCGCGAAGTTCCGCGATTCTGGATTTCACTCCGTTTTTGCGAAAGATTCCCACAGTCTCCGGGGCCACATTTCTCAAAAAGTTCATAATTTCCAAGATGGGTCTTGGAAGGAAGTATCCGGTTCTCTGGTAGATTGTGTCCAATCCGACTCCGAATATTGTGCCCCCATCCTCGTTCTCCTTGTTTCCCTTCGTCGCATCCGTAATCTTCATCCGTTTTATCAGTCGCTGAACACTCCACACTTGTTTCGACGGCAGCTCCTCGTGTTCCGGATCCGAAAGCGAATACTTTCCGTCCATGGCTCTTTCGAGAATCGACGTCAACCGCACGTGCGCGGTTTTTCGGAGCTTCGACATTTCGATCAAGTTGAGACTGTCTATGGATCTGGCCATTTCGATGTCGGTGAACTCGTTACCGCACTCTTCGCCGAGTGAATTCGATCGCATAGAGCCGTACATCTCGTTCTGTTTCGTCGACGAAGACCATGAGCAGCAGGAGAACGCGGAGCTGTTGCCGGAGAACGTGGCTGCGGGCGCGGGATACGGTAGAAGGGACTGGCGGATTCTTTGGGTGTACGGACCGCTTGGGCTTCTGGAGAGACTCGAACCGAGCCCCGAATCACTGCGTCTCGTCAGCGTCGTCTTGGTTTCCTCGGAACTCGACAGCACTTCCGTCTTTTCCGTGTTCACTTTGAGGTTGTTGTGACGTGGCAGCGAGGTTTTCATTTCTAAAATTGTTCTTATAAGGGTGGTAATTGCCAACAGCGCTCCATCGCACTGCTCTCAAATTGGTCGATCAGTGCGGTCGAGCGTTTTTGTTATTAGAAAAAGAAAGGAGAAAGTCAAACCATGCGTGTAGTATCCGTCGTTGAACATGCTGATATTGTTAGAATCTGTGGGCTTCTCTTCGACTTTCTGATGTTCCGGAAACAGATTCGAGCTTTTGGAGTTCTCGTAACTTCTAAAAAGCATGCTTAGGAAAGGAGAGCGTCAAATAGGAAATAGGAAAACCTTTCGGACATTCCCGGATACAAATACGAGTCAAACGGCATGATTTCGCGGCGACGCAGGGTACCGTCGTGGTTCGGAAGCATGGGAATCACGTGGTTGACCCGGTGTCGCGACGGTGGAGGCATCGATAGTTCCCGGCGGCCGCGGTAGTCGGATCGGGACATCGAAATCGAGGTGTCTCGATCCGAGAATCCACCGAAAGCTGGTTCGATCGTGGAATTCTGGTCCGGACTCGTCGGCGTCATGAAAACGAGACCGACTCTCCGGTTTTGAGCGATAGATTTACTGCGAGCCGGATAACCGGCACTCTGATACAGTTGACGGCCTCGTTCTGAACAAAACCAATGTCAATGGGAACGATGGGAATTTTGTTAAGAAATGTAAGTTTGACAGGAGATAGGAATAGAATGTTAAGATTAGCATTCACGTCAAACCTTGCAGACTCAAAATTCAATTCAAAAAGTCATACCTGGTAGAATGGAAGGTCTGTCAATGTGATGCGACCTCATCGAATTCTTCGGAGTGTCGTAGGAGACGAGCACAGGATCCCCGATGGATAGAGGAACCGGTCGGGCTCGAGCTTCTTTGGGGCGTCTGAAAAGAAGCTCAACTTCAAAAAGTTCTTTAAACAAAAAAAAGAAAAAGGAGTACAAACTCACTTATTCTGTGACCGCAGGTCCATTTTCTTCATGATCGCTCTGGCGCGATCCTTGATCCGTTCGCTCTGAGACCTTTGCAGTTTGGCCGAGTTCAGCTCGTTGACACAAGCCGCTGTGGAGGCCGCGTCGAGATTTCTGAAAGAATCGGTGGAGAAGTGAACCGGAACATTTTGATGGTGATGTTTTAGTTCATCTGAAAGTGTGTGTGTGCGTGTGTGAAAAACAAAGTGACGAGGTGTTTTTGAGCACAGGTTTTTCACCGAAAATGTTTCAAGAAAAAATCGAAAAACTTGACCCACTCATTAACTCTGCCACGTGTATTCTGTGCCTCATACCAATCAGTCCGCAGCACTTTGCGATTTTGGCTTTCAGTCATTCGACTTGGTCTAAAAATACACACTCGTTTTTTTTTTGTTTTTGAATTGTCGAAAAAGTTTGCGTGAAAAAACGCGAACAAAAGTCAAACTCGGACTAACTCGGGCACTGGGAAATGCCACGTGGAATTGGAAGTGGTCGGAGGTGGGCGTGGTCTGTTCAGAGATCCGTGGTGATAGGCATAATCACTGGAAGAAGGGGCTGGTGCACGCGTCCAAGTACCGTAGCGCCAATTCTGAAAACACTGGGAAGGAAATCGATAAAAGGCGTCGACGACGGAGTGGGAAGTGGATAATATCAGAAAACGGGGGATATCATCCACTTCCTTCCGAAGACGAAGATATCTCTTGTTTCTCCCCCTGATTTCCGCCCCTATAATCACATAATCAAGAAGAAGAAGATGCGACAAAAAAAAAGGAAATTGATAATATAATTAGCGAATTATCAACGGGTGGAAATTAGTGTTTTTTGTCACTTTTGGGCGGAAAATCAGAAGAAACGTTCGGAAAAGGGAAAGCTGGGTGGCCTGATTAGAGTGAGAGTCATTAATAGCGGATGAAAAAGGGAAACGAAGGCGAAGAGTGGACGGCGCTCACTCACATTATCATCGTTCTTCGACGACGCGTCCACACGCGAATACTCGTTGTTCTGGAAGTTTGATTTTGTCGAAATTTTTTAGTGAACTTTCAGTTTTCTTCCTCTAACATTTTTATAGAATAACCGTCGTCCGAATGGTCAAGTAAAAATGTCAGTTGTTTTATACACGAAACTCACAAGTCTTCGTCTCATGGGAACACTGTCCACTTTCATGGCGTGGCATCGATTGAGAATCGAAATTCTGCGACTCAGCGATCGGAGGTCCGCCTCCAGAATGCCCAGATCCTTCGACGACACTTTGATCGGCAACTTTCCTTCTGCAACAGAACTTTTATTTTTTTTTGAGTGATTTCAAGACAGTGCCAATAAAATCGGCAAACAAGGAACGGAAAAGGGAAACGAAAACGACTGACTCGCCGTGCTGTTTGCCTTATCTTTCATTTGGCTTTGGATAATTCGCTCACAAATGTTTACGCTCTAATGGACAACTAAAGCGGAACGGTTCGCTATCAAATTGGCTGGCGGCGGTTGCAAAACGTCTTGTTTGCAATGTTTTTGAGGTTAAAGTGAAGTTGAATGTCCCTTTATCACTCGAGTTTTGTTTTGCAACCAATCACAAATTTGGGGGACTAATTTCGCGTGGGAAAGGACGGTTGTAAAATGTCCGATTCAGTTTCAAAGTGTCAAATCGTGTCTAGTACCAGTTTCTGACTAGGGAAAGGCCCGCACTTACCTTGGGCTTTTGGAATGGGACCTATATGATTCGAAAGAGAATTTCACGGAGAATCCGAATCTGCTCTCGATTTTTGCTAAAGAGCACTGGCTGGCGAGAAAATCTGCCTGTTTCTGCCACATTTTCTAGCAAGTTCATCTTCGGCGACCTGTATCTCAAGAACCACGCGTCCGTTGCAAAAGTGGTCAACTAGTAAGTTAACGCAAATTATCTCGTGAGTAACTTTGTAGTTGATCGTCTATTTTTAAAAAAATTAGTTTTCGAGTTATCGTCGCTCTGACCCCAGCACTAACTTTTTTCTTGTTGCTCTAGGAAAACAGTTCATAACTCGAAAACTAATTTTTTTAAAAATAGACGATCAACTACAAAGTTACTCACGAGATAATTTGCGTTAACTTACTAGTTGACGACTTCTGCAACGGACGCGTGGTTCTTGAGATACAGATCGCCGAAGATGAACTTGCTAGAAAATGTGGCAGAAACAGGCAGATTTTCTTTAGCAAAAATCGAGAGCAGATTCGGATTCTCCGTGAAATTCTCTTTCGAATCATATAGGTCCTATTCCAAAAGCCCAAAGTAAGTGCGGGCCATTCCCTAGTCAGTAATCAGCCCCGGACATTTTGCAACTGGGACCATTAATTACTACCGGAGGAAAAGGAACACAAAAGGTATGCGGAAAAAGGCGTGGGCGTTGGTGAACTTCGGGGAAAAAAACAAAGGAAACTTGGCGTCTGGCAGCAAAAAGTGGGGAGTGTTGCGTGTACATGATGGGAGGGTATGTCAATGTCAAATTAGGCAGGTTCTGACTGTTTTTCGCCAATCTCCTTCTCCTTCTCCTTCTCCTTCTCCTTCTTCTTCTTCTGTCCGTTACCCCTAGGCGCCGCGTTGCGCAACAAGAAGCGACACGATTTTTCGCTATTAGAAAAGAGGAGAAAAACGGATAAATTTTGGGGATGGGTGAGAAGAAGAGGTATTTAGCGGCGGCGGAAGGGGGGTGTGTGTAAAGCATACAAATTCTCCAAACGAAGGTTAAAATTTATGGGGGAATCAAGACATTCGAGAAGATGGGAAACGGCGGGGACAATCTTCACACGTTTCGGGCATTCTCGACAAAATATTGGTTACGCGCATCGTTTCGAATGGAATGTGCCTTCACTTTTGGTACAAGGCGGCTCAGAAAGATCGTTTCGCTTTTAGTAGTGGTTGCAAAGTGTCTTGGTGGCAAAGTGACCTAGTTTTGCAAAGGAGTTTCACAAAAAGAGAAAAAATTACCGTCAAACTGGTCGGCGTACTTCGAGAAACCCGCTTTTCTCAGCCAAGAGCATGCGTCCAGAGCATCTCGTTCTGCAAAAATATATTTATATTTTTTTTTGATAACTATGTACATAGTTGAAATCTTTGAATTCAATGCAAAGTTTGACGGAACCGATATCATGAACTTCTCAAAAAGACCCCCCAGTTCCCATCGTTCTACACTTTTTTTCTAATTCGAATCGCCAATTGACCTAAAAAAAACCCACTAAAGACTCACTAATTTTTCTCGCATTTCTTTGCGATCTCTCGCGAGAATAATACGCCCACGCGTCGTGATAATAGTCGTAATTGGAGTAAAAATGAAAATCATAATAGTTGTGCAAGTACATCATGTAATCAGTGTTCTGATATTGTACTTCAACCCGACTGACACGATACCGACACCTGATTCCTTCTTGGGCAAAAACTCCGCCCACGCGAAAGTGTGAACAGAAACGCAAATATGTGAACAAGAAGAGAGAGAAAGAGAGAAAGAGAGAGAGGAATGATAAAAAGCATGAAGACATCAGGAGATGTGTCACTTTTTGACAAGCGGATAATAATAATTTAGATCACTTCACACTTAGAAAGTTCTCCGTCGCATTGCAAGTCTGCGCACACATTCGCGTGATTTATTCGAACGACTTTTTACACTTTTTATGTGTTCATGAACACCTTTTTTGGGGGGTTCATCATGCGAAATAACCGGTCGATCTTTTTTGGAAAATACATGGAAACGTTTGTCTCTGAAACAATTCAAATCTGGAAAGGTTGAAGTTATAACCTACATAAACACAATGCAAGAATGGTATATTCCAAAACAACAGAGACAGAAAACACAGAAGTCAATCAATAAAACGTTTGCTAATAAGATACCCCCGGAATACCGGAGCGTCGTACTGACCTGCCAATTGGAGCGCGAACTCAGAGTACGTAATGCTCTTCTTCTCGTCGGAACAACTCGTGTCGACGGGCGGCTTGTTAAACTCGTGCAGCCGCTGAACCATCGGAAGATTCTCCAGCGAGAATGGTTTTTTATCAATTTTGCCGCCCGTTTTTGTAATCTTTTCCTCCTTCTCTCTCGCCAGCTTTAAGAGCTCCGGCAGAGCTGCCGCATTCTCGTAAATGCTCCCCGCGTTTCTCGCACCCGCCGCTTTTCGCTGCTTTCGGAATGCTGGAAAACGGTGTGGGAATACGGTAGTGCTTGTGAGGGGTACTGTAACTGACTGGTCGGCAGAGAATCGAAAGGATATTCGTCGATTGGGGGCGGCGGCGGCGGCGGCGGCGGTGGAAACCATGGTGCATTGCCCAGGTTTTCCAGTTCGTGCACACTTCGTTCGAGGTCTTCAAAGTTTCTGGAAAAAATAAACGTATGTATCTCAGCTGCCGCTAGACATAGAAAAAAGTTGTCAACTGATAGATAAAATGTACAAAAATTGTATAGTACACATTTTATCAGTTGATAACTTTTTGATATCTCCATCGAGCGCTGAGATGTGTTCTTCTGACTTTTTTGAGTGCCCTTTTATTACAGTGTTTTACACCCGTTGAAACATGATTCATAGTTAAGCATTTAACAATCGTGCACAATTGTGATTGGCCTCACGATTGTTAAAACGTTTCAAATATTCAAAGCCCAAATGACTCACTTTTTCCTCAGCAACACGTCCGTCTGCGTGGCCATTCCGATCGAGGCCACTTCGCGATCCGCCTCGTCCGAGGAGCAGCATTCCTCGTACTTTTTGTACTCTTCCGTGTTGTTGAGCCATTCGAACGAAGACGCTCGCGACGCTTTTTGGGCGGTTGTAGTGTCCTGAATTTAACCGGTTCTCGTCTAGTGCTACTATGAATCACTGAAAAGCTTACAGAAGTCTGTCCTCCGTTTTTATCCGAACAATTCGACTCGGGATACTGTGTGTAATAGCTGGCGGTCAGCAAGTCTCGAAGGAACTGAAATCAAAATCAAAAACAGCTGCCACGGCGACCAAAAGTGTAGAAAGGGGCGTGGCCTAATCTGAGACGCGTTTTCTGAAAATTGCCGCAATTCCAGCACACTTTTCCGATATTTTTCTGTTTAATATCGACGAAAGAAGAGACATTAAAGAGAGAAAACATCGAAATTTTCGTGGAAACGCCGCGTTTGAGACGTTTTTGGCATATTTTGCAATACGCTCTCCGCGGCCAATCGCTGCCCCAAAAAAGTATCGGCGAATGACTGAAATTCGCGCATTTTCAGCACAAAACTTGAAAATCGATTCAATTGATTCATTTCTGAATAAAACCTGCTCGTTTAAAGCTCAAAAAGTGCGCGATGATTAATTTAAAAAAAGTTATGCAATTACATCGTCAAAATCGTACAAAATTTGGGTAATTTTTGACGAATAACATGAAAAATGGGGTTAAATTTCGAATTTCTCGCGCCAAAATGGTGATAAACCGTGCACGCTAGGCCACGCCCCTTTCTACGTTTTTGGTCGCCGTGTTAACAGTAAATACAATAGTGGGTTCACAAAAAGCTTACAGTAGGACTGACAACATCCTCTTGCACTTTTGGCGTCAAAAAATGCGTGTCATCTGAATTCTCGACGTCGTCAATCACTGGAAACTTTCGCCTTTTCATCGGAGTCGGAGGTTGAAGTGCAGGTACTGGATCCGGATCGTTTGGAGGAGAAGGAGGAGGAAACGATGATGACGCGGCAAGGTCTATTATCACTTCTGGAGGACTCAGGATCGATCTCTGCACAGAAGTACGTATAATGCCTTTGTTGAAAAACGTTTGGAAAAGAAACTCACAGAAAGCGAAAAAGTGTCCATAGAACCCCGCCTACTCGTTGGAATCGCCTCCAATTCGGCGAATATTTGGGAAGTCCACCTGAAAAGCGAAAAAAAAAAGGAAAATGACTTGATGAAGCAAAAAGTGGTTACTTTTTAACCGAATCCCGATTGTTGAAATCGATGTTATCTCCGTTCAAATCGCGCACACTCAATGATTTTGTGGCGACACTTCTGTAGATTTGTACAATATAAATGTCGATTAGAAAGCGAAAAGCCCGTTTGGGCACGGGCCAACAACACACATTTCACTTTTGCTTATCGACCGAATCGATAAAAGTGTCAATTAGAGTCACCCCGAAAAAAAAACCCACAGATTCTCGTCGTTTTCCATCGACCTTTGCTGCAAATTGCTCGTCGAATGAAATCGTTTTTTGATCCGTCTCCTCGCTGCGTACTTCCTTCGCCCCGCTCCTCCAAAATCCGATGGCAACGTGTTACCGTTCAACTGAAAACTTTTTCCTACAAAAACTGATAATGGCTTTTTTTGGAAATCACTTTGACATCGTCGTCACTCGAACTACTCGTCTGATTGATTCCAGCCAAAATCAGGGAGGTGTCCGGCTCGATTATCAGTGATTTTCGCTGTTGGCGGGTGAATTTTCGACGGCGGAGTACTGGGATGTCTTCTGGAATTTAAGTATATGAAACAATTTCCTGAAAAGATAGTTAGTTCCTGGTTTTCACATGAAACATTTTTCCTTATGCCTCATTTCCTCCTAAACTTTTTCCTTTCACCGGCCTTGACCATTACCCCCTCCCTCGATTTTCGAATGCGAAATTCGAATCACCCAAAAGAGGGTATTTCCGCTCAAGTACTCGTGCGCGCGCGCATGCGTCAAAACAATGCAAATATTGTACGAACCTGGAACTTTACTATTATGTTTCACACTGATATTATCCTCTTCTCGCCCGCCGAACGACAAAGCGGCCAACGACTGAAATCGCGGCTTTATTCGTGGAGGAAAACGACCCGTTGTCCAGTGCTCATGGTGCATTTGCCTGAACATTCATTTTAAAAATGAGTCATGCATTGTTGAGAGTCAAATTTCGACTATAAAAAGAGAAGAAATTGGGGGGAGAAAAGACGTTTCAATTATGCAAAATTGGATGGGGCAAAACCGTCTCTTTGTTTGGAATATGCAAAAAAATCAATTATTGTGCCCAGGTGACGTGGCGAAAATGGGGAAAAAGTGAGTGAGGGGGAGTCTTGTAAAATGGGTGAGAATGTAGACGGAAATGTAAACAAACGGGATGCTTAAATGGGCAAGAAATGGAAGAAATGGAGGTGAATCACCTTCCCATTTGTGCATCTCTTTCTCACACTTTACATGAAAGAGAAAGAGAGAGAGAGAGAGAGAGAGAAAGTGGAAGTGAAAGTGATATGTGAATTGATAATGATGAACGAGCGAATTCCCCCCACCCCCCAAATTTAATTTTTGGGCTTCTTGAAATGGAAATGAACTTTAAAGCAGAAAAGAAGTTCGATAATAGTGGTTTGCAGAACGTCAAACGACCCAAAGACGCGAAAGAGAGAATTGAAAAGTGCAACTTTCCTAAAAACTTTTCTTTCAAATCTGTACAGGTACAATTAGAGGGAGGAACAATTTTTAAAAAAGTGGTTTTTGCGGATAGTCTCCATCCGCCCTCCCTCGCAAGTATCCAGGCCTTTCGAGTGCTCTCAGAGCTGGCTTCCTCTAAAAATTTCTTTGTCAAGTGTGCCACTCGACTCGCCGCGTCCGACACTTTTGGGCAAATTTTTTTGAGAGACACAAATTTGTGCTAATTATCGGTTTCCATTTTTAGATTTCCCCTTGCTTCCTTTTTTCGACGACTACAGACTTTCCGAGTGGATTTCAAGAAGACTGAAAATGCAGTTGGAAAAGGAACAAGTCAAGAGTGATTTAATCACCGGTTAGGCAAAAAAAAAAAGTTATAGTCCGAAAAGTAACCATTGAGAAACAAGTGTTGTAGTAATTGTGCCGTTGTGGGAAAATCATCGATGGACAAGTCATTTTGTTTGCGCGCCGCAACATTTTCCATGCTATTTGTTCAGTCCCGCCGTCGCGCGCTTATCTTATCAGATTTGTTTCCGTTCTCTCTCTCTCTCTCTCTCTCTCTCTCTCTCTCTCTCTCTCTCTCTCTCTCTTTCTCCCTTTCACTCCCCCACTTTTCCGTCCTTTTTTCATCCTTTCGACCAACTAACTAACACATGTTCCCCCTTTCCGCACAGCGAATCATCACAGGATTAATTTTTGGTTATCAGTCGAACAGAATTAACGGTTTTGAGGCGAAAGAGCGCCGAAATGCAGTAGCGGTAAACTTTGGATTTTTGCTCTTGGATTGAATTTGAACGCGTTTTTGAGTAATCCTCAAATCTAGCACCTCATATTTGCAGTTGACACCTTTTCTAGAATCAATTGCCGGATTACTGTAGGGCTGGAAGATTAAACGTCAACTCCAAGGAGTGGTCTTAGAAAAAGGTACTAGATGACAAAAGTTTAAAAAAAGTTGGATTCTAGCTCACCTTGCCAGACGGTGGTACAATGAGAACTGGAGGAATAAGAACTGCTACAAATGAGAACTCGTTATTTTACAAGATTGCACGTAATCTTTACAGATTTTTTCAAAATATTGAGCTCTCATTTCTTGTACCACTTTCACAGATTGAAAAAAAAGAACGGAAACCGAACAAAGGAGAAACAGAAACAGTTGAAAAATCGGGGGAAATGGAAACCAAAATGAATGGAGATCAATGACACAATTGGAAATGGACGGCCTGCGGGGACAGCCAGCTGGTGGCCAACAGACACGTTTGAGGTTTTTACCGCCATTCCGAGAGGTCGCCGCCGCAGTGTTAGTCCAGCTGTCACCCTAAACTTTGAGGCATCCGATCGGAGAATCGGAGGCACTTTGAAAACGGTACACGGCACCGAAAAGACTGTCAAAAAGTGAACAAATCAGACAATTCAATCACAATATTTATAGGAAATTTAGAAGATTTCCAGAGAAGTCAGAGTGCATTGGAAAATTCATTCTTCTTCTTCTTCTTCTTCTTCTACTTCGGAATGGATCCCCAATCCGATTTGGCGTCATTGATCGTCTCGTTATCGTCCGCTTCACGAGGAGTCATCGAAGCTGCTGCTAAAACGAAGGTTTTTAAGTGAAATTATCTCTATCTCTTCCTAAATGTTCAATTTTCAATTAAAATTTTCGCTGTTTTTTGCGGGTGGTCTAACTTTTTCTCGCCCATCCACTACAGTAACCCACCGGGCTTGTCGACGGTCGACTTCGCCCCCTCTCCGGGCTTTTCGCCGCTGACTGGCTTGCCCTGAGCATCCAGCTCACGAGGCTTCAACTTGGCCGCTTCTCCACCACCCTTCTACAATCAAATATTATTGTTTTCCAAAAAAGAAACTCCTTTTTCGAATTGAAACCTTTTTGCCACATCCAGACGCCAGGACGATGAAGAGTGTGGAGATCATGACAAGTTCGCCGAACATTTTCAGTGTTGCGTGTTTATTATATTTCTGGAAATCCAGAAAACGTTTGCTATTTTTGACTTGAAAAACAAACTCACACTTTGTCAGAACGGGAATACTCAAACACTGAATAATGTTTCTAGTGACGTGGTAAAAGATAAAAACTGGCACGTGGCTTTTTTTCTGGCGAAACAATTTCAGGACTTCACGTATATTTTTTTGAAAAGAGCTGCTTGAAATCATCTGAAAACAATGAATTGTCAGAATTGAAGAATTTGCAGAAATCTTTGAAAAAGATACGTTCAATGTTCGTTTTGTAGCTGAGAGCATAGTAGAGCAGACAAAGGAAGCTGAGATGACATAGTCTCAACTCTTTCTACTTTGTTCCAGACTTTGTCTCTCATTTCGTCACTCCTTTTTGCATGTCGCCTCGGTTTTTCCCCGTTCTTTTATTTTTCCTGTTCAAAAAATTCGATCGTCTAGTCCGACGAGTAAAGAAAAAAATGAGAATCACAGAACAAAAGGACGACTAGAATTAGGCCAAAAAAATTAATTCCTAGGTTCGAGAAGTGACTAAATTTCAAATTCATTGCAGTAACTGACTAACTAACCGACAAGCAGCTGCAAATCGTCCATCCTGTTTTTTGCTTGCTTTTTCTTTTCTCTCCTTCATTTTCAGACTCGAGAATCCATGAGAATTCATTCGAATGAGCAGCAAGCGATTCGTGCTCCCCGCCAACTTCTCCTACAATGATCCGCTGCCGTTTGAGTGTGATTCAAGTGTCGACGTGGCATATTCTGTCTTTTTGTACATTATACAAGCCTTTTATCTCGTCATTGGCGCCGTTCTCAATGCTCTTATTCTCAGGACGATATTCAAAAAGAAGGGAGCGACAAAAGACAGATACCGTATCAACTCTTTCTATTTATTGTACACTGCTGATGCGGTTATGGTGAGTTTCGAGTAGAAAAAGACTGACATGAGAGGACATCGAACAAAATTCTGCTTCTGAATAGAATTCCATAAAATAAACTTCTTTGCAAGCATTTCTCAGAAGTTGTTAATTCAAAAGTTCAATTCCCCTGCATGGAATATTTTTTCGTAGAACGCGGTCGTGTTTTGATGACCTGACAGCTGAATTCTCCTTCTTTTTTTTTGAACAAAAACCTTCCAGGGCATTTACATAAATATTTCGGAGCTTCTGTTCGGCCGCCTCTTCATCTTCATAACTCCTCTGTGTCCGATTATTGCGCCGATCTTCTTCACTCCCTCAATTATCATTAAATTCTACTATTCGGCCGTTCACTACTCCTCCGCATTCAAAACTGTTTCTCAGATATTTTTAAGCTTGAACAGAATGACATGTGTCATATTCCCGCTGACGCACGTGAAAGTGAGTCAGCAAATATTGTTGCTTCACTATTTTCATAATTTCAGCTGTGGAAATCACTGCTTCGGCCGGTGCTAATTGTGCTTTTTCTGTCGCCGTTCGGAGTCATTTGGAATATTGTCATCTCGCGGGTTTATATAAACCCCAATGGCGGAGGATTTTCAGTTAATTACAAAGATACAGTATCCTGGGTAGGAGTGCTCAACAATATTTCATTTTAAAGTTCTCGAAAACTTCCAGGCGAATGTCTCACTGCTCCACTTGGCGTACTCTGTAATTAGCTTCGTTCTCGTTGTCACTTCCTTCTTCGCCACTATTTTCGGTCTTTTTATGCTGGAGAAAAGAGTGAAGGGAACCGAAAGGGCGCTGACGTTGGCCACTATGCTCATGGCTGTGCAGATGATGATTTTCGCATTGATACAGGTGTGCTAAATACAGTATCCCAGAAAGCTTTAATTTCCAGATCTACTTCGCCTTCTTCGCCGTCTCCAACCCGAGCATCCGTCAAATTCTTCTTCTCGCCGTCGTCGTGGTCTATGATTCAATGAACGTATTCTCTCCGATCGCCCTGCTCCTGATGAGCCGTCAACTTCGGAAAGACGTATTTGGTCTACAGGACAATTCTACCGTAGTCCCATCGCGAACTGTTTCTACAGTATCCCAAGGCCCTTTCCGCAGTGTCTCCACCACTATGGTCGCCGTTTTGCATTGATGTCAGACTAGACATTTTAAAAATTTCAACTATAATTAAAATTTCCCACTAACCTAGCTATTACTCATTGCTCCAGACAGATGCAGATCTTAGTCTGCTTCCTTTTCCCCTTCAAAGTATGCCCACTACCATATTTGCATACAACATTTCGAATGAATACGATCCGATCGTTTTCGAGTGTAATTCCAGCTATCCCATGTGGGAAGAAGTGGCCAAATACGTGATCCAAGCCGCGTGGCTCGTCCCGGGCGGCATATTGAATGCGATATTGTTGTATACCATTTGGTACAAGAATCATGATACTTATGGGTCGAGTTCCTTTTTCATGATCTACTCCACCGACTGTTTCGTCAGTTTCGTCTTGATACTGGCCGACATGTTCGTCGGTCGATTCTTCATTTATTTCACTCCTTTGTGCTCATTTCTCTCTCCGTTTTTCTACGAGCCGTTACTCTTTTTCAAGTTCATAATGATCGTGATCAACCATTTCAAAGCGTGCAAATCGCTCATCCAAATATTTTTGGTCTTGAATCGAATGTACTGTGTCATTGCTCCCGTTAGCTATGGAATCATCTGGAAGCGATATTTAAAAGGCGTATATCTTTTCATATTTGTGACTCCTTTGTCTATCGACTGGAATTTGGCCATTTCGAGAGTATATATGCAGCCGACGTTCGGCGGATTTTATATGGAGTACATCAAAAAGGTTTCCTGGGTGAGTTGGAAAATTGATGGTGATTTGCTGGGTCTCGAGACGTTTTTAAAACTGTAGCTCTTGGAATTGAGCACGTACGAAGATCTCAATCCGTTTCCAAAGACGTGACGATTCTAAGAAACATTATGTGTTCACTGATCAATTCCAGGCTAGTCAATCCCGTTTCCAACTAGTCTTCATAATCACCGCACTTGTGTTTACACTAATTTGCACGTCGGCAACCTTGTACTCACTTATCATGCTACCGAAGAGATTGAAAAGTGTTGAACGGACAATATCCATTGCCACGGTTCTTATGTCCGGTGGTTTTATTGCTGTCGCCGTGTTTCAAGTAATAGGGTCTTGCCACCAAAAATTGCAAATGAGAGGCGACAACTCGAATTATTTTTTAAAGAAGTAATTAGTTTTCAGGTTCTGTTCGGTTTTTTTACGTACATATTTACAACCAGTGCAGTTTTCGGCTACTATCTCGTTTCATTTGACTTTTTGAACGTCGGGTAAGTGAACCAACACTATCTTTATGTCGCAATGAATTTCAGCTCGCCAATCATCATGCTCTGCATCAGCAAAAATCTCCGTGTTCATGCTTTCTCCCGAAGTTCCTCAAAATCTCAGAGCACAAAAGTATTTACGCTGACCAATAGGTGGGTTCTTCCGGTGAAAAACTTGCTATATTCGAAATTACAGTGTACAGAAATCCCGGTGAAAATCCTGGAAAAAGACGACGTTGGGGAAAAAGAAGCACATCACCGTACCGAATTTCATGATTATTCTTCATCTTTAATTCCTATGTAGAAAATGATCAATTCTCCAAAAGATAATCAGCACCAAAAGTTAAGCAGCGCCAAAATTTGCGCGGCACTAAACATTATGCAGCACCAGCAAATATGCAGCTCTAAAAATTAAGCAGCACCAAAAGTTACGCAGCACCAAACGTTACACAGTCCTGAAAGTTAAGGCTCGATTTCGTCTTCGCACTTGATCTGTTTGAAAAGCTGAAAGTGATCTAATTGCATAATATTTATTATTTTCATTAATGTAAGAAAGCATATTTTGTCTATAAATACTCATTGAAACGTCTAGAATCACCGGGAATTTTCTATCGAAAAAATCGCCTATCTTGTCAAGAGAACAGTCAAAAAGCCGGCGATCAGTGCGGCGACGAACATGCCACCCACGTACTGCCTTTGTTCGTTCGCCTCCTTCGCCCGTTTGTCCCTCATCATCTGCTCGAACGTCGGAATCGGATATCGTGCCTGTTGCGCCGCCTGTTCCCGTTCTACTTGTCGCCGCAACTCTTCCATTTCTCGCTGCGCCGCCCGACTGTCTTTGTACTGGGAGCCATGCTGAAATTTATTTTTTTTAGAAAGAAAACGTTCGAAATTGCTGGCCTTCTCCTGTGCCTCCTCGTACTCGCTCTTGAATACCCTTTTCTTGAATCCGCCGAACTCGGCGTAAAATTCGTTGGGCATGTCGAAGTGCGAGTGATATTGTGGCCTTCTGCGAGTGCTCCGTTGGAAATGCTCGAAATCTTTGTAGTCGATGTCAATGTCCGTATATTGTTTTTGAGTCGAAGCCGATCTCTTCTTGTACCGATTGCTTAAATTGGTCGGATCTCCGGGCATTGGCGACGAACGTATTCTCGTCATGTCGTAGGCTTTCCGCTTTTCTTCTGATCCTAGAATCTCGTACGCCATTGCTACCTGCACAAATTGATGATTTTTTTTGCACAAAATGATAATTTTTGTAATTTTTTCTTCCAAACCTGATGAAACTTCTTGGCCGCCTCGTCTTTGCTCGTCGGATTTGTGTCCGGATGGTGCTGTTTCGAAAGTTTATAATATGCTGATTTTATATCCTTTTGGGAAGCAGACTGGGCCAATCCAAGTACTTTGTAATGGTCCTGTTGACTGCTGCATGGCACTGATCCGAACAGACTCCGACGTTGATTAGCCACCGCTAATCGTAACATTCTCGGGCCTGAACGCTCGAAGATGTGTCTAGGAATAGCGGAAAGCATCCAAAAAATGAACTCAAAAGTGGTAGAAAGACCAGTATAATGTTACAAGAAAATCTTAAGTTCAAGTTTGCTCTTTCTAGTCTTCATCTATTTTTTAAAATAATCTCAAAATATCATCATGCAATATATGACAAAGAGGTAGAATAATGGCACCGAAAGGGGAAATCTAACCGGACGAGGGACGCTATTTTGAGCAAAACAAACTGGTAGAAACATAGGGCAAGCGTTAGAAATATAGAAAAAAAATACATATAATGGGGGGAATGCATATTATTCGTCCTTCTCGAGCACAATCGCCGATCTGCACGGGACGTACACCTGCAAACGATAGCGTCTTCCCGCGTATCCATCTTCGGAAGTGTGGAACTTGGAGGAGTTGTCGACGCGGCTGTGCCCTCCGAACTGAGCGTCGTCCGAGTTCAAAGCGATACAGTATCTGCAAATAATTTCACGTTTTTTCTGGAGTGAATTCGTGAAAATTCAGAATCTCCTCTGCTCTTACCTTCCCGGGCTATTGACTCCGATCGAGTAGTCGGCAAAGCTCTTATTCGGATGGAAATTGATCACGAAAACGAGGCCGCCTCTCTCGAACACGACGAGTTTGTCTCCATCGTGTTTCCACGAAGTATAGGCATATCCCTTGTGCAAAAAGCCCGTCTTCTCCTCCAACTCCATCATCCCGCGGTCCCAGTTGTTCAGGAACTTGTAGCGGAGATAATCGGCATCGACGAGATTGAACTGTCTGCGTGCGTAGTGGAATGACTCGCCATTACCGACACGGGGGAAATCAAGCCACTCCGGGTGACCGAACTCGTTTCCGATGAAGTTTAGCCACGCCTCCCCACCCAATCCTATGGTAATCAGACGGATCAGTTTGTGAAGGGACAATCCTCTATCGATAATGGGGGTAAGGGGCGAGCTGACGGCCATGAAGTCGTACATTTCTTTGTCCATCAGCCAGAACGCAATGGTTTTGTCTCCCACGAGTGCCTGGTCGTGGGATTCCGCGTAGGCGACGTGCTTCTCCCCATATCTGCGGTTCTCGAGATTGAACACAATTTCCCCGATCTTCCAGTCCTCATCGGAAGTGTGCTTCAGAAGCTTGATCCACATATCCGGCAGGGCCATCGCCAGACGGTAGTCGAATCCCTGACCGCCTTCATCGACTGGACGACAGACAGCCGGCATTCCGGACACTTCCTCCGCGATTGTCACGATCTCCGGGTACTTTTTGTGGAGGAAATCGTTGGCTAACATCAGATAGACGAGTGAATCCGTGTCGGCGTTCAGACCGAAGTACATCGGATAACCGCCCGAGAAGGAGTCGTCTGAAATTGAAATTTGAAAAAAGGTAAGTGATAGAAACGTACTCATTCCATGGGAATGATAGATCATCGAGGTGACGCCGTCAAAACGGAATCCGTCGAATCCGTATTCCTCGACCCACCAACGGACATTCGAAAGCAAGAAGCGCAGGGTCTCGATTCTGAAAGAGATGTGAAAATTTCCGAATAAAGTTTAGAGAATTCAGGTTTTTCTTAATAAAATTGAGTTCCTCACTGTGTATAATCGAAGAGACGCGAGTCCCAAAGATTGTGGAATCCACGAGCGTTATCGTGGAAGTATCCTCCGTTCGAGCCGTCCCACTGGTTCAATCCGTCCTCCACATTCTTAGAAGCATGCGAATGCACCACGTCCAGGAGCATGAAGATTCCCAAAGAGTGGGCCTTGTCCACCAAATACTTGAGATCTTCCGGAGTTCCGCATCGGGAGGACACAGCGAAAAAGTTGCTCACCTGAAGAAAAATCGCTTTAGCTTTGTGGATAATTTGAATTTCAGCATGTTTACCTGATAACCGAACGAAGCATAATAGACGTGCTCCATGACGGCCATCAGCTGAATTGTATTGTATCCCTGCTTCTTGATACGTGGAAGCACTTCATCCGCAAACGCGCGGTACGTGTTGATCTTCCCCTCGTGGCTGCTGATTCCAACGTGAGCTTCGTAAATTCGGAGCGAAGCCGGGCGGGCCGGACGCTTCTCCTTTAGTTCGTATCTTTCCGGAGGATTCCAGAAGTTTTGATGGTAAATGACAGTTTCCTTCGGGTTCGGACATGTGACATAAGTAGCCCATGGGCTCAGTTTATGGTTCGTTTGCCCGTGGCGAGTGACCGCGATTTTGATGACGGAATTATGCGGGATTGCGCATTTTCCATCGGAAGTCGCCGGGATTTCAATGCTCCACTTTCCGTGCTCTTCCTTGCGGTAGACATTCGCGTTGGCATCCCAATTGTTGAAATCTCCTATGAGAGCGAGTCTTTCGGCTGCCGGGGCCCACTCCAGTCCCTTGACCGAGTTGTCTGGCTGCACATTGAGCCCAAAGGTACGGTAGGAGGTGGTAAAGTGCTCCATTCCGCCGCACTCGTCTATTTTGCGCTGATAATCACGGAAAACCGAATATCTTCTCGAAATTTCATCCTGGAAATCGTGAAGATACGGGTCGATCTTCAGCAGCTCGTCGATCTTCGGCGGACGTTGATTGGTGCTCATTTTTGCCAGCCTTAAATAAATTTGAATATTATTTAATAGGAGAGACAAAGGGAATTTTGAGAAACAGGAATCAAACCCGTCTTGAAAACAAAAAATTACAAGAAAATAATTAAAAACAAAGAGGAATTCATTGTACAGAACAACAGGCAAATCAAGATTTTCGAGAAAAAGGGAAATGAGTATAAGGTTAATATTAATGTATAAAGCGACCAAAAAATTGAGGAATTGGAGATTTAAACCAAATGTGCACCCGACGACGTAAAGCACCGCGGTTTGGGGGAAAACTCGTGAGGGGATGATGAAATATTTTGGAGCATGTGAAAATGCAAGGGATATGTCTGGAAATTAAAACGATTGGAAGAGCTCTGCTTCAAAACTTTTGAAAAGAAGTCCGTACAGTTTGTGACTAGAATTGTTCAAAATTTAGTCACAATAACAGTCTAATAGCATAAAAATTCGGAACTAATCAAAAACATCAAGACAATCGCCCTCTTCGAGTTCCAATTCTTCGGCAGTCACTTCATCATTCTGATATTCGTCGTCGAACATAATTTTTAGATTTTTGAGCGTGGGCGGTTTTCCCTCGGTCGCCAAGTCGTCAATCACCATCTGCTTCATCTCAAGAATCGTGGTCTCGGTGCGAATTTGAATTTGGATCGGCTTCTTTCGGTTCTTCATTTGCATCTTGACGGAGATGTGATCCGGCAGCGTCTCTATCACTATCATTTTCCTCTGACTTTCTATTCGATGCGCCTCGAACACCGGGTAAGGTAGCGTCAGCGTCTCTATTCCCAGCGATTTGAGCGTGGCGTCGTTCGGCAAAACTTCGTTGTTGTAGTGCAATTGTACTTCGTCCAGATGACACTTCCACTTCTCCATGAACTTTCTCCGTATTCCTCCGAACGTTTCGCCCACTTTTAACTCGACTAGCTGCCGCGCTCCGGCCATTTGTTCGTAGTCGAGCACTTCAATTGGCACAGATATTGCGTTCGCGTATGCACTCTGCAAAAGCATTTTTAAATCAAAAATTTTTTCGCAAAATTGATAATATGGCGACTGGCACATATTTCGTTGGGACTGCTCAACGCACCATATTAGCTTCTTCGACAACTTCCATATCCGCGGTTTCATCGAGATTTTCGCATATTTGAATCGTTTTTGTCAGCATTCTATCCCCGAACGTCGACGGATGCGATTTGTTCGGCTTCACGCTGAGGACACAGTCTTTGCCGCCAAACAAGTTCTTCTTGTACTCTGAGAAGAAAAGAACCAGTCAATACTGCAAGATAGATGAAAATAAACCTTCTACCACTTCGTCCATTTTGCTTTGCAAATGCTGATCATGAGAGACGGGGACGTCTACAAACGAATCCTCAGCAAGTTTATCCGTCTCTCGCTTCTTCTTGACAACGGGCGATTCGCCGAAACTCGAGAAATTATCGGAATCCGTGTCACTGTCGTACTTTTTTGTAACTGGAACACGCTTCCGCTGAAGTTTGGCCCGTCGACTCTCCAAAACGTTTCCATACGGGCTCTCATCCGAATCGCTCATCCTACGCTCTTTCTGAACGATAGAAAAATAACAGAAATCCGGAAAAATCAATGAATAAGAAAAGTTCTGCCTTTTTTCAATTATTCAGAATTTATTAGGAACTTTACAACTGCCTGAGCCGCCTATCTCAAATCATCAAAAGTTCACGTTTAAAAAGATAAACTAAATCAATGAAGTCTAACGACAGAAAGGTCGAAAAGTTGTTGAGTGAGAATCACAACATGTTTACCGTGGTCTCACTGGCCACCTTTGGAGTGTCGTAATGTCGCCCGGTTTAGCAGAAAGCGGCATTTTCAGAATTCGACAAAGAAATCGCGCGAGATCAAATAAAATCTCTAGATATCAATTAATACATATGTGGAATGCTTAAAGTGTTTGTTGATGGCTTCTACTGCCTTGCCGGCAGATATGCACTTTTCGATACCGGACGGTAGACATCCTTTGACGAGTGGGGACGGAGAATCCCTGAAAAAGATCTCGATCCTTTCCCATTTAAACCTTCCGATCCCTACCAGTTTCATAAATAGAACGACCGATAAACTGACTGGTACTGGTAAAATCGCCGTCCTGGTATCGACTATAACTACAGTAACCTGAAAGTAGGAATACTACTTCACCGATCCGCTCCTTTTTGCCTACGACGGTAACCTTTGAGGTGCGGGCCAGCCGAGCGGAATGAACGAGAGACCGGTGACTATGACCAACTGTGTGAGCATCAATTTATCTGCGAGTTCTGACATTGGTGTCGATGATTACTGGTACCCTTTCTCTCGTTTTCTGCAGAGAGGTTAATAGTTTTAGGTGTAATGTGACTGAATCGGCAAACATGTGTTATGCGGGATATGTATTGCCATCTCTTCTATTGCCTTTCTTTAATTTTCAGCGAATTCTTTGGCGAAGTCTGAAAATGTTTTTTTCTGCTAAACCGGGCGACATTACGACACTCCAAAGGTCGGCGGCGAGTGAGCGCGTTAACAGCACTTTCTAAACAATTCGATTTTTCTAGCAACTCTCAATTATTTTTGCTTGTTTTCAAGCGGAAAACAAATAAATTACCTAAATTTTTGGCTTGAAAATTAATTTATTGTCTAATTTCTCTGTTTTTTACATAAAATTGTCGATAAAACTGCCTGACCGTACGAGAGTAGTATCCTAAACTTTTCCAAATACTTAAGAATGATTTATGGGGCTATTCAGCGTATGTTTGTTTTCCGTTTTTTTCGTTTTTTTTACATCGCTGAATTGGATTTTTTGACGTAAAAAAAACGAAAAAAACGGAAAACAATCATTTTTTCACAGCCTGAATATCCCCATTACGCATTTTTTGTGTTCTCACGTCGAATGTTAGCCAGGCTAATTTTTCTCGTTTCTTTTCGAAAACAAACAATTTTTGCAGGAAAATGGTTGCCAAAACCACCGCTTCTCCACAACTCATCAGCGCAGGAGGTCGCAAGAAGCCACAGGGGATTCATAAAAAGGCGCCCAAGAAACTTTGGGTTGTCAAGCTGCAGCGTATTCCGTACGGATTCTTCGAGCGAGAGCTGCTCGGATATTTCCGCCAGTTTGGAAATGTTCTTAGAATCCGTGTCGCCAGAAGCAGAAAGGTTTCAGAAGCCAGTAAATTACACATTATCACAAAATTATTCAGACTGGGAACCACAAAGGCTGGGCGTACGTCGGATTCGACGACAAATCGGTTGCCGAAATTGCCGCCGAATCGATGGATGGATATCTGATGTTCGAACAACGTATCCGCTGCAAAATGATGAAGCCGACACTGATTCCGAAGTCAATGCTCAAAGGTCCGCTTCTCGTTATGCCTCCATCTCACAAGGGAATCGCCAAAAAGGACGCTATCGCCAGAAACAAAACCACCGGCAAAAACGACAAGAAGAACGCAGCAGCCCGCTTGAATAACCTGGTTAAGCACTTGGAAAATTTGAAGAACATGGGAATTGAGTACGATTTTCCGATTGGAGGCGCTGCTCAGAAAACTCCGGTCAGGAAGATCGTCGATGACGATGTTCAGGTCATTGCCACGCCGAAGAAGTCAGCTACCCCGAAAGCGATCACTCCGAAGGCGACCCCACAAGTTACTCCAAATCAAAAGTAAACTTGATTTGATTTTTATCATGTTTTGTATTTATTAATGTAATTTTCAGGCAGCCAGCCACGACAAAAGCTGCTACTCCAAAGCCTGCTACTCCGAAGGCTGCCACCCCAAAAGTTGCTACTCCGAAGCAAAAGTGAGCGAATTTCTTGTTGATTTTTGTTCTTTCACTAACAATTTTCAGTAAGCCAACTTCACCGAAGGCTCCAACTCCGAAGCCAGAAACTACGAAGGCTCAGCCACCGGCCAAAACTCCGAGAGCTTCTGCTCTGAAGAAGGCCGCCGCAACCGCTTCGACGCCGGTGATCGGTAAGAAGGTTGTAATCTCGGAGGCGGTCAAGACTCCGCAGACAGAGAAGATCAAGAAGGTGGAGAACACGCCAAAGTTTTCGCCAAAAACTCGCGCCGCAAAGGCTGCTGCTGCTGGAACTCCAATCGTCAAGTCCACTCTTTCGAAGGTACAAAAAGCCGATTCATTTGAAAACCAATAAGTAATTTCCAGACAATCCTGAAGTCAGTGGCCGCCAGTGCGCGTCCAGCTGTTGTGGAGAAGAAGCCGGTGAGGGCTGGACGTGGAAAGAAGAAGAGCCTTTAAACTGCGTTGTTGACCTTTTTATTGTTTTCCAAGTTATTCTTCTGCACTTTGTTGTTATCTCTTTATTCACTTTTTGTTGATCATTAAATTTAAATTTATCTCAAATTTCAATTGGAACCGGATATTTTCCCGTGAGACAGGCGGTACAATGACCCGGGGAGAAGTTGACGGTGCGCTCGATTCCTTTTTGTACGGACTGCAATTTTTGTCAAACTTTTTTTCCAATTAATTTCTTTTACCGAGACGAGGCCATTCACAGAAAGATATCTGACCGAATCGGCTCCCACATATTCACAAATCTCTGGAATAGTTTTTTGAGCTGCAATCAACTCCAGACTCGTCGGAATGTTGATTCCCATAAAACACGGGAACTTGACAGGCGGAGAGGCGATCCGCAAGTGGACCTGCAACGAGATTATCAATATGGCGAACTTGCAACCCTGTAAAAGACCTCTTTGGCTCCGGCATCTCTTAGCATTCTGACCAGAGTTCGCATGGTATTCCCGCGGACAATTGAGTCATCCACAAGCACAATTCTCTGGTTTTGAACCTTTTTCTTCAAAACTCCTAAAATGTGAAACATTCGTCTGCTTTTCCCGTAAATTTTTGAAAAATGCGTACCGAATTTCATATTGATCGCATTCTGACGCATCTGATCGTTCGGCTGAATGAACGATCGTCCGACGTAGGAATTGCGATGAAGACAGGGTTCGTATGGGATTCCCGATTGGGAAGCGTATCCGATCGCGGCGCTCAGCGAAGAATCCGGAACGTTTCCGACGATGTCTGCCTCGATGTCATCCTCGAGAGCCATCGTCCGCCCGCATTCCTCGCGGACAGTCTGCACTTGTTGGCCTTCGATTTCCGAATCGTTACGGGCGAAATAGACGTACTCGAAGATGCACATCGCCAACGGAGCATTCGGTTTCATCTGGAAACGAGGAGTTCTTATGTTAGTGTTTTAAATTTAAAGATTCTTCTGATACTGGAAAGTTCATACCTGCCAAACAGACTTGATCCCATTGCCGGATAACTCCACAATTTCGCCAGGTCTGACTTCAAAGTCAAGCTTCGCATTGGCCGGAAATGCACAAGACTCCGAGGAAGCACAGTAGGCCGTCGGAATCGTTCCGTCCTTTGAAAGTACGGTACCGACGCACAAGGGACGGTTTCCGAAAGGGTCACGGATTGCATACAATCGATCGAATGTCATGACCAACAAGGAATAGGACATGTTCAGGGCAGACATCGTCACTGCTAGCTCCTGGAAATCAACTCAAGTGGGAAGAGGTTTTGTTTTCTACTAAGAAAAAGCCCAAGATGATACTGTAGAACTGAATCCACGAACCCTTGTTATGTCTCCGACGTCTTGGCCAGTATTGCACTTCACATTCAACGCGATCGCCTTCGCAATCATCTGAGCAATGAGCTCCGAATCGGTGTCTGTGGACAGTCCCACTCCCTCATGAAGTACTTCTTTTCTCTTCCGATTCGCATCCACCAACTCTCCGTTGTGAGCAATTGCTACCGTACCCATTGCAGTGTAAACGACGAAAGGCTGCACGCAATTGATACCGGATTTTTTCTTTCCTGCCGTCGAATACCGGTTATGGCCGATTATAATGTTGCTTTCCTCCAGTTTTGCAATGTTTTCTTCGGTGAACACATCCCGGACAAGTCCGTTCCCTTTCACTATTTCCACGTGGTCCCGGCTCACCCCATCGGATCCAACTAGTCCCGACGATTCTGTGCCTCTGAAATTGTATTTCAAAATGTAAATACAACTAATTTGTTCAACTTTTTCCAGCTATTTCTTGCCGGAAATCATTTTTTCAACACGTATTCTCTCCACCGCAGTACTCCTTCCGCCGCAGTCATGTCAACCCCCTTTCCGCCGTCTCCTCGTCCTAGCTTTGTGGTCGAGTGGCTGTTTACGGCTGCCACCAGAGTGGCCACAGCTCGATTCCACCCTACGCGTCTATTTCATCCAATCATCAACTTGCTTCAATTGTTGGCGATTCAGCGTATTCACGACGCAAAAATGACGGCTTCTCCATTGACGTCTAGTCAGATCACACTGGCTTGGATACAATTAGGAAGTTTACATTTTCCAATTATTTTTGTAAATACATTTGAGGAGAGTACATCAAGACGCGAATTAGGGAAACGTATTTACCTGTGCTGAAGCGCTGAGAGTCCATTGGCGGCCAAAATGTTGAGTTTTTCACAATTTCCAGCAGCAACAACACCGAAAATTCCGCACATGACTTTCAGATTTTTAGGAGGGAATCAATTGAATAATCAAATGTTTTTATCTTTTTTGGGTTGATACGGGACGCACAATCATAAAAAGTTGCACGCGTCAATAATGTTTTAGTAGAGACATTTATATTTTTCATTGAAAAGTTGATTGTGATCGCTGTCATCTTTCACCACTCTTTTTTGTTGCATTTTGAACTTTTGTGAGACCGTCCGTGTCAAAAGGGGGGAATTCACGAAAACCGCGGATGCCAAAATTGCGGATTCTTGCTTGACGCGTGTCGCTAGCCTAACGGGTTTTCCATCAAAACCAAATTATGGGTCCTTAAGTACAACTTTGTTTTGCCAAATATATTTTGCAAAGATACTTTTGACGAGTTTCGATTTGTTTCTCTTACGGGGCTATTCAGCGTATGTTTGTTTTCCGTTTTTTAGTTTTTTTACATTGCTGAATTGGATTTTTTGACAAAAAAAAACGAAAAAAAAATCATTTTTTTTCACAGCCTGAATAGCCCCATTATTGTTCAGTTTTTGACGTGTTCGTCAGTTCAAAAAACGCAAGCTTACTGTAAAAGCGCGTCAAGTATGGCGCATGCAAGAATCCGCGATTTTGGCATTTTTTTTCCGCGGTTTTCGTGAATTCCCCCGTTTTGGCACGGCCTCACTTTTGTCAGTTGATAAGGAGGGTTTCGAGAATAATTTCGTTCAGCGAAGAATTAGAGAAAATCCCAATTATTTTGGTGCTGCTTAAATTTTAGCGCTGCGTTACTTTGGTGCTGCATAACTTTTCGGGCTGCGTAAATTCGGTGCTGTATAACTTTCAGGGCTGCGTAACCTTTTGTGCTGCGTATTTTTCGTGCTGATTAACTTTTCCGTGCTGCTTAACTTTTAGGGCTGCGTAACTTTGACGCTACTTGACTTTTAGACCTGCGGGATTTTAATGCTGCATAACTTTAGCGCGGCTTAACTTTTAGTGCTGCGTAACTTCGGTTCTGCTTAATACGTGTCTTTCAGGTTCCTCGAAACTTCTGAAATGAATTTTTCTATATTGTTTTCAGATGTCAAAATTCTTTAGGATTCAACTTCACCTACCCTCTTCCTTGCTGTCACTTTTCAAAAATAACCTCTGTTTGTATTTGAACAACCCGCCCCGAGCACCAAAGGAACGAAAGAGCATACAGGTGGAAGGGCCGCAGACGCAAAAGAGTGAAAACTGTTGAAAAATGAAAAATGAGCGCCACTTACTGCCCTCCAAGAGAGATCTAAAGAGGAAAGTTATCTATCACATTTGCAAAGCATTTCAAAATTTTTGGATTTTTCGGAATTACTGAACAATTATTCGAAAGATGCCTGGAATCATCACGACGGAACCTATACAGGTGCGTTAATTTAGTTTTAATTTATCGAACAAAGTCTACTGGAGCCCTCTGGAGCACAAAAAACTTAGCTGCTCGTATCGCAATCTCTCTTTTGTTTTTCACATTTCTCCTCCATGAGATTCGAGTGTAAAGTGTCATCAGACTTCTCTTTGCTCCGAGAGCTTACAAAGCACCTTACCCCTCCCCCGTTCAATTTGTTTTCTTTTCTTTCTCAATCAATTATCAGTTTCAGCTGACCGCCAGTATGCCCATCGGATCGGCCAGTGATACTATCCGGAAATTCAATGCAGTCGCACAGGCCAATGAGGAAACTTTGAAGAAGTTGGTGTTTTTTAGACTTTCATAATATAAATGCAAATTTTTCAGAAATCCGTACTCGGAAACTTACAAAATTCAACAGTTTGACGACAGAAACTACGGGAGACCGCCACCGGGGAGTAAGACGGAAGCCAGAGGGATAAAGGTGACTCGTTTTGGCTTGGACACTTTCCAACCAAGCAAATGTTGCCTTTATCTGTTGCGAGACGTATTCTGATTTGCAGGCCGGTGTACACGTTTGCAGAGAGATCCTTTTCCTTTGTGAGACAATCGATGGAAATGCAGAAGGCGAGGAACCCCATAAATACATCAAGTTTGGAAAACTTTTCAGTATTTACTCACATTACTCGGATAAGGTACATCGATTACATATTATTTTTTAGTAATCCAAACTTTCAGCTAGTGGGAATGCTGATCCGAGCTCGAAAGTACGGACTCGTGCATTTCGAGGGAGAAATGCTGTACCAACGGCAGGATGATCACAAGATCGTGACGATGTTGATGTCAATTCAAGACATAAAAGAGAGTCTGACGGCTTCTGGAGACCCCGCCAAGTGCATTTCCATCCGGAGAAACTCTGCCCCTACAACTTCTTTTGTACCATCGGAACCATTAGATACTCCCAGGCCACGGCCAGTCAGAACTGATTCGGTGAACCTCTCCAAACAGTTAGTTTTTCTTCGTTCTCAATCGAAACTGTTTCAATTTCAGAATGTTCGAAGCTCCGACCACTTCTTCATCTCAACCAACTACAGTACTTCCGTCTGATGGTAAACCCAAAAAGCCGTGGACACCCAAGGACACATCAAAAGCCCCCGTGTTTTGCATTTGATTTCTGTCAGTTCTTGTTGATTCCGACCTATTCTTGTCACAAAACAATAAAGAAAAACTGGTGTTTCATCCATTCAAGTAGTCCACGTCATCATCGTTTTTGGTGGTAAAATTTCGAGATCTGGAGAACATAATGTCCGCCCACGTACGGATTACGGTAGCACAATATCTGGGAAATTAAAAAGATTTTGGAAAAATTCAAGACACTCACCGCTTCCTGAGCTTTCCAGGTTTTTTGGAAGCGCTCAATTTGACGGGATGAAATGCGACCATATCTTTTTTATAGAATGTTTGCCAATTATCACGATTCTCGTCCCAAATGTAGCTGGATAATCCTGCCTTCGAACTGGAATTCATAAAATAGGAATCGTTTTGTGAGTACTTCTGATATAAAGCTCACGTCTGATGGCTGACAGATCTCAGAAACCGATTGAATGCCAGCTCGAGGAAAAAATTGTTCTGGTAGAAAATACTCATAAGATCAGAATAATAATCAATTTGACTAGATGGAATGTAGAAACTGAAATAAAAAAAATGGTCTAAAAATATGAATAAAAGAGCACTCACAAATCCGAGTAACTCCTGCCCAATCCAGATAACATTTGATTGTCTGCCGACTCTTTGCCCTTCAAATATCCGTACTTTCTCAGACCATTCTCAAATTTCTTCCACGTGGCGACCACCCTCAGATCCTTCGTGTACTTCACTGATCTTACGACATTTTTGGCAGCGTCAAGTCCTTCCGTTTCATTCCACCAGTGCGGGCTTTTATTAAAAGTGACCCCGCTCAGAGAATGAACCCGCGAGTAGTCGATCCGCTGCCAAATGTTGAAAACAGCGTCGTCGGCCATCAAAAAGTACCCGTCGACATTGGATAATCGCATTTGATGGACAAGAGTAACACAGTGATACGCAAAGTAACCGCGGAGCATTTCGGCCGGATTCATGTGCACGAAGTTGAGGGGAAACAAGGGGGAAGTGTAGTTGTCTCCTGAAGAATATTCTGATGAGAATACGGAACGAGGCACTCCCGTTTTACCACTGGAAATGTTCTCCGGATACCAGGAACCACAGAAGATAACCGATGCGAAATAGGGCTGATAAAGACGTTGAATGACGCCGATTCCCCACTTCCACGGATAATTATTCGCTACTATCAGGACCTGCAACACTCGAATTTATTCTGAATTCTTCTTCGAGTGGATTACTGTATTCTTGTCTCTCTGCAGGACGTATTCCTTATCATGTTCTTCTGCCAATTGCGCAGGGGACGGGAATATTCTGGAGAGATCTGAAACTTTGGAATTTGAGTTGGAAGAATGAATAGAACGGTCAACTTGAGTAGCCGGATTGATTGCACCAATCGATGATTTCTCCAAAGTTGTTGATCTTTTGCACTGCTTTCTGCACACTCTGCAGTCCATTTTTGAAGGTTCCGACTGTGAATTCGTAGTCACCCACCAGCGTTTCTTCTTGTTTCGGATCCCTCAGTTCGAATTCCAGTCTCATCCTTCGGCAGTTCACATCTCTCGACGATTCGTTCGTTTGGACAGAGTACGGATCCACGTAGTTCTCCTCGATCAACGCCGGAAATTCGAATCTTCAAATAGATTGTATTAATTGTACGGGACAAAACAATATCACCCCAAATCCAGCAGATCACTGATGAACTTGAAGGTGAGCTCCACGTCTTCCTGTGCCCAGAACTGCTGCTCCGCGAGCCCGCCGGCCAGCTCTCTGATGCACTCGACCGTATTCGTTCGAGAACATTTCCATCCGTGCAGGTACTCGAGCATCTTGCCGCTTTCTTCGTAAACTTGTTTTTCGTCCCTCAAGTCGTTCAGATAGTCGTGCGCATTCCTCACTTGCACCGCATTCGTCGCCACGAAAGAGACACTCAATCCTGATAAATTTAGAATTTTCTGCGAGATGAACGACCTCCAAATGTCTGTCGTTCTGCAAAAGTACAATATAATTAAGACGGGGCCTGGAGGTACAGTACCTGAAGGATACTGTAGTGGGCAGGAAGAGAGTGTGGAATGCGGATCTGTGGAATAGTGTATTCTGAGAGTTCCAAGGGGAATAAGTGCCCACAGAAAGGGTGATGGGCGGTCCGAATTTGTTGAATTTAACATCCAACCCCGTCTTTTCGTCCGCGTTAAGAAGTCTGCAAAGGGGATTACTGTAGACGGAAGGGTTACGGTAGAGTTACTGTACCTGTAGATGGCATCGACATCCGGATCGTGATGGACTAGTCCCTGCTGAACCGCCGCTCTTTTCATCCTCTTGCACAACACCTGACTATCGTTCCCGTTCGTGTGCTTCTGAAGGAAATGTTTGAGGAAAATCTCATTCTGATATTGTATACTTGCAGATGTTCGAGTGGAAATCCTCTCGGCCACATTTGATCCATTCCGAAGAAGCGGTAAGGATTGAATAGTCGTCCTCTAAAACAATGAATCATAGGAAGAATGATCTTCAAAAGTGTTCTACCGTAACCCCTTTCCCTCCTGCCCAGTATATCGTATCCCAGAAACTTCGTCCTCATAGTCAAATTGATCCAATCCACGGCCTGAAATGTGTTTTCCTTTTAAAAAGTGAACAAATAATAGCAACTTTCCGTATGGTTTATTATCGTCGTCCGTATCATAAATCCACTCGGCTCCCTGAGAAATCGCGTACAAATATCCTATATTTTTGCGGGTGTATGACTTGAAAGGAAGTCCATTTACTACCGAAAACGCTGTAAATATCATCAGTATCTGAAAGTATTTCCCTTGCGAATACTCACGTAAATTCATCTGATAGTCGACGGAAAGGAAGTGAACGCTTTCCAGTTCCCAGTCATTTGGAGTCTTCGTATCTGCCACGACTACTAGATTCCAGTCGGCGAACGAGGAGAGTCTCTTCAAACGAGTAAGTACCGTATCAATTTGAAACTATTGTCCACTCACTTTGACGTCTTCCGTCGGACCACTTATACTCGTCACTACTATCCACTTTCCGCCCGCTTTCACTGCTGCAACTGGCTCCACTTTATGATACTCCATATTTTTGATTCTGTACCTAAATAGACTTCTGCGTAATTTATTTATGAAGCCTCAAATTCAAGACCTGAGATTACTCTGAACCTTTTCAAAGTGTCTTAATTGAGTTAGCATGTGGAAATAAAGGAAAATAGTGAAAATATTAGACAACACTATAATAACAAAGAGATTGAATCGAACACCCGCCATCTTTGGTGAGATAATAATAGTTGAACGACTCGTTCATTCCTCAAAACGGTCTCTTAATAGGTTAGTTATTCTCTATCTTGGGCGTCATCTGAATTGAAGATTTCACCTAACCTCCATCGTCGTTCCCTTCCGTTCGAGTTCAAAAAAATATTATTGACTAACAAACATAATTTATTCAGGCCACAGGTTCATTTAACAAGCAGAAATGTCCGACTTTCTCTTGAGAAGCTGCTCGACTTTGGCCAGGATTCGATCGGTGGCGAAGCAGATCCAAGCCAAGTACCAGAACGCTGAAATGCTTGAAGTTGTGAATGCATAATATCAGATTTCTGATGAAAGCTAACAAAAAAGTGTTATCAGGTGATATTGAAAAAATTAATTAAAAATTAGAAGAGCAGCTGAAAAGAGTACCTGTGGCGAAGCAGAAGACGAAGACGGAAGTGCGCAATCCGAAGAACATTCCCCGTTTGTAATCGCCGCTTTTCATCACCTCGGCACTCGCCACGTGGATTGGAAGCACGAGAAGAAGTCCGATCGACGCGCACATCATCGAGAGCTGCAACGGGAAATAATTGCGGAAGTCGGAGCTCTTTTACCGAGAGTTTCGCGTACAAATGCAAGTACTTGAGCGACCTGTGCATTCCGATCATGAGCCAGATGAAGGCGAGAGCACAGGTGAGAACTGCGATGCATTTGTCGGAAATCCTGCGGGAAATGCAGTACGCTTGGAAGGTGTAGCACACCGAAACGGAGCAGAAGACGAGCGAGGAGAGCCCGCGGAGCACGTACTGGCTGCGGGTTTCCGGTCGGATGCACTTGGGCATGTAGTATTCTGATAAGCAAGGGAACGGCTTTGGGTCTCACCACGAAAATGATGTCAGTTTTCAAGTGTTTTTATTATCTGAAGATTCTTGGCAACTTTGCGATAGTCAGCTTCAAAAGTCATTTGTCAGTGCTCGAGGAATCAGAGGTAATAACACTATTTTCGTGGCGAGACTCATTTGAGCTTGCTTACCAATCGATCGCTTAGGTTGCTGGTCGGAAGACATCATGGACGGGGGAGCAATTGGAGCTTTGTCCTCCATCTTCTGCATTTTATGAGCACCTTCCGTGCTCCGAATTGTCATGACTCTGAAGGGAAAGGAGCCGGAGCCATGGCTCCGCCCCTCGTATAATCCCCCTTCGCGCGTGCTCTTTCTCCTCTTCGCGCCTTCTCCATCATCTTTTCTGAGCCTCTGAGCATTCTCTTCTCGCGTGCCGGCGGACGAGTAGAAGCAACAGTTGATTAGAGAGTAAGCGTGCGCATGAAATAATAAAAAAGATGAAGTAAACAGCAGAGACACCTCGTCTTGAAGGGGACACACTGAAAGGAAGATAATAAGGAGAGCAAGGGGCAATTTATTTATGAAGAGCTAGAGAAATGGAAATGGAAATGAATGCAAGTGACTAACATGAACCCGAAGCGTAAAGAAGAAACATTCAATAAATTACATTTGAGGGTACACAGATTTCCTCAGTGAAAACAACCAAAATTACATGAAAAATCATCACAGAGAACCCAGGATTTGAAGGTCATTAAGACTATTATGCGTTCGTCATTATTACGTGTCCTTTTCAATTTGAGTCGGCAGCAAGGAGTATCCTCCGCCCCCGAAAGACGAAGTCAACGCGATGTTCTTCCCGTGGAAATCATAATAAAGTGTGCAATGGAAAAATATGTTCGAGAGCACGGCGGAGTACTCGACCAGAGCGAACAGTGTGTAGATTCCCGGCTCGCAATACGTGTTGTGCCGCCAATACAAGTAACCGCCCATCACGAAACAGACGATGAAGATTGAGGCACCCAGGATTTTGTATTCATACGACTTTTCGCCGAGATTCGTGGCTCTTCTCCGTCCGGATTCGCTAAAAAGCCACGTGGAGAGGACCATGTAGACGATCGAGCAGATTGCAAATCCACCGAAGCATTTCGCGTGAAGTGCTGCAAGAGAATCGAATATAGAAACTTTGAGAAGCAGTACTCACTATGATCTTCACTGGAAGAGATGGAAGTGAGTGCCAATAAGAAAAAATTCTCCAGAAGATTCAGAAGACACGCGACATTGCACAACGTCCGAAACTGTTTGGATCCGGTCAACGGACGGAGCGGAGAGCTCGTCAGGTAGTTGCGGCAGGCGATCGAAACAGCGAATCTGGGGCCGATGTGCAGTCCGATCAGAATCCTCCAAATGTATTTCTCCGGTGAATACGTGGAAACGGCGGCGGAAATGGACGGCAGGTAGTTGGATACTTCACAGTGGGTCGCCGTCGACTGTTCGAAGTGGAGGAAAAGAGAAAGAAGCACGCAGATAAGGAGAGCAGACGACGGTAGGCCTCCGATGAAGAGGACAAAGTATCTGGAAGCGGGAACTCGTTTAAGCATTTCCGAAATTTTGATTTGAAAAATAATTTATTACGAAAAGACTCACTTGAAGGGAACGGATAGAATATCATCGTCTCCTAGTGCCATCCAACCGGCTTACTATATCTACAGAAAAAACGACTCTTCTCAAAACGAGAATGAATTAATCAAATAAAACATTGATTTTAACACAACTTTTCCATCGAAAAAATTTGAAGAAAAGTGAAGACGATTTTATGGAAAAATAACAGCAGAAGTAACGAGGAAATCTAATAGCAAAAGAGCCTAATTTTAAGTTTGGAACAAAGCGACGAGAATTATCGATACTTTCCCTTCCAGGCGACGTCGTAATTGGATAGCCAGCTATTGCAGTTTTGCATGTTGTACTTAATGACCGTATCCCAATTGAATCCATTTTTGTTCATAATTCTCTCCTCCTCTGCTTTTCTCCGTCTGTCCGCGATAATTTGCTCACTGACAAATTCCACCGGGAACGAGAATCTTTCGCACAAATACAATAAAAACGCCTTAGCCTCCACCTCCGTGATATATCCGCCCACTTCCAAAATGATTCTTCCTGCTCTCACGGGCGTTACATACTTTTGAATCGATCCTTTTCCACCTCCTAGACGTGTTCCTTGCGCCTTCTTTGTTCGTGGAAGCCATGGCGCATCGACGCGCCACGTGGCAAACTGATTATCGATTAGGTTCTTATTAATGCGCTCTTGAAGGAACTTGAAATCGTCGGAGCTGATGAAGCCTCCGGAGATGGCCGCCAAGCCGTACTGCTCGTGAATCAGCTCCGTATGCACTTCTTCCACTCCACGCGCCTCGATCATTCGCTTCGTGGATTTGTATCTGAAGGGAAATACTTTGATATTTTTTACGTTTTGTTTCATTTTCGAGTTAATTTGAAGATTAAAATTAATGAAACCTTACTTCTTCTCTCCTTTTTCTGCATCGTACGCCGGTTCTGCTGGCATGGCTGGCAATTTGAGCTCTCCGTTAGGTGGGAAACGTACATCTGAAGAGAGAAGAGATGATTCAGCCAAAAAACAAAAGTTTACTTTCGAACGTCACTGGGAACGGATACTTCCTCATTCCGCGCATAGTTTGTGTCCAGTTGCCAACTGGCACTCGGCATATTGTTCGGAGATTCACCATTACCTAGAACGTTCAAAATTGAATTGAGAGACAGTTTTATTTGCACAATGGTTAATTTGTGAGGTTTATGGTCGAAAACTGAGAACTTAAAATGGTCATCGATAAAAACTGAAACCACAGTATTTTTTTTCGATGGTTCAAAAAATGCATAAAATTCTTGCTGAAAAATTGGAGAAACTCGAAGAGAAAGTGCTTCAGCTAGTGTTTGTGGAGGCCCGGCGGACACCCCCCGGCTTTTGAAGCATCGTACTGCGCCTTGTTTAGCAAAAAGTGGCACATTTTTTGGATTTTGACAGAGATTTAAATAATTTAAATAAAAATCGAGGGAGAATTAATGTGAAACAGCTAGAAAGCATAAAGATGAATGAAAGAAATACAAGATTACTTTTTCAGAATCCCGATAAAATTTATTCAGCTTCTTCACAAGCTCTTTCTGTTTGCAAATAGCGTGGAACTGTTACCGGAGTGGCTGGAAGGATCGCACGCCAGTGGCTCTCCTCGCTGGCAGATTTTCAGCATGTTTGAGGCGATTTTTTATCACGATTTGTGACATTGATGACAAAAATGACACAGATATGCAATTTTGGAGCTGAAAACAATGAAAATCGATTAAAAACGCTAACTATTACATTTTTCGGGCTGAATCCGGGGCTGGTGAAGACGTAAAAATTACATGTACGTTGTTTCTCGGCAACTTTTGTGAACAGAATGTTTATTCAAGCAAAATAGGTACAAACAAGCTCAAATTTTAATGCAAAGGTCGTTTTGGTTGGTCTTCAAAGTTTTCATCGTTGTGCATCAAATTTTTCCATGGATTTCCGATTTTTCGTCGTGCGACAGACACAGATCGGCTAATTGACGGGTTCGTGAGCTGCTCTTGTCACAATCTTAATTTTTGTATTTATGCTCCTATCCTTGTCTTCCTTTATTACTGCTCTTGTTGCTCGGTGAGGTATCTGAAACGTTTCTCGGAGAGTAAACATAAAGTTTCAACGACAACTGACCGCAATTAGACTCCGTTCTTTCGGTTTTCGATCATTACTGCCGATCCGTGCAGTGATGCGCTGAGTGGGATTTTTCGTGTCGCCGGAACAGCGTCTTATGCGTTTCTGAGCTGAAAAAAGGGTGAATGAACGAATAGATACTGAAAAAATTAGGTTTATTACGAGGAAAAACGTCAGCAGCAAGCAATTAATGCAAACGCGCTCCATTGAGTCGGACGAGAGAGTGTGTGTTTCGAGGAGTGCCCAGACATCCGCTTGCCTTTTTTTGCAATTTTGAATTGTATTTCAACACGCTCACTAAATAATGAATTAATCTGATTTAATTTTCAGCGGAAAAGTCTATGGATGAAAAGCTCACTCAAGCCGCCTTCGAATTATCCCAAAAAGCAATCTATTATGATCAGGTATCGATAATAAACTACTATTTTCCTTATGGGGCTATCCAGCGTATGTCTGTTTCACGTTTTTTTCCGTTTTTTTTTACATCGCTGAATTGGTTTCTTTGACGTAAAAAAACGAAAAAAAAACGGAAAAAAATCATTTTTTTCACAGCTTGAATAACCCCATTAATAATGATTTTCAGGGTAAAAAATATGAAGAGGCCATATTCTGCTACACAGAAGCCGGTAATCAGTTGCTGAAACTCGTGCAGGAAAAGAAATGTCTGCCGATTTTCCGGAAGAATGTGATGGAGTGCATCAACCGCGCTGAATTTCTGAAATCCAATATTCAAACATTCCAACAACAGGTTTTTTTTATAATTTCAATATTAATAAGGCTTGAATTTTGCAGTACCCTCCTTCGAATAACGATATTGCACACAATGTGGAGTTCCTGATGATAAAGGCGTCGATTTATCGAGATTCGGAAGAGCGACACGATGAAGCCAGCGAAATCTTTGAAAGTGTAGTCGAGCAGTGTCTCGAAGCAGCTAGGAAGGGGAGTTTGCCTCCGGAAGTGCTCAAGAAGCTTCGGACAACTGCGGAAAGTGCTCTGAAGTGTGTCGAAGAGCTGGTCACTCGAAAGAAAGTGACGGAAGTTGAGCTACTGTTACCTGATGTCCCTATTGATGGTGAGTAGAGATTCGATTGATCTGGCGCGGACTACATAGTTCTTTTCAGACATTTCAAAGCTTCAAATCAACGATCAACCGAGCCCATCTCTCTCCAGACAGAAACAACCACTTTCTCCTGGACAGTCCCCGATGAAACCATCAAGTTCCGCGAAATTCACAAAGGAAGAGCTCGAAGTGCTCTCAACAACTTCTAACATTAATAACAAACTCTACGTACCGTTTCACAGCTATGACAAAACTAACGAGTTCAAAGGACAGCACGGAAAATTCACAGATCCCGACGGAAAGATCGGATTGACGCAAAAGCAGAGAATGAAGTTGAAGGGATGGAAAAGAGCCAGTGATCTGTTCGAAACCCCGGTGATAATCTCTGCGATCGACTGTCACACCATCAAACAGACTGTCATTTCGGACTGCTCCTTCATTTCCTCACTGTCTATCGCGGCACTTTACGAAAAACGATTCAAGAAGCAATTAGTAACCAGCATTATCTACCCGCAAGACGCTCACGGAAAACCCCTTTACAATCCGGCAGGAAAGTATATGATCAAGTTCCACATTAATGGGGTCTGGAGGAAAGTGGTAATCGACGACTTTTTCCCAGTAGATGAAAACGATCGGATGATGTGCTCGCAGACGGAAAACAAAGGAGAATTATGGGTTTCGCTGCTCGAGAAGGCTTATATGAAGGTTATGGGAGGATACGACTTTCCTGGATCCAATTCAGTGAGTTTTAATTATTCCTCCAAATCATGCAGCACGAAAAAGCCCTGAAAGTTACTCAGCTCGGCGGTCCAGCATAATAAAACTGGGCAGAATAGAACCGCGACATAATAGGACCGGGCAGGATAGAACCGCGACATAATAGAACTACGCATAATAGAACTGCGCAGAATAGAACCGCGACACAATAGAACCGGCCACAATATAACTACTTGGAGCGCCTTTTAAGGCATTTTGTAGAATAATTGTTTCGTAGAAAAAGATAATTTTTGAATCTCTTGATCGATTTATTGCATTCATTAATTGACGGAAGTGAGTCGTGACCGCTTTTCTCTACGGTAACGAAAACCCACAGAAAATAATTATATTGTACTATCAAAAACGAAAGGAAACCAATTTTCTAGGTATAAACTGTGGTCTTCTGCTTAATTGTTCGAGAGACGAAACATTTTGCGAAAGTTAATTGAAAGGAACGGAGAAAACGCTCATATAAATTCACAAAAACAGTCTATTATGTCGCGGTTCTAATGTGTCGCAGTTCCATTCTGCGCAGTTCTATTCTGCCCAGTTCTATTATGTCGCAGTTCTATTATGTCGCGGTTCTATTCTGCCCAGTTCTATTATGTTGGACCGCCCTCAGCTCTAGAGGTTACGCAGCACCAAAAGTTAAGCAGCACCGAAAAGTTACGCAGCACCAAAAGTTAAGCAGCACCGAAAAGTTACGCAGCATCAGAAGTTATGCAGCACCGAAAAATTACGCAGCAACAAAGAGCTGCGCAGCACCGAAGAGCTATGCAGCACCAAAAGTTATGCAGCACCAAAAATTTGTTATTTTTAGAACATTGACCTGAATGCGTTGACTGGCTGGATTCCGGAGCGAATCGAGCTCACTGAGGGTTCAAAATCCAACCCGGACAGTGTTTTCCGGAAACTTTTCGACCGATTTCACCGTGGAGACTGTCTTATCACATTGGCCACTGGCAAAATGTCAGAAGATAAACAGAAACGATCTGGACTTGTGGAAACGCACGCCTACGCAGTGATCGATATCAGATGTGTAGAGGTAAAACAAAGTTATCAAAAATTGTTTTCAATGTTAACTTCAGAACAAACGACTTGTGAAAGTAAAAAATCCGTGGACACACTCCAGATGGAAAGGAAACTTTTCGGACCAAGATAAGCTCAACTGGACGGAAAAAATGAAGAGCGCACTGCAATTTGATCCATCTGTTGCAGCACAAAAGGACGACGGAATCTTTTGGATCGATTATGAATCTGTGTGCCACTTCTTTGACGTCATCTACGTAAACTGGAATTCTGAGCTGTTTCCTTTCACTTCTGTATATCATGCCACGTGGAAGCAAGATGTTGGACCGATTAGAGATGTCTATACTGTCGGAGAAAACCCGCAATACGCACTGACTGTAAACATTGGGGTGATTTCGGCGGCAGCGGTTTGGATTCTTCTGACACGTCATATCACCGCCATTGACGATTTTGCCGTGAACAAGGAGTTCATCACCCTGATCGTTTATGAAACTGGCCAGAAGATTTACATACCCTGTAAGAAATTGATTGAATACAATTATACTAGAAATATTATTTCTGCATTTCACTGCAATCGCGCTCTGTTTCTAAACTCTCCTAGTTTCCCGGTCGCGAAGTAATTTTTAGTGGTTTTTCTCTGAAAATGTGGCCGAACTCTTCAAACTAGGCCCCGAGGTCATTGCAATTTGCACTGAAAAAATAGTTTTTCAACAGAGCGCCATTGCAGTGAAATGCACCCATAATACCTCAAAATTTCAGCAAATCCGCGTCCTATTTCTGACGGCGTCCGTATCAACAGTCCACTGTATCTCTGCCAACTTCTTGTAACCAAACCCGGAATTTCAAAGTACACCCTTGTCGTGGCACAGTACGAGAAAACCAACACAATCAATTATTCGCTGCGCGTGTTCTCAACTGTCAATATCAAATTGGAGCCCGTGAAACTGCCGTACACCGTCACAAAAACTACCCGTGGCAACTGGGACGGATCAGAGAAACCGCCCGTGATGAAACTCGTTCTGCATTCGAAATCCGATGACATTGCTCTATTGATGGAGCTCAAAGCTCCCAAACAGTTTTGTGTGGCCCTAGAAATGAAACAAACTGCATCAGATCGGACAGTTTTCATGGAAACAAAACACTCTGGAGCGTATCGTCCCGGATACACTGTACTCACTTTGGAGAATGTGCCAGCAGGAACCTACTATGTGAAAGTGTCCACTTATACGGTAAGACTTTGACATTTATTTATTTAAGCTACGCAGCCCCAACAATTAAGCAGCACGAAAATCTATGCAGCCCCAAAAATTAAGCAGTACAAAAAGTTATGCAGCATCAAAAAGTTACGCAATACCAAAAACTACGCAGCACTAAAAGTTAAGCAGCATCAAAAGTTATGCAGCAACAATGAGCTACGCAGCACCAAAGAGCTACGCAGCACCAAAGAGCTACGCAGCACCAAAGAGCTACGCAGCACCAAAAGTTACGCAGCGCCAAAAGTTATGCAGCAGCAAATTCTCCAACAGATTCGTATTATTTCACTCAATCATTTTGAAAACATTTTTCAGGTCGGAGACAAAGGTCCGTACATTCTGCGCGTCGACTCCACCTGTAAATTCGACTGGGAACTCATCAAATTGTGATAATTCTCCCGGTTTTCTAATTGTAAATTTTATGAATTTAAAACTCGGGTAGATTTTCTTTCTATTGCCAACTAGACAAAAATGTATAAATGTTTCTCGAAACTTTTCTATTCTTCTTCGTTTTTTAAGATGTTCCTGTTCAATTCACAGGCTATTGTATCTCCACATTTCTATCCCTCCGTTTTCGTTATTTTTTAACATTATCTCTGATTCAGATGAATCTCAACCCGATGACTGCGAAGGAGAAGCCGAACGGCAACATCCAGTGTCTGGTGTGCAATTCCGAAGTGAAGCCGAAGATTTGGACCGCCCATGTGAATGGAAAGAAGCACAGAGAAAACATTGAGAAGCTGAAGAAGACACAGAAACGTGGAAAAGATGACACCAAAAGTGCCAACGAGCCGCCGAGCAAGAAGCAAAAGGAGGTGCCGAAGCAGGGTCCGATCAGTCTGCCTACCGACTTTTTCGATGAAGAGGACAGGTATTTCGTCAAAATAGTTTTGAAAAGTATTGATCTGCTTCTGTTAATTTTTATCTTTCCCAAATAACCATAGGTGTTTTGAGTTGAGCGCCGGCAGCTCGGGATAGGCGAGTGGAAGGGCCTGGTTCGGAAAAAAAATTTGGCAGCCGTAAGGCTAAGGCTGCCAAATTTACCGCACTAGAATCACTAATGTCTAGATTGCAGGAGTGTCCTTAAGGCGCCGCAATCTAGACATTTCTGACTTTACCCGGACTGTAAGAGATTGCCAGGTTGGTTCAACTGTCTTAATTACTTCTATGGGTCATATTCGTCATACATGTTTAACAGAAAATACAATAGAGGGGGGGGGGTCTTATAGTTGCCGCTGGTTCGGAAATTTCAATCCGACCGCCAGGTCACAAAAATGCTTTAGCGTTTCTCAAACATCCCGCACCTATGCAAATAACGGCTTTTGAACTTTTAAAATATCAAAATCTTTTTAAAATTTGAACGTTTCAGTACTCCATTCCGAAAAGAGGATTCGAAAGCGGCAGTAGGTGGTAGCCATTTGATCGAGGGAGTTCCGGCCGGCTTCTTCGACGACAAACGGCTGGACGGAAACGTGCGGGAGACTCGCGAACGAAACGCCGAATTGGATGCAGAATACGAGCGATGGAAAGACGAAATCGGAGAGGAGCAGGTTGATCAAGAAGCGAAGCAGGAGGAAAGGGAAGCCGCCGTTCAGAGGGAGCTCGAGTTGGAACGGATCGACGAGCAGATGGCGGCACTCAAGAAACTGAACGATATGGAGATTCAGAAAGAGAAACGAATGAATCAGGCAAAGGAACGGCGGCTGAAAAAAGAACAGGAGGCGATGGAGGAGGACGAGGAAGACTCAGAAGACATTGATCTCGACGCACTCGACTGGAGAGCCAAAAATATTTTCTCGTGAATTATGTGCTGAATGACACTAAAACTGTGCAGACTAAAATTTTAAAACATTGCACTGTAGAATTTTTATAGTAATCTCTAAAAAACTGCATTTTTATACTATCTCTAAAGATTGGATACCTGCTTTACAGAGATCTATTTCATTTCGGCTTCACGCTCCCCTGACTTGGACACCCGGAAATTCGGGAGAGCGATTTCTAATTTCATCCCGCACACGGCCACGTCATCTGCCTCTTCTCTCTCTCTCTCGCCTTTTCCCGGATCGATTCCCTTTTGCTCCGGCTCCCTCTGCTCGGACCCGCCCATCGTTTTCTCTCGTCGTCTTCTCCTCGTTCGCCTGTGTTTGTGAGCGAGCAAACGCAAACTCACAACAACAATTTGCCATTTCGATTTCGATTGCAGCTTTCGGCTTCACCTCTTTTCCAGAAAACATGTCTCTGAGCAAGCAGGAACGACCTGTTGACCAACTTTCCGAACTGGATTTCCTCGGAGGTCATCTCAAGATCGGAATCACCAAACCGGTACGAGTGCTGCTTAAAATATATCCACCTAGAACATTCTAGTAGTTCCTTAGCTTGTTCTCGTAGTGAATCGAGCCCATTTTTCAGAGACCAGTGTTCCGTGCGAATCGAATTATCTCAAACTTCGAGAATAACATTCGCACCTTTTTCAAATCTCGCATTGGCAAGCAAGGAAAGAATTGCGGAGAAGGGCTCACAATTGGAGAAGAAGAAGACGAGGACGAGGAGCAGGTCGGTTCTGAGAACTAATCAAACGCTTCACTCTCCGTTTTTGTGTGCTCTCGGAAGCTTCGATGAAGGAAAAGGGAGCGATGGGGTCAGCAGAAGCACGTGACTTTCATGGGGGGGGGGGGGTCAAGCAGAGAGAGTCAGAGGAGGAAATAAGCCTGAATTTATGGATGTTTCGTGGAAAAGATGGGCCTCGCGTGGTGAACTTCGATCTTTTGGGGCCCACCGATTAGTGAGCTTCTAAACTTTTCTCAAAATAATTATAGAGACATTTGACACCATTCTAGACATTCTAGTCAGACCAAATCCAAATTTCCTGACAACGTGGGTTTCAGGTATAATTTTCCCAATATTTGAAATGGATTTTCTCGAAGATTAGAAGGTTACGGTAGGTCTCAAGGGGTTTTTTGGCATCATCTGGGCATCTGATATTTTTGCCAATGTATGTATGCGAAAATGTTCAAAACTCTTGAAAGAAAAAATTTCGCTTATTCTACTATCACTGTAGATGCCAAAAAACGTTATAGGACCGTCTGGAACCTCGTAATCTTTGAGAAAATTCAACTCAAACTAAACTGAGAAAAAATGTTTTTGTTAATTTTGAATCAAATTGATTCTATTGTTACTGTAGGTATCAAAAAAACACAACGATACCCATCTGGAATACCCTAATCTTCAGAAAAACAATATCTAATGTTGGAAAACATGCCCATTTTGACGACAATATCAGTAATTTATCAGAATCTCACCAAACAAAGGTTCCTTGTCGGGAAGAAATACTACTGTACTTGAATAAATTCACTACAAAAGTGAGTCACACGTCCCTGAGGAATTCAGAAGTTAGGAAAAGTAATTGGTTTTGCTGAAACGAAGGCAATTATGAAAGAGTGGAAAGAGAGAGAGCAAATAAATATTTATAGCTGACTCACATTTTATGAGTGTGCTCATTCAAGCACTCAATTTTTGATGGCGACAATAAATAAATTTTCAGTTCCAATGGCAGCTTCTTCCGGAGAACGTCCGTTCCCTGTGCGTCCGCAAGATGCCCCTCCAGACTCGTGTCTGTCTCGCCGCCACGTCAAAAGACGAACGTGCTCTGGTCAGAAGCACGAAAGTGATGTGCAAACTCTTTGTGATCGACGACCTCGACCGTCGTACTTATCACCTTCTGCGCTATCCGAACCTTCATTGGATGGCTTTTGCGCGACCAGGAGTCAGTTTCCAGAGCTTTCTCGAGAAAGACACTCATGAGAGTTTTCCAGAAAAAGTATTTCGTCAATTTTGTATGCGATTGGCAGCATGACATCGCGATCTGCTTCTGCGAAGAACGTCGTCCGTTCCAGGCAAGTGATTTCAGTCATTTTTGAAGATAATTTTCTTTTTAGGGAACCCACGTGGCCACCAAGGTCTACTGGCTAACCCCCAGCGGAAAAGTCAAGAAGACGGTCATTCCGAACGTCGAACCTTATGACCTTGCCGTCAAAACAGCGGCGAAATTCTTCTCGGTCATCACGGAGGACTGCAAGCGTTCTTCGATCTCTATGCCAGGCTGGCCCGAGGAGATCTACGACATCCCGGAACTCCGCCACAGTTATATAATCGGCTCGAACTACGACAACGTGGAAGCGATCCACAAGATGTACGATTTCTTCGGGCCCTTCTCGTTCGACGTCCAAATGCACCAGACTGTCGCCAAGTACAAGTTGCCGTTCTCTTTTTTGGAGGTCGCTCGTCGCGGAATGAAGTCGTGGGTCAACATGCGCGCCAAGGATCAGGCCCTTTGCGATGAGATGCTCGACAAGGATTTGCGCATTTTGATTCTGCACGACTCGTTTGTCAGTCAGGAGAAGATGCGCGAGTTCATGGACAAATGGTGTGTCGACTTGATTTGTGACCGCTTCTGCTGGTGGGCCATCAGCACTCACATGCCTTTGGAAATCAACTCCCTGCTCGACGGACTCAATGTCGAGTTCAAATGGGAGAAATTTGGACAGAAATTGTAAGGAACTATGGGATATAACTAATTTTATGCTTTTTTCAGTCGCAAGCACCACAAGGGAAACCACGCGAAAAGACCGAACGGAATCCGTACTTCGTGCTATGCGCTGGAGAGCCAAATTGATCCGATGAAAAGAGCAACCATCATCATCCGTGACAAGATGGTGCTTTTCGCAAACGCAGAAGTCGCTCCCGAGATTGACGAGTATGGTCTTATCACCTACAAAACTCGCTCCGGAGTCAATGACACACAATTTTAAACTATTTCTGTTTCTCGATTTTCTCTCGCTTCTAAATGTATCTATTTTCATTAGTTCCCTCTTTTTCTGGTTTTTCTGGAAAAAAAATTCCCCAACTACATATGATCTCTCTTGTAGTCTTACTTTCCTGTCATTTTCGCTCTAAATAAAACCCGTTGATAAATAGTTTATTCTCGGTTCCGGTATCGCCTAAAACTTTCGCTTGAATCCGCCGCCAATCTTCCGTGGACCTCCTTTCTGTGGAAGTTGGTACGTGATTCTCAGCGAATCGAGCACTTTCACTAGTTTTGCCTTTCCGAGTCGACCCAACGGTCCTTCCGCTTTCTCCAGACGGAGCATCATCTCTTCCTGAAAATTATGGCTTCATTATGAGTGCACTTTCAATATGATTCTACCAGAGAAACAGGTTGGAGCGAGAGAATATGATTGTGGAGCACCGAGTTATTCTCACTTCGCAGCCACTCCAGAAATGCGTTCCGTATCACGTTCGGGTCGTTTTTTCCGCTCTTCATCGTCTGCGTTGACGTGACTTCTTCCTCTTCGTCGTCATCTTCCACATCGTCTCCACATATTCTTCCTTGATCGTAATCATTCGACATATTCAATGTTTTATCAGCTTCTCCTTCGTCGACTTCTTCCTGTTTTTCTTCGTCCTCTTCCGTCACTTTGGCTAACTTTTTCGGTGACCCCATCCGTTCGCTCAACGTCTTTATCTTCGTCGTCTTTTTGTTCTTCTTCTTAATATCCATGTCTTGCTCCTGGATTCTGATCAATGGACGAAGTGTGGGCGTGTCGGAGCACACCTCCGGATGCAGTGCGTTATAGGCGTTTCTCAGCGTCTGAATCATCACTTTCTTGCCTTTCGGCTTCAATCCGAGCTCGATCATCCGCTCCTTCAGCTCCGCTTCGTCCATTTTTTCGTAGTTTGGCATTGGAGTCACGTCATTCGTCTTCAGAATCTTTATATTCGATCCAAATACTGGTTTGACAAATTTTTGGGTCGGCGTGCTCGTGGTCGGCAGATTGTTGGCTCCCACAACTATCTGAAATGATTATTCGGTCAACTTCAATCAAAATTTCTTCAATGATGAGTACTGACCTGCTCTCCCCACGTCTCAAAGGAATCCATCTCTTCCGAATGTACTTGAGGCGTTTCTTCTTTTGGAATCTCTTCTTTTTCTTCGTCCTCCGTTTTTTCAGCCCTTCCAAATCCAATAAACGGGTCATCGGACATGAACACATCAACAGGCTCTTCCGGCTCCGGTTCCGGCTCTTTCTGCTCTTCCGAATATTTTTCAGGCTCTGTTTGTAGTGAGTTAGGGTCTTGGACATCTGCTGAAGCTGCTCCAGGTATTTTTGCTTTGCTGGAACATAAAACGACTCAGAAAAAAAAACTCGTCATGGCATACCCTTTTTCCTCCAGTTCATTCTCAGCCACCCACTTTCTTCTGAATCCACCGATGACGTGCTCTAATCCCATCGGACCCCACTGCTTCGCGAGATCGCACACCTCCTCCCCCAGATCCTCTTCCCATTCGATCCTTGCCGAAAAGACGTAGCTCAGCCATCCTTGCACCACTTTTAAACTCTTTCCTATCTCGATTATTGTCGCCTTCGCATTCTTGTAATTCTTGAAAATGGTCGTTCGGTGCTTTAGAATCACTTTCAGACATAGCACTTCTCCGTCTGTACACTTTATTGTCACATTGCTCGGTGGCTCGGATTCATCGTCGAACACTTTTTGCAAGTCTAACGAAAGCTGTTCGTACCGGGAATTCTGAAACAATGCTTTCAAAATAAGTATTTATTAAAAGCCTTACTTTGTCGATAATGGCTCTGATATAATGTGCATATTCGGTGATGCCTTCTTGCTTTTTATCCGAATTCTGAATGGATTTCGCGTGGAAATTATCGCAGAACCTCGAATGAAGGACGTCGATCACTTCGCATCGGCATTTTTTCGGCTGCAACTCGACGACCGCGAACGACCTCGGCCTCTTCCTCCGTCTGTTATCCTCGTCGTCTTCCGGAATTCTAGCGAACTTCACATTATTTTTGGCGACTTCCCAGTTTTTCAGAACTTTCTTCGGCTCCACAAACTTCTTATCCATTACCTCGTCATCTCTGAAACTTGGTATATTTGAAGTGCATAGCCTTTATAATGTGTCATTTCCGAGCGCGAGCACAAACCTCTCGAGTGTCTCTGTTAACTTTTTTTTTTCCCTCCGTTCTTCGGCTTTATTGGAGCACACTTTGGTATGGATTGCTCTGAACATTTCAGAAACATTGACAATAAAACGAATTTTCGTCACCTTCTGTCTTTTGTGAATCCGCTAATGTCCTTTCTGCAGCTTTTGCACGTTTCCATGATCTTCTCCGTCGCTATAGGAGCTGCCACGTCGTCATCGTCGCTCAGAATAATAATATCTTGATTTTCTTGACATTCTGAATTTTTAAAGCAATTTGAAAGCAAGCGTAACTGTAATTCACAGTCTGTAAATAAATCGTTTGTTCGAACATTTTTTTAAAAGTAGAGTAGGCTGGTCGAACAGGAGATTTCAGGCGCCTGTTCGACCAGCCTAAAGTAGAGGCTTTTTTTAAATTAAAAATCGTGGTCTCCTAGTTGTTTTTCATTGCTTGCCGCCATTTTTTTACCGAAACCGCTGCGCGAAGGAAATTTTTGAAACAATTACTTTTACTCGACTGGAACAATGGCTCATTTTTGACAATGTTCTGTACATCCCCTTGCTTTTGCGGCCTTCTGAAAATTACTTTAATTCTGGATCACAGAAATTGGAAACTTTTTACTTTGGCGCTGACGAGATCGAGTTATTGGACGACGTCTTTTTCATGAGATTTCTGAAAAATCAGAAACATGGAACTATCAATTTCGCCAAAATAATGGGAAACTACGACCGGAAATTATTATTGAATTGAACAGTTTTCAGCTCACGAGGGATTTATCGAGTATGGCTGGTTGTACACTTTATTTAAAAATAGTCTGGGAAAAGGAAATATTGGGAAAGATTTTAAGAGCTCAACAATTAAACAACTGGGTTTTAAATAGTAAAAAGATCGTTTCAACAAAAGTGTTTGAAGAAAAATATATAGGGGAGAAATAAATAAAATTAATGATGATATCCGGCGAATTGCGGCGGAAAATAGTGTCCCCCTGATGCGTGCGGGGGCGGAAGGAATTGAGACGGTGGGGCCGTGCTTCTGCGGAAATCCGCCGGCGGCTCGTGGAAATGACGTTTAAACCAACCGAGCATACGGTCTAGAGTGTCAAAGTTCTGGTGGCGGAAACGGATTCCGTGTGGGCTCACTGCAAAACATACGTTCGTTTATTATTTATATTTAAAAAAAAACCTACCTTTGAAATACTCGTGGCGAATTCGATCGGTATTGTCGAACATGTAGGAAAGACAAAACTGGCACGGAGACCTCAGGGAGGCACTGAACACGTACGGGAACCGTCCCAATTCCCTTCGTTTCTCGCGAACAAACTCCTCGACGGCTTCGGTTTTCTCGCAAGTTCCGCCCGTGAAAAAGTACTTGTGCGTGGTAATCTCGTGGGAAATTTGGATCATTGGCTGCACGAATCGGGCGATGAGTTCGTCCAAATCCTCGAAATCCTCTCCTCCGACGGAAAGTTGTCTTCCAATGGAAAATACTTGGTCTTTGGCGGATTCTTTGACAAAGAAGTTGTGATAGACGCCGTCGCAAATTTTCCAAGTGACGGAAAGACTGGAATCGTTGTTGGCCGACGGACGGATAATGCACTCGGTCCAATCCTTTTCGTCCAGCTTCTTTGTAGCCATTTCGTAGGAGCAGTTGTCAAAATTAGGATGCGCAATCACTCTTTTCACGCGCGTATTCGCTTCCTTCTTCTTTTTCACTTCTGATTTGATAAGCGCTAAGTCGTCCTCATACAACTGCTGATCCCAGTATTCGTCCCTCGCCGTCGTGTCTTCCGCCTTCAGATCCGTAGATTTACAGCTCAACAAGAGGTTGAACCGCTCTTTTTCGATTTGCAGCACTTTGAAATAGTACGGATGATTCAGTTTGACACGTGTCAGCGGATTGTCGATCTTCGACGACGAGATGTTTTTGTTCGGGCAGAAACCGGTGAATCCGTTGTCGAATCGCACGCGGATTCCGACCGGAGTTCCCGGGCAACCACTACGTCGGGGCTGAAAATGGAATTCGTTTTGCGGAAAGCAACTTTGAATAAAAAATTGCAAATTCTAATCTAAAAATTGATAACATTTCTCACATCACTCATAATGTGCTCCTGAACACCGCCGGGCGAATTAGTGGTGAAGCTCTTGCAGAAGGGACACGTGAACTGTCCATCGTCTCCGACTTCCGGCAACGGCGCGTCGTGGTTCTCTCTGTCCACTTTTCGGTATTGCACCTGTTGGACCGTGCCCAAAACCTTCATTCCCACTTTAATTTCTTTTCCGGAACGGGCGAGCATGTCGTAGAGCACTTCTCCGGTCGGCTCTCTGTACAGCTCCCGCAGATCCTTGTATCGGGCACTCAGTTCACTCGATATGTCATACAAAGTGGCTTTTTTCTCTCCGAATCCTTGACGAGTGAGCTCTTCGGCAAAAGCGTCCAGGTCGAGATCGCGCAGACGATCCGGTGATTCCATGATTTCCTGTAGAATTTTTTTTTCGAAATGTAATTTTTGATGAATTGGAAGACCTTTTCGGTCAACGAAAAAATACCAAGAAAACTAACCTGCAACGCGGCGGTCGGATCCGCAGAGTCGTCAACTTCCAACGCGTCGACAGCCATCTTCCTGGCCCACTCGTACGTCTCCGGATGGACCCTTGATCCGTCGAGCACTTCCACGTACGCATCCGTCTTTTCGGACACTTTGTGAGTGTCAATTCGAATGAATCCAGCGCAATTCATGAACACTTTCGGTCCCAATTTGCATCCAGTCACCAATTTGGATCGACTTTCGATCAAATTATCGTTGGCTTTAATGGATTTGAGGAGAGCGGTGGCTTTTCTCGGGCCCAGTCCGCACGTGAACTGGAGCATATTCGTGTAGTGCGGGAATTCGACACATTTGTTGATGTCCACTCCCTGTTCGTTCACTTTGTTAATCAGTTCGTGGCTCAAGAAATTAGCGAGCATCTCTTGTTCAATTTCCCTTTGCAATGGGTGCAGCGAAAGACAGAAAATGTCCTCGTCGGAATTCCACAAATGAGCATACTCTGGAACAGGGTCCAGAAGAAGCCGGGCGAGGGAAACGGCCTGACGGAGAACCGGAGGATGATCAGGGTTCTCCGCCACTGACATATTCGATCGCATGTACACTTTCGCCGCCTCGTTGTCCACAAAAAGTACCGGAATCTCTTTGGGAATCATGTTTTTCTCCATCAGTTCCATTATCGCTCTATTGAGGTCTTGCTGAAAAAAAAAATTGCAAACTTCAAAAGTTTAACGGCTCACCTTGAGCTTGGAGCATTCCATATCCTCTATGTTCAGCGCAATTGCGTGCGGGCGTCGTCTTTGCACAAACTTTTTGAACAATTCCATCGACTCGGCCTTCAGATTGGCGTTGTTCGTGTGTCCTCCGCCCCTTTTCGTGAAGTGCACCATCCGAACGTAGTCCACCATCGATCCGTTCTCATCGACCATCGCTCCGAACGTGGCCTCGTCCCGCTCCGTCGGATACACAATCGCCATTATTCTCATCGCGCCGTGCCTGTCCATCTCATCGTCATCGTCCTCATCTCTGTACAAAATTTAAGTTTAGAGAAAACATGCAGTGCAGAAACAGAAATAACGCCTCAACAGCTCACCTTATCATATCGTCCATCCTGAATCCACCTCTGGCAATTCTCGACGCGAATTCCTTCCGACATTTCTTGGCGACGGAGATTTTGGCCTCCTCGAGAAGCGTATTATAGATCTCATCAGCCATATACGGCACCAGCATCTCCGTAATTGCCATTTTCACACAATCATCTCTGACCGTGTTCCATTGCTCCACATTCTCCGAGTACTCGTCTCTTCGAAAAATGCTGTCCGACAGATACTTGTTGACCAAATACAGATCTTTTTGTTGATCTTCGTCAGATTCCGCGTGGATCACCAGATCTATCAGTCCATCAGCTTTCGCCGTATGATAATAAAGGAATTCTTCGTCAGTCAAGCATCGTATGGGCTTATTCTTAATGTATCGTTTATCGTAGAGTGGGTGGTTCTCATCAATCGTCTCCCTTCCTTTTTTGGTTGGGCGCACCCAGAACCGTCCGAAAGTCCTGAAGTCCCTTCTGACCCGATCTCGGACTAGTGGTTGACGGCTGATCTCCTTAGCAAGCATGTACTTGGCGCCCTGGAGCACGGTCTCCTTGTCCGGGTAAGATGGACAGATGTACTCTTCGGCGGCGTCCAGCGGAAGCATAGGATCCTGCTCGATATCATGCTTTTTCCAGTCCAAATTCTCCGAAAACTGTTTCGCCGTCAGTCCGAATCGCCCAGCCAACTCCCCGATTCCATTCTCCACACACATTTGGTACTTGTCGTTTCGGATGCTCGACTTGAATTTAACTTTGAATTCCTCCTCCTCCTCTCCGTTTGTTTCTTTCTGCTCTTTTTCCCATCTTTGCATCGATTCGAGAAGGGATCCGTAAAGAAGTTGGAAATTCGCGTGGATATCCGTCAGCTGTTCAAGAGTTTCCGTGAAGTTGATACTGAAAAACGTTTTGTTTGTTTGATTAACAAGATTTTACAAAAAATGCTCTAATATTCGTGTATTAAATCCTTACTCAATCAAGTCCATTTCGCTGATCGGGCGCCTCTTTGCGGTTATATCATCGCTCTGCTCCTGATAATCTCTCATCCGGCGCATCAGATCGTACAATTTCTGCTTTTTGCCCGCCAAATGGCACCATCGTTCGTCGAAATCGTACACTTTCCACAGATGGTTGATGTTCAGCATGTTATCAATGAACTCTTTACGGTAGAATCCGATGAAAGGGACTTCGAACGAGTTGGAGCGGATTCTCATGAACTTGAGCACTTCCTTGATGGCCCCGAGTACCTGCTTCTTCTTCGCTTCGTACTGATTCGAATCCAGATGGAGAATACAGACGAGACGGTCATATTCGTCAGTGGAGCTCTGATTTGTGACTGTTGGCTCTTCAAATGCATATTTCATAATCCACTGCGCCTCTCGCTCCAATTCCTCGTCATCTGCCTCTGTCACGGGGGTCCGACGTAGTTGGAATCGCTCCGGCGCATCTTCAATCATGATCTTCTTGTCTCCAGCTGAAAGGAAACCCCGTTCCAGCTCGCTGGGCTCAATTGCCTCCAGCAGAGTGCTCTTCTTCGTCGTGTCCTTCTTTCTCCGGATCTTAATCTCTCCTCCTTCGCCGTCGTCCTCGACGATCTCCTCTTCTTCGTCTTCCAGCCCGTCTTCTCCATCTTCATCATCGTAGAATTCGTCGAAATTGAAGTCTTCCACACCGAAAACATCGCGAGCGTCGTCTTCCGCACCTTCCGGAACGTTCTCGTCACCCCGGTGACGTTTGCGATGACGCCGTGGACCGTCGCCGTCGTCCTCGATGAAATCGTCTTCGGATCGGTCCGATTCGGAACCGTAGCCACGATGATCACGACGTGGACCACGCTCGTCATCGCTTCCGCCGCGTTCCGAACGTAAATCATCGTCTCTATCGACTCTCTGGAAAAAATCGTTGAGATGCATTCAGTAAACTTTGAGTTCAAAAGACCGAAGAAAGTTCAATATTTCTGTTATATTTACCTTGATCGGCTCATCTTCGTCACTACTGTCGCCCAACTGGACACGAGGCGCACGCCGTCCGTTGTTAATGTCCAAATTCTCATTGATTAAATCAATATCTTCGTCGTCGAGCTCGTCTTCTCCGGAGTGCCGGGACTTTTCTGATTTCTCCGACTTGGCGTCCTCCTCCTCGTCTTCGTCGGCGATAAATCCTTTCATTTCTTCCCGCCCTTCTTCCTCATCGTCATCGTCGTCTTCATCTTCGTCAGAACTGAAATAAAAAATGAGAAAAAAATTTTCACGTTTTGACAAACCTGGCGACCACTTTTCTTTTCTGTTTTGATTTTTCCTTTTCCGTCTTTCTTTTTTTCAACTGTGGCTCGTCAATATCCGATCGTCCAGACGAATCGTCTGATTCTTCAGCTTGATTATCAATAAAATCCATAATTTACTGAAAATTTGAATTTCAGCCCAAACCGCCTCGAAAAAATCGCAAAAAAAAACGGAGATTTTTGCGGATTTCAAGCCGAAATGACGCAGTAATCGATAACTCAAATAGAGGAAGGAGAAAACAAAGAAAAATCGGAGAAAACAGGGAAAACGACAGGCCAGAACGACGACAGACTGCTGAATGAAGGAGGTCTTCGATTTGAAAAAGAGAGGGATCAGCAAGTGCGCTCCATTGACAATCGAGCGGCGACGAAAGAGCGTGCACGACGGCGCTACAACGAATTCGTTCGTACGAAGTAGAACTCGCACGGAATGGAACTTCTACGATTTGGAACTCTCAATTGTTTTTAACGTTGCGAGTTCCAGATCGTAACAGTTCCATTCCGCGCGAGTTCTACTTCGTTGTAGCGCCGTGCACGACGAGGAGAGTACAGAGAATAAGATGCGTGGACTTTTGAATTCAGCAGAATTCCACTGGGAATGGGAATTGCATATTTTAGCTGAGTTTTTCGAAATCGATATGTTACAATTATACTTTTTTCGTTGACAAACAGTAAACGTTTATTATTGGTTTTGCTCTCGCCGAATGAAATTGATGAGTTTGAAGGGACGAGGATTCTGAGATTTCTTCTTTCATCTAGTTTTCATCCACTGGAACCCATCCGTCGACCGCCAAAAAGTTGCATTCTGTACATTTCTCCGAATTTCTGATTCTGGAAGGGAATGGAGAAAAGTCACATTGTCAAGATTTCTCTTTTCGGATGTGATATTTCACATCCGTTTTCTTTGTTTGACTTTGACCTTCCATGGTCGAGGGCATTCACATCGACGGAGATGTACTAGAAATGAATTGACTAACCATATTTTCCGATCTCAATCACGACCTCCGAACACTACCGAAAACTATTGACGGCTTCGTCTTACTTATCAGCATTTCCTTGAAAGAAAAAAAGAGAGGAGAAGGGAATCTGAAAGAGACCTAGATAGAAAAGCGACTTTCTGTGAATCGTCACTTGGGAACAAATTGAAAACAAACTGATTCACGGTTTGATCGGAAATTTATTGACTTCCGTCGACATTTCTTGCCACTTTCGTCGATGAAACGTTGATCAAAGAGGAAAAAATCAATCGGAAAAACAAAAAATACAATTTTTCGATAAAATTGTGCTGTCTGAAAGGTTTTTATGAGAGAAATATAGAAAAGAAACGATGAATTTGTGTGAGAATTGCAGCAGAAAGAAGAGAAATACGTTTTGGCACGATGGGGCAATTTGACCAACCGGGGCGCGCGATGTCTGTCGAAGTGTGCCGATCGGAACAACTTAAGTCGGTCAATTTCAGAGAAATTTCTTTATCTCGAGATGATAGTGAGATTTCAGATGACTCGCATGTTCAGATTATCAAACGAAACTCCAGAATTCTTCTCTACGTATCGTGCTGACGAATCGTCAGTGCACGTTTGAAATAGAATTTGCTTCAATTAGATTGCAATCGAGTTTCCAGAGACTTTTTTTTTACCTCTTTTAGCCACAACCAGGCTATCCGAAATTAAAAATTTCCCTTTCGCTACAGCGAAAGGGAAATTTTTGCAGAGAATTTTGCAGAGAATGCAGAGAATTGCAGAGAATTTGCAGAGAATTAAAATTTGCAGAGAATTTTGCAGAGAATGCAGAGAAAAGGGAATTTTTTTGCAGAAAATCGATTGGAGAAGCACGCCGTCCGTGCTCGATTAAATTGATCGTTTCGAAACGAAACATTCTGAAGAAACAACAAATTCCCTTGTATTCAGTGAGTTTTTTCTTCTGAAAATTGTTCTCTACTGTTTTTACGACTCACTATTTACCCCACGTGCCCGTCGTGTGAGTCGCACGCCTTTCTATGAATTTCCAAACGGATCGAGATGAAAACGATCAACTGGAATTGATAGAAATGTGACCGAGAGGGTAAATTATTTTTTTGTGTAAATAAATGACAAATTTCTGCTGACTTGTCGAAAATCGGATCAGTTTTAAATAAGAATGTCTCGTTGATAATTTTGCTACACAAATATTCCATTTCTGGTATTGTTGGTCTGCTGCACCAAACAAAATTTTGTCCGTGACACACGACCCGCTAAACCAATAGTATGCCATCTTTCCGTCCAAATTTCAAAACTGTGTGCAATAAATGGTGTGAATAAGCGATTCCTTAGAGAGTCCTTCTTGTGCTCATCGCGAAGCTCATTCGGCACAATAATCGAGCGACAACGCAGCTTTTTGCGTTGAGAGCGAGATAGAGAGTGAGAAAGAAAGAGCCAGGGGGCTCACTTTCTCATCTCCTCCTCTCCCTGATGGGCGAAGGGAAGTGGACATTCGGCGAAATAGCACGCGAGCGCAAGCTTCTGCGTTTACTACCCTGCGCCTCATAGGCTTTCAAAGTAGAGAGCGAGAAAGAGAGAGGGAGAGAGAGAGAGAGAAGGAGAGAGAGAGAGAGAGGGAGGGGAACAACTACTACTCTCACTCGCTCCCTCCTCCCCGCCCATTCAGTCCTCTCCCCCATCGACGACGACGTTGACGCCGTCCCTCCGAGGCAATCCAAATGGACGACGAGATCGGCGAACGGACGCCGGCGTTGGGCGGATCGTGCGGGCCTTCTGTGCGGGCGCACAGCAGCAGTCCCCGCAGGGTGCCGCTCTTCGAACGCGCCTCTGCCCGCTGGTGGAACCCGCAGTTCCGATCGGCCACCCTCGAAGCACAGTACTGGAAATGCAGCTTCAGTCAGTTGCGCGACCGCTTCCGCTCCGGACTGATCTACATCGCCGCCGTCGTCGCCGCCTGGACCCTATTTCTTGCGTTGTTCGATCGCACTTTCATTCAAACTTGGGTATGTCTTTACTTCTTCCGTTTCCATTTGTTTACTTTCCCCTATTATACGTTTGGTTTCCTATATATTTATTTGTCAGTCAGTCAGGCGGGGTTGTGTCCGGTATATATATACAATAGAAGTGTCCGAATACTTGACCTCGTCGATGAAGAAAGAAACGCAAATTACTGGTTTTTTTATGACAAGACACTAGGTTTTGACACGAAAGTTAGCATTTTTTGAAAATTTTCGAATGCTTCAAATTACGGTAGCTCGAGATTTCAATGAAAAACACTATTCAGCCTTCGCCTGTCCAAAATAGAACATTTCGATACAGTTTGAAGGAGACACCCTTTTCCTCTGAAAATCTAAAGGCTCAAACGTTTTCGTGGCGAGATTCTTCTTCTTCGCATTTCAAATGCAAATGACCTCCCGAATTCAGCTTCACCAATTTGAATAATTCAAATGCAAGTGTGTGTGTGTGTGGGTGTATGCGTCGAAGAATTTATCGCCTTTTTCATGGCGGCGGGCCCTCCGTGAGCCTTTCTAAATCCCGATCTAAAAATAACCAGCGGAAGGGGGCCCGCTGTCAATTTTCATGAGCTTTTTCTCTATTTCTCCGAGCAAAAAGAGCTTGAGCTCGGCGAGAGCAAGAGCAAGAGCAATTGTTGAAAAATGATGAAAAGAGAGCTCTAGCTTCTTGTGCGCGCGTGTGTAAATCCAATGCTCCATGAGCACGACAACACGGCCCCGACGGATGTGCCAAAAACCAATTTCCGAGGCGAAAAAAGAAGAAGAAGAAAGAGTGTGCCGAGTCCGAGATGATGAGCTTCTGGAGTAGAAGAAGAAGAAGGAGAAAAGTCAATTTAGGCAAAAGGAAGAGAAGAAGCGGTTCTGTTTATTGGGAAGATGCTCACGGAGCCCGTGCATTGTGGTCGAAGAGAAATGAAACAAAGTGGAGTATTCCGAATGAAAAAACTGAAAGTTGAAAACTAAAAATTGAAAGTTAGTTGGAGCCAGGAAGTTGAAGCTCTAGGGTAGGGTTGCAGAAAAGGCGCCTGTTTTTAGCTCATCTGCCGTAAGCCACAATATTTCCAAACATTTTCAGATCGTTGCACTTTCTCTGATAACTGTAATAGTCGCCATGTTCGTTTTTACCACGTGTGCTGCACAATATCAAAGGTTCGTTTCACGAATGACGACACATTGACAATCAATACTAAAGACTGTGTAGAATAATGTTTCTAGAAGAATTTAAAAAAAAATTCAGGTTCTACATGCCCACGTCGTTCCTGTGCACTTTTCTGATTTGCCTCGTCACCCTTCTCATATTCTCCGCAGAATCGCACGCAGCATTCATGACCCCTGTCGCGAGTCTTGCCACGAGTTTCCAGGTATCCCAATCCCACCAGTACCCTCCGTAATCTCCGATTTAAGGTCGTCCTGCTGATCTACACCGTGATCCCGCTGCCCTTGTATTTGTGCATTCTCATCGGCGTCGTCTACTCGATCCTTTTCGAAATTCTGAACAAAAACAAAATCGGATTGGAGGAAGCCGGCTACATAAAATTAGTTTTGCACGCCGGCGTCCATCTTCTCGGCGTCCATTTGTTCATTTTGACGCAAGTACGCCAGAGGAAAACATTTTTGAAAGTCGGACAATCGATGTTGGCGCGCAAGGATTTGGAGTTGGAGACGCAATTCAAGGACCACATGATCCAGTCGGTGATGCCCAAAAAAGTATGCATTTAGAATTGGGAAACGGAGGGAGAAGGGTTAGAGAAACAAAGAACAAAGTTTTTGAAGCGGAAAACCAGAAAACTTGAACATGACATACTTTTTAGGTCGCTGATGAACTTCTCAAAGACGCTTCTGAGCTCCGACGCCCTTCAGCTTCCAATGATTCCAACTGCAGAACATCCAATGCCACGCAAGTTGATCGTGAGTTTTTGATATCTTTTCCTTGAATGGATAGAAAAGTCTCAACCCCCTCTTTTTTCCAGAACCCATCGCCAAAATGGTGCCGGAATACCGAAAGTTCCGTCCGTTCACAATGAATCTCATGACGAACGTGTCGATCCTCTTCGCCGACATCGCCGGATTCACGAAAATGTCATCGAACAAGTCTGCGGACGAGCTCGTCAATCTCCTCAACGACCTTTTCGGTCGATTCGACACTCTGTGCCGTCTGCGCGGCCTCGAGAAGATCTCAACTCTCGGAGACTGCTATTACTGCGTCGCCGGGTGTCCGGAACCTTGCGATGACCACGCGTGCCGGACCGTCGAAATGGGTCTCGACATGATTGTGGCCATCCGTCAGTTTGACATCGATCGTGGACAGGAGGTCAACATGCGCGTCGGTATTCATACCGGAAAAGTCATGTGCGGAATGGTCGGCACGAAGAGATTCAAGTTCGACGTATTCTCGAACGACGTCACTTTGGCGAACGAAATGGAGTCTTCAGGAGTCGCCGGACGGGTCCATGTCTCCGAAGCGACCGCGAAACTTCTCAAAGGTCTTTATGACATCGAAGAGGGACCCGATTACGATGGTCCCCTCCGGATGCAAGTGCAGGGAACGGAGAGAAGGGTGAAGCCGGAGAGTATGAAGACCTACTTCATCAAGGGAAGAATCAACGAAACTGCAGAAGAAGAAGCCGTTCAAGTGCAGGAAGTGGAGAGTCTGCACAGCCAGAAAAGCAGTAAAAAGTCGACTTTGAAGCAGAAATGGGCGGAAAAGTTGAAGATGAACCACACAAATTCGTACCCGATGAGAACGGCAGCAAGAGAAGGCGGAGGAAGTTTGAGGATCAAGTTGGCCGAGAGAAACAGAAGTACCCAACTTCTCCCCAAAGAGTCCAATTCTATTTGTGTCATGGAGGACAACCGGAAGTCGGCTTCTCTTCAAGCGCTGGCCACTAATAACTTCAACGGAAGCAACACAGACACCAACAATACTTATAGTGACCGTGTGACCGATAGCAAGAAGTTTGTGAGCACCGGAAGCGAGAGCAACAGTATCAAAGGAAGTCGGAGCAGTGGTCTTCAGCTTTCTCTCCAAGATGGAAACTCCGACCTCAATTCTGTGGGCGGCCTGGACACTGCCATTTCTCACCACCACAACGCCGCATCTCTCACTCGCTTCGACACGGACAATAATTTCGATCAGCGCTTGGCAATGGTGATCGGACAAGGAGAAGATGGATTCGACAAAGGCTTCTGGAACCATCACGACAGTCTCAACAAGTGGACCCTTCGGTTTAATGAGAAGGACGTCGAGCAAGAGTATAGGGCTCACTTTGTGGATTCGGCTGAAAGGTATACGAGCGCAAAGAAAGGACACGTGGAACGTCATCAGGATCTGATGGATATGGAGCAAGGCGAGCAGTCCGCGGTGAACAAGTACAGATACTCCGGGGTGTTCATTGACATCATCGTGGCCACTCTCATCTTCGTGATCGCCGGAAGTGTCGCCCTGATGTCAGTCCGTCCACTTCCGATCTCCCTGCTCGCCTATTTCCCCTTTGCTGCCGCCATCCTCATCCTAACGATCGTTCTGATCGGTTTGCCCCTTCTCGCCCGCAAGACCTCCATCCAATGCGCAAACCAATGGATGCCACGTCATCTCATCGGCCTTCTGCTGATCTTTTTGCCTGTCGGAGTGGCCATCTGCATCATGCCGTTCTGTCAGAAAGGAGAATGTGCCAATATCATTTTGAACTACCGGCTTGCGTTCAGTTATGTCACCATTCTGGCCATATTCGCCCACTGCAACTTCTCCCAGCTGGCTGCCTGGCCGAAGACCACTGCCGCGGTGCTCATCGGGCTCCTTCACATCGCCGGTGTTTTTTATTGCCAGTTCAATTTGACGCATTTGGATATCGAGGTTAGTTCCAGCACTTTTCTTCTAATAGTTTTACTTTCTGCTTCAGGCTGACAGCTGCAACGTGTCCACCATCTGGATCCCTCCGATCCGTCGCGGATTCAACGCAACCATCTCGCTGAACTCCACCTCCGCGCGTACTTTGTCACAGACCTTCGGCTCCCCGCTCTTTATCTGGGAACTTCTGCTCGACGTCGTCCTCTCCATCGTCCTCGTCGCTTTCCTCAACTATCAATTTGAGACGGCGTTCCGCATGTCATTTTTCGGCGACGTTCAAGCCAGACGGGACACGGAACGGATGCAAATCGTGCGAGATCAAGCCGATTGGCTGCTGAACAACGTGATTCCCGCCCACGCAGTCGAGAGTTTGAAGACGGACACAAAGTACAGTGAGAACCACGAAACGGTGGGAGTTCTCTTCGCGTCCATCACTAACTGGAACGACATGTACGAGGAGAACTTCGAGGGAGGCCGCGAGTTTCTGAGAGTGCTCAACGAGGTCATCGGAGACTTTGACGAGCAACTCGACCGCCCCGAGTTCAGCCACATCGAGAAGATCAAGACGATCGGACCTGCGTACATGGCGGCCAGTGGATTGAATCCGGAGAGGAAGAAGAATATGCAGCATCCAAAAGAGCATCTGTATCAGATGGTCGAGTTCGCATTGGCCATTCAGCACGTGCTCAGCGTCTTCAATGAGGATCTGCTCAACTTTGATTTCGTTTGTAAATTAGGACTCAATATAGGTATGAACTTTTTAACTTCTTCAGAAACGTTTATGTGTGTTTCAGGACCAGTGACAGCCGGTGTCATCGGAACCACCAAGCTGTACTATGACATTTGGGGGGACACAGTCAACATTGCGAGTCGAATGTACAGTACCGGAGTGCTGAATCGAATCCAAGTGTCTCAGCACACCCGCGAATTCCTGCTCGATCGGTATGAATTCGAATTCCGAGATCATATTGAGGTCAAGGGAATCGACGGAGGAATGGACACTTACCTCTTGGTTGTAATCATTGGATTTTATTCTGAAATTAATTGTTTCATGTTTCAGGTTGGAAGAAAAGGCGAAGGAATTCCGCCAGCCATTAACGACAACAAAGAAGACGAGTTCTGAACTAACTTGCCATCATCTTTCGACGTTTCTCATTTTTTTCAAATGTCAATTCCGTGACCACTCAATTGCTTTATCAAAATCAAAATCAATCAAAACTTTAAATGCTTTCCGTACGGGTTACCCTACTTTCCCAGTTCCACGCCATTTTGTTGCTTTTTTCGATCTAGTCAAATGAATCGTTTACTTCTGTTTCAACTCAATTTTTTTTTCTACAAAAATATAATAAAGTGAGGAATGCTTTCGGCACGGTCTCCCTCCGGCGCGAATGATTTCAATGGGGCGCACTTGCAATATGCGGGATGTGTCGATTTACGCGGCGGCCGATTAATTAATTTTCAACGGGAGTTCGCGTTCTTTCCATGTTATCTGTAAAAAACCGCCTATTTTTTAACGCCTTCGACCTGGTTTCGAATAATTAGAGTACGTTAGCTACGTTTTGGTAACAGAAATCTCTTCGGAGAGCATGTTCTTCGGCCCAACAGCTGTCCATGTCACCTGGCTTCTCATCCGTTTTTCCGCACAAAAACCAGCTCATCTCACGTGTAACACCAACTGGCTCCCGAGCCTCCCCGCTCTCCGGGTCTCCTCCGGCGCCCGCGGGCAAAAAGAAAGGGAGAAAAGAGAAACAAAACTAATTTTGTTTCTCCGTTTCCCTCGCTGCGTCGCCTCTATCTCTTCGCAGGTGAGAAGCATCCGGCGCAAACACAAACATATCTTTTTCCGCCTCTTTTTTTCCCGGCGATACACACGGGAAAGTATATGCTCACCTGTTCTAACTCGCCATAAATGAGCAATAACGACGCCGTCGCCGGCCCTCTTTTTCAGCATTTGTACCGCATTTTCTCGCTTTTTGCTGATCAAAATGCCCAAGGTGAGTGCTTTTTCTGCTTTTGCGCAATTTAATAGTTGTGTCCTTTCAGGTACGTTCAAACCGACACAAGCAGAGTTCCTGATCGACGAATTGCTGCGTGAGCTCCGCCGTCAGACGACTCCGAAAGTGCATGATCTGCCGGATGACGTCACTTTCAACGAGTTTCTCAACCTTCTGCAAGTCATTTTCCCCGATCGGGAAGACCTTCAAATTGCGACGGATCGTGTGTTCGAGCGATACGTCAACCATGTTATTGGAAAAGTATGTTTCCTTCACTTTTTCATATTTTTCTTCTCTCTTCTCGTGGCGCTACTATACGAATTGTTTCTTTTTTGAGGGCTTTGTTCTGTTCCGAAAACTGGCGCAGAAGAAGAGATGTCTTCCGATGAGAAGACGTTCGAGTGAATGGCAGTTCGGATGGCTGACTGTCATGCCAGGATTAACTAAGATACGGAAACAAAACACGGAAAAGGACGATGTTATTCAGTTTGACGAGGACACGGTCATTGAGGTCCGAACTTCTAATATTATCAGTTTATGTGAAAGAAACATGCTTTCAGGTGCCAGTTATCGACGGAGAAGCTTCCGTCTGGACTGTCATCGTCAACGCCTCCACTGCGTATCAGTTCTCGCACCTTGACCCGATTCTGGCTCAACTTTTCGTCAAAGGTACAGTACGATTTGGAAATATTTGGGAACTGTCACGAGATTTCCAGATATGCGCATGGCTCGCGACTACCCGACTCGCGGAGACTTGGCCACTTTCGACTACAAACGATCGATGCGAAGACAGACGAACAAGGAAGGAAAAATCAGAAATGAGTTGGAAAAAGAAAGAACTCGGCTGGAGAGCGAGTTGGAGGAAGAGAGAAAAAACAGAAAAGACGAGGAGATTGTCAGAGGACTCACTACGAGGTCGGCCGGAATCTTTGAGACCACTTTAGACTCTCCCTCTCTTACAGACTCCTAAAGCAGGAAATGGAAAAGTCGGAGCAAATGCAGCAGGTGATCTACGAACTTCGCTCGAAACTTGTGAACGGAGAGGAAGGCGAAGCTGTGCAAGATTCGGAAGACGTTGAAATGATTGCGGAGGAAGAAACGACGTCAGAAGCGCAGGGAGAAAATGAGGAAATCTCGATTACGCTGCCGTCGAGAGAGGAAAAGATTCAGCAGTACGCGTATCATTTGTACGCGACTCAGGCAGAAGAGCAGGTCACTTCGGATGACGAGGAGATCTGGAAACAGAATTATAATCTAATTGTGTCCACTCAGTCAGTATGAATATTGTGCTAAAAAGCAATATGCACCTTCTTTCTAACCAAAAAAAACAGCATTTCTCGCTTTTCCGTATTCTTCTGCTAAATTTAAGTTTCATTCAATAAAGATGGATATAAACAAAATATATTAGTTCGACGTTTTTCAATAATTTCCGCCCAATTAGTCATTATTCAGCAAAGATGCACGCCGCTCGGTTTATATCTGCACTCCTTGATTGAAGAAAGGAATGAGAAGTAGGTCAATTGTCCGGTGACGGCTCCCGGTTTCGCCGGATTGTTCCTCCGAGTGATCACTTCGAAACCGTCGTCCCCTTCCACGCGCACCTCCACCACGTGCCAATCGGTCATCTTCGGATCCGAAATCAGTTTCGCCCTTACTTTATCGAAGCCCAAATTGCTCGCAGCAATCGCTCCTCCCGCCATCGTGTTCACATTGTTCGGCGCCAGCGGACACAGGCCACGGACCGATCCTGAATAGAGAAATTCATATATTGTATACTCATATGCTCACCTTCGTAAAGTACAGTTTCTTCGGTATCCTTCAGCTTGGCCTGCTCGTTGATTTCGAAGAGCGGAGAGCCAAGTTTGAAAGATGTCGGATGCTTGATCATTGTCACCGTGAGACCCTATGACTCCTTGTTCTAGTAACATCAATTCACACTTCTTCACAGACCTTCAGGCTTCCGACATCCGCCATTTTCTGAATGTCGTTGGCTCCCCAGAGTGCTCCGGCCGGCACCAGAAGCTTTCTTCCGAATGTCTCCGCCGAATTTTTCAACTTTTCGAAAAGTTCCTGATTGGCAAAACACGTGGGAGAACCGGCGAACAAGTCAGCGTGCTCCAGAATGAGCTCTCCGAAATCGGCAATGATTTTAGGATGAGCTACTTCAATCACTAGGTCCAGGTCACTGAAATGAATGACATTCAAAGGAAAACTAGAAAAAGTCAGTGAACCTCAAGTTCTCTGCTGTGAGGGTTTCCAATCCCTGGACGCCGGGCTCTCCGACACTTCTATTCCAGATTTTGACAATTTCGAATTCATTTGGCAACTCTCGGAGCTTTGAGATCAAGAATTTACCTGGGAAACAGTATTTTGAAACAAAATAATTACAGAAAAACTACCCAAATGTCCATAGCCAATAAATCCAACTCGCAGTTTTGTCATTTTCGAATTGGATATGCACAAAAAGGCAAAGAAAATGAGTAATGAAAGTTAGAAAATAGCAGGGAGGAAAGGAAAAGACGGTGAGACAGAAAATGAAGGTCATATCGTATCTCTTCACCAAGAAGACAACAATATTCGGCGGTGACGGAGATTTGATTAGCAAAAAGGAAGAGAGATCAAACAAGTGAAAGAAATACGAGTTGGAAATGAAGAATTATTCAGTTTCAACACAGGGAGCCAGAATGACACAACTTCCATGTGGAGTTTATATGTGGAGTCATACCAGACGGTCTCCTAAGATAATCCTTTCTGACTCTCGGGGCTAAGGTTCCGCATACATCTATACATATGGATATCATCTTAGTAGTCCCCAATAGAAAAACGTGCTTCTGCAAAAAAAAAGTTCACCCCGATCCCGATTGACATCAAGGGGTTTTTAGGCCGAAGTTCACAAAATTGGTAGTACTTTTGCATGGAAAAATGTTCGCGAACTTGAGAAAAGTGTGTTCTCTCAAGTTTCTCAAACTTCGGCCTAAAACCCCTTGATGTCAATCGGGATCGGGGTGAACTTTTTTTTTGCAGAAGCACAATAATGTCTAGATTCAGAATCAGCAATAAAATCATGGCTATGTAGTGTTAAAATTTTTCAGGACGAGCAGAAAACTGAAAAATTTTCTGAAAAATGTCACAAAACAATATTTTTCTCTATGAGGGAGAGGTGCTAAATTTTTGGTGCCAACTTGAAAAATGCTTAAAAAGATGCGAGAAATCGAATGGCGTTGAGTCTGAGACACTAGCATTTTTTTGAAATTAGTTACAGTTTTGACCTATTTTGGGATCCTGATCGGACTAGGGACCACGGAGCCGGACCAAAACTTGTCTGATGTATCACTGTTATGTAAGTACCCAATGAGTATAATATGGGACAAATTGGAGCATTCTGAATTTTTAGTGACCTGGTGTAATTAGTTGCCAAAGGCAGTTTCCTCAAACCCTTTCCAGGAAGTCGCACGCGTGAACTTTGAGCTGCGTGGCATTTTTAAGACTGAGTTTTTAGTTCTGGTTTTGGTGAGAAAAGCTTTGGTACGTTTACTTGTGAGAGACACTCTTTTTGGTGTTCTTTCTGTACTTTTCTTCGTTGATTCGTTTCTTTCGTTGCTCCTCAAGCAATAGACCTTTGTTTGATAATCTTTCGCGTTGTTCCTTGTGTTTTCTCGTATTGTACCCACTACCCCTTATCATAAGCGGGCAACTAATTAGCGAATTTCGAGGTTCTCAGACATTGCCTTTTAATTATTTAGACTCCCCCAGGTTTTCGCGGGCTTTTCTCAATAGCGCGCCCTTTCTGTCCGATGCCCCCTAGAATAACTCAAACATTTACAGCATCCCTCAACCATTCAAGTACCTTCCGTTTTCTTTTTTTTCTCATGGGGCAACTCCCTTTCTGATACATCCGCTATTGCTCGTTATAATAGAGTCAGAACGAATTATATTGTGTAGTTTTCTTATTGTATCCAATAAAAAGAGCTCGTCATTGAATTCGACTTTTGTCTATTACACACACACACAAATAAAGTACGTGATTTGGTGTCATACTATATAAATATTCGATTGAATATTTAATCAATGAATAATAAACAATATTCTAATGCAAAAAATGCAGATTACACGAAATTTAAATTGAAAAAACTCATTCAAAAGCTGGTATTGGATGAGATAAACTGAAAATTTGAGTACATAATTTTTTAATTGGCTAGAACAGCTGTGCTTTTTTGTCGTTCATCATTTATTCATTCATTCATTCATTCATTCGAGTCCGGATTCAAGATGTGTAACGTAGGAAGAGATTACTAGTTTATTTGTATTTCTGGGTGTGTGGGGTGATTGTGCCGGGTCGCCATGGTCCATTTGTCCGATGTTCATTCAACTTTTCTGCCACATTGAACTTTTATTCTCAGAGCAGGGCTGCATTGGCCGGCTCTTGACCTGGAGCATTGAGAAATGCGACTGTTCCGCCTGAAAATAACAACGTCGTTCATCAGTAGTTGAATATTCAATATAAAATTTCAATCCCGCTCAAATTTTTTCAACTCTTTTTTCTGAAAACTGAACGACGCATTGAAATATTTTCTAGATTCTTTCGCCTGAAACTTCTAAACCAAAAAAACATTTACTATTAAGATTCTCAATGTTCCCGATCCGTCAGAAGTTCTTCTGTTCTACAGCAATTGTCACATTTATCATATTATTGTTATATTCGGACGTGACGAAACGTCGAGCAATTGTGAATAATCGCAGGTATTGAAGAATTAGTACTGTTTTGTTGAACCGGATTTTTCAGATTCTTCAATCCGGAAAAACTGAAATCGAGTCAGACAGAGCCAGTTGCAGCAGTGAAAGCGGGCGGAAAGTGGATAGTAGTGACGAGTATAAGTGGTCCGACGGAAGACGTCAAAGTGAGTGGACAATAGTTTCAAATTGATACGGTACTTACTCGTTTGAAGAGACTCTCCTCGTTCGCCGACTGGAATCTAGTAGTCGTGGCAGATACGAAGACTCCAAATGACTGGGAACTGGAAAGCGTTCACTTCCTTTCCGTCGACTATCAGATGAATTTACGTGAGTATTCGCAAGGGAAATACTTTCAGATACTGATGATATTTACAGCGTTTTCGGTAGTAAATGGACTTCCTTTCAAGTCATACACCCGCAAAAATATAGGATATTTGTACGCGATTTCTCAGGGAGCCGAGTGGATTTATGATACGGACGACGATAATAAACCATACGGAAAGTTGCTATTATTTGTTCACTTTTTAAAAGGAAAGCACATTTCAGGCCGTGGATTGGATCAATTTGACTATGAGGACGAAGTTTCTGGGATACGATATACTGGGCAGGAGGGAAAGGGGTTACGGTAGAACACTTTTGAAGATTATTCCTCCTATGATTCATTGTTTTAGAGGACGACTATTCAATCCTTACCGCTTCTTCGGAATGGATCAAATGTGGCCGAGAGGATTTCCACTCGAACATCTGCAAGTATACAATATCAGAATGAGATTTTCCTCAAACATTTCCTTCAGAAGCACACGAACGGGAACGATAGTCAGGTGTTGTGCAAGAGGATGAAAAGAGCGGCGGTTCAGCAGGGACTAGTCCATCACGATCCGGATGTCGATGCCATCTACAGGTACAGTAACTCTACCGTAACCCTTCCGTCTACAGTAATCCCCTTTGCAGACTTCTTAACGCGGACGAAAAGACGGGATTGGATGTTAAATTCAACAAATTCGGACCGCCCATCACCCTTTCTGTGGGCACTTATTCCCCTTGGAACTCTCAGAATACACTATTCCACAGATCCGCATTCCACACTCTCTTCCTGCCCACTACAGTATCCTTCAGGTACTGTACCTCCAGCACCGTCTCAATTATATTGTACTTTTGCAGAACGACAGACATTTGGAGGTCGTTCATCTCGCAGAAAATCCTAAATTTATCAGGATTGAGTGTCTCTTTCGTGGCGACGAATGCGGTGCAAGTGAGGAATGCGCACGACTATCTGAACGACTTGAGGGACGAAAAACAAGTTTACGAAGAAAGCGGCAAGATGCTCGAGTACCTGCACGGATGGAAATGTTCTCGAACGAATACGGTCGAGTGCATAAGAGAGCTGGCCGGCGGGCTCGCGGAGCAGCAGTTCTGGGCACAGGAAGACGTGGAGCTCGCCTTCAAGTTCATCAGTGATCTGCAGGATTTGGGGTGATATTGTTTTGTCCCGTACAATTAATACAATCGATTTGAAGATTCGAATTTCCGGCGTTGATCGAGGAGAACTACGTGGATCCGTACTCTGTCCAAACGAACGAATCGTCGAGAGATGTGAACTGCCGAAGGATGAGACTGGAATTCGAACTGAGGGATCCGAAACAAGAAGAAACGCTGGTGGGTGACTACGAATTCACAGTCGGAACCTTCAAAAATGGACTGCAGAGTGTGCAGAAAGCAGTGCAAAAGATCAACAACTTTGGAGAAATCATCGATTGGTGCAATCAATCCGGCTACTCAAGTTGACCGTTCTATTCATTCTTCCAACTCAAATTCCAAAGTTTCAGATCTCTCCAGAATATTCCCGTCCCCTGAGCAATTGGCAGAAGAACATGATAACGAATACGTCCTGCAGAGAGACAAGAATACAGTAATCCACTCGAAGAAGAATTCAGAATAAAATCGAGTGTTGCAGGTCCTGATAGTAGCTAATAATTATCCGTGGAAGTGGGGAATCGGCGTCATTCAACGTCTTTATCAGCCCTATTTCGCATCGGTTATCTTCTGTGGTTCCTGGTATCCGGAGAACATTTCCAGTGGTAAAACGGGAGTGCCTCGTTCCGTATTCTCATCAGAATATTCTTCAGGAGACAACTACACTTCCCCCTTGTTTCCCCTCAACTTCGTGCACATGAATCCGGCCGAAATGCTCCGTGGTTACTTTGCGTATCACTGTGTTACTCTTGTCCATCAAATGCGATTATCCAATGTCGACGGGTACTTTTTGATGGCCGACGACGCTGTTTTCAACATTTGGCAGCGGATCGACTACTCGCGGGTTCATCATACAGTTGGAGACTCTCATACCAATACAGGCAATTGGTGGAATAGTGCCTACGGCAAGTGCCATTTTCAAACTTCTGGAGAATATGAGTAGGGGGCGCAACAAAGGGGGCGTGGCCTGCCGAATTTTCTCCTCGATCGCGCCCACGCATGTTTGAGGGCCTGTACCGTGGTCCCCAAACCAAGTACCATACTCAAAAATTTTTACTTTATGTAATCGGTCATGCTGAATCGAATTATCAACTCCGTTTTCCATTAAAACGCGCAGTTTTCTCAAAAAAAGGCGAAAACGAAAATGGAAGTTAGTCTGAGAGCCACTGTGGCCGGAGTTTGTGCAACACGCGGCTTCTGAGAAGTGATTCTTACAGTTTAAGGGATGGGGTATCCGTTTTTGAAATAAAATTTGAACTTTTACGGGGCCAATCATGTTTTTCAGGCCGTCAAAGTGCCACAAAAGTTAGCAAAAAAATTTCAGCTATGTCCCTACTTTTTTATTTTTGGAATGGCTAGATAAACTCTCTAAGAACCCAAATATAAATTTTCAAAGCCCTAGACCCTCTAGGAACAGATTTGTGTTCATTTGAGTAGACCTCATTTGGCCGAATTTCTAGTTTTTCGGTAATTTGAGAGTCACAGACAGCCAACACGCGGCTGTTCTCGACGGAATCAGATTCAGCGTGAAATTCTCTGCAAATACACCTAACAATTCAAAATTTCTACGGGCCATTGACTCTAAATTTCAAGATGTTTGTGCTGTAACTCCACAAAAGTCGCATCCAAAATGAACGGCAGACACCGAGCTTCTCATTGCCATTGGTGGTGCACGCGCCTCCGCCCGGTTAGCGCAGTGGCAGAGTGCTCACTCTGCAGTCTGGAGTTGTCGGGTTCAAAACTTTTGACCTCGAAAGTTGTTTTGCTTTCTTTGGACATCATTTCTGTTCATTTCATATGTTGCCTCTTCGGTGTCATTCACCAAACAGCGACAAGAATCGCCTGCCAGAGAGACTCCGCCGCCTCCTCGGGCGCCGACCGGGGAGAAAACAGGCCAACTTTGAAGCGGTGTTACTCGGGATGTACCGAAAATTTTCGAGAAAAAAATTGGGAGCGTACTAATATAGAGTGGGGGAACACATTCCAACAAGAATTTTATGGAAATTCAGAGTTTTGCTAAACTCGTTGCGGTACCTAAATATGAGAACATGAAACGATATAAAGAGCCTCAATATTTAAGGACGGGCGTCTGGAAAACGGGTAATCGAGCAAATCGAAAAAACTAAGGATCCTAAGATTCTGAGCACTTGGAAAAGGTTCGAGGATGGATTGAGGAAGTTCGGGCATCTCAAAAAGAACGAAACTGCTAAAGACAAGATGGTTGAGGGCAAAGGAAAGAGTATTTCCGACTTGTGAGTTTGAGAAAAAAGTCATTTTTTCTATTAAATTTCGATTTCCAGCTTCTATATCCCTGAAAGTGAAATTGACTATTATGCTTCCCTCATGAATATTTTCTACGAAAGCAAACTTTTCCTTGAACTGGCTGTCAATAGATTCCTGAGATCTGTCAATCATCAGACGTAAGTTCTGTTTTTAGAAGACATTATAAGTCGCAAGTTTTCAGATCTCAAACTAAAAACAGCAGTTATTTATGGGGAAAAAAACGCGGATCATGGGACAAAGTTTATAATAAAAATATGGATGCGATTCATCCAATCAAAATGAGTAAATTTGAGAAGTCAGGAGAAGGAAGGAAGAGGTTAGTACTACCACAGTACCCCGAGAAACGGTGCATTTCAAAAAGTTCTCGAAGAACAAGACGAATGAACACAAAAAAAACACCGTTTTCAGATATTGTGCATCTGTGATTCAAACGTGGGCGAACATTTTGTTCTCCGGATCTCGAAACTTTACGGTCAAACAGGATACGGACGAAGATTATAAAAACGGTTGATTTCACTACTGGCGGAACATTCAAAAGTGCATTTTGTTGAGAAACCCGTCTGTAATTTTTTTTTGTTGGGAATAAATCCACTTTGAAACATTTATTCGCGTACTAGGATGGCTCTTTAGAAAAAAAATCACAATGGCAAACAGGACAACAAAGTAAAAATGGAATGCGGATTCAAGACGGGCCTATTGGAAGGTTACGAAATCGAGCACTTTCCTTTCTCCTTCTTCTTTTTGGTCCGAGGCACTGTTGCCATTGACGCCTAAAAAATTGGAAAGTGCGCTCTACTGCTAAATTGCGGGTGAATGTTCACGTGAACTTTTTGGCAATTTGTCGCCACGACATAATTAATTGCATCAATTGATCACGTGAATATTTCCGCCGCCGCCCAATACTTACCACGTGTTCGCCCTCGTCGCTGGGGAAGCTGCGAACGATGCGAACGAGCTCGTGGAAGGCAGCGTCGACGTTGATGGGCGGCTCCTTGGCCGACGTCTCAATGTACATGAGCTTGAGCTGAGCGGCCAGTTCCCTGCCCTCCTGCTCGGACACCACTCTCTGGTTGATCAGATCCACCTTGTTGGCCACCAGAAGCACCGGATATTCACTGCGATCCTTCACTCTCAGCACTTGATTGTATAATTTGTGCGCCTCTTCGAATGACTTTCGTTCAGTGACCGAGAAAACCAAAAGGAATCCTCGGCCGCCACGAATGTACTGCTCACGCATCGCCGAGAACTCTTCCTGACCAGCTGTGTCCAGCACTGCATAACGCTTTGTTAAAATGAAGGCAACTTTTTTCTTACTTACCATCCAAAATAACCCAATTGCCATCGATTTCGCAGTGCTGAATATACTGATCTTCGATTGTCGGATCGTAGTAATCGACGAATTGCTTCTAGAAAATAGATAATAAACCCTTGAAACCTCTGGAGAAAGGGGGTGAACCTGAAAGAACTGAATGGTGAGCGAAGACTTTCCAACGCCTCCGTCTCCGATGACGACCAGCTTGTAGTACGGTAGTTTCGAGTCATCCTCAGGCGGTCTCTTACCTCCGTTTGACATGTTATTCTGGAATTTGATTACGTGGCAGAAATGTTTTAGTAATCTCTGTAGACAATCGGAAGCGACACTATACAACCAGGTTTGTCCGGCTTGATACAGCTTAGAACAAGAGCTCAAATATAAAAGCCAAGCTCGAGGGTTCTGAAAAAATCTGGGTGCAAAGTGTTCTAGTTGCGATATTTAGTTCAGTTGCAAAAGTATTATGACGTGGCACTAGTATTTAGAAAAGAATGCTTGAACCTAGAAAAAATAGGGAATGAGAAGTTTGGGGGAAGGGGAAGGAAAGGGGGTGAACTGCGGGAGAACGGGTGTCTTCATCATCTTCTTTTCCTTGGTTTTTCCGTCCGATCGTCGAGAATCCCCATCCTATCTCTTTTCTTTTTCTCTTTTTCTGCGTCCAAGGTGACACTGACGACCGCAATCAATATTATCAGTTGTTGGTCACTTCTCTCCCTCTCTCTCTTTCGCTTTTTTCTTTCCCTCGTGTATACTGGCGAGACGATCATCATCATCATCACAGTATTCGCCGGAGATTGTCGTACAAGAGGGACACCACTTCACTATTGGAAAAGAATTTCGCAATAATTGATGAATGGATACTTGAGAAGGGTTGCATTCCGATACTAGATGGATCTGCTTGAATAATGTGCGGAGTTTTTATTCCGAGTATGCAAGTGCGTTCCTATGAGACGTTTAAGAGGAAAAAGCTCTATTTTTAAAAATTTCAGAGTAATTTGTATGTTTTCTCTGTTCAGCCGATGTTCAGCATCAGTCTCTTCGCACTTCCCCTTCAAGGATACTCGTCGCTTTCCACCTCTTCCCATAATTACCCACACTTTTTGCCTCCTTTTTGGCCAATGGAATTATGCGAATCAAGCGTGTCTTTCGCGCCCCGAAACTTTCCAGTTTTCGAACCAATTATGGGTGCGAAAATGGAAAAACAACGAAAAGAAGCTTCACACTTCCGAATTTGTTTAGGTAAAAACAGGAATCTAAAAAATTAGTTGCAAGCTTTTATTTCTATCATCAATTGGTCAGTTGTTCACTGATTAGGTGTAACTTTTTTAATGGAAGAAAACTGAAAAACAAACTATTAATCATCAGCAGCGCCGTTCACAAAACAATAATTTTAACGAAGAACTGTATTATTGGGGCACCGGACAGAAAAGGCGCGTTGTTCGCAATCTGGCCGAATTTCTAGGCCGCGAAGTAATTTTCCACTGAAAATGTGGCCTAACTTTTCAAACTCGGCCCCGAGGTCGCTCAATTTGCACTGCAAAAAGAGTTTCTCAGCAGAGCGCCATTTCTGTGCGGTGCCCCTATAATAAACACATGAAAAGTGCACATTATTCTCCTACGTAAATGCTGCGACCGCGCTCTATTGTACTGCAAATAACATTGGCTGATTAATTCTCCTTTCACTTCCGTGAAATCAAAAGTATTCTGGTTACGCAATACTGCCAAACATTACTTTTTTTAGGAAGCGGAAATCAATTCAGAAACACATTCAGACAAACAATTTCCCTTCGGAAACGAATACCGGCTTCCGACTGATCAGATAAATGAAAAACAGGCAAAGAGAGAAAAAGTTGCCGATTTACTTGAGTGTACAATAGTACTGGTACTCTTATGACTGGTTTTTCGTTAATGAAACAGATCATTATCGCAAAAACATGAGTGTTGGATACTGTAGAGCTTTGTCAGAAGTGTGAACCAACAGTTGAAAGAGAAAGTAAAATTATCTTCTGAAATGATTCCTGAAATCCATCCTCGGTTGCGAAATGATCATCAAAATTGAAGGACGGTTTGCAACCAAAAGTTGATAAAATTTGAACTTGAAATCTTGGAAAAATTGTGATAACCTGGATTTTAAGTGTTGTGATTTTCGGAATACGAGTCTGCCTAGAGTGCGACATGTTTATGCTCAATTTCGCTATTCTTGCACACTGTAACCATCACACGAAACATCCCAGAACAGTTCCTTCTTACACTAGGCGCCTCCCATTTTCCGCCCCACTCGGATCCACTCGACGCCTTCATATAAAAGCAGACGTCTTCCGATTCTTCCTTCACATTTCTCTTTTTCTTTTCAAGATGGAGAAATACATTGTGGGCGTGGCCGCCACGGCTTCCACTCTCGCCTGCATCGTCTCGCTCGTCACCATTCCGCAGCTCTACAATACTATTCTTGAGGTAACCGCGAATTTATAATTTCATCATTCAATTTTCAAAGAACGTTATAGGTTCACGATGAAGTTCTCGATGGAGTCAGCGTGTTCCGAATGGAAACCGATGCGGCATGGACCGATATGATGGACATCCAAATCACGGTCACTCCGCCGTCGAAGCCACGTGTCAACCCGTTCAACTCGATATTCCGTCAGAAAAGACAGGACTTCTCCGGGCTCCCAGCCTGGTGTCAGTGCGAACCGGCCAAGCCAGTTTGCCCACCCGGACCACCTGGACCACCAGGAGAACCAGGACAGCCTGGAAACGCCGGACCACCAGGACCACCGGGAGAGGATAACACCTCTACTTATGCTCCGATTACTTGCCCACCGAAGGACCCGTCCTGCGTCAAGTGCCCAGCTGGACCTCCAGGACCACCAGGACCAGAAGGGTCGGCCGGACCTGCTGGAGGAGATGGGCAACCCGGAGCTGCCGGAGAGCCAGGAAAAGACGGACCAGCTGGACCACCGGGACCAGACGGGGATTCTGGAGGAGCAGGAGAACCAGGACCGAATGGAGAGCCAGGAGCACCTGGAAAAGACGGACAGAAGGGCAAGGGAGAACCAGGACCGGCTGGTCCACCAGGGCCACCAGGACCCGGAGGACCACCCGGAGATGCTGGAAGTGCTGGAGGCGACGGAGCCCCAGGACCACAAGGTCCACCAGGACAGGACGGAACACCAGGAAATGCTGGACCAGACGGACAGCCAGGAGCCCCAGGAGGACCTGGTCTACCTGGAAACGACGCGGCATACTGCCCATGTCCACCGAGATCGGCCGTCTTCGTCAACAGATTCGCACACTAAAATTGTTTCTCACAATAAAACCTTCCTATAGATGTCTTGTTTCCTCGCAACAAAACCCAGACTTGATAACATAGTTAACAAGGTTTATTTCCAAGAATCAACATTGTAACGATTGATTACCAGCTGGACTGGGCTGGAGCGTTGGCCCACTCATCGGTCTTAGCCTCGGCGGTCCAGGTGGCAGTCTCTGCGGCCCAATCGTCGACCTTTCCTCCTTGAGTGGTGAAGTCGATGTCAGCTGGAGCCTGGTACTCCTGGGTCTCGATGGCCTCGACGTGAGCGGTCTCCTCCTTCTCAGTCTCAGTTGGGTCACGGTAGAAGTAGAGATCCGGCATGATCTCCTTTCCTTCGAGGACGAATCCAGTTTGGCGGGAGATCTTTCCGCGAAGGATGAGGATCTCGCGAGCGAGCATCCACCAAAGGAGTCCGATCGAGCGTTCTCCCTGAAAAGTGACAATGTTAAAAAAACTGATAAGCACAAAAATATTACCTTGTTGTTGCATGGGATTCCGATATCGATCAGCTTCAATGGCGACTCGGTGTTGACGAAGGAGATGACTGGAACTCCGACGTACGAAGCCTCAGTAACGGCCTTAAAAATATGTATAAAACTATGACACAACTTAAAATAAATTTACCTGGTGGTCGATTCTTGGGTCAGAGATGACGAGGAGTCTTGGCTCCTTGAAGGTCTTCTGGATCTGGTTGGTAAGGCAACCTGGCGAGAAACGGCCGAAGATAGCGGTAGCTCCGGTATGAGCAGCGAACTTGAGAAGAGCACGCTGGGCATACGGTCTAGCCGAAACGACGACGACGTCAGCTGGGTTCTCGACAGCGGCGATGGCGCGAGCGGCAAGAAGAAGCTTCTCCCAGGTCTTCTTGACGTTGATGATGTTCGGTCCTATGAATTTCGACGTAAAAATTCGTTCTCCGTTTTTTGAAAACACTAACCATCAAAACGTCTCTTGTAGACATATTGTTGCATTTGGAAGTTCAAGTTGGTGGATCCCAAATGAGCCTGGGTAGCCAGAAGCTTCATAACATCCTCCTCAGTGAGGGCCGAATGAGCATTACCGCCCGACATGATTACCTGAAATAATACAATTTATCAAACGTGACCGCACGTGGAACAACGCAAGGAAGCAGGACTTTAAACGCATAAATATATCAACAATCTAATCGGAACAATTGTGACACAAAAAAAAACAATATATTAGCACGAAATAAACTAATAATTGTCAAAAGAACCTATTTTGGGGGTAAAAATCAGATTTTTGCAGAAATCCGTTGAAAATCGTGAAAAAAGAAAAATTCGCGTCGCATTTTCCTATTTCCAAGCCGACAACAATGCTTTAACGTTGAATACTCAGTCAACGAATTGGCTGTTGTCGGCGGGTCTCGCCACGAGGAGACGAACGTGTCGGTTTACGAGAAAGCAAAAATTAATTAAAAGTGAGAAAAAACAATTCATTTCCATCAATAAACACCGAAAATTTCAAAGGAACGAAGTGAACATTTGAAAAATATTTTTTTGCAACTTATGAGTCGATACTTTGCAACACAATAACGGTTTCTGTATCTTGAAACAATTTAGCTTGCCTGATTCTTTGCTTAAATCTATTATCGGATTTCCGCATAAAAAATAACATTTCAGAAGCTCCATAATGCGAATAATAATCTGGAAATGAGTTTGTCGAAGGGAAATCCAAATCAAAAACCTAACCCACAATCCTCATTTATTCCACTGAGGTATAGTAGGAGTCAGAAAGATGAACAACTTTGAAAAATTACAGCTTCGATGTCACGTCATTGATCAAATACAAATTATCCGATGATCTCCTCGCCCGGGTAGCCGCCTCTGGCTCATTGCGCTCCTCGTCTTGCCGATCTGCCGTTTGGAGGGTACTGAAATTCTTTTAATGTCGGATAATTTATAATTGTGTAGCTGGTCCTCCGATGTCTCCCATACGAGACTTCTGACTGGGAGACAAGTCTATCAAGAAGTCGCAACAATTATCGAATTCTGAAAGAAACCCACCTCATCGACCCGCACGACACTAAATTCTCCCAAGATCCTCAACTCAACAACCCCTTAGTTTCTGTCGAACAAAATCCGTGGAATACATTTTTCGAAGACAAAGATCTCCGTGATATCATTGGAAAAGATGTGGCCAGAACATTTCCGGAAATTGAGTTTTTCCAAAGTGCAGAAATTCGTCAAATAATGTCGGATATTCTTTTGATTTACGCGAAGGAGAATCCGTACATAAATTATCGACAAGGAATGCACGAAATTTTGGCGCCGTTGATTTTCGTCATTTATTCGGACAACGAGGCTTTTCAACACGCTAAAGAGAATGACGAGTTGAAGATGTTGACGGTAGAAGAAGAAGACATTATCAATTGTCTTTTTTGCAAAGATTATTTGGAACGAGACAGCTAGTGAGTTTATTCTCTGTAGATTCGAAAAAGCTAGTCATTTTTCGGCCATTGTTTCAAAATTTAACTTTTTCAGCAATCTTTTCTGTGCAGTGATGCTGGAAGTTTCTCGATGGTACGAAGACCCTACGAGTGTGGATGCTCCGAAACAGCTAAAAGAGCCGTATATGCGGGTTCAAGACTCGGTGCCAGCTTCTCGTCTCATGGAAGACCTCGTCGACGTCGGGAACTTGCTCCAGGAGATTGATCCGACACTGGCCAAACACCTAAGCGCTCTGGATATTCCTCCGCAGTTGTATGGAATGTATGTTGTTTATTATTGACGTTTTTCGCACGTTTTTATTTAAAAAAAAAGCACTGGAAATTTATAAGCAAAATTTCAGCCGATGGCTTCGTCTTCTTTTCGGCCGAGAACTGCCCCTCCACGACCTGCTCTTCCTCTGGGATGTTCTTTTGATTGACCGTCCGATTGCTCCGCTCGCAAAGTGCATTTTCGTTTCTTTGCTTGTTCAGATTAGACATTTGCGTGAGTTGTATTCTTTCTGATTATTCATAACATTTATTTGTACAGTGCTGACGTCGGATTACGGTGGCTGCCTTCAGTACCTGATGCGTTATCCTCCGATTGCCGACATCGATTCGTTCGTGAAACTGGCGAGACACTACCGGAATCCAAAAAAGAACGCGAAACCAGTCATCAAATCCAACAATTTCACTCACATCACCGTCACAGGAAGTAGTCATCCGAACAGTCAGCATCGACCTGTCATTGCGAAATCTGGAGTCAAACAAAAACAGAAAACGAACGAAGATCCGCCAGAATCTCCGCCCACAATCTTGGCATTGGCCCCAGTGCTCCAAAAAGTGAAAAATTCAATTCGAGACCGTTCGAACACTGTTTCAGTGCCATCTTCTCCTCGAAAATCATCGGAAAATCCATTGACAATTCCACAAAAAATGGAAAATTGGACACGAGAAGTTCAAATGATGGAGGAGCAGGTTTCGGCGCTCCAGACTCGGCTAAACGAACAGGATGTGCTCTGTTTTCAAGTGTCAAAAGCTCTAGAAATCTACGCGGAAGACGTTCGCAACGCCAAATCCAGTGAGAAATGTGCTGCAATTGCGGAGAATTTGCTGGAATTGAGCAGAACGCTAACTTCTAGCAAATTGACTCCTTCTCCGAAAACGATACCTCAAAGTTCGGGAAAAGTGCAGCAGAAGCCGTCTCCGCCGAACGCGCAGCAGAAAATCCAAAAAGTCAACGAAATGGTTGATATGACTTCAACTTCTTCGCCTTTGAGACGCTTTCGACTGTAGATTTTGTCTTAAAAAAATGTACATAACTGCCATTTTCACTATTTTCTATAAAATCTCTATCGCTTGCCATTTCTCACTGTGAAGCCATTCGATTTCATTCTTTTCAAAATCACCTGTGACTTATTTGCATCATGTCTGATTCATAAAATAGTGAAAACCCTTTTCCTTACTTTTTAGTTTAACAAAAATGTCATCTTCAAATCAAATCAAACCAATTTTATTTGATTTCCAATTCAAGTTCTAGTTCGATCTTTGTTTTTGATCCTCGGATCCTCGTCTTCGTCTATTCTTTGCTGTTAATACCAGTGTTGCTCGATTTAGCGAGACGCCAAAGCGGCAAGATGTCGGGGCGTCCGGTGTCCGGATGGATGTAGCGGTACGAGTGGAAACAGCGAACCAAATCGGAGAGACGACGGAACTGCTGCGTCGGTTGTTTGTCGACAATCACAGTCCACCAGGTGCTGTTGTTCTCCTGGAGCACTTGCTGAACACGGAAGTTGCGCGGCTGATTGTCGCTCGTGCGCACGCAAATGAAGAGTGGAACCGTCAGAGAGACGCTGCCACCCCCGACAGATCCCTTCGAATCCTTCTTCGCCACACGGTAGTAAAGGATGAAGTCGTCGGGGCGAGTCAGTGCAGCGGCCTCCTTCTTGTTGAGCACTCCCTTGAAGTGGTCCTCGAGGTTCGGTTCCACCATCGCCGCCGCAATATTCGGCTGGCTTCTGATCGTACGACTGTCCGAGCCCAGAGTCAGCAAGTGACTCTCGCTTGTCAGCGGACAGACGGACGAGATTGTCTGCGAAAGCGACCCCTCCGCCGTCGAAGACGTCCGGGCGCTCATCTGGTTCGGATCCGACGACGACGACAAAGAGTACGTTCGCGGACTGAATCTGAAAGAAGCGGGATTGTTCGGAAATGTCGAACATCTCGTGAAAAATTTTTATCTCGGAACGGACAGGTGGAAAGTTCCGAGCCGTTCCCTAATCCTCTAAGGTTTCCTTGGAAACGAACGTCTTCATTCCTTTCTGTCTCTCTGGTTCACCATAGACTTTCTTACCCTTGGTCCTTTTGGTTGCCGTTTTGCTTATTGAAGTCGAATTGTCCTCCAGTCGCTCTCATTTTTTTGCAAGTATTCAATACGAAGGACTGATTCGATTTCTTTTAAACCTTGCCAAACTGATTTGCATTCTGGGGCTTCACGTCTCTCCTTTTTTCTTTAAACAAGTTTACAAAATCGAAATTTACGCTTTGCATTTTTCACCTCGTTGGTACAGTTCATTGCATTTTCAGACATTTTATTGTTTTTGTTGTGATTTTCTATTCTGTTAACACTTCCTAGTGTGATCCTCACTGCTTTACACTTCAGAATTTGCACGTATGCCTAAAATGCAAGGGATATTATGCAATTCTGAAAAAGAGTTCTCAATTACTGCATGATGAGTGCTGACCTTCAAAGTGTAGCCATTTGCGCGTTTCTCGACGCGCTCGCGTTCGCGCGAATTTCGATTGTACTATTGCCGTTCACTCTATCTCTCTTTTCCATTCTTTCAGCCATTTTTCTTCATTTTTGCAGCCATAAACTTCAAAAATGAACGGGTCGTCGTTTGGCTACTTCAGTCAACCTTTCCCCGAACCGGCCTACTTCTCTCTACACGAGCTACGCGATGAAATTGTACAGGTAGACAATTGATTTTTCAATTTTTCTCGATTGAAGTTGAATATTCGCATTACAAATCGATTTTTTTCAGACTTCGCCACTTCTACGACTAAATGATGATATTTTGGACATGATAATAGAGCATGTTCCGCTCAAAGACCGCCTTCTCAAAGTTCGATCAGTCTGCCACAAATTGTCGGATTCAGTGAAACGCTCCGTAAAATCAATCGAATACCTACGCGACGAACTCGACTACTGCGATGACGACAAGATCTCGTTCTTCTTGTCAGTGTACGGAAAAAACGTTGAGCACATTAACTACGATCTTTTCCGCTCGTGCTCTTTGCTCGAGTACACTCAGTGGTCATGGCGCCAGTCAGTGATTTTGTCGGTGACAAAGTGTCCACAGCTGAAGCAGTTGGATATTTTGGTGTGCTGTCGGCACAGATTGAGAGATGGTGACTTGGCCGTCATTTTCAAGCAATGCAATCAGTTGGAGGTGCTCAGAATGGACGCCAACTTCATCAATGGACATTGCTTTTTTGTGAGTTAGCTCGGAAAGTATTTATTCGTTACACGGATTTTTCTTGCTTTTTCTATCATTGTCGAGAATCTTGGTTAACGTGTTTAGCTTTTCCGCGTTGACTGTAAAGGCCGACATATACAATTTCCAGGCAGAATATATACTTCTGAATCTTCTGAAAGTGTTCCAGAAGCATTCACGTTTTTGTTAAATACTTGCCTTACAATTCTTAGTAGTAACAATACGTTTTTTTTGCAGAAAGCTCCACAATCTCTAAAAAAAATTGAGTTGGAATGCTGCCAATCGATGAACAAATCGGGAATTTTGGGAATTTGCTCCCGCCTACACAAGCTCCAAACTCTCCATTTATCGCTTTTCACGAATCTCGACGAGCAAGTCATAAAAAAAATCAGCGAAATGCGAAATCTCAGGAATCTATCGATCATTGCGGATCCTGAACAGCCGATGAATCAGTTCCGACTCACCGATCTCCGACGCCTTCCGAAGCTTTCCTTGCTCTGTTTGGATGGCGTCAACAACGTCACCGACAAGTTTTTGGCGGATTTATGCGATGCTTCAGCCGCCCCCGCATCGAAAACCCTGGAGCACATCTCGTTGGCTTGGTGCAAGAATATTGGTTCAAACGGAGTGTCCAAATTGAAAAATCTGCAAAATTTGAAAAGCTTAAACTTGGACGGAGTGTCCAAAAGAGACATATCGATTGGAGTGGAAGCCATCGGAAATTGCGGGCGGCTCGAAAGACTGCTGATTTCGGAGGACGCGTTCGTTAGTCCGAAGACCGTCGTGGAGTTTGTGAACAAGTGCGAATCGCTGAGAACGCTGGATGTTTCAAACAATCATCGCCTCTCGGATAAATCGTTTGCCGAACAAGTGGTAAGTAAAGCTTCTGAGAGAAAACTTTTCAAATTCGAATTTTTCCAGTACAGTGCACGTGCCTACTCATTTGGCAAACCAATGGTGATTTTGACGGATAACAAGTTCGTCTGGCGTCGACTCCCCCCATTTTCCTTTTCGAATCGGGTTGAAGTCGTCGTAGTGAACGACCGTTATCCGGACGAGTACGTTGAATCGATCTCGAAAGACAGCGCTCAACAGTTGCCACGTGGCTTCCTGATACCCGATTTGAGACGTGGTAATCGGTACAAAATGCTCGATTATAATCGGAGTGCGTTGCATTCTGGAAGTTTGAGCCCTGAGCCAAATCAGGAGAATATGCCGCCACAGTCCATGATGGATGTCGGAGAGTTGTCAGAGAAGGAGCAAGAAGAGTTTGCTCGCATGCTCATGGAACTTCAAGCCCCTTTCCAGGTAAATTAATAATGTTTCATTAATTTTAAAATAATCGACTGAACTCTACCAATTTTCAGAACGTTGACTGGATGCAGTACAGTCAACTTGTGGTTCCACAAGCTCCTCCTCCGGGTCCTTCCTTCACGGACTTTGAGAACAGTATCACTGTCGGAACAGCAGGCGCTCCTGGACCACCGAAAGCCGAGAAGATTCTGAAGCACACACGTCCGAGCCGGCCGAAGAGACAGGCACAAAAAGAGCGCGCTCAGCAAAGACGATCGGGAAAAGTGGCTCAAGCTCCAGAACCAGTCGGTCCTAAATTCACAGAAGATGATTTCCCGCCACTGGGTTGATAGCGTGTTGTAAACAATTATTGGGTTGAAAAGATTACATTTTTTGCATACTTCCTCAAAAAATTTCCATTTGTCTCACATGTTATTTAATAACCTTTTCAGGTACAAACTCGCTTAATTATGTGTTTTGCAAATGTTTCGAAAATTCGATAACAAATGTATTTAATTTAAAAACCTTTATTTAATAAACATCATTAAGAAAATTAACTTTTACGGGAGACAATAAAGAAATAGTCGAGTTTTGGACTTTCAGTAATAAGTGCGATGATGGAAAGCCGGGCTGGCGTTGGAGTTGGACGGTCCTAAGTGAGCCGTCGGGATCTTTTTCAGGTGATAACGACGGAAGAAGCCGCCTAGCACATGGTAGATGATGCAACACGTGCGGCCCACGGTCACCGCCGCACAAAAGTTGCTCTTGGGCTCGGAGTGACGGGCGCAGTGGAAATCGGTGCCCGTTTCCCACGGAGAGACGCTCTGGAAGTGTTCTGATTGTGCACATTCGCCCTACCGACAACTCACCTCGGCGGCTTCCACTTTCTGTCCGAGAAGACTGAACCAACGCATCGTCTCCACGTCGATCTTTTCGCCCATAATCTCGGCGATTGCCTCGACAAACGCCTCGACGATCACGTATCGGTTTTGATGAGTTGGGAATCCCTCGTACTGGAGTCCGACGTTTGCGGCCAAGTGCTTCATACTCTCCACCATCAGTTCGAGTTCACTTTGGGGCACGAGGATGAAGCGGCGGTCGTCCTTGTCGCACAACATTCCCGGATCTTTGAAGCCGTTCTTGATGTTCAGGTCGACACGTGACTTCTCATCGCACTGATCGCCGTACAGACCGACTCGGACGCCCTGGAGGCACGCGATACTCGGCTCTACACGCCCCAGAATCTCTTCGATCAACTGAAAACAAGAATACGGGTTCGAGAGGGTCGCACAAGATAATCAACTCGCCTTTCTCTTGGACACAGTGGTGATGGTGTGCTGGAGTGGAATGCGATGCGTTTCGAATGCGTGGCGACTGGCGCGTCTTCGCTGAGACTCATTTTCCGGCGTCCACGGGCCTACTACTGAATGAAACTTTTCCAGAATACCCGAGAAAAGCGAGAATTCATTGAGCGCTAACTCGGCCATCATGCACTCTCCGTCAATGTTTCCGTACGTTTGCACCGATCCCAGAATGAAACGCAGATCGCGAATCCCCTCGATGTTCCCGTCGATAGCCGTCATAACTTTCTCCTTCACAAATGCCACGTCACGACGGTACTTTCGGAGCAAGTCGGCGTCTTCGTAGTGGCCAGACGGGTTCTGTTGCACAATCTGATTGAGCATGACTCCTTTTCCGCGAAGGATCTCTTCCTCCTCGTCCGGATCCTCATAGTACTCGTCCTCGATTGGTCTTCTCAGCAGACGCTTCTTCGCCTTCATCCGAGCCCAGCGCTCCTTCCTGAAAATGTTGATGTTTCTTTCGAAAAAATTATAACGCTTACTTCATAGTCAGGTCAGTTCGTTTGCTGCCAAACGCGCTTGACTGACTGCTACTCGAGACCAGATATCCGTCGAGATCCTCCATGTGTCCGTGTGTCGGAATGTTCAGAGTGGTCATGCTGCTCTTGCTCGGAGAGAACTGAGCCGAAGAGGATCTCTGGCTTTGCGGATAGTAGGAGCTGGCCGAGGAGAACGAACGATTCTTCCAGTAGGTAGGCATCGTTCCGGAGCTGTCAGTGCTACGTGGAATCACGGTACGGTTGATTTTTGAGGTAGAACTCATAGAAGAGAATCCGTCCGAGGAAAAGTCACGGTCCAACGATGGGCGGTCGAGGGAGCGACTAGAGGTATTGCTAGGAGAGTCGAAATCGAAGCGTTTGCGGTTAGCAAACGGGTTCTAAAAAACCTGGATGTTTGGTATCGTGGTTGCAAAACGGCCCTCACCGTCTTGCCATCTTTTTCGCCGAATCCTCCGTTGGGTCCATTGTTGAACGGATTCGACTTGCCGTCAAATCTCGCGTACGGCGACGGCGCTAGACTCATGCTCTCGATGGACGGCATCTTGCGAACGCACGCGGCGAACGACATGGGCTCCTGGTTTTGGCTCGTCGGATGGGCGGCAATGTTCATTGATTCGGTGACGGCACGGATGCTGGCCAAATGCCTCGGCTGAGCTTCCTGCGGGACACGTTGCAGAGGCGGCGGGGTCACGTACTCCTCTTCTTCTGGAACCAGGACTGGAGTCGGAGTTGGAGTCGGAACGTCCGGGGCAATTTCTTCTTGAGCTACTTCTTGTTGAGCTTCGACCTCACGTCTCTCTTCCTCGGCAATGATCTGAGCACAAGTGAGAGCCTCCTCCGGGCTCATCGATTCTACCGATTCGCGTTGCGACTCCGAAGTGGCCGGAGGAGTAGATGGATGCTCCGGAAGATTATCTTTTTCTGCCCTTATCTCTTTGGGAGGAATGGGCGAATGAACAGTTGGCTTATCCTCGGCACTCGGAGGAGGTGGAGCAGGAGCCTCCTTTTTGTGTTTCTTCACAAACGGCTTCGGTTTTCTCACAACGGAATCTGTAAACCAGATTTAGCTGCCATATGATTAAAGCATCGAACTCACGGGTTTCGGGGGCCAACAGAATCTGTACAAGTTCGGGGATCGGCTCCAGGACGGGCGGAGGCGGTTCCGTCGAGGAAGTAGTCGGCGAGACGACGGTCGGAGAATTCTGCGTGGGCGAAACCGCGAGAGCGTCATCAAGCAGCTGCCGACGGACTTTCTCGTCCCTTGCGAACAGCTCCACTGTCAAATTTTGCATCTGTTTCCGTGCCGTCTGCAACTTCTGAAGTCATGCTCAGCATGCTCGAAAGCGCTCGAAAGAGGCTCACTTGATTGGGACGATTTTGTTTTCTCATGATTGTTCTGCAATCTTTTGTTGCTTTGAAGGCGTCGAGATTGTTCCGAGAGAAAACGGGAAAATAGTTGATGGGGCGGCCGAGGTGGTGACGTCATATTTTCTCTTGAAAAAGTTCACGAAGAAGACTTTTACAGATGGTTCACGGAAAAATTACAAAAAATAAAAGAACGTAATCTGAAATCTATCTTAGGAACTCTGCAAAGTTATCGATCGTGTGCCACTGCGGGAGATCAAATAGTTGATTATCCAAGTTGTTCCCAAAAAAGTAGGCGGCAAGTTTAGAAAGAGGCTAAACAAGGTGTTAAGACAGCAAAAGTGAAACCTAAAAACATAACTACAATAATTCATACCCGATGTAATTCCTCAATCGACACCAAACACTGAACGGCAGCCTTCAACGAAGTACCGAGAATAGGAGATCGGGACAGTCCATACGGGGATCCCACAGATTCAGTCCGATCAGCTTCATACTAATGAAATCGAAGCGATCCGTCATTCGAGTTCTCACATTTGATGGCGAACTTCTCGGAATCGCTGAGTCGTAGAACCGAGAAGACGGTTCCGTATCCGCCTTTTCCGAGCAGATATAGCACTTTGTATTTGTTTTTTTGTTTGTTTTTAATTCTTCATCGTCTCTCGGCATCAGCTCATCACCGTCATCAACCATATTAGAGAAGATTTTATTGCACATCAAAAGTGATTAAAAGAACAAAACAAACATGAGCAATTGTTGTGAGTGTTGTTCGAAGTTGTTTAAAAAGTATGACACCCGTTTGAATTACTGAATTAAAAGTGAAAATAGATTAAGTACAATCCTCAATAGCCCTCATAAGGCGTTATGCGTGGCGTTCTCCCGTAGATCACATTCGGATTCGACGCTGTTATCATTCTCGTTTCCCTCGACGCCACCCGTCCCACTTTCCAGTCTCTCATAGCTGGATAGTGCTGTCGTTCGTGCTCTTCTCGCTTTCTGAAAAGAAATTGTTATGTTAAGGTCTGATGGTGTTGAAATTTTAAGGCTTAACAAAAGCCGGCCTAAACATTTTGTTCACCTTTTGTTCATTTTGCAGACAACTAGAACCAAGAAGATCAGAACAATCCAGATGATGAGGAATGCTCCAGGAGCAATTATGAAAACTGCTGAAATTTTGATAATTGAAACATCGAATATTAGTTTCCGACTCACCAGAGAAGCCTTCACTCTCCTCTGCTCTTGGCTTCCCGTCTCCGATATTCATATCTTTATCGTGAAGTGCTGGCTTTATTGGCGGAGCTGAAAAAACATTTATTTTTGATATCTGATGATATCAGAACGTGTTCTTTTCATGTTTCCGCTGTTTTCTACATTTCTAAAAAAGTCGTTTCACTTTTGCCAAAAAATCTAAAGATTTCTGAGCCTCTCACCTACTCCACGACAAGGATAAAGGATGCCCATTTGGGTTTGAATATTCAAAATGAGTATTCGCAAGGAATATTATATAAACAACAAAAATCGCTTCCCTTTCAGAACTCGGAATGAATAGATGGACAAACGAGTGGGGGGAGGGGGTTAATTTGCAATGGAAATGCTGAAAAGATGGAGGAGGCAAGAGATTAGTAGGTCGATTTCTTTTTTATGTTGGAAAAGTGAGAAAAGATCAAAGATTCACAAGGCAAAGGGAGATTTTTTCAAAAAGCCCTAAGTTCAAGACTTGTCGGATGATTCTTGATGGATTTCTGCCCCCGCGCGGATTTTTTTTTGCCAAAAAAGGTTGAGATAAGATGTTTAGAAATGGATAATGTTAATCCGCGAGAATTCATTGACGTCAATCCTTTCTTTACTTGAAAAACAACTGACCCGTGTAGAGCAGCGGAGGAGTTTGAACCGTGACAAAATTGGCTTTCGCATTTCCTCGCGGAACAGTTGGGGGAGTTTCCGTCGCCCGATCCGGAGTCCAGTTTTTCATTAAGAATGGATTCTCAGACGTCATTAATACTTCCGGTTCCGTAGTGTTGTTGGGTCCTAAAGAGACCTTTTTTGAAGGAAATTCGAATCATTCAAACCGTCTCCTGCAGCCTCCATGAGATGATGAGTGAGGTCTTCTATCAGCTTGCTTCCTCCGGCCATCTTTCCATTATCCCGTGTTGCACATCTGAACCCATCTCCGTGATATCCGTTCAGACACACACACTTTGGCTCCGATCCTCCCGCATCCAGACATTCTGCATTTCGGGAGCACGGTACTGAGAATCTGGAGAGGCATATGTCGACTGCTGAATATTTCGATTATTTTCGACTTCGTGACGTTCTCAAACAGTTTGACTCACGTTTGCATTCTTTTCCAACTGGAACAAATCCCTTTTTGCAGTCGCATCTGTATCCTCCCCTCGTGTTCACACATTCTGATCCGTGGGCGCAAGTGACCAGACTCATGGCGCATTCGTCAATGTCTTGGTCGCAAGAAGCTCCTTCCCATCCGGCTCGGCACAGTGCTCCAGGACACATGCCCGTGATGACGTCGCAAGCGACCGAGCCGTCACAATGACACGTGGATTCACAGTTTATTCCGTAGTGACCGGCCGAGCATTCTCTATCGCAAAGGGGCTCTCCAAGCCTTCCGGGAGGACAAGTTTGAAGGCCAGGAGTGTCGACCCGGTACACCCATTTGCCTGGTTGGCCTACATTCGAACCGGAAGTCAGACGGTTGTTGGGCAGTATCAGGAAGCGGCCAGGGGTGGAAATGGCAGAGATCGGACCGCGAGCTTGCACTTTCTCGTAGATCAACGAGAGAATTGTCGATTCTTTTTCATCCTGTGCCAAAACGATTTGGAAAGAGTTTAGGTTGTCGGAGCCGGATTGACGGACTCTATCAAATGTGAAAATGTGCAAGTGTTTGGTGTTAAAGTTCTCGATTCCCATCACTGTTTGAATTCCGATGGACGACCTCATCAGAAGTGGAAGGGTGACTGGATCGGAATCTGGAAAAAGTCCGGATCCAATTATCGCTTCACTGTAAGTTGGACGCACCATTTATATAAGTATAGGCCACCAATCCATCTCTGATATAATCGAACTGAGCATGAAGTGCAAACACTGCCGGTTGCTTGAGAGTATCCGCATGATCAATCAATCCCCGGAGAGGACCTTCGAAGGAGATTATTCCATTTGTGGACAACTGAAACATTTGGGATTACGGTACATTACGGCATCCAAACTCACGTAAATGTTCCTATATTTCTTGCCAAAAACAGCTATTTCCCTGACAAGTGAAATAGCGGTCGCCGAGTCCCAGGACCTTGGGATTACTGTGGAGTCGTTGGAAATGGGATAGAGAATAGTTTCGTGGCAAGTTTTTCCGTCGCCCACGAACCCTTCGATGCATTCACATTTGTATGAACCTCTGGAATACGACACAGTGCAAATAAACATCACCAACCGAATCAATCAAATAATCTGGCAATCGCTAACCTGGTATTACTGCACGTGGCAGCCGGATGGCATGGTTCCACCGCGCATTCGTCCCGATCCGTGCAATGCGCTCCTTCGGCCAACCTCTCGAATCCTGGCAGACATTCGCATTCGTAGCCTCCTTCCTGAATAAGTAAGCTAGATTAAATAAGTGAAGAAAAAATAAACGATTACGGTATTGGTGCACTCAGAATTGGGTCCGCACGCGTCTTGACTGGTTTTGCACTCATTAATATCTCGGCACTCGGAAGATGGATCTCCTTCGTATCCATCTTTGCACAGACATTCGAACGATCCGTCCTTGTTAACGCATTTTGTTCCTTTGTTCGGTTCTCCGCAGATTTTCGGAGTCTCACGACATTCATCCACATCTGAAATGGACTAGAAAATTAAGGTGTCCCCGGTGATTCCTCACCAGCACACTGTCCATCCTCAAAACGATATCCTCCGTGGCAAGTGCACTCGAAACTTCCGATTGTATTCGAACAAATCGAGTGCTCCCCACAGACTGCTTCAGGAATCTGACACTCATCCACGTCATAACACCTGAATCCGTCGCCTGTGAATCCTTCCGAGCACTCGCAGGTTCCTGCTTTGCACTTTGCATTCTGATCGCATCTGGAACACGCGGAAGGTGCAGGCGGTACGGTAGTGGTGGTCACAGGTCTCGTCACGATTTCCGTGGTCAGAAGAGGAGTGGTGAAGGTTTGAGAAGAAATGAAAGAGGAGAGAGATGAGGACGAAGCTGGCAATGAAGTGGGAGAAGGAGAAGCGGAAAAAGTCGGTGATGTGGCAGCTACCGTAGATTTGAACCTATTTCTTTGAGCACTAGGCTTTGGAGTACTGGCAAGGAGTTTTCTTGTGAAAGTCGGGCGCATTGGGACCACATCCACTGGAATTGGAGCGGAGGGAGGCGCTGGCTTCGAGTTCTTGCACATTTGTCTGGACTCATCGTACTCGAAACACAAACACAAGAAGCTCCCAGGAGTGTTCAAGCAGTCCGGCTGCTCGTTCGGACAATTGTCGATTTCCATTTCGCACTCATCCAAATCGACGTCACAAACCGGTCCTCCAGTCCAGCCGGGGGAACACTTTCCATTCGGACACCGCCCGTTCTCTTGATCGCATCCGTCTCCCCCGTCGCAATGACAGCTTTTCGAGCAATCGTTGAACCATTGGGATGGCGCACAACTCTCGATACACTCGAGACCTTTGAAGCCAGCTCCGCACAGGTAGATCTGTTCCTTATCCACTCGGAACAACCATTCTCCTGGGATTCCAATGTCAGACTTTTCCGAAAGAAGAATGGCGTCGTGGGTCGCAGAATCCGGAAGGGAATACGAGAGCTCTCCGGTTGAGAAACCCGCGATCGCATTGGTGTTATAGTTGAGTTTACTATAAATGAAATGCGCGAACGTCATCGAATCACCGATGATCAACGCCAGTTGGAATGTGTTTCCTTCGGATTCCTTAAAAAAGTTATTTGGATTTTTGATACATCACTTTTTTTTGGATATAGTACGTCTAGACGTTATTAGGCCGCCGTTAGATTAATAACGAAAAGCCAGAGTCTTTAAATCCAACGGATTCCACTTTTCTCGGACAGACAAGGTTATGAAATAATAGTTTTCAAAAAAGAGAAAGGATTCAGTCAATTGCCGTGTCATTAGGTGTCTTCCGAAACTTAATAACAATAAAACGGTACATATAATTATTGTAGATGTCTACACGAAACCCAATCTAATTTTTGCTGTTGTTCTTCTACTTCAAAACTAAATTCTTTTTTTAAATACAGGAACTATGGTTCACATTTCAACTCACCGGAACTTGTGGGTCTTTGACTCCCTCCCACGTGATGAGCACTACAGATAGGACTCTGAACTGCGAACCGTATCGATATTGTATGTTCACTTCGTTGTGAGCCAGGTTCACAATATTCACATCTGGAGATTCACTTTATTTAAGCTGGAACAAAATATTTTTCAAATACCTGAAGTCTCCCGATACCAAACATTTCCGAGCGTGGCCGGCTGCCAGAAAACTGCTATTATGGGCTCTTCGACCGGAAGGGCCGACGGTTTTTGTCTCTTTTCCGAGAAACCAACTGATCCATCTCTTGAGATCTGTAAAATAGCTATTCATTTTAGCCTTCCGATTTTTGGAGAAAAAAAAACGGAAAAAACCATGTTCTAGTTCTCTTCAAATCGAGGGGAAGAAGTGAAAGTTATTGTTCATTCACGAAAAATGACTGACTTCTTCGTAGGCGTTTCTACCGTATTTCTTTATTTCTTATCCTCAATTTAAAAGTAGTAATCCTTTCATGAATTGCACTACATACTAGTTAGATGCTCATTTGACCATTGTGCTCTGTAAATGGCTACTTCTCCTTAATCGTCAAGCTGTAATCGTTCCCTCAACGTTTAGTGCTGAGATCCTCAACTCTTCAAGCTTTGACCTGATTTCCTGTTTTTCGTCCAGGTTGCTATGCAAACAACGCATCATCTGAGCAAACAATATTAACTTATTAGGAATTCACAATATCCTATATTTCTTCCTGTCCGTATACATTTCACACCTGCCCCCACCGTCTTGCTAATAAATAAAAGAATAAATGAACATATCCGATTAGTCATTCAGATATTATGCGTTCGCCCGTTTTTTGTTGGCGCCGTTCTTATAAAATCTTCTTTGCGCAATCGGATTTCGATGCGATTCGCCTATTGGCACTTGAATGTGTAATATGATATAAATCTATAATATAGAATGATTTTAATTGGCTTTGACCCCTTCCTCTTATTCTTCTTGTGACAGGAGATATTGATACGCGCGGGGGCGCAAGGGAGAAAATGCTTTCACTTTTTGCGAACAAATGTGATAGCAGTGAACGTATAGTATCTCCGGGAGGATTACAACTTTTCCTTCTCTTCTAATTGGTTCCAGTTTTGTTTTTTTTTCGGGGCAAAAGTGATATGAACACTGAAGCCTAACTGGTTCAACGTTCACTCTGCCAAAATCAAACGGAGCTTTGTGATGTGCATGAAAAATCGCAAATTTTCAGGATACATCCAAGGCGAACTTATGCAATTTGAAATTTGGCGGATTGCACGAAAGAAGACTGGCGTTGACGAAAACTTATTATTAACAAACTGGAGTGGAGTAATCATATAGACCTTTTTAGGAAACTTGCTACTGGAAAATTTTTTTTTTCGAATCTCCCTATTATGATTGTTTTCTGCCACCAAATTCGCATTCCAATTTTCGCATAATTTTCGCAACCAGCTTTTCTTCCCCCTTTATATGCTATTCTGATGCGCAGAAGGCCGGTCAGTTAACACCGTTTTGCGTCGTCTCCTTCTTGTCTCGAGGATGATAAGAAGAGAGGAAGAGAGAGAGAGAGAGAGCGAGCGAGAAAGAGAGAGAGAGAGAGAGAGAGAGAGAGAGAGAGAGAGAGAGAAGGAGGGAAATATGCTGGGAATGGAATGGAATGGACTGATAATATGATGAGGAAAGAAGAAGAAGAAGAAGAAGAAGCTGATATATTGATTGGACTCGGGCGACTCACAGAGTTTGAAAGGATTACTGTACTTTATTATTGAGTAAAAGTAAGCTAAACTGTCATTTCTAATGCTCATCTACAGGATTTTTAAATGGTTTTAGAGCTTCAATAGGTTATTCTGAAAGAAAACCCTGGGAAAGTTCAAAACTTGTCATTGTACATTCATTTCTTCAAATTTGCTTGGAAGTTCTTCGAACTTGCATTTCCTTCGAAAACTTTAAAAGAGACCTATTTTCCGAAACAAAAAACTCACGTAGACAGTGTCATAGACTCTTCCCATGAAGTGCACCGGATTTTCCAGCTTGTAAACTTCCTGTCTGCTATGCACCGGAATATCTCCCCGACTCGCTCCATACGTGTAAAGCCGAGCCGAAAAAATGTACGGCACAGTGATGTTCAGATCAATCTGCTGGTTGGGCTCATCGAGAATCTGCCGCCGGTACCGTTGATGACCTGGAGGTATTTTTGGTGAAAAATCAGAAAAGTAAGGGGATACTATATTCAAACCAACCAGTAAACGGATGGAAACTGTGGACAAGTGGTATGAGCAACACGAGAAACCACCAAGATCCCCCTTCCATAATATTCGGAAGAGAGAGTCGTGACGATGATGATCCTGGGAATTCTTGAATGAACGAATCGGCCGCCTGGTCTGCCCCGGGCGGATGACACGCGCGCTCTCCGTCTCTCTTTCTCTCTTCGTCTCTCTCTCTTCTTCTTCTGTATGTGTTCAAGGATTGCGGTTTTCGATCGGACGACACGCCTCCGCCAGCTAGAAGCAGCAGGGAAGATGAATGTTTGAGGAATAAGCCTAAGGGGAGAGGTTAGTGTTAAGCACAAAATGCACTTCAGTTATCTTAAATACAATGGTGCAATGAAACAGTTGGGTATCACCTGGGCATTCGGAAAAAGATGTACTTTACTTTACTGACCAGCCCTTTCATTTGTGATTTCGGGGCCTAGTTTTCAGGAGTCGAAAGAATTTCACTAGTTCTTTATCTGATCTGTGTAAGTTGGACAATTGACACAAATTCCAATTTTTTTAAATAGCATCACTTCTGTTGTTGCTCGAATAAAAAACCGGAATGAGATGGAAATGTTCTTTACCTTTTCAAAGATTCTTCAACTTGAAACATTATTCCCCTGCTGTGCTCGTTAATTCAATTGACATTTCATCTTCCACTTCCCCTCACCTACTTCTTCCCCCCTTTCCCCCCATTTCATCTTCTAATGTCCGGTCTTCTTTCAAGTGCAAAAACAATTGCTTTTCTCCCGTTTCGTTTCTTCTGCAGTTTTCCCGAGATGATCACAATATCAGTTGTAAGAGGTTATATATTATATACGAATCATTCAAAAGATAAGGATGCGAATCGGAACGCCAACGCAGACGAAACGGAGGGAAAAGATAAAGAGACTGAGAAAGAGTAATATTCAACTGATTATTCATCATTCTTAAGGCATCCCAGACGTCAAAATGGGATCGTTGTTGGTAATGGAAGAATAGTGTAATTTTCGAATGAGGTATACTAATATATATATAAATAGTTTATTCCATTTTGTTTTTAAAGTTTCAAACGATTCTCTTCAACTTCACAGATTCCCGTCGGACTTCTAACGTGCCCTTTCGGACAACCGCACCCAAATGCCTGTACATCCCTTTGGAAGGAGCACCGAGTCGCGTCGTTGCACACTCCTTCGTGCATTTCGCAATAATCTGAAAAGTTTTGAGCGTACAATGTCTAAAACTTTGTTCACATGCACCTAGACTGACTAACACCATGATGTGATACCTGACAAGTTCAAGTTAAAAAAAACGCACTTTCATCGCTCGCGTCAGCACAGTCCTCTTGTCCATCAAGCACTCTGGCAACATCCAAACACTCGCCGTCCAAACATCGAAACTCTCCCAATCCACATCTTTCCTTCACTTGCGGCTTCCTCGGAGTCTTTGGTTTTTCCGTCGAAGTAATTGGTTCCAGGATATTGGTCGGAGTGGTCTCTTTCCGTGAGCATGACACCAATCCATGAGCACAGACGTCCTCGTCACTCCCGTCACCACAATCGTCTTTTCCGTCCATTAACCACTTTCCGAAAACACAATTCATCGTTTTGGCACACTTGAATGTTCCCTGATATGCACATAAATGTTGCCCTGAAAGGTTACTTGTTTGTGATTTGACACTTTATCATACACTTTCTATCTAAACATTGATGTGGAATATCCTGAGGCCGAACACATTTTCCACATCTTTTCTGCGCGAGTCCGGCATCGCAGAGGATCATGCCCTGACCACACCCTAAACACAAGTCTTACAGCCAGAAATATGAACATCTATATTGTTAGAACAGATTTTTGAAACTATGGTAAAGTTACTTCTACTTTCAATACATCTCGTTGAAAAAGATGTTGTTTCGAATTGTACCTACACTCATCGCTCATATTCGGACAGTCCGGAGTGCAATCTCTGACGGCAACCAGTGGAATACACAAAGGAGTTCTGGCTTTCGGATCACAGTCAAACTGGAACAGTCCACATCTGCTCCCAATTCTTCCAGGATATTCTGAACTCATTCTAAAATGGATTACGGTAGATTTCTTTACCATTTGGTCCGGGGAGTTGTTGAATTGAGTAATCGATTCTGACTAGTAAAAAAAGAAAGGATAGCATTTGAAACGAATGTCTCTCGAGCGGAAACTTTTAGCTCCGGAAAAAAAAAGAAAGAGAGCAATTATCTTTTTTGACCTTTTTATGAAAAGCTGTCATGAAAGGAAGTGAAAAAAGCTTTCGTTTTTTTTCGGTGAAAGTTCGGATTCAGAAGGCAAACAAAGCCTTGGAGGCATTGCTTATTAATTGAGAAGAAATTGAAGGAGAACAGATACTTATTTCTTTTTCTTCTGCGATCTTTTGGTGCGATCGGACTGCTCGACCTTCAGACTGTCGATCTTCTCGAGGGTGTCATCTTCGTCCGACTTCTCCTGGAAAAATCCCTTCTTGATCTTCTCCTGTTTCTCCGCCTCATTTTCCTGTAGCTTTATCTTTTTTTTGCTTTCCGTTGGCATCTGGAACATGCATAAATATCATCAGTTCACATGGTTTACGATAATTCGAAGAACCTCAAACTTCGGGAATGTTTTCTGTGACTTCTCATTGGAATTCTTCTTATCTGGTGTTCCAGCGCCGTCCTTCTTCTCGCCGACTTTTTCCTTGGCTTCTTCCTTCAGCGCCTCTTCTTTCTTCTCTTCTTTCACCTTTTCGACCGCACTTGGAGTCACATCAGTCACCGGAGGCTTCTGGAACGATTCAGAAATCTTGTAAACGGCAAAACTCAGCGACATACAATGGCCGATTTCACATCGATACTCTCGTTCGACTTTTTCTTCACGGCACTTTTCGAAGCAGCCTTCTTCTTTCCTTTGCACAGAATCCCTGCGGTAGATGTGAACGCCAAAATCAGAAACAGATTCTGAAAAACATGAGTAGTAATTCTAATGGTCTGTGTTTGAAAAAGTACCTGAATGAGGATGAGATAGTCTCCAAGTGTCATTCTCATAGTGTCCACTTCAATGTCGACAAAATAGGCAAAAATGTTCGGACTGGAGTTTTCTCGAACTGATTTTTTTGTTTACTATTTTCAAAACGTGAATGTCACGAACGTTTCATTTTTAAAAGTTTTGGTTAAAGATTAGAGTGGAGTGTCGACTTGAGAGTTTGTCGAAAAGTCGATAACTCTGGAAACTCTATCGCCATCTAATTAGAAGATTTTGCAATCTAATTGAAGCAAACTCTTTTTCAAACGAGTTCGTATTAGATTGCAAAGTTTTCTAATTAGATTTCGATCGAGTTCCCAGAGAGATCTCGCGCAGTTGAGTTCAACAGTTCGAGAGGTCTAAATGTCAAGCTTGCAGTTGTGTAACTTCCACATTCTCTAGCTAGATTCTAGAATGATCTCTGTTACCTTTTTGAGCACCCTGCACATCTCTTCTCATCTAAATCCGCGCCATGTCCAATACCCATCCACTTTTACTATTTGACTTCTCTTACACTCTACAAACTCATTATCTCGTCACTCTTTCCGTCTATTTCGCCCGGTCGTCATGGCCTCCTTTTGTTGCCTTCTCGACGTCTATTCGTTTTCAATTATTAGCTGTATACATGAAGAATTGTGAGCAAAATAAAAAGGAAAAGAGGAATTCCGCTCTCTAACATTTTCAATTATTCATGAAATTGTTATCCCTTTCGCGAGCAGAAAAAGTATATTTTTCTGATATGTTCTTGGTTTTTCCTGCGGTCCGGCAGAATTCAATTTATTTTCATTTGAATTCCATTAAGACATCTGGAACACTCAGATCTTCCGTGTGCTCCATCATGAAAGGCACGTCTTGACGCCAACAGTCAATTGATTAAAATGTGAACCAATCTGTCCATTATGATATATTTAAAAAGCATTCTTTGTGTCGGAATATTTGGAAGTATTCCACTTTTGTGAGCGTAGAATATTGGATATTTTACGCCTTGACACCGACGAACATTTATTTCACTGCACCGCGCATTGCGTCCACATTGAAACTATATAGACAGCGCCCAAGCAACCCATTGAATAACTCTGTCACACTTTCCGGGAATCACATGAATATCCTCGTGCATATCTCTCCCCTCAGCTTTCCTCCCATCACGTCTTCTTGCTGCTCTGCGCGTGTCAAACACCCTGGCCGCTGCTTGCTTCTTCTTCTCTTTCTTCGTCAAAATCAATGACGGTGTGCTCTTTTTTGTGCTCTCTCACACTTCTGAGCTGCATTGCGCCCTTGTCGTCGCCTTCTCTTTTCGCTCGAGTTCTCGGGGCTCAGAGAGCCTGAGCAAGAGCTCAGCGCCCAAGGCAACCAAAAAAAGCAGAGACGAAGGAGTAAAAATGGACTGACACCCTCTCCCTTTCCTCTTATCACTCTTTAATCCACAGGGGCTTGCCGAACTCATAGTCGTCCAATTTTTGCAACTTTTCTAGAAACCACAGTAACCCTTCTTCTTTTTCAAATCGCCTCCCCCACCAGATGAAATGAGCATAACTCCAAAAATCGCGGAACAAGAGTATGTGCACTCAATCTACTCCCGTCTAGCCACCTACCAACAAAATGTGAGATTATCCGTAGAGCGCGCACCCAAATTTCAAAGTCCACTATTTTCATTCAGGATGCGAAAAATTCCTCGCCACGTATTTGGCCACGAGTACGTCAATTCGTGGATCAACAAGCCGCGGGGAGCGTGGTTCTGGATGTCGGATGCGGTGAAGCTAAGTACACTGCCACAAAATGCCACGTCATCGGTTTTGACACGTGTCCAGAAGTCTTGAGTTCAAGCAAAAAGGAAGACATTGACTTATGCCTGGCGGATGCACTCAGCATTCCTATAAGGTTTGCTCAGAAATGAAAACTTGCTGAAAATAAATTATTTTTACAGAGACTCCAGCGTAGACGCAATTCTCAACGTCTCCGTCATACATCACCTGGCCACCGCAGACAGAAGACGCCAGATGCTACAAGGTGGCTTATATACTTCTGTACAAAAATAATGTTACATTCATGACTACATGTGTTACCACTTGGAGTTCTCCTCTTTTCTTTACAGTTTGAGATTTCGAAGAACAAGCTTCAAAAATGAAAAAGCTGGATGAAAATGAAGTCCAGTTGAAGAAATAAACACTTAACCGCTAAAATTCAAAACAATAATTTCAGAGTGCTGTCGTTGTTTGCGAGTAGGCGGTCAGATGCTGATCTATGCTTGGGCGTTCGAACAACCAAGCGCAGATTTCGCCGCTCAGGACATTCTCGTTCCGTGGAATATGCATGAAACTTCCATCGCGGGACGTCTACCGAAAGTGAAATTCCATTTGAATACCACGAAAGAGCAGCGTATCATAGCTGCCTCAGTCCCAGTATCAATATCCGATGTCTCACCCTCTCCCAAATGGTATACCGCAGTACTGAATAAGGTCTCTTTTTTAACCGAACAACTGCCCTATTTTGCCAAGAGATGTCCTACATCTCCAGGCAGTTACGGAAGAAATCACAGTCCCAGCGCTTCCACATCTGGCTCCATAAGTTCTCCAATGGTACAGAGGCTGCCGTCTGCAGCTCCACAATTTTTTCCGATCACTGCTGCCATCCTTTCCGGAATTAAAAAATGGAGTCCGAAACTAGAAAAGACAATCGCATCGTTGTTAGTTCCGGTTGAAGAGCAGTATGCAGACGAGTTATCACAAGTTATTATGAGGGAAGCAATCACTGAAGCCATGTCCACACTTCAAGAGGTCAGTTGGACATATAAGTCACACACAAAATGAACACAAAAATTTTGCAGGTCGCATTCTATCGTTACTATCATGTTTTCAAAGAGGGTGAGCTCGCAAACCTAGTTGATTCCATCGATGATCTTCGCATCGTTTCAAACTCTTTCGAGCACGGAAATTATTGTGTGACCGCCGAAAAAATGCCGAAGAATTATATTCGCCCGTAGAAGCCATTAGGAATCCGATCTTCAATATTATATTCTTTCTCCGCATATCCCCTTCGCAGACACAAATGAAACTTTATAGGGTTCAGATAATTTATAAAATCTTACTTACAACAACATACTCATAGGCTATAATTAATAGCGGCGAAAAAGAATCCGTTTTTCAACGGAATGGTGAGCGTTACGGTCGGAGGGAAAGGGGCGAACGTAGCTATAGCGTCTATAGAGCTGCCGTAGCATCGGCCGGAGCAGGGGTGACCAGTTTTTCATCTTTCGGGGCTCCGCGGTGCGGGTGACCGTGATGGCTTTTCATCCGGACGAAGACACGAATGATATGGTTCCTAGTGTTATTTGGCGACTTCATCTGCAATAATCTTTGGAGACATCATGCTGCAAGCTCGGAAAATTTACACATTTTTAACCCTGGTCGACTGTCGAACATTTCCCGTTAACCCGCGTGAACCTTCTGAAACAAAAAATTAACTGTAACGTGATAATCAAGTTTTGATAATTACTCATTTGATTTCGACATCTTCGTTTCAATACATAATGGTTTGCCCAGTGAGCATGGTAGAGCAGTTCTCCAGGTACCACGTGCCTCATTTCTTCAGCTTTTTCAAAACTCTTTTTTTCAGTTATGCACTGTGCAGTCCAAATATGTGGATGATAATTGCGTGTACATTTATGACACTCTTAACCCTTATTCTCACAATTTATTTGCATCGCGGCTTCCGACGAGATGCCCGATCTCTACAGTTTGTTCAATGGAAGCAGCAGCAACTGGCCAATCGGCTCAGAGTCCAAGAGCCAAATGTGACACTTTTGGAGAAAATTACTCGGAAAATGAACGAGAAAAATCACGAGGAGCACACTTTCGAGGACTTCTTCCATAAGGAAAAAGAAACGGCAAATCCGAAAGTTGGTCAGTCTGAAAGTTCCGATGGAGTGGCTGCCAAGGTACAGAAGGATAAAGACGAAGACGCGGCTAAGGTTCTGAGGGAAACCAATATGGGAAACACCACTCCTGCGTAAGTTCAGTTGTTTTTGAGCTCGTAGTGAACCATCAACTTTTGCAGTCACGACACCGCACAGGACAATGGGACGAAGAGCATTCTGAAGAAGTGGACAAATGCTACGAAGGACATGTTGGCTATCGACAATGAATCCGATCAGAGCAACAACCGAGTAGATAACACTCAAGACGAACAGAACTAAAATGAGAGTTTAATTCCATCCCAAAACTATGAGTCAATTAAATATTTGTCATCTAAATCTTGCATCCACCGGCAGTTTGATCGGAAACTCCACTCAGAACACCTTCCTCCTTCAACTTATGAAGAGCGGGTGTCCAGTACTTCTCCGGCAAGTTTCGCAATTCGACGATTCGCCGCTTGTACGAGGGATTGTTGTCCCGCCTCCAGATGCGTTCTTTTTTTGTGCACTGCCATACCGCTTCATCCCAGTACGAGCATTTACCGACCATCTTGCCTAGTAACATAAATGTATTGTGAAAAGGCGGAAATTCTCTAACGAACCGATAGGTTTTTCCTCGTGACACCTTTGCAAAAATTCGATGAGAATGTTGCATTCCTTTGTGTGTAAGTGCGGCGACAAATCCGGGAGCATCTGACAGAATCCAAAGGGTTCAATTTTCGTGCATTCGTAAGATATTTCAAGAAGTGAAACACTTTTATGAGAAAAGAATAAAGAAAAATGCGATGTTAAACTCTTTATCAGAATCGGAAAAAAAATGTGTGAGCACTCAATGAACAATCTAAACTTAGCATTCAATAATCTCCTTTCAAAAACCACAAGAAAAAAGAAAAATCAGTCGATATTAACATCTTTTCCATCCTCTCCGTACACATAGTTGTCGTTTATTTCGTGGAATAGGCCTCCACAAGAGACGGTCGCTTTTAATTTGGCGGCAAGAAGATAGCACCCGGACAGTTTGCGATGAAGTGAGTAGATCTCTTCTGGTGGAGAAGTCAGTCGATGCTCTAACATCACTGGAATCAGCTTCTGAATCCTCTTTGTCACATCTTGATTTGCGAAGTTGTAAGGATGGTGGCTGGCCAATGTCTCTCCCATGATCATAACTGATTCGACATGGGCGACCTCCATGACTGCCGTCTCGTATCCAGTCAGGAATCCAATATCTCGTGAATACTCGATTATTTTCTTTTTATCTCCGTCGTATGCAGCCTTGATGATATTCATGTAAATATCCACAAACTTTTTTCCGTAAGCTCGCGATGCTCCGAAATCGAGGAGAACGAGTCGGGGTTCGCCGGTCTTCGGGTGCTTTCCGAGGAAGAAATTGGACCAGTTGGGATCAGTTTGCATGAAACGCCAGACGAAGATCTGAAGGTATTCAACTGGATTGGCAATATTATACGTTTATTAACCTCTTTGAGACAAAGTTCAATGAACTTTCCAGCTATGTAATCTCTGACCACTTGCGGTTCTTCCACGCACGCATCCACTGGTTTTCCGTAGACGAGCTCTGTAGTGAGCACGCGAGACGAAGAGAGCTCATCAATTACCTCCGGAACGTAAACATCCTTCCAATCGGCAATCAACTCTCGGAACTTCTTCATGGCTCTGGCCTCTCGTTCATAATCACACTCCTGCTTTAACTCTCTTCTCGCAACACCTACAAATGCGTCCAAAAACATTCCTTTCGGAAATATTCCACCGACAGAAAGAACCGAAACTAGATTGTCGATATCCGAATCAATTCCTTCGGCGACTCCTGGATATTGTATTTTGACTGCGACTTCCCGTCCGTCCTTCATAATGGCCTTGTGCACTTGTCCGATGGAAGCACACGCAAAGGGTTTATCATCGAACTGCGAAAATGCATCCCTCCAGTCCTCGCCAAACGCGTCTCTCATCTGACGATGCACTTGTTTGAGCGGCATGAAATCCGCTGATTGACGGACGCGTTCGAAGATCTGAAGGAGAGCAGGAGAAACTGTCGAGCTGTCCTGGATCGACAGCATTTGCCCTAGCTTGAGAGCGGCTCCACGGACCTATGAAAATATAATTCATTTTTCAACCAAGTGTATAAAACGCAAGCTTACTCTGCACAGCGTGGCCACTATTCTATCAGCGTTTGCCTCTGAAAGGAATGGGTTCTTGGGCACTCCTTCCTGCAACTTCTTCCCCATTCCGAACGTCCTCCTGGTCACTTCAGCAGTTGCTCCTCCGAGCAGCCCAAATGCGAGCTTTCCGAAAGTGGCGAACCTCCCGATTCTAGTTGCAGGAACTGAGCTTTCGTTGCTTCTGGTGAGCGTGTGAATATCGTTAGCTTCCAGTTTTACTTCAAAGTTTTTCGGCAATTCTGGTCTATACACTTTAGGTTTCTCCCCGTAAATCGCATTCTCAGCATTGTCGTCTTGAACTGATTTTGCCGCTTCAATCAAGAATTCTGCCTCTTCTTTCGTCAAGGTTTTATCAATAGGCTTTGTAGAAACGTCGGCGAATTCTATGAAATGTTTATCGGTAACTCCTTCCAATTTAAGCTTTCTCGGCTCTCGTGGAGTTTTATCAGAAGAAGGTGGGCCTCCATTTACTCCCAGGACTGACTGAATAAGTGTTTCCACTTGACCAATGGCAGGAATTGCAGCTTTCAATTGCGGTGGAATCGGAAGTTCCGTTTTGGGATTGGCAATCGCCCAAGCTCCTAGTTTTGTGATAGTCGGCAGAGGGAATGGAGCGAGTGATATGGCACCCTTTCCCACTTTTTCAGCAGTTGCCATTAGGTTTGTCACCAATGTGGTTTGGATGGGAGAGTTGTTTTTGACGAACACTTTCTCTCCGTTCTCCGAAATTGTGTAACCAGCCGATCCGGGATAGGTACCCTGAGCCATCAGTCTTGCGAATGTTTCGATTCCGGCGGCCACAATTCGCGCTCTTTGAAGAGCTTCGTCAGCGGACGGAAGTGCTGTGGAAAGGAGTGAGGCGTTAGATTTGTTTGGCTCCTGAAATGGAAATCAGAAATGAGGAACTGAAATTACTGTATCTCACCTTGAGCGGATCAACCTCCTGTCCTCCCATGACAACAGTCTGCAGTACTTTCCTTCGGATCTGCCGCTCTATTCTCCGTCCATCGTATCCCATCTGACTCCTCACCAACATCCCGATTCCTTTACGAATCGTCCCGATTTCCTGCTGACACCATTTGAGAGTCGTGGCACTTGGTCCTTTCGCTGCCATTTTCGCTGCAAATTTTTATTTTTAAATCATTGGGCTTCTGAAGAAAAAAAAATCATTAACAAAATCGGAAGTATTGCGAATTCGAATCGAGAACGCTTAAAAAATCAGCAAAGTATTGTAGAAAAATTGGAACGATAATCGAATAACAAACGAAACATTAAAACTCTAGGAAAAATTTTCACATTATTCTCAAGAAGTGGCCCGTAGTTGTTTCCATTCGGCGATTCCTTCGACAACAATAGAATTCGTATCTTGCGTTTCCAGCCACGCAGCCGTCGAGCGAATGTAGGAGACCACTTTGAGCAGGTTTATGGGATCGACCGGGCGGCTCATGTATAGACACCTCCATACGGCCCCAGCCAGAACTCGGTCGTCGTGAAGGAATCCCTGAAGACATTTCAATCAATAGTTTAAAATGAACTAGCGAATAAAAAAACCTCGTCAAACTCGAAGAACGTCTGCAAGTGCAATCCGTGCATGTGTTTCATGTCTGTCTGTCCTGTCATCACTTGGCCTAATTCTTTGCTCACAATTCCCAGTCTGTTATCGATATCCAGCCACATCGTTGACAAAAGTCCTCTTTGTAATCTCATGTACGCTTTCCCGTCGAATTCCGAGTGCAATCGCATCAGTACCATCCACGTGTGCATGAGTGTCAATTTGTACCTGAAAGTTGGTTGCTTCTAGATCAAAACTATCGGTGCTGGTTTACCATGAAGACATGTAATCTCCGAGTCCGAATGCATCACAGAGCTTAGGGAAATCAAAGTTGTCCGCGCAATTGTAGTACAATTGTGCCGAAGCGCGGTCCAGAATGGATTTCACCGATTGATCGAGGTCGTCTCGTTGAAATCGCATCTTCAGGGAACTAGCGAGACGTTGAACTGTGGGAGGGATTCGAGAAACCGGCATCTGGAATTCACTTAATGATATTAACGAAGCTCAGAAATGTTTCATTCACTTGAAGCATCTCTTGCGTCATATCTTCTACTGTCTTCTTTCTGGTCGCATCCAGAAGTCGTGATGATGTAGCAAAGCGTCGGAATATGTGGCGAGTAGTTACCAACATTTTCAATCAACTTTGATTTAGTTCTTCCTTGTAAAATTAAAATTTTGGCTGAAAAAATTAGAAAATAAATTGATGGACGAGGAATTGGTAGGCGCATAAATTCTAGGCCACCTAGCTAGAGTGTAATTTTTCCGATGATCAAGAGCTCAAACATTGATCAAATCGTGTCTATATAAATATCACATTTCAAACTTTGAAAAGCTAATTTTATTTTCCAGCTGAAAATGTTGCTGCCTCGGTGGGACGAAGTTCGCCGTGCCCTCACCGCCTACCACTTCTTTAACTCAATTTTGGCGCTAGCGTTCCCAGTTATACGTTCGACATTCCTGTGCGATTACGTATTTGCTGTAGAAGGCAGTGAACGTTGTGAAATCGACTCGGTGAGTATTTTCCAAAAATAAACTTACTTTTGTTTCAATGTTTACAGCGAGAGCGGGAAATTCTGATGTTCCTGCTCATTATTTTGATGTGGAAAGGAAGAAAAGCAACTAATTGGATGCACTACGTCGGGAACATCTTTCTATTCTCAAAAGTGAGTGTTTGAATCGCCTATTATATTAAAGTAATAGTTTTTCAGATCGCTGGAATGTTCCTGTTCATTCGTGCTGATATTCTGGCCGGAACCATCTACGTTCTGTTCTCTCTCAGTGAGTTTTCAGTAAAAATTATTGTACAATTCAATTTTTTGTAGTAATCACTGTTCTCTTCCCTGAACCTGTCTACAATGGTCCAGAGCAAGTGACGTACTTCCAAGGAGAGCAACTTTATGAGGAGCTTACTAAAAACCGAAATACTGTCTGGGTAATCCAGTTCATCACGACATGGAGTCCAGAGTGCAAGCACAACACTCCAGTCTTCGCAGAGCTCAGTGAAAAGTAGCGTACACGACATCAACGTGGATCCGCTGCGCGGACCGAGCTGAAGCGGCTTCGCCGCGAGTTATTTTCTTCTAACCGTTCGAAAGTTCACGTGTTCATTTCTTAATTTCTCGGTCACAACTATTTCCGTTTTAGAAATGAAAACGTGTCCGGACAAACCAAGAAATATATAAATCATTTTTAATTAATATAACTCATTTCTAAAACAAAAAATTGTGGCGGAGAAATTGAGAAATTAACACGTGAACTTCCTAACGGTTATAAAAAAGAAAGCGTTAGCTCGGCCCGCGCAGTGGGCCCCGGTTTCAAACGTCTTGTAAATAAATAAACAACCAAAGGGACAGACTTTATTAGACTTGTATCAATAAGAATGATTTTTTCTGTGCGTGATAATTTTCCTCTAGATACACCCTTCCAAATATGAAGTTCGGCAAATTGGACATCGGACGTTGGTCTAAAGAAGGCGATAGATTCCGTGTGAACGCTCATCCTATGTCTCGACAGCTGCCGACTATTTGTGTGTTCAAGTATGTGTCAGATATATTCTGTATACGAAAATTTGACAATTCATAGAGACGCAAAGGAAATCGCCCGCCGTCCGCTAGTCAACGAGAATCACCGCGCAGTCCCGTTTGTTTTCAGCGAGGTTATTACTTTTCGGCAAACTTCCGGGTAAATAAAGTTTTTTTCAGGAAAATTGTATTCTCGCTTTCGACCTGATCAACTTGCATAATGAGCAAAAACAGAAAAAAAGTGGCAAGGCGAAGAAGGACGATTAGAAAATAACAAAAGTTACAAGATAATCATTGGCAGTTTTGAAAATCTTCTGTCTTTAAGAATAGCTCCAAAACATTCTGCTGATTTATTTATTGACGAAATTCTGATAATGAATTGAAAAGTGACATTGACTATACAACAACTCTCGGGTCCCAACAAGTTTTGTGTTCCACGTTCAACTTCAGAAGACGGTCAATATCTTCCTTTAATAACTGGAAAAGAAGGAAAATCTTGTAATATAAATCTACATTTTCTCTACCGCAAGTTTCGTAACTGCGAAGTTACTGGTAATGTGATTCGTGTTGGTGGTTCTCGGCAGTACACTAATTCCTTGCCAGTAGGCGAATCCCAACAAAAGTACCGGAATTTCCACGTTGTACTTGTCGGCGAGTTCCAGAATTAAAGGATCTTTTGACAGATTCTCGCGATACGTGGGACTGCCAAGGCTACTGTACGCCTGGAAATGAATACCTTTCTCCCTGCAGTACTCAACAAGATCGTCCTGATGAAAATGCGGATGATATTCCACTTGATTAACTGCTGGAATCACTTCCGACACTTTTCTGAGCTCATCCAAATGGCAAATTTCAAAATTCGATACTCCAATCGCTTTCAGCTTCCCTTCTTCCATCATTTCAGTCATAACTTTCCAACTCTCTTCCCTCAAAGTTTTGTTCTTCGGATTTTCACTTTTCAAAGAGCTTCCTGGCCAATGAATTAGCAGCAAATCGAGGTACGATGTCTTCAGATTCTTCAGTGAGTTTTCTATGCTTTTTCGAGCGGATTTAGCACCTGCATTCAACGGCGAAAGTTTCGAAGTTATCCAAATGTCTTCTCTGTTTAGCCCATTTTGTGGGAGAAGCTTCTCCAGAATTCGTCCAATAGCTGCTTCATTTTTGTACACTTGGGCGGTGTCGATGAAACGATAGCCTTCTTTGAGACCAACATCAATTACGCCGCGCAGAATTTCTTCCTTAGTCACTTGCCACGTTCCAATTCCGATTAATGGCATATTATCACGGACGTATTCCTGGTGAACATTCATTCTTCTGAACAGTTTTTTTTTTACAAATTCTGCTTCACCATAGTGCGATGATTTCGTTTGTATACTCAATTTACCGCTCTTGCCCCCACGGTGTTTGCGTACTCAAGCCTAAATTCAGAAATTTTGGCTTGAGTCTGCAAACATCGAGGGGCAATAACGATAAACTGAGTTTATATTTTTACCGAATTCACATAATACCAACAGAAAAATACTAAACTGATATACGGTACAGCAGCGGAAACGCACGTGCAATATTCCGGCTCCTTCCAATGGAGCGCATTTGCATTCTCTTATAAAAACACGAGATTTGTGTGTCGGATTTATCAGAATTTTTTGTGTGTATACAAACATGGACCCTTTTAACGTTTAAAAGCAGACAACTGCAAGTGGAAAGTGCTCTTCGGGTGGGCTCGCGGAGCTCGGCACATGACACCATTTCAGAATCAAGAATGTCTTCTTCGTCATCGTCAATACAAACATCCGGCGCATTTCTTTGCGTTTTTACGTAAGGAACAAATCTCGTCGAAAACCCGAATATTCATTTGAGAGAAAAACATTGCTTTATTAGCCCACACATAAACGTTCCGTTTCTCGTTCTCCCTCCTGAGCAGTAGCGATAAATTTTCCAGAATCATTGACGGAAATCGAGATGCACGGCTTAGAAAACAAGAGGACATCAATCAAATTGGATGACACGGTCTCCAGAGCTGACAATAGGCGCAAGTGCGCCCCGCCCAATAGAGCGATACATTGGCGCGAAATTCAAATTTTAACAACAAAATTTATGTTTTCTGTCAGATTAGCCACGAAAAACTGATAATTTCTCAGTTGTCTCTCGATAGACCGATTGTATAGGCTATTACAAATTTTTTAAGCGCAAGAGCGTTAAATTTGGTCAAGTCACAAATCACATTTATCCGTTTGAAGGTTTTTGGCTAAAACTGCGTGAATTTCAGTTGCTGTTCGGTAATTTTCGCTATTCGAGCGCTCAAAATGCTTGTATTTACGTGATTTATCATTCTCGAAACCAATTCTGTCTGAAAACGGTCAAGAAAGCGCAAAATGAGAAGTGCGGTTTTTAGGCGGCGATCGGCGGCGAAGGCGAAAAAGCAAAGTCCGCGAAAAGTGCGCCAAAACGTCATTAATTCTGAGAATTAGTGTGTTTTCATGTCGAACAATCATTTTTCATCGCCTTTGACCACAAACATTAGAGAAAACCTGCTCAATTCATGAAAACGCCATTTGGCCGAGGCCACGCCCATATTGTCAGCTCTGGAGACCGTGGATGAAGAAACATCAAAACTCCGTAAAACGTGGCGGTGAACTGACGTCGTATTTGCGAATCGAGCCATCTACCCCGGCAAAGGCGCGCCACTTTTGCGCAAACTTTACGCAGCTTTTGCGCAAAGTTAGCGCAGCTTCTGCTGGCTAGTTGCGCAAGAGCTGCGTAAAGCCTGCGCAAAAGCTGTCAGTTTTAAAAGTTTGCCCAAATGCTGCTTAAAAATGTTCAGTTTATTTCCACTTCATTTCTGCATGAAAAAACAATTTTATTGGGATAGTATAAAAACCAGAAACAAGTACCATTTAGAGATCAGTGATTGTATAGTCTTTGTCACTTCCATAACTGAAAAAAAACACGTTATTATAAGTGAAAATGCAGGTCGTCGTTCAAACATCTTAAATATCGTTCAAACATCTTAAATAATTGTGAAGTAGCTCGAATTCAAGTGATTTCATACAAATTTTCAATAACACTCGCTTCTAAACGAAATCCGACTGAAATTTTGCTTGAAATGCGCTCAAACCGAGGAAATACGGAAAAAGATAAGTAGTTTCAACTTGATAAGCAACAAAAAACAAATAAAACGCATAAAAACAAGCTGGAAAAAGCGAACAGTACTGCAAATGCAAAGTTTCCATATCAATTTCGACATGCCTTAAAGTTTGCGCAAAAGCTGCGAGGACGCTTAAAGTTTGCGCAAAAGCTGCGAGGACGCTTAAAGTTTGCGCAAAAGCTGCGAGGACGCTTGAAGTTTGCGCAAAAGCTGCGAGAATCCTTAAAGTTTGCGCAAAATCTGCGAGGACCCTTAAAGTTTGCGCAAGCCTCCAGCGAACAACAACTGGTACTTCATCCACATATTTATGCTTAAGTAAATTTATTGAACCTGCGTCTTACTGACAAAGTGAACGTTTGTAAATCTTGAGAATCTCCTCCTAACTTGACTAATTCACGCGACATCATCATTGCTGCCAAAAATCCACACTCTTATAGTTGTCAATTGAAGCCGAAATCAAGATTTCAGATGTGTGCTAAAGTGTGAGCGTTACAAATAAACCATACATAATCGTTTCACTGCCAAGTTCACGTGGTTTCAGATCGTTGAGCTAAAAAAAATTAAAATGAGCAATGTCTCAATATAGCGCACTTGCTTTTTGGAAAAGTTTCTCAGCGAAACGAAAAACATCAGTTCGAAAATTGTTTTTTCTCGCCATTTCCCGAGAAAAATGAATCAACCGATGTGCGATTTGATCGCAGAAATTGAAAAATTGACGAAAAGCCGACAAATTGGAATAAACTGGAACGATATTCCGACCGAAATTAAGATGAAATGCGTCGGAAAAATGGATTTTAAGACTGGGTAAGTCATTTTTTCATATTGCTTCTTGAAAACCGTTAAAAAGCGTTCAGAAGCCGTCTACGAATCTGCTCAAAAACCGACAATTATATCACCGACGCGACGAAATGCTCTATCGATCGTGTTTTTCTCGACGCGTCGCCCGAACACTTACAGATCACAGTCGCTGTTGACAAATTCCGCGACGAATTCACAGTCGCCGATTCAGATCAGGCCGTTCAGTGCCTCAAACAAGTTCTAAAACGCGGAAAAATTGATCAATTTTGGATCCACACGCAAAACATGAAGAACGAGGATCTAAAAATGATCTCTATTGTGGATATTGTCAACTCGACGCCGTCGCTCTGCATCAATTACTTTGCTTTTTCGCTGGATCACGCGCTGGATGTTAAAATTGCAATTTTGGAGAAATCCGGTCAGAACCTGGACGAATTCGGAATTGAACTCTTGTCCGGAGGTTGTAAGTCTAGGCTGGAAGACGTTGCCAAACTTCCAAAGGTATAATTGTTTATGGGGTTCAGGCCGTGAAAAAAATGATTTTTTTCCGTTTTTTTTTTCGTTTTTTACGTCAAAAAATCCAAGTCAGCGATGTAAAAAAACGAAAAAAAAGGAAACAAACATACGCTGAACAGCCCCATTATTTTAGAATATGCTTTCCAACTGTTTTAAAATATGCGAGTTTTCAGGTCTTGGCAGCCAAAAACATAAATTTGACGTCAGACCAAAATGGCTTTTGCCTGATAACTAACGAAGTGGCCGCGTACATCGTCGATAAATGGATCGAAATGGACGCGAAAATCGGAGGGTCACTCACTATGGTTGCGGGAATTTCGCTGGAAATTTTTGAGCATTACTATAAGGATAGAATTATGTCAGTCTAAAAATGCTGGATGAATTCCATTACAAGTATTTTATTTTCAGTACGAAAAACGTCGAGATGGAGACAATTCGCATTAGAACGGAGAATCCCGAAAAGCACATTCTGATCAGGAACGCCGGATTCGGTGAATGCAGCATTGTTCCGCACGACTACGACGATTCGGCGTGCTTCGAGAAGCTGTTCGCAGAGCTGCTCAAAAGCGAACATTACAACATGGTGGCGTTTCCCGAGGAGGACTGAAGATTAACTAAACATTTCTAATTTAATTTTTAATAAATAATTAATTTTAACTTAAATCAATATTTCGTGTGCACAACAGTGTATGCAGATTCCGCATACCGTAACCCAAAAATATGCGGCAAATTAAAAAAAATTTATTGAAAGTACAGAAAAAAGCCGAAAAAAGACGAAAAAATGTGCTAATCTCATCGAAAGTATACAAGAAAACGTGATTTTGACAGTAATTGCAGACATTTTCAACTAGAATTGATTTTTTCATTTCTCGGCAGTTACACTTCCAAAAATACATTTTTCGGTATCTCCTCTGGAAAGTCGATTGCAATCTAATTAGAAGAGTTTGCAATCTAATAAGAAAAAGTGTAACCGTACCCCTAAAACTACGGTATTTTTTGAAAATTTGCGTAAGAAATTTGAATATTTTCAAATATCCTCAAGAAATTAACAAATTTTCGAAAAATACCGTAGTTTTAGGGGTACGGAACAACTGTACCCTAAAATTGTTGTACCCTCGAATTGTTGTACCCTAAACTGTATAACAAGAAGTTGTACCCTAGAATTGAAGAAGTTGTACCCTATATAAAATTGTTGTACCCACGGTCTTCAGAGCTTACAATGGGCGCAAGTGCGCCCCGCCCAATAGAGCGATACATTGGCGTGAAATTCAAATTTTACCAGCAAATTTTGTGTGTTTTTGCCAAATTAGCGACGAAAAACCGATAATTTCTCATTTGTCTCTCGATAGACCGATTGTATAGGCTATTACGAATTTTTTAAGCGCAAGAGCGTCAAATTTGGTCAAGTCGCACATCACATTTATCCGTTTGAAGGTGTTTGGCTAGAACTGCGTGAATTGCAGTTGCTTTTCGGTAGTTTTCGCGGTTCGAGCGCTCAAAATGATTTTATTTACGTGATTTATCATTCGCAAAACCAATTCTGTCTGAAAACGGCCAAGAAAGCGCAAAATGAGAAGTGCGGTTTTTAGGCGGCGATCGGCGGCGAAGGCGAAAAAGCAAAGTCCGCGAAAAATGGGTCAAAACGTCATTAATTCTGAGAATTAGTGTGTTTTCATGTCGAACAATCATTTTTCATCACCTTTGACCACAAGAATCAGAGAAAACCTGCTCAATTCATGAAAAGGCCATTTGGCCGAGGCCACGCCCATATTGTCAGCTTTGGAGACCGTGGTACCGTACCCTATATAAAAAAAAATTAAACAATTAAAAAAGTTGTACCCTGTTGTACCATCGGAAAACAAGGACAGAAAGAGAAAAATCAATTATTAATTGATGATTCGAGAAAAATCTAAAAATTCATATCCGTGTATTCAATTTTTTTTGGTTCAAATATGATAGCTGGAAGAAGCAGGCGATTTGGTAGATGAGGATGCCGGGGAGCCGGACTCATCGAACTCGATTCTCATACTTTCAACTTTCTGAATATATCATTTTCAAAGCTCCCACGCATCTACACCCACACACCCCTTGTGGAAGATTTCTTTCCATGGAAGAATTGATCGCTTTGTGGAACTCGTCCTTATAGTGCTCATCTCTCATTTTTCGGAACTCAGTGGCAGTACAAGATTCCCCACCGCCACTGCCTTCTGGAGCACGAGCGGGAGTGGGTGGGTCCGGCACAAAGAGATGTCCATGAGTGAGAGCTCTCGGCTGATATGTGAGCAGCAGATTTTTTTCGTTGAAAGTGGCTCGTCGAGCACGAGACATCCACTGACCAAATTTTTTGAACCAAATTAACAGCATGAACGTGGAACAGATAGTTAACGGGTGAGTGAGAAGAATTGGAATATTACTTTGGAAAGTCACGATGGCCATAATATGGATTACTGCGGCGTATGTGAAAATGACGCCAACGGACGAAAGAAATCGAACACTTTCGAATCTAAAAAGCGCTCCGAAGGAGTAGGATAGCTTCGAACTCACTGCATCTTTCAGCACTTTAGTTAGGAGTTCGCAAAGAAGAGGAATCCGCAAAAGATGAAAATGAATACCAGACACCGGTGAAAAGGAGAACAAATACTGCCACGCTTTTTAAGCGATGGTTTCACGTATTCAATTTAACAATACCACGTTTTAAACTTAATAAACAGTTTTTTACTGAACGGATGAATTGAGAGAGAACAGAATTTGAGTATCGAAAAAACATGGAAGATCCGTAAAGGAATGACATGTGAGAGATAAAACAAGAGACGTGCATAAATATTAAAACGGCGAAAAGCGGGAAAAACATCGAGGAAAATACAAAAAATTACAAATTTTCATGACGATATGAATTTCTTAAGTGAATCGTAGAACTGACGATGGATCTGCATAAACTTCGGATAGTCCTCGGGTCTAACGATATCTTCGTTGTAGTACATGTCTTCGGATGGCCGACGAAACTTTTGTAGAGGACGGGGTGCCCGTTCAGGAGTCGTTGTATTGTTGTTGACTTCGAGGAGCCGTTGCTCAAGAAGCGAAATTCCCGTCTGAAAAAGATAGGTTCGCACAGTAAATTTATTGGAATGTAACCGTGATAGTTTGAATATCGACGACATGCTTCAAAAAAGTGTGAATGATGTGATCGATCTTGAAAGTCACAACTGTGGTCCGTTTCCCACTCAAAAGTGCTCCACGCCTGAAAATTTCTTTCATAAAAGAATATTGAACAATTTGCATACTTGCTCAACCGTTTAAGTTTGTCGGCGACCTCATCGTCAAGTGAATCTTCTTCGTTCGAACAAATGTCCACAGGAATGACACACGACCAAATTTTTACAGGAATATCCACTCCAGGTGGCATGACTACAGTATATGCCAGAGCGTTTCGGTCTTCTTCGGAAAGCACTTCAACGCATCGTTGAAGGGCAGTTGCAAGGGATTTATAAGTGTATGGAGTGAGGCATTCGACGCCACTCAGTCCGCGCGATTCCACCTTATTATTGAGTTGAGCCATTCTAAAAAAAAATTTAAAGCAAGAAAAGAAGAAGAATTCATACTTTTCAAACGTTTTAGGCTCGCAGGATTTGAAAAACATCATGAGAACAGACGGATTTCCACTTGTCAACTCAATGGTCTTCTGCAGAATGTCCTCCTCCCTTTCAATGTTAGGCATAGGCATTCCGTAAGCTTCTAGCATGTCGTAGCACTCTTCCGGCTCCATCGGCGTCACTTCTACAAATTCACACGTGGGGGAAGCTGTATTTGAGATTTCCACGTCGCGAGTGGTAACCAGACAACGGAGACGCAACTCTTGAGCCCATCTGATAGTTTCTTCTTGAACGACGTCGTCTAGGACGAACAAAGTGTTCGGGCGATCAATCAAAGCGTTCACAATCTACAATGTGATTGGTTTCAAAGTTTTTATAAATGTTTCAGGAAATTCGACGCAACGCTCACCATTTTTTTGAGCACGACAGATGTGACGTGTTCCATGGAAGGGAAATTGTAGAGATCGTCTTCGCTTCTTGAAAGAACACGGTTAATGAAGTCGGGCACCGAGTGCGAATCATCCGTATCGCACACAAGACAAGCCCGTCTAAACGGACAACATGCAAGTGGAAAAAGCAACAAAAAAGGCATGCTTTTATCAACGGTGTGTTTGGAGATACGTGAATAGAACTTACTTGAGCATGAGCAAAAGATCTGAAAACAGTGCGAACGTGGATTTTGCGGTGGTTCCGCCGTCATGGAGCCAAATAACCGAATCATAATTGCTGAAAAGGATTCTTTCATTTTCACCTTAAACATTTTCTTACATTCCGATGAGTTGATCCGATTTGGAGAGTGCTTGAGCCGCAATAACTGACTTCCCAGAGCCAGCACGCCCGTGGATGAAGAGAAAAAATGAGTCCAAATCGCACATTTGGTCCAATCTTCCTACGATTCTATCCACGAAATATTCTCGAGTGAACTCTTTCAAACTATGCGGCACGTTTCCCATGAGCAATTTTCGGTCGAGCATTTGTCGCGAGAATCTCGGAGCAATTACAACTGGACGCAGTTTTTCTGGTTCGTTAATTGCGAAGTATATATAATCCTCAAGAAAATTTGCTAGATGGCTTTGATTGTTGTAGAGAAAGAACTCTATGAGCGGGCCTATTTCGGAAGCCTGGCGACGGTAAGCTCTCATAAAGTTGGCGATTCTCTCGAGCCGAGTTGGCATGTTGCTTATGAGATCCGTGTGATCTTCGGTGAAAATTTTCTGACCTTCCAAGTAAGTTAGTGCGTCGCGTGGCTCAAAATCTTGAATGAGCATTGTGTGAGCCGCGTTTAGGGCTCTACACTCGATCTCGCACAGCATTCTGAGAAAAGACAATGGCTAAGAGGCGGAAATGACACGGATGACGAATAAATGAATATAAGGGCCGATAAAACGGAAAATTAGTAGTATGAATTGAAAAAAAATGAAAAAGGATGAACCAAATGTTTATCGTACAAGAAAATGAGACATTTTTTAAAGTTCATTCTTCCTGGATTCAAGCACCCTTGTCTTTTCCTTTTTGTTTCTTTATTGTAACTCGGCCTTCTTCTAAATCTTCCAGTGTCGCAGATATCTGTCTTGTATCCCAGTTCTGAAAATCTTTTGTATTTAAATATTCTTTACTAAATTGCGCTTGGAGCTAAAAAAGTCCTATAGAATTATCATTATTCTTTCCAAATTTTGGTCGTGGGGTCTCGTTTTCTCTGATTAAGTTTCGGCGTTTCTCAAACATCCCGCACCTATGAACAAGACTGTCGAACCGAGCTGATTTATTGTTTTTCACAACTGTTAGAAAGTTCATGTGTTCACAAGACTTTTACAATCTCGCTGACGTTCGAATGCGGCTGTGTTTGTTTGATTCTCAGAACTCCTCCGTTAGAAAGTTTACGTGTTCATTTCCAAAGACTAATCAAATGATAATTCTTATGCTATCTTCCGTTGTCTGGTCACTTTTTCATATTTAAGACAGAGGTAAAAGTGACAGAGAAATTAAGAAATAAACACGTGAACTTTATAACGGTTGAGAAGCGCTATAAAGCGCTGTTATTCAGAACTTTAAGACATGAGTTGCATGATAAGGAAATATATTCATCTCTCACCAGTTTTCCGTACCTTGACGCCCTTTAAATGAATCATATGATCATTGACGATATCGATTTTGGCAAGAAAATCTCCAAAGGCGCTGTTCTGCGCGTAAACGTCCTCTCCATGCTTGAAAGACTTACTGTCTATCATTAGCTTTGGTTTCTGAATGGAGACAGTATAAACTGCTCTCTTCTTGAGATCCGTCTGATTCAGAATATTTAAATCCTGCCGGATGCGATCGTCATCGAACGCCAATTTGAAATTCATTTCCGGAATTCGCGTGCTTGCATTATGAGTGAAGTAACTGTTCGGCTCCACGAGTTGACCGCCGCCTCTTCCTCTTAACGTCTTTTTGTTCACTTCTGGATTCAGAGGTGCCGCTTGCGGTTTGTTTATATCGACTACTCCGTACTCGTGAATCGCCGCCTTTTCCAGTTCTTCACTGCGCATTTTCGCTTCCTTGAACAGTTGTGCAATTGTAGTCTCGCACACTTTCTGAATTTCCCCTTCATTTTTCTCGAGATCTGTCGTGGCGCGTAGTTCTGCTCTTTTCCGATGACACTTTATCCTATCTTCCTGTATCAAACGATATTTGTCGATATTTTGTAAAACAGTTCGTAACAGTGGATGATCATCTTGAAGATTAAGAAAATAGTGAATGCAATAACAAAAAATTATACCTTTCTGCAACAACATTAGCTCTTCTATAAGCTTCTCTGCCGGCATACAACGAGCTCGTTTTATGAAATCTGCAGAATTTTTATTTCGATTTAGCCTTATCATTCTCTAAGTTATGAGAACTCACTATCATCGAATTCCACGTTGGTTGTAATTGAAGTTCTGGCAGTTCGACCTTCCTACAACAGTGATAATCACAAACGGTCAAATTGTTACCTCTTACCATGTCGATGCTTTTTTACCGACCTTCGCCTTCAAATAAAATGTTCTAAATTTTTATAACTTTGGCATGAGCGAATGGAGTCTATAAATATATTTATGTAGATTAAGCAGCACAAAATCGTTTGAAAAAGGGTAGCTTAATCTCCCTAAGCCTAGAGTGATTCAAATTGGCGGGCCCGGCCGGGTAGTCCAAATGTCGTAAAATTGCGCACACTGCCGACCGTACACTCACAGTGTTTGCAGACATCTTGAATAAAAGACATTTCTCCGGTAAAACTCTTTTTCAATTCGGCCTATGCGTTTCAATCGGAATTGTTGCCATTATTTTCCTTGCTTTTTCTTGTTTTTTGGCCAATAATGTCACCGCGGAAGCACGCCCAGTGTTTCCAGCTGAACGCTGAAGTTGAAGACGTACAAAAGTGCATCAAGCTCGGACATCACACGTTCATTGTGTTGAGAGGAGTCAGTGGATCAGGAAAAAGTAGTTTTGCTCAGTAAGCTGGACCATGTCTATGCAACAAAATGCTCAATTTCCAGGCGATTAATCGTGCTCTCGCAGAAATTCATTATTCACTCTTCGGATAAATGTAACGCACAGAAACTCACAAAGTTGGGTTAGTTCTTGAAATTATTTTCAAAAAAAAAAAGCATCGACGACTTTTTTATACTTTCAGTTCGTGAATCTCTAGAAAGTTACATAAATTTGATCATTGTCGACGACGAAAACTACGAAAGATCGACGGTAAAAAAACTGGCAGATATGGCGATCAGTCATACGTACGAGTGTTATGTGCTCGAGCCTCCATCCGAACACAAATACTCGGCCGAAGAATGTTCAAGGTGCGTTAACAATTTTCAAATAGTACAGAGACAGACTGTTCAGGAATAGTCTACGTGGAGAATCTGTAGAAGTGATTCAGGCAAAGATTCACGAAATTCAAAAAACTCCCATCAGTTGGGAACATTTAATACAGGGAGGCGAGAAAAATGTGGAGTGAGTAACAATTGAAAAACAGTTGAAAACAAGAATCGAGGCACTTTTTCATGTCTAAAACAAAACCATTTGTGATGGAGAAATTAGAGAAATGATTACGTGATTTTTTAACGGCTGAAAATCTAACAAGCGATGAATCTGTAACGGACTTATCCGTTACCGAGAAGTTCGGCCCGCGCGGCGGGCCCAATATCTAAAAAGTAATGTGATCAAATGTTTGCTTAAAGAATCTCCCCGTTTCATGACGACGACGACGACGACAGAGATGATCATGATCATTATAATGACGGCGCCATTCCGAATTCACTTATTTCGTCGGTCTACAACAACAGCCGAAATTCAATAGAAACTCCCTCTAGCTCATCGACCAATTCCATCAATCAATTCTTCTCGATGTTGCCTCAGATGAAGACCAAAGCGACAAGAACCGTTGGAACCTGTGTGACCGTCAATGATCGTAAGTTTTCTAAAAAAGAACTTCGGGTTAATATTTAATTTTTCAGTAGTGCAAGGATTAGCCGGCGTTGAAGTAGGCACGGGGAAACTGGAGGTTGGAGAAGAAACAGTGTCTCCATACGTAGAAAAGTCTGGAATTCGAATGGTGACGCGTTGTGAGCAAGCGCCAGTTCCGGAGAAAACGAGAAATGGCGAAGTCATCGTACAGCCATTGGTTAGAGGGAATTTCTCGGACATCGCAATAGTAATGCTCCATGCTTCATTCCCAGACACCAACCTTTCTGTCGTCCATCATCTTCTCCAGTTGGACGGATTCGCGAGTGCTTACCAGCAACTACAGATTCTGGGCCATACTCAAGCGGAAGTGACTGAGCTTATCGACGATGGAATACAATATGAATTTATTTGTGACGAGGAGAGCATGTCGCTATCGAATTTGTCAGCTAAGGAAGAGTTGGATAATAGGAGAGTTGAAAGATTGACTCTGAGGCTATATGAAAACGGTGAGTTTCTAACAGCTCAAGAAACCATATCAATTTTATGGAGAAAGTTTAATATTTTCAGCTTATTTGAAAGAAACTGCGAACGACGAGGAAATTGCTCGGTCAATACAAACCGAATTTAATAAAGAATATGAGGACAGCCAGCAGGGCGTGAGCATAGCGGGAATTAATAAACTTCGAGCCATGTTCCCCCGCACCGAAATCGGCGAGATCTTTGGTGCTATCGAAGCGGCCAGCCACAACTTCGATACAGCAGTGCGTATCCTTTTAAGCGAGGGAAAGTATTTGCAGCAATCTGTTCAAAATGCCGAACGTTCGTGGAAGGGAAAACTAATGTCGTCATTCAAATTGCAAGCAGTGCCGGATCTTCACGCGAAACAAACAGAGAAAGAGAAGAAAAATCACTTCCTGAAGTCAAAAAGTAGCAGTGCGAACCTCGAAAATGTGCAAGCCGTTGTGATTGAGGAAAGAAAACGCCTGGAAGCGGAAAGGCAATCGCGAATGAGCTCGAGTGGGACTGGAAAATACAAAGAAACAGCGAAAGCCGCAGAGATGTGTCGGATGCGAGAAACAACCGCAACGAGGCTCCATAACATTGACAAAATGCTCCGGGATGCGCACAGAAATCCATGGAATCTTGACCTTCACTACATGTCTGTGGACGGCGCCAAGGATCTGGTGGCGCAGGCCATCGAGGCCGTCAAATTCCATTTAAGAACCAGTGAGTGAAAAATTGGCCCCAAGAAATGAATTTTTTCTTTTACAGACAAAAAAACGTCAAACCGAATTCTTGTGGTAACAGGCTCTGGAAACAATTCGAGATTCGGAGCTCGCATCAAGCCGGAAGTGGCCTCGATGCTATGGACGGAGGGAATCGGATTCGAGGCAATCAACGACGGATGCATTATGATTGTGATCAAGCTTTAGAAATAATATTTCACCCTCGTTCACGGTCTTCACAAGAGGGTATGGAGTATGTTTGAATTTCCTTTCGAAATCACTGTGAATCGTCTATCTGGGCCGCGCGCCCAATTTTCATTTCTGGAAATTTTTTGTATCATTTCCCATCTTAGATTTTTAGAATTCTTCATTTTCGTTTAGCTGTTTTAGCTATTTCATTATGTATTCTTTTTTTAAACCCTTTTCTTTTTAGTTACACTGTGCCATCTATGCAATCCGGTATTATCGTCGTCCTCTTGTTAGCAAATCTCGGACCACTTTTGCATTTTTTTTTCTCTATTATTCATTTATATCCTCTGTCGATGTTTTGTTTCAATTTTTCAGACTTGTTATTATCTTCATGGCGTTCGTGTTCGATATTCCCCTCACTCCTTATGATCAATTCATATTTCCTATACCAAAAATTTATAAATAAATTTAGAAAATTTATAAAACTTGTTCAAGTTCGTTCCTCACAGATCAACAACAGAAACGCTAACTTTACGATGGAGTGCTAAAAAGTTTCCGAAAAGTTATTGTGTTCGGAAAATGTATATAGATCATCGGAAAACATTTGATCTGATAGAAATGCGGACGCTTCTACTCCTTGGATCTTTATTTGTAATCGGTTAGCTTATCGGCCACACAAAATCGAAAGAAGATTATTTTTTAGGTCACGTGTTTAAATTCGAAAGTGATTCGTCTAGTGAGGAAGAATTTAGATCTGAATCACACTCTAGCTCTTCTCATTCATCCGATTCCGTTGAAGGGAATGGAAGAGGAAGGAGCGGAGAATTTAGATCTGAATCACACTCTAGCTCTTCTCATTCATCCGATTCCGTTGAAGGGAATGGAAGAGGAAGGAGCGGACGATCCAGAATAAGCTACGTTCCAGTGAGAATGACCTACTGTGACAACGGATGGACTCGAGTAAACAGAACTATCGGCGGATGGTGTGTCCGAGTTTATCAGGGAGTGTACAACCAGGAACAAGCCGAGTCAGCTTGTAACCGGCTCGGTGCAGTTCTATCGAGCATTGAGACGAGCGCAGAGAGGCTGACGATTGCGGACTTGGGGACGACGTATATGTCGATCTCGTCTGGGTGGAAGTACGGAACTCTTCGACTGGGTATTGTAAGAGCGACAACGAGTAGTGTAAGTCAGTACTCTCAAAAAAGTGGGATGGATCACACACATGTAACCCCCGTGTGATCTTTACACATGGAAAATAGTCGGATCTTTAAACTTCTCTATAAACTCGATTGCAATCTAATTAGAAGAGTTTGCAATCTAATAAGAAAAAGCTCTATTTCGCAATCTAATTAGATTTAATTGAAGTTCCAGTAAAATCGTATTAGATTACAATATATTTTTCCTGAATTGCAATCTAATAAGAATCAATTGCAAACTAATTAGAAAACATTGCAATCTAATTAGAAAAATTGCAGTGATTGTAATCTAATTAGAAGATTTTGCAATCTAATTGAAGCAAATTCTATTTCAAACGAGTTCGTATTAGATTGCAAAGTTTTCTAATTAGATTGCGATTGAGTTCCCAGAGTTCTAACTTCTCCCATTTCAGCCATTCGTCTCCACCGATCAGCATACATCGGGTACTGCAGGATTAACGTGGAGTCCCGGGGAGCCAAATGGAGGAAGCACTGGGTAAGACAATTGTTCGGTTATTTGTTTTTACCTATCATGTAGATTTCATTTTCAGTGGTTATTCCCATAACTGTGGAATGATGTGGTTGTGGGTGAATGGTGGCGGGACAGTCAGAGGAGCCGCCACTCGAATTCCGGGAACTCTCTTCACGATGACCTGCCCAATCACGTGGAACGATCGGTTCCGAGGATTCGTCTGCGGAAAACTCGCGGTCTAATCGAACGTTCTGTTTTGATGAAATGTTTATACACTGTTTTTTGAAGCTACCCGACGAATTAATCTGCAGATGGTACTGATATCGAAGAGTCTTTCTGTGCCATGATTCTGATCAGTGAGCCTAGCCGAATTTTTTTTCCGAAAAGTGTTCGAAAAAAGACTACGAACAATTTTCCGTGCAGAGTTTTCATGCTTTCGGGATTTTATTGCGCGCGGTTAAAAGTATATAAGAAGCCAACCTTCACTAAACATTTTGCAGAAAGCAATGCGTCTTTTACTGACAACTCTTCTTTTCGTTGCATTCTTTGCACTTGGTGACCGTCTACCAAGTACTGCAACTATAATCGTTAATTTTCTAGTGGTGGGTATGTACTTCGATGGACCGGACTCCAGTGATGAGTCTTCTAATGAAGGTGGAAAAGGCGGAAGAAGAGGCAGTGGTGGACGAGGTGGAAACAGACCTCCTCCACGTCCTAGATCACCACCGGCAAGGCCACCATCATCACGATCTCCAGCTTCACGATGCCCTGCCGGTTGGACTCTTGTTCATCGGCGCATCGGAGGATGGTGTGTCCGAATTTATCAGGGAGTTTACAACCAGGTACAAGCTGAATCAGCTTGTAACGGAGTCGGTGCAGTTCTCTCGGGAATTGAGAGTGCGGCTGAACGGCAGACAATTGCGGAACTTGGAAAAACATTAATGACAACTAGTTCGGCGTGGAAGTATGGTACTCTTCGATTGGGACTCTCCCGACCCTCCCTCAACAGTGTTAGTTTATATAACAAAACTCTCGGAATCGTTCATTCACTATTTTTGTTTTAGAAATGAACGGTGGCCGAATAAACGGAGAAAGAAAGAAAGAAACGGTCCGTATATACTCAATTTTCCGCTCTTGCCCCCAAGGTGATTGCGTACTCAAGCCTAATTTCAGAAAATTTGGCTTGAGTCTGCAAACACCGAGGGGCAATAGCGACGAATTGAGTTTAACTTTTTCTAAACTAAGACTGAGATGATGGTACCCCCAAGACTTTTATGAATAAGAATGATAGTAAAAATGACAAACTTAAGTTCACATTTGAATTTTCAAGGATTTCGCCTGGTCTGATCCGAACGTCTCCGGATGGGCAGGTATTGAATGGAGTCCTCTGGAACCGAGTGGAGGAAGCACTAGGTGAGCGAGTGAGACAGGTCACTCGCTCACTCGATGTTATTATTTTTTAGTGGATACGGTCATAACTGTGGACTGATGTGGCTGTGGGTTCCGGGAGGTGGAGCAGTCTACGGAGCCAGTACAAGAATACACGGAACTCTCTTCTCAATGGTATGCCCCATTACGTGGAACGACCGATTCAGAGGGTTCGTGTGCGGTAGACGTGCCACTTAATATATGGCTGTACAGTTAATAAATGTTTATGCCTTTATTCTCTTTTCATCGTTTTAACTGTTGTTATTATTCAGTTCTTTTTCAATTGCATCATTGCTAATCTCAATCTGCCAGTTGATTAGTAACTGATGAATGTGCTCTTTCAATGCTTCCACGTTTGCCACGTATTGCTTACTGGCTTCATCTCTCGAGAGCCCTGAAACAATAACAAGACTATTTAATTAAGGTGTTTTAAGCGCTCACCTCTCAATCTGTTCCAAGCATGCCACTTCTCATTCCCATTTATCCACTTCCACATCCACGAATTTTCTCCTTCGTCGATCTCCATATAGTTTAATTCTGAAAATACTGCGCTGCCCGCAAATAGTACCTCAGAAATGTTTTCCTCACTCGGCAAATTGACGTCACCGGCGGTCGCTTGTTGATAGAGCGCCCAAATGTGTCTCGTGTGGTTTTCGAATTTTGTGAAAATTTCAAACTCATGCTTGACCACTTTACGCTGTACGAAACGCGCACGTATCCGTTTAAAGTCTTCCATGGCGCTCTCCATTCTAAATTCAATTTTGTTGATGAAGGATCTATGTAACAGTAACATATTTATCGGTGTCTCGGGGAAAGTGAATTTCGTTCTACAGCAGAAGTGACGAAAAAGGAAAACAGAGAGACGATAATGTGTGAATGTGATCTGACGGAGAAGAGGAATGGACCCAAGTAGAGAATTGGCTCGAATTTTCCCCGTCATCTCCGTCGTCGCATCATTCCAGCCAACGGTCCGTAGTCGGCAGCGGCTCTTTTGTCTTCTGCAATATGATTATAGCTAGTTATCGTGAATGTACAATAGTGAACGATTTTAATTTCCTTTTAATTTTATTATATTCTTAGTAGGCTTTGCATAGTTTTCTTACTGTAGACAAACCTTGGAAAAGTTGTTGATAGGCTTGAAGTTGATTGATGGCGCGGCTCAATGAAGACGGCTTCCAGTTGGAGAGTCCGAGTGGGTCTCGGAGCACGTTGCGCATCACTGAAGTTCAAAAGATAATTCAGTCGAGCAAGCTTTAGTCTGGGTTGGAACTCACGCAAACATCCCTCGCCGTTTTTATTGCATGCCGAGCTGGTGGAAACGAGCAGGACGGCAGACAGAAGAAGTGTTCGCCACATGGCTATCATCCGTTTCTGAAAAAAATTATTGAAACTGAATGTCCACCTCTTACAAATAAAACTTATGGAATTTTTTCAGAGATAAGAGTAGAATATGAAAGTTAATATAATTGACATTTCAAAAAATCTAAAACTTGATTACTGAAATCAAAGTATTCATAGAAATTGTAGGAGGAATAGAGGGAACCTAGAGGAATAGAGGGAATCGAGAGGGAACTGGTCTGAATAAAGTGTTTAGAAACCTCGCCAAGGCAATACAAAAGTGCCCCGAACTAAGGAGATTTGGATGACGGTATTAGATGGCACCTGAAACCGTTAACAAAAATGTGCGTAGGTTTCATGGAAGACTAACTCACGAATATATCCAATATGAAAACCAAAATTAAGAATTCTTTGAATATTTCATCAGGACCTTCGGGTGTCCAGACAAAAAATGGTTTTGGTGGCTAGACGAGGAGAAAATTTACAAGACTTGGTCAAACTTCCCGAAAACGTATAATACCAGTTTTCTCAAACAGACAATTGAACTTTTTAGTTACGGAAGTACTTCATTGTCGTTTTTCGTAGTAATTCGTTTCCCGCAACATGTCGTTTCAGTGGTCGCAGCTCATTGCGTATGCATCGGTAATTCGTTTCGTTCTTAAGCTGGCAATCAATATCATTTTTTGGTGTTTAGCCGGAGCCGAACTCATTAATCAAAAAACAAATACAACGAGGCCTAGATTGTGAGAAGACAATGTTCAGAATGTTCAAACGAAATACGGCTCAACAGATTTTGAGCGTAAATGAGCACAAAACAGAGATATGCTTCAATGAAATGAGGGACAAACGAAGTCAATTAGACTGTCCCCGGTCACTCAATTTGTGATTTCGTTTGCTCAGAATTTCTCACGAGACCAAATATGAATTCTCACATTGTCAGGATCCAAAGAGACTAATACATGTGAACTGAAGATCACTAAAGTGGGCTCAGATACAATTTTTCAAAAGTCTTGTCTGTGTGATCGATCCTCTTAAGAATACTGCTCAGTAAATCAGAATTCAATTTTGACTATTAGAAAAAACGAAATTTTCTTGGAACAAATATTCAATTTAACATCGACGATTCCGAGAAGATCACCTCGTCTCTTCTCATTTGTCCGACTGATTTGAGTTCCATGTCGAGCTCCCTTCACAAGCCCCACCCCTTTTCGAAAAGCTCATATCGAATTCGTCTCTCTTCATCAGCATCAGCATCATCCTCATGTATACAGCCAGAAACGAAAAAAAAGAATGCAAGATGTCATGTTCTCCTTCTTCAAAAACTTTTTATTATTCGAATTTCTTCGCCGCGCGCGCGCAATTTCTACTGGAATGCAGAAAAACAATGAAAGTGAGGGGAAAATAATACAAACAGTAGACACAAAAATTCTTTGACATTTGACTCTGCTGAAGAATGACCAAATAGCAGATAGAAGAACGAGAATTATTGAAGAAGAGTGAGACCCATACTGAATCATAAGTTTTTGGGTTCTCGTTACACTTGAATTCACTTGAATTCAGGGCTGGGCAATTGGCCGACCCGGGCCTTTCGTTGGAATTCCCTTGACCTGAACCTTTGCACCACTTACAATATTCCGATCGGACCTAAACTTTTTAGGCTTCTTGGACATGGGTTGAAGCATACTGGGACCAAGTTTCAGCCCGATCGGATCGTCGGGTCCCGAGATATGTGGATCATTGGCCGAAATTGGCCGGAGGCCAGGGCTTTTTGGAAAAAATCGGCCAATGATCCACATATCTCGGGACCCGGCGATCCGATCGCGCTGAAACTTGGTCCCAATGACCCCTAATCTAAGTCCAACAATCCTGCAAAGTTTGGGCCAGATCGGAATACTGCAAGTGGTTCAAAAGTCCAGGTCAAGAGCCGGCCAACGAAAAACCCGGGCCGGCCAATTGCCCAGCCCTGCTTGAATTACTGTACTTCTGAAATCCTAACGAAGAGAAAGTTTTCAAGTTTCTCGAATATTATGCAGTTCCATAATTATCATTATTATGCTGACTCAAAGTGCTCGAGTGGATACTTTTGAATGAAACAATTCAAAGTGAAACCGAGAAAATGTAACTAGAGGGGACTCAAGTAGTTGAGATAAATGAATAATTGAGTAATAAATAGTGAGTGTAAGTAATTTCGAAGGTGTACTAATACACACACGTATACAGTGTATATACTATACACACTGGTCCACTAGGAGACTGCCCGCAACATTAGTTCTTCGATTCTAAGAAGATATCGAAGAACGCCCGAGGATACTCGTCCGGTTATATGGGATCCAACGTCTCGTCTTAAAAAAGGGTAGTCGTAAAAATGAAAATAGTGACTTCTACAGAAAGCGACTTTTCAGTTTACTGTAGTTCAATCCAAAACGAGTATTATCCATTCGCTGTCCTCCTTACTCACTCGCACCTTTCTTAAACACGCTTATCATCTCCTTCTGCGTATCCTTTCCTTCTCTATGCCAAAATCATCAAGTTTCGATCTATTCGATTACACCGTCAACGTCACAATGAGACATTTTTCTACGTTTTTATATATTTCCGGAGCTTTGCTCGTAGTCAATGGGCAACAATCTAACAACAGTATTACTCTTCAAGTTATCAAGTGCAACTTTCCAATATTCCAGGTCCTTTCGATTTTCCGGAAGAATTAGAAGAGGAGGAAGAGGAGAAGAGTTTGGAGAAGGATATTTTGGTGATCCCGAACCGATTCCCTAAGCGGTTGAACTGGTTCTGCAATCCGCGAAACGAACTTATGAGAGATCGGCTCTGCATGGGCGAGATTGACGCGTTTGCACTTGCGTGTGCCGACGACTCTCCTCCGATCCAGTTGGTACCGTTTTGTTTGGGTTACAAAGTAAGTGAACCGGTAATACTGAATTCATTTTTTATTCAAAAACCAAAATCTAGAAGGTTTCATCTATCTGCTACTTTTGGGCGAACTTTTTTGTTCGACCTTGCTCTTCTGCTCGTTTCGACTATTCGATGATTTAGTGTTCTCTGACTTTAACCTTTGATTTTTCGAAATCGACTCCTGCTGCTTCTGTGAGCTCTTCTGCGGATTGTTTTTCTCTTTCCGCTTCTTTGGCGGCGGTGCAGCACTCGAGGATGAATGCTGAGTCGAAGCGGTGGCTTGAGCCGTAGCCGAGACTTTGTTAGTGGGTCGTTTTTCAATCCAAACGGGTTTCCATGGTGGCTTCTCATTGTATTGGGTGAATCCTTCCCTGAGAGCGGCAGTCAACTGACTGTACGGCTTATTTTTGAAACCGTTGCCAATGACTTGAGTAATTTTGAAGAGTTGTGGAGGAAGTTTAGCGGAGTTATTCTTGAAAAAATCATCAATAGAAGACCAGAACGCGATCTTGGATGCTAAAGTCTCCGACTCTTCTGTCAACTTTTTCCACGGCAATCCTATAAACCTGGAACAAAAATGGGAATGTTTTCAAGAAAAGTGACTCACATATCCAAAAGCATATAAAACCAGCTCTCAATATCCATAATTACATCAGCAGTCACTGGCTCCGATATAGCTTTGTGAGCAGTCCTAGAAAGGAACGGAAGGGTGAGCGCATCAGGAGGAGACAACATTTTTTTCTCTCCGATTGGGCACGCATCTCCGAAGTCACAGAGCCACCAATCTCTGTTGAATTCGATACTCAGCAGCAAGTTGGTTGGTTTGATGTCCCGATGAACAAGCAAGTGTTCGTGGCACTGCTTGATTCCAATCATAGCCTCTTGACCAATGTAGAAGGCGTCAGACCACGGAACTTTGCACTTGATTTCCTGGCGGATCTTTTCCAGGTTGGCATCCATCACTGGCATAAGAAAATAAGGAGCTCCGCCGGCTGTTCCGAACACGGGCATCGGAGTAATCTTGGTCGGCATTGGCACGTCCTTCAGTTTTCCTGGTCTGCTCTTATCCTGCAGATAGCGAAGAGTCGCAATTTCGTTTTCGATCCGAGCAGAGGCATACATACGGCGACTCGCTTTCAAAATCATTGGCAGTCCGGTTTCCAGAGGATCTCTAGAAAAAAAAAACCTACTTTGCCAGAAGTTCGTCACTAACCCTTCTTTATCTTTGGTGTGTCTTGTAATTAAGTAGATGGCTCCGAACCGCCCGTGAGCCCACAGTACCACCATTTCTAAATGATCTCCTTGTCCAACTTCATTGTGCTCACTGCAATTTTACACGGTAATCTTGTCAGTCTCATCAATTCATTACTCGTCACAGTCGACCACGTTTCCCAGCTCAAGACTAATACCGCCACGCATTTCTCCGTTCTTCAACAGGCTAAGCTCAAGAGCTTTGAGCTCGTCTGGTGTCAATTTTAATTCGGGAGTCACAAGATCAGGCCGGTCTGCTTGAATCACACGGAGGGCAAAGTCTTTGGGGTCCGGTTTCGTGTTGAAAACTTGTCCTAGCAACTGAAAGATCACATAGGTTGAAATTAACGTTGGGTCTCACTACCGTCTCTTTTGTTTCTATCACCTCCTTGACCTTGCTATCCTCGCTGTTCTGACTGGATGGTTGTTCTCTTCTACTCTTGCTCATTTTGCTCTTTTTACTCCGCTTGCTCCGTTTACTGTTCTTTTTGCTTTCGACAGGACTCTCAGTGACAGGTCCCGAATTGCTGGACTTGCTCGACTGTTCTGTTTCTTTCTTCTTTTTTTTCTTTCCAAATGCATTTTTCAACTTGTCAAACAGTATACATGGGCACATAATAGTTCTGAAAAACGATCAGAAAAGAAGTAGAAAAACTCTAGGGAAAATGATACTTTTAACTAACTTTTGTTTCCCAGAACAGAGAAAAATAAAATTGCAATGCAGGAATAACCTTAAAAATTTGGAAATTGTTTGGAAAATGTCATAAAGGTCACGTTCAGATGTTTGTTTTTCAGCATCAATGTGCGAATTCGAATTACCCTTCTGAAGATTGGTGCGAGAAAGAATACGATCATTACGAAAAGTACTGTACGCACTGCGAAAAGAATCCGTGCATTTCCTTTACTCACGACCTGGATTGCTATTGTGAACCATATGATAATTTGTGGAGACGCTTCGGATATGAGACGGCCCGTTGGTGTCAAAAGTACGAATTGACGTGTGATGAGAAAACGAGAAGAGAGAAAGGATCGGAACTCGTGCAGCTCATGCAAGACAGAATCAAAGTGCACTATCGCTGTCTCCATTTATACAATCTGCCGCATGTTATTTGCGATCCCTTTTCGACCAGATTCGATTGGTATAGGTGCATGAAGGTTACTGTACTTCTGAATATTTTTGTAAAAATTTTGTTTCAGTTTCTGTTTGATTGCGAGTTGATCTCGGATTGGAATGACGATGATTACGATGAAGCGGGAGTTATTAGTGAAGATGAAGAAAAGACACCGCAGAAACCAGATATATCTAAAGTAAGTGAAGCATATTTGAGCATGTTTAGCTCACCTATTACAGCCAATCTCTTCTATTCCGGAGACTTCGATTTCTGATCAGGCTGAAACACTTTTGAAGGGAGGTCTTTCCAAACAACAACTCAAAGATAACGCCGCAATTAGGGAGAAAGAGAAAGAACTGGAGTCTGTACTCAAGAAACCATAGCGGACAAGAACTGACATATTCCTTTTTTCTTTCTTTGCAAGTCCTTGTTATCATCGAAACGAAAAGAACACGATAGTCTTCTTTTTCCTGTTGTTTGAACGAAGACATTTCTTTGATTGAACGATCGGCGAGTTCAGAGTACACCAAGTCCGGTTCTGATTGGCTGACACCTTCTTGTCTTCTGTTCCTATATTTGGATGTAAGAAGAAGACAAAGGAATCGCGTAGGTGGAGAGATGACGTAGCCCGAGAAAAGTTCGAAAACTTACACGCAAATCATGTTTGATGAAGCATGCTTCCTTTGTTCGCGGAGGAGGCAATTGAATAGTGGATGAATTTTGACGTGCATAAGATATTGCTCATCCAATGATTTCTGACTAAAGGAACAAAAACGTTAAAATAGAAGTATACGTCGGGGTGGAATTCAGACTTATAAAAAACTCAAATGTATCGATACTGAAAATAGATGTGATTCTTAAATCATCATTATCAAAATCAGAGGTTGCCATAAATCAAAACTCTCTCAAATCAGAACTGCCCCCATTCACAGCTCTTTCCTAATCAGTACAGATTAGCACTGCAAAAAGTTCTAATTACGAACATTTTATGACAATATTCTGATTAGGGGCAGGGTTTTGATTCTGTCTCATTAAGTTAAGGTTCCACAAGTGTATAATCTACTTAACCTTGGATTCCCCATCATACATTTGGTGAGGTAAAGTCTGATCTAGTAGCGTCCGGAATGCATTCTTACACAATCATAAAAATGACAGCTTTTCAATTATCAAGTGTCTTTTCAGTATATCTCCATTTGCTGTCCAAGAGACATGTATTCACTACCATCAACAAAATCGCAATAAATTACTTGAACCGGACAGTGATCGACCGAAATAATCTGTGCGCCTCGGCCGATTCATCTCTCAACTGTTGGCGATTCTCGGTTCGAAACTTTGTGTTTCGACGTCATTGAACTACGGCAAACCGATAAACGGCGGTAGAGATAGATGGTCGTCCATCGATCAGTCCTCTTCCTCTATCCCTTTTCTCTCTGTTTGATGGTCAGAATCGAAACAAAAATTCAACAAATGAAGGGACGAAAAAGCGATTAATCTTTTCCACACACATTTCAACGTGATGATAGTCCTGAAGAAAAAGAGACAGTCTTCGATTTGCCGACTTGGAAAGTTTGCATGGGATCGGCATGTTTTCGCGTTTAACAGCAATAAAAATTGTGAAAGAATGGAAACTGGAAGGATTTGATGATGACAAAACCATTTGATGTTGTTGTTAACGGGGTCAGATGTTGTTAAATAACGGGTTCGAACATAATGAAACTTTGCTCCTAACAGACATAACAATCATGCAGAGGAGGTGGGATCTGAGAGTCCGAGTTTGCAGACATTTTATCGGGAAACGCAGGACAATGATTCGAAGTTTGAAGTTCGATAACAAAACTTGAAGAATATTACTTTAATGTTTGTCTGGTTATCGACCAAGTAAATTGAATACTTCGACATTTCACGTAACACTTCGTGAAGACAAAACCTATTATAGGGGCACCGAATAGAAAGGGCGCTCTGTTCGCAATCTGGCCGAATTTCTAGTCCGCGAAGTAATTTTCCACTGAAAACGTGGCCTAACTTTTCAAACTCGGCCCCGAGCTCACTCAATTTGCACTGCAAAAAAGTTTCTCAATAGAGCGCCCTTTCTGTTCGGTGCCCCTATAATAAAGCATACGAGAAGATTATCACACCAAGAGAAACACCCTCTTTAAGTGAGCTGTCGGCTTGAAAAAGAGTGGTCGCATTCATGAAGGATCTCGCCAAAGCTAAGTTCAAATTTAAAGTATTTGTACACGTAAAAGCTTGAGAGCGGATTCATCCTATATGCTGCACTTGACAGCTCTCTCTCTCTTCTGAAGTTCAAACTTACTGTGTACTGTTTATTTTTTTTAATTCTTTTTTAGCCCTCTTTTCAACATTCTGACCCCATACCAGCCACTATTTGAATACATTAGCAACATGTTGAACCGACCTTGAATAACCTTAAACTGTAAACAGAACAAAAACCCAAAAGTTGGGAAACATGCGAACGGACATTGACTAATGTCTCCTCTTCCCAAATTATAAATCCTTCACCCTAGAGCCTCCAGAGAGTTATACAAAAATGCTGAAATAATATTCAACTGGAGGATACACAGACATTCTGATCTTTCAACGTTCATCAACGAATCGTCGACCAGTCCGAGGCCATCGAGCGAAGAGAGAGAGAAGGGATAGGGACCGCCCATTTGGAAGGCAGGGCGCATGACCCTTTTGTCTCGGACATGTCGCCAACACTCTGCGTTATCATCGCTTCCGCCAACCGTACCTTACTGCTAGGTACCGCCCAGAAATCGGAATCATATATAAAACCTCACTGGTGGTAGAGTTCCACACCGTTTCATAGTCTGAAAAATGTCATCGATCCGCCCAATGGAGCTAGAGAAGACTCCGTACAGCCAGGAGGAGCCGCTGACTTGCGGTGACAAGGTCAAGAAATGGTGCAGAAAGTATTTGTTGGAAGGTGAGAATTTGAGCTTTTTGAACATTACAAATTATCTTTGTTTAGGTCAGCATCTGGATGAAGACCAAGCCGATAAAGTGGCCAACCTGCCTGAGAATCCGAGTCTCGGAGACCTCGTATTCATCAAGTATAGGAAGTTCGTAGCAATGCTCATTCCGTTCTGCTTGATTCATGTGAGTTTGAAGCATCTAAGTCAACACAAAAATCGACCACTTTCAGACAATCTGGTGGTCGACTGCCATACGCCACAACCTGTTCCAATTCTATCATGACTACTGGCATATGCCAGTGACGATGGCTCTAGGATCTTTTGTCGGAGGAATGACTTCAGAAGGATCAGGGGCTGTCGCCTTCCCAGTCATGACTCTCGCTTTGCACATTAAGCCTGAAATTGCGAGAGACTTTTCCCTTATGATTCAATCTATTGGAATGACATCCGCACTCGTCTGTGTTTTGTTCATGAGAGTGAAATTTGAGCACAGAGCAGTTATCCTCGGATGTCTCGGAGCAGTTCCCGGATTCATCATCGGTGTTCACTGGATCGATCCGTTGTTCACAGGACCACAAAAGAAAATGCTCTTCGTATCCATCTGGACTGCTTTCGCATTTGCTCTCGGAATTCTGAATGCATCCAAGAGATCGACATTCCGCGAGATCCCAGAGTTCTGTGCCTGGAAGGGTTGGGCGCTCTTCTTTACCGGAATCGTCGGAGGAATATTCGATGCCTTCGCTGGATCTGGAATCGACATTTGTATTTTTTCGGTCATCACTCTGTTGTTCCGTGTCACTGAAAAGACCGCCACTCCGACTACTGTCGTCCTCAAGGGAACCATTGCCGTGTTTGGTTTCTACTATCGTGCTGTTATGATGGGAGATATCGATCAGATGGCTTGGAGATACTTCGCCGTGTCTGTGCCAGTTTCTGCTGCCACTGGACCAATCGGATCGTTCTTGGGATCCCATCTTCATCGTCAAGTTGTTGCTGGATTTGTCTATGTTCTTGAAGCTATTGCCCTTGTCGGATTCCTGTGCACCAGACCAGCATGGCAGTTGATTGCCGTTGGAGGTGAGTGTTTCTATAAATGGTATTATTTTATTTAAACTACTTTCAGGTTGCATTATTCTCGGAGGATTCGTTTTCTTCTCTGCTCTCTCAAAGGCCGGAGCTATTCTCATGAACCGTATCGAAGGCCGTCAAGCCAAGGAAGCTCAGAAGTCCGGTATCACCTCTGGCTCTTTATAATTTGGAATCTGATATAATGCATTTTTTACTATGACACCACTCGGGTACTCTGATGTATTAACGTTACCTTATTTGTTTTGTTTTTCTATATAGATTTAGTTTTACACAATTTTTTGTCTTTGTGATCTCAATGTCGACCTTCCCAAATAAACAGTTTCAAATCTCTTTTTTCTATTTTAATCGAGGCTAAACGATTCGATTCGTCGCACTGAAATGTGATCTTCACATGTCCCAGTAAAAAATTAACATCAGATTCCACTCTCACTGATTTTCAATTCCACCTCACCGATTTTCATAGAATCATTTGACGGTGGAACATTCTCTAATATCCTCAAGGGTTCCATAGTTGTGCCGATTCACAAGAAAGGATCCCTCACATTTTGCATTGACGATGCAGAGTATAGGTTGGAAGGGACATCAATGACGACATTAATTCAACTCTATTTCTTCAGGCATGACATCCGCACCCGTTTGTGTTCTATTCATGAGAGTGAAATTTGAACACAGAGCAGTTATCGATATCGGAGGTCTCGGAGCAGTTCCCGGAATCATCATCGGAGTTCCCTGGACCACAGAAGAAAATTCTCTTCGTATCCATCTAGACTGCTTTCGCTTTCGCTCTCGGAATTCTGAATGCATCCAAGAGATCGACATTCCGCGAGATCCCAGAGTTCTGTGCCTGGAAGGGTTGGGCGCTCTTCTTTATCGGAATCGTCGGAGGAATATTCGATGACTTTGCTGGATCTGGAATCGACATTTGTATTTTTTCGGTCATCACTCTTTCGTTCCGTGTCACTGAAAAGACCGCCACTCCGACGACTGTCGTCCTCAAGGGAACCATTGCCGTTTTTGATTTGTACTATGTGCTGCTATGATGGGAGACATCGATCAGATGGCTTGGAGATACTTTTCAGTTATAGTACCTATTTCTGCTGTCGGCGGTCCTGTTGGTTCTTTCCTTCGATCTCATCTTCACAGACAGCTTATTGCCAGCTTTGTTTACATCTTGGAAGCAATCGCTCTAACTTGTTTCTTTTTCACACGACCAGCTTGGCAATTGATCGTGGATGGAGGTTATTCACTAAAAAAAAACTAACATAAAGAGTTTACTTCAGATGTGATAATTGTGAGTGGTTTTGTCTTCTTCTCAATTCTGTCAAAAGCCGGAGCTATCATATATATCCCATTGAGAAGAAAAAGAAACTATAGGAACTGGAGGAAGGTCTCAATAAATTCTGATCTCATCTGTCTGTAATTTGTATATCAAACCAGCTTTGGTATTGTCCGTTTCTTGATTGAGTGCCCTACTGAAGAGAAAATGAATACGTGAGTTGTCATGACAACCGGGCTGACAGAAATCGACGTCTACCCCTTTGCGTTCCTTCCTGCTTTCCTCTCATTCTCTTTCGTTTTCTAAGAGGTCGGTAGGAACGCAGATTGTTTTATTGCTATCGGGAAGAAAATTTATGCGTTTCGGTATCCTTTTCACCGTGGTCCTTCTGTGTCGGATTAAGAAATGAACAGGCGGGAACTGCCAAAGGATTGCGCAATTCTTTCGAAAGCTCTAGGTTATGTAACTATGTTCTGAATCTTCAGGTTCCCACTGGATTAGATTATACATCCAGTTGTCTGGGGGTATTTTGAAGTAACTTATGTTAACCATAAAACTAACAGAGTCCAATTCAAAAATGGATTAGCTTACCATCTGCCGACCTGACCTCTTTTGAACTCTCGCCGAAAAGGCATTTTGCAACCTGTCACAAATGGTTTCTGTCGCTCATTAATCATGGCATTTCTTTCAGTGGCAATATGGGATTTTTATCCTCGTTATCCAGTTTGTTCGGAATGGGCAAGAAGGAAGTCAATATTGTAGTTGTGGGACTCGACAATTCTGGAAAGGTATAAACTCTAGCTGTAAATTAGTACGTTGTGTTTTAAGACTACGATTCTAAATCAGCTGAAGACTCCGGACACACGAACTCAAGAGATTGTGCCTACAGTCGGACACATGGTCGCAAATTTTACCACCCAAAATCTCAATTTCCACGCTTTTGACATGTCAGGACAAAGTGAGCCAATCAGTTTGCAGAACTTTAGTGTACACTTTTTGAACTTTAGTGAGATACCGAGCCAGCTGGGAGAGCTATTTTAGTTCTTCTCAAGGTGTTATTTTCGTGATGGACAGCTCGGACCGTCTGCGTCTGGAACTGCTCAAGGAAGAGCTTTGGATGGTGATAGACCACAAAGACATCGCATCTCGTGGGGTCAGTTGGATTTTTCTTTCCCAGAATCACTACAACCTCTGTTGGGGCGTCTGTTGAGCTGTAAAAGTTTAGAAGATGGGCATTATAGGAACGAACTCATAAACTTGTTTCCTAAGAGCACTCTTCTTTCAGATTCCCGTAGCTATTCTGGCTAACAAAATGGACGTCCCTGGGGCCATGACTGCTTCCGATATCACGATTTCTCTTAGTACGTTAAACAACACAAGCAACTGAAGGGTTCTGGTCTTATTCAGATATGAACCTAGTTCGGGGTGGAAATTGGTCGATTCACTCGACATGTGCTCTGACCGGAGAAGGACTCGACAAGGCTATGCAGCACCTGTCTGCTGAGATAACAAAATATTTGGAATCAAGAAACCGATAATCGCGTAATGATATTTAATAACATTAAAAAATCATCCCTTAGTCGTTACGCTATCTAACCCCTTACCGATTAATGTGGTACGAATAAACAATTGGCGAGGAAAGGTCATGAAATGTTTATGATAGCCCCGATTGTCGGCACAGTCACAGATGCGCGAAAAGAAATCCGAGACGGGTTCCGCGAAAGCGAGAGAGGACCTCCCGCCGACCGTCGGCAGGCTTTTTCCACGCACTCCAGCTAGGCTCGTAAACCCAAAGATGACGCCTCTGCGAGAAGAACCGAACACTCAAATTATACGGAATCCAGTAGAATTTCTAAAGAAAGCGTTTTGTATTGACGTACACTTATCTCGGTGACAAGTGGTTTCGCCAATCACGTGAGAACAACACATATTTCGCTAAATCTGAATCCACGTGAATGCACAACTTCATAGTTTCAGCACAACTTCATAGTTTCATTTCAAGCAAAGCGGCATTTCAGCACAGAATTGGTTAACGAGTTACGCAACAACTGTAAAGGTCAAAAGGGTCAATTATGATATGGACATTGTGGGAAGTGAACAATATATCATTTCACAAGACTGCTCCTGCTCCTGCTGCGCGGACCGAACTAGCGGAAGAAACTTTTCTTATTTAAATGCTCACTCGCTCATCCCTCTTTTTTCTGTCACTAGAATTTGAACAAAATGATGACGGACGACATACCCGGCAAGAGTCAAATTAATACGAATGATTCTGCAGCTTTCATTCCTTTAGGTGCTTCTTTCTTCTCCTAATCGAACATATTTCCCTCTCTCCCAGATCGTAAAGTGTTATTTAACTGCATCCCAACAAACATTGACAGAAATAATCAGTGACGTTGTCGTTGTCGGAACCCTATTCCCTCTCTATGACTCATTTTCTTTCAGGGTGGCCGATGGGTGGCAGCTACCGGCGGCACCGCTCTTTCCATGATTCATCTCACTCGGAACTCGCTCTCTTCCTTAAGAGTGACCAATCGAAAACAAGCACATATTTCTGATCGAAACCCCTGTCAACATTCTCTACTCAAAAGTGATACCTTTGTGATAAGGGTGCCGCTACCGTACTCCCAGTCAATAAATTCATAATCAGTGCCACTTGTATTCTTCCTTTCTCCAAACTTTTTCGCAAATGAACAAATTCAACAAGAAACTCACGGAGCCTTTCCGCTGAAATTGTTGGCGAGCAGACTCACAATGATTTGGGTAGAGATCAAAACAAAGGTGAGATGAATTTTTGATCTATTTGCTAGGAGGGAGCGGGGTGATCGACGCACGAGTTGATTGAAGTGAATTTTTTTATTCTTCGTGTTCTCGATTTATTTTTCGCATGATAATTGTTTTATTTTCTTTATAATTTGTAAATTTCGAAACTGATTTTGAAAAACTGAATGTCTTTTGCCTGGTAAGATTTATTTTTCCACAAAATTATTTTCGCTGTTTTAGAAAAAAGAAATCATATTTTCAGTTTTTGATATTCTTGAAGGAAAAACTTGAAAAAACTCGATTTGCAACAGTTGGAGGTGCCTGTCAAAACAGACGAGCCGTAAAAGAGTAGTATCTGCTGTCAAGCGCCTATAAACCTGACAAAGGTTGTCTGATCTGGCACAGTAAATCAATCGCCCGTAGTTCGTTTCGGATCTCTCATGATAAACCACGCCCATCCGTCGGGCCCGAGAGTAAGAGCCCGACTAAGCTGTTTGGGCGGAGTCTCTCTCATCCGTACCACGTCCACAAGTTGTTTTACTATCGCAGAAGTTCTATATCTTTTTCCATATGCTTTTTATTTATTCTGTTATCGTCATTTAAAGGCAATCACAACTCGTTCAGGATGTCGGTTGATGTCAAGTCAGAGTTTTCGGAAAACGATTCTTCATCGACGCCTTCTCCCACCACACTCCCGCTGCAAAATTCGCACGATATCTGCAAACAGTCGGACCAGAACGAGTGGACCAACTATCAGATGGTTCCGCTGTGGAATGCACATCCATTCAGGTAGGTTGAAGAGGAAAACTCTAGGTTGTACCAGACTCAAATTAAAAAGTGTAATCCTATTCAAATATAAAAATTGTAAATCCATAACATCCTTTCGTTTCTTACCCGAAAATATTTGCTTCCCTCAAATATTGGCCCGAAATTTGTTTTAAAGGTTATATGCAAATGGGGAAGGGGTACTGTAGCCCCGCCCCCTCCCAATCGGCAGTACATTGGAAGCTGAGACTCCGCCCATCGTTTGGAGAAAATTGTGTAAAAGCAGTATCAATTGACACTTGACACTATTTTGATTTAGAATATCTTTTATATAGTCTGTAAAATCGTTTTAGAGACAAAATGCTGCAGTCGTCATTCGATCCGCAGCTATACGGTCGTTGGCCTCAAATGGGAGATGCGAGCAGTTTCTATGTGAGTGAATGTTTCTTATCTCACGTTTATTCGTTTTCTTTTTGCAGAACCATCCGGATTTCTACTCTTCGTTGAGTCTTCAGCAAATGACACCGTCTCAAGTTGCTCCAGCAGTCTCAGATTCCGAAGTTAAACCGCCACTCTCGAATGGGAGCAGTAGCGACAGTGGAGCAAGTATGTACCCATCTCCCACCGACATGATTCCATTCTCATCCACTTCTGCCTCCACGTCAGCGGCTGCTGCCAACTATCAGATGAGGGCTACCACGTGTTATCAGCAGGCTGTCTGGCCATTCGTGGACTATCAACAGGTATGCATTTTGAGAAATAACTCGTTTAGAATGATGTGTTAGTTTCAGCCATTCGCCTGGAAGATGCCCCTAGGTGGAAGCAAAGATCGTAGAAGCCTCGTGGGAAACAGTTCAAAGGCGCTTCCAACGGGTCCAGGGACGAATAGTGAGTGAAATCATCCTGTATAAAACTTAAGAAGGGAAGGACCATAGAATTAGTAACAACCGAATAATTGTATTGACAGGTTTTTATATTCACTACAGAAAGTTTCTTTCTCAGCACAAAACACTTTTTTCAGATGTACGTGTAAGGACAGCCGACAAGTATCGAATGGTATATTCGGACTATCAGCGACTCGAGCTAGAGAAGGAGTTCCACACCCAGGCTTTCATCACCGCAGACCGTAAATCGCAGTTGTCGACACTTTTGAATTTGACGGAACGGCAAATAAAGATTTGGTTCCAGAACAGGTATGTCTCATCTGATAATAAGCCCAATATACAAAATTGGAAGAAGAGGCGCAAACTTTTTTTAGATAGCGTGTAGTGATGAAAGGCGGCCCGCCTGAGGTGACAGTGTGTGAGTTACGAGGCTTGCGTAACAGAACCTGCGTGGTACATACGCAAGTCCTTCTGGCATCTGATGGAAATTGTAGCAAATTGGAATTTCATTGAAAGAAAATACTTTTTAGGCCTGAGCCCGCTGGCCAGGCCGAGCTTTGATGTTGATGATATAGTTGAAGTATCCAGTACAACACTTTTGAAACCTTTTTAGAAATGTAAGAAGTATGGACGGACAAACAGAGGGACAACCCCGGGAAGTTTTTAAATAAGAAACGACACGGCGAGCATTTGTGAACATGGTTTGAATTTCCCGCCCGTATTTTGTCACTGCGTAGCGACTCATTTTCGTACTAAAGAGTACGGTTTGCGATACGCAACGATAAAAACGGGAACAAGCATGTTCACAAATGTTCGCCGTGAACGACTTGTTGGAAGGTACCCGATAATTCGGTCTAACTAACTAGAAAGTGTAGAAGTTCATCACGTCGAAAACAATTTTATCAATATCGATGCTTTCTCTTTTCGATTGGGAATCAGCAGAGCCGAAACGTAGAAAGGTAATTTTGATGGCGTCGCCCCTCCAAATATTGACACACTTTTCCATCACGCTGATTCATTACCAACGTCATCTAATTCCGCTATGTTGCAAATCTTAATTCCACGCTTCTCCGCAATATTGTTTTGGTTTGCTCTCTTGTTTCCATTATTTTCTGGTGGACCTTGTTCTTTTTCGATTAACATATACCGTATTCTTTACCAAACACCTAAGCCATCCGATCACCGCACAGTTCCATGGAATTAAAGAGTCGTAAAATTGTGTAATTGGAGGCGAGTCTCAGTCTAGAGAGCGAAAAAGTTTTCTAATTGTTCTCGTTTACGAGCGTCTAATTGGGATTACTGTAGGAAAATGTGGTCATTTAGGGACCAATATTCAAAAATTCACTAATAAACTCAATTCATCGTTAGTGCCCTTAGGTGTTTGCAGACTCAAGCCAAAATTTCCTGAAATTAGGCTTGAGTCTGCAAACACCGAGGAGGCAAGAGCGGTACATTGAGTATATGTATCTGTACTGCAGATTCTGCAGTACACCATTCATGTCGGATTGAGCAAAAGGTTCCCAGAAAACAGTAAAATGGAAATGAACGCGTTTGCACACATTGAGAACAGACACCCGAAAAGAGGGAACATACGGACCCGACCGCACCTTCTATTGTATCGTAGCCAAATGAATGAAAGCGCAAAAGATTGATGCATATTGTGAACCCGTTACCAATTGGCGGCGTCGCTTTTTGTGTTTTGCCGTAAATAAAGCTGCATTTCCTAACTGATCCGCACTATTCCGTTCCTCATACTACTGTTCCAGACGTGCAAAGGATCGTCGTGACAAGCAAAAAGTGCGACTTTGAGAAGTATGACGGGCTCATTCATTTCCCCACTTCCCTTCCCTTTTATCCAGTTACGGTTTACTGTCTGTATTTTTGTCCCAGCACCATTCCTAATATTTCAGAATATTAGTATAGCGGACAGTCGTGAAATCTGTTAGTGGCTTCTGGAATCCACATTGATTGCATTCATTAACACTTAAGATCAGAGCTTTTATTTATTGTGATTGATTCTTGATGTACAAACCTGTAGCACCAGAACTGGAATGTATTTCTCTTGAATAACCTTTATTGCTCCATAATAGATTCGAGCCATCACTGACCTAATTCAATTTCCCTCTAATCAAAATGTCGTCTCCCATGTTTGCTATTTTTCATGTTCTAATTGCTCACATATCTCGATGGTTATTTACTCCAGACGAATTATAGAGAAAATACATTTTTACATTTAAACTCGACCTTGCTGTGATATTTCAAACTATTTATTAAAGGCCCTTCACGTGGTAGACGTTTCATTTTTCTTGAAATGCATCAAGTCGACAGCAATATCAACGGCATTGTGTTTGTGAAACTTGTAGGTAGCCGGGAGTTCCCAGCGCATTTCCGCGCAACAATCTGCCTGCATATATAAAACGTAACGTTACAAGTGAGATAAGTGAGACTCACTTCAACATTTAACCACTTTTTTGCCGTTTTCAAAATATAATTTCGTGAGGTAGACTTGTGAAGTGAGAAGACACTACCACCGGGTCGTACCAACTGAATTCCAACCTCCACGAATTTCTTGTCGATGCCTAAATGTTTTCTTCAAGCTTCCCTGAACCTGCTCTCAATTTCGCTATTGCCCAGTACGTGTTCGCAAACACAAGCAGTGTTCTCGAGAATCAAGTCAACGGACCATCTTAAAAATGACTCAAGAAATGACTCGAGAAATTACTTGCGACAGTTTCGAAAAGACACACCGAACACAAGTCTATTTCTGAAATTTTATATTGAGTTCGCAAACGCCGAAGGGGCAAGAGCGAGAAATGGAATAACTTTAGTTGAACCCAGAGAAGGCCGGGCGAGGCTTTTCGAAGGTCTTGGACAACTTGCAATAGTCCGATAGGATCCTTTCAGACCCATCGATCGGATTATCTGATTCGGTGATGTGCGGATTAAAACCAGATAATTCGATCGGTCTGAAAGTTAACCTAGACAATATACATCAATCGTATTATAGGGGCACCGCACAGAAATGGCGCTCTGTTGAGAAACTCTTTTTGCAGTGCAAATTGAGCGACGTCGGGGCCGAGTTTGAAAAGTTAGGCCACGTTTTCAGTGGAAAATTACTTCGCGGCCTAGAAATTCTGCTAGATTGCGAACAGCGCGCCCTTTCTATCCGGTGCCCCTATAATAGAAGACCCGCAAGGTTTGCATCCTATCGGATTATTGCTAGTGCCTCGAATGGTTCGAATTTCGAGGTTCGAAAAGCCAGAGCTGGCCTGATACCCAGCCCTGGTTGTACCATAATTATTTTTTGTTCCAAATGGTGGATTTATAATGGCAATGTCGAAAAAGCCACAGGGCCAGTCAGCTTTCGGATCAAGAACGTCGAGTTGTCGAAGTTCACATCTGAAAATCTGACAAGGGAACCTTTTAAGTGATTAAAGGAACCGGCCTAAACTAACGACACAGTTCGAGAGAGAGACTTTCAAAACCTATATTCCAGTTTTCAAAAGCTGCTTTCGAGACCTCTGAAATGCTGAAATTCCAGTCCGAAGTTTGACATTTCTTAACCATAGATTTCGCATTTTGGTGGCGCGGCGACCCACCCTCACACCCTCGCCATGCGCCACGATTGTCACCGCCCGCAACACCCTACGAAAATGTGGTCGAGTGGCGCAGGAGTTAACGGTGGGGTTGAGGGGAGTGTGGTCACTGGTTCGACTCCCTTGTTATGCTTTTTCTTTTTTCTTTCTTTTTTCATGTATTTTTGACGAAATTGTTTTGAAATGTTGATTTTTGAAGAGATTAAAGTGGCCAACTGAAGTTCCTCATCGTGTATGCGGAAATTCTTCATCAACACATGAATCTTTTTCGCGATGTTTTTTTTCAGAACAGCGTTTGAGTGCAGTTGATTCTTTGATCCATAACTCGAAGGGGAATTTTTGTAGAGAATAATGCTCAACTACAAAGTTGATCAGCATGACATTTACTACAACTTTTCAGTTGACCACGTCTTTCTACAATTTTTTGTTTTTGAGATACAGGCTGTTAAAGATGGTAGTGCAAAATCTTGCTGTATCTCGCGAATTGAATGAGATATCAAAAAGTCGTCAACTAAAGAAACGTTACTGAAGACATTTTCCATACTTTTTTAGTTGACAACTTTTTTGAAAACTTGCTGATTTTTGTGATACGACCCACTTTTAATCAACAGCCTGTATCTCAAAAACAAAAAATTGTAGAAAGACGTGGTCAACTGAAAAGTTGTAGTAAATGTCATGCTGATCAACTTTGTAGTTGAGCATTATTCTCTACAAAAATTCCCCTTCGAGTTATGGATCAAAGAATCAACTGCACTCAAACGCTGTTCTGAAAAAAAACATCGCGAAAAAGATTCATGTGTTGATGAAGAATTTCCGCATACACGATGAGGAACTTCAGTTGGCCACTTTAATCTCTTCAAAAATCAACATTTCAAAACAATTTCGTCAAAAATACATGAAAAAAGAAAGAAAAAAGAAAAAGCATAACAAGGGAGTCGAACCAGTGACCACACTCCCCTCAACCCCACCGTTAACTCCTGCGCCACTCGACCACATTTTCGTAGGGTGTTGCGGGCGGTGACAATCGTGGCGCATGGCGAGGGTGTGAGGGTGGGTCGCCGCGCCACCAAAATGCGAAATCTATGGTTAAGAAATGTCAAACTTCGGACTGGAATTTCAGCATTTCAGAGGTCTCGAAAGCAGCTTTTGAAAACTGGAATATAGGTTTTGAAAGTCTCTCTCTCGAACTGTGTCGTTAGTTTAGGCCGGTTCCTTTAATCACTTAAAAGGTTCCCTTGTGAGTCATACATCAGATTCTGAGTCTGCTCTCCATTTTTTACTACAGGTCATTCGCGATCGGTCTATTGAGAACGTGGACCTGTGATAGGCCTATAATATGTCAAGAAGAATCAAGAAGAATCAAGAAGAAAAAGTTCGCCGATGATGGACCTGTAATAGGCCCTATGATGGACCTGTAATAGGCCCATCGCGAAAACCGAATTCGTAATTTTCGCCAAATTTTCGCCGTGCACGGATTTTGTTCAGAATTTTCATCTTTTTAACGTGTTTACTATCATTTTAACAGCGTTTATTGTATTTCCAGTTGCTTAAATTATTATAGGGGCTCCGGACAGAAAGGGCGCTCTGTTCGCAATCTGGCCGAATTTCTAGTCCGCGAAGTAATTTTCCACTGAAAACGTGGCCTAACTTTTCAAACTCGGCCCCGAGCTCACTCAATTTGCACTGCAAAAAAGTTTCTCAATAGAGCGCCCTTTCCGTTCGGTGCCCCTATAATAATTCGCGTTTCTAACCGGACCTACTTAGATTGCTAATTTACTGCGATTAGATTGCAAACTCTTCTAACTGGACTGATAAATTTTCTAATTAGATTGGCGAAGCTAATTAGATTCCAAAACACTGATATTAGATTCAAAATTTATCTAATTAGATTAAAATTTCGGGCAAACCTAGCTAGATTTAGAAATCGGTAGCAATCTAACTAAATTAGAAACGAGAATTAGCTAGTTAGATTAGAAACGATTTGCCTGAGCACTCTCTGAAAAAAAACTCGGTTCTTTTCTAGAAGGGGGTACCAGCACTGTAACATGTTTTAAATGATCACAGGCAAATCGTTTCTAATCTAGCTAGCTAATTCGCGTTTCTAACCTGACCTAGTTTAATTGCTAATTTACTGCGATTACTCTAGAATTTCGTTATTAATCTATTATAGGGGCACCGCACAGAAATGGCGCTCTGTTGAGAAACTCTTTTTGCAGTGCAAATTGGGCGACCTCGGGGCCGAGTTTGAAAAGTTAGGCCACGTTTTCAGTGGAAAATTACTTCGCGGTCTAGAAATTCAGCCAGATTGCGAACAGCGCGCCCTTTCTGCTCTGGTAAAATTGAAAACTTTCCTCAGCCATTTTCAAACTTTTCTAAACTTTCTCAAGACAAAAAACTTTTCTAAGAAATTCTTAAACTTTTTCAAGCGGTCAAAACTTTTCCAAGAATTTCTCAAACTTTTCAAGAACTTCTTAAACTTTTCCAAGCCTTTCTCAAACTTTCGTAAGCGCTCAAAACTTTTCTAAGAAATTCTTAAACTTTTTCAAGCCTTTCTTAATCTTTTTCAAGCCTTTCTTAAACTTTTTCAAGCCTTTCTCAAACTTTCCTTAGAATTTCTAAAGTGGCGCCTCGAAAAGTTTGAAAATGGCTGAGGAAAGTTTTCAATTTTACCAGAGTGTCCGGTGCCTCTATAATAACGGCGGCCTAATAAGATTGATATGACACCTAATTAGATTAATAAATTGTCTAGCTAGATTAATAAGTGCTCAAATCAAGTTTCACGCCAACCGTCTGCTGGCTCAAATCTCGATTGCGCCAAGAAAAAACTGTCGAATCTAATTAGGTCGCCTAACTAGATCACAAGCGATTTGCCTGACTGAGGAGAATTAATATTTTTTAAATCTAAATATTTTGTCTTCGCGTACTAAAGAAAGAATTAGGCAAGGCATTTTTTCAGTACTTTGGAGGAGCAATGTGAATGGATAGCACTCACTTTTCCGTTACTCTAGCAGTAGCGAGATTCCGGGAGCACGTAGCAAGCGCTTCTTGGTCGATATCAACTCCAAGAACTTTTTCCGGTTCATACAATGCTGCCGCTGACGTCATTAACATCCCACAGCCGCATCCAATGTCCACTAGTTTTGCACCATCAATTCCAACTGTGTCGTCAATCATTTGCATCATTGAAACTATGGATATACTATGCTTTCTCGTTTGAAATGAAATTATACCAGCAAGTTCAGCAGACGTCGCGTACTGCTCCAGCTTGATTTTTGGGTTTTGGAAAGATTCCAATTCATTCAGCATCCAAACAGTTTTCTTTTTAGACATCCTAAAACAAATTCGATCTCTTAAATAATCTTGAAACATTCTCGAAAAATTATTCGGACAATCAAGAGCCATGACAAATAGGATCTATCCATTGAAAACCAAGACAAAATATCAGTTTATTCCAGATTGAGAAAGCAAATTTGGCATAAAATAATCACGAATTAGGAACCCTCTCAGCAGTCTTGGTCAAAATTTGCGCAAACTTTTCGCAAAAGTTGCATAAGGTTTGCGCTAAAATTGTGGTGGCACTTAAAGTTTGCGTTAAAATTGCATTTTGCATCTCCACGTTAAAAATAAACGTGAATAAATAAATATTTCAGAATTTGCGCGAACTTTAAGGGTCCCCACAATTTTAGCGCAAACTTTAATTTTTGCGAAAAGTTCTAGCAGAAATTGCGTAGTTTGCGCAAATTCTCACCAACACTGCAGAGCTAATGGATGGGCTGCAAAAGAAAGAAGGTACAAAAAACCAATCAATATTATAGAACCTAGACTAGTAGTTGATTTCAATTGAAGAAGAAGAAAAAACAGATATTTACACAACTCGTATGGCCCGAAACTGTGAAAAAAATTAGACAGGGTTTACCCATTTTTGTCAAGAATACACCCAATAATACAAAGAGGCGTCAAGTGAACACGACATGTTGAGAAAGTGAGCTCGTTTGATTTGAAACGGTACACGTAAAACCATATTATCGGCCAATATTAACTGGTGCTTTCAGAATGTCAAATTTGTTTGCAGACTCCAGAAGATACTGCACAATCTGAGACTGCATTATCATGAAAAAAGCCATATGAGAATTTGATTGTATTGGAAGTGGTTGGCTCTCTTCCTGAAATTAAAAAAAAACTGTAAGTTGCCTCAAACTTTAAATACAGAAATACCACCTTCTTCGAACTTTTCTGCTTTTTCGTCCCTTTTTTATTTTTCGTCAGATTAGATACTCCATCTCCGTTGTGGAAAAGTGTGGGGCCGAACACAATAGCAAGATTGTGCTGTTGCATTCGATTCTGTGACGAGTGGGAAGCAACCTGGTTGAGATGACGGAGCAGAATTTTGAGGGTTTCTCGATTTTCGTTGGGAAGACGGCTTAATAATTCTTCAAACTTCTTAAATCGGGTTGTTACGTTCGGCATTTCTGTAATACTAATTGCATGTCGGAGAAATTTAGAATCAAAATTCACGCATTGCTGAAGTGTATTCTTTGTGCAGAGCAGTGGGGAAAAGAGGCTCTGAAAGCTCACGAAAAAATAGCTTAAGAGCCCCTGTAAGCACGTGAATGTCTTCTTCTGCCACAAGTGCTTTATAGTTGTCTTGATCCGCCTGGCATCGAATTTTTTGAACAGCTGACAAATTTCCGCTTACACTGAATATAACAAATTTAAATTTCAACAAAGTAAAATCGGAAGCTCACCGATAAATACCGTCGGTTTCAAGTCCCTTGCTCTCAATGACTTCTGTGATAATTCGGATAAACTTAGGAACTAAAGAGTTCTCGCGTTGACAGATAGCCGAAAGCGTTGAGCCAAAAACTGGTTCCGCTGAAAAAATGAAAACTTTTATAGTAAATGTTTTTTCTTCTCACGTTTGTAAATTCCTTTTTCTTTGAGAGTCTCTACTGTTGGTCTTGTTCGGAAAAACCGGCGAAGCTTCTCCAAAATAGTCTCTTTTGAAGGTCGTGATTCATCGATTGTCGCACTCGTCGACATGGTTTCGAATGCCGATTGAGACATTGGTTCGTCACGGCTACGCATGCTCCGACTGCTGAAAGCGAAAAAGCATAATTCGTGGAACACCAGCATTTCAAAAAAATCATCATCATCGTCATCTTTCTTATTTAATAAAAATTTAACGGAGTCTGTCCATTTCTTTCTTTCTTTCGGCAACTTTTTCATTTCTGAAATAGAAGAAGTTGTAGCGGGGAAATTAGGAAATGGACACGTGAACTTTGGAATGGTTTTGCGAGGTAAAAAAAGGGGCGAAGTCGCTTCCAAACGTCAGCTCGGCCAGCGCAGCAGGCACAAGTTTTAGAAGTCTTTTTTTCTAATACGTCTTCTTTCGATTTCCATATTCAAACTAAATATTTAGCTTACATTGGTATTAATGCATGAGAAAGTGGTCGGGTGCTGCCGATATAAGACGGATTGCGGGCTACACTATTAGTCACATCAATCACAGCTTGCGTAGAAGTCCCTGGTACTGGCTGTAATAAATTGTTTCGTATTAGTTATTTTATACTGATTTGAGATCTTAAGCACCGTATTATAGGGGCACCGCACAGAAATGGCGCTCTGTTGAGAAACTCTTTTTGCAGTGCAAATTGGGCGACCTCGGGGCCGAGTTTGAAAAGTTAGGCCACGTTTTCAGTGGAAAATTACTTCGCGGCCTAGAAATTCAGCCAGATTGCGAACAGCGCGCCCTTTCTGTCCGGTGCCTCTATAGTAAATACCTCACTATTGAATCTTTGAAAGTTGGGCTGTCGCACTCGAGAATATGCAGTATGCCACATTTTTCAGATTGACTTATACTTCTGTCTTTGAGTATTTTGAAGCGAAAAAAATAATAGTTTCTAATCTCCCACTTACAAATAAGCTCAAAATTGCCCCGTCTCCCAAAAAGAAAACATGCAATTTCAGATTCGAGAATAAGAACTGACCAACTTCGCAATGACTTCTTCTAGAGATTTGTACCATTCGATAACTTCCATATCACTGATTCCTCGCAACAGATACTTTTTCGTATTACACAATTCAAGTTGGATATGTTTTCTAGTCTTCTTTTTCGCATCTCGTTCATCTTGATGCCACGTTACAGTAGCTCCCCTCAGATCCCAGACGCCTTGTGGGGCGTCATAGTGCTTTCCGTGTTTCTGAGAACCATAGATGAGGCATAAGATAATAAATAAAAGAGGTATCCAGAGAGAAAATTAAGAAAAGTGGACACTGCAAAAATGTACCACAATGTTCGTCTGTACCAACCCCAAAAGGATTTTTTCCCAAATTATTTAGCAGCAAATTTCTGTCTCGAGACTTGCGAATTTCTTCGAATATTAAGTTTTACGAGCAGTTTCATTCAAATAACTACTCAAATCCTCTAGAGGCTGTATCGAGTGAATCTCAAGTAACTTCTCAAGAAACGAGGAATCCTCGCGAAGTACACGGCCATTTTAAATATTAATGGATTAATGGAAAAAATATTTTCGCGTGCGGCTCTCAGTGTCGATTTACGGGACACGGGTTTTCAACAGAAAACGATGTTTTCCCGAGTTATTGGGATTATGCACATCTCGGCAAAGGCGCGCCACTTTTGCGCAAACTTTAAGGATCCTCACAGATGTTGCGCAAACTTTAAGGATTTTCGCAGCTTTTGCGCAAACTTTAAGGCATGTCGAAATTATTATGGAAGTTTTGCATTTTCAGTACTGTTCGCTTTTTCCAGCTTGTTTTTATGCGTTTTATTTGTTTTTTGTTGCTTATCAAATTGAAACTACTTAGCTTTTTCCGTATTTCCTCGGTTTGGGCGCATTTCAAGCGAAATTTCAGTCGGATTTCGTTTAGAAGCGAGTGTTATTGAAAATTTGTATGAAATCACTTGAATTCGAGCTACTTCACAATTATTTAAGATGTTTGAACGATTCAAATGATCGTACTTTTGTACTATATCACATTCTTTTCTGGTTTAGATAGAATATGAACCACTGTGAAGAGAAAAATGGATCCGGACGAAAATTACGACTTCAGCCACCCTAGAATTGTACCCTAGAATCGATGATGTTGAACCCTAAAATTAAAAAAGTTGTACCCTGAAATAAGTTGTACCCTGTTGTACCCTAAAATTGTTGTACCATCGGAATTAAATACCAACGATTTGACTAAGATGTTCGGAAAAATTTTCTAAAGTAAATTTGCTGGAACTTAATTCTCACGCTCTTCACGCTCGAAAGCGGCTACTCCGCGTGTGTCTTTCCTATAACCGTTCGAAAGTTCAGGTGTTCATTTCTCAATTTCTCCGTCACAAATTTTCGTTTTTGAAATGAAGGGGGGACGGACAAACGGAGAAATAAATAAACAAGCAAACAGAGGGACAAACCCGTGAACAGTTAATAAGAACAGTGTGTTTTTCGTTGACAAACGGAGAAAAAGGTCGCGCGCGGCGAGCGAACTTTCAAGGCGCAGCTACATTTAGGAGGGGCGGATCCCGAAGCGAATTGAGAGAATGGCTGAGATGGGCGGAATTTGAGTTCGAAACGCCATTCTACGGAATTAACGATCTTACCTATTATAGGGGCACCGGATATTATAGGGGCACCGAACAGAAATGGCGCTCTGTTGAGAAACTCTTTTTGCAGTGCAAATTGAGCGACCTCGGGGCCGAGTTTGAAAAGTTCCCTATTATTTTTATTATAGGGGTACCGGACAGAAAGTGCGCGCTGTTCGCAATCTGGCCGAATTTCTAGGCCGCGAAGTAATTTCCCACTGAAAATGTGGCCTAATTTTTCAAACTCGGCCGGTCGCTCAATTTGCACTGCAAAAAGAGTTTCTCAACAGAGCGCCATTTCTGTGCGGTGCCCCTATAATAACTAATCTGCCTAACTAATCCGAAAATCTAATTTTGTCGAATGAAGGCTCTATGTTGAACTTTTTTCGAAGTGAGGAAGCAGAAAAACATTCTCTCGAAGCGCAGAGAAGAGAGAATGATTTATTTGCATCTTAGTTCGTCCGCACATTAGCCTCTTCCCCAAAAACCCATTGTTTCTCATTTCTAAAACGGAAATAGTTGCCGGAGAAAGTAAGAAATGAACACGCGAACCGTTGAACGCTTTTGCGAAGAAAACATGCAGCGAAGCCACTTCCGAGCGTAAGCTCGGATCGCGCAGCGGGCCCACGCTCAAAGTCTTGTTTAATACACAGTGTGTATTAAACAATATTGTATTACACACGCAAGGTACGTGATGAAAAAGAAGGAAAAATTGATGGTTCAATTTAACCGTTGCCAAATCTAATATATCCGTGACAGCCTCCGTTCCTATGTTGTTTCCTTTTCTTATTTCTATCGTTGCACGTCGATTCATATGAGAAAAGTATTGCGGTGGCATGATGGGACGTTTCCGGGATCCGTTGAAAGTTTGTCATGCTTTTCATGCACCTTTTCAAAAATTACTCAACATTTTCTCGAAGAAGTATCGGTTGATCGTGTGGATACGGAGAAAAAGTAGCGCCTCAAGATTCTGACAATGTCGCTCTACCCCCACGTGGGTTGATAGGGATAAACGGTACATTTCTGCAGTGTAAGATTGGTGATTTTGAAATAGAACTTGTCTCGGAATAGAAGTGCTGCGAAATATAACTGTTTTGAAATACACCAAATACACAAACCTCATCGAGAATTGTTCTATTTCGGAACAGTTCTATAACGCAGCAGTTGTATTTTGAGGAAAGTTTATTTCGGAATGGTTTTTTTCCGAAACTACTTCATTTCGAGACAAAGTCTATTCCGAAGTCGCACCGTTAGATTATTTTCAAATTCTCTCTCCAGATACTTCCTTAAAAAACAAATCTTACCTCTGCACTTTTTTGGTCCTTGTACAAGATGAGATGAGCAGAAGTGAGGTACATGTAATTTGCTACCCATTCTCTTTTCCGAGTTTTTGTTTTTTCCTCTTTTTCTGCTCTTTCCATATCTCCACATCTAATCGTCCGCACCGGTTCACGTCCCTCGCTGCTTCCCCGTCTCTCCGGGCATCTTAGCGGCGAGCAATTGTATTCATGACTACATTCTTCATTTATCGAAGGACGATCAGAACTGTGGTCGAAACAAGATGAAGTCGATGGCAGAATTTGCGGCATTTGGACGTTTTTAAGGACCGTGCATTTACTATGAAATGAAATTGATCTCAGACTAGACGGAGATGGACGTCGGGCTCGTACTGATGTTGGAGTCCTTGACTCTATAGCATCCGGAGGTACCACATACGGAGTAACTTCTTTTTCTTTTTTTGTTTTAAATGACGATTGAAAACTTGACAATTGAACAGAGGAGTGTGGTATCATAGCTCCTGAATCGCTCGTTTTCGGTTCTTCGCCGATTTCCACGTCAGAATCTGAGAATCCATCGTTTTCACAGTTTTCCGAATCGATTTCCGAAAACGCGTCATTGAAAGGAATTGGAAGTGGGCGTACCGGTAATGGCATTTCTTCTTTTTCCGCTTCTTCAACATCGTCACACACTTTATCAAAAACTTCATCCTCTTCTTTCACTTGACTTTTCCGATTATTAATCGGATCATTTTGAAGGGTATTCTCTTTTTGCTCTTCAGATGAAGCTCCTTCGAATGTGCACGTCCCATCGAGATTGCTTCGAGTAGCACGTAGAAATTCTTGTACTTGGGCTGGAGTTCTGATAAACCTCGGGGGAATCCACTGACTTCTTCCAGTTTCTTGGTTGTAAAAGAACGTTCTACCTACGTCCGTTTCATACTCGAACCACCCATTCAACAGATCTCTTTTTGGTCTGTCCTCAGAGCGTGGAGTTGGTGGAATAGGTCGGCTGAAAGTAATAATGGGGTTATCCAGACTGAAAAAAAAATATTTTTTTTTCCGTTTTTACGTCAAAAAACCCAATTCAGCGATGTAAAAAAACGGAAAACAAACATACGCTGAATAGTCCCATAACAGACGTATGGAAGGAATCGAACCTGGGCCCGCTGCGCGGTCCGACCTGACGCGTCACACGGAAGGGGGGCTCGGAAGCGGCTTCGCCGCTTATATATTTGTTTCTATTAACTGTTTGCAAGTTCACGTGTTCATTTTTTAGTTTCTCCGTCACAACTATTTTCGTCTTAGAAATGAACGTGGGGACGGACAAACGGAGAAATAAACAAGCCAGCAAGCATACAAACAGGGACAAACCCGTGGAGCAAAGAATGATTTGTTTTGGATAGAAACCTGTTCAACTCTTCTATTTCCTTGATATTCGTGTACACATGATCGTCCTCCCGACTGAAATGTTCGTTGTCTCGAGGTAAAACGTCAGTGTTCGACAAATTAGTTTGGCTGGAAGTGGAAAAAGAATCCACAGGCTCCGACATCTGCAAAGTCTTTGATTTTGTCGATTTTAGATTTTTCAGTACTCTTACTCGACGCTTGTTTTTATCTCCGCTCGGGAATTCGTTGAAACCTTGTGTTTCTGTAGAATAAACCGCTGTTGTCATGACTTAACAACAATTATAATCAAGGTCGATTCCATTCGAAGTACTGCTCTACAAATAATTTGACTCTAGACGGCACTTGCGAATATGATGGAAGACGAAAGCTAAAAAGCATTAAAAATTATAAGACAGGTTTTACAAACGGATCGTTTTTCATTTCGCCAATTCTATTTCAACCCTTCAAGCACACCTAAATAAAACCAATTGCGAAATCAATGTTTTTTATGCACAAGATAGCTAGAACAGGAAAAATCAATAGGCGCTTGCTAGCTTAAAAACGTTTTAATGAGGTTACAATTCAGAAAAATCATTCTCAGATGCCCGACTAACGTATTAGAATTTCGTTGAAAAACAGAAAAGTTACAATAAATGTTTTTGATGAGGAAAGGGTCGAGAGAGCAAAAGGCGAAAAGATAAATGTGTCTGATTGGTTCGTCGATTTAACTGATACGGTCCCACTTCCTGGAAACCATTCCGATCTCATAATCAGAACGTTTAATAAGAACGGGGACTGGAAATGAACACGATTCGCATGGCCGTGGCCGGGTCGGACACGTTTCTTCGGCCACGACAGGGCCGTTCCATCAGTCTCGTGGAAGGTGTCATCGACCTGTTCAGTCGGGTAAAAAACCGTAAAAAACAGTTCTTTTTAGTCAGCAATGTCAAAAATAAAGAAAAAAACAGTGGACGCGTTACGTTTTTTCTCCATTTTTTGAAGTCGCTGGATGACTCTATAAAAATTCGCCAATAAACTCGTGCCTGTGAACAACCATGAACAACTATGAATGAAATTTATTTTTTGAATTTATTTTCGTCACTACAGAACATTGTAAACTCCGAGAAACAATAATCGGATGAGGAACAAACAGATATGAACCTTAATTGATTAATTCTCAAGACTTATACCTAAAAACACCATTAGCAGGTTAGTCAACCGAATGGCAAGAAAAACAGACAAAAAGTATGCTTGTAAAATTTTTTGCATATATTTCATAAATTATTCAAAGGCAAACATTCACAATCGCTTCACCACTCCGAGTCAGCCGAATCAGGCAGATTGCTTCGAACAGCTTCTTCATACATTCGAGTTGTGCGAGTACGAGAAGAAGCACGCGACGAGCAAGTTGAGGGACGCGAAGAGTCCGGACGTCTCTGAATAGTGGAACCTGATCCTTTTGACATTGGAGGAAGCATCAACGGTCTGCGACCAGCCACATACGAAGCTCGGCTCTGTAAGATGCGTCATTGAGAGTCAAGAATACCGGACACTGTACCTCAAACTTTTTCGTTGGTACAACGTCATCTTCAAAGTTCCAAATGACATTCGAAACCAGCGAAGAAGCAGTCGTTTGTTGAGTGGCTTCAGATGGTGTAGTAGCAGTTGTCACGTACAACTCCGTCTTCAGAGGAGTTTCCGTACGTCGTGGAGCAGGCTATAAAACTTCTGTTGTTGAAAAATCTCTAAACTTCGTGTCACTGTTTTGTCGTCTTGCTTTTTAACATCAGCGAGAGCTCGCCCAATCAAGCGGAGAGACGGGGCTGTATTCTGAACTGGTCGCATTCGTTGTGGTGGAGACAGAGACGAGGGCTGCGAATTAGTGTTTTCAGAGCTGGTCGGTGTATTTTGAAGAGACGCGAGAACATTCTCCGTCGACAGTACACATATGTTTTGCTGGTTATAGTTTCTACTGGTAGTAGCAGAACGACCTCCGATCGTCTTTTTGCCATTCTTCCGAAGTTGTTGAATTTGTGGCAGTCCTGGAAATTTTTCATATTTACAAGGCTTGAAGAAGAGAAAAACCAGACAGTTTTCAAAACATCAGAAAAATCAACTCTGCTTACCATTCAACGCCGAAGATATTCTCTGCTTTATTTCTTCGCTTTTCTCTATGTACTTCAATGTACGCATATTTTGTGAATCATATTTTTGATCAACCTTCTTTTTTAGAATCGGTGCTTGGACAGAAACTGAAACCGCATCACTAGATGCTGGTGTTACTGTTGTGTTTGTGCGCTCTCCAATGAGTTTCATGATTGGGTTGAAACTCGATGACTTTAGAATGCCAGGTGGCTTTTCTGGAGTCGGCAGAGCAGTGCGCGCGCCAACTGTGAGCCCTGAAAAATGCAAAACCACATCTGTGATTTTTTGGTTTACAGAAACGATTTGTCTCTGTTTTTTTGCTCAGGTAAATCGTTTGTAATCTAGCTAGCTAATTCGTGTTTCTAACCGGACCTAATTAGATTGCTAATTTACTGCGATTAGATTGCAAACTCTTCTAACTGGACTGATAAATTTTCTAATTAGATTGCAAAAACACTGATATTAGATTAAAAATTTATCTAATTAGATTAAAATTTCGGGCAAACCTAGCTAGATTATGTTTAGATTGCAAAATCAGCTTGCTAGATTCAGAAATCGGTAGCAATCTAACTAGGTCCGGTTAGAAACGAGAATAAGCTAGTTAGATTAGAAACGATTTGCCTGAGTGTTTACTTGTTTTTGCACCGGGATCAGATGTGAGAACCGGGTCTGCGGTTTTTTTGCTAGAAATTTCACGTTTTCAAGTTTTTTCCCCGCCACGGTCTCCAGAGCTGACAATATGGGCGTGGCCTCGGCCAAATGGCGTTTTCATGAATTGAGCAGGTTTTCTCTGATTTTTGTGATCAAAGGCGATGAAAAATGATTTTTCGACATGAAAACACACGAATTCTCAGAATTAATGACGTTTCGGCGCATTTTTCGCGGATTTCGCTTTTTCGTCTTCGCCGCCTAAAAACCTCACTTCTCATTTTGCGCTTTCTTGACCGTTTTCAGACAGAGATGGTTTTGGGAACGATAAATCACGTGAATACAAGCATTTTGAGCGCTCGAACCGCGAAAACTACCGAAAAGCAACTGAAATTCACGCAGTTTTAGCCAAAAACCTTCAAACGGATAAATGTGATTTGCGACTTGACCAAATTTAACGCTCTTGTGCTTAAAAATACGTAATAGCCTATAAAATCGGTCTATCGAGAGACAAATGAGAAATTATCGGTTTTTCGTGGCTAATCTGGCAAAAAACACAAATTTTGCTGTTAAAATTTGAATTTCGCGCTAATGTATTATAGGGGCACCGCACAGAAATGGCGCTCTGTTGAGAAACTCTTTTTGCAGTGCAAATTGAGCGACCTCGGGGCCGAGTTTGAAAAGTTAGGCCACATTTTCAGTGGAAAATTACTTCGCGGCCTAGAAATTCGGCCAGATTGCGAACAGCGCGCCCTTTCTGTCCGGTGCCCCTATAATATCGCTCTATTGGGCGGGGCGCACTTGCGCCCATTGTAAGCTCTGGAGACCGTGGCCCCGTAACTGGTGGCACTAAACTATTTCCGTTTTAAAAATTAAAAAGTGTGCGGGAAAACCAAGAAATAATGGTTAATAAACAAGCTGTGTGTGATTTCGGAAGAATGAAACTCGAAAGAGGCTGATTTCGAAGGAATTGCGACAGAAAATCGACAGATTCTCTCGCATTTCTTGCGAGAGAAAACCGATTTTCTTCCGGAATATTCTCTCGCATTTCTTTCGGAAGAAAAAACATTTTAGTTTTATTTTTTAAATTAATTTTTTTCACAGCCTGAACAAATTAAATCGAATTAATGTCGTTAAAATCTCGCTTTTCTTTCGAGAGATCTTGCAAAAGAAATTCGGTTTTCTTGCAATATTCTGCCGAAAGATTCTTTTGCATTTCTCTCGAGAGATCTTTAGCAAGATCTCTCGAGATATCTTTCGAACTGCTTTCGAAATCACACACTGTAAACAAGGGTGAACATGTAAATTTTGAGACAAGAGACGAAGCCTCCCTCTAATGGGGTTATTCAGCGATGTCAAAAAATGGAAAAAATGGGAAAAATGCAACGCGTGCACTGTTTTTTTTCCCTCTTCTCAGGTGAAATTTCAAACTTTCCTAGGCGCCGCTTAAGAAATTATTAAAAAAGTTTGAGAATTTATTGAAAAGGTTTTAAAAGGTCTTGGAAAAGTTTTTTCATTTAGAAAGTTTGAGAATGTCTTGAGAAGCGCTAAGGAAAGTTTGAAATTTTACCTGAGCTTTTCCGTTTTTTCCTCCATTTTTTACATCGCTGAATAATCCCATAAGTTCACGGTCAACGGAGCAGGCTGAAGACCTAAAAAATTATTGTCAAGTGTATTGTATCCAAGGCGTACCTTTCATTTTTTGCATCAAAAGTTCAGTTGGCGATTTCGGAGGGGATGGGACTTTATAGCGGAAACCTTGAATAGCCGGAAGAGGTGCAGGATCGGATAAAGTGAGATCGTGTAATTTTGAGATCCCAGTAGTGGCAGCAACATTTCTCGTCACCGATGCATCTCTGAGTTTAACGTTTCCTTCAGTATCAACTTCAAGCCAGTCTTTGAAAGTTGATTGTGTGAGCATGTTCCAGCTCTTGCTGAACAACTGCAGAGGATCGATAGCTAGTCCAAATTCTTGGCTATACAGCTCTGTCATTTCGGACAGCTTAAAAACAATGTGAGAGACGTTGAAGTAAACTAAATTTTCTTACATGCACAGACCTGGGATGCATCATCAGCATCATCTGCTTTGCGTTATCAGAAAACTCTTTAATCGATGGTATCTTGCAAGACCTGGTCTCGGGTTTTACAGTCTCCGACTGCTGAGGCTTCAAAACAGAATGAGATATCTGTAAATTGATTCCATCGAAACAGTGGGCGCTCGGCAGAGGAGCCGTTGGAGCTCGAAGAGGACGCTGTCCAATAGAATACGCGGCCCACTTTGATATCACACTCGAGTTATGTTGACGATTTGTATTGGCTTGAGCGTTTATAAAATTGCTAGATGACGATGATGTAGAAGGACGTGAGAATGAAGTCGATATCAATGGACGGGAGGCGAAGCTCATCGGAAAGTGGGGTTGCTAAAATTTAACACTTGAATTAATGATGTTGAAGTTTTCACTGGCCTTGTGAACGTTGGATTTTGCAAGAGACGTTATTGGCCGCATTCCACTCCCTTTTGGAGAAAATCGAGCACCGAATCCTCCTCCAAAGCCATTACGGTATCCAACGGACGACACTGGTCGACGTCCTTTCCCACCACCTCCAGGTTTTTTCTTCCTTCCTCCATCCTTTTGGTTGGCAATAAGTGCAACAAGATCAGCCACCTCTTCGGTTGCTCTAAAAAATAGTTGAAATAAAGTACAATGCTGATCTGCGAAAACAAACACAATTTTGAACTTTCCATCAGAGCTTTGTCTAACTTTTGGATGTTCCCTCAACAACTGAGCCATGTCGTGAACATTGCCCTTGTAGTATTGACCGTTGTACGTGTAACCAAGAGTTTCGCTGAAAAAATTGTATTTGACAGGAAAGGCAGAAAAACCAACTCCATTCTTTTTTCCAGCTGCATTGGAGTGGCGCCATCCTTGAATGAAAGAAGCACGGAATATGCATCACGATCCATGCGCACACGCATTTTCCTGACAAGTTCATCGTCTTCAGGCATCTTGAATAATAACGAGACAGTCCTCTGAGAAGCTCTGAATGACTTGTCCGACCGAGCTGTGAGATCGAGCTGATTTTTGGCGGGTCTGTGAACACATAACTCAAAAGGCTACGCGCAAATGCAGATAAATAAATTATACAGTAAGTTATTGCAAGTTTTGAACTCTCATATTCGTCAACCGCGAAATAGTGAAAGATTCAAAAACTCAAGATTTGCTCGGTGCTATTTATTTAGCTTGAATTTTAACTCCACTTCAAAATCCGCGTCTGTTTGTCCGTACATTTCTGCTATTTAAGTAATTTCAGAATTTTCTCAAAATGATGCTCGCCCCACAGCTCTTCCTCGACATCGTTCGCCCATGCCCCGGATGTGACACACGTGAATCATTCGGGCGAATCTGCTTGATAAGTCTAAATTTTTCTTAGCCTACGACATCCGACTCCATGCACCACACGTTCTTCCTTGCTCACATACGTTCTGCCTGATGTGCTTGTCGAAGCACGAGCAACGCAAAAAGCGGAACTGTCTGATTTGCAGAACCAAGTATTCGAAATTCGCACCGAACTTGGCCCTAATTGGTAAACTTCGCTGCTTTTTTGCTTCGCACAACCGTTATGGGGTTATTCACCGATGGTTTGAAGCTACGCCGATCCAGAACTGTTCGAATCAGATCTCTTGATACAAAAAGTCATGTTGTGACGGGTTCTGATTCGGGACAATTTTGATACGGGGCAGTTCTGGCTCGGCGTAGCCTCACGCTGAACAACCCCATTAGAAAGTTCACGGGTTCATTTCTAAATTTCTCCGTGATAAAAAGTGGCCGGATAACTGGAGAAAGAAAAAAAAAGACACACACATGCTCCGTTAAGTAGCCTTTCGTTGAACAAAACTTTTATAATTTCTAAAATGGAAAAATTTGTAACATAGAGATGAACATGTGAAGTTTCTAACAGCCTTGAGACCTTCGAAATAGTGGGGACGGACAAGCGGAGAAAGAAAAGTACAAACCCATGAATACTTTTATTAATAAAAATGGTTTCCTAATTTTCAGAAGTTTCGCAACGCATTGACGAACGCCACTCATTCTTGGACAAAGAAACTAGACAATGTGATGAATGTGACAATCGCGTAACGCGCAGTATGCTCAGGCAATGCGAAACATGCGAGAAGCAGTTTGTCACAAGAACGGAATACAAACTAGTATTTGAAAAATAAATTAATGCCCTCTATTGGAATTTCCATTTTTGCAGGAGTGCATTGTATGTCTCGAATGCTGTGTCAATTCGCACAATGGCCACGAATTGCATCGTCTTTCGCCTACAGCTCCATCAATAGAAAACTCTCCTATGATTCAACAACGAGTACGTCATCCATCGACCTCTTCAGCAGTTTCCGTTCACTTCAGAGCGCCATCGAGTGTCACAGGAAGGCTGTAATCGAACTTTTGAAAACACAGTTAAAGTCATTATGTTCAGTGCAACGAAAGGAATTATCAACACAATCAAGAGCTGGTCGTTTCGTTCGACAAACAATGAACTTTCATTCGTCCTAACACCACAATCAAAACTGGCATTCAGTGAGGAAGACATAGTCATGCAATGCAAGTCACCATTCTATGACAACAAGCCGATTCCCGTGGATTCACAGCGGCGGCATCAGTATTCGTCATCGCGATACATCTGCTATGATACCAATAACCCGAATAACACCTCAGCTGACAGCGTGTTCGGTATTTTTCCATTGCAGATCTGCCTGAAATTTATTGATAAACATAGTTTCAGCTGACACGTCTCAATCCTACGGCGGTCCGCGGCAGTCCTCTTACATTCGGAGCACATACAACGACTCGGGAATAGCGACACCCGGCTCTTCACGAGGATTTCTTTCCAATCGCTTCTCGCATTCTGCGGCGTCGCTTCGTCTTCCATCGTCAAAGATATCGTCGAATATCCAAGCGATCCAGACTAGCTTCGGGACGACAGTGGCACCGAAAAACTCCCGAGTTCGGATGGGCCTATCAGAAATCTTTAACACGTGAGTACCTTTTCTTTGAAAATTCTGAGTTGAGTTTTGACAGGCCACGTCTCCCAATGCCAAGTCCTATCCACACATCGACTCCTAACCCGCAGAGGAAAAGCACGCGCTCGGAAACTTCCGTATTTCCGCCGACGCCAACTAGTAGACATCACTTGTACATCTGAAAAGGAACCCTGTTTATCCTTACCGTTCACGAACGTATTGACTTATATGTATTAGCTTGTTTTATAGTTTTCCCTCTCGTTGCCAAAATGGTTTTTCATGATTGATTTTTATCCTCACACAATCATCAATGTATTACACACATCGGGTCATCACGAGAAATAAATCAATCTAAATGTTTAGACATCTAGATGCTTGTTTTTTCAATGAAAATTGAAGGAGAGTCTCTGTTTTTCAACTTTTCTAATAAAGTTCCAAATGAAACTTTTTTGACGGACGCTGCACCAAGTTTTTACGCTTTTCTCCGATTCATTTCTCGCTGGATCATTTTTTTCACGTGGAAATCAAAAATAGGAAATCCATCAGTTGCATTGACAGTATAGAGCTTGTTTAGCTGTCTCGATTTTCTTCTTGAAGGATAGCTAAACGGCAGAAGACATCGAATACTGACAGATTTAGTGGAACGTCCAACGTTACTATTTATTTTCGAACAGACTTCACGTCAAACTCAAAATGTACCACTACCGACGTCAAATAAGTTGTTGAGTTGTGTGCGTTTTTTTGATTTTGACTCTTATAGAGAAATGAGTTTATTGGGTTGAGTTTATCACTGTTTTCTCTATTGCAGAGTAGACCATAGACCTATCGCGAACGTTTCGAGATTATGATTATAAACTCAATTTACCGCTCTTGCCCCCTCGGTGTTTGCAGACTCAAGTATACTTTCAGGAAATTTTGGCTTGCGTCTGCAACCACCGAGGGGCAATAGCGATGAATTGAGTTTAAATGACCCTTATGCGGAACCTTATTTTCTAAATGAACATTTATATTCACTTCAGGAAGAAAATCTCGAAATGCGATGTTTTGTAATTCCTATTATTTTAATTGGAGTGTGAGTTGGGTAACATTATAGGATAATTAATTGAAAGATTGTCTATTCAGATGTCTTGGCAGTTCATGCAAGAAAATTCTTTGTCCAGAACAAACTGGAAAGCAAATATCATGTGATATGTGTCACACATGCCTAGACATTAAATCAAGGTAAATTGTTCATATCTTTTGACCAATCCTAAAATCTTTTCAGATTTTGTTACACTTCGGATCATAAGTCATGTGGATGTGCTACAACGGTTCCTTCAGTTTGTGGAAAGGGATCTGTAAATTATACATTCTGTCTTTTACTGGGTTCGTAGATCTAGTATCGGAAAATTCTTGCAAATCCTGCAGCTGCAGATGACGTTTCACTACCACCTCCTGTAACAACCGTTATTGATGAGCATTCGGTGTCAGCGGTAGTTCCTCGATTCTTTCAAGAAGCTCCCTTTAATGTCTTGAAACCCTCCTTCCTCTACTTGTTAGCAATTTTCACAAGAGTAAGTTAAAATTGTGATTTACTGAACTAAAACTTTTTTCCGAATGAAACGAGCTGTACATCACTGGGCCACATTGAAGCTTATAGCAGGAATCAGAATAAATGTCTTCTAAGAATCCGAGTTCAAATGCCAAAACTTGATTACGCCGGCAACGATGTGAGTTATCAGGAACAATGTTGGGTCGACTATTTCTTCAGAACTAGGAGACACCGTTTTCTTTGACGGCTTGTTTTTAAGTGCGTTGTTGATAAGTTATGAGTGAGGAATTCTTTGTGACCTATTTATTGAACTTTAGCCACATTTTGAGGGGGAAACTATCCGACGTTTCGGCAGTAGCCATCATAATGGATTGCTTAATTTTCCTTATTCAGAACTACTACTATGACGATCGATCACCTCTGGAATCGCAGTTCTCTAGGGAAATATTCGGTAAATCATCAAATGTGTCCTTCTGGAACGAAGTAACCATGAATCGCATTATTGACCTAGACAATGGATCCATAAGTTTTTCAACTATTTTGAAATCAGCCCGAACTGATTTTGAGCTATAAAAAACATTTCTTACAATATCGAATTTTGAATAAAGTGTTTATTTTTATAGTGGGGAGCCAAATATCTGTATATATATTTTAAAAAACACAATATAAAAAATTAAATGAGAAAGATCTTCACCCGATTGATCGGACATCGAAAGTTGAGACTTAGTTGAAGCGGAGAGTTTAGACAAGGTACGAGTTGGATCAATAAATGCTCTTATTTTCTTTTTTGGGCACTTGCTCCAGACAGTGCCTTTTTTTTAGACTGCGGAGGTCCACCAAAAAAATTAGCCATCATTTCCCCAACATCAGGCATGTCCACTTTAGGCATTTGCATGTTTTCCATTTCGCGCTTCAGTTCCGGATCGTTTGCAGTCATTCTCAAAGGAAATATTAAACATAAATAAGAGGTTTTGGGTGCCTTACTTGGGAAGTATGAGCATAACAACAAGTGGTACCACGAGCATCAGAACCATTGGACTGAAGAGCATATCAGTGATTCGCCATTCCTCTCGTTTTCGAAAGTACCGCGCCGGACTACGGGTTGAAAGTCGAAGCGGATATGGAAGAGTGTTCACATTGTTCGGCTAAAAACATGTTGATTACTATAGACGCAATCAGGGATGGGCAGAACACTCAAGTAAGAAGCCTGTTTTTTCTAATTAAATTGAAGCATCATGGGTCCAAGTTTCAGATTGATCGAATTTTCTGGTCCCGACTCGGGACTCCCGAGATATACGAATCAGAGGGCGAAAACGCCTTTTGCGAAAATTGCGGCCTTTTGCGTCTGCCATCCGGATGCATCCACATATCTCGGGACCAGATAATCCAATCGGTCTGAAACTTAGACCTAATATGATGCAATCCAGGCAAGATGCCTGTAAAATTTTCAGTGTTAATTGTTATCCTGCTTGCAGAAAAATGATTTTCGGAAATTCTGATCGGAATTGTTTGTGAAAACAAACCTGTAGAATCGTCAATTTTCGTGCCCTCATTTTCCCCTTAGAAGTAATGTCAACACGAATCGGCTCAAACACAAAGTCTGTATTCTCGATTTGCACAATGTATGTTCCACTTGAGACGAAATCCACGCGGAAGGTACAATCTTGCCGCACGAATCCTATATGCTGACCATGATTCAAATGAACTCTAGCATTTCCTGACCATTTTGCACAGTTCGTCGAGGAGGGAAGAGCGATCTGGACTTGACTTTGTCAAAAAATGAATTATGAAAGACAACCAACTTCTCCTTCGACAGTATGGAAAGATCCTGCCTGCTCGAGCTTAATATCCTTTTCCGCGCTGCATGAAAGCGCGACAGCAGTTGAAAGTAATACAAGAAATTGCATCATATTTCTTCAAAAAATTATGTGAAGCAGAGAAATTATGCGAAGCATATTTGCAGAAGTAACTACTCGCTAAACAACGAGAATTCGATTGCATAGTAAAAAATATTTTTGAAGCGAGAAAAATATTTATAAGTAGAACGATTGACGAAGGCGTGGTTTGTGAAAAACCGCAAGTACTCAGACAAGTCAATTCGAATCTAATTAAAACAAATTATATAAAACCATGTCTAATTAGTTGATTTTAGTTTCTAACGCAACCTCCTTAGATTCGAAAATGTTCTAATTAGATTCGAATTGACTTGTCTGAGTATGATGAAATAAGTTTTTGAAAAGTAAGAACAAGAGATGAATCATTTTCAGAAAGTGAAGTTTTGTGCATATGTTTATGTTTACAATTTATACCAGAATCGCTCTCGAATAAATTGTAAACGGCATTCGAAGTCTTGAACATGCGTATTTAATTTTTCCTGATATATTAATTGAAGCGCTTCAGAAACTCTTCCGCTGACACACGGGCTCTTGCATTCAGTGAAAGTTTCATCTCACTGATTTCCTGAAAACACGAAATGAAATGGCGAATATGATCTGTTAAACCTTATCAATCTCTTGCATGAAGTGGAGAAGGAAGTCAACCAACTTGTGCTTAAACATTGCTTCGGTGTGCGACGCAGTGATGAGGAATGAAATATCATATCCTGAGAAGAAAACTAGGATAACACGTGTCACGAAAAATCTTGCCTGGAAGTGGTTTTCGACGAAGAACAAAAAAATTGTCAGCCCTCTGACACATAAAACGCGTAAACTTGTGGCAAAGAATTTTTTCGATATCATCTGACTGTTTGATGGCAATGGATATTCTCACGGAGTTGACCGATGGCTCAATCAGAACACGCTCCTGTTTGTTTCTTGCAACCACCACAGACGTCATAAGAAGCTCTTTCGATGTTTGAACTTCAACCTTGAAAATGATCATTCTTTTTCAACAAGAGTCTCTCGTTAAATTTCTTACTCTCAGCATAAACTCGGCCCGCACAGCGGGACCAAATTAAAAGTAGATTGTTTTTTAATAAATAAATAATAATTATCTTTCTTATTAAATAAAAAAGCTAACGGAGTCTGTCCTCGCTTCTATTTCGAACGAAAACAGCTGCTACGGAGAAGTTAAGGAATGAACACTTGAATTTTCATTTTCATATTTCAAGCGGCGAAGGCTTAGCAGTTTTCTTTTAAAATATAACAGTTTTTTTTTCAAAATAAGAAGCTTACTTCGGGTTTATTATGTCTTTCGACAACCTGTGAGCTAAACTGTTCGAGGCATAGAGCTACTTGGAGCGTATGACGAACAGCTTCAAGGTATGGCTGAAGTGTTGCGCTCATCAACTGTAAACAATTTTGTAGATAACTGTATTTATCCGAGAAAAACTAAGAAGTAAAAAAATGTATACAATGCGAACGGAAAATTGTAAAATTGCGGTCGATAATCCGAAAATCACTGTCGCGGGGATGACTCACTTTTTGGCCAGAGTCTGCAAGCACGCCCCACCGCATTTTCACAGCAAAATGCCGCCAAACCAAATTTCAAAACACTGAGACAATGTCGTGTATACTTGTATATACACAAGACACGAACTGATCTAATTCTTTCTCCAGCACTGTTGTAAAATTTCTGTCCGGCTCGAGTTACGCTAAATTTAAACACATTTTTTAAAACTGTATAACAAAAATCTGCGCTTATGGGCCTATTCAGCGTATGTTTGTTTTCCGTTTCTCTGGAAACTCGATTGCAATCTAATTAGAAGAGTTTGCAATCTAATAAGAAAAAGCTCTATTTCGCAATCTAATAAGATTTAATTGAAGTTCCAGTAAAATCGTATTAGATTACAATATATTTTTCCTGAATTGCAATCCAATAAGAAAAAATTGCAATCTAATTAGAAAACATTGCAATCTAATTAGAAAAATTGCAGTGATTGTAATCTAATTAGAAGATTTTGCAATCTAATTGAAGCAAATTCTATTTCAAACGAGTTCGTATTAGATTGCAAAGTTTTCTAATTAGATTGCGATCGAGTTCCCAGAGTTTTTTACATCGCTGAATTGGATCTCTTGACGTAAGAAAAGGAAAAAAAAGGAAAACAATCTTTCGTGCATACATGTTCGTTTCCTTTTTAAAGCGGTTGCAAGCTAATTTTTCTTGCTGGTTTTTACAGAATGAAAAACCAATTCAACATCCTTCCATTGGCCGACCGAGAGCAAAACAAAAAGGTTCAGTCGATTTTGGAAAAGAAGTACGATTCCGCAAACAATAAAAAAGTCACTCTAAACGAACGGTTCGCAGTCAATGGTGTGTTCTGTTCTACATCACGAAAAGTTTATTTTTCAAATTTTCAGAGAAAGGCTACTTTCTACACGCGACCAAATCTTATCGCAACCTCGGCGATCCAGCAATTTTCTACAAAATTGACGACAGAAATTTGGTTTCCAAAAAAGATTTTATCGAAGTGCGTGCCATACACCTTCTAAAATTTGATTTTTTTTTCAGAGTTATCTTGCAAAAGCTTCTCAAACCCTATTTTCTTCCAAAACGGAAGAAGATAAAGAGAATGTGCGAGGAACCGTCAAAAATACTAATAATAAGTCGTTAACTGAGAAATCGCTCAATTCTGAGGATTATGCCCGTGATGTTGCAGCTAAGATTCTGAACGTTGTCTGAAAGCTGTTCTTCTTCACTTCCGTCGTTTTATTTATCCCAACCTCGTAATACGTACACTCTATTTTTACGTTTTTGTAATTCTTCGCGAACTCGTGTTTCCAATTTATCCCCTTCCTTATTTCTTCAACTGTAATTTATCTTTGTGATTTTTTTGCTGAAACTGAAGAATCGTGGAGAGTAGGGTCTATCGTACACTGAAAATTGAAAATGAGTTTTTAAACAATGGGAGCAAAAGTTCTTGCTCTGATCGTTCCTCTTGCAATTTCTTTTCTCCTAAACATCGGATATATCGGATACATGCTTCTTTACCGCAGAAACAGAACCTCTTCGTCACAGTACAGTAAAGTAGACAATCCGAATCCGGAAAGTCTTCTCAATAATCAAAGATTCTCCGATTATCATGATGTTGGCATGTCAAATAATACTGACCAGTGCAGGAAGCACTCAGACAAATCAAGGACTTTCGGTTTTTTCAATATATCTCCAGAAATCGAACATAGGGACCTCTGATTTTTTTGATAAGAGTTCAATTTTACTGGGTTCTTCAAAATGAGCCAGCTCAGAGGTAAATGTAAGGTTTCTGAGAGAAGTTACAGCTTCATAATTTCCACTCCTCCGTATGCTTTGCCGGCCCGTGAGCAACAATTTATTGACAAATGTTCTGTTCAGAGAAGAAAAAGAAAACACCGTTTTTTTTTCGTTTCTTTACGTCAAAAAAATCCAATTCAGCGATGTAAAAAAACAAAAAAAAAACGGAAAACAAACATACACTGAATAGCCCCATAATCAGTCGTAGTCAGGCGTAATCAGTACTTAACGCTTTTTTTTAAAACTTTTTTCGTCTCATTTGCTTGTATCACACATGGCATGCACACGGGCCGGCAAAGCATACGGAGGAGTGGAAATTGTGAAGCTGTAACTTCTCTCAGAAACCCTACATTTACCTCTGACCTGGCTCATTTTGAAGAACTCAGTAAAATTGAACTCTTATCAAAAAATCAGATGTCCCTATGTTCGATTTCTGGAGATATATTGAAAAAACCGAAAGTCCTATGTATGAAAAGCCGGGCCGTGATGCATGGAAGCAGAGCTCAGCTAGTCCCCTTTTCATTTCTAACACGGAAATAGTTGTAACGGAGAAATTGAGAAATGAACACGTGAACTTTCAAACGGTTATGAGAAACAAATAAGCGGCCAAGCCGCTTCCGAGCGTTAGCTCGGACCGCGCAGTGGGCCCAGTTCTGAAAGGCTTTGTGAATTAATAGAACATTTGAACAGATTCATCTTTCTAAATTTGATAAATAGCTAACGGAATTCGTCCTCTCTTTTTCTTTCTTCGCTCCTCCGTTTTCCGGTCACCTCTTCTATTTTCTAAACTAATTGCAAAAATAAAATATTTTTGACGGAGAATAAATGAACATGCGAACTATCAAGCGATTGATCAAGCCGCTTCCGAGTGTCAGCTCGTCCCACGAAGCTGGTACCGGTTGGAAAGTCTTCTAAACGTTTAGACTGAGTAGTTCATTAAAAAGTCCCCATGCATTCATTACGGCCACCGACAACGGACTAGAAACATGCGCGTTTTTCTAGGCCGCTTTCTTCGTATAAGCATTTTTTGTATGCTTCTGTGCAATTTTCTCGTCACTTCTCGGAATACTAGAAAACCATTTTCACATTACTATATTAAAAACAATGTTGATTCAAGAATACATTCGCTTTATATTTAAAAAAATAATTGTTCCAGGCTAGACGCGTTCCGAATGACACTGCCTCGTACTCGTTCAAAACTTTTCAAAGGTTGAATATGTCTTCGAACCGTTCTCCACCTCCTCCCCCTCCCCGAAAATCCACACAAAAATTTACAAAAGTAAAAAAAGTATTTTAAACAAACATTTCAAACTTGAATTTCATTTTTCAGAATAGCAGCAATCCGCGCCCAGAGAACCACCGATGTAAAAGCGCGTGGCGTAAAATTCACCTACCTGGAAGAAAATATTTGCGAGCAGATGGGGCTCCAGATGGATGTCATTCGAAACAGGAATTTGACGTAAGATATTCAAACCGAAGGCACACGATAGACATCGCAAATCGCAGAGCATGAAACGACATGGCGTGGAGTATGACAAAGAGGCGCAAGTGCGCGGAGAAAAGGCTTTGGCTGATCCACGGAGTCAGTCTAACAATGTCCGTCCCGCGGCAAATTCTTTCCGGAATATACACTACACCAAGCGTCCACATCTACGTCTTGATTCAAATTACTGTACTATCCCGCCAAAACGAGAAGTTTCATTATTCAGAATGGACGACAACTGTACAATCGAGCTTCTGAGAGATTTTGCAGAGTAGTTCAATCATCACGTCATTATTTTAACCCAATCATCTTCAGAGAATGCGGTAATGTGGAAGACGTATGGGTTTGTAGACATCCAACAACGAATCAACATTTGAAGATGGCATATGTTGTTTTCAAATTTGTCGAAGACGCAATAAAATTTCGAGAAAAATACAGAACACAGAGTATACTTGCTACGAAGTGCAAGTGTGAAATAGACCCGTTCCGTGAGTTTGATTCTGCGAGGTCGTTGTATCTATTAATCTTCTCAGTTTCTAAATTGAACGAAGCTTACGAGGAAATCACTGATCAGCCGATCAGCCGACTTCCAAAACATTTGACTTTGATCGAAGCGCCAGTATTGAAAAAAATCCGTTCAAAATTTCTGGGTTACCAGGTCGAAGAAGAAAGTGAGCGAAACTGTAATGGTAATAACGCAGAAGATTATGAATGTACTACAATAGAGAGAGAGACATTCGATATAACGGATGAAGAATACTCTCAAAGAATCGACAATGGTGGGTTCGAAGCACTTTCTAAATTCTCAAATGAAAATTGTTTTTGCAGACAATGAATATGTTCCCCCTCACTGTTACATCGGTTCTCCTATTCCTCCTACTTCGTTCGAAGAAGAAAGCATCCCTCCTCCTCCGACGAAAGAAGCAATTCCTCCTTACAATGTGAAAGAAAAAGAAGCCGTTCCTCCGCCACCTCCTCCAACAGGGTTCCATAATCACCATCCATCACTTGGCTCTCATGAATTTCCGACAGGTCAGTCCAATACTGCAAATTTACGCTCTATAAGATATTTTTTTGACATCTTAATATCAATTAATATGTTTTTATGATTTACAGAACCTCCTCCATCATATTCCCAGATAGATCCGATGCGTTCGAGCAGAGATCAAAAACATAGTGTTTCCCGGCACCATCGAAAGTACCCTTCGAGTAGTGAATCAGAGAGCGGAAAATCGAGTACAGATCGTGTTTCACGTCGTGGAGACTATCGACCAGCTTCTCGAAATCATGGAGCCGATGACAGTGACAAAGTTGTAAAAGTACACAAAACCAAGTTTGAGAAAAGAACAATTGAATATGAGGCGGGGAAGAAGAAGTTCGAACAAGTGCATATCAGGAAGAGGACGTCCGTCATCCGAGGAAAAGAATTTGAAGAAATATCGTCTGACGAGAATGCGTCTAGCTTCGATTCATCTTCTACACCTTTCCATGGGGACTCAGATAAAGAAAGAAAACTGAAAGTATGCTAATTTGGCCGAAGATATGTTTCTTTTTTTTGGTTACAGAAACGCGATAAATCACCAAGCCGTAAAAAAAAAGAAAGAGGTTTTGGCTGGGACTCTGAGAGCGACGAATCCGAAGATGAACACCTTAAACGAAGAGGTGGACGATCGAAAATTCGAGACCAAGTGCGGAGAACAGAGAAAAACGTTCGACGGGATTATAACACTGGAAGGTCTAAAACCCCACCGCCACCTCCTCCAGCTCATATGGTTCCACAGTCAAACAGACAAGTGAATCATAATATTCCATCTTCTGCTCCACCACAAAGTTTCCAACACCATCCACACCAGATGCCGCATATGATGCCTTTTGCTTACTATTCGCAAGCTCCTCCTCCGCCGCCTTGTGATACCCGTAAGCCACCGCCCGGATTTATTTCTTCATTTCAACCAGTGGCACCAGCAGCTTCAATTTATCCGCAAATGACCGTTCCTCCCTCTATTGTTCTCGCACATTATCATAGTGCCCCATCGAATCTATGTTTGCCGCAACCTTCCCTCGTTATACCGTCTCTTTCTGGGAACAAGAATAATTCTCCGGATGATCTGAAACTATCTCTCCAGCAGCGACTTACTGGCTTATTCGCCACAGTAGATACGCCTAAACTTGCCCCTCAACTTGAACGGCTTCCGAAACCATTGGAATCTATGGATGATCAACATTCACTCGAAGATATGGATGTTGAAGTGTCAAGTGGCAGTGAACTACAAGAAGCCGGCGATGAACGAGAAAGAGAAATACGACGAAACTTGATGGACCGACTTGAAACTGTCCGCGCTTCAATAGTGAGAAAATGTCGCCAGAGAACGATAGAAGAGTTGAACTCAAAAATTACTGATGATATTCGACAACAAATAATGCGTTTGTGCCTTTCGCAACTCGATGACAAAATACAAAATCAGACAGTTGTTGATGAAGAAAGAAGGAAAAAAGAAAGAGAGGAAAAAGCCAGGTTGGAAGCGGAAAAGCCTAAAATGATTGCGGATATGATGGTAAGTATAAAAGTATGATGATAAATTATGAAAAATGCGATTCTCAGACACTTTTCAACAAGCAATCGTTCTCCAACGCTCCTCGTCAAAATTTTTCCTTTTTCAGGGTGAGTTTTCATCTGGAATCAACCAATGCATTCTTTCCCTTTTCAGAAGCAGAAACCAATTCCAAAAAACAACCGCCAACACGAGAGCCGTCCGGTTTCAACATCATCGTCGGCATCATCAGATTCTTCGAGTGAATCTTTTGTAGCTCGTCCCCCACTTCGAAAACGTTCGTCGTCATCGTCTTCTTCTGTGTCGTGTCGATCTGAGTCTGATGATTCTGATAGTGATGGACCCAAAAGACGGGAAAAGTCCGTAGCCAGTGACGATGAAAGACGGAGAAGAGACTCGTTCAGTTCCACAAGCATTCTCAGCAGCCCGACGAGAGGGAGAAGTGTATCTAGTTCAAGCAGCAGTAACTGTACTGAGACTGAGATAGAAAAACAGTCTCGAAAAAGAAATAAGTTTTTTTCAATTGAGAACACATCTGAGTCTTCGGCTACCAGAGAAAGCAGAGAAAGTACTGACGAGCCCAGAGCAAAGAGGATTACGATCGAGTACGAGAATGAAACTAGCGTCGAATACACGCAATTCAGCACTTCAAACAATTTATTAACTCAAGGACCAACTAGTGGTGTGACCGTTCATGATCCGAAGAGAGAGAATAGTCTTCCCTACCGAATAGTTACATGGGAAAAAGCGCCTACGAACAGTTCGATGGAGAGTGGCACCATTCGAAAGGAAGACTATCATCCGTTTGCTACTGAGCATTGCTATTTCAAAAGTCGCACGAGAATGGATATTCAACTGTTTGACAAATGGCCTGAGTTATCTTCTGGCGCAGAAGCTCCTTTCCTAACGCCAGCACCATGGGCGACGGAGGCTTCAGGCGATAATGTTTTAAATGGTTCTGGACCATTAATTCTTACTGATCCCATGTTCCTGAAAAAAAACCGACTACCTCCGGCAAAAAAACCTAAGAAGCAAACGGCACAAATGAGAAGAGAATTGGGAGAGTTGCTGAGATGTGTTGAACCGGTTTCAGTACGTCCTCTGAAGATTTTCAACCCTCGTTCAGAAGAAGAGAAGCGGAAACTTATTGAAAATTGCACCGAACTTCCCGATCTTGAAGACCAGTACTACTTGCGTGAAGTCCTACAAAATATGCAAAATGCTGCAAAATCAGTTGATGATCTTCCATGGGGAAGACTTTTAACTTTCAAAGAAATTCTGAAACCCGATGACCCTCTCTTGAAGGTAATCCGTTCTGGGATTCTTATGAAATTTTAATTATTGTAGATAAACCCTATACGATCTAAGAAAGGAATTCTCGACGTTTTTTACGAAGATCCCGAACTAGATGGAGTCATTCCGGTGGCTGAGGGATGTGCTCGTGCTCGTCCCTATAAAAAATTGACAATGAAACAGAAGCGGAGCCTTGTTCGTCGCCCTGAACAGGATACGAACTGTTCTCCAGTCATGTTCAGTGAGCGGGATGAAACGGCAATGCGGCATCAACATTTGGCCAATAAAGATATGCGACTATTGCAACGAAGACTTCTTACATCTCTTGGCGACGCCAACAATGACTTTTTCAAAATCAATCAGTTGAAGGTGAGTGTTTTTAATGTGGAGCTGCCTAATCGTATTACTTAGTTCCGTAAAAAAATGATCAAGTTTGCTCGATCTCGGATTCACGGATGGGGTCTATATGCTATGGAGACGATCGCTCAGGATGAGATGATTGTCGAGTATATCGGACAGAAAGTTAGATTCCCACTAAGTATTCTGAGTCATATTGCACTCTCAGATACGTTCTCTGGTCGCCGACGAACGAGAAAAAGCATACGAACGACGAGGAATTGGAAGTTCTTATTTATTCCGAATCGATGAACACTCAGTGATCGACGCGACAAAACGAGGCAATTTCGCACGATTTATAAATCACTCATGTCAACCAAATTGCTATGCGAAGGTATGTTAGATTGGATCAAACTCCTCTAATTATATATAGATATATTTCGGAACTTTCGGTTACCAAAACTCCGTTAGCTTTTTTTGAGAGTTACTCTCAATTCACCGCTCTTGCCCCTCGGTGTTTGCGTACTCAAGCCTAATTTCAGAAATTTTGGCTTGAGTCTGCAAACACCGAGGGGCAAGAGCGCTGAGTTGAGTTTAGCTCGGTCTCCGCAGCGGTACCACGTTCAAAAAAGTCGTGTTAAAGAAGAATGATGATGTTGAGAAGGTCCCTCTCAGAAGGAACATCAGGGCAGGGCAAATTTCTGCTTAATTTTTTTTCCGTACGATAATCCGATCGGTCTGAAACATGGATCCAATATACTTCAATCCAAGTCTAAAAAGCCTGCGGCCTGCGAAGTTTCGGTCCGATCGGTATATTGCAGCTGGGCTAAATGTCCGGGCCTTTGAATAAGCCTGGGCCGGCCCTTTGCTCAATCTTGCTGAGCATTAGGGTTGCAGAACAATTTCTCTGGGAACTCGATTGTAATCTAATTAGAACACGGCCCGGCTTTTCATATAAGGGACTTTCGGTGTTTTCAAGCTATCTCCAGAAATCGAAACATAGGAAACACAGGGACCTCTGACTTTTTGATAAAAGTTCAATTTTACTGTGTTCTTCAAAATGAGCCAGGTTGGAGGTAAACTCAAAAGATAACATTAGTCAATATTGAGTAAGTCAATGATTATATGAGTCAATGATGAGTGAGTCAAAGAATACAAATGATAGTCAATGATAATTGGAGTCAATGATGAGTGAGTCAAAGAATGAAAGGAGAGTCAATGATGAATGAGTCAATGAGTGTATATTTTTGGGTAGTCAATGATCAAAAAAGTCGATGATGATTAGGTCAACGATCATTGGCTTTCAAATTTCGATCGTACTAATGGGGTTATTTAGGCTGTGAAAAAAATTATTTTTTGATGGACTGGTTGGGATCTTCCGGGTCAATAAATTGCTGCACTATTCAACTGTTCTAAAACCGTGATTTTTGTTTTTTTTTTTCTTTCGCACGAACACGGGCCACAAGCGGGCCGACGTTCCAAACGTCTTGTAAGACTGATAAAAATGATGATTCTAGGTTCTCACCATCGAAGGCGAGAAACGGATTGTAATATATAGTCGCACAATCATCAACAAAGGCGAGGAAATCACTTACGACTACAAATTTCCTATCGAAGACGACAAAATTGATTGCCTATGTGGAGCAAAAGCGTGCCGTGGCTTCCTCAACTAGACCTTGGCTTTTATGATCTCCATGTAAAATCATCATTAGTATCTTCATTTGATCTCTAATATTATAGGGTCACCGAATAGAAAGGGCGCTCTGTTCGCAATCTGGCCGAATTTCTAGTCCGCGAAGTAATTTTCCACTGAAAACGTGGCCTAACTTTTCAAACTCGGCCCCGAGCTCACTCAATTTGCACTGCAAAAAAGTTTATCAATAGAGCGCCCTTTCTGTTCGGTGCCCCTATAATAGTTCTCCGTTAATTTCATTCTGATGCGGTACAAGGCGAGATGCAAACACATTGAGCTTTAAAGTTCTCATAATATGAGTTTTTATCTGTTCTTTCAAGTTTTTCAAAAATTGGTTTATTTGTGATTTTTCGTCATAGGGGAAACATTGTTTTACAAATTGTTCTTAAAATCATTGCATACGATGACTAAAACTTTCTCGAATAATCTGCTGTAATAGTGCTTTCACTAATTGAGGGTTTATTTTCGAAATCTCAATTCATGCTTTATTTTAGTTTCTGATATCTATAATTTCTTTCTGTAATTGAAGTATTCATTCTGATCGACATTAAATTTATTTCCCTTCTTCTCATAACACTTAAAAACACTTTCCTGTAAATCAGCTTCGCCCATTATCTCTCTGTGAAACGAGCAGTACACGATATATTTTGCCGATAAACTTCATGTTGAACACAGCACAAAACCTTAACTCAGATGCTTCGAAACAGCATATGGCACGTGTCAAAGCCATTCAAGCAGATGATACGCTTTCGTCTCATTTCCACGAGTTCACCGGATTATGCAAGCGGATTCAAACAAGGTCGAGGCACTGGAGATTCTGGGCAATCTTCGTTGTACAACAATGAGCGAAGATGGAAAGATGACGATAGTTTCAGTGCTCTTGGAGCCACTGACGAACTGTCATCATTTCTTGGAGTATGCCAAGCATCGGCGCAAGTTGACGGAACAATGAATGATGTCGTTGAAACATTAACACGTCTTCAATGCTGTCTGCAAGATGTTGGCGCACATTTGGCGACTCCCCCAAAAAGTTCATCGGACAGAAAGCAAAGTGTGCTCTATAAGTGTTTTTCATAGTCTCTTATTTTTCAGAAAAGACAGCTTTCGATGCGGTAATGGTAGATTGGATAAATGCAGAAATCGACCGTTATGGTGATGACCTTCCAACAATCAGCCAGTTCATTCTGTCAGGTGGAGGTCTAACATCGGCTCAATTACAGTACTCGAGAGCGGTTTGCCGACGTGCCGAAAGATCTATCGTTCCATTGCTAAGAGAAGAACAGGTGGATCCAATGGCATTAAAATTTCTCAACAGGTAAAAAATGCGGTTGAAAATTAATTTTGAACTTAGAAGAAATTCAAATCATTGTAATAACAGGACTTTTGGAACCTGGGCCCGCTGCGCGGGCTGACTCGGGAATGGATTGCACTTACCTTGGGCTTTTGGAATGGGACCCACATGATTCGAAAGAGAATTTCACGGAGAATCCGAATCTGCTCTCTATTTTTGCTAAAGAGTTCCAGTGCAAAATTCATTTTTTAACATGTAATCTGCAGTTTGGTGCAGAGCGTGTGGGCGCCCGAGCGACGTTGTCACTCGCCCAGTTGCAGTGCCAGTGCTTCGCCAGCCACAGGCAGATTGCAACGGACTACTGGCGAAGCAAAAAATGAATTTTGCACTGGAATTTCAGATGCGATCGCCAGCCAGAGCTCTTTAGCAATAATGGAGAGCAGATTCGGATTCTCCGTGAAATTCTCTTTCGAATCATATAGGTCCCATTAGAAAAGCCCAAGGTAAGTGCAGGCCATTCCCTAGTGAGCTGACGTTTATGCCGCGTCCAAAGTTTAAGAAAAGCGTCCAAAGTTCAAGGAAATCCCAGCAAAATCCGCGTGATTTCCGGGTTTTTTTTAAATTTTGGACGCGGCATTAAAAGGGGCTTTGCCGCGTGTTTGATTGTCGGAACAGATAGTTCACGTGTTCATTCTTCCTTTTTCTGTCACAATACGTGTGTTTTTCGAAATAAGAAATTTATATTTAGTCTGCGGAGTGATAAGTTAAGTTTGAAAAATGAATATTTTAGAATGAGTGACCTGTTATTCGTACTTGGTCGGACGGCATGCATGCGCAATAAGCAGGAGGAGCTTACCTATCTTCGTCCGGACTCCTTCACTGCCATGAAATGGGAACGGAAATCTCTTCATGAGAAGAACTGATAGAAATTTGTGTCATTTGACCCCAAAGTTCAGACTGTTCTATTTTATTTCTAATAATTATAAACTTGCCTTTTGCTGAACACATTTTGTATTATTCCCTGTCAAGGTTTCATCCTTCCTCGTTATCGATACATTTATTTTTTCTTCTGATCTCTGGGAATCATATGCTCTGGGAACTCGATCGCAATCTAATTAGAAAACTTTGCAATCTAATACGAACTCGTTTGAAATAGAATTTGCTTCAATTAGATTGCAAAATCTTCTAATTAGATTGCAATCACTGCAATTTTTCTAATTAGATTGCAATGTTTTCTAATTAGATTGCAATTTTTTCTTATTGGATTGCAATTCAGGAAAAATATATTGTAATCTAATACGATTTTACTGGAACTTCAATTAAATCTTATTAGATTGCGAAATAGAGCTTTTTCTTATTAGATTGCAAACTCTTCTAATTAGATTGCAATCGAGTTTCCAGAGTGATGCTAACGACTTCTTTTTCCGGAGGCTACGCCGAGTCAGAACTGTCCCGAATCAGAACCTATTATAGGGGCACCGCACAGAAATGGCGCTCTGTTGAGAAACTCTTTTTGCAGTGCAAATTGGGCGACCTCGGGGCCGAGTTTGAAAAGTTAGGCCACGTTTTCAGTGGAAAATTACTTCGCGGCCTAGAAATTCGGCCAGATTGCGAACAGCGCGCCCTTTCTGTCCGGTGCCCCTATAATACCTGCAGGTGGTTCTTGTTACAAAAAGTCATGTTGTGACAAGTTCTGATTCGGGACAGTTCTGGCTCGGCGTAGCCTCTTTTTCCGTGTGCTTCGTATTGAAAATTTGTTGAAGAAAAGTTTTCCTTCTGGACCCATTAATTGACTTTCCGCACAGATGGGATGTTTTCACTTCCAATAAATAGGCCCAGAAAGAAAATATCTTCAACATATTTTTTTTTTCTAAGAAGTATTTAGCTAAATATGGACCCCTTATTCACGGCCTCAAACCGCTACGATCGTCAGGTCCGGCTTTGGGGTGAAGAAGGTCAAGCATCGATTGGGTTAACGACTGTTTGTATGATCGGAAGCGATTCCCTTGGTTAGCCGACACTTAAAAAACCCTTTCTAATTTTTTTCCCTTCGGCAGCCACTGAAATTTTGAAGTCTCTAGTATTGGCTGGCATCCATTCTGTTCATATTATTGACGATGTCTTTGCCGAGACGGCTGATTCCGGTCAAAATTTTTTCTTGGACGTCGACGACATTGGTAAAAATCGAGCGGAAGCAACTCTGGAAAAGCTAAAAGAACTGAATCCAGCTGTCGCTGGTAGTTTCTCTCTTATAAACCTTCTCACGTCGTCCGAAAACGAAAACCTGACCAGATTCTCTGTTGTTGTGGCGGCGAATCAGACAGAGGATCTGGAAATTACTCTCGCTAAACAGCTCTACAATGCTGGTGTGCCTTTCGTCTCTGTCAAGTGAGTTTCAATAAGAAATTTGTTTTACTTCAAATCTAAAATCTCCAGAACTTATGGACTTCTGGGCTCAATTAAGCATTGTATCAAAGAGCATACAATCGCCAATTCGCACGATGAAAACCCGAAACCTGATCTGCGATTGGATGCTCCTTTTGAAAACTTACTTGAAATGGTCCGTGAAACGAACCTTGAGAACATGACAGTGGAACAGCTCCGTCACACTCCATACATCTTATTGTACTTCAAAGCACTCGATGTTTTCCGTTCTTCTCACAACAATCCGAAAGCTTTCCCCGAGAACTACTCTGAGCGAAAAGAAATTCAACGAATTCTCAAAGACTTTCGTCAGAGCAAAGAAGGAACGGGAATCAGGGACTCTGAGAATTTCGATGAAGCTAAGGCGGCTGTCAACAGAACATTTCAAAAAACAGCCGTGAGGCGGAACTGAAAATATGATTTGACTGCTATAATTCCAGATAGATGCTTCTGTCAAGTCCATTTTCGAAGATGAACAATGTTTTGTTTCTACGCAGCCTTTCTGGTTGATCTGTGAAGCTCTCCGCCGTTTTGTCGCCTATAGCGAAGGCGTACTCCCTTTGCAAGGGACATTGCCAGACATGACATCTGACACAAACAGATACACTCGGCTGGCCACAATTTTTCACGAAAAAGCGCTTAAAGACGCTCAAGAAGTTCTCCGCTTGACACGAATTGTAGAAAAAGAAAGAGGTGTTGGTGATATAATATCCGAGGAAATGTGCTATCGATTTTGCAAAAATTCTAATAGAATACGTGTACAACGCGGTGAACAGCTCAACTACGCTAACGAAATGATTTCGATTGTGACCAAGATTCGACAACTTGGAAGATCAGAGGAAACTGGGAAAGTGAATACCATTATTTGGATGCTCTTGATGCGTGCGGTAGCAAGATTCAAAAAAGAGAAAGGGCGCTTTCCGGGAACAAACGGAGTTCCCGTCTCAATTGATGCTCAAGATTTGAAGAAAAGGGTCGAGGTGTTGATAAAGGATGCTTTAGAGGTGAGAAAATACGAAATCCAATCAAAAACGGTTATAATACTTAAATAACCCCCCATGACTCAGGAAAAAACGGCGCCAATTCGGCTTCAAAATCAGCGTATTATAGGGGCACCGCACAGAAATGGCGCTCTGTTGAGAAACTCTTTTTGCAGTGCAAATTGAGCGACCTCGGGGTCGAGTTTGAAAAGTTAGGCCACGTTTTCAGTGGAAAATTACTTCGCGGCCTAGAAATTCGGCCAGATTGCGAACAGAGCGCCATTTCTGTCCAGTGCCTCTATAATAATTAGATTGATATGTGCTCAAATCAAGTTTCACGCCAACCGTGTGCTGGCTCAAATCTCGATTGCGCCAAGAAAACATTCGAATCTAATTAGGTCGCGTTTAGATAAGTAACTTTCTAATTAGATTAATATCGAATTGCCAGAGACTGCATTTTTTTATTTTACGCGATTGGCGTGAAACTTGATTTGAGCACATATCAATCTAATTATTTTTTTTTTTACACGGTTGGCGTGAAACTTGATTTGAGCACATATCAATCTAATTAGAAGATTTATTAATCTAGCTAGACAATTTATTAATCTAATTAGGTGTCATATTATAGGGGCACCGGACAGAAAGAGCGCGATGTTCGCAATCTGACCGAATTTCTAGGCCGCGAAGTAATTTTCCACTGAAAATGTGGCCTAATTTTTCCAACTCGGCCCCGAGGTCGCTCAATTTGCACTGCAAAAATAGTTTCTCAGCAGAGCGCCATTTCTATGCGGTGCCCCTATAATACGCAAGTACACCACACAAAGCAACTTTGGATCGAAATTCAAAATTTGAAAGCACATCTCTGCAGGTAAATTGATTGCGATTTAATTAGAACTTTCTTCGATTCGATTTGAAAACTTTCTAACTAGATGTCAAATCAGAATAAAGTTCATCATTAGATGCTGATATTTTCTTATTAGATTCAAAATTAGCTGCTTCTGCTATTGAAATCTAATTATGTTCTATTTGAACACAAAACGTTTCTAATTACATGTAAAAGTTAATCTAATTGCAATTAGTTTTGAATGAATTCTAATTAAATCGCTATCCATTTACCAGAGATAGCTTCCAAGTCCTGTCTATAAATATTATGTGTCTCAAATTTACAGAATGATCAAGATGACGTTTCCAAGATTCTCAACAGAGTTCCCGACGCAGCAATTACCGAAATGTGCCGCTTCGGAGCTGCCGAGCTGCACGTTATTTCTTCTTACATTGGCGGAATAGCTGCTCAAGAGATTATCAAGCTTGCTACTAATCAATATGTTCCTCTAAACAACACATTTCTTTTCGACGGACATACCCAGGAGTCTTCCACTTTTATGCTTTAAGAATTTTTATATTACTTTTTTATCCCTTCATCTACTGAAATACTTTCTGTAGGTTTCATTAAATGAACGTTTGTCTATACGTTAATTTTTTTAGAGTCTATATAGACTTTACTAGTGAGCAAAGCGACCGAGAGCCACCCAATTATCGATCAGCGCAGAAAACATTGGGAGGCGCCGTGCACTAACGGGGTTATTCAAGGTGTTCGAAAAAAAGATTTTCTCCGTTTCTTTCGTTTTTTCACGTCAAGAAACTCGTTAATGTTGAAAAACAAAACAAAAACATCCGCTGAAAAACCCCATAATAGGATACTACAATCGTTGAAATTTTTCGTTCTTCATGAAAGACGGACTGCTTTCCAAAGCAGGTCATGTTTTCATTCCAAAGTATAGACCGGCCGACAAACGTTTTCCCGTTTTTAAAGGAAGTCGATATGAAACCCCTCTTTTGAACGAGACGTATCGGCGGGGGACTAAGGGCCGTGGACGATAAACCTCCATGACACAGCTAAGAAAAAAATCTGGGCTTGAATTTGTTAAGCATATATATTTTTTTATTATGTTTACTTTACGTTTCACGAGACTTGTGGACATCTGAAAATTTCGAACTTCACAAATTTCGTTCCGATTTTATTTTTCCAGCAGAAGTCGTTTTGGTTCGTTCGTTGCGAGACCCATCCACTTAAATGCATGTGCCTTTAAAGTTTAGGCGAAGTCACCTGAAAATGAATGCGGTGTTTTTTGTGTTTTTCAAACTGCAGCCTTTTTAAGATTTTGATATTGTAGATAATGGCTGGAATAATCTTCGATGACATGTTCAAGGTGAAAAAAGTAGACCCCGATGGAAAGAAGTTCGACAGAGTTTCTCGTTACTTCTGTGATGCGGAATCGTTCAAGTTTGTTTTATTTTATTAAGAAGAAATGCAGTTTTAAAGCGAATTTTATCCAGTCAAAATCATTCTGCCTATGGAACAAGCGATACTGTCAGAATAGCGGCAAGAAATGCCGAAACGGTGGAAAATTATGAAAGTTCCAAAAAAGCAGACTTGTCGAAAATCTACCCGATGGAGAATTTGCTGGCCGGATTTAAATATTTCTTTTGAAAAATTTTTTGGAAAGAGTGATCGATTTTCCAGATTTTTCACTCGGAAATTTGTTTTAATTGAAATTAGCTAGTATACACCGGAAAACATATTTTGAGGACTCAAAATTACGACAGGCATGACTGTGGAAAAAAATTTAGCTCAAAAATCATGTTTTGAAATTTCACTGGTAAACCCCGGGCCAGGGCTCTATCGGCCCGGTCCGCGACAGCATTGCAAAAAAAGCTTTTTATTCGTCCGCCTTTCCGAAATCTGAAAAACGCAAACCGAGGTCTTGAAAAATAAGTGGCTACCAATCTGCGAGCTGAAAATTAAAGGCGCGTGCACGAAAATCTTTTCCGGCGTTTTGTCTTTCCTTTCGATGGTTTGACACGGTCTCAAAACGACTGTCTTGTGTCATTTGCAATTTTCTTCGCTTTCAGAATGGAACTCATAATCGATATCAATTCACAAATTTATCCGCTGAAGCAGAATGACAAGTTTCGCCTTGTTCTCGCCACGACTCTACGTGAAGACGGTCTTGCCGATGAGGGTGAATACGACCCAAAGGTTAAAAAATACTGATTCAATGTAATTCAATGAATCAAAACCTTTCAGGCCGACTACCCGCGGATAAAACAGTACGAGTACGTTATGTATGGCAAAGTCTACCGTCTTGAGGATGACGATACTGGCACAGATGGCGGCCAACTTGCCGCATACGCCTCATTCGGAGGACTCCTCGTGCGACTCAAAGGAGATGCGTTGAATCTGCATGGCTTCGAAGTCGACATGAATATTTATTTATTGATGAAAAAAACTGATTTCTAAAATAAGTAACGTTGCCTATTTACATACGCATTCCTTTTATCTGTTGGTTCCGTTTCCATGTTGAAAAATAAATGTTATGTTTGATTGCTGTTCTGTAGTTGGATAACAATTACCGCAGTCCGATATGTGCTGTTATATATTTCCATTCAGCTGTCGATGAATGAAATTTAATTAAATTCCAAAAGCTATCAAATTATGTTATAGGGTAAAATGGCACCCAACAAGGAGCTTCAACAGGGATACGTTGTTTTTTCTGCCACAGTAATTTTTCGATTAGAATATGCTAAAGATCAATTTTTCTTCTCAGCTCGATCACGTCTCGTTGCTGAGCAGACTCGTCAAAGCTATGGAAAGTGGAGAGCTGTCGGACGAACTTCTCGAGCACACTCCTGAGCTCAACGAAGTCAAAAAACTGAATGAAAAGTTGAAATACCGGAAAAACATGCTCGGAAAAAGCGTCGCGGAACAAGAAGCTAAAACTATAACATCCAAACCGTCAAGATCTTCTGGGCCTGCTACGAAGAAAGAAAAGAAGGATGACAAAACGTGCGTGTAGTCAAAATGTTTGGGATAAGAAAAGTTATAGCATAGCCATCAGATAAATTCTTTAATGGATCAACTTTTCTTTTGTCCATAAATAAAAATAAATTTTTCGAAGAAACCGTGTGAAAATTTCTCTCAATTTCTCTTTTCAGTGGTGGAGCTCCTCCAAAAATGGACGAGAAGGTGGATTACGTAACAGTTGAAGATTACGGGAGCAGCATTCTTGGTCGCCTTCAATCCCTTTTTCATGGCGCTATTGCCGCAGCGTTTCCAGATCTCGCTGTGCCTCTTTTGATCGCCGAAACTACCAATCCCAAGTTTGGAGACTACCAGTGTAACTCTGCCATGTCAATTTCAGCGGTGAGTTTATTTCCACTGACTCGGATTGCAACCTGAAAATTTAGAAATTACGAAGCATTGGCAAGAATGAAAAACCGGGTGACATTGGAAAGAAAATTTACGAGAAACTGTCAAAAAATGTCGATATGATTGAGAAATGTGAAGTGATGCCTGCTGGATTCATCAATGTGTTTCTGAATCAGGATTTTATTGGCAAACAAGTCTCCTCGTTCGCCTCGATAGGAGTTTCTCTTCCAAAAGTTGCTAAAAAACGAGTGCTCGTTGATTTTTCCTCACCAAACATTGCAAAAGAAATGCATGTTGGCCATCTCCGTTCGACCATTATTGGAGATTCTATCTGCCGACTTTTTGAGACTGTTGGCTACGAAGTCGTTAAGCTTTTATAAACATAAGGCCAATGTAAAAGTTCAGGTTCTTCGGGTGAATCACATCGGTGATTGGGGCACGCAATTCGGAATGTTGATTGCTCATCTTTACGACCGATTCCCCAATTTTGTGAATGAACTTCCCGACATTGCTGACCTTCAAGATTTTTACAAAGAATCGAAGAAGCGTTTCGATGAGGAGGAAGAATTTAAAAAAAGGGCGTACGAGTGTGTCGTAAAGCTTCAGAGCCACGATTACGAAATCGTGAAAGCATGGAATACTATCTGTGATGTTTCCAAAAAATGTGAGTCCAGTTTCTATGTTGTGGCCTTAACCTTAGAACCTGGTTTCTTCAGACAACCAAATTGTGTACGAAAACTTAGACATCAAAATCACGGACGTTGGCGAGTCGTTCTATCAAGATAAGATGGTTCGATTAATTGAGTGGATTAAACAAGAACGTATGATTTGAAAGCAAGCGGTTGTCAAAATTCTATAAATTAAGGGCCCGATATGTTGCGAGAAGAAGATGGTCGACAAATAATGTTCCCCTCAGGGTGTGACGTGCCATTGACTGTCGTCAAATCGGATGGTGGCTTTACTTACGATACTTCCGATCTCGCCGCTCTGAAGTATCGCATGCTTGAGGAAAACGTGGACTGGAACATTTATGTCGTTGATGCAGGTCAGAGCCTTCATCTTGAAACTATTTTTGCCGCTGGACGAGACTTCGGTTGGTATGATAAAATGAAGCAAAGGGTGGAACATGTCGGATTTGGATTGGTTCTTGGAGAAGATAGAAAGAAGTTCAAGACGAGAAGCGGAGAAACTGTAAAGTTGTTAGATTTGCTCTCAGAGGGGCGAAAACGAGCAGAGCAGAAGTTGAAGGAAAAGGAAAAGGGTCCAGCCATGAACGATGCTGAAATTTCCGCCACAAGAGACGCTTTGGCTTTCGGCTGCGTGAAGTATGCGGATCTGTCCCACACTCGTACCCAGGATTACGTCTTTTCTTTTGACCGAATGTTAGACGATCGTGGGAATACTGCCGTCTATCTATTGTATGCTTTCACTCGAATCAAATCAATCTTCCGAGAGGTTGAGGAAAAGACGGGTGTGTCTTACGATAAACTCGTTGACTACCTGTCTCAAACCGAGTGTATCCCGCTTACCCATCCTGCTGAGCTCAAACTTGGCAAGCATCTGCTAAAGCTTGCCGACTGCATTCTGCTCGTGCTGGACTCTCTGATGCTCCATCAGTTGTGTGATTATGTCTATCAACTCGCCACACTGTTTCACGACTTCTACACTGCGTGCTATGTTATTGAGAAGAAAGACCGAGGTTCGTTCTGGACCCCCCGACTGCTATTTAATAAAATGTACGTTATTCCAGAAACTACCGTACACCTTCATCGGCTCGCTCTCATACAAGCATCCTCGAGTGTTATGTCGAAATGCTTCGAAATTCTTGGAATTCGTGAAGTATCGAAGATGTAGGTCTATATGATTTCCAATTCACATTGTTCTGTTGATCTAATAATAAATTTTAACTTCGTCTATCTTGGCAACAACATCTCGTTGAATCCAAACAGCAAAGAAGTCCAAAGACGGATTGTCTCGGCACGGGGAGCTTTTGCCCAATACCGACAATTCCTCACAGAGCGTCGAGACGCGCCTGTGTGAGAATTTGTATCAGAATTTTGTTTGGAGCGTGAAAACAGCGTGGGGAGGGGTGGAAATGTCCCCTAGTGTGTAAATACAAGCTCTCAGTGCACGGCGAACAGTGAACATGCTGGGGCCTGTTTTTATCGCTCCGTATCGCAAACCGTACCCCTTTAGCACGCAAATGAGTCGCTACGCAGCGGTAAAATACGGGCGCGAAATTCAAACCATGTTCACAAATATTCGCCGTGCAGCGTCAAGCTCCTCCACACCTCAAACGAAGAGTCTTCTTGGCCTACGTAACCCCTTGCTCTGGGAACTCGGTCGCAATCTAATTAGAAAACTTTGCCATCTAATACGAACTCGTTTGAAATAGAATTTGCTTCAATTAGATTGCAAAATCTTCTAATTAGATTACAATCACTGCAATGTTTTCTAATTAGATTGCAATTTTTTCTTATTAGATTGCAATTTTTTCTTATTAGATTGCAATTCAGGAAAAATATATTGTAATCTAATACGATTTTACTGGAACTTCAATTAAATCTGATTAGATTGCGAGATAGAGCTTTTTCTTATTAGATTGCAAACTCTTCTAATTAGATTGCAATCGAGTTTCCAGAGAACAAAGTCCGAGACTCAGGGTAACTCGGTGTGACGTGGATGCGGATGGCACGAGTCCAATAGAAGGAGTTTGCAGACATCATGGATCCAGCAAGAAAGCGGAACTGATTGAACCTAATCATGACCATTCTTTGATCCCTGGCGAATAAATGAAATGAAATGAAATAAAACAAGGCTTTTGGAACTCATGCGAAAACCATTCGAAAGTTCACGTATTTATTTCCTAAGTGCTAGATTTGTACAAGACAAGGACTTGAAAAATTAATGTTATCAAAAGAAAATGACCTTCGATCATTGACTAGTCAATTTCTTAATCCTCATTTACTTTTTGATCATTGACAATTTGCACTGCAAAAAGAGTTTCTCGACCGAGCGCCATTTCTGTGCGGTGCCCCTATAATAGTTTCAATCATTAACTAAAGCTGACTGCGCATCAGAAAGTTCTGATTCGGAAAAGATTCTGACCGTTAGCTGATGGGTTGTTCAGTGTATGTTTTTTTTCTGTGTATTAAATCTAGCGTTTGTACTCAGCGAAACACTCAGACAAATCAATTCGAATCTAATTAGAACAAATTATAAAATTTTGTTATAAAATTGCTCGCGTTTGCTCCAATAAACAAGGTAAGTGTCCAATGTGCACATTTATGAATTTGCCGTTTTTCCCCCTGTGAGCAACAAAAGTTGCCCTCTATGAGCACGGAAGGTTGTCCCCTTTGAGCTTCCCATTTCTTGCCCCGTCTGAGTAAATGCCCTCTCTGAGACAAATTTTCCGAGTTGCCACCTTTTTTGTTGCCCCCTGGGAGTGTCGGCGGGCGGCGCGGTCCGAGCTCACGCTCCGAAGCGGATTCGCCTTTTTTTGCTTTTCAAAACCGTTCGTGTTCATTTCTTGTTTTTTCGTCGCGTTTTAGAAATCAAAGTGTTCGGACAAACCGAGATACAACTAAATAAACAGGGGGACAGACTCCTCAAGACTTCATTAATAGGAATGACAAGACTATCATAAGAGCAAGACCTTTGTAACCTGGGCCCGCTGCGCAGGCCGTGCTCACATTCGGAAGAGACTTCGCCGCTTGTTACTTCATCAGATGAAAAAAGTGGCCGCATAAAGAAAGAAAGGAACGAACAGGAAAGGAACGAACCTTTTTATTAAGTAAGAATTACGACGATGATGATGAACATTGCAAATACTGCACGGACACAATAAATAAACGAAACGTCAGAACAGAACACAGAAAATTTTGAATTTTCTCGCTGTGGTTTGATAGGGACAAGTTATTCTGGAAACCGTGCAATTATAGAAGAAATAAAATACGTCCATATCAGTCTAGATCTTCTTCTACTTCCATTTTCGGGCTTGGCGCGGCTGGTTCCAGCGTCGGGTGAGCAGGAATTGCGAACGGAGTGGGGATTGAGAACGGAACAGACGAAGGTTGTTGTCGAACAGGAGTTCTCGAAGTGATGTGCGATGTTGCTGTTTCTTCTTCTTTCTGACCGCCAATTAAGCCTGGAAGGGCAGTGTAAATGCTCTGTATAACAGTATAAAATTCAAATTTATCGCTCCTGCCACGGAAATTCTCCGCCCCGGCAGGCTCTCCCTTGGTCCAAAAAATGCTAACGTTATGGGGTTATTCAGCGTATGAAAAAAAAATGATTTTTTTCCGTTTTTTTTTTTACACCGTTTACAAAAACAACCATTGCATTAAAATTTTAACTTGTTTGTACCTATTTTGCTTGAATAAACATTCTGTTCACAAAAGTTGCCGAGAAACAACGTACATGTAATATTTACGTCTTCACCCGCCCCGGATTCAGCCCGAAAAGCGTAATAGTTATGGGGCTATTCAGCGTATGTTTTTTTTCCGTTTTTTTCGTTATTTTACATCGCTGAATTGGATTTTTTGACGTAAAGAAACGAAAAAAAACGGAAAACAATCATTTTTTCACAGTCTGAATAGCCCCATTAGCGTTTTTTATCGACTTTCATTGTTTTCAGCTCCAAAATTGCATATCTGTGTCATTTTTGTCATCAATGTCACAAATCGTGATAAAAAATCGCCTCAAACATGCTGAAAACCTGGGAAATAAACTATTTGAGCTTCCATAAACAGGTCGCCAGGGCCAATTCAAGCCGGACCGGACCGATAAACGTGTTTTTAAAGGTTGTCCCAGCCTGTGACAACCCTGAAAAACACGATTTTCGATTCATTTTTTTGTCAGAAGCCGCAAAAAAGCATTTCGGAATGCTTCACTACATAAAACGCATAATGGGGGATTGACGGCTGCACCAAATTTCGCGCTTTTGCGTTAAAAAAATTCCTAACAATTAGTGCAAGTATTTGAGTCGGAAGACATCGAAGAAAAAATTTTTTTTATTCCGCCTCCGCTTTCCGCCTTTTCAAAAAATCGATTCCGCTCAACTCTGATGGCAATCCTCGCAGCAGCTTCTGCTAGGCTACCCCAAATCAGAACTGTCTTAGATCAGAACTTACCTGCAGGTGGTTCTTGTTACGTAAAGTCATGTTGTGACGGCTCAGGTAAATCGTTTGTAATCTAGCTAGCTAATTCGCGTTTCTAACCGGACCTAATTAGATTGCAAATTTACTGCGATTAGATTGCAAATTCTTCTAACTGGACTGATAAATTTTCTAATTAGATTGGCGAAGCTACAGGGTGGGGAATAAATATAGCGTCGAAACTTCGCGTGAGCGCTGGCGCCTACAGAACTAATGGGATGGCCGCTCATGTTATTTTTTCCATTCATCACTTCATTTTTGACCATTTGTCTAAGTTGCAGACAATTCTCTTAATATTGAGAGAAATGGTGGCTCCGTCATCGCCTAGGTCCGTAATTATGGGGTTCACAAGTATAGGAATGCGATCGTCCAAAATAGTTAGGAAGCTCGGCGTAGTAAGATTGTTTGTTAATATGACTTCCCGATGTTTCTGACACCTCGGAACATTGGAAGACAAGTAGAGAAGTGGTCCCCTGGTCCCAGTGACAACTCCCAAGATGGTCATATCGGTTAGAGCAAAAATCGTAAAAACTCGGAGAGAAGCACGTGGAAAATGTCGTCAGAGTTCCGTATGAGCTTAAAATCTATGTAAGCTATTGCCAGACAGGAACTAAATATGATTCCTTATCGTATTCAAAAGAATCGTTCCATAACAAGGACTTTCGCTTCAAGAAAGCCGGAAGTCCCGTTGGCGGCACGCGGCATGGCACGCGCCTGCAGACTCTGATCGGAGATGAGTGGCTACACGCTGCTGGTATCGACAGTGATGATCACAACAACAAGATCATCTCAGGGGACATTGAGACTGTCCGTGGAAATGGAAAAATAATTTTTAAAAATTTTTATCCGGCTTCAGTAATCGTTCTTTGGAGAATTTCCGCCAATGGCAAAACAGCACTGAGATTGGAGCGAAAATCAACCGTAAATGCTACTCCAGTAAGATTCTCGGGTCGAAGGAACTGTCTTGGATCTAGTTGATTACGGAAAACAAGATAGGGTCTTCCAGCAAGACGGTACACCTGCTCATCGAGCCAAAACCACCTAACAGTGACGCAAAGCCAATTTCGCAAGTTTTATCACATAAGAAGAACGACTAGATTTCAAGTCGGATATGATTTCTATGGACTTCTCCGAGTTTGGGTGGGATGCCTAGTATGTATCCATTCACAATTAACCAAAATAGGGAGTCCGGAAAGTTGAACTACGGAAGCCATGACACGATCATTACGTCAACTACCCCCGTGCCGCCGCTAACTCGTACCCGAGGAGACTGACGGCTGCCAACGAAGAGAAAGGTGCAATCGGCAAAAACTGCTTATGCCATTCTTTTTGTTATTGTTTAATAGAGCTCTTAGTAGATTTACAGAAAAAAATCGTGCGATTTGAACTTTTTACGACATTTTGAATTCGGCGCTATATTTATTCCCCACCCTGTAATTAGATTGCAAAAACACTGATATTAGATTAAAAATGTATCTAATTAGATTAAAATTTCGGGCAAACCTAGCTAGATTATGTTTAGATTGCAAAATCAGCTAGCTAGATTCAGAAATCTGTAGCAATCTAACTAGGTCCGGTTAGAAACGAGAATTAACTAATTAGATTAGAAACGATTTGCCTGAGGGGTTCTAATTCGGCACAGTTCTGATTCGAGGTAGTCTCCTTCTAGCAACTTTATCGCACTTTTACCAACTTTGCGGCACGATTTTTCATGTTTTATTTTTAGCTCGCAATAAAAATTATCTGGAAACATTTGCTTGTAACCGCATAAACACGCTGAGGCGATAGAGCGTTTTAAGGTAATGAGAAATGCTCACTTGAGAAGAGTCCACCAAGTCCGGCTCCCAAACATTGAGAACTGCGAATTCCGAAATATATTTTTCCTATCCTTGAAAGATATCCGACAAACGATGGCGATCTTTTGAGTTCAGACTGATATGTTTCAGTGAGCTCAGAAAACTGTGGCTTCTGAATAACAGATGTTTGAGCTGAAAATACTGCCAAACACTCACATTCTCCGTTTCAATCACATCGAAAAGAATGTGCTGGAAATTCAAAAGTGGCTGTCGGAATGGGTAAACTGAAGGCTCTGTATATGCTCGGAACAGGGCAACAGAAAATGGGAATCGGTCCAAACAGAGAACCTGTTGAACGGCTTCCACAATTATTACATCCGAAGCATATTCTATCTTTCCGTAAGTATTTATAAGGTTTGTATATTCTAGTTGAAGATATTTGGCGAATCCGGCAGCGTTGTCGGATAGCAAGAAGTGGTTTCTAGCAAGATCAAGCTCCTTAGCATCTAAGAAAGCGTCAGCGAGAACGCTGTGAAAACGTGTATTTCCGTACTTCTTCTCTTGCTCTGTCGAAGAACTTAGTTTTGTCCTGAAAAGAGTCCGAGTTAAAAGGTGAATCAGTATAGACTTCCCTTACCATAGAATTGCCAAATCGACACACTTGCCCCGAGCATCGTTTAGAAGTTGACTTTGTTGTGTATTTTCCGCTCGACTTTCGCTTGCAGCGATTCTTGCAAATTCCGCTATGGTTCCAGCAAGTAGCTCGAATACTGTTTCGGTGAGAGCAGCGTTATTCTTTGAAAGACAATCGATATACTGCGTGGCAATGTCGATCGCACACTGGTATTGACGTTCTCAAGGAAGACATTGAACAAAAAGATAAAAATAAAATAAAAATTATACCTCTGAGAAAATAATTAATTCCATATTTAACTAATGGAATAGCACCCTCGTTTGAATTCTTCACTCTAAAGCAACGAGTCACTTTGGTGTGGTAGAATTGGAGTGCATCATAAAATTTGTGGTCATTCTCAAACTCCTGAAGCCGTGCCAAGGTAGATTGATCGATTTGTTGCATCTCGTATTTTTTTAAACTGAAATTTGGTTATAATGCATATCTTGCTCACTATTCGAGAAAAGGGAAAAACATAATATATATTACTAGATCTTTGGAACCTGGGCCCGACGCGCGGGTCGAGCTAACGCTCGAAAGCGGTCTTGCCGTTTGAAAGTTCTCGCGTTCATTTTTCAAAATCTCCGTCAATGACGTCAAACTATACTCATCTTACTATTAGAAATGGAAGTGGGGACGGGTGAACGGAAACAAACGGATTGATTATGACACGAAACAGGAAATGAATGACAGGAAATAAAGAGAACGAAAAACAATTCAGAGACAGAATTTCACACAACACAGGAAGTAAGGTAATAAATATCGATGACGCAGCTCATAACTCTGACTGTAGAGTTTTCTAGACCATCGAAAGCTAGTCCCTCTACGCGTTTTTCTGCGCGCTAGTCCGCAATCGACAACCGTGTTCGAGCACCGGAGACGACGACGCGGCATTTTCAAATTACTTCAGTCTTCAGGTCAATGGTTGATTTGAGTAGCAGAATGACGTTATTCAATCAAACGGTGGTTGCATCTCTACTTCAACCGCTTAGCGACAATCAACAAAGCGAGTGAGTTCATACAAGAAATATTCCGTTGGATCAGTTAATGATTTGAGAGCTTATCGGACTAAAATTAATCTGAAAATCACAGAGCAACGAAACGACCACTCTGGTGACAAGGTAACCTCCCCTCCTGTTAGAAAAGAACTAAATTTATGGTGTGTCAGGAATTAAAGTTTGAAATCAGTCGATCCGATGATTTCGAGTTTTTTTATGCGGACGTTTTGAATGGCGAGAAGTATCAAGCATTAGTGAGAACACTTGGACTTATTGTAGACTTTGATGCGTTCCCAAAAACGATTATAGATCATTTGTTGCACAGAAGTCACTACAATAATGAAAGTGAGATGGAATCGAAAAAATTAGGTGAGTTTATTTATCAACAAGCTTAACCCCCGCCTGACCTGACCGAGAAATATTTAAAAAATTTAATATTATCGAAAAATCTCTCGAACATTTTTTTCGAAAAAAAAAACGTTTCAAAAATTATCTTTCAATGGTACACACTGCAACTGTCGAAACGTGCAAAACAGAGATCTATTTTTATAAGGTGTAGCTATAACCAGTGTGTGTTCTCCGTTGATCACAAATATGAAATTTGTTTTTTTTTCAGGCGTCTGTTTTTTCAGGCGCCCCCTTGGTTCAACTCTACGGATTTTCAATTCCTTCATTTCAGGGGAGCCGATTAGCACGACAATCCGGGAGCCTGTTGAAATTAAAATTACCCTGAATTCTGAGAAAACCTCGTGCATGTAAGCTTTCTCTGATTTTGACTTTTTCGGTTGGTGGAAAACCGTTTTTTTCTAGTTCCCTCCTATTGTTTCTTGTTTTCAATGGGGTTTTTGAAAAAACGGTTTCCCAACCGAATGAGCCCCTAAGACACTATTTTTGAAGGTTCGAAATGTTTCGGAGAAACACTCTGACTGACGGTAAAATGTTCTCACTAAAATTATCTGCTGTCCGTGGAGATCAGTTAATATCCCAATTGCTGAAAATTTGTTCTGTTCAAGCTGTAAAAATTGCCAATCTCAGAGGAATAGAGGTATTTGTTCTTAATGTAAAACTAATAACGCAGCAATTTAGGAAAAACTTGCACTCATGATGAGCAAATGTACAGAAATAGAAAAAGAGAATACGAGACTTACAGAAATAGAAAAACAAATGGAAGCATGCCAAACTGAAAGAGAAGGACTCGAGAATGACCTAGAGGTATACTGAAAACCTCATTTTGGGTAACCTTAGTTATTTGTAGATGGTAAAAGAGGAAAGAGAAAATATTCGCCTACTCGTGGAAGAGAAAGACGAATTGCTAGCTGATTTTCAAAGGAACCAAGAAAAGTACAAAAGCATCAACGAAGAATCCGAAGAGGAATTGAGGGTTGTTGGAATAATGGTAAGAAGTGTAGATTAATTTTATCTCAATCTGTGTTTAACAGCTAGAAGAAGAGCAAGCGAAAGTGGATGGGATGACGAAGAACAGTGCAGTTCAGCAAAAAGAGATTCATAGACTGCGGACAGAAAATTTCACTCTCATTCGAAATTTGGCAAAATTAGAAAGCTTAATGAAAAGAAATGATGAGCGACAGGGACAACAAAGTGTCGATCTCCGCAAATTAAAAGAACTCGAAACCGATTTGAAGCAAAAAGATTTCATGGTTACATCGTTAACAGAAACCATCTCCCTGTTGAGAAAAGAGTTGGAAGACGAAAAATTGAAACTTGGCGAGTTGGGAGACAGCTTCGATAGAATGCAAAATGAGAATGAAAAAATGAAAGAGAGTATGTTTCTTTTCAAAAAAGAATGGAATGAGCATTTTTCTAGAACTTGGTCTTTATCGAAACCAGCGACTGTCCACATTCAGCCCTGCACAGATATCACTTGGCATACCAGGCAACATTGGAAATACGAGAAATTCGTACCGAAAAGTTCTAGGTCCGGTAGCATCCTCGAACTCACCTTCTGGAAGTCATGAACTAGATAAGGCAATACATTTTTGTTAGGCTTTCTTTACATCAAGTAAATGTTCCAGGGATCTCCTCAACAAAACCCTAATCGTTCTCACTATCCGTTGACTCCATACGCGTTGCGGAATTCGGTGAAATTTTTGGAAGAATTGGATAAATCGGAATTACCGTTGACTCGGAAGATAAACTGAATAGTCGAAGTCTAGATTTCAAACTCCGAGCCATTGAATAAAAATTTATTCTATTATCAATCTCAATCAAATTTACTGATTCCATATTAACCTACAAGACACGGCGAACATTTTTGAACATGGTTTGAATTTCCCGCTTGTATTTTGTCGCTGCGTTGCGTGCTAAAGGGGTACGGTTTCCGATACGAGCGATAAAAACGGGCAGGAGCATTTTCGTTGTTTACCGTGCTTTTCAAAGTTGGGTCCGCTGTACGGATCGAGTTCACGCTCAGAAGCGGTTCGCTTGTTTGTAAATTCACGTGTTCATTTCTTAATTTCTCCGTCACAGCTAATGAACACGTGGTGACGGACAAATAAAAATAAACAAAAGGACAAACCCGTGAAGACATTTATTGAAGGAATGCGGATGAAAGTTCATTCCGAGATATTTGCTCATTTTGCGATGACGGACGCCAAAGCGACAGTGTGCTACTTGAACGGTCTTTCACTTCGCACGATTAATGAGGTTGAGAAGGTAGCTTGGTATCGTGGGATTAATAATTATAGGCAATTCTATAGATCTTGCGCGGATTGCCACAAAAAGGAACTCGTTGTGAAGTGCAATATTCGAAGCCCCTGAGCGGATCCTGCGATCGTGGAATCGGAGATGTCATTGCTTCCAAGAGCTTGCAAATTCGTGACGAGCCCCGTCCGTTGAGTCTCTCGCCAATTCGGGAAAAAGTTACTCCTGTAAAAAAGACGGTCAAACTTTTGGAGACAATGTTATTCGAAAAGGTACTACATTAGAATATTTCTCGTAAATTAGTCTTTTTAAGGACGCTGAGAACAACAGCGGCTTCCAGTGCAATGTTCTCACTGATCACGTCCGCGTTTCTCCGATCATCTCCTTCAACGGAGTCATTCTGGAGCTTGACGTCGAAGTTACCATCCCGCGCACTGACGAACCAAAAAAACTGAAATTGGAGATAGAATGCCCGGACTACGTTCCTGCGCGCATCAAGATCGGAAATAAATGGAAAAATATTGTCTGAACTCGTTCATTTTCAAAAAGATAAATCGTTTATGCCGCGTCCAAAGTTAAAAAAAAAAGCGTTTAGAAAGAATCCCAGAAAAATCCGCGTAATTTCCTGGTTTTTTTTAACTCCGGACGCGGCATTATCGAGGTTACCTTCCAACTGCACAGCGTTAAATTATAATAAAGCCCATATTTTGATGCTTTTTTTCTATCACACCTTAACGTGAAGAACTATCGAGCCGTGGCAATCAATTTTTCCAGCCTTAAGACGCAATCTCTGAGAAGTTCGATCGAGATAGTCACTGCACAGCAAAAAAGATAATTGTTCCAAATTATACCCTGTTGTTATGGGGTTATTCAGGCTGTGAAAAAATTTATTGTTTTCCGTTTTTTTCGTTTTTTACGTCAAAAAATCCAATTCAGCGATGTAAAAAAACGAAAAAAACGGAAAACAAACATACGCTGAATAGCCCCATTACCCATCCAACAAAGGTTCCGAAAATAGAGAACACAAGCCTGACCCCCGGCTACCGCCGCGTTTCAGGCATGACTACGGGCATTGCTGCGCAATTCGCACGGTGATGTGAACGCGAGCGGCAACAACTGCCCGTTCGCAAGTAGTGTATGAAGGAGGGATTATAATACCATTTTTCGACATTTTCGACACATTTTCATTCTCTGACAGCAGAGAATAATCTCATTTACAACACTTTTTTTTCGAAAAATAAGAAAATGTGTCAATTTTAAAAGCACTAAAAAGCGCTTATTTTCAGTAATTTTTGTACATTTTCGATCAATTTTTTGCTTGGATGTTGATTTCATTTTCTATTTCTCATTTTCGTGCTTAAATGCTCGAAAATGTTTCACTTCCTCACTTTTTACAAAATTGATGGATGTCGATTTTAGAAAGAAAGTGGTATCATCTTCAGAGATAAAAAATAATGCTTAATAAATGGCAAAGCTAGAGAAAAACTTGAAACCATTAACCAACCTTGATCTCTTAGAATTAGCAGAAACATTGGGAATTAAACAAGTATTTACAAGAAATAACTGATGTACTCAGGTTATCTAGGTACAGTCCCGTATAGTAACGGTTCAGTGTTGGCGCCAGATAGACAAGTACTTCGATAAACCAAGTTTATTATAGGGGCACCGGACAGAAAGGGCGCGCTGTTTGCAATCTGGCCGAATTTCTAGGCCGCGAAGTAGTTTTCCATTAAGAACGTGGCCTATCTTTTCAAACTCGGCCCCGAGGTCGCTCAATTTGCACTGCAAAAAGAGTTTCTCAACAGAGCGCCATTTCTGTGCGGTGCCCCTATAATATCACACGAAAAAACTCAACTCCGAAAGAATGATACGAAACAACAACAATATAAACGATTACTGTTTCGCAAGGCGCCAAGTTTTCTGTTTGCCATTCATGCCTTCAATGGTCGCCTCCAAATCCAGCATCGCCAACATTCCCAACACGTTCGCGCCTTTGAAATGGCTGTGTGAGAGATTGCATTCGATCACGGACTTTTCATCCTAAAATGAGAAATTTGAATCATTAAAAGAATAGTCATACAGTTGAAAGTACAAAAACTAAACCTGAATGGCGACAGGAAGAGACGAAGGAATCGCGTCGGAGCCGGTGAGTTTGCAAATCGTTTTCTCGTCGAGGAATGTGCAATTAGATCCCGTGTCGACCAAGAACCACACTTTGACGATTGGCGCACTAGGCTTCTTGGCACGACTGCAGTTAAGGCACACCATCAAACGATTGTTTGGCCCAAAAATAACGCCTTCAACAGGGAATGCTGGCGATGCGAACGATCCAGCACTCAAATTTTCGATTCCAGTGTAGTCGCCGAGCTAAAAACCACAAAGGATTAGAAATAACAAGAAAAAATAACAAGAAAAAATTATATAATAACTCGGCAAAGGCGTGCCACTTTTGCGCAAACTTTAAGGATCCTCACAGATTTTGCGCAAACTTTAAGGATTTTCGCAGCTTTTGCGCAAACTCTAAGCGTCCTCGCAGCTTTTGCGCAAACTTTAAGGCATGTCGAAATTGTTACTTTTAAAACTGACAGCTTTTGCGCAGACTTTACGCAGCTTTTGCGCAACTAGCCAGCTGAAGCTGCGCTAACTTTGCGCAAAAGCTGCGTAAAGTTTGCGCAAAAGTGGCGCGCCTTTGCCGAGAAAATTAATAATAACTCACACGCTTGAGACCAGCGTCGTTGATATCCGTCAACATCATATCATGTTGAAACGCTGGCAGTGCTTCCATATATTCGAACGAGTGATCATCGCTGTCAGACGATGAGGAGCTCTAAAAATTTCCTTTTTAAAATGAAAAGAAAACAGAAATAAATACCTTCTTCAATTCGCTTCCCATCTTGGACTACAACGGAAAGAAATGACGGAGAAAGAAAGAATTTAATGAAAGAATGTGATGTTGGCTGTCTCTCGCTTTCCTCTGCGTCTCTGGTCACGCGTCACTCTCATCACCCTTCCATAGGGTTGGCAATGGGGCGAGAAGAGGCGACCCCCTCGCCTCGCTGGTGAGGCGAGGGGCGCCCCCTCGCCCCGCGGGTGAGGCGAGGGGGCGCCCCCTCGCCCCGCTATTAAATGTGTGTCTGATTTTTTTTCGAACGTATTGTGAAAAGAGCAGCAACGTAATAACTGTAGTAACTGAAAGTGGGAAAGTTGTGACGTTTGTGCGTGTACACCCAATTTTTTTTTCCAAAATTTTAGGTACATCCCGAGTTATTATAGGGGCACCGGACAGAAAGGGCGCGCTGTTCGCAATTTGGCCGAATTTCTAGGCCGCGAAGTAATTTTCCACTGAAAACGTGGCCTAACTTTTCAAACTCGGCCCCGAGGTCGCTCAATTTGCACTGCAAAAAGAGATTCTCAACAGAGCGCCATTTCTGTGCGGTGCCCCTATAATACACCCCTTCAAATTTGGCCTGTTTTCTCCCCGGTCGGCGGCAGAGGAGGGTGCGGAGTCTCGCCTGCAAGTCCGCCGCACGCGTTTTTCGCCTCTGTTTGGTGGCTGAAACCAAAGAGGCAACATATATATTGAAGAAAAATGATGTTCTAAAAAAGCAAATCATCTTCAAGGTCAAAAGTTTCGAACCCGACACCTCCAGACTGCCGAGTGAGCACTCTGCCACTGCGCTAATCGGGCGAAGGCGCGCCGACCGCCAATGGCGTCGAAAAGTTCGGTGTGCGCGGCCCCTTCTAATGGTGAAATTAGTGCTTTTGCGGGCTGAAATCCAAAACATAACTGACTGTAACTTTTTTCGGACAACAGCTAAATAAAAATATTTCGCATGGATCGGTCGGAAATTTTATGCTGAATCCGATGGTGTAAAAATTGGCCGCGTGTACGGTACTTCTGACCCTCAAATCCCCCGAAAACTAAAATTTTGACCAAACAAGCGGAAATCGGGAGAAAATTCGTCAGGCCACGCCCCCTCCTTTGCGCCCCCTAACTATTGGAATAAAAACATAACAAAATTATATGTACTGTTTTTTTCCTTGTATAGAACAGACGTATTTATTTATCAAATGTTGGAAATCCCAGAATACTGCTGAAAAATACCCGTTTTTTGAAAAATTTAGCTTTATCCACGGCGTGGGGGCGCCCCACAAATGGGGCGAGGGGGCGCCCCCGCGCCTCTCCCGCGGGGCGAAGGGGCGCCCCCTCGCCCCATTTGTGGGGCGCCCCGCCGAAGCGGGGCGCCTCGTTGCCAACCCTACCCTTCCACTCTAGCCTATCGTGTTTGCGTGTCGCGTCGCGTGCGTCTAGTTCAACTGGAGCAAATGTGTGATTGTGCTCAGTCAGAGTGAGGAAGAGAAAAGTTCACAAAAAGAGAAAGTCGTCATAGCTAAACACGAGGGAAAAGTGAACGCTGATGACCTTTGTACGTCACAACAAAGGATCTGAAAGACATTCAGCGAAAGCAAGCTTCCTAGAAGTGCAAAAAAAAAAAGAGAGAGAACTCAACGAGTTTGGTCACACTCTAAGTTAGAATAATTAAATAATTTATACAGCAGCGGAAACGCACCGACATTCCGGCTCCTTGCAATGGAGCGCACTTGCACAGTCCTTTCGAAGAAGACTATTTTACGCAAGTCTGCGGCAGCCAATCAACTTAGAATTTCGAAGTATGAGCCGAATGAAAATGAAATGAACAAAAATAGTAAAAAATCATTAATTTATTGCATTTATTTCAGACAAGTAATTAATGATGGGAGAGCATTGGGGAATTTTGAAGATCGCACCGGAAATTCTAACAATAATTGGTTTTTGCATGAAAATGAATTATTTTTATACAAGGAGTGTGTTTTGTGAGAAAGAATTTGATAAATTTGAAGAAAACAGCTGAAGTGTCGAAAATGGTATTATAGGGGCACCGCACAGAAATGGCGCTCTGTTGAGAAACTCTTTTTGCAGTGCAAATTGAGCGACCTCGGGGCCGAGTTTGAAAAGTTAGGCCACGTTTTCAGTGGAAAAATACTTCGCGGCCTAGAAATTCGGCCAGATTGCGAACAGCGCGCCCTTTCTGTCCGGTGCCCCTATAATACTCGTCCATCTGATACTTCTCGTAGGCTTCCAATTTGAGCAGTGGCTGCTGCGGAAGCTGCAGTCTGTACATTTTGTTATCTGCTCTTGCGTGCCACGCATGGACGGCCGTTCCCATTGTCTGTTTACCCATCTGACATTGGTACACGTTGCTGAAAAAAGCTGCGTTTCAAAAAAATAAAAAGGTATTGGATACCGGGGAGATTGATTGTGATCCGGGAATGTATAATTCCTTCTTCTTGGCACTGTGCCAACATGTTGAGAATACAGGAAGCGAAGAATTGATCGCCCTTTCGGCCTCTTTTGAACTCAGCGGAGATGACGGCTTCGTTTTTGTCAGTCAAAGCCTTTACGATTTACATGAGCGGGACGTAGAAGATTTCGCGACGAAACTGGAGAGCCAGCTGCATGGTTCCCGTGTCCAGATAGTGGAGAGTCATCATCTGCAAGCTCTTATGACTTCTTCGAATTCCATAGCAGAGAGCAGCTTTTCAGGCAGATCCTAGTTTTCGATACGGCAGCTGATTATTGCGGAGAACTCGGCATTTGATAAATACCATACGAACTTAAAAAATATAATTTTTATCGAAATAATATGGTTGAGCTCATAATTTGCGTTTGAATAGTGAGAAGAATTGCTTTTTCAAAAAGAACGCAGCCAGCGAAGGGACTGTGCAAGTGCGCTCCATTGAGAAGAATTGCTTTTTCAAAAGAACGCAGCCAGCGAAGGGACTGTGCAAGTGCGCTCCATTGCACGGGAAACAATTGAACCGAGTTTTTTGCGGAAAAAACTGTTTTTTTTCCGAGTGAATAGGCCCATGACATAGACGTAAAGATTGCGCGTGGCTGGGTTTTTCAATGGAATAACTTCTGTGGCCTATAAAACTCATTTTGTTCCAGTTTCTTTTCCTTTGTAAATATTTTCCATCGAAGACCGAGCTTTCAGCAGGATATCACATACAAACTGACTGTCAGGCGATGAAACGCGTTCACTCGGAGTTATACGCTCCTTACCGATCTCTAGGAGTTGTAACCGGTGATGTTAGTAATTTCAAAGGCCTTGACACACATTAAAAAAATTTTCAGGTTTCACCGTCAGTTCGATCTGTTTTCGTTGGCAAAAAATCCACTTTATCAATTTTGTGTCCGGTCGACAACATAATTTTGCATTACAATGCGGAAAAGCTGCGCATAGTTGGAATGTCTAATCCTTTGAGTGACAAAGTAATTGCGGTCTCTTCATCTAGCTCGTGAGTGCATATTGCAGTTTATACTTATGCCAGGACCTGTTCAGTCTTTATGAATATATCCTCTTCCAATAATCCGATCGTACCCGCAGCTTGCAGGTTTCTTGGATTATATTGAAGTAAACTCAGTTCATCGTTATTGTCCCTCGGTGTTTGCAGACTTTAGCCTAAATGTTCGAAATTAGGCTTGAATAAGCGAACATCGAGGAGGCAAAAGCGGTAAATGGAAAGTATCTTAGTTGCATGGAATAAGGACCATTTTTTCTTCATGACTTATGGTTCCCAGTACAAGCCCATTTATTTGGATGCCTGCTTACTCTAGGGATATGTGGGTAAAAGGCGGAAAAGGCCGAGTTATACAAAAGTGAAACGAGTGATGAAAGAGAAAAACTAATTCACTTGAAGCGTAGAGAAAAGAGAATATTATTTCATCTCACGTTGCAGCGACCGTCTAAAGACCTCACAGATTAACTTGTTGTAGGTGTGTCTATGCTGCCTATGGCAGCAAAGTCTCATCTTTGCCATTCTGTAGAGAAGTCAAAAGTACAGTTGAAGTTCCGTCTCCCATCAAAATAATGACGCTGATTGGTGATAAACTGGTAAAACATGACAGTTAGTTCTATAATATCATGATCATCTACAGATTGCAGTGGACAGAACTTCAGGAATAAATGTGATCGAAACTACGGATAACCTGACGCCTTACTTGTTTATAGAAGGCGGAAATACTTTCGAAATCACATCAATAGTTCATCCTAGTACATATTTGAATAAAATTGTCGTAGCAAGCAAGGACGGACGTCTTCGGATCGTGAATATTAGAACTGGCAGAGTGGTTCACGAATTTTCGAGAAATCTCGGTTCCAGTGTGACCATTCTCGAACAAACAACAGCGATCGATGTTATTGCTATTGGATTGCAGTCTGGCAAAATCTTGCTTTACAATATCAAGCTAGATAAAATTCTCCACACTTTCCGGCATGACTCAAGCATCACAAATATTGCATTCCGTGATGATGGAGTATCCACTATGGCTTCGGCGGATGATAATGGAACCCTGGCTTTTTGGAATCTGGAAAAACAGGAACTGATTGGAAAAATCGTGGGGATTCATTCGGACGCAGTGAACTGCCTCCATTTCGTTGCAGGTGAACCGATTATGGTATGGTTTATTTCTAACGCTCATACTTAATCACACATCTGAAATCTAGATTTCGGCTTCAATTGACAACTCTCTAAGAGTGTGGATTTTCGACAACAATGATCGCATGCCTCGTGAATTAGTCAAGTTAGAAGGACATTCTCTAAGTGCTACAAGCGTTCATTTCGTCAGTAAGACGCAGGTTTAATAAATTGACTTGAGCATAAATATGTGAATGAAATACTTCAGTTGTTGTCCGCTGGAGTAGATGGGTCGATTCTCAAATACGATGTCAGTTCACCGACAATGCGTCACAAATTTGGATCTGTTTCCGTATCCTCTCGGTAATTATATATTTACCCTTAGCCCTTCAAGACTTTGATGAATAAGATGACATTTAACCATGTATTTTCTCAGAAAAAAATCGGCCAGTGAAAGCAAAGAACTTCGCAGGCTTTCTGATTTAGTGGTGGGATGGCAAAGAGAGGCAGCGTGGAATAATGTGTTTTGTCGCCAAGAGTAAGTCTTACGCATTTGATTTTACAGATACACTGTCATTTTTTCCAGAAATGACACGAAGATAACAGCATTTCAGTCAAGGAACAATACACGGGGATCTTTTGTGGTTGGTTCAGTAAATTTTTCATGTACTAAAACTATTCATAGCTGGAACATGGTCGTTTCAAAAGCAATGCAGAACTTGCCGGGGCTAGTGCCACTTCTCTCTGTCTTTCGCCTTGTGGAAATTATGTTTTCGTCGGTTACTCAACAGGTACAGTTGCGGATTATCTGTATGATAGATTGTAATTACAGGTCATATCGATCAGTTCAATGCTCAAAGCGGACGACACATTCATTCCTACACTTCCTCTGCCGATCTTATAACATCGAAAAGAATACAACACAACGCGAGAAATGGGGAAAAAAAGTTGAATAAGAAACACTGCACAGTGTCCAATTCCAAGATTACTTCTTTGTCGGTTGATAAGCGGGGAAAATCGTTGATGAGCACTGACGAAGCTGGAAACATCATCTTCTGGTCACTTTCGACTCGGAAACTCATTGCAAAGCTTTTTAAAAACTCGATCAAGCTAGGGATTAGCACGGCGAGTCCTGTTAACAGTCTTGTGGCGGTGGTGACAACTTCAGAAAACAGTTAGCAACATATCGACTAGCCCGAGACCGCTTAATTTTTTTTAGATGTGGACAACGTAGTCCTTATCGATACGGTTTGTCATCAAGTTGTGCGAATATTCGAACATGTTGGTGAAAAAATAAACGCTCTTGCGTTTTCTTCAGATGGAAGATGGATCTTAGTTGCAGACAATCAGTCTCACATCAGAGTATGCTTGTCATTTCAATCAGACTGATCGCCACGTTTTACAGGTTTTTGATATCTCTTCATCCAATTTGATTGATGTCCTGTTGTTTTCTAAGCCGTGCATCTCGATTTCCGTCAATGATTCTGGAGAATTTATCGCTACTGCTCACGAGGGAGAACGAGCAGTTTATGTGTGGGCTAACAAAGCAATGTTTTTGTCTCAAGTAAATATTCGGGTCTTTGACGAGAAATTCGTTCCTTCATGGGAAGCGCAAAGAAATGCGCCGGATGTTTGTATTGACGATGACGAAGAAGACATTCTTGATTTTGAAATTCGCAGTTTGAGAGAGTTGCAGGTATTTCGAATGACAGTGAGTTGATCAGGCTTAGGTGTTTCCAGATTGATGAAAACATGATCACGCTCTCCGGGTTACCCCGCTCGCGATGGGCAAATCTTCCGGATTTGGCTCTTATCAAAAAAAGAAACAAGCCAGAAAATATTCTTAGAAAAGCTCATAATACGCCATTCTTCTTATCTGCTGCACCAACAATTGACGGATTCGAATTTCAAAATGCTGACTCATTCTTGTCAACGGATTCCTCTGTTAAACACATTCAATCGAAGCGCAGTCTCTTAGAAGCCGAGACGCTGTTCTCTACTCTTCTCGGAAAGTAAGTGTGCCTCTCTTTTTTGCAGCCACAGAGCTTCAACTTTCAGGGCTAAAAACAAGGATAATCTTCTGAATGCTTTCTATATCCTCAAGGAAATGAGCGTTTCTTCGATAGATTTCCAAATCCAATCTCTAGCTCCCACCACTGTTCCTGTATTTTTAAGAATGTTGCTAGAGGTGGGCGCATCCTTCAATGAATTTAGATAACTCTATTTAGGTGCTCAAAACAAAAACGGATTTCGATTTGGTTCAAGCTTTCACTGCTTCTGCACTCAAGGCTCACAGGTCATTGATTTGGAAGAACCATAAATCTCGGACAGACGGTCTTGATCTTGTTATTGATGAGCTGACTGCAGTTGAAGAAACATATTGGGGAGAATTAGAGAAGCTGTTTATCGAAAATACGTCAATCGTCCGATGGATTAAGAATGCCTTAGTTTAATAAATTTCTCTGAATCAAATTACAATATTGTTGTTGTTATTTTTGTTGTTGTTTTCTTTCATCATTTTGATTGTTCAGCAGTTGTTATTTATCTTCCAAACAAACGCGTTTTTTAAAATTATTTTTGTTGATTTGTCAGTTCTCCGCCAGATTCTGAGAATCTAAATTAAATATTTTACACGTGCGCGCATTCAGTACTTCGAGTCGATTGTCCCGCGGCCTTCGCTGTCGTCTTTGTTTTTGCGGCCGCGGCCATCATTTTGAAAACAACCGGACAGTTTACCGATATCCGAAAGTAGTCTGAAATTTATCGAATTCAATGCTGCGTTCTATTTTTTATGTTCTTTTTAGAGATGCTGCGTTCTCTTGCATATTCGGTGACGGGGCAAGCTTTCGATGTGACCAGTCATGTTCTAGTTGCTACGACAGGACTTCTTAAGCAGCAAAGAGGACGAAGAAGATCTCTTGCTCCCGTCCCATGGCTTTCTCGAGTTCGAGAAAACGTACCACCCAGCGAAATCGAAATAAAAAAAGACACCAGGTTGGATTTTTAAAAGCAAAATGAGTATAGCGCTACCTTCCGTAGCTGGTACTTTTAGTTTTCATAACCCAATAGTTGAATGTGAAAGTAATTGGGTGCGACTTCGAAATAGAAAATGTCTCGACATAGAGCCGTTCGGAAATAAACCAAACTAAACGAGAAATTTCCTAGTTCGGAACAGTTCTTTTCCGAGACATTTTCTCGATGTCGCACCAGTAATTGAGTACGGAAGTCATCGAGTAACTGGGAGTCAGTAGATAAAAAAAAAGTAAATAATCCACTTTGAGTATTGGCCGTCCTACACGTTTGGCCCAACCTGTGTATGGAAGTGTTTTATACTCTTTCATATTCAAATTTTCAGAAGCCTTCTAGACGCCGTTGTTGCAAGTGAAGCACTGTCCACTTCGAAGTTGAGTCCCCATAACCTTCACAAAGCGGTGATCACAGATATCCCGGAACATACTCGTCGCGTAGGTTTGATTGTACGTAAAATTGGAATGATGCCACAATGGACTACAAATGGAACGCGAATACTATGCTCGCTTCTAGAAGTTTTCGATAACCATGTTGTCAGCGTAACGTCTCCGGAAAATTGGTTTAAGTCTTCTGCAGTCGGAAAAAGAAAAGCGTTCAATCGTAATGGTGCCATGTGGCGAGTTACTGTCGGCGCTGGAAACAGCGACCCAAACAACTATTCCCTATCTTACCGGCGCCAATTTTTAAACTCTGGAACGCCAGTAAAAGAAAAGCTTGGATGTTTTTTGGTGACGGAAGACGTTCTCCCTTCTTCTGGTACCCCGTTGGACGCTCGTCATTTCACCGTTGGACAATACGTTACAGCAACAGGAAAATCGATTGATTGGGGATTTCAAGTAAGTTGTTCACAAAAGCTGCAGTGTTCTAGCATTGACTGTTTTTATTAGGGAGGAATGCATCGTTGGGGAATGCGAGGCCAGCCGACAAGAAGAACAACTAAATCACATCGAAGGATTGGTTCTGTGGGATCGGTTGGAGACGCAAGAATTTGGCCGGGAAAACGAATGCCGGGGCACATGGGTCACGAATGGAAGACTGTTAGCGGCTTGGAGGTGTTAATGTAATAATGTACTCGCAACCCATTGCATTTTCTTAGATCATTCGAATTAATATCGATAAGCAGGTTATTTATGTAAAAGGGTCTACACCAGGAGACATTGGAGAAATTTTGTTGCTCAAAGATTGCTTACAAGAAGGAAAACGATTGAAAGTTAAATGAATTGCAATCCATGGTTTAAAGTGACCTAAAACTTCAGAGTGGCCCAGTACCGACTTGGACTCCATCACTTGAATCAATCCCTGAATTGACTGAAGAAAATGGCTCAAATATCCCCAAGGAACTTCTGTTCAACGAGATGTTCAGTCCAAAGCTATTCCGGTTCACATCACCATCAATTGTGTTCACGGACGCTGATGCCAAAAAGACTGCCGGAAGAGACAAAACTAAAGCAAAAATTGCCAAAGTAAAAAAATAATTTCTACGCCAGGACTTATTTCACAAGCAATATCCGCTAGTTGTTTAGGTTATCAGCTTTTTGTTAAACTCAATTTGTCAGTCTTTCCCCTCGGTGTTTGCAAAATCAAGCCGAATTTTTTGAAATTAATCTTGAGTACGCAGTACTACGCACTAATCTCAGAGGGACAAGAGCGATAAACTGACAGTGTAATGTTTTTTTCTTATTTTCCATAAATTCACTGCGTTTTGCAGTTTCACAGCTATTCCGATATAAGTATTTTTGATGGTCGACGACCCATTATAAAGTATCTTCCCGAACTATTCGTTCGAAAAGTTTCATTTATGCAGGAATCGTTAAATATCACGATCGTTGAACTTGGGTCCGCTGCGCGGATCGAGAAATGAATAAGTGACCAAACAAAGAAAGAAAGAATGAAACGGGCTCCGTTAGCTTTTAATTAAATGAGGATGATGATGATGATTTCAGAAAGAACAGTCGATCTCAATATGGCGGACAACAAAAAGTCTATTCCAGACGCACACTGTAATCTGAATTCCAGCAGTGTAATGGGCAAAAGCAATTCAGAGGTGAATGACTGGATTTTTGCAGACCGGGCTGAAACGTGAATTCTTCGAACACGCACGTCGTGAAAGTATCCGGCCCGGCAGGCATTTTTCAATTCATTTCAAAATTTTCAACAACAATTCAATTTTCAGATCATGGGTGAAAATAAGCAACAAACAGGAAGAGACTGTGATGGCGAAGGGAACATTCCACCGAATGAGAAAGCTACAGTTTCACAGCTAGCTGAGCGAACTCAGCTACGACGACGTCGCAATTCGCCGAGACTCCCGGAAGTGTCGGCTTCTCGTTTACCGTTGAAAGTTCTTAATCAAATTTTCCAATACCTTTCCCTCAAAGATCTCATTTCCGCAATGCTCACTTGCCACAGTTGGAATGCAGCTTTAGCCATGGAAGACAGTGAAATTTGGCATCAGCATTTAGTTCATGTAGTTCCGGATGCTGCCATTTGCGACCCGTTCTTACTCAGTGAACTTGGTACCGCCAAAAAAAAACTGCGCGCGTGGTTTTTTGCATGGAATGCAAATGATATTTCTCGAAACAATTATATTCGAACGAATGGTTTCACTGTTCATCGACAGCCAGTGGCACAATCAACAGATGGAGTGAGGGGAAAACTAGGAATGCTGTATGGAGTACACGCGTTCGATATCACATGGGACGGTCCTCTCGGGACTGTTGCTGTAATCGGCTTTGCGACAAAGTAAAAACTAAACTACTGTTCACGGCACCTTATCTTGAAATCAAAATTTATGAGCACGTGATGCTCCACTGTATTTTCCCCCCAATTAACCTTCAAAACAACTGAAAACGGTTTTTCCAACGCTTTAGGTCAAAGTGTTAATCTAATTAGACTTATAATGAAATTAATTAGATGACTTGTGAATCTCATATCAGTTTTTTGTCAATCTAATTCGACAAACTTTGTTTTATCAATCTAATAAGAAAATATATCTGTCTAGCCTCACAAGGGAACCTCTTAAGTGATTAAAGGAACCAGCCTAAACTAACGACACAGTTCGAGAGAGGGACTTTCAAAAGCTATATTCCAGTTTTCAAAAGCTGCTTTCGAGACCTCTGAAATGCTGAAATTCCAGTCCGAAGTTTGACATTTCTTAACCATAGATTTCGCATTTTGATGGCGCGGCGACCCACCCTCACACCCTCGCCATGCGCCACGATTGTCACCGCCCGCAACACCCCACGAAAATGTGGTCGAGTGGCGCAGGAGTTAACGGTGGGGATGAGGGGAATGTGGTCACGGGCTCGACTCCCTGGTTTTGCTTTTTCTTTTTTCTTTCCTTTTTTCATATATTTTTGACGAAATTGTTTTGAAATGTTGATTTTTGAAGGGATTAAAGTTGCCAACTGAAGTTCCTCATCGTGTATGCGGAAATTCTTCATCAACACATGAATCTTTTTTGCGATGTAAATGTCATGCTGATCAACTTTGTAGTTGATCATTATTCTCTACAAAAATTCCCCTTCGAGTTATGGATCAAAGAATCAACTGCACTCAAACACTGTTCTCAAAAAAACCATCGCAAAAAAGATTTATGTGTTGATGAAGAATTTCCGCATACACGATGAGGAACTTCAGTTGGCAACTTTAATCCCTTCAAAAATCAACATTTCAAAACAATTTCGTCAAAAATATATGAAAAAAGGAAAGAAAAAAGAAAAAGCAAAACCAGGGAGTCGAGCCCGTGACCACATTCCCCTCATCCCCACCGTTAACTCCTGCGCCACTCGACCACATTTTCGTGGGGTGTTGCGGGCGGTGACAATCGTGGCGCATGGCGAGGGTGTGAGGGTGGGTCGCCGCGCCATCAAAATGCGAAATCTATGGTTAAGAAATGTCAAACTTCGGACTGGAATTTCAGCATTTCAGAGGTCTCGAAAGCAGCTTTTGAAAACTGGAATATAGCTTTTGAAAGTCCCTCTCTCGAACTGTGTCGTTAGTTTAGGCTGGTTCCTTTAATCACTTAAAAGGTTCCCTTGTCAGGTAAATCGTTTGTAATCTAGCTAGCTAATTCGCGTTTCTAACCGGACCTAATTAGATTGCTAATTTACTGCGATTAGATTGCAAATTCTTCTAACTGGACTGATAAATTTACTGATTAGATTGGCGAAGCTAATTAGATTGCAAAAACACTGATCTTAGATTCAAAATTTATCTAATTAGATTAAAATTTCGGGCAAACCTAGCTAGATTATGTTTAGATTGCAAATTCAGCTAGCTAGATTCAGAAATCGGTAGCAATCTATTATAGCATAGTTGCCACGGGCCGGGCCGGGCCGGGCCGGGCCGGGCCGAAATTTCCAAAACTCCGGCCCGGCCCGGCCCGTCGGCCCGGCCCGGCCCGGCCCGACCCGGCCCGGCCCGGTCGGCCCGGTTCAAAAAGCGGGAATTCAAAATTTGAATTATTGATCGCATGAAGCCATTTTTTGTAGAATTAGGGGTTTTTTGCAAGCATCGAACATTGAAAAACAAATGTATTTCTCATAAAAAATTCATAATAGCAAGAAAACAAAGAAGAAACACTAAAACTTTAGTTCGAAAATTTTTTTGTAATAACGAAAAAAAAATTTCCGCGAAAATTTGAATTCCCGCCTTTTGAACCGGGCCGACCGGGCCGGGCCGGGCCGGCACTTCACCGACCCGGCCCGGCCCGGGCCGGCACTTTTCCGGCCCGAAATCTGGCAAGTCTGTATTATAGGGGCACCGCACAGAAATGGCGCTCTGTTGAGAAACTCCGTTTGCAGTGCAAATTGAGCGACCTCGGGGCCGAGTTTGAAAGTTAGGCCACATTTTCAATGGAAAATTACATCGCGGCCTAGAAATTCGGCCAGATTGCGAACAGCGCGCCCTTTCTGTCCGGTGCCCCTATAATAACTAAGTCCGTTTAGAAACAAGAATTAGCTAGTTAGAAACGATTTGCCTGAGGCTAGAAAATTTTTAAATCTAATCGCAGTTTATTAGCAATCTAATTAGTCCTGGTTATAAACGCGAATTACATAGCTAGATTAATCACGATTTCCCTGAGCAGTGTTTTTGTAATCTAATTAGCTTCGCCAATCTAATTAGAACATTTATCAGTCTAGTTAGATGAAATTGCAATTTAATGGCAGTAAATTAGCCATCTTGATTTTCGAGCCAAATTGTTTCCAAAGTCGCGCCTTTTTGTAATTTTAAGTTCCGCAATAGGACCGGGTCGATTTTCGACAAGTCTGCTAACTTTATTTCTTCCATCCATCTATAATGGTCCGCTGCGCGGATTGAGCTTGCGCTCGGAAGCAGTTTCACCGCTTGTTAGATTCTCAGAACCGTTAGAACGTTCACGTGTTTCACACTTTCCGCTCAGTTCTCGCCTAGATAATCAGAGTGGAGAAAACATGAGGGCGACACGTGCATAAACCATTCATATTTCCGAAATAGGGTGCCGCAGAATGTCGTTCTATTTATTTGAATTAAATTGTACTTCCAGACACGCCGCACTTCACTGCGTAGGATATATAGCCTTGCTCGGGTCTGACGACCAATCTTGGGGATGGAATCTGGTGGATAATGTTTTGATGCACAATGGAGATCAGCTTGGCGTCTATCCAAAGATCAACAATCCACCAAAATATGAGGTTTTTTTTTATATAAAGAAGATGAGTTAGATTACACGACTACGCCAAGCGAAGCGTTCATCTACCCTCACCCATTTTCGCCACCAGAGTGAGCCCCCGAGACCCAAATTGTTTTTGGAATATTCGTCGAGAGAATTTTCGAGCGATGAAAACCGAGACGAGAATGATCTTTTTACTTTGTTTTAATTTTCAATAGACTGTCTTTTCTAATGGTCTCGTACGTTTGGTCGGTTTTTTAAAAAAGTTTTTTTACGTCGAAAAACTCAATTCAGCGATGTAAAGGAACGAAAAAAACGGAAAACAAACATACGCCGAATACCCCATAAACAACAAATTAGAACAGGTACCAATTTCTCAGGGAACTCTTTATTAATCTAGCTAGGTAATTCGCGTTTATAACCGGCCCTAATTAGATTGATAATTTACTGGGGTTTGATTGCAAATTCAGTAGAGAACCCCCCACGTTATGGACAACCTTCAAAAAGCCCCCCACTAGATTTATAAAGATATGATATTATATTCACAATGCATCTAATTGGATTGACGCTTTCGGTCAAAGTGTTAATATAATTAGATGAATTCTGACTTTAATTAGATGAATTGTGAATCTAATATCAGTTCTTTGTTAATCTAATCAGAGAAATTTTGTTTCGTCAATCTAATTCAAAAATATATCAGTCTAGCTAGAAAAATTGCACTAATCGCAGTAATTTAGCAATCTAATTAGGGCCTGTTATAAACTCGAATTAGCTAGCTAGATTAATAACGATTTCCCAGAGTTCTTTAGTTTCTCACGTGACCTTTTTTCCAACAGTACATCTAATTTGACAGATTTGCCAGCTAGTTCTAGAAATGATCGGGAATTTCCCGTTTCTCGACTCGATTCAAACCTAGTGTTCAGACAAAGAACCAGTAAGACGGAATTTGCAGATGGGAGAGCGAATTCGACTCGTCGTGGACTGCGACAAACATGTAGCGTATTTTGAGCGAGGCGCCGAATTTCTAGGAGTTGCTTTTGAACACTTACCACCACTTCGCCTGTTTCCAGCAATTTGCGCTGTTTATGGTAACACAGAAGTATCTATGGTTTATGTTGGAAGTCCACAATTAGGATAAAGATTGTATTTTTCGTCAGTCTAGACTCTTGATGTTTCTCAAAGATACCTTCATAAAGCTTCACGAACCACATGTTTTCAAAAAAGTAGGCTGGTCGAACAGGCGATTTCAGGCGCCTGTTCGACCAGCCTACAAAGCTAACGGAGTCTGTCTCTCTGTTTACTTTTTCATTTGTCCGCACACGTTTCATAGTTGTGACGAAGAAAATAAAAAATGAACACGTCAACTTTCTAACAGTTTTGAATAGAAATAATGCGGCGAAGCCGCTTTCGAGCTCGGACCGCGCAGCGGGCCCACGTTCGAAAGTCTTGTAGAAAATAAGATCAACCAATCTTTAATCAGTGCTCAGAATTTTAATTCCCCGCTTATTGCGGCCTCCAAATGTATGCTCCTCGATCGGCGCTACAACCAGGGTGAGCTGCCGAGACTGAAGTCCCGGGAATTGCCGGGAAAAGTAATGGGAGAATTTCCCGAGAAGCGTCGGTACCGAGAAGTGTGAAGACTTGTCGTTCCCGGGAACGAGAAGTATCGATACTTCTCGGTACCGAGAAGTCTCGCCAATTTTGTTGATTTGGTCTCGAGAGCTCACTCGGGCTACAACGGATTAGAACTTAAACGGAATAGAACTCAGAGACTACTACGAGTCGTAGTTGTTTTTTAGCGTTGGGGGTTCTATTTCGTAACAGTTCTATTCCGTTCAAGTTCTAATCCGTTTTAGCGCCCTTCGATCGACTCGGCTAATGCAATAGAGCGCGCTTGCTGACTGGCCTGTGATTCAAATGTTTCCTTTCGAAAACTGCTTGCCTTCGTGTTGAAAATTTTTAATTTTTTGCTTGCAAATCATATATGTATTTTTATTGCTTTCAAATCTAGAAATTATACTCAACTCAGAATTGATGCGGTTCTCTATTTCACATCTTTACCATAGTAATCGTCTGTGTACAATTGTATTTACGCCATAAGCATGTCTTGTTCAATAAATGTGTTCCTTCGGAATTGACGGTCGTTTTCTACTATGGTTCTCTTCCGTTAATCCATACTTATAAGCATTTGAAAAAAGCGTTATGTAATGTTTAGGAATATATTCCTAAAGAAGACATAATGATGATCTACGATGAAGACGATGAGATACAGCACGCGCATATGGACGATTACGAAGATACTTCCGGTGAGATCACCTCAGAACAATGGCAGGAAGCGTGTTGGGTAGTGATCAGTGCATATTTCGATGAGAAAGTAATGTGCTATACATACTCTTCGAACGAATCTACGATTTCAGGGACTCGTACGCCAACAACTGGATTCGTTCGACGAGTTTGTTCAAATGAATGTGCAGCGGATTGTGGAAGACTCACCACCAGTCGAGTTACAATCGGAAAATCAACATCTTGGAGCAGATCTTGAGAATCCAGCGAAATTTTCACTCAAATTCAATCAAATTTATCTGTCAAAACCAACTCACTGGGAGAAAGACGGTGCACCAATGCCAATGATGCCGAATGAAGCAAGACTTCGAAATTTGACTTACGCTTCTCCTTTGTACGTCGACATCACAAAAGTCGTCACACGAGATGATTCCGTTAACGAAAAGATCTACGAGAAAGTATTTGTTGGGAAAGTTCCAGTTATGCTTCGTTCAAGCTATTGTATGTTATCGAACATGACAGATCGTGATCTAACCGAGTTGAATGAGTGTCCGCTTGACCCAGGAGGATATTTTGTTATCAACGGTTCGGAAAAAGTTCTCATTGCTCAAGAGAAAATGGCTACCAACACTGTATATGTTTTTTCTATGAAGGACGGGAAATACGCTTTCAAAACGGAATGTCGCTCATGCCTTGAGAATTCATCGCGACCAACCTCCACAATGTGGGTTAACATGCTCGCGCGAGGCGGTGGAGGAGGGAAGAAGACAGCAATGGGGCAAAGAATTATCGGAATTCTCCCATACATCAAACAAGAGATTCCAATTATGATCGTGTTCCGTGCACTTGGTTTTGTATCTGATAGAGACATTTTGGGACATATCATTTATGATTTTGATGATCCCGAAATGATGGAAATGGTTAAACCTTCGCTCGATGAAGCGTTTGTCATTCAAGAACAGAATGTAGCCCTGAACTTTATTGGAGCCCGTGGAGCCAAGCCTGGAGTCACCCGCGAGCAACGAATCAAATACGCTCGTGAAATTTTACAAAAGGAATTGTTACCTCACGTTGGCGTTTCAGAGCACTGTGAAACAAAAAAAGCGGTAAGCGTAGGTTTATCTTTACTTTACGGGGAACTTATTTGTAGTTTTTCATTGGATACATGGTCCATCGTCTATTGTTGGCTGCTCTTGGCCGTCGTGAATTGGACGACCGCGATCACATTGGCAACAAAAGACTCGACTTGGCCGGCCCACTTCTTGCGTTTCTATTCCGCGCCCTTTTCCGCAATCTACTCAAAGAGGCATGCTTTCCAAAAACAAATTTCGGTAAATTTCATAAAATAATGTTTGAAGATGCGAATGACTGCTCAAAAGTATATCAACAAAAACGATGATTTCGCATTGGATGTGTGTGTAAAAACATCTACAATCACGCGTGGACTTGCTTATTCGCTTGCTACAGGGAACTGGGGAGATCAAAAGAAAGCACATCAATCTCGAGCTGGAGTATCTCAAGTTCTCAATCGTCTCACGTATACCGCTACTCTTTCACATCTCCGGAGAGCCAACTCGCCAATCGGTAGAGAAGGGAAGCTAGCAAAGCCAAGGCAGTTACACAACACGCAATGGGGAATGGTTTGTCCGGCCGAAACTCCCGAAGGACAAGCTGTTGGACTTGTGAAAAATCTCGCCTTGATGGCCTATATTTCTGTCGGATCACTTCCGGAGCCAATCCTGGAATTCCTTGAAGAGTGGTCTATGGAGAACCTCGAAGAAGTATCTCCTTCTGCCATTGCCGATGCCACAAAGATTTTTGTCAATGGTGCTTGGGTTGGAATTCATCGTGAACCTGATCAACTCATGACTACATTGAAAAAACTACGGCGACAAATGGATATAATTGTTTCCGAAGTATCTATGGTTCGCGACATTCGTGATAGAGAAATTCGAATTTATACTGACGCGGGTAGGGTTTGTCGTCCACTTCTTATTGTTGAAGATCAAAAATTGGCTCTTAAAAAGAAACACATTGACTTATTGAAGGTGAGTTTTACAAGCAGTGCAAAGTTTTTAAAATTTTATTTTGACAGGACGTGGATGAAGCGAATAAGTACACATGGTCTGATCTAGTTGGTGGTGGTGTCGTTGAACTAATTGACTCGATGGAAGAAGAGACTTCCATGATTGCAATGATGCCTGAAGACTTAAGAATGGGAGGATACTGCGATACACACACACATTGTGAGATTCATCCGGCTATGATTCTTGGAGTTTGTGCTTCCATTATTCCATTCCCTGATCACAACCAGTCACCGAGAAACACTTATCAAGTGAGTTTCAACTGTTTTATACTTCGACACAACGCTTACCATAATGTCGACACCGGTTTTCGATGTGAGTAGCATAGCAGTGATTTTTCAGCACGGCCCATACGGTCTCAAAAACTTTCAATTTCCGTATGTTTTCCTATATTAATTTTTTAAAGCCTCAGTCATGAGTCTTTCGAATACATACATGGCAGAACATCTGTTCGACATGTGCTATGAAAACCAGCTAGATATACAAAAATTACAAAATTTATGCAACAGCCACGGTCTCCAGAGCTTACAATGGGCGCAAGTGCGCCCCGCCCAATAGAGCGATACATTGGCGCGAAATTCAAATTTTAACAGCAAAATTAGAGTTTTTGCCAGATTAGCCACGAAAAACCGATAATTTCTCATTTGTCTCTCGATAGACCGATTATATAGGCTATTACACATTTTTATGCGCAAGAGCGTCAAATTTGGTCAAATCGCAAATCACGTTTATCCGTTTGAAGGTTTTTGGCTAAAACTGCGTGAATTTCTGTAGCTTTTCGGTAGTTTTCGCGGTTCTAGCGCTCGAAATGCTTGTATTTACGTGATTTATCATTCTCAAAACCAATTCTGTCTGAAAACGGCCAAGAAAGCGCAAAATGAGAAGTGCGGTTTTTAGGCGGCGATCGGCGGCGAAGGCGAAAAAGCAAAGTCCGCGAAAAATGCGCCAAAACGTCATTAATTCTGAGAATTAGTGTGTGTGTCGAACAATCGTTTTTCATCGCCGTTGACCACAAAAATCCAAGAAAACCTGCTCAATTCATGAAAACGCCATTTGGCCGAGAGCTCTGGAGACCGTGTAACAGAAGTTCAAATTTGCTTCAGGTGGACACAGCTAAACTCAATTCATCGCTATTGCCCCTCAGTGTTTGCAGACTCAAGCCGAAATTTCTGAAATTAGGCTTGAGTACGCAAACACCAAGGGGACAAAAGCGGTGAATTGAGAGTATGTATAAAGAAGGAGTTCTGGAATCTAGTAGTATCTAGAAGACATGAATAAATGAACGAAGCAAGGAATCAGTTTTCAGAGTGCTATGGGGAAACAAGCCATGGGAGTTTACACAACGAATTTTCATGTCAGAATGGACACATTGGCACACGTGCTTTATTATCCGCAAAAACCTCTAGTCACGACACGATCAATGGAGTATCTTCGGTTCAACGAGCTTCCTGCTGGAATTAATGCTATCGTCGCCATTTTGTCTTATTCTGGCTACAATCAAGAAGATTCCGTCATTATGAACAATTCGGCAATTGATCGTGGCCTCTTCCGTTCAGTTTTCTATCGATCTTACCGAGATAATGAAGCAAACCTGGACAACGCCAACGAAGAGTTGATAGAGAAGCCAACACGAGATAAATGTTCGGGAATGCGTCATTCGCTTTATGATAAACTTGACGAGGATGGTATCATCTCACCAGGAATGCGTGTTTCTGGAGATGATGTGATTATTGGCAAGACGGTTGCTCTTCCGGAAATTGACGATGACTTGGATGCCACCGGGAAGAAGTATCCGAAAAGAGATGCATCAACTTTCTTGAGAAGTTCAGAGACAGGAATTGTCGATCAGGTATTGTCTCGCTTGAAGATATTGAAGGAACTAAGACTTGGAACATAGGTGTTTTGAGTTAAACGTCGGCAGTTCGGGACGGGCTAGTGGGAGGGTCCTGGTTCGGAAAAAAAATTTGGCATTACTTCTATAGGTCATATTCTTTCAGTTTCCACTCATTTTAACCCACTAGGCTACCTGATACGAGCACTAGAATCACTAATGATTGCAGGAGTGTCCTTATGGCGCCGCAATCTATTCATTTCTGACTTTACTGGGACTGTAACAGGTTGTCAAGTTGTTCTAACTGTTTAATTTACTTCTATGGGTCATATTCGTTCAGTTTCCTCTCATTTGAACCGACGGGGATACCTGGTACGAACATTACAATCACTAATGTCCAGATTGCAGGTCATATTGGACATACATGTTTAACAGTAATACAATAAAACGAAGCTTGTATAAATTTTTTTTGAAAATTTTTTTAATGCTTTTCCACAGTGGGATCTTATGGTTGCCGCTGGTTCGGAAATTTCAATCCGACCGCCAGGCTGGAAAAATGTTTTGGCGTTTCTCAAACATCCCGCACCGATGACTTTAAACCCAGTTTCACTTTATTTCGAAGTCGCACCAATCCACAGTACCGAATGCAACATCCCGTATTTATGTATTTTGGAAAATTGTTATTCAAAAAAACAGCTTTAAAACTTCTTTCCGATTTTTAAAACCGCAAAAACGCAACTTGCGATAGAAAGTTTAACTTAAGAAAGTAAATTCTCGCTAAAAGATGAGGAAAATTCAATTAACAAATATTACATTTCAAAACAATTTTCAGGTGATGCTATCGTTAAACTCTGACGGGAACAAATTCGTCAAAATTCGAATGCGCTCAGTGCGTCTTCCTCAAATCGGAGACAAATTTGCTTCGCGTCACGGTCAAAAAGGAACCATGGGAATTATGTATCGACAAGAAGACATGCCATTCACTGCGGAAGGACTTACTCCCGATATCATTATCAACCCTCATGCAGTTCCATCAAGAATGACGATTGGACATTTGATTGAATGTCTGCAGGGTAAACTGTCAGCAAACAAAGGAGAAATCGGTGATGCGACGCCATTCAACGACACCGTCAACGTTCAGAAAATCTCTGGACTACTTTGCGAGTACGGTTATCATCTAAGAGGAAATGAAGTAATGTATAACGGACACACTGGATCCAAACTCACAACGCAAATTTTCTTTGGACCAACCTATTATCAACGTCTGAAGCACATGGTTGACGACAAAATTCACTCGCGAGCTCGTGGTCCAATTCAGGCATAGCATTTCATTTTTGTTCTTTTATGTGAAATATATTTCTAGATGATGAATCGACAGCCTATGGAAGGAAGAGCTCGTGATGGAGGACTCCGATTCGGTGAAATGGAACGAGATTGTCAAATTTCTCACGGAGCAACGCAATTCCTTCGCGAACGTCTCTTCGAAGTCTCAGATCCTTACCACGTCTACGTCTGCAACAACTGCGGATTAATTGTTGTTGCGAATCTGAGAACAAACAGTTTTGAGTGCAAAGTAATAACTGCGGATAATGAGACAAACTAAGATGTAAATGTTTTCAGGCGTGCCGTAACAAAACACAAGTTTCTGCCGTTCGAATTCCGTACGCTTGCAAGCTGTTGTTTCAAGAACTTATGTCTATGTCCATCGCTCCTCGGCTTATGGTTCGAGCCCAATCCTCTAAACGGTCCAAACTGTAAACAGAGCCATAGATGCTGTTAACAATTTTGTAAAACTTCTGTTTTTTTCTACGTTCATGCATCAATTTTTGTTTATTTATTCAATTAATTGATTTCATTTTTGCCCCTTCCAATTGTTCATCATCTCCAAAAAGATTGTGTTCCGCCCCGGCCGATGTTTCACGGGGTTTTTGAATTCTCAATTTCGCAATTACTGTCGTTGAAAAAGAAGTTTGTGCAGAATAATAATAATAACTTGTTTGGTTGTACATACGGCACTTAGTCATTACCGTCCTATAATTCGGTTCGATTATATTTCAAGCTCATGGTACTGCGTGGGATTGTTTGTATTGAGTGAAAAGATGGTCGTCTCATCGACGAGGGTGTGAAAAAAGGCCGAAAAAACCGAACATAGCGGATGTCATAATGTCGGGAAGGCATTAGCGCGCGCGTCTTCAACATTCAAATTTTTGTGTCCTCTCGGCAGTCTTGGTCAGAATTTACGCAAACTTTACGCAATTTCTACTAGAACTTTTCGCAAAAACTGCTTATAATATGACCGACCGTTGACGGTGCAGTGCGCACACACAATTTGGCAGACTTGTGAAATTCCCGGTCGGCCCGGAAGTTCCACATTGAACCAATTTTTCAGCGAAATAATAAAAGACGCGTGTGGCAGTCTCTGAGAGTAAATTTGCTAAATGTCGGTCTAGGGTTGCGATATATTGCTCCGCCAACTTTTAAACAAATTTTTCGAATATTTTTCAAATCTAAGGAAACTTCTAGAAATATTTAAATGTTGTAACCTGCCGGGCCAAAAAATTTCAAGTGTTGGCCCGGCCCATTGCGAATCTGCTATTTGGAAATTGAAAGGCGCATCTGGTTCATGACTGAAACTCTTGTAATGGGGTTATTCCATACTTGTGGTTTTACGCCCCGGCCCCCGCTCGGATCCTGCTTGACCAGGGCTGGGCAATTGGCCGGCACGGGCTTTTCGTTGGCCGGCCCTTGACCTGGACTTTTGAACCACTTGAAATATTCCGATCGGACCCAAACTTAGCAGGCTTCTTGGACATGGGTTGAAGCATATTTTGACCAAGTTTCAGCCCGATCGGCTTATTTGGTCCCGAGAAATGTGGATCATTGGCCGAAATTGGCCGGAAGCCCGGGCTTTTTGGAAAAAATCGGCTAATGATCCACATATCTCGGGACCCGACGATCCTATCGGGCTGACACTTGGACCCAATGGCCCTCAATCTAAGTCCAACAATCCTGCAAAGTTTGGGTCTGATCGGAATATTGCAAGTGGTTCAAAAGTCCAGGTCAAGGGCCGGCCAATTGCCCAGCCCTGTGCTTGACGGCCGTAGTTTTTTGGCTTTTTTATAGATTTGCTATCACCAATCGAGATGAAAAACGCCAAAAATATACTGAAAACTTGAAAAAAACACTATCTGGGATTCGGACCGGTGGACATTTTTTCACTTCCTGGCCCATAGACCATAGTATGGGTTATTCAGTGTTGGGCCTATTCACTAGGAAAAAAAAACGGGAAAAAACAAGCACTGAATAACCCCATGAATTGAGAGTATGCATCAGTGATTTTTGGCTTTTCCGTCTTATGGTCATTTTGAAACTCGAAAAGCGAGTCTGTGACAAAAGGTCGGAAAACCGAAAGGTCGGAAAAAAGTGACAAAAGGTCGGAAAAAGTGACAAAAGGTCGGAAAAAAGTGACAAAATGTCGGAAAAAATGTCATTAGGTCGGAAAAAAATTACAAAAAGTCAGAAAACAGGTATTTTAGCAGATTTTCCGACCTTTTGGCATTTTTTTCCGACCTTTTGGCATTTTTTTCCGACCTTTTGGCATTTTTTTCCGACCTTTTGGCATTTTTTTCCAACCTTTTTTCATTTTTTTCCGACCTTTTGTCACTTTTTTCCGACCTTTTGGCTTTCCGACCTTTTGTCTTCCGACCTTTTGTCACGGACTCCGAAAAGCACTTAAGAAACTGCACTGCTTTTGGCCGCGGCCTAGAAATAACATTTTCTCTAGGGCCCTAGGGATACCTTCTCCGCAAATTACTGCAAAGTTTGAATGATTTTAGATCATTTGAAATTTGCCTGAGAGTTCGCATAAACTTTGTTCAAGATTTGCTTTAATTTTGTTCAAGATTTGCTTTAATTTTGTTCAAGATTTGTTTATAAATTAGTCGTTCTGTGTATTAGAACTTATAATCGGACTTTTTAGGTGCTCAACGAGTTATGAGCATTCTCGACGCGCGTGCTTCGCCCGCTACTCAAGCCCAACAAGCTGCCACTCCGTCATCGGCAAATCTCGAGATAAATACGTAGGATTTTTTTTAGAAAAAATACACTCAATTCATCAGTCTTTCCTCCTCCGTTTCTTTTTGTTGCAAGCTCAGGTCAAAGTTTCTGAGATCAGGCTTGAGTTAAGGAACACCGAGGGGGCCAAATTAATAAATTGGGAGTATAATTAAATATGAACATTTGATACGATGGTATTCGCTTATTTTTCAGTGATGAAATCATGCAATGGATTATCGATCTTCGGGATCCATCAAAGCGAGAGACTGCTCTTCTGGAACTGAGTAAAAAAAGAGATAGTGTTCCTGATCTTCCGCTCTGGCTATGGCACTCTTTCGGAACGATGTCTGCTCTACTACAGGAGGTTTAGAAACCTTAACACTATACTATAATCTAGAGAATTTATTTTTTTTCCATGAGCTAATTTTCCAATTGTCTTTTTTAGGTAGTCGCCATATATCCTGCTATAATGCCAGCCAATCTTACGGCTGTACAGTCGAATCGCGTGTGCAATGCATTAGCGCTTATGCAGTGCGTGGCATCGCATCGTGAAACGCGAGGCCCGTTTCTTCATGCTCATATTCCATTGTATTTGTATCCTTTCCTTCACACTACCAAAGTTTCTCGTTCCTTCGAGTACCTTCGTCTCACATCTCTTGGAGTCATCGGAGCTCTTGTCAAGACAGAAGACAAAGAGGTGAGCAATAATAAGGATCCGTGTTTTATCACTTAAATTCAACTGGGTTCCATCAAACTTGGCCATTGAGGACAGACGAATGTTACTAAGAGAAACCGATACAGAGTGCCACTGACCTTCTATTATCAGTGATTACTTTCAGCAACTTCTCGTGGTTATCAACTTTCTTCTTTCTACAGAAATTATCCCACTGTGCCTTCGCATTATGGAACAAGGCACAGAGTTATCGAAAACAGTTGCGACTTTCATTCTGCAGAAAATATTGCTCGACGACACAGGCCTCCTCTACATTTGCCAAACTTACGAACGTTTCAGCCATGTGGCCATGATTCTAGGAAAAATGGTTTTGAAGTTGGCACGAGAGCCTTCCAGCCGCCTTCTCAAGCACGTGGTCAGATGCTACAGTCGCTTGAGTGATAACCCAACGTAAATATCGAAGAGCGTTATTTTCAATTAAATTAATTTCAGAATGATATTCAGCCTGCAAATTGAGCCACGTGCTTCGACGGGACAAACAGTCAAAGTCAGAGCTCAACAAGCTTTGAAACAATGTCTTCCAGACCAGCTTAAAGATTTGACATTCAAGGCCTTGCTCAAGGACGACCCGGGAACGATGAACTGGCTGAGACAATTGCTGAATAACCTCGGTGAACAATTTTTCCCAGAAATTATAAATGGATGAAGGACATGATAACTTCCCCTTTCCCTTGCTTCATACGAACTGCTTTCAGAAATTGACGGCGTCATTCTCCACGACGAGGAGCTTCTCCCCAAGTGAAACGAATTACATAATTTATTTATAAGCATTGCTTTCGTGTATTCCTTCATCCTTTGCGATGAGTAATTCTTATATAGCAGTGTGACGGTATTGTCTTCTGCCTTTCGATATTCACTTTCAAAAAAATAAAAAATATTCGATTTATTATTTTTGCCTACTGCATGCAACCGTAGCGCGACATTTGCCACTGGGAGTATGATGTTATTGTAAAGGCGCTTTATCGTTCGGCTTTTGCAAAATCAAAGAGCGTCATGACGCGTCAGTTCGTTTTGCAAAATTTCTGATGTATATATATTTTTTTCATATTGGAAAAATAGAGAAATGAACTTTTAAACTAAAAACAAGAGACGGAGCCGCTTCCGAGCGTCAGCTCGACCCGCGAAGAAGGAAAGTTTCCAAAATTCTTGTAAAATGATATAATTTCTCAATCAGTTTACTCGAGAAAGCACCAAACTATTTCGAAAAGTAAAGAGTGAAAGCTGACAGTAATGAAAGACAAAGCGGAAAGCCCGTGCATAGCCATAAAGAATCATTACCGGGATAATTTTATTAAATAAATGAGCTAAAGGAGTTGCCTGAAGTGGGCGAAGTGTTCCACTCTGAACACCACGGCGCTTTGGCACTCTCGCTTTCACTTTTTGTTTTGAGAGAATTTGTCAGTTATTCAGTAAATTCCCGTTTCTTATGAATTCGGGTAGAAGATGGGGTGAGCTCCGCTTGACTATCATTAAGAATGTACAAATCCAACGGAAGTGCCTAGAACGAGAAACAGACAGTGTTGCCAGAGATGAAACCTAAACATTTATAATTAAATCCAGAAAAAATGATTTTTTTATTACCAAGAACACTTGCTCTTTCAGAAGAAGTTGCTGCGTAGACTTTGAAATCTCAGTGTTGTCATCATTTGCATATATACGTTTCTGAAGATTTCTTAACATTTTTTAAGAGTCGCACACAAAACTGACAGTTCCTGCCAGCTCTCGATACGTAACAATTGCATGATCGTCTGGTTCACGGCAGCTTTCTACTGTAATCTCGGGATCTATGTGTATTGAAGAACTGCCAGTGTCCAATCCGCTTACTATCGTCGGAGTAGTGAATGGTTCACGGTCATCAAAAACGTAAGCGATCAGAAAATCATTTTTCTCATCTGAACACTGACGAAATACAGGGCGGCAAACAACCAAGTCGGTGTTCACAATTTCGCAGTCGTTGCTCACCAGGATTCCACAAACCTGAAGTTTCTAAAAGTACTTGTACAAGTTCAAGTAAATAGAATGCTTCGCAAAACTTCATACGAGGTACTCTGGCAATTCGATATTAATCTAATTAGAAAGTTGCTGATCTAAACGCGACCTATTTAACTCGCTACGTAATGTGCGGAATTACGAAACAGAACTGACTCATTCTGTCGGAAAAGGGTTTTTTTCCGCAAAACCCTGATTCAAAACCAGAAAAATCATGGAGTTCGTTTTTCAAAGTGGAACAAAAATGGAAAAAGATGTTTCTTTTTATTTTTTGACAAAATTGAATAACCCCATTTTGGCTTGCGTCAGCAAATAGGGAGTGACAAATGAGTACCTTTACAGCTTGCCTCGCTACTTCTTCTACAAATAATTTACGATTTTTTTTTTGTATGAACTTAACGCAATCATGTCTTCTCAAGAACTGGAAGTTTGAAGGAACGTCGATCTAAAAATGAATGATGAGGGAGACAAGTTTCGCCGAAGTTCAAACCTTCAGCTTCGAGTCTTCTTCATAATGAGAAGGTAAGAAAATTTGAACTTTGTGACCGTCAAGAACGAAATGAATAAGTATCTCAAAAAGAACATCCGTAAAAATTCTCTGAAAAACAGGAATGCTCTTATCACGCACAGCTGCAAGCAGTGCCTTTAAGTCAAGCCCTTACCGGTGAACGTGGATAATTATCTCCAGGCAACGACGAGAAGAATGATAACCCATCTAATCAAATCTGATTTCCACTCAATGCTACTATTGTAGTCTTAGCAACTTACCGACTATAACCGGTCTTAGCATTGTCCCAGGTTGTCTCTGATTGAAGGTGTACAAACATTTCATTTCTTTAGAAATGTAATAATCAATGCGAGCCCATGATAGATCAAAATCATTCATCAGCTTTAGCCGGGTCTTCGAAGATACATGGCACAATCCATTCCTTAATGCCAGACGATATGCGATTTCGAAACTAGTATCGATTTGCATAGAATGCAGAAATCTCATTAATTCTAGATGGTTTTCAGATATTTTCAGTCGTGCGGACTGTTCCCTCACGTGATCCGAAAAGTCCGAAAGCAACGGAGAACACTGTGCTTGCCCTTTCCGTAGTTTTTTGAGAGACCGTGTCATTTCTGATATGTTCCCTTTTTCCCACGGGCGCAGAGTCGACCTGAAAATGTACTGGTGTGTCGATAAATGGCGAAAAAAAAGGCAGATAGAAAGATCGCGGAAAACCTCCCAATTCGATATTAATCTAATTAGAAAGTTACTGATCTAAACGCGACCTAATTAGATTCGACTGTTTTTTCTTGGCGCAATCGAGATTTGAGCCAGCAGACGGTTGGCGTGAAACTTGATTTGAGCACTTATTAATCTAGCTAGAAGATTTATTAATCTAGCTAGACAATTTATTAATCTAATTAGGTGTCATATCAATCTTATTAGGCCGCCGTTAGATTAATAACGAAATTCCCGAGGCGAACGGAACCTCTGGCATTAGTCTACTCGAGTTATACGGCGGCCTAATAAGATTGATATGACACCTACTCAGGTAAATCGTTTGTAATCTAGCTAGCTAATTCGCGTTTCTAACCGGACCTAATTAGATTGCTAATTTACTGCGATTAGATTGCAAATTCTTCTAACTGGACTGATAAATTTTATAATTAGATTGGCGAAGCTAATTAGATTGCAAAAACACTGATATTAGATTCAAAATTTATCTAATTAGATTCAAATTTCGGGCAAACCTAGCTAGATTATGTTTAGATTGCAAAATAATAACTCATTTATTCGCTTCGACCACCAGAAAAAATTTACAGAAGAGAGGGAGATATAAATAGTGGGTGGAGGAGGGAATAATGACTAAAATGACCACTGGCCGACAACAGCCATAGGTGAAGTAGAATGCAATATACAAGAGGGAATCTTTTCTATGCGCGTCGCAAAAGCCTCAGGAGACAGTCTTTCGGGAAAAATTTTGGCCACTCGGTTCCATAAGGCAAGATGGGTATGCAAGAAAGAATCAGCTAGCTAGATTTAGAAATCGGTAGCAATCTAACTAGGTCCGGTTAGAAACGAGAATTAGCTAGTTAGATTAGAAACGATTTGCCTATGTAGATTCCAAAACACTGATATTACATTCAAAATTTATCAAATTAGATTAAAATTTCGGGCAAACCTAGCTAGATTATGTTTAGATTGCAAAATCAGCTAGCTAGATTTAGAAATCGGTAGCAATCTAACTAGGTCCGGTTAGAAACGAGAATTAGCTAGTTAGATTAGAAACGATTTGCCTGAGCGCTTTTGGAAAAACCGGTCGGGGGCGAGGGGGCGCCCCGCTGCCAACTCAGGGAAATCGTTATTAATTGTTGTGTGTTGACGTGAAATAGAAGTCCGAGCTTCCTCAAAGAGTCGTCCCTACGGACACAACATTAATATATAATTCGCGTTTATAACCGGCCCTAATTAGATTGCTAATTTACTGGGATTAGATTGCAAATTCTTCTAAATAAACTGATAAATTTTCTAATTAGATTGACAAAACAAGAGTTGTCTGATTAGATTGACAAAGAACTGATATTAGGTTCACAATTCATCTACTCGGCAAAAGCGCGCCACTTTTGCGCAAACTTTACGCAGCTTTTGCGCAAAGTCAGCGCAACTTCTGCTGGCTAGTTGCGCAAAAGCTGCGTAAAGTCTGCGCAAAAGCTGCCAGTTTTAAAAGTTTGCCCAAATGCTGCTTAAAAATGTTGAACAAATAAAACGCATAAAAACAAGCTGGAAAAAGCAAACAGTACTGAAAATGCAAAGTTTCCATAACAATTTCGACATGCCTTAAAGTTTGCGCAAAAGCTGCGAGGACGCTTAAAGTTTGCGCAAAAGCTGCGAGGACGCTTAAAGTTTGCACAAAAGTGGCGCGCCTTTGCCGAGTAATTAGATTAACGCTTTCGGTCAAAGTGGTAATCTAATTAGATGAATTATGAATTTATATAGATGAATTGTGAATCTAATATAAGTTCTCTGTCAATCTAATCAGACAAATTTTGTTTTGTCAGTCTAATAGGAAAATATAGCTAGAAGAATTTTCAATCTAATCGCAGTATTAAAGGGGCACCGCACAGAAATGGCGCTCTGTTGAGAAACTCTTTTTGCAGTGCAAATTGAGCGACGTCGGGGCCGAGTTTGAAAAGTTAGGCCACGTTTTCAGTGGAAAATTACTTCGCGGCCTAGAAATTCTGCTAGTTTGCGAACAGCGCGCCCTTTCTATCCGGTGCCCCTATAATAAATTAGCAATCTAATTAGGGGCCGTAACTCACTGCCGGCTACTCCACGACACTTAGCTAGAAACTGATTATGTAAATCGTAATTTTCCGCCTTATCTGTATAAAAATCATCGATATCTACATTTCGAACTCCCAACTTGAATGAAAAGGTTGACTCTGAACTTCAGAGTCGGAAGGAAGTTATTCAAAGGGCCTTTGTCAACTATAAATATGCAAGAAAGGCAATTACCCGCTTCCGAGAAGCTGGCCTAACATATGTTCAAAATACTTTTATCTTATTTTGTGGCATCGATGAGTTCAGTTTAAGGAAAAAAAAACACGCACACCGGAGAAAAAATCAGATCGAGTAACTCTGAAACATCCTGCTGGTAATGCGACAGATGTTCGTACGCTTGACAAGATGGCGCAGTATCTTCTGTGCGTTCGTGAATGCATGATTTCTGGAAATGGATCTTTTTTTTAAATATTAATTTGACTCTTCCCGGGAATAATGAACACGTGTACTATCGAACTGTTACTATTATAGGGGCACCGGACAGAAAGGGCGCGCTGTTCGCAAACTGGCCGAATTTCTAGGCCGCGAAGTAATTTTCCACTGAGAATGCGGCCTAACTTTTCAAACTCGGCCCCGAGGTCGCTCAATTTGCACTGCAAAAGGAGTTTCTCAACAGAGCGCCATTTCTGTGCGGTGCCCCTATAATATGTAGAATCAAAAAGCGGCTAACCCCATTTCGCGCGTTAGCTCGATCCAAGCAGCGGGACTAGAGGAATTTTAAAAGTACATAATTTATTGCACATTAACTAAATAGCGATACTGAATCTAAAAAATAAATAATTACCAATTTACGATGCTTTCCATTTGTTGACAAGGTCTTCTCATCTTCTTGGTCCTCGCTTGCTTGTCCTATGTCCAGAGAAAAACATTCATCAGGGCAAGAACCAATACTACTAAAAGTTACCATTATGTCACCATTCACCGTCACCGTTACCATTATGTCCATTATGTCAGCCATAAAATAAAAACTCACACATTGTCATTGTTTTTGCCGGTTTCTGAGTAGCAATTGACCAAAGGGCATTGTGGGTATAACATCTGGACATTTCCAATATTTTAATTTGCAATGACTCCACTAATTTCACGCGTTCAGTAGTAAGCAACAAATGTAGTAAAGTTGGAGAAAACCGGATAAGTAATTTAAAAAAGAAGTCCAATTAAAATTTTCATTAAGACGAAAACAATTCGTTCACAAACTAACAATGATCATTTACGCGGTTCGTCAACACATTCCGAGTTAAAGATCGTCACTGACAGTACTTAATGGGTGTAGATGCCTTTCCATTTGATCCAATACTTTTATGAATTTGTCAATTTTCCCACTTCTAGCACTTAGAGCTATCACGTAATCGAAAACTATGGGAAATCTAGGCCGAATGTGCTCTTCAATAGAATCAATCCACATTGCAGAACAAAGAAGCCTTTCAAATGAGCGGACTGTCTGAAAAATTGGGATGTTTCTAGATGCTATGTGTGCAAACGAATCACCTCGCGTTCATCTTCTCTTAATGTGTCTGTTTTATTGAGCACGCACACGAATGGCTTCTTGGCTAGTTTCGGGTTGAACTGTTCGATTTCTCGATTCAGAATTGCGACAGTTTGAAGCGGGTTTCTGCAGATACCAATCTTAAAAGCTGTCTTTGGCATCGAAACGAACCTGATCGGACAATCTATTTCATTTTTCAACTGGAATCCTTGACAGTCCACAACCATCACAATTATATCAGCATTGTCCAAGTGCTTCAGGAACTTGTAACCTTTACCACGATTTCTCGAAGCTCCTTCAATAATTCCAGGCAGATCCGCAACGGTTAGCGTGAATGTTTTGTTGAACTCGGAATCATGAGAAGGATTACTCCAAAACGCGACTTGGGGATTCGTTGTCGTGAATGGATACTCTCCGATTTTGATAGACTTGTCTGGCACCATAGCCTTCAGCAATGCCGATTTACCAGCGTTTGGGAATCCGAGAAGACCAATATTAGGGCAGAGCTTCAAATGAATTTCGATCTCTAACGATTCACCATGTTCTCCTCTAAAAATTATACGAAATCTGTTCATCACAAATCAAAGGTAATAGCTCGGCATACTTGTACGCTGATCGAGCGCTTCCACCTTCTCCCCCTTTGGCAATGAGATATTGATGGTACGGTTTTGAACACTTGGCGAGCATAGTTTTTTTCGATCGGTGCAAAACTTCACTTCCGAGCGGTACTTCGAAGAAATGAAAATAATTTTTATTAATATAACTCTTCACGGGTTTGTCCCTCTGTCTCTTTGCTTGCATGTTTGTTTATTTCTCTGTTTGTCCGTCCCCACGTTCATTTATAAAACGAAAGTATTTGTGACGGAGAAATTGAAAAATGAACACGTGATCTTCCGAACAGTTATAAGAAAGAACCAAGCGGCGTATATAGACGCTTTCGAGCGTTAGCTCGGCCCGCGCAGCGGGCCCCGGTTTCAAAAGTCTTGTGTTTTATAACATCACGCTTCCACGACCAAATGGTACTACCAAGGCATTTCAAAGTGAATGCGCAATGTAAATTGTGACCTCCAGCCCGGTGCCAATTAAAAACAGAGCGCATTCATAATTGAAATCAGAGATGAGCGGAATTCCGCCTTCCGCCGCTTTTTTCATTCCGCCTCCGCTTTCAGCCTTCCGCCAAAAAATTTTTATTCCGCCTTTAAAAAAAAATCGATTTCGCTCAACTCTGATTGAAATGCCCGATTGTTGGACTTGGATTAGGGGTCATTGGGACCAAGTTTCAACCCGATCGGATCGCCGGGTCCCGAGATATGTGGATCATTGGCCGATTGTTTTCAAAAAACCCGCCATATGATCTACATATCTCGGGACCCGAGGATCCGATCGGGCTGAAACTTGGTCCAGTATGCTTCAACCCATGTCCAACAAGACTGCAAGGTTTGGGTCCGATCGGAATATTGCAAGTGGTTCAAAGGTCCAGGTCAAGGACCGGCCAACGAAAAGCCCGGGTCGGCCAATTGCCCAGCCCTGCTATAGCTCATTTTTCTGATTGTCTTTATTTTTTCGTACTGTATTTTTTCCGCTACTTCCATTCAACACGCTTTTTCTTGCAGCATTTCCATTTTCTGCATGTATCTGAAACTTTCATTGTCTCGATAATAACCATGCACTTACTCTCATCCTATTGTTCAGCTGTTTCCTGATGTCGCTGAACGCCAAGAAAGGCTTAGGGACAAAATACACATTCCCCCCTCTTCCTCCAATTCCATCGTACCTGAAAGACGTTTTTTTGTGTGTTCAATTAGAATACTTTTTTACCTACTGATACCAGCACCACCGCAACCTCCTTTGACGTTTATCAGATACTTGTCTTCAGAAACAATTCCCAATTCGTTACTGATGATTTTTTGCACTTGAGATACTTTATTTCGAACTAAACTGTTTATTCGCATTGTTTTCCTAAATTTTTGCTAACGCAGAATTTCGATATGCGCCGAAGATATTTCTAGTCCCCCGGTCGCAATTCCTTCGTTACCTCTTTAGTCCGCGCGCTCTCACCAAACCAAGCTTCCAGTCTTATAGTGTTGAAAGTGTTCTTAAACAATTAATTGAATATTCGTTTTTTTTTAACTTTGTAATCATCATCATCATTCGTATTTTTAAAAAAGCTTACGGGGTCTGTCCGTAACTTTCTTTTTTTCTTTCTTTCTTTGTCCCGAAACTTTTTCATTTCAAAACGAAAAAGTTGTAACGGAGAAATTGAGAACATGGATGTTGATCTCAACGATTTCGGGCAGCAAGTGAAACCAATAGATGGCGTCAATCTAGGCTTCACGGTATTTTTTACGAGCTAACAAACTATTAATTTATGTTTTCAAGAGGGAGCTTATCGATAAAATCCGCGACAAGAAGGATACAAATCCAGCAATGTTCGTTTCTGCTTGGCAAGATGATGTTGAGGGAATTGCCGAGAAAAAACCAGAAGATTCAATTGAAAAGTGAGTACCTTTGCACATCTCGGCAAAGGCGCGCCACTTTTGCGCAAACTTTAAGGATCCTCACAGATTTTGCGCAAACTTTAAGGATTTTCGCAGCTTTTGCGCAAACTCTAAGCGTCCTCGCAGCTTTTGCGCAAACTTTAAGCGTCCTCGCAGCTTTTGCGCAAACTTTAAGGCATGTCGAAATTGTTATGGAAACTTTGCATTTTCAGTACTGTTCGCTTTTTCCAGCTTGTTTTTATGCGTTTTATTTGTTTTTTGTTGCTTATCAAATTGAAACTACTTATCTTTTTCCGTATTTCCTCGGTTTGAGCGCATTTCAAGCAAAATTTCAGTCGGATTTCGTTTAGAAGCGAGTGTTATTGAAAATTTGTATGAAATCACTTGAATTCGAGCTACTTCACAATTATTTAAGATGTTTGAACGATTCACATGCTCGTACTTTCGTACTATATCACATTCTTTTCTGGTTTAGATAGAACATGAACCACTGTGAAGAGAAAAATGGATCCGGACGAAACTATCGACTTCAGTCAAAAAGTGTCCAAGTCATTTGTCTCGAAAGGAGACTCGGTGAGTTCCGTTCGAATTCAGACTGTTATATGATTACGTGAGATATGATTCAGAAGAGAAGTGGAACCAGAGTTGAGCGGAATCGATTTTTTGAAAAGGCGGAATTCAATTTTTTTTTGGCGGAAGGCGAAAAGACGCGGCATAGACACGGCCGTTACTCCTCCGATTCATGAATCAAAAGAGTGTTTCAGTGAGTTAACAGAGAATTTTATAACTCGTAGATGAGAATTTCAGATTTTGAGGATGGTGTCTCCTACATCGCCTGCATTTTCACTTATAACAACGTGTCTTTTTTCAGTTATGAAAGTGACGAAAACTATACAATCACTGATCTCTAAATGGTACTTGTTTCTGGTTTTTATACTATCTCAATAAAATTGTTTTTTTTTCATGCAGAAATGAAGTGGAAATAAACAGAACATTTTTAAGCTGCATTTGGGCAAACTTTGAAAACTGACAGCTTTTGCGCAGACTTTACGCAGCTTTTGCGCAACTAGCCAGCTGAAGCTGCGCTATTATAGGGGCACCGCACAGAAATGGCGCTCTGTTGAGAAACTCCGTTTGCAGTGCAAATTGAGCGACCTCGGGGCCGAGTTTGAAAGTTAGGCCACATTTCTCAGGGAACTCGATCGCAATCTAATTGGAAAACTTTGCAATCTAATACGAACTCGTTTGAAATAGAATTTGCTTCAGTTAGATTGCAAAATCTTCTAATTAGATTACAATCACTGCAATTTTTCTAATTAGATTGCAATGTTTTCTAATTATATTGCAATTTTTTCTTATTAGATTGCAATTCAGGAAAAATATATTGTAATCTAATACGATTTTACTGGAACTTCAATTAAATCTAATTAGATTACGAAATAGAGTTTTTTCATATTAGATTGCAAACTCTTCTAATTAGATTGCAATCGAGTTTCCAGAGTTTTCAGTGGAAAATAACTTCGCGGCCTAGAAATTCGGCCAGATTGCGAACAGCGCGCCCTTTCTGTCCGGTGCCCCTATAATAACTTTGCGCAAAAGTGGCGCGCCTTTGCCGAGATATCAGATTATAATTTCTCTTCAGATGGCTTACTGCCTCCGAAGAAGGCGATTTAAAACTGGTTCAGTCCTTGTTTGAAGAAACACCTACTCTTCTAAATGTAAGCAATTTCTCGAGTTACGGGACCGTATAAATTATCCAGGCTCAAGACGCCGATGGGTATACTGCTTTACACCGTGCTGCATATAATAACAACAAACAAGTTGTTGAATATCTTCTGAGTTCTGGAGCCAAAGTGGACTCGCGAACAAACGAAGGATGGACTCCTCTGCATTCTGCAAGTAACTGGGCGAATTTCGAGATAGTAGGCATCTTACTTTCACACGAAGCCAACGTGAACGCCCTCTCAAAAGGAAATTTAACGGTGAACCACAAGTTATCTTTTTGACAATTTTTTCTGTTCCAGGCGTTACACCTGGCAGTGAGCAGTCGCGGTGAAGACCCAGATGACGTTTATTTCACAGTCCGGTATCTTCTTCAGGCCCCAGGTAAACAAGTTGCTATCGTTGCTGTTCCCGGTGGAATTGGGTGAAACCGACCCTCCCTGCTCTGAAGCAATCCATAATTTATATATCTTTCAGGGATTGACGCTGGAGTAGTTGCAGGCAACGGCGACACAGTTCTTATGATAGCTAGGCGCTCGTCAGAACGTCTGTTCAATGCAATCCGGGATTTTTTAGATCGACCTTAACTGATTTCAGTAGATTACATTTTTGTGCGTATAAAAACAACAAATGCTGGTTCTTTCGTCCATATAATAATAAAATCATTTTTATTTAAAAGGCTTCATCGGGGCTGAGCAAAAATGCGGCCCAGGCTTTTTGAAGGCTGCATTTTTTAGCCTGAAAACTTTTCATAAGACGTAAGTAGGGAAAGTTCACTATTTAGTGCATTTGTCTTGCTGGATTTGGGGGGAAATTGTCCGGTCGCCACGGTCCATTTGTCCGACGTTTATTTAACTTTTCTACCACGTGGAAATCGTTGTTGGTCGATTCCCTGTCCCTGTCTGCTGTGACATCTGTTTACCGATGACATCGTCTTGAAATGAGACGACGGTGGTTCGGACGAGGATTCGACTCAAAAACGATGACTACTTTTTTTTAAAGTAAGAACAAGACCTTTGAAAAAATAGCAAACGGAGAAAGAATGAAAGAAACTCTGGGAACTCGATTGCAATCTAATTAGAAGCGGTTGCAATCTAATAAGATTTTACTGAAACTTCAATCAAATCTTATTAGATTGCGAATGGAGCCTTTTCTAATTAGATTGCAATCGGGTTCCAAGTTACGGACAGACCCCGTAAGCTTTTTATAAAATAAGAATGATAATTATAAATCTTTCTTATGGGGCTATTCAGCGTATGTTTGTTTTCCGTTTTTTTACATCGCTGAATTGGATTTTTTGACGTAAAAAAAAGAAAAAAACGGAAAACAATCATTTTTTTCACAGTCTGAATAGCCCCATTAGACAAATTAATTCGAATCTAATTAGAAAATATTAGAAACAGCACGTCTAATTATCAAATTTTTGAATCTAATTAAGTAGACCAATTGCGAATCAAATTAGCTTTTGCGAATCTAAAGAGGTTGCGTTAGAAACTAATTTCACTACGATTAGATTCGAAAATGTTCTAATTAGATTCGAATTGATTTGTCTGATCTCGAGTCGCGGATTTGCAAGAAGACATGTATTTTTGTTAGTTTGTTTATTTCGTTAGTCAAAACAATTATTCATTCTCAACAGGTGGGTCCTTCCCAAAAAGATCTCGAAAATGGTTCACGGAAAACAACAACAATAATTGTGATGACAAAGAACGTAGAGTATAGAAAAAGACAGCCATAACGAATTAACTGTTCGATTTTGTGCTCAACGACGTTGTACAGAACGAAATACCCGAAGAATAGACCAGTAATCGCTCCAGCTATATGTGCAATGTGGGATACTGAATCACACTGATCCGCATAGAATCGACGGTAAATTGCTCCGCCGAAATCAAACAGAATAAATACTGATAAGACTAGCACACGAATCCACCGGAAAGGCATTTCGTGCCAGTTCTGAAGTTAAGTAGTTTTATTTGAAGCGGATACGGTATTATAGGGGCACCGCACAGAAATGGCGCTCTGTTGAGAAACTCCGTTTGCAGTGCAAATTGAGCGACATCGGGGCCGAGTTTGAAAGTTAGGCCACATTTTCAATGGAAAATTACACCGCGGCCTAGAAATTCGGCCAGATTGCGAACAGCGCGCCCTTTCTGTCCGGTGCCCCTATAATAAATTGAGGGCAAAGGTTTGTTTTTCAAACCCGAGAAGAGTTTTATTAAATACTATCGAAGCATTTCAATGTCACGGCGTTTTCTCTACGGGACTAGAAAACTCTGTCCATGTCCTCGCCCCGCCCATCGACTATTTTTTCTAGTCTCCAGATCCGGCCGGATATTTTCACAAAACTAAGAAGTGAAATTGAAAATCCGTTTCTCATGTACACTTTGAAATTCAATACGAATGAATTAAAAAATTTTGTACCGTACCAGAATAACGTTGGCGACATGTGCAAAGATAAGGGCGTAAACTCCAGCGGATGCTCCAACGAGAAGTGAGTTTGGGTCAACAGCATACTGCAATAAAGAGCCAGCGGTAACGGCTAAAAGATAAATCGGTCCAATTCGCCATATTTTGTGAGCTACTTCCAACGGTATTCCTACTAATAGCTGTATGATGACGTTGCCAAGCAAATGGTTCAGGCTGTAAATTAGTACTCTTAATTTACCGAAGAGTTTTTGCGTACTCAAGCCGAATTTCAGAAATTGTGGCTTGAGTAAAAATTCAAACTTTCCTAACCTTGAGTAACTCAAACCTTTTTCCCCTCAAACCTTTTTCAAAAGCAAAAAAAACTTTTCCAATAAATTCTCAAACATTTGTAAGAATTTTTAAATTGTTTTTGAGGGGCTGATTTTTGCTTCTCATGCTATTTACGTATTCTTAGATATGTGTGGGATGGAAATGTTAGATCATCTTTATTGACCGCTTTGTGAAAAAAGTGCGAGAAGTCAATAAAGCACGGTCAATAAAGATGATCCACGGTCTCCAGAGCTGACAATATGGGCGTGGCCTCGGCCAAATGGCGTTTTCATGAATTGAGCAAGTTTTCTCTGATTTTTGTGGTCAAAGGCGATGAAAAATGGTTGGCCGACATGAAAATACACTAATTCTCAGAATTAAAGACGTTTTGGCGCATTTTTCGCGGACTTTGCTTTTTCGCCTTCGCCACCGATCGCCGCTTAAAAACCGCACTTCTCATTTTGCGCTTTCTTGGCCGTTTTCAGACAGAATTGATTTTGAGAATGATGAATCACGTAAATACAAGCATTTTGAGCGCTCGAACAGCGAAAATTACCGTAAAGCAACTGAAATTCACGCAGTTTTAGCCAAAAACCTTCAAAAGGATAAATGTGATTTGCGACTTGACCAAATGTAACGCTCTTGCGCTTAAGAAATTCGTAATAGCCTATACAATTGGTCTATCGAGAGACAAATGAGAAATTATCGGTTTTTCGTGGCTAATCTGGCAAAAAACACAAATTTTGCTGTTAAAATTTGAATTTCGCGCCAATGTATCGCTCTATTGGGCGGGGCGCACTTGCGCCCATTGTCAGCTCTCGAGACCGTGTGATCCAACATCTCCTTCCCACACAATGTTTTAATTGGAAAAGGTTCGGCCCGCGAAGCGGGCCCAGTGTTTAAATTTCTTGTAAACAAGCTAGGGTTGCAGAACAAGCTCCTGTTCAGCTAAATCTCCACATTAAAATTGCAAAACAGGCATAGGTGCTTTGAGTTGAGCGCCGGCAGTTCGGGACAGGCGAGTTCACTCCGACTGCCAGGTCGGAAAAATGTTTTGGCGTTTCTCAGACATCCCGCACCTATGAAAAAAGTCTAAAACATGAGCCTGTTCTGCAACCCTAAAACAAACAAACAATCCTGGTGAAAGTTATATTAATAAGCAATGATGGTGATATTGGAGGGTGACCCATTATTTGCTGACAAGCCTGCCACCCCCCTCCCCCTCCCCCGCCGAGTTTCAGGCTTGGCTAGCAATGCCCGTAGCAAGATTGTTTTGTAGTATCTGTATACAGACTCACCCAGCGTGCAGGAACATGTACGTAGTGAATCTCCATGCTTCTTCTCTAAGTTTTGGAGCGAATATTAACGGTCCAGGGTGTGTGTGATTCTTATAAACAAAACACCCGGCACAGTCTATCCAAATACTTTTTCTACCTTCTACCTTCCAATACGTGACAAAAACGGCAATCTGGCAGAATAAAATTAATTAAACAAGGAATTTTGTCGAAACTGACCTGTGCTAGGGTGATTAGAAGTATAAAAACTGGTGGTGGACACCAAGAGTATGAATCAATGTAGGAATGAATTTCGATTTTTTGGCTCGTACTGATAACCGGATCAGCTACATCATACATTAACCGTTTAAATGTGGAAGTTTGTGATGATTTAGATGTAATCTAGAAGAAATCACGTTTCTCAGTCAGCAATATTCACTTGTGGTGAGAACTCACTATTTTTTGAAATTCTTCTAAATCGACCAGAATATCAGGCGCCTGCTTGATTGCGTTAATTTGACCTTTCGAAAGCGGAACTTTGCGAGTATCTATTCGGTTAGCAAGTGTAGACATAGGAATTTCTGTTTCATCTCCTATTCGAAGCTGATTAAATTGATGACGGTATGCCTTCCGGTATTTCCCTTCGCTACTGAACATTCCTACTGGAAAAGGAAAACACTATTACAGTATAATCTATTATAGGGGCACCGCACAGAAATGGCGCTCTGTTGAGAAACTCTTTTTGCAGTGCAAATTGAGCGACCTCGGGGCCGAGTTTGAAAAGTTAGGCCACGTTTTCAGTGGAAAACTACATCGTGGCCTAGAAATTCGGCCAGATTGCGAACAGCGCGCCCTTTCTGTCCGGTGCCCCTATAATAGTGGGTTTAGGTTAACGTTTCTCACATCGCCGAAAAAATGGATTTCTTGCATCTTATCGACCTATTCACTCAGCTAAAAACCGGTAGACAACCGTTTTTTACTGGTAAAAACCGGTTTTCACTCAAGTGAATAGGTTCATTTAAAAAATTAATTAAATAACCCCATCCTGTAGATCCCCGATGAAACTGATTACAAAATGTCGATAATATTGAGAGAACTACTCAAAATACTCATGAAAGTATATATATATATATGTATACATATGTATACTATTCAAAATTGCTGCCGTACGGTGTTTGCGTACTGTTTCACGAACAATTAACAGAGGACGCTCCTCAGCGTTCGATCGCTCGAGGTGTTAAGCTGGCAGATTTAAAAAAAATGTAAACAAGACTTTTTGGAAACCGTGCTCGCTGCGCGGGCCAAGCTGATGCTCGGAAGCGGCTACTCTCCGGAAAAAAGGCGCAAATTCGGCTCTATTTAGAAACCGAAACGGCGCCGGCGGCGTAGCTCGGCGTCAATTCGGCTCAACTTCGGCACTAGCGCCGATTTTTGAGCCGAATTGGCGCCTTTTTTTCCTGAGCTCTGTTTGTTCATCAGAACCGTTCAAAAGTTCACGTTTTCATTTCCTCATTTCTCCGTATCAACTTTTTTCGTTTTAAAAATTAAAAAACGGCCGGAAAAACGGAGAAAAAAAGATAGAAAGAAAGAAAGTTACGGACAGACCTCACTAGCTTTTTATTAAATTGGAATGATGATACCACTTCAAGTTAAACAAGCCGAGACTCTGAAAAATAGTACCAACGTTGAGTGAGATTTTTTCTAACGTAAACAAGTGACTCATTTTTATTCTGTCTCCGCTTACATGCCGATAAGGAAACTATATAGTCTACAGCTCTGGTTAAAAAAAAAACTTTCCTCAGCCATTTTCAAACTTTTTTAAACTTTTCGAGGCGCCACTTTAGAAATTCTAAGGAAAGTTTGAGAAAGGCTTGAAAAAGTTTAAGAAAGGCTTGAAAAAGATTAAGAAAGGCTTGAAAAAGTTTAAGAATTTCTTAGAAAAGCTTTTTGTCTTGAGCTCTGGAAACTCGATTGCAATCTAATTAGAAGAGTTTGCGATCTAATAAGAAAAAGCTATATTTCGCAATCTAATCAGATTTAATTGAAGTTCCAGTAAAATCGTATTAGATTACAATATATTTTTCCTGAATTGCAATCTAATAAGAAAAAATTGCAATCTAATTAGAAAACATTGCAATCTAATTAGAAAAATTTCAGTGATTGCAATCTAATTAGAAGATTTTGCAATCTAATTGAAGCAAATTCTATTTCAAACGAGTTCGTATTAGATTGCAAAGTGTTCTAATTAGATTGCGATCGAGTTCCCAGAGAGAAAGTTTAGAAACGTTTGAAAATGGCTGAGGAAAGTTTTCAATTTTACCAGAGAGGCATACCGTAAATATTGCCCTTTTCTTCGCAGTAATTTTTCTCACATCAAAGCAGTGTGGGATTTCGGAAGAATGAAATTCGAAAGAAGGCTGATGACGAACGCCAATGGCAATGAGAACCTCGGTGTTCACAGTTCATTTTTGATGCAGACGCATTTTTGAAAAATAATTTATGCCGCGTCCAATGTCTCGGAAAAACCGTAAAAACCGCAGGTTTTTCTGCCCTGAAATTATGTGCTAGTTGTGCCCTAAAAGTGTTGTACCCTAAAATTATTGTACCCTAAAATACTTGACAGAAATTATTCCCTAAAATCAAAATTGTTGTACCCTCGGAATTAAATGCCCTCAATTAGTGCTAAAGTTGCGAAAGGTAACTCTCAATTCACCGCTTTTGCCCCCTCGGTGCTTGCGTACTCAAGCCTAATTTCAGAAATGTTGGCTTGAGTCTACAAAAACAACAACAACAGCACATCCGTTTCTAAAGTTTAAAAAATCTCTCCGATTTTGCCGTCCTAAGTTTGCAGCGGTTCATAGCTGAACGACTGTTACCATACATTAGGCTGGTCGAACAGGCGCCTGTTTTTTCAACGCGCCGCTGCGTCCCTGCGTTGAGAAAACAGGCGCCTGAAATCGCCTGTTCGACCAGTCTACCGTACATTTTTAAAGCACGATATTTTTTGAATATACCGAAGAAATTTAGTGCGACCTCGAAACATAACTTCTCGTTGACTCAAGCTGTTTCGAAATAAAACTGTTTCGTAAACTCATCGCGATGAGTTTACGGAAATATGAAAATAGCCTGGGTAAAGCCAATTTACTTCAAGCATACAACATGGCTAAACATGGTACAAAATAAAATTTAAAAACATGATTTTTTTTGAAAATATACATTTGCTTTTTCATTGTCATTAATTTTACAATATTGTTCAAATTACTGCTTTATCGTCAATTTGTGCAACTATAGTGTGCCTCCGCAAACTGTTTCATTCTTCTCACGTGCTCGATAAAATAGCTAACCATTCCTTGATGAACAAGCCGACGCGGTAATCCGCCTGAATGAACTTAGACTTTCACGAGGCAAAAATTTTTTGGCTGAATACTACCTTTTAGATCCGTTTTCATAAGCCATTCAAAACATGTTACTCCATCTTCTGTTCTCCTTGTTCGTATCATAGAAGGAAAATTGTGTCCTCGCACTACCTTGGAACTTTCGTTACTTGAACAAAGATTTGATTCCACAGAGACGAAATAGCCGGTGTGAACATTATTCGCAGAGTCCAATTGTATCCGTCGAAGATCCAGAAAATCTCGTGAAGAAATGTAGCCGCGCATGGCGGGCGCGCTTACAGAGTAGAATAAATCTGTCGCATTATCCAAATGCGCTATCATTCTGCCCTCGATGACTTGAGTATTCCATTTTAGCATGTCTTTCCATGCAATGTTGAAAAGAACCAAGGCTGGAAATTGATCGAACTTTGCTTGCACTAAGAAATAGTTATCAGGTCCTTGAAGCACAGTAGGACCATCCGAACGAAGAGTCTTCCAACCACCAAGGCGGTAATCTCGTATTAATTCTTCCACCTGATCGTAGCATTGACGAATGGTAATTTCAAACAACCGTCGCGTATCTGGAGGTAACAGAAGACGGGAACGAGCTTCTTCGTCTGAAAATGTTAACACAATTCTCTAAAATCAAAACCCAACAATCACGGATGCCAAAAGAGCGTAAGGGAACTAACCAGAACTGTCCCGAATCAGAAACAACACGACTTTTCTTAACAAAAACCACCTGCTGGTTCGGGACAGTTCTGCTCGGGGGCAGTCTCGGGTAGCCTCGAGCGGAAACGAACATTTGCGCACGCACCTTGAAGTTTCAAATTTTGAGCGCTCACTCGCTCCCACTGTGTATGCAGACCAAAGAAAAAATTCTAAATTATGCTCGCGTACACACCGAAAGGGAAATAGTAATATTTGGACAGTAAGGTGGGTTACCAGAAGAAAATTCGGGGGCACTTCGAAATTCATCGTAATCGGAGGCTATAAAAACTGCAGCAGACATTCTCGAAGGTGCTAAAGTGTCAGGCTCTGATAGTTGTCCCGAGTATGGCTGTCGACGCAGGCGACGGTGTCGGTGTCTGATTAAATAAGTACAATTTAGGAAAATCACAATAAGTTTAATTTTTAAAAATTACTCTGACTGAATCTCATCGTCTGTCGAAAAGTGGGCATTTTCAAAACTTTCCAAATTTCTTCGAGATTCTATAAAACGTAGGGTCATAAAGTAGGTAGAAAATATCGAAAAAACCTCGAACACGACTCCGCTCTCTTGGCAATATTTGGAATGGCATAAGATAAAATTCAGCCCAACAAAGTGTGAAGGTAACAATTATGAGGAGATATGGGGCGATTGCGCTTGATGAATGATTGAAAAACAACAGGACCTATAAATCGATCCTTTAGCTCTGAAACGTAAGGGTAACTGAAATTGTAATCTTCCCTGAGAATACCAGTTTGTTGGAAAAGTGAACGGGTGCACCTAATTTCAAATTTGCTCATTTAAAAAAAGCTAACGGAGTCTCCATTTCTTTCTTAATTTGTCCGTTTGATTCTCAAAACCATTCGAAAGTTTACGTGTTCATTTCTTAACTTCCCGTCTTTCAAAATAAAAGTGGGGGACAAACATAATCAGCCGTGACAAGTTTGAATGAGAATGACAATAAGAGCGATTATAACTTACTTTTGTCAGAATATATGTACTAGATATGAATGTGATAAATGCAACCGTATGCCACGTCTGCCCGAGAAAAACTCCATAATAACTGCTCAGTACCATCACCCGAGTCATTGCAAGAATAACAACGTCAAATAATGACACCTGTTGAAACAGAAGTATCTAACTGATGTGTAAATTTTTCGATTTCTTGTATGCCTAGTTGCCTACCTTAATAAACTGGGGATTCAAGATATCGAATTCGTTGAAAAATACTTTCTTCCAATCATCGTCACGCGTCACAGTGCACAATAGCCAAAGAAGAATAGTGACAGAGGCGTCGAAAAATGTTACTACAATAAATCTGAAAGCCGATTTTAAAATATTTTCGAGCTTACTTTTTTAAACCTTCTTCTCTCTTTGCTTAGCACACCATGTGTTGATGGCGTAGCAGGAAAAAGAGATTGTCGTCCGCTCATTGTGTTATTTCGTGCATCATAGCTGAAAACAAGGCTTAAAAATGCATTCTGCTGGTATAATTGTAATAGCTGATACAAGTAAAGAAAGTTCATAGTTGGAAAACGAAATTTGCTGGATTTACGAAACAGACTCTGGGGCGAACCCCCTATTACCCTATTAGTGGCATATTATGACTTCTATTGCGCAATTCGAAAAAGAAAGACATCTCCGCGCCGCACTTCTGCATTTTTGCGGAAGACCACGCCCATTGTTTTCACGTGCTTTCACCCGCCCACTTGGCATGCGGCCAGCAGCAATCGGTGAAAGTGCAGCTGGCAAGAGGCCAACTAGGCGATTTGGCTGCGTAGCGGCTGCTAAAGTGTGTGTCATGTGCGCGTAAAGATACGGAGTGTGGTAGTGACTAACTTATTTTTTCTTTTTCACTCTCCGCAGCATGCACACTCTCTCTGTTTTCGCAGGTTCTTCTTGCAAAAATGATCCATAATTGTTCTTTCTAGCATGAAGATATAATACTTAAAATAGTATCTCTGTTTGAGCAAAATTTGAATAACCAAAGATAGGATAAAAAATAATTAATGTTAATAACAAGTCTGATCGTGTTGATAATTTTGAAGTATACATCTCATAAAGTCGCTACGTAAATACCGAAACCGAACATTTCTCTGTAAACCCCGTCGTTTGTAATTTTTAATTATGTAGATTTTTTAATTTTAGCGTCACTGTATTTCTCGCGTCTGGTCAGGCTTGAGCTGATCGATCTCGCTCGATATTGAGTACAATTGTCAAAAGTTATGAAGAAGGTGACGGCAGAGCGACCAGGTTCAGCGGTCAATGGACGACACGATTCGTCAACAAACAACACTCGAAACAGCTCAACAGCAAGTCTGAACGGACACGATCCAATAAGGTAATAAAAATAACCTGATGGTCTGGAAGTAAATTTAACACAAAGTGCTTATTGAAAACAAGACTTGGAACCCGGGCCTGCTGCGCGGGCCGAGCTGACGCTCGAAAGCGGTTACGCCGCTTGCTTATTTCTTACAACCGTTTGGAAGTTCACGTATTCATTTATCAGATTTCTCCGTCACAATTTTTTGTTTTAGAAATGAACGTGGGGACGGACAAACAGAGAAATAAACAAGCAGAGGGACAAACCCCCCAAGGCTTACATTAATAAGAACAAGACTTTTGAAACCGGGGCTCGCTGCGCGGGCTTCGCCGCTTGTCTTTCTTCTCCGCTAAACCATTCTATAGTTCACGTATTCATTTCTTCGTTTATCCGTCACAACTTTTTCCGTTTTATAAATAAATAAATGGCCGGACAAACGGAGAAAGAAAGAAAGAAAGTTACGACCCTTTTAGCTTTTTATTAATGCCGCGTCCAAAGTTAAAAAACAACCCGGAAATCACGCGGATTTCGTTGGGATTTCCTTGAACTTTGGACGCGGTAAAAATAAGAATGATGATGATAATGATGATTCTTATTAATATACCTCTTGGGAGGGTATGTCTGTTTGTTTATTTCCTTGACTGTCCGTCCCCACTTTCATCTCTAAAACGAAAAAGTTGCGACGGAAAAATTAAGAAATTAACACGTGCACTTTCGAACGGGTATAAGTTGCACAATGACTTTCTCAAAAATTCAACACCAACATTTTCAGATCTACTGCTTCTTCCCCATTATTCGGCATAGACCCGCTTCCGGATGACGATCACGCACAATGTCCTTACTGCCAGCAAGATTTCCGCAAGCCCCGTGTTCTCGATTGCCTACACTCTATGTGTGAAGACTGCATCATAGCTCAACTCGACGGTCACCTTCAAGCGAAGTCTTCTGTGTTAGAAGAAAAGAAGAGATCCGCTATGTTAGAATGCGAGTTAGAAGCACCGAAAGTCAAAGAACGCCCAACACCTCCAGGTGTTATTCGATGTCCGATTTGCGCGCAAGAGTCGCATGTGGGGAATGATGTCCGCTATGTACATGCTATGCTTCTTGATTATGTAGGCATATTTCATTTCTAACTCAACCTTCGTTGGTTTACTTTAGGTTCGGCTCGCGACAATGCAAGAAATGGAAGTAGAAAAGATGGTGGCGCATCACACGAAGTCTTGTACTGCCTGCAAGTCTGAGCAGGAAGCTATCGCCTTCTGCGATCAATGCTCCTCCGACCTTTGCGAAAATTGTACGACTGCTCACACTGTTATGAATCTATTTGACGGTCATATGGTTACCACATTCGCCGACCTCCGGTCTCGCGGAGCACAGCCCGAGTTGCGGCAGGTGGTGTGCACTACTCACAACCAGCATATGCGATTTTTATGCGCAGCCTGTGAAACAGCGGCATGCAAGCAGTGTCTCGAAGTTGATCATCTCAATCATAAAATAATTGACATTAATGAACTCGTGATTAATGCTATTAGAGAGGATGTCACCAACACCGTCGAGCGAGTTGAAAAAAAGTACAACAATTCCTTGGTAGAGATGAATAGCCTTCCCGATAAGTGCCTACAAGTAAACGAACAGTATGATGTCGCAAAATATCGTGTTGAGAAGCATTATGACGAATTGCGAAATGCACTGGAGGTCCGTTTATCCGTAAACTAGAGAGAATTAATGTAATTTATTCAACTTTTATTCATTTGTTTTCAGGAAAATCGTCAGAAAGTTCTAAGTGAGCTGGAAGAAGCTCGACTTCGACAGGAAAATAATGTGGACGACATGTATCGTAAAGCTCAGGTCAACGAAGCTCGTGTACATGACGCCATCAATTTCACTCGCCGCCTTCTAGTTAAAGCAAACGGTCTTGAGCTAGTAGTCTCACGGAAAAAAGTTATTCAGCAGCTTGGAAATCTTTCACATGCTATACCAAACCATGGTCATCAAGTCGAGTTAGAGTTTTTGACTCCTTCAAAAAAACAAATCGAGCATTTTGTTCATCAATTGACTGGAACGGTCATTGGACGGGTTATTCAACCGACCGTCAAAGACGTTAACACATTGAATAATATGGTAGAGCCAAGTGGAGGAGCAGTTCATTCACAAAGTGGACGAGCTAGTTCAGCTGCGGCATATCAAGATGGTAAGTTTTTATCACTTTTTTAAACTTTTTGTTGAACATTTTTATTGAATCATTTCTTTTTATAGACTGGAGTAAACTTGGATATAATCAGAATTCCCAGCTTGGCGCTATCGGAGGAGAACGAAAAAAGAACGGTCAGAACGGCGTAAATGGTTCGCGAAGTGAGATTTTCGGAGGATGGCCTCCAAGCAGTCATCCGCCAGAGTCAACTACGCCTCCACCCGGTACTCAGCCTCTTCTGGCTACGGCTCCCCCGGCTGTCTCTCAGCAGCAATTGACCGCTCTTCCAAACGCTGCCCTGGCTGCCGCTGCGGCAGGAATGCGCCCCGATCTTGTGGCTCTTGCCAATCATTTGGATTTAAACACATTGACAAACGGAGGAGCTCCAGGAGCTTCAGCCACAGGTCTATCAGACCCTAACTCACTTTTCCCATTCTGGACGCGACACGGACTTTCGAACGTTCCAACTCCGACCACGACGGGTCTGTCATCAAGCGCATCTGCTGCCTATATACAACACAAACTCGCGGCAGCCCAGCTTCAAGCAGCCGCAGGTCTTCAGATCAGTCAGAGACTCAACCCGCAACTTCTTCCAATGGTAACTCTGTCTTCAATATTCGAAATATTTTTTCACATTCGCGTGATTCCTCGTTGCAGAATACGCTCCGGAATAGCTCCCTTGAACAATTACTTGCAATGAATGCAATGGGATCAATGAACCTGAATAATCAACTTTCATCAGCTGCTGCTGCCGTAGCTGCTGCTGCTTCTAACACCAACAACAGTTCGACCACGACTACTGCTGCTTCTGAAAATCAATCAGTATCGGGAAATGGTTCAATGTCTCAAAGAGTCAGTGATCTAAAGGTTCATAGTGTTTTTGGAACATCGCAACAAGGAAGCACGATAAGAGAGTTACACTGTCCTTCTGGATTTTGTCTTTCGGACACCGACGATATTCTGATTGCCGACACGAATAATCACCGAGTTGTCGTTTGCGGACCACCCCATCCATGGAAAATCGGACGACCCGGAACAGACGATGGACAGCTTTGTTTCCCTAGGAAGGTCATAGCGTTGAAAGGCGACGCTGTTCGTTACGTCGTCCTCGACAAAGGCGGGGATGGTAAAACACGCGCTCAAATTTTTGAGGCCCGTGGAGAGTTTGTAAAACGCCTCAACATGGTGTCTCTGGTTCCGCGTGGTGGAATAGAGGTGTCAGCGGCTGCCGCAACTCCGAATGGGCAGCTTCTGCTAGTCGACACTGCTGGCTTCGTTTATTCGATTGATGTTGATGCGCCGCGAGTGACTTTCTGGTTTGATGCTTCTGCTCAACTTGGAGAGGCGAGCGATGTGGCAATGTTTGAAAATCTGATTTACGTTACCGATTTCAAGCATCACTGTGTCCAAGTATACACATCAGAAGGTAATCATAAATGTATTATTGTTGCATAAAAGTATTATTGTCACAGGAAAGTTTATCCGTAAAATGGGTGAACCTTCTCAGACACCGTATCCAATCGGAATCGATGTTTCAAAGGCTGGAGAAGTTCTTGTTGCGGACACTCATGGAAACCATTTACACGTGGTTGTCTTCAGTCCAGAAGGACAACATATACATTCTTTCACACATAATGAATTCCGAGTAAGTAATTCTGCCGTACAATACAGATGAGTTTTTTTTGTGTGTCTCACGGAGATTTCTAGTTCATGCTCGGTAAAAGTCCGCAACTTCCGCGCAAACCTTACGCAACTTCTATTCTGAAGTTGGGTAGAAGTTGCGCAAATGCTGTGCAAAATATCGAGAAAAAAGGAAGGTTAGCGCCAAAAGTTGTCACAGACTTTTACATGACATCGCTGAATAACCCCAAGACTTTCTTTTTTCAAGACAAATACTTTTTTTGCGAAGTAAAATGAAAATGAAGTTGCAAATGAACGGCAAAGTTCAGTAATACTAGATATGTCCAGTAAATTCTCCGGCCCTGTAGGCACCAACTTAGTCCGAAATTAAAAAAATCACGAAAATTTGCTGAAAAGTGAGCGAACAGATTGATCGCTTCCCGCGCGGCATTGACCGCTTCTGGCCGGCAAAATCTTCGGCGCGGCCCCGAGTTTTCAAAAAAAAAAACTTTTTTACAGCTATCAAGGTGTGTCGGCCTCCGAATCGCCAAAAGTGGACATATAGTAACTCTGTGCAAGCACAATCACACTTTATTTGTTTTCAAACCGCTCATTCTACCTAACGGAATTCCAGTCCCCACACCTGTTCCACATTCTTCATCGTTGGTTACCAAATTTTAAACGACGCCTCAAGTCTTGTACATTGCCGCTATTTCATTTTTATCCGTCTTTCCCGTACTTCGAATATTGTGTCCGGTGTCCATAAGACTCCCTATCATATTATATTACTCCCCGTTCTTACACTCTGGGAACTCGATCGCAATCTAATTAGAAAACTTTGCAATCTAAGACGAACTCGTTTGAAATAGAATTTGCTTCAATTAGATTGCAAAATCTTCTAATTAGATTGCAATCACTGCAATGTTTTCTAATTAGATTGCGATGTTTTCTTATTAGATTGCAATGCAGGAAAAATACATTGTAATCTAATACGATTTTACTGGAACTTCAATTAAATCTGATTAGATTGCGAAATAGAGCTTTTTCTTATTAGATTGCAAACTCTTCTAATTAGATTGCAATCGAGTTTCCAGAGCAGTTGCAATTTCAGATTTCATCCCATTTTCTTTTAATCGCATACTTCGCCTCATTCATATTTTATCAGAAAAATCTCTACAGTGGTCCATTTTTAAGTCTCATCATTTTTGCACCTCTGATTTCATGTAATCTCACATACCAAGCCTCATCATGAAATGCTCAAAATCTTTCAAATCTTCGTTCACCTGTTTCTTTTCATTTCATCATGATAGTCCCATTTAAGTCCCGTTGAAATGTAAATACCAGACATATTTTTCCTTTCCTCTATATAATTGAAAGCTCTTTCTGCCATTCTTTTCTCGAAAATATCCTTTTCTGTTTTCTTTTTTTTACAAGCTTTGAAATATGATGTAGTAGCTGTACTTCAGCAGTCTTAGATATGTATTTTGAAATTTCTAGGACCCTCTTGTTTTGTATTTACTTCAAACTTTCTTTCCTCTCCAACCACCAACCCTTTACATCACACCTCTTACTCACTTTCATTGATATTACCAGTTTCGTCTTATTTTTTTGATTTATTCGCCTTTTCTGTGAGCTTTGCTGGTATCGGTGAAGTGAACTTGAAATTTTTAGGTTGACGTTACCGAGAAATCTATTAGATTCGTTCTTATAGTCTTACCATGTTCCGAATAGTCCGAGAACCAATTTGACGGCTGTCGTTGAAATCTCATTCTATGTGTTGACACGACAAATTGACTGCTGCCAGTGCCGGAAAAGTTCTTAACAGTAGGTATATAATCAGATAACGTGTTTCATCTACTTGCGATTCATACTAACTAGAGCATTTCCCCCCAATGTTGCTCAGATTCAATCTTTATCCTTTTCCTACCCAAACTGCTATTTGACTGCTATTTTTCATCGGCCGGCGCCAATAATTGGAATCTCATTTAACTCATCTTTAAACTCATTTCATTACTCGTGCTCCTCGGGATCTGCACACTCGAACCAAAATTTCTGAAATTGAAATTGATACGCAAACACTGAGGGGGCAAGAGCGATCATTTGAGATTAACTTTTTACAAAATTTTCAAAGTTTCTCGAAAAGTTCTTCGAATGCAACGTTTGTGAGAGTCCCATTATCTGGATGTAGATATAGGACAATTGCCAAGTTTGAAGACATTGCGATGTTCTTTCTCTAAAACTTGAGGACTATACTCAATTTACCGCTCTTGCACCCTCGGTGTTTACGTACTCAAGCCTTATTTCAAAAATTTTGGCTTGAGTCAGCAAACACCGAGGGGCAATAGCGATGAATTGAGTTTATCTCTTCAAGTATTGAGTGTACTATCAAGTGTACATCGTTTCTCGCAACAGGCCGATCTTCACTAACACTTCGCGATTTCCAATTTGTTAACCACATCTATTCCGTCTGAGGCGCAATTAAGATTTTCTAACTTGCTGTACAGTGTTTTATCCTTTTGAATTATTTTATAGCTGCACCTCCCCCCTTCGCATACTTTCAAAATAAATATTTTAAAGAGTAGTATTCTATAGAAACATGTTCAAGATGTATTAACGCGACCACTCCCTGTCATATCATGTTATCATTCTGAAGCGTACGCGTATTTAAAGTTGATATAGGGTAATTCAGTGTCAATTTATTTACGTCAAAAACCGATTCAATAATAAGTTATGTTTAAAAAAACGAAAATAATTTTTATTGAATAACTTATTATCATATCAGACTGTGACACAATTCCTACGTTAAAATTGCAAAACAGGCGCCTGTTCTGCAACCCTAGCGGACGGACGAATTCGTTTAATGAACCTCAGTTGGTTGCTCGGAGATAGCTAGGTGAATGGTGTGGCTCTTGAGGGCCCTAGTTATCTCTTATTCTCTTATTCATGTCTCAAGCTGGCTGACCAGCGGCCTAAGCGTGTAACGGAGTCATTTCATGATATCTACAGAGTTGGACCGAATGAGTTGTCAAAGAAACATGAAAAGATCTCGAGAAGTGAATTTAAGTAGCTTAGCAAGATTGAATGTCGAGAAGCCGCGGAAAAGGAGTGAGTATTTGGAATGTTTTCTGAGAAAAATCAGGGTGGTACTATAAAATATGGAGTACATTTCCAATTTTAAAATTCTCATTTTTCCATAAAGTCATGACACATATGGGAAAATGTTCCCCATATTTCATAGTATACCATCCTGATCTTTCTCAGAATAGTCCCAACTTACTTTAAAAATTTTTTCTAGTAAGTCAATTTGACTTTCAGAGCTGATGTTTGGAGAGCGAAAAGAAGGTCAAACCGTATTTTTGCGATCGGATGGTCTTAGAAATAGACACACACAGTTGGAAAAGTCTACCGGAAACCGGGACAAAAAGCGCTCTGATGAACTACAGACTCTACTCCCAACGACAAGCTCATCCATATTAGAAACAAATACGGTCTCCATGGCTACGGAGTTACCATCTAAAAGAAGTTTGTCTTCTTCACAAAAGCTTCAAGAAGAGGCTTTATCTGATTATCGATTTTGCCGATTTCCAAAGCAATTTAATGGGTCATCGTGAGTTTTTTCTGAAAACATGATATTCGCTCTGGGAACTCAATCGCAATCTAATTAGAAAACTTTGCAATCTAATACGAACTCGTTTGAAATAGAATTTGCTTCAATTAGATTGCAAAATCTTCTAATTAGATTGCAATCGAGTTTCCAGAGCGCGACACTAGTTTCCATGTTCAGAACGATGGTAGAGCACAGTAAGCGATGGAACTATCAGATGGCATGCGACATAAACTCAGATGAGCAAAGTGGTGAAGGGTAACCATGCATACGCACACTTTTCATGTTTAAAAACGGAAATAGTTGTTATCTCTGGAAACTCGATTGCAATCTAATTAGAAGAGTTTGCAATCTAATAAGAAAAAGCTCGTATTCGCAATCTAATCAGATTTAATTGAAGTTCCAGTAAAATCGTATTAGATTACAATATATTTTTCCTGAATTGCAATCTAATAAGAAAAAATTGCAATCTAATTAGAAAACATTGGAATCTAATTAGAAAATTGCAGTGATTGTAATCTAATTAGAAGATTTTGCAATCTAATTGAATCAAATTCTATTTCAAACGAGTTCGTAATAGATTGCGATTGAGTTCCCAGAGATGGAGAACTTAAGAAATGAACGCCTGAAGTTTCTAGCAGTTTTGAGAAGCAAACAATCGGCGAAACCTGCACACCGGCCCGCGGGGCAAGGTTCAAAACGTTTTGTTAACAATAGTTTTCCAGGGAGATGTATTACGTAGCTCACCCATTATTACCTCTGCCTCGTAGTCGAAAAAATGAGTTGTGCACAGCGACACGGATGAATTACGCGGCCCAGCGACTGGACAATCGAAAATTCAAAAATCAGGCCAATGCTGTTAATAATATTAGGGATAATGAAAGTGTTAGTTGTACTAAGTAAGTTCGCATAGTGACCAGTTTATCAGATAAAGTTTTTTTCAATCTAGATTGCTTTTCAATCTATTTTGCTAAAAATTTTCTAATTAGAAAGACAAGTGTAAGTCTAGTTAGAAAATTTATCACTCTAGTTAGAAGAATTTGTAATCTAATCGCAGTAAATTAGCAATCTAACTACAGTGCTGGCCATTAATAAATGAAAAAATGGTTTTTTGAGGATAACTTTTTTTCTAGTTATCCGGGGACCCTGAAACTTATACGGTATACAAAAAGTACCGTTAGGCAAAGTTGCGGACTTTCAAACTGCATCATCATTTATTTTTTTTCATTTTTTCGATTTTTCGATTTTTGACGTTTTTTATTTTTTTCGATTTATTTTTTTTTCTGTGATAACATATGACTCTAAAATGATTTGTTGACATGGGAAAACCTCGTGGAAGACAAAATGTGCCCGTAGATGTTAAAAAAGCGATCATCCGAGGTCGCCAGCAAGGCATGAAGTTGAAAGATCTTGCTCAGCAGTTTCAGCTCGGTATTTCCACGGCTTTCAGCATTTTGAAAAGATTCAAGACGCAGGCAAGGTTCAAAGTGTTTGTCAAACCCAATAAAATATTTAGAATACCTGCATCGGTCCAAAGGCGCCAGGAAAACCTCGTGGAACCACCAAGGCTATGGATCGGAACATCCTGAGAGCGTCGAGAGAGGATCCCAGAAGGACTTCAACGGAAATCCAGATGGTTGTGAATTCTCCCACGGATCCAGCACTTTCTAGAAGAACAATCAGAAGACTTTTACAAGATGCTGGGCTCCATGGACGACGTCCAGTTCGCAAACCACTAATCAGTGAGAGGAACCGGAAGGCTCGAGTTGCATGGGCAAAAGCTCATCTCACCTGGGGACCTCGCGAATAGGAAAAACACATCTGGTCCGATGAAAACAAGTTTAATTTGTTTGGTAGTGATGGAAATTGCTGGATTCGGCGTCCCGTTGGAACCAGATATTCTTCCAAGTACCATCTTCTAACAGTCAAGCACGGAGGAGGATCGTGTATGGTATGGGGATGTTTCTCGGCCAACGCTATGGGACCTCTGAGACGTATAAACGGAATAAACGTCTTCTGATTGTTCTTCTAGAAGGTGCTGGATCCGTGGGAGAATTCACAACCATCTGGATTTCCGTTGAAGTCCTTCTGGGATCCTCTCTCGACGCTCTCAGGATGTTCCGATCCATAGCCTTGGTGGTTCCACGAGGTTTTCCTGGCGCCTTTGGACCGATGCAGGTATTCTAAATATTTTATTGGGTTTGACAAACACTTTGAACCTTGCCTGCGTCTTGAATCTTTTCAAAATGCTGAAAGCCGTGGAAATACCGAGCTGAAACTGCTGAGCAAGATCTTTCAACTTCATGCCTTGCTGGCGACCTCGGATGATCGCTTTTTTAACATCTACGGGTACATTTTGTCTTCCACGAGGTTTTCCCATGTCAACAAATCATTTTAGAGTAATATGTTATCACAGAAAAAAAAATAAATCGAAAAAAATAAAAAACGTCAAAAATCGAAAAATCGAAAAAATGAAAAAAAAATCATTTTCTGAAAAAAAAATAAATGATGATGCAGTTTGAAAGTCCGCAACTTTGCCTAACGGTACTTTTTGTATACCGTATAAGTTTCAGGGTCCCCGGATAACTAGAAAAAAAGTTATCCTCAAAAAACCATTTTTTCATATATTAATGGCCAGCACTGTAGGTCCGGATAGAAACGCGAAATAGCTAACTAGAATAGTAACGATTTGCCTAAGCACTTTGAAGTCCAAAATGACCTACTAAAACTGATTTCTAAAAGTGTTGTGTGACACGAGCCGGCAAAGCATACGGAGGAGTGGAAATTGTGAAGCTGTAACTTCTCTGAGAAACCTTACATTTACCTCTGACCCGGCTCATTTTGAAGAACCGAATTAGAGGTCCCTATGTTCGATTTCTGGAGATATATTGAAGAAACCGAAAGTTCTATGTATGAAAAGCCGGGCCGTGTGTGACTGAACCTGCAGATGTGTCTCATTTTCAACGATAGAGATTTTTCCCGCGAAATTTGAATCTTATTTTTGCACATACGCTTGAGCACGCCGTGCGGATTTTGCCATTCATTGGACAATTGCTTTTACTGCCGCGCGCGCCTCCTGATCATGTCCCTAAATATTATTATTACATTTCAGATGCGGAATGCTCTATTTCTTCAATTCAATGAGAATGCAGGAACGTATTTCTTATTTGCAACCAACCCATGAGGAAGATCTTCCAACAGTACAGTTTGAGTGCCCTATGTGTAAAGTGATCGTGCACGCGGGTACTTTTTCGTAGAAAAATGCATAATTTTCGTTGGATGAAAAAGTCGAATGAGTTCAAAACCCCACTGTCTTCTCTCGGAAATTTTTCTCGTTGGGTCTACGAAATTTTAACCATTTGCATGACGATATTCTACACAGTTGTGCACTGCGATACTTGAAATTGTTAAACTGTTTCTTATTATCGTTTTATTTTAAATGAATTTATTTTGATCCTGCGTCCCGATTCACAACGATTCATCCTTGAGGCTATAGAGTAAAGAATAAAATACTTTCATAAAATTGATTCGTCGCTGATATGCGCTAAATTTGTGTTTTTTCTGAGCTTTTTGATTACTAGCAAAGTGCGAACTTCCTTGCTATTTGAGCAGGAGATTGTGTGTGCGGGTCCAGAAAGATACGCCGGAGTTAGACTTAAGGACTTGATGATGAAAAAAGCGAATGATACTATACGTGAAGGATCACGATTGATCGGTCTTCAGCACCAAAATAATCCAGATTCATCGCTTTCCTCAATATTGCCATCATTCGGACCGCTGGGAGGCATGAGCTCTTTCGAGCGACTGGTTCAGCAAATCTTTTTCATAATTTTGCCACTTTATGCGACCCGACAATATCGGTTTGAAATTTTGACCCGCTGCAGCTTTTTTTCCATCTATACGAAAATTCGGAAAAAATGAATCGTATACTAGGCCTGGAGCTGAAGTACGTGAATTTTTTTTTAGACTAGGTTTCGGCATTTAATTCGGAGGGTACAAAAATTAGGGGGTACAACAGGGTACAAACTGTTTTGGGGTACAAAATTTTCGATTCTAGGGTACAAAAATTTACCGATTCAGTAGGCATTGATTAAGGGGTACAACTTTTATGATTTAAGGGTACAAATTTGTCGCGAACGGGGAGTGGGAAAAGTGCGGAGTGAAGGCAGAGAGATAATAAAATCGTTTATTTAGTGTTGGAATTATTATCAAAAGGTCAATAAGGTCTAAATCAATGCCTACTGAATCGGTAAATTTTTGTACCCTAGAATCGAAAATTTTGTACCCCAAAACCATGAAAGTTGTACCCCAAAACAATTTGTACCCTGTTGTACCCCCTAATTTTTGTACCCTCCGAATTAAATGCCCATAGCCTTCGCCCAAGCCTAGCAATATTATCAATAGAGCGCATTTGCATAACTCTCATGGGTAGACGATTGTTTTCGAGTCTAACTTTCAACTGAGCAACAAGCATTTTTGAAGAAAAAATTCAAAAACGATGGCCGTAAGCCGCGTTTAGAAATCTTTCGGAAAATACATTTTTCCAAAAGTACACACTGCAGCGCACTGCCACGGTTCGACAAATTTGAATATCCGGCGACAGGCTGACAATTTTATGAAAGTATTTTATTCTTTACTGTAGAGCCTCAAGGAAAAATCGTTGTGAATCGGGACGCAGGATCAAAATATATTCATTTAAAATAAAACGATAGTGAGAAACAGTTTAACAATGTACAGTATCGCTGTGCACAACTGTGTAGAATATCGTCATGCAAATGGTTAAAATTTTTTAGACTCAACGAGAAAAATTTCCAAATACGTTCCTGCATTCTCATTGAATTGAAGAAAAAGAGCATTCCGCATCTGAAATGTAACAATAATATTTAGGGACATGATCAGGAGGCGCGCCAGTAAAAGCAATTGTCTAATGAATGGCAAAATCCCCACGGCGCACGGTCTCCAGAGCTGACAATGGGCGCAAGTACGCCCAATAGAGCGATACATTGACGCGAAATTCAAGTTTTAACAGCAAAATTTGTGTTTTTTGCCAGATTAGCCACGAAAAACCGATAATTTCTCATTTGTCTCTCGATAGACCGATTGTATAGGCGATTACGAATTTTTTAAGAGCAAGAGCGTTAAATTTGGTCAAGTCGCAAATCGCATTTATCCGTTTGAATGTTTTTAGCTAAAATTGCGTGAATTTCAGTTGCTTTTTGGTAGTTTTAGCGGTGCGACCGCTCAAAATGCTTGTATTTACCTGATTTATCATTATCAAAACCAATTCTGTCTGAAAACGGTCAAGAAAGCGCAAAATGAGAAGTGCGGTTTTTAGGCGGCGATCGGCGGCGAACTCTGGGAACTCGATCGCAATCTAATTAGAACACTTTGCAATCTAATACGAACTCGTTTGAAATAGAATTTGCTTCAATTAGATTGCAAAATCTTCTAATTAGATTACAATCACTGAAATTTTTCTAATTAGATTGCAATGTTTTCTAATTAGATTGCAATTTTTTCTTATTAGATTGCAATGCAGGAAAAATATATTGTAATCTAATACGATTTTACTGGAACTTCAATTAAATCTGATTAGATTGCGAAATAGAGCTTTTTCTTATTAGATTGCAATCGAGTTTCCAGAGGTTTTCATGAATTGAGCAAGTTTTCTCTGATTTTTGTGGTCAAAGGCGATGAGAAATGATTGTTCGACATGAAAACACACTAATTCTCAGAATTAATGACGTTTTGGCGCATTTTTCGCGGATTTTGCTTTTTCGCCTTCGTCGCCGATCGCCGCCTAAAAACCGCACTTCTGATTTTGCGCTTTCTTGACCGTTTTCAGACAGAATTGGTTTTGAGAATGATAAATCACGTAAATACAAGCATTTTGAGCGCTCGAACCGCGAAAACTACCAAAAAGCAACTGAAATTCACGCAGTTTTAGCCAAAAACCTTCAAACGGATAAATGTGATTTGCGACTTGAACAAATTTAACGCTCTTGCGCTTAAAAAATTCGTAATAGCATATACAATCGGTCTATCGAGGAACACATGAGAAATTATCGGTTTTTCGTGGCTAATCTGGCAAAAAACACAAATTTTGCTGTTAAAATTGAATTTCGCGCCAATGTATCGCTCTATTGGGCGGGGGCGCACTTGCGCCCATTGTCAGCTCTGGAGACCGTGTGCTCAATTCATGAAAACGCCATTTGGTCGAGGCCACCCCCATATTGTCAGCTCTGGAGACCGTGCGGCGTGCTCAAGCGTATGTGCAAAAATAAGATTCAAATTTCGCGGGAAAAATCTCTATCGTTGAAAATGAGACACATCTGCAGGTTCAGTCACACACGGCTCGGCTTTTCATACATAGGACGTTCGGTTTTTTCAATATATCTCCAGAAATCGAACATAGGGACCTCTGATTTTTTTATAAGAGTTCAATTTTACTGGGTTCTTCAAAATGAGCCAGGTCAGAGGTAAATGTAAGGTTTCTGAGAGAAGTTACAGCTTCACAAATTCCACTCCCCAATACGCTTTGCCGGCCCGTGTCACACAACACTTTTAGAAATCAGTTTTAGTAGGTCATTTTGGACTTCAAAGTGCTTGGGCAAATCGTTACTATTCTAGTTAGCTATTTCGCGTTTCTATCCGGACCAAGTTAGATTGCTAATTTACTGCGATTAGATTACAAATTCTTCTAACTAGACATATAAATTTTCTAATCTCTGGAAACTCGATTGCAATCTAATTAGAAGAGTTTGCAATCTAATAAGAGAAAATTGCAATCTAATTAGAAAAAATTGCAATCTAATTAGAAAAAATTGCAATCTAATAAGAAAAAATTGCAGTGATTGCAATCTAATTAGAAAAAATTGCAGTGATTGCAATCTAATTAGAAAAAATTGCAGTGATTGCAATCTAATTAGAAAAATTGCAGTGATTGCAATCTAATTAGAAAAAATTGCAGTGATTGCAATCTAATTAGAAGATTTTGCAATCTAATTGAAGCAAATTCTATTTCAAACGAGTTCGTATTAGATTGCAAAGTTTTCTAATTAGATTGCGATCGAGTTCCCAGAGATTAGACTGACGAAGCAAATTAGATTGAAAGAAACTGATATAAGATTCAAATATTCATCTCGGCTACGCCGGGTTTCAGGCTTGGCTACGGACATTGCTATGCAATGCAAAAGCTTATTAAACTATTTATCATTATCGTTTTATTTTAAATTAATTGTTTTTCAAGCGCCTGTTTTTTCAGCGCGCCGCCGCGTCCCTGCGTTGAGTAAACAGGCGCCTGAAATCGCCTGTACGACCAGCCTACACCGCACCAAATTTTGATTTATCAAGCTCACATTCAAATCTCTCCTGATTCAAAGCCATCAAAGTAGCACTTACATGGAGGAGGTTGCAAGATTTGGCTGTAGCTCGGTGGGGGGAAGATGGTCGTTGCACTATTTTCGTGGTACTTCAATGTGAAGAAGTTCAGCAAACGGTTCTTACCTTGATCGAGAGAATAAGGTACCCGAGCGGGTGAGCTCTGCTCATCCTTCTCTTTTTCGTTGTTTTTACTTGCGTGAAAGGAAACTTCTGAATCCGTGAACTGGTGTGATTTTTGAGATTGATTACTTACGACACCTATGTCGTCTTTTTAAGTGCTTTTGAAAATTTGCACGGAGGCGTCCATCCAAAAGTTCTTTGAGTGCTAGAAATGGTACGGAGACAGCGAGTACAGCACCTGCAGCAACCTGTAAACTTATCGCCTGTGTGCCATTCCGAACTCTGTCCACTGCTTCAAAAGTCTTGTAAAAAAAATAAGTGCTAAATTGGAAAAGGTCGCCGCCGCGGCCGTGTTCTTTTCCGTTACTAACTAGAGATTAAGAGACAGCTTGTGATTCTTGGACCATTCAGAAATACGGTCAATTGCGATCTGGAGATCTTTGGAAAGGGATTCAGAAATCTGTAGCAATCTAACTAGCTCCGGTTAGAAACGAGAATTAGCTAGTTAGATTAGAAACGATTTGACTGAGAGTATATATTGACAAGAAATTTGGAAACTTGTCCGGGCCGAGCTCATGCTGACAACTGATTTTCGCTTAGAAATGAAAAAAGTGGGGACAGACAAACGGAGAAATGAAAAAAAAAGAAACAAGGGAATATATTATGGCTGCATTTTTCTGCAATTGCGTTCTACCACAATCCCACGTGAAAACTCACTATCCGGCAAATCGTAGCTAATTCTCGTTTCTAACCGGACCTAATTAGATTGCTACAGATTTCTGAATCTAGCTAGCTGATTTTGCAATCTAAGCATAATCTAGCTAGGTTTGCCCGAAATTTTAATCTAATTAGATAAATTTTGAATCTAATATCAGTGTTTTTGCAATCTAATTATTCTGGGGGCACCCACGGCGACCAAAAACGTGGAAAGGGGCGTGGCCTAGCGTGCACGGTTTATCACCATTTTGGCGCGAATTTCGAAATTTTACCCCATTTTTCATGTTTTTCGTAAAAAATTACCCAAATTTTGTACGATTTCGACGATGTAATTGCATAACTTTAAAGTTTTTGTTGAACTAATCATCGCGCACTTTTTGAGCTTATGGGGCTCCAAAAAGTTACCCGCCCGTGTAAATTGTAAATCTTCTCGGTAAAATTTTGGGGCTATTCAGCGTATGTTTGTTTTCCGTTTTTTTTTCGTTTTTTTACATCGCTGAATTGGATTTTTTGACGTAAAAAAACGGAAAAAACGGAAAACAATCATTTTTTCACAGTCTGAATAGCCCCATTAAAACGAGCAGGTTTCATTCAGAAATGAATCAATTGAATCGATTTTAAGTTTTTTGCTGAAAATGCGCGAATTTCAGTCATTCGCCGATACTTTTTGCCGTTTGAACGCTTAAAATACTTGTATTAACGTGCTTAATCACGTCCGACACTCACTTCGTCTCAGAACTGTCCAGATCGGCCGGTATGAAAATTCCGAAATTGCGGCGGCGGCGATTGGCCGCGGAGAGCGTATTGCGAAATATGCCAAAAACGTTTCACGAAAATTTGGATGTTTTGATTATACAAATAATAAGCGTTTTCACGAAAATTCCGATGTTTTCTCTCTTTAATGTCTTCTTTCGTCGATATCAAACACAAAAATATCGGAAAAGTGCTGGAATTGCGGCAATTTTCAGAAAACGCGTCTCACTCAGATTAGGCCACGCCCCTTTCTACACTTTTGGTCGCCGTGGCACGGCACAGAAATGCCGCTCTGTTGATAAAATCTTTTTGCAGTGCAAATTGAGCGACCTCGGGGCCGAGTTTGAAAAGTTAGGCCACATTTTCAGTGGAAAATTACTTTGCGGCCTAGAAATTCGGCCAGATTGCGAACAGCGCGCCCTTTCTGTCCGGTGCCCCTATAATAGCTTCACCAATCTAATTAGAAAATTTATCAGCTTTTCTGTTACTGTTGCTAATAACTTACTACGACAAACGACGCCATTTTGATGGGCTGTGTATAGTAGATCCTTCAGTTTTTGAGTCGTCCGAGTCGTCAGTCTAGACGCTCCATCGACCGGAACCTTAAACCAACGAATCAGATCGATTCTGGGTTATTCTTAATAGTTCACCTAGCCGAAATCGTCGTTGTTAGAAGAAAAGTCTCGGTGAAAAATTGAGCGAGCCAAGATTGTTGGAGGATGCGAATATAACTGCCCTGACCTATATCAAAGTTTAGAAAACTGAAGTCGAAAAAGAACTGTCGACAGTTCATTAGCTACCTTATATATAAAACGATAGAGGCAACCCGACGATTCAAAACCGCGGCGTCTCGATACCCACGTGAACTTTGACAGTGCAACTTATCGCTAAGTAGTTTATTATAGGGGCACCGCACAGAAATGGCGCTCTGTTGAGAAACTCTTTTTGCAGTGCAAATTGAGCGACCTCGGGGTCGAGTTTGAAAAGTTAGGCCACATTTTCAGTGGAAAATTACTTCGTGGCCTAGAAATTCGGCCAGATTGCGAACAGCGCGCCCTTTCTGTCCGGTGCCCCTATAATACGTTAGTTGTGAAACGTCGGGGTCCCCCGTCAGCGAAATTACCACAAAACGCATATTATCAGCCAAATCGGCAATTTTTAGAGGACTCAGGCAAATCGTTTCTAATATAACTAGCTAATTCTCGTTTCTAACCGGACCTAGTTAGATTGCTACCGATTTCTAAATCTAGCTAGCTGATTTTCCAATTTAAACATAATCTAGCTAGGTTTGCCCGAAATTTTAATCTAATTAGATAAATTTTGAATCTAATATCAGTGTTTTTGCAATCTAATTAGCTTCGCCAATCTAATTAGAAAATTTATCAGTCCAGTTAGAAGAATTTGCAATCTAATCGCAGTAAATTAGCAATCTAATTAGGTCCGGTTAGAAACGCGAATTAGCTAGCTAGATTACAAACGATTTAACTGAAGAGGAGGAGCGGAGCTTGGCTGTTAGATTGACAAGAAGTGACTGACAACATAAGGTTTGTATTTTGGAGAATGAAAGACCCCCTGAGTCGAAAATAATTCCCTGAACTTTTGTGAAGGACCCCGCGAGTCGAAAATAATTCCCTGAACTTTTGTTGGATAGAAGTCTATCTAGTTATCGTAGCGATAGGGTTGACGCGACATTCACGGCAAATTCTTTTGATAAACACAGGACTACTTTTAGCACTACTTCTGAAAAGTAGCAGTAGTAGTTTGTTCAATTCTCTGGGAACTCGATCGCAATCTAATTAGAACACTTTGCAATCTAATACGAACTCGTTTGAAATAGAATTTGCTTCAATTAGATTGCAAAATCTTCTAATTAGATTACAATCACTGCAATTTTTCTAATTAGATTGCAATGTTTTCTAACTAGATTGCAATTTCTTCTTATTAGATTGAAATTCAAAAAAAATATATTGTAATCTAATACGATTGGCATTTAATTCCGAGGGTACAACAATTTTGGGGCACAACAGGGTACAACCTATTTTGGGGTACAACTTTTTTAATTTTGGGGTACAACTTCCCCGATTTTAGGGAATAATTTCTGTCAAGTATTTTAGGGTACAATAATTTTAGGGTACAACACTTTTAGGGCACAACTAGCACATAATTTCAGGGCACAACTTCTTACAATTTTTGGGGCACAACAACATGATTTTTAGGGTACAACACTTTTTTTCTCATTTTTTTGTATTTTCTTGCATTTTACTACAAACCCATATTCTTTTTATATCAATATTTCGCTGATTTTTTTATTTCAATGACTCATCTCTTGTAAGAGAACCAGTCTTTCGACTCGTGCTTTCTGCGGCAGTTCACACATTTTGTTTTCACCAAATCGTGAGGTTATTCAAAACCTTTTATTGCAAAAAAGCATATGACAGTAACAAGTTGATTCTCATAAACCCGCCTTATTAATAGAGCTATTTAAAACCTAGATTAACTACTCTTTATTTCAGATCCGTTCATTTGTGCTCAACTTGTTACTGTCATATGCTTTTTTGCAATAAAAAGGTTTTTGAATAACCTCATGATTTGGTGAAAAACTAAATGTGTGAACTGCCGCAGAAAGCACGAGTCGAAAGACTGGTTCTCTTACAAGAGATGAGTCATTGAAATAAAAAAATCAGCGAAATATTGATATAAAAAAAGAATATGGGTTTGTAGTAAAATGCAAGAAAATACAAAAAAATGAGAAAAAAAGTGTTGTACCCTAAAAATCATGTTGTTGTGCCCCAAAATTGTAAGAAGTTGTGCCCTGAAATTATGTGCTAGTTGTGCCCTAAAAGTGTTGTACCCTAAAATTATTGTACCCTAAAATACTTGACAGAAATTATTCCCTAAAATCGGGCAAGTTGTACCCCAAAATTAAAAAAGTTGTACCCCAAAATAGGTTGTACCCTGTTGTGCCCCAAAATTATTGTACCCTCGGAATTAAATGCCAATACGATTTTACTGGAACTTCAATTAAATCTGATTAGATTGCGAAATATAGCTTTTTCTTATTAGATTGCAAACTCTTCTAATTAGATTGCAATCGAGTTTCCAGAGATTGGGGAAATTCAAAAAAAGCTCCCCACCTCAGCCCTCACGTTATAAACAACCTTAAGAAAACCCCCACCAGTACAAAGGGGGGACTTTTTTTGAATTTACCCGTTCAATTCACTATTTTTCCGTGCCCACCACGGAACCCCAGCCTTCCAATAAAAAATTCCTTGGCGCAATTCAGGTGCGCTAAACAAGGCGCGTAACGCGTAATTTCGGAACGTCGTTGTAGAGTTTCTCATTTCAATTTTCCCTTTTTTTGCATTATTCCCATCTTTTCAGAACCAATCAGTGTCAAAACTTATGATAATGATTAGAAATGAATAAAAAATAAAATTTTAACTGCTTCGTCATCAATTTCGAAACGTTTAATGTGAAAATTACAGAATTTTTTTCCTGTTGGAATCGAAAATTTGCCTCAATTATCTCAATTCTGTATATTTTTTGACGGTTGAGCGCTTAAAAGATGCGCAATAAACTCCTTGTTGACTGGACGGTTCGAATGCCAGTGTCCGAACTCGATTCGGCAAATGATCGTTAAAACTCCGTTTTTTCAGTAGTTTTCGACAAAATCCCTCAATTTGGTCATTTCTGAACGAATCTGCTCCGTTTCGCGCTTAAATCGATGCTTTTAACTCACACAATCGCCCCACGGTTCGCAAAGAACAAAATTTGAGTGTTTATTAAGAAAAAAACGAAAGAATTCTGGGTTTCAATTGAAAAAAGAAACTCCGAGCCGACGGTGGATGCAAGCGCGCCCCATTGACAACTTGCATGCGCATTGGAATGCTGGGGTTCCGTGCCCACATTTATTTGTAAAACGAAAATAGCTGTGACGGAGAAATTAAGAAATTAACACGTGAACTTTCAAACTACTCTGAGAAACAAACAAGTGGCGAAGCCGATTTCGAGCGTTAGCTCAGACCGCGCCCTTGAGATTATTTAGTCGACAAGTTAGTTAGAACTAAATCATACTTAGATCATATGACTTTCTTTTGAACTTACAGATCTGCCAAAGCCAATATAAAGGGAGAAGAAATTGTCGTGAAAGAGAATAAACTGACTTAGTGGATCCACTCAATGAACGCAAATATACGCTTTCCAGAAATGAGACAGTGATAGCTGTTCATGAACGAGAAATTGTTTGTGGGTCTCCATTTAAATATGATTACTTTGTGTCTAACTATGGGAAAATAGTGGTATATAGAAGAGGATAGACAAAGTTAAATCCTATTTTCATCAATTTATTCGCTTATTATTTGCATAATCACGGGTACGCAGCGAGGTATTATAGAGGCACTGGACAGAAAGGGCGCGCTGTTAGCAATATGGCCGAATTTCTAGGCCGCGAAGTAACTTTGCACTGAAAGCGTGGCTTAACTTTTCAAACTCGGCCCCGAGGTCGCTCAATTTGCACTGCAAAAAGAGTTTCTCAGCAGAGCGCCATTTCTGTGCGGTGCCGCTAAAATACGTCGAAAATTAAAATTTGAATTCGTGCCAATCCAACTGACCAACCGCGAATTTAGTCGCCTAGCGACTCAACATGTGATATTTACAAAAGCAGCTTTTTACCTGAAAGTCACGCGCGAATCTGCCCCTCCTTCAAAAAGCAATGCAATTAAAACTGTGCTGGAACGATTCCAGCATACTTTTCTCAGATAAAATTTCAAACTTTTCTTGGCTCTTCTGAAGACATTCTCAAACTTTCTCAAGACAAAAAACATTTCCAAGACCTTTTCAAACTTTCTGAAGCACTAAAAACTTTTCTAAGCCTTTTTTAAACTTTTGCAAGAAATTCTCAGACTTTTTCCAGAAATTCTCAAACTCTCTCAAGCCTTCTCTTCTCTCTTTTATTTATCAACAACTTTTGAAACGCCTTCGCCCTGACAACTTCTCGATGTTTAGGTGTGACCACTTTCTCTTTGTGTGACCTTCTTTTCTCTTCCTCACTGTTGCCGATCACAATCACAGATTTGCTCCAGTTGAACTAGACGCACGCGACGCGACACGCAAACGCGTTGGGCTAGAGTGGAAGGGAGAGACGCGTCTGTGAGCAGAGACGCAGAGGAAGGCGATAGACTTGGAGAGAGACCAACATCGCATTCTTCCATTAACTTTCATGTTTATTATTATTTTCTCTTTAATTTTGAGTTGTCATCAACTTTTCCTACTTTTTTCTCAAACTAATCGATTTTTTTACAGAGTGCATAATCTAAAGTTCTAACATGCCCCAGCTTTTTATTTCAGTAAGTTAAACTTTAATTTTAGAATTCTTGTATATATTAAATTATTATTTCATTTTAGCCACAAGCTCGTTCGCTTTATGGTACATTTGCTGATGTTCGCACTAGACTTAAAGAAAAGTGAGTATATGATTTATAATTATTTTTTTATATTTAAATTTTGGTTTATTATTTATTTTTTATGTTCTAGGATCATCAATAGCGATAATGACACGCGTGTTGTCTTGGACGGAGCTGTTTTTCAGTACATTGGGGAATTGGATAGTTTACTTCAACACCCTTCAGGTATACGAAACCTCTAAAATTTTCGGTTTCTTATATAAAAATTTTAAAGAAAATATTCCTATTTGATAAATTGAAACTTTTCCTGTAGTTTATAAAAAAATTTTGTTTTAGTGCGTGGTCACCGTGATCCGACAATGCGTACACCTATTGTTCACGTAGTATGTTTCTTTTTTTCTAATATTCCATTAGCAATAAATTATTATAGGGGCACCGCACAGAAATGGCGCTCTGTTGAGAAACTCTTTTTGCAGTGCAAATTGAGCCACCTCGGGGCCGAGTTTGAAAAGTTAAGCCACGTTTTCAGTGCAAAGTTACTTCGCGGACTAGAAATTCGGTCAGATTGCGAACAGCGCGCCCTTTCTATCCGGTGCCTCTATAATTTAATATAGAGCTCCAGAGCTGACAATATGGGCGTGGAACCTTCAAACGGATAAATGTAAAAAAAAACCTTCAAACGGATAAATGTAAAAAAACCTTCAAACGGATAAATGTGATTTGCGACTTGACCAAATTTAACGCTCTTGCGCTTAAGAAATTCGTAATAGCCTATACAATCGGTCAATCGCAAGACAAATGAGAAATGATCGGTTTTTCGTAGCTAATCTGGCAAAAAACACAAATTTTGCTGTTAAAATTTGAATTTCGCGCCAATGCATCGCTCTATTGGGCGGGGCGCACTTGCGCCCATTGTAAGCTCTGGAGACCGTGGCGCATAATCATTTAATTACTCAATATTGTATTTAGCATTCGACAACAGGAGTGCTCTTAAAGAGAATGAAACGACAAATCAAGGCCATTTGTACTCTCGCTGACGTTGTTCATATTGGTATGTTTCAATATTTTTTTTAAATATATTTTTAGAATCTTTCTATATTTGATATTTTGATTAATGACATTGTTTTTTAGATCCACCAGCAAATGCGAATGAGGCTGAAGTGCTATCGAGGGCACAGCAGGTGCTCAATCTACTTTACGACACAATTACACCGCCTTCGTCAAGTTCTGGTTCTGATTGCACAACTGACTCGGACTAAGGAGTCATGCTTGCTATTATTTTATCTTTTTTGTTTTTTTTCCTTATTTGTGACTTCCTCTTTCACTTGTTTCTGTCTTTTCTGGTAATCGTTTCTAAATAAAGACACTTGTGTAAAGAAGGGAATGTTGAAAGTTCTACTACTCTTTAATCTTTTTTATCTTTCAAATATTCTTGAAGTTCTAATGGTGGATTTAATGCAAAGGAATCAAAGTAATATATTTTATCTTTCATTTTGGAATAACAAACCCAGTGAGTACCTTGACCATCTGAAGAATCTAGAATGACAATACCTACTTCTCTTGATAGTATCTTATCCGGCAAAGTGTCTCTCATAAAGACTCCACGGAATGCAAGGAGGTCAAGGTTGGTTAGTGACTTCAGATTTTTACCAAAGTGCATTTATTGAGCGTCATTTTTAATTATCATTTATTAAAATTAAAATGGTCCTTAAGTGCACCAGTAAGCTAAAAGTGTCGGTGTGTTAAATTGTTTGATTTCTTGCTTTAAGTAGCTCAAAGTGTGTCAAAATGTGAAAAGTGGGCAAAATGGTCAAAGCTACGTCCAGTCCAAAATCATCATTTTTCAGAAACAACAGATTTTCGATAAGTAGTGATAGCTTGCAAGTTTTGTACCATCACATCTTAAAAGTTGCGCCCTGAAATTATGGAATTTTTGTACCTCGGAATCACAACAGTTGTACCTTAAAAATTGGGCAAACACTGAATTACTACATGCTGAACTACTTTATTTCAGACTTGCAACGGGCCGGGCCGGGAGGATGCACCTAAAAATTCAAAGCGAACTAGAACTTCGAAACGAACATAATTTTATAGACTTAAAAAGGCAATGTTATAGCATAAAAACCTGTTAAAAAATAGAAATTGCTGTTTAAAGTCGCAAAATTTTCACAAAAATTACGAAAATTTTCTCAAGAGTGGGCGGAGCCGGGCCGACCGGGCCGGGCCGGCCCGGGATTTGGCAAGTCTGCTTTATTTCTCTCAATCACTATATCGCCTCAATTACTATATTGCCTCACTTACTCTTGAAGGTCGTCCACGAAGGCACCGATGCAGCGTTCCAGGTAGGATTGGCAACGGGGCGCCCCCTCGCCCGCGTTACTACAGGGGGCGAAGGGGGCGCCCCCTCGCCCCCGTCCGCCCCCGGGCCCTTAAAGTGTAATTAAAATTCTGAAAAAAATTAGTAGATTAATGCGTTTACTCACTATCGACGTGCGTTGAGAAAAATTTTCAAAAAAAAAAAAAAAAAATTCCTGCTCGCTTTTGGGAAAACCTGTCGGGGGCGAGGGGGCGCCCCGCTGCCAACCCTATTCCAGGGACTTTAGATGCGTGCCGCCGGAGAAATACTTATTCATCTTATTCATTGTCATAGTGAATGCGTTCATTATGATCAAAACTAACAACTCTGGCATTTCGTTATTAATCTAACGGCGGCCTTATAAGATTGATATGACACCTTATTAGATTAATAAATTTTCTAGCTAGATTAATAAATCTTCTAGTTAGATTAATAAGTGCCAAAATCAAGTTTCACGCCAACCGTCTGCTGGCTCAAATCTCGATTGCGCCAAGAAAAAACAGTCGAATCTAATAAAGGTCGCGATTAGATCAGTAAATTTCTAATTAGATTAATATCGACTTGCCAGAGAAGAAACTTAAAAAAAAATGTCTATAGGCCACTGGGAAAATAGTTTTTTTTCGAAAAATGGCTGCTCGTGCGTGCTTTTTGTGTCTCTTAGTTAGTTTACATCACAATAAACTCGCTCTTAAAAAATCAAGTGAAATGAATCAGTATTCGTCCGACGGAACGGATCTGAAGTTGCGGCGCACAGAAGAAGGCTTGGAGAGCACGCCGCCGTCCGCCGCCCGCTCGCTCCTCGGCTGTTCTGAGACTTCAGATGCGTGCCGTCGGATGAATATTGATTCATTTCACTTGATTTTTTGAGAACGTGTTCATTATGATTTAAACTAACAAAGAGACGCGAAAAGCACGCACGAGCAGTCATATTTCGAACAAAAACAGTTTTGGCAGTCACCCCTAGACATTTCTGCGAGTTTCTCGTTGCTGCTTGCGGGTTTATCGTTGCTGCTTGTGAGTTTTAATCATAATGAACTCGTTCCCAAAAAATTACGAAAAATGAATATCTCAATTACTCTTTTTGTCTCAACTACTTCACCACCTCAATTGCTACAAAATCTTGTCACCGGAAGGTCTCCGTGTCAACGTCTCGGTGAGCCTGATAAAGTAGTATTAACATTACAAGAGATATTCTCTAATAAAAGTTCGCAATTTACAAATTTCTTAACCGCGTTGAGCTTCCGGCTGTCAGTGGTCAAAACGGCGACCCCGAAAGGCTTCGATAGCCTTGGGCCTGATGAAATGTTTAGCTGGGACATGGACAGTATATAATAGTTGTAAGATAAGCAATGTAAGAGTGAATACAGGTTAAAAAATCTATTCATTGGAGAAAAAGTAAAAGAACAGAGGTGTAAAGCGAGGTGAAGAGAGACAATGAGAAAATGCGAATCATGATTCTCGGAGTGTGTTCTTTTAAAAAACTCTGGAAACGTATTCAAAAGTGCACACTATGACCGAGTATCATAAACAGATCCAATTTCAGTTATATAAAAGGATTTTTCACAAAACAAACGGGCGAATTAGGTCAAATTGGCGCAATATTCGCATTTCTTGTTGCTGTTTGGTGAATGACATCAAAGAGGCAGCATGTTTAATGAACAGAAATGATGTCCCAAGAAAGCAAAACAAATTTCGAGCTCAAAAGTTTCCAACCCGACACCTTCAGACTGCCGAGTGAGCACTCTGCCACTGCGCCAAACGGGCGGGGGAGCGCCGACCACCAATGGCAATAAGAAGGTCGGTTTGCGCGGCCTTCTTCCAGATGTGACATTATGGAGTTATTCAGGCTGTGAAAAAAAATGATTGTTTTCCGTTTTTTTCGTTTTTTTTACGTAAAAAAATCCAATTCAGCGATGTAAAAAAACGAAAAAAACGGAAAACAAACATACGCTGAATAGCCCCAAAATTTTACCGAGAAGATTTACAATTTACACGGGCGGGTAACTTTTTGGAGTTCTATGAATAACGTATTCGAAATTATCATCGGTGGCAAATTTAAAATTGATTTGTAATGGGGCTATTCAAGGGATGAAAGAATTATTGTTTTCTGTTTTTTCCCTATTCAGCGATGTCAAAAAATGAAAAAAAAACGGAAAGAAATCATCGCTCGCAGCGTTTTTTTTCCGGAGGGTCTCGCAGCGATTTCCCGGATGCGATGCATGCGGCTAGTAGCCGCATGCATCTTTTCAGAAGCCATTTACTAGTCCCGAAGAACGCGAATTTTCACGGGCAGTGATCCAAAATTTTTGTTGCTTTAGTTATTAAAAAAAAACCGGAAAAAAAGGTTCTGCATTGACAATTTTTTTGTTCCGTCTTCCGTCTGCCGTCTTCCGGGAAAAAAGTTTTCTTCCGTCTTCCGTTTTCCGTGAGAAACATTTTCTTCCGTCTTCCGTTTTCCGGATTTCAAAATTCCATTTCCGCTCAACTCTGGCGGCTACTGTGAGAGACGTTTTATGCCGCGTCCAAAGTCTCGGAAAAACCGCAAGTTTTTCTGTCCAAAGTCGGATTTGCGTGAAAAACGGGGGTGCGCACAGCTCAATGAATGTAACCGCACCCCTAAAACTGCAGTATTTTTTGAAAATTTGCGCAAGAAATTTGAATATTTTCAAATATCCTCAAGAAAATAACAAATTTTCAAAAAATACCGTAGTTTTAGGGGTACGGTTACATTCATTGAGCTGTGCGCACCCCCGTTTTTCACGCAAATTTCGGCCGACTTTGGACACAAAAACTTGCGGCTTTGACGGTTTTTCCGAGACTTTGGACGCGGCATTATGAGTGGATTTACGAGAACGGGTGGATTTTTTTCTAATTTTTCAGCGAAATTGCCACGTTTTCCCGCTATTTTCAACCGATTTTCAGCGGAATTTCAGTTCTTATTTATCTGTTATGGTAACTGATGCGAAATTGCCACGTTTACCGCTATTTCCGACCGATTTCGCTTGAATTCTTTTTTTTGGATAGTTTCGAGTGCCTCGTCATATCGTTTAAAACATTGAGCTTTTCGGTGAAAATTGGTTCAAAATAGCGGGAAAACGTGGCAATTTCGCTGAACAATTTTCGTAAATCCACCCGTTCTCGTAAATCCACTCATAAAACGTCTCTCACAGTAGCCGCATGCATCGCGTCCGGGAAATCGCTGCGAGACCCGCCTGAAAAAACGCTGCTAGCGATGTATTTCTTTCCGTTTTTTTACATCGCTGAATAGGGAAAAAAAACGGAAAACAATCATTTTTTCATCCCCTGAATAGCCCCATAAGAATAATTTCACAAAACAGAATCTCTCGAAGGATCTGGGACAACTCTGGAAAACTTTCTCCCATTTTTTCGATTCAACAGCTTGTGCGAAAGAACTCCAAGAACTCCTCCAGTGTCGAAGATCTTAAGACTTGCGATTATATAATATAATTTATATACTGTTATTTAAAAAAATATACGGTATTATTATATACCTGAGTGATAACATCTTGTGCTTCTTCTTGGCTCCTGTTCATGAAATTAAGTTGTGCTTTGAGAAGCCTCAAATTCCATGTGAAGTTTTCTGCTGCACGTATTGCTTTTTGTCCTTTCAGTCCACAATCACTGCACAGATTTGACAGTTCTTCGTGGCACTCAGATAGTTTTCGAATTGATTCTTCGATCTAAACATTGAACAGAACTCAGAGCTGGCACGAGAAAACTTTGTTTTTAAAAATAAGCAAGGAATTCTGTCGCAATATCCAATCATACCTTTTGCAGCAGAGTTTCTGCTTTTGATAGCGTTGAAGTACAATGGCTGATGAGATTTTTCAGTTTATTGAAAGACCGCTGGAGTTGATCGGGTAATACAGAATGTGTTGTGATTGTTGGATACTGAAAGTATATATTTCCTTTTTATTAACTTAGTTATTCTCAACTCCATGGTCATCGCTGTCTATAATAAACGGCACTGTTAGTTCATTTGTTTCATTATTATCTGCTAATGAAAAAGAAGGAGGTGGCGGCGAACCTGTAAAAACGTAACAAATTTTTTTTTAAGTTAATGACTTTAATACTCAATGACTTAAGTTCCCTACTCTTCATGACTTCGCTACTCAAGGACTTTAATACTCAATGACTTCCACTTTACTCAACGACTTAGCCGTATGGGGTACAGTCGCACTGGATGCTTAGGATGTGGCTGAACCCTGCTTTAAAAAATTCCAAGTATCTAGCTTTTTAAAAGTCAGTGGCTTCTCAAAAATAAGTTTATTTTTTCGGCAGTCTTGGTCAGAATTTGGCAAACTTCTCTGGCAATTCGATATTAATCTAATTAGAAAGTTACTGATCTAAACGCGACCTAATTAGATTCGACTGTTTTTTCTTGGCGCAATCGAGATTTGAGCCAGCAGACGGTTGGCGTGAAAATTGATTTGAGCACTTATTAATCTAATTAGAAGATTTATTAATCTAGCTAGACAATTTATTAATCTAATTAGGTGTCATATCAATCTTATTAGGCCGCCGTTAGATTAATAACGAAATGCCAGAGCACGGCGCGGCTTTTGCGACGTTCACCAAACGTTTGATCCTCAGTCCGTGCATTTTTGCAGGCCGGTGTAGCTCTGCGTACAGTGCATTTTATGTTACGCGCAAAGTTCATTTTTTTTAGTTTTTGATGAATTTTCTCCAAATATTCATCTCTTTAAAGCGTTTTTTTCTGCTTTCTACCTCAATTAGACCTTTTTACAGATTCAAGGTGAAGTAATACGCGAAGAGAAGTCGATGCGATGAAAAGAAACGCGTAACACGGCGCGGCTTTTGCGACGTTCACCAAACGTTTGATCCTCAGTCTTTTCATTTTTACACGCCGGTGTTGCTCTGCGTACAGTGCATTTTATGTTACGCGCAAAGTTCTTTTTTTTTAGTTTTTGATGAATTTTCTCCAAATATACATCTCTTTAAAGCGTTTTTCTCCACTTTCCTCTCCACTGCACCCCGAGAAAAAATCACCGTGCGCAAATCTTGAGGATATTTGAAAATATTCAAGTTTCTTGCGCTAATTTTCAAAAAATACCGTAGTTTTAGAGGTACGGTTACATTCATTGAGCTGTGCGCACCCCCGTTTTTCACGAAAATTTCGGCCGACTTCGGACAGAAAAACCTGCGGTTTTTACGGTTTTTCCGAGACATTGGACGCGGCATAATAGACCTTTTCGCAAAAATTAGCTTTACGTTTGCGCTCACATTGTGGGGGGTCCTTATCAGGCTGTGAAAAAAATGATTCTTTTTCCGTTTTTTCCGTTTTTTTACGTCAAAAAACCCAACTCAGCGATGTAAAAAAAAACAGAACTAATTCCGCGGAAAACAAACATAATAGCCCCATTAAAGTTTGCGCATATTCTGAAAAACGTTATGCAATTTTAGCGCAAACTTTAGGCAGTTTTTGTGAAGACTTTAAGGGTCCCCACAATTTTAGCGCAAACTTTAAGCAATGTTTGCTAAAAGTTCTAATAAAAATTGCGGAAAGTTTGCGCAAATTCTCACCAACACTGCCGAGGTTGGCTGAAAGTGTGACCATCCTCGAGTAAATCAATCTGATTCCTTGTCGAATAGTTCCAGCTGGGCCTAATCCACAATCTTCTTGCCAGTCTGTCATTGCGTTCTCTAATCGGTTTCTCATAGCAATCGATTCGGTCAGCGGCATGATGGCGACCTAGACATCAGTATTTTATTCACCGTTTGCACCATTTATAAAAATTCCTAACGCTAACTTTAAATTGATCGTCTACCGACTTGATTCCCACCACCTTCATTCCCGAAGAAATGCGAGAGTTCTTTTTCTTGACAGACATTCCTCTCTTCTTTGCTTTCTGAATAGGTGTTTGATTTCTCAAAAAACAAGACCTTTGAACTCCGCTAGGCGGACCGATAAGGCAAATACTGAACGACTACCAGATTTTTGACTACCAGATAGATTTATGACTACCCCGATTTTCGACTACCCGCATTTTTGACTACCGGATAGATTTTTGATTTTCTTTTTGGCAAACGATAGTTACCAACCAATACCTTTTTTCGGGCAAACGATCTTTACCTTTACCTACTAAAGATCATTGCCTACTAGATATTTGGCTACCAAAATTCTCATTTTTTTCAATGCCTACCAAGTTCATCGCCTAACTTTTTGGACATACCGTTCATTACTTACCTGGGTCTTTACCCTCGATTTCTGGTCAACAATAATGCGACCCCGTCGTATCTTATTAAATTTGCACAATATCGGGTTACGGTAGTACGGTAGGTGCTTAAACCATATTCGTTGAAAAAATCTTGAAAGGCTGAATGTTTTTTTTCCGGAACTAATTTTTTTCAGAACCACAATTTCAATTGCAGAAATAATTCAGATTTCCACACTTTTCTTTTTAAAGAATTTGATTTAAGCACCCACCATACCACCGTAACCCGGATTTGGGATCCGATATTGGGAATGTACGAGACCCTATATTCTGCAAATCATAAAAAATATGACGTGGTTGTATTATTGTTGACCAGAAATCGAGTAGTCAAAAATCTATCCGGTAAGCTAACGTCCTGATAGCAAAAAATCTATCCGGTAGGCATAAATCCTGGTATTGGAAATTCGGGTACTGTTGAAAAAAAAAAGTTTCGACATTGGAATCGAAGCTGGCAGCGTGCCAAGGCCCGGCCTCCCAAACGCATATGCTGCGCGCGATTGTTGCAACATTGCCCGCTTTTTATTGTTCTTCATCTTTGTCTTTATTTTTCGGCTAAAAATCAGCAGAAATTTGGTTTTTCTCATTTTTTACCCGTATTTATTCATTTCAATCGTCTTTTGCTATAAAAAATCAACTTTGAAAACAGATTTATCGATTTTTAGCTTGAATTTTTGAACATTTCTTGATTTTGTGTTTTTCTCCTTTCGATTTCGTTGAATTTGAGAATTTTCAGGATTTCCGCCTACGGAAAAGTCGAACAAGCAACAAAAGGGCATGGATTTCTTCTTTTCGTGTTAGTTTTTGACGTAACAATAATTTTCTCTCCGATCAACGTTTACAGACTTCACTCTGCCGTCAGCACACAACGGAAAGTTGAAGAAGCATCTCCCGTTGGATAAATTGGCACTAATAACAATTATTTTAGATGTATTTATTACGTTTTCCAATAAATTAAATGACAAGTGCAAGAATTTTATTATCAGAGATATTCTATTTTCTTCTCCTTTTTCCGGATTGAAGCGTCCACGGACTCTGAAAATACGGTCGGAGAGAAATAATTTTCGTTCCTCTTCAAACTAATACGACAAGTTTTTGAATACCGTTGTGTGCTGACGGCGGAGTGGAGAAGACGGCGGAGGAGTGGAGTCTGTAAGCGCTGATCGGAGAGAAAATTATTGTTACGTCAAAAACTAACACGAAAAGAAGAAATCCATGCCCTTTTGTTGCTTGTTCGACTTCTCCGAAGGTGGAAATCCTGAAAATTCTCAAATTCACCGAAATCGAAAGGAGAAAAACACAAAATCAAGAAATGTTCGAAAATTCAAGCTAAAAATCGATAAACCTGTTTTCAAAGTTTATTTTTTATAGCAAAAGACAATTGAAATGAATAAATACGAGTAAAAAAGGAGAAAAACCAAATTTCTGCTGATTTTTAGCCGAAAAATAAAGACAAAAACGAAGAACAATAAAGCGTGCGGCAATATTGCAACAACCCCGCGCAGCATATGCGTTTGGGAGGCCGGGCCTTGGCACGCTGCCAGCTTCGATTCCAATGTCGAAACTTTTTTTTTCAACAGTAGTCATAAATCTATCTGGTATTCAAAAATGCCAGTAGTCATAAATCCGGGTAGTCAAAAATCATCGTTTGCCAAAATCTAGGTAGTCAAAAAGCTGGTAGTCATTCAGTATTTGCCCCCAGATAAAGCCTATTGAAAGCCTATTGCAAAATTGGAAACATACTCCTCCTCCACGCCGGTTCGTTATTGCTACATGTACGAACAGAGTAGCATTTTCTAAAGGGTCGCCTTCATTGTTTAGTAAATAAATATGACGATATCCTCAAAAAATAAGTTTTAGTTAAGTCACTGCGTTGATTTACCTGCTTGAAGACATTCAAAAGGTATAGTGTACTGTCCAATAAAATCATCTCCTATATAATCATCATCGAGAACAAGAAAGCGAACAAGTGCAAGCTCTGGCATACATACTTGAAATTGAAAGGATTCATCAAACGATGGATTCACACATGAAAATCAATTAAGATTGAGAAAAGTTCATAAAACACTCACTGTCATTTCGTACGGTTCTTGTTCGTTCTTCGGCGCAATCACCTGGGATTCCAAATATTTCAACGACGACGAAAGGATCTGCGAAGTCTCCTTTTGCGTTTGACCCACGAGGGCGAGGTAATTGTTGTCCAGATAATATACGGAGATGTAGAATTTGAGGAGTCAAGGGAATTTTCTCACTCGGAATGAATATTTCGTCTTTCATCACCATAGGTTTCAGTACGTACCCACATCCACCGTTTTCCGAGAATTTTCCTTCCTGAGCAAAAAAAAGTTTTTTATTATGTGGTTATACTGTTTACTTGGAGATCCATCATGAGACCGGGGGTTTGGTAGTTGAGACAGACCATCTGCACTCCATTATTCCAGAACTCTTGCGGGTTAAGGTTTGAAGAGTCAACACGCGAGAAATTTGGCCACACTCGTATACAAAACTGTTTAGCTGCCTGACTAAACTCCGATGCATGAGTATGCATCACTCGAAGACATGTCGACTCATTCACTGATGCAATACTGTTTTGAGAAAAAGCTGAAAAAAACAAACATCTTCCGAAGTTTCAGAAAAACTAATTCGAGAATAGTCACCGCCTACTTCGCACAGAAACTTTATGAGGCTATTCATGGTATCTCTGGAATTTCGTTATTAATCTAATCATAGTTAGGTACCGCAACGGGTTTCACGAAACTCGGAATTTCTATAAAATTCTTGTTGGAATGTGTTCCCCTACTCTATATCAGAGTTGAGCGGAAGTGGAATTTTGAAATACGGAAGACGGCAGATGGCAGACGGAAGAAAATTTTTCTTACGGAACACGGAAAACGGAAGACGGAAGAAAATTTTTCTCACGGAAGATGGCAGACGGAAGACGGAAGAAAACTTTTTTCACGGAAGATGGCAGACGGAAGACGGAACAAAAAAAACCACGGAAGACGGAAGACGGAAGACGGCAGACGGAATTCCGCTCAACACTGCTCTATATGAGTACGCTCCCAATTTTTTTTTTCGAAAATTTTCGGTACATCCCGAGTGATTCATAGTCTACTCGCGTTATACGGCGGCCTAATAAGATTGATATAACACCTAATTAGATTAATAAATTGTCTAGCTAGATTAATAAATCTTCTAGCTGGATTAATAAGTGCTCAAATCAAGTTTCACGCCAACCGTTTGTTGGCTCAAATCTCGATTCCGCCAAGGAAAAACAACCGAATCTAATTATTATAGGGGCACCGAACAGAAATGGCGCTCTGTTGAGAAACTCTTCTTGCAGTGCAAATTGAGCGACCTCGGGACCGAGTTTGAAAAATTAAGCCACATTTTCAGTGGAAAATTACTTCGCGGCCTAGAAATTCGGCCAGATCGCGAACAGCGCGCTCTTTCTGTCCGGTGCCCCTATAATAGGTCGCGTTTAGATCAGTAACTTTCTAATTAGATTAATATCGAATTGCCAGAGTGAATATGAGTCACGGTGATTCTTTGCGAGGGTGTAGTGAGAAACGCGCCGCGAACTCGGCCACCATTCAAAGAAGGGGCGTGGTCTTGCGCAATTGCCGCACGCAATTTTGCAAGTTTGGCGCGCGCGCTTTCTGTTTAGCCGCAATTGTTTCCGACAGCATTTTGAAGACGTTCTTACTGCTTTTCAGGAATATTACACAGCGCTGTTATTGGTTTTTGCTGTTGGCAATTTTTCTCTGTTGATAACAATTACTAAAAAATAATAAAGCTTCTATAAACTGCGTTCTTTCATGTTTGAGATGAAAAAATACAAAACTCAGCCGAAAACAAGCATTAATTGACAGAGAACAAGCGCTAAAATATGAAACAAGCGCGAAATTCGTGAAAAATTCCCCATGGCCGAGTTTCTTCGGTTCGGCCTCCTGGCCTAACTTCTGGCGTGGCCTAATAATTTCTTGTTCAGCCGGGGGACTCGGCGGAAACCGTGGCCTAGTACCACGGCCTGCGACCCCGGGCCAAATGGACTAGAATTTTCCTCGTCACCCTCGCAAAGAATCACCGTGTGAGTAGGTGCAGCAATGAAAGTGGGTAGGGCTCAGCAAATTTTATCCTAAGCGTTCCGCGGTTGATCACGCACCTTTTGAAAGCAGCATCAGATAGACCATAAAATCTTTTTCAATTTCTCTTTACGTCATTTTGAACTCGTGTGCCTGTTTTTAGGAATTTCAAATTTTCCGAAGAAAGATGCACAAAATCGACAGCAAGAAACGGTGGCCGATCACCAACCTCATTAGGACAGCCCACGGCGAGTTGAACCGTATATGCTGCAAGTTCGCTCTATTGACACTGCGTATCGCCTTCGTACACTGGCACTGTGCCAGCCAACGAAGATCGAGTCGCTTGGCAGCCAATTCAAACGTGCGATTATTGCCGCGAAATTCAACTTTTATTTACGCACACACGGCGAACATTTGTGAACATGCTCAGGCCATTTTTTATCGCTCCGTATCGCAAACGTGCCTTTTTAGCACACGGCTGAGTCGCTACGCAGCGAAAAAACAGCGGAAAATTCAAACCATGCTCACAAATTTTTGCCGTGCTCACATACGCTTCAGCACGCCGTGGCAGCCGCGCTCCGCCTGAATAGCTCATAAGAAATGCTCTAGAAATGGCGTCTGAGGTCTAAAATTTTATTTATCACCATCTAAAAGTACCCCACGTGCACGAAAACCCCAAATCGCCTGCTTAAATCGCCTGCTGATTTGGGGTCCATTAGCACGTGCACGAAAATTAAAACGTCGTTGTAGCTATAAAAATAACATTAAAAAAGTTGGGCCCCGACGGGTGTGGCCTTTTGGAATGCGTAGCGTTCGGCAAGGAAATTAATTTGATAGTAGAATACTCTGGGAACTCGATCGCAATCTAATTAGAAGCGGTTGCAATCTAATACGAACGGAATTTAATTCGGAGGGTACAAAAATTAGGGGGTACAACAGGGTACAAGTTGTTTTGGGGTACAAAAAGTCGAGGGTACAAAATTTTCGATTCTAGGGTACAAAAATTTACCGATTCAGTAGGCATTGATTAAGGGGTACAACTTTTATGATTTAAGGGTACAAAATTTCACGATTTTGGGGTACAACAATTTTTTTCCCATTTTTTCATGGGATTCATGGGTTTCATCAATTCAGTGAATGTTTTTAGTTGTTTTACAAAATTTTTTTACTCCGTGAATGTTTTGTACTCCGAACCGCTTGATCAGTTCCAGAGATGTTTTTTAAATGAGATTTCATGACCCCTCGAAGCATTTTGCTTCCGATAGACAGTGGTTCAAACGGCGACCCTTTTGTTATTATAGGGGCACTGAACAGAAAGGGCGCTCTATTGATAAACTTTTTTGCAGTGCAAATTGAGTGAGCTCGGGGCCGAGTTTGAAAAGTTAGGCCACGTTTTCAGTGGAAAATTACTTCGCGGACTAGAAATTTGGCCAGATTGCTAACAGAGCGTCCTTTCTATTCGGTGCCCCTATAATTAGGGGGCGCAAAGGAGGGGGCGTGGCCTGACGAATTTTCTCTTGATTTCCGCGCGCGCATGTTTGAGGACCTGTACCGAGGTCCCCAGACCAAGTACCATACTCGTAATGTTTTAATTTATGTAATCGACCATGCTGAATCTAATGAACAACTCCGTTTCCCACGAAAACGCACCATTTTCTCAAAAAAAGGCGAAAACGAGAATGGAAGTCAGTCTGAGAGCCCGTGTGGCCACATTTATGGCTACACGCGCCTACTTTCAAGTGATTCCAACAGTTTAAGGGATGGGGAATCCGTTTTTTAAGTCAGAATCAGACAATCTAGTTTCCGATTTTTTTTACAGGTCCTCAAACTGGCACAAAAAATTGTGAAAAAATTTCAGCGATGACCATACTTTTTTATGTTTGGAATCCATAGATAAACTCTCTGAGAACCCAAATACAAATTTTCAGAGCTCTAGACAGTCTAGGACCAGATTTGTGTTCATTTTAGTAGAGCCAGTTTGGCCGAAATTGTAGTTTTTGGGGGTTTTGAGGGTCACAGGTACCTTACACGCGGCTAATTTTCACAAAATCGGATTCAGCATCAAATTTCCGACCGATCCATGTCGAACTTTCCCATCTACCTAGTTTCCGTTTTTTGAAAAGTGACTGTAAAGTGTAACAGTTTTGGATTTGAGCACGCAAAAACACTAATTTGACACCTAGAAGTGGACCGCGCGCAGCCAGCTTTTCTATGCCATTGGCGGCCGGCGCGCCTTCGCCCGGCTGGCGCAGTGGGAAAGTGCTCACTCGGCAATCTAAAGGTGCCGGGTTCGAAAATTTTGACCTCGAAAGTTATTTTGCTTTCTTAGAACATCATTTCTGCTCATTCAAAATGTTGACTCTTTGGTTTGGTCCCCCAGACAAGGATAAAAAACGCGTGCGGCAAACTTGCTAGTGAGACTCCGCCCCCTCCTCGGCCGCCGACCTGAGAGAAAACAGGGCGACTTTGGAGTGGTGTAACTCGGGATGTACCGAAAATTTTCGAAAAAAAAATTGGGAGCGTACTCATATAGAGTAGGGGAACACATTCCAACAAGAATTTTATAGAAATTCCGAGTTTTGTGAAACCCGTTGCGGTACCTACTGTTGAAAAAAAAAAGTTTCGACATTGGAATCGAAGCTGGCAGCGTGCCAAGGCCCGGCCTCCCAAACGCATATGCTGCGCGCCATTGTTGCAACATTGCCGCACGCTTTATTGTTCTTCGTTTTTTTGTCTTTATTTTTTTCGGCTAAAAAAATCAGCAGAAATTTGGTTTTTTTCCCATTTTTTTACCCCTATTTATTCATTTCAATCGGCTTTTTGCTATAAAAAAATCAACTTTGAAAAACAGATTTATCGATTTTTTTAGCTTGAATTTTTCGAACATTTCTTGATTTTGTGTTTTTTTCTCCTTTCGATTTCGGTGAATTTGAGAATTTTTCAGGATTTCCACCTACGGAAAAAGTCGAACAAGCAACAAAAAGGGCATGGATTTCTTATTTTTTTGTGTTAGTTTTTTTGACGTAACAATAATTTTTCTCCGATCAACGTTTATAGACTTCACTCCTCCGCCGTCTTCTCCACTCCGCCGTCAGCACACAACGGTATACAAAAAAACTTGTCGTATTAGTTTGAAGAGGAACGAAGATATTTTTCTCCGACCGTTTTTTTCCAAAGTCCGTGGACGCTTCAATCCAGAAAAAAAGGAGAAGAAAAATTGAATATCACTGATAATAACATTCTTACACTTGTCATGTCATTTAATTTATTGGAGAACGTTATAAATACATCTAAAATAATTGTTATTAGTGCCAATCATCCAACGGGAGATGCTTCTTCAACTTTCCGTTGTGTGCTGACGGCGGAGTGGAGAAGACGGCGGAGGAGTGAAGTCTATAAACGTTGATCGGAGAGAAAATTATTGTTACGTCAAAAACTAACACAAAAATAAGAAATCCATGCCCTTTTGTTGCTTGTTCGACTTTTCCGTAGGTGGAAATCCTGAAAATTCTCAAATTCACCGAAATCGAAAGGAGAAAAACACAAAATCAAGAAATGTTCGAAAATTCAAGCTAAAAATCGATAAATCTGTTTTCAAAGTTGATTTTTTATAGCAAAAGCCGATTGAAATGAATAAATAGGGGTAAAAAAATGGGAAAAACCAAATTTCTGCTGATTTTTAGCCGAAAAATAAAGACAAAAACGAAGAACAATAAAGCGTGCGGCAATGTTGCAACAATGGCGCGCAGCATATGCGTTTGGGAGGCCGGGCCTTGGCACGCTGCCAGCTTCGATTCCAATGTCGAAACTTTTTTTTTTCAACAGTACCTATAATATTACTTACAAGTTGTTTTGCTGTTTTGGCCCCTTTAAATTCTGCAATTTCACAGCAGAATTTCAGCATCTGATGTTGTGTGTGAAATTTACCCAAGTAAAGTTTTTTTCTCGAAATGACACAAAATACTGCATAAAACAAAGCATGGCTACACACGACTGTGTCTCGAGACGATCGTGAGCTCTCAAAAATTCAAAACTGGAATGAAAACTTCGAAAATGTGCTTCGTGCAACTTTTGTACCCCAAAATCGTGAAATTTGTACCCTTAAATCATAAAAGTTGTACCCCTTAATCAATGCCTACTGAATCGGTAAATTTTTGTACCCCAGAATCGAAAATTTTGTACCCTCGACTTTTTGTACCCCAAAACCATGAAAGTTGTACCCCAAAACCATTTGTGCCCTGTTGTACCCCCTAATTTTTGTACCCTCCGAATTAAATGCCTTTTTTCTAATTAGATTGCAATCACTGCAATTTTTTCTAATTAGATTGCAATCGCTGCAATTTTTTCTAATTAGATTGCAATCACTGCAATTTTTTCTAATTAGATTGCAATCACTGCAATTTTTTCTAATTAGATTGCAACGTTTTCTAATTAGATTGCAATTTATTCTTATTAGATTGCAAACTCTTCTAATTAGATTGCAATCGAGTTTCCAGAGTATATTCACCGAAATGTGAACAGGTGTCAAGTTCAGTGATCACAAACAGAAGCTTCCGGCTGGAAACAAATGCCATATTATTTTTCTTACTGCTTTGAGATCCTGGAGAATTCGGTAGCAAGTCGCTTAATGATGAAGATTTGAAAAACGCAGGAACCAAGTCAGATATTTCTCTGCACAGAAGTTTTCTGAAAATTTTGTTCAATTCAGGCTTGAATGAGATAATGATGATGAGAACAAAAAACCAAAAAAAAAAATGCATACTTGCTTTCCTTCTTTCGATTTGTGGGTAAATCGTCGTCGTCGGATACCTCTCCTGTTTCAGCATCTTGTTGAAGCTTCTTACTCTGAAGTGTAGAATCCCGTAGTGTGTTATTCATGGTGTTATTCAGCGATGCAAAAAAAATTGAAAAAAAAACAGTGCACGTGTTGCATTTTTTTTTTTGTTTTTTTTGTTCATTTTTTGACATTTAGACGTTTTAAACCTAAACAAAATTGCAAAAACGCGTTTATGTTTAGGCTGGCACTTTGCCAAGGTTTTTCGCAACGTAGCGCAAATGCAGCGCGATGTCGTGCATGACACCTCGTGCCGAAGTGGAGCTTTGCCCGGAATGGAACTGATCGAAATGGACCTGATCGAAATGGAGCTGGCCACAATGGAACTGCCCCAAATGGAACTGACCGAAATGGAACTGCCCTGAAATGGATCTGACCGGAATAGAACTGTCACAGAATACTCAGTTCCATATTAATTAATTTCTCCTTTGTACTTCATTAGAACAAATAAATAGGTACTAGAGTAATTTTCAAAATTGTGAGTCGAAAATTATCAGGTAAGTTCCATTTTCGGTATGCTTTACCGCCTTGAAAGTTTCTTTTGGCTCGGTTTTTCATTTTTATGGTTAAATATAAACATTACGATTATTATAATTCGATTCTGAAAATCCCATGGAGTCGGAATATTGCTTTCGTCTTTCCAATCGGTTGTATCAAATTCTGGCAAATAAAGCTTCGAGCCTAAGTGCATAACTATCAGCTTAGCCGCTACTTTCTGCCAATCTAGTGAACAATGAACCGAGAGTTTCAACAATAGTGGATATCGACTTCTCTCGAATCCATTTTCTCTTATTGTTTTCAACGCGTCCGAGATAGGAATTTTGCTTTGCGCGTGTAGACCATTCTGAATTATCGGTTCGCATTCGCCACAGCTCTCATTCGGATCCCATATATCGACTGAAATAACTCTTTTTTATTCGATTTTGTATGTTGATCTCAACGTTCTATCAGCCTGCAGTTTCTTTTCAAGGCCGATGTTAATCCATCTGGGGAAGTGGGGCCCAGTTGATCTTCAACCAGGTACGTTTTTCGAGAGCTCGAGATGTAATAGTGCGAGAATGGCTGAAAATGCGTTAAAAAAAATTTGTCGGTGTGTGCGACTTGGAACGAAAATTTTCAGCAAATACTGAATGGCTTATATTGCGGTATTTTTTATTAAAGTGTCTTATTGTCAACCGCGTATAACACAATTTTTGTGCGAATTTCGCTGATAATCAATCCGTTTTCAACAAACTCCATTTTTTATCATATTCATAAATATTACGCTATTCGTGTCTGTATGATCTAATGAGCTGCAGAAACCTTACACCTTACGCTTACACCTTACATTTACGAGTTAAAATGTGATATTTTACTCATATTCAACTATTCCACAAGAATTGGAAGACTGCGTGTCAGATTACTAGATTTGCACTCTTCAGCGGAGGGATTTTGAAAATCCTTAGCATTAGGTTATCTTTCAAATCAAACGTTTGAAAAATGGAAGTTCAAACATTTAGTTTCACATGGTCTCCCAGGGCGCTAATGCTAAACACAGTGCGCTCGTAAATTGCGGAGTGTCGTTGTAACTTTTGAAAATTTGCAGGTCTGAAAATGCAGTTTTATTTCTTTCTTTTTGACTTGAAAAACGTCTAGCAAACAATATTTCACTGATTGGAAGCCGTTCTTCACAGAATTTAGAGTTTTTCATGTTTTTAAGCGTCTTTTTCGCATTTCGTAACCTTATATATCAGCTCATTTTGCGTTTCATGAGCCTAACGAACGATAAAAATGTTCGCTGAATCTTTCTTCACAGAATTCAGATTCCGGCGGTTAGTTTTCTTGAGCAGTTTTCGAAAACTATTCGAAATACATCAAAATCCAGGCCAAAACCTTCAAATCGAAATAACTCGGCTAATTCTCAACGATATGTGAGATTTCTGTTACCAAAACGTAGCTACCAAAACGTAGCTTGCTCTAATTATTCGAATCCAGGTTCCAGGCGTACAAATAAAAAAATAGGTGTATTGTACAGAAAACATGGAAAGAACGCGAACTCCCGTTGAAAATTAATTAATCGGCCGCCGCGTAAATCGACACAGCCCGCCTGTTGCAAGTGCGCCCCATTGAAATCATTCGCGCCGTGGGAGACCGTGTTTCATGATTTTTTGCATTTTCTTCCTACAAAACTCATCAAAACTAAATTTCGTAATGCCACGTCCAAAGTTTAAAAAAAGCGTCCAAGGTTAAAGGAAATCCCAGCAAAATCCGCGTGATCACCGGGCGTTTTTTAACTTTGGACGCGGCATTAGGTTTTTATATAAGCCACGCGTCGCATTGGTCGGTCTGTGTTTATGAATAGAAGTGGCTCATTCAACAAAAACCTGTTTCATATCCATAGTTACAACTCGATGGTTCTGATCAAAAATCCCACAATCCTCAGAAAATAAATACGATGTAAATCCATCAATTGTCATCAAGCTATTATTTCTTGCTTCATAGCACGGTTCATTATGATTAATTATGCTTTCGCAGTTAGATGTTGTCACGCCAACCATCTGAACGTCATTGCTATTTTCTGTGAAGAAAAAAAAACGAACGCCTTGTTCAGTTTCGAGAAAAAGACGGAGGTCTTGGCAAGACAAGTAATCCTTGTTAGCATAGCGAACCATAAGAAAATAAACCTCTGGTCGAGTTCCAACTTCTTTGTATAAGTCTATGAATTGAAATTTACTTAGTTCTCCTCGCTTCGCATGCTCGGAGTTGACTGCAAACTCCTAAAATGTGATAATTTCATTTAAAGAAACATGTTATTGGCGTTCGCAACTATTAGGTCATTCTTATTAATATTACTCTTCACGGGTTTACCCTTCTGTTTGTCTCTATGTTTATTTCTCTGTTTGCCCGTCCCCACTTCATTTCTAAAACAAAAAAACAATTATTCCCCGTCTTCCCGGTCCCAAAATCCTCTCCAATTGCTCCTGACTTTTCTCCTCTGAGTATCGCAAAATATATCCGTGACTTGGAACCAAAAATTGTGTTTTCTATTGACAAGATTAATTTTTATGCAATCAAAAAATGCTGCGATTCACTAACTGTTCCATTGTCACTATTGTTTTCCGAATCATTCTCCTCCGGCCACTTCTTCCCCGACTGGAAAACCTCCGTTGTGGTTCCCGTTTTCAAAAAAGGTTGCAGGGGAGATCCTGGTAATTACCGCCCGATCACACACACACCCGCTGTCTAGATTATTTGAACGCATCGTCCTCGACGCTATCAAAAAAGAAGTTTCGCACAAATTCTCAACGAATCAATATGGCTTTCTGAGCGCTAGATCCTGCACACTCGCACTTCTTGAATCCTCCTCTGAAATTCAGAGAATACTTTCGCACAAAGGTCTGTTTTTCGATGCCATTTATTTTGATTTTAGAAAAGCGTTCGATACTTGTTACTCTGGCATTTCGTTATTAATCTAATCGCAGTCTACTCGAGTTATACGGCGGCCTAATAAGACTGATATGACACCTAATTAGATTAATAAATTGTCTAGCTAGATTAATAAATCTTCTAGCTAGATTAATAAATCTTCTAGCTAGATTAATAAGTGCTCAAATCAAGTTTCACGCCAACCGTCTGCTGGCTCAAATCTCGATTGCGCCAAGAAAAAACAGTCGAATCTAATTAGGTCGCGTTTAGATCAGTAACTTTCTAATTAGATTAATATCGAATTGCCAGAGTAGGGGTTAAGGCTTTAAGGCTTGTAGTTCAAAATATATTTTAAAATGTAATTTATGCATAGCAATACCTTGATTTTGCTGGATAAACGATAGGGGGATATTCTTGAATTCATTTGAATAATCGTTTTATAAGCAGTATCTTCGTTAATGTATCCACTTTTCAAAAAATCTGCTTCATCGAAAACAGATTCAATCCATCTTTCTCGCAAGTTCGCAAATTGTGTTATGGATGGTTTGCGTTCATCTTAATTGATTTAATCGACAGACCCAATGTTGGCATTTAATTCCGAGGGTACAATAATTTTGGGGCACAACAGGGTACAACCTATTTTGGGGTACAACTTTTTTAATTTTGGGGTACAACTTGCCCGATTTTAGGGAATAATTTCTGTCAAGTATTTTAGGGTACAATAATTTTAGGGTACAACACTTTTAGGGCACAACTAGCACATAATTTCAGGGCACAACTTCTTACAATTTTGGAGCACAACAACATGATTTTTAGGGTACAACACTTTTTTTCTCATTTTTTTGTATTTTTCTTGCATTTTACTACAAACCCATATTCTTTTTTTATATCAATATTTCGCTGATTTTTTTATTTCAATGACTCATCTCTTGTAAGAGAACCAGTCTTTCGACTCGTGATTTCTGCGGCAGTTCACACATTTTGTTTTCACCAAATCGTGAGGTTATTCAAAACCTTTTATTGCAAAAAAGCATATGACAGTAACAAGTTGAGCACAAATGAACGGATCTGAAATAAAGAGTAGTTAATCTAGGTTTTTAAATAGCTCTATTAATAAGGCGGGTTTATGAGAATCAACTTGTTACTGTCATATGCTTTTTTTGCAATAAAAAGGTTTTTGAATAACCTCACGATTTGGTGAAAACAAAATGTGTGAACTGCCGCAGAAAGCACGAGTCGAAAGACTGGTTCTCTTACAAGAGATGAGTCATTGAAATAAAAAAATCAGCGAAATATTGAAATAAAAAAAGAATATGGGTTTGTAGTAAAATGCAAGAAAAATACAAAAAAATGAGAAAAAAAGTGTTGTACCCTAAAAATCATGTTGTTGTGCCCCAAAATTGTAAGAAGTTGTGCCCTGAAATTATGTGCTAGTTGTGCCCTAAAAGTGTTGTACCCTAAAATTATTGTACCCTAAAATACTTGACAGAAATTATTCCCTAAAATCGGGCAAGTTGTACCCCAAAATTAAAAAAGTTGTACCCCAAAATAGGTTGTACCCTGTTGTGCCCCAAAATTATTGTACCCTCGGAATTAAATGCCCCCAATGTTATCAAAAAATTTCTCTTACATTTGTTTGAAGTAAGGGCCATAAGTCCAGTAACCCAAATATTCGCATCGTCTCCACTTGTTGCTATCAAATCGAGCGTCTCATAGTGATCACCGTAAATAATAGAGAACAGGCATTCCTCCTAAGACACAAATTATAGCATTTTTTAATCACAGTAGACCCACCTGCCCTTCTCAGGTAATCGACAAAAATAAATCTTGCGCAGGGCTGTGCACAGATTTTTTAGGGCTTTTCGGGACATCAATTTTTCAACCACTTCCAATATTATAGGGGCACCGAACAGAAAGGGCGCTCTATTGAGAAACTTTTTGCAGTGCAAATTGAGTGAGCTCGGGGCCGAGTTTGAAAAGTTAGGCCACGTTTTCAGTGGAAAATTACTTCGCGGACTAGAAATTCGGCCAGATTGCGAACAGAGCGCCCTTTCTATTCGGTGCCCCTATAATACACGAGTGTTCAAACGGTTACGCTGATACTAAAGCACCCCACTAAACATCAAACATCAGACCCAAACCTGCTACAAAATCGCAATTACTCTTTTTGTCTCAACTACTTCATCGTATCTCAATTGCTACAAAATCTCAATTACTCTTTTCGTTTCAACTACTTCATCTTATCTTAACTACTGCAAAATCTTTTCCCCGGAAGGTCTCCGTTGTCATCGTTCTCGGTTAACGTTGCTATCGTTATACCACCATTCAAGCTCAAACGACTAGCACCAAACTTTATGATGGAACATTTTAAGATAGTCACAAAACGTTTCTTCCAATGTCTGTAAAAGATCGTTTACAGTTTTTTTAATTGAGCTTTGAAAATGAGTTCATCACTAGTGTGGAGAGACAAATCGGCAATTAATTCCGAGGGTACACAATTCGGGGGTCTCAGGCAAATCGTTTGTAATCTAGCTAGGAGATTTCGTAATCTAAACCGAGTTCCGAATCTAGCTAGGTGAAAATGGAATCTAAAGTAAACCTAGCTAGATTTGACTGTAAAAACGAAGGAGACATAATTGTTAATCTAATTAGAAAAAATCCGAATCTGAAGTCAACCTAATTAGATTGACGGGAATTTGAACAGCACATGGGAAGACACACCGTTTTCGATCGATTTCGAACGTTTTTTTAACTGTTATACTGTTATTTTTACATTTTTGTGCAGAAATGTGTCTGTTTCAGACGGCAATCATGCCACGTGTGAAAATAACAACTCGATGGCGATTTTGGACGAAACGATGAAATACGACGAGAGAAGGTTGTAGTTTTTTGAAAGATTTTTATTAGCGAAATGAAACGGAGTGTTTTTCAGTAGCATCCCAAGTGGGCAAAACTGAGTGATGAAGACTTAAATCGAATGTACTTTCTGCTGTCGACTACCCAATCAAAAAGAGGTTTTTACTTCGACTTCGACGTCAATATGTCGACGTTCAGCTTTCGCTCTGACCGTTTATTATTGGTGAGGAATCGTTGCGAACGCCGCCGGAGCAAATGGGCTCTTTTAAAGTAAGCTTGTTCGGTCAATTAAACATTAAAGCTCTCGCCGCACTACAGAAAAATGTTAGCGACGCGTCCATCGCCCGGCTCGACTTCGATTTCACGAACGTCGACAAAATGATTGATAAAGGAAGTTCGGAAGTGACAGCGATTGCTCTTGGAATGCGAGGACTGATGCAAATAGCATGTTCTCCCAGGTTTAGCCTCATGTTCTGTGTGGAGCTCGGGAGTGGAGCCGGGGGACTCCGATCATCTCAAATGAGTCAAATCTTGTTTGAAACAAGTTTTTTGAGCATTTTCAAGTCAGATTCGTTCAAGCCTCTCGATTCGCTAGCACGTGATATCAGATTTTTGACCAAAATGAAGCCAGGCCCAACAAGGATCAGACTGGCTTGAGCGTCAAACTCCAGGCTGACATTGCACACTTAGGGAACTTCATAAGGAAGGTTTGAAACATGACATGTTTGAGTTTGGTGTCAATCGGATCAGTTTCAACCGAGTTATGAGCTCCCCGATTGTTGAAGTGAAGAAAATCAACAGAAATGTACTGAAAGATGTGCTGATTTCGATTTTCAAGGTCTTGGAGTGGTATTTTGTTTGGGAAAGACGATATATTCAATTTTAGGGGTGGCCCTATATTTTTGAAACGGACTGTATTTTTTCTGAGTTGCAATCTAATAAGAAAAAATTGCAATCTAATTAGAAAAAATTGCAGTGATTGCAATCTAATTAGAATATTTTGCAATATAATTGAAGCAAATTTTATTTCAAACGAGTTCGTATTAGATTGCAAAGTTTTCTAATTAGATTGCGATCGAGTTCCAAGAGATGCTGTCCATGTCTCAGATAAACATTTCATCAGACCCAAGACTTCGGGGTCGCTGTTTTGACCAGTGTCAACTATGGTTATAAAAATTCGGACTTGCGATACCGGGTCGGCCGGCAGCAAGATTTTGCTGGGGCCTAATGTCAAAAAAATTATGAAAAAAACGGGGAAAAACATTCACCGAGTTTATCCTCATTAAAGAAAGTGGTACCCCAAACGCATAAAAGTTGTACCACTTAAAAAAAATGCGTACTGAATTTAGCACCTCAGTAGTACTGAGTTGCTAAATTCTTGTACCCCGAAAACAAAAAAATTGTACCTTAAAAACAGTTGTACAATGTTGTACCCTCGGAATTAATTGCCGATTTGTCTCCCCACACGCGTGATGATCTCATTTTCAAGGCTCAATTAAAAAACTGTGAAACATCTTTTACAGACATTGGAAGAAACGTTTCGTGACTATCTTAAAATGTTCCATCATAAAGTTTGGTGCTAGTCGTTTGAGCTTGAATGGTGGTATAACGATAGCAACGTTAATCTGTTGAAAAAAAAGAAAAAATATATGTTGTAGTAATTAAGGTGGTGAAGTAAATGAGACAAAATGAGTAATTGAGATTTTGTAGTAGTTGAGATACGATGAAGTTGTTGAGACAAAAAGAGTAATTGTGATTTTGTAGTGATTGAGATGGTGAAGTAGTTGAGATTAGGGTTGCAGAACAGGCGCCTGTTTTCGCCTGTTTTGCAAAATGTGCACGTTAAAATTGCAGAACAGGCGAAAACAGGCGCCTGTTCTGCAACACTAGTTGGGATATGGTGAAGTAATTGAGAGAAAAGGAGTAATTGAGACGATATAGTTGAAAAAAAAGTACTCCAGAATGTAGTAATTCAGTGTTTGCCTCAAGGCCGAGGGCCGAGCGAATAGACAGTTTGGGTACAATCGGAAAATTATCACTGGGAACGAAGTTCATGAAAAGCGTTGGAAAAAGTTTGAGACGGTCATTTCCCCAGCTTTGACTGTGAGTGAACTTTTTTGTGTGAAAAATCAAATATTATCGAATCCTGTGCCCGCTTTAATGCAGCTCACTTGCAGATCTGTGAAAGTTTCTTCTGATGCTCTGAGAAGTTCCGTGTTTTTTCCTAGACGTATCTCTCGTATGTCATTGATTGCAACTGAAAGTGTAATGTATTTTTTGTTTAAGACAATTCACAACTTCTTGCTCTGTGCGGTTTTTTGTTAGTTGGAGTCCATCGTATGTGAGACAAATCGGCATCGAGACTTAAAGAAAAGGATTTCAGCATACTATCAAATTACTATCAGTTTAATCTTCTTGCCCGCTGTTCTCTACTGTTAATTCTTACTAACCTGAAGAATCTACGAAAATGGCGATTAATGCCACGAAGCTTAACAAGTTCGCTTCCTGTCTGCATGTAATTCCAGCAGTCTCTGACTAAAAATATTTAAACTGGGACTGTCTGCTCCTTTAAAAGTTACCATTAGAAATTTTTGCGTCGCTGTTTTGTGAAGAGAAGGATACTGTTTTGCGACCACTTGCTTTGCTTCTAGATCTACTACCACGTTTAATCAATGAAGATCTGAGCGTTCTTCTGCAATTTCTGTTTGCTATACAGTATTATCGATGTCCTGTTTTATGTACCTTTGACATTTTTCAGTCTGGAAGTATCTCTGTGAGCCAAGAAATTACAAAAATTCTACTTTTTTGAACCGCTTTTACAGAGAAAAAACATTTTTGTTAGTATTATCAACGTGTGTAAGGCTCAATGTGCAGTTTCAGATGTTTTTTTGAACTTTATCTCTGGCAATTCGATATTAATCTAATTAGAAAGTTACTGATCTAAACGCGACCTAATTAGATTCGACTGTTTTTTCTTGGCGCAATCGAGATTTGAGCCAGCAGACGGTTGGCGTGAACTTAATTTGAGCACATATCAATCTAATTATTATAGAGGCACTGGACAGAAAGGGCGCGCTGTTAGCAATCTGGCAGAATTTCTAGGCCGCGAAGTAATTTTCCACTGAAAACGTGGCCTAAATTTTCAAACTCGGCCCCGAGGTCGCTCAATTTGCACTGCAAAAAGAATTTCTCAACAGAGCGCCATTTCTGTGCGGTGCCGCTATAATAGAAGATTTATTAATCTAGCTAGACAATTTATTAATCTAATTAGGTGTCATATCAGTCTTATTAGGCCGCCGTATAACTCGAGTAGACTGCGATTAGATTAATAACGAAATGCCAGAGATCATACTTTTATTACTGTTTATTAAAGGATCAGGGAACCCTGCGAGTTTATGCACGGAGTCGTTTCGGGGCACACTGGATGTGTCTGTCTGAATTGTCTCTTATTGCCACATTCACTGTCCGAGTCCCAACTCTCAGAAATGCAAATAAGCGGAACAGGGCGCAGGTAAAGTTGTGGCCGTGGCCGAGAAAACTTCTAGGCCGTGTGATCTTTTCCGAATTTTTTCGCATTCGGCACAATCCTGAGACGTTGCCAAGCATTCACACAAATTAACAGATTGCCAAAGTGAACGGTTGTCATATTATCAGCAGGGAAGAGTTTTCACACCTGAGTTTACTAGGCCACGATCACTACTTCAACTCAGACTTGCCAAATTACGGGCCGGCCCGGCCCGGCTCAAAAGGCGCGAATTCAAATTTTTGGGGGAAATCTATTTTTTCGTTTTTTTTGCGGGGATCAAAATTTAAAAAAACGGAACTCGTTGAAAAAGCGTTTCGAACTGTAAGAAATTTATTGGGAAAAGTTATTATTTTCTTCTTTTTTAATTGTTTTTAATTGGGAGCCGGGCACAGTAGTAAAAAAACACCATTAAAGGAGGCTATGAGTCGTCACGAAGCCAATTGTAAAACTGGCCTGAAAATTTGAATTAGTTCGGTCGCGTCGTTTTCGGAACCGCGTGGAAGATTTTGCTGGACTGGCCGGTTGGCCCGTATACAGGCAGCATTATTATTGTTATGAAACGAGCTCACCCAAGAAATTCCATCTACGCCAATAACATGTGTCGTTGACAAAGTTTACGAGGAAATAAAATATTATCTTAAGGGCTTGAAAAGCATTCTAAGAAAACATCGGCGGGCGTTAGAAGAGTTTGAGATTTCAATTTTTGAGGAAAATGTTTGGTTGCCTTTTTTGTTTTAAACAATCGAGTCATTTGCTGGACATGGAATGTGCACTACGCTTGCAAGTCAAAAATCGACTCGAAAGAATGCAACATAGCGATAGTTATGTTTTCTTATTTCATACAAGCCTCATCACCCAGAAACGTCGTAGTCCAGGTTCATGATTACGTTTTATTAGAAACTCATTACTTTCAGTATTGGACCCGCAGCGCAGGGATTTGCCATCTCATAGTCAGAACCGTTAGAAAGTTCACGTGTTCATTTCTGAATTTCTCCGTCAGAACTATTTCCGTTTTATAAGTGGAAAGGTGACTTGACAAACAATAGGCAATTCATTGGTAGAAAATTTTTAACCTTCCACGATTTTTTTAACTACGAGTTGTGCACATTTGAGCACCTACCGTTTTTTTATGTACCGAACCTAGTGAAAAGAATTTAGAAAATAGTAGTGATATACAAAATACAATTATACAATTATGTCGAAAAATGGTTATGAAAATGTAAATCTGGAGAAAAAATATTGGTAGTGAAAACCTAATTGCCATGTTCTTGACTGTACATTGTCCTGGACTATTGTGATATTTAAAACAAAATTTAAGTCAGCTGTGTCGACTAGACACTATTAGCTTTGCACTAATATTACCTTGTTGTAAAAGGAATATCCAGACTTTCAAGTTTTTCATTCGATTCATTATCGCATTCAGTCATTACACTTAGAGAAGAATGGAATTCTGTAATGAAGGAGCAATTGTCTGAAGAATTCTCAATAGAAATCTACAGAATATTGATCAGGGGAAAGAATTAATATTTTTTGTCATTTATATTCTGAAACTGGCCGAGAAAGAAGGCACACGAAAGAAGACACACGAAAGAAGAGAAGCAGCAGATGAAAAGATGAAAAAGGCAAGAAGAGAAAAAGAAGTGCAAGCATCTTGAAGAGTGGCAAAATCTTCGTGATTTTGTCATACAACTATGTGAATTCAGTTGATTATATTATAACGGTGTTGCCTGAAAAAAGAAAAACAAAACATTGTGATTTTTATCATCATCGTTCTTTCGTTCTTATGATCATCATCATCATCATCATAATTCATTTATTAATAATAACTCATTTATTCACTTCGACCACCTAAAAAAAAAGAAGAGAAAAAAGAAAAGAAAAATTTACAGGAGAAGAGAGGGAAATAGAGATAGTGGGTGGGGGGGAATAATGACTAAAATGACCATTGGCCGGCAATAGCTATAAGTCATGTAGAATACAATATACAAGAGGGAATATTTTCTATGCGCGTCGCAAAAGCTTCAGGAGACAGTCTTTCGGGAAACATTTTGGCCACTCGGTTCCATAGGGCAAGATGGGGATGCAAGAAAGAGTCATGGGGTAGGCCTAGAGAGGAGAGAAGATACGGGTAACGGGGGGAGACGCCGGGTTTGAGGAACAAATTAAGGGAGGGGAAGTGGTATTGTTGTGAGATTATATTGTGGAATGTTCTGAGGAAAAGGAGTACCCGTCTATGGAGTATCGAGATTGGATTGGCTTAAACGGCCACTATATGCATATGAGGAGAATTGAGGAGGAGAATTCAGTAGTATAGGATGGAGGGATTATAATACCACTTCGACATTTTGCTCTTTTGAACGTTTTTTCATTCTCTGATGTCAGAGAAACACCTCATTTACAACACTTTTAAAAAAGTAAGGAAGGCGAGAAAATTTCTTCCATTAAAGGTGGTGTCCAACGTGACATACAACATATTTTTAAAATAAACTTCGAAGTGGGGCATTCACTTTCCCAAAGTCCCGAATTACAAAAAAAATTCCCAGATTTTTAAGATTTTTTTCAAAAAAGTTAATGGTACCGAGAGAAGTACACGGCGAAATGGAAGAGCTGGCCTAAATTTTTCTAGTCCCCGAATGGAATTCCCCTTTCTTCCGATTTTTTTCCGTTTTCGTGCAATTTTCTTAAATTTTCAATCGTTTTTTCACTGAACACATTTTTTGCAATATTTAAAAAAAATTTATGATTTTTTCTGTGCCGTGACGCCAAAAAAATCGATAATCTGAAACTTTCAAAATTCAGCAAAATTCAGAAATCGAATCTAGCTTTTTGTATTTTAACTGACCTCTGGCTACTGCCGGCCAATGGTCATGTCAAGCCATTGTTCCTTCCCCCACCCACATTCCCCCTCTTTTTTCTTTTCTTTCTTTTTTTTAAATAATAACTCATTTATTCTCTTCAGCCACCTAGGAATAAAATTACAACAAAAAGAAAGAAGAGAAAAAAAGAGGGGGAATGTGGGTGGGGGAAGGAACAATGGCTTGACATGACCATTGGCCGGCAGTAGCCAGAGGTCAGTTAGAATACAAAAAAAGCTAGGGGGATCTTCTCGATGCGCGCTGCGAAGGCCTCAGAGGACAGTCTTTCGGGAAACAACTTGGCCACTCGGTTCCAAAGGGCAAGATGGGTATGTAAGAAAGAGTCATGGGGTAGGCCAAGGGAGGATAGAAGGTACGGGTGACGGGGGGAGACGCCGGGTTTGAGGAACATGCTTAGGGAGGGGAAATGGTACTTGTGCGAGATTATGTTGTAGAATGTTCTGAGAATAAGAAGAACCCTTCTGTGGAGTATCGATTTTGAATTAGATTGACTGAGACGGTCGCTATAGGAGGAGAATCGCATGTTACATCTTTTGGAAGACTCTTCTACTGAAAAAAATCTAAGGGGAGACTCTAATTTGCTGGAGAGGGATGTCGATGAGGGATGGAAAAGTTCACAGCCGTACTCGAGAATGGGTCTGACGTAAACGTTGAAAAGTTTAAAGTAGAGACTGGGGTTCGAGGAGCGAAAGGCTTTCAGAATTTGTTTGCATTTCAAGAGGGCGGTATTGCTAACTATTGTGATATGTTTATCGAATTTGAGCTTGTCGTCTATCTTTTGTTGTTGTAATTTTATTCCTAGGTGGCTGAAGAGAATAAATGTGTTATTATTATTAGATTCTCAGGCACTCCTGAAGGAGCTTGCGACGCAGATCCTCCGGATTTATTAAAATTCTTTTATTACCCTAAAAATGTTTGAAATGATCAAAAATTGTGAAATGGGCAAAATGGATAAATGACCATATGGTCAAAAAATGACTTTTTTCAAAAATGACATGTTTTTTTTGAATGTAAACACATTTTTGTAAAAATAAGGCCTGCAAATGGTCAAAAAGTGTAGAAAATTGGGATTGGGCAAAATATTCCGTCTGCCGTCTTCCGGGAAAAAAGTTTTCTTCCGTCTTCCGTCTGCCGTCTTCCGTGAGAAAAATTTTCTTCCGTCTTCCGTTTTCCGTGTTCCGTAAGAAAAATTTTCTTCCGTCTGCCGTCTGCCGTCTTCCGTATTTCAAAATTCCATTTCCGCTCAACTCTGCTCTACAGTAAAGAATAAAATACTTTCATAAAATTGTCAGCCTGTCGCCGGATATTCAAATTTGTCGAACCGTGGCAGTGCGCTGCAGTGTGTACTTTTGGAAAAATGTATTTTCCGAAAGATTTCTAAACGCGGCTTACGGCCATCGTTTTTGAATTTTTGCTTCAAAAATGCTTGTTGCTCAGTTGAAAGTTAGACTCGAAAACAATCGTCTACCCATGAGAGTTATGCAAATGCGCTCTATTGATAATATTGCTAGGCTTGGGCGAAGGCTATGGGCATTTAATTCGGAGGGTACAAAAATTAGGGGGTACAACAGGGTACAAATTGTTTTGGGGTACAACTTTCATGGTTTTGGGGTACAACATTTTCGATTCTAGGGTACAAAAATTTACCGAAGCACATTTTCGAAGTTTTCATTCCAGTTTTGAATTTTTGAGAGCTCACGAGACACAGTCGTGTGTAGCCATGCTTTGTTTTATGCAGTATTTTGTGTCATTTCGAGAAACAATCTTTACTTGGGTAAATTTCACACACAACATCAGATGCTGAAATTCGTGTCGCAGTCTAACTAGAGATACGGAATAAACCCGACGCTCTGTCCGACAGACCTTATTGACCTTTTGATAATAATTCCAACACTAAATAAACGATTTTATTATCTCTCTGCCTTCACTCCGCACTTTTCCCACTCCCCGTTCGCGACAAATTTGTACCCTTAAATCATAAAAGTTGTACCCCTTAATCAATGCCTACTGAATCGGGCATATAATTCCGAGGGTGCACAAATTAGGGGGTACAACAGGGTACAAATGGTTTTGGGGTACAAAAAGTCGAGGGTACAAAGTTTTCGATTCTGGGGTACAAAAATTAACCGATTCAGTAGGCATTTGATTAAGGGGTACAACTTTTATGATTTCAGGGTACAAATTTCACGATTTTGGGGTACAAACATTTTTTTCCCCATTTTTTCATAGGGGTCAATTCCGTGAATGTTTTTAACAGTTTTTTTCACAAAATGTTTTTACTCCGTGAATGCTTTGTACTCCGAACCGCTTAATCACTTCCCGAGATGTTTTTTAAATGAGATTTGATGAGACTCTTCGAGGCGTTGAGCTTTCGATAGACAGTGGTCCAAACGGCGACCCCGAAAGACTTCGATAGCCTTGGGTCTGATGAAATGTTTAGTTGAGACTTAGACATCATTATAGTTGTAAGATAAGCGATGAAAGAGAGAAGACAGGTTTAAAAACAATTAATTTATTGAAGAAAAACTAGCGAAGAATAACAGAGTTGTAAATCAACAGAAGAGCCGATGGCAAAATGCGAACAGTGAGCCGAGCAATGTATATTTTAAGAAGATGTGAAAATCATTCGAAATTATTTTTTTTCAATTTTTAACATTCAAAAGTGTGAATCAGGTCAAATTGGTGCTATAATCGCACGGAAATAGAGTTGAATTATTGAAAAAAAAAATTGTTAAAAATTTGACTCAAAAATGACGATTTTCAACGTAAATGGGAAAAAACTTCTGGAAAAAGTCGAAATTGGGAAAAAAGTTTAGGATTTGCATGGCCGCGCGCGGTGGACTAGAATATTCTGTTTTCGTGGTGAGACCCGCGAGACTTGCACGGCCCCCGAACAACGTGTACCCTCGGAATTATATGCCAATAGGATTACGCGAAAAAATCAGTCCGTATCAGTCGAGGAGGCGCGAAGAGAAGAAATGTTGTTGAAAATTGTGCGCAAAGTCTGCTTCACTTGATCCAATGCATTCGTTTCATCATTGTTTGCCGCCGGTCCTATAAAACAAAATAAATACATGTCTGTAATCAAAATAGTTAAATAAACAAGCATCTAAAAACTCTATATCTTTCTTACACAGGTGAACTGCGATTTGTTGCAACCTGCGTACTCGATTTGTCAATCGCGGGCTAATATCCGTTAATATTGGCCAATCATACGTTAATCGCGAGCCATATGGCTGACAATTGATCAATCCGCGACTAACCGGCTCGCCGTTAACGTATCATTTGTTTATCATTGGCGAGGACTGTATAATAGATCAATCGCAGTTCACCTGTCTGTCTGTCTTTTTGGATGTCCAGCGAGGGCAGCAGAAAGAAAGACGGACCAGACAAAACCGAACCCGCACCGTGTGCGCCGCAGGCGCGTTGTTTGCCACTCGGCCACCAGCGCACCATGCGAGACCGGAGGTCGAGCGCGTAGCTATGCGAGCGGAGCGAGCAAGCCTGAAATCCGGCGTTAGCCGGGAAGCAGGCTTGTAAAATAATATAAAAAATACCTAGATGTGTCAAATCACAAAGAATGCAGACTGCATTGATTTGATTTGCGAGTCGGCGCAAGATAGAGTTCCACGAAGAGTTCTTAACAAATTATTATTTAAACGATAAATAATCATGCATACACTCTTGATTCGAGTGCTGTAATATACTATTCTAATTACAAGCCTGCTCCCCGGCTAACGCCGGGTTTCAGGCTTGCTCGCTCCGCTCGCATAGCTACGCGCACGGCCTTCGGCCTCGCATGTCTACGGGCTCGACCTCCGGTCTCGCATGGTGCGCTGGTGGCCAAGTGGCAAAAGGCGCGCCTGCGGCGCACGCGGTGCGGGGTCGGTTTTGTCTGGTCCGTCTTTCTTTCTGCTGCCCTCGCTGGACATCCAAAAAGACAAACAGACAGACAGACAGACACACAGGTGAACTGCGATTTGTCATAGTTGTGCTTTTTGGGCCCGGTCCGCTACGGCCCGCCAGCCCGCCCGGGCCGGGCCGGGCCGGAAAAAAATTTCACGGCCCGGCCCGCCCGCTCGGCCCGCATTTCAAAAAGTTTTTTATACTGTTTTTTTCCAATTTTTCTTCGCGGTTAAGTGCAAAGTTTGCAATTGCGCGTCTCGGTGATTGAACACATGTAACCGTTTCGAAATTTTTTTTTTTGGTTTTTATTGTTAGCAGGTAGAAAACGGCCTATCTGTGTCATTTTCGACATCAATATGACCTATTTAGATGAAAAACACTAAAAACATACAAAAAATGTTGAAAAAAACGTTTTTACAATTTTCGAAATTTTTCGAAATTCAAAATTTTTCTATCACGGGCCGTCCGGGCCGGGCCGGGCTGGGAAAATTTTGACATACGGCCCGGCCCATGCCAACTATGCGATTTGTTGCAACCTGCGTACTCGATTTGTCAATTGCGGGCTAATATCCGTTAATATTGGCCAATCATACGTCAATCGCGAGCCATATGGCTAACAATTGATCAACCCGCGAGCGGTTGATCAATCCGCGACGAACCGGCTCGCCGTTAACGTATCATTTGTCTATCATTGGCGAGGACTGTATAATAGATCAATCGCAGTTCACCTGTGCAGACAGACGCCTCTTGTGTTTTATATATAAGAAAGATAGAAAAAAAAGAAGCATACCTCGTCGACGGCTGGATTTCGAAGATTTGGATCGAGGTGTCCGCGAACTAAACAGAAACTTCTTTAAAAACTCTTTTAAAAAAGCTTCTGAATTTTTCCAATAGTAATATTGTTTACAAAATGTTACAAAGTAAGAAAAATAAAAGCGTATCCGTACTTGTAGGAAGAACCATAACTTCTTCAATTTCTCGAATTCCATCCAAAAGAATTTCGAACACAGCTTCTCGAGTCGGCTGGTCCATGTCATCTTTCCTAAATTGATAAAAGGTTTATGAGTTGTATAAAAAAGCAAACTAAGATATTATATAAAACCAATTATTAGAAGCTAATAACTAAACAATGCAAAACAATTTTCTTACTTGTCGCGAACAAGATCTCTCACTCCTCGATGCAGTTGAGCGAGTTCAAGAGCCTCTTCCTAAAGTTATATCATCATTCTTATTAATAAAAGTCTTGAGGGGTCTGTCCCTCTGTTTATTTATTTATTTACAAGACTTTTGAAACCGGGCCCGCTGCGCGGGCCGAGCTAACGCTCGGAAGCGGCTTCTCCGCTTGTTTGTTTCTCATAGTTGTTTGAGAGTTCACGTGCCCGTTTCTTCATTTCTCCGTCACACTTTTTCGTTTTAGAAATGAAGTGGGGACGGACAAACGGAGAAATAAACAAACAAACAAACAAACAGACGGACATACCCGTGAAGACTTTTATTAATAAGAATGATTTCTTGGTGTGTCCGCACACTTTTTAATTTCTAAAACGGAAATAGTTGGGACGGAGAAATTAATAAATGGAAACGTGAACTCTCTAACGGTTAGAACAAAACAGTTAGCGGCGGAGCCGCTTCCGAGCGTCAGCTCGGTCTGAGTCACGGGCAGGGAGGAGCCGAAGGCTCCGACACAAGACTGACGGCGGCGTTAGCCGCCATTTGAGTCTTGTTATCATTAAAAATATAAATACATACAAAGCTTCAAACAACTTACCGAAACAAGACGATTAGCCATAATGAAAAGACGAATTTTCAGTAATCTGTAAAGATATTCGATTAATAAAAAAATAATAAAAGCGCTCAAAATAGTTAATAAAAGCGCTCAAAATAGTCTACAGGAGAAGCTACAACGGTGTGGAACTCGCACGTTTTGTAACTGCTACGATTTAGAACTCGCAACGAAGTGGAACCGTTCGTTGTAGAACTGTTATGGGGCTATTCAGCGTTTTTTTTCGTTTAAAAACGTTTTTCATCACTGAATTGAATTTTTTGACGCAAAAAAACGTTTAAAGACTCAATTGGCGGCTAACGCCGCCGTCAGTCTTGTGTCGGCGCCTTCGGCTCCTCCGTCCCCGTGGCTCAGACCGAGCTGACGCTCGGAAGCGGCTACACCGCTTGTTCGAATCAAATCATAATCATCATTCTTATTATTAAAAGTATTCACGGGTTTGTCTCTTTGTTTGTTTGTTTATTTCTCCGTTTGTCCGTCCCCACTTCATTTCTAAAACGAAAAAGTGCAACAGAGAAATTAAGAAATGAACACGTGAACTCGCAAACAGATGTGAGAAACGAACAAGCGGTGTAGCCGCTTCCGAGCGTCAGCTCGGTCTGAGTCACGGGGAGGGAGGAGCCGAAGGCTCCGACACAAGACTGACGGCGGCGTTAGCCGCCAGTTGAGCCTTGTAATATTTCTTATATATAAAACACAAGAGGCGTCTGTCTGTCTGTCTGTCTGTCCTTTTGGATTTCCAGCGAGGGCAGCAGAAAGAAAGACGGGCCAGACAAAACCGAACCCGCACCGCGTGCGCCGCAGGCGCGCCGTTTGCCACTCGGCCACCAGCGCACCATGCGAGACCGGCGATCGAGCGCGTAGCTATGCGAGCGGAGCGAGCAAGCCTGAAACCCGGCGTTAGCCGGGGAGCAGGCTTGTAATAAATAAATAAATAAATAAACAAAGGGACAGACTCCATTAGACTTTTATTAATAAGAATGATACTCGATTTACCGCTCTTGCCCACTCAGACTCGAGCCAAAATTTCCTGAAATTAAAAAAGTTTAATTTTAAAAGAGCGGTAAATTGGGTATGTAACGATAAAATCGCCGAATACCGTCAAATTTTTGAACATCAATATTCCGTCAGTTTCCGCAAGAAAAATGTGCACCAATGCAAGCGCGCTCTATTGACATTTCTGACACGGTGATTTTTTTTTGCAGGTGCATCACTGAATAATGGGGCTATTCAGCGAATGTTTTTTTTTCGTTTAAAAACGTTTTTTCACATCACTGAATTGGATTTTTTGACGTATAAAACGTTTAATAACATGCACTGAATAACCCCATAACCCCATTACTATTATTTTTATTAAATTTATGTTTATTGAACTACATCCGTGTATTTATTTCCATATTATTATATTCCCTAAGTTATTTTATTAATGAAATTTTTTTTAGATGTTCAAGCAAGCTGCGAACCAACAGTTGCTTCAGAACGTGTCGGCATGTTGCATGTACATCGAAAATGACGACTGCTGGACTTCGGCGGTTGTTCTGACCAAAGAGTACGCTGTTACTGCTCTTCACTGCATTCCGGATTCGTTCCGAAAAATTGGTTCATTGGTGATTCTTCACGATGCGCATGGACAGCAGCACAATGGTCAAATTCATGGGATGAACGAGATCTCGGACTATGCCGTCATCAAGAAGACTGATGGAGTTTTTGGAAGTGTACCGGAATTGGCCAGTCCGATGCTGCTCGATAAATATATTGTTTTGGTAAGTAAACAAACATGATTATTTATTTAGATTAATTATAAGCATAATTAATAGGACGAACATTGTAAAATACTTTTGCAAGTCACCATTTATATTACTAATGCTTTATTTTCAGGGATTCACTTTCGGTGAAAGAAAACCATCAGTTCGGCTTGGTCACATTTCTTCACTCTCTACTGGTACCAAAGGATTCTTCTACGGCGATTCTGGTGGTCTCCCCGGATTCAGCGGAGGCGGGGTTTTCTACGAAAGAAGCGGCGCACTCATGGGAATCGCTCGAGGATGCGATTGGGATGGGAAGGAAACGAAGCAGTATAGCGACGTGTTGGAAATGATCTCAGCTCAAGGTGAATATAAATTAAATATACAGTCTTATATAAATTTCATTTTTCAGTCATTCTCGGTCACGTTGAATTCGCCAGACACCAGCCGTTCTCCGTTTGATGACTTGTCGGAGGCAATTAGGTTTTCACTTCCATATGAGAAATTGAAGGTATCACAATTTTTTGATTTTTGACATTCAAAAGTAAATTAGGTCAAATTTATGCGATAATCGCACGGAAATAGAGTAATCCTAAATTAAAAAATCCTAAATTTTTCCCAATTCCGACTTCGAAAAATTGTGATACCTTCAAGTTTTTGTTCGATTTTTCTCGTTGTCTCTCTCCATTTCGATTCACGCCTCTGTTCTTTTTGGTTTTTTTCAATAAATTAATTTTTTTAAACCTGTATTTCCTCTTTCATCGCTTATCTTACAATTATAATGCTGTGTAAGCCTCAACTAAACATTTCATCAGACCCAAGGCTATCGAAGCATCGAAGTCTTTCGAGGTCGCCAATCCGAACAGAGTCTGCTTTCATCGTTTTGAACAGGGTCAGCTCCGACAAAAAATAAAACGAAACATAGTATTCGAACATTTTTCGGTACCACGAGAATAATACAGAAAATAAGAAAAACAATTTTTAAGGATAATACAGCACACCTGTGCAATCTTGTGCAGACTCACTCTCAAAATTGTATTTTCAAAAAGTAAGATGTTTCCAAAACTGTTTTGTGGTTGATCGGGATGCAGAACAGGCGATTTCAGGCGCCTGTTCGGCATTTCGGCAGGCTAGACGCGTTACGAATGACACTGCCCAGTACTCGTTCAAAACTTTTCAAAAGTTGAATATGTCTTCGAACAGTCCTCCCCCTCCTCCCCCTCCACGAAAAACCACACAAAAATTCACAAAAGTAAAAAATGTGTATTAAAAATATATTTCAAACCTTCAATTTCTCATATGGAAGTGAAAACCTAATTGCCTCCGACAAGTCATCAAACGGAGAACGGCTGGTGTCTGAACAATTCAACGTGACCGAGAATGACTGAAAAATGAAATTTATATAAGACTGTATATTTAATTTATATTCACCTTGAGCTGAGATCATTTCCAACACGTCGCTATACTGCTTCGTTACCTTCCCATCCCAATCGCATCCTCGAGCGATTCCCATGAGTGCGCCGCTTCTTTCGTAGAAAACCCCGCCTCCGCTGAATCCGGGGAGACTACCAGAATCGCCGTAGAAGAATCCTTTGGTACCAGTAGAGAGTGAAGAAATGTGACCAAGCCGAACTGATGGTTTTCTTTCACCGAAAGTGAATCCCTGAAAATAAAGCATTATTAATATAAATGGTGACTTGCAAAAGTATTTTACAATGTTCGTCCTATTAATTATGCTTATAATTAATCTAAATAAATAATCATGTTTGTTTACTTACCAAAACAATATATTTATCGAGCAGCATCGGACTGGCCAATTCCGGTACACTTCCAAAAACTCCATCAGTCTTCTTGATGACGGCATAGTCCGAGATCTCGTTCATCCCATGAATTTGACCATTGTGCTGCTGTCCATGCGCATCGTGAAGAATCACCAATGAACCAATTTTTCGGAACGAATCCGGAATGCAGTGAAGAGCAGTAACAGCGTACTCTTTGGTCAGAACAACCGCCGAAGTCCAGCAGTCGTCATTTTCGATGTACATGCAACATGCCGACACGTTCTGAAGCAACTGTTGGTTCGCAGCTTGCTTGAACATCTAAAAAAAATTTCATTAATAAAATAACTTAGGGAATATAATAATATGGAAATAAATACACGGATGTAGTTCAATAAACATAAATTTAACAAAAATAATAGTAATGGGGTTATGGGGTTATTCAGTGCATGTTTTTAAACGTTTTATACGTCAAAAAATCCAATTCAGTGATGTGAAAAAACGTTTTTAAACGAAAAAAAAACATTCGCTGAATAGCCCCATTATTCAGTGATGCACTGAGTCACAGCGTGGACGTTTATCATTAAAGCGCACTTGCAGCGCACTCGCGGGAGTTCAAAAATAATAAATTTTCGGCGAAAATTGCGTTATTCCCCGTGTAAAAATTGAACGCCGTAATTGTTTCGTTTTTGTCACAGGCTATATTGTAGCTGGGAGTTAGACGGTCATTTTGAGCACACACAGAGCCAAATCGGTGCAGCCGTCGTGTTTCCTTGTGCAAAACTGTGTAGCGATGCGAAATAAATTTAAAAGTTTGAGGTTATTTTGCATTGTTTCGCAGATTTATTACGACAGTGACGCTTGAATACTGTTATATAATGGCTAGAGACGCTGTACGGATGAAAAAAATCGCAACTCAATGCAAATAGGCCGATTTTAAAAACCGTGAAAGAGTAGCGTGAATTTCTGGCTGAAATACATGAAAAGCAGAAGTTTGTCAATATTAGGAGATCATTCGAATTAATATCGATAAGCAGGTTATTTATGTAAAAGGGTCAACACCAGGAGACATTGGAGAAATGTTGTTGCTCAAAGATTGCCTACAAAAAGGAAAACGATTGAAAGTGAAATGAATTGCAATCTGTGGTTGAAAAAGACCTAAAACTTCAGAGAGGCCCTGTACCGACTTGGACTCCATCACTTGCATCAATCCCTGAATTGTCTGAAGAAAATGGCTCAAATATCCCCAAGGAGCTTCTGTTCAACGAGATGTTCAGGGCATTTAATTCGGAGGGTACAAAAATTAGGGGGTACAATAGGGTACAAATGGTTTTGGGGTACAACTTTCATGGTTTTGGGGTACAAAAAGTCGAGGGTACAAAATTTTCGATTCTGGGGTACAAAAATTTACCGATTCAGTAGGCAATGATTTAGAGGTACAACTTTTATGATTTAAGGGTACAAATTTCACGATTTTGGGGTACAAAAGTTGCACGAAGCACATTTTCGAAGTTTTCATTCCAGTTTTGAATTTTTGAGAGCTCACGAGACACAGTCGTGTGTATCCATGCTTTGTTTTATGCAGTATTTTTGTGTCATTTCGAGAAAAAAACTTTACTTGGGTAAATTTCACACACAACATCAGATGATGAAATTCTGCTGTGAAATTGCAGAATTTAAAGGGGCCAAAACAGCAAAACAACTTGTAAGTAATATTATAGGGGCACCGAATAGAAAGGACGCTCTGTTCGCAATCTGGCCGAATTTCTAGTCCGCGAAGTAATTTTCCACTGAAAACGTGGCCTAACTTTTCAAACTCGGCCCCGAGCTCACTCAATTTGCACTGCAAAAAAGTTTATTAATAGAGCGCCCTTTCTGTTCGGTGCCCCTATAATAACAAAGGGGTCGCCGTTTGAACCACTGTCTATCGGAAGCAAAACGCTTCGAAGGGTCATGAAATCTCATTTAAAAAACATCTCTGGAACTGATCAAGCGGTTCGGAGTACAAAACATTCACGGAGTAAAAAAATTTTGTGAAACAACTAAAAACATTCACTGAATTGATGCCCATGAAAAAATGGGGAAAAAATTGTTGTACCCCAAAATCGTGAAATTTGTACCCTTAAATCATAAAAGTTGTACCCCTTAATCAATGCCTACTGAATCGGTAAATCTTTGTACCCTAGAATCGAAAATTTTGTACCCTCGACTTTTTGTACCCCAAAACAATTTGTACCCTGTTGTACCCCCTAATTTTTGTACCCTTCGAATTAAATGCCGATGTTCAGTCCAAAGCTATTCCGGTTCACATCACCATCAATTGTGTTCACGGACGCTGATGCCAAAAAGACAGCCGGAAGAGACAAAACTAAGGCAAAAATTGCCAAAGTGAAAAAATAATTTCTACGAGAGAGCTGTTGTTTCACAGGCAATATGCCCTAGTTGTATAGGTCATCAGCTTTTTGTTAAACTCAGTTTATCAGTTTTTCCCCTCGGTGTTTGCAGAATCAGACCGAATTTAAAAAAAATAAATTTGAGTACGCGCTTACCGCAGAAGGGCAAGAGCGATAAACTGACATGACAAAACAGTAAATGTAATCTACTCATTCAATTTTTTTTGTTTTCTATAAATTCAGTGCGTTCTGCAGTTAAACAGCTTTTCCCATTTAAGTATTTTCAATGGTCGACCACCCATTATAAAATATTTCCCCGAACTATTCGTTCGAATCTTTTAACTCATGCAGGAATCGTTATGAAACAATGGTTTAACTTGGATTCGCTGCGCGGACCAAGTTGACCTGAAAGCGGCTCTGCAGCTTGTTCTCAGATCTATTCAAAAGTTCACGTGTTCATTCCTCATGTTCTCGTCGTCACAACATCATTCTTATTTAATAAAAACGGGGTCTGTCCCTTTCTTTCTTTCTTTGTTTATCCGGCTACTTTTCATTTCTAAAACGGAAAAAGATGTGACGAGGGTAATTAAGAAATGAAAACGTGATCTCTCTAACGGTTAGAATAAAATATTTAGTTAGCGGCGGAGCCGCTTCCGAGCCTGAGTCATGGACAGGGAGGAGCCGGAGATTCCGGCTTGTGATGGTTATAATTTTAGAAAGAACAGTCGATCTTGATATTGATATGGCGGACAACAAAACGTCTATTCCAGATGAACAATGTAATCTGAATTCCAGCAGTGTAATGGGCAAAAGCAACTCAGAGGTGAATGACTGGATTTTTTGCAGACCGGGCTGAAACGTGAATTCCTCGAACACGTCGTGAAAGTATTCGGCCCGGTAGGCATTTTCAATTCATTTCAAAATTCCCATAGGAATTTCCCAATAACAATTTCATCTTCAGATCACGGATAAAAATAAGCAACAAACGGGAAGACAGTGTGATGGCGAAGGGAACATTCCACCGGATGAGAAAGTTACAGTTTCACAGTTAGCTGAGAAAACTCAGCTACGACGACGTCGAAATTCGCCGAGATTGCCGGAAGTGTCGGCTTCTGGTTTTCCATTGAAAGTCCTTAATCAAATTTTCCAATACCTTCCCCTCAAAGATCTCATTTCCGCAATGCTCACTTGCCACAGTTGGAATGCAGCTTTAGCCATGGAAGACAGTGAAATTTGGCATCAACATTTAGTTCATGTTGTTCCGGATGCTGCCATTTGCGACCCGTTCTTACTCAGTGAACTTGGAACCGCCAAGAAAAAACTCCGCGCGTGGTATTTTGCATGGAATGCGAATGATATTTCTCGAAACAACTATATTCGAACAAATGGTTTCACTGTTCATCGACAGCCAGTGGCACAATCAACAGATTGTTGCTTATTTTTATCCGTGATCTGAAGATGAAATTGTTATTGGGAAATTCCTATGGGAATTTTGAAATGAATTGAAAATGCCTACCGGGCCGAATACTTTCACGACGTGTTCGAGGAATTCACGTTTCAGCCCGGTCTGCAAAAAATCCAGTCATTCACCTCTGAGTTGCTTTTGCCCATTACACTGCTGGAATTCAGATTACATTGTTCATCTGGAATAGACGTTTTGTTGTCCGCCATATCAATATCAAGATCGACTGTTCTTTCTAAAATTATAACCATCACAAGCCGGAATCTCCGGCTCCTCCCTGTCCATGACTCAGGCTCGGAAGCGGCTCCGCCGCTAACTAAATATTTTATTCTAACCGTTAGAGAGATCACGTTTTCATTTCTTAATTACCCTCGTCACATCTTTTTCCGTTTTAGAAATGAAAAGTAGCCGGATAAACAAAGAAAGAAAGAAAGGGACAGACCCCGTTTTTATTAAATAAGAATGATGTTGTGACGACGAGAACATGAGGAATGAACACGTGAACTTTTGAATAGATCTGAGAACAAGCTGCAGAGCCGCTTTCAGGTCAACTTGGTCCGCGCAGCGAATCCAAGTTAAACCATTGTTTCATAACGATTCCTGCATGAGTTAAAAGATTCGAACGAATAGTTCGGGGAAATATTTTATAATGGGTGGTCGACCATTGAAAATACTTAAATGGGAAAAGCTGTTTAACTGCAGAACGCACTGAATTTATAGAAAACAAAAAAAATTGAATGAGTAGATTACATTTACTGTTTTGTCATGTCAGTTTATCTTAGGCTAGGCTTAGGCTTAGGCTTAGGGAGTGTGAGCCTAGCCTAGGTATGTATTTAAGTGTGTTTATTTTCATCTCAGATGAATTTCACTATTCGTTAAATTTGGATAACGACATTTTTCAAAGCTGCATTAGATGAAATAGTTTAAAGGGACACACATATCGACACGCTTTTCGTTGCGGGACCCATCTGGGTATACGGTAGTGCAGTGCCTAGTCGCACTCCCCCTCCCCCTTGTCGTTGTTACTGTATTTTCACTTTTGTTCATTTTCATCTCAGATGATTTTAACTATTCGCAAACATTGAATAATGACATTTTTCAGAGCTGTATAGGATGAAATAGTTTAAAGGGACATTTAACGACACGCTTTTCGTTGCGGGACCCAACTGGGTATACGGTAGTACCACCAAGGCTCCATTAGGCACTATTGTTGAAGCTCTTCGAGTCTCGGGGGGTGTGAGCCTAGTCGCACCCCCCCCCCGTTGTCGTTGTTACTGTATTTTCACTTTTGTTGTTCATTTTCATCTCAGATGAAAACAACTATTATTCGCCGCTACTATTAGATATAATCTCCATATTTTAGGCCCAGGGGGCTATTTCATCTGAGATGAAAAAAAAAGAGTTATTTTCAGAATGTCCGACGATAGTTTTTCATTCGACGACTTTGAACCAGAAGAAGGTGGCAA